CCTTATGGGCTGATATGCTAGTAAGAAGCTCAAACTATGTACATACCGTATGTATACAGTACTTCCTACGGGTGGAAAGGCACTATGGTTGGGACTATAACAAGGACTAGAGGATCTCTTAGCGGTGGTGCTACCATATACTTCGTCGACTGCATACTCCTCGTCAAGAGTAACGTATGGAGTCGAGTAGTCAGGATCGTGCATGTATATGTAACGACTCCGTACTCCATCAGACCCGAGGCAAAGGACCAAACGAAGCGGTCAAGCCCAGCAAGAACCATCGACCCCGTCGATAGGCGGGCACTAACGACAAGACCGGACCACTGACAACGTTACTCGTGGAAACATCCATTCAGGAACTTACAAGATGTACGGCTCTTAAGGGGGTAATCAACCACGCAGGGGAGGCTGGGCCAATCATCACCCAACACTCGACTCTTTTTTCCTCCCCGACAAAGTCCTCCCCTCCCCATCTCCCCTCCAAAAAAAAAAAAAAATCAAAAAGCAAAATTGAAAATTGAAAAATCAAACACAACCCCCCAATCATCGGTTACATGCAACATCTCAAAGGCTAAAGGCTCAAACCCACCCCAGGTTTCGTGTCCTTTCCGGCTACTTAACCGCTTCCCTGCTCCACCGCATTCTTCCCGGTGTGGCCCCTGCACTCGCGTCAGCTGGGCCTGAGCTATGCCTACATGCAACCGTACACCGAGCGCAGAGGACGGAGTTACTTCTCCTCCTCCTCCCTCTGGATCTCTAAACGCCACTGGTTAGCTCAACGACGGACCTCCGTACGAGGAGGCTACAAGCAGGCTTCAATACGGAGCATGCTCATCCTCAATCCCTGATCCTGCCTGCGGAGGTCCATTATTCGTGCCCATTTCCTCCATACATATCCAATGCAGGGGTTGATCCTGACCACTCCTGTACTCGGTCATGAACTCGGCCCATCAGCCCATCACACATCGCACAACTGTGACACTAGGACATACCGTTATTTCTTCTTTCAGGGTGCCTGCTCCTAGCTTGCTGCTGCACCCATAAGCCCCCATCGTAACCCGCGGCCGTTGCCACCCACCCCACTCCCAAACGGGCGATCAGTGCAGCTGAGCAATTGCCAGGAATAGGTTGAAGGGTAAGAGTGAAGGGGTGTGTGTATGTCTGCAGCTTTGGCGCCATGCAGTGAGATGGCACAATCTCGACTTCTCGACCTCCGATCTGACAGATCCGTGCTGATTGCTGATCTACAGAACAGCACCTTCGGAAGAAGAAGGGGGGCTGATAGGTAAGGGCATTGACATGGGTGTTCCTCTTTCTATTTTATTTTTTTCTATTTTTTTCCCTGATTATCGTTCACAGTATGATCGTCTCATGCAGGTGATAGCCGAATTTTCGACTCCATGCAACCATACGTACGGAGTATGTCTTGTCCTCCGTGCAGAAGAGGGCCAGCGTGCTCGTTAGTGCCATTTAGCATCGTGGCCTGGAGAAACACTGCCGCCCCAAAAAGAGGACCTACGCCTGCTTACGAGGCGAGAGATTCTCGTCCCGTAGCGTAAACTTAAGACATCTTCGTAATGAGCTGAACTTTAGAAACACAAGTCCCGTTTCTTGTTTCTGCGATGTTATCCCGATTTGAAATCATTCTGCCAAACTTGCGACTAGAAACGTTTCGATTACGAGCTCCACACTGACTCCCAACATGGTTCACCTCTTTTCAAAAGAGCATTAAAGTGATATCGTGGAGTGCACAAGCAAATCACAGTCTAATGGGGTATAGTTTGTCCACGAGTCTTCACGGCTATTGCAGATACGAATTATAATAATAAGTCGAAGTGTTCTTTCTCTCAATATGCGACGCGTGCGAATACCAAGTATCCTCTCGCTGGAGTTAATACAACACGGTTTAGTCACGATGACTTTATAATCACTAAGGGAGATCTCAAATCACTGCTTTGAGCTGTGTCATCGTCTGAACGACTTCCCTATGCCATGGTCTTCCACGCCGCTCTTTTCTATGCACCTCGATCTGATATCGATTAAGAGCATGATCAGAGTAGTATCTTTAGCAGCTTCTGCACCAGTTGCGACTGCATATGGCCATTTCTCGAATACCTGCTCTCCGAGAAGATGCCCAATTTTCAAGAGTTTGGTATATCAGGCGCCCACATCTATACAAGAAGTTCGGCTGTCCGAGTCCTCCCATGCAGCCCAGAAGCATCGCTGTTCATATAGGGCCTTGTTCTATGGCATGCACTTCTACCCAAGCTAAAGACTCTCAAACAGCCGCTGTCGGAAGAGATACTGTGCACTTAGCAGCCGAAAGAGCCTGGGACAAACGAAGTTCGGGGTTGAGAACTAGGATCTACTACAATAGGTCCTCCGTAGGAACCAGGAGAGTAGACAATCTACAAACACCTCTATTCGTCTTTGGAGATCGACGTGGAGAAATTGTATCATATACTTCTACTCGGTAATTCATTCTGATAGCAATCAATTTATTTGTTCTATTCCTTGCCTTGTACTTGATCTTCAGTCATGTTGATGTTGAGCAACGAGCTCTCATGGTGATTGGCTATTGAGGCTCTGAGTTGTTATCTGACGCAGGAGTCCAGATCAGGCGTTTTCTCTAGCCAAGAATCCATCATCAACTCTCCTCCAATTCTACATCGGAAGACATCTGAATTCCAATGACTGGATACCGATATCGGTGCTGACCCATTTTACAGTCTCATACCTGAAGCATCAGCGAAGCTTAATCTGATGGGCTAATTAGGCTGCTTCCGGACGCGCAAGCAACCAAGGAAAACCTCGATGCCTGTTGTGGCTGAGTTAAGGTCTCTGCCCCCAACAATCCTATTATTGTGATCGTACTTCGTATGTGCGAAGTAGTGTAAATCAGTGAGTAGAGCGCTCACCGTAGAATATACAGCGCACTGCTGATCAAACTAACTGCATCCATGTCCCACTTGCACATTATTAGAACCACACTCAGATCCACGTATGCCTCGAGGCACCACTTCGGGCAACAGATCCCCATATTTAAGTTATATCCGTGGATCTACTTCAATGACACACACCTCCTCTTGCCCGTGCAGCGCCACCGCCTTACTAAACCCTATCCCTTCCAACCCGTGGTTTACCGTTAAGGTATATCCAGAATTACACTCCTACCATAACCAGCACCCCCATCATGCCAAGTCACGGCTGAGAAGGAAAGAAAAAAAGAAAAAGCCAAAGAAGGATCTTCAAATCTCCAGTAAATTGGTGTGGACACAGTCTCCCAAGTTGCCCAACCCTGGGCTCCACAGCCACTGCCCATCCCTTCCTGAACAAATCACAAGACAAAAGGGAATGTCATGGAATAGAAGCTGCCCGTACCGCTGATGTTCTCCGCCCTGAACCTTCAAGCCCTCAAGCCTCTGACTTGAAGCCAATGGCCAAGACCAGTCGGGATGGAGTCAGCGTGAGTGGGAGAGGGGCGTCCTCGTGCCAGTTTCCCGACCGTGATGGGGCTGGACCACTGGACACCAGATGGAGTATTAAACTTACTAAACTCTGGACGGAGTAAAATGGCGTTCAAGAGGAGGAAAAACGGTACCGCACTTGCATAGTTTTAGTGGCTTTGGTACAATAAGCAAAGAGGAAAGAGTTTTCCGCCTTTTTGCACTGACTTGATGCCATATGCCGTCCGCCCTACCCGGCTGCCCAGGATACAACTTAACAATACCGTTGATCGAAAGTGGAATTAACTCTTTGTTTCATTCTTTTTCTTGATTCCTTGACCTCCGGTGGTTCTCCGTAGAGGGACCCTCTCCTCCTCGCGACCCTCTTGCACCATGCCTTTCGATCGTTGTCCCTAGCGTAAAAATGGCCGGTAGTGCGTTGATAGCGCGGTGTTTAGTCCTGACTGGGTCTAGACCGCCCGCCTTTGAGGTCACTACTGTAGTCACTACTCACTAGTCATGCAGGTCTTTTGGTGCTGGCCTTTATCGGCCGATCAACGGGTCATGTGCGCCCTGCCCTATATAAGTAGTGTAGGTGGATTAACTGGATTTGGGCTTTGAAGTCCATATGTTGAACTGTTGAGCGTCTTCTACTGTAAGTAGGAGGCGTTGGATCCACGCTCGGGATTTATTCAAGGTTCTTGTGCCCGTCAAAAAAGTTTGATGATCACGGGGCGCTTTTTGGGAAGAGATTTTTGTGTCTTGCGAGGATCTGTCGGGCGTCTTGAAGTTAGCACGAAATCCAGGACTGTATGATGTTGGAGGGATTGATTGAGGAGGCTCTAAATGTCTTTTTTTGGAAATTTTTAGTCGAGCCCTTGTCCATAACGGCTCAGTTAATCATAGATGGGCAGAGCTAGAGGTCTCCTAACTTCTAGCCGTGATGGAGACAGGAACGTCATAAGCCCGCTATATATCTCCGTCAACTTACCAGCAAATTTTGCGCCAACCACTAGTCACCACCTAGACAGTCTATTTTCGATCAGAATGAACTGCTCTCAATACCAATTATTCAAAAGACGTTCATTTTGCGTGGAGAGCATGTCTACCTATTAAAAAGCTGACTCCATTCTGCACTCGCTCAAAGTATCTGTCGTAAAGAACCCTATTTCCCTTCGACACGACCAAACAGAGTAGCCGACTTTATTAAGGATCTCCGAGGACTCGTAGTTCCATATATAACCCCGTGCTTCGCGACAGATTGCTACTTCCATTCTTTTACCTATATTTGCACCTAGTCAAGCTGCATCTGCTGTATCAGTAACTTGAACCAAGAACTGCAATCATTGTGACGTCAAATGTATCTAGTTTGCCCGGCAGAACAAATATCTTGCTGCAATACCTGTTCAAAGTACAAGTCGACCTTGTTATACATCAACACCCAAGGTGATCAATTTGAAGTTATCCCAAGCACTTTTTTCAGGACTCTTCCTTGAAAAAATAGCATACCTACATACAACACCCTGAGCGGATCATATTGAACATCTATCCAAAATGACATCGTGCGCAAAAAAGTCCGCATCAGAGTCCAGTGACATCCCAGGAGATCCTCGCACTGTCAAGAGTCGCGTTCTCGAAACCGGAGCTGCAATGACCCAAGACTTCACGCCCGTTAAACAAATCTGCGCGCATTTGAATGCCTTCCACGTTTACGCCGACGATCCCACGCGATGTGTCGAATCGAACCACTATTGTACACACTTGACAGAGGGTAAGCGTGATCCTCAAAAATCCAAACCGAGCCACATGACCCGATCAAGGTACTGAGCAATTGACCCTCAACCCAGATGTCCGACAATGCTTGATCTACGACTCGCCCGAGTCCAACGCACGCCTCCTCGGCGTCGAATATATGATTTCGCCGCGCATTTTCAAAGAACTCCCACCTGAAGAACGAAAACTATGGCACACGCATGAGTTCGAGGTTAAGTGTGGCCTTCTCATTATGCCAACGCCCAGGGGCATGCCAACCGCGGTGTGGGAAGCAGCCGAGACAGCGGAGATGGAGGATATCGCACCGATTTATGGTAAGACATATCATATGTGGCAGGTTGATCGTGGCGATCCGGTGCCCATGGGACCGCCGCAGCTGATGGGTAGCTTTACATCGCCCGAGACGGTCGAGAGAGCGCATGAGGGTGGGTTGGATGGGTTGCTTCGGGGTCGAGATGAGAGGTTTGGAGTCGACCATCGGACGAAGGCGAAGAAGAGACAAGACATTGTACCTGTTGAGAAACATCCTGGTATGTTAGTTTGCATCTTTGGTGATGGAGTAAAGCTGACTCGGATAACATGAGCAGATGCCGACGCAATGTGGAAGCCGGGTTGGAAGAAAGAATGAGAAGCTCATGCCCGGTGGGGATATTCGTATGGAAATAGTATAGAATGCGCGTCATAAAATTGGTGTTTTCAATTGAATAGATAGATGCAAAGATTCTAGGAATAGCTTAAGAGTGTCTCCCCACTACACCAGCCTCAAAGATCCAGTCCCATAGTTAAATGGGGTCAAGACTGAGACCAATTGGGGGACAGCCTTGTCATCCGACAAGGCCGGTTATGTTCATCTTGCTTCATTGTCCACACTTGCTCGTCCTGGTGATAAATTTCGACGACGGCAAGCTCTAGCATTTGTAGAAGCGGTGGGTCTCCCTACAGCGATAGGCAGAGGGAAAGTATCCGATATCTCGGTTGTGCCATTTGAGTAGTGGCATACGAACGGTGATATTGTGTTGCATCTCAATCACGATTGAGATGCTCCTGATTCATGAGACTCACGGTATCGACGAGATCGCGCGATACTCAATCATGATCCCACACATTAATGGGAGATTGAGCGGATCGCAAGGATCAAGTCGATCGCTTGGTCAATCAATTGCAGCAGCACATGCTCGTATCGGATGCAGAGTGGTTTGCCGACTCGGACCCTGGACATGCGGAAGAGAAAGAAGTTGTGGACTCGAAGAAATTTGATTTTTAAACATGCGGTCATGTGACTCGAGTCTCCACGATCCCCGATAACAATCCTATCCAATGCGACCAGCTTCCAACTAACAGGGCATGCAGTTGCCGTGCGACATATGGAACACGTTCTTCGATACTCGCTGAGCATAAAGCCATGGGCAATCGCCCGAATTGCCTACAATGGCGCTGGTTGGTTCTGTGCTTGCGCCCTGGTGTGGGAGCACCTAGTGACCCTCCAATCGAGTGAGGGACCTTCAATGTACCCGACTTTGAACACGCGTGGCGACTGGCTTCTGATATCACGGCGACACGCAAATGGCAAGGGTATTCAAGTGGGTGATATGGTGCGATATAACCATCCCAACATACTCGGTGCGCATGCTGCGAAAAGGGTGCTCGGAATGCCTGGGGATTTTGTCTGTCGGGATCCGCCTTACAGCTCTAAAGCTGGGACGCAGCCGGATATGATTCAGGTGAGATCGATCTTGAAGTTATGCTCGTGGATCAGAGATTGGTGTCTAACTTGTGCGTCTATGGTATAGGTTCCCGAAGGACATGTATTCGTAACCGGCGATAATCTTCCCTGGTCGAGGGACTCGAGAAACTTCGGGCCATTGCCATTGGGTTTGATCAATGGAAAGATCGTCGCGCGAGTCTGGCCGCCATCGAGGGCAGAATGGATGCGCAATACCATGCAGCCAGTGGAATCGAACTAGATACCGCGGGGGCGGAGGAGTTGTCGGAATTGTCATCTGATACATGTCATTTTTTGCATTTACGAGGAGTTGGGTGTCTTTCAAAAGGAGACTGGATTGCTGTGCATATTCATACATATTCAATTGTACAATACAAATCTATACTCAAACAGGGGTTGGACAGGAGATGAGGAGAGATGGAAGATATGCCTTTCACCTGAAGGAGGAAGGATTTCTCCGCTTGTAGGGAAGAGGCTCAACCTTCTTCCGGCGGAGCTCGACATCGGCTCCGCTATATCCAATCTGCTTCATAACCTCCAGAGTAGTCTCATCCCACTGGCTACGGAACAGGTGGGCACCAATAGCCTTGAGGTGGTACCGGGCCTGCAGAGCGCGCAGCAATGTATTCTCCCGGTCAGTCTCATTGGCCTTCACGGCAGCAAAGTCGAGCGGCTGAGAGTCCTTCTGCTCCATGATGAATACAGAAAGACGGTGATAGGGACTACCCTTCTGGGCGATGGGGGGCAGCCAGGGAAGGATGACTTGCGAGTCTGCAGACAGCTGAGAGAGGTCCACCTTGGTGTTGACGGCGGAGATGGGCACATTGACAGCCAGATAGTGCATCTTGTAGTCGAAGCTATCGGCCTCCACATTGGGAACATCGGGGTCGACGACAGCGATTGTGACAAGCTTCTCTCCACGCTCGAATATCTGAATGTCAAGCTTAGGTGCTTCGGTGCTGGCCTTGGCCTCAACAAAGTCACCAGGCTGGACCTGTCGCTTGTTGAAGTACAACTTGGTTTCGACTGTAGGATCGCAGTGGGGTAGGACATCGGGAACGACATTCATCTGCGTGATACGTTGGACCAGGATCTTGCGGCGATATTCCCGCCATTTCCGGTCGGCCAAGAAGCGGTAGATGGGCTTGCTCATGTCGCCTGTGATTGAGAGAAAGGGATTAGCACAAAGTCGATAATTGCCTATGAAAAGAAATTTAACATACCTAGTCCGTCCTCAAACTTCCGCTTGACCAATGGGTCATTGATGTCGGCGTTGATCTTGAGACGCTCCAAGTGCAATTGCATGGCGCGCACGCGAGACTTTTGCACCTGCTCACCTCCGGCCTCTTCGACAGACTGAGCCTCCACTCTCGCAATTTTTTGCCTCATTGATTCAATCTCCTTCAGCTTCTCTGCACGGTCTTCCAGAAGGACCTTTCGTGCCTCCTGGAAACATTGGTAGGGCAGCTGCTCGAAGGGGATATTGGCGGAATTCTGAAGGGCAGCACGACGACGACGCGATCCAATGGGGTTGGTGCCCTGTCTCATCAACCGTCGCTCCAGTCGAGGGCTCGAGACAAGCGATGGGTCGGGGTTCTTGTGGAATGGTTGGCTCTGTTCGGCTTGAGCCTCTGCAACGGCCGCAGACGACTGGAAGCCGCGCGCCTGTAAGGTAGGCAAGCTTCTAGTATAGGTGGTGCGGAGACATTGGAGCAGCGGCTTAGATGCCCGCTCACAATGGGCCATTGTGAAAGGTATCTGATGGGGATGTTGGGGTAGGGAATTCGGCGGTTGATGGTGTTGTTGTCCACGGGGGAACTTTTTCTGCTCGGAGCCAAGACTTTTGCTGGCGCCCACCGCCTCCCCGGAATCGATCAACTTTTGCTCCTCTCAACCCAGACGCCGCACATTATCAACTCACACGAGCTGCCTTTTGCGGTGGATTGTTCACAATGCCTGGCAGCGAAACTCTTCGAGCCCTGCGGCTGCTGTCGCGCAGCTCCGGTGGCCTTCTTTCGGGATCGGAGAACGTGACGGTATGGTCCAATTTTTAGCACCTCCGAGTTCGAGGAACTCATTGAATTGAGAATACCAACTGACTATCTTCGGGTACTAGCGACGATGCCTTGCACGGTCAATGGCTACAGAGGCCCCGGCCAATGCTTCAACCACTTCCGACGCCTCAGATCCCTCGTCGCTCCCCCCATGGGACCGCCCTGTCAATGTCATGACCTACTCCTTCCCTTCCATGGAGCCTGTTCGATTGGTGAACTACAGTCAGAAACAACTACAGATGCCCATTCGCAAAGATATCCTTCACCGCGCAGTCATATACGAGGGTGATGCGACCCGCCAAGGCACTGCCAGCACGAAGTGGAGGGACGATGTGCACGGAAGTCATAGGAAGCTCATCCCACAAAAGGGCTCCGGTCGTGCTCGTGTCGGTGACAAGCAATCACCAATTCGAAGGGGTGGTGGTGTCGCCCATGGTCCTCATCCACGCGACTTCTCGACAGACCTGCCTGCGAAGATCTATGACCAAGCATGGCGCATTGCCTTGAGCTACCGGTTCCAGCGGGGTGAGCTGATTGTCATCGATGATAAGATCTCGCTTCCTTCGAAATCTACCCCCTACCTCTTCGAAAAAGTCCTCGAATCGAACGGATGGAACACCAAGAAGGGCCGGTCGACCTTCATCACGGATGAGGTGGACCACGACATGTTTGAGAAGGTGGAGAAGATGAATCGCTATGCGACCATTATGGACCGCAGCGATGTGGATGTGAAGAACCTCCTGGAGACTGCGAGGTTGATTATCGAGAAGAAGGCGTTGGACCAGATCCTCAAGAAGCACTCTCGGGATCTGAACAGCAAGCCTGCCAGCGCACGATACCTGTAATCGCTTTCGGGGTCGCGGTGTGTGTGTGTGTGTGTGTGCGTGTGTGTGTGCGTGTGTGTGTGTGCATTGATCTATACTTCTCTTCATTTATCTGTATTCTGGCCATCTGTACAAATAGAATATCATTTTCCAACTTTCAATGAGTCCCAATTGAGTTTATATGCTTGGTTCATATCTATGCTGAAGCATTTTAAGTAACCTAGGTGAACGTCAGCCCCAAAGTGACAGACGCTGAAGCTAAATAAGAGTATTCAGGTCAATTAGCACTCTTATAGACAACCGACAGTAACCACATCTAAAAACATCCTGAATCGGTACTTTACGTAAAGGTGATCTCGGCGGGTGTTGAACTCATCGCGGTTTGAGGCGGAGAAGCGGCCCTCGGACCGGAAGAAAATCCAGTCCAAGAAAACTCCCGAGGTCAACGGTAAAGCGGAGAACATCTGATTATCCTTTTAGCCCAACCCTCTCCCTCCGTTTCCCTCTTGGCCTCGGTGTCTAGTCTTCATGTTGCTAAGACACTCTTTTTCCCGGTTACCTTCGCCGCCGAGCTGGATCTCGCGGTGCTCCTCGCCAGCAATGCCTCTACGCGCCAAGGTGACGAACCCTGCCTTCCGCGCAGCTGCTTCGGTAAGAGGACTCTTTTCGCGACTGGAGTGACGGACTATGCTGAAATGCTGATTGTCTTCTAGATGTCTACCTCTCCTGACATCCCCAAAGAACTTCCCGGTGATGAGCCTGACGATGTTTTGTTCAACTCCATCTACGGTCTCCGAAGCATTGAGCTCAACCGCCCTAAGAAGCTCAACTCCCTCAATGGCTCGATGGCTCGCAAGATTTTCCCTCGATTGAAGGTCAGTTTGTTTGCGAAACTCCTAGAGATGGGTTGCGTGCTAAGCAATGTTGGCCACACAGGAATGGGAAAAGTCTCACCTCGCAAACGTTATCCTCATCTCGGGAGCTGGAAACAAGGCGCTCTGCGCTGGAGGTGATGTGGCCGCTCTGGCCTTGCAGAACGAGCAGGGAGCAGAGGGACAACGTGAATCTACGGACTTCTTTGGACTCGAATATCGTCTAGACCACACGATCGCTACATACTCGAAACCTGTTATCTCTTTCATGGACGGAATTACAATGGGTGGTGGTGTCGGCCTCAGCATGCACGCTCCTTTCCGTATTGCGACTGAGAAGACTGTTTTCGCCATGCCTGAGACTACGATTGGTTTCTTCCCCGATGTCGGTGGCTCGTTCTTCCTCCCGCGACTGGACGGCGAGACCGGTACCTACCTCGCCCTGACTTCGGAGCGCCTGAACGGCGTGCAAGCTCTGTACTCTGGTATCGCTACCCACTTCCTGCACTCCAGCGTTCTCAGCAACATGACCCAGCGTCTTTCGGAGCTGGTCTTCCCCGATCACGTTGGCCTGCCCGAGCGGTTGAACATTGTCAACAAGACCATGGCCGAGTTCTCTCTTGGACTTCCCTCTCTTCAAGAGGAGCCCATTCTCCTGGCCGGTCCCCTGCGCTCTGCCATTGACCGCTGCTTCAAGTTCAACACCGTCGAGGAAATCATCCAAGCCTTGGAGAGCGAGACCGAGCAGAAAGAGTGGGCCCAGAAGACCCTTGAAACCCTGTCTAGCCGCTCCCCAACTTCTCTCAAGGTGACCCTCCGCCAGATGCGCCTTGGCAAGAAGTGGAGCATCACCGAGACCTTCCAACGCGAATATGAGGTTGCTGCCAATTTCATGCGCCACCCTGATTTCGTTGAAGGTGTTAAGGCCCGTTTGATGTCCAAGCCCCCTCGCCAGGCCACCTGGCAACCGGCTACTCTGGCCGAAGTTTCCAACGAGACCGTTGATAAGTTCTTCACCATTCCCGAAGGGGAGAGCCGTCTGACCCTTTTGAGCGAGGGTGACTACAACCGCTACCCGCACGAACGGTTTGGCCTGCCTTCCGAGGCCGAGATCGAGAAGTTTGTCCGTAGCAATGGCCAGGGCCAGAACCAGGTTATTCAGGAGTTTGATAGTCGATGGAACCAGAAGGATGGTGTGCGTGAGAAGGTCTCTGAAGTTTTGGCCCGGCGGACAAAGAGCACTCCTCAAGGTCTGGAGTGGATTGAGTAATTGGTTGGAGAGGATGTCTGCAACGTGTAATTTTTTATCTTGGTTCCTGATGGCGCATTGATGGCCATCCTGTGTATTAGAATTATCCCCTGATGTTTAAATCCATATATTCCATTCCTGGTACGATCCACGTTGTCGGTTGGAACAGTATCTGAGCGAAGATACCTTGAGCTTTGAAGCAAATGACGCTGGATGTTTTTGCGGCTCTTCAATTTTGGTGCATTCCATTTAGTACGAACATCGACTCCACGTAGATCCACTGGGCCAACAAGGAGCTGAAGAAGTGATAGAAAATAACTACCTCCTATATAGGCAGCCAGTGCGATGTAGCGGGGCAGTGCAAAACGCACTCCACGTTTAACAAGTTGCAATCACGGCCTGTAGTTATCTATTGACTCCATTTCAACTATTCCATAACAAGAGGATCATTTTGGCCCCCGCGCGAAAGGCCCCCTCCTCAGCCCTCGCAGATCCATGCGCCCACGTCAGCTGAGAAGCTTAGCACTCAAGGAGATATAAACCCAGACAAATAGTCACTCTTCACTATCTTTCAGACCTGAGGACGGGAAGTAAACAGCCCTCAAACAAGCAAAGAACGGATATACATACAGACTTCGCAACCATGGCAACCGAAGGAAAAGAAGTCTACCGCTTGGCCTGTCCAGAGGCTAGCAACTGCCCTGACATGCACATCTCCCACGGATTGCCCTTCACCGAGTCCTGCGCCAAACACGCAGAGCAAACCTTCCAAGCGAAGCGCGTGTACATCATCGCATCTACAAGTCTGTCTAAGCAGACTTCGCTTGTCTCGGATCTGGAGCAAGCTCTCGGGGATCGACACGCAAAGACCTGGATTGGAATCCGCCCTCATACGCCCTGGGACGACCTAGTGCCTATCATTAACGACATCCGCAAAGTAGAGCCTGATCTCCTGGTCACTCTTGGTGGAGGGTCTCTCTCAGATGGGGCGAAAGTGATTGTCTACGCCGTGGTGAATGGAGTCCAGACAGTCGACGACTTGGACCGTTTATACCAGGCCAGGGCTGCAGATGGCACTCCCATGCGCGACAGGACCGGCGTTGGCAACGAACCCACGTTGCCTATCGTCTTTATCCCGACTACGCTCTCAGCTGGCGAGTTTTCCTGCTATGGAGGATCGACCAACCCGGTTACCCTGCACAAGCGCATCATGAAGCATCCCAAGATGTTCGCGCGACTGGTCATTCTGGATCCTCGCCTGACACTAACCACGCCGCAGTGGGTGTGGATCTCAACTGGTGTCCGGGCTATTGACCACTGTGTCGAGGCCCTGTGCTCAAACGATCCTCTTTCGAAGGAATTGCTGCAAATTGCAGAGAGATCACTTGTTACACTGGCGAAGAATCTTCTGCTCACAGTGAAAGACCCAGCACAACTTCAGCCTCGACTTGATTGTGCCATCGCCGCGGGTGACATTGCCGGTAATCTTCTGTTGGCCCCGCAGGTTTCTGTTGGTGCGAGTCATGGAATTGGACACCAGCTCGGGCCTCTCGGTGTAGGACACGGCCAGACCAGCTGTGTGATTTTGCCGGCCGTTCTTCGCTTCAATCGGCAACACTCGCCAGCGGATAGTGACCAGCCAGAGAAGCAGGACCGAGTCAAGCGAGCTATATGGAATAGTGACCCTACAGTGGAACGCATTCTGGCTGGGGAAGGGGGATTGGATAAAGACTTGGCGGATGCGAGTGCCACTGTCCGTGGACTGTTCAATGCGTTGGATATGCCGAGTACACTCAAGGCCGTTGGGGTGGATCGAAGTCACTTTGATGCCCTGGCTGTGAATAGCTTGGATGATGTTTGTACTGCTGCTAATCCTGTGCCGTTGAAGAAGGAGGATATTCTGGAGATACTGGAGAGCGTGGCTGAATGAGCATTCTCATAGATTGTTTGATAAAATCCCATCAAAATTTGATATAGCTTCAGCTTTCTCAATCGTGTTTGTCAATGTAAGGGAGCTAGACATGGATGATTTCCTAACGGGTAGATCATCGCTCAGCATAGATTCATCGCCAGGTACCGCCCTGAACCAGCGGCTCGATCGACCACGTGGGAGTCTGAGCGTCGCGCATGTCTACTCAAATGTTTTCTTCACTGCTGTCTAGCATGGACGTAGATGTGCAATGTGGGAGTATCCTTTTCCTGCCCTGGGTGGACCTCTGAACCATCTCCAAGCGTCCCGAGCTCGTCATTATTGAACCCACCTTTGCAATCGCCCGTTCATCGTGTGGACCAGCGCCATTGCGGGGAAATCGGTCACGGCCGACCGGCCCTACTTCTTTGCCAACCGACCCTCGACCTGCGCCGACTATGCTTCTGGCGCTGTCAAAGCTGGGACCATTTGTTCCAATATGGAGGTATTTCGTGACTACAATCTCTTCTCCCTGAGACTAAATTTCCCCCCACATGGCGCCGCTAACACCGATCGCTCGGCTGACAGGTGCCCAAAGCCCGGGGAGCAGGCAGATCTGGCCCTCGCCGACGGACAGGTTGTCTGACGTGCCGGGCTCGCAAGGTCCGCTGCGATGAGGCAAAGCCGAGTTGTTCAAATTGCGATCGCCTTCGCCTTCATTGCGCCTACAAACCGCCTATCGCTCTCGGTAGCCCGTGGTCAGCCTCGACTCGAATAACCCATAACCGACACACGAATGCTGTTGCACACACGATATCGCAAGCCGGACCAGCACCGGCGCTGGGACTGACTTCAGCGGCGGCCGTCGTCGCGGCTGCCTCGCAGCGTTCGCCCGACATCAATTTCTTTAATACCGTGCTCCGCTCGGATGAGCATCATCGTACCATCGCCGCGCAGGCAGCGCCAGTGCGACGGCTACCTACAGACCCCGATTCATACCCGCCGGAATTGGGAGGCTCGTTTGATATTCTCGGATTCATGGGAGGGATTACATCTGAGTTGGAGCAGAAGCATCTTGACCTGACGAGTGGATTGGCGGCATTCACGACCAGCCAGACACCCCAACCGCTAGCAGCAGGTATCACAGGGACTACATCGGAAGAGGCGCAGCTTGTGGGCGAGCGACGCTCACCACTAAGTCCGGATGGCTCAGCTTCGTTGGTAGACGGAGTTTCCATTGGCAGTGCCTCAGATGCTGCGACTACCCGCAGTAGCTGGCCTGATCCCGGTAGCACTACGTATGAGGAGCAGCTTCTCCAACATTTCTTGGCGATTGATCCCCCGGCAGCGATATTCGGGCCAGTGACAATGGAGTGGAAATATGTTCGGCCGTCGATCCTCGCTCATGCGCGGGAGTATGGTCCGCTATTGAATGCGCTATATTGTTACTCGGATATAAATAAGGCTATGATGGAAGGGAAGCGATGGCGATGGGCGCCTACGTACTACCGAGTAGCCAGCTCGGAGATTCAGGCGTGTCTTCTTGGGGACGTGACTGACACGACGTTGGTCAAAGTCTTTGCAACGGTGTTCTTCTTGATGCTATCCGAGGTGCGTATCTGACGTCGAACAGGAGGATCAATGGCTCAGCTGACGATTGCAGTTATTCTCATCACCCGAGCTTTGTGCTCCAGGCACATCATATCTCCATTCTGCTTATCTTCTACTCCAAAGATTCAGTGATCGCACTCAAGCCTGGACTGGACTAGGGCATTTATTGGTATCATGGGTTTCACTTCTTGACGTGAAATCACTTATTGCAGGCCGCGAGGGTGACCCAGTGATTGGACTTGGCCACATATCTGAGCAAGAGCCAATGGGAAGGATACCAGAGCAGCCCCAAGCAACAACTCCTACCGAAGAACGCAAGGAGAATGGTAGCGAGGACCCATTCCGCAGCCCTGGCTATCTCGTTTACGAGGCAATCGTCGACCCCGCATTTCGTTTCTTTGTGAAAGCCCAACAGATTGTCCGGCGCATTGTCTGCATTGACCTCCACCATCGCAGCCGGGGCACGCTCAGCGACGAATTCGAAGTCCTCCAAATAGCGCACAAAGTGGGCGCAGACCTCGAGACCCTCTGGCACCGCCGACCCTCTGTCATCGATGTGTACGGTAACCCAGATGCCTTGACTGATACACTATGTGCACCTGTCGCCCATGAAGTCTGCCGTACTTTCAGGCAATATATGGCCACTTTTCTAGCAAACTTTATCTACCTTCACCGCGTGGCATTCGCAATCTATCCCCGAACCGACCGTGTCAATGGCGCGGTTGACCAAATCATCCAACTCGCCACAGTCGAATCTGCGGGTGTGGAATCAGGACATCTGCCGGTTAGCTTTCTATGGCCATTATTTGTTGCGGGCCTGGAAGGCTCTCCCGAGCAACGGCAGTGGATTGTGCAAGAAATGCAGCGTATGACCGCAAACCTTGATTCAGACCCTGCTTCCTCCGTTGCCTGCCATCCATCTGCGGAGAAAGTCATCGTATTATTGGAAGAGATGGCGAGGAGACAGGATGTGTCGCGGTCATGGGCGGACTCGCGGTGTGTACGACAGGAATTGTTTACGGATTTCTTTTTCATGATATAATCTTCGGACATTGGCTACTTGTATATACCAATTAATGGGGTTGATGTATTTAGCGAGGCCTTTCGGTATGATTGCTGGTAGATGGGTTTGTGTTTAATAAGATTATACGAGTATCATAAGTTTGGTACTTGTAGGCCAGCAAGCCTGAAAGGATCCATTTGAAGTTATTATGCGAGAAACTCTCAGTTCTCAATACTAGAATCGAGTAACCTCATGAGACCAACCATGCCTCCTTTTTATTGAAAGCAACAAAGAGTGTTCAGTCGACTGAAGCAGAAAGATCCATCTATGCACGAACTGCATACCTTTGATCAAACAGTCCCATCACAACTACAGTAACACAAAGTCCTGACAATGCGAAAACTCCAAATTCTATTAACTCATGATATCATCAAAGCAAGCTCAAAGGTATCATTACATGCAATATCAACCCGTCAAAACAACGTACTAGAACTGCTTCACCACCCGCTGGAATCGAGGTGGCTGACGAGTAAACTTCTCGGGTTCATCTCTCGCACCGTCCTTCCAATAATCAAACTCCATCCAAGCATTCTCCGGCATCTGCGCCTCCGTCGCCTCCAAAAACTCTCCCAGATCCGGGCACAGCGGGACCACACCCGTCTCAAGGACATATTGATCCCACAGCTTGAGGAGCTGCTTGAGTTTCTCGGGCTCCTGCTCTGATAGGTCATTTACCTCGCCGGGATCTTGTTCAAGGTTATACAACTGCCAGCGCTCGGGACCCTTGGGCTTGGGGATGAAGACGATTTTCCAGTCTGCGCAGCGCAGAGCGGCCCGACCACATGTCTCCCAGCCCTGGATGAAATCTTTGGGGTGGATGCGCTCGGTACTGCCAATGGCCCAGGGGTAGAAACTGCGGCCACGCATGGAGACGACCTCACGGCCCTGGTAGGTTGGTGCTGGGTGCTTGATGCCGGCCATATCGAGGATGGAGGGGGCCAGGTCCATGACCGTGGCGAATTGGTCGGTGATACCACCCGCAACAGTGGCAGCGTCCCCAGACTTCAGGGGAATGTTCTTGGGGAAGCGGCAGGTGAAAGGCACGCGAACGCCACCCTCCGTGGTGTAGGCCTTGTACAGACGAGACGGGGCGGTAGCAGCCTGCGCCCAGCGGGGACCGTACCAAATGAATGAGTTCCCGTTGCCCAGATTCTCCAGACTGTTGTCATAGTACTTCTGCAGGTGCGGCATCACGCCGTTCTTAACCATAGGATAGGCTTCGTACGCGGCACCTTCGGCACCATTGTCGGACATGAAGCAGACAAAGGTGTTGTCGAGCTCTCCGATTTCCCGCAGATAGTCCACCACCTTGCCGACATTATAGTCAATGCATTCAACCATGCCCGCGAAAACCTCCATAGCCGTGGCAGATTTTTTCTTCTCATCGGGAGTGTATTCATACCAGGGTTTGACTTCCTCTGCATCAACGGGATGCGGCACAACATCGTCGCGGATCATGCCCAGCTCCTTTAGCCGCTGGAGACGCTTCTCCCGCAAAACATCGGGCCCCTCGTCGTACACACCGCGATAGTGGTCAATGTACTCCCTCGGAGCTTGCAATGGCCAATGAGGCGCAGTGAAAGGGAGATACCCAAAGAAAGGACGGTCTCTATTGCCATCCGGACCGGCACTGCCACCGCTCTCCTTCCACTCACGCAGGTAATCGATCATTTTATCTCCGTACCCATCAGACGAGTACCAGCCCTCGGGGAGTTTGCGCACATACTCGCCATCCTCCATATGGAGGGCGATATAGCTCGCCTCGATGAAAGTGGGGATCTGATCCTGATCACGGAGCTCGGGTTCGTAGGCATAGTGATTGGAGCAAGCGGGCAGGTGGGCGAATGAACGAACAAAGCCACGCTTGTGGGGTGATCGCTCGGGGGTCAGACCCAAGTGCCATTTGCCCGACATCACAGTGTGGTAGCCAGCGTCTCGCAGGAGCTCCGGGAGAGCCACGACCCGCTCGTTTAGATATCCCTCGTAGCCGGGCATACCGCGCTGCGGGGCTGTGCTCATAGCGGAGCCCTTGGGACCATTCTGACCGGAGATGTTGGTCCATTCGATCAAGTTACCCAGGCCGGCGATGTGGTGATCAGTACCAGTCATAATCATGGCACGTGTGGGACTGAGGGGATATCAACGGTCAGCATTTCCGTACTAGGCCGATAAGTTTGAAGGTTGTCAAGTTGAGTCGACTCACGAGCATGCCGCCGCCGCATGGAAGTCTGTAAATCGGAGTCCTTCCTTTGCGATCTGGTCGATATTTGGTGTGCGGATCTCGCCGCCGAAGCAGCCCACGTCGGAGAAACCAAGGTCATCGGCGACAATGACGAGGAAGTTGGGGCGTTTAGCCATGATGAACAAAAATCGTAGATCTCGCGTTCGGCTATAGATCACAATAAAAAGCAGTTGCCGAACTAAAGAATCAAGGCAACGAGAGAAAGAAAGTAATGAAGAGAGAAGAAAAAAAAGCCACTCTGAGAGAGGGGTACAGCTGCACGCGTATGCAGTCTTATAACATCCCCGCAGGATCGGCCTCTGCTCCGATCCCTGCACACATGGCAGGAGGAGGGTTGTTACAAAGCAAAGTTAACATTCCAGCACTAGTAATTGAATGGAATCATCTCTCGTGCTCGGCTGCTATCAATCGCCCATCGGCAGTCGGCTGCGATGGAGATGCGGTGGATCCCGAGCAGGGGTTTCGTGGCTGCCGCGTAATCGGCTGTAATATTACATGCGGGGAAGCTTATTACCACACTAATGAGGCTAAAATACCAGTTCTAGAGATGTATAGGTTACGATCCCCTGATGGCGGGAGGCCTGGAGATGCTCCGATTGTCTCGTCCTCCTCCTTTGCGTGGACCCAACCCGGTTCCTGAACTTTGTCTTTTCCATCTCCACAGATCCAGAAAATGGCTCCATATCCCTCTGGCATTCATCAATCATTCTAGTCAGCCTACTCCGTAGTGCACATGGCGTGATCTCCCCACTGCCTTGCGTGTCGGCTGTCGGCTGTCCATGACATAATCCGCTGCAAATCCGGAGATCTACACCTCCCAAAACAGCTGGTGGGCTCTCCAATCGACCAAGATTATTCATTCCTGGGGTAATTACCTCGCCTTGACTCCAGTCGTTCGTTCGTTCCTTCTTTGGTTCTCCGCAGTTATGCCCAGCCATGTAATCCGACGCTCTATATCAAGAACCTCCTCTGCCCAGCTGGTATCATCGTCCAGGGCCTCTCCTGAGTCAATTGTCTCGTCTTGGCGGACCCGAATATCAAATTGGTTGAATCATACTTCTGTCTCTTTTGCTTCGTACTCGCAACTTCCCCAACAGCCTGAGCTTCCTGATCATCAATTGGACTCGGACAGTGACGACTATCTGGCCATGGAAGCGCTGAGGCTGTCCACAGCCCGATGGAGGACCTATTGGCTAGCTGCAGTGCTGTGTTGCGGCGGTGCATTATTCGGATATGATTCAGGTGTCATTGGTATGTATAGCGATCAATCGATCAATTCTCTATCATCATCCATACGATTCTAACATACTCCAGGTGGCGTCCTCACCTTCAAGTCCTTCCAGGACTCCTTCGACTTTACAGCCGCCCAAAAGACCCGGGTAAGCTCAATCGCAGTCGGCATCCAACAAGCCGGCGCACTAGCCGGATGTTTCCTCGTCTGGCCCGTGACAAACCGGTATGGACGACGTATCGCCATGATGCTCTGCTCCCTGGTCTTCTGCCTTGGTGTCGTCCTCGAAGTTATCGACACGCACTCGCTCCCGGCATTCTATGTCGGGCGAGTAATCTGCGGTCTGGGGATCGGTGGCTCTGCAACTATCATCCCGATTTACATGTCCGAGATGAGTCCCAAGGAGATTCGAGGTCAACTTGGTAGTTGCTACCAATTGACGTACACCATCGGTATCCTGATCTCCTACTGGATCGACTACGGTGTCAAAGCCATGCCCAGCAGTGCAAGTCAATGGCAGATACCTATTGGACTGCAGCTTGTCCCAGGGGCAATGATGGGTCTGGGAATGTTTACACTCGACGAGAGTGTTCGTTGGTTATTAGCCCACGGCAAGACGGCCGAGGCCTGGCGCAGCTTGGTCTGGATCCGGGCCGGTGATGGCTCAGCCGTGAGCGAGGAATTCGACGAGATGCGCCGTGGCCTGGAAGAAGAGCGCCACGCGACAGCTGGTTTCCGTCCTCGCGAGCTCCTCGAGTGGCCGAACCTGCACCGACTGCTCATTGGTGGTGGACTCTTTCTGTCGCAGCAGTCGACCGGCTCAACGGCGCTGGCGTATTTCGGGCCACAGTTCTTCTCGCTTCTTGTCGGGCCGGGCGACAAGAATCTCTTGTTGACCGGTATCTTTGGCGCGATCAAGGTGGTTGCTTGTCTCACCTTTGTGATCTTCGTGTCCGACCGGTTCGGGCGTCGCCCGTTGTTGGCCAGCGGGGCTGCCTTTATGGCCGCTTGCATGCTTGCCACTGCGGCCGTCGTCAAAGAGTACCCGCCACATGATGGAGTCGTCTCATCCGCAGGTATCGCTACCGTAGCCTTGATATACCTCGACATCATCGCGTACAATTTCAGCTGGGGCCCTCTGCCCTGGCCATGTACGAGCGAGATTTTCCCCACCCGCATCCGCGAGCCTGGTGTTGCGTTTGGCGTGGGATCTCAATGGCTGTTTAATTTTATCTGGAGCTTTGCCACACCTTACATCATGGCTGGTATTGGGTGGGCGACATTCCTGCTGTTTGGGCTTTTGGATATTTTGATTGTGGCGTTTACGTTCTTCTGTCTTAAGGAGACGGCTGGAAAGACGCTTGAGGAGATTAATGAGATGTTTGATGGCATTGATCATGATGCTGAACATGGGTGGAAGGGTGGTTCATTTGATCCTGAGACAGAGGATCATGACAGCCATGTACAGGATGGACCAGGTCAATACTCGACGCGTGTGGAAACTGTGGAATCAGACCAGGACAAGAATCGCGCTATGCATAATGAGGAGTCAGCCGCTGGGCGGGCTTGACTAAGGAAAAGATGGATTGTTAGGATTTTGTACACCACGTAACGCTCTCGCTTATAATAGACCGCGCAACATATCTTCCTAGAATATATTCGATTACCACGCCGGTAGAATCTCTTGAACAGTGGCAATTACGAATGCTCCTTGGTCGATATTGAAAGCAGTGGTAGTAGTCCAAATCCATTTCTAAGGTATTGATCTCAGGTCCTACCTAGGCAGTCTCACCTGCCCCATCCATATGGGGAAAGACACGACGTTCCAATCCACTCATAAATACTAACAATAGACAAACAGCCACCAACCAAGCAAAAAGCCTTCCATACAGTAGTAAACCCCAGACATGAACACAAGCAAAACAATCAGAGAAAAAGAAAAGATCGCAAAGGCCGGAAGTATATAGATACTTCGACGTTCCATCAGCTGGCTGTAAACACCGCAGCAGTTCGAAAAGACAGAAACAAACGCCAGACACCCTCCAGCCTCACGCTAGGGGCAAGACTGGATCGCAAATCAAAAATACAAGGGAGACAAGTAAAGAAGGCAAAAAGAGAATAAAGATCCAGACCACGCTTTTCGCAGCCGAAATAACGCCGCGCTGAAAAGGGCCTGCCGTCCAACAGCGACAAGGAGAGAGACGAGATGAAAATCCAAAGCACGAATCATCCCAAGCCTATTACCACAATCTCATCTCGCAGGGGCACATAGCATCGCGTAAAAAACCATACACCACCTCATTATACATTGATCAAATCATCAAAAGTCTCATCCGCAGAAAACGCATACGAAGACTCCGAAACCATCGACACCTCCGAGTCCCGCCGTAACTGCTGCTCAAAGGCCTCCGCCGCCGCCGCAGCGGCCGGCTCCAACTGCAGCGGATCATCAAAGCCAAACGAAAGCGCCGCTGACCCCGTCGGTGCCGGCGCGCTCGTGGCAGTCGGCGTGGGCGCCGTATCTGACGGCGAGGCCGGGGCATGATCCGGTAACTGAATGGGCGGGTCGACCGGCACAGCCGGTGCACCGTCGTTGTCTGTGATCCTTTTCACCATCTGTGCTAGATGGAGCTTGATCGGCTCGTCGCCACACTGGGCATGTTTCAGGACCTCATTTTTCAGGCTTAGGATCTCGGAGCGGAGCCGGGCGATTTCGCCCACTAGCAGTTCTTTCTTTTCCGACTGCTCTTTATACCGGACTTCCAGCAGTTGGGTATGTTCCTTCTTCTTTTGGCGGCACTTGCTTGCCGCGAGACGGTTGCGCTCGAGGAACTTGGCTCGTTTGGCGCGCTCTTGCTGTGGACAGTCGTCTAGATCTGGACTGAGGCTTGCGGCGGCGGTTTTGGACTCTCTCGCGCGGCGGCGTTTACTCGCCGGCTCTGCCTCGAGACTGGATGGATCGCGCGAGTGCTGATCATCGTATGGAGGGGGTGTAGGTTGGCCGTTGCGGACTTGAGCGTTCTTCAGATCGCGCTCTAGCGCGGAGCTTGCGAACGCGGCCGAATCGGCTTTGGTGTCCCAACTGCCGGTGCCCATTGTTGGTGAGATTGGACTGAGGCCCCAGAGCTGTTCGTCGTCTGGGATTGGGAGGCTGAGAAAGTCGCCTGAGAAGGTATTTGCGGTTGTGAAGGGGGATGTGCCGATGGCGCTGATAGGATCCGTAACTGTCAAGCCGGGTGGCAGAGGCGGAGGATTCACGTTGCCAGTGGACATGGCAAGAGACTTTTTTATTAGGCAAGGCGCAGTCACCGGGTTTGAACTAAAAAGAATGGCGGAGAGGGCGAGAGCCGGTCTCTGCTTGTTGGGAAAGTTGGAAGTTGCGATGGAAGCAGCTGCGGAGGTCACCAATGAAGCTAGCTGGTTTCCGCTAGGAGTAATCGTAGGAGCCTGGGAGACTGGGTAAGCTGAGTAGGGTTTGGTAGATCCAGTCGGTGCAATAGATATAGAGAGGGCCCGTAGATTCCGAAAGTTCTAGGTATCCAAGGAGTCCCAAGAGTGCGATGAAGGGTTCGAGGCTTCAGCTTGGAGCTTCCCACAGCTTCAGGTACTGAAAGGCAATTAATTCAATCAAATACGACCGCTCCCTAATACAGGGGAAAATAAAGGAGCAGCGAGGAACCAGCAGGATCCGTTTCCCAGCACTGGATGTATGGGCAATTAAGAAGCAAAGAACCACGGTTATCAGGAGTGGCTCGGTGCCTGAAGAAACGCTGGCAAGCGATCGAAAGGCGTCCGAGTCGCCCGCGTTGCCAGCGGACAGGTCCAGGTCGTCGGTCTACCAGGATTGGAGCCACGGTCGGACAGAACTTCCAGCGGTCCAGCAGATCCGGGCGAATACCCGTTCAGCACGGTGATGACAGTGAGGAGAGACGAAAACTTGGGTGGGTTGGGGAAGGGTGAAGTGGGACAGACCCAGGATGGAGCAGCAGGAGGGTGATACAGAGCACGAGATGGCCAAGGTGTCCGAACCGTCGTCACTAGAAAGACGAGCACTGATACAAGAATACAAGAATATAAGAGAACAAGGTACTCGATTGGGAGGGGGTCCCCGCCAGCTGTATGGGGCCGATTGAGGCCAGATGCAGAGGGGGAGAAACGGCGAGAAGAGGAGAGCATCGTACGACAAACGAGGGGGGAACCGACAAGGAGGCATTGGGGAGATCCTACTGGTCAGATAACCTTTGCCGGATGGCCTGTGTAGTTCTAGCCCTCCTCACCGATTTCGTAGTTTCTGAGTTCGAGGGGAATGACGGGTGGGAGCTAAAAAAGTCTTTGACATCACCAACCTCATCACGACAAAGAAGAACATTCGGGAATCGGGTACATCGGGGAGGAAACGGAATGGCCAAGGGAGAGCTTTGATGGAGGTCGGTGCGAGGTGTGGTTGCCAGCTATGTAGTAGATCCGACTATCACTCCACCGCAGGACTACTCTTCCAGTCCTCCATACTCCATACATAGCCAGGAATATACTCCTGCGATGGAGTCCCTCGATGGAGTCCAGATACCCATCCCACTGCTCTGGTTGGTCCACCAGCCAAGCTCTCGAACCTGGCGGGATCTCAATCCGCCCAGTCGCGCCCGCCAGTGGGGCCAATCCAAGTTGGCCCTAAACCGGGTTTGTTGTGGAGACTCAGACCTTCTGGAGGGCCCGTTGACCCTGGAAATTGTATATACCTTGGTCTTGGTCTATACTATGGGGTCCTGGACTGGTTGCAGGTCTTGTTGGGGGAAGATCCGAGAGCTGCTGTACCTGCTACCAGCTAGGAGTAGTTAGAGTAGACGCAAATCCAGACATCGTACCGTTCAGGATTCTACCCGAGCCACTGCACATACTAGACAAAGCAGGGTTCACCAACACTCTCTTCCCGTCATTCATCCTACTTTCTACAAAAAGACCTCAAAGAGGGAGAATCAAACAACTTCATATGAATAATGACAAGTAAGAGATGAATAGAGGAACAAGCAACGAATTTTAAAAGCCCTTCCACGTCACAATTCGCATACCCATGAAACCCAATTAAATCCTCCAAACTTCATACTTCATACTCAGTCAGGACTCGATGCTCCTCCCTGTTCACTGGTCACTGGTCCCCATTCACCGTAGGAAACCCTGCTTGACCCCCCGACGCAGCACTTGGTTGATCTCGGTCCAGTGCTGGACCAACATGTACACCACACATTCCTCGTCCCTTTCCAGCCACACTGGGGCAGGTCCAGGAGTAGCCTCCGTACTGAGCCCCAGACTGACCCCCGTCCCAGACGCGGTTCCGGTCATCAGCGGTCCAAAGGCCCGCGACAGGCTCTCACGCCTGAAGGGGGGGATCAGATGCTGGGGGGAAGTCACAGAGGCATCATTATCAACCTTGGCCCCAAGCAGTCCATCGAGGAGCCCGAAGATGGCGCAGATCAGGGAGCACCGGATCTGACTGGTCAATGCCACGATGGCGCGGGCGAGGAGGTAATGTTGGAGCTGCAGTGGGACGTCGAGACCGGGGCGGGCGTTGAAATAATGATAGATCCCCCGCAACGCTTCATACAGCCTCGAAGATCCAAGGATTCCTCCGGGCAGTCCAGCCAGAAACGCCTTGAGGGCCCAGCCCAGACTGAGCACGTGAACTGGCGCTTCACGATGCCAGCTGGGCAGGGTAGCCACACGCATGGCCCTTGCGATTCCGTGCTCATCCTTCGCAGCAGAATGAACATGGAATGCAAAGTGGTCGTACAGGCGAGTTGCTTTCTTGAGGTCACCGGGGACAAGGAACAGTTCTTCCGCGCCGATAGTGAAGCCTATATAAGATACCTTCAGTCAGTATGTAATTCTTGCCATGACATCTGAAACAAGGAGAAAAAGAAACCGAAGACAAGATGATAGATCTAGTCGCACTTACAGAATTTCCACAAGTACGTGACCGATGCAACGATGCATGTTGGCAGCTGTAATGCGCATGGGATCACATAATGAGGAATCGTCAGGAAGGTGGATCCTCCTAGGAAACCGAGTCGTTCCAGTGAAAACCCGCGAAGAGAGGTCAGCGGCTCGGGACGATGCTTAAGATTTGCAAATGTCTTGATCCGTCGCAGCTTTGGAAGAGGTGGAGACACAGTGGAGGAGGCTTTTCCCAGTGTCCAGGTTGATTTTGCTGAGCGGAGTCGTCCGAAGAGACCGCGACGGCGCTCGGGAGGGTTGTCAACATCGAGGGTCATTTCCTCTTCAGGTTCCTCCGCAGTGACTGCAGAAGATGGTCAGAATCCAAGTTTATAGGGATATAAAACACACTAGGGCTTGCGCTTACCTTCCTCGGTTGCAAGTTTCTTAATGCCTATCTCAAATGGGAGATTGAACCGACTTGCCCATTTGTTGAAGGATTTCACCGCGTCAGCTGAGTCAAGTCGGCTCATACGACTGGTATCACTAAACTGACGACTGTGAGAGACGAATCTCTCTCTCTCAGAGACCAGGCGGGGTGGTGGAAGATCGTGAGAGTCATGCTGGCTGTCCTCGCTGTACGATTTGATGGAAGCCTGTTGCGATGAACTCTCGGTCTGGCAGTGGGCCTTCGGACCATAAGACACCTCCGACTCTCCCTGGAGGGGGTCGTCACTGTAGTGGGAGGAACTTGGTGCCGGGCAATAGGAGTCTACCATCTTTCCATCTGAAAATGGATCCGAGATCTCGGAGCTTTGCATGTTCTCCCGATCATAGCTTTCCTGGGTCATGTATGCATCCACATTCCAGTTCTCACCCAGGTCTTGCATGGGCAGGGGGATGCGCCGAGAGGTGCGTCGGCAAACAGTGATATCGGTGTGGGCGGATTCTTGAGATTGAACAGTTTGACCGCTCACTTGACAGTTCTGTTCCTGGGACTCGGCCTCACCGGTGAACTCGCCAGAGCCATATGGAAGAGGCTGTCTCTTGATGGGGTCCGTGTTCTGAGCTTCTTCGATATCAAGTAGCTCGGGGTACTCGAAAGCCTGCGAGAGGGAACTCTTCTCAAGAGACTTGTTGGATCGCAAGCGATTCATCAAGCCTCGGAAGCGACTGGAGCCATGCAGGGATTTGGGCGGCTCATTCGAGTCATTGCTCTGGTGGCCAAGTTCGAAGTCAGGCACTTCAGTGACGTGGGCAGTCGGACTGGGAGCATCTGTTGGGTTGCGCTGGAGATGCGCTTCCAGAACGACAGCAGCAGACTGCGAGCGACGAACTCGAGGCCAAGGGCGACGAGAACGAACTGGCGAATCCGCCTCAGACTTGCGGAAACGAAGTAGGGATTGCAAAAGAGGCATTTTGCGCACGTGATGGGATGATGGGATGATGGGATGAGGTGCAGGAGATGGACGAAGTGGAAGTTGGAGAAGGCGAGAGAGGTGATGGGCAAGAGATGTGAGGTTGGGCTGGTTAACGCGGTGGATGCCCGCGAAAAGGAAACCACATTCGGTTCACATGGCGATTATCTGACCGTTGCCTTAGGAGAGGGCCAGTGGCTCTTTCCGTACTTGGAACGTCGAGAGCAAACGTAGAAAGTAAACGAATACACGTACATACAAGGCCAGACCTACATCCAGTATGGGCATTCAGTTTCAGGATGTTCAGACGTACACACAAAATAACAGTCAATGGATTCTATTTCAGACCAACTAACCAGTCTGGTCTCCATAATTGATCAGAGAACCTGTATGTTATCTTTGTACATTCATCAGAGAGTCAACGGTAGATTGAATCAAAGACCAGAATGGGTAGACAAAAGCCCCGTGGGGCCGAGTGGTCAGATACCCGTCAAGGGCCTCCACAAAGGTACGCACAAGAGACATGAAAACGCCAGTACCATGCAATAAATCTGAAAAGGTCATGTATAAGGGGTGGAGAACGGAAGGACTTGCAGCAAACATGATCATACTTCATCATTCTCGCCCTCGAGGAGAATGTAGTGGAGGATATCACTCAATGTCAGCACTCCCTTGAGCTTGAAGTGCTCATCGACAACCACGAGACGGTGGACCCGGGATTTGCGGATAGTGTCGAAGATGGTATCCAGACCATCATTCAACGAGCAAGTGTAGATCCCAGGGAACTCCTAAAGACACAATGAGAATGATTTCACAAAAGGGGGAAAAGCAGACAAGAGTCCATGAAGCATACCGGGGACCGTTTCTTCAGCACCTCTCCAACGGAGAGACTCAGATCATCGTAGACACCACCCCGAATGAGTGCGATGACATCGACAGCTTCAAACACATTGTACACGACACCTATACATCATAACAATCAGCATTGGGAATTGCGTCGGGAGAGGAAAAGCATTGGGAAGATCAATGCGCATATTGACATACCCTCTGAATTCAAAATCGGCACACTAGAAATACTGCGTTCGACCAGAATATGAATCACATCAATGACAGGAGTGTCCATCGACGCCGTGGCGATATTATTGTATGTGCCCAACAGCAACTCCCCCAGTGGACGACGCAATTTCTGCGTATCGGGTACATTGACGGCGACGAATTTGAGGATACGATACTGGGTAATGACGCTGAGGACGTGGGAGCGATCGGTTTGACTGTCATTCGTAACGAGCGGAATACGGCGGGCACGAGACTCGAGCATGCGCCGACAGGCTTCGTAAAGGGGGCGTTCAGGGTCAATCGAGATAGTTTCGGGTGGTGCGACGCCCAATGCCTTTTCCACCTCTGTAGGCATTCCCAGATGGATCAGTATGAAGCCACAAGTGACAGTTTAAATGGCTTGTAAATGAGGAAAGCATACCGCGCAAACTATCCAGTCGGAGTTGGTCAATTTGATCAAGCGCGGCCGGGTTCTGGAAATAGTATTGAATGACGTTGATGTAGTCGGAAGTGGTCAGAAGACCGGCAAACTTGGATGCTTTGGAGTCCCATAACGGGGCTGAAACGATGCCTGTACCTCCCGATCGTTGCCCTAGCGGTCAGTGGGTGTTCTCTTTGTGTCTTGCATGTCCGTTCTCGGCGGGATGATCTGCGTGGGGAACGTGGGGGGGAAGAGAGTGCGACATGCCATTTTGGATGAGAATGTTCAAGCTCTCCTTGACGGAAAGCCCGGTGTCGAAGATGATGAGGCGAAAACTCAAGGGGAGAACGTCGTAACTAGCGCGGACCTTGAGGAAGTTGCGAATGGCACGCTGTTTGACGCTGCGTTAGTCAAGATCTGGATATAGGCCGCTACGAACAAGGGAGCGGTTTGCAATTCCCCGGAGAGTGCCTTCTTTCTCCTCTGCGGTTGATCCCCCTAAGATTCGCCATTTGATAATTTGCTCCCAGGTCCCATTGTCTCCGTCAGATGTTTAGAATCCGAGGGAGGGGGGAGGTTGGATTGCGAACGAATTCCTCCAGGGTTTGCGCATCGGGGATGGAGGGGTGCGCGACAAAAAGCTTCAGTGCGGGGCGGGGATGAGATGGGATGGGAGCACGAAAGAAAAAAATGACATCCAAGACTCACCAGGCCCTGTCGCTCTTCCACATCGATTGGTCTCTCGGGTTGGGAGGCCATTGGAGGGCGAAGGTACGAGGATGGCTGCACGAAAGGCGCGTGACCGAGGGAAGTGAAGGCCGCGGAGAGTTGAGGCCGAGTGTCTTCCGCCTTCGTCATGTTCGTGCAGTGGGGGGTGGGTGGGTCATTTACAGTGGAGGAGGAGGAAATAGAAGGGTGTGAAAGAGAGAGAGTGTGTGTGTGTGAAAGAACAAAGAATAGCAAAAAGGTAGAATGGAGAAACAGGTAAAGAGTAAAGTGTCAAAAATCCTGATCTACAAAATACTCCAAGCTCGACCTTTTTTTTTCCCTTCCCCTCTCTCTGTCTGATACGGATCGATGCTCAACCCAGCCGCATCCTCCTCGTTTTGGCCACTTGTGGGCCTGTGCTGGAGTTCCGGCCCGATTTCCCAGGCCACCAGGCCACCTAATCACCAGTAGACTTGATCGGAATACAAGAACCTTGACAAGAAAAAAACACATGCTACAATTAATCCAAATCTCACCCTCGACACCGTCGAACATACATCACTGACCGGCAAAAGTTGTCATCATCTTCAACACCAAAGTCAAACAGCTCATACTTCTCCAGCATAGCCCGCACCCGAGCAGAATCAGGATCCGTACTATACACCCAAATTAGTACAAAAGAACCACCTCCATGGACCCCAAATCTCAAAGAGAATACCTTACCAAGACATCTTCCCCTCTTCATCACCATCCAGACATCCAACCCGCTCCCAAATAATAACCGCCGGTCGAGCAATATCGGCCACAATCTCCTTAACGGGCACATTAGGGCCCACCGAGAACACAATGGACTCGTCGTCAATTTCCAGCCACGCCCGAGGATCATCAATCACCTCAATCCCATGCTCATTCAGTACCTCTCGATCAACAGACCGATAAGCAGGATCCTGGGCGTAGCACATGACATCCTCCCTCCCGTCTCGATCAGCGAGCCACTTCCGCAGCGTCACCAACAAAGCATGTTGGATATGAGAGCGCGGACGATCATCACAAGCGTATGAAATCGCACCCAACGCCAGAGCCACGATCTTGTTGATTTGATGGGTCGCCACGTGCGTAGTGAGGGTCTGAACGAGTCGCTTAGCGGCCTCGGTGTCTCGCCATTTCTGCAGATGTTCCTGGAATATTTGGGTGACTTGTTCACGAGGCTCCGTTGGCCAGGGATTCACAAGTTCCTTGGTTTTGGCCTTGCGATTGAGAGAAGGGTGTTGGATTGTTATACTGCAGAATGGGGGCCGGTCTTCCCGGATACCTGCCCACCAGAGCTGGTGTTTCAGATGAGCCCGACAGTCGTATGAAAGCACTGGATCGAGTCTGTAGAAATACCATCATATCAGCTCAGGGGGGCATTCAAGCTCAATAGGCCCGGAGCTTGACATACAGGATATACTCTACTTTGACACCGTCTTTGTCAATATCCCCCTTGACATCCCCCGTCTGGCTCTCAAACTCGACCAACGCCCCAGTGATATCTTTGACGTAGATCTTTTCACCACGAGGAGGCTTGTGCTGGCACTGCTCAAAGGCAACCCGAATCATCTCCTTGGAAAAGAACGGGACTCCATCCTGGTAGAGCTGATCGATTCGCGCCTGGGCTTCTTCCATAGTCTTGGATCCATGGCCAGGCGGCTTGGCCCAGCGAAAGTGACACATGAAGTAGTGATCGCTGATATTCACATCCCCACTGTTGATTTCGTAGCTTGGTTGATCTTCGTCGGCCATATTGATTATGTTTTGCAGAGAGTTGTAGAAGGTAGAAAATGATGGTCCCTCAAATCGAGGTCACTGGATGTGTTGTCCACCAGTTGGGCTGGCGGGGGCCTGGTTTGCCGCCGTACTGTACAGCGCTGCAGGACATAATTAGGGCCTCCTATCACATCAGGCGTAACCGGGCTAGTGCGCGCGGCTACGGGGGCTCTTTTCTTTGCTTTTTTTTTCTGGAGCCGCTTTTTGACTGGCCTTGGAACTTTGTCTCCTGCCCTGTTGAGATACCCTGGCTGTGTTTGGTCGTGCCTACAATGTAGATGTACTACTGGTTCCTGGTGGTTCTCGGATCGTGGGTATTAACATCTGAATGAAGATCACATGTATTCCATTTTCAAATGAACCAATTCCTCAAACCCCCCCCCTCTCCATACGCCACCCTGTAGCCATGCAACACGCTAAATGCAAGGTATCACCGCCCACAACAGCAAATGAAGAAAAGAAAAGAAAGAAAAAGCAAACAACATATGCTCCTCCCTAGCCCGGATATAGAAAAACAAGAGTCGCTATGAACCGGCGAAACAAAAAGGCAAAGGAGATACAAACACCAAACAAGACCCAGACAACCAAAATCTATCTATCTATACTCTACCCCTAAACTTTAAAGATGCCCATGGAGCTTGAATCGGTATATGCACGTACGGTTCGAGCCCCAATTCGACGTCATCCGGAACGTGAGCTGATCCACACGAAGATGAGGAATCTCAATGATGCCATCAAATTGGAAGCGCTGTACATTGTCCTCGCCATAGATGTCGTACCTCATCTTGCCGATGCGGTAAAAGTCTCGGCCTAGCGTGAGATCATTCGAGTATTCACTCTCGGGTACGCCTTTATTGGCTATGCGCAGGGTGCTCATCACCACCAGAGGCAGAGTATCCTTGGTCACGGGGACGGTGTTGTCGGCTTTCGTGAGGCCCGACTCTTTTGCTTCTCGTGCCTCGGACCTCCAGGGGTTCAAATGACTCCAAGTGAGGGACGGCTCCGATTCTTCTTCAACCTTTAGTTTCGACGAGGGAAACACGCCATAATGAGCCCAGACTTCAATGTCCTTGGGTGCAGCATATGGATCCAGGGTTGTACCGAAGGGAATGTGTTCAACCACAAACTCTTCAGGGACGATCGGGTGTTGCAGTACGACGCTCAGCTGGGTAACTCCATCGCGAGGGGTCCCGCACCAGCAGTCCCCGGCATCGCTCCAGGGCTCCAGAGCAGTTACGGGAGGGGGCGGGGTCCGAACGCCATACTGGGTCCCAAATACCCATTGGAAAGCTTTCTGGGGCCGTGATAGCTTCTGGCCAGCGGTTGGAGAAGTCCTTTCCACACTCGGATCAACGAGCGCCCCCAGAGCCGGAGACAGAAAATTAATCCTTGGCACTGGCTTAGTAGGCCGGCCAGGGTCAATAATGGCAGTAGTTCGCGGGGATTGAGCAAGTTCTGACCGTAACGAACCGATTTCGCGCGATAGAGACGACACTTGCGAGTTCATGTTCTTTACTTTGTATTGAAGGCCGTGGAAGGCTGCAGAATCGGTCCCATTGGACGAGAAGTCGATTGGAGATCTTCCAAAGGGTACGCACCAGCGAATTCTTGTCAAGGCGTCGGTCTGGAGGTTCTGCAGGATCTCATCCTGGTACAGGAAAGCATAGACAAGAGCCAGGGGAAGAAACAAAATAAGGATGACACGGAGCCACTTGATCCGACGTTTGGGTGTGAAGGGTATATTTGTACGGCTCCCAGGTTGTTGCGATGACATCGCAGTCCAAATCTGCTGAGCCAAACTTTCTCTGCGAGAACCTGCAGTGGAACCCGCCGAGATGGGTCTTGACTCGTATTCTTGTGGGATGATGGTCCGCACAGGCGCGTCCCATTCCACCGACGGCGGTACGGCTTCGGTCTCAAAAACCGGTTGAATCTTTCTCGGTGGTTGAGAGAGCAGCTCCGATTGCTCTTCCTCTTCTTCCAAAATCGTGTCTTGAATCATGGACAAGCCCGAAGGACGCCGAGGAGGCTTGGTAATATTTTGGCCATGTGGTTCTCCACGATATTTGCTTGGTCGAGTGCGTTGCAAGTCGTCTTCGTGAATATCACGCTCTAGATTCCACGACACCTCGGAGGCATTATCGACCGAGCTCTGTCGATCAGGCGTGCTCCGTACAATAGCATCCGTGTTGCGATTTCCACGTCGCTTGAGTGGCGACGGGTAAAGAGGTTCATTTGACGATCCAGACAGTCGGCGTGGTAAAGGCGGGTCAACAGGGGAACTAGAGTCCGTGGAGACTGTTTGTGCGACGGGAGGTGAAAGTGTGACATCGGATCCAGGCGGCGAAGTAGTTGCATCATGTAATGTATGCGTAAGCTGAGTCTGGTCTGGAGTGGGTTGCCGCTTGGTTTTTCGAGGAACGGGGCCCGGATTTTTAGCAGCAGTCTTTCGATAACGAGTCCCCAAGGGCTCAAGGTTGCCATTTGAGATCTTTCTCGAAGGAGGGCTGACCGACCGTTTTTCGGCCATGTCAAGGCCAGCGTTTATTCTTTTAGCCATTCGATTGGCATCCAGCGCTGGCTGCAATGCCATCTTTCGGGGAAGACCTGTCCCTGACGTAGCGCCGTAATTCCACGAGTTTGCAATGGGCACAGCCGGTAAAGTTGGCCCAGGTACAAAGTCCAGCAAGTTCTCAACGCTTTCTTCGTCCTCTGGCTCGCTAGCGTAGCCTTTCTGGCGGCGACGCGTGCCTTTAGGGGCCATCCTAAGCATCAAGGTTAGTTTTGATATGCTCTGAAGGTTTGTAATTTGACATTGAAAAGCATGTGTCTAAGAACAAGAAACCCAAGGAAAATGGTAAGAATCATTGAGCATCTACAGGTAGAGGGACAACATGGGGTGATTCAGAGGGAGTAAAGACCCAGCAAACAGCCTAGCCAGGTCCGGAGAGGAAAACTGATCAGGACAACGGGCGAAGTCCCTCTCTTATGGTTTCTGGCAGTCATATCAAGCCAGATGAGATCCAACGGGCGATACAAAAGCTGTGCTGATTTGGATCAAGTAATAGGATAGGCAGCGGGAATCGTAACAAAGAGAGTTGGTACTCACCAAACAGTGCTGGTTGCAAGAGTAAGCAATGCTGGGAGATTGGATGAGTTTGTGTTTAAATTACACAGTGCACAAAAGTGAATGCACAACTTTTATCTATTGGCCGAGTTAGAATCTATACATCGTCCATTGATGGGGAAAGTATAGCCTCCAGGAGAGCCCCGAATTGCACGCCGGGGAGCCTCAAGGGACCACAGGGATGGCAGTCGGGAGGCGACAGGGAGACAACTCGGTACTTACCAGGAGAACAGAAATATTCCCAAGTTCAATCCAGCATACAGCTGTCAAGGGATATCCCGTGGATATCGTTGATATTCGTAGATCGCAACCCCAAACTTGCAGCGGCGAGACGCGCAGAGACGCGACGGAACGTGACAGCGGCTAGCAGGCCAAAAAAGGTGTGGAGCCCGCGCCAGTAAGAGGCTAAGGATCGCAAGAAGTAACAGAGTTGCTGGATTGCAGTATCTCCAATTTTTTTCACCGTTGCGATCGCAGCAAATATAGGGAGCAGGCGCGAAGGAGAAGTTGTGAGAGGAAGAGTTGGGGTGGAGCGGCGATCGGGTCGAGTTACAGGGAAGAATCTCAGTGGCCTCAACGCGGCAGAGTTGGGCCAAGTCTGTCTTATGAATACTTCTCTTTCATGTCTTTGTTTTCCCACCAGCACTGTATGCTTTCTTCTTAGTTCTTTATTTCTTTGATCTGTAGGCCTCGGGTGGTTGGTCCTGTGCTGCTATTTTTATGTTTCTTTGTGACCAAGGCCCATGTGGTGTCTCACAGATCAGGGCAGCTTGAGCAAACCTCGACTATCGAGTCCTCAGGTGAAAAAAGCCGAAGATTACTAGATTGAGGTCGGAATGAACCATGTTTATATGCAGGGGATAATTCTTTACGTGGTAATAGCAGCGATTGATATCATAGTCCTGCTGCTCCAAGTGCGCCAGCTTGCTACATCCAGACTCTCTCTAGACATGGGGATGAATACTATACAACGGGCGTGGAGGACAAAGAGGAGTGGGAAGCAGAGACAGCCTCCAGCAAGGTGACACAAAGAGGGGATGAAGAAGGAGGAGGGGAGCGGGAAGTATGTGCTATAATCAAAGGGAGTCGCTTCTTTAGCATGTCCAAGCGGCCATGGTACCGTCTTTGCGTCCTTCGACGAGGTAGCCGTCCTTCAGGCGCACCCGCTCAACGGTTGCAGGGAATGGACCTTCGTCGTCGACACCAACACCGGCACCGCAGTCCCAGTGGTGGCCATCAGCCTTGTCGTAGACCTTGACCACGTTATCACCGGCTGCGGCCACAATGCGCTTGGAGTCGAACATCATGCTGGTGATCGGCTTGTCATAGGCATAAGCGTCGTATATGGATCCGGTTCGGAGATCCCAAATCTGTTCCCAAGAGTTAGAATATTCCCCGCTTCTTGATAAATCACGAATAAGACGAAAACTTACCCGAATACTACGGTCCAGACTGCCGGTCACCAAGTGCACGTCATCGAACTGTAAGCAGGTGACAGGCCCCGTGTGGCCGACCAGGCTGCGATGCACCTGGCCACTGCGTAGATCCCACAGGCGGACCATACCGTCTGCAGTACCACAAGCCAAGGCTGCATCGAAGCATTGCACGGCCCCGACAAAGTCGGCCGACGCGTCTGGAAGACGGCCAGACGGGCGCCAGTTGCTATCTCCAGGCATAGAGGAAGATGACTGGGTTGCTGCCCATAGAATGTCTAACGTTTGAACGCAGCGGCCGTTGACCAGATCCCATTGTCGCAGAGTCTTGTCTGCAGATCCCGAGATAAGCGTGTCGCCCTTGAAATGCAAAGCGGTGACTTCGTCAACGTGTGCTTCGAGCGAAAAGACGTGGCAATCCTCTAAATTCGAAGACGGGGCCACGGGCGAGGAGTGATCGGGCCCTTCGTCTAGTCCATCACGTTCATGCTTGTTCAGTCGGTTATCGCGACTGGCGGGTCGAGCACGACTCAGATCCCATAGCCGGACGGAGGCATCCATAGATCCTGTCGCAACGATGTTATCTTCCACTTGTAAGGCGCGGACCGAGGCATGATGTCCCTCCAATAATCCTGAACAGCGGCCAACATTCATATCCCACACCCGCACGGTATCATCCAATGCTGCGCTGACCATAGTACCGAACGGATAGTCAAAGTCAATGGCGGTGACCATATCAGTGTGTGCTTCAATCTCCTTGATCAGAGACCCGGGAGCAAAATGTTCGTGGAGGATCGGCATGGATCGTTTACGGATCGACCGGTGTCGTAAACTTCGAGGGGACGCGGTCGGCAGTTTCTCATATATCGATTCCGACATGAATGAAGCATCCATGGCAGGATCACTAGATGAAGCACTGGTATCGTCCTGAACTTCGGAAGTTTTGGGGGTTTCAACTGCAGATGCTTCGGGGGTCTCCTCTTCCTGGAAATCTTCCAACTTATTATCCAGTTCCGTAACTATAACGCGCGGGTTAGAAGGGGAGTTTCCTTGGTCTTTTCACTTGTCAACAACGCGTCATGTCGCTTCGACCTACTTTCGACTTCCATGGCTGCTTCATCCATTTCCAACCCCGCCAACCGATCAAGTACGATCTGGCGCATTTTGTGCAAATTGGCGATCTTGTTATCAATCTCGTGGATTTCAGCACTGCACATGTTCTTCCGAATGCCCATGAGGTCCAATTTGCGACCCAGCGCGTTTCGTTCCACCCTCAATACCGCAGGGCCCGCGGTCAACGTTCCACCCTTCTCACTATCCTTCAAAGCTTTTTGGGCCTTGGAGCTGCGTCGCCTGTGCTTCTTATGGCCATGCTCCTCTTCGGGGAGGGTCGCCTGGAAGCCCTGGAAGAGGGAATAGGAGCTCGAATCTTCGGGAATGTTGGCGAGAAGGTCATCTGGAAGGGAAGAAAGAGCGCGCGACTGGATCTCAGCGGTCGAGAGCTTAGATCGGACCAGGTCGGTCGGGGTGGTCTTGGTGAGGGAAAAGACCTTCCGTTGCGCCGTCGGCCGGCGCAGCTCGCGGTGGATGTCGGACATGGCATTGTGAAAATGGGTGCTGTGGGACTGGTCGGACGGTCCTATCAAGTGTCCGGCCGTTGAAGTGACCTTGCGCCCAAAGGCCTCAATGTGTCGGGTCTATCATGGAGAGTCAACCTGGTCAGTGGGCGCGATGCCGAGGGATGCCAGGAAGTTGGCCGCGAAACAAGAGAGTGCGAGAATAAAAAAGAAGAGCCTACCGTTAGGCCAGTGCCGAGCAGGCCATCGCCTTCGACAATATCTGAGAGACCAGAAGGCGAGTCATCGCGGCGGTGGTTCTCCATGCCCGGAGATTGTCTTGCGGGGGCTCTCAACCAAGACCCATGCGCGGTTGAAGAGGTGGATGGTTAGCGGCGGGAGTTGGCAACGGAGAGAGAGATAATCGTCATGTGTCCACGCGATGATTTACCGCGTTCCCCGGGTACGCCCTTTGTACGGTACTTTTACGAGCTGAAACCAGGGCCTTGATCCACAAGTCAGCTTCAACCCGATCGTTCTGCAGCCGATGTGAACTAGGACGGTATGCAAGGTGGTGCGCCTATTTGCTGGTCGGTACTTGTACCTGCTGGGTACGGATGATGCTGGTCATTCCCCATGCTCAGCTCGGTACAGGCCGAGTACCGAATACCCGATCGCGGCGCAACAAACAGCATAGCTAAGCTCGCAGCTTCAAGTAGATGGTACAAAGCATTCCTGCATACGATGAAAAGGGAATCTGACTCATCGCCTTCAATGCAAAAAGGCGACATGGCCTCTACACTCCTCCCTCCGTGTCAGCATAAAACCAAACCCCGCAGCGCTAGAGCTCGTCCATCCGAAGAATCGACTCCGACTTCGCAGGCTGGCTTCCTCTTCTTCAACTCACCACACCTCAAGCCATGGACGCTGCCATTGATTTGTCCGATGTCTCCAAGGCATTGGACCTTGCCAACATCCGTTTCCAGCTGATGTGAGTGTTTTTGACTTGTTGGACACGCCTCCGACGGCTGTATGCCTTCTTCTACTGCTGTAGCGATTGCTTCAGCTTGCTCCCCGCACCCCGTCATGATAGAGGCGCGCCACAAAAACCGTCCAGCACCACCAATGTCGAGAATTCCAGCTCCATGCGGAGCTTCTCGGAGAACAATTGCTAACATACCAATCTACCAGTCGCCTGGAAGACACAATTACCTTCCACTTGATCGAACGAGTACAGTTCCCGCTCAACAAGACCATATATGTCCCCGGCGGCGTCAAGATCCCCAACAGCGAGCACAGTCTGATGGACTACATGCTACGTGAACAAGAACGGTTACAGTCGCACGTCCGCCGCTACCAGTCACCCGATGAATACCCCTTCTTCCCCGACGTCCTCGAGGATCCAATCCTCCAGCCGCTGTCGTACCCGCACATCCTGCACGAGAACGACGTGAACGTCAACGACATTATCAAAGAGCGCTATATCAAGGAGATTCTTCCTGCAGTCTGCCCACAGTTTGGTCGGGAGGACCGCGGCGAGACACAGGAGAATTATGGATCGGCCGCGACATGCGATGTGGCCTGCTTGCAGGCGCTCTCGCGTCGCATTCACTTTGGCAAATTCGTGGCCGAGGCCAAGTTCCAGAAAGACCCCGAGACCTTTGTGCGTTTGATTCGTGCTGGTGACCGCGAGGGCATTGATGCCGCTATCACCAATGCTCAGGTTGAGAAGAAGGTCTTGGAGCGTCTGGGTCTCAAGGCGAAGACGTACGGTACCGACCCTGCTTTCCCAGACGAGCAAGGTTCGAAGATCGATATCGATGCCGTGGTGGCCATGTACCAGGTAGGATCACATGGAATGAATAAGGATCTAACGCTACATATTGCTAACTTTGAACTGCAGGAATGTGTGATCCCGCTGACCAAGGTCGTCGAGGTCGAATACCTTATGCAGCGCCTGAAAGGCACTCAATGGGAGTGAAGCGGGCTTGTCATGAAGTTATGAACTTTTTGTTTATTTTGGGACATTTCTATAAAACCAAAACCGCAGACAGACATGCGCGCAGTGGTAGAAACTAAAGCAGAAAAGAAATGGGATAGAAATATTTCGTAAATGGGACATGACTGAAATGACCGGATCGCACAAGTCGGCTTTACATGCCTGGCGATTTCAAGTACTCTGTAAGCGCCTTGACGGTATTCTCAAAGTTGGCGCCATCAATCAAGGTCAAGCTACCCTTGGTACGAATACCCAGCTCCTGGAACGCACGCTTCGAGTCCGCGTGGCCCTCATCTTGCTTATTGGTGTACTCCATCGTTCCCGTGCACAGCGCATTCCGCTCCAACACATCATCCTCGGGATGGAAGAAGAAGCGCTGAGGAGGTTCGCTGCCCTTCTTCTTTTTCTTCTGCGGCCGTGACTCCTCTAGGTCGAGCTTTGACTCGATCTCTTCATAGTTCTTCGAGACAATGAGGTAGTGGGAGAAGTTGTAGGGTTCCTTGTCCTCGATGGCCCAAGCAATCTCCTCCAGGAGCATGTTGTACATGGGCGGGATAACCTCGGCGGGCATGTTGATCATGCGCTCGGTCAAGATGAGGCCGATTGGGGGGACGGGGGTTTGTGAGAGGAGCTCGTTGAGGGGGAGAGGGCGGGGTTGGCGGCGGCTTTGCCCTTGAAGTACTTGATCAAGTCTTGGATGACAGGTTTGTCCTGGTAGTTTGTTAGCCTCCAACAATCATTTATGGTCTGAATCCAAGCTAGTGTGAGCATACCTTGTGCTCCTGCAAGTTCAACACCGACAGAAACGCATACGGATCCGACTCGTTACCGTCCACCTTCACCGTCGAGCCCAGCAGCGGCTGTGAGAGGATCAGATCGGCCAGAGCGGACAGATCAAACATCTGGGCATCATTGTCGAACAATTGGCGGAGCAGGTTCTTGAGGCCGTGGAAATCGACGGCCGGTTGCGGGTCAAACCATTCGAAGTCGACATTGACCATGTCCACGTCCTGGAGGGTGTTAGCAATCGTCCATTGCAGCGCGGTGCGCGGGCTGAGGGATCTCACATCGTCAGAGTCGTCATCGCCGGCCTGTGTGCCGCCCATGGGCACGTCACCGAGGTCCTGCTTGCGTTTCCCCATTATTTTTATAGTTTTTTTTGGGATGCTGCTGGAGGGAGGAGGTGGAAGCCAAGGCGGTTTGTCGGTGCTCGTGCCCCCCGGCCTCTTGCGAACTTTTTTTCTCTTATCGGTTGTTATCGGAGTCCTCGGTCTATGTCCTCTACTTGAGCTCTCATGTTGAGCTCTCATGTTGCAAGGCAATCAATCATTTTCTAATTGATTGGAACAAAAATGCACAGTTCTGGTAATTTTTTAATAAGATTTACCAATTCTGTCTATTTGAGGTACTAGCATTTAATAACAGTTTTGGTTGGTTTCTAGATGTATATCCCAACAATGCTCTGCCTATAGTGGTCAAGCTCCTAAACATCATACTCTACCTGCTCAACAGTAGGCACCTTATTCAACTTGACATCAAAGAACTGCGCCACAAGCTGCACACAATCCCATATAACCTGCACCTCCTCCTTCGGCAATCCCAATCGCCGAGTGCCCCGAATATGCCAGTGCGTCTCATTCGGCAAATTCTGGCTCATAATCCCCGGCAACACAACAAGCTGTGTATCGACATCATCCAACACCTGTCGATCCGACAAAAACAACCCATAAGTAATCTCCTCAGATACCCACGAGAAATCCTTATGCGCAGCAAACAAATTTAACGTGCCGGTGGTATTCCGCGAATACAGCTTCTGCATCCACGCCGCGCCGCGGTCGTGATTGGCCTGGTCGCATTGCCAGCCCTCGCGGGTAAATGTGTAGTCTTTATCTTCTTCGCGCTCGACTTTGCCGATTGATAGGATGGCTTCGATGGGTTTGCAGACGCCCACGATGGGGACGGCTTTGATGAGGGCTTCGCGGAGACGGCGGACAATGGCTTGTCGCGCGGCGGGGGCGGAGTTACCTGGCTGCGAGCAGAGGTGGAGGTAGAGTTGATCGGCGCGCTCGGGGTCGGGACTTGCGGCAATTGTGGTTATGGCGAGGATGTACCATTTATCGCTGCCCAGGGCGGTTGATTGGAAGCGCTTCTCGAGCTCGGCGAAGAGCTGTTGGAAGCGCGGCTGGACTTCTGTTGCGGTGGTGGATGAACTCATTGCTCGGGTTGACTGGTAATGAAGAGCGCGGCGATGGTGGTAGTGGTGAAATGGTGGGTTGTGAGATTGTTGGGAGGTATCTCTAGACCGGGGGCTGAGACCTGAGGAGGATATGCCTGATCTCAGGCATGATCGTCGTGTGTAAGACGAACTCCGATGACCGAAGTGGGTGGGGGACTGCGACGTCCATCCTGTGCAGCGTGGTTGGGAGAGGGTTCTGCAGAGGGCCCTCGTCGGGCTATTGAATGCCATTGAACATCCAAAGGCGTCGAAGTAAGTAGAGGAGAGGCCAATCAAGAGGACAAGAGGGGACAGGTCTCGACCGCCTTGGGCCAGCCCTAGGGAGCTAGCGGTGGGCGGTCCTGGCTAGGGAGAAGATATAGTCTATCACCACGACGACTCTAAGCCCTAACAACAAGGAGAGAACATAATACATACGCCCTTTATGATTGGTAAAGTCGAAGCGAGCCCATTGACCAACAAAGTGAAAGAAGTAAGCGAGTCGACTCAATTCCACGAGGAAACCCGTCCAGGAGAAAGTGGAGTATACAAGTGGAGCATCGATGTAAGCGCTCATGCCGAGCCCGATTGATCTCCCCCCCCCACGATGTCACAACGACCACCTCCTGCCTTGGTTATAGCTCTCGCTGATGCAAACCTGCTCCAAACTCCACAACGATCCATCACGCACACGATCAAACCGCCGTCTCAGAAATAATTATGTTGGCCATTCCGGCCACTCTGGTCTTCGCCCCACTGTTATGATCTCAGTGACTCCAGCATGACATCACCCTCAATGGCTTTTGCCAGGTATAAGACTGAAGTGTTCCATATTCAACAAGTTATAAGAACCATCCCTCAGGCTACTACTGCTACTATCTCTTCGTTAAATTAATATTTAAACCCTTTCCTATCTCAAAATCCAACATGTCATCCCACGCTTCCAAGATTACCCACGGCTCTGGCCAGTCGAGCGTCGGCAACCGCTCTCTCTACGAGGCCGGTGACCAGCGTAACGAGCCCCAGTCTGTGATCAACGAGCGCGAGCGCTATAACGAAGGTGTCAAGGGTAGCCACAAGAACCTTGATTCCAAGGACGAGCGCTCCATCGCCAATAAGCTTGCCTCCCAGTCTAGCAAGCTCGAATCTTCGCACCACCGCAACATCTCAAACCCGGAGGCTGAGTTGAGCAAGCAGGATCCTACCAAGCCGGTAAGAAATACAGTGATTTGTTTATATCATTCTAGGAATACCTGGGGCTAATGCTTGTCCTTTTGCTTTCCAGGCCAAGATGCACGGCAACGCTCCCTCCAAGGGTGCTCAGATTGATGCCGAGCTGCAGGCCGAAGATGAGCAGCGTCTGCGTGACAAGGGCATTAAGAAATAATTTGGTATCGGGCCTGCTATTGTGAAACGATCATGATACCCCGAGACAGAAATCTGGGTTGAGCTTTGTATCTATCGGCCAAGATCGGGTTGGGGATTGGGTTTTATGTACAATATGACGAATTTCAAGTTTAGGGCCTCTTGCCTTTTAAAAGCATTGAGAGCGGCGAATGAACCTTTTTAAGGAATGAGATGATGTAGGTATCCCGATTCGTAGTCTAGGAATTGTGTTCGTGATTCGTTCTGTATAATATTAAGTTTTAATATGTGCAGCTGGCTCGGGAGTGGAGGCCAGGTCGCCAATGTACAGTAGATATGATGCCCAATAGGAGCTATTGTGATCATGAGCATGCAGCTAAGCGAAGAGTCTCGCTTCGGGTGGTTTCCCGTGCTGGGAGGACGTCGGCTCCTGCTAATTCTCAGTGCTCTCTCACTCGTGCAGAGGACCTGGCCTTCACCATAGCAGGCCTGATACGGGACAGGCCTTGTTGGTGGTGAAGTTGTCTCAAGACAAGATGCACTGCCTCAAAGGAGGCTCAACGCATGATAATGGGAGGTGCGTAGACCTTATGTGCCGGAGTAATGCGACTTGTAACCACAAATGCGACCCGAGGTGAAGCAAAGAGATTAAGTTGAATTACTCGATCAACCGTCTGGAGTAAATTTAGGGTCGTCGTCGTGCGGCTCGGCAAAGACATTCTTCCAATAGTCCTCCACCTTCATGCAGAGACCAGCCTTGTGCTCCCATGACTTGAAGACAGTTTCCAGGTGGCAGGTTACCCACTTGATCTCTTCCCAGTAGGCTTTTTCCACATCATATCCAAACCGATGAAGGGTCTCGGGTGGCGCAGTCCACGCACGAGCATCCGATCCATCTTCGTTAATGGTAGGAGTGGTCTCCCAGCCCATACCGAATACATTGTCTCCCGGGTTGAATTTGGGGTAATTGGCATGGATGAAGAAAATATGAGGAGGAGAAGCCACGGCTGGGTCTTTGACACGCCACTTATCTTGCGTAATGAGAGCGTGATCTTCGCGCGGATCGGTCTGAGCCATGGCTGAGCCGGATAGCTTCTCTCCGTTTTGATGCCCAATGGCTTGAACTCTCTCGCTCACAGCGTAGAAGGGAGTACCCATGGCTGTGGCAGCATGTAAGAACGTCTCTTTATCACCCTCGCCTGGTCCTCCTTGAGTCAACAGTCGGAAGTAGTGCGACGGTCCATAGAAATTGTAGTAGGCAGCCAGCAGAAGGGGGAAGAGATGTGTCTTTTTGGAGACCAGGAAAACACCCGTCTCCGAAGACTGGCGAGCAGTCATAGCGGGTGCCTCTTGTCGTGAGATCTTGTAATATAACGGGGATACCGACGAAGCCCAAAAGTCGGGCCAAGTGACCAAACCCGTCGAGGTGAAGGGTTCGGAATCGAGAAGCTCCTCGGGTTTACCCAGAGGGAAACAGTCTGCATCCATCCAGATGATTTCCTCAAACGAGGAGAAGAGGACCGCGAAGATCTTGAGCTGATAATGCTCGATGACATTCTTGCCCACAACGTCGGCGAGCACCAGGCATCGCGCATCGAGGTTGGGGAGGATATCATTACACAAGTGTTTTTCATATTCGCCCGTATCCTTCATATACACCTCAACTGGAAGGGTTGACCCTGCCCGGCGAAGCATGCGGAGAGTCGAGACGAATACTGGTAGATACGTCGCACCAGCAGTCGAGACCAACCCTCGCTTCCCTGGAGTGTGCACGGGTTTCAAATCCTTCCCAGCCTTCTTAATATCCTCTACAAAATTGGCATGCGCATCCTCCATTGCCTTCTGGTCTGCTTCACTCATCACCGTCAGGTCCGGCCGCGGGCTGTCCTTGACCGGGTCATAATTATTTGCGCCGGCGTCGCCATTCTTCTCGGGAGACGGGCAGTTCGGACTGTGACGTTCGATAATGGGCTGGAAGGCCTTCCAGAAATCTTTCTGACGTTCGACGAGTGGGACTTCGAATGCGGTACTTGGGACGACGGAGACAGTGGAGGATGCCGTGGTGGGAGTCCAGTAGAGATATACGGTGCACACGAGGATGGTCGCAAGGAAAGCGAGCAATAATGACCGGACCCGACCCGGCCTGAACATTCCCATTTTGTCTTGAACGGCGGACGAGGGTCTAACGAGGTGTGGAAGCTTGAGGAGTGACCGTTTAGCTTTTGGGTTGCGCCTGGAAACAGGGGGTTTGTCGCCGACGGCGCACAAGCCGATCGACAATGGCCTGATGGAAACCGGCAATCAGAGGAGGAGAAGATGAGAAGATGATTGAATAATAATCTCTGTCAGTGGCATGGCCTGGTACATGGGGGGGGGGGGGGGGGGGAGAACACGTGGAGAGGAGGATCCCTGTAGGTTTGGATGCGGATCAGATCCGAGCTGGAGACAGTCCCGTTGGGAGGAACGACGGGATGCTTGGCAAGTGTATCATCTCGCTCGACTGGTAAGCTGACACCGAAGATGGGGGAGATAGATGTGTCTGTACAAAGTAGAGTACATATATAGAATATAAAATGTGGAAGATTATATACCAGGCATAGGAGGAACTGATTGTTTCCCTGTTTAATGTACTCGCCCAGCGACTAGTTCGTTCTCCGCATCTGACCCTGAGCCACGAGCCCAACCTAACGAACTAGCAACGCCAACTATTGAAACTGGAGAAGTTAATCTGCAGTTTAAACACTGCAGATGATTCCTTAACGGCCAGTGAAGCACGTCTCCGTAGCCTCGGTGAAGCTTCTTACTGTACTCAATAATAATGGTTTATTCCCCCCCCCCCCCCCCCCCCCCCAATACGGCTAAAACCCTCCGTGCTGCTGCTGGTCATTCGAAGTAGATCATTATTTGGATCACCCTGATCACCCTCATCAACGGAATCAAGCTGGATCGACCGGTGGAGAGCACCGTTGCAAGACCAGTAGCAGTCTTCCAGTATCGTGGACCTTTGCAGGGTAAGCCAACTGCGGATCCTCCACAGAAGAGCCTCCACATCGAGCGAGTGCTGAAGTTCATATCCACCGCCCACTCCAAACCCCAAAACCCAAAACCCAAATACCCCAAAAGTCAAAGCCCGGACGTCAAGATTACCAACGACATCCGAAACCCGAATCTCTCCCATTCCTGATCTTTCTTCACCTCTACCGACTCCAACGTCTCTGTTCCAACCAAGTTCGATCCTGCTCTCTCCTATCGCACTCGTCGCTCTCGATCGCCACCCTTCAAGAGTCCATCCGTCTCACCCGAGGGCTCAGATCCGCCAGCAAATCACGTCTTTGCCTCCCCGACCCCTACTGCTGATACGCGACAAACGACGTCTCTCTCCCTTTCCTGACCGCATTCAAATTTCCCACCCATGGAGCCCCGCGAGGGTATATCCTCCTCAACTCGCTCATAATGCCTGAGAATACGGCCCGCCCAGCTCGGGAACCTGCAGCCAAGGGTAAATCCCGTAAGACGGAGCCCAGCGCGGCGCCAATCCGGAAGCGCCGCAAGAGAACGGTCGTGAGCGGTGCTCCCGATGACTGCTTTGCATGCGCCAAACGAGGAGCCCGGTGCGACCGGCGCCGGCCCTACTGCTCCCAGTGCCTCGAGATGGGTCGCGAATGCTCTGGATACAAGACCACTTTGACATGGGGAGTGGGAGTCGCAAGTCGAGGCAAGCTGCGAGGTCAGAAATTGCCCGTCATGGAGGCTGAAGGGGATGCGTCGGCGAGTACCTCCAAAGGAGCACAGCGCACGATTGCATCGAGCAGCCAGAGTCCGCCCTCGTCGCAGATACCGTCAAATCCGCCTCCGCTATCCGCCGTGGCACCTCCGGCGGGGATGACTGACCACATGGAAGTGTTCAACTCGATCGAGACGGATCCGATGCAACCGTCCGCCATGGCGACAGTACCAGATATGTCGGCAAATATGGCCTGGGCTATGGACATGCCTGATCCACATACATGGTCCAATATCCCGGTTGCGCCGCCTGAAATATCGGGACTTCCTGTGCCTACTCGACCAATGCTCGCCAATCGCTCCAGTCCCAGCATCAATTCGGAAGCTTCAATGCAGTATGCGCCAACATTGAGCCCTGAGACCAGTTTTGCTGCTCCCATTTGGCCAGTTGCTCAAAATTGGGGCCCAAACGCGACTTCACCATCACAAGACGTGGACGAGGAGTATCAACAAGAAGACCCCAAACGCTCGATTTTGTGGGACTCGGGTCATCGCCCGTCATATTCGCAGATGCTACTGGCAAGATCGGTCGGGCGGACCCCTCGTCTACGGTACTTGATCAGTTATTTCGCTGAGGTCATTGCCCCCATGATTGTCGCCTTCGATACTCCTTCGAATCCCTTCCGCATTCAAATTCTCCGTCTGGCTCAGGATAGTCCTGCTTTACAAGAGGCCATCGCAACCTTGGCGACAAGCAATCTGCGTCAGCGTCGGGAACGAAATCACACGTCCACCGAGAGAACATTGCCTGCACGCATGTCTTCGATGGCCCATCGGGCGCTTACCGACGACGCATTCCAAGATCGATATGGTATTTCGGTCCCCGAGGGCTATGCCAGGGAAGAGAACCACCATCGGGGAATGGCCGTGAAGGCCTTGAATGCCGACCTGGCCGATCCTCGCCGCAGACTATCAGACTCGGTATTAGCCACGTTACTGATTCTTTGTCTGTTTCATGGTTGCGATACCGGTGTGGCCGAGTTTCGGACGCAGTTTGCAGGAGTCACACGACTCCTTGCCATTCGCATGCGCCATTCCCCTATCATATCCGACGATCTCAAATGGTTTATCCGTATGTTCTCGTGGTTCGATACCCTGACCGCGACCACGAATGATCGCGATGTGCAGCTTCGCGGGAAATGCTTGGAGATCAGCTCAATTACCGACGGAGAATGGGGTCTCGAAAATCTGGCCGGTTGTGATGGGCGTTTATTCAAGCTGATCTCCCAGCTCAGCCGTCTCAATCTGCTCAGTCAGGATCAACAACCGGCCGAGTCTCGCCCTGCCGACGTAACCACTCCCACTGCTTCGCTCCCTCCGAATATGGTGTTCCCTGGCTGGGACACCGTCACTCCAGGCGTTGCTCATGGGTCTATATCAGGCCAGGGATATGGCTCTTCAATACCAACTCCCCCGCAAAGCGGGGATCAAGCCAGGAGACCATCCTCTCCCGCATTCTGGACCGAATGGTACTCACTCCGACAACGTCTCGAATCTTGGCGATTCGATCCACCTGACCAAGCTTCCTTCCCTTCTCCGCCTCTATCTACTGCAAACTTATCCTGGAACCCACCCAACTTTATATCCGCACCCGCCACCCCCTCAATGACATACCAAGTGGCCCCCGAGAACCTCCAAGATATCTATCAAATATCTGAATGCTTCCGGCACGCCGCACTGCTCTACTGTGAACGACTCGCCGAACCAAGCCTCCCATCCCGACATCCACGAATCCAGCACCTCGTCCACCTCGCCATGCACTGCCTCTGCGCCGTCCAGTCCGACGTATACCTCCTCTGGCCGCTGTTCATCGTGGGCTCAGAATGCGTCCAAGAAGATCACCGAGCTAGCATTCGCGCCCGCTGCAAGGATATCTCCAAGGACTCGGGCTTCGTAAATAACCTCTCCTGCCTGGAACTGCTGGAAAAGATCTGGGCAGATCACTCTGACGAGTCATCTTACCCCGTGTACCCTTCTGAGATGGGTCCCCCGCCGCCACTGGATGCTAGCGGTCGTCCGGTTCCGTCGCAGGCTTTCCGTTGGTCGCGCGTGATGCAGGCCAAACGGGGTGGTGGGGAGTATATGGTGGTGTAAATAGTGGTCTGATCTGCATGTATATTTCTTTGGATATAGCTTACTCTTCAAATTTCTCTTCTTAAGCTTTTGTGTTGGGGGGATTGTTTGTGAATATCCTTTTCTGTGTTGGTATATTTGGTCTTTTGTTTCTTTGGTTGGATTGGTCGGATTGGATGGGCGGTCTTGGGGTGTGCGTCCATTATCAGCTATGTTCAGCGGGCGAAATCTGGGGCTCTGTGGCTTTGATGAATGATACCATTCTGAACATAATACATATACTATTATCCCTTCTTGAAAACATATGGTTTCAACTCTTCTTTTCGGAACTTGCCACTGCCCGTGCCGGAAGGAGGCTTATGTGTAAACGCCCTCCCGGGTAGGCAGAGTTGCTATTCTCTACTAAAAAGCGTCGGGAAAGTTCCTCTCCCCTTGGTATAGATCCTCTATTCTAAAAATATGGGTATGTCCTGGAAGTATTTTACGGCTAGGTACAAAGAAAGAAGATATGGTACTTCCCCTCGGAACTATATATCACTATATTGCAGAAGCATTAGTTGCACAGTTTCATAAGGAACCCCTTCATAGAGCTTTTAGGCGAAGCAGCAATAAAGTCCATGAAGACTTGATAAGCCATATAGTGTAGCTGCTGTAAGCTTGGATTGTAATAATTTAGGTAGCCATGCTTGTTGCACCACGAAGTACCAACTGGAAGCTCAGTGACTCTAAAGTCTGGGGTGCAGCGGACGACCGAGCTAGTGTGGGGCGCAAAGAGCCGTGGCTGCATTAAAAGATTTCTAGAGCGACTCCATCGATCGTACATTCGTTGAGCTCGATCGACTTGACCACATCCTCTAGCCACGCGTTTCATTCCAACCCCAGGACCGAGTACATAACAATCTCGCTAAAACCGCTCAACCGATTCCAATAACCCCCTTTTTCTCTTCCAGAATGTCAGCATGAGCTAGGGCTCAGGGCAAGGGCAGCCACAGTGCGGTATGTGATCAGTGCGCGCACAACGCACAGTCACTCAAATTGTCCTCTTGAATCTCGAAATTTCAGGGAAAGAAAAAGGTATTGTTACTGCAAGATTTGCCCTTGTCGGTCCTTTGAGCCGCACATCCTCGTTTCCAGGTTCCCTCGCCGAATCGCGCATGCTTTGTTTTGATTCAACTTCGAGTCTCCGGCAAGGGGCATTGGTTTTTTTCATCAAAATGATTCATCAGATGTGTGGGAAGACACCGAGGAACCGGTCCCATTGGACTGTGCACGCAGAGTTTTCTTTTCTAATTAAACACCAACCAGGATTGCGAAATTCAAAATTTCCGAGCATGGACCATATGGCTGAGAAGTAATTACGTGGAAATCCGTGACGGTTCGAGGAGATGGACTATGATTATGGACACGGCCGGGTCTGGTGCCCCTGAATTCCTTCCATACTGTATTCCATGGTTCGAGAGGTATGATATTACGGAAGGAATAATGGATCCTTTGAGGTTATGCAAAGGCCTGCCACTAAAGGGTACTCTGTACACATGCTATACAGGAGGAGTCAGCTAGTCAACTAATCCTGTCGCAGAACGCCATACGCATCGCGATATGCGCATATATAAGCGCTCGTGCAACTGATTGTGATATCAGTTATAGAAGCTTTCTTGCATTTCATCTCAAGTATATGCAATGCTCGGTACATACCGATATGCACAGAAACATGTCCCTACATACTCGCATAGAGCATACAGTATACAGTATACAGGCCTGTATGCCGAGGGAGGCTGGGAGGCGGATATGAGCGAGGCTCCCCACGGGTCTCAGAGGCCGCGGCAAGCCTATTGGCGCAGCCCGTTCTTTGTTGCTTCCCCCGACGATCCACCCAGGCGAGCTACTGTAATGATCAACCATGCTGTGCACGCTGACTGTTTCCTGGTGCGGTGGGTGGGCCTTGGAGACTACCAGCCCGCAGGACTGGGGCTTTGTTAGGTCCTACCCTCCATTCTGGAAGGTCGTGCAGCGATTAGTTGGGCCCACACCTGCTGAGGTTGGCTGTGTCCTCAGCGCGGTGCATCCAAGCTGAGCGAAGAGCCTGTTTCAGCTGTGCGTATAGGAGGACTTGCTTTGAAATAGAATTGAAGAAACAAGAAATGTCTTGAAAAGTCCAGCGGTTTCTTCGGACGTGGGTATAGATTGTGCGGTATGGTCTGGCCGCGCAGAGTACTGTATCAACCTGCAACAATCAGAAGCAAAGCAAGAAATTATCAATACCAAGAAATAGATAAAGACCATAATAAAATCTTGAGAGCCGAAAAAAAAGCAAAAATTAAAAAGTGAACGCCATGTGCAACACTGACCGATCGGCGCTGCCTACTGGTGGCGCAGACGTAGCCTCCGTTTGGCTGCCTAGCAAGAAATCAAGGGGCAAGATTTCTCGAAGGGTTGACTCATCGATAGTCAGGGAAAAAACTTGTTGAACTGACCAGTGAGAGGGTAGAGCACAGGACCCTACCAATAGCCCTTGATTGAGTACTCAGGTTGGTGCTGGAATGCCCTGGATAGGCTCTGTAAGGATGCGGTTGGACGTTTGGGCATTATCATGCTTTTCTCTTTTGTTTACTTCATCCCTGCGGTTGGTGCGTGAACGTAGGGACTGGTGGTCAGCAGGTGCAATAACGCTCATGTAATGGTTTATGTCTGGGATATAGTTCAGGTGTATAGTGTTCTTTGTATAGATGAGGACTCGTTGGGTGGTTTGGTCCACAAGGGTTGTTTCGTGAGGTCTGAGAGTGGACCTTGGTATTGGACGTCATAGGCCTAGTAGCCTACACTATCATTTCTACAGTATGAGGAGACGGGTCTCACAAGAGCCAATCTGTTTTCCGGTAAACTAACTTGAGTTGCTACTCGCTAGTCATGAAGTCGGTTAGGGCTTGGCTTAGAGCGGTCGCACTGCTGGTTGACCCACGCGAACAATGACTGCGGTACATGGTTATTCGTTCATGCTAGCATCCGAAGCCATATGAAGAAGATAGACGGCTATGACATTGTCTGATAAAACCTTAGACGCAAGCAATCAGCATTTTGAGACACTGTCTATGTGTTGTCCGCTGAATTCATCTGTATACTTTGATCTCTGCTACCATGACCATCTGACTGGATGACAACACCACTATTTTTGTAGTGGGCTGAGAAATTTTGAATATTTAAACCCACACAGATAATTCCCAGTCTAGGCTCCGGATAGGCTCGACTACTACAGTACTAACACTGCCCTGCAAGTTGCGGTCTGCGAACGCTCTCCATCAAATCCCGTTTTGGCCCAAATGGAGGGATTGCTGCCCAGCGACCTCGCAGCGGTAAAGCCCATGCGTGGTCCGTGATGTTGCCCAACAGTATCTAGGTCTGTGTGTGTGTGTGTCAATAAGAAACATACTACTTTAGATGGAGCTCGTTCTTTTGTTCTTATGTTATCTTGTTCCTTTGATCTTGCCATGGCAACGTGGTGGACACCAAAGACACGGTGGTTTGAGAAATGGGTCTGTGGAGTCTGAACCACTGGGTGAGACGGGAGCGGCCGTCGAAAACTGACGGGATGCGATCGAGGTACCGCGAACCAACCATGGAACCAAATAGTTATCTGGAACTATTCGAAGCGTACGGTGCTGTGTTCTGGTTTGTCTCTCGTTTGCTTATACCGACATACAGTACATCATACATGATGTATGTATAGTTAGTTGGGTGGTTCTGGGGCTTATGTTGGGCAGGTCTGGTTCTAAATAACCGACTCCCAGGAGTGGATTACTTTCCCCAATGGAGAAGCATCTGTCGTGCCCTCTGCACCCTACTATGCTGTAGTTTACTTTCCAAAAGTCCTGTAGCGAGTTGTATTTGCGGGAGTTCATGCAAAGTTGAGCTGTACAAGGTGCCATGCCATCAATGTACCCATAGTTTCTGGAAGGCCGGCATATGGACGATGGGTTCCCCTATCCAACAGTGTCTTGACACGCTATCAAGTGGTAGATATCTGAGTGCACTAAATTCAGCTGGGCCAATAGAACTACGAAGCAGTATAGCCTGGGTGCTGGACTTCTTGGTGGCAACATCAGCCGCCCTCTCTCGATCTTCAGTTGTTAGCAAGCTATAGATAGAGAATGGCTGTCGAGTCATTCAGATTCGTGGCTAGAGTTATCGTTAGGTATCTGTCTTGTGTCGTGACCCCCAACTATCGACGTCTGCAGTTGGCCGGTGCCCAAAGGGCAAGCGGGCCAGAGAGGCCCTGTCAGCAAGCGCTGGTGGTGCTGGTGTCGTATCTAGCGTGTTAGTTGTGAGGTCAAGATGTCTCCATCTGGACTAGTCTGAGGGGTAGCCTTGTGGACAGCCTGTAGGAGGGAGGGGGAATGGTTAGTTGAGTGTGTAGATGGACGAACTTTACATCGGCTGCGAAGAAACCAGGGCGGTTTATAAGATCGGAGTGAATGACCCTCGTGAGTCGAGGTTGAGTCATATATAGAGTCATAAGGCAGGAATATCAAACCTTCCAGTGGATCATAGGGAGTATAAAAGGGACGGCAGACCCTCCTGGTCCACGAGCATTGGTAGTTCTAGTTATGGACCAACGTCGATTCCTTGCCAGGAAATCCGCATACGCGTAAATAACACGCCCTATCGCCACCTCCCTCGACGCCAAAGCACACAGCCCCGGTGGGCCTGGCCAAGCTGATTGGCGCTCATCACCAACCAACAGGCACCCAAAGGGCCTTTTGAGCGACCTAAAAGGACTCAAAAAAAAGATCCAGAAAAGACGCCGAAAAACAGCGGGTGCTGACCTCGTCGGATCCATCGCCCTTGGAAAATTCCCCCATCTCCACTTTCCACTTCCTCCCCGAAATCCACAAAATAATCCACACACACTTGCTCGACTTACACTTCCCCTCTCTCTCTCTCTCTTCTCCTCTTGACTACTCTTGCTCTCTTTCCCTTCCTTCTTCCCACCCCCCCATATACCGGGAAGTTGTTTTTCATCAACTTGGCTGGGACTCGTGGTCACAGAGTCCTTTTCTCCAACCACCGAAACCCCCTGGATCTTGACCCCGAGATCCAAAATCTACGACTACGCCAGGCTTCATACCTGCCTCGTCTGCCAACCTCCCCCCCTTTCGTGTCTGGTTCAGACCGAACAACGTTCAAATGCACTCTCAGCACATTCAGCGTCAACCCTCCTCTCCTCTCCGATCGGAAACCGTACCACGGTGACGGTCCTACTCAAACCTTCTGGGGACTTGATTTCACCCTCCGGCGTCGTTTATGCTCTTCGCGCACGATATCCCTGTATTATATATTCGGGTTGACTTGGTTTTCTGTTTTTGCTGTTGATCACATTTTGCGACTGATTCTCTCTCACATCTTTCTGGGTTCTTCTTAACTGGTTTCATTTCGGTCCGGTTTCTTGGGGATTCATCTCTTTTCCACGACGTCTTACTTGGCTGCTCGTCATTATCGCCACCTCCTAGCTCGAAAGACAGCAAATTATCTCCCGCCCGACTCGTGCTTCATATCGCTTTACTCTCGCCCTATTTTCTCGACCTACGTTTGCTTGTCGCTCATGCTCGTTCGATATCGATAATGTATCATTACTCGAGTCCACCCCAGGGGTGGTCGACCTACGACTATTCGCAGTCGCCGCCAACATCGCCATACTACGCTCAGTATGCCTCTCAGTATGCCAACGCATACTCTTCGCCACGAGGTACCTCGCGACGCCACACCCGCAAGGCCAGCTACACGGCCACGACCAAGGAGCCCAGCTGGTCCTCGGCCTACCCGCAGTCCTATTACGAGGCAGCGCCCGAATATGGCATCCCGTCGCGCAAGCACGATCATGTAAGTGCTTCTTTTGCGGGACCCAAGCACCGTCGATCCCGTACGACGGGGCATCCTGCGGGGATGGCCTAGGCCCCGGCACCGGCACCGGCTTCAAATTTGGTTTCCATCCGTCATCGCAGCAACAGCCCATCTTTGTCGATGTGGCTGACGCATTCGATACTCCGCGCCACGCCTCGTTCCACGAGAAGCAGTCGCCGCATGAGCCCCAGCCTCGCCCGACCCGCCATGGCCGTCCCCCAGCAGCTGCAGCAGCACAACCCCCCCCCCGCCGAAGCGAGATGGCCCCGGCCAGCATCGTCGAACCGCGTCGACCTCCTACCGCAAATCGTCAGCCGCTGATTCTCACTTTTACTTCACCCAGGCACCTAACCACGAGGACATCGAATCAGCTCGTCGCTCCCGCGCCCGCCGCCAGTCCACCTCCACCCGTACCCCGTCAAAGCCCAAGCCAGCACCCCCGTCTGCTAAACCGCCACCCGTTGCCACCGAGGAGGACGCCGAGCGCGCCGGTATCCCAGCCGGCTACTCAACCAAGAACTGGGACCCCACGGAAGCCCCCATCATTCTCCTTGGCAGCGTCTTTGATGCCAACTCGCTCGGCAAGTGGATCTACGACTGGACTGTCTTTCACCACGGCGCATCAACCCCCATGGCCGACGTCGCCGGCGACCTCTGGCTGCTCTTGATCAAACTCGCCGGCAAGGTCAAACGCGCCGACGAATGTCTCCCACGAATTCAAAGCCCCGAGGCGCAGGATGTGGTTGAAGATTTCCTCGAAAGCGGCGACCGCCTCTGGAACCGGTTCAAGAAGCTGCTCAAGGCTTGCGAAATGTTCATGTGGAAGGCGGCTAAGAAGGAAAGCGGCAAAGGGCAGGTGTCCATGGGCCGCAATGCGGGCTGCGAGTTTGTCGACTCGATTTTCGGCCGTGATCGTGAGCTTGAGAATACGGAGAAGCTGATGAATAGTATCCGGTTGTGGAATATGCGGTTTGACGCTAATTGCGAAGATATTCTGCGTCGGCCGTCAGCCAAATAGATGGTTGCAAAGAAAAGACCCATCATACAAAAACACCACTCCGGATGCTATACATTATCAACGTCATCGACATCTTATTCTTCCGCCAACGAAAAGATTGATTTACAACAGACATTTAGCCTTTTCTCGTCTGTTCTTTTCCTACTCTACCATTTTCTATATCTGTTCCCTGGAGAGCATTCGAAGCTCTGGTTGAATTGCATTTGCAGCGCGTTGGGTCTGGCACTGGCTGGGTTTTCCTCGTTATCTCGCCGCTCTATTTCTGCGTCTGCGTCTCTGCTTATTTGGATCAATCGGCAGTTCTTTTTTCACCCACCCAGTCGGTGGTGACTATCCCCCTTTCCCTCTCAAAAAAGCTCATGGTTTCGGCGCCTCTATTTTATCCTGCTTGTGCCAATTTCGTTTCCCTCTCAGGGCGGCGTCTTACTTCGTCTTTATATTACCCGGCATGGCGTTATCTGTCCACTGACGCGCTGTCTTTGATTTCCGTGCGCTCTGTTTCTGCCGTCGTTGATGTTCGTGTCATTCTGTCTTTGGTGATACCATCTCGCGATTTCATATATTTGTTTTTGTTTCGAGGCTTTTGGGTTCTTATTTCCTTTGTCATATCCTTTCTCTTATCTCGATCCTTGTGGCCTGAATTTTTGTCTCTCTTCTTGTTTTCCTGCTTACTTGCAGTCCTGTTGAGGTCGGAGGAACCGGGTTGTACATAGCGAAACCTTGACCTCAGCAGTCCCCTCCCCCTCACGTCATCATATTTTCTGTCTGTCACAGAGCAGTCACACTAGAAACCACTCGTTTAATCCAAAAGCCCATACAAGTTTTTACAATACCTTCCCATTTTTCCTGCGCCTACCATGCACGTCATCTTACTTCCACGTGTCGTCGTAGCCTTTAATCCCGGTAATCTATCTGTCTTATCTATGGAGTACATTCTACGGAGTACAGTAGTCCCATATCTACAGTCCAGTATAACCCGCGCTCCAACAAGACCAGACATTCAAACAACCTACAGTAATACGCATGTACAAAACCACGGGCCACAAGCACAATGCACTCGGCGCTTGCCTTGCCATGACCCATCACAGAGATTCCTGTGATCCTGACCAAGCGTTGTACCTACATCCATCGGCGTCAGCACCAGCAAAAAGCAGGTCCTACCCCTCTCTGATGTCACCAATACCCATCCCCGCCACGCAGCCATCGAGACCAGGGCGGGGGTCCGGGCGTTACACGGCCCTGCATAGTGACGGTGCTGACTGGTTCAACGGCGAGCGTTTGGTGCCGCTGCAGCCGAGGGGTTCCGGTGGGATGGGGAAGGGGGGCCGGTTGGGCTTGCATGGGGGAATTTGGTGATTGGTGCTGGTGGTGGTATTTGGGACCTGGCCCTGGATGGCGGATGCAGGTGGTGGGTTCGAGGGTGGGTGGCGATCGAATCAGGGGTTGGTGTTGAAGGTTGTGGTGTGTGTGTGTAGACTGTAGAGTGGGTGGTGAGTGGATGGTTCAAGGTTGGTGGTTAGGAACTGTAAGTGATGGGATTATTGTGGTTGGAGGGTGGGAGGGGTTGGATTATCGTGCTTATGCGACGCTGATACCGCAGCTGCAGTGCTTTTCTAGAATGTCCAGTACGAATGTGGATGGTATGGAGGGTTGTGACTGGACATTCTAATTAATTATAGACGACCCTGTCTCTATACTATATGTAGTAGAAACTGCATACAGTCTAATAGTGGGAAGTACAGCCAGGTTAATGCTTCAAAGTCCGTCGTGATTCTTCTAAATGTAGTAAATCCAAAGCAAACTCCTCATCTCGTTCCATGGTTGCAGTCATCAAACCGGGTAAAAAGTCAACAAATCAATATCTAGCTAGATCTCATATTCATAAATAATCATGATAAACTTCCAAGATTAGAGCCATTAAATAGGCTCATCCCGCGGCTCAACCAGAATCTCATTAACAGAGACATACTCAGGCTGGCACAGCGCATGCACAATCGAGTTCGCCACGTCCGAGGGCTCCAGGATCTTTGCGCCAGATGGCTCTCCGTACTTCTTCACGGCCTCCGCGTCGGTGGACATACCCAGCAGTGGCGTTGACGTATTACCCGGCTGGATGCTGGTAACCCGCAGACCCATGCCTGCTGTCTCGAGACGAAGTGCTTGCAAGGTTGCCTCGACGAAGAACTTACTGGCCGAGTAGACACCCAGGCCAGGGAAGACCTTGCGGCCCGCATCAGAGGAGATTGCAACGATGTGACCCCGGCCGCGAGAAAGCATGCCGGGAACGGTGGAAGACAGGGCATTGAGCAGACCCTTGCAGTTGACGTCGACCGTACGCTCCCACTCATCTGTCTGCACGTTGGCCATCATGGTGAAATACATCACACCAGCACAGGCAACGAGAATGTCGACCGGGCCAAGCTCGTCATTAGCGGCCTGGACAAGTGCCTCTGATTGGGCCTTGTTGGTGACATCCGTCGAGCGAATAATGCACTTGACGCCGTGGGACTCGACCTTACGCTTGACAGACTCGAGAGCATCGAGACGGCGGGCACCCAATGCGACGGAGCAGCCCTGCTTAGCCAGCGCTTCGGCCACGGCGGCACCAATGCCAGAAGATGCACCCGTAACGACAGCCACCTGGCCGCTGAGCGGACCTTTCTTAGTGAGCTGGATGGCCCGTTGGAGAGCCTGTTGACGGGAAGGAGCCCGGGGAAGCCATCCACGGGCAAACCAGTGCCGTGTGTAGGTCTCTAGAAGAAGACTGTCCACCTTGGGTCGCTCTACAACCGCCCGGAATGGTCGGGTCAACGAGTTATCGAGAACCACAATACCACGGAGGAACTCCACCGTTGGCATACCGCTGCGCAGAATATCGACAGTGAAGGAACCATCACCGCCCTTGGCCGAGCCGCGTTTCTCAAACCACAATGCCACCCACTCATCCCAGGAAACGGGTTTTGTGGGGTAGCCGAGGTCATTCAGGTTCTCAAATACGGAGCGGGTGTTGACGGGGTTGGGGTCGCCCAGATGGAAGATAGTCTGGTCGGCCTGAGTCTGGGTAGAAAGGTGGATGATCGATTTACTGACAAAGTCCACCGGAGTCATCTCTGCGCGCCATCCTTCAACCTCCGGAGCGTATCCGAGGCGGATAGACTCGACCAGCAGCGCAGTCAGAAGATCCCAGGCATTAGCAGAGCCAGTAAGACTGTGACCGCTAATGGTACCGCAGCGGTGGATCTTGACAGGCAGGCCGCGCTGACCAGCCTTGAGGACGAGCTGCTCGGCAACCCACTTGGTCTGGCCATAGCCATCCAGCAACTTTGTGGGAACATCCTTCACGTCCATCAGGGTCTGCTCAGACCATCCCGTCTCGCCAGATGGCGGCAGAACACCGTTAGTAGAGACATATTGCACCGTAGCACCACCCTTGGAGGCCAGACGGAGAATCTCTCGGGTTCCGCCAATGTTGGCTCCGCGTAACGCAGCATAGGGGTAGACCAGGTTAACGGTAGCAGCAGCGTGAACGATGACCTGAACACGGTCCGCAAGGTCATCAAATGCCTCGGAGGTCAAGCCAAAGCGAGGCCGAGACAAGTTACCGGGAAGGATCTCGACGCGCTCCATGAGAGTGTCGCGCCAAAGGCCCAGGTCCAGCAGGTTTCTGCGGATACGGGCAACACCTCCAGCCTGATCATCGTCCTCCGGGTCAGTGAAACGCACAAGACAGATAATCTTAGCGGAGGTGTTTTCCAGCAGATCGCTGAGCAAGAAAGCACCCAAGAAGCCGGTCGCACCGGTCAAGAGCACGGTGCTCGCTTCGGCGATCGAAGTAATGGATGCATTGGCAGGAGGCTTGATGTCCTCGTCCAAAGTGGAGTCAGCCAGCAGGACAGCTGGAAGGTCGGCTTGCACGGCAGCAGTGTGGCCATCTCTCACAGCGCGCACGGTTTCCAAATGACCAGCCAGGGTTGTGTTGTCTGCAAGACGAGGGATCGGGACGCGGAATCCAAAGTTCCTGGAAAGTCGCGAGGCCAAGTCAGCCAGAGACAAAGAGTGGCCGCCCAAATCAAAGAAGTTATCCTCAGGCTTGAGAAGAGTCTTGGAAGTCTTCAAGACGGTGGCCCAGATCGCGGCAATGTCGCTGATGCTAATGGGGTCCTTGTCGACTGTTTGCTCGCTGCCGCTGGGGCTGGCGCTGCGGGGAGGAGGGAGACTCTTCAGATCGACCTTTCCAGACACTTCGTGCGTTGGCAATTCACCCAACTCAACCCACAGTGCAGGAATCATATAGTGTGCAAGATAAGGTTCGAGAATGCGACGGGCTGCCGGGCTGTGTCCAGTCTCGTTGATCTCCACTGCCAGCCGCTCTCCAGCAGCCTCCTTGTCAGGGACAATGTAAGCAACCAGCCGTCGCTCCAGCCCCTCGCCATGCGCAACCACGGCGCAGTGGCTCACTGCCAGATACTGGCAGATGTCGCTTTCCACCTTGGCCGGCACCACGGAGTAACCGCGGAGCTTGATCATGGATCCCACACGACCGGTGATTTCCAGAAGCCCCGAGGGCAACTTGCGAGCCAAGTCACCCGTTCGATACATCCGTGCACCGGGCGTGGAACTGAACTTGTCAGGCATGAATGCCTTGGTGGTTGTCTCGGGAAGGTTGAGGTACTCCCGTGCCAGCAGGTCTCCTCCAATGAACAGTTCACCTGCCGTGCCCGCCTCGACCTGTTCTCCATTCTCATCCAGAATGTATGTGTGTGCTGGGTCGAGAGACGGACCCACTGGGCAGTAGAGAGACTCGGTATCGATGATCTCACGGATATCTCCGCAGGCAATTTCGTGGGTTTCACACGCACTATAGCAGTTGAGGAGGCGGGTCTTGGGGAGGGCTTTGATGGCCTTGCGAGCGAGGTCGGTGGTCACCACCTCGCCATTCAGCCAAAGGGTGCGCAGCTCGGGCAAGCGTTCTGCAATTTGCGGGTAGCGAGCGAGAACGGTTGCTAGCAGAGTCGGGGTCATGAGGGTCTCTGTGATTCGCTTGGAGGCCAGCAGGTCAACCAGCGCGGCCGGGTCGTAGCTGGCATCGTCGGGGACCGCCACGACGGTTGCACCTCGCAACAGCGGACGCAGCATCTCCCAGATGAAGAAGACATTGCAGGCCACTCGGTCTCCCGGTTGAAGGTCCTGTACACCAAATCTCAGGTTGTACGAGAGCACGGGAGCCCGCTGTGGATTGGCAATACCCTTGGGCTTTCCCGTTGTGCCTGACGAGTACGACACAAAGGCCAGACGATCCAAATCGTCCTCGGCCGGTGGAGAAACAGGCTCTTTGGCATGGCCGTTAATCTCCGTGGCCGGCTGGTCCAGCACAATCAGTGGGCATTTCGCCTTGACCTTCTCGACCTCGCTCTGGTGGGTGATCACCACGGCGGGGTTGGCATCGTTGATGACGTCCGCCAACAGACCGGCGGGATATGCCAACTCTAGCACGAGAAAGGCACCACCGGCGCGCAGAGCTGCCAAACAGGCGATCACATAGTGAGCACTGCGAGGCAGGAGCACGCCGACGAGCGAGTCCCGGCTGACGCCAAACAGGCGCAGACGACTAGCGAGCGCTTCGACCTCGCTCTCGAGTTGCCCATAGGTGTATGTGATGGCGTCATCTTCCAGGGCGATGGCATCAGGCGTCGCCTGCGCTTGTTGTCTGAACAGCGTTGGCAGATCCTTGCCGATGTCGATGATGGCCATGTTCGAGGTTTTCGGGGTGTTCTAGTTTACAGATTTCTCAAGATATGTTTTCAATATTCACCGATATTCGTGAAGAGGTAAGGAAAAGAATGTCGGAGAGGTGAATTCGGTCTCGGACGACAAAAAGTCGTATGCCAAAAAGCAAAAATGACGCCGGCGTTCGATTTTGGGGGTTTGGTCCTCGTCGATGGACTACTCGGATTGCATGCGCCAGGCGCTGGTCATTAGTTGTTCTGGACCACGGTCTCCTCGATGCTGGTCAGACAGAAAACAGGAGGAAGGAAAGAACAGCAAAAACGACAACCAGCAAAAGAAAAAAATAAAAAGAGCTGGACCGAACAGCTAGCTACACAGCTAAACCCAAAAGAAGAAGCCAAGGAGCTGGCCCGAACGGGGAAAACGGTCAGGTCCCTTTGCCCTACCCACTTTTGCGGTCTCAACATTCTGAGAAATCAAGATCTAGAATTTAATAATAATCAAGAATAATGCCTAGTCGGCGGCAGATCAAGCCCAAGGAGCTAAGCTATGGGGGAGTGCGAACCAATGAGACTATACTGGAAGCCATCTAAGCCCACGCAACCTTGGAATCGAAAGAACTAAACTCTTGATCGAGAGCCAATGAATTCGCCAGAGACCACCCCGTCCCTGAAATGATGTCGGGCCCTGTCTATTTATCGTCTGCGATCCCGGTGCAGGTGCAGTCATGATAGATTTGTATCCATCCTTTGTTGTCCCTCTGCAGGTTTTGTTCTCGATCCTTTTTGAGCATTCCACAATGCCCCGCGCGGACTACATCCTACGATGTCCTGTAAGTATGTACTGCTCCATAATAATCAGCCAGTCCAACGCAATCTGTCAAGTTGGTTCTCCGTCAATCCCCGTGTCTGCCCCACTTGGAAAAGAGGGGAATTGGCATGTGAAAGTGTCCGATCCCAACAGTTTTTATTAGTTAGTTACCTATCGCCCACGGTGTCATCGTTATTGGGGTCCTCGCATTATTATTCTTGTCGCGTGATCAATTGGGGTTCTTTCGCCGATATAGGCGATATAGGCGATCTATATTTGCTGGTTGGCCCATGGCCCCAGCGCCTGCAGGGTGCAGGGTGCATGGTTGATGCTGCTGCCCGGCTCTTGGCCTGGTTTGTCGACGGTCGCTTGCTCGCTTTTTTTCCTGGTCGGGTCTGCCCGGGCTTGCCGCTTTTGGCGCCTTCGATGAGTTTCTCTCGCGGTCTCTATCGTCGGCTAGGTCTCGGTTCTCTGGATTATTGTTCCTAGAGAAATTATTGGGGACTGGATTCAAATGACCCAGTATACAGGACTAACCTTCGTACGTTGTGAAAGCACGTGTCCTCTGCCGAAATGCCCTGCGCCCAGACCAGTTCTTTTCCTGCCGCTGCGACGCCGATAGTACATATTTATCATGTACATGGCTTTACATGAAGAATATCTATAATTTAAAGCGCAATACTTGTTTCGAGCCTGTCGGGTTGAATTAGAAATGACTTGGGTACCGCTCAGCAATTTGAATGGAAAATGGATCTCGAAAATGTATTCCAGCTCCACAGCCGAGCTGACTGAACTACCGACACCACTAACCTGCATACATCTCCCAAGAACGCAAAACACGAGACCCATCACTCATCTTGAAAGGTATACCTAGGAACAGAACTTGTCTGTGGTCAACGCGGCTATCAAGATTTATACTAATCTATCCTAGATATACTCATGGAAGGCAGCATTGAATGGGAATAGCTGCCCAGCATCTATCTTATACCTGCCCGGTATTCAAACTACTGTCGCCTCCTGAACACCAGGCACTTTGCCTTTTGAATGAGAACTTCGTGACAATCGCCGAGCCACTGCTGCACTCGAAAATTCACTTGAATTAGCAAAAAGAGCATGACTACTACTTTAGCCTGGAGGCTCCCCGGCCAATCACTCAGCTCTTACGGACGCTTAGCTCGTTAAGAGCGTTGGTTGACCTTGACTGGATCAAGACACTCCAAATCCCCTTGGCGTGTCCGGTTGAATTCGCACAAGATAGAACGAAACGACTATAGGATGTTATTCCTAATTACTCTACTGCTAAGTTGGATTGATAAGGATACAAGTCAACGGCCGCCTAGGGTGAGGGAGCAGCTCGGGGACTTGAGTGCTCAAGCAGGAATCCCACCTGAGTTTGTCAACACAAAGCATCAATTGTAAATACCATCAGTAACCATTAATCATTCGAGATCGAGGTGTTCCTCAACGTCTGGGACGGAGAGGGACCACCGGGACAGGTGGCTTGACCCATATTATAAGCATCTGCACAAGATATTCCAATACAGATAGATCTATGACAGATGGAACCCAAGGAAAGGCGACCGGCATTGTTCCAACTTCAAATAGTATAGTACGACTGTATTCATCACGCTAGTTTGTTCCTGAAAGTCGTGCCGATTTTGATTAGATCTGGCTTTTCTCCCCAGCAGCCACGTTCTGGGGGCTGCCAATCATGCTGAAAGAAAGTATGAGCCTCATGTCATGTTTGGAAGGGAAAAGTTAAACGTCAGGTTTTGAATGCAACCTTCTTGACTCCGTATATGCATGGGATTTCTCTGTGCCTGATTCAGCCCACATCATGATTCACCAGACCAAATACGCTTGTCTAAACTTATCCGAATATTCAGACTGGTGAAAATATCCAATTCATAAATTGACACGTAAAAATCGCATAAATCGTCAATTCTTGACACCCACGAAACTGGCCAGGACTCCAGAAAAGGCGAGTTCATCAAGGGAGTGCCAGCCCAAGTGGCACCCTTGCTGATCACCTCGTGTTCTTCCGCCCTGAGACCCGTATGGGAATTGCTCGCCCTCTCGCAAGGCCCCGATCACCACTTCCCCAGGCCTGTGCTCTCCGCTTGGCCAGGGCCTTATTGGATGGGAGAAAAAGGGACGATCCAACCACCATCCTCCGTGCCGTCTTTGGTTCTTGGCATGCAACTAATATCCCCAGAATACGAGCTTTTCTTGGAAGGATTCCTCCGTAGTTAAAAGTAGACATGCCCCATAAAAATTTTGGCTTTGGAAGTTAATGTGTGAAATCTCCCCTTTCTGTTTGACTTTGGAGAGAGTATTGTGAGCAGGCTCAGCAGCAGAGTGCTATTCGTCATTCACAATGGTGGCCTCGTCGTTCCTTCTTCTGCCACTCTCTCTGGCCTATATTCCTTCGGCTACGGCATGGGTCTTTAGCTGGACAAACTCATCAGGGGGGTACCTGACCGATCACGGCGATGCTGTCCAATCCTGCAAGGCAATCGATAATCCCAAGGGAAACATCTTCGACTGGGATGCCAAAGGTGGAAACTTTTGCATCTACCTCTACAACAACGGAAACTGCTCCGATCCATCCGCTGGCTATACCTGCAAGGCGTGGCCCTGGAACAACCATGTCGCAGGGTCATATATTCATTCGTACGAGGTCGTTCTGAACAATACCGATACTACATCTACCACATCATCGGTCTCTTCGACATCGACAACTTCAACATCCACGACGAGTAGTTCAACTCAAACATCAGCCACCGCTGCTGCTACAAATACGACTTCACCCACCACAACGCCAATCGCTGCAAGCGCCGAGAACACCACCAGCAAAAGCTCATCACTATCTGGAGGCGCCATTGCTGGTATAATCGTCGGTGTTCTGGCTGTGGTTGCCATTGCCGGTATCTTGTTCTTCTTCTTGTGCTGGCGCCCTCGCAAGAAGACAGGACCCTCGACCGGTTCAAAGCGACCGATACCACCAATGTCTGAGTTAGGCCAATACGATGGCAAGCCTTCTTCTCCTACACTGAGCTCTCCTACGTCCAATGAACAGGGTTCAGATGTGTACCAGGGACAGAAGCTGCGCGAACTACCCGGGTCTGGTGTGGCAATGGAGATGGGCGCGGGTGTTATGAGGGCAGAACTTGCTGGCTCGACGCATTGGAAGAATTGAGAGCAGGAACAAAAGATACAATTGCTGTGATATCGGGAAGTTGGTTTGCTGGGGTTGAATTTGTTTCGATGGGGGCTTTCTCTTCTTGTATATATTGATCTCCTTTAGCGTGAAAGATGCCTTTTCCTTTTGTCCCTGCTACCTGTATTATTTTGGGAGTTACACAGCATTCGTATATCAAGTTTCAGATCTCCTATCCATTTTCAATCAGATCCAGACACAATTCTGCCTCAAGCAATATGAGTATCACAGTTGCGTAAGGGAACAGGGGGTCGTTGAAGCTGCTCCTCTGTTTGGAAATCCTTGCCCCGAATTCTCGTCTGAAATCAATAGATTTACTGGCGCTAATAGAATAAACGAATAGACTATTCTACGGCAAGGCTCTTAATCAGATCAGATCAAATCTAATGGCGAAAGTCGCAGATCAGGCAGCCAGGGGGTCCCACAATAAATCCAACGCTAAACTTTAAAGCAATCTTTGCTCACGTCGTGGCTCAGGCGATACACATACTATTTAGTACATACTCATGACTGTCCTGCATTCGAATCCATGAATCCTGCAATGTTTGCTCGAGTGTTGATAAGTCATCCCCTTCCATCGCATGACCTCCGATCGTTGGTGGGGAAGAGTCACGGGACTGTAGAACGAAGGTTTCCTGAGATTGCTCATTGACATCATCTCCCTAATGGCAACGAGATTTTATACATGATATCGACCCTTGGACATTTTATATTTTTTTTGTTATGCCGAACCTCTCTCACCTTAACGAGAAGATCTTCACATCAGATCCTGAATCCCATTCAAGACCCCACTGCGGCTTTTCTCGTTTTCCTGACATTCCTCATCTACCGCGAACGTGTCGGACGACCAGGGATGAAGCCTGGAGCACCTCAACCTTAGTTGACTCGGCGTTGCTGCTTTTCATTGACTTGAAGCTTTGACTCAGTGTGTCTGCAAAGTTCTCTGCGATTTCACTGGCTCTTTCACACCTCCCTTGAGCTTCCGGTCGCAGTGTAGGGCGCCGCTATGCAGAATGAGTTTCCTCCACTCGCGGCCGCCGGAAATGCCACCACGGCAAAGTTGTCACGATGGGAGCGCTTCTCAAGCAGGTTTCACATGAGGCCTCCGGAGGACGATGAGCCTCAGTCGTGGTGGATTGCCTCGACCGCCATTCCCCTCGTGGCTGCGGCTACTGGGCCTCTGGCCAACGTCATGTCTATTGTGGCACTTGTTATGCCATGGAGAAACACAATCATTTCTAGAGAGGACGGACCCGCCGGTATTTTTGTCCAGGAGGGCTACAAGGACCCCCACTGGTGAGCAGTGTCAACACTTGATGGAGAAGGACTTGGCTAAAAATGTTGATAGGGTGACTGCAATGAACGCCGTATCGCTTTTCTGGGGCGTTGTTGGTAATATCTTTTTGCTGCTCAATTTCACTCAGAATGTTCGCTATATCATCGCTTTACCCGTCACAATTGTTTCGTGGTTCCTTGCTACGTCCATTGTAAGTCACCTGAGCCTTTTCAGCTTGACTTACTCCTAACGTCCGCGCTAGCTCTGTGGACTTACTGCATCCCTGTCCATTTACGGCCCACCCATTCCACCAAATGAGGTGTACTCGCAGGCATATTGGAGTGCTGTCATTGCCGCTATCCTCTATTTTATTTTGGGGTCTATCTTGATGATCAATATGCTAGGCTACTTCCTGGGAAAATACCCCCAGCACTTCTCTCTGACAGATGACCAGCGGACACTCATTCTACAAATGACGGGATTCGTGGTCTGGCTCCTCATTGGGGCAGCTATTTTTCAACGAGTTTTGAATATATCATTCGCTGACGCGCTGTATTTCTCCGACATCACCGTTTTGACCTTGGGGTTTGGCGATGTGATCCCACATACTACTGTTGCGAAAGGTCTCATCTGGCCGTATGCGGTGATTGGAATCGTCATGCTTGGTCTGGTAGTCGGCAGTATCCACCAATTTGCTCGCGAGGTTCACTATGACAACGTCGTCCTCAAACACATTGAGCATAAGCGGCAGACTACGTTCGACAGAACTATCATGTCCGAACAACTTCGCAATGCGCACGAGCCTCCGGAAAAGGCCATAATTGTCCCGAAACATACGGGCCATCGATCCAGGTCTCATCATCACCGCCACCACCGGCATCACAGACACGGCCCGATTCAGAATACCATCAATGCTCTGGCGCCCGGTCGCCGTCCCACGCTACTTGTTATGAGGGAAGAAAAGGATCGGTTTGACGCTATGCGTGCGATTCAATATGAGACAATGCGCTTTCGCCGCTGGAACGACTTAATCACCAGCATCATTGTTTATGCAATCGTGTGGACGGGTGGCGCCCTCGTCTTCTGGAGACTTGAAGACATGACGTATTTTAATGGGTTGTATTTCTGCTTTTGTTCGCTGATCACTATCGGCTATGGAGATTTCACCCCTCAGTCGAATGCAGGGCGACCTTTCTTCGTCATGTGGTCCCTCATTGCTATTCCAACCATGACTATGCTCATCTCACAGATGAGCGATACTGTGGTTGCAGCATACAAGCATTCGACTGAGCGGTTCAGCGATTATTTTATCATGCCTCGTCAAGGGGCGTACAAAGGGATTCTCGCACGAGTGCCTCTTCTTCGACAGTGGATAGTAATACGCCAGGAAAAGCAGCGGCTGAGACGCGGGTTTGAAGTCGGCACAGATGCTGACGAGACAGCCCAAGAAGACGATAGAGGGTCCGCAGCTTCGAACGCCCAAGACAGGGCCCCTGTCCTGCCGCTCCGTCCTCGATCGGGCGATGGACATCCATTACGAACAATTGAAGAGCTCGCCCGCGATGAAAATCCATCTCCCTTCGAACTTGCACAGCAACTTGCCTTTGCTATCCGTCGCACTACACACGATGTACGAGAAGGCAAACACAAAAGGTATACCTATGAGGAATGGGTGGAATACACTCGACTCATTCAATTTACTGATCCGAATTCGCGACCGAGATCGTCCGCGGGTCATGGCCAAGCTTTTCACAGCAGTACGAGCGTCGACGAGGATGAATACGGCGTCTTGAACTGGGATTGGATCGGTGAAAATAGTCCCATGCTGGCAAACCAGTCAGAACCAGAATGGATTGTGGATAGACTCTGTGAGAGCTTGATCCGCTATGTGTCCACGCAGGAGCAAGCCCGGGTTGTAGCAGGAGGTCAGAATGATGATGTAGTAGAGGAGCCTACACTGAGGAAGGAGAGGGATCTGGGAATTGAAGAGGCCTGATCATTGGAATGGTTTCATCATTTCTTTTTCTTACTTGAATTTACATTCAACCTCGGCGGCTGAGTTGATAGAAGCACCGCTTGCAAATACCCTTCTTCCACATGATTGACGTGTACTTTATCTCATGGTTGTTGCCTGATCAGACAACTTTTGTTTTAGCTGATAGACCACGACATTCTTCCTGGCTTCATTATTTGTTTACGTGGCTATGCAAAATACCCACCTCGTTTAACTGTCAGCCTGGGCATCCGGCTTGGGGCCATAAAAGGAAACTTTAACCCCTCCATCGATCTACCACTACCACTCCCGCATCTCGGACCAGACTCCGCATAATCTTTCGTCTCTCCCAACAATAATGACGTCAAATATCCCCGAAATTATTCTTTTATGCATGGATGCCGATTTTATCACGGCCTTCGATCAGGCTATGCAAACCCATTGGTCCGACTATGACCCGAACAAAGTGAAAATCACCAAGATCAACGAGCGCATGAACAGCATTCCCCCATCAATCAAATATGATCTAGTTGTTTCACCAGCCAACTCCTACGGCCGTCTAGATGGCGCATTTGATCATGCTATCTCAATGGCATTCAGCCCCCGAGACGACTACCACGCGCTGACCCGTGCGGTTCAGTCCGTATTGTACGACAAGTGGCGGGGGTTCGCGGTCCCAGGTTCTTGCACTTTGGTAGAATTTCCAGAGAATCTCAAAGCAAACGCTCGTGACTGCAGCTGGGTTGCGATTTGTCCAACCATGAGAGAGCCGGAAGATGTTAGCTGGGACCGGGAAGTGGTATATGAGTGCGTTTGGAGCTTGTTGTGCCAGGTTGAAGGGCACAATCGTGGTAATGTGGATAAGAAGATCGAGACTCTCCTTATGACCCCGCTGGCTACTGGCATAGGGAAGGTCAGTAAAGAAAGATGGGCTGTTCAGACGGTGCTGGCGTTGGCGCATTACGTTGATGCGCTTGAGCAGCCTGAAAAATGGAGTTCTTTGCAGTGGGATACCATTGAGGTCATAAATAACGAGGTGCGGCAGACTTGGATGCCGAAGAAATAGGACGAAGCGGTATACATCAACGTTTTTGTATATCTATTTACGTTTGAGGTAGAAATGAAACTTCCCAGATCGGCCGAACTTTTTGCTTGCCATAATCCCGGCCACGATATTTGGTCGCACGGCGCGATAGTACACTATGACAGGATGGTCATCATAGATCAGTGCAGCAGAGACGGCACCCTGGTATTTCACCTCGTGTAGCTGGTAGGTATATTGGTTCAGCCAGTGTTCGACATTTGCGTTTATCACGAACAGATATCTCAAGAAGTCTCACCGAAGCACGTCCCCATTCTTCATATTGAACCCGCTTTCCATTTCTAGAAACAACGAGAGGGGCAACATCTTCAGTAGAATCAAAGGTATGGCCGAACCAGTTGAATTTCTGAAGCTCGGTTTCAAACGGATGCCCTGTGCTTAAGACAAAACCGTTCCATTTCCCCATCAATTCCTCAGGCTGAATCGGCTTGAGATCGCAAAAGATACCGTCGATATGTGATGGGCTCAGAACTCCAGGCCTCGTGGTCAACGACATGAATCTCTTAGTGGGGCTTGATCGAAAGTAGTTGAATGGGATGACGGGAAATTGGAGGGAAATGCTGGAGATGCTGTATAAGCGTGGGTCGATTGGCTGGCTTGGAGAGACTGCAACTGCGTGGGAGGGCGTCGACTTTGTTAAAGTGGACGAGAAGCGCATGAATGGCCGTCTATACAATCCGCCATGGCTTGTGTAGATACTGGCCGATATTTCGGCTTTAAGGAAAGGGTTGTACATGATGAAAACGTTGTGATGTCTGAGCCTGGGGTAGCCAGACAGGAGCATCTTATTCCCCTCAATCCACATCCCCAGAGTAATCGGACGCCTTGAGGACCCTTGAATTCCTCAGCATCATAGAAACAAACAGATTGTTTCTGGCTCGCTCTCGACCGAAGGGGTCATCCCTTCCGAATGCCAGCAAGTCCACATCTTGCGAAACGGAAATCCTAGGATGGTACGTATTATTGCCATTCGAGTTGAATGATGATTTATCTTACGGTATACGTCATTACGGTCAAAATCATCCAATCTACAAGTTATCAGATCGATGGGTTTTCGTTCAGATGTGGAAACGGTCTTGTGGCCACCTTGATTGCCACATTCCAGTACCGGTTCGTGCCGCGCAATTACTTTTATTGTTATTTACATCCCTAGAATATAAGCCACCATGTGGTAGAGGTCAATATGTCACTGGAGATGTTATGTCAGTATGTGTTCAACACTCGAGAGAAATTTGAGACCGGAGGCACCCTGCTATCCAGATTGGAATACGATTCCATAAATATAGAAAAAGGCTGTGAAACGGACTTTCGATACAAGGCAAAACAAAGAATTGAGATATTGAATCCCAGCAATTGAGCCATAAAATGCTAAGCGACTCTAGAAATCGGGACTTGTCCCATTTCATGTCCGATATGTTCGATGCCAATCAATGTAGATATTGATTGAACCAATAAATAGCAGCATTCTTTGCTCGTACAAGCCCCTTCAACTCGGCTTCATTCTCCTTGTTTCCTCTCACGGCAAAGCTATGCTCCAAAGCTGGGAAATGTTGATAATCATAGTCAAGTCCCAGTGAAGGTATAACACGATTGCACAAATCCTTCAGCTCCGGCGTGAACACTGGATCAATCTCAGGTGCCAGAATCTGCACTGGAACATCAACATTCTCAATTTCCTCTTTGGTGAGCCACGATGGGTGTGCAGTGGAGATACAGTCCACTAATCTTCCGCTTGTCTTAGCTCCAAGTCGGAATACGGCCCAACCGCCGTAGCAGAATCCGATGGCGCCGACGTGTTGGTATTTGGCTCGCAAGTCTCTTGCAAAGGCGAAGATCTCGGGCTCGCGCACTTCCTTGCTATTGCGGGATGTGAAACCAGGAAGATCAAGGGGTCCCCATTCGGATGGGTCCTTGCGTAGGATATCGGATGGGAGGACCTCGCCGCCGAAGCTGAATTTTACAGGTCAGAGACGTATCAATATAGGTCGTGGTATTTTGATCGAGCTTACAAGTCAGGGACGTAGACAGTGGCGTTTGCACCCTCTGCGTATGCGTCTGCCAGTAGCCTGGTGTTGGGAAAAGTCCAGCCGAATAGATCATGGATGACCAAGATAGCAGCCTCTGGATTAGAGCCCACTACATATGTCGACACGCCAGACGAGGTCGTTTCAATGTGACCCTGTGGCTGTCCATCCCACTTGAAGCCTTTCACGCAGCAGTCGTTCATAATGTCGTCTATGAGCTATATACCCGTACAATATAGTATAGATGGTCGGTTGCTCTAGGTATATAAGGTACTAAGTGGCTTGGGTTTATGTATGATAAATTCTAGGTATTTTAAGAGGCTGCTTATAGATCAGGCGGCCAACATCAAGCAGCACATGCATTTGTCCTTGTTGATGACGAATCAACTAAGCGGGATAACAGCTATGGCGTTTTCTGTCAGCTAGGCATGACTCACTGGCCTGTGTGAGATACTTGTGCATGTTGTTACCCTTTCTGTTGCCCATTCATCTGGACTAGATCCTCCATGTGTTTCCGGCCGAGCACTATCAGCATCTAAGATCCAGTAGAAACGCGGACTGTGCGTTTCAGAAATTACCGACCCGGATCCTTGAGCCCAGCGACAGTCGAAAAGATTATCGTTGTTCTACAGGATGTCCTACAGCATGTCTCGGAGCCTGAGCATATCCAACGGGAAGATCCAACTCATCAGGTACGTTACAAAGTCCACATGCCAACTCGAGTCTTTGGAGAGCATCGAAGAACTATGAAGACATTGGCCCCCACCGGTTGGATGCTCAACAAAATCGCTCAAGTGAACAAAGCAAGCGGATGTAGTCGGATCTGTCCTCGCTGGTACTATGCCCTTGCTCAAGCAGATGTGATCATTGGCTGTCTTTATTTAGGCAAAGCTACAAGAGCTCCCAAGAGCGTATTATTTTGCCACCAAATAGCTAGCCTAAACTGGATTGTGAATAGGGAAATACCAATCAGGCCTAAATAAGACAGCTTTGTGGCGACCAGAATCTCCTTATGATGTCTTTATCACCCGAACCCGTGGAATTGCCTCAACCTAACCATGCTTCGAGACATTGCCCTGCTCATATTATAACTGGCCAACCGACCCCGCACTAGCTTCGAGAACGACGACGAAAACTGGTGGCACCGTTTAGAGAAACCTCACTGGTAAACTGCGGAGAAGCGACCACGGTGGTGGTGAATGTTGTCGTCATAATCGTATCATGGGCATGGTCTCACCCGCCACTTGACCCCAGGCTTCCCCCTCATAAATATAGCAATGAACGCATCAGTCTAAACTGTCTCTTTTCATAACTTCTGATGACTTACAGTTGATTGAAGTAATTCAAACCCCTGGTATGTTCTCCCCTCAATCACCCCTTCTGTCGGCCGACGCTGGAGCAGGGAAGAAAGAGAGGAGATCGCCGAGGTCGTTTGTTTTGGGTGTCGCGTGAGGTGTTGGTGGGACATTATACAGTCTTTCATTTATACTGTAGAACTTGATGATGCTAACCATGGAACTTTGAATCTAGCTTCAGGATATTCATCATGCCTGCTTCCAAAACAGACACCGCGATGCGGTTCCCCGCTAGCGACACCCAAAAACGTCGCGCCTGGACTACCCAGGACAAGAAGGCCACATCCAAAGAGCAGAGTGAGCTCAGCACTGGCAAGAGCAAGGCGGAAGACAGCTCGACTTGGTCTCCCGAACAGTTGTTAGCCTCCCACATGGATGTGTCTGGCAACCCTGTGCCTGACCCAGTTTCATTTGGGGATGGAGCCAAGGCGAAGAAGGCGCAGAGGCAGGGCAGCATGACGGACGAGCCCGATTTGTTCGAGGCCATGAATGCGGAGACGGCGGACTTTGATTAGGCTCAAAATTTGGAAAAGTGCCTTTTTCCTGTCAGTGTCAAAGTCAATGTTCGCATCCCAAATTGTGTGTGTGTGTACATGCTCGAGTGCATACGATGTTCCATAGCAGATAAAAAAACATAACAAGCCAAACACAAATCCATTATTGACCTCGTTATCGGTGCTGGATCAAAGATAGCCTTGATAAGATTTAGACAGTAATAATAATATGGCCCATGAGCTTGCTGACTGGTTAGCTTGTGAACTAGCAAAGCTAGTTCACTAAACCCAGTTCGCTAGTTTGCTGTGAGACGGGAGGAGGGCGTAGTTGGGCTACTCGCATTGCCCTGGCAACATCGCCAGGAACATCAACCACCACAACCATCCCCAGCTACGTCAATTGCAACCATATCGCCCTTTCGTGTATCGTTCATTGTTCCAATTCATTGCCGACTCTTCTCATTTCCATTGATTTTGCCATCCGCCGAGCATTCGCAGCATGCCTTTCTAACGTTCCCCCTCCGCTGAACCGTGTTTACCTCCGCACTCCCCCGCGGGGATGACCACTCGCTGAAACGAGAACCTCCAACCTCTCCAACTTTCCGCAAGGAAACAACCAAACGCGCAACTGTACCGACCCCTTCCCTTCACTCTTTCCCATTCTTCCCCCTCTCCATACGCTCTTTTCTTTTCGTTTTCTCTTCTACAACGGTCGACTCCGCTCGACCGTCGTTTTCATCCTCCCCCACCTTTCCCATATCACCGATTCATTGCATGTACACTCATCTCGTCGAACGACGACGCGACGCCGTCGAAGCTTGTGTTCAATTATTGAGGGACTATAGTAGGGAAATGGCGCTGGACCCGCGCTTCTATCGACACATCGGCCAGAGCTCCGGCCCTGGCTCGATCTCGTCCGCGACATCCTCCGACTCTTCCGCCCTCACTGGCATCACTTCGCCCAGCGTGTTGTCCACTTCCGCCTCTGCTGCGACAATACGATCGACCGCCTCCAGTCCGTCGCTTCGCGCCCGAGAAAGCGTCTCTATACCGGTTGGCCGCCAAGATGGAATCGCCAGCCCATCGCCCGGTGGTAACGTGCGGGTCGTGGTGCGAGTCCGGAAGTTCCTCCAACGAGGTATGTGCTGGGGAGAGAATCGCGATGTGAAGGCAGAGCAAAATATAAAGATAAAGGATAAGACAGAAGCGACGGATGATCTGACAATGCGTCTACAGAACTCGACCGTCAGGCTGAATGCCTTATCGCGATGGACCCCCACACCCAGATGACCAGCCTCAAAGCGCCTAAGCCGAATCCTGGCGATCGCGGAAAGCCCAAATCACAAGCACGAGGAAAGGTTCTTGAGGACAAATCGTTCACTTTTGATAACTCTTTCTGGTCGCATGATGAGCAAGATGAGCACTATGCACACCAAGAGGACGTGTATAACTGCCTGGGCGAGGAGTTCCTCGATCACAACTTTGAGGGATATCACACGTGCATTTTCGCCTATGGCCAGACTGGCTCGGGTAAGAGTTATACTATGATGGGCACACCAGAACGGCCGGGCTTAATCCCTCGTACCTGTGAGGATCTATTCCAGCGCATAGAATCCTCGCCATCTCCCGATATCAGTTACAACGTTCGAGTATCTTACTTCGAAGTCTACAACGAACACGTGCGAGATTTGTTGGTCCCCCGGACAGACCCTCCGCATTATCTTCGAATTCGCGAGTCTCCTTCAGAGGGCCCATACGTTAAAGACCTGACTGAAGTAACTGCGAGAAATTATGCGGAATTGATGAAGTACATGCGAAAGGGCGATGTCTCGCGTACCGTCGCAAGCACCAAGATGAACGATACCTCGTCACGATCGCATGCTGTATTCACCATTACGCTGAAACAAATCCATCACGATCTTTCTACGGACGAAACAACAGAGCGAACGGCTCGCATTCGATTGGTCGACCTCGCAGGTTCTGAGCGCGCCAAGGCGACCGAGGCGACTGGTGCAAGATTGCGCGAGGGATCCAACATTAACAAATCTTTGACTACGCTTGGTCGTGTTATTGCGGCTCTGGCCGACCCAAGAAAGACTCGTGGAGGCCGAAAGGGCAAGGAGCTGGTGCCGTACCGTGATTCGATCTTGACATGGCTCTTGAAGGATAGTCTCGGTGGTAATTCCAAGACGGCCATGATCGCTTGCATCTCTCCTGCCGATTACGAAGAAACCCTTTCGACTCTGCGCTATGCTGATCAGGCCAAACACATTCGCACTCGCGCTCGCGTCAATCAAGACCATGTGTCGGCTGCCGAACGGGACCAAGAGATCGCTGAGATGGCGGAGACTATTCGCACTCTCCAACTGAGCGTAAGCCAGGCACATGCCAACCAGCGTGCGACCGAGTTGCAGGATGAGAGACTGGAGGAGTACCAACAAAAGGTGGAAAAGATGCAGCGACTAATGGAAGAAACCAAGATGGTTAGCGAGTGCAAGATTCGCCAATTGCAGACCGAGAACGAGGCTCTGCGCATGCACTTGAAGCTCGCACTAGAGAGTCTTAAGAATCCCATTCCACCAGTCACTATCGAACCACGTCAAAGCCTATCATCATTGGCAGAAGAGGATCAATTGCCCAATCACGACCAGGAGAACCGGGAGAGCTCCCCTGTTGTCGAGCCGTCTGACTCTGAGCCAGAGGTTTGGGAAGACGAGGATGATGAATACGATGATGACGAAGCCGTTGCATTCGACAACAGTGAACATGAAGCGTACCAGATGCAGGAGCGCATGCAAGATCTGCTCGGCGATCTGGGAGTCTTCAAGCGCAAGCTCGCATCTGACCATGAACGGTGGCGCCTCAATGAGCATTCGCGAACACGCCAGCGACGCGTGCTTGGAACAATCGCTGCTAACAATCGTTAGCTCTGATTCATTTGTCTTTTAGCGTGTAAATTTGGTGTTGGTGGCGTCTCTTTTGAACTCGGTCTTTGTTTGAACTGGAATCACGTCCTCGAGCAGCAATCGGCCTGTCGTGGCTCGAGATGACTGTTTACTGTACTGGGTACATCCTTGTTCTTTGTTTGTTGCCTATTCCTTATGTTAGCGAGAGATTCCCAGCGATGAATAACGAAACCTGACATGATCCATGTTTCCAAACCGCTTTGTTACAGCGTGTTTTCTTATGCCTGAGCTGTTTATTTGATGAGATCTTGCGCTTGTCGTGAGAAGCACTTTTCAAGGATAGTTCCATACTCGTAAAGACAAGATTTTAGGCATCTCTTCTTCTGCAACCCCAGCCACTGAGAGGAACCTGCAGATGCGGAGGCGGAGATTAGGGCAGGTGCGCCGTGCGGCGGGCCGCTTATGGCATCACTTCTTTTTCCGTGAGTCAACTCTCCCTCCCCACCACGCGCTTCAAGATCCTCAACGCAGCCCCCCTCGCATTCCGAGAGAGATTGAGCCATTCACCATGGCGGATTCCGTTGACTCGGCGCTGAAGTCCCCACCAGCCACTACGTCCGCACCAGCGCAGCCCCCATCCGTGGTCGACAATACCCCCTCGCAAAAGACCCAAAACCTCCCCATCCGCGAGTCCAAGAGCGCAAAGATCCCCGCACCGTCGGACAGTCAATCTGGCAAGAATAAAGATGGCCCCAACCCCGCTGCAGCTGGTTCCGATGCCGCTGGTGCTGCTGGTGCAGAAAAGCCCCTCACGCCCGCGGAGCTGAAAAAGAAAGCCAAGGCAGAGAAAGCTGCTCGGCGCGTGAGGGAAAAGCTTGCCAAAGAATCTGGCGGAGCTGGTGCTGCAGGCGGCTCAGCTTCTGGACCTAGTCAAAGCCGTCCTCCGGCGACGCCGAAAAAGGATGCTGCTGGAGGAGGTGCATCGCAGAAAGGGCAGAAGGCCGCGCAGCCCCGCCGTGGATCTGCTCCTTCTGGCCAGGCTGCTGGCGACGAGCCGACGAAAAAGGAGGATAAGAGTGTTGCTGTTTTCGGACATCTTTATGGACAGCCGCGTCGGACGACTATTGCTGGTGCTGGCAAGGAAGTCCACTCCGCTGTGCTAGCTTTGGGGTTACAGTTGCGGGACTACGTTGTATGCGGCAGCAGTGCTCGCTGCGTGGCAACCCTGTTGGCCTTCAAGCGGGTGAGTTGACTGACTGTTGGAATCAATCCGGAGTGTGTGAATATCGCTAATTTTGTTACGTCTCAAGGTCATCGAATCCTATACCACCCCCCTCGGCACCTCGCTCTCTCGTCATTTGACAACACACCTTTCTCACCAGATCACCTACCTCTCGACGTGTCGACCTCTCTCTATCAGTCAGGGTAATGCCATTCGTGCGTTGAAGCTGGCTATCGCTTCTACCGACCCCTCAACCCCCGAACTCTCTGCCAAGGCCACACTCTGCGAATTCATCGACAACTTCATCCGGGAGAAAATCACTGTGGCCGATCAAGTCATTGCTGGAAGCGCCGCTCAGAAGGTCCAGGATGGCGATGTCATTGTTACATTTGCCGGCAGCTCCATTGTAAAGCAGACCCTTCTCACAGCACACAAGCAAGGCAAGCGGTTCCGTGTCTCAATCATCGACTCGCGACCGCTTTTCGAAGGCAAGAATCTTGCCCGCGCTCTCGCCAATGCTGGCTTGGATGTGCAATACTCTCTCGTTCACGGTATCAGCCACGCGATCAAGGATGCCACGAAGGTTTTCCTCGGTGCACACGCTATGACCAGTAACGGCCGCCTTTACTCTCGTGTCGGAACCGCGCTGGTTGCCATGTCCGCCAAGGAACGTGCGGGAGGCGTCGAGGTGCCCGTCATCGTGTGCTGCGAGACAGTCAAGTTCACCGACCGTGTTGCCCTGGACAGTATCGTTGTCAATGAGATCGCCGATGCCGATGAGCTGGTCTCGGCCCAGCCTCCACAGCAAGTCACTGGCTTGGTCGATCCAGTAACTCCCGCAAAGCCCGACAACAAGCAAGGCGGCAAAGGCGCGTCCAGCGCGCCGAAACCCGACCCTGCTGCCTCCTCCCTCAACTCAACTCCTTCACCTCTCCACCACTGGAAAGACAATCCTAACCTCCAACTACTCAACATCATGTACGATGTCACGCCTGCCGAGTACGTGGACATGGTGGTTACCGAAATGGGCAGCCTGCCTCCTAGCGCGGTCCCCATTGTCCACCGGATGAGTACGAACCTGTGATTAATGAAATACTCTGTTTGAAAGCATGATGTCAAAAGTTGAGATAGGGTTTCTCCTTCCATCTCTCGGATCTTCTTCTCCTAGCTTTCTATCTCTGGGAAGGATTATGCACTGGCGCGGGTCTGTTTCTCTTATTACACTGGTTCTGCAATGAATTCATGTTTTACCCATATCTTCAGAATCTGGATCGCTAGACTTGAATAGAAAGAAATGCTATGCCTGGGATATTGTGTCTCTGTACTCCGTACTTGTGTATATTGCCAAGGCTCTTGATTAGGACCATATCATCTCATCACGTGATATCGCGGAGCTTAAAAGGCGGTGTAAGCTGTGAATATTCTGCCGCCTGATGTCAACAATATTGACCGCGCGCATTCGCACATCGCTGATACGTGAATCAGACAATCCCACACTCGAACATCCAAATAGTCAATATCTGCATTTAGGGCTCCATCTGATACTGAATCCAAAGCAAAATGGTACATATTGACCGGATCCACCCCTAAAATCCTTGTCATCGACTCAAACTAACATTCTCCCAGAGCAAAGATTCCTCCGCAACCCACCTCCACATGCACCAGCCCCGACTGGCCGACCTGTTCGAAGAGTTCACAAAACCACACATGTCCACAGCAGGCATATCATCCAGCTCCCAACACAATCTATCCCAATCCTCAGGCGCTCACCAATCAAACAACCCCAATGCCGTAACATACGGCTCCTCCCCCTCCACAATCCCCTCCTTCCTCCCCATCGAAGACATCTACCTCCAGCCGCAATACCAGCCGCCTAACCCGGAAGACGAAGACGATGTCATCCCAGATCAACATGCTGCGTTTGGAATTGCGAGGGCCATGGAGCACAGACAGGAAGCTGTGTGGAGGGATTTGGGTCTCGAGGCCTTGGTGAATGGGCAGGGTCATGGTGGTGGTGCGACGGTTGCGAATGGAGGTGCTACTGGTGCAGGGGGTGCTGGGTTAGGGCCGGGGGCGACGTTGAGGGGGAGTGGTGGTGGTGCTGCTTCTGCGGGGTCGGCCGCGGTGAGGGTTCGGAGTGCGGGGAGGAAGATGGGTGGGCGGCGGGTTATTACTTTGCGTTGAAATGTTGGAGTTTTCGTCCTCCTGATCCGGGGGGTGAGGTTTGGGGAATGAGCTGAGGGGCTTGCATTATTGGAGTTTGGTTTATGGTGGGCTAGGTTGCATTCGACTACGATACCACTGGGAAGGGGATAGTTCGGTTACAAGATAGGTTTTCATTGATCCGTTTCGTTGATATATCGTTGATATTGCCTTCTAATTTGAGTTAGAGTCCCGTGGGTGGACTCTATGCCGCTGCCTTTCACCTTGCGCCTCCAACGCCGTGTGAGAATGCGAGATGATTATACAGATTGTTGTCGATGACTCGCTAGATTCGGTTGATGTCCACGCGAGACCTCTCGTATAGCTTGTGGTCGAGTTGCTTGGACTCGCGCTCCTCATCGGTCACATTTCGCGGATGGATAGCCATCTGTGCGTAGGAACCAGCGGCTCGGCGCTTCGATAGGGTACCTGGGTTGATAACTAGCACACTATCGACAACCTGGATTACAAGTATATGGTTAGTGGGCAAGCCATGGAGTTGGAAATTTTTTGGGGAGTCGACATACCTTAACAAAAGGCGGGAGCATACTAGGGACAATCAGAATATCTGGTCGAACATTCCACCACTCGCCAAGTTTCATGTAGGGTAGGTCCAACGTTGCGCCAGTAGTCAAGCCCGTATCGGAACCGGATTTTGGAAGGTTGGCACGGGCAGTCGGAGGGAAGAGAGGGAAGAAGTGGCGCTGCTCGACGAGGTATTTTGGCAAACGTGTGAGCAAATTGCCCTCGGTGGGTCGGCCGTGAAGAACCTCTTCGCGACGGAGCTCGGAGAGAACATCGTGAGAGCACATGCCTACAACGACTTCGTTGAAGGACAGGGTCACAGGGTTCGAAACCATGCGGACCTGCTTCGGCAGACCCAAATCCTTTTTGGGCAGCTGTTCCTGTGGCCATGATACGTGACGACTCATAATGTCACGCACAGATGGAATAACCACGATCGTGATGCTCGGCACAGCCTGTGCGAGACGTGACAGAGGCGCAGAGATATAGTGTCGAAAGACAGTGGCCATCGTTACCGTGTCTGGGTCAACTCCCTTGATCTCTGGCAGGTCGAAGTCGCCCGAAGCAAGCAGTGGGTGTTCGACGTCCAAGAACGGTCCCAGCAGGACAACAGCATCTGCGTAGCTGTCTGCGGCCTTTTGGCACAGTTCCTGCAGGGGCTCAAAGTCCAAATTGTCATCTGCCGTGTACGGACCTGCCGCGAGCATGACATTCAGTGGTGAATTGCCACCACTCTCCAATCGTTCATTAATATTATCCAGAGTCACCGCAGAAGATGCGGCAGGAGGCAAGAGAGGAATAGGAAGGATCTCCTTGACAGTGAAATAGTCTCCAGAAGGATTAATTCCCCGAAGAGCAACAATCTGACCTGGGAAAAAGCTCAACGAAGAGAGCGAGTCCACCTTCAGAGGAACGCGCCTTCCAGCACCAGTGCGGCGTGAAGTCTCTAGGACCAGCGAGGCCGTGTTGAGCTTCCCTTCTAGAGAGTCGGAGGCAATCCGGCCAACTGCAATAATCTCACTGGTGCTTTGAGTAGCGGCGCTGCCGAAGGTAAGATCGTCGGAATCGTAGTGCTTCTGGAAAAGAACGGCAAACTCGTCAATTCGGTCGTCGAGGATCTCCGAAGCTTCGGATAGTCGCATGCCCATTGGCTTGTATCCGAACTTCTTTAGATCTGTATTTGCCGTCGGTCGGATACGCGCTTCCGGGAAGGGTGCCATTGGGGTCTCTGGTAGTGAGAGGTGGGTGTTGAGTGTTTCTAGCGTCTGGCCAGGATTTGAGCGCTCGGCGAAGGATACTGCTGGACCGTTTGCTATGGATCCAGGTGTTTTCGCACCGGATGGCGTTCCTATTTTCTCAAGTCTTCCGACCTTCGGCGTGGCAGGAGAGGTGAACTCGGCCTTGCGCTTCACGGAACCATTTCCACCCATTGTCCGACCATTTGCAGTATTGGGCGTCAACTCGTCCAACCTAAGGGTTTGATGATGCCCGATTAGCTTTTCCAATTGCCATAGGTTCGAGTATAGTCATCTCCATACATTCCAAATACATCAGTTCCGCCTGCCGCGCGCGGGGTTGCCGTGACAGTAACCCTCTTCTCTGTCTGCCGGCCAACTTTGCTGCGACTTTCGCGCTCGAGGGCTTCTTGAACATCTTGCTTGAAGCCTCGGACCGTCTCCATGTTCAATTTCACCTCCTCGCCCATCTTCATACTGTATGATTCCCATTTGTAGAAGAGTTCCTCCGCGGTAATCAAATGAATCCGCAGGATAGACTGGAGCTCGGCGAGGATATCTTTGGGCAGGCCATTGGGGAAAGTGGCTAGAAAGAGCTCGTTGAGCTCAGCCGTAGTGTCAGTCATGATGGCACCGTCTGGACAAGGGGGTTGTCGAGGGCAGAGTGTCGAGTCGGCACTGATTGCGCTGTCGTATGTACTTTCGTCGAGCACTTCCCGCAAGTTGATTGCCCGACGCGACGCGTGAACGTGTTGCTGACATAATCCGTCCCAGAAAAGTAAAATGCGGACGAGACTTTCGGAAAAGTGGATCGGACCATCAACTTCTGTCCAATGACAGCCGAGGACAACTTCATGCTGGCGGCCAGTCTCAAGATCAGCTCGATCCCTTAAAGTATCCATACATCGCACAGAGAAACCACCATTGATCGCCATGACTGCCAATGATTCCGCCCCAGTCGATGTTGCCGTGCCCTCGGCCAACAACGGCGATGCCCTGACTGCCTCGTCGGTGGCCCAGAAGCCTTTCACCCACCCGGCGGACACCGCCAAACCCGAGCCGCCTGCGAAGCTCACCCCGGACCAGCAGGCCAAGTATGAGACGGTTCTAAAGACAGTCTCTTCCTGGACCACAATTCCAATCAAAGCTGATAAGAATGCCCCGACCGAGCCGATTACCGACGATGAGCGCATGTGGTTGACTCGTGAATGCCTGCTTCGATACCTTCGCGCAACCAAGTGGAACGTTTTCGAGGCTGAAGCTCGGCTTCAACGTACTCTGACCTGGCGTCGAGAGTATGGCATGGAGAAGTTGACACCGGAGTATATCTCAATTGAGAACGAGACAGGCAAGCAGGTGATTATGGGCTATGATATCCACGGTCGGCCATGTCTATACCTCCTGCCCTCAAACCAAAACACCGAAAAGAGCGATCGCCAAATCCAGCATCTTGTCTTCATGCTAGAACGTGTCATTGATTTGATGGGACCCGATCAAGAGACTCTGGCCCTTCTTGTCAACTTCAAAGAGACCAAGTCTGGCCAGAATGCGACAATTGGTCAGGCAAAGCAGACCCTTGATATTCTGCAGAACCACTATCCCGAGCGGTTGGGACGTGCGTTGGTTATCAATGGTTAGTGAAATGTGTCAATTGTCTTCGTTAGCCCAGCTGACCTCCTCCTCTTCATAGTACCCTTCATTATTTGGGGATTCTTCAAGTTGATCACACCTTTCATCGATCCCAATACCCGACAGAAGCTCAAGTTCAACGAAGACCTGCGCCAACACGTCCCTCCTAGTCAACTCATGAAGCCCGTGGGTGGGGACCTCGAATTCGAATATGATCACTCTATTTACTGGCCTGCCCTCAACGAGCTGGCCAAACAGCGACGTGAAGCCTACCACGAGCGATGGATTCAAGGTGGCAAGCAAATCGGCGAGTTCGAGAACTACCTCAAAGGCGAAGATATCCCTAGTGTGTCGCAGATTCAGAGCACTCCAGTAGAGGCCGAGACTTCAGCTTAAGGCCTCCTTCTTTTGCTGAAACTGTCATTTTGATCGTGTACGCATATAGCATTCTGGCTTTCATATACTCCATGAGCTTGCAGTCTTTGGTCTTAGTTCTTTACAGGTCAATCTTTGCACGGTCTTGGACAGCCCCTGCATCTTGTTGATAGATCTGATATACCTCTCGCATTTTACATAGAAGTTTCTAATAGATTTACAAATATACTATGGCATTGATTGGTACAACGCACCGTACTATCCAAGGGAACAGTAGTTGGCTAAAGAGCGCTATAAATAGCCAGTTGGTGAGGACCGAGAAACATCGATATAGCAGTTCTCCACTGGAAAAGCAGCACACCGTCGTCTACTGTTCTCTGATTTCTTTCTAAGCACAGTATCGCAAAAAAACCTCCCGAAATGATATTTGGCTCTGAAACCCTTTGGTTTACGTGTCGTCTGAGCGGAGTACAGGCCACTGATCAAACCTACTGCCAGTGGCAATTGACAATCTAGTCCCGCCAAATCAAATATCAACCATAACACCATATAATGCGCCTCAAGGCATGTCGTCCTTTTGAGAAGGATTCATTTCCTCGTCTGTTGTAGCGGATGCTGAACTCGCAGCCTGTGGGGACCCCTCGGAGGCTTTTTCGCTTGAAATATTTTGCTCAGCTTGGGATCTCATACGGTCAGCCATTGCATCAAGCTGACGGGCAGACTCTGCGGCATATTGACAGTGGCGTCGAATCGCAGGGCCAAATTTGTAAAATATCCAGGGAAACGGAAGACAGACAGCAGCAAGAAAGGCCGAAATTGAAGAGCCCCAGTGGATACCTAAGCGATCATACATAGGCGTAGTGAAAAGGGGACTGAAGCATGAAGTTAGAGAAGATGCAGTAGCATGGAGAGTAAGAGACTTACAAGGCTGCACCGAAGAGAGCACGTATGACAGCATTCCCCGCCAGTGCCGAGGCGGCATAGATAGTATAGCCGTCCACGAGGTAATTGACTACGCTGAGGAAAATAGAGACGTGAGAAAATCCAAAGAATACTGTTCCAATCTGACAGACAATCCAGTGAATTCTGGGAAAATTCGTCCATGCAAACCAGAACAGACCAATGGGCAACGTCACTGCTCCGACCATTGCAGGAATTAGTCGTGCCTCGGGAGGAGGGCGACCATAGCCAGTACGATCGGCGATTTTCTTGTATCGGCCGTCATCTAGAATGGAATAGGCGCATCCAAGTATCTGTCCTATCATCATTCCCAAAAATGATAAACCAGAAGTACTCTGTGGCCAATGGCGGGCTTCCTCAAACACGATTGGGAAGGCTGCAAATTCCATGTACATCGTACCGTATACTAAGTCGAGACCACAATGTGGTCAAGAGTTAGCTGACTTGAACACTGAGAAGTGATTTTTTGGCAAGTAATTTCAATTCGCTTTTGAACTCACTGATAGCCATGTAGATGGAAAGAAGTAGGACGATTGGCTCTAAAAATAGCAAAATCCACGGGCGCACCATTGTCTTCGTAAACACCTGACTGGCGGTCTTGTGTCCCTGTTCCACATCAAGGCGGCTCTTGTATACAGCACCGGTCATCTTGCTAAGCTTTGCGGCTCTCTTTTGCAGCAGAACTGGGGAGTACGTTTCGGGAATGAGGAAGATCCCCACTAAGAACACAACTCCGTTAAATATTGTAGTCAGTCCTTGAACCCATTTCCAACCTTTCGATACTGCCAAGAAGTCGCAAGCGATGGGTCCAAGGCTAGGTCCAAGGAAAGGAGCTCCAATAAAAGCAATGGTCGCTAGTCCTCGATCGCGCGCGGTATACATGTCGGACACCACTCCTCCAGCATTGGAGATGGCAGATGACCCAAAAGCGCCAGACAGGAATCGAAGTACCAGAAGAGTAGCGATATTTGGACTTGCAGTAGTCGCCCCAGCAAAGAGCGTAGTCATTCCATACGTGATAAAGTATATCACTTGCCGACCATATAGCTCGGAAAGGGGCGCCCAAACTGCAGGACCAATGGCAAAAGCGAGTACAAACAGAGAGGTATCTGCAACCACCAGCTCGGAGCTAACCTCAAACTGCTCCTGAATCTGCGGGTTGGCGGCAGAAAGTGACGACGAGGCGAATGTTATAGAAAGAAAGGAGACTGCCTGAAGAAGAGTGATGGACCACTTCAACCACTCCTGCATCTGGTGAGGATCTCGTGGGTCATTGTGGAGCCATTCGACGAGATACGGGCTTTCAATGGTTCCATCCCCTTCCCACCGATGCTCGAGGACTTCATCTGTAATTGTACTCTGCGACGTAACTAACTTGTAGAGAGGGAGGCGACCATTAGTAATCGCTAGCATTTTAGTAGCCACCTATAATTGAACCCTCTCATGTAAGTCAATTCCACCAATTGAACCACGAAAGGTGCGTATGCTCACCATAGCAAGCTCTTGTGTTAAACACCCAAGCGCTCAATGCAGGAGATATCTAGACAGGAGCCGGGGAATGTTGGTAGAGATTGGAGGCGTTCCAAGAAACAGAAGGATTTCTTTTCCCTCCTATGTCAAGGAGCGATCTAGTAGACAAGTAAAAGCAATGAAATGGTCGAGATAAGCCAGCCTGAAAAGTGGGGGAAATCCGGTCTGTTTGCGCATTATTAATCATTATCAATGTAAAATGCGTTGATTAGAAATCAAATTGCCTATATTCTTGGAATGCGACAAAGCTGTAATCCGGGGGTGTTCAAATCGCCGTTTTCTGGCCTGTCCGAAGCTGTAATTTTGTATAAATGACGATGCCCTGATTTTAAGGCCCTGCCAAGCTTTTTCGAAATGGAGTGGTGATCAATTATGACCAATTATAGTAGGCGCCCAGCCCCACCTGAACCCGTCCCCGCTAGTACCCGGGTGGAACTGCTAGGTACTAGGAGAGGATCCCGGCGGAAATCATAACAGTATCTCTCACTTCTGACTTGGTTACCCATTTCCCTAGCTAATCGTTCGTCATGAATAGCGGCGATCGGAACTACCTTCATTCCAATCACGAGATAGTATGTTGACATTCCTTGGAGAAAATGCTATTCATGCATAGTGCTCTCTATGCCAATTTCTTTCCAAACCACCCGCCAATGTAGGGCAGGTGGTATCGAGGTGGTTGGTAATCTTATCATATTTCATCACTAATACCAATCCACATCTCATATCATATGAAAGTCTTGATTCATCAATAGCAGTCTAGCATTAACGATTAGGCATTACATAAATTATGGGAGCATGGTGTGGTGTGACTGTCAAACGTAAGCCATCGATTTGAGACGGACATGATGAATCATTGTTACGTTTTCAAAGTAGCCAGGTGCGGAAGTTTGTGGAAATTCAGATCAACCTTTAGACTGACATTTTTGGTAAGTACCTTGGCGGCTGGCTTCCTAGCCTCTACCTGATAGACTCTTGCAAAATTATAGATCCAATGGACCCTCTTTTTGTCGCGATTTGACAGCTTCTACCTAGGATTGACGCGAGTGATAACGTAATTCCCGCCCGAACTGCGCACCCGGCCGAGATGCGCACCTAACCAGACTACGGAATTCCAAAACTGATTATCTCCATCAAAACGCATTGAATATACTTCTGCTGACGATTCTTACAACGGTTGATCTTATGGCCAATCTCCAACACCCACTACATCTAGGCGGAGCCCTAGTAGCCGGCCGATCTGCCTAAAGAGGCGATTTGCCCTACATATGCGATTCTACCACCAGTGCTTCTGCTGGTAAATCTAGCTACGCAACAAGCTATAGGCCCTCTTCAACGGTCAAACCCTCTTAGCAGGTTATCTGCTTATACGACCAATTACGCTTCTTGACGATCTTCTCATTAGCTACGCGTAGATTCGTATTACCTTACACGAGTAATGTAGCGTTATGTAGCGATAATACAGCACCTCTAATAATCTGATCTAGCATGGTTTTGACTAGGCTCGAAGGGCTTTGTGACCGCTGGCGTAGTAGATCTATTTAGCGTCGAAGATTGCTTTTGTAGCCAAACGATAGTTCTAGGCGTTTTTGGTGTAAATTAGCTAGATCTGCTACTTAGCCGGCTACTTAGTAGTATTCGCTTACGAAGCGACTGTACGCGCGCTTAAGCACTACAAAACAGCTAACATCTAGTAATTATAGTAGAGACGATAAATACATAGGTATATAAAGAGGTATAATATCGTTTTCTACGTATAATCGGTCGAATTAGGGCGTAAGGTAGCTACTATAACCATCAAGAATCAGTAGCCGAAATCGATCACGTATACGCGAATTCGTTAATAGGATAAATACCTTTTCTAGCTAGCGTAGGCTAATCTTATCGGTAGTCCAGCTATTCGCAGAGACCTCGATTCGCTAATCTCTCGGTAGGTTATCGTCAAACCACCCTGCAATAGCCACTTTGCCCTTGAAGATTACGTATGGCGGTAGTATATAGCCGTCTGCGTATATAGCTTCGATTGCAGTGACCTATTCGCGATTACCTGGCTGTAGTATTGATCTCCGACCGTAGTATTCAGCCCTAGTGACTACCTTCTGCGAAGATATAAGGCCTATTGCAAAGCCTGTCTCATCAAAGTTGTAGATATCCTCTGGTTGTATACCATTCTCGTCAATCACGCTTTGTACGCTAGTAAACCAGGCTCGTAGGGCCTTCGGGTCTTCGTTTAATGCGCGCTGATAGTCATATCGCCTAGAAAAGCGTGACCGAAGCTCTTCGCGTCGTTCAACGAAGGTTGATGGCCAATTCTTGCCAACGGTAGGCGGAGGATAGCTACCACGCGCAGCTAGTAGGATATTGGCTATCTCGCCTACAGTAGTGGGCCTAGGGGCTGCTCCACGCGTATCTATAGAGAGAATCCACTTAACAAGCGATTCCTCTTCCAATTCGGTCAATTTATAGCCAGTTGCGCGATAATCAACGCGTGAAAGCACCCCCTTAGCGCGGTCGGCCAAGGTTGTATGGGGGATTTCGTATAGCCTAGCTGCTGCGCGAAGAGATTTGATACGGCCATTTTTCAAATCGCTCAGGGCTAACAAGACCTTGCCCTCTTGATTATGTGATTTCTGCGAAGATTCAGCGCGAATTGGTGGCATGGTAGTTAGTTGAATTTAGTATGCAGGTAGGAAGACGCGATTTTGGATGGGGTGTACGGGACGGCCGGGTGTACGGGACGGCCGGGAATTACGTTAATCGCGTAGTAGGTTAATAACTACTCCGTATGGTTATGATCTATTGGAAAGCGGTGGTGCCACTCTTCGCAGGTATGAGGTCAGCCATAAGTCCAAAAGAACCCCTTCATTGGGACTGTCGCCTCATATTTCCCATCCAGAACTGGCTACTGCCGACTACACAAAATTTTCCCACCCATTTTCTCTTTTGCCCGGAGAATATCTATTACGCTACTCATTTGAGAAAAGTCACTAGTTGGCGGCGTTAGCCAGTTCAATGTATCTAGGTTGAAAAACGCAGGTTCTGCCCTATTCCCAGTTGACACAAAGAGTAATCGAGTCATGGATATTACATAACCCCCTCCTTTACTAACTATATCTTTCTGGGTGGATTAATTCCTAAGTGGTCTAGCAATCAGAGAGAAGCCATCTCATAACTACAGAGTGCGTTGTCGTGATCGGCTCCCGGGTCTCGGTTAAACGGTTGGCCTACGTAACCGATTGATTGGTGTGATTTGACAGACATATTTCGTGATCGAAATCAACGGGGTGTATTTCTGACACTTTGCGACAAGTAACATCATCTCAACCTGACTTTGATCATCATTCTTTGCGCTGAATCTCGCTCGAAGTGACGACTCATACGCGTCCCGAAGGGCGACTTTTTATTCTTTCAAAAGGCCGAGTACATTATTCAAGTTCGAGGAGGTCCGCAAGTAAATCTGAGGTTCTCCGCATGTATCTCGAACGACCCCGCACGACTCGTGGTTGAACATTTAGTATCTTAAGATGCAAGTTTCACAAGACATGACGTGATTTATCTGGATCAAAGTGGGGAAGCATGAGCGCTTATAAGTCAAGGACGCAAGACTCAACCCCATTGATTTTCCTCGGGTCAACATAGCACATTACACCGTTTCATTGTCTGTCCTTAAACAGTACCTCTATGGCTCCTCGCATCAATGACCCTGCGCTTCCTTTGCGCGCTGGGCCTGGCAGTCTCGCCGAACAGGTACAATATCCCGTGCCATTGCGCTCGAATGGGGCACTAGAGAAGTTCGATTCAGAGGACACGACACCTACGATCGGTCGTGAATTCTTTAATGTTAATATCGTGGATGAACTTTTGAATGCCCCAAACTCGGACGAACTCATTCAGGATCTTGCCATCACCAGTATGATCTCTTAATATTGATTACAATCCTCATCTCTGACAAGTATTCCGCAGTTTCCGAACGGGGTGTCGTCTTCTTTCGTGCCCAGGACAACCTTACCGATGATCTACAGAAGCAACTAGTTCATCGACTTGGTCAGCTATCTGGAAAGCCAGCTGATTCGACGTTGCATATTCACCCAGTGCTCAACAACACTAACGAATTCGGAGTCTCGGACGCGCAGGTGAGCACTATCAGCTCACTCGCACGGAAGAAGATGTTCCGCCACGAGAATCAGTCGAACAGGCGTCGCTACGACGCGGCTCAGTGGCATTCCGATATCCAATTCGAACCTGCGCCGGCTGATTACACCTCTCTTCGCTTGACCCAGTTGCCAAAGACAGGTGGTGATACACTTTGGGCATCGGGGTACGAACTTTACGACCGGTTCTCACCAGCGTATCAACGATTTTTTGAGACCCTCACCGCTACGTATAGCGGTTCAGGGTTCATTGCCGCTGCCAAGGCCGATCCGGAAAACATCAAGCTCTATACTGAGCCAAGGGGCAATCCACTCAATGTTGGCGAAGAGCTATCCACTGTCCATCCTGTTGTGCGCACCAACCCGGTGACTGGCTGGAAAAGCATCTACGCAGTTGGGCCATTCCCTAAGCAAATCAATGAACTCAACTCAAGTGAATCAGAGGAGCTCTTGAAGAAGTTTTACAACACAATTCTGGAAAACCACGACATTCAGGTTAGATTCAAGTGGCGGAATCCGAACGATATCGGTATGTATTCTTTTCTTGAATAACGACATTCATTTTTCTAACGTATCGCTCCAGCGATTTGGGACAATCGATCCGCTTTCCACACTGCAACGTTCGACTATGAAGGGCTAGGGGAGCGCTTTGGTCACCGCGCGGTTGGCATAGGTGAAAAGCCGTACTTGGATCCTAATAGTACATCGAGGGCGGAAGCATTGGCAGCTGAAAGGGGTTGAACAAGATCCGTTGGATAAGACGTGCTAGTATGTGCCAAGAAATAGCTGATAGATCTGCTTCATTGTACTGGAAATCACGTCCACCATATGAACGGCCTTACGTAGCTAGATGGAGCTGTGACAATACTAAATTGTACACCTTGTCAATAGAGAACTACTTTCAGCAAATAGTGTACTGCCCAGGCCGCCCCCTGTGTATTCATCCAATTGGCATGCATAAATTTGTGCAATGATCGACATGCCCTCAGAAATACCCTTTCTTTACTCGTTGTGCTTCTCGGTTACAAACAACGAGGGTATCCTTGTTCGGCTACAGTTGTTAATAGTTTCGGTTTTGAGTGTTGAATTTAGAACACAAGCGTTATTTTCTGAAACTCAATGGGTTAGCAATGGAAATCTGACAGTCGAAAAAGTGCGAGAATAATATCGCTTGACGGGGGGTAGAACTGAACCGCTGGTTTTCTACAGGTCCTCGACCGGCGCAACGAACCAATGCCGAGACAAACAAAATGATGCTGTGCGGCCCCCTCCAGAGTACTCCAGATTTATTTACCTCCAAAATGCACCTGCTGTCTGACAAATGCACAGGATCGAGCATCAGTTCATGCTTGTTGCTCATGATGTTCGAGAATGTACCATGGGTGATTTTGTTCGACTATTTGAGCAAGCTTGTCCAAGATTCCTCTTGAACGGAGTCGCTTCCAGAGCCGAGGATGAGTCGTTTAACTCATTGCTAAGAATTCGAGTTCCAATGCTAAGTCGAAAACTTGACCATTGGTTTTTGATTCCCAGAATAGCTAAAGTATAATGAAACAATTTGGAGTACAGTATAAATCCCCTTGAGGATTCTCACTTTCGTGCTTGTTTGCTATAGAGTCTTGGGTTCACCCCCCATTGGAAACAAAATGAGAGAATGGAGTATGGTGAATACAAAAAGATCTCAGGGGAAAGTATAAGCTACTGGCTTACATCCATCCTCTTGAAAGCTTTCTGTACCTGAGATTCCCAATTCGTCATCGCGAGGACAACCCACTCCAAGGTCCCGACGCAATAAAGCGCAACGCACTGGCCTATCCAGAGCCCTTTGAGACCCCAGCCATGGAATGCCAGGTATATACCCAGAGGCAAGGCAAAGCAGTAATAACTCACAATATTCACTGCAGCACCCAAATGCTGCCGACCCATCCCTCGAAGGCTTCCACCACAGCTTCCATTCAAACCATCTGCAATTTGGAACAGCGCAACGAATGGCATAATATCTGCTGTCAATTCAACGACCCGTGGATCATTATTGAATATTTTTGCAAAATGATCCCGAGTGCCCATCAAAACTGTAAGCACCAAAGCGCCATAGATCATAGAAAGTACAGCCGACGAGTGGGCGGTTACTGAAGCGCCCTTTGCATTGCGTAAACCCAACTGATTACCGAGCCGAGAAGACGTTGCAACGCCGAGGCCGAACGGAATTGTATTTAGGATTCCATCAGCGGTCATGATGACACTCTGTGCTGCAAGTGGAATAGTTCCAAGTCGTCCGGCTACCAGCGCAACGATTTCAAATGCCCACCATTCTGTGCCGACGTGGAAAAAACCGAGAATGGCCAGCCTTGTGAAAGTTCCCAAGTTCTCAAAAGCTGCCCATGACCACCCGCCCCAGCACTCCGAACCAGCAATGAATCGAGCATATAAAACCAAGAGCAGGAAAGATGTCCAATATGAAATTCCTGCTGCAATTGGACCAGCCAGGAGTCCGAAATTCAGGGTGTAACAGAGCAGATAACATAGCCCTGCATTGAGTGGCGAGGTGATCATCAGAACATACGTTCCAGCTCTCATTATTCCTGTATTGTAATATGTCAGAAGATTGTCGGTACTCACATGGGTAATTGAAGTTTTTTTCTCACCTTGAGCTTGCAAGAATTTCTTCATTGTCTCGAAGTAAATATACCCCAGACCACCGGGGATAAGCACGGTTAAGAAACGGGAAGTTTGATAAGAGAGCTCAGGGTCCTGACCAAGAGCCAAGAAAAATGCATTCGAGCAGGCCCACAAGACACACACAGGGATATAGAGCAGGCTTAGAACCAAGAATGCACGTTGAAGGAGAATCCCAAGATCATGTTTGTTTCCGCTTCCAGTAAACGTAGATGAAGCAAGAGTATCCAGGGCAGTCGTTCCACCGAGCGCGATCATCCAGCCAGTGACAAATGCAAACATCATTGAGAAGGCGGTGACAGCGAGATTCATCGGAGATGAATGTCCAATAATGACCACCGTGGCGGTTTGTAGACTCATCTGGAGCGTATAGGCCAGAATTACGGGAAGTGAACTTTTGGTCAATTCCCAGAACTCGGTCAATAGCCGTCGCACTCGCCTCAGGTTGAGCCCATCTCCTCGCAAGGAATCATCCGGCCGAGTCCTGTCTTCTGGATCAATTGGTTTGGGGAGAAGTGAAGTATATTCGTTCGGGGGCGTGTCATTCGAATCGTCGAATTCGCCATCGAGAGATGATGTATCAGCGTGATGCATTTTGGAGTGCGTGAAGGTCTAATAACAAAACGCGTCGACTTTCTTGTCAGCAGACGAAAGTGAGAAATGGTTGAGAGCCAAAATCTCAAAGTCCCGCTCTTACAGTATGGCGGATGATTCCCCTTCAAAAGGTATGTCTTACAAAAAGTAGACGTTATGGCGATCAGATAAGTTTTTACTGCACGAGTAGCGTTTAACTGTAGTAGCCGAGAACTAAGACCATTCCCTGAGATGGCTTGGACTGACGATAATCTACCTCAAGATAGGAAAGTCAATAATATATACGTCCGAAATCGGGCCATGGAATCTCCTGAAAGATGATCGGCTGAGTTGGCCCATCCTAACCTCAGTGATGCTGCCGTGCATTGAAGCGAACGCTAGGCGGGGGCTCTGCTGTACTGAGATAAACTTCAATGACACATGCCTTATCAGTTACGAGAACAGATATCAAACTCATGTTATTCGAAACAGGGGTGTCAAAGGTTCCGTTATCTTAATCAGAACACGGAATGGCGGGGTCTTTCGTTCTCCAGACATTGTCCCGATTTGGAAGGTTGATTGAACTGCGGTAGACCTTTATCTATTGGCCACTAGTGTCATTATGCAAGCCGTGTTTGAGCTGGCTCACGAGTGACTGGCAAGTTAGAAATCCTGCGTTTCTAATACGTCCCGCTTCGATGCACTAGCAATGCCAACACAATTATCCCGAAGTCAACATATCAGGAGATAAGACCAAAGTACCCGATTGATATTGAGTTGAAGCATTTTATCTCGTAATTTGAACAACCTTAAATTCTCAACGTGTATTAGCTTCATTTCTCCACGGCCCTTTTCGCTATTTATCATATAGTCTTTTATTCTAGATTCCACAGAGGCTCGGGTGAGAATGCAGGGCAGATACTTGCATCCACGCCTATTTGGTCGTTCTACGACTCGCTGGGTCTTTAGATAACCAATGACAAAGCAGGCTGTATAAACTCAAGCGTGGAGGTTTTAATCAATTGGGTTGAGACAAGCCAAAATGTACAAATTCCCAAAAGCCGTTGATACTTGAGTTTGGCTCACTCGGCTGAAACTTCAACGACTGTATCATATTCGGGGTTAACCCAGGTTGGCTGCGACCCGTTACTCCTCATTAACCCTCCATACTTGTGGAGACCCCCAAAGAGCAAGGCGCCTCCAAACAGAACGATCAAGCCTTGCGAGGTAAATGTCCAGGTCCAACCAGATGAGGCTTGCCAAGGTGCAATGAAGAACTAGCCATGTCGAAATTAGCAAGATATTAGGACACAATACCGTATGATCGGCTTAACTTACCGGATTTATAAATGCACTCAGATTGAGAAAAACGGCATAAAATGTGATGACACTCGTGGATTGCAAAGGATAGCAGTCGACAATATAACTGGTGGTAACAGTATTGCCAATCTGAATTCCAGCCGCAACTGTTTCATCGTCAGTTTCTGCAACGGAATCACCCCAGACAGAGTCATCTCTTACACAAGAAAAATGCAACCTGTCCAACCATCCAGTGGTACTCTTTATCAACACTGCTGCCCCACAGTATTGAGCCCACTACACAATTAGTCGAGTCTAGCATAGAGTTTCTTCAGTCAAGCTTACCTGCTGTAATCACAAGAGCGGGATATGCCAGCCACAACCGCATTTCCGCAACGCGAACATTACCCCGTTTTTTCGCAAGCTTCTCAACGATGTAATCACTCAATCGCCCAGAGCAGAATATCTCTGAGATTACAGTACCCAGAAGCAAGCCAAGGAATAAGAGTCCTTGTATGAGCGGCGTATAGCTTGCATACGCGGCTGGTACCATGGTGATGACGGATAGAACCCACCAGTACCAAACGAAAGAATATCCGATGACTGCGATAGAGACTGTAGGGAACATGAAGGTGATGAAAAAGCGGGTGATCGAGTCCCACGGCTTAGGATGCCGCATGCCGGGAACTGGTCGCAAGTTGATGAAAGGTAGACGTTTCGTTCGACGCAGGTCCGAATTCAAGTCTTCGGAGAACATCACTTCAGTGGTTGACTCCGGCCCCAGGATTCCCTGCTTCTCTGTAAGGGTGGGATTGCTCGTAATCGTACTCCCTTGATGGAGGAGCATTCTCTGTCGAGGATAAAGCGTCTCTGGCATGAAGAACAATTCCAGTACCAACAGCACGGCAAATAGGATTGCGTTGAACCAGTTAATCCATGCTGCGCTTACTAGATCTAGGAAGCCACCCACTAGTAAATCGTATCTGTTAGCATGGTCCTCCGATGGAAGGAGTGGAGAGTCGCACGGGTCGGTCCGAGAAGTAGTCCAGAATCTATCGCCAAAACCCATAATCCAAGCTTCTGGCCTCGCTCGTAGTCAAAGAATAGATCGTTCACTTAAATTTTTAGCACGTAAATGCTAATCAGGTAATGAGAAGACCCACCAACAGCCATCCCAACAGTTGAGGCAGGACTAACACCAAAGCCCTGGAAAAATCGGGCAGCCATGTATCCAGAATAGTTATCAGCGACAGCTGCTCCAATGGTCGAAACCAAAGCAATAGTGGTTCCAACTAGGAAGATGAGACGACGACCATAAATGTCACTCAGAGATGACCATATAAGAGGCCCAACGGATAGACCGAGGGCAGGTATAGCGACAGTCCAATTCACTTGTGAATAACTGATCTGATACTGATCTTGGATTTCAGGGAATGAAGGTACTGTTGTCGTTGTGAGGTACGTGAAGAGGAAATATCTGGCCACAGTAAAATCGAGGTCAGCACATTTTCAAGATTCTCTTGTTGCTGGCTTGGACGATACATCGAGCGCTTGTCATCTCCAACGACCGATATTGAAAGCACTCACTTGAGCATTACAATTGCCAGTATAACATGTTTCTGCATCTTTGGCCAATTTAATGGATCCAATGGGTCATTGGTCGGCTGTGGGTGGACTTTAGTCCCATTTGGTGAACCTCCTGCATCGCAAACAAGGTGATGGTCACCCTTCTCGACTGTAACTGGCGTCTTTTCAGAAGAGGGACCGAGTCCGTCGCTTTTGCCTGCTTTGTCTATCTGTTTTTCTTCACTCATATTTCAGGATTCCTTTCTTGGTAGCTTTCTAAAGACCAAGCTCAAGGGGTAAAGATTCGAACAACGATTTGCCTTCCAGGATGCTAGGCTCTCAAAGGGCGTATTTTAATAACGAATTAACAAGTTCGATTCCTCTAAAATGAAATACTAAGTCTATATCTACCCCAACTCTATATGAGCGTTTGAACTCATATATTTGGAGCACCTCCATATCCTTGCAGGGTCTTATCAGTAAACCGACATCAACGCCTGGAGTGCTCACGAAGGTTAACCTAAGGGCGAATGAGATGGAGAAAACTAATCTTGAAAAATAAGCGCTCACTTCAATAAAAGTTCTAGCCCGCAAGTCGTTCCGGTCCTTCCTATTTCTCATTTCTTCTTCTTAACTAGAAGTAATAAAGAATGTAAAGCTTGTTGTCCTCCGCGGGGATGCGATCTGCCTGCTTACTCCGTTTTCGGACAGAAACCTCCAAGATCGCCAATAACGACCCGGCGATAAGCCACGTCAAAGACCAAACCCCAGATAGATCCTTATCTTGTTTTCCCCTGTAGTACGTACTGATAGGTTTGCGCTCTCCCCCGGCCTTCCCTTTTTGTATGTTGAATTTTATTTGTTTTTTTGAAACGTTAATTATTCCATGTGGCCTTCCATAAGGTCTGACATGGCCAAGCCGCGATCCCCCGGAATGTACAGTTCATCTTGGTATCTCAATCGGGAAGGCAGATAGAGAGGACGGCATTGAGGAGATAGTGATTCAATTCCATGAATAAGCCTTTAATCGTGCAATCGGAGGCCTACGTCAATCCATGCTGATCTATTTCGTAGAGCAATTGCTGGATATGGGTAAAGAGGGAAGACAGGGCAATGCCAGGTACGATAACACAGCTCTAACCCAAAATTGCAGAAAGTAAATAGATCAGGCGCAGTACCTAGAGCAAAAATCCGGGGTCCATCGTGATATTTTGCATATATATCTCGAGCAACTCTTCTCGCTAAGGTCTCATACATCAAATCTATCTCTTGTCACCGTGAGGGGTCATTTGGATTTACTTTTTACCCAATTCGATCATACCATGATGATTACCACGAAGGCACTCAGCCTTCTCTTTCTCTCCGCTCTTTCAGCGGCTCATGGAGACCATGGGCAGGCTCCTATGTCCGGGCCACATAAAGGACTATGGTATAACACGCTGCCAGGAGATGGCGGTACGCAGGTATGAGACTCGGCTGAACGGCATGTTACGTACTGTGCAAGTTTGAGTACCTAATGGCTTGAAACAATGCATCTAGGCCGACTCGGTATTCTCTGGTATCTCAACCTTCGGTCGCCTTCCCTACTTTCCATGCCTCTCGAGCGAGGATGAGAGCTACGACATTGCTTTCCTAGGTGAATACATCGCCATTCCGGTTGATCCTCATTATACCCTTCAGAAGTTCATGTTGCTCTAGGGGCTCCCTTCGATACCGGTACTTCTTACAGACCGGGTGCTCGCTTTGGACCAAGTGGTATCAGACAAGGATCACGCCGTCTCAATCTCTAGTATGTTTCAATGTTCTGAGAACCCAATACCATCTTTCAATCTTGGAGGTTAACCACAGTGGAATAGTGGCGGCTACAACGTGCCTCTCAAAGCGAATCCATTCGTTAGCGATTTGAAGGTCATAGACTGTGGTGATGTTCCAGTGACCTCGTATGTGGCCCCATAAGATTTACAATGTCCAGAAACGTCAAAGCTGACGGACATATTTCTCTCGCAGCTATGACAACTCGTGGGCTATTCAGCAGATCGAGGAAGGCCACAACAGTGTTCTCATGCGCAAGCCGTTTACCGATGCCCATAAGCCAGGTCTGTCGCGAGCAGGCAAAACCCTCCCTCGCGTTATCACTCTTGGAGGTGATCATACTATTACCCTGCCCCTGCTACGGAGCATCAACAAAGCCTATGGCCCTGTCACGGTCATTCACTTTGACAGCCATCTGTAAGAAAACCCACGGCGTTTCAAAGCTCATAAGTCTATGTCGGAAGAATGGGACGAGTTTCTGACAAATTCTTTCATCCAGTGACACATGGAAACCCAAGGTCTTCGGCGGTTCTCCCAGCCAAGTCGCTGCCATCAACCACGGCACTTACTTCTATCACGCTGCGATGGAAGGTCTGCTAAGGAACGACACCAATATCCACGCCGGTATCCGCACGACTCTCTCCGGCCCCTCGGACTACGAAAACGATGGATACTGCGGTTTCGAGATCGTCGAAGCCCGAGAGATTGACACCATTGGCACCGACGGCATCATCAAGAAGATTCGGGACCGCGTCGGCACAGAGAACCCTGTCTACCTGTCAATCGACATTGACACTCTGGATCCAGCCTGTGCGTTATGCGTCAACTGAATTCCCAAAACCTAATCTTGATCAATTACTGATTTTTGATATTTAGTTGCCCCGGCTACTGGTACCCCCGAAACTGGCGGTTGGTCCACGCGTGAATTGCGTACCATTATCCGCGGTCTCGACGGTCTGAACTTTATCGGTGCGGATATTGTCGAGGTTGCACCGGCTTACGATACAAATGCAGAGTTGTCCACAATGTGAGTTTCTTCTTTCCTCGATATGTGGAAACTCGAAATTTTCAGGATCGAGCTAACTATTTGGTTTACAGGGCGGCTGCGGATGTGTTGTACGAGGTTCTTACTATCATGGTGAAGAAAGGTCCTCTGTCGGTTGAGGGTCGGTTGCACGAATTGTAGGAAGCATGGTTACTTATGGTAGCTGGTTACGGTCTCTCTGATGCGTTATTGAGTTCGACTGGAGTTCGTAGGAGGTGGACGGTTGTTGATGATGAACGTGTAACGTTGCGATCATGACGCAGTATTTAAGAAAGCTACAAAACAGCGCTCAATTGTGAATCTTGTATCGGTTCATGATATTCAAGTTTTTTAGTCTCGAAAGCAACTCAACTGCCTATATCGATAGTGAAATTTGACACCAACCTTTGTCACGCTGAAATTTCAGAATCCCAGATTCAGGAATATTTTTAAAGATATAATATAAATCCTCAAATTTGGTATTTGTCTAGCTCACCCTCGTTCCGGGAGGTTTGCTTTCCCATAGCGGCAGACCAGGTATGCTCGGGACTGGAGGTAGAAAATCGGTGAGCTTGGCCTGGATTCTTCATACATTATTACGCAGTATGAAGAAGCGTCTGTCCAGAAATATATAACTAGCGACAGCCTATTGCTAACTGATAGAACTTGTCAACCTGTCTGCGATACCAATGATTCTACAACTTACTTCAAATCAAAAAAAGACCCCGAAGACAATTTCCAGTGTCAGAAACCATACTATCTGCTTGTCAATACGGATTTGCTGTCCGTGGTGCCAAGAGCAGCGATTGAGTTATCGCAATTTAAATTAAAAACGTTGCGGTGGGTCGCAAGCCCTCAGCCTTTCTAGGGAGAAGTTTGATTCAAACCAACACGAACCTATGTAGAACGCCATCCCGAGACGAACCGGCCGAGATCAAGAGATGTGTGACTGCTCAATGGAATCCAATGCCAATCCTCAACGGTCGCCCCCTGACACCTGGCGGCGGATGTCCACGGTGATGCGAGTGGTTAGCCTGCCAAAGTGGAGAAGAGAACCAAGCTCGAAACCTGAAACCAACGGTGGGTCTGCTCAATGCAGCTACTCAGGGCCCGGTTCTTCCGGGTGAAAGTCGGCATAGGCCTGGGCACAAGGCATACAAAGTACGAGCTGGATTAACGGTATCGAGTCAGTCAGTTGGGTTGTGGGGGTGGAGCAAGCTGAAGCTGGTCTGTTCGTGGTCCGCGAAGAAACGCGATGGAATCGACGGCGAATGGAAATTGAGAAACGGTAGTATATTGGGTGAAGTGCATAGGACCCGGGAATTGGAAGCATGACGGGTCCAGATAAATATTCAACATTCAGAATATGTAGTCTTCCCTTCCTGTCTACGATTAGCTATACGCTAGTCACGAACACAAGTCAACCAATGTGAAACGAGGTCAGCCTCCAGTGCGTGTCGGGCCGTAAAGATGAGCCAGGCCTGGATCGAAGACCAGTCGGTCTATCAACCTGCAAAGTGGAGCTAAGCAGAATAAAGATCGATCAAAGAAAGATTCTTCATATCCCAAAGCCCTACACAAACAAAGCACTCCGTACAGCAAACCTTACCTCGCATGAGACCGGTTCGAGGCGCTCCACCCACTCGCGCGTGCTAAAAGGTTGCGCAAGGGATGCTTCATTTACTGTTTTGTTCCAAGGGTTAACAACTCAACATAATATACTGCATAAATAAGGCTACGGCTAGCGGGATGGCGTTGCGTTCGTTCATATTCATTCAAAAGAGTTCGTGGCACACCACGTTTAATAATGAACGCGTCGATCATGCGCCATCCGAGCGAGGGCTCGGCCCCCTTGGTTCTGGATTTGGGGCTAGGTCGGCGATTGAGGGTCGTATTCAAGAGGTGGATGTGGTAAGTTGCAGTTCTATACGATCTTGATGTAGGAGATTTGGATCTCAGTTTTGGGCCGGAAATATGGGCTGGGGCTGGCTGGGCCATGTGTCGCAGTTGAGGACAGAAGGAGGATCATACGATTGTCACCTACTTACTGTATTGAGATTGAGCAAATAAACTGACCTATCAGTGTGAATTTTTCCATAATTAATAATGATGAACGGCGGCTATTGAGTGAGTCGAAATTGATTGATATGGGGTTGGACTTGACCTCCACGGACTCCTAGAGACAGTCTGGTCTTCATGCTGGCTTCAAGACGCGCCTCGGAGGTAAATTTGGTCTCAACCTCCCTGTCAGGACTGGCCGGTGGAGCCCCCCGGGATCAGAGGGAAAATTGCCGGATTGGTCGGCTGGCCCGTCTTTGTCCCTGGCCTGGCCTCTTGGTCCCCATCCACGACTGGACAGATGCGAGGTGATCGACATTGGAAAGCACCGTGGTCCGCGAGAGTGGTGGGAGTCGTCAGGATGTCCATGCGAACGCGAGCGGGAAAAGGGGAGCGTGGACATCCTCGGTGCTGGATTTTATTCTTGTGTGGAGGATGAAATGCACCGTTTGTGATAGTTAATAACCTAAAGTCGGAATCTGAAACACCTGCTGGACGTGTCCATGCCAAGCTGGAGAACCGGTGGGCGGCACTGGTTCCCACTTCCTGGTGGTTGGGCGATGGGGATATCGACTGGCTGCATGTGGGATCGGGGGATGATCGGTTGTTTCAACTGTCAGCAGGAGTGCAGCCCAAGTGTATGGAAGAGCAAAAGTACGGTGTTTATGGAGGTGCGGTTCTGGAATTGAGACTCCACCCGTCAGGATTGAAATATCCGATTCATGATTCTCCAACTGGCAGATTCCTGGGACGCGCGTGGTTGATGGAGAACCGTGGAAACGCCGTGGGGCTGGCCGTGCGAGCCGTTTAACATTCCAGGAGACATTGAGAACAGAGTATTGACGTATCTAATGACTATTATGATTATTATACTTACAGTCCTCCCTACTCTATCTCCTCAATTCCCCCCCTCACCTCCACCGACTCGGAATCATTGACAGAATGGACGGGTCACGGTAGGGGGTAACCTGGTCCGGTCCAGGCTCCGTCTGTAGTGTCTGGGGCTGGCGAACCGGAGTGGCGGCTATAGTTAGTGCAGTTCATAGTCCGGCGATGATGCCCCCTCTAGTCCAGTTGCCTAGTGATAAGTCATGTAATAGTGACCATTCACTAACTAGTTAGGTATGAGGCTAGAGAGAAGAAGTTAGTCAAGTGGTAGTGTTCGCTAGACAGAGTCGTCAAGAGTAATAATAGTGTACAGTGTACGGTAGTGGTCAAGTTCCCCTGACCCAGACTTTTCTGTCCACTGGAACACTCCCGCCAGACAAAAAGAAGACAACACAGACAACAAGACCAACAGACCAAAAGACCAAAAGACACCGCACAAACTTTGTATAGACCCAGTGTGAGGTGGTTCTCCCTCCTGAAACTCTAACTCTCTCCATCTCTCTCTCTCGCTCGCTCTCGCGCTCTCTCTTCTCCCCCCTTCGGTTCTGGACATCTCATTGCCATTGCCAATTGCCAATAATCATCATCATCCATTGCCAATCCCCCATCCCCCCTTCCTCCGTCTCCACCATCCATCCATCAACCACTCCGAATCCTCCTTCATCTTAATCGGAGCTAATCCGCCTGCAGTTAGCCCGCGCACGGCCTTACTCCAGACGTTGCGCGGTGCTTTTCCACCTCCTTACCCTCCCTCGCCGTCTTGACTGGGGATTTCATTTCTGGCAATTGCTTGTTTCTTTTGGTGAGAGAGGACCGTCTGAACGCTCCAGGTACGTCCTTTCCCTTCATCCGCTGTCCGCAGTCATTCCACAGTGCTGTGGTGCGACCGAATTTCAAGGCACTGCCCAAGTGCCTTTTTTTTTTTGGTTCCATCGCGCCAAAAAAAAATTAAGGGGTTTCTGGGTCTGGACACTAATCCTCGCAACTCTCCACACTCTAGACAATCCCCTGTCTCGATCACTCCTGATGATTGCGACTCTTTAACATCGCCGACGAACAACCTCACTTTCTCTGACGTCTTCTTTGAACACCCTCCCCTTTTTTCCCACCCGGCGTGGTTTCTCCCCAGGAGAATGACCGTCTCACCGCCAGCGTCACCGACGGGTCCCGCCCCGCGGCCCATCAGCGCGCTGATGCGCACGCCGCGCAGCAACAGTCGCATGAGCATGAGCAGTCGGCATGGCGGAAGTCGCGCGTCCGACGAGGATGGCAAGACCGCAGTCAAAGTTGGTACGTCATCTTTCAAATCCTCCCGATATCCCGCCTGCGGTGCGCGTGTACGGCAGCGGCATGGCCAACGGCAGTGCGACCCAAGGAGAGGATAGAGGCAACACAGATAGAAGCGTGGGAATAACAATCAACTGACTGGCACGACAGCTGTCCGAGTGCGACCACCTCTAAAGCCCACCGACCCCGGATACGAGTTGATTCCCCAGCGATTCCAACGGTCCATGGTTCACGTTACGAGCCCAACCAGCGTTGCGGTCGATGTCCCCCAAGGTCGCAAATTGTTTGTGTTCGATCGCGTCTTCCCCGAGACGGTGGAGCAGGATGGTGTTTGGGAATATTTAAACGACAGTGTCAACTCGTTCATTCAGGGGTACAACGTTTCCATATTGGCGTACGGCCAGTCTGGTGCTGGAAAATCATATACGATGGGCACATCCGGACCCGCTGAGCAGGAGAATTCTAGCGCGATGGGTGAGTTGGCCGGCGAAAGGCCAGATGGAGAGATTTATTGAAGCGGCTAGCTGATTGACAATCTCAATCTAGGTATCATTCCTCGGGCTGCGCAGGCTTTATTTGAAAAGCTTGATGGGCCAAAACATGCCCGCAATGGCTCCAGTTCGACCGGTCTCCGAACGCCGCAACGATATTCCATGAGCTCGGCCTCGAGTCTCTCGAGGGCACCGGTGGAAAAGAACTGGCAATTGAAGGCCACCTACGTTGAGGTACATCTCTTCGTTGCTGTGCATCACCATCACTTTCAAAAGCTGACATTCCTTGTCTAGATCTACAACGAACATCTTCGCGACTTGCTTCTTCCCGACTCGGTTTCCGCCGGGGACCGCGGCTCTGTCACCATCCGCGAGGACGCCAAGGGCCGTATTCTTCTAACCGGCCTGCACCAGGTCAACATCAATTCATTCGAAGACCTCATTGGAGCTCTAAACTTTGGCTCGACGATTCGCCAGACCGATTCAACCGCGATTAACGCCAAATCTTCTCGTTCGCATGCCGTATTCAGTCTGAATCTCATCCAGCGCAAAACTTCGACGCAAACGATGTCCCCCAAGGAAAAGCGCATGTCGATGCCGGTGGATTCTTACTCCAGTGGCGAGTCCGTCACTGTCGACAGCAAGCTTCACTTTGTGGACTTGGCAGGTAGTGAACGTCTTAAGAACACGGGTGCTTCAGGCGAACGGGCCAAGGAGGGTATCTCTATCAATGCCGGTCTGGCTGCCCTCGGCAAGGTCATCTCGCAACTTTCTTCTCGCCAATCCGGCTCTCACGTTTCCTATCGTGACTCAAAACTCACCCGTCTTCTGCAAGATTCCTTGGGCGGCAATGCAATTACATACATGATTGCCTGCGTCACTCCTGCTGAATTCCACCTCAGTGAGACCCTCAACACTATCCAGTACGCGCAACGTGCACGAGCAATTCAGAGCAAGCCTCGCATTCAGCAGGTCGCCGACGATGGCGACAAGCAGGCTTTGATCGATCGCCTCAAGGCGGAGGTTGCCTTCCTCCGCCAGCAGATTCGCAACGCCGAGGGCTCTGACCGCCGGGAAGCAGCCTCCACGGAACGGAACGACCGCAAGAATGAGCGCGAAATTCAGCTACAGAACCAGCTGCTTGATGCCCAGGAGAGCTACAACGCCCTCAGTCAGCGCCACACTAAGCTGATTTCCCAACTGGCCAATGAGTCGGCCACCAATGGAGAGTCCGAGGGACACCCGGATGACTTGGGCAAGAGTTCGATTGAAAGAATCCAGCGGTCTAAATCATTTGCCGAATCTGTGGAGCAGGTCGTTGTCGAGTACGAAAAGACCATTCAGGCCTTGGAGTCGTCTCTGTCTGATACTCGTGCTTCCTTGGCTACTTCGGAAAGCACCCTGCTAGAGCGTGAGACCAAGTGCACCTATGTCGAGACGGTGAACTCGCAGCTTCAATCGCGCCTGCAGAAGCTGCTAGACCGCGAGGCCAGCACTGAAACGTACCTTCACGAGCTAGAGTCCAAGCTGGACGGTGCTTCTACCGGAGAGGAGAAGCACGCTACCATTGTTGCTGAGCTGCGCAAGGAGCTCAGCCGTGCTCGTGAGAATGAAGTAGGCTGCGAGGAATACATCTCTACCTTGGAAGACCGCCTCGCCGAAGCTGATCAGGACATGGAGCTGATGCAGCGTGAGGTGATCCGACTGGAGCATGTTATTCAGCGCCAGCGTGGCCTGGGAGCCCTAGACAGCCTACTTTATGACCTCGACACCCGCCGCCAGCAACAGAACGGCGATGAGGAGCCGCACGTCAACGGCACCGACCCTTCCCACATTCCCGCGCCCGTAAAGACGTCCCATCACAAGCACACTCCATCCTTGGATGTTCTGAACGAGGCTGCCGAAACGGCCATCCCCGAATCTGACGAGGGCCTGGCTGAGCCAATCCCTGAAGAGGAAGAAGAAGAGCCTGCCAGGGAGGTCGAAGTGGCCACAGAGGAACCAGGCGAGGATCTCAAGGTGCTTGAGAATGTGACTAGCCAGCTTCAGGCCCGTCGCGCTGAAGCTGTCTGTGAAGAGCCGGTTGCCAGCCCCGCGCAGTCCAAGTTTGTCGTCGACAAGCTTGAGACTGTCACTCAGGAGCTTTTCGAGCTTCGTCTCAGCCATGAGAACACTCTAAGTGACTATGAGATGCTCGAGGCCAAGTACGAGGAGGCCCTGAAGGCGCTCGCTGGACTCCAACAGGATAAGATTGATGAGGCTCGTCACCCAGCCCCCGCAGTTCAGAACGGACCTTCGCGCCCCATCTCTTTTTTAGAGGATGCAACCGTTCCGACCTCGAAGTCTGGAGCACAACACTCATTCTCGCAATCACTCTCCTCGGAATTGTCCTCGGCCGGGGAGTCGCCTGCTTTGCGCGAGCTTTCTGAGTCCAGGCACGACACTGCTTCCACACCTGCCACCCCCATCGCCTCTTCTGTCATCGCTGCTGCGGATGCTGAAGAAGCCGAGAAGATGCGCAAGGTGCTTGCTGATCATCAGGCTGACGCCGACCGGATGACCCAGAAGTACGCCGAGCTCCAGACCGAGCACGAGGAGATCCTCACCCTGGTCGAGAAGTTGAAGGCTGAGGCCGAGGCTCATCGCCACAAGTCCAGCCCTCCTTCCACTCCTGGCTTCAAGATGATCCGTCGGATGACCAGCCAAAACCTTCTGTCTGGTGTCGACCGTGCTCACCGGTCACTCACCGCGCTCCGGACCATCGCCAGTGAAGAGCTTTCTAGCAAGCCCGAAGTCTACCAACACTTCGAGGCCAATCTGGATGCCACTATGCACGAGCTTTCTACTCGCATGGATCGTCTGCAGTCCCTGGAAGCTGAGAACCAAAGCGTTAAGAAGGAGATGGAGATGAAGGCTACTATCATTTCCGGTCTCACCCGAGAGCGATCCAGCTTGCAGGGTGCTTCGTCTGTCGACATGGCACTTGTTACCCAGCTCCGTGACCAAGTCGTGAACCAGGAGAACCAGATCCAGGAGCTCCGCGTCGCCCATGAAGCCCGTGAGAAGCAGCTGTTGGCCGAGATCGAGAACCTGAACGCTCTTTTGAAGAGCCAGGAGGTCGCGGCCAAGGCCTTGGACGCTGGTGCCGAGGAGCAGGACAAGAAGATTGATGCCCTTGAGGGTGAACTGTCGGAGTGGAAGGGCAAGCACCAATCTGCACTGGAATCTCTACAGGCTTCAGAGCAGCAGCTTGCCACTACTCTGGCAGAGCTGGAGTCTTCTCTGGTCGCCGTCGAGGCGATGCGCTCGGAGCGTTCTAGTTCCAACGAAGCATCTGCTGACAAGGAGGCTGCCGCACAGGCCCTTGAAGCCGAACGCGCGAAGCAGCAGGAACTAGTGGATAGTCTCAAGAAGGATATCGAGGACCACAAGACTACTATTTCCACCCATGTCGATACGATCGCTACCCTGGAGAACTCCCACACAGATCTTCAGAGGCAACTTCTTGCACAGTCATCTGCTACCGATATCAACAATGCACCGGTCGATACCGCCCGCATCGCTGAGCTCGAGCAGGAGATCTCCACGCACAGATCCGCCATCGACTCCCACAAGAGTGACCTGGACTCGCTTCAGGAATCTCACAAGCGTGAACTTGCTGAGCTTGAGGAACGTACCCGGGCCGCAGGGCAAGCCGAGCAAGACTCTCGCCTTGCTGAAAAGGACGGCGAGCATGACAAGGCGATGGCAGCTCTGCAGAAGGAAATTACTGATTCCCGTGATGAGCTGGTACACTTGCTCAAATCCGTCTCGTCGCTCCTCAACTCCGATGTCACCAGCGCAACGCTCGGAGACCAAATCCAAGACGTTTTGGCTCAGAAGCAGCACTTCTCTGAGAAGTACTCTGAACTCATGGATGCCAATGAGGATCTGCGTAAGCAGCTTGAGGCTGCCGGCGACATTGAAGAATTGAACAAGAAGAATGCCACCCAGGAGGCCAAGGTTAATGAGCTGGCTCTCTTGGTTGCCACCCTGGAGGACACTCTTCGCCAGAAGGATGAGCAGGTTAAGAAGAAGGAGGCTCTTGTTGAGGAGATCACCGTGGAGAAGCAGAAGAGTGTGCGCCTGGTTGAGGAGCTTGAGGAGCAGATCACCAACAGCTTCGACCAGCACCACAACCGTCTTTCTGTCATCCAGCAGGAGCGTGACCAGGCTCTTGAGGACGCCAAGGCTAGGATCGTCATTCTCGAAAGGGATATCGAGACCTACCGCGTGCGTATCGAGCAGCTTGAGCTTCAACTCAAGAACGGAACATCCGATGGTTCCCACGACCGCAGCAGCTCCCTCACTTCTAACCTGCGCAAGAGCACATCGGCAGCTTCTTTGCCCTCGCCTCCTCCCGCCATTCCTCTCCCTCCTCTTCCATCCATCGCTTCTGCCACCAACGGCACTGGTAGCGTGTCCCCGCCTAGCTCGCGCCATGCCAGCAAGGAGCTGGTGAATGCACAGATCGTCGAGGACCAGGAAGCCCGCATCCGTACAATCGAGAAGCACCTGTATGCCGAGAAACAGTTGACTGCCACCCTCGAAGAAGCCCTTGGCGACCTCGAGGCCCAGAGCAATAAGGTCAAGAACGACTGCGAGAACTGGAAGAAGAAGGCCTGGGGACTCGAGGATGAGCTGTCAACTCTCCGCAAGGAGCGCAACTCCGCCCGCCTGTCTCTCCAGGCTGTCGAGGAGGAGCGCAGTGCCCGCAAGGAAGCCGAGGCTGCTCGGGCCCAGCTGGAGGAGCGCATGAATGCGCTCAACAAGAAAAAGAAGAAGAGCACCCTCAACTGCTTCTAAACCGTGCCATCGGCCCGATCACCTTCTGTCACATACCCGCCCTCCACAAAAGCGTGTTGTGTTCTTTACTTTTACACCTGTCATTACCGCCCTGACCCCTGGATATGTACACTTTTCTTCTTCTGCTTCTACTTGTTTCATACCCTTTTTTCTCACTTTTTATCTTTGATCTGAATTCCCGCGATCCGTTTATGCCCCCTTCGCTAACTACCTCCCACATACCACCCCCTCACCAATTCCCTGTATTATGACACGTGCCTGCTTTCTCTTCATCGTCGATTGCCTCGATACCTCTTCTGCCCTTCAGTCCTGTGACATAGTAAACCAGTGACTACTTTCTTGATGCACAGTCCACTTCCACCGCAATTTTCTACTTCCCCTTACATACTTCTACTTTTTTTGTGGTTATCTTCTTGCGCTTGCTACGACAACCCTCGTTTTTTTTATGACTGGTAGATTCTGAACCTGTGTCTGGATTTCTCAATTGTACATTTTTCTTATTGCCGTTGGAGATCTCTAGATTGAATAGTGCTAGTGCTTAACTGGTTCCTTCATTGCTTGTTGCCCGTGGAGGTCGGTTTGATGACTTTCCTGAATCCACCTTCGCTTTGTGATTTGTATTTCTTTCTTTTTCTATGTGGATAATTGATATCGGCTGTACCATTGGAATTATTGCCTTGAAGGCCGAACATACACCCAGCAAGTGTCTATCTAGGCTTGCCTTGGCAGATCCTCTTGAAACTAGATCATAAAGCAGAGTTATGGATAACCTGGATTTTCTCTTGTCCAAATAATCGAAGACGACAGAGAGCTACCACTTTTATAGCTTCCACGTCCAAGCCTTCCCAGCTGCACCCTCGATTCTCACCCACAGCGTCGCCACACTCGCCGCGAACAGCAAAACTCCAACAGTTATAGTCGCTCTTTCATAATTTAAAGGAGCCGTCAATGCAGACTGTCCGGGTAATAGTAGGCCGGTCAAAGGTGTCCCGAGCAAGGCACCCACGCCTCGAATGAGATACAACGCCCCATTAACCGACGTGAAGTGTTGGACACCAAACAACTCGATCAGACTAGCTGGGAATAGCGAGATGTACGCACTGCCAAAGCAACCATACAAAATAGCAAACAAAATGAAGAGCACATCTGCCGCAGTCCCAGAGATAGCGTTATCCGCGAAAGTGGCAGGAAGCCAGAATGCAAAGACGGCGATCGAGCTCATGATAGTCGTCAGGAACAGCACATTCAACCGACCATATTTGTCAGCCATGTATCCGATAACGATGCGTGAAACGAAATTCGCCGCATTGCTGATGGTGATGAAATTATCCGCCATACTATCACTATACCCCAGGGACCGTGCAAAGGCCGCGTAGAAGAAAAGCGGCGTCGCGTACCCAGATGACTGCAGGAAACAACCCAGAGCTTGCGAGGCAAACTTCTTGGACTTGGCCACACGCCAGTTCACCAATGGGACGTTGATCCAGCCAGTCTTCCTGGAGATTCCAGCCGTCTGGCCACGAACCTTGTTCTTGAAGTTAGCCTCCCAGCGTAACGTGAAGCCCGCCAGAGGAACGAAGAGAATGACCAAACACCCGGAGATACGCAGCGCATTCCGGAATCCAATGTGAGAAGTGATTGCCCGTAGCACGGGGGGCCAAATCATTCCGCCACAGGCTGAGCCCGAAATAACGATGCCCATTGCTAGACCTCGGCGCTTGTCGAACCATGTTGGCGCGACGGACATTGTCGGTACGTAGGCCATGCATGTACCCATGCCAACAAGTACCCCTTGTGTGAGGGCGAATTGCCAGACGTATTCGCTTAGACTGGCGAGGATGCAGCCCAGTCCGAATACAACACCGCCGGACATGATCACTGGTTGTGGACCGTATAACTTTGCCCAGGTCATGACGAAGGGCCCGCCCATGGACATGACGGCGATGGAGAGTGTTCCGATCAAACTGATGATTGAAGACGATGCCCCGGTGAATGGGGTCTGGGGTTGTTTGGCCATTTCCTCGTAGATAGCTTGGTATACACCGTAAGCGAAGATAATCGAGCAGGTCATGAACATGATTATGAAGCCTGCTGCAACGATCATAGCCTGTCGCCTATATAGGTATTTGGTCAATAGTACGATTTGAGAGAAGGGAATGAACCTGCGTAGTCATTGCCCTTAGAGAAGAGCTTACATTTTGGTTGGCGGAGGAAGCTCATCTTGGGTGACCAGCGCTTGAATTGCGCGCTCGGGAGCAGCACGATCGTTAGGTGTTTGAAACCCCTCTTCCTCCTCCATTATGGTTGTTTGATTGTTTAACTAGGTCCACATAGAGCTGGTTGTGTCAAAGAAACAGATTATGCTCCTTCACGCGACCGCAAAGAAGACCGAGTTAGCTCGGCCGGATACACGGCATCGAGGCCGTCGAACTTAGCCGATAGGGCGATGCCCCCACAATATGCCCCAGATTGTGTGGCAATATAGGAATACAGTTCATTGGTATTCTGTATTTTTGAACGACATTCTGCACACTCGAAACTTCTTCGTAAACTTCGATCTTTTGATCAAAGTTTGTAGTCTGATGATCTTTCCTGAAATCCGGCGATGTCACTGTCAAGTAAAAGCCGGTACAATCTATATCCATCGGTAGACGGAGCAAGCTGCGATCCGAGTGGTCAGCCTTAAATAAGCAGTAATCGCAAGATAGATAGGTCTATGAGATATACGCATCGAGCGCAATATGATCATTCCGTCGTGACGAATCTTCTCAAAACAAATAACATAAACACTTTATGCCCCATATAAAATTTTGGCTGGCAGTTAGATACAGTTAAAGTTGCTCAAGGTCGTCATGTGATGACGTACTTCCCACGTGTCTTTATCGTAGCTTTCGCGGGACGCGCTGACTATCGATAGCTATCGACACAAGCTCTCCAACAGACAGGCTTCAAGCTGCTCGCCCACCATGTCGGGCCTCAAACCTTCCAATGTCATCATAATCCACCCTGATCTAGGCATTGGCGGCGCGGAACGCCTCATCATCGATGTTGCGCTAGCCCTGCAGAACCGCGGCCACCGAGTGGCAGTCTACACCTCCCACCGCGACAAGACGCATTGCTTTGAAGAGGCGCGCGATGGCACACTTGATGTTCGTGTGCGTGGGAACACGATATTTCCGGCCCATATATTCGGGAGGTTTCATATCCTCATGGCATCACTGCGCCAGCTCCACCTGACCGCAACTCTGTTGACGGAACTAGGATCGAGGGGTAGTTCAACAGTAAAAGACAAGGCGGCCCCTGGAGAAGAAGACCAAGACGACATTTTTATTGTGGACCAGCTTCCGGCATGTGTTCCAATTCTAAAGACCTTTGGCCAGCCCCGCAAATCCCACCGCCAACGAATCCTCTTCTACTGTCATTTCCCTGATCAATTGCTTGCGCGACGGAACGAAGGAGGCTCCCTCTTGCGACTAGCCAAGATTTTATACCGTTTCCCTTTCGACTGGTTCGAGGGATGGGCAATGAGTGCCTCTGATCGGGTCGTCGCTAACTCAAAATTCTCGCGAGGAGTGGTCCGTGATGTCTTTGGGACAAACAAGCTTGGGGACGTGCAGGTTGTCTACCCGTGTGTCGATACGAATTCCGAGGCAGATGCACCGCAGAAAGAGCCGGAAGGGGCTCTTTGGGATGGAAAGAAGATATTGTTGAGTATCAATCGTTTCGAGAGAAAGAAGGACATGGGACTGGCAATTCGCGCTTACAATGGTCTGGGTGCGGGAAAGAGGAAGGGAACACGGTTGGTGATTGCTGGTTAGACATCCTGTTGTCATTCTCGAATGATTCCCGCGAGCTTCATGAAAACTGACTGGACTCCTGCATCTAGGCGGTTACGATAATCGCATCCAAGAAAACGTTCAATACCACCAAGAACTCGACAATCTCGCAAAAGACCTCGGCTTACGAACAGCGACAACGAAGACAGTAGTCTCTGCGCTCTCCATTCCTGACGATATCGATATCTTGTTCCTTCTCTCTGTCCCTACGACCTTCAAAAACACCTTGCTCGCCCAGTCAAAGCTCCTGTTATACACTCCAATCAACGAGCACTTTGGCATCGTACCCGTTGAGGCCATGCTTGCAGGCTTACCTGTCCTCGCGTCGAACACTGGCGGCCCATTGGAGACCGTTGTCGAAGGCGAAACGGGCTGGCTCCGTGACGCTCACGCGGTTAAGGAATGGACCGCAGTTATGGATAAGGTTCTCTATGGCATGTCCCAGAAGGAAGTCGATCGGATGGCGGCTGCTGGGAAAGCAAGGGCAAGGCGAGAGTTTTCACTTACTGCCATGGGCGATCGACTGGAAGAGGAAATCTCCACTATGCTCTTCGCCGAGAGGCGTCCTTTCCGAGGATGGCAGCAAGTATTCATCGCACTCGCCGTTCTTGGATCAATTCTTGCAGTAGCGGTTGCTTTATTGCTTCGCAGATTCTAGACTTATTTCTCAAAATAATACCCCTCTCTTTCTTTGTCCGATTTCCTTCACTTTCAAGTTTGGTCTTCAATCTTCTGCTTGTATATCCGATAAGGGTCACATGACTACGTGACGTCGCGTTCCTCCCGCATCGCGCCCCTCGTGTCGCTGGCATCCATCCAACATGCGGGAGGTGGTTGACCTCATCTCCTCGGATCCACCCCTTCCTGAGAGGCCTAGGCCGCAGAATGTGCCGGCTAAGTCACGGCAGGCGGGGGTTGGCCGCACAGCCAACTCGAGGCTGATTTCGTCCGACTCAATCGATATCTCTGTCTTCAATTCCGACGACTTCCTCGATAAGCCAGCCAAGAAACGCCGAGTCAGCAACGAAAAGCGCTCTCCTCTCCGACAAAGCACGGTGCCGCAGGGGCCATCACGGCCTCTTCCTTCCTTGTTCTCGTTTTCGGATGATGACTTCGCCCTTCCACCTTCAAACCCTAGAGCACAGAAGTACTGGGAGCGCGATACCGAGGAATCAGATCCTATTTTCACATCATCTGCGCCAGAGCCGTCCAAGAAGCAACGCTCTGCCTGGTCGCATCCCAATCATAAACAATCCGAGGTGATCACGCTCGAAGATGACGATGACAATACTTGGAAATCCATGGGGAACGTGAGCACAAGCCGTGGAAAGCAGGATGAAATACAGGAATTCAGCGATCCTTTTGGATTTGCAGAGTTTGACGATACCTTTGAGCTTTCTGAACCGGCTGTTTCCGCTTCCAAGTCTGCATTCTCCAGCAAGACCGCTTCCTTGCTATCTGGTCTCAATACCGCACCCAAGGGAAATGGCCCAAAAGCCAGCACCAAGTCTGGATCTCGCTCTCAAAAGGCCAAGGGTGCCACAATGGCTGCTGCAGCATTCCGAGACTTCTCCGATGAAGTCGATGAGCCTGCCGGACTCAATCGAACGGCGAAGAAACCGGGGAAGCTTACAACAGAAGAGAAGGAGGCCAGAGCACAGGCCCGCGTCAACGCCAAAGCGCAACGGGATCTCGAACGGCAGCTTGAGAAGGATCGGAAACAGAAATTGAAGGAGGACAAGGCCAAAGAGAAACAGCTCGCTGCGGACATTGCTGAGGCCAATAAGCTCAAGGTGGCCAAGAAAGATTCTACCGCCGAGATGATACTTGACATTTCGTGTTCGTTGGAAGAAACTAGTGTTGGCAATCAAGCTGTGGAGTTCATGAAGCGGTTGAAGGTGGAGCATCATTTCTTTACCAGCCCGATTCCAAACGTGGTCAAGTGGCGGCGAAAGATGAATGCCATCTACAACGACGAAGCTGGTCATTGGGAACCAGCTCCATTTCATATCTTGGATGAAAAGCATATCCTCTGCTTGGTGCCTGCGCAAGATTTTGTTGACATGGTCATTGACCCTCCACCTGGCGAGGATAGAGAGTCCTTGGAGATGCACGTCCTGAAGATGAAAAGCGCCTATCCGGGCTACACAATCATATACCTCATTGAAGGGCTCACATCCTGGATGCGCAAAAACAGCAACACCCGCAACCGGGCCTACAGGGCCGAGGTACTCAGTCAATACGAACCGGAACCAGCACCTACTTCGAGTCAGGCATCCGCTGCACCCCGCCGAGGCAGGAAACCGAAGCGCAAACCAGAGACCACTCCACCAGTCAATGATGACACGGTTGAAGATGCTCTGCTCGCGTTGCAAGTACAACATTCATGTTTTATCCATCACACTGCCGTGGCCCCCGAGTCCGCGGAATGGATCAAGAACTTCACAGAGCACATCTCTACCAACTTATATCGGCGGGAGCGCATGAATGCCCACGATGCGGCTTTCTGCATGGAGAGTGGCCAGGTCAAGCCTGGCGATGACAAGCTTGATACTTTTGTGAAGATGCTGCAAGAAGTGACTCGAGTCACTACTCCTATGGCATATGGTATCTCATCACAATACTCTTGTGTCACGGACTTGGTTCGGGGTATGCAGATGCATGGACCTACAATGCTGGAGAATGTCAAGGTATGTTTCCAATCGTGTCATCTCTGGTCATACACATCGTAGGTCTCGATCCAAATTTCTAACGGAGTATCAACATAGAAATCTGTAAATAAGAACGGCGCATTGTCTGATGCTCGCGTGGGACCCGCAGCTAGCAAGCGTTTGTACAAAGTCTTCACCGGGTTGGACCCAACTTCTACGGACGTCTAGCCCGTTCTTGGTGACATGCAAGGTGAACTTATGCGCATCTTGTGATACAGTGAATATTAGGACGTGTCGATAGCTGCTCGAGACATATCGGTCCACCACGTTGTACTTTTAGTGCGCTTATCGATTACGGGCATACAACAGTAATAAGTACATTTCTCTTGGGCTTTCTGGTGTAGCCCATCTATGGTTGAAAATCAATACCGACTGTTCCCTTACAGGTGCCTCGTCTCCCTCCTATCCGTAGACAGGGAAGGCCAGCACTACCTACTTCTGGTTAGCCATCGCGATCTAGCTATGATGGTGGTAAAATCATTCGCTTACAGGTGTTGCAGTGTATTGGTTACTAGCTTCATTTTGTCTGTTGCACATCTTTACAACAGTTCTTACGACAATCCAATGAAAAAGCCAACCCCCTTACATCATACAGAGGCCAGCTAGCTTATTGCGGGGCGTAGCGAAGCTTATATATATACACACCATTTGTCCTCGAGAGTCAATTCCCTCCGTCCAACCCAGCTATCTTCACCTAAACGTTCCCCAACTTCGCCGTATTCACCTCATCATAAATCTAAGGTTTATACCTAGCGCCTATAGGCCCATTCTCAGGATCATGCGGACCCGCAATCTAGCAGTCATCAAGATACTGCCCACAACACTCCTCCAAGGCCTTCACAACAGCCGTCAAACAGTAGTGGCAGCGCCCTGCTCGAGACTTTTCCACCTCAGCACAAACGACTTGTCGGAGCCCCAACCCTGCTGTACTTTATTAGGAACGTGTTGCTAGAGACCCCCAGTGATACATACCGCCAGGGTGCAGATTGAAAGCGAGGAGGCCCTTCGATTCGTACCGATGCTAGACTTCGTTAGCTGTCCATATAATAGCGTTTTTGCTCTGTCCGCAACCCTTCCGAAAATCTTATTCGCCCGCTAGAGAGACGTTTTTCATGGGCACGGTTAGAATACGGTAGGCGACGGAGGAGACGAAGACCACATGAGAAGACGAATTTAGGGTCAAGGAGCTCAGAAGGGTAGGCTTTAGAAGTTAGCGGAGGAGGAAGTAGACGAGCTGGTTTACGCCGAACTAGATTTCGAAGCCGTCTGCGGTTTTGCTTTCCGGTATCGCCATCACCCCTGCATTAGTAACGAGGATGTTGAGTTTCTGGTAACAATAGGGCAGGAAGTCGCTAGCGCACACTTAAACACTAGCGAAGGATTTAAGGTCCAGTACCACCTGTGACGAACGATTATTTTTCCTTTTCAAAGCAGGTTCAGAACCTATCAAGTTGCTAAGGTTCTCTTGTATCTATGTAGACTATTGGAATCATTCCTTGAGACCTTGAATAGAATGTGGTGCGAAGAATAGCGAGAAAATCGTCGGTATTAGCGTCAGAGGATGGTTTGCGACTACACAAAAGGCGAAGTCAAATTGCCCCCATGGCAACTAGTAGAGACAGACTCTTCTGGAGGTCCTTATGAGGTACTTCGTGGAAAACGCGATCTCTGGGAGATATTTCTTTATGCTTTGCTCCGTGAAATCGACAGAGAATCCAAATGAAGGTCTTGTTCATACATGGCCTAAAGGGAGTAGACGTCCTTCTTACTCCGACATCCAATTAATCAAATCGAAATTATTGTTAGGCTCCCGGCGATCTTGATGCATTGAAATCTCTGCAACCACTGTTTTAAGTAATAATCGCAAACTTCCTGAACATCCAAGAAACTCAGCCTACCGGAAGTTAGAGTAAGACTGGTCGAAAAAGATAGTTTGAGTACCTGATATATTCTACAAGTCTAATTTCTCTGTCTCCTTGTCTCTCTGTCCATTCTCATTTTCTATTGCTTGCCCGTCAAAGAAAATCTTAGGTCTTCTCACCAATAAAAGCTACTTGTTCGTTCAATAGGAACTTAAAGCTATATATTACAGTTCGTTCTTATGATATGAAGTAAATTTTGGCGCAGTATACAAGTAGCGTATACCTATACCACTGATAACTTTCCTTAAAATGTGTGAATGGATATTTATAGTTACAGACTTGACAAGCTAGGATGCTTAGAGCTTATCTTCGCCAGATATGATGTGGCCCTAGTAACTAGGGTTTCCGTATCATAAATCCTGGTAATGAAAATGCTTTGACCTACCTAAGAGTCTACACGATGACGACGACGGGATAGACTGGCGCTCATGAGAAGGGCGTGAATTACAATCGGGCCCCGGAAAGGAGCAATGAAAACGGCAAAGCAATGCTACTCTCCTATCGAGACCCTACTTATGAGGGATTGTCACTAGCCTTGTAGTTATCATTCTAGACAAAGTAGTCTATCTTCTATTATGCTCTATGTAAAATATAAGTCTCGGTTTATGAAGCACATACTATGACGGCCTTAGTACATAAAATCAGCCGTGGGCGATGGATCAGCTCATGAGAGGTTTGCTAAAAAGCCTAAGCTATAGTTAGATCTATTGATTGTATACATGAGAAAGTAGATCGGGTTCGACCGTGCCAAGACAATATTTATCTTCTTAGGATGGTCTCAAACCTCGAGTGCCGCTGAAAAATCCTTTTTTTATATCCATTTACCTCAAATTTTAGGACTGGGCAGCTACAAGCACTCGATTGAAAGGATATGAATAGAAAAGGATTGGTAAGGGCCAACGATGAGAAAATACGGCTGAAGAATATGGTGGTTTATAAGTCGAGCTCGGCGACTTCCCGAGAGGACCTTTCAAGCGGAAGCCCAATCGTTATGTCAAGTCAAGTCTGTTGCCTAATTGCATCGCCCAAACTCAACCCTCAACTTGTTCCTTGAACTTGATATTGATCACAGTCTAACCGCGCCGGGTTCCGTTTCTGTAGATGCCAAGCGTGGGTACTGATGCGAAGTTTGAGCCACTCTTGGCATCAGCGCCCATGCTTGGCATCAGAGCTGACGCCCCACTTAATGACCCCACTCACCATGAACGGTTCGTTGCAAGTATCCATGCCCTGTCTCCCCGCGGTGGGGGCTACCGCAGGGCAGGGATAGTGTGCATCCTGCATATATATTAAGGCGCTTGTGGATCTTTAAATAAGCTGCATTTACTGTCTACGGCAAGCCTCCTCCGATAAGCCTTCTCGCATCACCGTCCAAAAACAAATTTTTTTCCTCGAGGCAACAGAGAGGACAATTATCTCCTGTATTCGGCAATCCAGCTTTTTGCCCAAATTTATCACCAAAATTGTCGCTGAGATTTGCCGTTAAGAAATGACGTCTCACTATAAACTTTTTGTCGTTGCACTTTACCACGCAATTCCTTTGTCGCTAGACATCACCGGCACTGATGTGCGTACTTCGAGAAAGATTCCGAGGCCTACGTTATGGTGTCAATGGCTTGGATAGAGAGTCGAAATATTTGCTCAGAAATGGCAATGCGGACGTTGATAGTAGTGTCACACAGGATTTGAGAAGGTACTGAACAACAAGACCACGCGAGTTAAGTCACAGCGTTCACTGGATCATGCGGGATAAGCTTCTCCACATTAATAGAAACCTATCGTGTCAGAATCGGGGCCAGCCAGGGGAAATACGTTCTCTAAGGTCTAGCCGGGTTGATGTCTACGAAGGATGCAGTCTGGAATAATTGCGCAGTTATGTAACTTGCCTCAGAGGCCTACGCTGTGAAGTACCAAAATCTGGATACATATTAAGTATACTACGCGCTTGGATTGATAGAGCTGCCAACGATACTGATAGAGAAGATTCTAGAGAAGGTTCTTTATATACTAGGCCATTCTGGCAATTCCACCTCGTCGCAAAGAATCATGGTGGGCGTAAAGTAGCCTTTCAGTAGGCTAGCTGCATCCGAACCAGTCGATCGGCTCCCTCTCATGTCTGAGGTCTAAGAACGGAAGGTGGTACTTTGACAATCGAAAGGAGAAAAAAAAGAAAAAGTAAGCCATAATCAGCCGCGAGCTACGTAACCTAACCTGGTTGCTTTACCATATTTGAGTCCGCTTGCCGAGCTTGCGAGAGGCTGCGAGTGTTCGAGAATATTATTGAACAACGATTCCATTAGCTCCTCGACGCCATCTATCAGTGCACATATCTACAATCAGTCCTTCAAAAAGGTCAGCAAATTTGTGTCCTGCTATTAAAGCGAAATTTCTTTTCGAAGTACTCGATATACTTACCCTGTGGTACTAGACGCCATGTTCAACAAGACACTGCCAGTCCTAGCTCTGCTCGTGTATGGCTCGGAGTTAGCATCAGCCGCATACAGCGTTAAAATCGGATACCTTGCTACTCTCGTTCCCGGCCTTCCCGGACCTGAACCGAGCGACGGGTGAGGACTCTGGGCGCAGCTCTCAGATGGCTCAAGCACATCACTACCAGACTTTACCAACAATCCAGATGATCTACCCACGGACGATTGTCCAGCGGCTGAGATAGCTCTCTTCTGCTCGAGATGGGGATGTCCGTTCCCCATGACTTTCAACGGCGGGGCCATAGCTGTCACCGTTGAGTCGGAAAACTCCGCCGATATGTCAATTTCCGCTTCAGCTTCAGATTCCAGCGGTACGAGGGTCACGGTAACATGCCCCTAGTCACCGGAGACTATCTCTAAGAATGATTCTGAACAAACTGTCTCGAGCTGGTCGTGTGACTTCAGCTCGCTCGGGTGATCAATTAGACATGGTGATAGGGATGAGCATGGCCATTATCCCTTAGGAATAATGGGCTATTATGTGGCTCATGATTAGCATGTTTCAACACATGGAGGGATAACTCGCCACTCAAACAGAGGTGAAGCATACAGGCAATCCGTCCCACAGACTTTGTACGTATGTTTGGAAGATACATGGACTCGAGCGTTATTACCGCTGAGTTTCGCCTGTACGGGCCGGTAGAGGCTCTCAACAGCCTTCCCGGGGTTTCATTTTATCAATCGATTGCTGTCTTTACTTTACTTTCAATCTGACTGATCTTTTTAGGCTTGAATGCTATTAACACATCAGAAATCTCACGGTCTTCTCCAGAAGGAGAGTAAGGACTAGCGGTAGGAAAGGCTTCACAGATTTCCATCGTAATCTCTAGTTCATTGCGGAGCGTAGCGAAAGTTATTACGGCCTGAGTAAATAGAGGGGTGGGGTTGAAATTTCGAGAGTTGTGCTATTTTACAGCTACGTAAGCGCCCTAACGTTGTTAATACACTAAGCGCAAGTTAAACCTCGCGATATGAATCAGTGAATTCGCGATAGAACGGAGAAAGAGATAGCCACGGAGGAAAGGAAGCTTACTAAGTAGTTAGAAAAGGTGCATAACTAGTCTTAAACTCATATAGAGGACCAAGGAAGTATTCAACGGGTAATTAATAATGGGAGAGAAGCAAGGAGACAGGTGAGTCTTTTTTATTACTAGTCAACATGGGGGTTTCGCTCATGGCAGTCTGGGCGGAACAGACAGGTTGAGGCACGAATCGCAATGACAGGCCACTATGAAAAAGGGCACGCAAGAAGAAGAAGACAACAACACCACCCACCGGAGGGCAGAGAATCGCTGTGGCCTCAAGATCTCCTCTTTTGACAGATACTCACTGCCAATGCACGTAAAGATGTAAAGACCAAATCAATTGGATCTCCATCAAAAAGAATGAATGAATAAGTGTAACCTGGAAAGCTTCCTTCTTCGAAAAGAGTGTGGTATGTGTGTGTATCCCCCTTTTCTCCCACTCCAGGAAGGATCCCGAAATCTCTCCAAATCAACAAAATATAACAAGCTGCGCAAACATGGCAAACAGACCAACTAAATCAACAATCAAGGCAACAAACAGAAAGACAGAGATAAACAGACTGGAGAATCGGCCAAATCCAAATATCAGCAAAGCTGTCAAGCAACACCACGTATCAAATCTGTTAGCAGTTCCCCAGTACACTAAATAGCTAGTTTAGTGGATTACTTATATAGTGTATTCGAGAATCTACGCAGAAAATGCGGTTACGAGAACGTGCGTCGCACGTACAGAGAAAAGCGATGTGGGGGTGCTGCCTAGGGCACGGATATTGAGGTACGACTGCTTGGTGTTCCAGTAAGATCGAGGCCGCGTACCATTTTTTGGCGTTGACCACATACAATCGCTCCTGTGGCCCCATTCTCGCCGGATCGGTGGATCCGTAGACAAGCCGAGTGGCTGCCGTCGGCTAAAGCCAACATTGCTTCCCACTTTCTTCGCCATCATATTTTATCTGATTAATTTTATCAATCTGATTGATAACTCGACTCCAGCCAGCCAAAATTCTGCCCTCATCCTTGGCAGGTGCAGTCGCCAACATGCCTTTTTTCAGGCAGAAGTTGAGCCTCATGCTCATTCTCTCAACAAGTCTGCTGGTAATTTCCGCTTTCAACTATGGCTTCAGCGATCAAGCTTTTGCATCATGTCAGGCTATGGACGCGTTTGAACGGCAATTCGGGTATTATAACGAGAAGGCCGATGTGTGGAAATTACGCCCTTTGTTTACATCGCTGTACAACAGTCTCAAAGCTGGCGGGCAAATCATCGGTGTGTGGCTATGCGGCTTCTCGCGTCTACCGACTAATCTTGCCTAATAGGTGTGTTCCTCGGTGGATATATCAGCAATAAGTATGGCCGGCGAATGTGCATATCTGTCATGAGCATATATGCCCTAGGAAGTGCCTCGGTGGTGATAAGTTCGCGAACAGATGCTCAAATACAAGCTGGCAGAGCATTGCATTGTGAGAAACTCCATACCACTCTCTTTGAATGGCCCCGGCTAATGTTTTCCACGAAGATGTCTACCTGGGTATGCAAATGGCGGTAATTCCAACAACATTGACCGAACTAGCCCCGGCTAAAGTTCGCGGTGGAATGGGAGTGTTGTACTGGCTGAGCATCAAAGTCGGCGGTCTAGTTGTCACATCAATCACCCGTGGAACATCCAGTATCCATTCAAACGTAGCCTGGCAAATACCCTTTGGCCTCATTCTAGTTGTACCATTCCTGATCAGCTGGTCGATTTGGTTCGTGCCCGAATCCCCCCGGTGGCTTCTCCTTCGAGGTCGACATTCCGAAGCTCTTGCGTCTTTGACTCGACTTAAGCCCGACGATACTCCAGAGGAGAGTATCCGAGAGGAGTTTGAAATTATTTCTCAGAAGGTTGACCACCAGCTTGAGAAGAAGGGCTTCCGCGATCTGTTCATGCCACAGAATCGACAACGCACTTTCGTCGTTGTTGCTGCGAATTTCTTTCAACAAGCCACTGGCCAAGCCTTCGCTTCGCAGTATGGCACTCTTTTTGTTAAGCAATTGAAGTCTGTCAACGCATTCAGCGTTACTCTGGGCACTAATGCCGTCGACATTGGGTCTATCGCTATCTCTGGGTCCCTTATTGATCGTGTCGGACGTAGGTATGTTCACAAGATGGTTCCATCACAGACGAATACTCCCTGGGCCGGTAAGACGGAAAGACTAACCGTCACGGCGTAGAACAATGTTCCACATCAGTTCGACCATGCAAACAGCAGCATTGATGACAATGGGTGCATTAGGAACTGCGGACTCGAGCGACCTGGCGGCCAAACGAGGAATCGTGGCCATGTTGGTGATATACAGCTTTAGCTGGTCTCTCGGCTGGGCGCCGCTGACTTATGTGCTTGGTGCAGAGCTTCCATCATCCCCTCTGCGGGAGATGACTTTGCAGATTGCCTATTTCGTGAAGCTTATTACTGAGTATGTACTCAAGCCATTGCCCTACCTTCTCTTTCGATACTCCGTGGAACATTGTACTGACAATAACTTTCTTAGATTCGCCGTGACATTTTCATACCCGTACATGGAAACTGCGGACACGCCTGGGCATGTGTATCTTGGTGGTAAGCTGGGCTTTATCTACGGATCCCTCTCGGCAGTGGCTGTTTTGTTTGGATTCTTCTTCATTCCAGAGACTAGTCGTCTAGAGCTTGAGGATATTGATAGAAAGTTTGAGATACCCACCAATGATGTTCTCAAGTCTGTCGAAGACCAAAGCGACACGCGACAACCAACGATAGCGGAAGTTGTCTGCAAGCAAACGAACTAAATGGAGTTCCATGCGCTGAGAATGCACCAAGAAAGATTGTGACCAAATTGTATAAAATAGTCCAAATCCTAGAGATACCCGAATCCACTGTCGCTAATTGCACTCAAAAACACTCCATCGCCGAGAAATGCATCATGGTAAACGCCGGCACAAAAAGGCAAATCAGGATAATTCCCGACTTAAACAACAACGCCCTTGCGCTTCCATCCCCTCCAAGCAGCTGCCCAAACTACGATAGCAACCCAAACACTGGCTGTGCAACCCACGGCCCAAAGCCCATAGCATCTCCAGCCATGGCACTCTCCATCTGGAGAACCGAAGCCAGCACCATCATCAATAGCATTCTGGTAGGCACGAGAGTAGACTACGCCCCAAAGTGCAGCACCCAGCGCGGGCATCATAGCAACGATACCCCAGTTCGTAGCAAAGTTCTCCACGCCCCATACTACCGAAATGATGATTGGGGTTAGGGAGAAAGCGCTACCATAGCCAAAGCCGACAAGAGCAGTCGTGAGGTGGAAGATGGGTGGTTCCTGTTGAGGAATTGGGGTGGAAAGAATCAAGTAGCCGAGTGAGAGGAGGAAGGCTGAAGGCAGGAGGAAAGCCATTCTGGAAATTGTTGGGGGGAGTTCATTGGAGTGGTAGGTCGATGACGTGCACCCTCCGGAATGGGCGGAAAGAGATGTGTTGCCGGGGGCGCGAAAAAGTCTGATAGAGAGCCGGTAAGAAGACGGGCGATTGTTGAAGTCAAAGCAACGGTAGTGACATGGGTTGAAGGAAGACCAGCTGGGGGCGAGGCGTCTGCCTCATAGGAAGGAGGAGTCAGGGTTGGAATAATGGTCCCGAGCTAGATATGGTATGTTAGTTACCGAATGTACAGCAGCATCTTGCAAGAGGCTCACATTGTTAATATACGATTCCCCGGGTCCGGTTACCAAGAAGAACCCAGCAGCCAGCCACCACATTGTGGGATCTTGAAGAAAGACCCGGGTCTCGTAGTTGAGTAACCAATTCTTCTTCCGACGCTCCTCTTCTTCCCGCTCTTTCTCGCGTCTTTGCTGCTCGCGCTCTTCCTCTGAGAGAGTGATCGAGCGTTCATCATCGTCACCCGCAAAAGTCCCATACTCAACCGCCGCTCTGACCTCATGTCGTGGACGGAAGAATTCACTTTCCTCAAGCAAGCCACTTCGCTCGAGCTCTTCAACAGTTTCATCGATATACTTCTCCTCGCCGCCATCGACAATGCGCAACGCGAATGTGCCAATGATTCCGATGACCAGCAATAGGATCGACAGGAACATGAAGTACCTGAAGACATCCACATCACCGCGACTGCCGTCCGCGTTCTTTTCGTATAGAACATACGTTCCAAGCTGGCTCTGCCACATACCGCTGAGACCGAATGCTGCAATGGGGATAGCGAGCATGATTCCCTTGTGTTTCCCCCTGCCGTAGTTCTTGGCACATGTTGCCACAGCCGCTAGGTACATACAGCTAGTACCCATTCCAATGGCGATGAAGGCCACAATCATGACCCAAAATGGCCAGCCTGAACCACCAGCGTCAACAGGAGGTCCACTTCTATATGCCAAGGCAGCAAGCATATATCCCAGCCCAAAAAGAAGCCCCGAGAATAGCGCCAGTGGCGATGGACTGTACCGATCACAAAGATATCCGAATAGCGGGACAAGCAAGTACATAGCAATTTCGGCGGCAATCGATACAGCGTTCACTTGGAGCTGGGTATATCGGAGTCGAGTGAGGAGAAGGTGGCCGTATAGCGAGAAGGCGGTAATACTTCCCGCCCCAAGACTAGAAGAGGCAGTGTTAGCAACCAAGTGTCGCAAGACATGACTCAAGATAGACATACCAAGTAACAACTCCCCACGCGAAGCTTATCACTCGCACCACCTCCTTATGCATTTTCCGTCGGTCCCGCTCGACAATACCCTCGACAACATCGCTCAAGAGTCCATCATCACTTCCTGCTCCCCGTCGGCTGTCCCCCGAGCGGCGTGAGTAGTGCGATCTCGGTCGCGACTGAACTAGCTCGGGATTCCATTCCTCATTTGACCCTTCCTGGTCTGAAGCCAGCAGAGGTCGGTTTGCATCGAAGTCCCGCTTGTCGATAGTATGATCTGTTTGGCTATTTGAGCCGGGCATGCTGTTTACCGATAGTACTCGCCGGCGGATAAATCAGCCGACAAGATAGATCGGATATAGAGATCGCAAGGCTGGGGCCCTTTTGCTTTATGATCCAGACCTGCAGGCGGATTTGGTCAGTCCAACACTTGCACCGCAGATTGCTCCGTGACTGTAGGCGGATCTTGAATGGTCGTGGCTGGGGTCAGGTGGGTGGATCAGTTGCCTCTTTGTTGATAGAGCTCCCTACGTGCTTGAGGACTCAAGATCGGGCCATTCTATGGTCTAAAAGCGGCTTTCATATGAAAGGCAAACGCGAAATGCCTAGAGAATGAGGAATGAGGGGAGGGAGTGAGTTGTACCCGACAGCTCAGCTAGCTTGACTCAAGGCGGAGCGGAGTAAAGCCGGGGGTCTTGCTTATCAGCGGACACGTGACCAAGGCCGCGGTTGCATCATCACAGCTGCCCGACTGCCTAATCTGGTAAAGCACGGCCTGTCTAGGTGAAGAATAATCAAAGTTGGGATCCGCAACCTTGGTATTGGACAATATCGTATTCAAGCTCAAACCAAATCAGTAGGAGACAGTCTCCTGTAAGTAATTTACTTCATTGTCTAATTACACCCTAGCCTGACAAGCCTCTACAGATAAGTGAAGCGCACACTACTTTCTCCGTTAATCAACGCAGATAACATCATTTCCCAACCTTATAGAGACACAATTAGATAATCGGGAAATAATCCAAGTGAGAGACAAGTGATTTATTGTCTAATCCTAACAAAATATCATGTACAAGAACCAGGGAGCCGGCGCCAGGCCCCGCGGAGTGCTAGAAGATCAACCAATAGCCCGATGGCCGGGTATTATCAATAAAACAAGACCGAGAAGTGAACCAATGGTGGATGGGGAATCAAGACGATCAATGTGATACACATAATCGGGAGAAGCGAAGTTTCAACAGATCAGGAAAATGAAGAGGAACGAAAAGGTTCAAAACAAGCCAGCCGGGGTTCTAAATGCATTCAGGCATTGATAGGGGGTCATCGAAGCATCCGTGGGGGGTCGTTATTCGTAGCGCCCTCGTTAATCAAAGGACAGCACCGTGCAGGAAACATAAAATCGAGCAAAAATCACAGGGGAACTCCAGGTGTGGGACCCATTGTCTATCCCCCAAACGCCATAAACTCGGCAGCATTGCCACATAATGAAACAAGAAAAAACGAGAAATGACAAGAAAGAAAAGGACATAAATCGGGATATCAGAAGCTGACCTCACCCGCATCAGTCTCCATCACGTTCTCGTCCCAGAATTGATCCGAGGAAGATTCACGGACAGCGGGCTGGGAACCAAGGGCAATTGCCTCGCCCTCGCCTCGTTCCACGAATTCGTCTTGTGTGATCTCTCTCATGATCCGTTGGAAGTACATACGTAACGTGCGGAGGCCACGCAGGTATCCACGATCAATATCCTTAGGATGGTGGGGTGGACAAGGTGTGTCTGGTGGTAATTCATCTTCGCCAGTGACACAGTTGGCAAAGTCCACGATCTTCAGCTGGACATCAATATTGTTATGGCCATCCTCAGATGCCTGACGTCGGGTTGGACGCGGTTCACCTGGATGACTGGGGGTTTGCGGGGGTGTCGCCTGCTCTCCATCGTACAGAATCAAAAGACTGCTTGCGTAGAGCCGGTAGCGATCCAGCTTCCGAATCATATGTTCCAAGAGGGATAATTTCTCAAGGATTATGGGTATTTTCTTTGCCACACTGCTGTAGCTGACTCCATCAAAGAGGAACCTAGTGAGAGCATCCTGGAACTCTCGGCCAGATTTTAAGTCTCGACCGAAGTATTTATCTTCAAAGATGTACTCTTGCTTCTTGACATTCCAGGCTTGCATACCACAGAGACGGACGCCAAGTTGTTGTGAGGTTGTCGACTGACACTTCCGCCTCTGAGATTTCTTTTTCTTCTCAGTTGCCTCGATACCATATTGTCGAGTACCCATTTTGAGGTCGAGCACACATGGTTTGTTCATACCGGCCGTGAGATCTTCCAGAAGGAGGAAAAACTGGACACGTTCATCTTTCCTCAGCTGGGCCTCCTTGGGGTTGCTAGGCAGATGGGCGCCGACGTCTTCGTCGTCATCCTTAACAATGGTTCGGGGAATCTCATGGGGCCTTCGAGTTGACACATCCGTCGAATAACGTTCACTGACCGAGGTACTTCCCGAAGAGGGAGAGGAGGTCGCCTTGAGTGTTGGGAGTTGGCTTGGGGGAACGAGCGCATCGCCCTCCATCGAGAAGATTTCATCCTCTCTATCGCCACCATACCCTTCATCGTCGAAGAACATGAGATCGCCAGTGTTGTTCGAGTTTAGACTTCCCCGTCGTTGGAGACCACCTCCCGAGTGACGCCGTCGTACCTGCTGGCCTCGGTTGAGAGAGCTTGACCGAGTTGGCTGTTCCTCGGTTTTCACTTTCTCAAGTCGGTTCCGATTTTCTTCCAGGGCGGTGGACGCAGATGATGAAAGGGTCTTGCCCTCATCCGACTGGGATGTAATTTTCAGTTCCGGGATTGATGGAATCTCCATCTTAATCAGGGAAGAGGGGCGGGTATTAGCCGTGTGATCTTCTGACAGATTTCCACGGCGATGGGGAATGTCAGAAGAAGCTCTGGGTAGCTGCAGATGCCCACGAGCATGGCGTCGATGTTGATGAATCGCTGGTGGGCTGAAGACTTCCCGCAGAACTTGCTCTTGCAGCTTTCGGTTGACCGTGGTGGCTCCCCAAATCTTGTTTCGCTTCCTCAAGGATGGATCAGATTCGGTGGATAACTTGCCTAAGCCGTCGGCCGAGCGAGGTCGACCAAGCATGGTATCATCTACTAGTCGTGGTCGGTGGGTGCGGGAGAAAAGGTCGGCTGGGATAATGTGTCGATTATTTTCGAGGATAACTTTAGGGATTACGCCAGTTATTTGCTTTTGGCTTACAATCCGCTGTGGTTCGGGAGCTTCGAGTGCATGGGATTTTGATGACGAGGTTCCGTTGGCATGAGCTGCATCCGATGTATCGTGGGCACCATTTTCTGGGCGGTTCTTGGAGCGTTTTGAGGTCTTCGAGAATGTCACATTTAGAACACCTATGTATCTGCAATATTTATAAGCAACGGGTCATTGGCGAGCATACATGGTCAGGTGCCACATGAGAAAGATTTCAACAGCATGCGGGTCCCATGAAGCACCTCCATGAGGCATTGTACATACCTGGGAAGGAATACTAGCATATCGGGGTGTCTTCTTTCAATGCGTTCATAGAATTCATTTTCTCGATTATTCAGCTGCTTGCAAACTGCGCGCCTGGAGAATCGGAATACAGTCGTATGACCGCCAACCTGATGTCGATAAGGCTTCAGTTCCACTGCTCCAAGAGGGGCAGGGGTCTTCCGCTTAGGCTTTGGAGGGAAACGGGAGCGTTGAGTCGGAGTTGCTGTAGGCGTTAATTCCGCGTCATCAGTCAGACTCGATTCGTCATGAACAGAAAGGCCACTTTCATCCGCGGATGGGGCATCGGATTCACAGGTCGAGTCATAGCGCTCGGAGATCGTAGCTAAAGACTTTTCCGGTACGGTCTCAGTAGGATGGCGAATATCTCCAAGCTCGCCGTAGAGCGTTTTACTTTCAGTCTTAGACCGGAAAGAGATATCCACATGGCCGACTTCCTGCTCAGGTGAAGCGCTCCGCTCTTGAGGCACCAGCATGAGCTCATGACCCGTCTCCGCAGCGGAGAGCTGCACCGGTTGCGCACCACCATGTGGGTCTGCCACTAAAGGCTGAGCGCCTTCGACACCTTTGGAAACTTCAACGCGTTCATGAGGGAAGTACAGTGCAGACGAAATCTGCTCGTTTTCCTCTTCTTCATCCTCAAACCGTTCAGATGCTTGGCGTTCCTCCTCCTCAAGAGAACTGAATGACTCGGAAAACCGGTCAATGTGAGGCTCTTTCTGGAAATAATCACGACCCCGTTCGGCATACTGCGTTGGGATACTCTTAGAAAATGAAGACCCTCGGCCTCCACCGGGTGTGAGATGGAAGTTTCGGATTTCCTCGAGGAGGTTGTGTGGTAACACCGGTAGACGGCGCTGATGTAGCTCCTCTTCCTCCGTCTGGGGACGTAGCCCTGCCGATTTTAGCGGGTCAAACGTAGGTCCGTCGGCTAGCGAAGGGAGTGAGATGCTTTTCCGAAGCAATCCCTCCTCCTCTGCCACTAGGCGCAAGGTCGGGTGTTCAATTTCCATGGTACGATCGGTCTGTTCAGATATCTCATCGTGCTGTTGAGCACGGTCCTCTCTTCGTTTGCGGTCCGGTGATGTAGTGTTCTCCTTGAACAAGCCCAAATAGTGACTGGACTTGCGACTGCGTACGTGAGAAGCCGGCTCTACGTTGCTGAGATCTGCTTCAATGGAACTGTCCACGCGACCTCGACGACTCCTGCTTGAACTCCGATCCAACGCGATGCCCCGGGATGATTCTGCCCGCGAAGTATGAGGTGCTGCCTCCGGGTTCACCATCGGCCAGTCCTGACCGGGCGCAGGAGGCGTCAGAGACTGTGGTGAGCGGGAGACATCGTCTAATACGGACGGAAGAAGACTGCGTTCAGCCAGAGAACTGTGCGAGCCGCTGGTTTCCGTACCTGATTGATCCAATGGCCCAGGCAATCGCGACTGAACACCGGTCTGCGTCCCTACACCTTTTCCCTCGTCTGCTGACGAGATAGACGAGCGCAGGCGAGACAGGCGGGTGATATCGGCTGGTGAGAAGAGGGAGGACGAGCGCAATGGGATGTGTCTGCGGACGTCAACTTCCATGTGGGAAGGCTCGTCGTGAGAACGATGGGGAGAGACCTTGGAAAGAGGACCTAGCGACCCCGACACATCATCCAGGCCAGGAATCAAGTTGACTTGGCGCTCATTGTCCGAGGGCTGTTCGGGGTGGAATTGTGGGGTAGTTGCGGCGCTGTCCGAGGGGAGATAATGTGTCGCAAAGATACTATCTCTCTCGGACAGTTGTGGGCTGTAAGTAGTGTCGGGACGGGGAAATTTCTCCAACGGGACTGTCGGGGCCCTTTTTAGGGCCAAGGTCGAGCTAGGCTGGGACCATTGATGAGTAGTTGTGGGGGACTCTGCACGCGATGGGGATTGCGCCTGTTGAGCCCCCTGGGACAAGTGTTGGTCCTGCGATGAGTGGTGACGTCGGTTGGGCCGAGCTCGCTCGGTCTCCTTCGAGCAATCATGATGGGCAGGCGTGGCAGGTGTCACCAGGGGGTCAGGCAAGGTATCTTCGGGAACGGGCGGCGGGTTTGACATGGAGAGGACATTGGTCAGGCCTGCACGGTCGGAATGGAAGGAAAGCGGAGCCGGCGGTGGTTGGCTGTTTAGAGGGGGGGCGGGCGATGTGGGAGAAGAAATTGGGGAATTGTTTTCGAGTTCGGGGAAAGGGAGGTGGTCCAGGGAAGGGCTTGAGCGACACAGGAGGATAGCTGGCGTCACGAAGACGAGCAGAAGCAAGTTAGTGGAGCCCGCAACTTGAGAAAGGAAGTTGTCCGGGGGGGGAGTGTAAGAATCAAGCAGGGGAGGTTCCTTTTTTTTCTTTTTTGGAGAAGATGGAAGGGCGGGCCACGTTCGAGAAAGGGAAGATCTTACAGGTTGAAGAGGGCTTGACCGCAAATCGGAGGAAAGCAGGGATCAGAGAGAAGCTCAGACGGATCCCACGGAGGAACTTGGTGGAGGAGGTGGAGGAGGAGGAGGAGAAAGATAAGTTAAGGATCGAGGAACCTCAAACGGGGCGTGTGGTTCGGGTTGGTAGCACAAGTGACGCCGATCGCCCGTCACCGCCTTGGGCTGTCTCGATGAGAGGAGAACCGGTCAAAAGCTGATCTGACAGGACCTGGTTTCATGAACAGTCCTGAAACCTAAACCCTGTCGAGGTCGATTATTTTACCCACTACGACTAACGACACAGAAAGAGGGAAACGAAGGCAGGTGGAAAAAGTCCCGTGGACTTGGCACGAGACGAGAAGCTTGGGACAAAGGCGGGATGAAGTCACGGGCCAGGAATCTTCTTGCCGTCTCCAACTGCTGCTCTTCTTCAACCATGCACTTTGCAATCCTATCGACGCTACCAATATTCACTACCATTCTGCTACCTGCTGTATCCTGCAAGGGACATGAATATCAAACCAGATACCCTCTGCCACAACCAGATCCAGTCAACGCCAGTGGGCGAGCCTCGTTCCCGTCTCTCACATTTCTACAGACCCTGTCCCTTTCCCACGGGGTCCTCAGCTGCAGCTGATTCGCGAAGGCTTTATATATCGCAAGAGACTTTCAGAAGGGCAGCTTTTCCTGATACTTTCAAAGTCCCTGCGTGTTACAGGACCCGGAGACCTCGGAATGTGAGCAGATCAGCCACAGCCAGGCAATTGATCGACACGTCCTGTTCATGAGGCTCAAGCCGAATACCAACTTGCTCCCGAATTAATTTAATCATTATCATCAACCTGGATTCCTTGAGCCCTTCTGCCACGGTTCCACCAGGTTTGCTATTGCTGACTACTTCAAATTGTATTGTGGGGGCAACGAGTAACAAAGTTCTCGGCCCGATGAAGCTCTGGTTTCGTGGAACGACCTTTCTTCACTGCTTCTACCCAATCACGGCGCGCCGCTCATCGCGTGCACTCTATCCGATCAACCATAGGCGTCGCCTCCGCCATTCTTTGCGACTCGAGATGATGCTTACTTCGCGATTGGTGACAGTTGTCCCCTTGCTGGAGAATCCCTTCTGACCATCAAAGCTTGGGAAATGCTTCCTAGTTCCATCGCGGAGCAAGCAGATGCTAACGGCGAGGGCCAGCCAGCTTTATTCATGCTCAATCCCTTGTGCGTGAAGAGTGGCCAAAGAGACCAGTCTTATTGGACATCGAGCAGTTTGGAGTCCCAGGAATGGGCAATAACGAGCAGGTTTCCGCCCTCCCAGGGTTGAACGGAGAGCCGGGTACAGAAATTGTTGAGTAATATTTTCCGGGGAATTGAGTTATTTATGAAGGGGGCAGCTTTGATTTGCTGTTATGCATCTGGACCAACGAGGATAGTATGTAGGATCCTTTTGTGGAGTTGCCTGTCGCCCGGTCCAACTCTCTCCTGACTTAACGTCAGCATGGATCCTCTCCCTCTCTTGGCCTTCGTATGACTACCCAGCCTAGCTTGATCACGCAATGGCTGAATACGCAGAATGCCTCAACTTGAGGTCGAAAAAGCAAAAACAAAAGTGGAAAAAGAAAATAAAGCCACTTCACTCGCCTCCTGAGGAGCTTTAGGAGCTTCGACCGGGGAAAACGCCTATGGCCAAAACTCTCTTCCTTGCTGGGCGTTTTTGAGTGTACAAGCCGAAGAATAATCAACCAACAGAGCTTCCACTGCCCTAGAAATTTACACCTGGGTGAAATAAATGCCTGCTTACTACTCCGTATATAAATCTATCTAAATTAGGCCGAAGTCAACTTCATTAGTGGATTCTCTCTAGAAATCCGTGACGCTAGTCCGCGGCCCGTCAACTAGAGGATTGAGGCGCTCCAGGGCGGGGTCGGAGCAATCTGACAGCACAAAGTGCTAGACGAAATCGGAAAAGCGACGCTATAATCGCTGCGGATGAACTGAGGGTATCATCGTGAAAGAGCACACGACCACACACAGATCCCGAGATTTAAGGTTGTTTATCGCTGTGCAGAGTACGTACCTAGGAATCTTGTCGATCTCGAATCCGCTCAAGGATGCCGATAACAACCATCCTTGGATCGTGACAAGCCAGAAAAGTCTAGAATCTGAAAAGAGCCCACCAGAGCGCTCTATAGGCCTCTCAATCCTAACAGCGATACCACCTTCCAAAAGACTATCCAGGCAGCTATCTGTCCGCACTGCACCGGACAAGTCCAATCGTCCTTTTGGTGTGATCGCCTACGTGTGATGAGAACGGCCCTAACGCCCAACGGCAGGAGCTGGGCGGGCCCCAGCCCAACCAGAGTTGTGGGCGCTGTGAAGACATTGCATTAGGGCCTCTTACCAACCAGCTTTGCTTCGAACCCGGAGCTCTCAAGCCACTCGTTGCGCCCCATCCCCGCGGAGCTCTAATCTAGCCCCCCTCAGGTCAATTCGCATCTCCACCTTGATGGTTTAACCTGCTGGTCTCCTCCCCCCATCTTGCGTGTCTTTTTCACTAACCATCTTCCGTGGACCTGGAGATCACTCGTTTCCCACGCTTGATCTGATTTCGAAGGTTGTGCAGATAGTTTATATATATGGTGATATCCAGGGGAAGGCTCGTGGGACGGTACGACTAACATAAAGGCAAAATTGCTTGGGCTTTCGATCACTCATGAGCTGTGAGATCACATGTATCCAAAATACACGGCTTTGAGTGGAAGATCTGAGATCGCACCTCATATTGCACATAAAGTATAAACGGGACTCCCTTTGGAGTTGCAGCTGTCGAGATGAGTCGGCCGCTACACCTGGACACACAGGTAACTCAAAACGAGGACCAAAGATACTCATACATTGAGACGCCGCTGGAAATGCATGCCGAAATTCAGCTTCGAGGGCCTGTCTCTCCCCCGCCTACTTTACCAGCGAACTCCAATCTATCTGTGCAGCCACAGAATGCGATAGAACAGGCTCAGACTTTTCCAACGCCAGCGCCTACACAGCAGCAGCAGCAAGAACAAAACCAGCCACATAAATATATTGCAAGCGAGGAAAAGCGATATATACAAGAAGAAGGCATCATTCCAACATACCCCCGATACCCACCACCAGATCAACATCCCGCTTTCCACGCCCCATTCGCAAATTCCCCAGAACAGCAACAGCCCTCTCCAATATCCCAATATGCCTACAACAGCCCTCCCATTTCTCTGGGTCCACTACCTCTCAAAACGAACGAACCACCCAAAAGGAGCGATACTCTCTCAATAGAGCCCGATGCAAATCCATTGCAATCGCCGAAAACCTCCTACTTCCCATCACCTGCGACTCCTACTATGAATTCATCACAAGCCCCGCCCGTGGCGGACCTAAGCGTGTTCCATCAGCCTGGGCAAATTATGCATCCAAATCAGGAGGTACAAGGTGGCACATGGAGTCATGGCTTATGCGATTGTTCGAATATCGGAACCTGTTGTCTGGGAATCATCTGTCCTTGTATATTGTATGGGAAGACTCAGCATCGGTTGAGCATGAAATCGCGAAAAGAGGATCCGACTAATATGCTGGGATACAATACATGTAACGGGTCATGTACTGCGATGACTCTGTTTTGCGGTTGCCAATGTAAGTCAGCCCTTTATGAAAACACAAGAGACGCTTCGCTGACAATATCCACGACAGGGCTTCTGGCTACCATCCAGCACACGAGGACACGAAAAGCATATGGAATCGAAGGAGATGTCTGTTCGGATTGTGTTCGAGCGGCATGTTGCACGTGCTGCACTCTAATTCAAGATGAGAAGGAGTTTCAGAAACGTGAAGAGCGAAGAGCGAGGGCGGCCCGGGAGCGAGGCGCAACTCTACTTTCGCCATATGCAGCCCCTGGACCAATGTCTTATGGCCTACCGCCAAAATGAGAGAGGGTGCTATCGCCCAGGGCTTTGTTATATATCAAATGATTTGAGCTGTGTACATATCGCGCGGGAATATCACACATATTATGCGAGCGTGAGATCCCATGCGATACAAGGCAGCTAGACTCCCGCACTCGGAGTATGCATTGTCATGGGGGCAGATGTGCATATGTAGTGTTCGCATGGTTATTTGTATCGATCAGATTTACTCTTCCCAATCATGGAACAGTAGCGAATTCTTATTCAGTCGCTACCAGACTGCATTGTAGATCACCCATTGAAGAACCAGGATGCTGGGAATTGCAGACAGCGGGCGACCTGTCCATTCTCCACGTACAGGGATACGAGCGGAATGATATCGGTGGAATCAGTCTGGCTGAGACCTTGCTAGCAAACCTGTTACCCTAGAACTAAGAAAGTTGAAGGAATTACGACTCCACTCTTATAGTCAGGTCTATCTTGATTTCACAGCACGATAATCAACCTGAATGTTATTCAATAGAAGGTGGGGCGAATAACTCCTGGACATTTAGTGCTACAACTGGAAAAGTAAATACAGAGAAGCCCTCCTCACTTGAATTTCTCTGGCTATCACCGGGGACATCAAGGATTGCCAAATAACTAACTAGTTAGAGGAATCTACATATGTAAGAGTAGATCAACAATAGTCCGCAATCAAGTACTCCAAGATTCAAACAAGCGATCATCATCCTGGAACCAGGGTTGACCCTTTTGACAGCTGGTCCTAGCGAACTGGATACTTTGCGATGTATCAGAGTTTCCCGAGCCATCTGCAGCACTGCGATCGCAAAATCACACGATCGGCCGACCAGGTCCATTGAACGAGCTCGATCGCGCCTCGGCCTGCCGTTACAAAGCGATTCGTCAATGTCTACCGACGCAGATCTCGGGCCCAGTCTGTGGCTCCCCCGCATGTTATGGCCATCGCACTAGCCACGGAAGTAAGCAAGGTCAGGTAAACAGTGCCACTGATCTCTGGATTGATAGTGGCCGCAAGTAATCAGTCCAGTATTGACCATAATGTTGTCGGGAAAAGCCGTATACTTCAGACAGTGGAGATCCGGGAAGACATTTGAATATTCCCCAGAACTTTGTGCTGCGACTTGCCTCGATCGGGGCAACCTTCGTAGCTTGTGTGTCGGCGGGTGCTGGGCCTTTCGCTGCGCTGAAAAGCGTAGGGTTTGGTCGTCGATGCATGTAAGGGCGCGACTGGTCCGTAAGTCCTCCCACCTGGAGTGACGCCGGGTCGCGTAGTAACCACACGACAGTCGAGAGACCTGAGAAATCAATTGAGCGACTCGCGGGGGAAAACTAACATTGAGACCTGTCTATCAGGCTAAGCTACCCAGTGTCGTAGCTTAATTGCCTCGGTGGCGGCTGGTCGCGATGATACACATATATTAGGTCGTGGATCCCAGAATCCCGGTTCTTGGGTCAAGTCCTCGTTCAGAATCCGGACAGTCGCTAATCTCGAGTTCGTCAGCAACTATACCGGTCTAACATTATGTCAACGGCTTCACAGGAATCCACCGGTGTCAACCATGATAACCTCCGACACGTTATCATCACGTCTACCTGTTTCGCTTTCATCCTGTCCACCACCGCAGTCGGCTTCCGGGTTCTATCTCGAAAGATCAATGGAACTGGTCTCTTTATCGATGACAATCTTATGATCTCGGCCCTGATGAGATTCTCATGCCTAGTCTAAATGGGGACTCCTGTCTGACCTTTCAAGTTTTGGGAATGGGGAATCTCAATCGCAGGCGTTGTCCGTAAGTAAATTCCCGACTACGGTCTGTCACGAAGTATTGCTTCTAACTTTAAGAAGTCCTTTACAATGGCCTAAGAACACACATAATTTACGTGAAACCCGAGCAGCTCACTGTTTACCTGAAGGTATGCTATCCTTGAGTCTCATCAAGTGACTGCATCTAACATGAGTATTGTTATAGACTCTCTTCACTGGCTCTATTCTCTATACCCTTTACGTGGCCTCAATCAAACTCTCCATCTTGATGCTTTACAATCGATTGTTCCCCGTGAAGCCCATGGATATCGCCGTCAAGGTTGTGTCGATGGTGATCATTCTCTGGGCTGCTTGCGGTATCCTGGCCGGCTGCTTCACTTGTATTCCAACTGAGAAGCTTTGGAATCCTATGATTCCTTGTGGCTGCATGGATCTGGGAAAGTTCTACTATGGCCTTCAGATGCCCAACATTGTCACCGACGCCATCATCTTGGTCATGCCCATGCACACCCTCTGGGGGTTACAAATCTCCAAAGCGCAGAAGACTGGTCTCTCAATCATTTTTGTTCTAGGCTTTTTGTAAGCATTCATCCTTGACCGAAGTCTTGAAGCGAATTTACTAATGATGACAAGGACTCTCATTTTCGACATCGTTCGACTGATTTCCCTCATTGATCTGTCCAAGGCTGGCGACGATATCACCTGTGTATGGACGTGCATCGAGCCAGCCGTGGGTATCGTCGCAGCGTGCTTGTCGAATATGCGCCCATTGTTCAAGATTGTACACCGTAAAGTTTGGATGCGCCATGTGGGCTCGACTGCAAACACCAGCCAGCAGGCGATTAACGCAAGCAATAGCGAGAAGCGCTGGACTCGAGACACCCCGAGCCCCACTCTTCAATCTCAGACAACTCACTCCGAGAGCCCCGCTTGAAGATCGGTCAGTTGTACAGGCTATTTGGCATGACACAAAGTTGGTTTACTAGCGGAAGGTATCAGAAATTGGGTTGGGTGCCATCTGGCTAATGTCGGGCATAAGATACACTTTACAGTCACTATTTAATCAATCTTCAACAGTATTTCCCTTCTTTTCCAAAAAACAGCCGTCATCTATCCATTGTGCCATGACTTTCGATGTACTCCGCCAAGGCCCCTCTCATGGTTGTCCAAGTCAGACGGTCAGGGTATCGTAGATCCTGTCTGTGCTTCACTCCCCAAACACAATCCATTCGTCCAAAACTTGGAGATAGCTAGACGTCGATCTTGGTAGTTACTGCCCACGGCCACCAACTCCGAATATCATTGGCCGCGAGGGTGAAGCATTGTGGCCAGTCCCCTCACGCCAAGCCACGGCCATATCAAAGCCCCAGCCGCGTCCCCACTCCCCTGGCCGCTGCCCACTCCCACCTGACAGATAATCCATGCACAATGACGAGAGGTCTCCATGTGAAGCACCACCACGAACAATTAAGAACCCCCCCCCCCCATGGCCTCGGCGAGATATCAACGTCTCAACGACATGCGCGGACTCGACGATAGCACCGATGTCCTCATCCGAGTCAGCCAGACTGCGACCGAGCAGGTGCGGCATGGATGGCGGGCCTTTGTCAACTTCGCAGCTCGTGACAACGTCCTCGAGGTCGCCCTCGGTTTAATGTCAGGAAATTCGACTCGCCCTCAACTTCAATAATCTTCTTTCATGACTGACCCGATGTGCGGACTCTAGTATCGCTAACGCGTTCACCAAAGTGGTGACCTCGTTTGTGTCGGATATGGCGTTGCCGATCGTCTCTTTGTTGCCATTCCTGAACCGAAACATGGACCAGAAATTCGCCGTTCTCTCCCAAGGACCCAATTATGTTGACGGTGAGGGTTATAATACCATCGAGCAGGCTAGGGATGACGGCGCACTTGTTTTGGCTTGGGGGTAAGTATCCTTAAATAGCCTGCCACCTTAGCTGTGGCTGGAGCAGCCAAGCCCCGGAAATACAGTTCTGACTGATGGTACAGAATGTTTGTCGAAAACATACTCAACTTTGCTGGAGTCAGCTTGACATTGTTTGCGGTCGCCCACTTGTATATGTTCATCTCTCATGACAAGATCATCAAACCCACTATCCGGTGCAGATATTGCAGGAAGTTTATCAGTGTCGAGGTAAGACTCTCCTGCATACCGAGAACCTCTGATTGAATTGCTGAATGCAAGGTAGGCAAAACGCTGTGCGAATTGCTCGAGCTGGCAAGATGGAAGAGAAGACCTTCCTCAAAAAAGCTGCAGCAGTAGCAGTAGCAGCAGCAACATCGCCGACCGGAGTTGATTGACCAAATCTTGACCTTCTGTTTCGCCTTCGCTTTCGTCTTTTACTACCATGAGCAAGGCTCTAATCATGGCCACAGGGAGATCATACATTGACTGACCAGAAATATATCATTGAGATTCAGGTGGAAAGTGTGTTGGCTCTCTTGAATCCTAGCGAATTTCAATTATAGACCAATACCACCATATTCAAAGTTTACTCAACCGCCCATCCACAGACAATCTAAGCAAAGTCGAGTTAATTTCTCGCAAGTTAGATGCTCCGGCCAATGCCATGGTGCGGCTCAACTCCCTTTCAAGAATATTCATCACCGTTTCCACTCCTTTTTGGCCGTCAGACGCCAGCCCCCATAATGCTGGCCGTCCGACAAGCACAAAGTCTGCGCCGAGTGCCAATGCCTTGAAAACATCACTTCCTCGGCGAATACCTCCATCCAGAATAACCGGTATTCTTCCACCCACTGCTTGTACGACACCTGGTAATGCCTGGATGGTAGAAGGCACGCAATCCAGTTGTCGGCCTCCGTGGTTAGAGACAATTATAGCATCAACGCCATATTCAACCGCAAGTGCAGCATCTTCGGGTGCCAGTATACCCTTCAGAATGATTTTCATCTTTGTCGTTTGTCGTAAGAACTTGATGGTCGACTCCCAGGTTAGAGAGGCGCTGTGGGCCTTGCCTCCGATCTCGCGGAGGGCATTGGTTGCCTGTTCGAGGGTTCGCGCATCCATCAAGATGCGATTCGGGGATGGCTTTCGAGGGCCTTCCACCTTATCGTGTTCAAGGTTCTCTAAACGAAGGCCCTCGGGAAGAATCAATGGGGTTTGGCGCTCATTGATGCGGTTCCCTAGAACTGGGGTGTCGACAGTGAGAACCAGGGCCTGATAGGCCGCCGCTACATTATATCAGTAAAGACTTGCTAGAAGTGATTTTGATTATCTCAGCAGACTTACCTTCTGCATGCTTGATTAAAGGGACACGCAGCTCCACGTCGGCGGTAAGATAGATTTGAAACCAGAACGGAGCCATGGATTTACGTTCACTTTGAGTCCTAACAAAGGCCACATCCTCCAGTGATGTTGTCGAGTTTGAGGAGAGAGTCATATTGAGGCCCATTTTGGCTGCTGCACTTGCCATACCCAGCTCTCCCTCTGGCCCTGCTAGGCGTTGCATAGCGCTGGGTGCGATGCCGATCGGGATTGAAAATTTCGTCTGGAAAAGTTCCGTTGACGTGTCAACAGAAGAGACATCGCGAAGTACGCGTGGTAGAATAAGTAGACTGGCCAAATAATATCAGAAAGATTTCTAAAATTGAGGGACTTCATGCCTCACCTATCAAAGTCACATTGATTCCTTTCTAGTGCTGATTGGTTGTCGGCACCGCAGGCATAGTAATTATACACATTGCTTGGAAGCTTCTGTCGAGCAATGGCTTCAACCTGGTCAACGGTTATGGGGTCACTATGAACGCTTTTTGCTGTCATTTTCGATCTTTTTCTGTACACGAGTAGACCCATAATCAAGGAGTGTTGTGGGTGCGGCATCAAGAACGCTTTATACTGACTGTACATGCCCCGGAAATAAATCCGGGGCTCACCCCCACTAGTGCCACCTATCTTGAGTTACTACCGAAAGTTGCCTTTTTTTCCATTTTTGTTCCATTATAACGCCGAAGAAAACCGACATTACGTATAAATCAGGAAGGGGCTGTATCTTCCCAGCTAGGTAGGATGTATGACGGCTAAGCCCTTGATCTCGTTTGATTTGACCGATTATCTCAGCAGACATAGATCTCCTCATTGCCTAGATGATACTCAACATTTAGGGAATTGAATAAATAGGATCGGACATGATATAGTTAAGCAGAGATTGTTGAGAAGGCGGCATCACGTGAAGCTCGTGGATCTGATAATCAACCTGGAACCCCGAACCCCGCATCGACAAACCCCAAAAACACAACCTAGTCAAGAAACTGGCAAACGCCTTCTCAGCGCGAATCGATTCCATGATCGCCCTCTCATTTTCTGCTGTTCCATCATGTCAATCACACATATCGTACTCTTCCAGTTTAAATCTGGTGTAGATACTCAAGTCATTAAGGATGTGAGTTGTTGGAGTACGCCTTCAAGTTGTGAATTCAAAGCTAACTGCTGGTAACATGTAAAGACATGCGATCGTATGGTGGGATTGAAGGATAGTTGCATCCATCCAACATCCAACAAGTCATATATCAAGTCTTCCTCTGGTGGGGCAGATAATTCAATTGAAGGGATTCAGGTGAGTCAACAACCAAGCCAAGTGCCGCAAATGAAGTTGGCAACAAACTACCGTCATGGTGATTGGACTGGACTAACCTTCCAAGAATGGTATCACACACGCCTTTGTCGTTGAATTTGCCAGCGCAGAGGACCGAGACTATTATGTCAGGGAAGATCCCGTGCACAAAGCCTTTGTTCAAAGCCTCAATGGAGTTGTGGAGAAGGCCCAAGTCGTCGATTTTACGGACGGCGTGTTTGAAATCCCATAGTGCGGCCACAGTTCATTCTTGAAGACCTTGAAAATTTCATCTTGATAATCGAGACTAGGTTCATAATTTCTTTGGCTAGCACTTGTAAGACACACAACTTCGCTGCCCGCAATCTGGATGCTAGAGGCCCCCTCCCTAGGTGACTGGCTTCTTTTGGGGATGCCCTCGTTCTCACTGTCGGAATCCAGAGCTATGGCGAGGTGTATCTTCCTGTATTTTCATCAACATGACAATCTGGACGAGAAATGTGCTCGGTTACCCTTCGCTTTAACAGCCGTGGCATCGGTCAATCGGGATATGCGAGCGATCATATCGGCTTCGATGAATGGGATTGCAGCATTGGCGCAGCTTTATGGAAGTGCTTTGTTCCCAGTGAAACATGCGCCAGAGTACCGCGTTGCTTTCTCTATACTGGCTGGCACCTTTGCAGTGGGTGCTCTGTTGTATGGGCTGACCGATGTATTGTTCAAGAGTACCCTAACAAGGGATAACTAGGGCGGGACGGGCTCCGCCAAGCCATGTTCATGGGGGATCTTTCGAAGTATTCAAGGTCTGAAACGGAAATATGCTTTCAGTGGTATCCATTGGTAATCTCAAGACTGTCAGGCAAAGGAAACACAATCATTAGAACAAAGACATGGCCTGAAAAAAATTGTTGTTCGTCTTGAATCCCAAGGACAGTCATCTATACCCCTCCAAATGTACATGCATGCCTTCAGCAAAGAAAAAGAAAGCATTCCCTTCTATCAAAGACAGTTAAAAAGTGTAGAGCAAGCTTCGGTGAAGCCATAGCGGCAAGAAACAATAGAAGCTATTGCGGTGCGTATTCTGCAAGTTCACCTTCTTGCAAATAGCGGGAGAATTCAATAAGGCGGCAACCCTTAGTTGGTCAGACGGGCGGAAGACGGAGCTCCAGTGTACAAGACCAGCAGGACAATGGTGGCAACAACACCAACAGCAATACCCTTGGCCTTGGCCGGGTTGGCCCGGCGGTACTCGCCGACCTGCAGACGCACATCGGTGCTAAGGGCCTGGAGCTTCTCGGCACCCAGCTTGTAGTAAACAAGGCCAGCCAGGGCAATGGAGTAACCGAAGAACTGCTGAGGAGTGACGGGGTCACGGAAGATCATCATCGAGGCGCAGACCAACAGGATATCCTTGAGGATACCAGCCATGGTAAGGACGACGGCCGAGGTCTTGCCAATCTATGGGACAGTCAGCGGGTGAATTGGTTGAAAAGAAAGTTGAGGGGATCTCGTACCAAAAGAACAACAGAGGCATTAAGAAGGAAAGCAACCAGCGCGTTGGCAATGAGAGTCATGACACCAAGAGAGTAAATATCGTTCATAGTCATGCGGGGGACATCGGTGAAGAGAGCAACGACGCCGTTGGTGACGGCGCAGGCGGGAGCGTAGTAGTACAGGGAGACGAGAGGGTCCATCTTGAACTCGGCGGAGCTGAGCAGGCGCTGGACCATGACGAGACGCAGAGCCTCGAAGATGATGCCACCACACTGGATGAGGAAACCAAGCATGTCGAACTTGATCTCGCCGAAGGAAGCGATAACGACACCAACGACAATGATGGCGACATTGCCAAGGGTCTTGAAGTTGGCCGGAGCAATTCCAAAGGCCCAGGTGGCGAAGAGAGTCACGACAGCGTTGGTAGCCTATACGATCAGTTGTTGGTTTATGCTCGATACTGTGTTACGAGTGAGGGGTCTTCGGCTTACCTTCAGCATCTGGATGAAGGAAACACTGAGGTAGAGATAGGCCAGGTTACCGCAGATAAGGGACAAGCTGAACATGATACCGATGGGGACAATGGCACGACTATCAGGGATACCAGTGTTAGCAGCAATCTACCCAGATCAAGTCCAGACACATTTTAGGTCGTCGATTACTCACGCATAGGTGCTGGGGGTCATGGGGACCTTGTGGCGGGAGTCCAGGATGGTGGTGAACTTGGCCAGACCCTGGGTCATGGCAGTAGCGAAGATCATGTGCCATGTTGTGAGGAAGAGTGCTGTGTTTCGGGCATTAGCTGTTAGGTCTTTGGACGAGGAGGAAGCGGGCATGTATTCGATTGGAAGCCCGGCGCATGGCACTTACGGAAGTCTAGAAACAATGAAAGTTAGTAACGAGATCAATCGACGGACACGAATTTCAGGACGAGACGAATAGGGGAAACACTCACTGAACTTGGCAGTAGACAGAACCCACTTGTTGAACAGAATGACGCTGGAACTCAGAGCAATCCACAGACTGAGGACGTATTAGCTATGGATTCGAAGAGAGCGCGAAGAGTCCCAGGGGGAAGGGTCGAGCGACGACGCACGCAATGTAGAAAGCCGGGTGCAGGCCAGAACTCGGAGCGGGCGCCGGAGCAGCACCACTCTCGAGCTTGCGTTCATCCTGAGAAGAGCGACCGTTTGCCATTATTGTATAGAAGGTAAGACCCGATCAAAAGAGTGACTATGGGTGAGTGTAATTTTTGGGGGGGGGGGGGAGAGGTGGTTGAAGGAAAAGAACGGGGGGCAGGATCAGTTTACATTTAGGGGCACGAAGAAGGCTCAGCGGGCCGTGGGGGCGGTGACGGCAGTTCCAGTGGCTTGATTGGGCGGTGAACAGATAGGGGCAGAAAAGTACACGTCAACGCGTGGGCCCCCTGGCGAGTTTCAGAATTTAGGGGACTCTTGTTTCTTGTTTCTTAATTTTGTTTTCTTTGACCGCTGGAGACTCCCGCTGGGCAGTGGGCACTCCCAGGACGTTGATCGAATCCTGGCTCGAGGACTCGATCGGCAGAAAAAAGTTAATTTGCCTACCAGACCCTGAAACCCCTATTTCTACCCACGGGTTTGATGATTCGATGGCTATCGCTTCTGATCAACTCTTCAATGATAACAATTGTATATTCCATCTGCGTGTAGAAAAATTGAGACTTTAGTTGAAACCATCCAAAGGGCAATGACCACTGCTGATAGAAAATTAGTGCTCCCCGATGCCCTCCTTTTGCCACCAGCGACAAGGGTCCATTCTAAGCTATGTAATTTGAACCAAGAAAAGTCTGAAGGCAAGGGAACATGGATAAAATGGAAACACGAAAGCAATTGAAAGCTCTGTATCTTGTCAGAGTGGCCCAGCCAACAGGATTAATAGATTCTTTTGCCATGGTACTTACTACTGAGGGTCGCGAAGTAGAAAAAACGCCCCCTGAACCGTACATGACAAGCCCTTGACTATGAAATAATTAGCACCAAACTAATTCTCGGGCCTGTCGATTGTCAACAATGAAGTGCTCATTACCTATTGCGGCTGTATCTCTACTAGTTGGCTTGGGATGCTCAACCAGAAGAAATATCTTTCTGATTACAATATGGCTATGGCCATTGTGGAGGGCCTTCTGGGCTACGAAATACTTGTAGACGAATTGTCCAACCGAAATTGATTCTCTTTCTTACTTTTTCGCGTCTAGATGAATTTGCATTCACAAGGCTCGCAACTATAGAACAAGCCTGCCTAGACATCTTGCTGCCATGGATTTCCGCCACAGTATGATCGTTCAACGCATTGAACTGGAATTTCCCAGGAAGCCACATTGTTTGCTTTTATGGCAGTTGATCTCAACACCTCTGTGGATTCGCGAATCATTTCACCGGGTTCTCTGGCATAAAATCACGTCTACGCGATCAAGTACTACATACATCTTTGATGGCGTTGCTAGACTCCCGCAGAATTAGGATCCACAAAGTGTCGGGTTGAAATACCTTATGGATTGTGGCTTGCGATCAAACATTGCGATATGGAGCGGGATTTCTATACAGCATTTCTGACTTCATTCCCTCAGAATTATCAACTAATTCGCTAGGATACTCTCTCCACAAGATGAGACAGACTTGCAGGATTAGGGGCGAACATATCTTGACTCAAATTAACATGAGGCATGCTCCTCGCCTGGAAATCTACTCCAGACCTCCAAGCCATGCCAAATCGCCAATGGCTATCTGGTGCTCGCACTAGAAGCGAGTGGAAGGAGTAAACGATGAGGAGATATGAGGGGTACGCGTCTGGCAGATAAGATTGCAAGTCTTCCCTCGGCCGAGCAGGAACGTCCACTAGTTAAAGTTCCCCCGCTCGATAAGCCGTTCAAGAGAAACCCATCATCAATCCCTTACGAAAGGGATCACAGGACACCATGAACCAGCAGACTGATTCCTCGCAGCTCGCAAATTGCGATAACATTCCTGTCATCGATTTTTCGAGCGTAGACAGTACATCACCGGAGGAGCGCCAGAAGCTCGCACAAACAGTCTTCGATGCTTGCTCGCAAGTGGGGTTTTTCTACATCAGGGTACGAGACTCCTACCTCACCATATATGATTTGAAAGAAACCCATTGAAATCCAGTGCTGATTCCCCACCCAATTCTTTAGAATCATGGAATCCCAGAGACCCTGGTGAACGGGATCCACGATGCAGCAAGGCATTTCTTTGACCTGCCCGAGGAGGAGAAGATGAAATTCTATATTGGTAACTCACAGGTCTCTATCAAATATCCAATGGTATTCTGAAGTTTATCTCTGTACTAACCCTCCCCTAGAAATTTCGCGGATACAGCCCGATAGGTGGCGAGAAGTCCACAGGCACCGAAGATGATCCCGTACCGGAGGAAGAAGCGACCGGAGTTCTCTCAGAGGCATTCGATATCGGCTATGAAGTTGTTATGGATTCCACCAAGCCCAAAAACGCTGTTCTTCCTCCAGATCCCTACGAACTCTATGGAGACAACCAGTGGCCCGACGAAAAGACAATTCCAGGGTTTTCCAAGATGTACATCAAATACTGCATTTCCGCTCTGGATCTTTGCCGCAAGATGATGAAGATTTTTGCTCTTGCACTTGGGTTGCCTGAAACCTACTTTGATTCTAGCATCCAGACACCAGGAGTGACCTCGAGAATGATGCATTACCCCGCCCAACCGGTATCGGGGGAGGTGCAAGAAGGACTCGGAGCACATACGGTGAGCACATTACGGTCTGTCATCTTGAATGAGATTTGCTTAACACCTTTTCCAATGCAGGATTGGGAATGCTTTACAATCCTGTCGCAGGGGAAAGTCCCTGGCCTAGAAATTCTTAATCACAAGGGTGAATGGATTCTGGCGCCTCCTATCCCCGGAACACTGGTGGTCAATATTGCCGACTGTCTATCCACTTGGTAGGTCTCGATATCGTACATTCACTTCTAATATGGCTGACTTGTAAAGGACAAATAAAAAATTCAAGTCAACAATTCACCGCGTGAATAATCTGTCAGGAGAAGAGCGATATTCGATTCCCTTCTTCTTTGGTGTGGACTACGATGCTACAGTATCTGTTTTGAAGAAGTATACATCGGACGTGAATCCCCCGTGCAGGCCACCATTTAAGGCTGGAGATGTAAGTGACAGGCTCCAAACGACTATAGACTCTTACTAACGGTGACTGATTCAGTGGGTTCGTGAGAAACTTTCAAGGGCCTACGTGGGTTATGAAGGTTAATCGTGTGAGCAGTTTTATAGGAAAATGAGGTTCATCAAGTAAACTATCCAGTGATTATCAACAAGTGGAGTTTGAACTATGTGTAACTGACTCAGAATGAACGGCTCGAAGCGAAATAGCTGCACGTAAAGAGAGATATAGATCCAACAATTATCCTAAGATACTGAGGGGAATCAAGCGTTGAGGCTTCTTGGCAAGGCCATTTGAATGCCAGGTAAATGGTGATAAGCCACTCTGAAAGTGATTCATTGTATACCAATATCAATGGGTATATTTTGAATTTTGCTCCTTGGTTCGTCAGAAAAGGAGCAACTTTATGGCGACGGCTCGCTCTTGACCTCCGGCTCCCTCGCCATTAATTCTTCTAGCGTAGGCTTCCTCGCCCACACACGGCGACTGAATTGGTTAGCATAAAAAGAAAATAAATGGACAGCAGGTAGAGACAAAAAATGGCTCACCAATATCCCCAGCGATGTACGTGTGGATCCTTCAATTCCGCACGCACTTTAGCCAGGTAGATCTGCACCTCGTCTGGAGTCCACGGCTCCGGATCCCCAAACTTAGTAAGAAGCCACATTGCCCAGCCCTCGATACCAGCACTCCAATGAGCGTACTGGAGCTGACCAGCCTCCTTCAGTGTTTTGTCCTTAGCCCAAGGCCCCAGAGGGATCTTGAATAGCGATTCATGCGCATCGACGAAGCCGGCCTCCTCCATTGCGCTGCGCATCGTTTCCTGGGTCCTGAGAGATCTACCACCTTTCTCGGAGCATTTAAGGAAGATATCACCCCAACCAGCCAGAAGGCTATCTGGCTTCAGGGTCCCGTCATCGCTATAGACCCGAATATCCATCTCTGTTTGCTCAATCCACCCACCTGGTACTAGGGCCCTGTAGCAAAAGAACATAAGACAAGGATCTCATACTGATGGAATTCAAGCAGTGATATAGGATACTCACTCGTAGGCCTGCTTATACACTCGATTCCATCCCTCTGGATCAAAGCTTCCATACATCATACGCAGATGAATGAAGTCGAACGGCTCTCTCCATGTCCATTCTCGGAGCACGTCGTCAACCTCGAACACGCAATTTGGAGGCATCCAGGTTACGGGTGGGGGAAAGAGATCCACTCCGCGAACGGTCGCTGCCATAAATCAGTTTCACAATCGAGCAAAATTGTGCTCGGAATTTGATTACCTGACGGAAAGCTATCCGCAACGTCACTATGAAATTGTTAGAGATTTTCTTGGAATTAGGTTCATTGACTTGCATTGCCCAGCTTCCTTTTCCTGTTCCGATGTCCAGGATATGCTATTTCATGTGATTAGCTCATTTCAAGTAGGAAGAATCAAATCATGATGGGTATATACCTTAGGCGAATCGCCTATGGGGGAGCGGAAGAGAGGATTCGGTTGGTGATAATCCAGCACCAGGAACAAGATGTGACTGCGCATGTCAAAATTCCACGTTCCTTTCTCATGAAGGAGATGTAAAAAGATAACTTGGGTCATTAGACCTACCTAATCTCGAATGCCTCGAATTGCTGCTCATCCGAAGGTCCCCTACGAATGGTTAAAAGAAGCATCTCTAATACAGATGCATCGTGACCAACCAGTAATTATCTTCTTTTGTCGCTTGGTATCTATGCTCCAAATTAGTCGACGAAATTAGCCTCGGCTGGAATATACTGACCTTCGGCCATTTTCCAACCGCCCTTTCGCGATCGTTGATGCGATTGAAGTAGTCTCCCTAGGAAGATGATCAGGCATATATCCAACACCGGATGGCAGCTAAAGGAGACTCACGACCGGAAGTCGTCCGGTTCCAAGTTACCCTTCATAGAGTAGAAGTAGGGGTCCTGAGCGGGAGGTGAGCATCAATCCGTTAGGTCGTGCGAGCACCACTCACCACCGCGATATCATCCTCCGTTCCGACCATGATTGCGACAGAATTTGTTTGCACGCTGGAGCTAGAATTTTTAACGCCGATGCGAACGTGGATTCAAGCGTCGGAACCACATGGGAAGGAGAAAAAGGCCAGGGGGGCTGGATGAAGCGTAGCGGGGCTCCCGCTCAGACCAGACAGACCATTGATGGATTGGGACGAGCTACGGAGTACAGAGCCACGATTCCAAGATAAGGATCTGACAGATCGATCATCAATTCTGAGACTAGCAAATCACGACTCGGGAAATTGTATCTAGAAATAACAGGTGATAATAAATACAAAAAGCCTACTTCCCTTTCACGAAGAGCCATTTGCAGTCCACAGCAGTTGTATTTGTGAGGTGATTTCACGTGATAATCACACTCCAGAGACAAACGGATTGTTCCTTCAGCTTGCCATCAACGCGTAAGCGTACATTTGGCTTCGAGATTTGATTGGTGCAGCCTTCGGAGCTAACGAGATTACTCATCGACAGTACTTCGTGCTCTAAACAGAACAGGCTAGTATAACAGGGTACGATTCTCGCGTAGAAGGGAGAAAAATGAGAGCTCACATCACAGTTTGGGTGACGCCATAAACAAACTGCAATGGTGTTAAGTATATACAACCTCATATAGAAATTTCTCTGACTTGCCCGGGATAATTCGCATCATAGGCTCACGACATCAGTATGGTTTGATGCCTGCAAGCTGAAGCAAACGATCTGAATATTCTGGTTCTTCCAGCGGACCAGACCGATTGCGGGGATCCAAGCTTCCATCGGGCAGGTAAGCTTCCTTTTCGCGGGGAACGATATTATCATGAGCCCAGTGGGTGGTAGCTTGAAACGCGTCGAACGAATCTTTCTTTCGATCAAGGGCATCTGCCGTCGCCCAGTCGGCAGGGGAATATGATACATAAATAACCGTTCGAATTATGTTGCTTTGAGCGCTGGGCTCACCACCCCAATGAACAGTACGCGAGTCCCATAGAATCAAGTCACCAGGCTCGGCCATAACTTTCATAGGCTTCATATCACGCTCTTGAAACCACTTTATCTCATCTTCACTGATCAATCGAAGGTCGTTTGTGTTCCAACTCGATGGGTCTGTCTGGGTATCGAAAAAGTGCTCAATAATCGTATTGGATCGTGGAAGCACAATCAACGATCCGTCTTCGGGACCGGCCTGGCTCAAGTTGATAATCCCTTGAACGCAATGAAGACCCCGACGCAAAGGTGACTGGTCCACATGCGGCCATGGCTTTTGGGCGGCTTTGTCCGCTCGATTCGGCAAAGTGACATTCAATGCATCAAAGGATACGAGTAGCTTATCAGTCCCCCAGATTTTGGCGAAGGCGTCCACAACTTTGGGTTCCATACGAGCCTGCCACATGAACTTCTCATGAGCAACGCCATACTTGTTGAAAGTGTTTACCTTGCTTTGAAAGGGCAGGTTTCCGGCTGTCCATGTGGACTGATCGTTCAGATCTAGAGGGGTATTGAATGACGTGAGCCAGTCAAGCGCTTTCTGTTGGTAGTACTTGGCTTTCTCGGGAGTAATCGCATTCTTTACCACCGCAAATCCCTGAGATTGAAGTTCATCACGCCAATCCCCGTAAGAACCTGTGAGCCTGATATCGGCTATTCAGCTTGTGCCCGTGCAGTGCCAAGGGCGATGAGCTTACTTGAAAGAGGAATTATTCAGGGACGTTATTGCTGCGGTTGCAGTTGAAGTAGCCATGGTTATAGTGATTGATGGTAAGCTTGTTTACGCCAGCAGTAAACTCAATTCGGCGGACTTTGAGTTTGGTCCACTGCAATGTGATTATGTTCGGTCTGCGACAGCAGGGGAAATTATCAGAGGAAAGAAGACGTTTGAGGCGAAGACTATCTAAAACCCTACAGAAAAGGGAAACGGAAGCAGGCAATGACTCATGATTGGGAATCGGCCTTTATGCCGATTCCCATTTCTTGTACGTCGCTAATACCCTCGGCCAAGTATTGGTTTGACCTCAAAGCAAATCAGCTCACGCGCAGGTCATCATCAGCTGAAGCGTTTTACAATCCAAGACAATCTCATGCTGTCTTTTAACCCCACTTTACCGGGTAAACGGGTCATCCTCCGGCCGGCACGTTCTTTAATTTCTGTGAATGGAAAGTTCAGCAATAGATGAATCCGGAGCAAGAGAGGGGAAGCGGGTCCACCCCGCAAGCACAACATCTAGCCAATATCTTTCCTCCATGCCATATTTGCCAATAGAACCGGCTAATTGCGACCATAATTCTAGATAATTGTAAGCTGCGAAGTCAGTCTTCCGGACGTAAATTGTCACAATTTGCTACACCTGTCGCAGGCTCTAGACAATAGTTTCCCATCAGTATCGTTGTCGACAGGACTTGGCCTAGATAAATCACCTTCGAATGGTGTCTTTCATAGCAGAATGATGAACCAATCAATCAAGTGCCTTGACGGTGGCAAAATATTCTATGAAATTCTATATAGTTTATAGGTCCACTATATTCAACTGGTTTACTTGAAAGACGCGAGCCTGTTGTTTGTGGCAGAGCAAAGTAACTAAAGTAAAATTAAGTAGAAATGCAAAAGATAGGATACTAATTTATATTTTACATGTAACAGATGTTGAAGTTAATCAAAACAGTATAAAGAGGCCCCATATAATCCCAGTTATACAAAGAGAAGGATTCTATTCTACAGATTTTATTCTTGAAAAGTACAATTCAAATTACAATTTCTGATACAACCAACGTATGAGGCCAGACCATACTCTCCGAGGACCACTCCATTAAAGTTACAATATCATCCAATTCTGGTGATTGCTTGATATTTGGCTCGCTTACTACGCCAAGATAGTCTAGATGCTCCCTGGTCGGCATCAAGGACTGTTCATGGGTTCAGAGATAGATTGTTTACTCAGCGGCGTGAACGTGCTCCGAAGTTTGCGTATGCCTATTGATATTGGATGCAGACCCACTCTGGACTCCAAGGTTGTTAATTGTACCGTAAGGCTATATTTCTTTGTGTACCAAGTACCTAGCGGCGGGGAACAAGCATATACACGCCTGAGTATATTTCCGAACCCGCCCTATATTCCCGTTAAGATATTTCCCCTAATGTGCTGACGCGTCTGAAGATCTTCGTCACATGGATTTAGTATTTCGCCGATACATCGAGTCAGTCATTCAGGGTAGTGTCCGTTCCCAAAGCGACACGCGCATATGATCAGCATCGATAGCTAGGACCTGCATCTACAATACACGTAGGCAATATGCAAATCGGACAAAGACGTCTAGCCCGCGTTGCTTGAGCAGCTTCTTCTAACTTAATTTTTCACTACCAGCTTGTCTGCCTCCCCGCGCATGAAGGCATGGTTTTATATTGACGATTTGTATTGAGATATCATCACTCAGACAGGTGGTCGGATTAACTACCTCGAAATTCGGCGCCAAGAAATGTCTCTACGGCTCTATACTAGCGAGCAGAATTGACCCTATTATCAGTGAATATCGAGTTCTGGAGGCCTCCCCCAAAGGATTATCATTAGCTCTTTCTCTCTTGTACACTTCGCGTTGAGCTAGGGGCTAAAACTAGCCCCGGAGCTCCGCTTTTGCTCATGTCGATCACTCTTCATCATTGTCTTGGCAGGACAAAGTGGCTGCATGTCGAGCGTATCAAAGGCACTCAATATCCACCAAGGAGCTTTCATCCTCACACTGACGGATGAATATTTATCAACTCCCGCAGCGGAATGGGCATGGTCAAGACCGGGGGGATGCGTGGCCGACCTCTTAGCTTGCTTGGCGAGTGCTTGGCCTGTTTCGTCTTGGCAAATGTGAACAAGCCTAGGCCAATCATGAACAACAATTTACGCAGCAGCAGTAGAATCCACGGCAGAATAGACGTCGTCATCCAGCCATGTTGACCTATACATTCTTGGATGTAGTGCTGTTGACTTGGGTCAAGTCCAAGACACAAACATCAATTATTGGCAAGCAAGAAGAAGTATTAAAGGGGTCTGCATGGCCGCAATGGCAATGAATATTCACAGAGTATTCTTCTGCTAAGCAATTATTATTCTACTCTTCGAATAAAGCAAAACTCGGGCTCCCTTCAACATGCGATTCACTGCTCTGTGGAATGTCTGTCTTGTCGGCATGACAATTCCATTTGCACTGGCTCACCCAGGCGAACACGAAAAGCACGATGCCCGGGCTGAGCTGATGAAACGCGAGTTCCGCAAGCATACTCGCCGTGGCCTTGAGAAATGCGCCAAGCGATTCGAGGTCAATGGACTCAATGCTCGTGCTGAAGCTCGTCGTCGTAGCCTCTACGATCTGCACCGTCGGCGGCTGGGCGCCCGTGATACCACCGACGTCCTCAACACCTCTCATCTGGTGGATGACTCGAGCATCACTGCCGACACTTCTGCAGACACTTTATTTAGCAGCAGCTCTACTTGCGTGCTGAACCCTGAGGGTGAAACTGGTCCTTTCTATGTAAAAGGCGAACTAGTTCGATCCGACCTACGTGAAGGACAGGAGGGTGTCCCCGTCATTTTTGATGTCCAGTTTGTCGATGTCAATACCTGCGAGGGCATTGAAGATCTTTACGCTGATATCTGGAACTGCAATTCTACTGGTGTCTACTCCGGCGTCATCTCTCAGGGGAATGGCAACACTGCCGATACCTCCAACATCGACGCTACATTCCTGCGTGGCATTCAAGTCACTGATAGCGATGGTGTGGTGTCATTCAATACCCTCTTCCCTGGTCACTATTCTGGACGTACGACCCATCACCACATTGTTGCTCACTTGAACGTCACGGTTCTGTCGAATGGAACTATCACCGGCGGCTCTGTCGCACATATCGGTCAACTCTTTTGGGATCAGGACCTCATCACCGAGGTCGAGGCAACTTCTCCGTATAGTACCAACACCGTCACTCTTACCACCAACGCCGAGGATAGGGTCTTCTCTGATGAGACGGAGGGCACTACTTCGGACCCCGTTCTGAACTACGTCTGGCTCGGTGATAGTCTGAGTGACGGTCTACTTGGTTGGACTACTGTTGCTGTTGATACTTCTGCCACCTATGATCCAAACTATAGCTTTGTCTATACAGCGAGCGGGGGTGTCGCTGAGTCTGGTGGTGGTACTGACAGTGTCTCCGGAGGAGGCTCTGGAGGCTCTTCTGGCCCTGGTGGGTCTGGCGGCTCGCCATTTGCCTAGATTTCTTGTAGGGGCTTGACTGGCGGGAGCTTAATGATATTGATCAATTTCGTGGGCCCATCAATTAATTTGGTGCAGAGTGACCCAGGAGGGGAATGAGAGATTTGAGATATGAGGCAGTGATGTTTGTGACAATGAGGTTTTGTTGATATGTCCTTATGATTAGTCAAACTAAGTGTGTCAAATCATTGCAAATATCACGCCCCAAATTAGAGCTTTGTATTTATTCATGCCCATTGTATAGTTTCCCATCAGTACAGGCATGGTCAAGTTTTGGTTGGGATTGTAGGCAAATCCTCTCGGACACATATAACCTCACTTTGGTCAAGGCATATCTATGATGAATTAGGAATCATAGAGCGTGTGAACTGGGAGTTCCAGCCACCAGTGGGGCAGGCGTGATTCTCTTTGCAGAGAGATTGTCGGATTGTTTCGGTTTTTGAGAAATAGTTTACTAGTGCTGAGACTCGAAGACTCATTCCAACAGGGTGCTTCTGGGCGAAAGGAGAAAGAAATTCGCCTAGCATCGTTTGAAATTCGAACAGCACGTAGATATCTTGTCAAATGGAATGTTATGTCTCAAAATTCACTATGAAAGCTTATCGTACTAATACAAAGTGTTGTGATTGAATAAGAGAAACCCGTCCGGTCGATCACCTCCGAGTCATGTAACTTCCCCTAGTCCTGCCACTTTGGAGATACACTGGCCCTATTTAGTACCACAGAGCCTTATTCCAGTGGGTACTCTTAGGACTAGCAAGATCATCCTCCTGAAGGTACATGGTAGAGTTGAAGACGAGCTCGGTAGCGTTGCTACCATACTTGGGCCAGTAGACCTTGTCGCTGGCCCACTTGGTGTTTGGGTTGCCGGTGAGAACAAAGGAGAGGAGATATTTCTGCATCTTGCGCTATATGATAGAAACCAGAGGTCAGCTAAGACTTGTTCTCGAGGGGCTTCAATGAGCAATACGTACTGCAACGGTCGAGCTCACAGAGGAAGCACTGCTAATAGCAACGCCAGCTCCAGAAGCAGCCCCATCAGGGCTGGAGCTGCTAGAAGAGAGGGAATAGGTGCTGTACCCTATTTGTGCGATTATGGTCAGTTATCTGCTCTATAAGAGGGGCTTTGTTCGTACAGTAGTAGCTCTGGTCCGTCCCGTGGGTAGCTTGCTCAAGGGCGACCATAGCATTCCAGGTATTGTTGTCCAAGGCACGAGTCAGCGCGTAGTTATGAGCAGTAAGATCGAAAGATTGACGCATGTCAGCAAAACGGTAGCCAGGGCTAGTGTATTCGGACTCGGGGAATATCTCCATGATCTCCTCAACGACATCGTCCGTGATAGCCGGGAAGAAGGCGCGAAGCTCAGCCTCGACATCAGCAGTGGTGTTAACACCTGAGGTGGGCGAGCCGTTGTTTTCGTGCTCTTCGTGGGTGATGACCAAGGGACCATCAAAGTTGAAACGGCCCTGGTAGAGCTGCGACTCGTAAGTGTCGGCAACAAAGTCACCGTCGACGCGAGGCTGGAATTGGTAGCCGTATGTGTCGTAGACGTCGGTAGCAGCATCGGTTAGGTTGGCAAAGGCAACACTACGCATGCAGATCAGATCGCCGCCGCTGCAACCAACGGCAGTAGAGACGTTCTGCCAGAACATCTCGCCTTGGTGGTGGCCAGCACCGGGCACGAATCCAGGAGAGGTGATGTAGGCCTTGTTGAAGAGCTGCTCGTTGTGTCCACCATAGCGGGTTATCTGGAAGAGTGGCATACTACCACCAGCTGAGAAACCGAAGGCAGTAATGTCGTCTGGGTTTCCACCGAACTTGCTGATATACTTCTTCACCCACTTGTAAGCGTGTTCCACATCATACAAGGCAACATTATCAGTAGCACCTTGGTGAGTCAAGGTCACCGAATTGGCAATACCAGTAATACCAAGACGATAGTTGAAGGACACAAAGATGAATTCCTTGGACAAGTCGAAAAGACCCTCAGGGGTGTTCTGAGACTTGGAGCCACCAGTGAAACCACCACCGTAAGTCCAGACCATGACCGGCAGCTTCTTGCCCTTGGCGTTGGTGGGTGCCCATACATCCATGTACAGACAGTCCTCTTCCGAGGAGCAATCAATGTCGGCAGTAGCATAAGTCGTGCCATTGTTGATTCCAGACTCCTTTGATGGCCATTGAGGCTTGGCAAACCGCAGATCGCCGGTGGGAACAGCAGCAAAACGAATGTTTTGGTACTTGTAGTACCCAAGGGTCTCGTTACCAGCAGCCGCTTGAACAGTGGTGTAGTCAAGTGTCACCGTCGGTTTATCCGAACTAGAGGTTGTCGGAACAGCCGAGGCAAGAGAAGCTACCAGTGGCAGCAAAAGAATGGAGAAATGCATCGCGGCTCAAGAAGGGGATTGTATAGAAACGAGCGAAGGCTTTGTGAGCTGTTACCTCTCCAAAATTGAGTTCTCCACGTTTAAGTAGAGCTGCTATTGAGGCAATCTTCTGCTACCGTCGTCATGATCATGACGCGGCAGTCCACGCCACGCCGGCCAGAAGGCATTCCCATAAACAAACAGTGCTGAGGCACTCCACTGGGGGAGAAAGTTTTAGCAGGATCGTCGTCTGCCAAGAAGAGCCAAGGATCCAGATATATGACTGAAGGTAGATTTCAGAGGCTCCAAGTCATTAAAGTTGGCCAAGGAGCCACACCAGTCGACCCCAGAGTATCCACGTAGATCGATGTGAAGCTCGGAAATCAAGCAGCCTGGTCATCCGCGATGATGAAGATTGGGTCAAACTCGTCAAAAATAAGGTCATTGTTTAACCCACGAAAACAGTAATCTCCACTGATGAGTTTAGATTAGAAGGTTGTGGGGATGTCCTTCACACCATGTCAGAAGGAGATTATTCGGACAATTCAATTGCGAGCCAAGCTCGGGAATGGTGACGAAGACTCCAGGTTCCATCCATTCTGCGGGCGCATCAAGGTTACTGGAGACTCGCGCTAGAGTTTCGATGCTCAGAAACAGCCAATGATCTGACTGCGTCGAGAGAATCCTATGGAGTTGAGGTCCAGGTTAGGGCTGGACGGCTGAATTCATATCCGCTGGGGCTTCCTCCTAACCGAGTTAATATCAACAAAACACCTTCTCTGATGGAGAAAGGTAGAAGCATTGGGAGCAGTGATATCACTATTCTCTGATAGTTCATCTCCCTATGTTTCTTAACCATACCAAGGGACATCTGGGATCTTTCGGCCCTGATCCAGAAGGTGAAATGAAGTATGAATATTAACCGGGCATACAGTAGAACGTGGTCAGACCTCAGCCCTACTTTTTTGATCATGATGCGCTTTCAAGGCCTGCCATAGTTAGAAATCCATTGTTGACCTAATCAAAATCTTGTCCACGAAGATCAGTATATTCAGCCTATACGTATCAGTCTTAACGGTATTAGAAGATCGTTGTTTACAATTGACAGGTGAGCAGAATTCGACCCTCTTTCCAACCCCTACTCTGCAGACTCGTCTCCTACAGTTAATTGCTCTATTTCGCGATAGAGTCTCCCCCAGTGGGTTCGAATATCCCTCGTGACTAGATACTAAATACGATTTAATTATACGACTGAGTAGGGTTTACTAGATTTAATCGTCAAAAAAGATCTGTAAAAGAAGCGTTGAAAGACGTGTTGAAAGTCGTATCAATCAATCAAAGTTCGTAGACGTAATCTAGATTCCTTTGTCTACAGGTACTATGCAGGAGCTCAAAGTTGGTCTTCTAACAACGCTCAATCTTAGTGTGACCCGATATCAACTTCTAAGCCGAGGCCACGCGGCCATCAGAATAAGATACTTCCAGACTCACTGTTCTACACGCCTTTTGTTAGACCCACCTGAAACCAGGACAAATCGATATCTTCAAGGTTCCCTCTAAACAAAAACTCTCTCAAAAGGGGCAAAAGTGAAGCTGCTCGATCGTATTCTAGTGGTGGATAGTCACACAGCATACGTTCTTAGCTCTGTCAAAGAGCAAACCATCCGCTGTCATCCACCAAAGCCACGCCATCTAGAGCCAAAACCCCCCGACACCCACTCTAGTCCAGTGATGTAAAACCCCCGAAATGAAATCACAAAATCAGCCTAGTGACCCCGCAAACTCACAAACTCCATATGTCGCTTAATGATGTAAAGTAGACGATGTACAGGTATCGTAGGAGATGGTCAAATTAAAGAAGCAAGAGCATACTGAAGAACATTAGACCTCCATGCAGCCGGTTGATGTTTAGATTTCTTGTGCATCCAGTGCCCAGATTTCCCAATTCTTGAGGACTTCCCAGCCAACTCTGCGCATGTGCCGTCTATACACGAATCCGTCGTTCGTGAGAACGGGCGGAAAGTGGCCACAATTCGACAGGCTCGGGTCGCGGAAAGGATAATCAGAGGTCGGTGCTGTCTCACTAGCAAGGGAGGCATTTTGGGGGGTATTATCGTAATCATCATCTCGTGTGCGTTTCCCTAGCGTAGAAGTGGGCATGTTGGCGGCCGGAGTGGTAGAAGGTGCAGCGGGAGATTTAGACGGAGTGTGAGCAGGCTCGCGCAGCGAGCCGGATTCGTTTCGTGTATTGCCATTCATTCCATTTGATTGTCGTGGTTGTTCTTCTGCGGTGGCCGAAGTGGGGGACTGGTCCTCGGAGTTTGCACGCGTTGGAATGGGAGCCTTATAGAGATCACGTAGCTCGAAGGCTTTCCAACCCATCCCCACAACCTTCACGTTGCCAAAGATCTGGTGGTCTGCCAGATCATAGCTCATCATCTGAATGAGCAAGTCGTCATCCAAATCCACGATGTCTGCGAGACTGCGCGCATTGAGAATAATATTTTCTGTCTCCTTGGGCAGCGAGTACATGCTCGTTTTGGCGATCAAGTGTGGATTGGCCACAGAATTTGGAACTGCCGATTTGAGATATGGATCTCCGGGATGGGTACTAGTAGCTGAGGACGGGGCATTGGTGCTCGCACCACTCTGCGGTGCTGGAGAGCCGGCAGGGATGAGAAGTCGAAGTGCAACTAGCTTCCGGAGGAATGGGACCAGCATTGAAAGCGAGTCCATGCTGGAGAAATCAGTCGCGAGAGCCAATTGCTCGAGGTTGGGACAACTGTGGACGAGGCGGGCAATCATGGACGTGGAGAGGGGCCATTTTGAGCAAAGGAGCAGGTGGCGTAATGTTGCACCGTGATTTATGGTGATATTTGCAAGATAGCTGTCTCGCACACTCAGTGCGATATTCAGTTGGCTAGCTGGAGAAGCTGCGGTAGCTGGAGAATTTGCCGTGGTGCCATTGACAGCCGGAGAATCGGATACCGGCGGTGTCAGCGCGGCAGAGGTAGGGCCCATGCCTGGACGCGGGGAATTAAGATAGTCGGAGGAGTTGTCGAACACATTGACGAAATACAACCGCTCGAGGCCCGTGAAGTTTCCTATAAACTCTGAATTTCGTTTCGAGACAGTATCCATCCGCATGGACCTGATCTTGAGTTTTCGATCTGGCATCATGGTAGGCCAGCTATTCTCGACGAAAGTATTCATCAGACCAACGGTATCCGACCCGTTCAAAAATGTCACATCTTCAACGGTAGTCGGATCGAATGAGATATTAAATTCCTCGCTGTGGAAGGCGTACAAATTCTGGAAGGAGAGTTTTTTAACGGAGAGGGGTTGTTTGGCGGCGGTGCATTTCCGGAAATAGTCGTTCAGGGAGACGCTAGGTTCTTGCGCGAGGCGCATGCGAGGCGACCAATGAAGCTTCAGCTCGCGTAGCTTTCTGCTCTTTAAAAGGATGGTGGATATGTCGTCGGGGTAGCATAGGGGATCGATGTCGGTAATCTTCAAGCAGCGCAAGTTCGGCATCCCCGGAAGCACAAAGGTCGGTTGGGGATGGCGGGTAGAGGGGAATCGAATCGTTAATGAAGTTAGTTTGGGCAGCTTGGTTAAACCCGTGTAGACGGTGTCTAGCATTTTGGTATTGAGCTCCCAGCTGAAGCTTTCGAGGTTCGTCATGCGATCGACGGCCGCCCGCACGGCAATGTTCAACATCATCGAGGAATCCGGCACCCGCCCTACCTGCGCATATTCCTCGATATCGGTTTCCTTCCAATCGCCGCGTAACGTGATTGATCGGACGAGAGTCGCATAAGGCCTCGCAATCACTGCATTGAGGCCCATCGTAAACGGACTTGCGCTTCCAATACCTTCGGGCTGCTCGCCGCGATAGCGGATTTTATCGTAGGAGGTGAGGGTCAAGCGGCGGTAGAGCTGAGGGAGGGCCATGTAGTTGAGCACGCGACATGTTCGGCATAGTCGCGCGGTATCACCGGTATCCTCGACCTAGTAGGAGTTAATACGTCAGTCGCACGATCAGATCAGAGAGATTGGGGCTCTAGGGAGCTGACATTTGACACGATTTGGGCGATCAAGTTGAGCGGCAGCAACATCAGCGAGGCCCCGCCAGGCCGATCGGTTGCGATGCTGGCATCGAACATGTTCCGATTGACAGCCGCCATGATGCGACATCAGGCTCGTGGCACAGCATCGACCGGGAAGATCACGAAGGGGGAGGTTGGTTCCCGAATGTTCGCCAATCTCTGGTCTGGGGCAAGATGGCCCGGAGCAAAAAGTTCCCGAACACACCAGGCCGAGCCTCGCCCCACTTCAAAACTGGCGAATCCTCGAATGACAGTCGCGTTATTAGGACTGGAGGATTGGCATAAGCGGGTCCTGCTCGAGCCGTGGCTGATTAACGAAAGACTGTCACCGAAAGGGAATTCCGTCAGAGCTCCATATATCACGTCTCATATAGCTATACAGTGAATCGCTTATGCGCAATATCAGACTAAATAGTAACCTCTGGGAAAAGGCGGGGACTGGACGACGCATCTATACAAAGTCCACTGCAGGTGGGGGAGGGCATACCTATTCGACATCGTTAAAGTCAAACGGTAAAGAACAGACCTTATTAGCGGACATATCATTTGAGATAAACATCTACATATATACTCTAGTCACGGAGTTTGAGATGAATTATTCAATGTACCATTTTCTATATCGAAAATAGGTCACATCCGCATGGTTGCTTTTGCCATAAGGCTGTTGTATCACCTTCAAGAGCCGAGACTATTGACTGTCCAAAAATGCAAGAGGTTCACAATCTATATCACTTTTAAGATTTCATACATACATACCTTAGGATTGAGCTAGTCACATTAGAAGCTCCGTATTTGTGCTTAGTTCATGCTATCTACTCCAAGGTTACATACACCAAAGTCCCCACGCAGTCAGACTCCTGCGGGTCCTCCAGCTCTTCAACGGCCCCCGCGACACCGAAATGCGAGGATTTCAAATCCTCACGAAATCACATGCGAGTGGCTTCGATATCGAACGACAGCCTACAACAATAGAAGTATATTCCAGACCTCGCAAGAAATACAATCCTCGTATCTTTCTGGCAACATCCCTGCTATTCCCGTCTACAGCTATAGCGTGACTCATTCTAGAAGTCAGCCACGCCTTGCATCAGACTAAGCGACATCACCGCCATGGGAGACTCTCAGTCCAGACCAGCACGCTGGGAATGGCGTTCAGCAAAATGGTTCATTCTAGCTACCGTCGCTTTGGCCTTGTTCATCGGTTCGTCTCACTCCCTGTACCTATGGATAAAGCCACTAACCACCTGAAACACTCTTTCCAGAGATCTTTCTCTATGGTTTCCTCGTCCCGATGCTACCCTACATGCTCGAAGAGCGCATGCATCAAGACCCAAAGCAAACCCAGCGTTTGACCTCCATCTCGCTCGCCCTGCACGGCCTCGTCTCTGCCTTTGGGGGCCCGCTCATCGGCCATCTAGCCGATAAAGCGCCCAATCGCAAGATCCCCTTCCTCGTAGCGCTGGTGGGATGCATCATCGGCACGTTCATGGTAGCCTGCACGACGGATGTCGGTGTCTTTTTCGGAGGAAGGGTGTTGCAGGGGATTTCGGGTTCGGGAGCTTGGATTGTTGGGCTTGCGACGGCCGCGGATACGGTTGGACCGGAGAGGATTGGAACTACGATGGGATTTATTATGGCGTTTGTGAATGCGGCTATGGTTACGGGACCAATGGTCTCAGGGTTGATTCTGGAGATGGCCGGGTATTGGTTTACTTGGAGTGTGCCTGTGGTGATTTTGGTGATTGATGTTGTGGCGCGGTTGTTGATGGTTGAGAAGTCGGAGAAAGAGGAGACTTCGGAGGATGCGCAGGAGACTGATCCTCTGTTGGAATCTTCTGCCGAGGAGGAGAATGGCCCGGATGGAACTACTCCGACTGCGAACTTCTGGCAGATGATGCTGAGCAATAGCCGTGTGATGACGGCTTTGCTGATTGGGATTTGGGGTCCAACCTTGAACACAAGCTTCAACGCTACCCTTCCTCTGCATGTGTTGGATATCTTTGGCTGGGGACCTTCGAAGGTTGGAATGATGTTTTTCCTCCTGGCCCTGCCAGGTCTGCCCATCAGTCCATTGGCTGGATATCTTCGTGATCGTATTGGAACCCGCGCCCCTGCTACCATTGCCCTTGCTCTACAAGGAGTGTTCCTTGTCTTGCTAGGATTCGCCGGCAACAAGCAGTTTGAATGGTCCAGTGGGGCCGATCGAGGCAAAGCTCTTTATATCTTGTGTTGCATCATCTTCGGTACCCTGCGACCATTCGTCTCCGGCGTTGGGCCCGTGGAATTAACCTGTGAGTCTCCTGTCATCCGATTCTGGGGTCAGTTCCCAAATCAGGGAAAAGATCCGGTACTGATCGTTCACATACAGGTGTTGTCAAAGCCGAAGAGGCAAGGAACCCCGGGATCTTCGGCCCTCGAGGGGGACTTTCGCGTGTCTTTTCTCTGGTTGAGGTCGCCGCTACGAGCGGCATGACTCTTGGTCCCATTCTTGCTGGAGCTCTGACAGAGCGTTTTGGATATTATACCATGTGTTGGACGTTGAGTAAGCTACTGATACCCCCGTTTCTTGTTTTTAGCTATTACTCACCCATACTTATTTATAGGCGTCATCTCCATCGTCATGGCCATCATGGCCCGTACTTTCCTGGGTTCGAAAAGTATGGAAGAGAAGGACAGAGCTCAAGAGGGCAGTGTCGAATAAAGCCAATTCTTAGAAGGGGAGTCAGACAATCTTCAAAAGTGTCAAATATTACGTATATTTCCCAGGGTATATAACACGGGACTAGATCAGAATCAGAGAATCAGATCCAAATCCCAATGTCCACAATCCAAAACCTTTCCAAATGACATGTATGTAATCCTCCCAGTAGAATGCTGATATGTTCAAAACTCCAGGCCTGCCTTACCTATCCCAAAAATAAGTCCATTCGCCAAGAAAACACCGCGCAATGCCAGCCAAAGACGTAATCCGCCGAGTTCATATGTCGGAGGATATGTAATGCAGGATCATGAGGTAGCGTGGCTATGACCACCACCCTGTTGGGAACCTGCTTGGCCAGATGGAGTATCATTGCGCTCATCTGAGACGGTCGTTTCTGTCCAGCTGGCCCGGTCGCCTGTATTAGGGGGCTCCTCACGGGTACGGCTCACGTCTTCATCGATCAACGCAGCGGCGTCGGGATCATAACGCAAAGTGTAATCTCTATCCCCGTTCTCAAGATCCATATCTGTCCAGGGAGCAGAGGCCTGCGGTTGAGAGGGAATAACCCTCACGGGCAGACCAGAGCGGCCAGAGCGGCCAGAGCGGCCAGAGTGGGACTCGTGAGTGGAGGGAATCTCCAGAAGCGGGTTCTGGGGGGACCAAGTGTGCTGCTGACCTCGACGACGAGCTGGGATCACGGTAACAGGCAAAGGCGCATCTGCATTTTGCGTTCCCGCACCAGGATACCGCTTCCGGTGAAGTGAGAAGAAATTGTTGTTGCCCCGTGGCTGCGTGGGGTGTGACTGATGCTCATCATCATACGAATCGGTGTCGCCATCCTCCTCGCCTTGTTCCTCGCCAGCTTGGGCGGAAGCAACCTCCTTGGGCAACGATCCGCGTCTCCTCTTGAATGGGTTGAGTAGAGCGAGCCACCTTGGGTCAGAGGAGACGATCTGCGGTGATTGTTCTCTGGCATCCTGAGCCGAAGGATCGTGCTCGGCAGCGTTAGAGTCATAGGCAGCTTCGATCTCCATCTCTTTAGGATCTTCTAGTTCATCTTCCTCTTCCATGTGTGGCATTGCCACGGGTGGTGTTGGGCTAGCCACTGGGTGGTACCGAACATTGTACACTGTGCTCGCGGCACTGGTAGTATCAGCCCGACTTACGGGTGTCACTGCAGCCGGTGGGGGAGTAGGACGAGGATTGCGTCGAGGAGGCATGGCTGTATCGTTCTGTCCAAGCACTCCATTGCCACGATTCCTATTCCCACGAGGAATGCCGACTCGCGTCCGCAGCGGTCGACCACCCAGCCCTATCATTCCTCCCCATCCTGACGACGTGCCGTTTCCACCTCCCTTGTCATGTCCTTGAGACGAGTAGCGGGGCCAATCGACCTCTTCTGATGGTGTGACCTCGAGCATCTCGTCCCCGTCAAATACCTCTCTTCCAAGGATTCCATCCTTCGTTTCATCTCGTTCAAGCGCTTCTATACGCTCCACCCATTCCCACACAACCACACTGGCCGCGGCCGAGCCTACCCATCTGACATACGTACCCCATCCAGCAATCTCCGGTTTTGCAATGTCCAAGACGAAGAATATAACTGGGATCAAAATCGCACAGAGCGATAATAGAGCCACGAAGCAGATATTGCGCATCTTGGGGTGAAAGAACGCATAGCGGTGTTTCGATATCGAATAGAAAATAACCCAAGCCGCATACAACAAATTGAGAGCCAATTCGAACAGATAGCTCAGCGCGGGGATCGCATCGTCGTATAAACGTGGGTGTGTCGAGGTATTCCGTACCATAAAGTTCTCCAAACAACTAAATGTCGTATCCAGCACAATCAGCGCAAAGCCCGCCCATTTGATCATAACTTTCTCTTTATGTCGCGGAAACAATCGAATCAACGTCTGGACCTGCGCCAACCAGAGAAACGTGCTGGATATGACGCGAACGATGCGAATCTCTGTGCCATCGATAACTTCCTCCGAAAGCGCCTCGGCATCCGAGAACCCGTAGTCATACTGGCGCTCGGCGACTTTGAATGAGTCCACCGTTGCGATGGTCAACGAAATTGCAACGAGAATCGCAGCCACTTTTTGCAACCACGGTCGACCACCGACGCCGACAACTGATGAGTTGCCACTATATGAACCGCTGATCATGCCATGCCGCCCGAGGAAGTTTGCGCCGCCGCCAGGACCGCCCACGTAGAATGTGCGCGGGGTGATGAGAAGGATGATGACGAGAACGTAACTGACAACTGTTGCGCAGCCGATAGCATAGAGTTGCGGTGTGACGGAGGAGTAGAACGGATCGCGGGTGTCCAGGATGGCAGAGACATGAATGTAATCGGATGGGTCGCCGGTACAAACGGGCTCGTAGACAGCATTTCCGGTCAAAGTGAGTGCATATGAACTATTCACATGTATGACTCCTATGCATAGACAAGGACGCCGGGGGTTAGTCGGGCATAAAAGGAAGAGAGGATTCGAGACGAGTGGCAAGAGTTGGTCATTTAGACTGCTTGGCCAACCCATTCAGTCGAACTAGGAAGAAGAGAGACATACCATCGCTAGGCAAGACAAATGGCGTACACCCAGAAGCATACGTATGAGTTGATGCTGTTGTTGGGTTCGCCCAGATCTGGCGGGGAGTCACACGAGGCGCATCTCCCATGATCAGGCACTCTGTGCGGCTACTTCGCCGACCGAGGGCTGCTGTTCCTATACCGAGTCCAGATCCACCGAATCCCTATACAAATGCTCTGCGAATACAGTCGAGTCTGAATTCGTCCTAAACAGCCATTCTGTGGTGGCCTCGAGCCGCGCGTACAAGGCCGTTCAGGAAGGGAGCGAGGGGAGTCGGCTCACAGGGGCGATTGGTGGGTCGGTCGGCGGTGATATGTGTCGGTTTCGCTGGGACCGGGAGAAGCCAGCGACTCGAGAAGTTGTATAATAGTCGGAGCTGGAGCGACCGGGGGTATTGTGATCTCGTCCAGGAAGAGGCGCAGACTGTACAGCTTTGATTTGCGGGATGATTTAAGGTCGAGAAGGAGTCTGGAGTTAGCGGGTCGAGATGATCCGCCACCCAGTCCACTCTCTCATCCACTCACGTCGCTCTCCTCTTATTTCCACATGGAAGGCTGGAATTCTTCGTGCAGCAAGTCCCAAGTTTTGTCGTTGGCGATAAGAGTTTTAAAGAAACAACGTTCAGGTATTTTCTGTGCGAATTTTACCATTCATAGAAGATGAGTCCATCTACACTACTGTTCCAATGGGAACGGCTCCTAGCGGTGGCCAGATTAACTGTGTAGTTGTATGTACAAGTGATCGCCCTCAAAAGGTATGGCCATGGCAATTTTTACGGAAAATCTTATTCCGGAATCAATGGCAAGGTCGGGGTTGACAACAGGGATTCTCCAGAAAAGGGGAATCCCTGTCTGACTGTAGATTGCAGAGCCAAATACCACCATGATTCAAATGCCGTATAGAATGAATGCCACCAGGCTGCGCTCTACCTAATACTACCTAATAGTTCCAGAATAATCTTTCCAAATTGCCACGACATCATTTACTACCACTTACACAAGTATGCACTGGAAAAATCAATCAATAACAATGCGTTGTATGTATTATGCGCTGCACGCATTATTCAAGACACCATGTACAAGCCAAGCCGCGTCAAGACTTGAGGCCAAAAAGGTAATCAATCAAGAAAAGAAAATGTATCAATCCACTCATCCACCAAATCAAGCTAGCCGGCTAGCCAGCTCCATAATAGCATAGGACCAATTTTCCCTCTCCCATGCTTTACACCTCATGACCATAGGGTTGAACCCCCTTCGGCCCGAGAAATAACGGGAGCGTACTCATCGCCCCGCGGGATCAACCCGCTCGCTTAAGCCTGGGGAGCGAAGCCAAGGCGGGGGCCGTTGGAATCGAAGACGACGTACTGGCTCTTCAGGAAGATGTCACCGAAGATGGAGAAGCCCAGGCCGGAGTTGCTCTGGATTCCACCGAAGCAAGTGGAGCTGCCCGACTGGAGAGGAGCGTAGTTGATCAGGGCACCGGGAACAACGGCGTCGTAGCTGCCAATGGTAACGGTGAAGTCGGGGAGCTGGGCGTTGCAGGGGACGGTGTAGCCACCAGCAGAGGAGTCCTGCTGGGCACCAGAGACCTGGCCGTAGTAGTCGGAGACAACGTTGTCGGGGAGCAGCAGAAGGGTGGTACCAGTGTCTATGTGGGGGATAAAATTAGTTTTCATTGACGGCTACGGTATTCAAGATTGGATCACTCACCAGCAATACCAGTGATAGAGCCACCAGACTTGGAACCAGCCTTGTAGGCGTCGGCAGTGAAGCTCCAGAATCCCTGGGAGCTGTCGACCTGGGAGTAGGTGAGTGAGCCGGTGTATTTGGACTTGTCGACGAAGCCGAAGTCATAAGTGCCGGGAGCGTTGTGCTTCAGGGTAACAGCGAACAGAGGCGAGTCCAGCTGAGACTTGACAGTGTCGAAGAAGGTAGTCTGAGACTTGGGCTTGACAGTGTTGATGGAGCTGAAAGCAAGACCAAGCAGACCGTCGTTGTTCTTGTCGTCGACGAACTGCTGGCTGATCTGGGCGGCAGCCTCAACCGCCTGGGCGGAGGCCGCGACACCACCAACGACGACGGTGTCCTTGTAGACGTCACCGCTAGCAGAGCTCTGGTCGCCGTACTGGATGGACCAGGTGTAGCCAGCCAGCTTGGTAGCATTGCTGCTAGGCTTGTAGAGGCTGTGGCCAGAGGACTGGGAGGAAGGCAGCTCCGAGGAGAAAACCCAGCTAGTTTTGTATGTAAGAATTTTGATATTGCCAATGTTTCAATAGCAGACGATGATAGTCAAAGTAGAACTTACAGATCAGCAGACCCAGTGTCAAAATCCAAGTTCAAAGTGGTACCACCGACGTTAACGGGAGTCAGGTACTCCTCGTCGTTGTTCTGAGGGGTGGTGACAGCAGAGCCGCTCTCGGCAGCAGCCTTGACGCCAGCAGGGACCGCGGCGCCATACTTGGAGAGGGCGGCAGCGTACATGCCGGGCAGATTGACGGCCTTGGGCTGAGCCACGGGGCGAGCCTGCTGGTTGATGGTGAAGCTGCTCTTGCGCGAGCTGCCTGTCGGCACAGCCGAAGAGACAGACGCCAAACCGGCCAGAACGACCGTGATCTTGCTGAAGACAACCATGATGGATGACAGCGATATAGGTGGAAAAGAATGGGAATGAGAATAAAAAGAATGAAACTCTAGAAAGAACGGCTCTGGGCTCGAAAGAATGGAGTTGAGTGGATTGATAAAAAAAAAAAGCCTTCTATCGGCCGGCGATGATGGATGCTTTATAGGCCTTGTGGACAGGCATGAACATCATCTTCAGGCCGATCCAGGGTGTAGACATGGCTCGAAGGCATCAGTGGAACCGTAGTCTATCGTCCCAGATCCCGGAAAGGGACAGCCAGGAGATGTTGCTCTTCCGGGAAGCCATGGCCGCCGATCCAGTATCTGAAGGGACATCCGGGGCATAAACTTTGAGATCATCACGGAACTCCATCGGCCAGCCAGAATGGCAGCACGGAGTCCGCCAAGAGACCATGAGACAGTGTCGCGAAGTGATGGCGAATGCTGATGGGTCTGATAGCTCCGGAAGCCAAGGACAGCCAGGCAGACAGAGAAGGCGGGGGAGGCGTCGCAGCTGCGCCGGGGCCCTGAAGCATGGAGGCTTGACTGTGACAAGCTATCTTGGGTAACTTACTACTACCGACTGGAGTAGTGGGTTATCCCATCGTTCCAGAACGGGGAAGTCCGGCCAAGACTAACACGAGCGAGTTGGAAGCTTGATACCCATTCGGCGGAGCCCTGACGATCACCATTCGAGTCTGGCTGGACACTAGGGTTTGGTTCCTGAGATGGATGAAGGGTGGAGTCCGGAGATTCAGAGCTAAGTGATAGACTGGCCCTGATTTGATTGACGCGCATTTGGTGGTTGGAAGTTGATTTGACAGGGTCAAAGAACGAGCAAATGGACGTTGACGCGGGCCTTGGCTTTGTCGATCAGGGCCCGATTATCTCCAAGTGGGGCCAATCACCAGCTGAAACCAACGACCCTTCGGCTTGCCCCTCCCTTTTAGGGTCACATCGCGTCTCGAGACGACTTGATCATTCTGGATGAGGATGAGAATCTCGGGGGCTTGATTGGGTCCGACCCTCCACTGGTGAGGCAGTCGAGACGGGAAGAGAGAAGGAGTAAGCGTGTAGGAGTCAATTGGAGGAAGCGAATTGTGGAAACTAATTTCAGACCTCAGGGAGCCCCTTAGGAGCCTCGCCTCGACAGTGAAGCCGCCATCATACATCTAATCACTATTCAGTGCCTGCCTAGGCTAGTATACCCTGGAGGTCTTGTCAATCATATCCTACATTTATATTAAGATGAATAATACAATGCTAAATCACATAACAATGCGATTATAGTTTTGTCAAGTATCTCGACTCTCTTACGAGATCTATGAGGCTATGACACTATACTATTGTTCTATTGCTTCAACACGCTGTTCTATCACATCTCCCACACTGAATTGCTCATTCTACCTGCAAATCAGATTCATTCCCCGATCGGACTCCGTAGCCAGATCGACCCTGCGTGTCCGTTAACCCTGTCCAATCCAAACACCTCCATGTTTGAGTCACTCATACTGTACATTGAGATACACATATCCCCACTCCATTCACCTGGACGCACTCGCTCATTCCCGAGTGATGATCGACTCGGCCGATGTGACCCTCAACTGGGGAGGACCATGCAGAAAGCCAAACACATCGCCTGCTAACCCGATCTGGATCGCTCGTGTATCTCCTTGGCAGGCTACTGGTCGAAAACTCAGGCTCCATCAAGAACAACCGCCTTATCGAAAGGCTGCACTGTTACCCCCCGGCTGCAAGATCCTTCGGACGATCACCCTGCTTTAGAGTGACTAGACTACCGCAATAACCTAACTGCGTAGGAGATCGGCTGTCTCGTTCGATGGCGCCAGATGCAGGCTAAGGGATCGACGCGAGCGGGCGTGCTATACTAGTCCCTGAGGCACAAACCACGATATAGCGTCCGTTCGTCCTGATAGGCGGGCAGAGCATGGGTTCATCACAATGGTTGTTGGGTTTGGAACTTTTAGACACAGATACCGGCTCCGGTAAGTGAAGTATGGCTTTCTCCTATACTTCCGTAGGGTACCGGGCCCGCATCATGCATTCTCGGCATGTCCGAAGTGACCATTAACTCCCTTCTACATCTTCACAGTCTCCGTTGCAGAGTCTACGTCGCATAGCTGTACAGAGAGAGGTCGATCTCTCTGACACCTCGCATTTCAAGCCCAGTACTGTATTTCGGAAACAAAATGCAATGGAACCTCTCCGGCGGTCCAGCTCCAATCTATCTCACGCAAGTTGATCATGTCACAGTCCCATCGTCATCATACAGACGAGCGTTGCCCAACTCCCTATAGTCGGTCTTGGCAGTGTATTCCAAAAGGGGAAATTTCCAAGAAATTCCAAGACATGCAGACTCAAGCCACCCGGTAGCCTTAGTTCGCGCGGCTGAAAAAGACAATGACGACAGAGTTCTGTTGACTGTAGTAATTGAGGAAGGATAACGTCGAAGGTCGACGACAAGCTCGCTAAGCACACCATGTGAAAGCGGAGGATCTACCATGTCGTGATGATGAAACTTGTGCCCCGCAGGCTTGAGACCGACGGAGACCGGCCGGGGTACCTCAATCTCGAAGGCCGGACAACGAGGAATTTAGCAGCCTGGAATGGTGAAACAGATTAGCGAAGTGGCAGGTGAGCAATCAGAATGAATAATAGGTAAAGAATAAACACTTGGCAAGGTATTCAAGGATTCGAGTAACTATAGGGGCCGGACGTAGTCTGGTAATTTCTTCACGCTCAACTGGAAAAGGCACCATATTAGACTAGAATTATCTCATCTTCACTATCACTCTTTTGCTTATCAGATGGAATGCTAGAAGAATTCAATTGGACAGCAGGGAACCTTCGGAAGCGCCACTTCATCGTGCAGGACGAAGCAAATACCGCAACTGCAACGCCTCTTCTGCAGTGACCAGCATGAGGCCAAATACTGACCCACCCATCATTGAATAACCAAGTCTCCGAAGACTACTAGCGCAACGTTGACACGTGTCATCTGATCTTAATTGATGAGCAAAACATAAAGTATAAACCACGGGCCTGCATGGATCAGGTAGCAGGCATCACGTCCCTGTTTCATCCAGATTGTGACCCTGACCAATCACAGCCCTCAATAAGACATTTCAAATACCTGATTTTGATGTATAAACAAATAACAGAATAATTTGCTAATGTGCAAACCTCCAACGCAAACAACGCCAACTTGAAGATCCCGTAGGGGTATATAGTTTAAACGGGGTGAGAAAAAGAGACACGCGACAGAAAAGGTACGGGTCATATCGACAAGCTGACTCAGGCAGAATCCAGTTCACGGTGCACGAACACACCTCAACCCAAGAAATGAGGTGGGAGTCCCCCAGACTCATTCTCACCATTGCCATGCCCGTCATAACCTTCGTTCAAAAGCACCTCCAACATATCAAACTCACCCAACATCGGGCCCGTTCCGCCCAGACCCTGGTCCACCACTCCGCTGGAACTATTGAAGAACTGATCCAGCGGAAGCGCAAACCAATCTGGAAGCGCACCGGACGTAGAACCTGCCCCGTTACTATCCCCGACGGCCTGCGAGGAGACGACGTGGTTGGGCGACGATCGCTCCAAATCGCTCGCTGCCATGGCCGAGTTCGAGTCATAGTAGTTGTAATAAACTGACGGCGGCGGTGGCATGAAGGAGACATTCAGGTTCGACGAGTTGATCGTCTGTGCAGGGATACTAGCCAGCTGATCGTGGGCCGATCCGATCGGTGCTGACGGATTCCCGCCGGCACCGTTGCTGTCCACGTAGGCCCCTAGGCCTCCGCTCGGAGTTGCATCTTGCGTTGATGACCAGGGTGTTTGTGGGCCATCACGACGAGCCACAAGGCTGTCGCGTGGCGGGGACTGTGCGCGGGAGACGGGTGCCGAGGCATGCCCGTCTCCATCAGCGCCACGGTCGTGTGGTGCGAACCGAAGGAATCGCGTACGGATGCTGCTCGTGAGGAGCTCCAATAGGCGGGCGACGGTGTTACTGATATGTACATCGTCGACGACGAAGGTCCGCAATGCCTCTACGGTGCGATCCTGGAGGTCCAGAGAGACTCGTACGTCGTCCTCCCGGGCGCCGAGTGTGAATGTCTAAAGAAGCGGAGTCAACATTCGGAGCTCTGTAGTTGCCCGATGCAAAAGCTAGCCTCTTGGTACTTACTTTCAGGATGAATATCATGCCGGACAGAATGCGGAAAAATGTCCGAATTGGCGCATGTTTGAGACGACCGCCAGGAACGAGACCCTCTAGCACAGTTTGTAGAATCTTCCGTGAAGCATCTACAACTTCTTGAATGTAGGTTTCGTTGACGCGGTAGAGCTCCATCAAGGCGCGGAACCACCCAGTACTACCAGCAGATGGCCCCGGCCCTGATCGACCAGTCTGGGCTTGAACAGAAGACTCGTTAGACATGGTGGTCCATCGGTCGACGACCGCTTGAAGAGCGAGCGAGTTGACGTATAATCCTGTGGGAAATTAGTCTCGGGTTATCCCAGCAACCTAAGCTGATGAACTTACGGGTATATTCGTATTCAATGATCAGAATGCTTCGCATAGCCGGAGATACTGCGATTAGTTAGCCTTGACTCATATCCACAGACGCCTTCTCAGGGTTGAGCTTACAGTTAACTCGGTCCAGGTTCTGTCGAAATTCTCGCAACTGTGGTTGGAACCAGTCGATCTGTTCACGGTACCTTCCGCTCCTGATCAACTCCGACGTCTGTTCACTGGATGCGAAGAGTTGATGGTTTGCTTGGTACACTATCTTCGAAATACCCATCCAGCAATCCTGCATCTGATCGAGGTCCAAATCACCATCTTTCGAGTCAGTGGCAGGCGCGGGAATATCTCGGCCCCATTCGGTGAGAGGCAGCATAGATGGAATCCCCAGTCGTCCACTGCTGTGCGTGATGAAGACTAGAATCAGTCGTCGCAGTCGCCGCTTGCGTGCCTGCTCAGAGGGCAATTCAGGGACTTTCGACTCGCCCTTGTGGTCGAAAACGCCAAGTTCAAAGGCCAAAGCTTGTGCCGTGCTCAACAGCATCCATGACATTCGATCTGACCTCCAGGCAGGCTCTAGCCATTTTTGGAAAGCCACTCGACCTTCAGCAGAGGACACCCTGTTATAGACCTGATCGCTCTCAGCATCTACGTCTTTGTCCGCACGATTTTGTGAATGGGCTTCCCTATCCAGGAGTGTATTCTCGTCATCACCTGGAGGGAAATGAAGATTTCGGGGATGCCAATCCGTGAGGATCAACAGTGCTTCCACGGTTCCTAGGGCTCTCAGATTTCCCTTGGAGGTGGGACCCCCTGCGCCTGACGCGAGATCCAAAGATCGGGGGCGACCTCCTTGGGCGTCAAATTTCTCTTGGCCCCAGAATAGGCGCTCGATCATACCACGCAAGTAGGACCAGAGACGATCATGTATATAGAAAGCACGAGTGCTGGCGCCGTCACCTTTGGGTTTCAAGTGGCGGGAGGCAATCGTAAGAATAGTCACCGCCAGAACAGGCTCGTCCATGAGCAACGTGCGATGTGTCGAAGGTCGAGAGTAGTCAGGAGTCACTACTGGGCTCATTGGGGCAAGATTTTCGTAGTAGTACGCCACGTATTCCATACCTTCTTCCACGGTCATCCATCCGGCGCGGACGAAACGTAGTCGTGACCATGCTCGAACAGCGTCAAGGAAACCGGGGTCTTGAGGATTTGGAGAGCTTTCCCGTGGACCACCGTCATCGGGCATCTGATTCTCGACAGCTCCTGCACCCCCCGCTCCACTTGGGAAGTAGCCATTCCCACCAGCGGACATACCAGATCGAGGGGTCCGCGAGAAAGACCCGCTCACGTTACCGGGGGAGTTTGCGTGGGCTAGGGGAGAAGGCCCAGAGTTGAATGAGGAGACGGAGCGTCTGGCGCCGTAGCGATTCTCGAGGCTCTGACGGTTTAGATCCTCTGTTCGACCCGCAGCTTCGGAAAGTAAATGCAGGGCATCATGGGTATTCGTGATGGCTGGCGACAATAGCTCGACGGCAGTCCGGTTCATCATTGGCGGGCCTCCATACCCAGGCACCGTACTTCGCTCACTAGACTGAAATGCCGGCAAGCGAGGATTTCGCGACTCAAGGAACTGCCTGGCCTGGGAGGAGATGGGCGCAGTGGGCGTAAAACGTTGAGTCGTAGCAGCTGCGGGGGAGGCCTCGGGCCATCTCTGCCGAGTGCGAAAGCCGTCTGTCTCGACGGTCGGTTCGGGGGGAGGGAATTGATTTGGCTCGACTTTAGGTGCTACTTCATTTGCAGGTGCTTCTCCAATCATCATCCGCTTGTCGCGGCGAAGCACTTCTGCAGCCTCTGCATCGTCTTCGGCCGCCTCGGAGGCTTTGCGCTTGCGACGGGTCGCCGAGAATTCACATCGTTTGCTTTCGCGTCGGCATCGCACACAAGGAGGGGGCGAGGATCATCGACGCCTGTGAAAATTTTGCGATCAGTCAGCTATCGCTGGTCGAATGTTGCGTGGGGAGAAGGGGGGGGGAGGGAGGAGGGGTCGCTGATCGCATACTGCCTAGATCACACTTGACCTTGCGTTTGCGACACGGATCGCAGGCCTGGTAGCCGCGCCTATGATGCGGGGCAGACGGCGACGGCGACTTGCGTGAGTCATTGGTCGCGCTATTGGTGTCCTGTCCCATGCTGGGAAGGGGGAGGGGTTCGAGAGGTGATCGGGCAGCAGCAGGGTGGATAGCAAATGCTGGGGAAAGCCGATGCAAAGCGAAGATAAGCTGGCAGGGCGGTGGGGGAGGGTGCTTAGCTGAGCGACCAGCCGATTGGGTGGCGAGACTGGAGAGAGGGAAAAAGAAAAAATATGTAAGGAACACAATTCTAAAACACAAAAGAAAGGAGGGAATTGAGCCAATCTGGAAGGAAGAAAAGGAAAGGGAAATATGATGACCGATGGAAATGGCACGCATCGTGAGGGCCATAGCCAAAGTGCCTGGCCGACGAAGGAGCCCCAGTAGTCTTGACCAGCCACCAATTTTCATTGTATAATGGAATAGGGCCTTGCGGGGTAGCCAAAGTGTAAAGAGTTACATTGCCGGTTAGGCGAGAATTAAATGGCATCATAACGGTGTGCTGGATGGAAGTTGCCATAGTAAAGATCTAAAATATGTCCATATAATGACGGTCAATATATATCTCAGGCACATCCAGCTACGCCCGGCATCAATAGGAACATTAGCCTGCATAACGCATGGCCTAATGAATGTTACGAAACAGCGACAAGCCAGACCCAGGTAATGTCTTACTAGAGTAATCTTAAAACGCGTTTCAAGGCCTCTTGGACAAGAGAAAAACAGAATATGACATTCGCTCATGCAAACCAGGTATGTACGCCTCTACATATACACAAAACAATGCAGACAGACCAGCCCAATAAAGACGACCAAGTACACACGGCTACACCACCTGAGAAAGATTGATCAATTATCGCTTCCCACACGGTAGATATATCACGCTCGCGATGACAGCGGCGGAGTGACAGTCCCCGTTGACGTCTTTGCCCCATGGTCCAATGCAAACCCGTTCATGCGCGCGACCAAATCCAAGGCTTTCCGAGGCTGAACCATTTCACCAGAGGCGACGCTATCGAGACTGCCTCGACGGGACATGTTTGGGGTCAGTCTGCCAGCAAGAAGACCACGAATGCCACCCGCTTTGCGAGCAGGGATATCCGGCGTCCCAGCAGTCAGGATGTAAAAGAGATATTTGAGATTTGGGAGGGTGTGTCGAATATCCAGACCCCGGATGCCTTGCTTGTTGAGCAAAAACTCAATGTCTTTGTTCAAGAGAAAGACACCATATTCAAATCGGTATTGGACGCTCACGGGGTAGAGGGGGAAGGTGCGCTGCGGCAGGTCTTGAGACACTGGATCCTGGATCAAGGAGGTTGACAGGTTTGGACTAATGGGATAGGGTATCGCAACAGAGAGATAAAAAGAGAGCAGGTATACAAGGTGAGCAGTATGACCCAGCGCCGCAGCAACCTCTTCGCGGTTGATATCGTCAAAGCTGGAATTAGGGAGTGGCAACCCGGCAATGGTAAATGCCAATGTCTTGTCAGGAATCGGATCAATCGGATAGATTACCATCAGGTCCTCGGCAATGCGCCGAATCTGGCCCTTCGTCTCCTCGGCAGTCTGGTTGAGCAATTGCTCGCTGCTGACAAGTTTCTCCTGAGCATCGGGCAGGTGACTGCGAGCCTTCTCTTGCGCGAGCCAGCCCTGTTCCATGGCGTCTTTCCGAGCTTTGATGCTAGAAATAAGGTCCTCCTTACACTTGTTCGCACCTCGAATCTGCTTGCGCTCGACAGCGATAGCCTGTCTGAACGAGGCGAGGCGATCCAGTGCTTTAGCTGCCTCGCTCTCCGCCGTTAAAGCGGCCTCATTCTTCTTCAATATCTCTCCAATCTGCGTCTCTAATTTTTCACGGGTCGCTAGGGCGTCTTGAATGCACTCGTCTAGGTTCGCCAACCGCATCAATGCGTCGTAGGAAGATGTAGGTAGAACCGCGCCGTCAGCAGTACTCCGTTGGCCGGCGCCATTGAGTGGCGACTCAACCGGCGGGATATCAGTCAAGTTCGTGTACACCCCGTCGGGGAAGTGAAACAGGATGCAGTTGGCCGGAAGAGGCTGATGGAAGGCTTCGATTGTCTTCCCCAGGAACTGCAAAGAGCGCAAGTGTTGCTGTAATTCCACCAGCAGGACGTACTCGGACATGTTCTCTGTCTTTGCCCACAGCTTTAGAGTCAATGCATCCCGGCGGGACACTGCGGGACCGCAGAAATCTAGGTCGAAAAACCGAAAGCTGGGATTGGTTGCTTTATTAACCACTTCGCTGATATAGACCGGCTCCTCAATGCCATCACAGTGGAATGAAAAGAAAGTATCCGCCATACGATTCTTAGTAATGTCCTCTAGCCGGATTTGCCGCGTGTGAGGGTTGGGATCGTTCCAAGGCAACAGGCTTCGGCGACGCGACTCGCGCATGTCGGGTCTCTTGTCTGCGTGGTCATCTTGGCTCGCGCGTAACTTGAGATCTGTGAAGGACCGTGAAGGTTGTAGGGCTCGAGACTCATTTTGGGCTAGGAGTTTGGCGGGCGACTTCAGGGTGTTTGGGATATCGTCGTCATCAATGGTCTTGCCTCGAGCTCTATTTGGAGGGGGCGTGACCACCAGGTTGCGCACAGAGATACCATGGAGATGCCGAAGCTTTCGATTCTAGGAATTGTTAGCCTTGTAAGTATATAGCTGTGCTGGTGTAGGCTCTACCGATGCATAAAGCCACGGCCGCTCCCTGCGCACACCTGCGTCATGCTCCGTAGCTGCGAGTTCGCCGCCTGGGGCGTCCATCGCGACGTTTGAGCTACCCAGAAGAATCACAGAATCTAGCAGCAGGGGCAGCTACAGCGTAGGATGAGACAGAAGTGCATTTCCGCGAAAGAAAGTCGAATCCTAGAATTCAGGCACGCTTGAGCAATGTCGGAGGTGTCTGGAGCGATAAGGTCAATGTGGAGAGCAGGCAGCGCCAAGACCCGCGGATGGCCCCGTCAAAAAATCCACCTCCGTCTTCACTTCCCATCAACACCGGCGACCGTCACACCTCACAGCCTTCCACGCCGTTGTCAATGCGATAGATCTCGCCCAGTCGATTCCCTCCCCTGTTCCCGGGTAATCGCGCACATCTTCCGGCCGCAATGGCCTCAGCCAGCACGGCGTCCAAGCCGATCCAGAAGATCCTGGACTCAACCCGAGTCGCCTCGTTGAAGAAATTCGTACGACACCCGCCCATTGACTCGACAAAGCCGATTCAAGGAAAGATCCGAGAGGCGGGCTCGAATGCATGGAAGGAACACTTGCAGCGTGAGAGCGTGCGGTTGCAGAAGGCGCTGAATTCGATCTCGCATGGAAAGCACATCTTCGTCTACCACAATGTTCAGACGAAGCAGGTTGTATACTCTTTGACTCGGTATCTGGAGGTGAGTGTTTTTCAAGCATGGTTTGATCCTGCATTGTCATGATATGAGCCTGGCACCGTTTGATCCGGCTCTGTCTAGATCTCCACATTCGTCCTGCAAGCGTCTAACCATCCGTGTCCTCCACTATAGGAGAACAACGTTCTGCGCCAAATGGTCTACCACGGCAAGAAGACTGTCCCCGCCGAGCTACGCCGGGATATGTGGACTCCATACTACTCCGTCCACTTCGGTGATGCTCGCCTTGGCCTCCGCGCCTACCAATTGCTCCGCGAATTCTCGATGCGACGACAATTTTCTCCTCCTCCCGAGATGATCACAGTCACCGAAGAATTCCTGGCCTCCAGACGACCCAAGGACCCCTCCGCTGCGGAGGAGTTCGACAGGCTGAATAAAAAGAGGATTGGCTGCCCAATGGAGAAGAGGGAGCGCGCGCGAGTCCTCATGGACCAGAAGGCTACCTCGGTTGCCGATATCGCTGCAGTTCTGGAGATCCAGGAGAAGGAGATTGAAAACGGCATTTTGGACAAGGAGCAATGGCGCCAGAAGCACTACCGCAGCCAGAAAAGGCGTCAGCGGGCGGCTATCGCGCAGGAGGCCGAGCGGGATGAGCAGAACCAGGCCCGCATTCAGGCGCTCGAAGAGCAGCTGAGCGAGCGTGAAGGTGTTGAGGTGAAGATTGGCGAGATTGGTGACTATCCGGATACCCCGGGGGATGTTAAGATTCTCTGGCGCGATGTGCACGATGCCAACTATGCCGCATCGTGGCCTGACAAGGTCCAGCATGGCGAGCTGGAGGTGAAGCGTGACAACATCATTGGCGGCGAGCGCCCTCATGGGATCTCCCTGGAGGTCTAATACGGCGAATTTTGGAGGAGTCATGAGCGTCCATGGCCACCGTAGCGGGTTTGTTCTCTCTTCCCTGGCCCATTCGCTATTTGTTGGTCATATTGAGCGGATTTCGTCCGTTGATATCTCTTTCTACCTGGAATTGGTCTCAGGCCATGGGAGATACTTTGTATTTGTTTAACCCTTTCTCTGTTTCCGCCAGCTATCTCCCAAGCTATTACCTACTGCATAAATTGTATTTTTAGACATTTTCGATCCTTAGTGACGAACAAAGATGCTCAAATTACCAAATCATTCCAACTATTGAAACCCTTCGAACTGTTCCACTTTTCAGAGGAAGACCAGTTATAGTCTACAAGCTCGTTCTAATCCGTCCGCATGGGTGTAATGACTGGGCTTTCAATTTACAGTGTGGGAAGACCTACCCATACATACACAGAAGTGATATTCAAGAACAAATAAGGATGACAAAAAGAATGGTCTTCAACTCATGGGCCCAGGCATGTTAGAGAGAAAAGAGGGGAAATAAAGGTGGCAAACTATCCGACACGTAGGACAGACGCCGCATAATAGAGCGTTTGTGACAGCCAGGCCCCAATCCGCCCAATCTCCCCAGAGAGTGGCGACCAGGTATAAGGAACATAACCGAAGTACTGGTTAAAACTCATAACTGACGCCGATGTGTAATGTAAAGAAGTGGAAAGGAAAAGAAGAGATGAAAAATTCCCCAGGGTCCCAGAACCTCGAACCGTCTTGCTTGAGAGACATCAAGTGCGATGAAAGGAGACACAAACATGTACGTTGTTTATCGATGGGTGAAATGGGTGCTTTGAGTTCACTTGGTCTCCTGAGATGCATGCGTCGAGGTCAAAGGATCCACCGATGGGAGATCATTATGCTCGTTGGCGAACAGCTCGGCCTCAGAGGCTTCACTTTTGTTGGCCATCCTCTGAAGAGTTTCCTCTCCAGCTTGCTCGGCTGTCTCTGGATCGGTGATTCCTGCATGGGCCATGCTTTTCCGTGCTCCCTCCACGATCTTGTCCGCTTCGGTCATACCGTGAGCCACATTCGTCGCTGGATCACCTTCCACTCCGATCGGCTCCGTCTTGTTGTTGACAACACTCTTCAGACGGGCCGAGTCGAGCCGGATGACCATGCAGGAAAGGTTATCGGTACTGAATCGTGCAAGAGCGTGGTCGACCAGAAGCTTAGACGCATGTTGAGCATCTTGTACGTTGCGGATAAGATCAACAGCTTCCTGGTCACTGCAGACATCCCAAAGCTAGAGCAAACGTCAGCTACGAATCAATGTTTGAAAGAAAAGGCGAATGCTTACCCCATCGCAGGCGAGGATGATGAATTCATCAGCATCCGGCTGAATGACAGTCTCGGTGGTGTACGGATGCCCGGTGACCAAGTCCTTGAGATAAGCATCACCAAGGGCACGAGTGACTGCAAGCACGCCATTAACGCGGTTGTTCAGAATGAGCCCGCCAGCATTGGCGATTCTCTTTCCTTCGTTCTCATCGCTGCCCTTGTGATCGTATGACAAACGAAGAGCCTTCCCGTTGCGACATAATACAATGCGAGCATCGCCAACATTGGCGGTGTACAAAACGCGCTGACGCTGAGCCCTCTGCTGCAACTTGGAGATTGAGGGACCCTCCTGGGTCGGAGTATCAGAGTTGGCGTCGTTCCTGCCAGCAGCTGCCGCGGAGGCAAGAGCCGCGGACCCGGTAGCCGATTGAGAGCTGGGTACACGGTCCTCCCAGCGAAGAACGGCGATGACAGCCGTACACCCACTGTTCTTGAGAGGGAGCTTTTCCAGCTGCTGGTCAACACTGGTAAACGTCTGGTCGAGAAGTTCAGGAACCGGGGTGTTGGGGTTCTTGCGCATGATATCCTCGAGGATCAAATGCAGCTTTTTCCCACACCACTCTGCTGCGAATGTGCCAGCATGTCCGTCAAATATGGAAAAGTAGCCGTTGTCTGTTTCTACCACATTTGATGACCCCTCCGACGCTTGCGACTCGGTAGCCGACCCGGGAGGGTCGCTGCCATTTATGTCAGGCGCTGTAGGGGCCGGAGTACCTAGAAAGTTGTACAGGTAGGCATGTGTATCTTCCATTGTGCGGCGACATTTTCGATTCCGGTCTTCCGTAACGCCCACGCGGAAAGATGATCGTGGAGTTGGGGCTGATTCTCCAGCGGAGTTGTTGAAGGACCCTTGCGGGACGATCAGGGCTGGGTCCATCTTACCCAACCTTTGGAGGGGGCTTTCGGAGCCCGATGGACTGGTGGCAATGACCGAGAAGGATTCACGCGTGCCGTTCAAACTCAGCGAGTTTTTGGCGTTGCTAAAGAAGGTTGCCGCCTTGGTGACGGTACTGGTGCGGCGCTTCTTATCACCCACTGGGCCTTCCTGTTCGCTCTGTCGGCGGTTGAAAAATCCAGTACCTGGCGGAGTGAATCTCTTGTCGCGGGGGCTGGCGTTGCGGGGGCTGGCGTTTTCGGGATTGATGCTCAAGGCGTTAGTGTCAATTCCAGGCACTGGAGATGAGACGGCGTCTGTCTTGTCTTTGGGTGGGCTCGAGGAGCCACTGAACATTCTGCTCAGCAACCCACCCTGCGAAGAAAAAGCTGCGGCGCTTATTTCCTGCCAGCTTGATTATATCCCTGGTCGACAAGGATGGGCGTGGACGGTATGGGGAAGAAGAAGAAGGCGGGGTTGGTGATGAGCAGATGGAGATACTCCGGACTGACGTAGTATCCCTCGGTCGGTCGACGGCGGGAGTAGAGACTATGAGTCTGACAGGGGTTAACTAAAGATCTGATCCGAAAAGTAGACTTGGGGTAGTATAGGTGAAGGAATGGTAGAAAAGGGCCGTAGGGGGTGATGCCTAGCGACAATGAACGGAGAAGAAGCAAAGGCAATGGGGGCAGTTGGGGCAGCAGGGCGCAGAGGGGAAGCGCCCGTTGTTTTCAGCGCGGAACAGGCGCTCGGAGGAAAAAGACCGGCCATTGAGGTGATCAAACTCGCAGGCGATGACTCGAGGCTCTGCTGCCGCCCGCTTGATGCTCAACAATTGCGCGCAGACCTGATGGCCATCGCGCGTTGAGTCGTTCCTGGTCCCGAACCCCCGCTCCACGGAACCCCCGGGGAGCTGCATGACTATGGGCGAATTGAGACCAGCTTACCGTGAATGTCGAGGAGGGTGGTGACTGAGAAAATTTGGCGTACGATCAGAGAATAATGGTGGGTGAGTTGAAGTGTGGCAGTGCAAGTGTAATGAGTTGAGCAGGTTGAAGGTGAGAGATGATGATGATGATGCGATCCGGATTTGGGGAAAAGCGAAGTGAAAGTGAAAGTTGGTTAACTCCGCCCCGTCCGGATGGGTGGGCGGAGGAGAGCCAAGAACGGAGAGGGGAGGAGTGGAGCTTTAGGGGGGAGACTGGACGTCCCTAGAGATGAAAGAAAGAGGGTTTCTCGCAGAAGAAGGGGTTCCCTATTTAGATTGTTGAACGAGCTTACTGATCTTCGATGATCCCTGCTCTCTCGAGATTGAGATTCTGGGGATACTACTTCTGAGTACTGACTACAGTTCTACGACTAACCTAACTAGTGGGCCCGTCTATACTTTTCAAGCGAGCAACTTCATCTTCATTTGGTCCTCGCTACTTCCTCGCTACTTCTACACCAGGAGACCACTGATAGGCTCTGCCTGTGTCTTGAGTTGACTGGAATAAGCAACTAGTTAACTAACTAACTAGTTAATGAGAGACCATTAGATAACTAAGCTATGGAATTACTAGCTCCGGGGAGTGAGGGTTAGCCTTGAAATTAGCCTCGTGCTGATCCTGATCCCCTAGGGGCCTAAAGTAGATCGGAAGGAAGAATCTAGGAGGATTCTTTCCAGAGAGAGGGTAAATCATATGCGATTCATAAGACAATTGAGGTTTTTTAGGCTTGGAAATGTAGTTTAGGCTTGGAAATGTAGTTTATTCCCATTTCCAGTGTACAAGATCCTCCGGGATAGCTTTCTGTAGGCTCGATGATGCATTGGACATTGGCAAGCAGGCTGAGAACTTGAGAACCGACTACTTTCTAACGAAGGACCACAAAAACAGAACAGCCTTGGACAGTTACTACGAGGCCCTTCATCCTTGGTGACGTAGAATGGCTGGCTAGCAGCAGTGTGAAGTCTTACACTCTTCAAGGAACCTTCATGATATCTTCCCATCTCAAATGGCCTTCTAACTCTCACCTAAATGATTTCCTGTCCCGTATCGCCTTTCTTTTAACAAAAAGAAATTATACAAGAAACCACCATGTTCACACAGATGCCGTAGCGCCAAGACAAAGGTGGAGATGAAACAAATTGAATAGGACCGATTACCACGAACTAAAGTCTCCGAAGCCGCCTGTTCCCTTGGCCTTCTTGCGTACCGGTTCAGGCTCGGGTTCCTCGTCCACATATTCCACAATCTCATCTTCCTCGCCGCCCCGGTCAGCCAGTGCGGCTTTTAGATATTTACCAACACCGCCTTGGCCCTCTGCACTGGAATCTGCGCCAGCACCCCGGACTCGCTTCCCCGTCCAAGTAACACGGTCGTCGTCCACACGTCGACTAGTCCCATCGCCATCGGCGTCTTCGGCATCAATTTCTTGGGTTCCTTCCGCACGCTTCTGATTTAAAAAGTCCTCGAAGGGATCCACGAAGACGGTCACATTCTTGATACGGACTTCGGGGGTGGGTCGATTGGTATTTGCTTCCACGGGGTGTGTCTCGAGGGCGTTGAGAGTAGTAGATGAGGGAGAAGGATCATCAATCAGTCGGCCGAAGACAGTGTGCTTGCGGTCAAGGTGAGGCAAAGCTCGATAGGCGAAGAAGCTAGATATGCGTGTGAGCAGGTCTTGTTTGGACACTGGAGCAGTGTTCAGACTTACAATTGACTGCTATTTGTGTTCTTGCCCTTGTTCGCCATACTGAGCGTGCCGCGTCCGTCATGTTTCAATGGACCCTCAAACTCATCGGCAAAGTACTTGCCCCAAATACTTTCGCCGCCTCTGCCCGTACCAGTAGGATCTCCACCTTGGATCATAAAGCCCTTGATGTTTCGGTGAAAGGTGACATCCTTGTAGTAGCCTTTCTTCGCCAGCTGAATAAAATTCCAGACGGCCTTGGGAGCATATTCCGCATATAACTCCACATTAAGATGCCCCGCAGTGGTATCGATCCGCGCATAGCCCTTGGCCTTTACCCTTCCTCGCTTTAGCATGTACTCTTCTTCTGATAGGAGCGCCAGCTCGGCCGATGTATGAGGCGTCAACCCAGTGCTTGTGAACGAAGCCGCGGCTTTGCCAGTCGTGAACCGTGCGGCGTTATAGGGAGTGGGTTTTCCAGTTTGAGTCGCCCCCAACTTGGAGACCGTCGTTCCGAAAGCGTCAGCTTTAGATACTGCTTTCGAAGCAGCTGAACCGGCTTGTTGCTGGGCCCGTTCTGTGCGCGCCTTGGCCACCGCCTCCTTTGCCTTCAAGATCTTCGCGGAACTACCCAGCGCATTGGCATTGACACTTCCTGCAGGTTGACTCTGTCCAGGAATCTCCGTTTCGCCTTCTTTGAGGTAGTTGAATGAGCTGAGATTGCGCGACTCGACATTTTGCGGGTCCTGCAGGGTGATGATATCTTTGCGAGTAAACTCCTCATCCGTGACGAGATCGCGCAACATTTTCCCCTTGATATTCAACCGCTCTACGGTATCCCAGGCAAAGACATTGCCCGTGTTGCGCAATGCGACAATGTGCGTGTTGTCCGTCAGGACCTTGTACGTCACGGGATCAACGTATTCGCCGTCCTCGTTCTTCGCGATGGTGAGCTTGATCAAGTCGGAGCCCTTCAGCGGCGATCCATCTACCGGATTCGTTCCATGTTTTTTGATCCATGGCAATATGTTGGTCAGGTCGAAGATCGTTCCCGTTTGAGTGCAGACCGGGTGAGAAAACGGCTGGAGGGAGAGAGAGCAAAAATTGAACGGTAGACGCTTGAATGTCGCATGAGAGCCTCCTTGTCGAGCTTTGGCAACACCAGCGCCTGCGCTGGCTGAGAATGCATCTTCTGATGCCCACTCGGAGTGTGTGATCTGTGTTAAGACAATCGTCAGTACCGATGCGATGACAGTGGGGTGGCCCAAGGGCGAAGGTCAGTTAGGAGGGGGCGTACGTAAAGCTTGTCCGTTCCTGTAATTAATCAAATAATGTCAGTGGGTTCATCAAACGAGTTAATCGGTGCGCAAAACCTACCTTTACCCATGTTGATTGAAGCTTAAGCTTCATTTGAAACGCAGTTCCTCGGCGACTTGAAAAGGCCGTAGAATGACGGTGGACTAACTTATTTGGGTCAAGCTTAGTTTATTGCACTGTACAAGCACAGTCACGTGCCATTACAGTAGTTTGTAACTGGAATAAGCTCCTCTGGTATGACAACATGGAAATAAGCTTCATTCAAGAACGATTCCTTCTTTAAAATAATCCCATTGACTGCTATCCCTTCTCTAACCTATCTAGATCACTACACTCAGCTTCCTACAACGTTCTCGTCTTTCTCATTACCCAAGCCAAGGGTGTCCATATCTCGTTTCAAGACGGACTATCCGTATTTCCGCGTTCTATTTCCAAACATTTGGTTATTACCTACGCTATCGCTCCGTCGTGGTCCATGGTGGTTGACTATGGTGATAGTGTTCATAATAACTAAAGAAGATGGCCTTTGCTGTGTGAATTCATCCGAAAGAGGAACAATAGACTTTCACTTAGAGTACTTAGTCATATGTACAAATCTCTGTAACGTTAACTAACTAGATGCAGTAGTAGTGGAGCCTTTCCGCTCCAAGCTTATTGGGTGGAGATTTTATCAGCCTCTCGAACCCCAACCTTGTACACAGTCCTTACATCATATTCTGGCAAAGACCCCAAGATAGCCGCTCAAGGCCACACCAATGGGCCCCTTCAGCATCACCTTTCTCCCCTGATCGACTGTTTCTCAACACTTGTCCTGCAGTGGACGAGAGTGCCACAGGGTACCTCCGTCTGTCTGTGTTACAAAGGGCTTGCATACTTGCTAGGCACGTCCAACGGCGGCGAAGACGTCGAAGAGCGTTGTAGACAGTGTGGTCGAAATTGCTATTTACAGTTACGAATCATCTCTTATTCATCTTACTGTGCCATCGGACCAGACCACATCACCGGAAAGAAGCCATGAGCAGCTGGCCCAATGAGCCTGGAGGTAATGCTCACTACAAAGTTGCCATTCCTCGGATATCGCGCAAACCTCCACTGGCGAAACGTCAACGCGTAGCTCGGGCTTGTGATGCCTGTCGCCAAATCAAACTGAGGTGCAATGGGCAACGCCCAGCATGTGAATATTGTAGCGCCATCGGGAGTCCTTGCCTCTATTCGGCCTCGAAACGTGAAGCGCGACAGATAGACCTCCAACGCCTGGAGGAAAGGGTTCAAGACTACGAATCCGTGCTGGGTGATGTCCTCTTGCATTGTCCCCAAAAGAATCTCAAGCCCATTCTGAAACTGATATCCGTAAGTCTTGTCCAGAATTCGTATGGGTCGCAATGGAAGAGGCCAACGATGATTGGAACAGGAACGGCATCCGGAATTTCTCGCGGCCTTACGACAGTCAGCACGTTTGCCTCAAAGTTCTCCTAGCCTGAAATTCAACCTCAATCTAGAACGAATGCACATTACCTATCGGGATAATCGTTTCGGAGAAGGCCTTTCTCTCCAGCGCCAGCCTCTAATTCAGACGAAGTCCATACGGCACTGGACCTCACTTGTTGAGGACGATGTGGCGAGTCATTTGCTATCATTCTACTTCACCTGGGAGAACCCGACTTGGCATTTGATCGATCAAGAGCTTTTTATCCATGATCTAGAAACGCGTGCTACAAGATTTTGTTCGCCACTTCTGGTCCACATTCTTCTTTTGTTTGGCTGTGTAGGTGTGAAGCGTTCACCCATTTCTGCAGCGGCTGACTTCTATCAGAGCTTCTCATATGGACTCCATTCATTTACAGATAGACGGCAAGAAAAGGCACTCGGACAAAAGCTCTATGATGAGATTCTTCGACTTTGGGCTCGGGAGAAGGAAACAATTGATATCCCGACGCTACAATCTGGTATCCTGCTTGGCTTACTATGTTGTACTTTTGGAACCGATCGATTGGGTACTGAACTCATCATGAGAGGGGCGGCCATGTACTACCAGACTGATTTACACAAAGATGGCGCCCCTTATTTTCAATGCGTTGATGATGATCTGAGACGCAGTATGGCAAGAGCCCAGAAATTGATATCATGGGGTGTTTTCGATGTTCAATCGTAAGTTCACAAATACGCAACCGGCGCCTTCTCATCCTCGACGCACACTTTCCCCCTTCTTGCAACTTGCCCCGCTAACAAAACATAGTCTGGCTTCCCAGGTATACAAGAAATATAGCGAATGGCCTCAGCCGCCATCAATAGTCTTCTCTCCCGAAGAAGCAGCGTCCCTTGATGAGAGTCATATGTGGAGCCCCTACCCTTTTCAGACTCCAATATTCGCGTCAAATACATATAATATTGCTCGGTTTCGCGGCAAGCTAGCAGATCTGGTTAATGAAACTGCGGCTCTCTCGCTCAAGTTGCGCGATTCCACTCCAACTGAAGACAGCTGGACTCGAGGATGTGAGATATACTGGAAGCTCTTACAATGGGATCAAGAGCTACCACCTGAAATTCTGCAAGGACGAAATAGCACCCCGCACAATCTGTGCTTACGGTGCGTTTTTCCCTATCCCACCAGAATGACCCGTTTTGCTAAATCACTCGCAGAATGTACTACCATTGTACAGTGATAAACCTGTGTGATGTGTTCGAGGAGTATTCACTCAAACAGCCACAAGGAGAGCCCGCCTTCGAGGCTGCGGAAATCAAGTCCAGCGCTGTAGAGGCACTGGGGTCGCTCATCCTTTACTACAAACATTTTCACGGATGGAAATCCGTCCCGATCGTCATGCTGCACTACCTCTGTGTCGCAGGAATCCACGCAATCGCTCGGTTAAGTCCGAGCGAAATGAAGTGGATGAAAGTTCTTGAAAGCAGTGTTTTAGGCCTCTGGAACATGGCCATCGGATGGGGACGATTGGGCAAAGCTTTTCTCAAGATCATTGGGTTCCTACTGAGGGCTAGAAAGGTCAATAATGATCATATCACGCCCAAGACAGCTGCAATCATGGATCAACTCGATGGTGCATACTGGACTGCGACTGACGCGGCGTCATTGGCAGCGGATTACGTGGTCCACTCTGTTCCATCGGATTTGACGTCGACTGCTTCTGATCCAGGCCTGAAAGTCATTGCACGGTCCACCGTGGAAGACCTTATTAAAGCAGCAGAAAAACTTACTCTGTAGCTCAAGTGAAAAATATCAGCAAATCTGCGCAAACTGGATGTCAGGAAAGTGTAGCGGTCGTATTAGAGAGACACATCAACTTTGCGACATGTGAACTGTACCGACACTTTATGTGCCAAGCGGCTCTAGATTACTTGCTACCGGAGAACAACTTGTCACTTGTCAGACGAAGTAGGAGTGATACATAAATTGGTTATTGAAATTGTGCAGTCGCTAATCATACATGTACAAAGTGCTTCCGTGAATAGAGACAATTGATAGGGACGCCAACAGTGCAATAAGCTTCCTATCAATCCCTATCAAGCCAGGAACAAATGCCTGCGATGAGTTATTTTTGGTCCGAGATCAATGCAGATGGAGCTAGATCTGTTGAGATACTTATGCTGCCAGTGTCTGCAGCCGTAGTGGCACCACCCATCGGTTGCCGAAGTCGATACCGTGTCGGCGACGAGTGCCATACTTGCGCCACACAATTTGCGGAATACCAATATCGGCCACGGTAAGGTTCCATGAATCTCCTTCGCCGGAGAGTAGAGCATTGAGAATTCCGGTCTTCGGGGCCCCGAGGCAAACCACCGATGAGGCGTTCACGCACAGTCGACCGCCATCAGCCATTGTCACCTCACCTACGTCCAGTGATTAGTCGAGTCAAAAATAAAGGGAGGGCATGAGTATACTACGTACCACTAGAAGCCGACATCCCCGACGGAACATCGACAGAGAGGATTTCGACATTGCTACGGTTCACCCAAGCAATCATCTCAAACGCAACGCCTTGGTCGTCAGTCCGGAGGTCATCGAACGCAAGGTGCATCCCGAACAGGGCATCGATGACCAAGTCAGGAGCCAAGTCGGCGGTAGCGAGACGCGCTGAGAGGTCCTCCCACTTAAGCACTCGACCTCCAATTTTCCGGAAAATATCCAGCTGTTTGCGGCAATTCTCGAGCAACTCCTCTTCGTGCTCCAGTCCGAGCAGACATACGGTGACACGGTGTCCACGGCTCCGCAGGTGGCGAGCAGCAGAAATTGCTCTTGCGCCGGTGCGGTGGTTACCGGTTATGATCAGAATGGTTGGAGCAGCCGCATCGTTAGACAGCAGGGAGACTGCAGCTTCCGCGATTCCTCGTCCGGCATTTTCAGTGAGGATATCCTCTGACAAGCCGAACTCTGCTACGGCAATCTGCTCAACCTCGAGGGTCTGCAGTGGGCTCACAGTGGGACAGCTTCGGTTGGTCGTAGTCAGTCGCAGTGATGCACCAGCTGGGTTGACTCCAACCATAGGTGACCCAGAAGATCGGCTTGGCCGAGGGCTTGCAGCGCGCGAGGTGTTGAGCTGGCTACGCCCAAGCGCACTGATCTGAGGCACCATAGGCTGGGCCATAATTGTACTGCTCTTGCGAGAGGTTTGGATGCGTCCAGAAGCTCTCGACCGTTCACGTCCGGAGATGTTCTCACTGCTGTGTCTGGCATCACTAATACCTTCGACATCGTCGGCAGTATCACTGTTTGGAGGGCTATCAAGCACATTCTCCGTCCAGTGGAGGTTCTTTCCGCCATTCGTACCGGGCTTTGGCCGACGGTTGAAGCTGACAAGGCGAGCCTCGTCGGCCGTGGTATCATCGTTGCGGATCTCCTCAAAGACACGCCGCTTGTCAAATTTGGACAGATTGCTCTGGAAATCAAATTCCCCAAGTTCTTGGATGTCGGTTGCATCCTCCGTAGCCCACCCACTCGGGTCTTCAGCGTAAGCACGGCGTGACTTCTTCTTGCGAAGCTTCGCGCCAGAGTGCGCTGCATGTTCAGGTGATCCTTGGTTGGCTGAGTATACGGGTTCCACAAACGCAGTTTGGCGCCAGCCTTTGCTCTTGGGATTTGTGCTTGCTGCAGCGCCGTGTTTGATGAATCCGTCCTCATTTCCGCGTCGGTTTCGCTTCGGTGTCTGCTTTGTGGGTGTCGTCAGGCTCTGTGCAACCTGAGGCTCCTTTGCATGCGAGGTTCCAGGTCCTCCCCCTCGCACAGCCTTCGTGTTCAGCTCTAGACTGCTGAATGGCTCAGTCAAAGATGCGCTGACTGAAACTGGACCTTGCGCGATACTCGACTCCGCAAATGGAGCCTGTGCGGGTTGTGCGGGGAGCTGGGAAGGGGGCTTGGAGAAGCTCAGGATCGCGGGGTCAGCGAAAGGCTGCGAGGGAGGGGGTCCAGGTAAGACAGGTGCAGCCACCTGAGGCCTTTGGGCTGTATGTTGGTGCGGCAGTGGGGCTGGTTTGGTCGACTCCAGCGACAGATCGATTATGGCGGAGGCATCAATCGAATATTGAGCATGGTGCTGACCACTCCACAGGAGAGTGACTGTGCGTAAAGAGAGTTAGTGCAAATTTCAGCAAAAACTGGACCAGGATCCCGTATTATACCATTTTCGAGCAGTAAGGTCTGTCCGATCACATTGGCGACCTGCCCTTGAAGCTTCCCAACTTGCAGGGTCACGACTACGTTGTAGCCGATGAACTCGGAAGCCATGGTCACCGAGAGTCACTGAAAACCCCTAGAGACAGCTAAGTCATGTGAAGATTCAATTGATATGGGATGATGTCGAAGTGAACAGAAGCAAACTTGTTGTATATAAGACAAGAAAGCTCGGACGACTTCATCTCAAGGCCGATGCCTATGTCAGGTCACGTGTATGTACTTATCGATAAGCATACTGTGGGGGATGGCGCGTCAAAACTCCGAAACGGAACTATAGAAGACGCGTCGCGAGTTTAAACATACTAGTGGTCTACATGGAGAGATAAATCATTCCAGAGAAGTGCTAATTTTGCCCGACAATACATCATGATCATGGGATATCGCTATGTTTGAATGATATATGAGCGCCACAGCTCCAATGAAAACATTACAGACAAATTCGCAACTCTTGCATGGTTCCATCGCCCAAGTCACACATCATAGCTCATCCTCAAAGTCATCAACACTTGACTTTTTCTTTTTAGCGTGAATGACCTGGGTGATGGACACCAAGTTGGAGTAGAATTCTGTCACCTTAGGATGTACCATAACCTTGCGCGGCTCAAATCGCATAACCTGCAAGCCAGCCTGGGAAGTGGCACGACTCAGAGCCACATAAGCCTGTCCCTTCTCAAACACTCGGCCCAGATCGACCTTTACCCGATGGAGGGTCTGGCCTTGGGCCTTGTGAATGGACAAGGCCCAAGCCAAAATCAAAGGCACCTGCTGGCGCTGAGCTTGGACTTCGCCGTTGGGCAATTCAATCTTCCAGGCTTCTGGTTGACAAAGTAGATGTCTCTCTGTCCCATCAGGCTGAACAAAGCTTACAAGTGGCCATCTTCGTGTCACTGCGACTCCGCCTTCTTTGTGGGCCATGGGCTTAAGCTTCTTTCGCGCACGTAGAGCCGCCTCCTCCTCGTCGTTATCGGCCCCAACCACGAAGATGCCTTCATTGTCCTTGTAAAGGTCGAAGGTGGACTCATCCATGAAAGCCACAACCCGTCCGATGGAGCCGTTGACGAGGGTGTCTTCCATGTTCTTGATGAGCATGACCTGAGCACCTTTCTTGAGGTGGATAGTCATTGGCGCCATGCAGTTGGACAGGAGCTTTTCACGGTGCTGGGGATCTTGAATCGTTCCTGAATCAACTGCATTGAAGGTCATCACCTCGCCAGAGAGTCGACCCATCCGTTGAGAATTTGCATTCTCGACTTCAGAACGAGTTGGAAACCTAAACCCGATTAGTAAGTCCAAGGCAACTGCCAGAGTAGAATGTCATACAATTCGGTCGCCTCGAGAGCGTCGTGAAAATCAAGGGGCCGAGAGAGCTTCCGGAATGCCTCAATTGTCTTAGGACTGATTTTGCCCAGTCTCATTTCATTCAGCATCGAGGCAAACTCCGGATCTTTTTGTCGGAAGACATGCGTTAACAGAATGGTATGTTGAATCGTAGTGTTCCAAGTAGCTGCAGCGAAGGAAAATCTCGCTTCACGGCCATGGCCTTCTGGCACAGGGGGTAATTGGAAAAAGTCGCCAGTTACCACTAGCTGAATTCCTCCAAATGGACGACCATTGTTCCGAATTCGCCGAGCAATCTCCTCAAGTTTGTCAAACAAGTCTCCATCAACCATTGACACTTCATCAATGATCAGGACCTTAGTACGGAGCCAACGGTTCCGAGCTTTTTGGTTCTTTTTGATCTTTCGACGTAATCAATGTCAGCCTTTAAATATCCTGGTCTGCAGGACGGAAATACACACCTTCTTGACCAGTTCAGGAACAGCCTCCTTGCCTAGCCCAATACCGGCAAAACTGTGGAGGGTAACACCTTCAATGTTACAGGCTGCCAGACCGGTCGAGGCCGTCACTGCAACTCGATCCGGTTCCCGTTTGTACTTCTCCCGCAGCTTCTTGATGATCTCTCTCATGAGAACTGACTTTCCGGTACCTGCAGAGCCGGTGAAAAAGATACTCTTTCCTTGACCAACGACAGCTTCTACAACGTGCAGTTGTTCATCACTGAGGAAGACTTTGTCCACTCTGCCATTATCCTTCTGCTTCGGCGCCCCGTCGGCCTTTTGGCTTTTCTTATATTCCCGTCTAAGCTCCTTTTGTTCCTCCTTGATGGCGCTCGCACTCTTGTTCCAAGGCTCTGCGGGCTTGGAGCGTTTCGGCGTGATCAGGTTGCTCTTCTTTTCTTGGAGAGGCTCCTCCTTGGCCTCCTTCAGCCACGGCAGCGTACGTGGCTTAGGCGGCGGCTGGAAGTGGGAGGGAGGGGAGGACGACCACGGATACTGGATGCTACTGGGCGGCGCAGCCTGTTCTTGGGACGCAGGCGGCAGATCGGGATACGCGATGTCTGACTGCGGTTTACTTGCCGGGAACGGCGGCAGTTCGCGGGAATCTGGTGATGTGAGGTCGATGGTCGGATAAGTAACGGGGTCGGGCTTCGCCGCATAGGTCGTGCTTGTGGCACTCGGAATATTCAGCGCAATTGGCTCATCAATGTCGAGATCCAGATCATCATCAAAGTCATTCTCGTCAAAATAGACCGAACTGTGGAGGGAACCCAGCGTGGATTCCCCGCTATTGGTCAAGTCGAGTTTTCGTTTAACGCCAGCGGACTGTGGCTGGGCTGGTTTGGAGGAGACGATGGTGTTTGCGCGGAGGAAATTAGACTGAAGGGGTTTAGATGTCCCTCCAGGATGATCTTTGACGGCTTTCTTAAACATTGCGAATTCCTCGGTGATTGGCCGTGGCGGTGCGGACGAATAAGTAGAACGATTCGGCGGTCTCGAGGAACAATTCAAAGAGAGGAGTCGGGTGATTCCTGTGCCGCGAGGACTGGCCCTGGCAGCGTGCATAAACCACAACAGACCTGGGGCGAGGCGTGGGGGGATAAGATCGAAGCTGATTGCCAATTTGCGCGTTGATGGGTTTCTTTGTGACGCGTGAACCAGAGACACGCGCCAGACCCTCTTCGTGCCTCAGGCATCTGCTTTCGAGCTCATCGTACATAGAATAAAAAAGATCATTGAATTGATCTACGAGAATTGACGCTTAATGAGTTTTATCTTCTTTTTTTTTAGGGGCATTCTTATTGATCATGTTTAGTAGCCGTAAACAATTACCATGCCATAGGCTGCAAAGACAGGTATGGTACGGTACATACAAATCTAGATCATTCGCGTCCATACCTACCAAATCTGTTTCAAGATTGACCCCTTGAGAGCAAATCTCTTGTCTATCTCCACTCAAGACTAGTCCTGAAGCTCTATTGGGGTCATTGGTGTGGCATATCTACGGTGGTTCAAGGTTGAACCTCGGTGGTAACAGAAGTCCTACGCAAAAGGTCCAGTGTGCAGCGCTATATATTTGCATACATCGCTCTAACGAAGACAAGATCGGATGATCTCAATCACGAAAACTAACAATAGTGAAAACAGACATAGATATTTATTAAAATTGCCGGAAGACCGTGGTAAAATATAATTTCCACTTTCTATCTTATGAATCCCTAACAAACCAAGAAAGACTGAAAGTCAAGAAGTTCAGCATTATTGTATGATGTACTTACCTCCTCCGTTGCGGCCCCACAAATCACCGAAGGCTGTCACACGTGACTTTTCAATTATCGCGACGCGCCGGATTAGACTGGCCTTCAGGACTCAATTGCCCTTGCTTTGACCGACAGGAGCGTGCCTCGCCAGTGTTTTCACCTGAATACGCATGGTGAATCCACCGACCATGAAGGATGGCTGAGATCGAGGCCTCGGGTGAGATGGACGAAACCACCTCCTCCCAGCGTCATGCTAACAAGAGTGGACTACAGACAAGGAGCACCCGCTCATGGGCGCGGTCATTTGCTTCACCTCAGTCCCTTTGGAACAGAGAGTATGATTAACCCGAGATTGGAGACCCCATAGGGCGCCCGACTGACGCGTCCAAACCCTAACAACAGACCCAGCTTAGCAATGTCGCGAAAGAGATGGGCGCAATCGAACGACCCGACCTCACAGCAGACGTAACGCACCTCCTCGTCGGGGCGACGGATTCTCCGAAATACAAATTCGTCGCTCGTGAACGGAACGATGTGACCGTATTGAGACCAGAATGGATCGAAGCTGTTCGGCAATCATGGATGCAGGGCGGGGACACAGACATTCAAGCATTGGTGAAACAATACGAGCTTCCTACCCTTTTCGGTCTCACAATATGCATCACAGGATTCTCCGATAGTGAGTTGGCCCAGGCCGAGTCCTGACAGCATTGACTGGACTGACATACGTGCCTAGTGGCCTTTCGAACCCAGATGCATGACATGGCCGTGGAGAATGGTGCGGAATTTAGGAAAGACCTGACCAAAAGTGTCACCCACCTCGTTTCTCGCAGTACAGAGGGTGAAAAGTATAAGTTCGCGACGCAATGGAATATTAAAGTTGTCACGGTGAAGTGGTTTCACGATTGCCTTGAGCGCGGGATGATCCTGGACGAGGACAAATATCACCCAACACTACCACCGGAAGAGCAAGGCGTGGGAGCGTGGGATCGGACGATACCAATGAGTGCGAAATTACAACTTGGAAAAGTCAGGGTAGCTGCCAATGATAGCTCGTCGAATCCACGACCGAGGAAGAAGCTACGCAGAACGGCGAGTACTAAACTCATCGGCCAAAACGAAAACATTTGGGGAGACATTATTGGTGCTGGATTTGCAAATGAGGTGGCAGAATCAAGAAACGATCAATCAGAGGGACCCGATACTGAAAGGCCCAAACCTTTCATCCAGGCAGCCAAATCATTTGCGAGCGAGACAACTTTCAGTGAAACGATGGATCAGCGTGGACTACCTGAAATTTTCGCTCAAGTCCCAAAAGGGTTCCTTGACGGGTGCTATTTCTACATTCATGGCTTTACTTCTAAGCAGGTAAGCTTCAGTCGCTTGGACTTCCTCGAACAAGACTGACTCCCTCTAAGAAAGGCGTTCTCCGACACCATCTGGAATTCAATGCAGCTCATTGTGTCGATACATTGACTGAGTTTTCCAGCCCTAGCATACCAAAGACAGGGCAAGGACTTTACGTCATGGTCCCTTATAAGACTCCCAGGTCGGACATTCCGTCTACAGATGACATGGCATTCGAATGCGAGATCGTCACGGACATGTGGCTGGAAAGGTGCCTAGATGCCCGAGCCTTGGTCCCACCAGAAGCTCACGTTGCAAGCACACCGTTTCCAAAGTTCCCCATCCCAGGATTTTCGGGAATGCGGATATGCTCTACTGGCTTTGCGCGTATTGATCTTCTACATCTCTCTAAGCTGGTGGATTTGATGGGAGCGTCATATGATGAATATTTAACACCCAAAGCCTCCGTTCTTATTTGTAATGACCCCCAAACCGCAAGCTATGACAAACTTCGACATACGAGTGAATGGGGAGTTCCTGCGGTGTCCGCTGATTGGTTCTGGATATCCGTGCAGACGGGCCGGAAGAAGCCCTTTGAGCCGTACATTGTACGCAGACCCGTGTCGCAAAGCAAGAGCAGCAGGGAGCAGCTGAGTGGAGCCTCTGCCAATGGGAAGCAGACGCATCCACCGGCTGAGAAGGCTCGAGAGATGCCTTCCAAAACATCAAAAGAGCCAGCTACGGGGCAGCGGACAAAAAGTGTGGTACCAGGAAAACGTGACAAGCCCAGAGTGATACCTATAGTTGGCGACGGCTTCGCCGACGAAGAGCCTGCCGAAGCACCACAAGCAAGTGTAGCAGAATCACAGTCTCCATCCCCAGCCAGGAATACTGATGCGGCACCCACCGAAGAACCTGCAAAACAGTCAAAGCCGGCCGCTTCATCCGCTCTAGACACCGCGTTAAAGGGCCTTCTTCAGCAAGCCCAAGCTGCCAAATCAAGACGGCAATCGGAGAGCATGACTACCGAAGATAGCAGCTACCCCCAACGACGGAAACGCAAACCGCTCCTTGGACGTGCACCCTCGCATTCATCAAACCGAGCGACTGAGCTCAATCGTGCTGCCTCACGAGCAAGCTCCATCGATACCCTCAACGACGATGGTCTCGGCTCGGCTGTCGAAAGTGCAGAACCAACACGGGAAAATTCATTCTCCCGCACCAACAGCCGCAACGACCAAAGTCTATCATCTATGTTCAGCGGTGCCAAATTCGACTTTTTAGCAGACCGCCTGCCCGCACAGCTTGACAACGAAGACGAAGAGAACCAGGAGCCCCAAATGACGCAGTTAGACTACGAAGACCCCGACGCTGCGGCTATGCGGGCAGAATTCTTGCGTAATGCTGGCAAATTAGCTGGTAATCCCCAGAGGGCTCATTCTGACATGCTTGGTGAAGTTCGGGAATTAGAGGACGTTGGGTGGGGGCATGGGAGGAGGACTCGAAAACACGTTTCAAAACCGACTGATGATGAGTGATACGAGCGTTTCGAGGCTATCATTATAATACAACCGGGACAGGGCATTGCATTGGGAAAGGCGTCCTTGTGTTATGATTCATTCATGATGGAGTTTGCTTTCAAGGATGCATTGAAATCGATGGACTTGTTGAGAGAAATCTTGCTTTCTTTTCTTCTTGCTTTTAACATGCATATCGCAAGCATTTATGCATTTACAGCTGGACCACTTCTTTCTAAAGCACTAGCATCAATATCAATAATAGGTCGACTCTATCAAAGAACCTGGCTATGGCTATCTGTAGATACTAGAGGTTACCGTTTCTCAAAGCTCCCAGCTCCGTACAAAATCATTGTAGTCGATCTGTTGAGCAATGGGTGTATACCTCCACCGACTGACATACCCTTCCATGGTGTGGTTCCCGCCATTGGTGGTAGCGTAAACTCCAAGTAGATTACCAGTGAAAACATCAGGACCACTGATAAGTGCCCCAGTGAACGCCGCCAAGAGTCTAGATTCATGGGGCCGAGCAGCCGGCGCTGCCGATAATTGATAATGAGTATCATTTTCAGCCCGGATATAGAGACGAATGGTCTCTGATAGCCATGACGAGGGAACAGGCGTTACCACTGGAGATGGAACGGTGAAATTGGTGGCGTCTGAATCAGTGGCCCGACAGCGAAAGTTCACCCTTCCTTTGGAATTTGGAGATCCTCCCATGAAGACAAGTCCTAAGTCAATATGGTGATCTTGATGTAGGAAGGCAGTTACGCCGATCTCGTCTCCTTGAGCTTTATAGAAACCAGGGTGCACATCCACAGAGAATTCGAAGAGAGTATTTGTCTGGCGGCGAGCTAGTAGAGTCAAGCCATCTAGAGCTTTGAAAGATGCGTCTCCTGTGAGATTGGCTCTGGAGGCAATCAATTGAAGGGTATTGGGATGTCCCGGAGGCGAGATCGTGAATGACTCTGGCTTGGCTGGCGCTCGCCAAAAGACCCAGTGCGTAGGGATTGAAGAGCCCGGCACAAAGTCCACGATGTCTGGCTCTCCCATGAACGTGGGAACAGAATGTGCCTTGGAAGATCTCGGCGGCAGAGGGCCACTCATTTCGCCCATGACTTGATCAGCTAGTGGCCAGTCTCCCTTTGGCCAACTCACTGGGTATAACACCGTCTCTCGACCCATCGGATAGATACTCTCATTGTACAGAGCCGGTCCCGCTCTAGTGGCCAATGCAATACCCCACCAATTGCCCTCAGCATCTTGGAAAAGATCCGAATGGCCGACTGTCTGGAAGTACCGATCTGTATATCTAGCCGAGACAAAGGGATTGTGTGGTGAACTTTCCCAAGGACCCTTGATACTCTTCGACCGCGCAATTGTGGAAGAATGGTGTAGTTCTGTGCCTCCCTCAGCGATAAGGAGATAATAGTAGCCGTCCTTTTTGTATAAATGTGGACCCTCTTGATTGTTGTAGCCAGTGCCATTCCACATATCGAACGGTTCGCTCGCGTTACCAGTAGCCAAGTCAATGTATGATGCTTTGATGGGTGATCCGGAGAATGCCATGATAACGCTGCCATCGTCATCCCAGAAGAGATCGGGATCAATGGCACCCGAAGGGTTCTGGATCTGGAACGCGTTCGTCCACGCACTCTCATCAAATGGATCAGTGGTCGTGAAGAGGACAAACTCCGTACTTGGATTGTCCGTATCCAGCCATGCAGTGAGCAAGTAGAATGTCCCATTACGGAAACGCAGTGTAGAAGCGAAAATACCCAACGTCTGGGCATTTGTCGAGGTTTGGATTTGTGGAAGCTGTGCTGGATGGTTGAGAGCATTGCTGATAAGATCCCAGTGGACAAGATCTGTGCTTGCAAAAACGGGACAGCCTGGGAAGGCTAGGAATGAAGATGTTGTGCAGAAGAAGGTGTTGTTCCATTCTGACACAAACGTGCAGCTAGGATCGGAATGCCATCCGGGAATAATAGGGTTGTTATAGGTTGCATTGTGAGCGTAGACTGGCTTGTTGGCTATTTGAAAGCCCAAGGTTGCTAAAAGAAAGAGAAGATTCATTTTGTTGCTCTGAAGGGGCATCGGAAGATTGACACCGAGTGGCATAAACGGATATTTAAGATAAAGTCATGTCTCGCGGGGTAAGAGAAGGCAACAATATGGAAGTAGACATGTTCAAGTCAGCAGAAGTCGTAAATAGGCTAATTTGTAGGTCTCGCAGATGGCATCATGCAGATCATTAGTGTATCGGGGAAGCAGAAATAGTCCCCCCTGGAGTAGTATATCCATTTGATTGGCGTTGGACCCTGAAAATCACGCTAACATCTGACATTAACCCGAAAACCCCAGGACCATAGTCCGCCCCGCATCTGCCGGAGATTCCTGCGGGGATATCTATCAGCAATCGGAAAAATGGGCGGGGTGTTGCAGAGGATCCATTGGAAAGACCAACGATGCTGTATTCAATTGGATCCTTAGCTGCAGCCTTCGGGGCTGTAACAATACGCCAATGCGCGAATTGCTAGTGTCCTACTGCGTAGATAATACTTTTAACCAATTCTTAGACTGCTGTTGTTTTGAGAGAGCACTAACGATAGATGGTGAGCTTGAACTTGAGTAGATATGGTGGGGATTGCTTTCATCTTTTATTGCCCATTCTAGCCGAACGGAAAACAATCTAATAGCTAGTCATAGGCAGATAGTTTAAGTGTAAGATCAAGATGACAATGTCGAATTCAGGTGGGAATCATGGGCTAAAAACTGGGACAAGTTCCGATGCACGCCAAAACACGCCACAAAACGGATGGGACTAGGGCTGAACTGTAATCAGAACAGCCATGTTGCCCACTGGGAAAAAAGGCATACGCAAGAGAAGGGATATCGGAAGAAAGAAGTGAGGTAGGGGTTGGGAAATGTACATGCTCGGGAATGATATGGATGAGAGTTGCAAAAAGGACTGTAAAAAGAGTGAGGAGAGTTATGGCTGTTGTTACATGGACGGCACTTATGGGTCGAAGGCACCCATGGCACCGGGTAAGGGGCCGTCGAGATCAAGGTCTTCCACAGAGCGGCGGTTTTCTCCGCTCTCGCGGAAGAGATTGGCAAAGTACTTGGTCGCAACTTCGCTTTCTTGCCTGACCTTGCTGACTTCCTGCTTGCGACGACCAAGGTCCTCAATATCCTGAGCCAGGCTTGCTTGGAGATTGTTAGCTGGAAGGCGAAGGATGCGTCGAACCTCAGTCGAGATGCGGTTGGCATTAGAGTGGACGTAGTCCATCTCAGAAAGGGTTGCAGCAATCTTCTTTGATAAACGGGGAGGCAAAGTTGTCGGGATAGTAGACAGCACGTAAGCAGTAGCCAAGACAGCTGTTCGATAAGTTAGCGATCGTGCAGTTGTGGAACATGATAACGAAAGAAAGACTTACCAGCAGCGAGAATACCAGGGAAGAATAGTCGTCGTAAGTTGTTCGGACCAAGAACCTTGGCAGCACTCAAGGCGCTGTCCACCCAGCTGAAGCCACCAAAGGCTCTGCTACCGAGAACAGTGACTGCGGTCATTGCAACACCAGTTCCGGCCATCTTCTCTTGACGCTCCCAGAGACCAGCAACGTCGAAGAAGTCCCAGAGTTCCACCTCGGTATCAACCTGCCGAGCCAGGGTATGACGGCGGCCACGACGGAACATAAGATCGGCCCGGAAGTTGAGAGCGGAGAACTTGTCCTCGCCAACATGCAACAGGCCGATGTTCTGAATGAAACCAACCCCTTGAACGGTCTTGTCACGAGCGTAATCCTCACAGCCGTTGACAGCCAACGAGATTTGCTCGAGCATGGCGTGTTTCAAGTCCTCCGCGTATTGGAACGCTGCAAAGATGCCAGGGTACTCGACCCCGAGGTCAGCCTTGGATACTTGGGCGATAGTTTCTGTCAAAGTAGCCCGAGTGTGGTTGTAAACGTCGTCACAGGAGTCATCAATGGCTTTGTTGACACCCTCCGCCAGCTCGGCCTTCTGCTTCTTGCCATTCTCATAAGCAGGCTCGAGTTCAGCCAGCTCATCAATGACTCGCTTCAGCTCTGACTGAGCAACGTCACGGTTCACAGTGGCTAGGGAATTGAGATCGGCTAGAAGATTGAGCAAATAGGTGCGAGCAGGGGCGAGCTTAGATCGTGACCGCTTTTCGAGGACGAAGCGGCGAAGAGCCCCTTCCAGATTCTCAAAGTCTTGGATCTTTTCCTTTTCCTTGCCCTTGCCTTTACCTTTACCCGTGGAATCGTCATCATCATCATTGTGAGGATCACCGCCATCGCCCCCGCCACCACTACTTGAGCCGGACTGTGCGATAGATCCAGGAGGAGCGACAGGGATAGCATTACTCGAAACAAAGTGAACCAACTCAGCGGCCTCCTTGTAGGTGCGAGGGCTGAGTTTGCCCACCTGGTCGAGAATCATGCGCTCACATCGCTGCTTGTCTCGAATCTGATCGAAGCCATTTACAACCATGAAAATGTAGGCCTTCTCGTGAGCAGCATTGAGAATGAACTCCTTCGCCGAAAGTGTGAAGTGATTAGCGGCGGACACCACAAAAACAACGACATCGATCTCCTCCTGTCGAGCAAAGACAGCCGTTGTCTTGAGGGGAATCTGAGTTCAAGCCGGGCGCGTCGATCAAAGCAATATCCACCACACCGTTGTTGAGCAAAGATTCGTCTATAGATCGCACGTCCTTCACGTACACCTTGCACTGCATGTACTTGGAGTTGTCAATGACGATGTTTTCGAGTTCCGCCAGGGGATAGACATCGTATGTGCTCTCGTCGTTGCGGTTGTACTGGGTGTCCTTGTGAACGGCGTGCACTTCCTCTATTCCGCCATTCTCGCGAGCATCGAGAACTTCACAGAAAATGCTGGTGCAGGGCTGCTGGTCCTCTGGCAAGACCTTTCGTCGCAAAAGAGCGTTACAGAATGTGGATTTACCGGCGTTCAAGTCTCCCGTCACCAGCACCTTGCTGGAAGTGTCTTCAATCCGGTCCCGCAGGGACAAAAGGTGCTTGATGCTTTGACTGATCTTTCCATCAAGCAACGAGGCAATCGAGGTTTTTTCCAAAGAGTGTACCAATTCCGCTTGAGACAGCGCGCCTAACTTCAGATCCAACTTTAAAATCGAAAATTCTTGGGCGATCTGAGGAGTTATCAACCGGGGACCAGCAGGCACGCGGCGTTCAGCAGCCGCGCTTGATTCTCCAAGGTCGTCTCCACCGGTTGTAGTTGCTGCGCGTCTGAGCTCCGGCCGTGGCGGAGTATTCGGCCTGCTGCCATCCTGGCCGAATTCCGAGTACGTGTGCGAAAGTTGTGGCCGATCCGAGGGTGATTGAGGAGTATTCTGCACGGATGGGTAGTGCGCAGGCCACTGGCGATTCATTTCTTGGAGCTCCTTCAACGTCTCGACGGTCCGAGAGATTGCGCGACCAAGTTTAGTTCGATTCGAGTTGCTATAAGAGTAATATTTGTCAGTGTACCTGTGGATGGGAATGCCGAAAAAAAGTATCGACATACTATAGAAGTTGGTGAACATGGCTTGCAACGATTTGCTTCTCATGCTCAGCTACATTGAGTAAAAGGCTTCATGTCAGTGAGGTCTATCCCCAATATATGTTGTAGCCATCCAGTCGAGTCCGCTCACCTGCAGGATTCCATTCGCCGGCGCGCGTCGGGGTGTGCACCGGGGTCGGTCTGTCTTCCAACAGTCCAGCGCGCCAAGCAGCGCTTCCATCGATATCAGCAGCACTATCACCAGCGATACTACCGCCGTACCCTGAATCGTTATTGAGAGACGTCATAAGAGCCGTAGCACTCGCCGAGGTTGAACCGCTACCAACAGTCATGTAAGCTGGTGGGGGTTGGGGGGAAAAGGACTCCGTTCTTCATCCTCGCCGGCGAACCGAGACGAACCGGCCCTCGAGGAGCCTTCGCCCGGAAAGTAATCCTGACTCATGACGGGTTGAAGGTGAGTTGCAGGGCCATCGACGAAAGTTGTATGTGGGCAGTTTTGCATGGAAGGTGACGTGCAGGCCAGGGACTAAAGCCTAAACAGGTTTAGGGTTGGCATGTGACTGGGCGGTAAGTTTGGGCCGGCAGTAAGTTACTGTTATCTTACCTGATCGGTGCCACTGTCCCGCTTGATGTCACTGCCTGTCTGGTCAATAGGACCGGCCCCAGCTGCTCTCTCCAGATCTTCTCCTCTTTTACTCAACCCCCACCATGAATGTGAGGTACCCCTTACAGTATTATGCATTGACTCATTACTGATTCAAGTCGCAGATTGTCGAATGGGCCTTTGGCAAGCGCATGACGCCAGCGGAGCGTCTGCGCAAGCACCAGCGGGCCCTCGATCGAACCCAGCGCGAACTAGACCGAGAACGCACCAAGCTGGAGAACCAAGAGAAGAAACTGGTTCAAGATATCAAGAAGAGCGCTAAGAATGGCCAAATTGGAGCTTGCAAGATCCAGGCCAAGGATCTGGTTCGGACGAGAAGGTACTTGGCCGACAGCCATCCGTTCGCCTCGATTATCGCAGACCAAACCGACTGACTGTCTCCGCACCATCAGGTATATCCAGAAATTCTACCAAATGCGCACACAATTACAGGCGATCTCGCTTCGCATTCAGGTACGAGAGAACCCACTCCATGCCATGACATCCTCGAGTGGCTCACTGTGATACAATGCAGACTGTTCGGAGCAATGAGCAAATGATGCAGTCTATGAAGGGTGCAACGATGCTGTTGGGCAGCATGAATCGTCAAATGAATCTCCCAGCCTTACAGCGCATTACGATGGAATTCGAACGAGAAAACGAAATCATGGACGAACGACAGGAGATGATGGATGATGCGATTGACGAAGCGACCGGCATGGAGGATGATGAAGCAGAAGGCGAAGATATTGTCAGGGAAGTCCTTGATGGGCTTGGTGTTGATTTGAGCCAGGCGGTTCGTCCTTTTACTCGTGGCCTTGATCTCGTATCAGCTGCTAACCGTTTTAAAAAAAGCTGGGTGAGACACCGTCGGGCGAGATACACCAAGAATCAACAGGTGGCACTCGGGTTGCTCAGGCTATCGGCGGCGGAACAGGTGGTGGAGCAGGTGATGCCGGGGATGACGACCTTCAAGCGCGACTGGACAGCCTCCGACGATGACACCGTTTTTTGTACCTTCGTATTTTTGTGCATGTACACTTAGCGTATTCAGCTAAAGGGTTGAATACTTTGGTGTGAGCCTCACTCGATCTGACGTTTCCTTTCTTGTTTTTAGCGTACTTATTTTTATCTGGAAGTCATTGTTATTGCTGCCTATCTTACGATATAGTTTCCTCATTGGGTCGTCGGGGCTGAGGTTGAGTAAAACCGCTCCAATCTTGTTGCCTTCTTCTACTTCTTACGTACTGAGAGTATTCAAAATAACCTCTAATTGGTCAATATTAGATGTAAGAATTGACATGCATTTGTTCGTCACTAGGCCAATTGAAAATGCGCATGAGATCCGCAGCCCCAGAACAGCTGCGACATGCTCCTGCGGCTGGAAAGCTACCCGATCTAGACGATCAGGGGTTGTCGATCAGTATCTCCCCCTGGCACGATGTTTTCGCCTGGCATACGACTGCAGGAAATCCCTCGAGATCGGCCTTTCAAAGAACTGATTCTCCCACGCCCATTGTGCGAACCAAGGATAACCCTCTAACTCAGCGAGGGAGGGTCGATCCTCCGGGTTCTTACTGAACATTGCCTGCAAGACATCCTTACAGTCCTGAGGCAAATTCTCATCAATAGGCAGAGGATCATTGACGATACGGTATCGCCGGTCTACGACCTGCTCAGGATCGGTAAATACTCGTGGGTCCAGCAAGTCTGGATGAGGCGCCCCGTTCTTCGGAGGCTCATTCCAGGGCCAGAAGCCATGGAGAATGCCATAAATGATCGTAGCGAATTTCCACATACTCTCATGACGCAGATCATGAGGCACCTCGATTTCATCACAGCGGCCCACCTTATTGGCCATGTATTGCGCCAGCTCTGGTGATAGTTGGTATTCCTGGAAAGGAACGTACATGTAATAGCGCTCGAAAAAGGCGCGCTCTTCTAATCCAAAAGCAACGTCTCCGAGGTCGATCATTTGTGCCTATATATTTGAGATTTCAGTTAGCATCAAACTGAAAAAAGACACCAGGGATGTTGAAGATAGGAGCTCACTTACATTCAAATTCTCGTCCACGAGGATGTTATTGACTGAGATGTCATTGTGCCAGGCATTCATATCAGCCAACTGCCTCATCGCCTGGAAAAGCTGCGTTGCAACTTTGCGCCCCTCGTCCGCGTTGAGCAATGGTCTGTGATCCTTGGTTAGCAAGTGTTTTGCTGTAAACCCAGGGAATCGCCGGGAGCAATTGCCTGGTGGTGACGCTTGCCGCTCAGCACTGTGGTCGATACATGGAGACATGACAATGGCTTGGAAGCGATCGTGGGAGTAAACAGAGTCTAAGGTGGGAAACCTGTCACTGCTCGTTAGAAATAACATGATCAATGCTTCTTCAGGGATATATCGAAGGGGGGTTCGGTTGTCTGGGACCGGTCCATTGGGAGGATCCCAATGATGCGCGTCTATAGAATCGAGCAGGGTCTTGTGGCCTTGAACTTTGACAGCAAAGTGTCTGGGATTTTCCGGGCCCTTGTTGTCCTGGTCTCGCTCACGGGCAAGAAATACCGAGCCAAAAGCTATGATCCTGTTAGCAAAGATACCATAAACGAGAGAAAAAGGGGGAAAGAATGTGCAACGTACTTCCTTCGCCAGCCATACCATACACGTTCATTCGACCTGTCAGCTCGCTACACATGTGCTTCATGCGATTACCTGTGACATTACTGACTGGATCGGATTCATCGAGCGCAGCAAGCCATTCTGCTTTCTGAAAGCCCTCGGCGTCACTCCGCCAACTCTTATATCCACTTTGGAATCTGACATGAGAGCATGAAGAGATTGGCCTATAGTTTCGATCAGCATACGCAGACTCCAGACGTTGTCGGAACACCTGATAGAGGTTGGGATATCTCCGAGCAAGTTCGCTCTTAGGATTCACAAGGTCATGGGCTGCAAAACAAAAGGCACCCTTCCAGTACGAAGGGGTCATATATTTTGGCATAAAGTCCATAGTGAAAAGCTGGTTGATGTCAAGCCCTGCAGAGTAAGGTAACCTAGATGGTCTAGCAGAAGAACCAGAGAAAAGAATGATTCTGCTGAAGAAATTGCTAGAATTATATATCTGTGAAGAACTAGGACATCATGCTGTAGACAAAGCAAATAATCTATGAAAGCAATTGATCCATGAATGCCATTGTGGACGCTTTCGGGCGATTTGAAAGCAAGGATACAAAGATGCAACAATGAAAGCTCGCATCTCAACAAGTGTTCAGATGAAAAAGCGCCCCCAGAAAGTGGGAATCGTTTGTCTTGGGGACTCTTTGATCCTGATTTGAAGGAATACCATTCTCCAAGTTGCGAGTGGAGTATCCCGAAAGAGACTGCAAACAGTTCTGGAGGCTCAAAAACAGTTCGGGGGCCAATGGCAGCCTTAGACACAGATGTACAAAGACTCAGTCCGTTTGTTTAAATTCAAAAACACTTCTCTACCCGGATTACACATGATCAAGTTCCCCGTGGAAACAGTCTAGCCCGCCCAGGGTCTGGAAGAATGAGCCTCTTGGACTGCCCAGGCTTTTCGATGGTACCCCACTAACTTACGGTATCCGGCTGTAAGTCCTTATACGGTTGTAGTACTCGCCTGTGCTCAGAAAACCAACTGCTTATTATCACCCTATCGGCCGTCCAGGTTGCAATCATTCGTACTACGATGAGCTCCAGTGCCCTACTTAACAGTCAGCCTTGAATACACTACAGCGTGATATATCAGGCGATCCTGCTAAGGCTGCACGCGCCCTTGTCACGGCCGGGGAGGAGCTGGTGTTCAAAGCGTAAGGATGCACCCTTCACGAGGGTTGCGCCCGGGTTAAAAAGCCCCACCCGACATGAATGAGGCTGATGCAAAGCGCCCGGCAACGATGTAGTGCGCTCGGATCTCCTCCGTACAACATCCTCTAATCTTCTAGCGCCAGAGTTAGCCAAGGTTCATGACTTCAACCCTCTCGAACCCGGGTGAACTCTCACTTTTTGAACTATAAAAACTTGTTGCGATTCCATCGATAACCTAGACTTTGTTTTCCATAAAATTATCATCTTCATTTTCCTGAGGCTTGGAAAATATATGTGCACCTCTGTAGCCTCTTCCCTTCTTTTAGAACCATGACGACTTTTAGCCTGGACAACCAGAATCCAAGCGACGCACAAGAGAAACAAGCTATTTCCCCACCGCAAGCGCAAGGGCAAGCTGCAAACGCACCCGTTCAAACAGCATGCAATTCTCAACCAGACAATTCTGGCCACCTACAAGACCATCATATACTCATCAATTTGGGTCAGGTCTCCGAAGTTCCTGCCTATTCTATCAATTACGAGGGATACCAATTCTTCAAGGCAGATCCGATCCCTGGGCAAAAGGCAACATGGACCAGGGTCGAGCGTACAAGAATGCATCTCGATCAGACCGAGTTCTACAAGATGGTCCAGAAAAGAGCCAATAAAATCTCGGCAGCCCAGCAATATCAGAACTTATCCGCTACTCGCCGTGCTCATGTCAGCCAGTTAATCAAGGAGCAAAAGAAACTGGATCCCTCGGTGGAATGGAGCTGTGTCTATGCAAAGGAGCGCGACAGGGCCTCCAAGGCACGCAACGCCCATCGTGCCGATTATGAGACTGTCTCGATGGATATCATTTTGATGAAGAGGCCTTTGAACAATAAGCCTTATCCAAGGACCCCTATGGGAGACCTGGTTGACCTCGCTCATCGCCAGAATGACAACGATGTGCGACACGTCACGCCGGTGCATCCTGAGATGACGGCTACCTCTGTCTACTCAGCGGTGCCAACTACAATGTGGATCTCCAAGGACATATCTGCGAATTCAGATCCTACGAATGCGTCTGCTGGTGTCGTACAGGGGCCGCAGCCTCGTTCGGTATCAGTGACGAGTCCATTCACTCGACTTGAGTTGGGTCAAGCCACGCCCGTGCCTAGTGAGCAGCAGCAGTATAGACCAATCCAGAGACAGACAACGACTGATAAGTAAGCCATCCCGTTCAAGAGTCAGATATAATTCTGGTTTCTTACAAACGAGAACCCTGTTTCACTATCAGCGAAGTTTGTAAATGGTCTAATTCTTTCTTGCTCCTAGTAATCGGGACCAGAACGTCGACGACTCCGATGGGGCGAGCTCCTCTTCAGAGAGCAGTGATACCGAGGATGCTGAATCCATGATTGAGGATTCATCCCAGTCCGATGACAGCTCAGCTACAGAAGATGCAGAGGCAGACCATATGGAATGCGACTGTCGAGAGCCACCGCATCGCCATTTTAGCCCTCGGAACAGGTCCAACAGTCCTAACAAGCATGACCCAGTCAGTCATGGGTCTCAGTACCGACAGAAGTCTCGAGGAAGGCACTTTGGCCGAAGAGACAAGCCTCGATATCACTATATGGATATCCTTGCCTCCAAGAATGGCTTTCATAACGTCATGCCTGCCCGCCGGGCTCGAGGCTCCGGTGGAATTGCTCCCACTACGCCTTCTGATATCAAGATGTGGTATCGTATACAACGCATTGATGACGAGGAACTTCGACGTCGACTACTTGAGTGTGAAGCTAGGGTTGAGCGGTGGGAACGAGCTTTTGAATGCCAGAGCAGGCTTTTACAACAGACTATTCAAGATTCACAGCAGCAGCAACTGGAGAGATGTCAGCTTTACTGGAATCCTCCCCCTATGCACCACTATGGTTATGATTGTCCCAAGGATGGTCGCATGGACGATTCAGATTGACTCTATAATAAATATTTGGCTTGCCCCTTTTCTTATTTTATGGATTTTGGTTTATTCCTATTATCTGCTTGTGTTCGGTGATTCCAGGCTAGCATGCAGGTGTTGCAGCTATAATCAACCAGAGTCTGACTAAACAGGCAAATATTATGTCTTGGAGAGGTCCCGGTACATTGGAATGTTGATGCTGAGGCTGTTAGCGCGAATTTACGTTGTCTGATTTTTGATTTTTGATATTTTTTCTTGTTTTTGACACATTCGCTACAAATACGATCGATCTTTGCTTTGCTCGAAGCCAAGGAAAGACCTAACCTATAACTCTAGATAATTACACTCCATCACTCTCTGGCCTTATGGCCTTTTTGGATACATCTCCATGATCCATGGACTTCATTCAATCAGGCTGCCTCGACTTTCCATGGAATCGGCCTCCCGGTCAACCGGTCAGCTAGTTATGACATGGTTGGATGCCTGGCTACTCAGGTGTCCGCCGATCCTCAGGACATTGCCCCTCCATTTCTTTTAACCGCCCGCATTCCTCGTCCCTTATTATTCTCTCTTTCCAACCTTTCGTTTCTTCTCAATCTCCCCAATCTCATACCTTACACATCCATCATCATGCCTCGCCAATTCTTCGTCGGTGGTAACTTCAAGATGTATGTCTTTGTCAACTCCATACTACCCCGCGATCCCTCAATGGATTGCCCCTCCATCTTGGAAGCCAAGGTATCTCAACATACAAGGGCACGCAATTGACCAGAATGACAGGAACGGTGTTGCTGAGAGCATCACCAGCATCGTGAACAACCTCAACTCCGCCAAGCTCGACTCTACTACCGAGGTCGTCATCTCTCCCCCCGCCCTCTACCTCACTCTCACCCGCAGCCTGGCCGACCCCAAGATCGGCGTTGCTGCCCAGAACGTCTTCGACAAGCCCAACGGTGCTTTCACCGGCGAGATCAGCGTTGAGCAGCTGAAGGACACCAAGATTGACTGGGTTGTCATTGGCCACAGCGAGCGCCGTGTCATCCTGAAGGAGACTGACGAGGTATGTACAACCCGCGAGCTGCGGGTATTGAACAACGCACCAGTTCTACAACGCCCAACAGCCACCACAGATACCCGATACTAACCAATTTCTCGCTACAGTTCATTGCTCGCAAGACCAAGGCCGCCATCGACGGTGGCCTCTCCGTCATCTTCTGCATTGGTGAGACCCTCGAGGTACGTCATTTCCCACTCGGTTACCCGTTCTGCTTCCCGAGACCCGGTGTGGGGCATCGGGACAGGTCCAAGATGAAGAACCTCCGCTTACACCCGATTCTATTTGCAATCGTATAGGAGCGCGAGGCCAACAAGACCATCGAGGTCGTCACCCGTCAGCTCAACGCCGCCGCCAAGGAGCTGAGCAAGGAGCAGTGGGCTAAGGTTGTCATTGCCTACGAGCCCGTCTGGGCTATCGGCACCGGCAAGGTCGCTACCACTGAGCAGGCTCAGGAGGTCCACGCTGCTATCCGCGAGTGGCTCGGCAAGTCCATCGATGCCCATGCTCAGGACAACGTCCGTGTCATCTACGGTGGCTCCGTCAGCGAGAAGAACTGCCGCGAGCTCGCTACCCAGCCCGATGTTGACGGTTTCCTCGTTGGCGGTGCCAGCTTGAAGCCTGCCTGTAAGTCGAGTCACAAAACGCATGTGACATATCGGATGCTAATTATGCTTTCTAGTCGTCGACATCATCAACGCCCGCATCTAGAGTGGTCCTGGATACTATGATATCCCGTTAATAACTTGACTGCCAGGACTGGCTGGCCTGGATGCAGGGCCCAACATAAATAGTTCAAAAGCTTGAAACGTGAAATATGTTGTCATGAAAATATATGTACATTGGGGAGCCGCCCATATTTCCAGTTTGCGGCGTATTAAAACATGCAGGATGTAATCGTAGATGATGCTGAGTTAAGGCTCAGACACGTCGCAAAGCACGTGTCATCAGAGTGTAAGAAGAAGCGGAAGAAAGAATAGACGGTAGTCATACAACGTTCATGATGAATACATCACCGACACCCCAACTCCACGCCAGTACGACGGGCCTCCACCCTGCGCCGACCCACTCCCCGCCGCGGAGGAAACATTCGGCGCCAGCGAGAACGAGCCAGGGCCCAGCCCAACACCCGCACTCACCAACAATTCCTTCACTCGGCCTTCCCAGAGCAGTCGCACGTTCCAGGACTGGTCAATGCGAAGCTTGATAACCGAGTCAGTCGCCTCGCCCTCGCTGCTTTCGACCGACTTGATGGCAGACTCGGGTTGAACCGGGTCGGACAGGAGTGGAGAGGATGGCGGGGAGCCCGGGAGAGGAGCGGAAAAGTCATGCAGGCGCATTTTACGGCGGGCCCATTCGAGTCCGTCGTCGGCGGGGGATGTGGATTTTGCAGCTCGGCGCCAGAGTTCACATCCGGCGACCATCTCGCTTTCCCAGCTGTATACATTGAAGCCGAAGCGAGAACTGAAGGAGAGATTGGGTGAGGCACGGAGGGAGTACGTTGTAGATAAAGAGCCGGTGATGGGGGTGAGAGTTAAGGTTAACGTATACGGGAAGGTGGAGATGGGGGTCGGATGGTTGGTTGAAGACGAGGAAGAGGTGGAAGATGGTACTTCAGTCGCAGCAGGAAGCGTACTGAATCGCAGGCCAGTGGACATGCCAATTATCGAGGAAACTGGAGAGTAATACGCCTCTGCGCCGGCAGATAGAAGAGAGAGACGGGGAGGCGCATTCGCGGGAGTATATCGAGGATCGGCGCCGAAGTTCCAGAGGCCACGCCAGCCAAAGAGGGAATTGTCCGTACTGAAGAGATACTCGTTGCAGTACTTTCCAGTGTCATGGGATAGTTGGGCTAGCATTGATGCTTGTGGTGCGGACTTTGACATTGGCGGTCCCTGAGTAGAACAGACTGCAAGCGAGAGCTGCGTTGTCGGAGACATTCGGCGCAGAAAAAGCGCATATAGTGTGGTAGGTGATGGGAGATGTAGCGAGGCATGCAGAAGTGTTGCCTTTCGCTGCGCCTCGTCTTCTGCTGTCAGGTTGCCATCCTTGTGTGCCACAGTCGCTGAGCGTGAGCCGCCATTCAGCCCGGGAATTCTGACGCCATCAAGAAGAGAGTCCCATCCCCATGTGAGAACTGGAGCCTCGGGGGCCTGTACTTGTCGGTAGCCCGGAGAGATCTTTCGAAGGGGGATCAAGGCGCTCCGGCTGGGGGTGTTGTGCAAAGGAACCGTGCTGAAGAGGTATGAGATAGACCCATCCAGTAACCCGACCGTTCCGAGTGTATAGCTGGTGGCGAAATGAGGAGTTGAAAGCGATGAGAGACGAACGCGCAATCTTTCGGGGGTCTCGAATTCCAGAATCGCTGTTCCGAACGCGTTAGATTAACTCCGTTGCGCATCCCTGAAGCCAAAGCAACTTACACTGCGCGGTAGTTGTGAGCGCCGAGTAGGAATTGTCCTGATTCCAATTAGTCGCCTCCGCAAAGGCGAGCTGGACGTAGTCCATGAAATCCAGCATGGTCGTCCTAGGCGGCTCCGATGATGTCGCAGTTTCCAGGAGTGTCGAGTGGCCCAAGACAAACAGCAGCTGGTTGCCCCATCGAGGCTAGTGGGGGTCGGATAAGCTCGGCACAACTGTTGATCCGGTTATCAGCGAAAAAAACCAATGCCACAACTGGGGCTCGCCCGCTACGCCAACGAACATAAACGCCCTTTAAGATTCTGGCATTTGTTTTTTCCAGCAGCTCAAAATGCCTCGTTCCAAGCGTGCGCGCGTTGTTCACGAGTCCAAGACCGTCAAGAAGGACCACAAGGAGCAGACTCGCCGTCTGTACACCAATATCCGGGAATGTCTCGAGGAATATGATCACTTGTTTCTCTTTTCGGTGGATAATATGCGAAACACCTATTTGAAGGATGTGCGCGCCGAGTTTGGAGACAGCCGGTACGTTTGGCTAGCAATTGAGCAAACGGGTGTGATTGAGGATTCAAACCGAAAGAATCCATCGCATCATTCGGCTCAATCGAGGCTCTTTGCAAGATTGGCTCTTTGCAAGATTAGTCTGCTAACATGATATCTCCAGTCTCTTCTTCGGCAAGACCAAAGTTATGGCCGTCGCCCTCGGCACTACCCCCGAGAACGAAGCCGCCGAGAACCTGCACCGTCTTTCCACTTACCTGACCGGTGCCGTCGGCCTGCTCTTCACTTCTCGCCCCGCCGACTCCGTCATCGAGTACTTCGAGAACTTCCGCCCCTCTGACTTTGCCCGTGCCGGCACCGTGGCCACCCGCTCTTTCACTCTCCCCAACGGTCTGGTCACTGCTCGCGGCGGTGAGATCCCCGCCGACCAAGATGAGCCTGTTAGCCACACCATTGAGCCTGCCCTGCGCAAATTGGGCGTCCCTACTCGTCTGGTGAAGGGCAAGGTTATGCTCGAGTTGACCGAGGGTCAGGAGGGCTTCCCCATTTGCCGCGAGGGCGAGACGCTGGACTCCCGGCAAACTACCATCTTGAAGATGTTCGGCGTGACATCTTCCGAGTTCAAGGTCGATCTTAAGGCCCAATGGACGCGGGAGTCTGGAGAGATCAAGATCCTGGAGCAGGGTGGCATGGACACTGATGCTTAGATGAATTAGTCGTCTTGCTGTCTCTTTTGCCTCTGTTCGTCGACTTGTGTCTGGTCGACGCCCAAAAAAAGATTCTCTGAGGGCATCTTACGGAGTTTGGGGTGGGCGCTTTTTTTCCATTTCTTTTCAAATATATTGACCACTTTCTGTTCCTCCCTTATATTGTTTTGGGAAGAGCCTGGGTTCTTCTTATTGATGTGTGTATGACGATAGATGCCAGATTGGATATAAAAAGGTCCTACTGCTCAAATTGTTTCTCTCACGTAGAGGCCAAGTCCAGATAGAAAGCATTACATCCATTTTTAACTACCTAGCAAGATGCCTGCGCGTATGTCATTGCAATGGCCCTTACCTGGTCTTACCTGAGCGTAGTCCCATTTGATTTCCATCGCTTGAATATGAAAGACTGATTCGACTAAAATACATACTTACCCCCAAGGAGAGAGGAAGGGTCACGTGAGGGACACTCCAAGAACTGGCACACAATGAAGAGGGAAATGTAGAGGGAGACTTGAAGGAAAATGGGGAATACAAAAACTCTCCGGGATCACACAAGGTATGTGCATGCTGGTGAAGGAAGCGGGATCGCATGATAACCGGATACCCTGTGGTCAACAAAAGCCTGAAGCGGTAGCGCGCGTTGAAAACTTCGAAAACTCGAACTGGACATCTCCGGAACCCCCTGTTATCTGCTCGTAGGCTGTCGTCTTTACCCCCCCTTACCCTGACGATGAAAGGGACATGTGATGGAAAATATCAGGGATACCCACCAGCAAGTCGGGACTGAGAAGGGAAGGGGGAAGGTCCATAACGAAAGGAAAGGACGGGAGAACGCTTAGTATCGTCTTCTAGAGCGACTGTCATCATAGCCGTCATCCTCACGGGGTCGCTTGCGTCCAAAGTCCTCTCGGCCACCACTACCGCTGTACCTATCGCGCTCACGGTCACGCTCCCGATCGCGGTACCGGTCGCCGCCATTGCGGTCTGACATGCGGTCTCGGTCTTTGTAGCGGTCGCCACCGTCGCGGTCTGCTCGATCTCCTCGGTCACGGTCGTCACGGCGATCGCGGTCTGCGTATGAATCTCGGGGACGAACGGGCTCGCGGTTGCTGCCAGTCACACCACGGTCAAACCTGCCTCCCCCACCGTAACCCCCTCCCCCAAATCCACCACCACGTCCGCCGCCAGGACCAGAGGGGGCGTTTGGCGGTGCTTGTCCTCCGAAACCACCGCGGCCACCTTGGTAACCGATTCCTCCACGGCCACCGAACCGATCACCACCACCCCGGAAGCCTCCGCCTCGGAAACCTCTACCTCCGAAGCCGCCACGGAATCCACCACCAAACCCACCCGGGCCGGATGGTGCGTTGAAGCCTGGTCCCATGGGGCGAGAAGGCATGGCCTTAGTGTACCCACGGCCGCCAAGACCACCGCCGAAGCGACGGGGCTTCCAGCCTTTGGTTGTGCGACCACGTTCCACATCGACTAAGACGCGTCGGTCCTTGATGCGGATCCCATCTGTCTCCTTGTATGCCGCTGATACCGGGGTCACTGTGTTAGCATGGCTTTCTTACCATAATAATAGTGCAGACGGAGCTAATGGAAGGTGCAAGATCTGGAAGCTATACCTTTCATATCCTTCTCTCGCTCGTAGACGATGAACGCGTATCCTCGGTGAGGCTTCTTTCCTGCTTTCGGCGAAACAGTATCCTTGACGATGCGAATCTATAGGTGGCAATGATTAGCTATGCTAGGAGACAAAGGTCTCTTCAACCAAGGCAGTCTTACACGCTCAATTGGGCCAAAGCGTCCGAATTCTCGCTCCAAGTCTGCTTCTTTAACTTCGTAGCTGAGTCGTGCAATGAAGAGGGTCCTGAAAGGATCACCTCGAGCTTGTGGATCCTCCTTGGGATTGACTGTAAAGTAAAGTATCGTCAGTAAACGGGGTCAAGATGTCAAGAGGCCTGTAGATGACGCTTACAATTTTGCAGGCCATCCGTCAACTGTGAAGACAATGTCTCCTTCTTCTCAACCTTCTCACGCCACTTGCGCTGCAACCAGCACTCAGTTGCATTGTATGGTGCTTCTTCCTTGAACTCCTTTGCTGCCTCAAGGTATTGGGCGACACCAGAGATCGTACTTTTCGGGCAGTCCTCTGGAGCTCGGTCTGTGGGGACAATGTAGCGAAGGGGTGGCCGGGGCTGGAAGAGGGCCAGCAAAGGGGGTGGGAGCTTGTCAGTCATGTTGACTGCTCAGCCGTAGCTTGTGATGCGGAGATCAGATGAAGACTGAGGAGCTGACCAACCCTTTCAGGAGTGTCGTGTCGCGTTGTGCAGTGGTCGGATCAAGGGTGGTAAGCGCGGCTGGCGCTGTAGCCGGAGTTGGCGCTCCCTCACCGCCCTCACGTGCACCAGAAAATGTGACGGAGAACTGGAGATTGGCAACGATCGCTTGAACCCGCAACAATACACAGCAATGCCAGTCAAGGGAATCAAGACGGTAGCCGCCGCCAGGGTATGTGATTTTGCATTGGATGAAGATTGAGGGGAAGAGAATTGAAGTCAGGAGCTGACGAACTGAACACTCAGAATGGCGTGGGCGCCTTTATCCTACAATGCAAACGCCTTGACTTCCACTACTGCAATTACGGCGGCAGCTCTCGAGGCATGCTGTAAGTAGAGCCTACTTTGGGACTCTCATCATTCATTTCTTCATTTCGAGTCTGACCTGCTACCTTCATAGGGCCTTCCTCACCCAAACCCTTCCCAACTTCGCCCGCGAGAACCCCCAGATCGAGATCCGTGTTTCTCCCCGACATTCCAAGCACCCCATTATCAAGGGCCACTACATTAACGGTCGTGAGAAGTCAATCTGTGTGCGCAACCTCGAGCCTAACGATATCCTGGCAAAGGCCATGATTCTTAAGGATGCCAGTGGCGAGAAGCTGAAGGTACAGAAGAAGCCCGTGACGAGTCTCAACGAGAGTGTGCGTGGTATCTGGTCGCCGTACCATGGTGACCTGCGTGGTGTATAAATTATGGGTGTTTTACCGTGGCGTTTACGTTTGGCAGTGGCGGTGATCATCTACCCAATGGATGCGGCTCTGCCGTCGCATCATATGTATTATTAGAACTGGGTTCTTTCTTGTCTTTCTCTTTGTCTACTTCATCACTCTCTGGGAAGTCCAGGGGATTCTTTCCACGTTATGCATTGCAAAGGTGAGTTATAACATGCCTTGAAATGAAGTTGAATCTACAATTGGTCCGTGACCACCACATTATCATTTTTGTCTAATGCGGTTAAATGTTCCCTCGTCACCTACTGATTTAGTGAAATTACACGTAGTGGGTGAATCCGATACTGAAGGAGCTGTAAGAATTGATGCCAAGAAAGGTTTGCATAGCGAGAATGGAAATAATAGTAAAGCCAGATAGAGAAAGAACGCCCCATATTTCCATGCAAGTTGGGTATCGACAAGAAAAGGAATAAAGAAGCAGGAAACCAGAGAACACCACCCATCATGCAAATGAAAAAATGGATCGTCATGGGTGGCATCATAGGTAAAGATGAAGCATGGCTGTTGGTGCACTGACTGGCTTACCACAGCCCTCGACCTGGCACTTGGAGAAAGGCTTGGTCTTTGGGGTTCCCTGTGTCTTTTTGGCCTTGGACAAAGACCGGTTCTCTGCACATTCACCGCAGTATACCTGAAACAAAAATTGTTAGCCAGCGAACTCAATGATCATCTTAGATCGAGTAATACGAACGTGGCCACACTGCTTCGCAACCCAAATCTCCTGCTTCTTTCCATCCCCGGTTCCTAGCTCCCAGTCACAATTAGGGCAGATTGCAACATCATCGTCACCTAATGTGCGTGAGAACCCTTTCGGTGCCGGGCTGGGTGGTTTGTATGCATCACGTCGGCGTCTCTCTTCTTGTCGACCCGAGGCTGGCTCCATAGAGAATGAGGACAAAGCGTAGTCCAGGAAAGCCTCAGACGAGCTCATGGTGGGCATGGACTCTCTAGAGCCAATAAATAGAGCATCCAACTGGCTAGCTGTAAAATTATGTGGCCTCGGAAGTCTCGTCCATTGGGGCATCTCCACGGGTCTTCGGCTCAACGGAAAGCTGGTCGGGAGGAGGCTGACGGGGTCCCATCTTCGTGGAGGCGGTTGTTGCCGTACTGTAGCTCGGACAAACTGAACCTCTGGGCTGCTGGAAGGGCCCTCTCCAGCGTTGTCCGGCTCGTCTTCCAGATCGACGATATCTGCCTCGGCCATGATGTTCCTTCCAAATCGTGGGAGTCGTGAAGAGTGTGAGGGACGGTTCTCGTTGCGATGTTGATTACGCTGTGGGGGAGTCTCTGGCTCATTCGTCAGATCAATTACATCACCATCTTGAGGTCTAGTCTCCGCTGGTCGTCGATAGTCAAAGCCGTCTCGAGGGGTTCTGATGGGTGGCAAGCGGGCAGGACGAGAGCCTGACATCTCAGGACGAGGAGGATGAAAGTGGTGGTGCCAGGATGACTGCCCCCCTTCACTAGATTCTTCGGACATGTGACGCTGAGTTGGCTAGCAGGCAAGCAAACACGATCAATAAACCCGTCACTTCATCCTCATTTGCCCCGCGTGCTTTTGAAAGGGTTCCATGCTCACCTTGGACCTGGCGCCCATAAACTGGACGCCAGGATCTTCACTCATAGCAGTTCTAAAGCCCAGTATATTTGAATATAGTGGACCAGCAACGTGAATTGGCATATAAGACGACCACAAAGTAGTCGAGGCAAGAGAATGGTTCTGGGTGGACATGATGACCAGGCCCGAGTCCCCGGAGGCGGTCCAGTTTTGCCGGAATAAAATAAGGCGGTCAGTGTTGATAAAGAGCTAGGCGGTGAGGGGACCCAGATACTGTACGTCTGATGGCTGATTGAATTACGTAGTCTGTGTGAAGGTGAGTGGATAAAATGATTGACAGGGGCAGAGGAAGCTGATTTAAAGGCAAGATATTAGGATACACAATTGCCAGGATCCCTAAATTTGGAGAAAATCAAATTTTTATGGATTTGAATCCTTGAGATCGTAAAGAAACGACTGTGAATTTTTCCTGCATCAAGAGCTGTCGCAAACGCAAGAAACACCATTGAAACTCAGATATCCAGCTCTAAAATTACATGTTTTTGCCTAAAAGATCATGACTATGCTGCCAAAACAGTGATTGCACCAGCCTCGTTAAGGGCGACAATGCTACGAGCAGCAGATCCCCATGCCACAGACACAGCTGGGACAGCACTGCGCAGAGGCTCCGACCATTCCTTGGCCGACTTATTGCACTGCTGGACAGTCACTCCACTGGGGCCACCAGTCACGAGGAATTGACCAGTGTAATCCCAGTACATCGAGTTGACCTGGCTGCCGGTGTCCAGCACCTTGATTTCCTTGAAACTCCGGAGGTCCCAAATTGAGACGGTGGTGGATTGCGCAGCCACTGCTGCCAAGGATGTACCATTTTCAGAGAAAAAGAGACATTTCACTGGGCCAGACATGGCAAAATCAGCAGCCTCGCTGCCAGTACGGACATCAAAGACCTTGACTTGCCCACTGGCATTACCAGCGGCCAGGATATGCCCATCGGGATGGAACTTAACAGACAAGAGAGCTAGAGGAAGGAGGTTAGTCTCAAAAGCATTAGGTTAGATGAAAGGAACAAAGAATGGCTCTTACCAGCATCGCTCCAGATCTGAGTGACCGCAGTATTAGAGGTCAAGTCATAGAGGACATAGCTCTTGTCCACGCCAACAGAAGCGACAATGTTACCACTGGGATGGACTGCAACGGCAGTTACCTCACCACCGTGAGCACTAAAGCTCGCTACTTCGCTACCATTTTCAAAGACCTTGACAGAGCCAGTAGCTGACCCAACAACAGCCTTATCACCAGCCCAAGCAGCATCAGTCACTGGGCCATCTGTCTTCAAGGTCTGCAAGACCGCCTTCTGGGGAAGAGAGTAGACGCCCACAACGCCATCAAGACCACCAACAAGTGCCAGCTCACCAGTCGAGTTGACTGCGAGGGCGCGGCTTCCAGGATAGAGAGACTCTGAGCTCTCGGCCGCCTTGTATGTGGAAATAGAGTCGGTGGTAGCCCAACCTTCGGGAATGGGACGCTTGCGGCGGGTCTTTGAGAGGCTTCAAGAATGGCATAGATGTCAGCATTTATCAGATGGTGCCAAGGACACCCAAGGTCACATACCCTGCTTGTGTGTTCTCAATGATCTCCACCACGGCCTGGGGCAAGGCCGCAGAATCTACCTGCATAGCTTCCCCGCCAGCTCCAGCACGAGTAGCGCCAACGGTCACCTTAGAAAGCGCATCACGGGCCTCATCTCTCTCCTTCGTCAGACGAGCGATAACTCGTACGGCGGCATCATGCTGATAGAGCGCAGCGCTCAGCTCGCGCCGCGTCTGTGCCAGGTTCTGCTGTAGGGTATATGTCTCCAAAGCCAGCGCATCCCACTCTTCCTGGAATACACTGAGTAGAGAGGGAATGGAGGTGAGGGTGGGAGGTCGGGGTCGAACAACGCGCTGCGACTTAACATCGATCAGATCGTCGGTGGTAAGGTCTTCGCCGTTCACAGGATCCTTGCCATTCTCGGCAATGTAAGCCTCGATTAGGCGCTTTTCAAAGACACTGCCTGCTGAGGGGTTAGAAAGGTACGATTAGCCATTAGATGCTGGGAAGACCTACCGCTCTTGGAAGAGACGACCGGCACTTGAGGGGCCTCTCCGGAGACTGCAGGGGGAAACACGTTAGATGGAAGCGTCCAAAGATGGCGACTCAAACCAAATCAGTCGTAGAGTACTCACTTGCGCAGAGCATGATTAATTGGGATGGGTGGAGGTAGATGGATGCAGAGGACCTGACGCGAAGCGGCTCCTTTGGACTTTTCGATGTGTCCCGTTGCGGTTTAGCGCCGAGCGAGCTGTTCACGGGCCCGACTTGCTTCCTGTCCTTCAACACCTCCAGCACTACTTCCTCGCCTTGTGACTTGAGGTGGATATCAGAATCAATAGCTTTCATGGCTTACTCTGGCTGAATGATTGACTACGATCATTTCAGGAGGGTGTGTCCGGCATGAACCTGACGTAAAAGCAGCGAGCCAGACCCTACAGTGTCGCGCGACCATGTCGAAGAACCCCAAGCTTGCCTACGGTACATCACGCCCAGCCTTCTCTCCTCGATGAACTCTACTAATGCATATCACAGAGGCGAAAGAACCTGCATTTCTCCAGAAGCTTCGTGGCCACTACGGCGATACTTCCGGTCGCCTCGAGCGACCCGCTGCCCGCCCTCGAAAACTTAAGAACAAGGACGATGAAGATGACGATGCGCCTGTCTACGTCGACGAAGAGAGTAACGAGGTGATCTCCAAAGCGGAATACGAGGCTCTCGTCGGTGGAGGGTCAGACCAAAAGGACGGCGACGCTTCCGCGAAGGACAAATCCACGGAAAATGGACAAGACCATGCGCAGTCGCAGACCGAGACCACAACGGCTAAGCAGAGCAACTTGACCGAAGTCGGTGGCCCGCGAAAGCGGAAACAGGTCAAAGTCGTGGGGGACGAAGAACCTGAGGAGAAGTCTGGAGACAAGCAAGTGGCCGACGAGGCCCAGCCCAAAGCACCAGCGCCTCGGAAATCAAAAAAGGTCAAAAAAATCAAACTATCCTTTGACGAGGAGTAAGCCAGGTATCCTCGAGGTGTACTATGCTGCCAACTACGTTCGAAAGAAGGAAGGGCTCGATGCACCTGGAAGGTCTTGGTTGATTCATCATGAGTCAACGGCTATGACGAAACTGTATAGCGCTAGTGTCACGTTCTAGTCCTTTTGAAATAATTGGGGAATAAAAACAAATTAAAAGATCTAGAATTCTATTTCACCGCCACAGCATTAGAAGTTGAATAAGAAAATTTAAGACCGTGAACTTTTGCGCGGTTCCGACATTTCTGGTCGTCGGGCCCAGAGCGCGTTTTGTATTTCCATTTCTCAGCAACTTTTTTTTTCTCCGGCGGCCATCCGACTGCTTTACTCTCTCCCCACCACTTCGCGCTCGCTGGACTTACTGGACAAAGGGAGAGAGATACCAGTGCCAGTCAAGATGCCCGTGGTCAACGTAGACGATCTTGTTCGCCTACAGCGGAAGCCCGAAGATATTCGCAATGTGAGTGTCTGCCCCTCCATCCCACCTCTGATGTCAGGCCCGTAATATACTAACCCACGCGCTAGATCTGCATTCTCGCCCACGTCGTAAGTCATACGACAACTGGCAAGGCCCTCTCTTGTATAAAGAATTCCGTCACTAACAACTCTTTTTGGTTTCTCACTTATATAGGATCATGGTAAGACTTCATTGACGGATAGCCTTATAGCCACCAATGGAATCATCTCCCCCAAGCTGGCGGGCAAGATCCGCTACTTGGACTCGCGGCCAGATGAGCAGCTTCGAGGCATTACCATGGAGTCCTCAGCCATCTCGCTGTTTTTCTCGATGCTTCGTCGTTCTAGCCCGGACGCGGCGCCCGTGCCCAAGGAGTATTTGATCAATCTCATTGATTCTCCGGGTCATATCGATTTTAGCAGTGAAGTCTCCACAGCATCACGCCTCTGTGATGGTGCTGTCGTGCTTGTCGACGCAGTCGAAGGTGTCTGCAGTCAAACTGTGACTGTGCTGCGCCAGACTTGGGTTGAGCAGCTGAAACCTATCCTCGTCATCAACAAGATGGATCGTTTGGTGAGTGAGCTCATGATGAGTCCCAGCGAAGCTTATTCGCACCTCAGTCGACTTTTGGAACAGGTCAACGCAGTCATCGGTAGTTTCTACCAGGGCGAGCGTATGGAGGATGATCTGCAGTGGCGAGAGCGCATGGAAGACCGTGTCAACGCCTCTGCTGCACGGGACAAAGACAAGTCTAAAAATAAGTCCCTAGAGGACGAGTCCGTTCAAAGTGTCAGCGATTTTGCCGAGTTTGAGGAGCGTGATGACGAGGACCTTTACTTCGCGCCCGAGAAGAACAATGTCATCTTTTGCAGCGCTGTGGATGGCTGGGCCTTCACCATTAGGCAATTTGCGGCCATCTATGAGAAGAAACTTGGTATTAAACGAACCATTCTGGAGAAAGTCCTTTGGGGTGACTTCTACTTGGATCCAAAGACAAAGCGGGTATTGGGACAGAAGCATCTGAAAGGCAGAGCGTTGAAGCCCATGTTCGTCCAATTGGTTTTGGACAGCATCTGGGCTGCATATGAAGCGACCACTGGAGGTGGCAAGGGCAAGGGGTAAGAAGTTTTGAATTTTCATAGGAAATATCCCCGCTAACACCTCCGCAGTGACCCTGTTTTGTTGGAGAAGATCACCAAGTCATTGAACATTTCCATTCCTCCTTACGTTCTGCGTTCGCGTGACCCAAAGAACATCATGACAACGCTGTTCTCTCAATGGTTACCTCTGTCCACTGCTGTTCTGGTTTCTGTTATTGAATACCTCCCAAGTCCCCCAGCTGCGCAGGCTACTCGACTTCCTGAGATGATTGAAGCATCGCCTGGCTCGGATCAAGTCTCCGAGTCTATTAAGCAAGCGATGGTGACCTTCAAGACCGGCCCCGAAGAGCCCGTTGTTGCCTACGTTAGCAAGATGGTGGCTATACCCGAAAGCGAGCTAAGCTCAAGCAAGAAGCGTGCTGGGGGTACTATGACCGCAGATGAGGCCAGAGAGATTGCTCGTCGCAAGCGAGAAGAAATTGCCAAGATGCAAGCAGAAGCTGGCGCAGGACAAAATGATTCCTTTGAGAGAATGACATCCGCATTTGAGAGTACAACTCTTATTACCGAGACTGATGAGCCAGAGGAGCCGATAGAGAAGGAGGACCCGGAACACCTGATTGGATTTGCTCGACTCTATTCAGGCACACTCTCAGTTGGAGACTCGGTATATGTTCTGCCACCTAAGTTCTCGCCAGCGAACCCCCACGCAAGCCCAGAGCCTAAGAAGGTCACGGTTACAGACTTGTACCTTCTTATGGGCAGAAGCTTGGAGCCTCTCCAGTCCGTTCCAGCAGGCGTGGTCTTTGGTATTGGTGGCCTTGCGGGCTACGTACTCAAAACTGGTACTCTTTGCAGCCAACTCGAAGGAAGCATCAACTTGGCTGGTGTCTCGCTGAGCACACCGCCAATTGTTCGTGTTGCTCTTGAGCCTGCCAACCCAGCAGATCTCGGTAAGATGATCACTGGTCTGCGTCTGCTTGAACAGAGTGATCCTTGTGCACAGTATGAGGTTCTTCCCAGCGGTGAACACGTTATCTTGACAGCAGGTGAATTGCATTTGGAGCGGTGCGTTAAGGATCTCCGTGAGCGTTTCGCCCGCTGTGAAATCCAGACTGGTGAAGCTATCGTGCCCTACCGTGAAACCATCGTTGATGCTCCCGAGATGGCCCCTCCCAAGAACCCAGAGTTGGGCCGTGGAAGTGTTCTCTCCGTCTCCGCATTCAATCAGATGACCGTCCGCCTGCGCGTCATGCCAATGTCTACCGCTGTCACAGACTTCTTGACTAAACAAGTTGGTACTATCAAGCGACTCCAGGCAGAGAAACGTACGGTTGCCGAGTCAAAATCAGAGGCAGAGTCCGCAGTTGCAGACGGTGCCCAGCAAGTTGACGCTGCCGGGGAAGTGGGTGAAGGCAATGTTCTATCATTGAATGAATTCCGAGACGAACTGGACAAGGTGTTCAACGAAGAAGTCAAGGAAGACAAAGAGCTTTGGAAGAACGTCGTTGACCGAATTACTGCATTCGGACCTCGGAGAGTTGGACCTAACATTTTGGTGGATGCTACTTCAGTCAACACCTGCGAAAAATTGTGAGTCTGCGCGCCAACAGAGAATGACTGTATTTTCCTTATGCTGACATCTTCTCTCTAATATCTAGCTTGCTTGAGGACTCTAAACAAAATGTCGTTTCTTCCGATGATATGAAAGCCCTGCTGGTACGCGACCTCTGCGACAAGATTGCATACGCCTTCCAGCTGGCCACGGGCCAAGGACCCCTCTGCCAGGAACCCATGCAAGGTGTCGCCGTCTTCCTAGAAGATCTCTCTGTGGAAGCCAGCTCCAGTGATGAGCTGGATATGGGCCGTCTGACCGGCGATTCCATCAAGCTTGTCCGCGAGGGTATCACCCAAGGCTTCCTCGACTGGAGCCCCCGCATCATGCTTGCAATGTACTCCTGCGAGATCCAAGCAACAAGTACGTATTCTACATTCCCCTCATCTCACGTTTATAAGAAACTAACTCCTGTCTCCCCTCCACCATAGCCGAAGTCCTCGGCCGCGTCTACGGCGTCATAACCCGCCGCCGAGGCCGCATCCTCTCCGAAGTCATGAAAGAAGGAACTCCCTTCTTCACTATCCTCGCCCTCCTGCCCGTCGCCGAATCCTTTGGATTCGCTGAGGAAATCCGGAAGCGCACGTCCGGCGCGGCACAGCCCCAACTAATCTTCACTGGGTTCGAGGCTCTAGATGAGGATCCCTTCTGGGTTCCGGCTACAGAGGAGGAATTGGAGGATTTGGGTGAGTTGGCGGATCGGGAGAATGTGGCTAAGAGGTATATAGATGCCGTGAGGAGTCGGAAGGGTCTTGTTGTGCAGGGGCGAAAGTTGATTGATGCGGAGAAGCAGAAGACGTTGAAAAAGTAGGGCGGCAAAGCGGAAAGTGTGTTCCAGGGGGAGTTTGGGGATTTTAGACTCATCTGTTAGTGTTTATTATCTGCACCTGGAAGCTACATTGAGGCTTGAGATTAGCAGGGATAGCCGCAGCGCTATGTTTAAGAAGTTCACACACCAAGGAAGAATAATACCCTATAATCAGCTTAGACTCGTAATTGTATTACTATCTTCAAATACCCTCATTGACGATTTCAAGATTTCTACTACTACCTACCTCTCTTCTATCACACCGTGCATCAAATCTTCTGACCAGTCCTTTCCTGACTGTATATTCCCACCACTAAGAGACTATTCCTGATGAGTAACCTGATACTATTCGAACTTTACTGTAGGCATCGCCGAAACTCCCTCTAATCTAGCTGAATTGCCCATGCTATATACGTTGGGCTACCTACGTATTACCTATTAATCTTCTCCTGCTTTCACCCTCGCTCCTGCTAGCTACCTTCCTGTTGATTTGGCAGTTGATCTGGCAGTTGATCTGGTAGCTGATAAATGTAAAATGCAACAATAAGTTTCCATCACCAATCAGTCCATTTCCTCGGATGTTGGATCTGATCAGACATCTTCCATGGGATCTTCTCGGTCCTTCCTGTCATCCTCTCGTGCAATACAGAACGCAACCATAATCAATGCAACATGTCGCATGTTACTCTGCGAGGAAATCTTCCATGGAACGTACTCCTGGAGTTGCATGTAATCGGGATATTTCCCTTGTGTTCCTTTCACGAACTGTATGTATGACGCGTTGTATGAACCGATCGTGACAAATAGCTCATGTCGGTCCTGCGAGATGATTATGCGGCTAAGAGATCTTGATAGCATATAGTCAGGCTAGCATCAAGGCTAATTCTATACCGAGACCCCACCATCCGAAGACCTGGGTTCGGAATCATTCTCATTAAGGCATCTTGGGTAACTCCCTATGGGATCCGGTAAGATCTATGCGACTATCTGCGCCGCCTCTTGCCAGAGAACACTCGGGGTCTGCTTCCTGTGGCGATATACTGCCTTTGCCTCGAATTGGGGCACGGATTCTCCGCGAATCGCCGCCGACTTCGAGGTATCCATCTGTTAGCGCAGTCAAGGTCTTCTTTTTCACTCTGGAACCCAGCTGCACCGAGGCGAACGGCGTGCGATGGGCTGTCTAACGGCAGCGTATACCAGGAATGTTCGTTGTGAGAATTTTCTGTATCTGGGTGACGCTATCGTTGATGACCTGCTTATCCTTTGCCTTTGGAAAGGACTCCCTGGAGATTGACGTAGCCGAGTTGTCGGAGGGTCTGGGAAGGTCTTTATGAGACTGATAGGTCTTTCTAACCTCTTTCCTTGCCTCTGGGCTTATCTTTTTCTTTAACGAGTATAATTCGTAGCTTCTACTTAGTTATAATTATTATATCGTTAGGAACTATCCCCTGACTTTCTGGTCAAATTCTATACTAAGAATGAGTACTGTGTGTCTTAGTCTTAGTAGATTGATAAGACCTTAAATAAAAGATGCCTTTAGTCCAGGAATTTGGTAACTTAATGCAGGATTCCTGCCTCTCTCTAGCCTATAGTAGCTAAGATAGATTAGAAAGAGTGCTAGTTCTGACCCTTCTGAAGAAAAGTGTATACGGTCTTCTACTAAGACTACCAGTAACTTGGAAAAATGAGTAACACAAGAGATGGCCTATACGAGTACGATAGAAACCCTGTTCTACGAACCGATCTAAAGGATATCAATGGGTAATGCATCTCACGTCCTTAGAAGAGTCTAGGACGCGTAACGCGTATGCGTTTCTAAATCCCACCTCCTGCCTAAGCGACCTTTTGGCTGAGTTTTGCTCTCGGCTCTTTTGGGCTCCTCGTAACTCACTCTATTGAACACAATCCTGGTAGACCCAAACCTTACAATATAAGAAGTCAAAGGGAGAAATTGTGTTTAAAGCTCATACAAGTCTCCCGTGAAGCCTCCTTAAATCAGTTTGTAAGTGGTCCATAGCCTGCTATTACCCTCAATCCGTAGTAGATAGAATGTGTATAGCAATCCCTATGCACATAAAGACGGAGCAACGTAATCGGCCTTGCATACACCCACAATTCCATGGCTACGATAAATGCGTACCAGTAACAGGATCAATACTCTGCTCGCAATCAGCACAAATCCTCTCGATGCCTATATGGCTGGCAGAGAAGGTAGCGAATGAACGTCTCCACCAGTGCTGTCTCTGCCACTTCGAAACTCCATAATTTGGAATACTGGATGGAAATATGCCTTTTCTCAACAACGATTTGGATAATCCCCCGCTCTCACCCTATCCATTACGCACGTACCTTACTTACCTAGGTCGCGCGATACGAAAGCGGTGTTCTTATATTATATTTTAAAAACGTTAGAGGATATAGTTTCTGTTAACTTTCTTTCTGGTACATACGACCATAGGGTGTGGAGAACAGGGCTTCCCGTCCGCTCAGCCGTACTTAAGCCACACGCCGGCCAGTTAGTAGTATGGTGGGTGACCACATGCGAATCCTGGCTGTTGTATGTCCGTTTTCACTCAATTTTTGTGACTGGTTGGGACGAGTGCCTTTGCCGCTTTACTCTTCAGCCCCTTCAGGCCCTCTATTCTCCACCCGAAAGCCCTGAACCCCCCTGAAGCGCTGACACGCGTGGCCCCTCGGCTAAACTTTCCCTCCATCCCCCCTTCCCCTCGTGGCCCAATCCCAACATTACTTTTTGAGTGGCCTGAACTGATCCTCATGGGAGCTGATCACGGAAAATAGATTCACCGTGGCTATAACACCCATCTGGTCTGGTCTTGGCTATCTCTTCTCCAAGGACGCAGTGAAGATTTTGACCAAAGAAGAGGTGTAAAACGAATGGCTCGCTGCTATGAAAATAACGATAAGCGAAGAGCTCTACCGTCTCCGAATGTATGGGCTGCCTCACTAATTGAAACTGAATTGAACTGGCGACCTTTTTTATTCTCCCCCATGGACCACCATTGTGAAGGCTTGGAGGTTCCCTATCCGGGGAAAGGATCCACACCCTTGCGCCCATTGGCTCGTGTGTTCTCACGTCGTCTCCTATGGGGATCTGATAGATATTGATTAGTTTTTAATTAACTATGGCTGGCAGATCCTCTGCTTATTGGGTGCTTATCCACGCAGTTTCTTGTTTGAGGCTACATATGTCCGTATCTAGTCTTAAAAGGATGTTCATGATCGGCTAGTCTTTACAGAAGGATATCTTAGTGATTACTGTAGTGAAGAGAAGGCCATGAAACACGCTGGATTGCCAGTAAGATGGCGTAGGTCGAACTGGGCGAATCACCAAACAGATCTACTCGGTTGCGGTCTTGCGGAGATCAAAGAGCCGTTTTCACGCCAATTGCACAATTGATTCATGAGTCCGCAAGATACTTTCTCCTGACAAAAGGCCTTTCAATGCTAGAGGAAGCCCGAATCACGGCAGACTCAGCTATCGGAAAGGCACACTACCACTTGTCCCGGAGTTGTATTCGCTACATTGCTATGGAGGAAGTAGTATGTTCTATAGCCCAAGGGGATCAAGAAAATGTCTCCGACGTCCCTCTGTTGCAATATGCCGCAACGTCCTGGGTATTGCATGCCAAAGAAAGCGAGAAAAGAGGTATCTCTCAAGAAGACCTTCTGGAGTTCCTTTACTATCCATCAAAATCATTCCTTGCATTATGGGTGCAGGTGTACAATTCATCATGCCTGAGCCGACATACACACTTGCCCGAAGGACTGGACTTCGTACATAGTTTATGAAGTTTTGGAATTCTGGGGCCACTGAGATTAATCTGTGAGAAAAGCTGGACTGATGTCAATGTGAGAGACTGTATGGGTTGGACACCGATGTCATATGCCGTAGTCAAAGGGGTGGGAAATGGTAGTTGAACTATTGCTTAACTCAACCCGAGTTGATCCGGATATAAAGGACAATGATGGTCGGACGCCGCTATCCTTGGCTGCGGGCAAAGGGTGGGGCGCAGTTGTCGAATTGATAGCCAAATCAAACCGAGTTGAACCCGATGCAAAAGATAAAGGGCGGGAAGCAGTAGTTAAATTGCTGCTTAGCTCAAACAGGGTAGGTCCGAACATAAAGGACAACGATGGTCGGACACCGCTAGCCATGGTTGTGAGTCTTTAGACTTTGAGTGAAGAGCAAGAAGAAGTAGTTAAACTACTACTTAACTCAAGGCGGGTTGAGCCAAACGCGAAAGACTCCAAAGGGCGAACCGCATTAGAAGAGGCAATGTTCTATGCACGTGAAGCAACAGTCCAGCTGCTGCTCAGCTCAAATAGGGTTGATCCGGAACTAGTAGATGAAAATAGCGATACGCTACTAGCGAGATAAATCATTTGGAACCAACAGGCAATCGTAAAGCTCCTGCTTCGCTCAAAAAGGGTTGACTCCAAGACAAAGAATCGGCTGGGTCTAACGCCGATATCCATAGCAGCAAACCTTGGTAGGGTGTCAATTCTCGACCTGTCGCTCAACTCCAACCAAGCTGATTTTGAAGCAAACGTTCGGAAGGATGAGGTGCAATCAAATAATTCAAGTTGACCAATACCAATCTATAATCTCTCGGAAAGTTATACTGGGATCGTTACCAGATCTGGTCGATCATCTCGATGCTCGATGGTATGCTAAAGTTGTCGATGACACACTTTCGCTCAGAATAGTCTCGGATTCTAGGAAGTGCAGAACTTCAGTTACGGCGCTGGTATCTGGTAGGTCTGACAAGGACTGGCTTCATGACAATCTGTTAAACACGGGCGCACTGGAAAATGCCGACAGAAACAGTATGAAGCCGAAGATGGGAGACTTTCTGCGCGTGGAACTTTGCTGTGTAAAATGGGAGGACCAAAAACGAATCTCGGGTGTTATTAAGGCCGAAAGAACCCTGGACGAAAGATGCAACGGATAAAAAATATCCTAAACGCTATAAATTCCAGGCCGCAAGATGCCACAGAATACGTTTCAAGACTCCTTAACTGGCGAAATGAGTTGGCGAATACCTGCCAGGGCGAGGAGAGTCTGAGATCAATTTGAACTCATTACTATCAACAAAATTGCCAAACTCTGAGCTCCAAACGGATTTCTCAAATCTTGGTCATACTCGACGAATGCTCTCTTGAATCCAACAGCCTATTCCATCCTTCGGTATTCACTGCACGATGTCTTGTATGGATTTACTCTAGGATTTCAGCACTAGAGTCGGTCCTTCTATTGGGTCCTTCAAAGCATTGTCCTAGTAAAAAGCGTTTTTGCCGATATTCAACAATAATGGGGCGGAGGCTCGATCAAAATTCCCTAGGAGGCGTCTCACCAATATATTTTCAGCAGGAAGTGACCAGATCCTGGGCTTGTTGAGGCCCCGAGAATTTAATATTAATGAAAGTGTTGTCATCCAGGCAACTTATCCTCTTTTCCTAGCTGTATCTTCTAGAGATTTGAAGACAACCAAACACCTTATTGAAAGCGGTGCTGACTTGAATATGGAAGCTTGGAAGACTGACTGGCCTCTTGTCTTGATAGCTATCGGGGGTAGCAATATATCAGGGGTCGGACGCCTATTAGAGGCCGGAGCGGACGTGAATGCAGGACGCGCCACTCATTGAATGAAGCCTCTCTTCGTAGCTATCACAGAAGGCCACGTCGAATTGATTAGAAACCTCGTTGAAAATGGAGTGGATCGAGACGACGTTGCATGGATTGGACAAGGTTTCCTGACCGAGGAAGAGGTTGAACAGCAACAAACACCCCAGCGAAGAAATTCGAGACATGCTGATGCAAAGGAGGAAAGGTGTAGAGAAAAAGGAGGTCGAAAGGAAAGGACCTTGAAGGAATAGAAGCGGAGGATGATTCTGACCATGAAGAATCATAGCGCTGATAGGTATATCTGCTGGAGATTTGATCTTGGAAGACAGATTAATTGGCCGGTAATTGCCCTGACACCGTCTAGGTGTTCTAATAGAGCAACAAATAGCCTTGTCTTTGTCCCCGAAAAAAGGTTCATTTTCAGCGTGCACCCCCACTAAGAATAGATATAACCAGGTTCCCACACTCATCGTTTAATGCATACCCTCTTCTTCCGACAATCGTCACACGCGCGAGATACTCGCCTCTGTAGTTTTGAGCTTTTCTTCATAGTTTCTTCACTTGTAAGATCCATAAGAAGGAGGGGTGTATCCAAGTGAGATGCGAAGGACCACTCTCAGAGGGGCGATGCATAGGGCGGGGACCTCGGGAAAGTGAAAACGAAGACCGTCATTGAAATGTAGCTTCTTGGTAGTTCTGGGGGAACGCGTAACAAATAGACAACGTTTCGTGAGCCCGCGTGGGAGGAGAGCTGGTTCGGCTCAGGAATTCGGCACCCTAATCCCCTCAGGCCCCCCTAGAGCCGAAGGCATCAATATAAATCATGGGGATAACCTCAACACAGGATTCATAACAGACCCTTTCAGCTAATGTAAGTAGGGTTTATATATCGGTCTTGCCAAAATCATTTCCAAGATTTCAATCAGTAGCAAAACTCTGTGGGGCTTTATCGATGCCATGATTTCATAAGAATCTGATACCTAATGGTAGGACTGATAGAAAACATAGGATGAAGGAGAGAGAAAGTAGGTTCTAGCACGATGTAGGGGTGGTTAAATCAAGGTGACGTCGGCTCCGTCTACAATGTTACTATACCGGGAAAGCTTGTTGCAACTCGGGCTGCGGATCCTGTCCGTGGCCCTTTTTAGGCCTTATATAAGGTAAAGGAGTAGTATACCAAATAATAGTCCTTTATGGCTAAATAAATTTCTAGTGGTAACCTAAACCATTTACGTAGAAATATATATTTAAAATTGACTGATAGGGGTAGTTAACTAGTTAAGTTAATCGCGGGTATCTCCAAACCTTGCACCTAGTAGGGTATATACCTTACCTACCTTCTGTCCTCTATGTATGCTTATAGAAAGCAAGATAATAAATCGCCTCCTAGAACGTATGTACAAAGGAAATAGATCAGGCCAATGAATATTGATTGATTGACGAATCAAAAGAGACTCTACTCTCCAGGCGTGACCACTAGGTATCGGCCGTATAACATCACTGATAGGAAGATACCCGTGACTCTAACCATCACTTTAGAAATTCCCTTCCTCTTGGTTCTTTCTCCTCATCCGCCCCACATTCCATCCGACAACCGATTACTCTTGACAACCTCAGGCCATCCATAGGCATCCCTACGCGAAATGGACAGAGGAACTGCCCAGAGAATTGGTCTGCCATATGGTGGTGCTAGGGCAGGCGAGAATTTAACCCGTCTTTATGGTCAAAGGTAAGCGAGCTGACCTGAGTTGACACGAAATGGATAGGTTTCATAGATGATTACTCATATTAGGACGTCTTTACGGGGGGTTCTATATGGAGCTAGCCTACTACCCAGAGAAAGCGCCCGGATGGGAGCTCGAGGACTTCAGCGAAGACACATCATGAAAGGATCTCCCGCATGCGATGGCGGTAATGACTGCGGCAGTTCCCGCTAACTACGCGCACCAAAGTATCACTCTCCACGAAGTCAAATGCCTGGTTAAGTTGATATGGAACCGGGGAGCGCGTGGTCCTTTCTAAAGAGATGAGATCCATCCGATTAGTAGCAGTCTAGACTACACTAGGAAAGGGGGGCTAACATTATTTATGCCTATACACAGTTATTGCTGATCTCATACATGGGCCAGAGGCACGGGAGGATCACACAAGCTACATTCGATGGGGAACGCCTGACTATACAGTACTCTCAACCATTTAGCCTTAACGAAGAGGATCAGACCTCCGGCTCCGGAGGCCTTTTCCGTCGCTACATGATTAGTTGCCCTGTCAGACTAGGAGGACTGACTCTTCCATTTCAGGCGCTCCGATAAAAGTGTTGATGAACACATGGACGTGGATTCACATATGCTTCCAGAACCTGTTTAGTGGGATTTGGCTCTGGCCTTGACATTGTATTTTCATATTTTAATTTTGAAGATTGCTGATCGAGAATATCCTCCAACTGAAGGCTGCTCGTCTTACAACCATAATGAACAATACCTCTTGATAGGCGCGACCTTGTAGTGGGAAATTGCAAGCACTTAGTTTTCCTCTTCTACATACGTCTCGACAGCAGGTATAATGATAAGTGGTTAATAGTTCATATAAGAAATGGTAGTGAACTAGAGTGCGGAGACTATATTGCAAGTGTAGTTCACACAAGAACTACAAGTGGTCAGCTTAGTTCACTTCTGAACTAAACTGATCTCCGGTACCGTGGTACACGGGCGGATACTAAGCCCCTATCAACTCTTGTGAGTCCGGACCTTCCCGTCGCCGTTGACACTTTGCACCTTCTACATTAACGTGGCCCATCATGGCTCCTGCCGACGATGACTGCGATTTTGAGATCACCTCCCGCTGGGAGGAGATCCTTGAGTGGTGTAAGTCACTTTGCTTCCTTAAAATCCTTCCTATCTCAGCGACGTGAAGCCCAACTACATTCTTCGAGTATATACTCTATAACTCACGAAATGTCAAACTCAGGCCCGATGCCCCCTCCAACCTCACATGCCTCCGCTTCTGCCTCCGGAGCTTTGGTCCGCCATACTCTATCATGCCCAAGTACGCCTTTATCACGATCAAGAGCACCATCGACAAGCGGACAGTCGGCTGTTACTCCATCCGCAGCTGCTCAATCCGGACGCTTCTCGGAAACAACCAAGACCCAGGTAAAAGCCATATATGGTGGTTCCAAGAGATGCTGGGTTTGTCGAGGGGGAATGGCCGACTGTGCGCATGTTTTTGCCAAGGAAGACGACCAAGTATGCCATTTCCATGTGGTGTTCGTTCAATGACGCTAATCTGTTTGTATAGACGGACTGCTGGGATAAGGCGGGCCTTATCCCACCTGGGGCTAATCTCAAGTCAAAGGAGAATGCCATCTTCCTCTGCAAGTCATGTCACTGCCAGTTTGACAATGCCTACAACCCAGGAATTGTCTTCTTCCCTGCCGACTTGGAGTTCTTCATTGAATGGGAGAAGGCTGATCAAGCCCGCCGGAAGGAAGCGGCCCAGAATGGCGCGCATGTCCGCCGAAGTCCACCCACAGCTGCTGCATATAAGGCTCACCAGGTGGGACAAGCCCGGGTTGACCCAAACTCAATTGGCGGCCTATATCGTACTGCCGTTTTGGACACGTTTTTTGCCTCCGACCTTCCGAAATCCGTGCGCCGCGAGGTCCTTGAATACCGTTCCCGGTTGAAGCAATGGCACGGGGAGCCGATGTATACAATCCGCCAAGCATTCATCATCCTGGGTACACTACAAGTCAAGTTGCTTGACCCGGAGATCAAGAGACAGCTTCGAGAGTTGCAGGACCTTTATACAAGCGATGACTTGGAAGATGATGACGATGATTCTGACGATGATTCTCTACTGAGAAGCGTCAATCGTCTCAACAGGGGTACAAAACGCCCACATCCAGGGCCCGAGGATGGAAACAATGCCGGACCTCGCGGTAGCGTCCATGGAAACCCAGATGACGGTGAATGCCTTGGTGATCCGCAGACAAGTCCGAAGGATAGGCAGGATTGTTTGGGTGGATCTGCCAAAAGACTCAAGCGCGGCTGTCGCTCCGTGGACGTGACAGCTTTGGCCTGTCGTGATCTGGCCAGTCGTGATCACCTCCTCCTCGCACCGCATCGTACGTTGGCTCGGAGATGGCAATTAGGACCCGATATGACAACCGAAGATGCAATTCGCATTCGCTCGCACTTTATGGCTCCGGCATAAGGAAGTTCTCCACAAGAGGAACTGTCCTGGCCCCTTTTCTATATTTCCTTTTTGGTCGCATGAGTTCCTTTGGGAGTGTCCACCAGTCACTTTTGCTTACTGACTGGCGCGGGTGACTGTGATCGATCTTGAATCAGATCCTGTCCGACCAGCCAATAGCTTATATTGCTTGGCTTTATAATTATCCTGTATTGCTAGGTAGCATTCATCGTCCTGGCTTTACGTATAACTGTGGTAATATTGAAAAACCATTGACCGTTTCTTGATTCCCTACTTTGAAAAATGTACTTGCTGAGGAACTCGTAGAATTCATAAAAGGTAGCTACGGATTGTGTAGTCCGTAACTCTCGTGAGAGTTACGGATTTTGGGGTAGGTTGGAACCCGGTAACTCGCACGAGAGTCGTGCGATTTCCTGATCAACCCGCAGAAGCTGAGCCATGATATCTTCACGGGTCTCACGTAACCCCTGAAGCCTTCGCTCCACATCGCTCTGTCTCAAAGGAACATATTCTGTGGGTGCTCGATCACGGAAACTGCATCGATGTCCCTGTCCAGCCCAATGACAATTCGCACAGTCAAAAAGCCTGCCTGGGACAATAACACACGAGGCAAATAACCCCTGACCCCGCTGGCAGTGATTGCAAGCTTGCTCAGGTACTACCTGGGGACCAGTTGCTTGTGCCAAGAGTGCTTCCACGTTCTCGTTCCTCCATCCGACTAATCGGTAGAACGCTGGGCCATCGTAGGAGGACCGGGACGCACGCAAAACAGGCTCGCGGTACAGTCCATTCTCGCGTAGTGCGTACAGTCTAGTTGACATGTTGTGACTGTTACGGCGTCCTCTTCTCCAAGGATTTGCGAGTGCGGCCTCGGCCCAGTAACCTGGCTCCTCTTCATCAGCAGGCCCCTCCCTATCTCTTCTGGTAAGGGGTCGAGGTGCATCCGTAGGGCCGTAGTAAGGTCGAGGTGCATCGGAATGATCGAGATTCATGACCTGACTAGCTGTGAGTTTCTTCCTTAGTGCTTTATAGTCGTTACGTACCGTCGGTGGATAAGGGTAGATGTAGATTGTAGGTCTCAGAGGTGTAAGAGGGGGAGTAATTAGAAGTTTGGTTTAATCAGGCAGATCACCGTGGCCCTCAAGTCAACACTCGTCAACCTTCCATCTTCAACCTTCCATCTTCAACCTTCCATCTTCAACCTTCCATCTTCAACCTCATATCTCTTATTTCCTCTCTCCCTTTCCATCCACCATCTACCTTTTACATCTCCAACCTCTCTTCAAACATCACCAAGATGGATACTACCTGGGATTCGACCGGGCAACAGCCTCAAAATCCAACCCCTGCTCCAACCCAGAGCACCCCCCAGAGCACCCCCCGGATCCCCCTCAGGACCCCCAGCAGCTCTCTGAATGGCAAATCACCCGCCAAGCAACATCTCGCGGGCTAGGTGCTATCCTCCCGACCTAGTAAGTCTCCCATATTGGATCAAAGTGAGGCATGAAACTTATATGAACGATAGCTGGCCCGGCGAGCCCGATTATTCTAAGATCGGGGAGCCATTCGTCGTCCCGGAGGCGCATGCGGGGGATTCAGATCGACCTCCCGGGGAGTGGGCACGGTATATCTGGCAGGCCGCTTTCAGAGTTGCTCGCAGGGGGGAATTCCTGAAGGGCCAGCTCCCCATGCTGTTGAAAAAGGAACCGGTCCGGGAGCTTATGGCTCGCGTGCGTTACTTCGCGGGTGGCAGACGCAAGGATGAGATACTTGGCAACCACCGGGTCAATGTCGAATCTGCGGCGGTCTTTTGCCAGGGAGAGGTGAAGACCAATGAACATCGGTGCGATAGCTGTCTGCAGGGATGGGGCCCCTGGGTATGTTACTCCTTTCAGGTACTTCAATAGTCAGGGGGAATAAAGGTGACTGATGAGTTAATAGGCACAGTGTGTGCAACTACAGGAGGGCGAAGGATATCTTAGTGCCTGCGCCAACTGCATCTGGAATGGACAATTTGAGCGATGCAGCTTGTGGCAGCGTGCGCAGGCCCCTTCGACCCCGGGGGATCAAAACCGGGGCCACCAACGCAACAAGCGCTCAATCAGCAAGAAAACGGCCTATGAAGCATGGGCAGACATGAAACGCAATGTGGATATGGTGGAAGAGCTCGCAGCCGAGATTGCGGAGGCTCACGCAACTCAGCAATGGGCAGTGGTAGGTACGCTGGTAAAGCAGCAACAGCGCTGGTTGGATAACCTTAAGCGCCCACGTGGCATTCTGGACCAAGTCCACCCCGCTGAGCCTAACTCGCCGCAGCAACCTGAGGGAAACTAGTTAGGCATGGTCCGTGGCGGTGTCTGCAACGTTTTCGTTCACACATAATTTTGACTTAGATACTGGATCTCACGAATTCATTTGCAATTAATGCGTCCCATCAAATGCTCATTTCTCATCCATGGAAAACGTAAAATGATATATATTGTGTAAAAGCGAGCTGAATTGGTATAGGCTAGTATACAAGTGGACGAATAAGAACTACCGGAGCCATCAGGTAAAGATTGATTGATTGGAGAAGAAGAGAAATAGTCAAACGAATGGAAAGGGGGTAGGTTGAGCTATCCTATAGCGGTGTGACCGAGGTCACGTGCTATTGAATCAGGTCTTACAGTATGCTATCAGCTATATCGCTGTTCAGAGGCATAATTACTTAGTTATTAAAAGTATCTAGAATCAAAAACGATTTCTCTTATTTTGAATGGTAGCGTTAAAGGCAATGCGGATTGAGATAAAGCACAATAGGAAGGGCGGTCCCTAGAGCGGTCAGGTTGTGAACCGCTCATAGGGATTTTGTGACTTGGCCGCTATTGTCCTCCCTAGGTGGGGTTATCAAGTCGAGTAGGAATTACGTTGACAAAAAAGGTGGGAATTTGACAAAGGAGATAGGATCTGCTTATAACTCTAAACTTTGGAATACACCTTTCCAATCGATGTGATCTATAGGAGGTCTATTTGCAAGGATCTGAGTGGCTGTGTAATATCATTCAATAAGAACCGCAGCATGAAATTGTGACAAGTCTTCGGCAGCGCTAACGACGAGCTCAGCCTCGGGGGCGGCTCTTTTATAATTTATTTTTCCCCCTCCGTCACTTTTCTTATTTTCACTCTTTGTAAGTTCTTAGGAACCATTCGTGCCCGCAATCCACAGCTAGTGTCATGGGAGACCCGTTATCCGTGGCAGGAAGTGCCCTTTGGGTGATATCCCTTGGTCTTCAAGCCTGTCAAGGTCTAGCATTATACATTAATAAATATCAATGCGCGGTTAAGGAGATCAACGATTTCAAGTGCAAGGTTGAAGGATTGGGATTGATACTGAAAGGCCTTCACGATGCGCTAACGGATGCCGATAAGACCGATCCTCCGCTGTCGGGCAAGTTTAAAGTCGCTCTCCGTATGATCACGGACTGTGAAAGTGGCATTAAGGAACTGAGCTCAACTCTCTTAAAACTCCAAAATAGTTCTTTATATGTTTCGCAAGGAGTTTTCCCGGCGCTCAAGACTACCTCTAAACAGGCACTATATCCATTCCGACGTGACTCTTTAGTGGGCCATTTGAGTGTCCTCGAGGGGCTACAAGATAACCTTGATACTACGTTAGCTGTGTTGCAAGTGTATGTTGAACCTAGCCCTTTCCTAATATTTGCCGTACTTAACGATTCATAGTGCTTTGAACCTCGATAACAAGTTGATGCACCAGAATTTGGATGACTGGCTTAATTGATGCCTGTGCGGGGTTCGACTAGAAGCACCTGACTTTGATCATTCTCAGCCTCTACTAGGCGTTTGATATTCGTATGCTGGCTTAGTAAGGTGAGTGCATATCGAATTCACCCTGCCCCTAAGGTAACATCTTTCCCGTATCAAGTGTACAAACAGGCAAACTCAAGAGAATGGAGCAACCACAAGGCCCCCTTCCACCGGCCCTGTTCCGGTACGTGGATGTCAAGTTGTCCATGGCGTTATGCGATGGTCTTTGCCAAATTTTGTCTTAAAAGTCCCTGTCGCCTACAAACGAGCTTGCAGCGTCCTCCCATCGGCCCTGGTTCATATACTTTGCAGTACGACACTACTGAAAAGAAAGCCAACCAGGTTCCCCGTTGGACGAAGGAGGTGCTTCTCAATTCGTCAACTCTGCTCAAATATTTCTCTCTGCGCGGCATGACTCATGTCTGTCGTAGCCTCTTATGTGGGATTCCTATCCAGCCTTGGATAGATAGAAACTACTGCCTTTTGATTTTGATCAGAGGGTTCAGAATCGAATCCATAAAAAGAAGTTTTTTCGCCGGGTTGCTTGGTATCCTGGAGCCGGACCGCTTTGACGATGACGGAATAGCGCCCGTTCTTTGGAGCAATTTGATAATTACTTGATAGTCTCTCAATACGGCGGTATATAGAGTGTTGCGATAAAGCCCGCCCTATGCGTTACCGTCTGCTCTGTTTCTTAAAAGTAGTTATTAATCTCTTAGTGACCTCTTCCTAAGGCGGCCTAGAGAGCGTTGCCGTAGAGGCCGCCCTACGCGTTAACGTCCGCGTCCTAAAGGACACGGTGTCTACTGCCGCATTGCGAAATCTTTCTCTTGATCAAATGTACAAAAGCACATCTTTAGAAAGGCTTCATCCCTTTAGGTGAAGTATTTTCAGGAGGGTGAACTGCCCCCTAAAGCCGCTTAGAGCCCGAGAGCGTAAAGCGCCGACCCGCCCACGTGCGAACGCTGGGCGCTAGGTGAGCATCGCCATAGTATGGCTGTTGTATGTTTTTGGTTTTTGGTTTTATTTCAACTTCTCTACTCTTCAGCTCCTTTGGCCTCTTCACTGGAATGCCCTCAAGCGCCTCTGACCCCTGAAAGTAAGGGAATGCCCAAACTTAAGTGAACTTCGAGGCGATTTTAAGGAGAGAAGTTAGAAACGCGTTCAATAGCGTGTCGAGTCTGCTAGGAGGCTTAAGATAAGGTAAGAAGAGGAAAGTAGACACTGTCTCGCGAGCTAGGACGGTTAAGGCCGTGGACTTCGCCGAGGCGTCACAACGGTTTCGGAGTCGCGTGGTACGAGGGCAGCCTAACAATAGGAACGGCAATTAGGCCACGGTAGGCCTTGACGAGGCTCTTAAGTTCGCTTTGGGAAGACGGAGATATATAGTAGTTGAATCCTGAATATCGTTCGCGAAGTTGGTTTACCCAACTAGGCCAAAATACGAATCCGCACTTAGCCTAGTAGGCTGTGGTTTATAATCCAACTCCCGAGGCCGAGGGGTCAGGATAAATGATTTCACACACACACACATATACTGTAGTAAACCCCTGACTCGTTCCTCGTTTCAGGGCACTACTCCCTTTAAGGCTTGCATAATCGGTCAGCACAAAGGCAACAGGTTACACGTCGAACTTAAAAGAAAAACCCTGATGGAGGTTCCTCCCTCCCTTGGCCTTGGCCTTGGCCTCGATCGTTTGGCTGCAGGACCAGCGATTGTTCCTGCTTGCAGGATGTTGCAGGACGCAGAGGGTCTTCTGGCTTCTTCCTTCTGTTTCTTCTAGATTGCTTTGTTCGATGGCCTATATAGGCCGTCTCCTGTCTTCTTCTTCTTCTTATTCTCTAGATAGAGATTGATGAGTGCTTTCCCTGCTTCCTTCCTGGCTTCCTTTGCGTAGCGGCGATTTTCGCCGTCAAACCCTTTGGACATTTTGCTTTCGATTTTTTGAAGTCGCATCGTTCAGTTGGAGCTATTTGTTTCCCTTTCTCAGTTATCTATCTGACCCTCCGAGGCTAACAGATGCTCCCAACAGCACTCTTCTTGATCCTTCCAGAACCTATGGCCTTGATTCTACCCCTCATGCGAGTTCACAGGAATATCTACCTGGTGAATTTATTAGGATATACTTTTGGTTTTTCTGCATTCCTGTAATCCCGTGACCCGGTACAGCATGGACAAGGACGGATAACATTAATCGCCCCACTCAGATACAGTAAGATCATCCGCTCTTGACTGTCCGTCCCATGGAACCTACCCTCATGATGAGTCCATCAAGCTACCACCCTTTTTCTTTTCTACTAACATCATCCGCCCAGTATGGCCCCCTGGAAACCGATAATAGGAAGTGGTGAGCACAGTGACGCTAAGAGCCAGCGTAAGGATCCTCGACGGCGATGGCTCTTTGTCACTGGGCTCCCCGTCACTGCGGTAAGTTCTATAGAGCAACGGGAGTTAATTTTCCTGGAGCCTGATTCAGAACAGGGCACGCTGTGTGTTATGGCAATTATGTTCAACATCTGTGCGCTTTCAAGCGGGTGGGTCAATATCGATGACCGGCACGTTTCCCTCTCAACGTGGTGAGTTTGTCTAGACCTGGACACACTAGGGGCAGCTTGATACATATACCACAGGATGGTCGTCTTACAAGCCGTATCGCTCACTATTGCGGTCTCCGGATATATCGCCTACCTGGTACTGATGCGGCGTTATGATGGAGGAGTCGCTGTCTTCTGGATTAGCGTCCTGGGCTGGCTCATAGCTGCTGCACTCCTGTTTAGCATCGTCGGCGTTGCCGTGCAGCGACACCGCTACCTACCGCCCCAATCCCGGCCAGAATATACTCAGGCCTTCTATTATGGCGTCTTTGCTGCGGGGCTATATGCGCTAGTGGCACTCCTGCTGGCGGTGTATGTGGTGGGTGAGCCCCGGATCCAGCTCAGCCGCCGGAATCGCCGTCGTGTACAGCGGATGAATATCATCCTGCGGTCTCTCTGGTTAGCGACTGTGTTGCTCGTCGGAGCTGCCATCTACCGTGCAGTGGAAGGCTGGTCGTTGCTGGATGCGTTGTATTTCGCCGACTTCACCATCCTCACCATTGGCATCGGCAATCTTGTTCCCCACACCAACCTAGGCCGCAGCTTACTATTTCCCTATGCCACTGCCGGTATTATTACGCTAGGCCTGATGGTTAGTGCCGTGCTGTCATTCACCCGCGACATGCGTGACATGAAGCTGCACCTGCAGATGGCCCAGATGCGCGATCACTGGGGGAAGAGCGCGCCCTCCGAGGACCACGAGCTTCCTTTGCCCCGGGCCTCGCAGGTGCGCGAGATGCATCACATCAAGTCCCAGTTCCGTAACAGTATATACCGGAAAGAGCTGATCTTCTTCCTGCTCGCCTGGCTGGTGCTTTGGTTTCTCAGTGCAGTGGTGTTCCGTGCCTCCGAGCAGCAGCAGGGCTGGTCCTACTTTCTCGCCCTCTATTTTACCTATACCTCGCTCACCACTATCGGATACGGCGACTTATATCCCACCAGCAGTCTAGGTAAGGTCTTTTTTGTCTTTTGGTCGCTGCTCGCTTTGCCGATCCTCACGAATCTTGTAATGGCCATGGGCGAATTCCTACACCACGTCCTGGTCTTCTGTTCCACCGCCCTTTGGAAACATATCGTCGCCGCCGCCTCTGTGGTGTACAGGCCCTGCCTTCAATTCTCCCATAGGGAACAAAATCGTCGTATTTCCCGTCAGCTACATGTACAGAACACCCACTCGATTCCATCGCTGCCCGGCCACGATATGGAGAGTGCGGCTAGACCAACGCTCTCTGCCTCCCAATCTACCAAAGGCGACGGGGTACCGCAGAGCCTGCTCCGCCTCCTGATCGTTGAGGAGATGGCATGGCTAGCTTCCATACTTCGCGATAGTCGGTGCACTGAAGACCTTGGGGTTACCTGGTCTCGGATTGTCCCGCTGCTGCATTCGGGCGAGCAGGATATTGGCCCTCTCGACCCCGCCTGGCTCATGACGTCGTCACCAGCGTCACATCATCATCATCATGAACAGATGATAAGGAGCTTCCTCGATCGCCACCATTACGTGGAGGACAGAAACACGGAGGTTGTCTGGATGCTAACGTTTTTGATCAATAAGCTGCGTGCCGACTTGGAAACTGATGGACCGTAAGGAGAGCTGGAGGTACCCCTAGGACATTGATCTCGCAAGAACGACATTGTGGGTTTAGCTTGCTTAACTAGTAAGTTTATTAATTGTTAGTACAGTTCGTGAGAGAAATCTAGTAAATAAAATCTGTTATCCACTATCTAGTTCAATCGATCGAGATATTTATACAGGGTTTTCTATCAGGCAGAAGAAACCCCACGTGGTAGATGTATCGCGTGGCCTGTCATAACTTCCCCCCTCTTCTCCCTTGAATCCAGGAACCCATCCTGTTCATCCACCATGTCCGGCGCGATACCGAAAAGTCACCACCTCTACAATCACTCGATTTCTGTTGGCATATTTGCCTTGCCGATTGAGATTCGCTACGACATCTTCAAACGGGTGCTTGCCGTGCTTGACCCTTTGTGTTTCCCAGGATCCAGACAATCCAGTGGTGTCGTTCTTGCGAACAAGCATCGTGCATGAATTGCCTTATTTTACCCTAGTCAACAAATAACATTGAGACTAGGGCTGTCCTGTACGGCGTAAATCGTTTCAGGATTGAAGAATGGGAAGTAGCAGGATACCAAAGCAACAATCTGAAGTCCTTTATAAACGGGATTAGGGATGTTAGTGCACGTTTCCTATCCCACTTACAATTCATCTTTCTGGCCACAGAAATGGAAGACGGTCAATAAGGAAAGTCAGGATCAAGGAAGAAGCCACGCAAGTCTGCAGCTTCTTCAGAATAAGCGCACCGGTCTACACACATTGAAAACGCTCGGTTACAATAAAAGCTCCAGCTATTTGATTGCAATGGGCGGGGAGCGTACTGATGTATTACGAGCTCAGAAGCATCGATTCTCTGAACAATTCATTACTAGGGTGTGCAGCGGATCTGTTGCACTCTCAGTCAGACAACTCCTGGAAGATATTGGTTGGATTGTCTTGATCGGCGCAATATAGACTGCCTGGCGCGGCTGAACTAACAAATGAGTGTCGGATTCCTGGCTAACAATGAACAATCAACAATCAATATTAGCAGAACAAATTCCCGAGTGGGCTATAGCCTGGGGGGACCGGGCCATCCTTCTACGACCTCTTCACAGGATAAGGCCTAAAATCTCCCACTGCATGGCCCCACGCCCTATGTCGCACAACTTCCTCTCCCATGGCTGTTTATATAGCTATTTCGCAATAAACGGCCGTGCAAGTCATGTAGTCATAAATCGGTCCTTGAGTGGCATGACCTCACAAGCTTATTAAATTGACTCTTCTTAGGTTCTTGCCGAGTCATGTAATCCCCTAGTCTGTCATTTCGTGGATCGGTGGTCTTGTGCTAGCATCTAGTATCCCGGCTGATGGTGTACGTATATTGAGGGAGTGTTATAGAGTCTCTATATGCCGAGGCTGATAGGAATCGTGCTGTACCAATTGTCTCTAGTTCCTTAGGTGGGCTTTGATGTGCCGGTCCTATCAATGCCCCTGCTTTGTACACTACCTCTTTGGACGCCACAACTCTTAGCTGACTCAAGCTTGTGCCGTCACGATACTTCTCCTTAATCTGTCCTTTCTTAGCAAGATTGCGCTCTGAATGTTGATACACAGTCATCGCAGTATAAAAAGATTTTCTTCGATGGGCGGACGCCCTCAAAAATGGCTCGAATACAATCGAACGAATAACAGGCTCTGATCCAAGTCTTTTCGCCAATTCTCACCCAAAGTTGGCCCTCACAGATGAATTATTAGTATGACGCCGAGTGCCATTTTAAACGCCTTGAGAGAGCCGCCTCCCGCGCTGTTACCTACCGCAACAAGTCAGTTGCCCTTAGCCAAAACACCCCACAAGCCACAGTCTCCAGTCATGAATCCAGTCCGCTAAGCCGCTCACGACGGCGGGCCGAGCTCCCAAAGGTAGAGACGCGGGATAATATAAGCATTGTTGTAAAATCCGACACTATTAGTAGTGCCTAAGACACAAGGTACGTGAAAATGCTCAAAGATGAAGCCTAAATAGAAACAGGGTACAATATTAAGGTCAGCGCGGCCAACTAGGCTTTACTGGCAGGGTATCTCGTCATACATGGCACATTTACGTCACTTCAAAAGTTTTGCTAGGTTAAGAAAGCCCTAAACAACGACGAGGCAGGCTAGATCGTGATGTATATTGTACAGAACCCGCCGTTGCTCGCTTTTTCCTGCATTTTCTCTATAGGTGCAATCATGGCAATATACTTCTTGATACGAGTTCGTAAAATCCGAAGCTGCTACACATTGCCTATCAATAAACTTTTATGTAAGTGGATTAGCAATGCAACTTAATGAAACCACCCCTGCTTAACATAACAAGGCCAGCTATCCTTAATACGGGCGGTGGGGTTGCTTGCAACACTCATCAACGTTTACGCGTCCCGTGACGGTCACTGCTCAGTGACGGAAATTATCACCACGATTATCACCGGTCATATTTTTTTTGTTATTATTGCCTTCGACTTGAAGCAAGAGGGAAACGACAGAGGGATAGGAGTGATGTGGAAGGGAAGTGGAAAAGGGTGAGGGCAACGGGCGGCAACTGGCTGAAAGGCAAGGACATGCATAGTGTCTGCTCCCGCATCGCGAAATCTTTCCCTTGATCAAAATGTACAAAGGCACCTTTTTGGGGTAGATTTCTTTTTCAACGTCAATTGGATGTTTTTGAAAGACTCCCTCCGGATGAAGCTTAAAGTAAAGAGGTTCGAACAGCGGAGAACCGTCGTCTGCAGTGCCCACTTGTCGCGCTTCGACGTTAAAAGCCTGTGAGTATGAGGGCGAGAGTAAGGTAGATTGGCAATTTTCAATTTGCCAATGAATATTTTGTAGTCTTTCCCCTGCTGCTTCAGTATCCATCTCTGCGGCGGGTATTCAGAAAGCATATGAAACGCAGTCGAGGAGATGGCGATTAGATAAAGTTGACGAGCTGCAGTTGAAAGGACAAGCTCTGAGTACAGCCCAGAATAGGGCAGCGGGAAGAAGTAAAAAAGTTTTAACAATACCAAATCGAGTAGGGTACAGTTATAGGTCATTAGTTCGTAATTTTGTTGAAGTACCAGGATTGGCTTAGCGTATCAATAAATTGGATATAGATGAAGTGAACATACAAAGTGGTCAAAAATACATATAGTTTCTTTAGAACAGCGTGATTAGGTATAACAAGTATTTAGCTACGACGTCTTTAAGTATTAGATACTCTCTATAGATAAAAGCTACTACTGTGAATAGCGTGCTAAATGTAACCCTCGGATCTCCATCCTGGAATAGAAAGTTCAAACAGAAAAGACGAGTTCAAAGGTTTCGCAGAAAATGAGAGTTTCCCACGTGATTTTCGAAAAATCCATCAATCTGCCTCCATTGACAAACACAGTCCGACATGGATGAAGTCTCGACCGTGTATACTAAGGAGGGTAGTGGGTAAGTGGCAGATAGCTCTACGATTGAAGATAATACCTATGTGGACCGCAGCTGAGAAAACTGGGGGTTGAAGAAGGTAATCATGTGGCTTTTTCATTCGTTTAGTAGGTATCTCATAAATGCTGTGAATTCGTGAGAGTGGGATTTATGAACCCGGCACAGCAGGAGTGGGACATGGGAGTCTCGTGCTTCCCGCATTGTATGTCAACTGGCGCTGTGCTGTTGGAGGGAGGAAACTGTGTTTCCTCGGGCATGGCGTGGTCGATCTGGTAGGACTTGGAGCGAGCCACCTAAGGTAAAGGTGGTTACTGCAGTCGGTAGGCTTTGATGAACCAACGTCAACGGGGCATGTGGTGCAACTGGTATGCAGTAACTCTCATGGAGGATTTCTGCCTCGCTGGGCCAGAACGAGGCTTGCAGGTCCTGAATATGCCCAGAAAGCATTCAAGACACAGCCTCAAGACACAAATCATTCAGGTAGAGCTTCGTGGGAAGCCAAACGCGGGCGCGTCCACCCTTCAATAAGGCCTGGCAACCTTCCTCTGCTCTCCCGCCCCCGTAACAGGATCCCTCATCTCCTTCCAACTAATAGGGAACATCATATTACCCGCCTCACTCCGCGCCATAACAACGCCAAGATCATTCCGCGCCGTAGTCAAATAATAAAAGCTCTGATCACCGAGCGAAAGAACCGAGCCCCTCACAATATCGCCAACACGGAACATCTCATCCATAACGACGCGGTCCTTCTCCACAGCGCGAACATCCTCTTTCCGAATCAGCGCTTGGAACCGCAACTCATCCGTGCTGCTGTGGTTCTCTGGGTTCGCGGCGGTCGTGAGGATAGATGCGACGTTGTCGTTGTCGGAGGCTAGCTTTGAGGGGTCGGAGGTAGTTGCGGAGGTTTCGTCGAGGACGACGAGGATGGAGACAGTGGCTTGGCGCTTTTGGACGCGGGTTACTCGGGCGAGGACGATGGAGTCGACGGCGGGCAGGGTGTTGTAGCGCGGCTTTTGCTTGATGGGGGCAGATGAAGCTGGAGATATTTGAGGTGTACCTGACAGGATCCTTGAGACCCGGAGTGTAGCTTTGGTTTGTGTCTTGGATTGTGCGGGATCCACGACGACGGGGCCGGCGATGGAAGCGTAGATATTGGATTGTTGGACGTGGGTGCCAGGACCGGCAGAGTATGCGACAATGGAGCCCAGGCGTTGCCCAGGAATGGCCACAGGTGGTAGAGAGGTAGCCATGGTGTTATTAGCCCTTCAAGGCAGGCAATGGCAGACCTATTTGTATTGCAGAGATCGTTGGAGCGGAGGAGGTTTTTTTTGTTCGGGGAGCTTTCTGCGGAATCATCTGGAATCGGCGCTACTATTTTCCGGGAAGTAGGGTAGCACCACCTGTTGTATATCCTCGCTAGGTCTGAATCCTAACTATTCTAGCTAATTAAAATTCATGGTTGGTGTGCACAGCGGACTGATTAATCATGACAAAGCCCCATATCTAGCATGAATACACGGTGTATGCGTAAAGACAAGGAAGAGACAGCAGCACCGACCCAAAAAAAAACCATGGACTAGGACATGGAAGAAAGCGGGAAAAAAGGAAGAATCACGTAAAATGGAAATGGAAAAGGTTCAGACTACGCCAAATGCCCGGTGACGAAAAGAATGCTGAATTCGGCGAATCCAATGCCCAGATGAACACCCAAGAAATTTGAAAAGAGAGGAAGTAGGCGGAGGTAATGGCGGCGAAGGAAAAGGTCCGAAAAGGGTTAATTATCGCACGCGTGAAAGAAAAGAATCATTGATAGCCTTAGGCCTCAACCAAAGTCTGCTTAGGACCAGTCCCGAGCAGCTCTAAGCAGCGCCGAGCAAGGGCAATTACCTCCCCTTCGCCGTCATCTGCATCTTCCTCGTCGGACTCGATGTTCTTGTCGGAAATGGCCTTGACCACCTGCACCACGTCCTCTGATTTGGAGATGTACCCAATGAGTTTCTGATCTTCAGACTCAAGGAGCTGGAGAAGGGTCCAAATCGCAATGTGCTGGAATGTAGGATCTCCGCTGGCGAGGAATCGTTGAAGGTAGCCGTGGATTCCTCCATTCGGATCGGCCCAGTCACGGACGAAGATTGAGTAGTCGCCAACTAGTGTGCCGTTAGAGTCAATCCTAAATATGGAAATGAGGAACTGTAAAACACGAAAAGAAACTTACCCTTGGAGGAAAGATTGCCAAGGGCAGCCGCACTGTTCCCTTGCACTTCGATACTCTCCGAGTTTGTCAGAGGAATCAAAACGTCAAACACGCCGAGGTTGAGAAGATGAGGCTTGAGCTCATCGCTGAGGGCCAGCACAGCGATCGCGGCGGTCATTTCGGATTGAACCGTCAGCGGGACGCGAAGAACGAGGTCCTTGCATTTCTGAACCGCTCCAGCCTGCAGAACCAGCTCCTTGTTGCGATCCGAGCTAGCGGCAAGGTTGCGGAGGGTGGAGATGGCATGGCATTGGATTTCTTCGTTGTCGGTTGAGCCCAGAAGGTCCACCAGAGGCTTCAGGAAGCCAGCTTCGATGATCGGAGACTCGTTCAGTGGATGGATGGAGATGTTGCGGATACACGCCACGGCGGAAAGAATGAGAGGGAGGTAAGATGATTGCAGAAGTCGTAGTAGTGGAGAAAGACCTTTTGCCCGAACAATCTCCAACTGGTACTTCTCGTCGGAGGCAAGATTGCGGAGAGCGAGTGCTGCTTGACACTGGACTTTGGGAGTGGAGGAGTCCATAAGATGAACCAGGGACTGTACCAGGCGCGACTCGGTCTGGGCCAGACGTTTACGGTTGGTCGAGTCCACAGCGATGTTGCTGAGGGCCGTTGTACAGTAGTATTGGACGTCGACATCGGGGGATGAAAGGAGATGAACCAAGACGGGGATGGCGCCGGCGTTGACAAGCTGTTGGCGATTATCATCTATTACCTCGAGTTAGCGACTACTCCTCCAAGGCTTCCTCGCAGCCCAAGGCATTTGGTATGTACCAGAATGAGTCATGTTAAGCAATGCGCCGGTCGCATTGCGCTGTACACGCATATCCTTCGACTTGGCCAGGCGGATCAGAGGACCCAACGCTCCCGACCGAGCGATCTTGGCCTTGTTCTCCTCGTGGGTTGCCAGGTTAGTGATACAACCGACGGCGTTACACTGCACTTCAACATTGGGCGACATCATTTGGCGGATCAGAGGGGCCAGCCCTCCGAGAGCGACGATCAAGACTTTGTTCTCAGCTGAGGTTTGGGGGTCAGCAATCAAAGAAGAAAATGTAGATCCTCAGACCAGGGAGCCGCCGCTTACCATTGACCGCGAGATTGCCCAGCGCGGCACTGGCAGCTCGCTGGACTTCTATATCCGAGCTCTGGAGCAGGAACAGGATGGGTTCGAGGGTGTCCCGATCGACTTCGCGCACATCTACAGGTTCAGGGTTAGGTTTGGCATCGTCGTGGGCGTCCCATCTTCTTCAACGCACCTCGTTCGGTGATCTCGGCAAAGGTCAAGCTAGCGCTTCGCTGGAGATCGACATTATCGGAATATACAAGGGTACTCAGGGCTTGTAGGGGTTCTCCGGCGAAGAAATCGGTTTCGGCGCGCTGTAAACAGAGAGATAGGGGGGTATGGTTAGCAATGTGTTATCGCGTTTTGCACGGGTCGCGGGCATCGCCGATCGGGGGGTTGTGATGGGGTCGGGACCCTGAGCGATAGAGATGAGTTGCGACGTACGTTCTCGAGATAACCCAACAGATCCGACACAGCTTCTCGTTCATTGTCGGCAAGGGTGGTTTCGTAGATGCCATCTCGGGAACGACCTCCACCCAGGCAGGCCGTGATATGACACCATCGGTCGACCGCCGACAGGCACGACAGACAGGTGGTGACGATTCCACTCATGCCGTCCTCAACAGGGCCGCATCAGGGCCGCAAAGGCGATTGGATCGAAGCTGACGGGGAGGAAGGAGGAGGAGGGCGCGATTCAAATTTCTGTGGGGAGCGACTCAGGGTGGTCGAGAGGAGGAGGCTGGACGGCAGAGGCTGGAGGCCGTTGCGTGAACCCGGGTCAAGTCAAGCTTCGGGGATGGGAACACAAACTGGCGGCGCGTGATCGAAAAGAGGGTCCCGCGAGAGCCGTTGGACTCAGGATCTCCAGGTGAAGACAGGGCCCTTAACAAAGTCAAGATAAGGGAAAGGTGATCCGCAAGGGGGGGGGGGAAGGAAGTGAAGATAGTGGAGGGAGGTGAAACGAGGTTGCAGGCGCGCGAGCTCACTAAACCGATGACTAGCAACTAGTCCAGCAACTCAGGAGTTACCTAGCTTAAGCAGTCATGTCGGGTTAGAATGGTCTCTTACAACATCACTGATTCTTCGATTTACCAAAAATGACTATGGATAATAAGATCTCTTCGTCATTCTTGCTTTTTCTCCTTCTTTCCACTATCGATCTTGTTGATGTTGTCTTGAGCATGAGTTGTGGGCTCTCTCTCTCCTGTCAAGCTCCCGCAGAACATCCCCTCATACATCATCCCGAGAGCTACGACCAATCCGCATGTACCGACTCGAGGATGACGAAGATCGGAAGGCGGAGGGCATAGGTATTGAACTCGCCTATATGCTGATCACTAAGCTTACCAGAATATCTCCAACCAGATGATGAGAATGGCACATCCCCTGGTGTAACTCTAGCCAACTCCATCGATCTATATATTTTGGATCCTATTTGTCTCCGGATCTATCCATCGTTCTCTCCACATTTCCCACTCTGCTTCCTTCCCTCGTTCATCCAGCCATCTCTGTCCCCTCCTCCCAGTCTTTCTCCCTCGTTGCCTCCTTTTCCCTCTTTGCCTCTTTTCCGCTTTCTCAGTAGGGTCCGTGCAGCCCGGATCCAATGTGGTGGGATCTTCTCTCCTCGCCCTTGTGATTCCTTCCCAGTGACGCAGCTGATCACCGGGACGGATGATCCGCGCGCGTGAAGAGGAAGACTTGGGGGGGGGGGGAAGATTTGGACTCGAGTCCGGTCGGGGAGGAGACTGGCACAGACTAAAAGGCATTTGCCGTCTTGCAAAGCATCACATGGAAGAGAGTAACTCCCAGAACTGAACTGCAGGGCGCGGGGCCAAGCTCCAGAGGCGGGGAGCTGGGATCCTAGGGGACTACTACTACTCCGTCCAGTCCTTACGGAGTACGGAGTACAGGTCGAGGAAAACGTCGATCCGTGCGAAGCTAGTCCCCCGGCCTAAGGTGTTTAGTGCCTAGTTTACCAGTGAACCCCCCCCCGTAAGTTGAGCACCGCCTGACAGTGCATAACCCCGTCAGATCCTCCTGTCTGTAGGGCCAGGGCCGTCGGCTAAAACTACGGAGGACCAGAGGCAAAACTCGGGCCGGATGGAGGCTATTTCCCCGCAAAAAAAAACCAATCCCTGGAAGAGAGCGCGAGTGCGAGGGAGGCAAAGAGGCGACATGTTCGGAGTTCGAGGGAGGGGTGTAAGCCGGTATGGATGATTGAGACAGGCTGACCCCTGAGGCATTCTGTGTCTCTTCTGTCTCTGGATCTGGGTATACTCTCGTACGAAGTCTACCAAGGCTACCAAAGGCTAGGATATTACTGCGAGCTCTGCGGTGGAAGGGGACTAGCCGCTTCTTACCAAGCCTGATTGAGAAATTAGTGTTCTAGTGTTCTAGTGGTCTAGTGTCTAGTATTTTACTCTTCTTCTAAGCCCAACTCATCGAAACATGGAACGACTGGGTCTGGTTCCGTGAAATCTCGACACTTCCACATCATACCAAGCCTCGATCCTCCTCCTCCTCCTCGGGCCTTCGTACTTCTCATTCCTCCTCTCCTCTTCTCTCCTCTTTCTCCTTCCTCGTAATTCTCTCCCTCCTTTTTCGTCGCGATTCTTTGTTCCTCGGGCCATGCTTAGATAGTCCCGCCCAACCGCCCTTTGAGCCGCTCCAGTCCAATTGCAGATCTCCAGGTAAACGCGCCATCGAACCTCCAACCTCTTCTCCTCCTTTCCTCAGCGCCATTACCAGTCCTCCATCGATCGGCTGGGGACGAGACAATCCTCGTCGCATGCAGGCGACCGGCAACAGGACCAAGACTGAAACCACACCACCCAAATCACTCGCCCATAATCAGCCAAGCCTAATCAGCCAACAGCCAACGGCCAACACGCTTTCCCCGCCCACCAAAGTCCGCCTACATTAATAGCCCCATGTCTGCTTCAACTGCCACCGCCTCCGCCTCGCTCTCCGATTGTCCACGCCCAGGGAGACTCCGTCGCTTCAGTCAGCTTCGTGCTTACACACAAACCCTATCCCACTCGTCTTCGGGCGGACATCGGTCGCGTAACAGTCTGAGTAGTCGAGTGCCGTGGTTGTCTCCCTCGTCGTCAGGTCCAGAGTCTCCCACGCTTCAGGTGGGGAACTCCACTGCTCCAGGTCCCGAAAGTGACCAACCAGCCCTGTCTCGCTACACTTCTGCACCCACCGCGAGCTCCCACGGTCTGGGCGTCGACACACAAACGTCATCGGCTGAGTCGTCCCGGTCAACTCCTCCAAACGAGCCAACTCAACGTTCTACCAATGTCATGGCCCGCTTAAGGAGTGCCTCGGCCGTGCAAGGTCGCCCGCCTCGTACGATCGCGCTTGCAAGAACTGCCACCCAAGAGGCTCCCACGTCCCTCCCAGAACCGACACCTGCGGCCACCGATGCGCCCGAATCGACAGGTACAATCCCCACAGACGCTGTCCAGGTCACTGCCGTGAGTGCGAATAAGAAGGCCACCATTCGATTTTTCCCGTACCAGGACACCTTCCAGAGCTCGAGACCCTCCCTCCCATTCGTCCCCATTGCACGCACGTTACCCTCGGAGAGCTCTGTCATTCGAGTTGGTCGATACTCTGAACGAGATGGCATCCCAATCCCCAACCCCACCGAACCCTCAGACGCTCCGGTGGGCTTCAAATCGAAGGTGGTCAGTCGGAAACATTGCGAGTTCATCTACAGTAATGGCCAGTGGCACATCAAAGATGTAGGAAGCTCCTCTGGCACGTTTTTGAACCACATGCGCTTGAGTCAGCCGAATATGGTGTCCCGTCTATACTCGATCAAGGACGGCGATATTGTGCAGCTGGGTATTGATTTCCGGGGCGGCGAGGAGATGATTTTCCGGTGTGTTCGGATACGCATTGAGTGCAACCGCTCCTGGCAGCAGCAGCCGAATGAGTTTAAGTAAGGATGCCCTTTCATACTGGTGGATCTCATCCATGGCTAACATATTGGACAGTAAAAACACCGAAAGCCTGATCAAAAACTTGGGCAAGGGAGATGGGGCCGACTACTCTGGTTGTCGAGAGTGCTCGATTTGTCTGGGCTCTGTCTTGGTTCGTTCTTTTCGTCTCGTTCTCGTTCGTATCTGACGCTAACACAAATCGCATTACAGCGACCGTATCAATGTCTTTTCATGGCAGCCTGTGCCCACGTCTGGCATTACAAATGCATCAGTCGCTTACTCCACCAAGACTATCCCATGTTCCAGTGTCCCAACTGTCGTGCGTTCACCGATCTCAGCGCCGAGGTCGATGATTCCAACGATGTCGTCGAGAATGAGGAGGCCAAGGGGCCAACTGAAGCTACATCGACGAATGACTCTGCAGAGGTCCCCGCCGGGACGCAGCCTGCACAGGCTACGACGACTACAAGTGTTGAGGGGCAGCAGCCCACGCCATTGGAACCGCACTCAGAAGAACCGGACTTTGTCACCGACGTTGAGAACCTACACCTGCAGGACGATAACGATGAAGCATCCGGGTCTGGAATCGACATGGAGGATGGCCACAGCTCGGACTTTCCAGCTCCGAACGCTAGTAACGACGACCTGGCTCGCAGTGCCACTATCAGCATCCCTGGGTTCCAACCCACCCAACCTCTCAACGTACCTGCGGCTCGACAACCACACCTTCGAGCGGATACACCAGGTCGCTCAGAGACATCCGATGACAACCCTCTGACTCCGCGAAACGACTCGGGCCCTCTAGCCTTCGATGGTCGCGCGGGCATGCGGTGACGAGACATCACACACCCGAAATAATCTTAATGGACGATCTCTCGGACAATTCATTAAAGTCATATTGTGCCATTTGAGTGCATTTAGTATTCCCCGTTTTGCCATTTCTGCATTCTTCGGATGTCCTTTTGGGGGCATCAGCCGCCTTGATTTCGAGATACTTTTGAGTTTTCCATTTCATATCCCGTCCGCATTTTACCATAGCGTTTGTGATTCAGCCGGATCTGCTCATGGCACTTCGGCGTTTCCATCTATAACATCCATCTTTTTTCATTCTTTTCGGTCGGTTTTTGATTCCAACTCCCATTTCTCCTTTCTGTCTCGTTCTATCCGCGATGCATTCCATCCTCCGTCGTTTTCGATATACCCATTTCAGACAACCTGGGCTGTTCTTTATGGACTTGGTGATTATTTGGGGCGGACTCGAAACCTTCCGCTTGGCCGGTCTCTCGTTTTGCCCTGTTTTCTAGATGCCTCGTACACTCAAAACTATTGTCTTGAGTTCGGCGTTTAATCTCGCAGTTTCTATCTTGACAGCCTGGGTATCATTGAATCTGTTCATCTGCCAATCTCAATAGCATACTATAATCACATCAGAAACTTCCCGCTTCGAGAAGACAGTGGGACTAATTCATCGTCGGTAAGAAAGCCTAGCCCGTCTGAATTGCTATAACTCCGTATTGCTGTAACCCCAATGATAGATCACTACTATCACTATGAGGAATTAGATAGCTATTCTGACTCTTAGGTAAGTCGCTTTAGCTACATTCAAGGTGACCCCGTATTCGCAACATTGTCATGCTCTTTATTCTCGAGAGGTCAATCTCTGAATCATCAGTCATTCACGAATGAGACCGGTCAGTAACCGCTCACTTGGGTCAACAAAGAAGATACTCGACTGATAGCCTAAAATTAAGTCTATCCAACCAACCAACAGGCGCCCAAGGTAACGCCGCCGACATCAAGTTTGAATTTTGGTTAGACTATGAATAAACATAGGAACGGCCCTCAGAGCTCGGGAGCTTCACGAATTGGGGACTTGGTATCTTCGTAGGGGAGGGAGCTGTCTGATAAGCGCGTGGCATAGGATAGATGTTTTGCATTGAATGAAATGCAGTATCATTTCTTCACGCTACTCAATAGCCTATATCAGACCAAAGTAATTCAATCTATTACACCCTATCCCATCCAAGGTTGAATCCTTTAGGGCGGGCTTACAACACTACCTAGCTCAAAGGACAACGGACCTCCTTCCTTCCACTTGGACAACCCTCCCGACTACAGTCAGCACACCACGCTAACTAACTAACATAACTAGTTAACTAGTTCATTCCAGTCACTTGAGAACGACTCTAAGATGGGATTCATAATCCCGTGTCTCTGTAAGTTCCCTCCTTACTGAGACAGGAAAAGTGGGCGGGGGTAGCTACAGCCACCCAACCACTCAGAGACCAGCCGTATGTGGGTGAGAAGCGTCCCCAGCAGTTGTTGGCTCTGTTCAGGCGCTTGGGGCCGAGCGGTCTGTTCTTGCAGGTTACAGCTGGGCTTGGCTTTTTGGGGAGGCTTGCGCATTTATAACTAAGGATTGCTGGCGCATGGAAGGGTCTTTTTTTTTTTTTTTTTTTTTGTAGGTAGAAGTGACGAGGTGTTGAATTTCGGTCGTTGTTGATATTCCACTTTCTTTTACATTGTGATACGAGGGTCTGCCTACGGTATATTTGAGAATATGTTGAGGCTGTCGATTACGGCATGTGCTCTGCTAGCGGGGGTGGTATCAGCGAGCGTTAATAGCACAGGTGAACTTCTGGTAAAGATATTGCGCTTAGGTCGGCTCTCGGGCGATGAGACTCGAGGATTTTGCTAAGTGGCATCTTCCTAGCCTGTAATGTCAACATCGACACATTTTATGCATGGTCTCCAGCAACGTACGGAATGGGGCAAGTGCTTCGAGCTGAAAGGGTTGATGTAAGTGTTTCTACTTCGCATCCGAGATATTTGTGAATCGATTGCCTCTAACGTTAGAATAGACATAACACTCTCGGATCTATAGACATTCCATGTCCTCATGAACCTGGACTCGATAACATCTGCACAATATACGAGTATGCAAAACCACCACGCAGATTCTCAACACAATATACGAGCTAACATACCACCTAGATCAAAACTGTCAAAATGAAATAATCACATTTGACAGATCACACTATAATCTATTTAGCTTTGGCGACAAGCCTCGAGAGAAAGCCATCGGCCGCCGAGCCGCGAGTGTCAAGTGCCGCATGGATGTCACCGAAAGAGAGGGACATATTTGGAGGAGTACTTCTGCTTCGTCAAAATTTGGACGAAGTTGTCCTGGAGATCCTTGCAGCGATGGATAGAGATTGTGAGATGTCACCGCGGATGCTTCAGAATTATACGTGCGCGCCAACTTCGAGGACATGCAAGCAGCGTCGGATACTTGTTTTCGCAGATCGCGAGGGAAGACGACAACTGAACGAGCAGGAAACGAACCGCACGAGTTCTGGAGAAGTGGGCGGCGGAGCGCAGGTGGAGGCCCTTCTTTTTCTTCAAGCTCCGACTCCTCGATGAGGTCCGGGCTGCTGCCGCTGGGCCGTTGTCTACTGGTACGAGTGGTATGACTGCTATGGGTGGTGGCTCATCGTCATCTTCTTTCTCATCCTCCTCTGGTGCTCCTTACTCTTCCAATGCTGATGACAAACTTGGCAGGAAACCTATCTTTGGTCCTTGGATGACGCTGTGCACTCCGGCCTTGGTTGCGTGATGTGTGCCATGACTGAGGTCAACAACACTATTCCATGCGAGTCCTCATGACTTCTGATGAGACTTCTAAACTGAGCTTGGCTTCCCAGGCTTTGGTTTCCCGGATACAAATGCCCAACAGCATGTCCTTGCCTCTGTGACTAATGGTCTTGATTATGGTTCCGCGAGTTCGTGGACTACTTCCACCATTGAGGGATCTGAAGACGCACAACCTGACCGAGGGCCGTCTCAATGATATGCCCATCCGCAACCTTATTGCTTACTACTATGTCAACCTCAACAATGGTATAAATTGCCCTCGACCGCCGAACAGGACGCCTACATTGATGTTCGATCCAACCACGCCAAGTCGATCCGATCTCATGGCGCAATGTCTATGACTCTGCTGAAGAATGTGGATAACGCTCTGCCTTTGAACAAGGCCCACACACTGATCTACACCAACTTCACCTTCTCGAACCTGAAGATTACCCCGCCAGTCGAACTTTCAACCCATCCGACCGGAAAGCTGTCTGTTGGCGGCTACGAGGATCTGTGGGGTATTGTCGCTGGCGCCAGTGTGATTGAGCAGAACCCTGGGTCTGTTCGTGGTGCCGATGTACGCTGGCTATATATCGAGCATCCCAACTGCTAAACAGCCTGTTCGCCAATTGCATGGACTCAACAACGTGGGTATCAAGGCTGGGCAGCATGAGAATGTCAAATTTGAACTTCGCCATCGCGATATCTCATACTGGGATGTTAAGGCCCAGAAGTGCGCTGTCGCACCTGGAACATACACAGTCCATATCGGTACTAGTTCGAGCGATCTGAGGCCACATGGAACCTTCACCGTGCAAACTAAGGGGTGAAAAAATAACGCACCCTCGACTGTACAAGTACTTTCGAGTCTGATAAGTCTTGAGGAGGCTTGGATTTAGTGGTTGTATTCGTCCCCTTCTTCATTCTTCAATGATCTCATTGACAGGATCTGTTGTTGCTACTCCTTATATAGAAAGTTAACACTTTGCCTCTAAAGGCCAAAATTTCCCGACTACAAAGCTGAACCCTTCAGGTGCTGTCCCTCATTGGACCAGTCGGCAAACTCGAGGCTCGTTGGAGTAATGATGTGCAGAGAGACTGCACGGGTCGCCAGCAAAAGGGCGCCGTCTGGGGTAAATTCCCAGTTGCCCAATCGCTGATAAGCCTATCACTTGGCAGCTTGTTTAGCGTCGCCATCTCCTCCCCTTTTGAGGTCCTCAATGATAACACGCCAAACACTGTTATCGCTCTTATCTTCCAGCAATGCTATCTAAGCTTCATGCCAAGAAGTACCATGCGCAGTGGAAGTCGTCCGATGCGCTACATCGCTTCCATCTCCCGATAGGGATGTGGGGTCAGTATCAGCAGCATCATACTTGGCGACCGTCTCCGCATCGTATCTCGAGTCTGTTCTCCTTGACCCCAACGCCAGTGCACATTTAAGGAGCTATGTTCCCCGCTCGCATGCTAGGTGCCCCCTCACGGCACTCAAGCACACGATCGCCATGGAGAAAAAGATCTCCGCAGAAGACCATCCTATTCCCAGCGAGGATGCCGGTCCTGGCACTGTCGAGCCGTACGGCCAGACCAAACGCGGTCTTGCGTCGCGTCATGTGCAATTGATGGCCATTGGAGGGTCTATCGGAACGGGTCTCTTCGTCGGTATTGGCTCTTATTTGCAAAATGCTGGACCACTGTCGTTGTTTTTGGGTTATCTGGTATGGGGCGTACTCTTCATTCTGCCCACTAACCTGAGTGTCGGGGAGATGTGTGCATACCTGCCTATTCGAGGATCGATCTTCGAATTGGCTGCTCGGTTTGTCGATCCAGCATTTGGGTTTGCCATGTAAGTCCACGCCCTCAAGGCTAGCACCTTTGGAATACAGGACTAATACTAGTAATTGTAGGGGATGGGTATACTTTTACGGAGGCGTTATGCTAGTCTGCACCGAATATGCCGCCGTCGCAACGGTCATGCAGTACTGGACGACCAGTGTCAATCCCGCAGTCTGGGTGGCAATGGCTCTAGTAGTCTGCTCTTTACTCAACTTCGTCGCCGTTAAATACTACGGAGAGAGCGAGTTCATCATGGCGTCCACAAAGATCCTACTACTCATCGGCCTCGTTCTCCTTACCTTCATTACGATGGTGGGCGGAAACCCTAAGCACGATGCGTACGGATTCCGCAATTGGAAAGATGGCGTGATGTTTGAGTACTATACGGATGGTGCTACCGGGCGCTTCCTTGGCTTCTTCTCTGTTATGGTATATGCTGCTTTCTCGGTGGCTGGTCCTGACCTGCCAGCCTTGGCTGCAGGAGAGATTCAGAACCCACGATACACGATCCCTCGTGTTGTCAAGATGACCTTTTGGCGTATCGTTGGGTTCTACGTCGTCGGCGTACTGGCCGTGGGTATCATCTGCAATCCACACGACCCTCGTCTGATGTCTGCCATCGACGCCGGTGACGCTGGATCTGCTGCATCCCCCTGGGTTATCGGTATTCAGAACTTGGGAATCACCGGCCTTCCTGATCTGATCAATTTCCTCATCCTTCTCTCTGGCTGGTCCTGCGGCAACGCCTATCTATATAGTTCCAGCCGAACCCTTTACTCATTGGCTCGAGATGGCCAGGCCCCGAAATTCCTTCTGAAGTGCACAGCAGCCGGAATTCCCATCTACTGCGTGCTTACCGTTTCAGTTCTCTCCTGCATCACTTTCCTCGTGGCTGGTTCCTCGTCCGTCACCGTATTCTACTGGTTCGTCGATCTAACCACCATCGCCTTTGTACTCACCTACACGGGCATGCTCATCGTCTTCATTGGCTGGTACCGCGCTTTGAAGGCACAGGGCATTGATCGCAAGTCTTTCGTCCCCTGGGCATCCCCTCTGCAGCCGTACTTTGCCAGCTTCGCGATCGTCATTGGCACCCTGACAGCCATCTTCAACGGATTTTCGGTCTTCAAGCCCTTCAGTGTGCAGGGCTTTGTTACATCCTATTTCGGCGTTGCCTTCTGGGCATTTATGTTTGTGTTTTGGAAAGTATATCATCGAACCAAGTTTGTGGATCCCGCTCAGGCGGATTTGTACTCGGGCAAAGCGGAGGTGGACGAGGAATGTAAGCACTGGGAAGATGGTGGATTTGAGGAGAGAAGAAAGGCCGAATTGGCGCAGATGAACTGGGTGCGACGAGCCTGGGAGCGCATGTGGTGATAGTACCACTTAATCTATCTAGCCGACAAGTTATTCCTCAATGAAGTTTTGGTATCGCAATTTAGACTGGTTCGATTGATGATTAAGTTGCCAACTGGCTAGTTAACTAACTACCTAAACACATGCGAGGCCGATCGCCTTCAAACAGGAGTGTATGGTTAGTCAAAATTCCAAAGCGGCCAATAATAACAGAGAGAATCATAATTTGTCTGACTTGACCGTTATATCCAAAAATTGAAACATGGAAGAATAGTGGTGTATCACTAGTCCGCCAGTCCGCTAATGGCGCTTAATCAACAAAGCCACGGGCGAAGATGTCGAGGTGCAGAGTGACTTTGTGATCATAGCGCCTCCCCCCACTTCAAACACGCGCCGGAGATTCGAACTTCCCTCCTCGAAACTCGCTGGCCGTTACGATTCGGCCATTCCTTCAAACCTCAACTGTGCTGGTGACCAGAGTGACTGCACCGCTCGACGGTGCTGTCCCCACACTCGACCTTGACCATTGCTGATCGACTGATCCACTTCAACGGCACGATGCGCTTGAACTTCAGCGAGCCGCCAACCCCGACGCTGAGTCGCCAAAACACCTCTTTGCAAGGGCGGCACCACCACCGGCGGTTGACACATCCGCATTTACTGTCGTCGCGACAGAAGCCAAGAAGGTAGACTATCCAAGCTCTCGAGTCCAAAAATGCATCTCACCGTTCATATAGATGGCCGCTGGTCTTCCGCTTCATCAAGGGGGCTATTCACGCGCAGATCCTGCTACCAGTCTCTCTGCATGCCATCTTCACAGCCTTTGTTGTCTACCTTGATACTTATGTTTTCGACACAGTCGGGCTCCCGACCAGCATCGTATGGAGACTGTCCAATTCTCGATCCTAGGAGACACCCTATTAACATGTTGCTAGATCCCTTCACTGTCAATCGTCGTAGGTTTGATGCTTGTCTTCCGGAATCAAACCTCATACAATAGATTCTGGGACGGGCGCAATGCCATGGCCACCATGAACACCTGCTTGCGAAACTTAACCCGCACTATTGTCACCAACAGCTACAGCTCAACTCGGGGTCCGCCCACACTCGCTGAGCGCGAGGACATCGAGCGTACTATCCGCATTCTTATGGCTATCCCCTTCGCAGTCAAGAATCATCTGCGTGCTGAATGGGGAGCTGCTTGGGCTGTTGGTGGTGCGCTTGGGAACGAGTTGGATGAGCGCGGTACCGCGGCGTATAACCCTGACTATGCGGGGTTGCTTCCAGCTGGACTGGAGGGTCATGAAGATGAAGGCCTTGGACTCCCATATCAACTCACGTTCTTTGTGGATGGATTTATTAAGCGTGGCGAGGACCGTGGGTGGTTCAATGCGCCTGGTGCGAGTCAAATGCAGGCGCAGCTGAACACATTCCTGGATGCGTATGGGAAGATGGAGACGATTAAGTTGACTCCGATGCCAGTGGCTCATCTGTAAGTCTAACCACTCGTTCAATGTGACTTGCTTTGCTAAAGTCTATCTTGCAGCATCCACCAGAAACAGGTCCTTGCCCTCTTCGGCTGCGTCCTACCTTTCGCAATGGTCGATGAAATGGGTTGGTGGGCCATCCCGATAGTCTGCCTGGTGATATTCACACTGTATGGCATTGAAGGTATTGGTTCCCAGCTGGAAGATCCTTTCGGCTATGACAGGAATGACATCAAGATGGACGCACTTGTTGGCGACACTAAGACCGAGATCGACGTTGTCCTCACTGAGTGGCGTGCATACTCGAAGGCCATGGAAAGTTCCTGGTACGGCAATGATGGAGCCCGTGGTCACGGGGAGCGATGCTTGGACGCAGGCTCCAAGCCAGGTGCGAATGGAGATAAACCCACCCAAGGAAAGTATGCACCTCCCGATCTGTTCTTGAGACTTAGACCGCGTACAACGGGGGATAGCGGGAATCGGGAAAACGCATAAGTTGTCCTCGAGTCACGTTAGTCAGATACAAATGCTTTCTAAGTCACTTTCGAAGTGCTTCACTGAAATCTATTACATGAATTGAGTGCTCCACGGCACCAAACAAGCCCGATATATTTTTATGGACTAGCGTGAGCCTCTTTAAACATACGGAGAAACATTGTATTCCATCATCCTTAATGGTCCTTCGTCCCAACATCCACTTCCAGAGACTGGCAAATGTTGAGCCAACCGGACTCCGTCGTGTATCAAGTAAAAACAGCTTCAACTTGTCAATTGAGTATATTAAATCCTGACTTGGGCTAATACAAAGACCTAGATCATGTGCCGTGCGCAACATTGATTGGATGAGAAAGTTACGCGGGCTATTCATCAAATGGGAGGCTCCAGCTCCAAGACGCCATCCAGAATCGAGTCCGGAGTGACGTCCGACAAGACATGGGAAACAGCCACCAAATCACTCCCGTACTGTAAACTCCGATCCTGGCCAGGAGCTGTGACAACGATGCGGTGTCGGAACACTTTCCTCGCGGCGAGAGCCACGATCGAAGGTGTAAGGTAATCGACGCCATGTAAAGGTGCCAGGAATCTGTTGGGCGGTATCCATTAGCCAAGTCCTTGAGAGAAATGAACAGCAAATGATCTCGACTGACTCTGCAAACCGTGCGAGTTGGAAGTTCGCCTTGGCGGATATACCACCACCCACAGCGCGGCTCAGACGTAAAAAGACAACGATGTCTTGCATGTACCGGACTACTTCTGTGCCTGTAGTGACGGATTCGCTAGCTTCCCGTAGCTTTTCCATCATCTGTAGATTTGTGAAACAAGGTTCAGCCTGAGTTCAATTCGAGATATTCCAAAGGGGAGGATGCACTCACCAGTTCATCGACTTTGGCAGTTTTTTTCTGTTGATGCTTTGGCTTGTGAATTACTGATGAAGCCGACATCTGACTATCAGATAGCCATTCGTCCTCCTCGAGATAAACGAAGCCATCTACCCAGCTGTAGAAATGAGAGACAAGAAGATGCTCATTCTGCAAAGATTAGCGACGATAAAAGTGAGGAAGCGAGAAAATCCCACCAAATGAGTATTCAGTGGTGGATTGAGTTGATCAGTCTCCCGCACCACCAGTGGTATGAAAAGGAAATCTGTGGGTGCGTTTAACATTCCTGGCTCCGTGGCCAACCTTCGGGTTTGCATTAACTGTGAACATTATTAGCCCCGTGTTATTATCATTGCTAAAAGACTAACCTGTAGAGCTTGCACTTGAATATCATCATCGACAAAATTGAAGTTCTTGGCAATAACAATGTTAACCACGTTGATTTCATCGGCGGTGCTTCTTGGACCTGGGGATCTGCTTTGATCACGCTCCCGTGGTGTCATGTACGTGGAAAGGTTGCTCGACTTCTTTGGTTAGCCCATGATAAGACGTAGATAATAAGGGAACGAACACGTACAGATCCAGTCTTTAATCTGAAGTATGACGGCCGCCCCAGTCCCTTGCGGGCATCTGCGGTAATGATCTCATCATAGAAGTCCTCAATGGAGGTCCCTGTTGAACAATCAAGGATAGAATACGAGAGATCAAAGGTGTGTGAGCAGATCTATAACCATTAGCCCGAGTTAGGGGTTTGTCAAGAGTTAGTAAGCAGTTGATACCAAAGCTAGTTCTCTGGCGAGGTCGTCAACAAGGTCACCACTGGTCTCAATGAGGCAATGTTCTCGCGCCACCAGAGAGAGGAATAGTGCGACTTCAAGATCAGACAGTTGTCGCACGAATTCCTCTAATCTCGTCTCATCCATTCTGAAGCTCCATGGGCCACCGAGTCCCTATCGAGGTCCTTCCGGCGAAGTCGGATGGCGCCACTCAGTTCGAGGGGCATGGGGCGGGCATGAGATGCAGATCTGCGGCCTGAGTTTCATGGCAGCAAGATACCTCAATAGGACTAGCGCAGTTTCCCCGTGGGAGCCGCGGAGCTTCGCCAGCCAACACCCAACCACCGTAACAACAACGGGGCATGGGTTGATGATCTATCCAGGGCCCTCTTCTATGACAAACACTGCCTAGAGATGGCGCCGTCAAACCCTCTCGCCAACTGGGAGAAGGTTGGCGACAGCTTCTACCGCAAAATCCGCGTGTATGATGCCGTCTTCGATGAAGACGTTGAACTAGAGAACTACATCGTCGCGGGTGCCCCCTACGGAGGAGCCATAGGTATGTCCCAGTTTTAATCACGAGACGATACTCTCGCTGAAGCTTTGTGCAGCGCTTTATCGTGACGAGAGCAAACCATTTCAGTTGCGGGACAGCCAGGCCTCCCGCTCCAGTATCGACATTTATTCCTGCTCAGGGAAGCAGATCAACCGCATTAATGTTTGTCTATCGTCTCAGGAATTGAAATTTTGAATGTACGAACTAATTGCATGGTAGTGGGAGCAAGCTACTATTCGTGGGCTCGGCTGGTCCGACAAAGAAGAGCTCCTAGTGGTGTCGGAGGATGGCACTGTCCGCCGTTACTTTGGCCTCGACGGTGAATTCACCTCATTTTCCTTGGGAAATGTAAGGCGATACTGAATATAGTGTTATATGACTATGTTGAACTGACAATATCCAGGGCGCAGAGGAATACGGCGTGAGAGCATGCCAATTCTGGGCCTCGGGCCTTGTGGCGCTCCTATCTAACAATCAGTTGATTGCTGTTTCCAAGTACGACGAGCCCCGACCGAGGCTACTAGCACCATGCCCTGAAGGTGAAGTTTCGTCCTGGTCATTGATTCCTCCAGCTCATACGCTTTCACGCTCTGTGGAGGTTCTTCTTGCGGTGGATAAGACCGTGTACTTGGTCGATTCTACTGAAGCTGAAGACAAGATCTTGCAAGATGGCCCATTCAAACACGTCACCGTGTCACCCACCGGTCGCTTTGTGGCACTGTTTACCGGGGAAGGAAAGTTGTGGGTTGTCAGCAACGACTTCCAGAACAAACTCAGCGAATATGACTCGAAATCTCGTGTTGCGCCCAGTTGTGTGAGCTGGTGTGGTGATGATGCCGTTGTTCTTGCGTGGGAGGACGAGATCCATCTTGTTGGGCCTAACGGGGCGGCTTCAAAGTAAGCAATACGCCTCACACACCATGATCAGTTATTAATCGTCTTTTTGAAATTAGGTATTACTATGACGGCCGGGTGCATGTCATCCCTGAATTTGACGGTGTGCGCCTCCTCACTAATGATACCTGCGAGTTCTTGCACAAGGTTTCCGGTGAGATACGCCTTATTCCGTCCACGAAACTCTACTGATAGGTTGCAGATGTAACGGCAGAGATTTTCCGGTTGGGGTCCTCATCGCCCGCTTCAGTGCTTCTTGATTCTGTGGAGCAATTGGAGAAGAAGTCGCCCAAAGCCGACGAGAACATTCAGCGTATTCGCTCAAGTCTCCCTGCCGCTGTCGATGCCTGTATCAAGGCTGCAGGCCATGAATTCGATGCTTACTGGCAGAAGCGGCTTTTGAAAGCGGCGTCCTTTGGCAAATCGGTCCTTGAGCTGTACAACAGCGATGAATTTGTTGAGATGACTGAGAAACTAAGAGTTCTCACAGCCGCTAGAGATTACCAGATCGGTCTGCCAATATCATTTGAGCAGTACCTCCGTTTGACCCCAGAAGGTCTCATTGAACGGCTCATCAGCCGACACCAATATCTTCTTGCCATTCGGGTCTCTGAGTATCTTCAAATCCCCGCAGACCGAATTTATGTCCACTGGGCTAGCCAGAAGGTCCGGGTCTCGACGGTCGATGATGAAGCTGTGTGCAAATTGATTGTTCAACGGCTAGAAGGGAAGCCCGGGATTTCCTTCGAGGTTATTGCCCAGACGGCTTATGATGAAGGTCGATCACACTTGGCCACGCAACTACTGAACCACGAGCCGCGGGCAGGTAAACAAGTCCCTCTCCTGTTGAATATGGAAGAGGATGAACTTGCTCTCGACAAGGCAATCGAGAGTGGTGATGATGATCTGGTCAATTACGTTCTGCTCCACCTGAAGAGCAAACTTCCTCTCGCAAGCTTCTTCAGAATGATCAACACTCGCCCAATGGCATCAGCATTGGTCGAGACGGCAGCTCGGGGAGAGGATACCGAGCTACTTAAGGATCTTTACTACCAAGACGACCGGCCAATGGAAGGATCCAACGTCCTTTTATGCGAAGCACTGCGAGAGACAGACCCGCAGCGCAAAACCGACAAACTCCATCAGGCAGCCAGGTTACTATCAGATTCCAAGGACCCCAACGTGATGTTGCAACAGAAACTAGTCTCTGAAGCCTCCCAGCTTCTCAAAGCCCAAGAGTCCCTGGATAAAGATCTCGCTGATCATGGTGAATACTTTGGCCTCAGCTTGAATGAGACTATCTACAGGTTGGTCCGAGCTGGCTACGGTAAAAGAGCACAGAAGCTGCAGAGCGAATTCAAGATGCCCGAAAAGGCATTCTGGTGGCTAAGACTCCGCGCGTTGGTAGCGAAACGCGACTGGGGAGAGTTGGAAGAGATTGGCAAAGTCAAGAAGTCTCCAATTGGATGGGAGGTAAGATTGGAAAATTCTTATTTATTTTTGGTGCACGCTGACGCGAGCGGGTATAGCCTTTCTATAACGAGATCCTTGGCGCCGGAAACACAAAGCTTGCCTCGATTTTCGTCCCGAAGTGCACGCATATTCCTGGCGCCGACCGGATAGAAATGTGGGTCAAGTGCGGCATGATTGTCAAGGCAGGCGAAGAGGCGTATAAGGCCAAGGACTTGAACGCCCTCGAGCTCCTCCGGACTAAAGCGTCCGGTCCTGCAAGCACTGAAATCGAGCGCATGATCAACCAGCTCAGGCCGAAGAAATAGTCTTCCCAAATGGGTTGGTCTTTTTGTGAAGTGTTGGTGCGTTCAAGTGATTTCGTCGTACTCATCTGCGGGGGCCGAGTTGGCTGCGCTGGAGTTGGACACCACTTTCGTGGGGTTAGGGGCGAAAACGCTTGCCATCATGGGATGACTGGGTTCAAGTTGTTCGGTGGCCATGGCGTCGTCATTGACATCCTCATCGCCATCTTCTTCTTCTTCTTCGTCCTCGTTTTGTTGAAGAGCGGCGAATGCTGTTGTTTTCTTGTTCATCTCTGTCCAATCAGCCTGGAGGAAGAGGAGGTTTGTTAGTATATGTTCAATACCACGATTAGACGCACAGTTCATAGGCAAATGATCGCATACACTTCGTTCTTTTATGGTCTTAGCCCGGTTGAAACTCTTGGCTTTTTTAATTTCCAGCTGGTCCAAGACTGCTTCGGCCCTTTCCATGCCCTTCTGCTGTCTCAAACGCTGAGCTTTTGACATTCTCTTGCCATCCTTCTTCTTCTTCTGGATTCCGGCAGTTGCGCGGTCAACTAGGAGGGAGGGCCGCTGGACAGTTGGAGACTGGGCTCGAGGTAAAGAGGTCAAGGACTTGTCCAAGTCGAGACTTGGCGAGGCGCCCCGCCGGCCGGCACGAGTATTATTGGTCTTTGCTAAGAGAAATTAGCTTGGGTGATTCAACAAAAAAAACCGAGCAAAATATGCTTCGAACTCACGCTTATTCTTAGCCATTGTGGAATGTTTTGTGAGAAGAGATGGATGAGATGGCAGTTGTGTGCAGATGCATTCTGCTATCGATAAAAATTTTGCGGCGGGCGCGGGGAGCCCAAAGCGCAGCTTCGGCGCGTAAATTATTAATGTTTCACACTCGTCCTCCTCAAGTGTATACTTTCCGGAGGCTCAGTGCTCTTGCTCCACTTTCCTTTCCTCAAACTGCGTTTCCCACGATTCCACGAGACCTACCCATCTCGCCCATGCGACACAGGTCAACCTCCTGCTGCCTGCGGCTCGCCTGATCTCTCATTCCGCCATGAATGCTCATAGACAGGGAGCTGACATCTTCTCGAGCGGCCCCATTCATCATTACGCAAGCCCGAGTAGCCACGATGCGACAGCCTCCACGGCGCTGCAAAACCACCAAGAACTAGCATACACCGTTATCGCCCTTATCTGCGCTTACTTACTTCTGGATCACTTCGGTCTCGCTCCGGTCTCGCTTATACAGTCGCTCTGGAACGTGTTGGTCTATCTTACTCCGTCCCCGATCCTCGTCGCATTGGATTCCCGCATGTCGCCGTCCGACTCTTCCCCCTCGAGTCCCTCGGGATTGTCCTTTCAAGCCAAGAGCGATTCTATGCAACGGATACTGGGTTTGGACAACAACTCTTTCCCGTTCTTCCCTCGATCGCGATCCCTTTCTGGGATCGGTAGCGCTCTCCTGGGTAACAACAAAGACACCATCCCACCAGGTCTTGGTAACTGGGATAATTCCTGCTACCAGAATAGTATCATCCAGGGCCTGGCATCGCTGAAGTCGCTTTCGGCATTTTTGGGTCGCAATGTCGATCTTCTGGGCGAGAAGAGCTCATTCTCGACACACGAGGCACTCAAAGACATCATCGACCTTCTTAACAGTGCACCAAATCATGGACATAAACTTTGGATCCCCTCAGACCTAAAGTCAATGAGTAGCTGGCAACAGCAAGATGCGCAGGAGTACTTCTCCAAGTTGGTGGATCAGATCGACGTCGAAATTCAACGCGCGTCGCGGGGGGAAACAAGGAATATGGGCTTGAAGATGGCCGGACCGGAAGAAAACATCCTAAAAGAAGTCTACTTGGATACAACGTCAGCTGAACATGTCGTCTCCACGATCGAGAAAGCTTCCTTTCGTAACCCCCTCGAAGGCCTACTGGCTCAGCGGGTGGGGTGCATGAAATGTGGATGGACGGAAGGGCTATCGCTCATTCCGTTCAACTGCCTCACTGTTCCTCTCGGAGCTAAGCATGAATACGACATTCGTGAATGTTTGGATCAGTATATGAAACTGGAGCCTATCGAGGGCGTGGAATGTGCTAAATGTACTTTGCTACGAGCCCGAGATCAGCTGAAGAACCTTCTCGGGAGTATGTCCGATGAAGACGAAGCCGATCAGCTCCAGCCGCCAAGCCTTTCGGATGCTGTAAAGACATCCGCGCAGGCACGTCTTGAGGCCGTACAAACCGCCCTTGAAGAAGACGATTTCGTTGAGAAGACCCTGGCAAATAAATGCCACATACCCTCCAAGAATCGAATGACTACAACGAAATCTCGTCAGGCTGTGATCGCCCGGGCACCCCAATGCCTGGTTGTCCACATCAATCGCAGCCTGTTTGATGAGAGGACCGGAATGTTGAAGAAGAACTATGCAGCAGTCAAATTTCCCAAAACACTTGATATTAATGACTGGTGTCTTGGTACTCGGGCTGCCAATCAGTCTGAAGGGACATCCGAGCGGTGGGTTATCGATCCATCAGAGTCGATGCTCCCCGGCCCTGGCGAGGTAATCCGTATGCCTAGCAGACAGTACGAACTTCGTGCCATCATTACGCACTATGGCCGTCACGAGAACGGTCATTATATCTGCTACCGCAGATATCCAACATCCGTCTTCCCCGCGACGGTTCCAGACGAGGTCCTCCAAGCAGAGGGAGACAAAGAGAAGCCAGAGCGTTGGTATCGACTGAGTGACGATGACGTGCAGATGGTCAGCGAGGGCCATGTCATGTCACAAGGGGGCGCTTTCATGTTATTCTACGAGGCAGTCGATATTAAGATCTCCTCTCCCTTGAATGAAACCACAAAAGCTGAATCAGTCCGGTCCGAGGTCAGCGAATCGGTGTCCAATTACACCATGTCTGAGGACATGTCGACTACTTCCACGATAACAGATGCCGAGTCCGCCACATCTCGTGCAACAAGCGTTTCAACACCTGATCGGACTGCACTACCTGCGGATGATACCAACGCCGATTCCAAGGTTCCCAGGACCTTCAGCGAGGTAGACAACGACACCCACACCTTCACGAAAGACCTTGCCTCCTCGTCAGCCATCACTGCCTCATGATCTGTTGCGATGACCGGCTTTGTAATTTGTTCTGCATTATCATGATACCCGAAACTCTTTCCATTGAAGGCGTTGATCAAGGATTTTTGGATTTGGAATGGACGTTTGCCTATTCATGTACTTTTGACCAATACACACTTCATAACTATTTTCTAGACCCACTACTAAGCCCTTAGCGCAGATGATATATTGAGCATCACACATTAAAACTGAGGGGCGCAGTAAAGTGCGCCGTGTATGGTCACATACTGTAAGTTTACACCATGCGTACGAAAAGAAAGTCCGCGGAATTCTGTGAAAACTGAAGGTGGATCTCTGCAAAATCATGTGGGGAAGACCACCTAGCGCCTAGGTCTGTGTCCACCTCGCCTCTTTGCCTCGCTCCCTACCCCTCACTGAAGAGCTTTGGCACCTTCTCTACGACCTACTCTCTGTAACATCTTTATTGCTCTCATATTTCCCTCCAAATTCATAAACGAGACATTCCATCACGAAGACCGATCTTTACAGTACACAGTCCATTATGCAAGTCAGATCTCCCCTCTCCTATGATGATTACACGGTCGGGTGGATATGCGCCCTGCCCCGGGAGATGGCAGCTGCGAAGTTGATGTTGGATAAAATACACCCGAGTTTACCTTGCCCGCGGACCGATCAAAATACATATATTCTGGGAAATATCGGGGAACACAACATCGTGATTGCTAGTTTGCCGAGTGGCGCATATGGTAATGTGTCATCCGCAACGGTCGCGATGCAGTTGCTCTCTAGTTTCCACTCCATCCGGTTTGGTCTATTGGTCGGGATCGGTGGCGGAGTACCAAGCAGTAATCCCAATATTCGACTAGGAGATATTGTCGTGAGCCAGCCGACGGATACTTCTGGAGGCGTGATCCAATATGACCTGGGTAAAGCATTAAGTGGTGGTCAATTCCAGCGTGCCGGGATGTTGAATCGGCCACCGAAGGTTCTGTTGACCGCTCTCACGGCTCTCCAAGCACATCACCTCACGGAAGATAGCCGGGTTGTCGAATTTGTTTCCAATATAAAAGCTAAAATGGCGCCCCACAAAGTTGCACAATTTGCGCGACCAAAGCAAGAGGATTGTCTATTCCAAGCAGAGTATGATCATTTCACATCTGACTGTATAGATTGCGATCGATCTAAACTGGTTCCACGGACCCCACGAGAGCACCAAGAACCAGTGATTCACTACGGACTCGTCGGATCCGCAAATCAGGTAGTGAAAGATGGTAGGCGGCGAGATCAGCTAGCCCGCGACTTAGGGGTATACTGCGTGGAGATGGAAGCTGCCGGACTCATGAATGACTTTCTATGTCTGGTCATTCGGGGAATTTGTGACTACGCCGACTCTCACAAGAATGAGGAATGGCAAGGATATGCGGCAGCAGTGGCAGCAGCCTATGCGAAGGAGCTTCTCTTAGTGGTCCCAATCGATCAAATTCAGAGTATCCGAACAGCACGAGACACTCTAGTAGACTCTGGTATTGTGCTCTTACGTCCAAACTCATAGGACTCCTTGTTTGATTCGAAATCATTTCTAATTAGTCATTTATATCTAGTTCACCGCTTTAACATCCAATTCAACCCTAAAACTATACCAGTGATTGAAAATTTTCTGGGACGGCAAAATGAGCTAGACCAGCTATGGCAGTATTTGCAGCCGATAAATCCTCGGCCACGAAAAGTTGCGATCCTTCATGGGCTTGGGGGAATAGGAAAGACGTAGCTAGCGATTCGCTTCGCACGAGACCACAAACATGATTTCACTGCCATTTTTTGGATCGGTGGTAAGGATCGAGGCACGCTCTTGCATTCTTTAAGCTCTGTCTTCCCCTAGTTACCAAGACAGTCTCAGAATAGTGGGCCAGTCAATAACGAAGAGGTGGAACATCGAGCTAAAGATGTGTTACGGTGGCTAGCAGTAGAGGGAAACACACGCTGGCTAATCATATTTGACAACATCGACCAATACTCTCCCGTTAATGGTGCTGATGGAGATTCATATGATATTAGAGAATTCTTCCCTACAGCCGATCATGGCTCCATTCTCATCACTTCTCGACTTCAAAGGTTGGCTGAGTTAGGGAAGTCGTTTTCAGTTAACAAACTCGGTTATGAAGATGCCATCCAACTACTCTTGCAAAGCTACGGTCTTTCAGTAAGGAACACGACTATAGAGTTTGAGAGTGATAAAGGTGCTATAACATTCAATACATTAATTTTGTTAGCAGTACTAATCTAAATAGATACCGTTACCCTTGCCAATCGTCTAGATAGGCTGCCATTGGCAATTGTCATCGCTGGGGCCTTCATGCGTGAAACTGGAACTAATATCGCCGAGTACTTACTCTATTACCATGAATATTGGTCGGAGCTACAGCGTCAATCGAATCCGGGACGACAGTACCACCAAGGCAACATGCTACAAACATGGATGATCTCATATCGTGAGATCCAGAAACGGGACCCGAACGCAGCAGAGCTGCTCCTGCTACTTGCTCGCTTTGACAATCGAGATATCTGGTATGAATTGGTCAAAAGTGGCTGCCAAAGCTCTTATGTCCCAGCTTGGCTCGAAAGGGCCACATCAAGCGGCATTTCATTTAAAATCGCTGTCAAGAATCTCATTGGATTTTCTCTTCTTGAAGCAAAGAAACAAGGAGGAGGCTATACGATGCACCCAGTGGTACAAGACTGGTGTATCCACCTTGTCAACACAGACCAAAACGTGAATGCGACTCAGCTTAATGAACTCGCACTGATATCTGTTGGTTTCACTGTCCCTAGCTCACGTGAAATAAATTATTGCGAGCTTCAACAGCGGCTAATCCCACACGCAAATTATGTACGTCGTGAGAGTTTGTCAGGTGATAGTTTTGCAGTATGGGAAGCATATTATTACTTAGGGGATCTCTACTCCGATCAGGGGAAGCTGAAGGAGGCAGAGGAGATGTACCAGCGAGCACTGGCAGGGAAGGAGAAGGGCCTAGGTCCAGACCATACCTCCACTCTCAATACAGTCGGCAACCTTGGTCTTCTCTATTCCAATCAGGGGAAGCTGAAGGAGGCAGAGGAGATATACCAGCGAGCAATGGCAGGGTACGAGAAGGCCCTAGGTCCAGATCATACTTCCACTCTCAAAACAGTCAACAACCTTGGGAATCTCTATAGAGATCAGGGGAAGCTAAAGGAGGCTGAGGAGATGTACCAGCGAGCACTAGCAGGGAAGGAGAAGGCCCTAGGTCCAGACTATACCTCCACTCTCAAAACAGTCGGCAACCTTGGGATTCTCTACTCCAATCAGGGGAAGCTAAAGGAGGCAGAGAAGATGTACCAGCGAGCACTAGAAGGGTTCGAGAAGGCCCTAGGTCCAGACCATACCTCTACTCTCAATACAATTGACAACCTTGGGAATCTCTATAAGGACCAGGGGAAGCTGAAGGAGGCAGAGGAGATGTACCGGCGAGCACTGGAAGGGTTCGAGAAGGCCCTAGGTCCAGATCATTCCTTCGCTGTCAGTACAGTCAACAGCCTTGGGAATCTCTATGAAGATCAGGGGAAGCTGAAGGAGGCAGAGGAGCTGTACCAGCGAGCACTCGCAGGGAAGGAAAAGGCCCTAGGTCAACAACATACATCCACTCTCAATGCAGTCGACAACCTTGGGAGTCTCTACTCCGATCAGGGGAAGCAGGTAGAACTAGAAAAGATTAATCACGCAGGATTGCCGGGTAGTCAGGCTGTACATTTAAACAGCAGTATAGCTCGACGGGCTATGGAGAGATTGGCCAGAAAGTTCAAAAATCGCGGGTAGATAGTGCACATTTCTGATAGGACTGGAGAAGATGACCACATTGATATTATAAATTCTCGATAAAGAACCTAATGTAGTAATTATGGTGGCTACGTGGGGTCACTGCAGAGAAAGCAAGGGTGAAGCAGTCATATGTATTTTTCCCCTGATCTCTTTTCAAGCGGATCGCTGAAGGCAGGTTGAAGGGAGATCAGGCAGTGCTGAATAATGGCTAAACTCGTACGAGCAGTAAAGCAGGTGCATATCGTGCAGATAAATACTCCTGTCAATTTGCTCTGATCCACGATAAGATTCCATGAAATTCCACGGACTTTTCGTTGTCGTAACGTACTATTACAGGGCGCATTTTACTACGCCCCTCAATTTAACGCTGGCGGCTCAATAAAATATCTGCGCTAAGGTCTTGGCAGTGGGTCAGAGAAAGAGAGTCTCGGTGTGTACTGGTCAAGGCAATTTCGAGAATCACTGTATCATTCACATACTGAAGCACAAACTGTTGGATTTGTGAAATCTCCTCCTGAAATGCACCGTAAATATCACTAAATGATTCTGCCCCAGTGTCCAGCTTTGACGGCATCACGAGTGCTTCCATGAAAGCACGATGCTCGAGAACGGCCCCTTTCGAACCAAACTAATCCAAGCTATAGACCGTATTTAGATCCTCCTCTCCATGTGAAAAAAAAAAATCAGAAAAACCATCTCAGATCTGCGCCATGATGCATCCTCCACGCCGATAAATATCAAACCCAGAAAAAACGCAATTTGGAACCTGCCCCCCACGACGAATACCATATTTTCCTTCTCATGCATTTCCACCGTTGATATAGCATCGATCATTCTTCACTGTCATCAATGTCGACCCGGAGACCACCTCCCTCCACATGAGTGACCTTACCAAAGGTCCCCAGAATGTCTTCGACACCAGCTCGGCTGTGCAGCACGGGGTGACTAATTACAGTTGAGATGTTCTCGGTCTTTTCCTTCTGTAGTAGAAGCATTTTCTCGTCATCGATGGTACCCTCTGCGACAATTTTGACGATCTCAACATCCCGTTGCTGGCCCTTTCTATACACGCGACCATAAGCCTGGTATTTGTTAGCTGGTAGGTTGACGTATGTATGAAAATAATAGACTTATCTGCTCCTGCAGAGCTTCATTCCACCACAGGTCTAGGAGGATGCACTTGTTAGCCGCGGAAAGGTCCAGTCCGACGCCACCCGTCTTCAGCGAAGAGATCATGACTTTGATTTCCGAGTTATCCCGGAATCTTTCGATGCTTTTGTCGCGTGAGATAGGAGGCATCTTTCCGGTCAACTTGGTATGTGTTGTTAGTGACCTTGTAAGCGTTGGGGATTGATTTCAGTACTCACAGTGGTAGACCTCCAGCCGTTCTGCTCACACATTGACTTCAGCAACCGGACTGTGTCCAAGAATTGAGTGAAGATGAGGATCTTGTTTTTTTTGTCTTCTTCGATCCATTTCATCAGTATCTCGCGGACTTTCGTGAATTTGGCGCTAGGAGTCTTCTGCCCGATGGCTGGAATCCAGTCCTCCGGAACGAATTCCACGTTAAATACATCCTCATCTTCGCCATCTTCTGGTTGAGATCGAGACTTTCCGAACATTGAGGATGTCCGCACTCTCTTTGAAGCTTTGTTTGGCTTGGGAGATTTTTGTGAACTCTCGGCTTTGTCGTATCGTTTCCTCTTGCCTGGGACGGACGAGCCAGTTGACACGGAAGATTCGTACCCCACTGGATGAACTCTATCGAAGACACCGTAATAGGCGGCTTCTAGTATCGGCGTTGGGCATTTGGTGCACAGTCGATTCTCCTTTCCCAGTAATCCCTGTTCGTCGGGAAGTTGATCGAAACATTCTGCGCAATATAGATGTTTGCAGGATGTGATGATTGCTTGTTCGGGGATCTCTCCACAAAGAGGGCAGTTATGTCTCTCCTTGCAATCTTGCCAGCTTTCCTCGTTGTGGAGCTGATCCATGAATTCCCGGAACTCTCTGATCAGTTTGTCTCTGTCCCCCTCAGGTTGCGGTGGAGAGATATCATCTTCGGACAGAGTGCTCTCTGCAGTAGGAACCGAAGAATCACCCTGGGCAGAGAGAAGTATTTTTGCGATTTGTGCAGATGGATTATTGTCCGTAGTATCTTGCTCCTCAATCAAACGCCTTAAGGTAGCAACGGTGTTGCCATGAAGGGCATACTGGACCACATCCTGAGCCGTGAGAAGATGGCTGGTAAACATGCGAAGCTTCAAAAACATGGTCAAGATGCACTGCCATTGTCGCGCCTTTAGTCGTGGTCCACAGTTATCTGCGAGTTATTTTTAGCATGGATCAGAATATGGGGTAATTACAACAATTCACGCACCATTGACCTTCTGGAGAAAGATCAGCACGATCTTCCTGTACAGGATCTTTTCAGCTTCGCAAAGTTCAACAGTCTCTTCTTTGCAAACAACCCCTGGCAACTTGATTATAGGTCGAGAGAGGAGCCTGCTTTCATGTGTTTTTCGGTGAAGGATCGACTTGAGTGTCTCCACGAGTTTGCTCCTTGAGCTTCCCTCCCCCTGCATGCAACGAAATGATCAGAAGGTCCGCGGGAGAAGATGCGCAGGAGGTAAGGAGTGGTCAGTCTCTTACATCACAGTATATGTGCTTGAAGTCATCCGCAGTGGTACAATGTGGAACCCCAATGAAGTTGAAATATGGGTACAGTTCCTCGATGCAGCTAAGAACGTTAGAAAAGCTCAGTCTGCCGGGATTTTGGACGTACTTGTGCAGAGGAGTTCCAGTCACAACCCACTTATGAGTTCCGATCAGGCCTCGGATTGCCATGGATGTGGCGGAGGCCGGATTCTTGATGACATGGCCCTCTAAGTAAATCTCAGTAACCTGCCCAGGAATAAATGTGAATAAAACTTACCATCAAGGATGATACGTTGCCATTTCATTCGATGTAGGACCCCCACGTTCTTCATGAAAAAGTCCTTCCACCATCGCGTTATATCCTCCTTGGATAGCCCTATCGGTGCTTTCGGTGAAGGGTAAGACCGTCGCACATGTTCATACGAGGCAAGCCTGTCGCACAAATTAGGATCAATTTTAACTATTTTGAGTCGCGAAGGATTCAAGGAGGGCCTTACACCACGTCATTTTTTTCCATTGACTTGATATTGTTTTGATCACTCATCCTTGAGTTGCTCCTGTACTCCTGGACGGTTCCAAATATATCGGTGTCGAAAAACCTGTTGATTTGATCCGCCCTGCGTATTTCCATGAGCCCATTTCATAGCAGGGTGAGCTTGGTTGTAATCAAAGTATACTAACCAATGGCCGATCATTCCTGACGGAACGACAATCAGGGTAGGGGCCTTCTCATCATATTTGTCCAAACGTCTGCCGTCCAAGATGGTTGAGAGAGCTGTCACCGTTTTTCCGAAACCCATCACGTCGCACAGCAGTCCCCCAACGGGTTCGGTAGATGATTTCTCTCGCTCACGCTAAAAATTGAATTATTAAATGATATCTCTGAGGATTTAAAGTGCACCATACCATCCAACCAACAGCTAGAACCTATTACGATGTTAGATAACGGCTGACTGTTGGGTTAGAAATGGTTTCACTTACCTGGTGGTGACTTAGACTGGTGTTCAAACCCTTGACCTTCCAGCCACCAGCACCATCGCTCGAGGGTTGATGGTCAAATTTCCGGGTCGCTTCCAAAATCCGCTGTCGGTCAGATTTAGCAGCAGCTTTTTCCGTTGGTGTTAAATCTGTCATTATATCAATTATCTCGGTCAGAGCCTTGGACTTGTCTTTTTTTGCGGAGGTCGGGAGCTCAGGCATTGCCGCATTTGCATTAGCATTGAGAATAATGCTGCTTGATGTCCAAATACTCTCCAACTCTTTGTTCGAGAGCCGATGTGTTTTTTGTCGTGAGCTTCGTTGGTTTGCGCTGCCCTTTGGTTCATCTGTGGTAGGTTGAGTACCAGTTTGATCCTTTCCAAGTAATCGCTGAAGACCTAATGCCATGGACGCGGTCTTCTCTTTCTCAGAAGGCACTAGTCTCTTCTTTGGCATTTGGCTTGACTTGGGATCTTTTGATCCTGATGCCTCGGGCAGTTGGTGACTTGGGGATAAATACTTGGGAAAATCGGCTTCTCCAACGAAAAGCGCTTCATCATCTCCCTCGGGCGAATTCTCGCTACTCGCCAAGCGACTATACCGACCCTTTGGATGCAAGTCGTCTTCTTCTCCCTTGACCATTCCCACGAAAATCTTGTCATCGATTTCCAAGTGACTGGACGGCTCTTTTTCCTGGGAGAACCTGACAATACATGATTAGGATAAGATGTCGTATTCTGCAAGCACATAAAACTTACGCATTGTCACTCTGCTCTTCGCGAGGGATGTATTCTTTCTCTTCCCAGTCATTCTCAGTTGCCTTCGCCTTCCCCTTGTCAGGTTTACCGTGAGTCGATGGCTCATGAAGAATGGAATATGGGGTGTCAATTCCATCGTCTGTCCAATGCGAGATATTGAGGGAACGTCCCTCATCACCAGATGAGGATGCTTTGCTTTGAGAGTGTTGATTAGAGTCTCCCCCCATCTCAGCGGCCGTGAGGTCGTCAATCGCACGTCGAAGCCCTTCTCTACCCTGTCGTGGAGGCCCTGGGTAATCCGGCAAGGTTGAACTTTCGGGGTTCGAAGCAGTCGTAGTTCCGAATTCCTCCTTTACTGGAGAGACCATTGTGTCTCCAGTATCATCATCCATTGTGGGAACTCTGATATGAGTAGTGAAGTTTGAAGGATATTGCAATTGAGCTCAATGGGGTTTGATGTGTCGTAAAGTAGAGAGATGAAGATTCGATAAGATTGTCGAAGAGGAAAAGATAATAGAGGGTATATGATAGAGGAAGAAACTGAGTATCGTAATTGTGGTATAGGGCGAGGGACAGATGAAGGTGAGGACTGTTGATGAAGGAGGGTTTGGGTAGGATGAAAATTGGGAAGAGGGGCTGGAGAGGTAGATGGGGAGGAAGAGTAGGGCTGAATAGGGTTTGAAAAGAGGACGAAGAAGAGATGACGATGGAGAGTAATGAGAGTGCTGATGTTCCAGAGCAGGAAAGGATAGTTGGGAGCGATATATGAGGAAGGGTTCGGGAGGGATAGAGGAAGGGGATGAGAGGATAAAAGATTAAGTGAATAACTCGATGGAGTCTGGAGTTGGTGGAGATGAGAGAAAACGAAGTTTGAATGAGGACGAGTAAAGGGACTTGGGGATTGGGTTGATGAGATGAGTTGGTAGAAGTCTCATGGAAGACTTCTGGGGAAAGCACGAAGAGAGAATGGTCGAGGAGAGATGTGTATGGAGAGAGTAGAACTGCAAGTGACTTGTGGGCGTTGATACCCCATGATCTACCTGAATTCCAGCAATGATATCTCTGGCTCCTTTTTCTTACAGATTGGCAGGCTACGATATCCTTGAACTTTGATTGACTTTCCAAGGAACCAGCTCATATACGTCGTTCTTACCAAAACAGCCTGCCCGCTCACACCCTCTCTACCTTTCAAAGTGATGGCCTGATTCTGGGAGTCGGCCGAATCCACAACTTGTGAGTGAATCCCGGAGAGAAGAGTCATTAGTTGTATGAAGGCGCTTGGAGACACCTCTAAGACTAATTGCCTAACCTATTCTCCCACTGCAGCTTCCTGCTTCCTACTGGACACGCCGAGAATCAGCTGTGAGTGACGAACTCGATACCAACGTGACAGAACCTCAACCGATCTTTCTGATGAACTATACTCGCTCGTTCTTCATCTCTCATCATTTTTTCATTTCCACCATCGATAGCCCTGCCTTCAACACTTGGCAACACCTCTGACGAGACATTGAGACAACAACATGACGGGCATGAAAAGAAAGAACAAGACCACTGCCGAAGCAGCCTTTTCTCTCAGCATGGGCGACATTCTTCTCCAACAGAATGACCTCGAGGACCTTGGATGCAAATCCAAGCCTTGAATACCTGGCACCTAAATATCCTTGAAAGCCAGGAGCTTCTCGACTCCACAGATGGCAAACGAGTCCTACGCACAGCCCGGACCGTCAATTGGCGATACAGCAAATATCGAGCTCAGGCTTCAAGCATTGAGAGGGTGATCTCCAAAAACCGCGATATCGTTCAGAAGGTTTTGAGGGAAATGGTTGCTGCTGCTAGTCTTCCCGCGGACCATGAGGTCTACAAAGAAGCTGGCAGTCAAGCTTCTGATCCGGTTAAGACTAAAATTGCGACCGCATATGAGCACAAGACCGAGGACAACACTAAGTGCAGTGCTGAGCACAAGACTGAAGACAAGTCCGAGGAGATCAAGCGATCCAGCAAGAAGGAAGACAACCCAGAGAAGCAGATGGATATCCAGCCATCAGAGGAGAAGCCTAGCGAGATGACCGCCTAAACAGCTCATGCCATTTTCCGAATGATCGCCACACCATACTGACCAAACTATTTAGCAGCATTACGGCTCGGAAATGAAATATGGAGTATAACACACTGGTGGAGGAAGGATCGCAACTTTGTTTTGCCCGATTGGGTGTCGCGTTCCAGGGCTTTGGTCTTTCCTTAGGATGCAACCCTGCACGATCAAACCAGCATAGCTGAATGGAGACATTTCATTACAGTGAAAATCGGGTGGATTTTGATTTGATCATGATAATCATACACACATTAGTCGTTAAAATAAAAGCATAAAGCATAACCGATATTCATCATAGGAATATCACAGATTCAAAACGCAAATCCACAAAATTGAAAATCCACCCGCAACCAAATCACCTGATCTCGCACAACCCTCCTCCGCATTCTCATTCTCTCCGCTCGGTCAACAGTCAACGATTAACGCGCACGACGGTTCTCATGACGCTGGTTGTATGTGTCATGGGGCGCTTGGAGGAAGATGTTTGCCGGTGCCTGGATGCGTCCTCCCTGCATGGGAATATCCCGGTCCTCGGGCGTACCGTTCACAGCGGCCCGGTCGAAGTACCCAAGATCCAGGAGCTCCCGAAGCATGATATCGGAGGCTGATTCGTCCCAGTCCTGGTCCATCTCCTCATCCTCCTGCATCATGGCTTGAGCCGTAGTTGGAGCAGGTGTAGTCTCAACACTGGGGGTGGCGGCAGTGTCGGTGTCAGTGTCGATGTTCCTGGTGGTGACATCGGCCAGTGGGACGCGGCGCATGAAGTCGACGGGGAGACCGAAGACATCGCGGGGACCGACTTCAAGGATTGACCAGTCCACAGGGTTGCGATTGGGGAGAGGTACCATCGGAGGTTCGTGATCTGGGCCATACTCGTTCTCCTTGTTCTCATCCGATTCTGGCCAGGAAATTGGAGTGCGAACCTGGGGCGACTCTTGGTCCTCGCCGTCTTCGAGGATCTCGAAGTGCCGTCTCTCCGGGCTGCTGGGGAAGAATGCCCGGCCCGCACGGCGATGTGGGGTAACTGGGTTACCCAGGAAAGGCTCTCGCGCAGGCTCTGCCTTTCTGTCAGCTACTTCTCTGATAGTCTGCCTGGCTTTATCCTTCATGCATGGCGGTCCTTAGACAGGTGCCGTGCATCAGGATGAACATTAACCATGACGTGAAACTGTCACCGTCTAGTGACAGGAAAGGATGTTGATACTTATACACTTACGCTGAGACGGCTCGACAATGGTCGAGCGACGCCGTGGCCGAGCACGCGGCAAGGATGGGCCTGAAGGCGCGGCAGCAATCTGTCCACGACGAGATGCCATCGTCATGGATCGCAAGGTCATGGGATGTCTCGAGGGAATCCGGAATCTCCATGACCGGCGGCGGGGCAGGCGCCCATAACGAAATCTCGCGAGTCCCAGTTCCGGACTCGACGAGGACGACTCCCGGATGATACTGTTCTGCGTTTTTCTTCAATATCAGACTCCGAACACTGAGATATCACAATCATAGCATAGTACTTACCCGGTAAGCGTCGTTGTCTCTTGGCTCCTGGCTTTGCTCCATTTCCGATATCGAGATATCGGACTGCTATGTTCGGATGAAATTTTTAAAAAAATCCTTCAGAAGAAAGGGTAGAGGGGGAGGTTTGTTGATGGTAAGTGAGGTGAGAAGACGCGCCATCCGAAATGTTTGTTGACTATAGGGCCGTGGACAATAATACCTACTGCCTTATCGCGATGCATCTTAGAAGTCATAGGGATAGGCAGTATCTACGATAAGATTCAGCAGTATTTTGGCTCTAAGGTTAGGTCTTACCATGAGACTGTTCGTTTTGGGGGTAGTTGATATACCACGGGTTGAAGACCCTGTGAGGACTATAAACCTTACTTTGAACAAAAATCTGAGTGCTATCCCATCATTTCCCATTGTTATTAGACAGCTTATATTAAACATTCGTTGATATAGACTATGGCTTCTTAAGTAGACGTTTCCATTCCCCCGTGTTTGCTTATATGTAGCTATACCCGGAGACTATGTGAAAGGTTATTTCGGCGAACATTGTTAAGTAAGCGTAAATGGCTTATAACCCTAGTCAATTCTTTAGGCGCCTATATATCGTTTGATGAGGAAACCCTAGGGGTAGCCTCATTAAAGGCTAAGGGTATTAGATATGCTCTCGATTAAGCAATTCACGTTAGTAAACATAATATAATGCAATACATTAGAAATAACTTACATCGTCGTTAATGGCAGTACGCCCCGCAAAACTTGGCACTAGTAGCATTCTCTTCCGATCAGTTGTTTCTATTCTACAAAGGATAGAGGGAAATTTTCCATATCTGTGAAATACAGGGACCAAGAAAAAAGGCCATCTATATATGCCTCGATTTTTTATTTTTAATAGATCTTTCTGAATGTCTTTTGGACCCTCTCTCTAGATATTCCCGGCATCTTTGTTCAACTTGCCTTTTAAAGTATAGCTGATGAGGTGGTTTTGAACCTTTTCGGGTGTTGCAAGCTTATGGAACACCACTGTACTCCAGTTAAGTGTATCCGTGTCTCTCCCTGTCTCATAAGAAAACGTCTCCAGACCATGCTGCTGACCTCAGTCCTTTAAAAGTGCAGTATATCTTGAAAGGCGGCCTAAAGTGAAAAGGTAAGTCATAATGCTCGAAGGGGGAGTCGGTTCATAGGGTCTTCAGACACCGGATTTTGTTTAACAAACGCAAACGCAACGCCTGACAAATCAAGGGGAGTGATACAGCGATCAAGATCAATATTATATTCGAGGATTCCGGATATAGCGTCAAACCTTCTACACATATAACTCCACTGCGGGATCTGTAGCTAATGGATACTGATATCACTAATTCTGAATCAAGTAATGGATAGATTGTATCTGTTCAGCCATCTACAATGAGAGCGAGAGTCTACCGATATCTCAGAGACACTTGGACTCCTCCGAATCTTAGATTCGCAATTGATCCATCACCTGATCTATCAACCATATCACTTCGTCTCCGTCAATGTACTTGTTCACAGCCAGCACTAGATACACAGCAACATCATCTCCCTTCAAGGACAAAGAGTATCGGAGAATGACAAAAGAGTCAATTGCCACAGAAATTGTGGGATGCAACGAAAAGGAAAACACAGAACGAGCCAGAGCTGGGGGTTATCAAACGCAGCGTCAAGCAGGGGCATCATAGTACCGAAAATTGGCATCAGCAAATACATCAAAAAGGAAGAAATAAAGAAAAGATATACTTTGATCTCTCGATAGGATGCAACGTTGCTGTGTAACCAGGCCGGGCTGAAACAAACGAAAATCTCGTGCCGCATGCTGTCCACCATACATTTGCCCAAATTGTCACATACTTCATTTAGCAGCAAGAGAAAAAGAAGGGTGGATTAAATGCAGACATCGAAGGTCATCGTACCATACTTGGTCTACCTAAATTGACCAGGGCCGACCATGCCACCTCGCCCGTCACCACCATTGGGCTGGCCGAACATCTCCAAGAGGTGTCGAGACGAGGGAGGTGGACCTTGTGGACCAGGGCCACCGGGACCAAAAGGACCTTGACCGCCGGGGCCAACTCCCATCATGGCCTCCGGGTTTGGGGGCATGGGAGGGAAACCGGGGGGAGGAGGGCCACCCATGTATCCTGGCGGTGGCATCATGCCGGGTAGGGGACCGCGAGGGGGCATCGGCATCATACCTGGCGGGAAGCCACGGTTAGGTGCTGGGATGCCAGGAGGCGGGCCCATGGGGTTGGGCCCATTACCCTGGGGAGGAGGATGTTGACCGGCCCAGCCTGGGGGTGGCATATGCTCCAGTCCTGGAGGCCGCTGGAGTGGCATGGGAGGCTGGTTCATGCCCTGAAGAGGACGGGAACCCCCAGGAGTCATAGGGCCTTGGCCACCCTGAGGTGGGAAGGGAACCTCATCGAAGTACCCCACGGGCGGGGGGACGTTGGGGGCTCGCCGACGGAGCTGTTCGCTGTCTGGTCGCTGCATATTCGCAATGGCGGGGTCATCGAGGAAGGTTGGAGTCTTTTGAGCACCAAGTCCAGGAGGAGGACGAGGCATCATTTCTGGCATCAGGCCAGGGGGAGGAGGCACGCCTGCATTTGGTGGTGACTGCTGGGATGATAGGCCAGAGGGAGGTCCAACGCGGACTTGCTGCATCAACCGAAGCAGATGCTCTCTCTCGCCAGTCTGGGGTTCCTTGCCAACCACTTGAGCCATAGGGTGCTCACGAGGGCTCATGTAATCAGAATGCGAGAGCGAATCTCTCGGAGACGACATGTTGGCAACAGGACGTGGCTGCTGCTCTGAGTGCGCCATCGGGGGTGGGCGCGAATGATGAAGCGGCTCACCTTGGTTAGGAGTGCCATTGTTGGATCGATTGCCTCCGCCTCCCAGCATCTTCAGAATACGCTGGAAACCTTCCTGGTCGGCATCATGTGGGTTGACCGGGCTACCTCCACCAAAGAGTGCGGCCATAGAGGGTCCTTGAGGCTCAGTCTCCCTCGCAGGACTCTCTGGTGGCGGGCTGAACAAACCAGCAAAACGAGATGATTTGCCAGGTTTTGCGCTCATGCCAGCGCCAAGAGGGTCTTTCTTGGGAGTTTGTTCAGCGGCAATCGGTGAGCTGATTTCAGGAACGGGGGGGTTCGTATCTCCCAGCATACCAAAGAAGCGCTCCATCGAGGAAACTGGCAAAAATTGAGCACCAGAGTTGCTGAAAATCTCCCCATCGGTGGGGTGGGACTCTGGCTGCTGAGCAGTAATATGAGATTCTGCGGCTAGCTCTCTCTTCTCTTCTTGCGCTGGAGCCTGCTGACCAGCACCAGATCCAGCCTTCATCCTCTCCTTCCAGCGTTCAAAGTCTTCCTGCGTATGTGCACGTCGTGGCTCATCTCGGTCGTTGCTATCCAACCACTCGGGCTCTTGCTCGAGTTTGGCACCGCGAGTCCAGTCACGGTCTGCGCCGTGTCGGTCACGACGCCACTCTCGGTTGCGAATCTGTGCTTTATCGTCTTCAGCATCAGCACCCTCATGGGTGTTTTCATCACGGAACCAGCTCCCTTCGAGTTTGGCTCGTCCCGGCTGGCCATCCTTTTTCACTGTGGGGCGGCCATCGCGTTCCCGAATTCCTCGATCATTGTTTGGGTCTCGGGCATTTTCTCTATTCTCCCATCGGTCGAATTCACCGTTGCGACGCGGCTTGCGGTCCTGCTCATCCGGTCCGAGCCCACGACGAGGACGACCAGCATTCCAGTCCTCCCTTTCCCCGCGTCGGCCGTTTAGACCAGCAGGCTTCCCGTCTCGGCGTTCCAATTCTCTCTCCGGAGCGTCCTTATCTTTGAAAAATTTGTCTCTGAAGTTGAAGCGGTCACTCTTCTCATCCGAGTCGCCTGGTCGCACAGACCGGTCCGTCAGGTCGAACGATCCTTTACCGACCCCACCAATTCGTGATGACGCAAAGGCAGTTTTCGGGGGCCAAGAATGATGTCTTCTGTACCATTTCACAAAGGATGTTAGCAAGATCGATTGCCGCTACTGGCCAATGCTCGGTTAGGCGAAGGACCCGAGAGGAAGGCATACCTGAATTGGAACCACGGGAAATATGACGAGCTTCGAAGAAGCTGGGCCTTCTGTTTGTAGTCGTCTCAGATGGGTTATTAGGATCACGCGGGTTTCGTTGCTTGGTCTGGGTCGTTGGGTCAGGTTGAGGCCTGTAGAGATGAGTGATAAGGTCAGTCTTCGCTATGGGGATGCGGAGTGGCCGAGGCTGGTGGGAGCTGGTAACATACATCCATTCTTCAATCGGGGGTAGGCCAGGAGGTTTTGCGACAAGAGGCGATGAGCGTAGCCATAGCAGCTCATCGATCTCGTACCGTCGCGCCATGACGGCCTGGTCTGGGAATGGTGTGTGCGATCTTTATCCACAGGAGTTCAGGGTCCTCTCATTGGTCCACACGGGGGTAAAAATCGTAGAGCGCAAATGCGAATGGCGATATCGGTGTCCAAGGTGCGAGATTCGGACGGTAGGAGGAATAATCGAAGAGATAAGGGTAGAGGGGAGGAGGGAGCGAAAGACGGGAAAATGAGGTTGAGTGAGGAGAAGCAGCAATAAGCCACTTTGTGGCGAGGCTCAAGGCGGAGTCGGGGTCGGTGAGGAGGGGGTGGTCGTGGATTTGAACCAAGGCGATACTCCGAGAGGGTACACAACCAGGACAGGGAGTGGTAGGGGGCCAAGTTTGGCGTAGTCAGGAGATTGTTGAAGAAAAATACGTTTGCGTTTGGTGCGAAGCGAGATACTGTCAAGGCGAAGAGGAAGAGAGGGGTGTGCGGCGTCACTCGTGACCATTTTTGATATGCGAATGTGCTGATAGCGGAAGTCCACCAGTTGGTAAGGTCCGCCTTAATTAGCAGGCAACTCCTCGGTTCAAATCGGCCATTGTACTAGAATAGAAGATATCGATGTTTTTTGTACATCTGTGTCTTTTAAATTGTCCTAATCGTATTTGTTGCAGTGATCAATTGTCTTGGACAATGCTACACTTGGCCGAGGCTACATTCTAGCGGCATTTCATAAGGCTGAACTGACAATGGAGCTTCAAGTCACCTAAGCCACTCATGCCTGTAATAGGTATCTAGAAAGACAGCTCAGAAAACATCTAAAACAGATCTCTCGGAAGCTATGTATTTGATCTCCGTTCTCTCAATTCAAAGTCGTGAACTGCTCGTGTACAGGAGCAGCCGAATGGCCTCCTGACGCTTGCTCATGATTGAGACCCAATTATCTTAGTAGGTGTGTTCCCCAGTTTTAATTCTTTTTTTATGTAAGAGTACTAAGTTGGGCATGATTGTGGTTAGTCCCTGGCACTGCATACTGCCGATGCGCAGTCCCCAAACCATATAGGTCCAGCAAGACCGCTGGTGTAGCAACCACTAAGCGACTCCAATGAATGAATTATTAGACAAGGCCCCTCTCTCTCTTCCTCAATCTCACTCAATGTAATGCTTCTCGGCATAAATTCGATGAGTATTCCCCCGATGATCATGGATCTCCAATGACAATGTTCCATTCCTAGAGACGTACCAGCCGACCGAGTTCTCTCCAATCAACTGCCAAGTACCCTGCGCATAGAAACAGGACCGGGGATAGTCAGGATATTGTGTCTTGAATATATTCATCGTCTGATCATTGGCCGAGGAAAGTATGGAGAAGACGCCTTCGATTATGAATTCTGATTCATCACGCTGCCTCTGCTTCTCGTGGACGAGAACGAAAACATGAGGCTCGTTGTCCTGTGAATGCACAGTTTCTTCAACAGCATCTGCTTGAGCTTCTTGAAGCTCCTCTATCAGTTCCTGGGGGAACCGAGATTCGCGCGTGCGTTCGTATTGCATTATTTGATGGCCTTGATGATAAACGGGTTTCACCAGGAGAACAAACCGATTATTATTTTACAATTAGATGCCTACGAGTGAAAGGTATTTTGTAAGGCTTGTGGTCAAGGACAAAGAATGACGTGGACAGCTTGATTAAAACTACATATCTGATTCCCAATTTTAGCATGAACGGCTACGTAGGCATTCCTAGGGTCGGGGTCTACTGGATCGTGGCTCACTAAAACTTAATGAAAAAGATGGACTCAAAAAAGAGTGTTAGAGTCAAACTTCCATCAATGAGCTCCACAGATGGGTTATTTTAGCTGCAAAAAAAGATAGTGGATGTGTTCTTATCAAAGAGTTTCTCTCTTTTGTATCACTCCTGAATATGGGAGAAGAGGCAAAATGCGGGGTTTTCAGGTAGAAAACACTTAGCTAGGGATAGCAAGAATAGGTATAGATTGCACCTGAATCTGTTGTCTTAATGCAAATCAACAAGCATAGTGCTTTATAACGTCAGACATGAGTGCACGATGATACCAACCAGCTTGCTCTTTTAGTGCTTTATGATACCAACAAATCCGAGCATACCTGTCCCCGAAAATATGCTTCACCTTGGCGTAAAGACCCTTCGATTTGGCTTGAACAGAAAATCTAAGATCAAACAAGGTATGTTCAAAGTCTCTCTCAAGACCCATTAGCAGCAGGGCTTTTTCCACATCCATTGTCCTAAACGTGGGTGTCTGGAGAAGACTGATGTGTTCATAGACGTAGTCCATGAAGTCGACTGGCTTTGGTGAGGACGTTTGGCGAGTGAAACCTGACCAGAGCTCTCTCGCAGCGACTAGTTTGAAGCCAAGGAACTCGAGGACGGAAATACTCTCTTTTGCCAGCAGGATATTGACTTGGTATGGCTTTCCTGCGTCGATGTCATTGTCTTCGGTTGGATCTGGGGCATGCTGTAGTAGCCATGGCTTCGTCTGAAGACGGTCTGGTGTGACAGTGCAGACACCAGTGTGTTTTGATTCAAATGAGACTGGCTCAATTATTGACATTTTCTCGAGCCATGTGATTTCCTCGTCCGTGAGAACACCTTTAGTGGTGAAGTTTTCGTTGCTTGAAGGCATATTAGACATGGTGAGCTGATAAAACCTCGTGAAATTGTACAGATAAGTGTGTGAATGTGGAAGGAGGAACCATGCGCGCGAGAATTACTACATCCTCTATGGTCTAAACGGGTATGGCAACCAAAATGGGGAAAGAAGGACAAAGATCTAAAGACGGCATGCCCGAATCCGCCATCGGAGGCCAAATCTGGAAACGAACCCGATAGGAATAGTTTAGTCATATTCTGGCCTGGCGATAGCAGTATAGGAAATATAGTACAGAAATATTTGAAACTCAGGAATGAGAGATCTCTTTTAGAGCATGCTCGACAGTTCCAGCGCTCCACGCATCGACTCGCTCACGGTCAGACGTTTCATATAGTTTCCGCGCCAAGGCCACGAGCAATGCCACTTCCTTCACATCAGCTTCTGCAACTTGAACTTGGATCCAGCTAATGACTGCCGCGCGGGTAATCAGTGTAGTGCTTCCACCAACTTGTGCAGCTCGGTAAATGATATGCAGAATCTTTCGTCGCGCCGCTTCGCCAAGAGTCGGGGACTGGTAAAGTGAGAGAATGCGTTCAAAGACGTTCGCACGTCTGTAGATTTCCATATCCTATTAAATTTGGTTAGTAATTTCGGAAATGAAATGACGAATGGTTTGATCACGTACGGCTTTAGTGCGGAGACTCTTCACAAATAGTCCCAGCAGCCAGTCGATCTCGTCGACATAGCCGTCATCCAACTCAGGCTCGTTGAGGAAAATCTTGTCGATCCAGTACGAAGGAATCTTCTCAACTTCCCATACAGGGGATTTTTGCAAAAACTTGTTGACCTTTCCATACACCTTGTGCAAGGGGTGGGTAAGGATATTCAGGCAGTTGGAGGCACATTCGCCAATGATCCAGGGGATAGGCTCCTCAAGACCGATCTGATTGACAGTCTCAAGAAGTTCACCCGTCAGAGTATATACGGTACGCCACTCCACGTATTTTGATTCCTGAAAGTGATGTCAGTAAAAGTTCAAGCCCATCCATTCAAGAGCATTGTAGCCTACCTTCAGCTGGACCATAAACCGAGCGATCTTGGAGAATGCCTGTCTCCGAACTTCCTCGTACTCCGAGCACAAACAAAGCATCAGCTCGGCAATACGGCCTTGCTCAACTGCTTGCTCTATGTCCTCTCTCTCCCATCTGTGCAATGCATTATGTGTGGTACCTTCAGTAGGCAGGAAGCCGAAGATCTCATCAAGATCTACTGTTGAGGCCTTGTCGGACGACGTCGGTGGAGTGGGCCCAGAATCCACGTCCATTTTGTCTTCATCATCAGCTTCCTCTTGTCCCTTGAAACATTTCTTGATCAAAGAGCGGGTTTTCTTCGTCTCGGTAGCTTCAACCAAGGCATCACGAGCAGCCTTCAAAGCAACCGAGTTTTCTCCGGCATGTTTCAAATGCGCAAGCACCTTGGCAATCCATGTTCCAGTGGCTACTTCATCAGACTCATCCCCGGCCTTTACAACAAAAGGCCATTGTTCAACGATAGCTGCAACAAGAGGGCTGGTCGCAGTGTCATCTTGGGAGGTAGATCCGATCAAGTCCAAATAGTGGACAGGCTTCTTCGCAGCTCGGGACACGCAGTTATCAATGAAAAGTAACTGTTTGTGTAGTGTGTCGGATTCGGAATCTTCAAGACTGGACAAAAGTGCGTTGAATGACTGCGGTAAGTTCTGCAAGACGGAGTTTTCCGCAAGGACAGACATGAGCAGAGCCGAGATGCGACGCGCAGAGTCCTTGTCAGAAGTTTCTACGAGAACCTTGAGGATTGAGGTGAATGGCGAGTATTGCATAGAAGCTGCAAAAATCGTTAGTTCAAGAATCCTTCATATTCTTGCCACGAAAGATCGCATACCTGGCTTCTGCCACCACCTCATTGAGGCAGACTGCTGTGCGATCTGGAGAACACTCTGTAACTGGCTGAGGAGCATCTCAGAGTCATCAGCGCTGAGCTTGGGCTCCTCCAGGCGCTTCAAAACATCCACTAAAACTAATGAGACATCGAAATTTTCCTCCAACGCAATATCAGGCATGACTTCGTAATAACAAGCCAAGAGCTCTGCAACAGCCTCTTGCTGCTGTAAATCATCCTTGGCAGTTCGTCGGAACAGTAGGATCGCATCTTTAACGACTGGGATCCGACGAGAGAACTCGGCTAACAGCTTGGTGGAGGCCTGATTCCAGAAAAGCTGAGCTTGTCCATGATCAGCTCGGAAGATCTTCAGAACAGCTCGCAGTTTCGTAAAAGCAAGAGTCAGGATTCGCACGGCGAACAGGGTAATGATCTCCGCATTTTGGTTCAGGCACCGTGTCATGGTTTTCTGGCTAAGAGGACGAGGAAGAACATTCTCGATAACAATGGACACGGGAGGCGGCAGGGCCGGCAGCTTGTCCTTCCAGCCGCAGTTGGTGGGCACAGGTAGCTGCACAGTTGAGAAGAGGAAAGCAGACTCTGCCATCCACGACGGGGTGGCTTTGGGGTCTGCGGTGAACATAGTCTTCTTGGTAAAGAAGTCGGCGATCAGCTCCGGAGCGACCTTGAAAATGGTGACCAGCAACTCAATCTGCAGGCTGTCTACATCCGGGCGAAGGCATTGAATCAGATGAGACAAGGAATTGTTCCGTACAGGAACGGACTCCCGGTACTTGTCGACGTGAATAGGTGAGTCGAGACCCAGTTCGATACACTCACCATCCTCAATTGGCACAGTCTCGGGGTCAGTCCCAACAGGATACCAGCCTGTCTCGGGAAGTAGAACACCAAGACCAGAGGTCTTGCAGACATTCATCAGGACCCGGTGAATCTCGTTGGCAATCAAGATCCCCTCCGGATTGGGTTCGTCAGACTCACGGTCATAGCCATACAGCGTCACCAACTTCTCCAGGTTCCATCGGTTGAAGAATTTGCTCTTTGATTTGCGTGGCAATGATTCATCTTGCACGATGTCGCGCTCAATTGCTTTGATGACTTCCAAGGCGTCCGCCCGAGAATCTTTCCGGACGTGTTCAAGCAGCGCTCGAGTCAGTTTGGGCTGCTCGAGGATATCGCTTTTTTCCAAGGTTTGTTGGACTCTCAAATTGGCAAGCAGATATTTCACAGCGTTTCGTCGGAGCGTCGACTTCGGTGCATCCTCTTCTGCGGCCTCAAGCTGCAGCTTGCTAGGTGTCAAAAAGATTTCGAATCGCTTGAAGGTGATATAACGACTGATGTACAGCTTTCGAGCCACGGCACCACCGTCATAGGTGACGATTTCTGTGAGAAGACGCAAGCAAGGAGAAATCAGGTGCTCCTTTGTCTTTGTGGCCGTCAAGCCACGGTTGAAAAGTCTGAGTTGGTCCTTCTGCAGCAGATGCTTGCACAGAGCGATCCCGAATTCCCGGAATTCGAGCTGGCGGGAGATAGTCTTCAGAAAAATCGCCAGAACAGAGGGAATATTAGTTAGTAGTGGCTCATTGTTGTTGCTATCGGCGAAGCTCCAGGTCTGAATGAGGTCCGGGAAGCAGACCGAGGAGTCTTCCTCTTTGCCGGGGGTAATTTGCTTATCGCAATAGCCCTTCAGCACACGAAGCTTCTGGGCCTTGTCGCTCTCCTTTTCGGTCTGACCAATTGATACTAGAAATTCCTTGAATTTGAGGATGCCTGGGTGATCATGGATTAACGACTGCACTTTGACGGTTTCAAGGGCCGGCACTCACCTTGCTTGGCGGCCGGGGCGTTCTGCTGGAAAACTAGGAGTTCGCGCAGTTGGGAGGGAGAGGTGAAATTGACATCCTCGCTGCCCTGCTCATCGTCAAGCTTTCTACGCTTTGCCCGAGAGGGATGCTCGGCAATGTGCGCCATGCTTTTGTGGTGTTGCGTTGGTGACGATGGTATTATTATTTTTTTTTTTTCAGTCTTGGATGTTCCGATGCCATCGAGATTTCACGTGTCCTGATTGGCTGGGGCCACTCCCCAAATCCCTTCAGCTTTGCAACGGCGGATCCGATGGGCTGCCACTTGGTAGACTGTCCGGTGCTTGCTCATGGTGATTTTAATTTGATAGGATGATCCCCAAAAAAATAAAGTCATGATCTTCCATCTCAGTATAGAACATCCAGCGCTGTGTCCTAAGTTGCACCACTTCTAAAAGCCTACCTGCAGATATATATCGATGCTCACCCAGACTTCCTCACTCACGGATGCGCATCTACAAAAACGCGGGGCGGGATTCCCTTGGATGAGGCGGAAGACCGAGAAGGATTCCAGTTGGAAGTCACCATCAGACATACCTATTTGCGTACTATTTACAAAGTCTCGGATCATGTATTTGGGCTGTCCGGTTCAATTCCTTCTGGCAATTCCATTGGACCTCACTACGCCGGACTTCACCGCCAGCAATTTCCAGAAGAACCAGGCAACAAAAATGCTCGAAGGATTACTCGTGGAGCCTGCTCAAGTTGGAACTGCAGTTCTGAATATGTGGATAGGATCGACAAGACTAACAGAGCAACGGAACAGATGGTATCACAAGGGCGCTGAAAGGAGAGGAATATGGGGAACAAGTATTTCGAAAATTGAGGTTGAAGGATTCTGCTAGCCAGCTATTTGAAGAACCGGTACTTCTTCTCCTTGTCTTTCTTGTCCTTATCCTTCTTCTGAGGTTTGCCACCAGGTGGAGCTGCCGATCCGTTATTGAGAGACAGGTTCGCCATCCTGTCCCCCGGAGCTACAGGCGGGTTGAGATTGGGCGGCCGAACAGGCTTCTTTTGTGGTTGAGAAGGGGCGGGTGAAGGGGTGCTCTTCTCGAACAAATGAGCAGGGGCAGTAGGCTTCGGCCGATCGGCCGGGAGGTCCAAACGACGCTTGTCGACACTGAGATCCCCAACTTGACGTATGAAGAGAGCTGGGGTCAGCATGTGGGTGGTGGCTAGGAACACATCCCGGTTATAGGCCTGCGAGACCTCAAAACAGGCGCGAGCCTCTGAGTGGGTGGCACCACCAGCCATAAAGACAATCATGCGCTGGCGGGGCTGATCAACAGCGCGAGTACGCGCCCAGGTTGGTTTGGCACTGCGCAGAGATGCTTGCTGAGAGAGCATCTCCTGAGCGGCCATTCCGCCATCAGTTTCGGTGTGAGGTCTTGTGTAAGGGAAAGTGGTCGAGTCCAACGTGCCCTTGATTTGCTCCTCCAGCATCTGCTTGAGATTCAATTCATAGCGGGCTAGGCTGAGCTCTTCCGAGTCTGGAGATGGAGTCTTGCGGTTGAACAACGGCTGCACCGCCGGCTTTTCATCTTTGAGTGGTTTCTCCACGCGAACTCCAAGAAGGCCCAGATTAGCAATTACTTGCCCGTCTGAACCAGGAAGCTGGGCATGTGCCATCAGTTTTCGAATATCACCGCCCAGTAGACCACCACGGTACATAATATATAATAGAATCAACCGCAGTCGATCTTGAGGAATGACAGATTCGTCATCTAGCAACTGTACGAGTTGCGCTGCCAAGTTTTTGGCTTTCTTGAAATTCTCATCGAGTCCAGTTGCAAAGGACTGTTCAATAGAACTGACCTCAATGAGCTTACGCTCCTGGAAGAACTTCATACACTCCTCTGCCATATTCAAATGCAGCGTGTACGCGTCTTTGCCTGCCGTGAATTCGTTCAGACCAACCAACATGTCCCTGATCGTATTCACACTGAGTTTTTCATTGCTGGAGATCCGGCTATTAGTCAAGAGTCCAAGTCAAACAATGTCCCGCTCTAGATGGACTCACTCTTCAGCAAATTGTGGGTTCGCTGCTCTGAACTTGGCAAAGTCATCGCCAAGTTTCTCGAGCACTGCCCTCATGTGCATGTGTCGATAGTCTACCCAGACCTTGTCCTGCTCGCCAATCTCCATCTCTTTAAGCTCCTCGTTGGGCTTGCCTTGGTTAAGCAAGGTCTTATATGTAATTTTTTCTCCATCCTTGACTGGCAACAGGTCGAAAACCATAGCCCCATAAGTAAATTCATGGAGAAGTGGCGCAAAAACGTCCATAGACCGGTCAACAACAAGTAGCACTCCGCGGGGTCGGTTTGATGGAGGAGGGAAGTCACGCTGGAATTGCGCGAATTGATCCAATTCACTTTGGACAAAACGAGCGAGGTGAGAGCATAGCACACCAGCTTCATGGGACGGGGCACGCGGTCGGTAATAGCGGATCACAGGATACTCGCCGAGGCAGGCGCAGAGCGAAACAATCTTCATCACAATCAATATACGTTAATACGTGCACACAAAATGGTCATTCAAATGCGTAGGCATGCTACCTTTTGAGCCAACTCTTCGAGATGTTTGCGGACCAATCCGTTGCAGGCTGGATGGAACAACACCGGGAAGCTCCACGGATCGCGGAAGGTGACCAGGTGTGATTCGCGAGGGTAAAAGTCGATGTTCAAGATACGGTAATCAGCGATGTGATTTCGTGCCATTTCAGATCGATCAAGACGTTGACGTTGCTGGGGGTCGAGGACTGTAAACCTCATTAGCTACCTGCACTCCACGGAAGCTCCGCCTCGCCAGCACGCACATGAGGTCCAAACCAAGTACGCCTTCTTATATCGCCCAACCTCGAAGTCCGCCATCAAGCAATCGACAATCCATGACTGCGGTGACAGAATGTATAGCGCATTCATGTCCGGATTGTGCTGCCGGCGGTTCTCAATTTGTTCGATGTCTGCGGGAGAGGTGTGTTTTAGCTGACCGACCGTAGTGCCAAAGGGGCGGGGACTCGCTCACTGGAGACATTCAGGTTCAGGATCTCTTCATCTTTCACGGCACTGTTGATCAGCTTTCGGCTGGCCTCATCCACCACCAAAACTTTCCACTGTACGGAGGTGGCGGCCATCAGCGTCCGTTATAGCGGGGAGGGGAGGGAATGCAACCCACGTCATTGCCAACGACATTGCGGATCGTGTTGAGGATGACTGTGAGATAGCAAGCCGAGGTCAGTCGCAGTCATTAGAGCGAGGAATCAGCAGAAAGCCACGTACTGTCGCGCTGGATGTCGATGATGGAGGAGCCCATGTTGGCGGGCAGCCCACGGGACTGGGACTGCAAATGCAGAAGGGACGGAGACGGAACCGACGGAGATGTGCAAGAAAGAAAAGCAAAGTGCGTCAAAAGCCCAAGATAAGTGATCTGAGGCGATGCGCAAGGGACTTAGGTGGCCCGTAGTGGTCGTCGTAGGAGGTATATTGGCAGGATATTGGTAGGAGAGGGTTCCCCACCATTGGGCGAGCTTCGACAGGGATGAAGTGGATCTCCGGGTGGCGCGCCAGGGAACTCATTCCGATAAGCAACTTTGCCCAACTTTGATCTTTCTTTCTCTTTTTTCTTTTTTTTTCGAAACCGCGCTGAAACCCGCCTGTCTCGTGGCTTTGCCCGTCACACCCTTTGAAACAACCCTCTGCATATCTTGGGAAGACCCTCGATCTTGACTGTTGTCCTATATTCCCTCCCCGTTCTCTGCTGGTCAACGCTCCCAGCGTGCAGGAATGCAATCATGGACTGGCAGAGGCAGCCGCTCACTCTTCTGCGCACTGAGGACACTGACTCGTCCTGCTGAACGCCAATTCACGACAACCCCCGCCCTTCAACGATCGAAGCGAAATCAAAAGGCAAAAGCCAAGCCGAGCGAGGATTCCAGCAACCATGTCTTCAGCAAGACCTTGAAGAAAAACTCCACCGTGGCTCGACAATCTGCGCGACGGGATATTGCCGCGACGCGGGATTTTAGCCGAGTGGTGGAGACGGCCTTGCGTGATATCAAACACAAGCTACAGAATACAGGCCAGCTACCGGGAACATGGAGCCAATTCGACCGTCAGACGATGAATGCGTGCCGGGTAGATGAAGACCAGACCTCCGAGAAACATGGCCCAGGAAGTTCTTATTGGCGAACTAAAGTGGCACTGCAGAAGGCTTATCTGCGAACTGGGGAAGAGGGTCTTCGAGATGAACTAGAATATCTTCTTTACGCCGATAGCATGACTGAAACGTACTCGACTCCAAACTTGCAGAGACAGCAGGAAGTGGCCGATTTCCGATATCCTGCAGAGTGGTACCCTCGCGCACGCTCGATCCAAAGGACGATCCATCTCCATGTCGGCCCAACGAATTCCGGGAAGACCTATCATGCATTGAAAAGGCTGGAGGGATGTAAGTCCGGGTTCTATGCAGGACCATTGAGGTTGTTGGCGCAGGAGGTATACCACCGCTTCAAGGATAAGGGAATCCCTGTCAGCTTGGTGACAGGAGACGATGTCAAGCTCCCAGAAGATGGGGAGACGCCCCGCATCATCAGCAATACAGTGGAAATGGTCGGCTTTGGGCGCGAGTTTGACGTGGGAGTCATTGATGAGATCCAAATGATTGCCAATCCCAAGCGAGGGTGGGCATGGACTCGAGCTGTCCTCGGAGCGCAGGTTAAAGAACTGCATCTCTGTGGTGAAACCCGCGCAGTGCCACTCATTCGCGAATTGTGTGCCCTCACGGGCGATATCCTCGAGATTCATCGATATGAGCGACTCAATCCTCTTGAGGTCATGCCCCATAGCTTGAGGGGTAACATGAACAAACTTGAGAAGGGTGACTGTGTAGTTTCATTTTCCCGGGTTGGTATCCATGCCTTGAAAGCAGACATTGAGAAATTGACTGGGCGTCGCGTGGCTATCGTCTACGGTAGTCTCCCAGCTGAGATCCGGACTCAGCAGGCCAGTCTATTCAACGACCCAAATAATGACTATGATTTTCTTGTTGCGAGTGATGCGATTGGTATGGGATTGAACTTGTAAGTTACACCCTTTCATTGCTCGAGCTTCACTGACCCCCTAAGAGGAGCTGCAAGCGTATCATCTTCGAGACCTTGATCAAACGTACACCACAAGGCCTGCAACGCCTCACCGTGCCTGAGATTAAGCAAATCGGCGGCCGCGCTGGTCGTTATCGCCCAGCTAATGCCCAGAACAACCTAGAAGATTTATCCGAGCCTAATGTTGGCCTCGTCACCTGCATTGAAGAAGTCGACCTTCCATACATCCAACAGGCGATGAACACAGAACCTCCGCCGCTCCGGGCTGCGGGAATATGGCCGCCTGACCATGCCTTTCACAAGCTTGCTGCCTATTTCCCAAGAAGTGTACCTTTCGAGTACCTCATCAAGCGGCTGTTGGAACTTGCCCAAGTCAACCCACTATTCTTCATGTGCGAAGCAGATGGCCAGCTGGAGAACGCAGAGGTCATTGATACTGTGGATGGAATGCGGGTACTTGACCAACTCACGCTCATGGGTTCACCCATGGACGTCAGGGATCAACAGACTCGTTTGGTCTGTGCGTCCTTTGTCGACTGTGTCGCCGAGAATACTCGTGGTCGATTGCTAGACATTCCCACCCTTGATCTTGAGATTCTCGAACAGAGAGTTTCTGGAAACAAGGAGTATATGCATGCGCTGGAGAGTCTACACAAATCCATCATTCTCTACTCGTGGCTGAGCTTCCGGTTTGGGGGTATCTTTACAGACCGGACTCTTGCGGCCCATGTAAAAGAGCTAGCTGAAGAGAGGATGATTCGGGCATTGACCGAATTCTCGGCCAACAAGAAATTGCGAAAGAATGCTTCCCTCAGACGCCAGATCGCGATGCAGAAGCAGAAGCTGGATCAGATGCGCATTATCTCTGATGCGGATCTCATGTCTCCTAATGGCGAAGGGGAAGATCCAATGCAAGTGGACTTGTCGGCAGACGAGTCTACGGACAACAAACCAACTTCATCTGATGGTGACATGTTCGACGAAAGTCCAGTGGAGGAAACCTCTGATGATGCCTTCAATGACCTCCCTGAGGATGACCTGATTGAAGACCTGGAGAAGGACTCTTCAGGACCTGGAGCCAGCGAGTCCAAATCCATGTCGGCGTGACTGGAGAAATGTAATAATATTTGTATAATAGTTGTATAAAACTTGCCATCCTCTCCGACCATGGAGAACCCACTCCTCTTAAATGCATGTACTGTATGATTGCTATCCGCAAAGTCCAAAATTGTCGATTTTCAAGATACGCCGCTCAAAGTCTGGTGTATGGTGCAGTACCTACATCCTTGGTTGAGCTTATCGCTTATCGGTGGCAACTTCGGCCAGACTGATTTTCCGCCGCATTCACTCTTTGCTCGCGGAGCATAGCGTCGATCACCAAGCAGTGTTTCGTGCACTCGCTCACTCGAACCTTCTCTCGTTCGCGCATCGCATTTCCTTTCTCATTGTCGCTCCTTTTCTACGGTCGCCACCATGGATGACCTGGAGTCGCTGGAGCTGTTTTCGCTCGTGTCGCGAGTGACGAACGAGCTCCAGAACTACCTAGGCATTAACGACAAGACGCTGGCGGAATTCGTGATCGACCAGCATCTCAAATGCAATGGCTCGTTTCCTGACTTTAAGAAAATTCTTGATGAAATGGGTGCCGAGTTCCCGCAGAGTCTGATGGAGAGTGTCGACCGGTTGGTGCTCACGATGCACCCGAAATACAAAGGGAAGAAACAGGAAAACGGGGACTCGGGTGGCGGTCACGATAATACGATGGATGAGTTGGACGCTCTGGAAAAGAAGTCTCGCGTGTTCAAGGGCCTTGCGGTCCCAGATAGAGGCCGGCGCTGGGAGGAAGATGACTACCTGGATCGTCCAGCCGACAACAAGACTGACGCGCAAGCCGGCGCTATGGACGACACATTTGCCATGCTTGAAGGGCTGGCCGGCAAGGCCAAAGACGATAAGCCACGCACTTCGCGAGACGACCGCAGCCACAGGAAACGAAGTCGCAGCCCCGAATACGATGACCACGACCGCGGACACCGTCATAGAGGCAGATACCGCTCAAGATCGCGCAGCACACACCGCCGCAGCAAGAACGACGATTTTATTGATGAGTTTGGAAGATCGATTGGCAAATATGGTGACCGTGACGGCGAGCGCATTGGCCAAAACGACCGCCGCAGACGCCGGGACCGCGATGAAGACGAGGACTTCCGCCAGCCCCTCCTGTCGAATTGGACGATGAACCAGTTCTTTACAAGATCTACGATGGACAAGTGACGGGTGTGAAGGACTTTGGTGCTTTTGTCAACTTACGAGCAGTCAAAGGGAAGGTGGATGGCCTGGTCCATATATCGGCCATGCAAGAAGGGGCGCGAGTGAATCATCCATCCGATCTAGTATCGCGTGGACAGCCAGTCAAAGTCAAGGTTGTCAGCATCGAGGGTAACCGCATTGGATTGTCGATGAAGGAAGTGGACCAGGCAACTGGAATGGACCTCATTCCACAAAAGCGTCTGGCGTCAGGTGCTAACATGGAACGTCTGGATGGCGCTTCAAGCCAGGACAGATATGGCAGCCTTAGTTCCGAGGTTCCTGTTATCGAGGGATCAAGTGGCCGACCGATGAGGAATCGGAAACGCATGACGTCCCCTGAACGTTGGGAGATCAGACAGCTCATTGCATCTGGTGTTGCGTCTGCTGCGGATTACCCTGATCTCGAAGAAGAATACCACGCCACCCTCAAAGGCGAGGGAGCTTTTGAGGAGGAGGAAGATGTGGACATTGAGGTCAGGGATGAAGAGCCTCCATTCTTGGCTGGTCAGACGAAGCAATCACTTGAGCTTTCGCCAATTCGTGTCGTCAAAGCTCCTGATGGCTCAATGAACCGTGCTGCCATGTCTGGCACCAATCTTGCAAAGGAAAGACGCGAGTTGAAACAGTCAGAAGCGCAAGATAAGGCTGCCGAACTGGCAGCCGAAGTCGATCTGAATGCCCAGTGGCAGGATCCCATGGTTGCGCCGGAAGATCGGAAATTCGCTGCGGATCTTCGCAATACCCAACAAAAGCAGGACGAGCCACTTCCGGAGTGGAAGAGAGTGACTATGGGCAAGAACCCGTCTCTCGGCAAGCGGACCGACATGCCCATCAAACAACAACGTGAAAGCTTGCCCGTCTTCAAGTTCCGCAAACAACTTCTTGATGCTGTCAAAGACAATCAGTTGATGATTGTCGTTGGTGATACTGGCTCTGGAAAAACTACGCAATTAACTCAGTATCTGGCTGAAGCTGGATATGGCAATAATGGTATCATCGGCTGCACTCAGCCCCGTCGTGTTGCTGCCATGTCCGTGGCGAAGCGTGTGTCGGAAGAAGTTGGCTGCAGGCTGGGCGCGGAGGTTGGATATACGATCCGTTTCGAGGACTGCACCAGCCCCGAGACTAAGATCAAATACATGACAGACGGAATGCTCCAGAGAGAAATTCTGATGGATCCAGATCTCAAGAAGTATTCCGTGATCATGCTTGATGAGGCTCACGAGCGCACGATCGCCACCGATATTCTGTTTGGTTTGTTGAAGAAGACTGTCAAGCGACGTCCTGACCTCCGTTTGATAGTCACTTCCGCCACGCTGGATGCCGAAAAGTTCTCGGAATACTTCAACGGCTGTCCTATTTTCTCGATTCCTGGACGAACGTACCCCGTCGAGATCATGTACTCGAAAGAACCTGAATCCGACTACCTGGACGCTGCTCTGATCACTGTGATGCAGATTCACTTGACAGAGGCGGGTGGTGATATTCTGGTCTTCCTTACGGGTCAAGAAGAGATTGACACATCATGCGAGATCTTGTACGAGCGGATGAAAGCTCTTGGGCCAACTGTGCCCGAGTTAGTTATTCTTCCCGTATACTCCGCGCTTCCTAGTGAGATGCAGAGCCGAATCTTCGAGCCAGCCCCGCCTGGCGGCCGAAAGGTTATCATTGCTACCAACATTGCCGAGACCTCCATCACCATTGATAATATTTACTACGTCATCGATCCCGGCTTCGTGAAACAGAATGCATACGACCCCAAGCTTGGCATGGACTCTCTTGTGGTCACACCTATCTCTCAAGCTCAAGCTAAGCAACGTGCTGGTCGTGCCGGGCGAACAGGACCCGGCAAATGTTTCCGACTATACACGGAGGCTGCATATCAGTCTGAAATGCTTCCTACCACTATTCCTGAGATTCAGCGGCAGAATCTGTCACATACCATTCTCATGCTCAAAGCCATGGGCATTAACGATCTTCTACACTTTGACTTCATGGACCCGCCACCCACCAATACAATGTTGACTGCCCTTGAGGAGCTGTATGCCTTGTCAGCCCTGGACGATGAAGGACTCTTGACTCGCCTTGGTCGCAAGATGGCCGATTTCCCCATGGAGCCGGCTCTTGCAAAGGTTCTCATCGCATCTGTTGATATGGGATGCTCCGAGGAGATTCTCAGCATTGTCGCCATGCTTTCCATCCAGTCAGTCTTCTACCGTCCCAAGGAGAAGCAGCAACAGGCCGATCAGAAGAAATCCAAGTTCCACGATCCCCACGGCGATCATCTCACCTTGTTGAACGTCTACAATGGGTGGAAGAATTCCAAATTCAACAATGCCTGGTGCTTCGAGAATTTCATCCAGGCCCGACAGATCCGCCGTGCTCAAGATGTGCGCCAGCAGCTTCTTGGTATCATGAACCGCTACCGCCACAAGATCGTCTCCTGTGGACGGAACACTACAATGGTGCGACAGGCACTCTGTACTGGTTTCTTCCGGAATGCGGCTCGCAAGGATCCCCAGGAGGGATACAAGACGCTCGTGGAAGGCACACCAGTGTATATGCACCCGAGCTCTGCGCTCTTTGGCAAACCCTCCGAGCATGTTATCTACCACACTTTGGTCCTCACCACCAAGGAGTACATGCACTGTACCACCTCCATCGAGCCGAAATGGCTTGTCGAGGCGGCGCCGACCTTCTTCAAGGTTGCGCCAACGGATCGCCTGTCCAAGCGCAAGAAGGCTGAGCGCATCCAGCCTCTGCATAATCGGTTTGCTGGCGAGGATGATTGGCGTCTCTCTGCCCAAAGGCGACAAGGCAGAGGTGGTGGCGGTGGAACTTGGGGCTGAGGCCCTGTTGTTTCTTTTCAGTTTCGAGGATACCAGGCGCTTCTTGTATGCTTCCGTATATTATTCACCATCATGTACTTTTTCAGCTCAACCAGAGAAAATTGGAGTTTCACTGAGTGGTATGGGATGATCTATCTTATACATAGAGAACAAAATTTACTCTTTCCATGTATAGAAAGCACAGAATAATCCTCTAGGTCTCGATTGGGTAGGGTTTCCTACCAACGAACTCGTAGCGGGCACCGGTGAAGGCCCGATTGGCGGCGCGGGGTTTCTCTTTTTCATCTTTTGCCCACCCGCGGACCCGCCACTTCCCCAATCAGTTGGCTACAACTATCTTGGGACTTCAATTGCAATCAAAAGGATATAATCACAATGCCTGACAAGGACGCCGGTACCCCCCGTGTCTTCCTCTACCGACACGGTACGTACGGCTCGCAGTATTAGCTTCCATCCCGCCACTTCTAACACCAGCCTAGGGCAAACCATCTGGTCTAAGAGCGGCCAGTACACCGGTAAAACCGAACTGGATCTCACAGAAGATGGCCAGAAACAAGTCCGCGCCTCCGGCAAGACGATTGTCGGAGCCGGCAAGCTGATTGACCCGGCTCACCTGGCACATGTGTACATTAGTCCGCGCAAGCGCGCGATGCAGACCTTCCAGATTGCCTTTTCCGAGGCAGATCAGCAGGCGATGAAGAATGCACAGAAGATCAGTGAGACTGAGAGACTTGCTGAATGGGATTACGGTCTGTATGAGGGTCTGTTGACGAAGGAGATTCGAGCTCTGCGGAAGGAGCATGGTTTGGATACTGAGAAGCCGTGGGATATTTGGCGTGATGGCTGTGAGGGTGGAGAGTAAGTGGTCCATCCCAATCCCTGCTAATTTCATAGAGCTCTGGGAGCATATGATTGCATCTGTGTATCTGCTTTGAAGGGGAGTAAACTGATGCATTCTCTATAGATCTGCGCAAGAAGTCACCGACCGTATTGACAATCTCATTGCAGAGATACATGACATTCACCGTGGTAACATGCACGGCGAGAAGCATTGCGATGTTGTACTCGTTGCTCATGGCCATCTGCTCCGTGCTTTTACCAAGCGCTGGCTCGGATATCCCATGGAATTCCCTCTTTCCTTGATGCTTGACCCTGGCGCGGTTGGTGTCCTGAGGTACTATACTCCCCCTAATCCCTGTGGATATGATGACCAAGATGACATTTTGCTGATTCTCATATAGCTACCAACACAACAACATTGATGAGCCGGCCATGATGGTTGGATATGGATTCCCGCTGGAGGAGTAAGGCGTCTGTTCAGACTCGAGATTGGTTGCAATATAGAGTGATAAAAACGTAAGCCTTCATGTGAATACAATGTATAGCTACTGGCAGTTCAAAAATCAGAATCTAGAGACCGCGAAAGAGGCCCAGCTAGATAAGCTTCAACTTTCCCTCTTGCTAAAGATCTTTCTAAAAGTCTTTCGAAACGTCTCTAGATGGCTCAGGAAAATGGATATCTGTCAGTTTGTATTGATATTATGACTGTCGAGATGATTTTGAACCCTTTTCGGTGTTTCAAACTTATGGGATCCCACTGTATGTGTGCTTGCAAGGTTCCGAAAATGTAAAACTTACTTTGACGACTAATTGTAAGAAGGTTAGTCTAGATCATAACATAGAGGGAGCTCCTCGTCATCCTTAAAGTTCAACCACTGGTGAGATGTTGCGCCAGCCGCCTGCAGCAGCACGCCATATCCTACTTCAACGCCGAGGATTATAAATGGGATTATAAATCCGATAATCATGAAGCTACAAACAGCGGGGTATAAAGTTCTGATCTGTGTTTTGAATTTCTAAATCTGCCTCCATGTCTGTATAGAATTAGACACCGAAACCTCCATCTACACTACTCCAACCAGACTCAAAATGGCAGACTCCCAACCCAGCCGCCAGCTACACCTCACAGCATTCATGCGACCAGTCTCTCTACACACCGGAGCCTGGCGATACCCAGGCTCCTACCCAGACGCCAACTTCAACTTCAAGCACATAGTGCAATTCGCGCAAAAGCTCGAAGCCGCCAAATTCGACGCCTTCTTCATGGCCGACCACCTCGCTGTCCTAAACATGCCTGTCGAGGCACTCAAGCGCAGCCACACAGTGACATCCTTCGAGCCATTCACCCTCCTTTCCGCGCTCGCAGCGGTGACGGAAAAAATCGGGCTCGCGGCCACGGCTAGCACGACGTATGATGCGCCGTACCATGTTGCGCGGCGATTCGCGAGTCTGGACCATTTGAGCGGTGGGCGGGCGGCGTGGAATATTGTTACCACGGGTAACCCGGAGTCGAGTCATAATTTTGGGTTTGATGAGCATATGGCTCATGGGGATAGATATAAACGGGCGCGCGAGTTCTACGACGTTGTCACGGGGTTGTGGGATAGTTTTGCGGATGATGCGTTTACGCGGGATGTCGAGACGGGACAGTACTTTGATCCGGAGAAGATGCATGTGTTGAACCATGAGGGGGATGAATTGAAGGTGCGCGGTCCGTTGAATATTGCGAGACCACCTCAGGGTTGGCCTGTTATTGTTCAGGCTGGACAAAGTGAGCCTGGGCGGCAGTTGGCTGCGGAGACGGCCGAGGTGGTGTTTTGCAGTCCGAAGGATATTGAGTCTGCGAAGGCGTTGTATGCGGATATCAAGGGCCGGGTAGAGAAGGCTGGACGGAAGAGGGAGGAGTTGAAGATCCTGCCTGCGGCGCTGATCATCGTTGCGGACAGCAAGCAGCAGGCGCAGGAGAAGAGACTCAAGTTGGATAGTCTGGTGCATTATGACAGCGCCATTGCGTCCTTGTCCATTGTTCTTGGGGTGGATGCGAGCACCTTTGATCCGGATGGACCCTTGCCCACAGATTTGCCCGAGACGAACGCAAGCAAGACGAGTAGGGAAGGCGCCGAGAGGCTGGCTAAGCAGGAGAACTTGACGGTTCGACAATTGGCACAGCGATTTGGTGGCTTCTCTGGGCTTGCCTTCCTCGGGTCGCCGAGTGACATTGCCGAAGAAATGGAGACGTGGTTGAAAGAGGAAGCGTCCGATGGTTTCACCTGTACATTTCCTTTCCTGCCGCAGGGACTGGATGAGGTAACAGACAGATTGATTCCAGAGCTGCAGCGCCGAGACTTGTTCCGCAAGGAGTACACGGGCTCGACGCTGCGGGAGCATTTCGGCCTTGAGAGACCGAAGAATCGTTTCTTCAGCGAGGCTTCGTAGTTGGATAGATCATGTGAATCCATTGAAGGTCGTCGGTAAGACCATTCGTATGAATCAACGTTTTTCCTGCTGTATCCTCTATCAATGGGTATCATAATCATGTAGCTCACATACATACTCCATCGCTGTAATTCATAGCCTCTGCGTACTTCACGCTTCCTCCCCAAGATACTTCAACACCTCATCACTCTGGAAAAACATATTCCTGAGCTTCTCTCCCCCTCTTCCTAGCCTCAAGCGCACCCTTTCGTGCCTGCTTCGCATTCAACTTTTCCACTTTCTTCGGGGGTGGAGGTGGCACACGTATCCGATCTCCGTCTGCATCCAGGCCCGCCCCCAACCCCGTAGTGTCATGTTTGATCCGCCCTTTCAAGGGTTCTCGGATACCTTCACGTCCTGATGCACCAAGGCCCAGACGACTATCGGGGTCCCATCCGTAGTGGGAGAGGTAGCGCAAGCCGGCACGAGTCCGGTCGAGATGTGAGGGTGGATGTGAGTGTTGCAGGCAGACTTGATGGGCAAGGGAGGCCTCGTGGGGTCGGGAGGTCGGGGTATCTGTGTTGGTGTCTGATCCGGTCTCCAAGGATAATGGGAGGTTGCATATTTCACAGTGGTCTTGGGATTGGGTCTGCGATGTAGGAGCAGGTGGCGGCGGGAAGACGGCTTCTGATGTAGGCGGCGCGGAACTTGTGGCGCGCACTGGAGGTGATGTCTCTCGATCTTTGGGCGTACTCGGCGATGTACTTGTATTCGGCTTTTTGAGCACGATCGAGAGGTATGTGTCTGCGACACTCGGGCCCGAAGGTGTAGAGGGGCGTGCTAAGTTTATCGTGCTGAGCTCATGCTCGGATGATCGCACGAAGGGTACACGTTTACGACGTATACCCGCGCCAAAGACACGTTGATCTTGTAGCGGGAGATAGTAGTCCTCTTCATCTTCCTCTTGGAAGCTGGACATGGTGGGCGCATTATAATGGAGAAAGTTGAAAGACGAAAGCTTTCTGGTAAGCCAAGACGAGACGCCGCAATGGTCTGTGTCGATAAGTTCGATAAGAGGGCGATAAGGGGCGATAAGCCACGTACTCTCCGGACAGCTCCACGCCTTTTTCTCCTCCTCTCTCTATGTTTTGTCCAATCTACGCCCGCCCATCATGCCCATTCCCATCATCGCCCAGGGAATTCAAGAGGGCATTGGCTCAATTCCATATGCCTGGACTGTCATCAAGACAGCACCGTGGCTTCTCCTGCTCGCCGCGCTGAAGTACTACTTTGGCGGAGCACGCAACACCTCCGAGCGGTTGATGCATTCCAAGGTGGTGATGGTGACAGTACGTGTTCCCACCGAGTGAGCCTCTAAATTCCACCCGCTAAAATATATATTATTAGGGCGGTACATCTGGCATAGGAGCTTCCGTCGTCCAAGAACTAGCTTCCCGCGGCGCCCAAGTCATCATCCTCACCAAGCAACCTCCCTCCGACCTCTTCCTCGTCGAATACATCGAAGACCTGCGCCGCACAACCGGCAGCCAACTCATCTACGCCGAACAAGTAGACCTCTCATCTTTACACTCGATCCGCACCTTCGCCACAAAATGGATTGACAACAACCCACCTCGCCGCCTCGACGCGGTAGTCCTCTGCGGCGGCGTGGCCGTACCCTCCAGTGCACGCAAGAACACCACGGACGGTATCGACGAGGAATGGCAGATCAACTACCTCGCCAATTTCCACCTCCTCAGCATCCTCAGTCCCGCACTGCGCGTGCAGCCGGCCCACCGCGATGTCCGGGTCGTCTTTGCAACGTGCTCGAGCTACATCGGGGCTAATTTCGATCTAGACATTGTGAAGCGCGGGAATGACGCTTCCACAGCCACGACGTCTGCGAAGAATAAATCCAAGACCAAGTCTACACCCCCCGCGTCGAAAAAGGGTATCTACGGCCTTAGCAAATTCGCCCTCATGACTTTCGCCCACTCCTTCCAACGCCATCTAAACGCCTACGCTCGACCAGACGGCCTCCCACCCTGCACGCGTGTCCTCATCGTCGATCCAGGTGTCTCCCGCACCCCGGGAACACGCCGCTGGCTCACCGGTGGTTCCCTCTGGGGCCTGCTCCTGTACCTCCTCACCTGGCCACTGTGGTGTCTGATTCTCAAATCACCGCAACAAGGCGCGCAGAGTATACTCTACGCCTTGATGGAAGAGACCTACTCGCGCGGCGAGGGCGGCTGGATGATCAAAGAGTGTCGGGAGGTAGACTGCGCGCGACGAGATGTACGCGACGAGGACGTGGGGAAGCGGTTGTGGGAGTTTAGCGAGAAGCAGATTGAGGAGGCAGAAAAGGACGGCGCTGTGAGACGGGCGATTGCGAAGAAGGAGAGGGAAGCGGCGGAGGAGAAGAAGGAGAGGAAGGAGACGGCTTCGGGGAAGGAGAAAAGTGCTGGGTCGAGGAGGAGTCGGAAGGGGAATAAGAATTAGATGATTCCAGAGGAGACGACGTCTCGTTCTGAGAGTTAGTGTGTATGTGTATAGATCGGGTTGGGTTGGATCTCATGGGAGGCGTTTCGATTCTGGTTATATACATTCCAATGCATGATGCCGTGGTGCCTTTTTATAGATGATCTTCTGTGTCTTACGCTGTGATTTACCAAAAACAGCCTATTATCGAGTAGGTCGGTCAAGTCTTCAAGAGGTCCATATACCTATACTCAGATCTAGAAACTCCCTATGGCCATTAACGTTGGCATCACTTTCCATCTTGTGAATCTTGCAATTAAGGTGCTTACTTCGTACTCAATCTGTCCAACTCCGAGTCATTCCCGGCTACAAAAGCAAATATATAGCGAAAAAGGAAATTCGTTTCATGTATTCTACCATAAATACTTTCTATGTCCACGCACAAATATCTCAACAAAAGATACTTTTAAGCAAAATTCCAAGCTCATCAGTAAAACGAAAGCGACTGACCCCATACCAGCAACCCCTTACTTCTTCAGGGCCGCAAGCAGCTCCGCAGGAGGCTGCTGGCGGTAACCCTGAGGGTTGTTCTTAGTCCAGCGCCAGAGATCCTCACAAGCATTCTCAAGAGTGTACTTGGGGGTCCAGCCGAGCTCGTTGTTAGCACGGGTAGCGTTGGCAGTGAGGTTGAGGACATCACCGGCGCGGCGGGGGGCCACCTCGTAAGGCAGGTCGCGGCCGACGGCAGCGGAGAAGGCCTTGATCATCTCGTAGACGGTGGAGCCCTTGCCGGTACCCAAGTTCCAGGCACGGACACCGGGGTTGTGCTCGCGCAGGTAGTTGAGAGCCTTGAGGTGGCCGTCAGCCAAGTCGAGGATGTGAATGTAGTCGCGGATGGCGGTGCCGTCGTGCGAGGCGTAGTCGTCGCCGAAGACGAGGAGCTTCTCGCGCTTGCCGGTGGCGACCTGGGCAAGCAGGGGGAGCAGGTTGTAAGGGACGCCCTGGGGGTCCTCGCCCATGATGCCGGAGGGGTGGGCACCGGCGGGGTTGAAGTAGCGCAGGAGAGCGCCGTTCCACTTCTTGGCCTCGGCCTCGTTGCCGGCCTTGGTGGCGTTGTTGCGCTGGGCGTTGATCACGTCGGTGATGGCGTTCTCGACGGCGAACTTGGTGTTACCGTAGGGGTTGGTGGGGCCCAGGGGGCACTCCTCGGGGATGGGGATCATGTTAGGGAAGCGGGTGGCATCGCCGTAGACGGTGGCAGAGCTGGAGAAGACGATGTTGGTGACGTTGTGCTTGACCATCGAGCGGAGGAGGTTGATGGTGCCGTAGACGTTGACCATGTAGTAGTCCAGGGGCTTCTCGCCAGACTCGCCAACGGCCTGGTTTATAGATAGTGTCAGTTTGGAGTACTTGACAATGGCGCCGGATTGGGGATTGGGGATTTCGGATTTGGTATGGTGTGATCATGGACGCACCTTCAGGGCAGCAAAGTGAATGACACTGTCGATGTCGGGGTGGGCCTCGAAGACCTTGTCGAAGCCATTCTCCTCAGTGACGTCGAGCTGGACGAACGCGGCCTTCTTGCCGCAGATAGCCTCGACGCGGTTGAGGGCCTCGGCGGAGGAGTTGTACAGGTTGTCAGCGACAACGACCTTGTAGCCGGCCTCGAGCAAGGCGAGGGTGGTGAAGGAGCCAATGTAGCCGGTACCACTAGCGGGTTCATTAGCTGGGGAATTCGCAATGGGGCTAGGATGGCGGGGGCGGGGGATGGAGATGGCGATGGAGATGCAGGAATGCAGGAATGCAGGAAACTCACCCGGCGACAAGAACTGAACCAGCAGGCATGATGAATAGAAGGGTATAGAGAGAAAGGGAAGAGGAATTGAGGGGATTGAAGAGGACGAGAGGAGGGGAGGAGAAGGCTACGGAGGAGGGGCAGCTTTTTAAGGGGAAAGGCCTAAACAGCCAAAAGGAGAGAGAAAGTGGGGCAGGACAAGTCGAGCCATCTCCGTCATATTTCCATCTTACGCGGCCAGACCAGCCTCAGAATAATATACAGAGTCCTACCTATACTGGGGGATTTTGACTCTAGTAGTATATGGTTCTTGCATATAACCCCAATTTTAGTATCTACTGATTTTGTAGTATGGCGCAATGGCTGCTATCTCTGAAACCTGCAGCACTCTCTCTGCGACAGACTCGGGTCACACTGAATAAAAAGATGAACGAACCCAGGGAATTTGGAAATGATGGACCAACGTGCAGATCACAGATCGTCCTGGCGGCGGTGTACACCGACTCCTGCTCAACTTATGAGTTCTCGGAAATAGACGATCGTTGTAGTGTAACTCAATTCTCGCTCCCGGATCGGGCGAAGTGTCGGGCGAAGTGTCGGGTACACTCCATGGATGGACCCCTCTTCTCCGTCTATATAGTCCATTCTGAGCCCAAGTATGACACTGACCTCGTTCTCTCTCGAGTTTAAAGTAGGCGGCATCGAAGAAAATTCGCCGACGAACCAGCCTCCACCAAAAAAGCCAACTGTCAAGTTCCAAGTATAAACTCTTCATCTCCGGACCGTGCGGGTCCTCTTGTCCCACCGAGGGGCATACCTGGCATTGCCGAATCAGAGGCCCGGTTGGGTCCATCCCCGGCCAGGGTCCAATTAGGCTCAGCAGGACCGGGTCAGTTAGACCCGCCAAACTTCCCGCTGGGCCCCCCAGTACGTGGCCCGAGTGGTGCACTGGTTCGCCTCCTGTGTGGCCGTTGGAAGGTGTCCCGGTTTTGGCCGGTGGAAGCATTCCATGTTCCATCACCTTGGACATTGGCTAAAATTACTAAATTGGGAATCTTGAAGGTGGAAATGTACAATTAAACCCTTCCGACCAAGGAGATCGGGAGGAGCATGAATTATCAACGATATCCAGCTCATCGAGAAACTAGTTGAACACACGAGAGACGCTTGCTAGACCATACCAGCTGAAGAACAGCCCCTGGGCACCATGTCATTGCACAATGGCACACATTGCCCATATATCAAGCTTTTCCCCCTCCACAATGCGGTGAGAAAGAAAAGGTAGAGTCAAAAAAAAAATGGAATTGGTATGAGAAAGAAAATAAAGAACACAGAGATGCTCGAGGTTCGGGGCATAGAAAAAATAAGCAGCCCGGTCAAGTATTTTTGGTTGGCGCCAGCCAAAGCATGTCGAGATGCCCCCCGGATTATTGTGTGGGGGACATCCGACTCAAGAACTCTCGAGTACAGTCGGCGCCGGTGTGCGTTTCAGCAACGTTGCGCGGTGGAGAGGGAGTATTAACACATCCAAATGGTGACATGTCTGCAAAGCTCTCGAGAGGACGGTCCAGTAATACAAGGTCCGGTCCAGTCCAGTCAAAGGACAATCATCCCACGGAAGCCCCCCAAAGGGATGCATGAACCCACGACCGTGGGCTACAAGAGTGCAACTCGAGGAGAGGGAAACCCGCACAAAAAGCCTCCCGGTGATATTACAGTGCCGGTTTAACCAAGGAGTTCCACATCCAGACCAATGGCCCGCATAAACAAGTTGACATTGCCCAACCGCTGGCTGGCCATGTCGGCTGGCAGAGTCTTGCTGTAGCCCACAGTCTCCATCACACGATCCCTAAACGCAATCAGGTTAGCAAAGCGATATCGCAGATTCATGTGGGGAGTCACTCACTTGACAGCAATCACAAGGCGCTGCTGCTGCTCGGGGCTAGCACCAATACCCACGGCGGCCAGGAACTGCCACACATACATGTCATCACCAGTGTTGATCGCGCCAGGGAAGATGTCGGCGAGCGTCGGCTCCAGGGTGTCGAAGAGAACGTTGAACTTCTCTACCCACTGTTGCCAGTCCCGCTCGGCAGCCTGACCAGCTTCCTTGACAATCTCTGCACGGCTGAGTAGCATGGTCAGAATGCCCAGGCCGACCTTGGTACGAGCCACGGATTGCACATGCGTCTGGGCAATCACCAGACCCAACAGACCGATAATGATGTTAAAGGGTGCTTCATTCACGTAACCAAGCAAGCTGGGCATCACAGCCAGCGAGAAGAGGTCAATAGACTCGCGCACCGCGATGGAAGGCTGAGCTTCACCTGGTCCGGGTTGCGCGAGACGTACCACATCCAGGCTGTCCAGGTGGACCACAATCATGGTCAGAATGGTGACACGTTGCTCTTGGTCAATGTGGCGGAAGATGCGAGGAATGGCCTTCTTGCCCTTGGGGTACGACAAGAATGCGATGAAGGGGTGTGGGGTGGTCGAGTTGGGAACAATAGGTTCCATGACCTTGAGGGCTCGCCACAACTTTTGGTTCAGCGAGTGGACCTTCTGCCGCCATTCCATATGCACCTGGATGGCATCAGCATCACCTTCCTCAGGGGGAGGCGGCATAGTACGCTCCATGTCCTCCATAGCCATTAGGGCACTGTACACGCTCTCAATGTTGGTAAGAATGGATTTCCGGTCGCTGAGGCTGAGGTCTGATTGCACCTTCTTTGGCCGAGGGCCCTCGGAGCTATCAGGCCGTTTGATGTTGAGCATGTGTTTAGGGGCCTTGGCGTTGCTGAAGGAAATCTTACCCAAGCTACCCTCGATGATGAGCTGCTTGTTCTTCGGCTTGGCCTTGGCTGCCTCGACAGCGCGTTGGACCTGCTGCTGCATGCGTTGCATGTGGTTATCGGCACTCTGGAATGCCCTCCTGTTCCCATGTCCACCGAGCCGGTTTCCGGTTTGCAGGAGATAGGTCTGAGCAAAGTGACCCAGAGGCTGGTGTGGGTGCTGGCGTGGTGCGCCGCGAATCTGGCTATAAACTTGGTAGTAGAAGTCTTCCGCCAGAACAGCCTCCGGATCGGCGTCGGCCACGTTTCCAGCGGCCGCCACTAGTTGCTGCAGCTGAATCCGAGTGATAAAGTTTTTATCCTGGGGTGTCATCAAACCATTGCCGCGGGAAAGAAGGAAGATCTTGTGATTGCGCTTGGCCCGCTTAGCGTCCTCCACCAGATAAGCATTGCGCTGCTCCTCTGTGAGATGCATAAGTTGCTGCGGGTTGGTGATAACCGGCAGTCCACCGTTGGGTCCTCGGGCCGACGGCGGTGGCGGCATCTGCTGCTGCTGCGGTTGACGCGGGCCTTGGGGTGGAGCGGCATGACGGTGACCCTGAGGAGGCAGGTTCTGGGGAGGAATTTGGCCTTGCTGAAGGTGCATCGGTGGAGGTCCAGACATGACAGGGGCGCCATGCAGCTCTGGGATACCGGGAGGGAGACCAGGCATGCCCGGGGGGAGGACACCTTTCTCGAGGGCAGCTCGCAAGTACTCGGGGGGAACTGCGGGGAAGCCCTCGGGAACGCCTTGTGAATATTGCGGTGGTTGCAGGTAGGACGGTTCGACCAGGTGCTGGGGAATTGAATGGGAGGGCATCGTCGCGGTAGGCTGGGATCGCTGGCGCATTTGAGCCTCGACCTCCTCCAAGCTCATCATCGGCCTCCGGCTGGCAGCTGGAATCGGCTCAGGCTTCTTCTGGGAGACGCCCCAAACGCTCGATTTGGCCTGCAGATCGGGAATGTATCCCGGTTCCGAATACTTCTCATATCCAGTGCGCTTGGTGGTGGTGGCAGCTGTCGTCGTCGGGGCTGGGGCTGCAGCTTTCTGCTGGGCGTCCAACGGAGCCGCAGAGGGGTTCTGCAGGGCATAGCGAACTTGCTCCTCGCCAATGACATCAGCGACCTTAGCGGTGGTGCCGAAAAAGTCAAAGTCTCGCCCAACGGCACCAGTGCTAGGTCCAGCGTCTGCACCGCCAAAGGTGTCGTCGTTGAAGGCATCCTGATCATCGTCGAGCTGGTCACCGAGACCGTCGTAGGTATCCTCAAAGTCAATTCTAGTCATGAGAGTTAGTGTCTTGCGCTTTTGGTCGGAATTGCGTCTTGTGATAGCTCACCCATTGTCATCCTCCAGTGCTTGCGCACGAGCACCCTCCGCGAAGGGATCCGGGTTCTCGAAGAACCCCCTGGCCGGGCCACCTTGTTGGCGGTCCCGGGGGAGGGTGGTATCGAAGCCAAAGAAAGACATGCTTCTTTGGCCAGATGCCAGGTGGGATCAGAGGATGGGGGAAAGAGGGGAAGGGATGAGGAGGGAAGGCGAGATCGGCTGGTGGTGGGGGAAGAAGGTGAGGTGGGAAGTTCTGGAGGGATGGCAGCCTCAGGCATCGATGAGATCTGCCAAGGCGGAGGTTGATCAACTGGCCAGTTTGTACGGAGTAGTCAGAGCTAACCAACTTGGTACAGGATCACGGCGCAAGGAGAGCTGTCAGATCGTGTCGGATTTATTCTTAGTGACAGGGTCTCTGTTTCATACTGTATTCTATGAACTTTGAATACGAGCCCCCACCGTACAGTGGTGTCCCATAAGTCTTCGTCCACCTGGTGATGACATAATATTCTGCCGGTCAAATCATCGTACTGCTTTCTGCATTACTTACCCAAATTTCATGATTCCAAGGAGATAGATAGAGACCAAAGCTAGAATTTGAATAAATTTCATCGTAAACAAAACTAAAGTCTCATTTATGACAAGTTATAGACTAGTCAAGCTTACACTGAAAGCGGAAGACTAGGCGGTAGGAGGAGGGTGGACGAAGACTTATGGAACATCACTGCATAACAGCTAACTTAATCATGGGGTTTCAAAAGGTATTCACTCTTGACTCGGTAGTTATTTGTTGTTTTTCAATTGGACTATGCACCATAATACTGTATACCCGGCGGTCCTGATTGGCGGGAACTTCTTTTGCCCATGATGCCCCTTGTTAAGCTCCAGGAGTCCGCCCTGCCGATGATTTTATGCGGTTGATAGTACGGACGTACGGTAGATCGCCACGGGCCAGATGGGGATTTGCATCATCCAAGTCTCGGGCTTCAAATCGTAAAACACAATTGGTTTTCGATCCCCTCCAAGACCCAAAGTACTGTCAATTTTCGTTCTCCTCCCACCCGTTCCCCCCCCCTAAAACGGTCCGGATGTCTCGCATTCCGTGAAAGCACACGGCTGAAAGCGGTTGTCGCCATTGTCTTGCGTGGCCTGGCCAGTCGCCTATCTAATTTCCCTCCTCCTCCACTTACTCCCCTAAACACCATTCTTTCTCGTGTTTTTCATTCTTCCTTTTCCATCTACATCTGCCCCTCTCCATCAGTGAATGTTTATCACTCTTCACTGAGGACCTCAAAAAAGGATAGGCCGCATCTCCGCTGGCCTGGTTGTATCCCATCCACTTGTTACCTCTGCCTGCTCCGCAAGGCCTTTCTTCCTCCCCACTCGCCACAATGTCTGTCTCCGCGCGATATATTCGGTACCTGGTGTTCGCCGTCGTGGTAAGTGGTGAATCGGTCTACCGCCAGCACTCTCTTCATTCGCGACCGTTGAAAATCGTATGAAATCGCAGTGGCGCTAACCATCGCCCCCACAGGGATTGGCCGTCTTCTACATAATCTCTCGATCCTCCTTCCGCTTGCCCAGCGCCGCCTCTTTCCCTCGCCCTCAACCCTCCTACAACGATTTCAATTCAGAAAAACCGCAAAACGTCGGGACGAACAGCACCGAGCGGGTCAATGCGACATTCGTCACCCTCGCCCGCAACTCCGACATTTGGGAGATCGCCAAGTCCATCCGAGCCGTCGAGGACCGCTTCAATCGCAACTACAACTACGACTGGGTCTTCCTGAACGATAAGGAGTTTGATGACGACTTCAAGAAACTCACCACGTCGCTGGCCTCCGGCACTACCCACTATGGCAAAATTCCCGAAGAGCATTGGTCCTATCCGGACTGGATTGATCAGGACAAGGCCAGGGAGGTGCGAGAGGAGATGGGTCGCAAGAAGATCATCTACGGTGATTCAGAGAGCTATCGCCATATGTGCCGCTACGAGTCTGGCTTCTTCTTCCGCCACCCATTGATGATGAACTACGAGTACTACTGGCGCGTGGAGCCCAGCATCGAGCTCTACTGTGACATCGGCCACGATCCATTCCGCTTCATGAAGGAGAACGACAAGAAGTACAGCTTCGTCATCAGTCTGTACGAATACATTGATACCATCCCCACTCTTTGGGATAGCGCGAAGAAGTTCATGAAGAGCCACCCGGAGCACATTCCTAGTGGCAACGCCATGGAGTTTATCAGTGAGGATGGCGGTGAGACCTACAACAAGTGCCACTTCGTATGTTAATCCCTATACATCAGTATCTTCAGTGTTCGACAGCTAACCCCCAATTCACAGTGGTCCAACTTTGAGATCGGCAGTCTAGAGTGGCTGCGCTCCAAGGCGTACATGGACTACTTCTCTTCTCTGGATCAGGATGGCGGCTTCTTCTATGAGCGATGGGGTGATGCCCCAGTCCACTCGATCGCCGCGGCCACCATGCTCAAGAAGGAGCAGATTCACTTCTTCAACGAGATCGCCTACTACCACGTACCCTTCACCCATTGCCCGAGCGATGAGCAGACGAGGCTGGACCTGCGCTGCCATTGCAAGCCCGAGGAGAACTTTGACTGGAAGGGCTATTCTTGTAAGAATCCATGCTCCATCCCCCAGACTCGAGAAACCGTCGTTGCTAATGCATTCTTCCAGGCACCAACCGGTGGTTCCAGGTCAACGACCTTGAAAAGCCCGATGGCTGGGACAAGGAAGATTGACTCCTTGCGCTTGGTCGCTATGTAGTTGTCCTGTGTCTAATCGGTGCAATGATTTTGCTAGCCAGTCAACGTGCACGTGGGAGAGTAATGCAGGGGCTGCGGCTGGTGATCGAATCAGTGGTTGACTTTGTCCAAGTGTGTCGCGGCACTTACAAGTACCGCTCAGTGAGCGAAAAGTGAAGACGAGAAAATCAGGCAACTGCGTGAGATATCCGCTACGATTGCCACGGTTGATGTTCTTTTGGCGAAAACAAAAAAAAAGATATCCCAACCTAGTCCCTCCTGCGATGTCGTCTGCCATAACTTGAACTTGAATTGGAAGACGCAGGATTACTGTTTGAGCGGCCCCTTCCCCTTATACACGTTTCCTTACTCGGCGGCTTTTACAGGTCTGATGGCTGCTATGTGTTACTATCTTGATTGTCGGCAGCGTGTTTCCCCTTTTCTTTTTCACCCTTCATTTTGATCCTCTTCTTCTCTGAAGTTGGTTGCATCGGTCACCGGAGTTCAAGAGGATTTCCACACAGGATGAGCAACGATTCTTTATATCATTTCTAATTTTGACATACTCCAATTCGAAAGGACTACGAACACTGGCTTTTGTCCTACATGATTCCTTACTTCATACATAAGGTTATCTTTTGTAGTGTACGAAGGCCACGGTCTACTTGAACAACCTTAAAAGAAGAGGACTCGACAAGGTAGAGATAATCAAATCACTTCATAATAGTACATGTAATACAATAAATGACAACAAAGGCTCCTGCATAAATACACCAGTGTAGAAAATAAAATAAACATATGATGCCGCTCTTTTCAAGGGGCACGGTCTCTACCGAACAAGCAGATTTGAGCTTAACTCGAGACTGCACACCCCGAATACCAGTATGCTTACAGCCCCAAGCACACATTTATCCTACACAGACCATTCCAGTCCATTAGTTGCTCTTAGGCTTCTTCGTGCCATACTTGGAGCGACTGGACACACGGCTTCCAACACCACCCTACAACAATCCGTCAGCCTCAATCACCTCATACACAATCCCAAGGGAAATAAAGGGTGTATAAACTAAACACTTACCAAATCCATAGCACCACGAACCAAATGGTACTTCACACCAGGACAATCCTGCGCCCTACCACCGCGAACCTGCACAACACTGTGCTGCTGGATATTATGACCCTCGCCGGGGATAATGGCGCTAACAACCTTGCCCGAACTCAACCGGACTCTGGCCACCTTGCGCTCACCCGAATTGGGCTTCTTGGGCTTGGTGATACCCGTCTTGACGCAGACGCCCTTCAGCGAGGGGTGGTTCTTCAATGCTGGGGAGCGGCCTCGGCGCGCGCGCTGACCGCTGCGGCAGCCGCGGCGGACTTGGTTGTAGGTTGCGCGGATGATGGGGGAGCTGGAGAATTGGCGGGTGAGGGCTGCGGCGGCTTGGGTGCGGAGGATTGGGGTGAAGGTGAACCGGTTGGTGATTGGGGTTGGTGCTGCGCGGCGGAAGACGCTGGTTGAGGTGGTTGTGAGGGTGCGGAGGGGTGTTGATGATGTGGTTGGACGGTGGATGAGTGTCCGTAGGGCCCGGAGGGCTAGTGGTGAGATTAATTGAGGCATTGGTGTGGTTGGGGTTGTTGGTGGTGGATTTTCCTCTGAGTCTCTTAACTTGTCCGATGATTTGAGAGTGGAATTGGGAGAGCACGTGACATGCACCGGGAACTGCGCTGTTGGGCTCTGTGGGTGGCCGGAGGAGCTGGACGCGCTGCTGCTCTCTGCCTGATGCCCGTCGTCCTCCGCATTTCAGTCATCACCTTCCAAACCTACTTGCTTCTTCTCCTTCTTCTTTGCAACCTTGTCAATCTCAAGAATTCTCATATTCACTTGCCAATCCAGCTGAAGGATCCCCTGAATCAACCTCATACCCGTCATAATGGTGCGTCATCAAGCTATGGACGTGGACTTCACTCTCCGGTCCATGCAATGCTCGCCGTCAAGAGAGCCTATCCCCAACACACCATTCCCTTTACCATCATCAATAGCAGCTATAGCATCTATTGAATCTCGAGCCGCTCGATCCATCCCTACCCACTCAATCAACCATCACCCCCTCATTAATCAACCAAACAACCACTAACCACCTCCAGTCCCTCCGCATCGCACCCCCCAGCGGCAACCGCACCTCAACCACCAACACCTCCGCCCGCCAACAAACCACACACAATGCCAGCCACCTCTCAAAGGGCGCCCCCTCCGCCCCAGGTCTCCCAGACACCCTCCGCAACAAGCTCACCCTCCCCGCCACCGCAACCGCCTCCTCGACCAACAACCCATCCGCCGCAGACGTCCCGGCCTCGACACACCCGCTCGAGGCCCGCCTGCTAGCCTGGCGCGCAACCCAAGACTCGATGAAGATGGAGTCTCTTCGTCGGGCGTATGGTATTGCCGAGCCTGTGCGTCGGGGTATGGAGCTCAAGATCGTGCGGGATGGTACGTTCCGGCCTGCGGTTTTGGGGGGCATGAAGGGTGGTAATGTGCATGAGGATATTCTTGTGCTGGGTGGACGGGATACGGAGATTGGTTGGGAGGATGTGTTCCAGGGTAAGTTGTTCACTATTCCATTTTGGCGGTTGATATCGAATTCGGGACTTGCTGTCCAATATGACCCTATCTATTGAGTGACGTGTTTGGCTAACTGGAATCCCTTTTTGCTTTATCCAGGCGACGATCTTCGGGAACCGCCTTCGTTCCACGACGAGATGGAGAAGAGGCTGAAGATGGACTTCTGCTAAGAGACTCATAGACTTGGATGAATTAATTTTAACGTTTCGTTTCATCGTTGAATATGTCCCAGTATCCCCTGCTCGCCATGTTTCGAATACACTAGTTCCATTTCTACTTTTCCTGTGTCGCCCTTTGAGATATCAATGATAGAGCGATAGATTACTGGGAAAGGAACACCGTATATCTCCACGCTGCTTTCATATGTACAGGTAAATACCGAAGTGTAGTTGCTCCCATAAATGCTCCCAGTTCAATCTAACCCTTAGATCCACGTCTTCTACGCTCATCTACATCTAATCAACGTGTAGACATAGAAGCCAAGCGAATACGAGTTACCAATCAAAAGCAAGATCTCGTTATGGTTTAATTATGTACCAGTGCGACAAAAGCATGTACACTACGAGAAGCAGACAATCAAGATGAGAAAATGATCAGAAACCAAACCAAACCAACAAATGGAGAGCAGGCACGTTCGTAGATACACAAAATCCCAAGAGAAGCCATTCAGAAGATAGACACGGGAGGAAAAAGACAAAGGGGGAAAAGAAAAATGGCAAGAAGATCGAGAGGATAGAACAGAGAATAAGGGATCGGATGGTGGGTATATAGATAGATAGATAGGAAGGACAGGGCAAGGCGAATGAGAGTGTGAGACAGAAGAGAGGTAAGGGCAAGGTGAAAACCCATCGAGAATCAGAGAAGACTGAAGCAGATGTTGTGGGCAAAAATGCAGCGGGTCGCAGGAACAGCTAGACAGACTGTAATTGAATAAGCCTTAACAGAGACGGCCAGACCGTGTCGATGTTCATCCTGCGTCCGGGCAGGGTATGTCGAGATGCCACGAGGCCAGATGGTGGCTAGTGTAGGGCCCGAAACGATCAAAGGTGATGTGCAGCGGAGAGTCGAGTAAGATATCAAGAGCGCCGTCACGATCGAGATATATATAAATGAAGTATGGCATGCTCCCCTAGAGACAATTGGGAGTCTCGTTTATAGGATAACGCAGCGACAGCCGGGGCTGCGTTCACTCGGGTCACGGTCACGGTTCAAGTGCGCCTTTGCACCCTTGGCATCTTCTTCGTCAACCACTTCTTGCGGTTTGACGGTCATATGTACGACATTCGGGTGGTCTGCGCTGAATTTCGAGTCTGTGGAGGGTGGATTCAGCATATGATTACCTGTTGGTCATATCACGATATCATGACCGTCAGACTGAGGGTTCTTACCAGACAGAGGGGACTTGTCATCTAACAACTTTCCAAATGAGATCAGACGGATGGAGCTCGGCGACGAAGGACGGGTTTCCCAATCTACAGCCACAGTTAACATCAGCCCGTTTCTTATCCCACAGTTGAACAAACTCACCCGATCGCCACTCCCGCCAAATCAATTCCTTCAGCGTATAAACGCTCATCGCGAAGGGATCATCATTCTCAACATTGACTGACTGCTTGCGCAGATACTTCCCATCGATCGTGAACGGGTGCCGCGATCCCGTCGTCAGCAGCAACGTGATGGCCAGCGATGGACCCGCATCCTCAACCTCCTTCCCTGAGATATCCTCCGACTGGTCCGAGGAAAGATCAGCACCAGACTTGGACTCCTGAATCCCCATTGATGGCGTGCCTAGATTTTGAGGCTGTGCGACGGCGTTGGCGGTGTCGTTGGCTGGGGTCGTGGTGGTGCTAGTCGTTGCTGTCATAGGGGCGACGCTTTCGCCACCGGTTGCGGGGTGCTGGGGCGCAGTGGCCGCGTCTTCGCCAGACGGAGACTGTTGAAGGCCCGCCGATGCCGTCGATGTCGGTGCATCAGCGATCGGGTCTGGGTTGGCCAGGGCAGAGGGGGACTCTGTCGAGGAGGATTGGGGCTGGGAGCTCTTCTGCGGAGAAGTCGTGGTGGCCCCCGACTCGTGATGGTCGCTGGAGTCGGGCACCCCGGACTCCGGGTGATCGGTGGTAGACATGGCAGCGGTGGCCCCGATGGTAGGGTGGGCAATTAGCTTTCCCGAAGGAAGACTGGGAAAGATGGGCACCAACGGGGATGGAAGAATGAAGCAGTTCGAGGGAGGGAGAGACGAGGTGGAAAGAGGAGAAGAGGAGTTGCGGACGGACGATCGGTCCAGACGTGAGGAGTCGACCCTAAGCGGGAGGCGCAATAGTCTCTGTCGCTAACGAAATGGTGGCCTCTACAGGGGATATTGTAGAGATGAAACAGGGAAGTAGAGATTAGGATGAGAGATTAGGGGGAGAAGTGAAATTTTAGATGAATGGAGAGGTTGCACCACTAGACTAGAGAGGTTGAGGTTGGCCAAAGGGTTCTAGGTTCACGTTGAAGTTTCAGGGTCGGGAGGGAGGAGAAAAGGGTTCTCCTGGAAGAATCGACAAAATCCGCAACGGTGAGCAATCGATACAGTCGAGTAAGCAGGGCTCGAAAGGTGACGATGATTACCACGAGAATTAAATTAGTGATGTTCAAGGACCCAGATCATCATCATCATCATTGTGTCCTGGTAAAGGCACGATAAGGAAGATCCGGGGAAAGGCACTATGGAGCCTGCCGAGAAGCCAAGAAAGAACTAACACGGAAAATGAGACTACTATGGCATCAATAGCTAGCGAGTTCGAAAATAGTGACCTATACCAGGCAAAGGCTCTATCTCCTTTATTCATGAACATCTCAGCGAGCATCTATTCGCTCGAAGCTTGTATTTGATGCTTCAACTTCCTGGTGAGAGATAAGGACCGTCAGATTTGCCGTATTGAAACGCGTATGCCCGTCTATAAAGGCTACGCGCATCGTCAACCATCACCGACTCACTCATATCCCATAGGCGTACTTTCGTATCATTGCACTCGTAATCAAGGCTAATGGGTCGAGCCATTCCATGATTTCATACTCGTCCATTGAAAGACTACGCTTTTTAACCCCTATCAGTCTAGGCCAGACTGAGACACCCAACAAACGAACTATGGTCACACACAGTGAGGGGTCGCTCAGGATAATGCGAGGAGTAGATAAGAATAACTCCAGTATGACTAGTAACTTATGCCGCCGGGGGTAGTCGCTATAATAAAATAGATACAGACAGTGGAAGGGGTGGATGGGACTCGTGGAAAAATATGGGCATCAGAGTCAAGCCTCCTTCGATTTCACAGAGGACCAGCCTTGATTCGAGCAATAATTTATACGTTTGAAGCACTCGAATATGCCGATCCGAGGTGTAGGGAGCTGGCGGCTCAGCGCAGCTTTGTCAATCACGGAGAGCTGGACGAGGCCCGGCTTGCCGAGCCATCTCCCAGATAGCGAGACATTGTAAACCACGGGGTCCCCTAGACCCAGCCGGCATACTGGTCAAGCATTTCATTCTTCACACCTTCGGATCCGTGCCGCACGCCCAGCAGTCGCACCTTGCCAATCTTGCCGCCAAAGTCGTCTTCCACTGCACTCTGGTAGTTCTCAAACCGCTCGTTCAGTCGCGTGATAACCGAGGGATCGTCGCGGATAAGCAGCACAATAGCATCGTAACCACCTGCACCGGGTACGACGCCTCCAATGACACCATCGATCTCGGTCAAGCTGTCCAGCAGCTCGGTTTGCACGCTAGGCTCGATGGGAACGCCCGTCTGGCGGGTCATAGTACGAATGAGATGGCGGGTTCGCTGAATCAAAGTTGCGACTTCAGAGAACTGATCATCCGCATTGGCGTCCGGGTGCTGGGCCAGGCGCTTCAATTCTTGTCGCAATCGCTCATTGTTATTCTGAAGACTGCCCCAGAGAGTATCAGCCTCCTGGCGGTTGTTTTTCCTCCACTCCAGCACCTTCTTCACCATCGATGGCGTCTGAGAACCACATTCAACGTCGCACAGGACCATCTGCATCCCGCGTGGAAGCTGCATGCCGAAATCCACGCACTCGGTATCCCAGGGGTGCTTGGGGTCCACGTCCTCGACAATCGCAAACAATCGCTCGTCAAATCCGGCGGTACCCACATCGCCAACGGATTCTAAAATCGCAGGCGAGAAACGCTTGTACAGGCATGATCCGTATACTGCAGCCGCCACATCGAATCCAGACCCAACCTTGCCCTGAGCAGCGCAGTGTGCAGCTTGAGCCAGATTGTGCAGCTTGTCACGTCCGGCACCAAGATCATCTGCTTGCATCGTACGGTGGATCACCAAGGAAGAGACGAGAGCCGTCACGAGTGCGGCCGATGAGCCCAGGCCTGTCTTATGAGCTTCGTGAAGGGGAACGCCAAAGTTGACGAAGCGTCCAGCGCGTCCCTGCGTTGCGTCTCCCTTGGACGTAGCAGTCTCAGAGTAGTAGTCATTATCTGCCAGGATGGTAACCGACAAGGAGCCGAAATCTTTGGAGTCGGCGACGTAGCTGATGTAGGTCAACGCGTAGCTCAATGAGGTCTCAACGAAGGGATTGCGCGGTCTATGAGCAATATGAACAGGTCAGCAACTATAATCAAAGGGTAAACGGAGCAATGAGAGGGGAAACTATACCCATTGCCTTTCTGAATGACCTTCACACCCCCACCATTCTCACATCGTTGCACACCATACTCCCAGACCGCATCCACGAATTGTGGCGATCGCACCACGACAGTATGCTCAGCCTCCTGTTCCTCTCCTTCAATCTTGCCAACTTCTGCATCCGCACTCGCCCCCGAAGGTCCACGGCGGTGTCCCCGCCTCAACTGCTGTACGACAACGTGGATGCGCGCATCGAGGGCGAATACAGTGCCTGTGTAGGCCCGGTCGAGAACGAGGTAGCCGCCTGTCAGCAGAACCTTGCCGGGGGCAGACAACGCCGTCACTGAGGAAGGTTGGGGAGACATTGATACTGGGCGAGGGTTTGTGGAGGAAAGGCGGGGTGGCTGGTTGGTTTATCAATGTGATATGCCCCGCGGGACTTGTCGTGCACGAAGGCGTGGAATTTCCCAGTATCGCGGCAAGATTAAAGTCGTAAGTAGTAGATTGAGTCCTCGGTCGTCGATATTGAGGGATTTCTTGTAGTGTGGAGAGGGGAAGGGGGGAAACGTAGGGCGGAAGAAAGGGTGCCCCTCGTCGGTGGAGGCAAGGATGTATCTAAATCTCCTGAAGAGGACTAGCGTTCCGGGCCACATGTTGTATGCCCTAAACTCCATTGATGGAACTATACAAACTTTACGGACACAAGGGGGAACTAAAGTCGTCATACCTGGCAGGAGGAATATGCCTTCCTCGGTAAATTCCAAAATACCTTTCTCCGAGCCCCCGTGATTCTCGGTAAATCTCTTGAATGTAGGGACGGTGATGACGGGGGATACATCTTTGATCCGGTCCCAGCTGAACAAAGTTAGAAGGCTAAGCTTACCAGGCGTCCAGCTCATGCTTATCTAAAGGTTCTAGACCTTTTAAATGGACTTACTAGTTGATTACGAGAGTTGTGACTTTAACAACTCCTTGCCTATGTGTCACAGCAGCATTGCTAGGTCGATATCGGGAAATGATCCTAAGTGAGTAGCGCAATAGGTCCGAGCGTGATATCAGAGACGACCTTTCCATGATTGAGCCCTGAGTTTAATGTCATTGAATCCACTATGTGACATAGAGTGGTACAGTATCGGAGTCCTGCCTGCAGGTGCGGGAGAATAACTTCCTCGCCACCTTTCTTCCCCTATTCCTAGCGCACTTCTTCATGATGCCGCGAATAAGAGCATTGAGGTTTCAAAGTTCATCATTGTAGATCACTTCGAAAACTAAGAACTAAGAAACAAAAGCTAGGTGGATACTAGGATGAAGATATACACAATGACATTAACTCTTTCCAAAACAAAAGACTCCAACCTTGCTCCAACGTGAACCTCGTATCAAAAAGAGAAATGAGCGAACATGTGAAAGGCCAAACTCAAAGAAAACAACCCAAAACTCCAAAGCCTCTATGGTTTTTATTACTGTACATGGGTATTTGTATGAATGAAAGATCAAAACGATCGGTCAAGTTGCGAATGAACGGTAGGGAGCACCTGGTTGAGTCCGCGACGGGTTCTGCCCTACTAATTGTCCCTTGTGGTCAGTTTGAAGAACATTGCCTTGATGGCGGGGCTTCCTTATTAGGCTGGCTGGTTGAAAGACCTCCCTCGCCAACAAACTAAGCTCGAGGCTTCTGCGCAATGATGCTATAGCTCGTGGTCGCCAGGCGCATGTTATCCATCTTAACAAAAGCCTGGCCATCAAGACACAGGCGGTTGATCAGAGTCTTGAAGTGACGGGGGAGCATGTGGAGCTTGACAAAGGCAAGAATGACCTGGCGCAGGCTACGGAAGTACAAGTCCACGGTATCGATCAGCGGAGCCTGCAAACCGTCGATACTGGCATTCTCAGACTTGACAATCTCAAAGCCGGCTTGCTTCAGCGCGGTCTCGAGACTCTCTTGAGTTGGGGTGCCGACGGCACCGATCAAGGGCTTGACGCGGCGCATGAGCTCGGCATGTTCGGGGTTCTTCGGCTCGTAGGCGGGGAGACTGATCCAGTCCAGCAGCGAGATCTTGGATCCCGGCTTGACCACGCGGAAGATCTCGCGGAAGAGTGCGGGCAAGTCCTTGCACAGACTTAGCGCTTGGATCTGGTAGAAGGCGTCGAAGCTCTCGTCGGCGAAGGGTAGCGGGAGGCTGTTGAAATCTTGCTGGATGAAGTTGTTTTGCAGACCGCGCTCTTCATTGAAGCTCTTGGCCTGGGCGACTTGATTGGGATCAATGTTCAGACCGGTGACTTGCGCGCCAGAGTGCTGCGCCATATGCGCTGCAACGCGCCCACGCCCGCAGCCAAGATCCAACACCTTGTCGCCAACGCGCAGGCCGATATCTTGTGCAATTGAGCGCTCATAGAGGATCTGGTTCTCTAGAACAGAGGCCTTGCGACTCATCCAGGGGGGATATACATTTTCTCGACGTCGCCCAAGGCGCAGAGATGGTTGAGCACTCCGTAGTAAGACTTTAAGCAATCGCCAACTTTTTCTTGGTAGTTAGGGCCCAAGACCTCGGTCATCTGCTGCTTGTTCTCCCAATCCAGGTTGTAAATCACATAGGATGCCATGAAGTCATCTACTTCCTTTGGCGTCAGGTTGGCGAGGTAGCGGAAGGAAGTCCAGAAGCTCTTCCAGCGCTTGGGTGAAGCAGAGTCGTCGAGATCCTTGCTATGCTTTCCATGCTTTCCCAGCGCAGAGATGAAAAGCTTTTGTTTCTGCTCGGCGATCTCGTCCAGCGAGCTATCACTCTCAGAGCCCCTCTTGGTCTGGCCAGGGTGCTGTGGCAAGACGGTTTGCGACGCCATTGCGAAGGTGGGAATGAAATGCAAAGCTCTTTGATGCTGTACAAAGGCTATATGCAGCAAGGGGAATGAAAAGAGGTAAATGCGAATGCGAGGGGAGCTCGAATAGCTTGGATAGCTTCAATAGTGGGTAAAGTAGAAGAGCTCAAAGAAAAGAAAAAGTGTGGGCGATGAGACCAGGGCGCGGGATGTATAGTTATTATTCGTTTTTCGCACAGCTCCACGAGGGCCCGGCGCAATTTATAAGCAGCGCACACTCGGAGATCCTTTTACTCCACGATTAAAGAAATAAAAGCATGAAAAATGCCAAAAAGGCGAAAGAAATTCCGCCAAGACCAGTTGACGAGCGGTCAGAGGCCACTTGAGTGGGATTGTCACCAGACGTGGAAAGCTCCTTTCGGATAGGCCGGCAGTAGTGGCCTCGGACGGCAGAAGAAGGCCGGGAGATATTCCACCGCAAGGAAAACCAGAGGGAAAGATGGACTGGATCCTGGAACGATGGATCTATGGAACTAGGGTATGGAACCGTCGGAATAGGAAACGGATCTTTGAACGCAGTCATCCAGCCTTGTTTTTTAGCGGGATCCGGAGAACCAAAGAACTGAAGGACCTGAGGCCGGTCAATTGGATCTGCTCTGAATGTATACGGTGGGAAGTTCCCCGTGCACTTGGTCGACTCGGTGACTGTAGAAGGAGGGGTTTTAGAATTACAGTACGCGAGGCGTAGCAAGCCACAGTCTATGAGTAAGAGCTGGGCCAGGCACGGATGACGGATGACGCGGGAAGGGTCTTGAGAAAGAAATGAGCATCGTCATGGTAGTGACGATCGAGACCCACCTTTTACTAGACGATGAGATACGGAGTGCTCTTTTCAGCCTGCCGATACCACCAGTCTTGAGGAACATATGCAGTAGTCCTATGGCGTGCGGAGTATTTCGCGAGGGGCCGCTTTGTATCTCGAATGAAACACTCTGGTTGGCGGATAGAGGCAGAGAACATCATCATACATGAGTTGGCGCATGGTCGAATGTGTCTGGATTGCGCCATCCAGCTCTCTACCAGTAGTAAATTATTGAATTAGTCAAAGGCCTCCGGAGTGCCTGCGGAGTGTGACCTATAAAGCTCTGGCCCTCTGCCGGAAAGCTCCAGCGTTAGCTTCGTACTAGTTCCCGTGCATCGAACCCTCTCAAACCCCTCGTGTCTAGTGAAGGTTAACCTCTCTACAGGCTTTTGTTTTACCGAAGATTTGCCCAGCTTCTGTCCCTATCTATTCGCCTGGTTATGTGGAAGTATCGCGCATTCCTCAAGGGGACTTCTTTTTCTTGACGCGGTTAGCCATGCCGTCATTCCGGCAGGTCGAAGTATAAAGGTCATGCCCTGTAGGGCGGGGCCGGTGGAAGGTTACGGAAGCGGCTTCGAGAAGCTTTTCGGAGGATATTTCAAAGGAGAAAAATCTCGTTCCAAAAGGTGAATACTATCGCCAACTGAAATGGTGAAATGGAACATGATAAAATCAAAATCATACACATACACATACCATCTATGGCCCTTCCTGTAAGGCGTTTGGATCCGATGCAGTCATGACTGAATAATCTTTTGAGGGTTTTTGACTGGACCCACTATGTATGGCTGACTAAAGGGGCTAAAACGGCCAAAAGTGGCTAAAGTGACGGATGAGCTCCACTTTCTTTTCCTCGATCACCGACTGGATCGTCCGACTGTAGGGCAATTTGGCCCGAAACTCGGACCCTGAAATGGCCTGAGAGGCCCGTATATCCGGGCCCGGTCACCTGAAGTTCCCAATACAGTAACATGCTCCTTCATTCATAGAATGACAACTGATGCACTGCGGCGTGAGAAATTGGAAGATTTTCCTAGACGAAGAGAAAGTTATTGCCCTGTATTCAGGGGTAAATGGCTCGAGGCTCGGCAAATCCCCGTCCTCAGCTTATGTTCTCGACTGGAGCATGCTCTTCAACGGACGGCGCTTGGCATTGCTTCTTTCCGCTTACTACGGAGCATAAACGGAGGTAGTCCGGAGTACACGGACCGTTTGATTGGGGCCGCATACAACGGTAATGCGTGCAGTCTGAGGTATTAGAGAGATATACAGGAGTTGACCAGGCCTTCCTTTCTTGACCGTGTTTTCTATTTCTGTTTCCAATACTAATAATGAAACGGATTCCAACTAGTAGGAATCTTTCATTCGTTCCGCCCTTTCACTCTCTCTCATAATGAAAGGTACTCTAGCTAAGATCAACTGATGCAACCGTTCATAGGGAGTGCATGGTGGTGGAGTCTATCTAGTGGACCTGGCTGACCCATAGAAGAAACGAAAGAAAAAGAAAAACAAAGATATATGAACGCCGATTATCAAACCGAACAGATCAGCAAAACGCACAGTATTATCGATAAATGTGAATCGCCATATCTGTCAAGGAAGCTCTAGAGCGAACGCCTAAGATGAGGCCATTCACACTATAACAACTCTGGTTAGTCAGACCAGGATTTGGGTATTTAGGGAAGAGCGGGATCCATTTCAGGTTTAGATTAGTTTTATAGTAACTACGTACCAGAGTTAGTTGATCTTGTGAGTCATACCATTCCTTTCCATGTCAATAGGAACTCCGGCGGATGATATCTTGTTCAAATGAGGGGTTGTTCCTTCGGAGACTTCTTCGGCACCGACTATACAAAACAAGAAAAAACACCGCGCTCCTCTTGCTTTATGACTCCGTGCCTTTGCGAATGGAGCCATTCATCCCACGTTGCGATGTAGATCCATCGCAGTCTCTGTTCTTTTATGGTAGGTATCTGCTTCTATCACTGCGTTCCCCCTCATCGCCTCCACCTCCCCCGGACACGGGCCTGATGGTGGAACCGACCCGGCTCCTTGAGCCTGGTCTTGGTTGGCGTGACGAAGTTGAAAGGTTTGCACTATGACCCAAACTTGAGTATTTCTTTGGTAATTGATATCCATGCGGAGTACTTCGGAGACCCAGGGACAGATTGTTCAATGTATACTCTAAACAACACTGGTAATAACTGTCCCTCTGACTATGTCCGTCGCCTGTGATGATGTCCTTACTCAACAAGTCCAACACCGTAGCCATCACTTCGCTTATCGCGCGCAACAGCCATCTCGAGCCCCGTGCATCCCTCAAAGTACCACAACTATATTGCGCGAACCAGTATCTGATAACAAGCGGACCAAACAGGTCAATGGTAGCACTGCAGGCACCAACGCCATCCCACGCGGCATGCAGCGAACACCGCATTTGAGCATATGATGGGCCCCTCTTCTTCTCTTTCTCACTGCTCACGGATTTGGAAGGATACTGAAGCCGAGGCGTGAATGATAGCTTCTGATTGAGCCCGCGCGGGCGTAGACTACGCCAAGCCGAGTACAAAGTACGGCTACGGTGGTAATGGAAGTTGGGACCAATGCGACACGGGACATCGATCGACAAAGGATGAAGCACGCTCTCGCGGGACGATGTCCGAGCGGTGGGAATTATCTCTCTGACGTCAGATGGCAGATATGTGCTCTGCTTTTTCATCTTTTTGTGGTGGCTGGTGGTCATGACGAGGCTGCCTATGTACAGTAGGCTCCATCGTTACTTTGGGGGGTGTACTTCTAAGTAGAGGCTCAACTACTACGTACTACTACCAAGTATAACTGATAGAGGAACATGGTAGTGCTCAAGACAATCGGGAGATGGTGCCTAAAGATTATCTTGGATTAGGTCAGTTTCAAGACGGAAGATGTACATCTGCGATATTTCAGGTATCCTTGCTTGTCATTTTTACTTGGCTTTCACTTCTAGGCATGAGTATGTTATAGAGGCCCAACCTCTATACCGCATACAATCACGTGACACACCATCATCCGTGTTATGGACTGGCCAGAGCGGCGCCCAAGGATTCATCGTCCGATGTTTTCTTGGCATTATTGTCTAGGTTTTGACCATCTGGTGGTGCTTGACTGGAGATCAAAATCTATAAGACTCGAGGGTCCCACCCAGTTCGTTTGATGAAGACAAGAACCTCCGATTTTGCGTACAATCGAGAATCAAGGAGATACAATGTCATCGTCATCAATTTACGAGCGTCAGACACGAACAGCACGCTGACGAACAGCACGCTGACTCCCCTCGTATCCCTTTCCAGTATCTCCATGGCTCCTACCTCCGTCCTCCGACAATAACCATCAATGTCCGAAGGGCAAGATCAGTATAAAGACCGTTAACCCCGTCGGACAGTTCGGGAGGCCGAGCCGACGGGGAAGGGAGGCCAGCTCTCCGAGCAAGAAAAAGAACCGGAACGGGGGGTGAGTCATCCAGGCACATTCCCTGCAATCTGGCTGGTTCCCGCATGTTTGGGCTTCTGCTTCTCCGTCCACATTGGCACATCCCCCCTTTTTGGCCCGATTCCAGGGATATGCAGGCATCTCATTGGCCCGATGCCCTCCCTCTTGTCCGGTTTTTTTCCTTGAGCCACCTGACCTGTGCTGACCTGATCACTGGGAGGAACCGGGGAAAGTCCTCGAAGTATATCGTACTCGCGTTACTTGACACGCTCGAGGCAGAGGTCGTTGAAGTAAATCGAAAGGATCAAAGTCTAATGTACAAGGATTGGTTATACTCTCGCCACGGTAGATCGAGGTTCCTCGATACGTCGAGGAGTAATCCCTGTGTTCCCCGGAAAATACCTAGATCCCAGCTGAAGTGTTGACGTGTCGAGTTCACGAATTCCAAAATGTAGCAGCCTCAAGCGTGGCTGAATCTGGGTGCCGTCGTCGATGGTATCCAGTACATACGTTGTGTATCTTTTGATACCCACAAAGATAGGCCACACGCGACACTCTCGAGGTACCCAGTACCCAGGATCCTCCGGAGAGGATCGGCCCCAAACTATTGCCAGAACCACCAGAACCAGTTGGTGTGCACAGCCAAGGCCCACTCCGCTGAGACTCCATCTCCTTCCAGAATCCCCTTTCCTTATTTTGTGACGCTGGTGCCTCTCGTTTTTTTGTGTGAATATTTCTCAGGCTCCTATCCTATTTTCCCATCGGATTCTTTCCCTTCCTATTTCATCCCATCCTATCTCACCAGCCATCGCATCTCGAAGACCCTGTCCGGTACACAGGTCTCTTCTACCAACGATATCCAATTCCCACACCCCTACCATTCCCTACTTCCGCATATCGGCGCGTTCATTGGCGACTGGAGTCGTTCAATGAACCTGCATTTTCTTCATTATCATTCTGAGTGCAAGGTATGACCCTCGAATCCTCATAGACTCTATTTCTCCTTTCTAACGCCTCTTTGTGCTCCTCTCTAGCATTGCCTCTTCACTTTGAAGAGGACTCCCGCTAGATAAATGGTCTTTAAGCCGTTCACCCATCTCGCGCGTCAGAGTTTCACCAAAGCCTTCACCCATGGCTATGCTCAGTCGGTAGTGGCCGCGTCCCAATCCTACGCCTCGTCCACCACCCTCAACCAATTCGCCCTTCAACCTGCCGCCAAATTCTCCCGCACCACCCAACTACAGAATGCCTTCTCGAATGCCTCCAGTTCGTCCGGCGCCGGCGCTAAGGCGAGCCAGGGCACCGGCGGCAATGGTGACTTTGGTCTAGCCGCCTACTATGCTGCCTGGCAGCACGCCCAGCAGACCGGCGACGATACCGATTGGTGCCAGTTCCAGTTCAAGCGCCGTATTGGATGGAAGCCTACCGAGGAAGTCGAGGATGCGAAGGATGAGCGCATCCCTTCCCCCGAGCCTCCACACCTAACCAAGGCCGCTGTCAACGAGAATGTCAGCGCACAGGTCGAGGAGGCTGTCGCGCGGGAGATTCAGATTCAGGAGGAGCAGGCACAGGCGGAAGAGGCAACGGATGGGACTGAAGCAGTCGCTGCTGAGTCGGCCATCGAGGATGTAGCCATTTCTGAGGAGATTTCAGAGGAGAGCAAGATTGCCTCGGAGCGCATCGTGCAACTGGCCACGGACAAGAGCTACGCCGAGATCCCGGCAGCATTCGAGTCCATCCTTCGTGAGGGTCTGACTCCGACTGTCGACGCATACAATGCTCTGTTGGTTGCCGCTATCCGTCTGCATCCCGAGGCCGCCCAGGCCATTCACAAGGCTCTCGATGTATACTCTGATATGCTTCGTCGCAGGGTAATTCCCGACGAAGACACCTATCAGACCCTCGTCCAGCTGTTGGTCACTCAGGCGCACCACGCGATCAACGCCAAGGAGGTGCTTGAGCAGGAGCGGGTTCGGCATGGTGGCATGGAGGAGCCTGGCAAGTTTATGCTCCAGTCTAGCGAGCTGGAGCGCGACGTACTTGCTGAGGACCACTCCCTGTCCATTGCCGTGAAGCTGTTCAACACGGCCACGAGCCGCCACTCCCGTCTCGTGTTCCCCGTCGACTTGTACCGTCAACTCATCATTGCCTGTGCCCGTGAAGGCAAGGTTGAGGACATGATCCGCATCTACTCCCACATGGAGATGCAAAAGGTGGCCCCTCACGCGTCGATCTTCCCTTTCATGATTGACGCCTTTGCCGGCACGGGTGATCTGTCCAGCGTGGTCGAGTGCTATAACGAGTACCGTAGCCTGGCTGTGTCGGACGACAACGGTGTGTTCAGCATTATCAAGCGTCTCGACGGTGAAGTCTACGCGGCCGTCATCCGCGCCTATCTGTCCTGCGGCAAGGAAGAAGGTGCCATGCACTTCCTCGATCGGATTCGCTCTTCGTTCGACGACGTCACCGAGGACCGGGAAGGCCGTTGGGCCATGGTGGAAGCTATCATTGTCAAGGACGCCCTTGTGCAGCACTTTTTGAATGTCGGTGAACATGGCAAGGCCCTCGGACAGGCCAAGGAGCAATTGCACGATGCGGCTCGCGATCAGGCCATTTCTCGGATCTGCATTGCTGCAGCTGACACTGGCAATCTTACCACCGCCTCCGAAGCATATGACAGTCTGTCCACCTCCCCCGATACCCGCCAAACTCCCGCTATTTCACTCCTTGCGCTTCACGTCCGCCAGGGCAACATTTCCGCTGCCCGGTCTTTGTGGATTATGCTGAACACAGTGGGTCAGGCCACCCCGGATATGGTCCAGCCGACCGCGATGTACGCGGTCGCGCTGTTGAAGAGCGGCCAGGTTGAGGATGGTCTCCATGAGGCTCGCAACATGTTTGCTCGTATCCGCAACGCCTCCGCCAAACAGGTCGCCGTCGCTCCTGCCACTATCAGTGAGCAGATTAGCGAGTCGCTTCATCTCTTTGGCCGTGTCCTCATGGAGACGGGGGCTGTCCTCTCCCCCCAGGCCTCGATGACTCTTCTTTGGTCTATGGTTGAGAATGACGGCCTTGTCTCTCCTATTGCGGAGCACGTCGTCGCTAGTCTGGGACCTATGGGTATCTCGCAGCTGAATCCCGCGGACCTCACCCTGGCCCTGCAGGTTCAGGCTCGTATGCTAGCGGGCAACAGTGCTATCCTCTTTGACATTGCCCACCCGGTGCGCTTCGCTCACATGCTCGATGTCGCTCTGTCTGCTGCTCTTCCTCTGGATACCTACACTACCCATCTGGTCGACCAGGCTGTCGCCAAGCTGTTCACCAGCCGTCCTGATATCGTCAAGAGATGGCAGGATCACCTGGAGGCATCGACGCAGGCCTCCTTGATGTCAGACCGCCACAGCCCCGTCTCCTTGACAGAGACCAACATCACGACTCCTTCTGTAACCCCAGATTCTTTCGACCCGTATGCCCACGCCACCGACTTCCGAGGCTCTGCCATCATCGCCGATGAGCTCGAAAAGACTTCCGGTCGCGCCGAGACCCACCTCAACGAGGCTCTGATCCGACTGAAGAACATGCGTCGCATTGGCCGTCACCCTCGCTACATCACGTACGCGAAGCTCATCACCGCTGCCGCCAAGGTCGGTCGGATGGAGTTGGTCGACGAGATCCACGGCATGGCCCGCACCGATGTCCCTCTGAACCCGGCTCACAACGCCGTCAAGTACGGTTGGGTTTCCATCCTCGATGCTATGGTCGCTGCCTGCCTCACCCTCGGTGACCGTCACCTGGCTGGTCAGTACCATCAGGAGCTGCTGGGTCTGGGTTCGGCACCCTCCGCCAACACTTTCGGTCTGTACATCACCACCCTGAAGGAGTCGACCAAGACCTTCGACGAAGCCACTGAGGCCTTGAAGATCTTCCACCGTGCTGTCGCCGAGGGCGTCGAGCCGACCTCGTTCCTGTACAACGCGCTCATTGGCAAGCTCGGCAAAGCCCGTCGCATTGACGACTGCCTTGCCTACTTCGCCGAGATGCGTGCTAACAATGTCCGCCCTACGAGCGTCACCTACGGAACGATCGTCAATGCCTTGTGCCGAGTCAGTGACGAGCGCTTCGCCGAAGAGATGTTCGAGGAAATGGAGTCTATGCCCAACTACAAGCCACGCCCGGCACCATACAACTCCATGATCCAGTACTTCCTGAACACCAAGCGTGATCGTTCTAAGGTCCTTGCCTACTACGAGCGCATGCAGGCTCGCAGCATCAAGCCCACCACCCACACCTTTAAGCTGCTCATCGATGCTCACGCCTCGCTTGACCCCATTGACATGCCCGCTGCCGAACGCGTCCTCGCCGACATGCAAGCCGCCGGCGTCCAGCCGGATGCCGTGCACTATGCTTCGCTCGTCCACGCCAAGGGCTGCGTTCAGCATGATCTCCCGGCCGCCCGCAAGGTATTCGACTCTGTGCTCGCGGACCGCCGCGTTCGCCTGCAGCCGTGTCTGTACCAGGCCCTCTTCGAGGCGATGGTGGCCACCGACCACGTCGCGGATACTGAGGAAGTTGTCAGCGGCATGAAACAGCGCAACGTCGAGATGACCGCGTACATTGCCAACACGCTCATCCACGGCTGGGCAGCCGAGGGCGACGTCGCCAAGGCCAAGACTATCTACGACAGCATCGGCATTCAGAAGCGCGAGCCTAGCACCTACGAGGCCATGACTCGCGCATTCCTCGGCGCTGAGGACCGGGCTGCAGCTGCCGGCATCGTCCAGGAGATGATGTCGCGTGGATACCCGTCCGCCGTGGCGAGCAAGATCATCGATCTGGTCGGCCCTGCACCCTCCGTCTAAACTTCCTCCTTCTTCTCCTCCTCCTCCTCCCTAATCCTCTTCGTTACTGTTCTGTTGTTCCCTGGACTTTTTTTTCCTACGACCAGGTCTATGCCCATCTAATCTGGTGATTCTATGTGACTGCACTTGGCGACTTGAAACACCTTTACATCTTCATTACCTCGCCAGGGCTGGATCCCGGCTTGGCTCCAGGCTTGGTTTTTCCGGTTCGGCGCTCGTAATAGGGGTGGTCCCGGATATCTTTATCTATCTATGTGGTTGGTTCTTGGATATATACCTGGTTGTGGGATATACTTGTGGTTTTTGCTTTTTGTTCATTGGCATTCAGCGAGGTTCTGGCGTTGATTGGCGATAAAAATGGTGCTTTGTCGGATCTCTTTTTTATGTTTCTGGTCGGGGGCTTTGTTTGTTACCCTCGGCTTGTATACCATTTTGATTTGTGCATGTTCATAGACACATCTCTCCTCTGCATCGCGCTACTAGACGCTGATGAAATACAAAAAAAGTCAATGAGTCTGGTTGGTCTTTGTAAACATATCTAAATTAGTATCTCTCACGAAATCAATGTATTGTATGTTAGGTAATTGTGTCCATTGTAGGCGTCTAGATTAACCCTCCCTTAGCCCAAAACGGAGGCGGATTCTTGAACGGATTCACTGTACTGTAGAAGATGACCAGGCCCTTACTGCAGTCGACAGTCGTCATAGGAGAATAAAGGTCCTTGGCAGAAACTGGATAGTTATCTTGATTGAAAGATTAAAAGAAATACTTGAAAATGGTGTTCTCATCCGATCGGTGTATCGCGATCCATGACGCAGATCTCAGTGGTTCCTTGGTTCTTCATGCAATCTGATTGATCTGATGTACCAAATCGACTATTGGCTAGATATGGCAGGTAGATAAGTTTCCAAGATCTTAGCGGGTTCAATACTTGTTTAATAGTCTAATTTTTAACAAAGGTTCTCTCGAAGTTCCCCTACCATCGCAGTTCTGGAACGAATTCCATTATGAAGGTGAACAAATATTAAGAGCAGATTTACTCCGCATTTAGATCCAAATTGATCATTGTTACGTATTCCTGGCATCAGATAAAGAACACTTCCAAATACGTCATGCCGATGTAAACCAGAGCCCCTTTGCAGGCCAATGCAGTATGCGGACAAGAACATAAGAATAAAAGAGACCAATACTAAGTTCTTGAATAAATCTCCTTTCATACTCGCGAAGTCCTTCACTGCACATCGCCTACAGCACACACAAAATGAAATCCAAGAAGATTCTCATCATCCTCAGCGACGCGAATTCATTCCCCATCAAAAAGACCAGTGGCCCCAAAAGCGGCCAAACAGTCGCACAACCCTCCGGCTTCTTCCTCCAGGAACTAGCAAAACCCCTGCAAAAGCTACTAGACGCCGGCCACGAAGTCACCTTCGCCTCGCCCAAAGGCCGCGAACCAACAGCAGATCCAAATAGCGAAACTCTCCTCGCATACGCAGGCAACTTCTACGAGCGACGCCGCGAACAAGAACTCATCGAGAGAATGAAGAAAGAGAATGGATTTAGCAGTCCCCGTCCATTCAGCTCTATCTCCGACGAGGAACTGGCTACCTTTGCCGGGGTCTTTATCCCAGGTGGCCATGCACCTCTGCAAGATTTGGGCGGGGATGCAGAGCTTGGTCGGATACTGCGATATTTTAATCGGGAGAATAAGCCTACTGCGGCTATTTGTCATGGACCGTATGCGTTGTTGAGCACAAAGCATGCGGGTGATGGTTCGTTTGTGTATTCTGGGTATAAGATTACTTCTTGGAGTGATGCGGAAGAGAAGGTGGTGGAGACACTGCTCGGTGGTGAGATTGAGAAGGTTGAATCGGCGTTGAGAAATGAAGGTGCTGTGATGATGGAGGGTGCTTCTGAGAAGGTTGGTGGGACGATGCTGCATCGTGAGTTGCTTACTGGGGGAATCCTTTGGCTGCGAATTCTTTGGGCGATCGATTTTTGAAAATGATTAGCGTTTGATTGCCTAGATGGATGATTGGATTGAATGGAAGAAAGAAATCTTGATTTTCTGGATTGAGTACTATAGTATGGAAAATCGAATAAGGGTTCAATATTGTACAAATTTAGCTCATGGCAGGATGGGAACTTGTAATACAAGATCAAGGATCCTATGAGAAGACCAATCCACCAAATACAGCATCATTGCCCCCTTCCTCTGGTCATCTCATTCTCAAGTTCTTCCTTCGCGGACCGAGGTGGAATATTTTGCGAGCCCTTCTTCGAAGTGTCGGAGGGCCTTCCTCGCTGGTTGCTGCCCGTCGATGACTTCTTCTTGGATTGTTCAGGTCCCGGATGCTCCAACTCGCGAGTGCGATGGCTCACGCCTTGGTTTACTGGATCTTCACCGGCTGGGCCACCCTTTCCGTCTCCATATCCCTGGGTGGAGTAGAGTGCTCGTCCTAGTTGTCGTGAGGTTATAGCAGAGCTCGATAGTAGGGTTCGTGCATAATGAGATGCGGAAGGCGTCTGGCGTAGACCGGATGTGATTGTTTGATATCTCGACATGTTCGGCTTGGACGACAGAATATGTTCTGCTTCGAAATTACGAGATGCAACTTCTGTGATGAGTGACAAGTCAGATATTTTAAAACAACCACGAATTGCGCTGGATCCAAGCTTTTTTATCTGAGAAGAGTAGCAGTGTCCATACCCAACGTCATTTCTGCGATCAATTTTAGATCCCTATAAACTTGGAATGACTCGTGGGGAACCATGGCGAGGAATGCGGTTCGTTTTGACTGGTACGGCCACGACATGGTGACTTCACATGTGCACCTCAAGATCTAGAGCCTCCACAGATTTGTATATGCCAGCTCATTTGGAAAAGCGACGTTTAATTAATGTAACAATAATGCTGACTCAATGAAATATACGACACGCCTGCTAAGAGTGGCGAAAAGAAACCGTACTATATAGCTTACAGTCAACCTCGGGGTTCGGTTTTTTGCGTTTTAGGGTTTATCACACTCTAACAATTGAACCCAAATTCAAAGAATGCTAAGAATAAGTTTCATGGAATATGCTATCTATTACGTAAAGTAATCTCGAGGTGAGAAAATATCTACAAGTATAAATAATGGCTTCAGCTGTTCGTCGCCGAGTATGGACATGTGTCATTATCCCAACCGCAGTGCATCTAGTCCAAGCCCTGGAGCGTCTCCAAGTCATGAACGAATGCATGCCACCAAAACTCCAAAGCTCAAACCTTGTGAGAAAGGAAATGAAGTAATGCTCTGTCAGACGGTGCAATTCCCGTCGCTCAACGCTCATTCTTACCACGCAGGTCTTTGAAGCCTGCAGCGGCAAGGTCCTCCTCAATGAGACCAGGAAGGCAGATGTGATGCAAAACAACCTCTTTCAAGTTCTTCTTGATCTCCTCCTCGGAAGGAGGTGTCCAGGTGCCACGCAGAATCTGACCGATAGCCTGGCTGAGGAAAGACGCACTCTCCGTGTACGTGATGAAACCAGCAGACACGGAGATATAGAAGATTCCTGGGTAATCCTGGTCGTAGAACCGGAGATATAGAGGTCGTGGTGCATCTGCAGCAGCCAGAGAGTCATATTCACCGGCTGGAGATCCTTCGGGGAGATATGCAGACTCGGTTGACCAGCCTGTTGCAGCCACCAGCATCCTGGGGTAAAGGGCCGTGCCGTTGGTGAGGACAACTTTCTCTCCATCGATCTCTTGGATTCCGCACTTGTCGTGGATATGGAATTGACCATTGTGATAGGGTTTCACCAGATGGGACCTCAGGATTAGACCAACCTTTGCAGATGGTCCTTCATCTGGAGGGGAAGTATTTGCATTAGTACACTTATTCTCTCAGTTATGATATGGATTGCTTACGGGTAGGAGGCTTCCACTCTGGCACGCCATGGAAGACTGCCCAGGCGAGATGAATGAGCCAGAAGATGGCATCCACCACAAAAATAGGCAAGCGGCGGTAGAGCACGCGCATGAGATGCAGTTCCGTCCATCCCATTTGCCATAGCCAGGGCCACCACAGATCAGGAGCGCCCCTAATACTCTGGTCAGTTTTGTCATGAGGGAAACTATTGTCAATTAAAGTCTTGATATGAGATGCTTACCAGTGAGGAGATCGTGCAACTAGATGTACATTCTTCGCACCTTGCTTGACGCAAGCTTCCTGGATAATGTCCATGGCTGAAGGTCCGGCACCGATAACGAGAATATCAGAATCTGGTAATTCACTTGCATCGCGAATGTTGTTGTTATGCTTGATAGGGAATTTTGCTGTTTCCTGACCGGGGAACCTGGGCATATAAGGTTCCATATTATGACCACTAGATCCATCAGTACCATATATATCAAACAAAATGGGGTCTAGTTCTCTTACGTGCAAACAAGAACACTCCGTGTATAAACGGTTTGGCTCGAAACTGCCTCGATTTCCTTCCCGAATGGGCGAATGACGACTTTGTGCAGCATAGGCTTGACCATCTCGACATGAGCCACATCGTGCTCCCAGATCACGTGGTCATGTAGATCGAACTCTGTGAAATAAGCATCGCAAAACTCGGCAACTTGGTCTCTCGTTGCGCGTCTTTGAGGCTCTCGTCGAGGGAATTTGACACCGTGGACTTCATATTCGCAGATCAGATCCTGCAGCGTTGAGTATTCCGGGATATGGCCCGTCCAAATGCCACCGGGAACTGCTTGGCGTTCAACTATAATCGCAGAGAGTGGCGGTTGATCTCTTAAAAGATTGCGCAAACAGACCATCCCTAATGAAGGTGTTAATATCTAGCAAATCCCAAAGTCTTCAATCGCGGGTAATGTTTCCTACCAGATGGACCAGCTCCAATAATGAGAGCATCGATAGGATCCTCTGCCGTTGCGCCAGCTTGGCCGGCAGCGACCTTTGTAGCAGTAGTTGATTCCTTGATCTTTTTAACGAGGACCATTCTTCTTCTTTTTCCCTTGACAGGGTCCGATACCTCGTTAGAAGGAAAATAGGTTCGGACCCGACCATCTGGGTAGTTTCCCCGCTATTTATACAACCACCACCATGGGCAACAGAGAGTCGAGATCGGATCTGGCGTTTTACTAAACGAAGATAGATTTTAACGTCGAGTGGCTTTTTTGCAACGTGTAGAGTGGATCAGACGGTAACCGGTCAAGCTGCATTGGCATGCGAACCAGCTGTTCAACGGGTTTGATGCTGCAGTATCTGCTGGTTTGGTTAATTCGGAGCGATAGAGAACAGTGCGAGGAGGGGCAGGGATGTGGAGAGACTAGACCCCGATTGGTACTTCGGTGCGAGCAAAAGTACGACCAGCCAACTGCCCATTCCAGGCAGAGTCCTGCATATCTGACTAAGGTACAGCCAGAATCCGTCCAATTCTCAGGAACAAACCATGCAAAGTCATCCTCAACTTCGAAAGTCCCGAGTTAACTAACCCCAACGAGTCATTACTGGAGTAGGCAGCCCAAGTAACCTTCCCAAGGTCTTCAGGGGCCAACCCCACTCCCCCCGAGTTTAATTCGTTCCTCGCCAATTCCTCACAGTCTGCATTATCAATGCCATTGTTCTCCTAGATCTGACGAATCCGTACTAGAGTCAGATCCACCGCCGTGTATCGTGGATCGCGTCCGAAAGGGGGGCCGTTCTTCTAACCTTCAACCACCCACCCCCTCCAGTCCCACGGTCCACCACGCCTCCATCTCCGCCACGGCCCACGATGTCTTCGAATGTCCAAGAGATTCAGGACGACGCAGCCCTCCTGGCCGCGCTCGGCTACAAACAGGAGCTCAAGCGCCAATTCTCCTTTTTCTCCATGGCCGCCAACGCGGTCATTACCGCGAGTGCTTGGGTATGGTTGTCTCCACCGACTAAGGACCCAGTTTCCTCCATACTGATATTCCGGGTCCTCCGTAGACGGCGATGATCGGATCTATCATTACTTCAATCTACAATGGTGGCGCATCGGGTTTGCTATACGCTTGGTATGTTTAAAAACACCGTCGTTGGTCGCCAGTTACTGGTCGCCGATCGCGTGTGATTCCCCCCCCCCCCTTCTAACCTTGTGCTGAACGATGTCTATCAACACGACAGGATCGTCGATAACTTCTTCTTCCTCTTTGTGGCTCTCTCCATGGCCGAGTTGACGTCGGCTATGCCCACCTCTGCCGGCGTCTATCATTGGTCTGCTGCCCTGGCTGGTCCGAGATTCGCGAAGCCCATTGGCTTCCTCACGGGATATTTCAATGTGTTGGGGTATACATTGGGTCTTGCTTCGCTATACTCAGTCGCCGGTCTGGAAATTACTGGTCTGTATCAGCTGTGGCATCCTGATTACAATAGTCAGCCATGGCAGGTATTTGTCGTCTTCGTCGTGCTTACCTGGTCTGCGGCACTGTTTGTCCAGTTCGGTAACAAGATCTTGCCCTTGTATACCAAGATCGGCCGTATGTATTGCCTGCATGCCACTATGCCTTTGGTTCTACCCCGCTGATTCGCCTATCATAGTGTTTATCAATGTGGGCGTGTGGTTCGTCGTCGTGATTTGCATCGCCGCGCTCCCCAAGACCCATTCCACCAACTCTTTCGTGTGGAAAGAGTATACCAACATGACCGGCTGGCCTACGGGCGTGAGCTTCATCCTGGGTCTTGTAGGACCGGCCTTTGCCATTGGAACTATTGACAGTTCCACGCATATGGCGGAGGAGATCCCGAATCCATCCAAGAACATTCCCAAGACTATCCTGGTTCAATGGTTTGGATCATTCTCAATGTACGCCCTTGCCAATATTTGATCTCCGCCATGTACTAACTAGTGAACAGGGGCTTCATCATCTTGATTGCCGTCTTCTATGCGGCTGGCTCTCTCGACGCCATCTTGAACTCAGCACCGAATTACCCCGTCGCCAGCATCATGGCTCAGTCATTCAATAACACGAATGCTGCCTTTGGGTGTGGTCTGATTATCTTCATCGCTTCCATCACGGGACAGGTCGGCTTCCAAATCGTTGCGGTCCGAAGTATCTGGGCCTTTGCGCGTGACGGTGCACTGCCGTTCTCCAACTTCTTCTCCAAGATTGACGAGCGCAGCGTGATGCCAGCCAGAGCTAATATCCTAATTGGTACGACAAGCCCCTCTGGCATGATATATCAAGTTGCTGACTTTACTTCTTACTTAACAGCTGTCATTACTACTGCTCTCGGTGCCCTCTACGTCGCATCGACCACCGCATTCAACGCCCTCGTTGCATCCTACGCGGTCATGTCCACCACCTCCTTCGGTTTCGCAATTGGTGTCCACCTCTTCACCGGCCGTAAGAGAGTCGCGCCTGGCTGGTTCCACCTCGGCGACGGATTCCTTGGCTTTTTCATCAACGGCGTTGCCCTTGTTTATATCCTGGTTTCTAACGTGTTCTTCTGCCTGCCCTACAATAGGCCACCAGTGGATGCAAAGACCATGAACTACACCTCTCTGGTGTCCTATGGAATGGCTATCCTGGTCGTCATCTGGTGGTTCATCGGTGGTAAGAAGTCATACAGGGGACCGAAGCTGTCTGGTGAGACCCAGGATGCTCTCGAGGGAATGGGCATGACACCCAGAGAAAATGGAGAGCAGCATGTCGAGAGAGGGTCTGTACGTCTGACGGAGAAGGAGAAATCTTGAGTCCAACCTTGGTTGGGCGTGTATAGAAAGACTGGTTGAAGCATTGTATAGTTCATTTGTAAAGCTGGCAGAAAGCTGTGCACAGTGTATTCAGGTCATAATTCATTTCAATAGGTCCCGCTAAAGATTTCCGTCGCTCACAAATAATTTCCCGAGATAAAAGGAAAAAAAGAAAGAAAGAAAAAGAAAGAAATGCTAATCAGAAAAGACTCAAGTCGAAACCACGATCTTCCAGCCAAATATCCCATCTCTCCTTCACCTCACAATCCCAGTACTCCGCCATCGCCTTCCGCGCACTCTGCACATTGCCCATCCCAAAGGCCTCCATATTTGCGAGTCGCTCTTTGATGATCTGCCGTTGAGTTTGATCTTCGGTCTCGCAGCCGACGGTAAACACCGGCCATAGACAAAGAATATTCGCCATGGAGGTTGGCCTAATCTTGAGCAGCAACTCAATGACCATGTGGATTGCATGAGCGGGCTTGGCATGTTCCTTGGGCAAGCCCTGCACACGACGATACAGATGCAGAAGATTAGTGTGCAGGAAGATGCGGTGGATATGCCGCATTTCCTGCGCCGTCGTCTTTGTGGTCGGGTTAAACTCCAGATCTGGTTGTGTCGTCCGGTCGTAGAGGCCATAGATTTGGCTCTCGATGCGCTGGATGTCTTCGGCCGTATCTAGGTGAGCCTGTCGATTGGCGGCTTCATCTTCAGACTCGTCATCATTGAGGGCCATGATTTTTGATCGTTTGCGTTGGATCCGAGCCAATTTGCCAATTTCCGACATGATCGGGATCAGATCCAAGGAATACCCGGTCCATTCGTCGATGTAGCCGCCCGTGTCATTTGACGTAGGCAGGGACCAATAGCTGCCGGCGTTGGCACTCTTGCGAAGACCGCCGACGCCAGCAAAGATATCGAGGAGGGTGAACCATTTGATCAGGAAGAGCTTGGTTGGGTCGTGGGTGCTTATTGATTCGTCGTTGCTTTGAAGCTCGAATACCGACGCGACCAGGTTACTGGCCCCCGACAGGTGGATTCGCCAGGTATTCATCCCCCCAGATATAACATCAGATGTGCATAGTGCAAGTGCTGTGGTTAGTGTACTCAGTTGGCTGGCCTGATTGGGATCAACCATGGCCTTTCGTAGTCCGTTGAGGGCGGCGTTGGTGAATTTGGTGACACTTTTGGTCATTTCTCCCGTGGGATCTCCTCGGAGACTGATATAGTGGGAGCTAGAACATGCCAGGAATGCATATAACAGATGTGGGGAGTTCATCGCGGATTGGAGAAGGGTCTCGCTGAGAGGGTTGGCCTTGAGCGAAAGAGGGAAGATCACACCCGCCGTGTTGGTGATATAGTGATGCAGAAAAAACCGACTCTCCGACGAGGAAATGATTGGTGATGCGGTAGTTAATATGCTCTGAGGAACTTGCCATTCATATTGAAAGACGGGCGGAGGGGGTTGTTTTGGTTGGCGTTGATGTTTGACTGGTTGCCAGTGATGCCAATTCATCCCCGCTGGGTCTTGTTGATATGCATAGGAATTGGACTGATCTACCCAGCCGAAGCTTCCAGTCCGCGGCGTGGCCACCGAGTAATCAGAGCACGTACTCACGGACATGGCCAACGATGCCCGGCGGTCAACCTCATCCTCGACCGAATCATCTAGCGATCCCGTACCACGACCGCTCACCGAGCCCAGCTTAGTGTTCACAGCAGGCTTTGCTGGACGCAGTGTAGGCTCGGACTGCCATTCTTGAGTAGTACCCGAGGCGCTGGGCTGTGCTTGGGATGGTTGTTGCTGACGACCCTTGTCTTTCTGACGATTCTTATTCTTGAACGGCCTTCCTTCCGTCCAGCATAGCTTGAACTCGTATTTGCACTTGTCCGGTCGCTGTTTACAGCGATTGCAGATTGGTTTCGTCTCGTCGCACTGAATTATAGCGTGATGAGTACGGGGTTGGGAACATGCGTAAGCAATAGGGCCGCGGGCCACAGGCCGCAGGGAGGAGGAAGTTGGGAGTCTACCTTGATCTTGCGTCGCTTGCATTCGACGCAGCCAGATCGGAGCTTCTCATGCGGTCTGATGGAGCTCATTGTGTGCGCGCATCCCCAAGCAAGGAGAGGAGAGTGAGATGATGATCAGAGAAATAGGGAGAGTTTCTGACGGGCCCCGAAGAAAGTGGGGTTTGGGCGGATCACCCGAGGATGAGATGATAAGTGGAGTGGCAGGGCCAATCATCCTCCAGCGGGCGGGACGATCTTGCGCCCTCACGATGTGATGGGAAGCGACAAAGGGGACGCTTCATTCCTGGGCTTGGCGAGCCACTGATGGAAGGATCCAGACCTGTTGGTTGCTTCCCGATCGGTTCGTTGAAAGGTCTTCACAGCTGGGGGACTCCTATAATTTGGAGCATAAAGCATAGCCAAAAAACACGACCCTGTACAATCCACTGGGTCCACTGTGGGGGATCTTGGTACGCAAACTGATCCGGAAGATCGGAGAAACCCCTCCAGAAGCCACAGGATCCTGATGATGTTTGGAGAGCGAGCATGAGTCCAGGAGTCGAATTTAGAGATAGACTTTCAGGAAGAGATCATCCCTATACTCACTGCTTGTAACGGGTTGTTAGCTGTCGGCTGGCCATACATAGGTTTCGCTGTCGAAGCAGGACTTCGAGCAAGCGGACCACGGCACTCGCACTATGCACATCTGATGTTATATCTGAGGCTATGGATACCTGGAGAATCTCTCTATCGAATATAAGCGACTCGATTCCGTTAGTGCACCATAGCAGCGGCAGTACCAGAGCCAGAGTGTCTCAGGAGATGTGACCCAGATTCATTCAGCCGGGGTGGTATCCAGCACAAGGCGCGTATTCCAGAATCTTGATTCTTGTAACACCTTGTTTGTAGGGGTAAACCCTGATTTTGCATAGAGGCTTCCTTTATTGCGGTAGAGTTGTCTTGACAGAGCTTTCTGGCATGGGCTGCTTCGATTGTGCCCGAGTGCTGTGCTGCTGTTAGTTTCGTCAGCCTATTGAGTAGGAGTAAGGCGTGGAATGCTCTGCGGGTACGGTAACCATCAGGTTTGGTGACAATGAATGGTTGGCACATTACTACCTCTGTCGATAGCATCCTGGATTAGCAGATCGTCATCGGGCATCGGAATCTCCTGTACAGATATCATCCCCGGGCCGTAAGTAAAGATGTCTCGGATGTGAACTTGACATTTGAAATGTCAAGACCAGGGCCTCCTCATATATGAGATATAGAGACAATATCTGTTTAGGTAAAAAGAAGCAAGACTCAAAAATGCAGGATTGAAGGGAAAGGGTACCTTGGGCGAACTTTCACCGCCACGACGATCCATCGTATCTTGGATTCTTTGGACAGCATCGACTTTGACGTAAAATATGAATGTAAGAACCTTAATCAGATTTGTATTGGAGCGAATATATAAGAACTGTAACGACCGTTGAGAAATTAGCTTTTCCGTCCCAGCCGATGCCTCTCCAGCATACTAGAAGAAGACAGCACTACAAGTGGACTCGCGTCACTGCGGGGCCCGCATCATCGCACTTTATACTCTAAATTGCTTCAAGAATCTATTCTTGTATCACATGGAACACCTTTGTGTTGTACGAAGAGGGTCCGTCTCGTGCAATTCGCATTCAAGTGCCCACTTCAGAACAGCCACGCCTGCACGCCCGACAAATGTCGCACCGAGATACCCTCTTTGGGACTAGTACATTGTCGGTATACTCGGGCAGCTGCAGCCTCAATTCGAAGATCCTAGGATTGACAGACTCGCCGCTCAATGCCCTATTTGGGACTAGGCCATTTTATGCTCGATTGGAATGGTGTTTAGGTAATAAATAGGATGACGATGTACAGAATCGAGATATCTGGACCTCTGGCCTCTGGGGGTGATCGCCTGTGGGGCGGGTCTGGCTGTTCTCGTGGGGTGGCAGGAGCCAGCGAGAGAGCCGCTTTGCGGAGCGGGGTTTCTTGGAGTATTCGATGGGTATAAAGACATGCGAAAACATGCAATAATATATGGAAAGGCAGACAAAAAAAATAGCTACGATTGCGTTGAGTTGAAAATGAAGTTTACATCTCTTTGCCTTTTGTCCGCTCTCCAGGCTGCCTCCGCTCTGAATCTTGGAGAGGGTTACGAGCACCCGATTGAAGGTATAGTTCCGAAGCTTGTTTTCGACCTCATTCAAAGAAAGCTAATGATCTCATAGATCTCGACAAGGACCTCCCCTTCTCACAGCCAGTGACATTTGCTCATCTCGAATGGCAGCGATGTCTAGCTGCCGATCACAACAACGTGCGTATACTGCATTCTTCCAAGAAAAAAGAACAAAAAACTGACACTATTCAAACAGCCCATCGACATTGCCATTCTCGGTTTCCCCTATGATACCAGCACATCCTACCGACCCGGCGCTCGATTCGGGCCCCGTGGAATCCGCGCCGGCTCTTCGCGGGAGAAAAAAGGTCGCAGCTATAACACAGTCTGGGGCGTGGATCCCTTCGATGAAGGGTTAAGCATTGTGGACTGTGGCGACATCCCAATCACCCCGTTCGATGCCGCCCATGCTTTCAAGCAAATGGAGCAGGGATATCGACAAGTCCTGCACCATTCGAGCAATATGTCCAAGGCCGCGCAGGATGCATGGCCTCATCCGCGCATTATCAGCTTGGGCGGTGATCACTCAATTGTCCTGCCGATCCTGCGTTCGTTGAAAAGTGTGTACGGGCCGATTTCCGTCATCCACTTGGATTCTCATCTGGATACTTGGGACCCGTATGAGGGTTACACGGGTATTGCGTCGGAGCAGTCTGCAATTACGCATGGAACTTTCTTTTGGCATGCAAGTCGGGAGGGGTGCATCAATAAGGGGGCTAGTGTTCATGGTGGACTGCGGACTAAGTTGTTCGGCCCGAAGGATTATGAGATTGATAATGATGTCGTTGGGTTTCATCGGATTGAGGCCCGGGAGATTGATGATATTGGTGTCAAGGGTATTGTGAAGAAGACTTTGGACGTCGTTGGAAAGAACCCGGTGTATCTGTCGATTGACATTGACGGTATGTTTTGCTCTGCCATGACAGCAAGGAAGCTGGGGGGCACTAACAGGTTCATTGTAGTGCTGGATCCGAGTATCGCGCCGGCTACAGGAACTCCGGAATCTGGCGGTTGGACGACCCGTGAGCTCAAGCGATATATCGAAGGATTAGAGGGGCTGAACTTGGTTGGAGCGGACGTGGTGGAGGTCAGCCCTCCATATGACTCGGTAGCAGAGACGACTTCGGTTGCGGCAGCGGATTTGATCATTGATATTCTGGCGGCGATGGTGAAGAAGAAGTCTCCGGATTTCAAGATAAGTTCTGGTGTCGCCAAGGACGAACTGTGAGGGACAGGCTTAGAGAGTGCTGCGGTTGTGCAAAACGAGCCTGCAGGATGTAGACGGCGATATAGCTTGAATGCAAACATTCTAGAGGTTATAACCCAGTTCCAGTCCCTCCCAGTAACCTTCCCCCCTAATAGCCTAGTGGTATCACCACTGGATGTCTCATCGGGGTTCGACCTCCATGAGGCGTCGGTAAATCCCCGGGGAAACGAATGGGGTCCTCTAAGGTGGAGGGTTACTTCTTTTTTATGCTGCCAGGACATAGATACCACCGCCGCGGTCCTATTTTTGTATATTCTCAACATGTTCCTTATATCAAAATAATCCTTAGACTTGGCTCAGTATCATATTCTCCTTTTGAAGCCTTTTAATGACTGTGGTGATTGTGTCATTGCGGTATTTGTTGGGTGTAAGCATCGCGGTGAAGTATTTGAGCATCACCGAGTGTCGCGAAATTGTTTGTATGGTGACGAGCAGGTCGAGGGTTCGATTCACAGAGGCTGAAGGTTTTTTTCGCTTTGGACTTTTTGGTGAGGATTCGTTGTTGAACAGTTGGATGTAGCTTGATATCCTTACCATATAGAAACAAACCGGCAGTTTCATGTTAAGCCACTACGAGGTTCATTCCCGGCGCTCCACCCCATCTGAAGGAATCTTTTTGGTAAGTCCCGAGTATCTGGAGTAAACTAGAGGGTCAAATCCAATCAAGTGTAGGTACAGTGGACTTGTGTCAGGCCTGAAGGAATTAAGGCAATGATTTGTATACATTAAGAACTATGTAACCTGTGGTTGAACCGTCATGACCTTATCATGGTTATCTAAACCTTCAGGCTACGTGCGGGGGTGGTCGATGGAAGGAGCCAGCGAGGGTTGCGATAGCCAGAAGCTGATAGGTATCTTAGTTGAAAAGTTACATCGGAATGTGATAAGGGAAAACTATACTTACATGTCCCGCTCATTGGCCCAGGAGCTCGCCACTTTCATCCGCGCCGTGACTGTCATCGGACCATTAAAGAATATAAATAATACAGGAATGGCATGCTCATTTGAGCCATTTCCCCCGATCTATAGCTAGATTTCAACGCAGGCCTCCATACGGCCTCTTCTTACCAGTCTCCACTATCTCGACATGCATCTCGCGTTCCCGCCTCCACCTCCAAGCTCAGGGAAGACATTCAAACCCTTGAGGAAAGCACTCTTACAAGAGAATGAGAAGACAATGGTGAGCTCTTCATCGGAATCGAGTGAAAATGGAGAGTCGAGATCATTCGCATCTCGCCTCGCCCCTAAACAGTCGTCTAAGAGGGGGATCTTTTCTAAACATCGCTTCTAAGCAGTAAGTCTTCGCGCTGTCTACCTTAGAATTCTCTGCTAAACATGTCTGTAGCTTCTGCATGTCTTTGAAGAAGACTCATTTCTTTCTGTTGGAATATGATATGTGACGCCTCTATCCCTTAAAGATGGTGATGACCCCTTGCCGAGAGCTATGATATCATCATGCTACAGCCCAACATGCTCTCCCCGCATCATTTGCCGAGCAAGAAACCTTGGCTTTGAATAAAACAAACAAACAAGCCAATATAGTCAATGCTCGATTGATTGGTCAAATAGAGGGCCATGCTGGAATAGTGCTATCTTCATCCTCGATCCAGACATGTCCACCCATCTATCTGTTATCTGGCTGTCGGTCAGTCTTACACCAGGCAGTCTGATGGGATCTGTATAGTCAGAAATTATTCGATTTATCTCGGAATTCATGATCAATTCGCTTCTTGTTTACCTTCTCTGTATGCCGGAGAAGTTTTGAAGTTTACTACATAGCTTGGTGACTGTAAACGGAATGAAGAGGGCCTTTACCGAAAGAAGATGCAACGAAGACAAGAGATTTAAGGCAACATGAGGCAATCATTGAACTTATTGAGTTTTCGAGGATGCCTCTGGTCTAGTAAACCAGCAAATTTCCCGTGCTGGAGCTTGTTTTTCCTAAATAGTGCGCGAAAGATATTACGCAATCCCTCCGAACGAGTATGGTAGGGTGATGAGACAACTTGGAAGTGCTAAAGAACATCGGCGTATATCATCTAATTTAAGAGTGACAGATACAGTAGATTTATGTATCAACAGGTAAAATGAGGTAAAAGTGTTAATCTTCGTGGATAACTGGTCTGACATGGTATGACGTCCCGGAAGAATCCGCGGTACGATCTTGGATCTAGAGAATGCCACCCAGCGCATGCACGCCTACCTTATTACGAGCTACCTTTCCATGGCTCGTCAAGTCTCCCGTCCGTTCCCAGTTCCGAAACTCTCAATTCTCTAGTTGCATTGTTGCGCCATTCTCTTTAATGTTCACCCGCATTTCTGGGCCTGCTGCACCCGTCACCCTTGACTCATTTCTCTGCATCAGCTTCCGAACCACTTTCAACCCACCCCACCTCCGTTTCTCGGCAACGCTCTCGTGCGCACGCAGGCCAGACATGTCTCATAACGAAGCGGGATCGAATGCCACTGCGCATCGTCCAAAAAGCTCATCTGTACGTCTGATATATCCACGCGCCCGCTCTCAATGACGCACATCCGCTGGCAACACGCTCCTCCGCGGGGAACTTCATCCACTGCTACGAAGCACACAGAGCTACAAGCTAACTCCAATTCCACTTACCAGTCGCCCCCGGAGACATTGAAGCTGGAGCCGAGACTCCAAGCAGCACTACTCCCCCAACACAAACACCTGCCCCTATCCCATCCCGCCTCGTCCAAGCCGAAGCTCTCCGCTCCGAAACCTCGACTCCCAGCTCCACGACCGAAAGCCAGATCCTATCCCATGCGGCACGAGCACACCAATTCGTGACTAACCCGCCCCTCACGGTATCACAGCTGCACGGCACAAATCCGCTCCACCAATTTCACACCTGGTTCCGTGACCCGCGGTTGCTGGCGAGCTCGGCGCCCGAGACTTGTACGCTCGCTACGGCTGAGCTCCCATCTGGTCGGGTCAGTGCGCGGACGGTATACCTCAAAGAGCTTGATGAGCGCGGGTGGGTCGTGTATAGTAACTGGGGGAGCCGGGAGGGAAAGGGCGGGCAGGTATTCGGTCGACAGGCGGTAACGGACGGCCAAGACACGCCAGACACAATTCCCGAGCCTGGCAATGAGACACAGCAGGGGTCCGACGTGGGCAATAAATGGGGTGCATTGACGTTCACTTGGGCGAGTACGGAGCGGCAGGTTCGCGTGGAGGGTATGCTGGAGCCGCTTCGTCGGGAGGAGAGTGAGTTGTACTGGCGCACGCGGGAGCGTGGCAGTCAAATCGGAGCGTGGGCTAGCTGGCAGAGCCGTGTACTCTGGTCTGCTGAACCAGCTCGGTTGGCTGAGCGCCAGCGGCGCCAGAGCGTGGCTAAGCTACAAGCTTCTGCGGGATCCTTGGGTGCTGATGTCCCCGCCGATATTGACCTGACGGATATCGATGATGGACGGGCATTGCTTGAGCAACGTGTCCGGGAGGTTGAAGAGCGATTTGCGGGTATCGAGGAAATTCCTCTTCCTCCTTTCTGGGGTGGTGTTCGACTGGTGCCAGAGTCGGTTGAGTTCTGGCAGGGCCGGCGAAGTCGATTGCACGATCGGTTCCGCTATGTTCGAGTTGAGGGTGAGAATGAGGATGCTAAATGGCGGTTACAGAGACTCTCTCCATGAAAAGCAATCTATAGATCTTATAAGAGTTAGCGAACGAGTTGTTTGAATATCGGAAGGTCTCATACATACTCCCCCATATAATGTCGATCCACTATCTTATCAGGCTTGGCACTCGCCTTCGCCCTTCTCCAGCCGAGGGGGAAATCGGAATTCTTGACTTGATCTCTATTTTCTGTCCAACTGTACAGCCGTGATACGATCGTCTTGTATATAAGAGCTCTGCGATGTCTTCCTCCAACACACAAACGCAACCTTCAAAGGGTACCTCATGGATTCTCATCGCAGTGGCTAGTGGCGCATTCGCCGCCCTGAACGGCCTCTTCGCAAAGCTGTAAGCTATCAATGACAATTCATTGCAAAAGCATTACCTCTCTATAGCCATTGATACTAACGTATACCTACCAGCACAACGGATACACACACCACCGCATTCGCCCAATCCATCGCCCACCTATTCGGTCTCGAGTCCTCCGATTTCCTAGAACTCCTGGTTCGCGGTGTACGTGTTTCCTCCGTCTTTCCTTGCCCCTTCCTACCTACCATACAACCATAGCCTGTCTCGATATAATCCCATACCCAATCACAATATATACTAATTCTATGTCTAATAGCTCTGCCTCGGCCTCAATGTTCTCTGCAACATCATCATGTGGGCCCTTTTCACTCGCGCCCTGACAGCCGGCCCCTCCACGACAAAGGTCTCTATCACAAATACCTCGGCCAATTTCTTGATGACCGCGTTGTTGGGGATGGTTATCTTCCAGGAGAAGGTGGGTGGGCTGTGGTGGCTTGGGGCTGCGATGATGGGCGCCGGGTGTATCTTGGTCGGGATGAGAGAGGGGGCGTAGATGCGTTTTGGATATGTATTCGAGCTCGATATAGGGAACTATTGGTATGTAGATGGTTATATCGAGGTTTTAACGGTTTGATGGCCGAGGGAAGATTCCGTGTTACGTGGAACCTTATCTCGTGTGACGTGAGATCCCTGGTGATCCGTGGACGGGCAGATGCTCTCAGCCTCAGGTCAGGTCCTGGATAGACAAACGATATCTACGTCTGTTCTCCTTGAAGCTCAAGGCAATGCAGATAGTAAATATGCACACAGATCGGTATGCTGGCTGGAACAGCATATAAATCAAGCAAGACAATGTACATAACCAAACACCTCTATCATCCTATCCCTATGACATGTTTGTTACAGCTCTAACGACCACGAGGCCGGTCTTCTCTCTCTTCCAATTCCACGAACGCGTCATCCTCAGTGCCATCCAAGATATCCTCGGGCTCCGATGGCCTCCCAGGTCGGTTCCGGTCCTGCAGACGCACTGGTCCACGAGCCCGGATCGACCCACTAACGAACCCAGCAACCGTAAGAATAAGCCGCCATAGCCGGTCCTCCAACGTCTCCGGGGCAGGAGTACTCAAGTGGCCACCTAGCGGAGCGGAGGCGAAATCGGATGCGCTCGTCGCGGCCAGTGCATGCTCTTCGGCTTCCACCTTGAACTGATACTTCAAGCAGTCCTTGACTGTAACCAAACCCGTCAGACGGCCACGGTGCTCGACGAGAATGACTCGAGGTCCCATCTTCTTGAAGATTTCCATGACAGTCTCGAGAGGAAGACGCGGGTGTACTGTCAACGGCGTGTGGTCAACGTACCGCGAGAAATCAACAACACCAGCGCCTACACTCGCCTGGATTGCGTCAAACGTGTCTGGCGCTTGTAGATACTGTGAACCAGAAGCGCGCTGTGCGACAGTTGCCTCGGCAGCTTCTTGAGTGAACACACATCGTGCTCGTGGTGACACCAGACCCTGGCTGCGGGCACGGTCGATGGCATACCGCAGCTCGGTGCGCCCGATGTAGCCAACAAGAGTCTTGGTACTGCGGTCTTCCACAATTGGGAAGCCCTGGAACTTGTTGTCGCTTAGCAGGTGTTCCGCTTCGCGCACGGGGAAGTCAGAAGCCGGCAATGTGAGTGGGCCTGTCGTCATTGCATGCGAGACAGGGACATTGAAGACATGGTCTTCCTTGTTGTCCAGGAATGGGAAACCATTGAACCAAATCATTCGATCGGCGATACCGCCGTTTCCAAATCGGTCTCCAACGGCTTTTGTGACACCGACCACAATCTGAGGAGACGCCAAGTATCAGTTATCGTGTTTGCTTAAACTTTTCATTGCGGACTGACTTACCATGGTCGGCAAGATGTATGTCAAGGCACCTGTCAGCTCAAACATGATGACCGTGACGGAGATTGTGAGGTGCATAATTCCACTAAGCGCTGCACCGGCACCCAGGAAGGCGTATGTACCAGGTGTGATGCAAGGCACATCCGGATCGCACGAGGCAAAAAATGCCGAATTTGGGAAGGATTCATGAAGTGCCTGCACCATGATCCCAACCATGCGACCGAATGATGCCCCAATAGCCATGGACGGTACAAAGATACCAGCGGGTACTTTGCAGCCATAGGAGATAATCACCAGTCCGGTGCGCAGAATCGTAGCAATGGCCAAGGACAGGACAGTCGACCAGCGGTTTTTAGTACTGTACAGTAGAAATGTCAGTCACATAGTATGGGATTGGCGAGGGGAGATGGTGCGTACTCGCAAATTCCATTATAATCATGGCCACCTGCACATTCGTGGAACAAGATTTCCATCATCTCAGTCATGTTGATCTTCAAGAACATGTTCGGATAGCATAGGATGGCTGTGAGAGCAGCAAGAACCACAGACTCCGTGATAGGCCATTGAGAAAGGTATTTCTTGCGGAAAGCTGCGACTCGCAGATTCCACTTCATCACGAACGCGCCATATAATCCACCAAAGACACCAATGAATGCAAAGAAGATTAGCTCGAAAAAGTGCCATGTACGATCATATTTAACCTGGAACATGACCAATTGTCCGGTCCTGAAGGGATTCAAGGCCTGCAAACATTAGCAATGCGCCCTCGAGGCAGAGGAGGAACAGAACAAACGTACCGCAAGGACACTGGTTGCCACCAAGGCACAGAAATAACTGCGCCAGAGAGTTTTGAGGGGGAAATAATTGGCCATTTCCTATTGACCATCAGTATGCAGGTCATTTAAGCTACCAGGGTACCGGAATATACCTCTAATGAAAATAGCACACCTCCAATTGGGCTACCAAAAGCCACAGCCACACCAGCAGCAGCCGATGCCGTCAGAATTTCTCTCGTCTTGGACGCATTCTGCTTGTATTTACCGAAGAACCGTGAGATCACGTTTCCTGTACACACGGCAAAATGAACACTAGGGCCCTCCTTTCCGACGGAGAGGCCGGATGCAATGGCTAGTGGCAACGCAATCGACTTGATGAGAAGTGTCCAGGCTCCCAAAAAGCCCTTCATGACGAAACCAGCAATAATGCATTTGATCTCAGAGATGCCGGACCCCGCAGCATATGGAGCAAATGTTTTTACGAGAATCGCAGCGACGAATGAAAGCAAAACCTATTAATATTTTAGCACGAGGACTTCTCGACAATGACATGACAGTAAGCTTACCGCAAAAAAGAAGTAAACCACGTAGTTGATTAGCCAAAATGAAGTCCAATGCTTCCATTCGGGACATCCTGTCCAATATTCACGTCAGCTTTCTACATGATATGCAAAATTTGAGGCATGCTCGACATACCTCCCTCGGCACCCCAGCAGCAGAACTGTTCGTTCAGGTAGAATGCCGTCGTGCAATGTCCCAACTTGATATCGGACAACCACTCGGTGATAATATTTAGGAGAGCCGAGTTCAGGCCAATGGCCATACCGACTAGTGTCACCACAAGCCAGGCCTGCCCGGCGTCATAGGACTCGCGTACTTTCCGTCGCCAGCCAAAGACACCTTCTTGGTCCCAGAACCCACCGCCGCTCCGTCGCTTGGCCCGTCGAGCATTCTGTTCATTGACCGCATCTTGAACCCAGTCAATGGTTGTGAAATCTTCATAGCGCTTGATCTCGCTGATCTCGTCCGTGATCGCGGGTGCCTGGGCGTCTTGACTGATGGAGGCAGGTTCGGGGTCAACGGACGAGGAAAGAGAACGGCCAGATAGTCTGCGCAAGTCCCGGCGCTCGGCAACAATCGACGGCGACCGTGAAAATGTCGAGGAGGGGCGTGTCGAGGTCATAGCATCGACCCAGGCGGTGGAAGCATAGTCGGATTCGAGTTGTATCGATGATGCTTTTCCACCGCGGCAAGGGATCGCAGGGCGCTGTGGGCGCAAGTCAAAAACAGACTGCAGCCAGGGTTATATTAGATTTCCTCAGGTAGTGTTCAGCTGCTGTCAATGATATCGTCACTGCAAACAATCCTGCGGTGGAACGAGGTGGAGGTCGAGGTTTCAAAGAGCTGTGTCTGGGCCAAGTATCGATAACGGAGCCGTGCTGAGATAACGCCGCGCCCACGCGTTTAACTTTCTTGACCTCGACACTCGCGCGATCTGAACAATTAAACCTAAGAACGCCTGCTCCTACTACAAGAAGAGCCCACTACAGCTGACTAAAACTCCAACTCGATTTTGTTTTGCGCGACAACCCTCACTATGTCTCCAAAGAACGTGACTGAGCCAGAGGAGATCACCGGACAGAGTGCTCTTCCCAGTGCGTTCAACCAACCCCCATGAAGGATGATGCTAGCAATGTCTAACGAAGTCTCAGTCTCTCGTATCAAGAAGATCATTCAACTCGACGACGATATCGTACAATGTTCCAACAATGCGACCTTCGTGATTGCGATGGCTACTGTGCGCGAAATACTCTCTACTACACTTCCTTTCGCGCCGACTAACATCACCTATAGGAGATGTTCATCCAGTATCTCGCCGAGCAGGGACACAATGTGGTAAAATCAGAACGGAAACCTCGAAAGACGGTACAATACAAGGATCTAGGTGGGTGATAAGTCATGCATGGTCGAAGTCCACCGGACAGCCTGCTAATCCTCATTCACGGCAACAGCTACCGCAGTTTCACACATCGACAACCTCGAATTCCTCGCCGATGTGATCCCCAAGACTACGACATATAAGCAGTTCAAGGAGAAGAAGGCTCAGGATGCTGCTAAACACATTGAGATGGAGAAGGGCCAGCGGACCTTGAATGGAACCGGGTCTGCGCCCAACAACACCAATGGCAACTCTGTTGAATCTGCTCTACCTGACGTATCACCGTCAGTTCCTCGCACACCCGTGGTCCCCGTGAGCGCATTGATTGCCGACCGAACGGTTGATCCTTCGACCCGGAATGACCCTGATATTGAAATGAAGGATTGAATTGAGAGGAACATGGCTCAGACTTGAGGGCCACGGTCTCTTATATACTGTTCTTAACGTTTGCATTGGAGTTTTACGGAATTTCTGGCGGGCTCATATTGCTTGCCCGGTAGGTACTTTTTCTTGGTTATGGTCGCATCGGGTTCGGTCATGGGCTGAGAAACTACCTTATAGTTGAGCCGAACGAGCCCAAACACATTCAAAAATGAAAATTTTGCACTTTCCAACCATCTGTCAATTGAAATAGTATAACTGTCTACCTGTAAATTATCTAATATCAAAATGTAAAGAAACCAGCATCGTTGCTCGAGAATGAAGTTCACCCGGGGACCCGCCCAGCCAATGACAGGCCCCGTGATTCCGATCGCTAGCGAAAGCTCTGGCTCCAACTTCGACTTCCGACTTCATCCACTCCCTCCCTCTTCTCACCCGCCTTCCATTCGACGCAACGCAATTGCGGTCAACATCCCACTCCGTGGTCAATTGCATCACCATGTCGCTCTCCTCCGCTTCCAGCACTCTGCTGCGCACTTGCGCCCGCCAGCAGCTGTCCACCTCCCGCGCCGCCGTCACCTCCTGCCAGCAGCGGAGGGGAGTCGCCGATGCGAAGGCCTCGTTCGAGAGCCCCTTCGCCTCCGCTAATGAGCGTGGCTCGACCCTGAAGATCCCCAATTTCAGCAAATACCAGTCCAGCAATGCTCCCCGCTCCAACCAGGTCTTCTCCTACTTCATGGCTGGTACTATGGGTCTGGCTACCGCTGTTGGCGCCAAGGCCACTGTCCAGGGTAGGTAAAACCTTTGTGGTTTTTTAAGGGATGAAATGGATAGATCACCATTGAGAGACTGAATTGAGCGGTGGAAACGGGTTCGGGGAAGGATATAATTTGGAACCTGCCCATGCTGACCGCGTGCTTTCTCGTCCAGACTTCCTCGTGAACATGTCCGCGTCCGCCGACGTCCTGGCCCAGGCCAAGGTCGAGATCGCTCTCGGTGCTATCCCTGAGGGCAAGAACGTACGTCAATTCCTCAGAGCTCCATTCACGCCTTCAATTGCCATCATCCCTAACATCGGTGTCTCTTTTCCAGGTCATCATCAAGTGGCGTGGTAAGCCCGTCTTCATCCGTCACCGCACCCAGGACGAGATCACCGAGGCCCGCGAGACCAAGTGGGAGTCCCTCCGTGACCCCCAGTCCGACGACGAGCGTGTCCAGCGCCCTGAGTGGCTGGTCATGCTGGGTGTCTGCACCCACCTGGGTTGTGTGCCCATCGGTGAGGCCGGTGACTACGGCGGCTGGTTCTGCCCCTGCCACGGCTCCCACTACGATATCTCTGGCCGTATCCGCAAGGGCCCCGCTCCTCTGAACCTCGAGGTTCCTCAATACAACTTCCCCGAGGAAGAGATCCTCGTCATCGGTTAAACGAGCCATCCCGCTTCGCTCTCTCGTGATTGATTCCGTTTGACACCCGAAAGAACCCGCTATGCTCAATTGCGGGAAACTTGTTTCTTTAGACCGGGAAAGGTGAGGATGGATTGTTTCAAGAAGAAGACTGCACTGGGTCGAATCTTGTCTGTGTATGTGCTTGTGTGATCTTTATTTCCTTTTTTTAGACAGAGCGGCCGTGTGTCTTGTCAAGATTTAAGAGACCGTGTTATAATATGGACCAAAATGAGCCTCTTTTCCCCCCCCTTTGTGTCCTCGGTCTCCAAGGTTGACCTACAGGAATGTCAATCTTGCTCAAGCTGCCAAAGCAGCTATGAGCAGGATTTCATCCCGCCGGTCTTCTTGAGTACATACTTGTGTTCTATATCGCCCCGTGTATTGCCTAGTCATGAAATTTCCTTTGTGCTTCTGAGAATTGGTTTCTGCATAAGATCTATCTATTTTCGTAGCCAAGCATGACATTCAACAGTGAGGGTATAAAATCTGCCAGTCACAAAAAGAAATGATTTCAATTATAGTACACGTGAGTCTTATCACCCACTTAGATCTATCTCTCCGTCTGTACATGATTGGCCAACGGCCTTAAGGAGTATGTAAAGAACTGGCAGGAACAAATGGAAGAGTAGGGGAAAACAGTCCCCTCAATCCCATATGTCTGCCATATACAGGAACGAGACACCACCTTTACCGAGGTCTCACGAGAGCAATCAACAGGCCCACCACAGCTGCACCGGCTGCGGCGCTCTGCATAGCAGCCACGGTAATATCACGCTGCGAGATAACAACGGCCCGCTCACTGAAGAGCTCACCAAACATCTGCCGCCAGTATTCAAGAGAGATTGGTGACAAGGGAATACCAGCAAGGCGAGACGAGAGAGATTGCTCAACAATGAGTTCGGGGGAGGGAGAAGCTTCAGGTGTAGGAGCCACCGGGATAACAGTGGGCTCCTCAGCAGCCTTTGCGTCAGGGGACTCAATAGCAGCAATCGAGGACTCGACGGTAGAATCGATGACCTCAGGGAGAATTGCCGTTGCTGCTGATGAAGAGACATCGCCGTCAATACGGTTCAGATTCTTCTCCTTTTCCAGTGCCTCGACGACCTTGTCCTCGAAACCCTTAATGAGTCGACGGCGACGCCACGGTTCTACAGCAATCTGGAAAATCAGGAAGAGGAGCACGTTCATTCCCATCAATCCCCATGTACCCCAGGTACTCATCCGGCGGATCTTGTCCGACCAGACCTGCTCTTCGTGGTAACGGGAGAGAATGTTCTTGTTAAGCGATGCGGCAGCCTCTTCGGCTTCACGCTCGGCGCGAGACAGGGCCTCTTGTGTCTCTGTCTCGGCCACTTCATTGGCATGGTCATTGCGGTAGAGCAAAGTGAAGCGCTCCAGGTCTGTGGGGGACCAGGCGTGCTTGCGCTGGAGCAGTTCATTGACTTCCCGTTGGGAGGTGGAGCGGTTGTTGATTGCAGCTGTGTAGTCTTCCTTGGCTTGGCGGACGTGTGCGCGAGCTGTGCGGAGTCGGGCTTCTATAGAGAGAGAATAGATGCCATGTTAGTGGGTGTATAGGATGTTGTATGACAAGTGGGGTGTCCTTTCCTACCTTGGGTTTGAATGTCCTTCTTGAGGATCTCGATGGCGGAGTAGCCAGTCAGGTCATTGAGACGCTGTCCAGCTACGAAGATGTTGGATTGTAAGTTATCCATCATCGTAGTGAATTGCTTCGACATTTGTGACCGGCGGTTCTCCAAGTAGGACGGTAACCCTCCGCTCTGCGCACCTTGAGCATTTGCACTCTGTGCCTTCGCTTGTCCTTGCTCGGCTTCAATCCCTTCCAGTAATGTTTTATCATCTAGTTTCGTCTGTGTCTGTCCTGTTGGAGCCACGTCGGTCTCCGTGGAGCTTGCACGAGGACTCCCCGCAGCCGCATCTGGGCTGGGCACGCCATCAGGCGCAACACCCTCTCTCGAAGCCTCAACAATTCTCTGCACCTCCGCCGCAGTCTTATCCTTCTCATGGAGCGGGGAGTATGACCCCGGGAGCTGACGGAACTGGCATTGGAGGCAGACAGAGAAGCTCCGGACTGTCGGCCTCGTGGGAAAAGCACTCGGAGGTGTTGGGCGGAGATGAGACGCTTGCACCGTTCGGGCGGCTGTGTGCGTGAGTTGTCGGCTAGACCGAAGCGATTGCCGCAGAAGCAATGGTATGGACTGCATGGCCGGTGTAAGGGCCGAGGACCTGGAGGAGAGGGGTGGTCGGTTGGGGTGTTGGAGTCCACTCCTTCACGGGCGGAAGAGGATTGCCTCGGAGCAGATTGGAGTCCGACGCTTATCAGATGGGGCGGTGGGAATCCGCCATCATCAGGTTACCAATTCGACATTGAGCTCGAATTCTTGTATTTTCGAGGTTTGTTGCGAAAACATCTTCAATGCATCAATAAATGGTATTAGTTGGTACCTGTTTGGGAGATCCCTGGGTGGATAGGTGAACTTCCATGCGGTCGAGTTCCACGCAGATGCAATATATATCTCGGTTTTGCGTGACTTCCGCGAACTCTGCACTCTACATTGACACAGGTTGGACCTTAACGCGAGCTGAAATCCACGAAGAATCTACCACATAGAGGTTCGAACGGGATAATAGACAGCAGTCGCGGTTCAGGCTAGCTCGTGGTGGACACAACTGTGGAGTTTCTCTCTACCTACGGGCAATGCCCTTAACATGAACCCTGCTTGCTGTAATAGGAATACTCGATGAAAAAAGACCGAGAAAAATAAGCTAACCCTGGAATTGCGTGCTGATAACACAGTTAATGAAACTATAAGAACATATCCTTCGTCAAAGTCATAAGAAAACCACCCCATCCAAAATCGGACGGAGCTTTTACGAGATACAGGCCAAGCAGATGCGATCTGTTACGGAAAACAGAATCAAGCAGTCGTCATCCCAGCAACACCCCTCGCCCACCTCTAATCCTGGGACTGAATCTTGTTGTCGCCCCTCACAGCTTCGGCATAGGTAGGTGGCGGTCGGGCCTCAGACCGTCCCTCGCCACTGCCAGCTCCAGCACCGTGCTGCGAGTGATCTGAGGGCTTCGGCGCGTTCGAGGGATCATTCCCCTGCTGGCCTTGCTGGTTGACGGTGCCGTAGGATGGTCGCTGGGAGGGGTGCTGAAGAGGCTGGTGTGAGACATAGTAGTACGTCACGCGACCGTTCTCGAGATCACGGCGCTGGCTGGAGCCGCCCGAGATGGGCTCGTAGGCTACGTCGTCGTAGTCGGGGTCGGGGTCGGGGTATTTCATGATGATATACCAGGCATGGATGAGGCCTGGGATGTAGCCCAGCAGGCAGAGGGCGATGTTGATGATGGAGTCGGCGGTGCAGATACCCGCCTTAATCCAGACTGTAGAGGAAGACGGTTAGATCGGCCGTCTTGGTTGTATAGTTTGTTTGCATAGTCTGTGTCGTGCAGCGGATGGATAGGATCGAGTGCAAGGGCTTCAATGTAGTGTGGGGTGTGAGATACTTACCAGCAATGGGTGGAAAGAAGACGGCGAGGACCGCCAGGAAGATATCGGAGCTGCACATGGCTTCCGAAGGGAGGGGTGGTTAGGTTGCGCTGTATGTATCACCTGCAAGAATGAGAGGATGGTGGACAGGTCAAGGTCCAAAATCAGGACAGAAGCTTATCAGTCCTCAAAAACAGGAGGTGGAAATAGTTTCTAATCAAATGTCCACGTCGTCTGGGATGAGTCGGTTTGCAGTTTCTACATTTCCGTGGCAGCCTGCTTGGACTTCTGGGGATCAGATGACGTTGATCATGTGACAATCTGATGCCGTTCTTGTCTGGAGGTGAGGTGAACAGTCTGGCCTTGAAAGTGAGGCATCAAACTTTGACTTTCTAGTCGTTGCCAGTCGACGCTTTTGGCACTTGATCGGAGGTACTGCATGTACAGACTGTAGGTGCTGAGTTGACAGGTCAGCTCAATAATGTTACCAAAGCTAGAGCTATTAGATGCCAAGCACTCTGCATCAACTACTTTTGCATGATCGTCATATTTGTACACAGAGGAGAACTAATGAACTTATTGGTCTTGCAAACCTTGACTAACTCTGCAGAGTATTTCGTAGGATATCCTGATCGTATAGGCGGGGGCCAGGGTCTTCACGCGAGCGTGGTTTCTTGGTTCTGCGTGCTTAGCGCTCGGTTCTTAGTATAAGAACTTGGTGTACCCGCTTGATGCCGGAACGCTATCGACAGCCGTTCTCTGTCCATTTGTACTCCGTTCTCCGTACCCGATGCGATACCATAGTTCTCTCGACACCCAATCATGCAGAAACCAATGTCGATGCCCATAGTCGTGTGTATAGATCGTCATCATGCTTGACGCATGGTCTACATCGTACAGCCGAAAATCCTCCGTCCCTCACATTCTCCCAACCCCCGCGCGGATAGCTCACATCATTTCTTGCAGAGTTATTGCAGGACGCAAGGCGAGCCTGGGGGAATAATCCAATTGCCCTCTCTCCTGTACGCCGTACTGGCCTCGTACGTGTATTGATTTCACAAGTCGAAAAATTTGCGAGGCGGGTGGGTGATAGCGATCGGCCCAAATGGGTCCATTCAGGGGTCCTCTGAGTGGTGGATTGTGACAACGCCAGGTCCCCCTCGGGACTAGCCAGCTCTTAGACAGGACTAGAACAGGTACGCTCGCTTTGCAGGCTTCCTTTGCTGCCAATCAGGCTAGACGCTGAGCGCCGTTACTCCCGAGTTGAGTCGAAGCTCTGGCTCAGAATTTTGATACGCGACAAAGTTGGGAAAGGTGAGGCCGAAGAAAGGTGTAAACAAAGCGATACGCTTGGCCTATCCTCCCAGTGCTGGCATGCTTCCTCAAGAATTCTGTAATCTATGTATAGAAAGAGGTAATTAATCGGCTTTTATCCCCGTCAGGCTCGGCCCTCGTTTCAGATGCTTCCAGACCAGTTCGTCTCAGAGTTCCGGCCCCCCCCTTTTTTATCAGTCCAATTTGCCCAGCACTAGTAACTTAGTACTCTTGGACATGGTACTTCGTCCAGCACTGCCCGAGTACAGTACCTCACAGTCTCCACGTCCCTCCCCCCAAACCCCCCAAACCCACGCCCAGACCAACCGAAGTCAGACCTACACACCTCACAGTCACAAGCGTCTCTTCCTCTTCTCTTCTTCCCTCGTCTCTCGATTGGCCATCCTTTCTCTTCGTCTCCCTCAATCGTGGCCACCGCGGCCCCTCGATTGATCTTTCCTTTCCTGCGGGTCCCACGTCCGTTGTTGGCGCCCGAGTCACTCGTTTATTCTCATTCCTTCTCACTACGCTTTTTCGTTCTCCCTTCCTTTCTTTCCCGAGCTAAAAGCGACTCATTTCGCCTGGGCAATTGACAATCACCGACTGCAATCATCCCGGATCTCCTGAGCAGCAATTGGAACCGACATGCGACGCGTGTAATTTCGACCATCTCTCGATAACATCTGACACATTCCACGGCAGCATTCCTCGGGAAACCGACCTGGAGGAGCGACTGCGGCCGACAACCATCCCGAGATGTCGTCCTGCCTGTCCCTGTCGGGGTCGACAACCTGTTCAGCATGGAGTGGCTCCAAGATCTCGTACAATTCCAGCCAATATTCGAGCTTGTGAGTGGGATTACACCCAGAATGTATCGGGGATCAATCAACTAACGAAGACTGGCAGTCCGTGGCTCGATGGTGTTTCTAATCTCACCTCATTCGATAAAGCTCTGAGCAACTACGTCGCAGACACATATGTCACTTCCAAGTATGTTTGTAGTTGATCATGGAGAGCGATCGCGTGCGATGATTGAAACTAACCGCCTACCTCCAGATATGCCGAGCTGTTGGGCTGTGAGGGCCTGAATACAAGCGCTTTGAATGATTATTATGCCCAGTATACTACCAGTGTCATCTGCAGCGGTCTCATCCAGAGCTCCAAGGACGATTGCAGCCTGTCTACCGCCCAATCAGAACCACTCTGTGCCGAGACGTGTGCGCTCATGGCCACGAGCGAGCAAGAGATTATGGTTAACAAGCAACTCTGCCCGAAGACCACCAAGGATTACATGAAACAAATTCGTTCCGATTTCACCATCTGTGCCAACCCAGCCGACTCGCTAACCGGCAGCTGTGTGACTGGATCCGACAACGAACCTGACAACTGTGGTTTCTCGTCCAACACAATCGGCCTCTGCACCTACTGTGCCTCCAGCTCGCCCAACTCGACTGATACGTGCTGTTCCGGTTCCAATGCCACGAACCGCTGTAATGGTGTTGTTATTCCAAGCTCCACCGCGACTCTACAACCCATCGTCACGACTACCGCCGCTGCTGGTACGGGTGCCGCCCACCGCGGTCTCTCAGGGGGTCAGATTGCCGGCATAGTGGTCGGATCGGTTGCAGCAGCAGCCATTATTGGTGCACTTCTGGCTTTCCTCTTCATCTGCACTCGACGTCGCCGCAAGTCGCAAACGGATGCTGCACTTAATCAACCCAACCCACAGCGCAAGGGTGCCTCCCCACCTATGCAGCAGCCGGAAAGCCCAACAGGATATAATATGATCCCCGGTGGCCGCGTTGCACGCATGTCCGCCTTGCGTGAGGTTCCCACCTCCTCGCCAGCTTACTCTCGAACGTCTGCTGCGATGTTCGGCGGTACCAAGTATAGCGACTCGTCTGATTCAGAAGTCATGGGTGCCAGCCCCGGGGCCATGTCTCGACGGATTCCCCCAGTCACCGGGAAGAGACATGGCTCGCTTTCGAGCAGCTCTGCCCTGGCTGGACTGGATAGTGACAGCTCACCTCTGTCCGGCACTGCAAACCAATACTCATCTCCCGAGGGGGTGACCAGCGGCCAGTCCGAGCAGCTGTCATACTTCCGGGACTACTACTCGCAAGACGACATTCAACCCGGCGACAAGGTAGCTGCCCTGTGGGCTTACTCTCCCCGGGCAGGTGATGAGTTCGAGCTGGATCGCGGTGAGATGTTGAAAGTGATTGGTATTTGGGACGATGGCTGGGCCACGGGTGTGCGTCTCCCCGAGCGAGCTGAGGATTATGACATCCGTCATCGCGAGCAGCGTGATAGTGGAGTCTCTAATGGCTCGCAGCGGCCGGGTCCGTCACCGGCACCCTCCGGCGAGATCAAGGCCTTCCCCTTGGTGTGCGTCTGCTTGCCACAGCACTGGCGGAAGATCATCGACGGTGGCGTCCAAGAGGACGATGATGAAGTCTAAGCGCGGGAGAAGACCTTGTTCTCTCCTCCCTTGTTTTCATGCGAATATTACGCCTTGACGACAGCGTGTGCAGCATTCTCATTTCGTCGCGCCAGCTTCGCGAGAAGTCATCTCACCCGTGTGCTTTTGTTTCTTCCTGAATCCCTTCCTCAGGCTGGCTGCCCTTACTATCTCCAATCCGAATGATCCAACCTCCCATGGGGGTCGTCCGGGGATGCGCTGGTGGGATGATTTTGTGTGTGCAAGTTTTTCTATTTTCTTATGCGTATTCTATATACCCCCCCATTTTACGGTGATCGATCTGCTCGTCCGCTTTTTTTTATCTTCTTTTCTCTTACCTCTCTCCTTTGCTTTCTGTCTATTCTTCCCCTTCTCTTCCCTTCATTGATCAAATCAATGTCCTGTGGAACCGAACGCTGGCGCAACGGAACTCGGGGCAGAATGAGGGCCACCCTTGCATATGATGGATGCTGGTCTTGATTCTTGTTTCGTCTTCTTATGTACATCGGTACCCCATCGTTGAGAGACTCTACGCCGCGTGTCCTGCGGTGATTGTTTTGGATTTCAGGATATCCGGATACATATAGTGCAAGGATTAATGTATGTACATAATTAGACTCGAATCTCATTCAAAAGTTGGCCTCAAAGTGCAGTTCTTTCTTTGTTCTAAACCTTGCTATACATTGTAGTACCAGTACTTTATGCTTAGAAATGTACCCGCCTCCACCACCCGACATCCAAACCCCACATCTCGTACTCAGTACAGTGATCCTCATCAGTACTTACCCGGCTCGGCGTTAAGGAGAACCCCGAGGACCTCGATTTCGCAATCTTGCTTTTACTAATCCCACCCCTCCTTCTACCACATTCCGTGATAACATTAATAATGGCGTCTTCCCCGGGTTTTCAGAGACCTGGGTATCTATAAATCCTTCCACCGGACCTCCCGGGTTGACTGAACTTATCTCTCGGGTATCCTCATTACAAATTCACACCATGGCCTCCCCAAAGATCATTCTCTACACCAACCACCGTTGCCCCTGGGCTCACCGTGCCCATATCGCTCTCAAGGAGCTGGGCCTGCAGTATGAGGAGGTCATCATTGACTTGGACGTACCCCGCGAGCCGTGGTATCTTGAGGTCAACCCGGTATGTACACGCAAACCAGCAGCTCGCAAGCATGTAGCAAAGTTACTGGCTTAGCTTCCGATAGCGGAGTATCCAGCTTTACGCACCGTCCTCCTAGAAACAGAGCACTGATACTTTCTGTATTTAGCGTGGCCTTGTTCCCAGCCTCTCGTACAACGGCAAGATCATCACCGAGTCCGGCATCGTCGCGCAATTCCTTGCCGACGCACACCCGTCTCAGCTCCTGCCTGCGTCCGGCCCGGCAGATAACGCGCTGTACCGTGCCCGCCTGGCTTTCTTCGTCGATGCATTCTTCAGCAAGGTTGTCCCGCACCTCACTGCCAATATCAGGTCCGCCTCGGAGGCAGACCGCGATGCTGCGACGGAGCAATTGGTTGCCGGCGTCGTGAAGGAAATTGAACCGCTCCTTGCTGATACTGAGGGCAAGGGTCCTTTCTTCGGGGGCAGTGACAAGCTCACTTTGGCCGAGGTATGTTCTGTTTTCAATCTTCTGGGCCCCACTTCGTTTCTCGTGCTTGAAGAAGCAAGAAACAAGTCGCAATTCTAAACAAGGCGCAATTCGTATTGATGATTGAGTGTAGGTTCTCTCTGGCTCTTTCCTGCTTCGCATCCTTGGCTTCAGTAAGCCTGAGCACGGTCTCGTCAGTACCAAGCTGCCTGCGCTGCTGGAGCAGCAGGCTCCACGATTCAAGCGCTGGGCTGAGGCTACTACTGCGCATGAGAGCGTTAACTTTATCTGGAACGAGAAGGATGTTGCGGATCGGACGCGGGCTAGATTTGCTCCTAAGTAACAGTAGGCTGCTGTATTTTGAGGATAGGTGATTATGAGAGCTTGTGGCTGGATCAGATGCTCAAATTATGACAATTTACATTTTATCCATTTCTGGTACTTGGTTTGTTTCAGAGCTGGAAAACATAAGAGGAGGTCTAGCCTTATATGGGAGATTCCAGTGTAGGCCATGATCCCATAGCGTAGGGCATCCATACTTCTCGGCGGAGGGGCAGCCAGTGACGTGTACGGGCCTTTGGTCCCATGGTTGAGGGCCACGTCCAAAATTAGCGTGTAGGTACCCTCAGTTCCATACTCCTTCTCTTCAAGATTCGAGAGCCTCCCTAGCGTAGGAATGCACTACCCGGAGCAAGTATGCCGTGCAGGGCTTATCCATGCTCGGTGGTGTAATCTTCAACAACCCTACTGCGTGGCTGTGGAGCTACATAGATGGATGGGTAGGAAAATGTATGTCAAGTGCAGTCTAGGCTGCCGGCATACCTAATGGATGCCTGGGCGAAAGGATTTTGTAGTGCAAGATCCCAAATACTGTAGAAAGGACTAGCGACCAGAGCCTCCTGCTCTAGAACATATATAGGCCGGCCACCATATCATCACCTTGCCCGCACTTTGTTTATTTCCAAAATAGGTGTACCGGCATCACGTGCAGCCGCCCCCCCACCATCGCAACACCTGGGCAACAACCCCTCCGCCTCATCCCCCCCGATCAACTCCCCCATCCTCCCCCGTTAATCTCGTGAGTATCCCCTCGTGTCTGGTTTTGCGTAAGCTGCTCTCTATAGCTGTTGCTCTTGGAGCGTCGTTCTCACCGCCCTGGTCACTCATGCAAATTGACCTCGAGATGAGACTTCCCCTGTTCCTGACATCTCAGCCACTGACATCGTGTGCCACTTCTTAGTCGACCGGTCATTCTCTCCCCCTTTCCTCCTCTTTCTCATCTACACAAAAAAAATCATGTCGGTACGTATAGACCTCAGCGCGTCTTCCATATTCTATTGCAATTTATATACTAACTTGATTTGTTGTCCAGCTCGCATCCGGGTATGATCCTCCCCTCCCCTCCTCCGTCAGCAGCAAAATCGCCTCTTCTCCCCCACAGGATTTCATATTAATCTTTCGATTCGCAGTGTTTCCGTCCAGGATGAGTGCCTGACGGCATTCAACGAGTTCCGTTTGAGCAAGGGCAAGACCAAGTACATCATCTACAAGATCTCCGATAACAAGAAGGACGTTGTTGTCGACGCTGTCGGTCACGACCAGGACTACGAGGTTTTCCGTGAGCAGCTCGCTGCTTCCAAGGACAGCCAGGGTCGTCCCGCCCCCCGGTACGCCGTCTACGACGTTGAGTACGACCTCGGCGGCGGTGAGGGCAAGAGGTGCGCATCCCCCCATTCAGGCATCCGCCATATTTTGTCTTAAGGAGGTTCATTCCACTCACCTGTTCCAATTACAGAAGCAAGATCATCTTCATCTCCTGGGTCCCCAGCGACACCCCTACTCTCGTAAGTTCTCAATTGCCAATTCTTGCGAGGATTGTCTTGGAAAGTGCATTTCCCACCTACTAACACCTGCTATCTAGTGGTCCATGATCTACGCCAGCACCCGCGAGGTCCTGAAGAACGCTCTCAACCTCTCTGCCTCCATCCACGCCGATGACAAGTCCGACATCGAGTGGAAGACCGTCCTCAGCGAGGCTAGCGGTGGCAAGGCTGGTAAATAGATAACGGCGCCGGCTGGGTCCGGGCTGCGTGATCGATCGGGGGTTTGTTTTCCCATATTGACGGTGCTACGGCACGACCAAATCCATCCGCTTCTCTGCACACCGTTCTCCTCGTTTTCTCTCTTCTCTTTTTTTTTCCCCTAGTTGCAATGCAAAGACCGTTACGACTTTGGCCGTTCTTCTCCTTTCTTACATTCGTGGAACAGTTATGATCATCGTTTGAGCTCTTGTTCCTTTGTGCATCTGTGATCATTTGTCTCGTATCTGGTCATCAGTGGGGTTCCAAATGCGAGGGGTGGTTGTTTTGGGAGACAGATTGTCCGTATGAATTGATTGATATACAAAGTAGGATATGTGGTAGGATCGACAATTGGGGGAAACTAGGGATTGACCTGCTACTGCATATGGAAGAGGAGAACTCGAGGCCAATCAGCTGGTCTGTGATCTTCCAATTTATTGTTCTGGCGTGGTTGTACAAGCCCCTCGTCTTCCTAGGGTTGCGACTAAGTTCGTACGAGCGTAGGTGGCTGTGGGTTGCCGACCGGTAAGAATCGTGTAGAAAAGTGTTGAAAGTACAATTCTGAGTAGTTTCAAGATATGCAAGCCTTTCATAAGAAGTTAGTACATTTCTAATCACAGCAGCCGACCAATTCCCATCGTATGATGCTGCTGAGAATGATGATGATGCTCACTGGCGGCCGGGCAGGGCAACGGCCCAATCAGCGAGCGGACAAACCCAGGCCAGCGCTAGTCCGGAAACCTCGCGACTTTCCACCTCAAACCACCAGAACAACTTCAATCCTTCCCCATCCCCCGACCCTCCCCCTCCACTCTCTTCTCCAGCCGAGTCCCCCTCGCTGCCAGACTGTTCTGGTCCCGGACTCCCCTCTCCACCATCAATTGACTCGTTTTCGACGTGGTGCTCCCACCTCCCACCTGCCGCACAATGTTCCTTCGCTCCATCGCTCGCGCTGCTCCTCGCAGCCCGGCCGCCATCCGTGCTGGCCCATTGGCCTCGCTGAACGCCCTGCAGGCCCGCGCTGCCTCCGACCACGCCATCTCGAACCCTACCCTGGCCAGCATCGAGAAGCGTTGGGAGGGCATGCCCCCTCAGGAGCAGGCCGAGCTGTGGATGCAGCTCCGTGACCGTATGAAGGTTGACTGGCACCAGATGACCCTCCAGGAGAAGAAGGCCGGTATGTACTATCCCGTGGATATCAAATTCCAGTGTCGGAAATGGTGACTCGTCTACCCTGTGGTATCCGAGGCTGAATTTTATCGGCAATCCTTAAATTTCCTTTTTCGGCATCCGCTGATATTCTCTTCTCTCTCTCTCTGTTATCTAGCCTACTGGATTGCCTTTGGTCCTCACGGCCCCCGCGCCGAGACCCCCAAGGGTGAGGGCCTGAAGATCTTCCTCAAGGTCACCCAGCTCACCGTCGCCTCCTTCCTTGTCTTCTACGCCATCCACTACTTCGCCAAGCCCCAGCCCAAGACCATGTCCAAGGAGTGGCAGGAGGCCTCCAACGAATACGCTCTGGTATGTCTACTCTCTCTGGATGCGAGCGAGTCCTTGAGATTCTTGCGCACGATGCCCGTTGAGCTAGATCGGGATATGCTAACCTATTTTCTTCCCCAACAGTCCGAGAAGATCAACCCCATCCACGGCATCAGCAAGGAGGGCTACGAGGGCAAGGGCTTCGTCCAGAGCCCCCCTCTCGAGAAGTCATAAGTGGGCTCGGTGCCCGATTGGGGATGAGCAGGACTCAGAGATCGGTGTCGGACGGAGTGGGCTTTCGGTTTCGCAAGCCCATCCAGACTCGGGGACAATCTCTCCGGGTCATGGGTTTCATGTTGCTCGCCATGTCGTTGACGATTTGACCGTTGCTGGGCCTTCGATCGACACCGCTCTGAGCTGTTCGTCATTTTTTGTCCTTTGGCCCACAAGCATCCAAAAATGCGTGTATCCCGTACTGTGCTATAGTCAATGTATCTCTTTTGTAGCCATAGAGAAACAAGTTGGACCGTTTCGTTGTTTTTTATTATTATTATTATTATTATTAAAACCATGCTGGTTTTTTTGATCTTCATCTATGGAGTCTCTTGGGGATTGATATATTGGGATGTCAACCTCCCGGTCTGGTACGTATGTAACCAGGTTCCCTCTGCGTCTTTTTTCCCGGAGGGATTCGGAACCTGCAGAGCTTGGTGCGGAGAACCCCTGTCCAAGCGCACCCCAGCGAAAACGGGCCATTGCGAGGTGCAATGTGGTCATTTGGGACTCTCGAGGAGAGGAAATTGTAGCTGTGATGGGGTTTGGCAGTTTTATACCATTTGCGATTCTAGCTAGTAAGCCCATCAGTGGTTCGTAGGAGCTTGGAAGTTTCTATGGTTTCTCCTACCAGCACTTGGATGGGCGGTAGACGAGTCCGAGTTACACGTCAGAGATTTTCCATCGGAGAAATAGCTAGGAGCTGGGAGCACCGGACACCACCACCACCCCTCGAGGTCAAGGTCAATGGCTAGAAATCTTGTGATAGAATGTGGTTTCTAGACTGCTAGTTATTTTTATGGAATATTTGAAACGGCTGTGCATGCTGCTGGACAGGTGTTTATACATCGTTGCAGCGGGACTCCCCTGCATCCGGACGCCAAGCCGACCGGTGAGGAGGACGAGGATTGCCAGGCAACGAGGGGAAGTGTCAACACCACCACACCACCGAGGGGACGATGGTAGTCAAATCAGCGCTAGAGAGAGCTATCATACATGAAGATAAATGTTGGGGAAATCAATTTCGGTGTTCAAAGTCATTGTTGTTCTGTCCAGTCTGTACCTACTGCTCCGAGGATCGGTTCATCACGGGACCATCGGCAAAACCGCCCCGGAAAGGCGTAGTGCGGCCCAGTTCCCGTGCCAGCGAGAGAGCCAGCGAGAGAGTCCACCAAACCTCTTCCCATTCCTCTTCTTCCCTCTTTTCCCTCCCCCCATCCACACCTTTCCTGATCCCTACACCTCGCTCTTCAACACCTCCATCATGTTCAAGAGGTACGTCACCCACTCCATCCCATACCCTCCTTCAACATCTCGTCCTTCTCATCTGGGAATTGTCTCCCCCCCTAACTCGATTTTTCTTCTCTACAGCGGTCTCGCCCGGACCTTCGGGAGGGCTGCCTTCGCCCGGCCGACCCCCGTCGCCCGCGCCTTCAAGCCTCTCCGCGCCAATGCCCTGCCCGCCCTCTCTGCTCGCTTCGCCAGCTCGGATGTCGCTCAGTCTGGCAAGATTCACCAGGTTATCGGTGCCGTCGTTGACGGTACGTGGTTGCTCCTCGAACGCCCTGGCGGGATCTGGGGGGACACGCGCGAAAATCTTTTCCTCGGCCCCAATCCATCTCCAAAGCCATCGCAATCGATCCCAAATCAACCCCAGGGATACTCGCTGACCTTGCTATTCGCCATATCACAGTGAAGTTTGAGGGCGAGAAGCTCCCTGCCATTCTCAACGCCATTGTGACCGAGAACAACGGCCAGAAGCTTGTGCTCGAGGTTTCCGTACGTGCCCTCTGATTGGTCCTTCCCCGACCTCACTCCCAACATCTCACCCCCTTCTTCCAACCTCATCGCATATAGCTAACCCTGCTTGTCTTTTTTAGCAACACCTGGGTGAGAATGTCGTCCGTACTATTGCCATGGACGGTAAGCTCCCCCCTGCACCCTCTTCCTGTCAACCACCGTGTCGTGCCCTGGATCCCTCCCCCAAAAGGGGATGAAGGGGCCCACACGGTCGGCCCGGTATGCTGTCTGCTTGAACCTCGCCTTGCTAACGCCCGTCTTCAGGTACCGAGGGTCTCATGCGTGGTGCTGTTGCCCGCGACACTGGTTCCCCCATCACGGTTCCCGTCGGTCCCGGCACCCTTGGCCGTATCCTGAACGTCACTGGTGACCCCATTGACGAGCGTGGTCCCGTCAAGGCCACCAAGTTCCTCCCTATCCACGCCGACCCCCCAGAGTTCATCGAGCAGTCCACCTCTGCTGAGATTCTCGTCACTGGTATCAAGGTCGTCGATCTCCTTGCCCCCTACGCCCGTGGTGGTAAGATTGGTCTGTTCGGTGGTGCCGGTGTCGGTAAGACCGTGTTCATTCAGGAGCTGATTGTAAGTTTTTTCTTTTTTACCCCGGTCGCAAGGGAAAGGGAGATTCGGTCAACTTTTTGTACTAACTTCCTGTTTCTCAAATTAGAACAACATCGCCAAGGCCCACGGTGGTTACTCCGTGTTCTGCGGTGTCGGTGAGCGTACCCGTGAGGGTAACGATCTGTACCACGAGATGCAGGAGACTGGTGTCATCCAGCTCGATGGTGACTCCAAGGTCGCTCTGGTCTTCGGTCAGATGAACGAGCCCCCGGGTGCCCGTGCCCGTGTCGCCCTGACCGGTCTGACCATTGCCGAGTACTTCCGTGACGAGGAGGGTCAGGATGTGCTGCTCTTCATTGACAACATTTTCCGCTTCACCCAGGCCGGTTCCGAGGTGTCTGCCCTTCTGGGTCGTATCCCCTCTGCCGTCGGTTACCAGCCCACTCTGGCCGTCGACATGGGTCTCATGCAGGAGCGTATTACCACCACCCAGAAGGGTTCCATTACCTCCGTCCAGGCCGTCTACGTGCCCGCTGACGATCTGACTGATCCTGCCCCCGCTACCACCTTCGCCCACTTGGACGCCACCACTGTGCTGTCCCGTGGTATCTCCGAGCTGGGTATCTACCCCGCTGTCGACCCTCTGGACTCCAAGTCCCGTATGCTCGACCCCCGTATCATCGGTGACGAGCACTACAACACCGCCACCCGTGTCCAGCAGATGCTCCAGGAGTACAAGTCCCTCCAGGATATCATTGCCATTCTCGGTATGGACGAGCTGTCCGAGGCTGACAAGCTCACCGTCGAGCGTGCCCGTAAGCTCCAGCGTTTCCTGTCCCAGCCCTTCGCTGTCGCCCAGGTCTTCACTGGTATCGAGGGTCAGCTCGTCGACCTGAAGGACACCATCTCCTCCTTCAAGGCTATTATCAACGGTGAGGGTGATGACCTCCCTGAGAACGCCTTCTACATGGTCGGTGACTTCGCCTCCGCCCGCGCCAAGGGTGAGAAGATTCTGGCTGAGCTCGAGGGCTCTGCCTAAATGTAATTTTGTCCATTTGCTTAGCTAGCGGCGGGGGAGGATTTTTTTCTCCTCATGTTCAACATCCCTCCGGTCAAAAACTTTCGCTGCTTCTGAAATCTTCTTACCTGTTTGTATCCTCTCTTCCTCTCCCCCCCATTTTCCCTTGGTCTGGATCTGGTCTTTCTTTTGTTCCTTTGTCTTAGAACTCTTTCGAGTCTTGTGTGTGTCTCGTCTCCCACTAGACGTCATTTTCCCTTTTCGATTGCGTGTATACTACTCCGATCTAAAAGAGAGAAAAAAGAAAACCAGAATGGGATTCTGACTGTCACAATTCTCGATTCCGCTATCTTTGTGACGTGATGTTCTTTTGGGAGACTGTCCATGCAGTCGACTTTTGAGTTCAATATTCATCGGATCTCGTCACCGTGAAAACGAAGACGAAGATTGTGCCAGATCTACCAGGGAGTGGAGGGAGTGAAAGCGATCTGTCTACCTGGATCAGTTGCATTCGGGGGTGACTGAGCAAGGCCCGAGAAGAGAATAGGAGGACGGATGAAAGGATGTTGGTTGGATTGGGTGTGTTGGATGGTGAGAAACAAAGAAAAGTTTTTCTCCGTCTTGTCTAACGAGCGAGTTGATGAGATTTGTTTCCCTTGGTTTACTCCCCTTTTTAAAGCCTGTCTGGACGCACCCTGGCCTGGCTTGTGTTTCATTATTGTGTATTTAGAGTTGAAAACCCATGGCCTGTATGGCGACCCTAAATATCCTGGTGTCCAATTGTATTTTCTTTTGTTGAAGATTTAAGCTCTTTTTGTAGTTGTGTTTGTAGGTGAGATGCTTGGGGATGTTTTGGGATTTGGAGTGCAGGCTGTCTTAGTCGTACCTGATATTTACTCCTGTGTATCCTGATGGCTGCACACGGCATATGGCGTAGCTTGCAAGGTTGATCTACAATGCCTGCACTTACGATCTACCCCTGTATGAACCTCGAAGAGAGCACGCAATAGCCGTACAAAATGAACATTACTGTCTCGATTAAAAGCACAAATACACTAGCTGAAGATCAAGTTCAGAGTAAGACGATGACTCTTCGTGTGTGGTTGGGTTGAATCACGACGCAGAAGATTCTTGTTGCTCTACACTGCCCTTCACAGAGTCTCTTCCAAGGCAAGAACCTATATCAGAAAACCAGTTAGCCAAGCTCAACAAGCACGTACACCAGACAGAATCCAGGGCAAAACTTCTCGAAAAGGGTAGTCGAATCAAACCAGGTACTTACCAGAGCAGTCCTCGTAGGAATATAAACTTGCGTGAAATTCGCCCGCCCATTCCACGGCATATCCGTCGTAAAGAACCTCGTCTCCTTAACGTTCCTCCCCAACCCACCAAACGCCTGATCATCCGAATCAAGCACAATCCGATACGTCCCCGGCACATCCACGCCAACCCGATAATCAGTGAAACTATCCGTAGGATTGAAATTGAAAATCCACAACAACCCCGCCCTCTCAAAGACGAGAATCTTGTCGCTCTCATTCTTCAAGCTAACGTACGCCTGCGGTGCATGCAGCCAGCCATACTTGGCCTCGGTGAGCTGCATGGCCCGGTCGAATTCGTTCAGGAACTTGTACCGGAGGAGGGGGTCTTCGGTTAGGTTGAGTTGGCGCCGGGCGTACCAGAAGGAATTGCCGTTTCCTTCGCGTGGGAAGTCGAGCCATTCTGGGTGGCCGAATTCGTTGCCTTCGAAGTTGAGGTAGCCTTCGCCGCCGAGGCCGTGGGTTACTAGCCGGACCATTTTGTGGAGGGCCATGCCGCGCTCGATGATGGGGGTGAAGTCCGTGAGGACTGACATGTGGGTGTACATTTCTTTGTCGCAGAGCCACATCATAAGGGTTTTGTCGCCGACCAGTCTGTTTAAGGGGGAAGTTGTTAGAGGGGCTGTGAAGGGAGGTGGTGTTCTTTGGGGGCTTAGGGACTGCTTACGCTTGGTCGTGGCTCTCGGCATAGGCAATGGTCTTCTCGCCGTGGCGGCGGTTGGTTAATGTGAAAGCAAGATTGCCAATATCCCACTCGTTGTCGGACTTTTCTTTCAGCAGCTTGATATACATGTCGGGCACGGCCATGGCGAGTCGGTAGTCGAAGCCGACGCCTCCAAGGGAGTGCGGGAGGCATAATGCGGGCATGCCGGAGACATCTTCCGCAACGGTGATACACTCGGGATAGAGTTCGTGGAGCATTGTATTGGCGAGGGCCAGGTAAGTGATGCCCTCCTCGTCAACCGCAGGGCCAAAGTACTCGTGATAGCCACCAGAGAAGCCTCTATTTGAGATAATTAGCTTCCACCAATGGTATAGTAGGGGGTGAAGGATGACATACGTTCCAATACCGTGGTGTGTATAGAGCATGCTAGTGACACCGTCAAACCGGAATCCATCAAACTGGTACTCTTCCATCCAGAAACGCAGGTTACTCAGAAGGAACCGCAAGACTTCGTGATGCCCATAGTTGAACAAGCGACTATCCCACAGCTCATGTCGACCCTTTCCACCCTCGTGGAAATAGAGATGGTCAGATCCATCGAACATGTTCAGACCATCGAGCACGTTCTTTGACGCATGGCTGTGCACCACATCTAGCAGCACCACCAAGCCCATACTATGCGCAGTATCAATCAGCTCCTTCAGATCCTCGGGGGACCCGTAGCGACTGCTCGCCGCGAAGAAGTTGTTCACTTGGTACCCGAAGCTGGCATAGTAGGCATGCTCCATGATGGCCATCAATTGGATAGCGTTGTAGCCAAGGTATTTGATACGCGGTAGCATGTTCTTGGTGAACTCCTTGTATGTCGCGACCCGCGTTTCGGGCGACGAGATACCGACGTGGGCCTCGTAGATACGCAGACTCTCGGGCTTCTTGGGCCGCGGGTGCTTGAAGGTGTATCTCTCGCTGGCAGGTGGGTTCCAGAAGACGGCGTCGTAGTCGGGAGAGACGTCGAGGTCCTGCACGACCCGTTTGATCCATGCTGGGATGCGATAGATGCGCTCGCCGCCGGGGAGAACCATGGTGATCTATAGTAGTAGGAGCTATGTTAGCTTGGACTTATTCTCCGAGGGAGAATATGGGCGTGGATCGGCTTGCCTTGATCTTGCTGTCGTGGGGAATCGCCGGAGTGCCCTGCACAGCGGGCACGGTCACTTCCCACACGCCAAAGCTGTTCTTCGTCATGGGGTTGGCTTTGTTATCCCAGTTGTCTGCTAGTCTCAGTAATGCAATTCAAGGGCCTCTGGATCCGGTCTCCACCTTAGAAGCACATACTGAAATCACCGACCAGCGACGCCTCCACTGCATTGGGCGCCCATTCCCGGTATTTGATGTCGCCATTTGGCTGCGCATTGAGACCGAAGATTTCATAGCCCTGGAAGAAAACACGATCGACGATAGTCAGTGCTAGTTCAATCACAATGGGTGCGAAGGAACTCATTTCCCACCTTGCTAAACTTGTCCAGGCCACCCTCCGACTCGTTGATGGACTTGGCCCATTTCTCCACCAAACTGTAGCGATGCTTCAGCACATCGCGATGAGGTTCCAGCCACGGGTCAAGCTTAAGGACACCTAGATAGGAGGGTGTGAATCAGCTATCAATTCATCAGGCTTTCCTAGCCGGCGACCAGCTAGCTCCTAGCTCAATCTGGGCTGCAGCTTCAGCAGAGCTGTCACTTCAGTGACGTACCTGTTCCGTCGGCGGGAGTTTCGGTAATGGACGCCATATTTTGCATCCGATTTTGGTTTATGATTTCAAAAAGTTGGAAAGAAAGGGGAAAGGGAAAGAGGCGACAGTCGGGACCCCTCTCTCTCAACGTTTATCGCACATCCCAGTGATTGCCAGAGGGTTGGAGTGATTGGCTGCGGGGGGTTGAGCTGTGGTTGTCGAGTGGAGATTCGGTGCGGGGAGCTCGGGCCTCTGGTGGTTTGGCTCGACCTGTGAATCCGGTTTTTGGCCGCTGGTCTTGGCAATTGTTGGAAGGAGGGGGGGGGGTTGATCCTGGGCAATCTGGTAGATTCTATTTACTCTAGCTGTTAATCATCTACGGAGATACTATCTACTATTTGTGAGCCCATCGTCACCACAATTGTTCTTATCCATCTCTCTCACCGGGCTACTGTCGCCGTTCCTAGCCTGGCGCGGTACCACCTCAACTGCTTCGGGGGCCTCTGCTCCTCGCCTTACCAGATGCATCTCGGTGAAACTCAATCCGTTCTCAACCCCCCTGCCTTTGCAATTGGGACGATCTCAGAATTTTCAATTGGCCCGAGACTCAATTCCTCTTTGCTGTAAAGTTCGCCATTAAGCTAGTTCTTTTTGAAAATTAATCATCATAGTTATTTCAAGAGGAAGCAAGAAGACGCCACCAGAAAATGCAGGAATTTGGATTCAATTTAGGCAAATTTTGGTGACCTAGACTCGTAATGCTGCGTGAAACATCTACATGCATAGATACAGGTACCCAGGTTGACATGTGAGTTAAGAATCGACTTGTCCTGGCCTTCCTGTGTTGAGCCAGTGGCACATCCTGATCAGGGCCTGGTGAAATACTACTGGCCGTCAACATCCATGAAAAGTCAGCTCCATTACAAGAATCAAGTCAACCTCAATACTGGTTTTCAATATACAAGATTTGGGAGATATGACAATTTTGCAGACACCGAGAGAAAAAAAAACCCCCGAATGTCGCAAGCCTGACCTATTAATAGAACCACTTGCGGAGACAGATTCACCATAGTCTAGAATTCATGAGACCTAATGATCTTGTCGTTCGACTTCTAAGTCTTTGTTATTATGAATCAACTAAAACCAACAAATGATATATCCGCTCAAATATTAGAAGTATGTACAAATTGTCAAGGTTAAAGCTGGATGAACAAAATCGCCGTTAGAGTTGATCGATCTCAAGTCGTTTGTGCTACTTGATGCTCGAGCTATTTTCTCCTCAAGATGATACTGAAGCACAAAGACACAATACTGAAGGTAAGATGATACAATGTTGTTGCTGGGCATTTAGTTAGTGAGGGGCCTATAGATGACTAAGAATGATTGATCACTGGAATGTGTTAGCAAATGGGAAAGAAGACCGTTCAAAAGTCCATACCATTATCCGGAATCAGGACCACGCGACATGGATTAAGAGTCCACCCAACAACCAAGATAAACAAGAACGATTGGTAGGTTGATACGAGAAACTGCGCGCTGACATTCACGAACAAATGCTAATCCCCGAATGCGAGAATAGAGGCCAATGCATCAGATGCAAGTATGTACTATATGATATGCTATCAACATCCATTCGATCCACTATGATGCTGGACTCGGCGGCAGCTCGCCGGTCGTCCAATTCACGGCAGTTGAACCCAGTTCAAACTCAAGTGTGCCCCCATTGGCGAAGATATCATCCCAAGTCAGCCAATTCTTCTTCCACGGCTTGCCGTTGACTTTCAAACTTTGCACGTAGAAATCCTTATCACCGTTGCCATCACCACCCGTCGAGGTGACTTTCAATTTTTTGGTACCGCCAAGATCGATGGTCATTGACGCAAACCAGGGCGAGTGAATGAGGAAAGTAGTTTGTCCGGTGATCGGGTACAGACCGATCATATTCCATAGCAGCCATGTTTGCATGGCTCCGGCATCGCTGTTGCCCGGGAGGCCCGACACGCCGGTGGAATAGTCACTTTTGGCAACTTTTCGGGACTGAGAGACTGAGAGGTCCTGGCGACCCACGTAGTTGTATAGGTATGGGATGTTGAACATTCTATCGATTTCTGTTAGTTTGTCGTTCAGTGTTGCGGGTCCATGAGGGTATTACTTACGGTTCGTTGGTAGAATCGAAGATAATGCCACTCGATCCACTCGCACCCTCGGTGAACATGGTATTCAGCCGGTTGACCACTGTCTCAGCACCTCCCATCAATTTAATCAGATGCTGCATATCATGCACATCCGCCCAGGAATAGGCCCACGAGTTCGCTTCATAGTATGGATCTCCCCAGTAGCCACTATCTGCTAACGGATCAGTCTCGATGAAGCCGGTGGAATTCCGGGGGACGACGAAACCCGAGAACCCAAGCGAGGTTTGCTTGGGATTCCAATGGTTACGCCAATTGCGAGATCGATTGAGGTACTTCTTCGCATCTTGCCCCTTCTTCAATCCAGACGCAACCTGGTACAGACTAAAGTCATTAGCAGCGTACTCGACAGCACGACTGACAGCACGGCTGTATTTCGGCGTTATGTATCCAAGACTGATCCAGTCGGGCAATGCACCACGGCCATCGTGTGTAGAAGAGTCTGGCGCCAAGGGGTCGACGGGGTTATTTGGAGGCGTGACTTCGGCATCTTTGACCATGGCTTTGTAGCCGTCTTCCCAATTCACGGACCCGCGTACCCCCTTGACATAAGCGTCGGCAAGAACATTGTCGGCATTGGAGCCGCCTTGTGAACGGCCGTTGTAGTTGGATGACCGTGCATCAGGAAGATAGCCATCGTGTTGCCAGATGTCGATCAGAGACCGGATTTGTTCCTCGTAGGCAGTTGGTTGCAGGACTTGCATGAGAGAGGTAGAGCAGCGGAATAAATCCTGCGACTATGAGTTAGACTGCCCTGCACCCAAGGAAGGAAATCCAACCACACTTACCCAGAATGTGAAGATATCCTGATAATATGGCTCTTTTGACTCCCAGCCGGGATTCTCGCCTGTTTGGTTCGTGGGGATGAGATGCATAAAGTAGAGAGATGTGTAAAGCAAACTCAGGCTGGTGTCATTGGTATTGGTCGTGGTGATCTTGGATAGAACCTTTTCGTTCCATTCAGAAGCGGCTTCGCTGACAACCGAAGCGAAGCTCGTGCCCGTTGGAATCTCCTGATTCACGTTGTCGCAGGCTTGCTCCGTGGAAATCCATGAGATCCCGACACGAGAAATGATTTCTTCTTCACTGAAGGTGAACAATGCACCAATTCGAGTGGAATCCGAAGTGGAAAAGACAGAGCCACCCGGCTTCTCGATGCTAGGAGCAGCACCTGTTGCGATGTATGTCTTGTTGCTTGTTGCATCGGATTCGAAGTAGCCGCCTGTTTACATTAGCATTTGGACAAGGCCGCATATTGGTCTAGCACACTCACAAAAGTAGATTTTCCAATCAGGAGCCTCGTTCCATCCATTGTTGTAGGTTCCAAGACCTTCATAATGCCCATCGGCAAAGATGGTCAAGTTCCCACCTTCATAGTTCTGACCAAGCCCTTGGCCACGGAACGACGGCAGTACATGTGAAACATCCACCAAGATGTTGTTTTCCGAGTTACTCGGGAATGTATACCGGTAGATTCCTGCCCGAGCAGAAGCACTCAGCTCAACCTCAACACCATCTGCTGTCTGGGCCCTGTAGTATCCAACAGAGCCTGCATCGGTTCCAGACCGAGCGACAGTGATGTTAGACAGAGGATCCGTGACGTTGCCTACCAACGGCAACTGCGAGACAGTACCGTACTTGGGAGCACCTCCAGTACCCTGTTCGTGCATCAAACTGAAGCCGGAGAACTTGCCATTGGGTAGATATCCCGCATATGAATCTGTACCGGACTGGAGAAGATCAGGGCCCAGTTTGACCATGCCAAATGGTCTTGCAGCTCCGGGGAAATCATTGCCCCCACTTTGTGTTCCCATGCTATAACAATGTCAGGAATCTCCGGGCTTTTCATGTGATGAACTTGTTGTGACACTTACAAGACATCAACATGCTTGGTCAAGTCTTCTGCCGCAGACAATGCCAGCAAAGTGAGGCCAGTCAGCATCCTGAAGGACGTCATGATGGAAATGAAATCAGAGCTTCTCGAACATGAACTTCAAGAAGCTGTATGTTGCACAGAACGCCTTATGCTGTACGGTGATCGTTGCTCGGATGTAACAAGCTGTGATCAACCCCGCGCAGGAGAACTCAATGCTTCCTGCTGTACGAGTACGAAAGAGAGAAGAAAATCAAGTCTTATGTAGCGCTCACTGCCAGTTTATTTGAGAGAAATGGCTCCTCCTTCAGTCCGCTGCAGGGCCCCTGCCAGACGATCCTGCGACTCATTGCATGTGCTGAGTACCGTGGACAGGATCAGGCACCTTCCCGCTCACACAATCACGCTAGATATGATCTTTACACGGTAGAGATGGAGCCGGAAATCATCTTTCTTTACTATTGTGGCTGGTACTAGGCTGGCTAGGGTTAGGAATGCATGGCCCTAAGCAAATCATCAAGCCCCTTCATGGTCCATGGTTCCATTAGACTCATATTATGACCAGTCAGCTTACATGAGAAGAGCTACCTCTGAACACTAGTAGAAGAGAAGAAGAGGTAGTGGTAGTAAATACAAAATATGTTATGTAGCGGGGAGGAGATCTATGCTTGAAATTCCAATCCGGGCCAGGATTAGGGCACCTGGGAAGAGAGGGAGATGTGAGTCGTTGAAGATATACCAGTGGTTTAACCAGTTCAGGCAGACAGAATGTTTATAGTTGCATTTTTCAGTGTAAACAGCGGCCCAGGAACAAATGAGGCGTCTGTAAAGTATGGGCATGCCAGGGCATGACCAAATCAGCGGTACCGGCGGGTTCACATGCGACGATCAGGGACTACGGCTCCACGTGTGGCGCTGGTTGGCTGGCAAGGGAAAGGGAAAGGGAAAAACCAAAATCAACGATATTGCAGTATCTACGGAGTAGTATATACATTGACGTTAAGTTTCAGATGTAATATCGCAATATTAGAACAATTCGTCATGTTATTGAAGGGCGAAATTCAGATAAGATGAGAGTATAGGGACTTTGAACAGAAGAAAAATGCAAAGGTTGTTGCCTAAGAAGGGGCCATAACAAGGGGAGTCGTGTTCCATGGTCGATGAGCGGGTACGAGATGGAACCATGAGTTTGGATGGTATCAATATAGAGCGTCTTATTTTGTAAATCGTAGCTTAGGCTCATGCTATTTTATTCTAACAAGTTTCGATGTCGTTGATTACTTTCGAGTAATCTGGCGAAGGTATACTTCGGCAGACAAGCATTGATGCCATACCGATGAGGCACCATATTTTACCTAATCAGGACTAGCGGCTTGGTCGGATCTAAGCTCATTCTAACCCAGACCCCCCCAGCCCAAAACGACCTGAAATGTCACCAGAACGCTTGACCATGCGAACACTCCCCACAACGTGACACGCCATGCCGTGACTTTCCAAAGCCACTTGAGCCTGTCTGCTAGCTCGGAGAATGGCGCCTCGGAATCGTCCGAAACCCCGGATCACCTGGTGGATGCGCCTGCGGAGATTCTTCTACAATCTCGAGTCACCTCTCCAGCTTCGGGGTACCCTCACGCGTCTCAGTCACCGGCACAGACACCCTTTCCTAGCCCTGCTCCGTCTATTGCTCCCGTTACCGACATGGCACTTCCGCCTCCCCGACCCGGTGCCCATCAAAACCATGCTGAACAATGTCGCGCTTCTGCAGTCCCGGAAGGCGGCTGCTGATCTCACCAACATGCGCTCTGTACCATTGTGGCGTGCTCGAGACACGCCCCTGCGTGCTTTATATCGGATATATGAAGCTGTGGCTGCGCGTGAGTTCTATGCTGTGGGATCGGAAGTAGAGTACTTCTGGTACCAGTCGGGCGGGGCTTGGGCAGCGCATCGGATACCAGATCCCTGTGATGTTGACCCCGTGCGGTATGCCATTTTGGCGTGTATCGCGGAGGAACTAGCGCGAGCATTCAACTGGCGCATGAGCTTGGGCTTGCGACGCGATAAAAGCAAGCACATATATCGGAAAACCTTCGAGGACCCTCTGCCGTCTTTCACCCCGGAGACTGCCCCGAGCTGGACTAGGAGGGTGGCTCCGATCGATGTGGAGTGGATCGCCAACCTTCCAGCGAATTTCCTAGACTCTGCAGGCCGGCTCGTGCTCGAAGAAGGGGGTGAGAATCCCATCTTCGCGCAGAGGAATATTATCATCGACACCGGCCACTTCTACACTGTCTAGAGCGAGCGTATAAGGGAAGCGCCGTGTTTATATCAGGAAAGGGCCTCCTCATTATATTGCTCTCGATAAGCAGTAGCGATTTCATTCATTGTTGTCTGGTCGGGTGGTGTCTCAAATGAGCAGATATTCAGGGTTCGGATATACTCTCTATCCAAGGGCGCTTCATTCTGCGTCCGCAGATGCTTCAGGATCGCCAGCACGTCGGCGATATCAGACGCTCGCTTTGTATGTCCGCTGCTGTTATGGATGCGACGTAGCTTCCGCTCGAGCGCCCATTCCAACGGCACCGCAAGAACCCTGAGATGTGTCCCTTCCCACAGAACAATATTCTGCTCCTCGGCGCGCTCGAACAGGAGTTGCCGGAACTGATCCGGCACGAAGAAGGCGAGTTCCTCGTTTACCCAGTCGTCGATGAACCCCAGGCGTCGGGCCGCTCTGGTGACCGCATTCTGTAAAGGCTTTTTGATGTCATTATCATGCGCCCATTGCGGCTCTAGGAGATAGTCTATGTCGCCAGTGCTTTCTCGATTCCGGAAAAAGTTTGTCGCGAGGAACCCCCCAGTCGAGATGAGGGTAATAGGTGCGAATGCAATGAGCCAGTCATCCTTGCCCATCTCGTTGTCCAGAACCTCGAGGCCTAGTCAAAAGCCAACTTTGGTATTAGTATTTGTCGGTTGTCAGATGCTATCGAGGAATTTCCACACCTTGCCTAAAGTCTTCAGCCCCAAACCTGTCCTTCTCCCTTTCCATGGGTAATCCTCGGTTGTTGGCCCTACAAATGCAAAAACAGTACCCAGTAAACTTCTAACCTTGTATACTCAGGGATTCGGGGTTATATCCTCACTGTCAGGACAGGAGATTGATAAACAGGTTCTTGTCTTCGCATGATCTGCCGTGTGCAGGATGATTCTCGACAGTTCTAGGCTGCTTCTTGCAGATAAGCCTCTCACGGCCGAGACCTTCCAAAGATACCCCGCCCCAACCCTGCACTTCCTGCACGCCGCTTAAATAGTCATCCCACAGCTGGCGTGTTTGCCTGGTGCGTCTAGGTGTGGCTATTTGTACTGATGGCCCGTGAAAGAGGGCCTGGTTTCGCCCCAAGGGTCAGATGATGGGGCCATTTGGCTTGTTCCTATGCTTGTGTCCTTGTTCCGTCTATCCTTGGTATACCGTTCGACCCATTAAGCCTGGCCGAGACGATTAGACAAAGATACCTATTCCATTTCCAGTCTCATTGTTAAAGTTATCAGATTATCAGACTGGCAGGCCTGTCATATGAACGTGCCTTCAGCCATTACGGTAGCTGTGCAGATCCCCGTCCGACATGAACTTCTTTCGGCCCCTCTGTGGATTTCCCGCACTGCCGGGCCCGTCCGTTCAGCCAGCTCTGTTTAACCAAGCCCTCTTGGTCCTAGTCGTATGCGACAAGCCTATACTCGACCGCCGAAATCCTGTCTGCCCATTGCACATGGTAATGAAAACGGGTGAGGTGCTGATAATACAAAAGTCCAGCCCGACCGCTCTTTCATATTGAACGTTGACACCCCGAAGCCGGGGGAAAATGCAGAACTGTATTCTGTTTGAAGTGGAAGGTAGAAACTCGAGGTTACCTAGCTACGTAAAGCTGTGATTTTATTAGCAGAAGCCGGTTGAATGAGGGAATTACCGAGTCATTTCCAGTGGTGAAAATGTTTTCACCCAAGGCTATCAAAAGTACTACACCCCTACAACAACCTTGGCAATCATAAGTAACGATAAATTAGTGATCAGAATAAGGACTAGCAGATAGTCACAAACAGCAATTTGGCTATGTGAATAGATGTCCCTCATCTCAGAGATCTTTAAGAATGGAATGAATCCATCTCGAAATGACATGGATTCCACTTCAAAGGCTTTGAAACGAACCCCCTGGTCACTCTCGACAGCAAGTTCGAGATTTCTGCCACCTTTGTTTCATGTAGACAGTGTATAGCTGTACATGCTGAGTCCAATCGCTGGTGGGGCTCCATTGATCGTTTATATTTTTTGCGAAGTCTTCTTGTTGCAGATCACAGGCAGCGGATGTCGTACCAATCCCACCCTTCCTCCCATTCCCCTATTTTCTCATTTATTCCTCAAGCTTTCTCACTGTTGGATCCCACGCACAAGGACTGTATTCATCTGTCTCCAGTTCCTGAACCTCCTCGGGCGTCAGCTTGAAGTCATAGACATCCGCATTAGCAATAATGCGTGATGGGGTAACACTCTTCGGCAACGGAATAAACCCCTTGTCCAGACTCCAACGAATGAGAACTTGGGCAGGCGTTTTGTTATACTTCTCTGCCAACTTCTTGACCGATGGCTCTTCGAAGCGGGCTCCGCGCACAATGGGTGCGAAAGCTTGGAGAGCAACGCCATGTTTAGTACACCAGTCGACGATGTCTTTCCGAGCAAGCCAAGGATGCAGTTCGACCTGGTTGATACTGATAACGCCTCCTTTGCCCTTGCCGCCACGCTCGGCTTCAAGCTCGCGTATATGTTGCTCGAGCTCGTCCAGGTGATGCACGCCATAGTTGCTGACACCGATCGAGCGCACTTTACCAGCCTCAACGGCCTCGACCAACTTAAAGATCCATATGTCAATAGGGGTAATTAGACTCATAATGAGTAAGAGCTTGCGTACCGCTTTCCATGCACCCTTGCGATTCTCGGAGCCACCCATTGGCTTGTGGAGAAGCATCAGGTCAATGTACTCGAGCTTTGTCAGGTTAAGGGTCTCCTCGACGGTTGCCTTGGCTTCATCATAGCTAATATTGATGACTTTGGACGTGAAGAATATCTGATCGCGTGGGATGGAAGAGCCGCGAATCGCGCTGCCACAGCCAGCTTCATTCTTGTACACCGCTGCAGAATCAATCTGTATCGGGCGTCAGCAATTGGCAGATGAGATTGGGCACTTCAATTTCGGTCCTCATCGGAGTACCTACATGGCGATAGCCAGCTTTGAGCGCTTCGAGGCAGCATCGCTCCGTCTCTTCTGGGGGACTGCTCGGGATCGCGTTAGCTCTGGTGGGGTTCGATAATGTGGAGGTTGCCAGGTTGTTACGTTTTGTAGACCTGGATTCATTTAGCTTTCAACGCTGAATTAATGATTGAAGATTGAGGATTACTCACTCCAAAGCCAAGACGGGGAATCTCGTAGCCGCTGGCTAGCTTTATGGTTGAATTAATTGTGGTGGCCATCCTTCGCATGGATTCGGTCGATGGAAAAAGTTGATATGTGAAAAAAAGGAGTGACGTGATGGGTTGTTTGGAGACCCTTTATAATTCGGCCCACATACACGTCAGCGACCATATTGGTCGGGGATAATCCAGTTTCCTCCGTTTAACTCCTCCAACATTTTTGTTCCCAAATTATCGTATCTGTGGGTGGTTGATTCCTGTGCTGTTCGGCGGTTCGAGCACTTTGCGCACAAGGTTTGGTGCTCGGGATTAGCAACCAGCCTGCTTGTAAAGGCAAGTCCGAGGTTCAAATTGAAGTAACGCCCGGACCTTCGTTGATTATTATCAACAAATTGCGTCTTGCTGTAAAGCACCGGAAGATAACGATTTATTTTTTCTCTTGGGAGTACGGAGTATATACTTCCCTCCTATAATTTTTATCAATTGCGGACTTTCATTTTTCTTGAGCTGTTCGCTGGTTGGGAGACTGTCGCGTTCTTTGCCACAAACGAACAACAGTACGGAGTACAGAGCTTAAACACGCTTAAAAAAGCTTCAGTTGAATTGCCCAATTAATGGCTTAATCCACCATCTGATTTGGCAAGCTTCCTGCCAGGTACAATGTCGCAGTCAACCAGCCATTATGAGGGGACAGCATCAAGAAAGTCAGGTCTTCAGGCTTGTACACCCCACTGGGCCCACAAGGCTCGTATGGGTGGGTACTGTACAGTAAGTGAAGTACTACAGCTGGGTTGGCGCCTACAAGCCACCAAACTTCAGCTTTGGGGGCCAAATATTCCGTTACAGGCCCGAAGGCGTGGCGTGGTACTGGTGGAGTTTGTTGCTGGTGAATACTTTACATGGATTTTGTAGACAAGATCATGGCCTCGAAATTTATTCTACGGCTCTGTCAGCTATGTGAGCCTTCTACGTCTTTTGAGGCCCTGGATAATGGATCTCTTGCAGACCATTCTCTCTAAGAGGAAAAAGACCCGCCTGGTGCGCCACGACCACTGTTCGTGGCCGACGAAAAGCAACAGACCGAACACTCTAGGCACCTGCGAAGTTCGACGGGCACTTTGGTTGGAGTCTGACTGGACTATCAATCTCAACGGTTCTTGCTCTAGATACTATCAAGACTCTGGTCTTGTTAAACTACGGGTCTGGCTGCCAAGCTCGTCGGCAGTTTAATATCTAACCCCCTCAGTATTATGAGCTTAAAATCTCACCCAGACAAGGCAGTTTGAGACTTGGGGATGCGAGGAGTCATGAAAGAGGGAAGTGGACCCTTAAGAGAGCTTGAAAGGGTCAGGGAATACGACTGGGTGCATTCTTGGCATAGCCCGAGCCGCAGCTCAAATACCCATAGCCTCCTCGCCTGTTCTGCCTTGTACGCGGGCTGCACGATGCGCCTAGGGACGCAGAGCTCATTATCCAAGAAATGAAAAGAGAATAATTGTAAATTGTATAGGTGAGTGCGAAAGAGTCTAAAATGACCGAACTAATCAACTAAGAATTGTTGACCCATAGCTAGCTACATACTTCCTTTGAAATACTCCGTACATCATCAGTACAACGACCCAGCACCCTCTCAGCCTCAATTCAATCCGCCGTTTCGAGGGACCTCACTAGGCGGGATCAGGCAGTGCACGAAGACATAATACTGGCTCAATGGTCAAAATGATTCTCCATAGCCTGTATTTTTGACGAGTTTCGTACGCCGTACAGGTATCAGCCATAACTACGGACACACTATTTATGGTAAAGTTCAAGAACCATGTCCGACTCCGCAGTGAATTTTATTTTGAGCTTCCAATAATAATAAAGTGGAAGGCTGCCTGGTCGCGCGACGCAGTTCCTTTCAGACTTTCTCCCAACGCACATTTGCGAACACACTTCATACAAACAAAGCTGGTAGCATCACCAGTCAAACAATCCAGTCATAATGGCAACGCAAACTCCCGATAGCGAAGGTAAGTACATACCTGCCTCCCTGCGAGTTTGCGATCGAGTCAATTAACCCTTGTAGGTCTCATTCCTGTTGAGCACCACCCGACCAGCCCACAAGTCAGCCCGCTTCCCAGTTCGCCAGTCGCTCAGCCCTCCCATCAACCTCAGCAAGACACTATTGCCCAAATTAGCCCCGAGCCCATTGGCATTACCCCTTTGTCACCCCCCTCAGAACATTCAGGCACTCTGCTGCCAACCTACGAAAAGTCACGACAGGAACACGAAGCGCCTATTCCCGTTCATAACCCTCCTATCGCCCCTGAAAAGGAATACAATGGCCAGCCAGTCGAGCAAATCTCAGGGAGCTATTTCAACCAAGCTCCGGCTCACCATCCTTCTGATGTAAAGGCGTACCCGGGCCAGGCAGCCCCCCAGCAGATTCAGCAACATCCTCAGCAACAGATGTACTATACTCCCTATGGCCACCCCAGCGGATATGCGACTGCGGTTCCCTTGCATGCTCTTCAGTCGGCGCCCTGCCCGGTGGACTGCCCCGCCTGTGGTCGCCGAGAGATGACTCGAGTAGAGCCAGTGACTGGCTTGACTACACAGTGAGTTGAAATCGAATTCTCGGTGGTGGGAATAATTATGATGCTAATTTTGTTCTATAGTGGATGGGCTGCCGTTCTGTGCTTCTGCTGCTGCCTCGGATGTATCCCGTATTTGATGTCTTCGCTCAAGGATGTCGACCACTACTGTGGCGGTTGCGGTACTAAGCTTGCTTGTTGGCATAACAGCGGGCGCATTCAAGTCTTCCAAATTCCAGCAGGACAGATGCCCCCTGGAGCACCTGTGCCACAGGCTGACCAGAATGCTCCTCAGTCCCCGCCAGTTCCTCATACATACCAGTAGAGCTGAGAGTGGTGCGCTCTAATCTTATTCTTTCTTCGAAATGTTCTGTCTTTTTGTATTCTGCGCTTCCAAGCTGATACCACTCTTGTTATATTACCATCACGGCGTTTGATTGGAAGGCATTTTGCCTCGTTATTCTGGTTGAGTCCATGATTTGTTCTACATCATTGTCTTTACTACTAGGACTCATGACTTTTCTTTCGAAAGCCAATAAGTAAAGACCAAAATGCATTTAATTTAACCTTTCGTTTGTTATAGCATGATAGGGCAGGAAAGGGATTCCATGTGTTCGCGTGTGTGGCGCATGACGCCAAGACAATCCTCGTGTTCGGGGGTTGCTCAGATCCGATGATGCGGTCACCTTACCAGCCAAAATTTCTCGACACCCTATATTGCCCGACTCTTCTCACTCCGAGAGCCTGGGAATTTGGGATTTGAGGCAAGAACCCAAAGACTCTAGACACTATGATGCGCTTCATAGTCACGGCGAGCGCCGTCATCACCGGCGGCTCGGCGGTATACTTGTACCTCTTCCACCAAAGGCTGTCATCGCGCATCCAACACAAGTCGCATAGCGGAAAGCTTTCAGCGCCGTCTCCGAAGCCGGTAGAGATCGAGTCCGTTCCTGAAACTATATTTACGGATCAATATTTTGCACTCTACGATCATTCATCAAAGTCTGTGTCTCGCGACGCGCTCCCCAAGAATGTCCCCACGGACGAGCTTTTCACCAAGCTAGTCCGTCGCAACATGAACGCTTTTACTCGGTTCCCTCAAGCTTTGATGATTCGGCTTATTAGTCGAGCTCCAGACGAACAGCGGAGCTTCAAGTCGTCTCATATCTCTTCTCTGGACTTCAACCAAGGAGATCTGGTGGCTGGCGTGTATCGCGTGGTCGCGCGTACCAAGAACAAGGTGGAATTCGAGATCACGATGAAGAACATGGAATTTATCAACGGTCGGCTTGCTCTAAGTTTTCGAGAAGCTGAGAGTGAGGTGGTTTTCTCCAGTGAGACTTTGATGTGGAGACGGTCCGATGAGACTCAGGCTATGCCACTGGAAAAGCCGTTGTTGCGCTGGATGCATGAGACCGCTGCTTGGTGGTTACTTGACTCTGGTGTGAAGTACCTGATGGAGATTGAAAGTTGAGGTATTTGGGTATGCCAGTCATTTCTTCGAAGTCTGAAAGCGTGTCGTTCTCTTCCCCTTTGTTTGTGTCCTTGGCGGCCTTGCCATCAACCCTTGAGAATGACTGGGGCACTCTCAAGCTATTATTAGATCTCTTCTCTTTTTATACCATACAATGCCAATGTATTCTCATCACCTGCTTTGTCAAGGATTTCTTCTCAAGTCTTTCTAGTCATGAAAGCGACCTTTATCCTTGGTCTTTGTTATAAAGTTCGAATCAAAGACCTTGGAGAGGATAATACAATTGCTTCGTTAGCAAAGACCGCAGCAACTCTTTGTCCTCAGCTAAAAATGCCGTTGTCAATGGCTTTATACTCGTCTTTGAAAGAGTAACTTTTCCCTTCACGCCCAACGGTCGTGGTCTACTTAAGATCCAGAAATCGCTCCTAATCAACCCACAACTTTCCTCTCCATACCATCTCCAACCCTATTCTACCACAAACAAGCAATCATATAACTTCAACGCTATTTGGTGAATCCACCACAATCAACCGCTACAATGTGTCTGTACACATACCACCACTATCCCGTTTGCGGGCACATCGCTAACTGGACGATGACCAGCTGTAAGGAGTACACTAACGCTCTCCGACTTCTGAGTCGGAAAGGTCTTTCAGGTCATTGCAATCACATCCAAACCACCCATAATCTTTTTGTACAAGGTGAGTCTGACACTTGCGGTCAGTGCGATTTTGAGGTGCGCTGTGCAGCGTTCCGTCGAACTCACGACGCTTCCTCGTCCAAGACGCATCGCGAAATCGAAGGCCTGACCTCCGAGGTCCCAATCATAGAACTTTCTGGACATATGAATGTCAGCATCAGTGGCAAAGAAGAGGAGAACCACCGCCCAGTGAGCCCTCAGGAGTGTTGCAGCTGTGAATTCTGCAGTTGCTTCGCATCGCCGCTCGGCTCTGGAGTGAGACATAATGACAAGACTCCTCCCGCTAATAACGTGTCTGATATCCCGCAGTATCTCGATGATTCTTTTTATATTCCAGAGACTCCAACACATAACGGTAAAGAATTTGAGACTGAGACCATGCTCCAAATCCTTCCCAGTGAAGAGGGGGGAAACGCAGACCTTTACAAAGTTCTTCGTCAAGCATCCTCGGCAGAGGATATTTCCCCTTCTTGGGCCCAAGTAGGTGCCCGGAGAACTCGCAATTCCCTGCATGGCGTTATCTCCATTGGCATTGACAGAGCCGCTTACCCTCTGGAGCGTCTTGACACCAGAAACCCTTACGCTACAAGCTTTTTGGATCTGTCCGATGAGTCGCCGATTGACGTTCAAGCTCAACACACATACAGCCGTCCTATCAATTTGTCCTCTTCGGTCTACTTTGGCAGTGAGCCTGAGCAGACTTTTATCGATTGGTCAGATGATAGCTCCTACTCTGACCTTGAAAGCGAGGTACGGAATCCAAACAATCTCACTTTCCTTGATGATGATTCAGATGCCGATGACGATCTGGACGGTGGATGTGAACTACCAGATAAGTTTGATGAAGAATATGCGAGCACGTTCTCACCTTTAATTTTCCCTCTAGTATCCGGCAATGTTGATATGGCACTGCCATCTGTGCGAGACTCTGCGCCAGTGGCCGATCGACCAGCCACACCAATCCTTTGCCCAGCGCCTCTGAGAGTTACCAAGGGCCCTCAGTTTCTGTCTCTGAACTCCATCATTGAAGATACCTTCTATGAGGAGGCCCTTGATGAGAATACCCTCGAATTTCTTCATGCCAAGACCTATTCGACCCCTGGTGGATCTAGCCAAAGGCCCTGTGTAAGCATCAAAGAAAAAGTACTGGGTTCGCTAGGCTGAGCATCTGGGCATCTGGAAGTCATTGAATATTTTTTTTAATTCTTTTGTCAAACACATATTGATGGGAGGCATGTTCTGATTTCAATTCCTTCTATCCCATAGGTTGTTTCTCGTACTAGAATACAAATGAATTGTGGCTTTCACACAAAAACGAAGTCCTTTGTAGCTTCCGCCGTAAACTCAAAAATTGGCCCACAGTGCTCTATTATCTTGGACTCCTGTAAGAGGATTACTAGAATCCACCCGTGTGATTTGACGTTCTCATGACCTAGAGCTCTTTTTGAATGTGGGCGTCTACTCTGGGGTTCATGAGTGCCCATGCGGGTAGTAATTAACCCGAGGGAAAAGAAATTGTCGTGGATTAATGTCAAAGATGTGATTTAGTCTTTCCATTTTAGCCTAACTCTTTAGCCGGACTCCCAAGCAGCTTGTGTCCTTGGTAAACCCCAGGATGCCAAGTGTATTCCGCCACTCGGTCCGGGCGGGCAGTCGTTGTCGGACTTGGGCCGAGCATCCCACGCGGAGTCTTCCCCAGAAAAGCCCCTCATACCCCCACGTCCTGTTGTATTTCCTGTCTCTTCTCTTAGAATTGTCGCTCTTTCCTGGAAAATTCTTTTTCAGTTCAATCGTCGCTTTACTATCATGTCTAAGCCTGCTGTTGGATTTGTCGGCCTTGGAGCCATGGGCTTCGGCATGGCCAACCACCTTGTAAAGGAAGGGTACCCTGTTCACGGCTTCGACGTTTTCCCCGCTTCGGTGGAGCGCTTCAAGGCCGCTGGAGGAATTCCAGCCTCATCCCTGAAAGACTCCGCGTATGGGAAAGAGTACTACGTTTGTATGGTGGCTTCAGCTCCCCAAGTACAGAGTGTACTCTTTGGCGAGGGTGGCATTGTTTCCGGTATGTAATGGGACCTTGCGTTTGAAAATGAGAAAAGGACTGACTTCGCCTAAAGCTCTCCCTCAGAACGCGACCCTCATCCTCTGTTCAACTGTCCCTGCATCCTATGCCCAATCTGTCGCGGCTGAGCTGCAATCACTCGGTCGTGGCGACATTCAATTCATCGATGCTCCTGTCTCTGGTGGTGCTAAGCGCGCTGCTGATGGTACTTTGTCGATCATGGCTGGTGCGTCTGATGCTGCTCTAGAGAAGGGGAAGTTCCTGCTTGAAGCTATGTCCGACGCGAACAAGCTGTACCTCGTCCCTGGGGGGATTGGCGCCGGAAGCAACATGAAGATGGTTCATCAGGTGTTGGCGGGCATTCACATTCTCGGAGCTAGTGAGGCTATGGGCTTTGCTGCTCAGCTGGGTTTGGATGCGGTAAAGACTGCAGATGCTATTAAGTCGTCTGACTCATGGACGTGGATGCATGAGAATCGACTGCAGCGCATGTTGGAGGAGGATTGGCACCCCGGTGCTAGTGCTTTGACCATTATCCTCAAGGATGTGGTGAGTTTTTAAATTGGTTACTCTGTCTGTGGGGTTTGCGACTAACCCAAGGATTTCAGGGAATTATCACTACCTCTGCCCGACAGAACCAGTTCCCCACGACACTTTGCTCCACAGCCGAGCAAGTATATCTCTCTGCTTTGCTCCAGGGCTATGGCCCTGTTGACGATTCGTCCATGGTTCGCCAATACTATTCAGAGCCAATCACTAAAGTTACCAACACCAAGTCCACCGAGGACAACGCCGAAGCCCTACAGCTCGTGCTTGATGTTATGCAATTGACCAACCTTGTGGCCGCAGCAGAAGCTATTGCATTTGCCCGCCACCTTAATGTTGATCTTAAGCAATTCTTCACTCTTGTCAGCGATGCCGCAGGTGCTAGCCGGCAGTTCATGACTAGGGGTCTGGAGATGATCGAGGGTCGCATCGGACAGAACTCAGAGACTGTCAATGATGTTATCAGCCGCCTGGAGAAGGGTGTACAGAAGGCACGCGACCTGCACTGCCCATTGAATCTAGGCAATGCGGCTATGAATGTCCTTCTTATGGCTAAGCGGGCAGGACTCGGTGCTGAAGGCAGTACTAGTGTGATCAAGGTGTTTGGAATTTAGTGTAGATATCCCCCATATATTGTCTATAGTCATTCTTTGCATACTCTCAATTTCATTTGGCTCGTTAAATCAAATCCTTCATCTTCCAAACTTGTACCTCCTCCATTGCGTCCACCCTCTGCTCGTTTACCTCTTTGCAGCCCCTTTGCGGCCTTGGAATCCACTCATCCGGGATCTATGCCCGGACTGACCAGAAAGCTCTCGGCCGATCCCTGTTTCGGCTGAATTGGACCCTGAAATAGTGGGGGTGGGGGTAATTTGGCCGCGGTCAACTTGACGTAACGCGCCCATCTCGGGCCTTCGCCGAGGGCTCGGACAACATGCGATTTCCCCCCAACACTCGGACTGAACGGCGACTCGTATATAACAGCGTGGGGGAAATTCCTGCTGTAGTTCTATGATAGATTACCCCTCATTCATCTCTTCTTCCTAATCCTCCTCCTCCATCCCACCCCTCCAAGCCGCAATGCCTCTCACAGACAACCGCGCCCTGCGCATCCTCGACCATGCCGCTGACAACCACTATGGCGTGCCCGCAATGTGCTGCTACAACGTGGAGGGCATTTTGGCAACGGTTCGAGCAGCAGAAGCCAAGCGCTCACCGGCTATGATTCTTCTCTTCCCTTGGGCTGTGCACTATGCCGACGGTATTCTTGTGCACGCGGCTGCAGAGGCCGCTCGCAACGCCTCGGTCCCCGTCACCGTGCACATGGACCACGCCCAAACTCCCGAGATTATTCGCCGGGCAGTCGACCTCGGTGGGTTCGACAGTATCATGGTGGACATGTCCCACTACGAAAAGGCCGAGAACTTGGCATTGACCCGCGAGTTGGTGGAGTATTGCCATGCGCGGGGTATCGCGACGGAAGCGGAGCCGGGGCGCATCGAGGGCGGCGAGGACGGAGTGGCCGATACGGTGGATCTTGAGGGTCTTTTGACGACACCTGAAGAGAGTCAGGAGTTTGTGGACACTGGCATTGACTGGTTGGCTCCGGCTTTCGGTAATGTTCACGGTGAGTACGGGCCTCGCGGTATCCAGTTGGAGTATGACCGACTGCAATCGATCAACAATGCCGTGGGCAAGAAGGTGCGCCTGGTGCTGCACGGTGCAGATCCGTTCACCAAGGAGATCTTCCAAAAGTGCATTGATTGTGGAGTGTCCAAGATCAATATCAACAAGGTTTTGAACAATGAGTACATCAAGGTACAGCAAGAAAAGGCCGGCAAAGTTCCTTTGACGACTCTGTTGGAAGAGGCCACGAATGAAATGCAGAAGGCGGTTGAGAGATGCATGGATATGCTGGGCGCTACTGGAAGATACCCCTGAAAGATGATGAGACCATGTTGAACAACGAGTGTTTATTTGAAATAGAATTGTATTCAGACTATTCAATCTGGCTATATTTAAGGAATAGATGCCTGTGAACCCAGTTCCAACTCCAACTCCGACGCCTTTTCAATTGAAATTTCTTGGATATCAATAACCCCCCGAGAAAAGTAAGCCCTTCCATATCCTTTCATGGATATGTTCAAATACAAGAGATGCAGAGCGAGGTGAAGCATAAGCCACGGAAGTTTAGAACAGGCCAGCAAGTTTGGAGAAAATGCCACCCAGGACGGGAACCTGGTTCAGCATGCTAGTAGAATCGTCGACGGCCTGTGCGCTAGGCGAAGGGGTAGCCGAGCTAGATGGAGTAGCATGCATAACGCTGGAGCTTGCAGCCATGGAAGCAAGATGCTGCTCGTGGATGTTTGCAGAGTGGGTTTTAGGCTTGGATACCGTAATGGAGGTCGGGGCTGGGGCCTTTACGCTGGGGCTAGTCACAAAGCTAGAGGGCTTGGTGATGGTCGTCTGCACAGCGGATTGCACAGGCATGGGGTTGATGGTGACGGGCGCCATCTCAATGGGCATAGACTCGATGACGGGGGTGGCCTGAGAGATCAATGGAGCCATGGACGAAGAAACGGGCATGGATACCATGATTGACATAGAGGACGAATACTCATACACTGCAGAAAATGCTGGGCTTGGCTTGACATGTGCAATGCCCGACGACGTGGACGATGGAACACCATACTCGGTGATTTCAGGAATGAGATTGTTCAGAGCAGGGTCTGAGGGCTGCGACACGGGCGCATCAAATTCCTGATTGTCGTCGCTTGCAGGTTTGGGAGCGGCAGGCTTTGGCTCAACGGGCTTAGGCTGAACAGGCTGGTTGTACGCACCAGCCTGCGCCGATTCGACAGCTTGCATAGCCGCCATATAAGCAGGCACTGGATTGGACATGCCATCATCATCTTCCACACTGGAGCTTCCAGAGGGCATGAAAGGGAAGCTGCCTTCAAAAGGGTTGCCATCTGCCTTTGGCATATTCGGCACGGCAGCGGCGCCCATGGCGAAGACCGCCAGAGAAACGTACGAAGTGTGCATAATGAAAGACTTGAAAGGACAGGAATAACCTCTCTGACTGGGAAAAACCAAGGAGCGTAGAAGGTCGGAAAGAGGATTTGCAATCAGGAGTGAAGGGCGTGCAGGCTTTTATGTCGCGTTTGCCGAGAATGGCGAGATTGCTGATCGTCGTTTTGTTGTGATCTTGTGTCGACAGCGTTCTCCATGCCGGACACAAGCGCATTGATAAAGATCATCGTCGCGTCTAAAGGATGACGAGGGCAGCATAGCATAACGAGGACAGCATAGCATAAGGGGCGGGCAAGCCCTCCCGGTATGGAGAATTAAGGACGTGGTTGGAATTTAGAGACACGTCCACGAATCACAAGCGATATCTCTGGAATGATCAACGATAAAGGTTACCTGTCAAGGCTCCGTGGTGGTTGGAGCTTGGTATAAACAGCGGGCTTTCTTCTTGACAGGACGCCCGCATTTCTGGGAGTCGAGTTCTTGGGTGTGGATGGCGAGCACAATGTACACCAAGCAGCAAGATAGTGGAAAAGGAGACTGGATACTGGCGAAGACGCATAGTTCACACAAATGATAGCCACATGTAACACCGATCGCTGTTTCCTCGCGTGGGAATCACGAAGTCAAACTTTGTAAAGTTCTGAACATAGTCCGACCTATATAGCGGGCCCCGGAAGGGTGCCTGACGGAGATATCTCATCCTGTCTTGACATTTACATTAACTCACTGGACTCCTGGGAATGTTTACTCAATTATTGGTACAATAGCATTTATTGGAATTAGGGTTAAGAATATTCAGGCACGACGGGGCTCATTCTTCCAGCAACCCTGGGCAACCCCTTGCATTGCCAGCCTCCCTAGCTTGCACGCCCGTAGGTTATTCCGCGAGAAATTTCACTGGCCATACGGTACTTAGTAACTAACTATGTTAGTTACTAACTAGTCATTATTTGTCTCCTGCCGCCTTCATCTTTTCTGTGTTTTGACCTGGACAAATTTGCAATCCAATCCGGTCAAATCCAGATGTGACAGCGCGGCGCCCTTGATTTAGCGCCTATCAAAGTGATGGATTATTTTAAGCATTTTCGAGGAATCTACGGATTATCTAAGCCTCCCTTAGCCATTTTCAAGGCAAACTTGGCAGTATGAGCTTGTCAGGCATTCTGAACCTTCTCTTATCACAACCGAAAAGTAAGTAATTAAGTGGAAATCGCACCATTGCGCTTCTAGTCCCAAAGGAAGCAGTTGTAGATGAGCTGACCAGGTCTCATTGTAGAAGCAATACATGGAAAACCTAGGCATGGAAATAGCAAATATTTGGATTCAATATAGACTTTGATTCCAATTACCGTCCTGGTTTTTCGTAATTGTACGAAGCTCTATGCTGCACTATGCAGAAGTAAAATTGAATTAACATGATTAATCGAGTAAGCCACTGTAGTATCTAACAGCTGCTGACTATATGTGCTTTATAGAGCTCGACCATGTTCAGTAAATGTTAATTGAAGAGATTGACTAGCCGCTGTGAGGTACCTTCTGTAGGTAGTGTTTAACGCGTACGCAAGTAGCCGGGCCAGTTGAATATATATTTCCTAACCGGAGGGACTGACCTGTATAGAGCTCATACCTATGGTACTTGATTATTGTGAAATCACATGTGATTTATTGACATAATGGAAATTCACACATACTAGACCCAGCTTGTTAAAGCAGAATCATCTATATTCCTGTTTAATCACAAAGGAAAGCAGTGTAAAAAATGATTGCAGACTCCCCTCGGACGATGCGGCTAATGGACCTTCGGCAAAGCCGGCCCTGATGCTTCCGAGACCGATGGATTACGTGACCAAATCCTTTCTAGGGGAATCCACTGTCGACTGTCGACTGTCGTGTCGCGGTCGACATACATCATGTTCCAATGCTCGCAGTGCGATAAAGCATACCAAAGAAAGACGCATTTGTTGCGCCATGAGACCACACGTAAATCGCCCGAGATAGATTACCCTGGAGCTCTGAGCTAACACAGTAATAGATAACTCCCACCTGACTTCCAGCTGCCCTTTTTGCAGTAAATCATTTCAGAAACCGTAGGTCGATCTATTTCATGCCAGGCTAAAAAAGCATTGCTGAATCCAAAAAGGGAAGTCACTCGAAGGCATAGCAAGATATGCGCCAAAAAAAAAATCAGCCGCTGCCTCCTCCAGCTCGACCTGGCAGGAAGCGGCTGTCTTGTCAGGCATGTTTCTCAGCAAAAGCAGCTTGCGATCGAGGCTTCCCATGCTCCCGTTGCAAGTCCTTTGGGAGGACATGCAGCTTCGAAGTATCTCCTGACACTCCTTGCTCTGCACTCGTCTCTCCTTCAACGACCCCTTCACCATTAATCAAAACTCCGCGGAAAATGACAAATTCAGGGGCACCATTTTCATTTCTTCGGCACTTTGCCAGCCCATCGGTTCACAAAGATAGGCTTGCAATCGGAGAGACCGCAAAATACTCCATTCGCAGAAACCTCGATAGTCTGTATTCGCAACTTGAAGATGCACTGGTGCCTGCAGATCCGCTGGCGGCGTTTGCAGAGAATCTTCCGATGCCCGAATTCTCCACACAACCTGCGTCATCCACAGACTACCTTCTCTTTGAATACCCGTCTGAAGTTCTATTTCCATCGAAGCTGTCCAATCAACTCACTCAGTTGATAACTGAGCTGGCCGAAACATCAAAATCAATGATTAACGAACCAGATAATTTCCAGCAACCACTCGACATCATGGAGTTGACTGCGATGCTGAGCGTATCTAATATTTCAGCTTTCATATCGGCTTTCTTCCAGTCTCTGCACTGGCACTTGCCGATCGTTCATTTCCCAACATTTGACCCCGGCAATATTTCGAATCCACTGCTGCTGGCTATTTCGTTGGCTGGTGCTGCGTATAGCCTCCCTATGGACAATACGAATTTCTCCCCGTGGATTTTTGACGTGGGAGAGGAGTACATATTCCGGAAAATTGCGAATTCGTCGACTTTATCCTCTCCGAAAGATCTTACACATCTAATGCCTACCGTGCAGTTGATACAAAGCGCTCTTATCATGGAGATGCTTCAATTTGGACGAGATGATATGCAAACCAGACGTCGCATTCGTATCATCCGACACCCCTGCTTGGTCTCGGCGATAAGATCCTTTGGAATTCTTAAATTGAAGCGAAGCACGGCTCCAAAGATCTGTGACGACCGGACATGGCGAATGTTGGTGGCGGAGGAGATGTGCATCAGGTAAGTCTCAATGTTTGCTTCCCTATTCCGCATTTTAAGCTTATTATTCTCGAGAATTGCATGTTGGGTCTTCCTGGCTGATGGTTTTCTCACTGTATGTTTCAAAAATCATCCATCATTATCGGTTTTTGAGATGGACTGTCATTTCGCCTGGAGGGCTGAGCTATGGGAAGCTGAGGGCGCCTCGTCTTTCAGTGCGATTGCCGCGTCCCATTCAAGAGACACGCCTCTCCCTCCTCTGTGTGAGGTGGTGGAACAATTACTTGAAACTCCCGAAGACGCCGGCCCAATACCCTGGAGTTCATCTCTATCTCCCGAAGATCTTCTAATTCTCATATACGGTAAGTAAAGTATCTTTCCTAGAAAGGCAACCTGATAGCTGACGTTATTGTCCTAGCTATAAACTCCCTCGCATTTCAGGCCAGGTCGGGTCTACTCAAATATCTCTCACTGGAAACGATCAGTCGAGCTTCCAATAATTGGAAACGAATTTGGGATTCGGCCGTTGGTTCATTGGAAAAAGAACAATTATTACACCTCGGCTACCCTAAACATGCCGAAGAACTTTGGTGGCTTTTGAATGCTACGCTGGAAGTTGCCAACAAGCATGACAAGAACTTTCCATATCTTGACAACACCGCGACTGATGAGCTAGGGAGCTTGAATGAGTTCCTACAGTGGTGTTATCGGAGCGCCCCGTGAAGTTATGAATTAATGATTATTGCGATCTAAATATGTACAGATCATAACCGAACCTAGACTGTTGATTCGTCACATCCTCAGTCATCTTTGCCAACGATCTTCCCGGTATGATTTTGATCCCGCATGAATGTATCTTCCTCAGGCTTCCGGTATGTACCACCAAGTCGATCCCAGATGGTGATGTATTGGCCATAATTATAGTTGAAGTAAAGGTGGTGCATTGTGTGGCACGCTGCACCGTTGATGATCTCGGACGTTGAAAGGTACTCGGCATCGTCTATTTCCTGTTAGATGGGACTAAGGAGATCAAGGATGAGAGCCACTCACGAATTAGCACAGTCCAAACAGTGACGAATATGAAGAGGCCCAAGTATGCAACCTTCTGTAAGGGAAAAAGGAAGGGGAAGATATGATATGGCAGACTTTGTGACCATCCATCCAGAGGATGGAATGCATAGCTCGCGAAAGGAGTCGGAACTACCCATTTGTGATGTGGCTTATGTAGCCATCGATAAACAAGCGGATGATGCAGCCCACGGTGGATCCAATAGATCCCACTGTCCGTAAAGCAGATGAAGAGCGGGTATTGCAGCCAGTTGTATCCAGGGAATGGAGCCTCTCTGGCGAAATTGTAGAGTTTCGACCATCCGCGCACCTCCGCAAGGAAAAGAGGCGCTGTGAGGATTGCCATAACAGGCATTGCTGATAAGCCTTGTTTGATCTCTTGCTGAATTTGGTTGGGAAGGTATCGGGGGTGCTGGAGAAGGCGCTTGTCATACACTGTGTGGTACATTATGAAGCTGCCGATAAGGTACATTGCTAGACCGAAGAACCTATGAAGAAATTCGATTGTTAAATAGTGTATAATTTCCAGTTCGCGGCTGATACTTACCAAGTCATCAGAAATAGCGATACTGTTTGTCTCGCCATGTTGTCTCGCTTCAATAGGCTGGCTTCCGCCCAAGAAGATGGCTCCAAGGGAAAATAAACCTTTACATGTTGGTTCAAGAAATCTGAATTGATGGACCCAGCACCTGCCTTGCCATCAGGTAGTATTGCTGCATAGAGTCGATCAAATACGAACGTGTTGAGAACATCAAGTAGAACGTCCATGACAAGGAATGGTGGTAGTGCTGTTCAGTGCTTTCATTCAAGCCCTCTGGAGCCCGGATGATTGATCCGTCTTATATACACACAAGATCGACAGGCGGGAAAACCCTACATGGGCTATACCTACCAATAGTCTCTCTATGAGAATAAGACCTGCTCAGGGAATACCCACCCGCCCCTGATGAGCAGGCGAAAGCCTACACGGGCAAACCCTACCCGGTCGGGATATACCTACACGGCGAATACCTACCTCAGACCACGTTGGTTTACAGGACATGTCTTGAAGATCTAATATCAAGAGGATCAAGTGAATCCAATGTCCTACATAAAGTACTGTTAGGGGCTGCTTGTGGTCTGCCTCGGACGGATCGTCCGCCTTCCAAGTGAGTCGACCTTCTCGTATGATTCACCCATGAAAGAGAGTAAGTGGTATGATGCATTAGCCAATATTCAGAAGATGATCCCCCCTCGCTAGGAAATACATCGAGAGTATTCTTCTCCTTGGGTGTCGTTACTATCTCACCATCTGTACCCTGAATTTCAGCAACAGAAAGTGATCGTTCAGCGCAGCTTGCACGCCGATCCCAAAGAAATTACGACATAGTCTCTATATCCGTGTCTTTCGATATCTACCGGCTTATCCCTCGGCAATTTAGTAACTAGAAGGGCTCCAAGGGAATTGTGGTAACAAAACTGCTGTATGTATCAGATATCGCCAAATATCATATTCACCTCGGTCAACACTGCCGCATTCCTAACTTTCTCTGTTTCTTTCAGGTGCATGATTGAAGGCGAAAGCCACATCGGTAACCATTATTACTCAATTATTTAATCCTCCACAATACCGGTAATGATTGCTTTCACCCCGAAGTACCCAGATTTGGGTAAGCCGACGCCCTGTTCACGGTAGACGGCCAAGTCCTCAATGGTAGTCTCGAAAGGTACAAAGTCAAAGCGCCGCACAATGTGAGCCAGGGTCATATAAATTTCCGCATAAGCAAGACTGGACACCAATTAGTAAATTTCGACAACACTAGGAGAATGAAAATGTGCAAACTCACTTGATTCCCAAACACTGCCTACTGCCCTTGGTAAATGCGACAATGAATCGGCCAAGATGCTCGCCTTTCTCTGCAGCATGAACCCACCGCTCTGGAGCAAACTTTTCAGGGTCAGGGAAAAGAGTCGTGTCCATGTGTACAAAATAGTTTGACTGGCTGACAGGAGTCTGAGGATAGTCAGTATATTGAATTGAACCTGAAGTGTAATACTCGCATCCTCTCAGAAAAACTGCTAACTTACCTCAGCTGGAATAACCCAATTCTTGTAGAACATAGGCTCAGTAGGTGAAATCCTAGCTAGACGAGCGGTCATGCCATGACTGAGACGGAGACCTTCGTTAACGGCACCAGTCTAAAGCAACAATTAGGATGAATGTACTCCGTACCCTCGAAAAAGTCCTCGGGATCATCGCAACTCTTACCAGATACGGCAGCTTCTCCAGATCAGTCCATGAGGCCTTAGACTGAGGAGTCTTCAGCACAGTTCTCAACTCCTCTCGCAATTTCAACACCATCTCCATATTATTCGTCAGATGAAACATAGACACTGCAATAGCCCGGGCAGTAGTTTCCGTGCCGGCCCCGAGTAGCAACGCAGATTCGTCCTCTAACCGATCTAGCGTTTTTTCATGAGGCGGCACATTCGGACTCACCAAGGCGTCGAATATAGTATCGTCCGTAGACGAATCGGAGTTTTTAGCCGACTTCTTATGGAGAGCATCCTGGGCTTGCTGGCGCAATCTAGCTTTGACGTCGAACAAGCTCGCCATTTGCGGTTGTATCCAGAGAACGACTGCCGGCGGGGCGGCTAGGAAGACGGTGATCAGGAAAGGGAAGAAGCGGTTAATATGGAACATGTTCATCAACCCGGCGACTGCATCGACGAGGTCATTGCTCTGTGCGCTGTTAGGGTTATCTAGATAGCCGTAGCTCCAGCCGTAGCAATAATACGTGATCACGTCTGCGGTAAGGGCCGCGAAGTCCAGCTGTAAGTGAAGGACTGTCGATTGACGGTAAGCGTTTTCGAATCGGTGGACCAATTGATCCACTTTCTGATGAATGTACGGTGTCAGATTGGCTATAGACCGCTTTGAGAAGTAATTGCTCAAGTAACTTCGACGTAGACGGTGATGGTCATGATTGACAGTTCCGACTAGAGAGTTCGGTGCCTCGAAGGCTACGGCATACATGGGATCTTTGGCTCGTTTACGGGACGAGCCAGCGTGGATGATGTCGTAGTAGGATGGATCTTTGATGTGTAATTCACGGGGGTTGATGCGGACGATGGGACCTGTACATGGGTGTTAGTCGCTCCCAGTCAATCTATCTGCGATTGATAACGCAGGTTCTTTTTCATTTGATCAGCTGGCTTTGATGTACCATATTTTTCATGCATGCGCTCTATTTCCCAAATATACATGCCGCCCTTGATAACGTCATAGTAGAATTCGTAGAGAAACGTGGCTGCTGCTAGCTTAGGACCAGGGAATCCTGCCAGCGGATGGGCGTACAGTCGATGGATGATTGTGAGCAAACCCAGAACTAGGGCAGTTGCCCCAACAAGAAAGACAAGGACTGAGTTGTCCATGATACTGCATCTACACCTGTCCCAAAAGCTTCGTGGACAAGACCTGCTGGGGCCAATATCACGGATGAAGTGGCAACGAAGATTGTAAGGAGAGTGAAGAAAACAGAGGAATGAGGAGGGGTATATCCATCGCCCATAAGATAACCCACAGGGGTTTGGACCAGACTCGACCTGATGGGACTATATGGAGTCTCTGGCTGTGACTGGCTACATGCCTTCGTGATATTGCATCTGGGGGCTGTGGACCCATCCCTATATGAAAGCAATCATTCTATAACACAGCAATCACGAACCCGCACGAACCCTGCAGACCCTGTACTAGTCCCTGGAAAGAGACTACTGACTCGAGAAGCGACTTGCATGTCAAATAACCCTTCGTACAGAGTGTTTGCTTTCCATGATCACGGCTAGTCCCGCAATCAAATTTGGAGCGTGTGATGGGGTAAAAAGAAGGCACGGCCAATCATGCATACTGGATCCACAGCTGATGGACTGGTTATGCCAGTCACCGAGGCGCCGTTGGCTATAAAAATCATGTGAGCGAGCGAGCACTAGTGACCTATGCAGGGTGACCGATATTTAGAAAAAGCAACGCCACGAGGAGCATTTCTTTATTGACGCCGAATGATAGCTGATCCTTGAACCCTTTGCGGCCTAAAGGAACCGATTGACTCGTGGGTAAGTAAGCGGCCCCTAACAGATCACGTGTTGATTCATCCTCAACCGTCAGGCCATAAATGGAAAACAAATAGCCGCGGAAGTCGCGTGGGTGGGCAAGCTGTTGCAACAATAACGGCGGCCAGGGGAGGTTAAACGACAGGTAAAATTAAGATCTTCGATGATTTCTAGATCTTATCAGATCGACACTCGCCAATTGGTGGGGAGCAAGGGTAGTTATGCTAGGCGACAGAGAACAGAGAACCGGCAAGGCCAAGATTTCATATAGCCGAATCAAATGTTCTGACCACCCAAGTTTCATGCACAAGCCGATCAATCTGAATAATCATGAGTGCATTCATGTAAGAATCAAATTTCCACAATATACACCTATTGAGACATCCGGAACAGATCGAGAGAGAAAAAAAATGGTTAAGATAGTAAACAAGGATAACAGATGAAAAGAGGCTGGCAAAGACATAGGGACAGAAAGGAAAAAATGAGGATCTCCAACTCCGTTTTTATATCCAGATCTAAGCGGCCAGGATCTTCTTAGTCTCGGCGATGGCACGGCCGGGGTTCAGACCCTTGGGGCAGGTCCGTGTGCAGTTGAGGATGGTGTGGCAACGGTACACGCTCATGCTGTTGTCGAGAGCGGCCTTGCGCTCGGCGGTCTTCTCGTCACGAGAGTCAACCAGCCAGCGGTAGGACTGGAGCAGGATGGCGGGGCCCAGGTACTCCTCGCTGTTCCACCAGTATGAGGGGCAGGAGGTCGAGCAGCAGGCGCACAGAATGCACTCGTAAAGACCGTCGAGCTTCTTGCGGTCCGCAGGACTTTGGCGGTTCTCAAGACCCTACAGAGTCCAATTGATTAGTATCACAGGAAGGAGCACGGAGGCAGACCGTTCGGAAGGATAACTCACGTCAGGGCTGGGGGTATCACGCTGGAGGTAGGGCTTGATCGACTTGTATTGCTTGTAGAAGAGGGTCAAATCGGGAACGAGATCCTTGACGACGAAGGTGTGAGGCAGAGGGTAGATGCGAGACTCCTTGGCGGTGTCGGTAGGGATACGGCCTAATTGTGAAGTCAGTCATTCTGTGCGCTTACAAAATCGAATTGGCCTTGAATTGGCCCGTGGGGATCCAAGCACATACACAAGCAGGCCAAGGTGTTGACACCGTCAATGTTCATGGCGCAAGAACCGCAGATACCCTCACGACAGGAACGGCGGAAGGTCAGAGTCGGGTCGATCTCGTTCTTGATACGGATGAGCGCATCCAGCATCATGGGACCGGTCTTGTTGAGGTCGAGCTGGTAGCTCTGCATGGTGGGCTTCTCGGTCGGGGTGTCCGGGTTCCAGCGGTAGACCTTGAAGGTCTTCATGTTGGGGTTCTCGGAGGCGGCAGGGTCGACAGTCTTAGCCTCAACGGTCGCATAGGAGCGAGCGAAGCTGGCGGGCCGGAACAGCGGCCGCGACGCAGCGAAGAGGCGGGAGGTAGTGCGGAGGGAGGCCATGGCGGGCGAATGGAGAGAGTGTGAAAATGTGAAGTTCCGCCCGTGGGGGACTTGGGTCGAAGCAGACGATCTCAAAGCACGTCGGACAATAGCGACGTGAGAAGAGAGGAGAGGATCAAAATGGAGGCGGGAGCCGGGGTTCAGGCCTGGAATCACCGTAAGGGAAGAACTGACGATGGCGACAAAATGAAGTCAAGGAGTCCGGCATACTAACCTCGGGTTTGAGGGTCGGCAACGTGCTGAGTCAGCTGGCATAGGCCAATCACGGCGGGGCTAATTGCAAGCGTCGGGCGGACACGGCGTCGCCTGGATTTCCTCATGGCTGTGAGTATTGCCGCTGCTCAATTGCCGATCGACCAAGCAGTTCAATGAAGAGGGTAGAAGTAAGCAGAGGAAAGAGCATGGTAGGGAGAAATGGGAACAATGGGTCTTTTCAGGTATATACATCATCGTCTTATACAGTAGTATACGCTGTTCTCTACGAATTCCTGCGTCTTCCTCCAAATCACCGCCTCAGGCTGCAAGGCAGCAACTCCCGACTCGGTTGCCGAGCAAGCAAGAAACGCTTTCCCCGGCCGGACCAACCGTCAGTCCCTACCTCGGTGCGGCTCTGCCCTCCACTGGCACTCACATGCAACAACACAACGCCAGCATTGACACTCCGATGTCTTTGTCCTCCAGAATCATCCATTATTCCATACTGACTATTACCACCATACTAACCCCGATTCACATAGTTCTGATGCCACTCATAGTCGCGATTCTCCTGCAACAACCCCCGGATGGCCTCTCGGGCCGGGGTGGGTTGTCTGCCCAGCAAATCCGCCATCAGCGGATCCGTCGTGGCAGCCTCTCCCTTGCCAATTGACTGGTGCCACGACACCAGCTTCTGGAAAAATGCTTCCGGTTTCCCGCCTTCATCATCGGTAGTCTTGAATCGCACGAATTCCTCCGGGGAAACGAACTTGACCTGCACGTTTCGCCCCGTGGTCTCGTTGATAGCGTCGATAATCTCGGAGAAGGTGATGGTTTGCTGAGCTGTCAGGAGTACGATCTCCTTGTCATGGCCTCCTCGGATCATCAATCGGGCGGTGGCTTCGCCTAGCTCAGTGCGCAGGGTAAAGGCAATTGGCCCGTCGGTTGTGAGATGCATGACTGAGGTGTTGGGATACCAGTTCATGAAGACGGGGAATGCCTCGGTGTAAAGGCCCTCGCGCATGGAGGTGTAATTGATACCAGACCTAGCTGACCGGTTAGCGGTGCTGTTGCTTCACTTGCCAGCTCGGGAGGGCTTGCTCACTTGCGCAACATCTCCTCAGTCAACAAATGAGCCCGTTGCACATCTGCCTCGGAGGACCCGAACCCGCCGAAGGCGAGGGACGTATACCACACCTGTCGTCAGGAGGTTAGATGTAACCTTTCAAAATCACGGCAGCAATGCTCTTTCGGACATACATGCTTGACATTCATTTTTTTGGCCGCATCGACGAAGTTTTGATGTTGTTTCTCCCGCTTCGCGACGTCGAAGGTGTTGGTGCTCACAAACAGGAGATTCTCGACATCCCGAAAAGCAGTCTCTAGGCCTTGGGGATCATCGTAGTTGACCACGCGGAAAGCAATTCCCTGATCTTCAAAACGCTTGCGGTTTGCTTCGCTCGAAGAAGCGGCTGCGTATTCAGATGCGGGGACATTGGCAATAAGGTAAGACAACACTTGAGAGCCAAGGCCACCCGTAGCGCCGGTGATGAGATATTTCAGGGTCATGATGAGGATTCAATTGAGATGTCAATTCAAAGTTGTATTTCAATTTCCAATAGCAGGCTCGTTCGAGGGTAGGCGTATCACAGGGTTTGATTGTCGCGGGCTGGATGTAGCTTGCAACACAAGGTACTCGAGAGCAGCTAATCAAGCCCTTTTATAACTATTGGAGATCAAATCGAGAAGTAACAGGAAATTACGGGGTCCAGCTATAATTGACCCCGTTGCATGAGGCTCCGTAGCCGAGTATAGGTTGGTAAGCATGCATATTTCTAAGCAGCGATCCTGGTATTACCTAAATGGGCGTCGCTGATTCGGTCGCTGGGAACAGTCGCCATGCAAGTTAAGTCCGAGAGGCCGAAATATGAAATTTACTGGCATGGTATTTGGACATAACTTCGAGCAGGCCAAAATCAAGTAGAAAATAGACTAGACACCTAGTGATCCTCATTATGTGTAGAAAGGATATCTCGCTGATTCTCTTCGGTACTGTCCCCGCGTCGTGAGAGGTTTGGGCGGGGTTCGGCTTGGCGGACACCCAATGCTCGCGAAATCGACGCTTCGATGGGGCATTCCAGTTGTTTATGGACGTAAATGGGATTTTAAACGAGTAAAATGAAGAACGAGTTTTTTTTCCGGCCTGATTGAAAACAGATTGCCCACTCAACCTCATCCAAGGCGATTTCCAGGTGGGAGCCCACCTATTGAATCCAGATGTATATATCTTCCACTACAATGACTACCTGATGACCGGGGCCGTGATGGATGGTGTTATCCGCGCCTGGATACCCCTAAATGAGGGATGATGATCAAAGAAAACTTTTGGGGTATTAGGTAGTGTATATATAGATATGCATGCAGGAGTCTATGTTGCTCGTGGAGAAGAAGCAGAAGCCCTCGACGAAGCCTGCGACGGCGGCCTATCATGCTCCGCCCTTGTGATATTCACCTCATTCGTGACACGAATACCAGGTGTCTTGACAATAGAGCCTCGACTGTGTACATCACGAGCCACCGAAATCTCAGAAGGCATCATCTCATAGTCGTCGTGGCCGCGCTTAGACCAATCCAGAAGCCTCTTGTCATCCCGAGTGGATGAGCCGAGCTCACTCACGGGCTTCGATTGGCTTCTTAGTCGGCCCCCGGCGGATCGGGAGCGAGTATGACTGGAAGTGTACTCGGTCAAGTGGTTGAAAATGTTTCCAAAGACGGGCTTCAGGGCGGGGACGGAGAGCGCGATCAAGGTACTTGAGATCTCGGCGTTTTCGACGCATAACATCGGGTTGTAGGCCCAGCTGCCGTCGGAAGCCCACTGTCCGACGACGACCAGCCAGACGCGGACGGCAGAGATGACAATTACACTGCGCGATTGGTTAGTTGAATATTCACAGAGTTGGAAAAAGGTGGAGATGCTCACAAGACACCGGGGAACATGACGATGGAAAGCTTAATCTTCTTTTTGAAGGAGACGTGCAGTTCTTTAATCAGGATGCCCGGAATGACGAACATCATTACGTCGCAGGAGAGCGAGACGCCCGAGTTGACAGAGTAGACCAGTCCCCAGGAGAGACATTTATAAGTGATGGGCTCAACCTGCCATTCATAGGGCCAGAGACCAGTCACGGGCTTGCAGTGGAAGATCAACAGGAAAATCTGGGGCAAGTACGCGGCGGTGATGATACCAGTGACGATCATAATACCCAGTCGTAGCTTGCTGGAGCGCGCACTAATGCGGAAGTAGAATGCAAGACCGGATAGTCGACAAAGGAAAAGAGCCGTTGTATAAAGAATGTGGGCGACGAAGTCGAGAACTTCGGTTTCGCGGACGGTGGGCATGGAAAGGACATATTGAATATACTCGATATGGCGACCACTGCCCAGGTTGATCAGGACGATTGAGAGAACGACAAAGACGATGTAGACAATCTGCAAGTTGGTGAACCCGTCAGTTGTCAATCCTTGATGCTCGGATCAAATGGATTTTTGCATCCATGTTGATCATCCATATGCTCCACCTGGGAAAGTACTAGGCGATCGCGGGTTCATTTTTAAGGGTGAATATTGCTTGCACATACCAAAGTGAGAACAGCCAATGCATCATCCAGACCAAGTTTCTTCACCAAGAATAATCGCGCATACAGGCGTACAAGCACGACCAGACCCGCGAAGCAGACCATGAACAAGATGCCCACAATGGCAGAGTGATCTCGCGATTCTGCGAGATATGACAGAGAGACGCCATCGGGGATTCTCCCCGTCGCGTTCGCAGCGAGGATATCTTCAGGAATTGTCATGGCTGATCGTTCAATAGGATGTCATGGCACGGATTCGACGACTCAACGAGACATGGCACACAGTCCCAGGAAGCGAGAGTGCAAGTAACGAGCGTTTAACGAAGGGCATTCAAGCTATAATGAACGCTCGACCTTGAGTTTGACCTCGAGGTTCAGACGAAAAGATAGTTCTTACATATGTGCTCTACGGAGAGGAAAGTGGAAGCGTGAGCGGGGCTTTCGTGTTCGATAATGCAACTCTTTTTGGAATGAGTAGCCAACGAGATCGAGGAGGAGGCTTTCCGAGGGTCTGCCGAGACTTCAAGAACAAGGAACCGGTGGAGCTTTGATTTGTGTTCCAGATCAATCAAACCCACCAAAGCATTCGCAGGCTATTCCGCCAGTCGTCTGGTCCGTGGTTCTTGACGAAAATCTCGGGTTCTCCCCGGGCACGAGTGGTGATATCATCACTTTCTTTCTAGCAGCAAGAGTCTCAAATCATGCCCAGTGAATCTGATTGTCATTGCAATATTGTGAATATGCAGGTACGATCTGGAAACTGTCCCTTGCTCGTTAGGGTTTGTCCAAGGAGTTCTCGTATCTTAAAGTATACCAAAAGCATATTAATACATGCCAAGCCTGAAGGATCACCAGCTATGACAAGCCTATCAGATATTTCCAACGCGTAATTCCCACTCCGCTCATGCCATCACCGGCATTCTAGGCCCACACTAAGATTCGACTTGGTCGCACTGGCAGACCACTGAAAGGGAAGGAATGGCAGAGGGTGGACCCAGATAGCTGGACGCGATCGAGGCAAACCAGGCAAGATCCGACTCCGACCGTGATCCGACTCCGACCGTGGGTCCTTGACTCCTAACTGTGGACAATTAGGAAGGAGGTTCGAACTTTTCGCACAAGGTTATTCTCTGTTCGGGCTCCATTCGGTCGCAGAATTATCGGAGCGGACGAAGATAGCGCCGACGGGCGCAGGGGACGCGTCCTGGTTGGCCGATGAAGTTTTTAACTCCAACGCCCTCGCGAGCGCCTCCTCGATCAGTATCGACGGTATTGACGGGCCTTCCGAGGCTTCCGCCCGGATACCTACTCCGACTGGGACAAAGGAGGGCCAATGGGGGAATCGGCAACACAGAGAGCCTCCATACTGAAGAAAGACTATTGATTTGGTCCTTTCCTAGACGAGCAAAGCCAATGTTCTCGAGGAGGAGGAAATTCACTAAGAAAAGATTCAACTTGGCAAGAGTGGGCCAACATTCTTCGATTAGTCATGAATCCATGGCTGTGTAGGGCAGGGGAGGGCATGAAAAGGTTTCACTAATCTTTTCGGTATATGAAGCCAAGCTCCCCTGGGATCGTCGTATTCTCGTGCCACATGGTTTTCTGGTGGGGTTCCTCCATTCGATTCATCTGTTGATCCAACACCCTCCGCCATGTCGCTCATGCTGCAGGCTCTCGTGAGTGGTCTTGCCCTTGCTGGCTCGGCCATCGCAGTTCCCCAGGGACAGGATGTCGACCCTCTCGTCGCGTCCCAGATCTTGACGGATCCCTATGCCTGGGACTTCCCCGGCTGGGTGCCCCTGGCGCCTCACTGTTCCCCATGCGTCTCTGCCACGGGTTCAAGTTGGAGGAGGCCAGTGTGGACGATCTTCAAAAGCGCATGAGCAATGGCTCTCTCACCAGTGTTCAGTTGTTGGACTGCTATCTTGACCGTATTTACCAGACTCAGCCTTATTTGAAGTGAGTGCAATTGGATTGTTTAATCTCGCGTCGTTCGGACTGGAACTGACCTTGACCCACGCAGTGCCATCCTGCAGTTCAACCCGGATGCCCACGCCATTGCTAAGACGTTGGATGAGGAGCGTGCCAAGGGCAAGGTCCGCGGTCCCCTGCACGGCATTCCCTTCATTGTCAAGGACAACATTGCCTCCAAGGACCGCATGGAGACTACTGCTGGTTGCTGGGCTCTGATTGGTAGCGTTGTGCCTCGCGACTCATTCGTTGTCCACGGCATGCGCAAGGCTGGTGCTCTCCTGCTGGGTAAGGGTGCACTGAGTGAGTGGGCGGATATGCGCTCCAACAACTATTCTGAGGGTTTCACTGCCCGAGGTGGTCAGTGCCGTAGTGCCTATAACTTCACCGTCAACCCCGGCGGTAGCAGCACTGGTCCCGGCGTGGCCGTTGGTGCTAATCTGATTCCCATTGCCCTTGGCACGGAGACCGATGGAAGTGGTATGTGATACCACCTGCTCAATGTGTTCATTTTACCACCGATCACTCACACCATTCCAGTCGTCAACCCCGCTCAGAGAAATGCCATCGTTGGTATCAAGCCCACCGTCGGTCTCACATCTCGAGCCGGTGTCATCCCCGAGTCTCTGCACCAGGATACCATCGGTACTTTTGGTAAGACTGTGCGTGATGCGGTGTACACCCTCGATGCCATCTACGGTATTGATACTCGTGACAACTACACCCTCGCCCAGAAGGGTCTGACCCCCAAGGGCGGCTACACCCAGTTCCTGACCAACAAGGATGCACTCAAGGGTGCCGTCTTTGGTCTGCCCTGGAAGTCCTTCTGGGCTCTCGGCGATGCCGAGCAGATCTTTCAGCTGGAGGAGTTGCTTGATCTGATCAAGTCTGCCGGCGCGACCATCATCAACGGCACCGAGCTCCCCCACTACAAGGACATTGTGTCGCCCGATGGCTGGAACTGGGACTACGGCTCGACTCGCGGCTTCGCCAATGAGTCGGAATACTCCTACATCAAGGTCGATTTCTACAACAACCTGCGCGACTATCTCGCCGAGGTCAACAACACCAACATCAAGTCCCTTGAGGATCTCGTCAAGTACAACGAGGACAACTACGGCTCTGAGGGTGGTTTCCCCAGCATCCACCCCGCCTTTGGCTCCGGCCAGGATGGCTTCATCGCCTCCCTGGAGAGCAAGGGTATCATGAACGAGACCTACTTCTCCGCGCTGGAGTACTGTCGCCGTACCACCCGCGAGGAGGGTATCGATGCTGCTCTGAAGTACGGTAACCGCACCCTGGACGGCCTCCTGGTTCCTCCCGATGTTGCACAGAGCATCCAGATCGCGGCCCAGGCTGGTTACCCCGTCATCACCGTCCCTGCTGGTACCAGCACTGTTTCTGGCATGCCTTATGGCCTGGCTATCTTGAACACTGCTTTCTCAGAGCCCACTCTGATCAAGTATGCCAGCGCTATTGAGGATCTCCAGAAGACCTCCGGCACCAAGTGGCAGCGCACTCTTCCCGAATGGCGCGGCTACCTCCAGCGCAACCTGCCTGTGATCATGTAAATGATTCTGCTCGAGTTGTTAGATGTTTTGGAGATTTATAGAGGGGGATGAGTTTATTGCATATAGACAACTGTATAGTTGAGCGTCATGTATGAATACGATTTAATTAATATATGATACAGAATTTCCAGAGAGCGGGTTTACCTTGTGAAGCACCCCGACCAGCCATCCCATCACTCATATCCTCTCTGGCAATTGACTCTCTTGGCAACACTTAACCATGGCTCGCTCTCCCAAACTACGGTACCCATATGCAAATTAACAACTGCTCTTTTTTTGAAATTCTTAAAGGCCGCAAGCCAATTCTGACTTCAGCGAATACGAAATGGCGCCCATGCGGCGTTGGTGTTCGTATTCCCCGCTCCTTGATTCGCATAGAAGCAAAGCACCCGCAAGAACACGCAGCTCACCACCATAAATAGAAGCTCCCATTGAAATATTTGAATGAAAGTTTCTTGTCCCCTTCACACAAGCTCCAGCGCCCGTCGATCTATCTCCCGCACCCTTCACCTCATACCACATCCCACCGCAATGACACCCCCAATCCAAAAGATCATCATCGTCGGCGGCGGAATGTGCGGTCTCGCCTCCGCAATAGCAATCGCCCAAGCATTCTCCTCCCACGAAATCCAGCCCCAAATAACCGTCTACGAACTCCGCCACGCACCCAGTACCTTCGGCGGCCCGGTAAACCTCACACCCAAAGCCCTACGCTGCCTCGACAAGCTGGGCGTGTTTGAGGAGTTAAAACGGATGCGGGCGGGCTGTGAAGTAGACGCGATCCAGATATTCTCCATGCGAACAGGCGGCCAAATTGCTGCTATTGACTATGCGGGTGCCGATGGAAACGGGCTTGGCGGGTATAAGGGATGGAGGGTGATGCGGTTTGAGCTTTTGAAAGCTCTGCTTAGTGTTATCGAAAGGCTGGAAACGGTGCAGATTCACTATGGAAAGAAATTGATGCGGATCGAGGAGAGCGCGGATCAGGTTTGTGTTTATTTTGAGGATGGGGGTGTTGAAACCGGGGATATGGTGCTGGGGTGTGATGGGATCCATTCTGCGACGAGGAGGTTATGGGTGGAGGCGGATCGTAAACCGGATTACTCGGGATTGGCGGCGGCTTATGGGTTTGTCGATGTGAAGGAATTGTTTGAGGATGAGGAAAAGCCGTTCTTTGAGGATACTGCGCTTGTGATGTCGAGGTATGGGTCTGCGCTGACGACGTTTTGTGATGATGAGCGGAGCATGATCTATACGGTTATTCTGATGGAGATGGAAGAACAGGGGTCTCGGGAGGGATGGAAGTCTATTGGGAAAGATCAAGAGAGGGTTCGTTTGGAAGGGGTCAGGAGGACGCAGGATTCTCCCATTTCGAAGATCGGGCAGATGATTGACAAGGTTGAGGATTGGACTCTGTATCCAATCCATGTTTTACCGCCGAATGGTCGGTGGCATACGGATCGAGTTTTATTGTTGGGTGATGCTGCTCACGCGGTAAGTTGTTTCGTCCTCACCTAGCTTATCTCAAACTTACGCTTAAACATGGCTACTTTACAGATGCCACCCAAAGGAGAAAGCATCGGTCATGCCTTTGAGGATGCAATCAAGTTTTCCCTTATACTGTCTCACTATAAGGGCGGCCCTCCACTTGTCTCATTTGAGTTTTACGAAAATCTTCAACGCAAGAAAACTGAGGATCTATACAAAGTCTCATCAACCGGGTGGAAGTCCAATAACGATATAGGGGCTATTGGTGGCCGTCTTCTTGAGTGGCTCACGCCGCTGTACCTCTGGTGGATAAAGGGGGACTCGGAGAAAGATCTACTAATGGATCCAACTGATATTCAATTTCCATAGGGAATGAGAGATTCTACAGTGATTCCTCTCCTGCACAGGGCTTAATTAAGGTGGAATTAGTGTACCGGGATTATTTCAAGATATTCAACTCACAGCCTGTGATCTCAGGTAGATTTAGAGTAGGCAATTCCTTTTGATGGACTTATACCTTATCACAACATCAACATTTGATTTTCTAAGATGTTGACGACGAAGGTTGTCTGTAAAGAATGACCACTGGGTCCAAACAGCGAGAGTATGTTTAGGCATGTGCCTTCCTAGCGTTCTTTCTCTGCATATCACCTGTTTCCATTTTCAGCTCGTTGAACAGCTCACTTGTTTCCCCATATTGCCTCGCTCTTTCCTCCGGCAGACTCTTGTTCGTCTTCGGTTATCCCCATCTGCATCCTACTTGCAATTTCGGAGCCTCTCGTCCTCACGGCATTTTGGTGGGAACTTGGATATTGCATCTTCAGCTCTTGCTCCTTATGGTTTAACTCATGGTGAGTATAAATGACTGATATATGAATGAGACCGTCCGCTGCTGACCGCTCCTGTCAGTCGCATCATTCGGTCCGTTTACCAAAGTCTGCATTTCCATATTCGGACATTACATCCGAAGGTGGATCGAGCAGACCTTCCAGAAGCTAAAACCTTTTCCATATACCAATCTACGAAGACTAAGCAGAATTTGTATGAATGTCTAATCTCCGGTGGAAATTAAGTCATCTAAGGATATGAAAAAGTAGAAAAAGAGGCTAATGGTGGACCAGATCCATTTGATCCATCTGATAGACGTGGGTGGAACCACATTTAACAGCATTAACCGTCCACCGCGCCACGCTAACCGAAATTCGGTAGAGATTGCAGATCACTTGAGAAAGACCTGACGGTCGCACTGCTAGCATCTGATATCATTGATGCGAAATTTCCCTACGCAGAGTCGCAGACCCCTCATTGATCTACAAACTTTGATTTGCACGGGGAGAGTCCCGTGTTGTGAAGGCTGATTCCACGAGATAATTCATGTCCGTCAGAAGAGATGCCAAGACGGAGAAATTCGTGAACTCATTCACATCAGAATTGCAAAACGCACCAGCGATGAGGTTTCATACCGGAGCCTAGCCGGAAGAAATCAAGGGGCTGTTGAATAAGCTATCCAAGACATGGCCATAAGTATCGCCGGAGATGTTCCGGACCACCCACCTCCTCTCAACCTCCTTGAACACATCGTCTTTACCACCACTGACTCAACCTCAAATTAGAGCGAGGACCGGGCTGTCCGCGGAATCAGTACTGCATCGAGGAGAGTGGGGCACCGCCGATTCTCATGGTGAAACATCTTCACGCACCGAGCTGATCCTCCAACGACCCCCATGTGGCGTCCCCTGCGACCGCACCGGCGCACACTTTAATCAATTTCGAGTTGTGGAATTATTATTCCTGGTCCGCCATGCCGAGCCAATTTGCTTATTCGCCGGCTTCTAGAGTAGCGCCCTTGGTGGAATACACTTCGTACTCCATCTTGGCTTGATCATGTTTGGACCGCGTGGTACTGATCCTCACCTGGTGCCAATTCTATCGGCGCCGAAGCTTTGCCCAGCTTTGCCCAGCTCTTCAACTACGTGGACTTCCTCACTCTCCACCCTTTTTCCTCCCCACCGGCCGGTCGTCCGAATCAAACTAAACTGCCTCTGGTGATTACTCCGCAATGGCGGCTATGGTGGAACATGTTTCCCTCCCTCTTGGTGGCTCTTTATCAGTGGGCGAGGCTTTGTCCCTATTAACCGATTCGACGACCGCATGACCGGCGTCGCTCCAATAACCCTGCGGTCCCTGGGATTCGGAAACACGAGAAGACTAAATCTGGACCAAGGAGTGCATGGTAGGTAGCTGTGGATGCTGAAGCCAAGAACTCTTGCGGCACTACTACTACTGCCATTGTTTGAGCAATTATGTTCGTCTCATCATCGAGTACCTTCTCTGGGGGTATATAAGATGTATGGTGCATGCCCCGATTGAAAGCTTTCTCGTACCATACCACCCCTTTCAACCCTTTTCCTTGGGCCCTCGTTGTCGTCATGAAGTATACTGCCTTGCTTGCAGCTTTCGCTGCCCACGGTGCTGCTGTCGGTGTTTCTGGCGCGGCTGAGGGGTTTGCTAAGGGGGTTACTGGTGGTGGTTCTGCTACTCCCGTTTATCCATCTACCACCAGCGAGCTGGTCTCGTACCTTGGTGATAGTGAGGCTCGCGTCATTGTCCTCAGCAAGACCTTCGACTTCCGTGGTACCGAAGGTACCACCACCGGCACTGGTTGTGCTCCCTGGGGAACTGCGTCTGCTTGCCAGGTTGCCATTGACCAGAATTCCTGGTGCGAGAACTACGAGTCGAGTGCTCCTTCTGTCTCGGTTTCATAGTAAGTGGAAATGCCCTGTCATCCAGAAGCTCTGACATTCACTGATGGTTCATTAGCGACAATGCCGGTGTTCTTGGTATCACCGTCGCCTCCGACAAGACCATCATCGGTGAGGGTTCTGCAGGTATCATCATGGGCAAGGGTCTGCGTATCGTCAGCGGTGCGAGCAACATCATCATCCAGTATGTATTCACCGCAGAGTTCTGCAATTGGAAGTTTTGACTAACAAATATCTTTCTAGGAACATCGCCATCACCGACATTAACCCCAAGTACGTCTGGGGTGGTGATGCCATCACCATCGATAACAGTGATATGGTCTGGATCGACCATGTTACCACTGCTCGCATTGGTCGTCAGCACATTGTTCTGGGTACCGATGCCTCCAAGCGCGTGACCATCTCCAACAGCTATATCGACGGTTCCTCCAGCTACTCCGCCACCTGCGACGGCTACCACTACTGGGGTATCTACCTTGACGGCTCCAACGACTACGTCACCCTGAAGGGCAACTACATCTATCACACCAGTGGCCGTGCCCCCAAGGTCCAGGGCAGCACCCTCTTGCACGCCGTAAGACTGCCCATTCTACCCTCATCCAAATTAACGAAAGTTTATCAGACTGACCATTTATCTAGGTCAACAACTACTGGTACGACAACTCCGGCCACGCCTTCGAGATCGGCTCTGGCGGCTACGTCCTTGCCGAGGGCAACGTCTTCCAGAACATCGACACCGTCGTCGAGTCCCCCATCAGCGGTCAGCTGTTCACCTCCCCATCGACCACCGCCAACCAGGCTTGCAGCAACTACCTCGGCCGCGTCTGTCAGCTCAACGGATTCGGTAGCTCCGGCACCTTCAGCCAGTCTGACACCGGCTTCTTCTCCAAGTTCTCTGGCCAGAACATTGCTTCTGCTACTGCTTACACCTCCGTGGTGTCCAGCGTTACTTCTAACGCCGGTCAGGGTAAGCTGTAAGCTGGTCTTATAGTTTCAGTAGTATGGGTCTGTAGCACGGCTGTAGCTGATGTGAGGGGTCTTTGCTGTGGCCAGGGCGATGTGAAGGATGTTCCTCGTGTTATCATACAAGATTTAGTTAGTCATAGTGGGATTTCTACTTGAGAATCTACCTTGCATTATAATAATATTAACCCCCTAACAACCAAGGCGTCGTAGTTCAGGTCTGTCCTGAAGGTTTTTTTCGCAGGCCGCTCATTTTTGGGGTCAAAGTTTCTAGTAGTCGTCTTCGCAGACTTGCCATAGTGCCCGCTAGAGTGAAGTATCGCGCACAATTTACGGTACTACATTACTGGGACAATTCTATTAAAAATCAAGAAAACTGCTTTGCTCATTATTATGCACGCTCATCGGAAACTAACAGATAGAGTGATCGTTCACACCGAGCCATGAAGTTCACACGTAACAATATCAAGCAAGCGCGCGCAATTGTCAATTAATAAAAGGTAGCCCAAAAAACAATCTCAAGAAAAAAAAACCATGCAAACCAAGTTTAGTTGACGATGATCAAACCGGGTCCAGCAAGTGTCGCCTTAGCCACAGCGTTTGCATTAGCGAATGGACCGGCAGAGTTGGTCACCGCGGCGATGCTCAGGCCATTCATCTCATTAGCGTCGAATGGGAAGAGCGCCTCGGCCTTGACCCACTTGCCATCGTGACTGATGATGTGCAGGGGCTCCACGATCGGCAGGTTCTGCTGGTTGATATAGGTCAACCACAGCGAGTGGCTAGCATCATAGTTGGGATCGTTGAACTGAACAGTGATGTCCTGGCTGTGAGGGCCAGGAGGAGTAAGAACAGTCAAAGCCTCGAAGGTCTGCAGGGGGATCTCGTTGATGTTGGGGCAACTTCCAGGCACGATAAAGCCTTGGAGGGCAGTAAAGGCGAAGTCACGCACGCCGGTAGTCAAGAAGGGCAGTTCACTGGGGATCTTGTCCTGGAGGATGCGGAAGAATCCCTGCTGTTCTCCTTCCTGGCCCACGACGGCGGTGACCCCACGGGCGAGACCGTGGTCACCACCGACAGCGAAGATATCCACCACGTCTTGAAGGGTGGCCAAGACCAGGGGGGTGAAGGTCGAGGCCAGCGTGATAGCAGATTCGAGGTCATGGACGGGGAAGATGTATTCGCAGGGCAGGATCCGGTCCTTCATGAAGTGAGCCAAGGCATTGTTGGCATTGAGTTCATGAAGTTCCTCTTGCTACAGGACGAAGAGTTGTAAGTCAACGGGAGGCCTGAGAATAAGCCCGGTTAATACATACAGCAAGAATTGCCTTCAAGGCAGCCAGTATCGTGGTGTACTCCTTCTCATCTTTGATATGATAGCCGTCGACTTTGTTCGTAATGTTGTAGATCAGTTGATCAAAGAAAGCGACTTCGGAGTTTTCGTTGAAGGCAATCAACTGCAGATTGACAATGCCATCGGCGCTGATCGATGGTGGGGGAGGAGCATTTGACAGAGTGCCATGGGCGGCTAGCTCGATCGCCTTTAGCTGGTCGGGGTTTGGAGTAGGCAATCCATCGGGCAGCTGAGTCTTCCCATAGGAAGCCGGAGCCGCCATGGCGAACGATGCCAGGCTCGAGAGCACAATGGTAAGGTCGGAAATGCGCATTGTGCTGATGTACAAAAATCGCTTAGAATCTGAATTGGTAAGGCTGGGGAAAACCAAGAAGCGGTCTTGAGGAGAATGAAACTTGAAGTAAAGAGATGAAAGCAGACGAAGATGTGTGGAATGATGAGAATGAAGATGCAAAGACGAGGGTATCACGGCCTTCAAATAGTCGATCGGTCGGCTTCATCGAGGAGGCTCGTCGCTCTGAGGGAAGGTGCTTTCCCGCAGGCGCAGCTGGCCGCATTCCGAAGGTGGTGATTTGCGGTCAGCATCATCGTGGACATCGCGGAAGCTCCAGGAACTTGGTTGTGTGAGGCGCTGTGTGACTGCGGAAATTACTGGGATTGCCATTCCCCACTTCAATCTGGATGATTCGCGATCTTGGAATAGTACGCCGTTGGATCTCGATCCACGAATGATGGACCAGCCACCACTAGGCTATTCTTGCGACCTCTTTGTCATCTTAGTATCCTATTATGGCGGGTGCGGCTGTGCACTAACCCGATTGCGCAAGTGCACATTATTGTTAGTAAGAAGCTGTGGAGGCGAGGGCTTATTGTTATTAAGCCTCGGGCGTCAGCGACCGGCCTAAGAAAAGTACATCAGCCTAGTGGGGGCAGAAATGATTTGGAAATAGGTCCTCTTGTCACGAGCATTGTCAGCAACCATAATAGAATAGATAGATTATTTGGAATGCGTCAAGACCTCTACAAAGACATCCCATTGAGGCTTATACAATGCCAAGATATGAGAGAAACACTTTGATTAAACTGCTACAATAAAGTTGGGTATACATAATTAAATCGGTAAGCTTCGGGTCGTGAGCCATCGTCCACGTTTGGCAAATGCATTCAGGCCGCAGAGCAATTATACCGCCCGCTCATCATGCGTGGTGTGGATATCTTTCTCAACTTCGTGTAGGTCAACATGGGCCACAGCTGCATCCTCGCCGTCGAAGATCTTGGCCAGCTCTTCAAGAGTAGGTCCACGGGTTTCGACGTAGAAGAAGTAAACAAATAGAAGCTCAACGAAGATCCAGATCTGGTCAGGTGTTAGTTAAAGTCTTACATAAAATAGCAGAGTCTATTGGATAATAGGAACACGTACCGTGTAGATGAGCGACAAATTCCAGTGGTGGGGCAGATTTTCCCAAGCGATCGGGTTGGTATAGCTAGTTAGAACAAATCAGTCAGGATGACAATTTTCAGCTGGGGAGGCGGGGTTGCTTACTTTCCAAGGACCAAGCTGGCCTGGACCGTCAGATTCATAATCATGATACCCTTGGCACGGAGTCGGTAGGGCAGAATCTCGAGGGAATATGCGACCAAAAGTCCAGACCATGCGATAGCATAGAAGACCGAGAAAAGCCAAACAAAGACGACCTGAGGATATCCAGAGGTCTTGACGTCCTGGGTCTTTTCGTAGACCGAGGAAGTGACGGTCCATGCAAGGAACATGAGAACCATACCCACGGTGGAGATCAGGAAGAGGGGTCGTCGTCCAACTCGGTCAACAAAGAACGCACTGCTGACACTGACCACCAAACTCAACAGGGTTTGACCGCCGTTCAGCTATGAGAAATTGTTAGCCCTTCCATCTTTGAGTATAGATACGGGGTTAGGAGAAGTCTATTCACATACCGGAATCTTCTTGGTCTGCTCAGTAATACCCATGCTGTTATAGATCAAGCTGGTATAGTTGCTAAACAGTGCATTGCCACTGTACTGCGAGATGATTCCCAAGGAAACCAGGAGAGCCAGACGATAACGGTTGCCTCGAGTTCTCATAAAGTCCAGATAGCTGCTGTTCTTCTGGTATGTCATCTCCAGGCGAATGGTCTCCTTGATTTCGCGGTACTCAAATTGAACAGTCGCATTGTGCGCATCGCCATTGCCGTGGTAGTAAGCCAGAGTGTGGAGAGCCTCGTCATATCGCTCCTTGGAGATCAGCCAACGGGGAGACTCCGGGACCCCTGCAGAACAATTAGATATATTCCAATCGAGTATCATTAGCGCACTTACACCAAATGAGGCAAATCTGAATCACGGCGGGGAAAACCTGAAGCAGAGTCAAACTCCGCCAGGACCAATCGTTGTTGATGTACATCGTGCCCCATGCGATCCATGCCACAACTGCAATGAGGTCAGTAGTGTCACTCATAACCAAGGTATCGTTACATACCCAGTGCGCCAAGGTTCCACAAGCAGTTATAGATGGTAGTGACCTTGCCACGGTGCTGGGGATGGCAGATCTCGGTCAGGAGAACTGGAGAGGCCATCTGGGCCAGACTGTTGCCGAAGCCAAGGAACAGGCGACCGGCGACGTACACTGTGAATTGAGGTCAGCGCTATTTATGCGGTTCAACCTAATAGCAGGCACGTACTTCCGTAATCCTTGCAGAATGCGCCGAGGAATCCACCCATAATCATCAGAACACATCCGATGATGATGGGCAGCTTACGGCCCCAGCGATCGGCCATGAAGGGACTATACAGAAAATTGTGAGAAGATGTCCCTCTTTCGAGAGTATTCCGGGTCATTGCTCCACATACACGAAGGGAAAACTGGCCAAACTACCAATTTGGTAGATCGCATTCATCAATCCCAGCTTGGAGCCGGAAGGGGTATTGAAAAAGGTCTGCCATGAATCCAAATTTTGGGAGGTGTTCAGCATCATTCTGCAATCCGCAATTAGCTTCCATTTTTACTACACCACCATTGCAATTATGCAGCCTTACCCATCGTAACCAGTAGTCGCAGATGCGACGCAAAGAACAGATGCCCAAAAGTAGAGCTTGCGCAGACCGGCTTCACGCCACCATGTGACCTCTTCAAGCTGAGGCACCTCAGCCTGGGCGACCTCGACCTCCGACTTGAGAGCGGACTGTCCGACGGCGAGAGGCATGTTGACGCCTATAGAGTAGTTTCAGCGGCAGGATAGGTAGTACCGACGAGGTGAAGTCTTGGACGAGACTACTAGACAAGCGGCAGAATCTCGCAATGTCCCCACTGAGAGCCAGGGAAATTGTCCCCTCGTGGGATACCCCAGACCTTTAAGCGGTTGGCATCCACCGTTCTAAATCCTTGGACTGGGATATGGACCGGCTAATCTCGCGTGGCGTTCTGGAACCTTACCCCAGCTTTTCTCAATCGAGACTAGGCCCTCCCCTCAGAAATTAAAATCAGGAGAGAGTTTCATCTTACGAGGGGCGAAAGGCTGCCCAGCGTGCAACGCTAATCATGACTGGGTATCGCGTACAAGTTGCCATGCATAGTCGGGGTCGAGCGGTCCTAACTATTGGTGTATTTTTTGGCTAATTTAACTTCTCGGCAATGCCCACCTTGCCCTAGAGGGAACAATTTGGAAAGAAAGGCTGGGGTTCGCTTGCATCAGAAGGAGTACCAAGCCCGGCATTCCTCCCTGCCAAGGGATACCGACATGGACACTTCACCCGAGGCGTGCAGATATTTGAGTTCGCTACTGTTGCTGGTGGTGATGCGACGAGGGGGAGATGACTCGGTAGAATCTGGTTACGGGATATGGATAGGCCTGATCTTGTCAGAGTTGCACTCTGAATACGGAGCGTGGGCCTCCCCCACAATCCGTTTTAGCACGGTCAGTCGGCCCGAGGCCCACTAGGCGATCGATCCTCCACAGTCCATATAGTCTTACTGTTGCAGTCAACGGACCAGCCCCGTTTTCTTTTCGGGAGGAGATCAAACCAGAGCCACTGGCGTTCAAACGTATGGAACTTGATGGTAATAAACTTTTGGCATGTTTGAAGTTCTTCGACACTGTAGTCTGAGAGCGAAGCTTTGGCAGGCTTCAATTACTTATTAGAGAAGCAAAAGTCCCACTGGGCACTGGAGCTAATGCCGTGGCCAAATGAGCCCCTAAAGAGGTCGTTGGGTCTGACTCGTGGCACTCGTCTGGGCCTCTAGGGGGGGAGGGGGGCTTCTCATAAGCGAAGGCGAAAGTCATAGCTAAGACTGCGAAGGAGTCTCACGAGGTCAAGGCGTCGAATCAGGCCCCACACGATTCCGGGGAGAACCCCCGACCCGCGGTTCGCTGCGCTGGACAACGGCCCAATTGCGGGGAGGCACGGAGGAGTCGAGGACCCCTTCCAGGTCAAGGGGGAACTGTCCATTTAGCCGGAATTCCCTTCTTGGCGACGCGATTGAGTCACGGGAACCCGGTGAGGAGAGTTGGACAGTGTCAGTGTCAACATGATTTGACTCGCCAAACAGGCAAAATCAGCCTAACTCGGAAGAAATAATGGAGGGCAAGTGCAGTGCTTTGTCAGCGTCAGGACACCCTCCCAGCTGGAGGTCACCGTTTACTTTCTCCCAAGCTGGTCCTCAAAAGACAACCGCAAACATCGACAGTGTGGAATAAGACACATTGGATTTTCTCTAACCTTGGATTATACGACAAGATGGGTTCCAACAATGAGTGGAGTGACTACAAGCTCTCCCAAGACCAGATCGACCACTTCATGCGGCATGGCTACGTGCGCCTAACCAACTGCTTCTCTCGGGCCAAGGCAGCCGAGTGGACGGCAGGCGTGTGGACGCGACTCGGCTACTCCCCTACAGACAAATCAACCTGGACCACTGAACGCATCAATATGCCCCAACACAAGTCGGAGCCCGTTCAGACTTTCGCCCCCAAAGCATGGGCCGCCATCTGTGAACTGCTCGGCGGCGAGGATCGCGTGGCGGCTCAGTCGGCCAACTGGAGCGATGGCTTAATTGTGAATCTTGGCACGCAGGAGTCGGAGGGCAAATGGCCCCATCCTGCTGAACTACCAGGATGGCATGTTGATGGCGATTTCTTTATGCATTTCCTTGATTCGCCCGAGCAGGGGTTGTTGGTCATCCCCTTGTTTACCGATATCGTGGAGCATGCCGGTGGTACTATGATCTGTTCGGATGCCATCAAGAAGATAGCCCAGCATCTGGTAGGCTCACCCGGCTTGGCATTTTTATTTGATCCTTGTGCCTCTTCTAACCTGATCTGGCGATAGTATGATCACCCGGAAGGCGTGACCCCATACATGGTTCCACGCGGCAAGCCTGATGAAGGTCGGAAACTTGAATTCTATCACGGCATTGTCAAGCAATGCAATGAATTCCATGAGATGACTGGCAACGTGGGTGATGTGATCCTAATGCATCCGTTGATGGTTCATTCTGCTTCAGTCAACAGTCTGAGGATCCCACGCATCATCACCAACCCGCCAGTCTCGCTGAATGCACCTTTCAACCTTGACCGTCAAGATCCGAGCAAGTACAGTATTGTCGAAAGGAAGACCCTGCAAGAGCTTGGAAGAGATCGTCTTGAGGGCTGGGCTATTAAAGGTGCTCGGGAATCTGTGATTCCCGCCAGACTTAAGGCCCAGGCACTGATGAAGGAGCAGGAACTAGAACGTCTCAAGACAACCCCTATATCTACTGGTTCGTCAGCCCCCACTCCCCCCTAAAGTCCCTTTGAATACGAAGCCCGGTCGCGCTAGGCGACTGCGCGATCAATGCAGTCTCATGTGAAACTGGGATCCCTGCACGTCGTCTCTTACTTCTTTCAGCCTAAATACCCATTGCCGTTCTCACTCATTCGCATCCTTGCTTCTTGCTGCTGTGATGTTATGTCAGTCTGACTTTGTTCACAACACTATTATAAATATACTTTATCACTAGCCAGTCTATTTTACCAGAAAACATGGAGGGAAATCCCAAAAAAAAGTGTGAAAAAAAAAGGAAAACTTCAGAGAACCCCACAAATATGACATTCAGAATTCTGTTATGACCTTTTCTTCCACAAAAAGACCGAGGAGAGGCCACCCACAGCACTAATTCCTGTAGTAAGCTCCCACACAATCTGCAATGCCGTCGCCGAGGCATCCTGAATAGCTTTTCTCTGCTCATCTGACATCTGTACTTGATTCATCAACAATAGATATCCGTTGGCAGTATTGACCAGATCCCGCTTCAGTCCGAGAGTCTGAAGCTCATCGCCGAGCAAGTTTAGGAACACCACACCTCCCATCGGTATAGCAGCTGCCATTCCCCACGCCCGCATGAAGTTGGAAATAAAAATTGGCTTGGTAGCGAATGAGTTGCCTTTCCCTCGGGGCATATTGTGAACCTCGATGTTATAACTTGCCAGGAGGAGTCCGTGACCCAAACCAGCTGCGAAGCACAGAAACACCCATCCAGCGGTAGGCGTCGTGCTGTCTAGAAGAATGGAACAACCAGATGCGAGAATGGTTAAGCTCCACCCGCCAGAGGTGATGTATTTGGAACATTGCGGCTGACTTGCAAGCACAATTCCTACCACTGCTGCAGGAGTAAGAGCCAGACCAGTGAGAGCTAGAAGTGACATCCCTGCCACGGTTGCAGAATAATACTTTGTCGCTAGGAAGAAGAACGAAAAGTACTGCATTTGACAGAGAATCTAGATGTTACGGTTAGTCTTATCCACTGCACACAGGAACAAAGTTCAACTCACCACAAAGCCATGACAGAAGCAGCCAACATAGGTCATGATGGCCGCTGGGGACCTGAACATCTTTGCGCCGAACTGCGGGCGCAATGCCAACATCGACTCATACAACACCAGCGCAATGAGCGTTGCAACACCAACAGCGATGGGCATCAAGGTCCGCCACGCAAGCCATTGATACAAGACCCCACCCCAACTTAGACCCATAAGAATACTCGACGGACCCAGCAAACTCATCATGGCTCCAGACCAATCCAGGATTCGAAGCTTCCGGAGCGGAATATTCTTGGAGACCCGCAAATCCATGGAAACAGGAATCAACAACAAGCCCAACCCGCAGAAGACAAAATTGAAATAGCAAGCCCACGTCCAATTACCCTTGTCAATGAAAAGTCCGCCCACGGCGGGGCCTAGCATAGACCCCATTAGTCGTGTCAGCAGGATATAGCATGAATATCGCGAGTGGATGTACTCCGGGGTTGTATCTGCCATTATAACAAAGCATAGTGCCGTCGCACCACCTCCGCCGATACCCTGAACCAACCGACCGATGATAAGTTCGCTTAGGCTCATCGAGCCACCGCAGACCCCGGAGCCGATCGTGCTCAAAACGCCGGCGATAATCCACAATGGTCCGTGGCTGAAGACATCACACATCATTGCGAAGAATAGTTGGCTGGCAGCACTGACAATGAGGTACATGGTGTTGACCCAGAGGGTGCTAACGAGAGGCTTATCGAAGGTATTGGCAAGTTCCTTGACGCCAAATAAATTAGCTCGATATTGCACACGAGTCATGGTGATGTGTTGCTTACCGGCAGGACTGGTATCATCACCGTCGCATCAAACGTGTCCATCATCGCGAAGATGAGTATGTTGATGAATACCAGCCAGTCTCGCAGATCTGGAGTCCATTGCTGCTCCTCGGTTGAAGGTTGAGTCTCGAATAGTTGGAGTCTGCTCTCCTGCGGTGGGATGGGCGTTACATCGTCGACACTATTGCGGAGATCGAGAGTTGTTTTTGACTCATAGCCAAATGTATCTTGATATATATCAGGATGTCCCATTGGGTTGTCTCTCGGATTAATCTTAGCGGTTCTTGATTCGCGAGCTATTCCTTCGTACTATTCAGGCGGCGCGTAGGCATGAGAACATCTCTTGGGTTTGACATGAGACCTTTTTCTACGATGGGGATCTAAATGCTTAAGAATTTTAGTGGAGTATCAATTAACAAGTTTCATTGCAAAGGGAGCACCCTGTTCTAGGGGATCGCGAGCATTCAAAGGGCGTCTGTGCTTTATGGAATTCCTGAGGTTTAAGGGATGCTTGTTCAATCAAGGGATGGCCCTGGAGGATCACAACAAGGGGCGTGTGATATAATGAGGAGGTATCTACAATGAAATTTATTGGATAAATATTAGCTTCCAGTGGAATTGTACTTTATTCAAGGTTGTATGCTCCCGTTGTCTCGCAGGCATGTGCTCCCCACTTCGGGAAGACGTCAAGATCCAAGGATCCCGAACACCCCAGGTGGGTCAAGGAACAGGTTTCCGTTAATTCGAGGTCTATGTACCTGTCGATTAAGTAATCCTGTTATAGAGAGAGAAAAGGCTATGGTCCAATGGTGAGGCTGATCGAGAAACACGGGCCTATGTAGCGTCATAATGCTGACCTAAGGTTGGCTACGTTGTAATGGCTTGAAGAAACCCTTCATCTCAGTAGAGTTTCCGTATCGGAAAAGCACAAAATCGCGTGGTATATCTTACATACAACGCAGCTCGATACATATATACAAGTTTTGTATAGATAAATGGAAGCCCTGGAAGGAGAGAACCTCCCTAGCCCCTGGAAACTTTATGAGTCTACATGCCCTCACGATCCTAGGTACATTCAAGGGGTGATGGAATGCTATGACGTAGAGTACATTATTTCTCTTGCACTTCTACAGTGGAGCGAAACATCATTCCTCCCTCAATTTAGAGGGTAAGGATCAGAGGGAATCAGTTGGCCGGCTTTGAAGCCTCAAGTGCTAAGAAATCCCATGGAAAAGTTTCCTATTTATCTGAGATAAAGAGCACACCTCCCTTGTTGCTTCGAAAATTCAGCCTGAGCCAATCGTACAGTCTAGCAGATGCTATGATTATCCGTCCTATCGTCGTATATGAACAACCTTCTACTATAGCTTCTCCTTCCCGCCTCCTTCAATATGCCAAGTCAAGAAGATTTATGGAGGTCAACTCCGATGAAATTTGAATTTGCTTTCGACTAACTATTGACCTCACCATTTGACTCGTGGCTCAAACATGGACACTTTTCAGGAATAGCAGGCACAGAAAGGAACAAGCTCTAAGAAGCTATGTATGCATCCACGATTGATTCGCGATTCACGATGGGGGACCCCGTGAGTCCTCATCCCTCGCAGCCTTTAGCCTTCCATGCATTTCACATCAGCATGCACTATATTTAGAACCGTCTGCGAACTTCTGGACTCGAGGCTCTGCTTGACTGGATTGCTTGCTTGGAAGGCTTCTTCCAGCTCTTCCAGTGTCCTGTCCTTGGTCTCGGGCCAAAACAAATAGATGAAGACAAGCTCAAACACGTCCCATCCGATGAAAACGATATAGAAGTAGTATTTGATGTGTTGAAAAGCTGGACCGGATGCGTATTGAATAATGGCGGATGCACATGTGGTGAAGAATTGTGCCATGCTGTTACCCTTCGCGCGAGTGTTGGTACCCAAGCATTCCACAACATACATCGGCGAAAGTGGAGTCCATGCAAATGAGAAGGTTACACCAAACAGGTAAATAAATGCGATGCTCGCATTTGCTGCGCTTGAGTTCGATGGATCTTCATCTGCCACCTTGGATAGAGGTGTGATGATAGTGAAACAAGTGATACAGCCGATGAGACTGCCCAGAAGCAGTGGTCTTCTGCCCGCCTTGTCGAGGAACATTGATCAAGAAACCGATGCGACTAGACAAAGAGGAGTGTATATACCGTTCAGGAGCAATTTCCTGCTCTAGGACGTGATACCTGTATTTTCGAGCATGACCGGAAGATAGTAGCTAGTTGAGGAATTCCCGGACCACTGACCAAAGATCGCCATTAACAGCACACATATCAAGCGATTACGGTGGGCTCTTGTTTTCTAAAGCTCTCTGTAATCCCACTATCTCTTATCAGATCCTTCTGTAGAGATCTGGTATTCTATCTTGGAAAGCTGAAGTTTGACCAGAGGATGTTCCCGGTCGCCTTCCCCATAGTATCGTGCCAGGACGTCTCTGGCTGAATCAATGCGACCGTGGCTAACGAGCCATCGAGGAGATTCGGGTAGCCACCAAGCAAACAGTACGACAATACCGCTAGCAATGAACTGACAATAGAGGGGAATGCGCCAGCCGTTCTCCTGGTTCTTGGTGCCATAGACGACCCAGGCGGCGACAATAGAGCCAACGTACCTGAGTTGGAGTCAGCTAGTAATCTTTAGTATACGATAAGCCATCCGATATACTCACCAGAAGCAGTTATACAATCTAGACAAGGGACCGCACCAAACGGGGTGAGCCATCTCACCCACGTACACAGGCCCGCTAACATTGACGAAACAGACTCCAAAGCCGAGGATGAATCGTCCGCCCATGAACATCCCATGATTGATTGCCCGAGAAGTCATTGCAGTCCCACCTAGGATGATCAATCCTCGGAGGAACATACCAGCTCGTCTACCCCAGCGATCATTGACAGGTCCAACGAATGGCACAGCACAGGCAGTTCCTAGATATCAAAGTCAGAAACCAAAACAACAGAGGTGAAGTTAAATAAGTCATGCTATACCAATACTGTAGATTGCGAAGATAATGCCCGTACTCGATGATGCAGACGTCCTAGAACCATGAGCCGAGTACACCGAGGGTATAGGGCTTATTTACTCACATATGGAAATACTTTTGATAAGAAGTCATAGCATTGATTCCACTGATGATGATTTGGTTAGAATCTTGAGAAACCAGACAGCGGCCGATACATGCCCCATGACTGCACCATCAAACCCATTCACGGTCGCGCATAGGTATCCAATTAACAAGCAGCCGTACAAGCGGAGCATACTCAAGGTCCAGAGAGAATATTTTTTCCCGTATGCTCTCGTTGCTATCTCAACAGCTTCCTCGACATTAAAATGATGACTCGCTAAAGGGTGTTCGACATGTTGCGCACCCTTTTGAGACCCAGCGTCGGATGATACCATAGTGCCGTATTATATGGAAGATGGAGAAGAGAAGCTATGGGGCGAACATTGCATTGGACGGTCCAACCATATATACTTCAAAATGTACAGTGCTTCACGGTGGGAGTAAAGGTTTAATCACCCCGTGGGGATTTCTCTGACTTCCCCGCCCTCTGGGCCCAGGAGCTAGAACGTAGGTTAGATCCAGGGCAGATTACTATTTCCCTCTCTAGACTCCAATGTAACAGAAGTTCAACTCCCAAATTGAGAGTCGTCCCTCTTCCGGAATACTCAAACTGTAATGGCGGATAGTCCCATCGCATGGAAGTAGGAGATAAGGTCCTGAGCGATATAGTCGTTTCGGATCAGCCCTGTGCATTCATCCAAGAGAAGAAGATCGGTTCCGTTGTAGGTCACCGAAGAGCCTGCCTTCAAGGGCCTAGAATACAAATTAGCTTTTTGGCAGCCCAGAACATGAAACAAGTACCACTATGCTGGCTTGAACTCACGTGAGAAACAGTGTAAAATTTGCCCCAAGTACGCCGTTCATCTTCCATCGGACAGCAATCGAATTCACATCGTATAGCGAGTGGATAGGCTCAAAGGTATATTTCTCCCATCCATTTCGTGATCTCTGGACAAAGGCAGAGAATTGGGATCGATTGGTCACCACCGTGAGGTCGCTACCATTGCCACTTGACGAAGGGAACCGGTCAGAGGACAGGACGACGTCGGGATGAAACGTGGTATTCATGAGTGATAGATCTCCACCCCAGATAGCAAGATAGTTGCTTAAGATGGTCTCTTGGTGACGACCATCCTTCGCATAGCCCTTGCAACAGGCCGAACTCGCATGGGCGTTGGAAAAGGCAACAAAGGACGAAATAAAAGCGTGAATAGAGTACTAAAGGGCGCCATTGTCTGACACTCAATGCCTTGGAATGGTTTAAGAGAAGCGAAGGTAAAGAGTCAGAGAAAATTGATTGATGGGATTTAACCAGAAGTTCGGCATGGAACTGTCTATTTATACTGCTTCAATGAAGCTACTGGTCTTCTGAGGAGCCATCAAAGATTGATTCTTCTTCGGAGATTTGGCCCCCAAATTTATCAGCACTATGCAGGTTGCGCGCAATCTTCCTTTTTGGGTTTAGCCTGTGGCTTGTGGCACTGCTATCTCCCGTGCGTATGGAAGCTCTGTTGTCGAACACAGACGGGGCATAATACCGCTAGACTAAAAATGCTCCATGGGCGACATTCTTAGTCATACGGGCTGTTTCTTGTTCCGACATCTGTTCTAACTAAACACGATCCACCCCAGGCTGAAAAATCAAAAATGCCAGGGAAAGAATACATTGCAGGTTCTTCTTGGCAGGAGCTGCAACGAAGAAGCGACCTAGGTAAATCCAGCCATTGGAGGGAGTAGCCGAGAAGAAGGCGTGAAGTGGACCTGGTTTTATTTCCGCTGCGTCGGCACTGTCTCGAGTGCCGATGGTTAGTGTTCCAGGACGCTTCAAACCTAGCATATCGTACCTGCAGTTGGCGCAAAAAAGGCCCTATACTGATAGGCCTCGCGTTTGGATGAAGGGATCCTCCAGCCTCAATAATAACAATGGAGCCGTCAGTGCGGCTTACAGCAACCGTAGTGTGAATAATGCAGGGAGGCTTGTACCTTTCCCATGCTAAGGTTATGCAACATGATTAACGATACATCGTTTTTATGTAACTAGACAAGGATTGTATACTTCCAGTGGTAAGGGGAACGACGAAACCGCGGTAGTTACTTCGAGCTACGAAAGCAGGCGCCTTTCGAGTCAGGTACGATTACCTTCACTAATGACTATAAAAGAACAAGTTTCCCTCGTGCTGCTCTAGATTCTGCCTTTGAAGGGATATTCTGGAACTCCTACTCACTTATGGATCCCAGATGGGGTATTTTTTTTTCCGTATAGATATGGAATTCCAATAGGAACTGCGGTCCAGACGTAGCGGTGTCATGAATCTAACTAATGAGGCCTGAAGTTAGGCAATAGTTGGACACCCATGGTGGAGGCAGCTGAAGGAATTATTGAGTTTGATCAGAAGGTTCAGAGTTCATGAGACGAAGTTTCTTCACCGGGTCGCTCGAGGTCCTGGAGCTAGACCGTTTTGAAGGTGATATAATAGCGCCCCTTCTTTGGGGCAGTTTGGCAATCTCTGGATAGCGTGCCTCTAAGGTGGCCTAGAGAGCGTTGCTGTATTAGCCACCCTGCGTGTTGACATCCGCTCTCTTATCCAAGAGCAGTTTTACAATCTCTCGATGGCCATTAAACGAGACGGCCTAGAGCGCGTTGCCGAAGAAGCTACCCTGGGCGTTGACGTCCGCTATCTCGTCTAAGACTAGCTTAGCGTACGGCAGCGGCTAAATTACAAAAATATCCCCTCAAGGTTCATAGTTAGCCGTACTCAGGGCCACCATTCTGTAACTAATTGCCTGATAAATATTAATAGTACAAGGCCAGAAAGCAGAAGTATACATGAAATAGTAGCAGTTCACAAACACGAGCCGAGGGATTAGAGAAGTGATCTAGCTTGATACGCTTTAGTCTTATCCCTTTCGAAAGATCTTCACGCAGGTCCTTCGGATGGTCGTCCCAGATAGCTGAGGAATATCTCTTGATCCATTTTTCAAAGGATCATTAGTAAGTTCAACTTCCAGAATACCCAATAGTGTCATACATCCTGACTCATTTAACCATGTTGTTCATCCGATGCCGGTTCCACTTGATCTCATTTGCCAATATGCATGCTATCAAATTCTGTATCTCCTTGTATTCACAAAAATTAATAGCTGTAGATCCACGTATAACGTTGATCACCCCTTCTTGCCGTGCTTGATTCTTCCATCGCAAATCGGGCTTGGTCCCAGCTCGCGATTTCTTTTCGCCTACGCCGATTTTCCAACATATAGAGTCCTCGCATGCCACAGAATCCGACAATGCCGACAGCAATCAAGATCATTGTTACGATCAGCGGGTAGTGATAAGAAGGCGCGTATGAGTGCTTGAATAGTTGTCCAGCGATCACACCTGCAATGTTAGACCAGCCATTTAGACCGAGAATTATTGCTCTCCCTCCCTATAACTGTGTCAGTGGATAATTAGTCCAACGGGCTTGATCAGTACGTACCTTCCATGGTGTGTTACCTGCCAGCCATACTGCGATCAGAGGCCCCCCAGCAAATACCCCAGAAAGACAAACATGAGCAAAGCCATATCTTACTCGTGGGTTTGACGAAGTTGCCATAACCACACACCCAATCAGACCAAGTGCCATCCCGAAGCAAGTATGAAGGCTGCGCTCCTTGAAATGGTCCGATGAATAGACGATAGCCAACAGACCAGCGGTTCCCACAACAAATGGTGAAACGGACATCAGCGTGGCTTCGATACCTTCATAGCCCATACCCTGGACGATAAGAGGTAGGAAGGTTGTAAAAGCCGTGACAGGCTTAAGAGACTCATCAGTAAACCCAAAAAAATACAAAGAGAATAAGGTCAAATCTCACCAGCACACTGAGAATATTGAACACAATAATCAGTAACTTCTTCCAATCCATGAATACGTCCTTCACATCTTGTAAAGTGATTTTGTGGTTATCCTTTGCGGTGTATAGGTCGCCATCACTGTCAATGGCCTCCCCGATTCCGGAATCAGAGCTCGTCTGGAGATCTCTCTCCATTCGGCGCAACGCGTGCCCTCTCTCCACTTCCGTCAGGAACCAAGCGTTAGAGATGTCTGTCGGCAGTACTGCAAGAGCAATCAAAGCCACCGCCACCGTCATGACACCTTCCACAAGAAACAGCATCTGCCATCCTCGTAGGGATGATGTCTCCGAATGGAGAAGGCCGTACGCAAGAAGGCCAGCAAATGCACCCGCCACTGAATACATGCCTGAGAACATACCCATACGGAATCCCAAAGAAAATTTCGGGTAAAAGGTTGACATATAATAATATGCAGTCGGTGTAAAACCCGCTTCCGCAACTCCAAGGAGTAAACGCAGCGCATAAAAGGTGGAGGAGCTTCTAACTGCCATGTGTGCAATACAGATGCTTCCCCAGGCAATCATCAAAGCTGTAATCCACCATTTTGCTCCCACTCGGCGACCTATTATGCTTGATATGGGCTGGAGAGGAACATATGTCGCAGAGAACTAATTGAGTGTTAGCATTCAACTCGTAGCTGCACCAATGCAAACTAGAAACCTACCAAGGACAAAGAATTCGGAATGTCGTTGGGATTCAGATGGGCATCTTTGACAAATGTGCTAGTCGCAACATATCCGATATTTGTCTTGTCAATACCCAAAAGCTGTGATCTCCTGGTAAGCAGCGAGTACGGGGATGCCGGAAAGACAGCGCGTAACAACTTACAATGAAACCCAAGGAGAGAAAGACAATGATGCAGAGATCAAACTTCAAGTTGACTCTTCTATCCAAGGCTTTCTCTTCCTCGGTAGCCGGCACATAATGAGTTACTGTAGAACGAACAGGGGCGGCTTCATGCTTTGCAATCTCAACCTCGGCGACGGAAGTCTTGTCGTTATTTGCTGCCAAGCTAGTCGTCATAGCTGAGAAGATATTTGAATAACTGGGAGCCTGAACCGATGAACATCATGGGACTTTCTGTTATTTATGCTGATCTGCGCGCCCATCGAGCCGGAAGTGTGGGGAAAAGTTTGGTGAAAAGTTTGGGGTTTGGGAGAAATTGGAAAGCGTGGTTCGTGGTTCCCCACAAACGTGACCCCGCAAAGGCCCTCGAGCCCGAATTGTCGAATTTTCCCCACCGCTTTCTGGGGAACATGACACCTCCTTGCTAGTTAATCTCAGCACATTGAGGACACATGCTTGACGTGCGTCTAGCCTCTATGGTTGTATGTATCTCGATATCGAAATGCCTCCATCCCTCCCCCGTCGGCGCAAGAAACTTGACTTGGAATGCAATGACTGTGGGAAAAGGTACACAAAACGAGAACATCTCCAGGTAAGACACTAGCCTCACTTCTTCAAAATTCAGAGCTGAGAAACCTCTGTAGAGACATGAACGAATCCGTAAGTTCTAAATTCTGAAAGCGAGCAAATTCATAGTAACAGAAATTCTAGATAGCGGTGACAAACCTTTCATATGCCCCCTTTGTGGTCGGTGCTTCGCTCGGCAGGATGTACTCAATCGACATGCTCGCGTCCATCGGGGTGATTTCCATCCAGGTCTCGGAGCTGTACATACCCCAGAAGATATCTCGATCTCACCGCTATCTTTGCAACAACAGCCAGTTGAGGCTTCGTACGTGAACCAGAGTCACGATACCCTATCCCTTGAAGATTGTTCTTCCCTACTCTGGCCCGACTCCGAGGACCTGTTGCAGAACATCCTGGCAATTGATCCTGGCATCTGGAACCAACCGGCTTCCCTTATGCCGCAGACGCTCAGCATTCCTCCAACTCCTTTGCAAACCACTACAGATGGGCGAGATGTCTCACCATCAAATCGTAGTAGCATCGCAGAAGATGGGGAGCGAGCGATCCAGTCCTTGAGCGGACTCATCAATGAGACGGTAATTCATATCATCACCAAGTGAGATAATCTAACAGCCAACTAATTACCGGTTAGTTCTGCAATGTGACGGCTCCATCAGCCTTGGCAGGGCTCACTTCGCGGTTTCTGGATAGTAGTCTGCATATGTTCTTCAGATTCATAGTTCCGATGTTTCCAGTGATCCATCAGCCAACATTTGTCTTCCGAGATTGCCCTCCACCTCTGTTGCTGAATGCAATTGCACTGGGTGCCTTATTTTTGGGGACTCCAGACGCAATTGTGAAGGTGAGCTGATCCCAACGTCATTGATAGAGTGGAGGTAACTCACAAGGACAGGCGGATGCTCTCTGGCAGCTCGCTCACACCGCTGTCGCAACATCATGGCACACAATGATTCAGCAAAAACGACCATATGATTCATGCAATGGAGTCTGCCTTGTCCAAACAATGCTACTAAGTCAAATATATGCTGCATTGTCAAAAAGTCGGACTCTGCGAACCACTAGCCAAGTCTTTCATGGGTTGGCGCTCTTCTGGGCTAGTCACTGTGGCATGTACGAAGGGCTAGATCAACCTGCATTGCCCTCCCCAGACGCGCATCCCGACATAATCCAACGCACTTGGCATAGTTGGATTGTTCAGGAAACCAGACTTCGCACTTTGCTAGGACTATACATCGTGGATGGCGTGGTGTCTCAATTCAGCGGTAATCCGACGTTCGCACGACACATGGCCAATCCCCTCACTCTACCCAGTGATGAGTCCATTTTCAATGCTGCCACAGCCCAGGAGTGGATCCACACAAGTCTAAATAGCCGGTTATTACCGTCGAACAATGTTCGGTTTTGTGACGTGTTCCACACACTTTTTCACCAGGCGACAGGACGCGCACGAGCATGAGGCCGCAGTATGGTATTTCATTGTTTCATCACAAGGTTGTTCTCGAAGGTATCCGGTCTCTTGTTGCAGATGCAACTCGAACGAAACCGGTACCAGTTGGTGTTCCGTCAAAACAAGAAATTGGCAATGCTGTCATAAGGTTACGGGAACAGATAATTCAAAACCAACATCTCTCCTCGTCAGACCAAGCAGTCGCAATGCTGCAGTGGCACACAATATGTCTCGATTTGGTTGTTAACACAGCACGAGGTACCCGCCGAATGTGTTCGTTGCATGGGATTCCACAGCGCATCTTTGGAGGAGACAGTCGCGACGAGCAGGACATAGATCCACGCCGCTGGGCACAAAGCAAGAATGCGCGCATTGCCTTACTGCACGCATCTCAACTTCAAGAGCTTGCTACAAATCTCCCGCTCGGAATGGCCTATGATATCAATGTTCCCGGTGCTGTCTTCGCTGCAGCGACCACGTACAGTGCCTTTGCTTTGGCGGGAGCTGGGAAAGTGGTTCTGCCTTCTGCAATAGACTGGGTGGCCACCGTTCAGGCTGCTACCATGGATGAGCAAGTGGGAAATTCAAGGTCGCACATTACCTCCAACGAGACCCTGTCATTTGTGACTGACGGGGCTTTCGCTAGGGGCCCGCTGCGAGATCTTTCTTATGAGTTGACATCTATTCGAAGCTTGTTGCGGTCTCTCTCGTTGCAGTGGAGCGTTGCTGAGGAGATGGAACAGGTTGTTGGTGCTTGGATTGAGCGCATGCAATGAACCTTTTCGTGAGGAATTTCCACTGCGAATAAACCTAATAGTCTCTGGTATTGGTAGTCATATAGCAAAGTACTACTGGACAAGAGAGTACCGATCTATGCTCCTTAAAAACTTATACTATCGAGTGAAGCACGCCCCTTTGCGGCTTTTTTAAAAGTGAAAAAGCTGGACCCCTATCCTGCTGCCGCAAAGCAATATTTCACAGCATAGTAGCAGACTATGAAAAGTTGAATTAAGTGTTATAGGAAGCTAAGATGATATGGCTTTGTATCGATTTATGGTGCTGGGTGTATCAAGGCAAACAAATTAAAGAGAAATAGATAATGCTCTCCACCATCAACGAGAGCGTGCTGGCACTGCACGCAACGGACAACTTGTGATTCCCATCTCCGGCATGGCCGCATATTCAAGGGTCCCATTGACTTCAAAGTCGTCCGTCCGTTGTAATATTACTCGAAGCGCGATCTGTAGAGCCCTATCTGACATTAATATATCTGCACCTCTCCCCTCTATCGAGTGTAGACAATCCAAAGAACTCACATTCTTGCAAGAGGCATCCCCGCACAACGATGTCTCCCCCTTCCAAATCCAAGATGCGAGCTAATATTCTCCCGGTTGAGGATGAATGAGTTAGGATTTTCAAACACTTCCGGGTCACGATTTGCAGCTGCATATGTCATGGTCACTGGCTGCCCTGCTGGTATCGTACGGCCATGAAGATCAATATCGTGTTTTGGAGTACGACAGAATCCCCGATATGGCACGTAGAGGCGTATGAATTCTTCTACAGCAGCAGGTATGAGGGCTGGATCGGCTCGAAGCTGGGCTTGTAGTCCTCGGTCTCGGGAGAGATGAGCGCAGATATCGCCCAGTAGAATTGGAGGGGCAACCATGCCGACTACAAGCGACTGGCGAAGAGCACCACTGCGTGCGACGATTATGTTATTAGCGCATATTCTACAGGGCATTCTCCTTCGTCATATGCTATGATCAGTACTCACATAAGAAGCTCGTCATCCAACGGCCGCCCATCTGGTCCGACTTCGAGTAATAGTGAGGACGCTGGATCCATCTCTGGATCCCGGTTTGACTTCTTCCGGTTAGCAAACAACTCCCTTGCTAGATCATACAGCTGCGCAGAGTGTGCGCTTGTCTCTGCGGCGTTCTGCTGACGCCACGCATTGACCCATTTGGCCGCCGTGCTCGCCAGAACAGGTGCAATCTCATCCTCGAGGTTCAACCACGCCACCTCGACCCATGCGGCAAAGGACGCACCAAACTGGGCAGAGATATCGATTTGACAAGTCTGGGACTCATTGCCGTCGTCTTGATCGTCCACATTTTTTGCCTTCAGAAGAGCGTCAAACTCTCGCTGCGCGTGTCTCTCAAGTATCGGAGCAAGTCGCTTCAACCGCGCAGGTTTGAGCGTCCGATCAAGCGCTGTACGATAAGGTGTGTGAGCTGGTGGATCTGTATTAAGCGGTGGACGGCGAATGCCTCGTGGGTCGCTTGGAATGACTGCTTTCACAGACGAGATAAAAGTATCCGTGTCGGACGCGGCACGCTTCACGTCGTCATAGCGTGTCAGAAGCCAAAAGCCCCCAGTTTGGGAGGTATGTGCGACTGGGCATTTACTGCGCAATTGATCGAACTGCTCGTAAATTTTGTCCGGGTTGTTGTCTTCGATGAGGGTGAAGTCGTCGTGGACAGAGGTGGTGATGGTGAATGACATTGTGGGGCTATCTGTATATTTGGATGGAAAGTGGCAAGACAAATCATCGGCTATTTTGGTATTTATGTGAAAAATGTTGAATGGAAATTGAGGTAGCGACTGCTCGGTTCTTCGTGCCGGGGATTAATATTCAATCGGGACCAGGTCAACCAAATCGTGTGGGGAACATGGGGACACGATGGGGACACACAATTAGGTACCTCGGGTTGGGGTATAATCTGCTAAATCGATATCATACTATTCTAACCTACATTACAGGTATTCTAGTATTCTGGTTAGACTGTCATTAGTGTAGAGATCTGAAATTGAGATTACTGCCTTGCAGTCGGATCAATAAGCCTGATACAAGCTTAAGCTCATGGATCGGGTGGCATCGAGACTAACTGGCCGAATATCCACCTCGGCCTTCTACCCTGGTCTACGCTCTCAAACCATTGCGCGATGTAATGGTGAAATGCAGTAACTTATAAATTATATTCATTATTCATCATTCGATTATTCAACCCGATAATACCAACGGACCATCAGAAATATACCATCTAGAACTGCCACTGCTCACACCACCGCTTCATCAACTCTGCCGTCACCGGCTCCATCCGCCGCATCGTCTCGCTCGCCTGCTCCGTCCGCTCCGTCGCAAAGCCTGCACTACCTGCCTCACCGTACGTCGCCTTCGTAGACGCAAGACGATACGTATCCAGAAGCTTCAGGCCCGGATTCTGTTCCAGATCCACCTCGCCAACTGCGCTCTTCTCTAACGCTTCCACCCACTCCTCCAAACTCACAACACGCTCAATCCGGCTTCCATAGAAATCCGTTACTGTAGGGACAATAACCCCCTTCCAGTCCGGAAGGTTCGGATTCACCGCGTGAAAGTACCCGCCATTGCCATCTTGGTCAGCAGTAACCTCCATAACAACACCCGCAATGTCCTCCACAGGTGCCCATCCCATATTACCTAGTAGCCCAAGCTCGCTGGGCACCAGGCCCAGGAATAGTGAGCTCCGAATAAGACTCGGAAGCCACTCGCGCGGGTTCCATTGGCCCTGTTTCGCCCGGGGGCCGGCGACCTGGCCTACGCGAACTACATTTCGTGGCACTGACGATACTGTTGCTGCCGCATCGAGTATCAGGCTTGCGGCAAGCTTTGACTGGCCGTAGCCCATCTGGGAGGCGTGCGTGAAGTCTGAGAGGGGTTGTTCGGGAATGAGGGCTGACTCAGTCCATTGCTCGACCGTGCTTACGGACGAAACAAACGTGATAGGGATACGTTTGGCAGCGGCAGCGGCGAAGTCGATGAGGTGCCGGACACCACGAAGGTGTGGTTCGAAGGACGCGATGGATTGATTGAAGTCAACGGGCCAGGCGTTGTGGATTATGCGGTCGACTGTGCTCGCGAGGCAAGCTGTGATCTCTTCGGGCAGGTTGAATGTAGCTGAAGAGGAGAGGTCGACGGTTAGGAATTCGATGCGGGATGGTGGGAAGTCAGTGGAGAGGCCGCGGGCGCTGCTTGCAGCGATTTGGCGCTCGCGTGCGTCGGGCGTCCGGTTGAAGCAGATGATCTTTGTGATGTCCTGGTTTGCGAGGGCAAGGTCAAGGAGATAGCAGCCTAGAGCTCCAGTTGTACCAGTGATAATAATGGTTTGGTTTGTGGCGGCGGGAAGGGGTTTGTCGGGTGTTGGGGAAGGGAGGTTCTGCGTGTATTTTTCGACAAGGGCCGAACATAGGGCCAGAGTGTTGGCCTCGGTGCTGGTGACTGTAGTTCCATTCGAACTAGATCCGGCTAGAGAATTGATGAAGGAACTGAGCTTGGCGATGGTTGGGTACCTATAGATACTCCTCGCCTCAATAGTTTCCTTGACACTAGCGCTCAACACCCGTGCCAGTTGGAGAACCTGCAGCGAGTCGACGCCCACAGTAAAGAAATCATCATCAACGCCGAGTGCAGGCAACTTCAGCGTCCGTTGCACCAAATCCTGGATTCCATCCGCAAGGGATGTTTCTGAGCTAAAATCGAGCTCCACTCCTGCGGCTGGGACACCGTTGGCTTCAGAGCTAGATTCAAAGATGCGGCGAATATCGTCTGCGTAGAGCTTTACAGCCATGGCGCGCTGGATTGTCCCCTTGCCGGCCCGCGGAAACGGTCGCGCTGGGTCAGATACAAAGACATAGTCACGCAAGATGCGACCATGCGCGACAGTCTCCTCATTGACCTTCTCGATAACCGGCCAAACCTCGTCGAGGAACCGCTGCTTCTCCTGCTCATTTGCCGGATGTTGCGCCGGCTCAATCAGCAGCGCAGCATGAAACTGTCTCGAACCCACTACTTGCGCGCCTAGAACCCCCGGATGTCCGATTACCGCTCCTTCGATAGTTGTGGGGTTGAGTTTCTCGCCGGTGGAGAAGACTATAATGTCGTCAGCGCGACCCACGTAGGTCCAGTGGTTTGGTAAATTCGGATGCGGCCGGTAGAGGTCCTTCGTGCTGTACTCGTCTAGCTCAGGAAAGACGTAAAAGCACCCCTGCAGACCCGGATGCTTCTTATTCTGCCGAATGAAGACTTGCTCGTATGTGTCCTCGCCAAAGGGCCGCCACTCGATACCCAACAATTCTGTCGGGACGATAAACCACTCCCAGAGGGATGAGTCTGGTTGCGTGTAGTACGGCATGTAGATGTACTCGGTTGCCCCGATGGCATTGACTAGCTTGATCTCGTTGCTGAGCAGTGAAGCCGCTGCAGCGGGGGCGATTGGGCCTGCAGATAGGGCTAATGTTAATATCGGCACGCACTTGGATTTTTCGCTCACTTACCTCCTCCAAAGGCCACAACTTGCAACCTCCTCAGCTCATCGAGCGCGGCCTGTGACCGCGACATCTGCTCCAGGATCGCCGGGGGCAGGACAGTATAGGTCGCGCCGGAGTTCTGCAACCACTCAACCACGTTATCCCCCGTGAGCGGAACCGACGGATCGCGAAATAAAACCGGAGTGTTGTAGTAGAAGCCCGACAAAACCGTAGGCATAATGCCTGCGGTATGGAACAGAGGACAGGTGCAGAGGTACCGCGGATTATCGAATTTCCCCCATGTCGGCAACCACGGCAGGTTGCCCTCGTACTCGGGAACATAGCGATGCAGGTCGTTCAGGGCCAGCTTGCCCTGGGGGATAATGACTGGCTTGGGGAGACCCGTGCTACCGCTCGTATGAAGAACCACAAACGGGTCCCACTCGGCCTCGGCGAAGGTCTTTGTATACGGGAATGGGGCGACCGGCGTGGTCACCCACTCTTCCCACGGAGGGATTGCGATGCTCTTCATCCCCGAGCGTCCAGCGACCCATGGCCTCACCATTGATGCCAGCATCTGGTCATGGTATAGGAGATTGCAGTCAGTCTTGTCAAACAGGTTAACCTGCGCCTCGACGGAATTCCGCGGCGAAATGAACAGAGCCTGGTACCCTGCCTTAATTGCGCCCATGATAAAGAGCACATAGCGTGGGTCTTCGAGCCCGATGTATGCAATCGTGGGGAAAGAACCAGGCGTTGGTGTCCCAGCCTGCTTGATCAGCATGTGAGCCACGTAGTTGACGGCATTTGCGACCTGCGCCCAGCTCACAGGCTTCCAGCCGTCGCGGGGGTTGCCATGAGTCCGGGGAACGGACAAGCATTCAACGTCTGGCGTCGCGATGGCCGTTGCGTCGATGACATGGGGCATTAAGCGTTTCCCGCATTCGCCCCCATGGAGCGGATGATTATCCGAGTCTGTAATTGTACCGAAGACGTTCATATTCTTGGCCATCGTGTGCGACGCGTCGCTGTTGCGACTTACGAACTCTCCCATTTTTGCGACACGATTGACTTTCACAACTTAATGCGAGGTCCATCCCCCCATTATATCCACTAGACGCCTTTGTCCGCTGTAACGAGTCTCAGCTCAGCTACGGCGACTCCGTGTTTTGCCTATACCAGTTGAAGCCAAAGTGGCTACCTGGAATTCCGGTGGGCCCCCGTCATCAGGCTCGAACTGGTGTTCGGGCACGGCGACAGACCAACCAGGGTTAGGCTGGCAAAATATGTAGGTTGTGGCGCGGCTGAGACCCGCCAGCTCAGGCCCTCGGGGCGAGAATAACCGAACAGCCAAAGCATCTCTATTCGCTGATGCCCGAGAGTGATAGGTTTGACAGCACAGACAGCGCAGACACGTTTATCCATGACTCGCGTGGGCTGTGGATACAACTTCGAGTGTTCCGCGTCCACGTGCCGGACCTAGGCCGAACTATATATCTCGGCAGCCGGACCAAGCCGGACCCATAACGGGGCGTGGAACGAAACATTTAGAACCGGATTGCGGTCCATGAGAGAAGGAAGTTGGGGCACAGGTTAGCACTATTCGATCAAAACAAAGGGTGACTGCATTCGGCTTGGCAGGAGGGGCTGTAATGATAGAGAAGATCGTCTAATGCAGGGTGCTCCCATCGTGTGTCTGAATCTCGCAAAACCATCATTTGGTGGGACATTCCGCTTGTCCTGGAACTTTACGTAGGCGCGCTTGGCCTCAATGACGAGAAAATGATTCCGTATCACTTTATTCGGTCTTCTGAGGATATCTGTAACATCTTCTTCCTCTTGAACCTATCCGAATTCTGTCCACTGAAATCGTACTGGATGACTGCATCACTGGTAATTACGTAACCTAGGAAGACGCCGTAAGCGTTGCTATATCGGCGTTGTCTGGTATCCGTGCAGCACCTTCGCATACGCCAACAATCAAAGCGATTTGGATCTCGGTATAGCTGAATCCGAGGTTTGTCGCTACGTCGCTACGGCCGCGGTTGACCCTTTGCCTTTATCTGCCATATAGCACAGGACCACGTAATGTCGTCCGATCCTCCCATTGACATACGCGTTCGTATCCCCGCGCTCTTTGCCGTACCACCGCCCTGGCCTATCGTCAGTTTCGTCGAAAAGAGCTTCGACATCGTCAGCTTCCAATGTAAGCGCGCAGGCGATTGCAATTATGCAATAGGGGCCTGAAGGGGCTGAATGGTAAAGCGGCACTAGGATCAAGCCTCACGAATTCTAGTCATCAACAAGCAACAAAAACAAAAAGATACAACAGCCATACTATGGCCATGCTCACCTAGCGCTATCGTTCGGTACTGGGCGGCTCGCCGCTTTACGCAGTCGGCCTTCACGCGAGTGCGGGCGGCTTCAGGGGGAAGTTCACCCACCTGAATATTCCTCACCCAGAAGGGTGACGCCCTGCCCCAAAATGTGCCTTTCTACAATTTGATCAAGGGAAATACCGCGATACGGGATTAGACTCTATGTTCTTGCCTTCGAGGCAGTTGCCGCCAGTTGCCATTACCCTTTTCCACTTCCCTTTCACCTTAATCCTATCCCTCTGCTATTTCCCTCTTGCTTTAAGTTGGAGGCAATTATAACAAAAAAAGACCGACTGCTAGCTTACACCCGTAACGTGGTAACCTAAGCGACTTCGATAACTTTGAAATTAGATGGCTAGTCCTGTCGCGTACAGCGAACGGCTATAAGCGTGCCCTGAGAGTCTTTGATAAGTTAGTGTATAGTTCTCTATCGAATTCTATAGATTAATCCTCGTCTAGAATGAAAGACCTAGAAGATTATAATTCCTAGGCATATTAGAATATTAGAACGAAACTTAGACAGAAAGCGACCGAAACACTACCGGCACGCTATACATGCCCTAATAGCTATATAGTATTAACATTAGTGCTTCTTGAAGAAGCACTAATGTCATTACCCAAAGCTGGAATACGCTCTGCGAGGTTTTCGATTCTGTGTCACAACATCACTACTGCTAAAGTCACTCTTGCTACTATGGGACCTTCAGAATAATAAATTGTGATTTTTAGTATCTCAATTAATTTTCCAGGGCATAATCTGACCCTGGAAACTAGCCCCTATGGTGCGATTGAACCCCGCACCTTGTAAAGCTATTTGTCCTACATGCCAGAAGCACTCCCTAACAGTTACAGTGGCAGTGTTAGAAGTGTCGTCATGGCACTTCACAGGGGAAATTTGCAGCGTCCATTCCCCGCCAACCACAGCTTGTCGAAGAAACAAGACTTGGTCGTAAGTGGTGAGTACCCCGTACTTCAAACTCAGCAGATCCATGTACTTCGCAACTTGACCTAGAACGGTATAAGTGCAAGACCACGAGTAAACACAGCGAGCCCAAAGATATTACCTAGCATATTGCGCAAGTGATTGTCACTAAGTCCCATTTGCCAGCTATGGACCGCTCTCCTAATATCATGAGCGGGTACCCAGGGAGTCTTGATCTCGCCAACTATGATCGAATTACCAGCTCCGTTCATTACGATAAAATCAGGCGTCTTAGATAGAGCAGTGGTCGCAACACATTTCGAATCGCCAAACTCAAAGGAAGGAGGTTGGTGATTGGAGATATGGCTGAGCACTTGCCCAACCCTCTCTTCAAAACGCCCTTGGACACCATGCTCGTCACCCACATGTACATACTCTGAAGTCTGCACATGGGGGACGAGCACGTTCGCCCATTGTCGATGGTCGACAGCCTGGCGTACGGAGGCCTCGAAGCCACTCCACACGCCAAGCTTGCCGACAAAAATGGTGTCATGTATCGCCGAGCTTGTGGTCGTATGCGGGCCCTTTTCGAGGGGAGGAAGGGGTTCTTGGAGAATTTGACTTGCGCTCCGAGCCTGCCGGGGTGCGCTGCGAGCTCGCTGAGCAGCACGCTGCGCAGCGCGTGGACGTGCCCGGCGAGTGGGCGCCATGTGGATTGTGATGATGAACGCGTAAACTGTAAAATGGGACGAAAGCGAGGTCAGAGATGCTGTAAACGCCGTGATGGTAAGCAGTGATGAAAGATACCTTTAGGACTTGGTGCATTAATCCGTGTCTGGAGCTAAGGCTGAGAGTGGGAGAGGGGGAGGAGTGATAAACGCGCAAGCTAGCCTGAAGTGATTTTTTAACTCTTTTATTAACATATGAGAGGAAACTGCGAAGGATCTTTTTCGTATCTTCGCTGCCACTTTGGGAAGGCACGTGGTATCACCATACGGACGCTGAGGGAGATGTGTTCCAGTGACGGCGTAGACGTAGAATGCTGGAGATGTATAACACTAATGTGTAGAAAGCTTCTAGATAGCGGGATTGATGAGATACACGAGTGGTAAGGAGCATCATTCGGCCACCAAAGTCTGGCGTGTATTCTATTGTTGATATGGCCAGTCAAAGTATTCGCTCAGCTGATTGCCAGTGCGGCGCCCAAGACTCCAAGCCTCAAGTCCAGGACCTGCCACTAAGAGAGCCAACGCGGCTTCCAAATTACTATGAGCGGCAATAACCGGATCGTCCAAGAGATGGAAACTCAAAGTGCCTTGCAGCAGGTACCGCCAGACAGTTTGAGAGATCTCCTGCACTATCTGGCTCAAGTGTGAGCAGACATATTTACAAACTGCTGAATTAAAGCTACAGTTACAACGTCGTCGACAGCTACAGCCAAAAGTACCTAGGAGACGAGAACACCTGGAAGACGAGTTAAGTTCGGAGACGAGCTAGCTTGGGAAACCAAGAGAGCCACGAGGGAGTACAGTATGTGTCATATCACCGCAAGACGAGGACTCTCGCTAACGAATCAGGTCTAAGGCGAGGACAGACTGGTTCACGGTGATGAAACACCTCTAAGGGAGAGTATGTTTCTCACACTACAATGGCAGAGATAAACAAGGTGTCTCGGTGGTGTCAGCACACAAGCACCTGCATGGGCTTTCGCAAACCACCGAGAGGCCTGCGAAGCCAGTGACAGCTGGATATGCTCGAGGTGCAGGTGGAGCAGGGAGGTCAAACGAGGCACGGCTATCGGGAGGAGAGAAAACAAGGTATGTGAGCATCGCCGGTGTGACGAGACTCGCTAACTTGGAGAGCACCTAGTCCAGGACAGAAATACATGCATGAAGTTCACGACCTACATCTACGAAACTGAGCACGATCCTACACTGCGATGGGCGGCAACTACCCTGTTGCCAGTGATGCCAGCGCGATGGACCATGAATGATCACAGCACGCGTTCATTTACTGAGTGGAGTCACAGCTTCAGGCCCTACGCCATTGACAGCGCAGTACGACGGGGCCGTGGAAACTGAGGGAGGCACAAAGATCAGGTCAAAAACACGGCACGCGAGTCTTCACGCAGGGGAGAAACTCTACGAGTCAGTGTGCTCTGAGGCCAGAGCCATGAGCGTCACGCACATCAGCTGACTCTTCAAAAGTTAGCCAATGCCCGGGCTACCACAAAATAGGCGAACAAAGTGACCCAAAGCTAACAGCAGAATTTACGCAGCAGCGCTTTAACTGAAGAGAGAGCCGCTACCAGTACACTGGACGGGACAACCTGTGGTACTGCAGAACCAGCCATGGGCATGCCGACTCTAACCACTGCCGCTGCCACTGCGCCGTTCACATCTCAGCACAACTAAGATTCCGGGCAGGTTTGATTGGGCACGCTGGGTGAGAAACACGGATGAGAAAGAGAGCCCGACTCATCATTTCAGCAGAGCAGACCTGCTAACCCAGATTTTGCTGAAAGCAGGACCACGAACTTCCCATACACCAATTGCCTTTACCAGAGCGAGCGCAATCCCTACACGATCACAGGCCGCGACGACTGCGAGAGCCAACGACAACACCACAGAAGCTCCTGCAGCTGTGTTTGCGCACGTACACGCAACTCCCATATTCGTATGAGCACGAGTGACACCGAAGAATCCTGCGATGAGTCTACAAACCGAGGCGGAGCAAAAGTTCGGGGCTTTGGCAATGCACGGGCATAATGGATGTGGCTACTTACGCGGTCATTACAAACGAATGCCGCTGGAGAGGGATATATGGTGTGCCTGTCGAGGTCTCTGGTAGCAGACTCGTGGTTTTGGACGTGGGCGGATGGGACCATCCATCCCACAGATATTTGTGGGCGGAAAGCTTCCTTGGGCATACAATCGATGTGGCGGCTCACATACAACTAAGAGTAGAGTACCTTTGACTCATAAATTGCATCTTTAGCTTGCTCATATACTTCCTGGTCGTCCAGAGGCACAACCTGTCACAAAAAGCATTAGTTTAAAGTCTGATCATCACGGGTCTTCTCCCATACTCGAAACACCCACAATCCAATAGATGCACTTGTATCCCTCGATCTGCAAATCTTTCCAGAGGCCCTCGACTTTGTCCTAGTCCCAGCCACACTCGTCTCGCTGCTTAATAAGGCACTGCCGGTGAGTCAGGGACTGCGGATCCCAGGGAATCAGAGCCAATCTGATTATTAGGGCCATATCGAATCACCTGATTACCAGTGAGAGCTACCTTTCACTGAGGTGTCGAGTTTGTTGAACGGAGCAAGAAAGAAAAGGAGAACGAGGCTGCGCGGCGCCGTTAAATATGGAGTCATATCTAGACTCCGTTAATGTAAACATGTCGGAGGAAATAGACCCCAGGCCAGTATCTACTACGGAAATCTGTACAAGTGGACTTGCCGCCCTTCTCTCCGCTCGACACTTCACGCCCGAATTCTCGACAGGAGATTGACCTATCAGTAGGTGTAGACGAGTAATTATCCTCATTGTTTAGGGACCATGATACGGTACTGAGCAGTACCAGAATTGCATTGAGATGTTTCAGGCAGAAAGCATGTCGTCAGCGCTCAATTTCCTGCCTGATTCATTCCTTAGAAATTGGGTTTGAGGCTTTGTAGCCTTGCAGGCCTCCCATAGAACCGGAGATGCCTGGAGGGCCGAAATGGGTTTAGTGCAAATCACCGCTCCCAGTTCAAGCCACAACTATTATATCAACACCACTCACATCTTTTACCTGCCACATTTTGGAGCTCCACCGTTTCCTAACCATCATCAAGAATGACATCCCCGAGATCCTGGTTCGACCAGGGACCCATGCGTGGGCGCTACGAGCGCGGCAGCATCATTACCACCGATGACGGAACCGAATGGGAAATCGTCGGACGCCTCAAACAAGACGACCTCCAGACAGAGGGCAAGTTGGTCACCCGACCCAGCTATGCCGCCCTAAAATTGCACTGCATGAAGGCCAACGTCGACCCGAGCGAGAGAAGCGCAAGCGAATCATTTGCGCGGGTTTATGTGCAAGTTCCCTACCTTGGGACGGAGTTTGACGATGCACAAACTCGCGCCGCGCAAGCCGATCCGGCCTTTCAGCCTGACGAGCTCGAGGCATATCGCACCCTCAGCGACCATACGGTGGTCTCGACGTTCACACCGAAGTTCCTGGGATCTAAGGTGTCGGTGCAAGAGCTCTCAGGCTTCGTGCCAGGCGGGTTTCTTATCCTCGTTGTATGGGAAAGAGTTCCCGGGATTCCCCTCGGCGATACAACCGGACAAGCAACTGGATATTGGACACAGTCTAAACGCGAGCGCAAAAAGATCCGAGAAGCTTTTAAAGAAACCTTCAAGTAGGCCAGCTACTCTGAGCGGATTCTGAATGTTTATTGACTTTGGTGATCAATTTAGGGAAATCTCCTCTACTGTTGGTATCTGGCCAAGGCCTACCTCTCCCCACCACTTAGTCTGGAATTTCCTGACCGAGACTTTGTGAGTTTATCACAGCGAGGAGTGCCCATTCTTGGTCATCGTTAATAGTCTAATCTGTTTCTTCTAGATTCTGGGTTGGGTTCCGTCAATTCGATCGGAAAAAGGACATAGTCTGGAGTGAGACCTGGCTCCCTGCATATGACCTCGTCAAAACCCCGCCGGGTGATAAGTGGGCAAGAATGGACTGGGATGGTGATACTACGTGCTGGATAGGCTAGCGATTACATTGTACTTCAATAGCTAGTCTAGCTTTCGCTGGATCTTGCTACAACAGAAAGATTGATTGATTAATTGAAGAAAGCAAAGACTCGAACGAATGGGAAAAGGGGCTAATAGAGTATCTAGTAGAGGTCTTTACGCGGTATTGCGACGGGTTTCGTAGGAAAATATATTCATAGTGCGGTCGGCGTGTACGGCGTCTCTCTTGTGCATCCCCAAACGCCGCTAAACCAAATTTGGTACCATCTAACGAAGTACTCAGAGATGCTTAAGCAAAAACCTGTACATATCCTCCAACTGGACATGCTCATCGAGATCAAAAAAATGAGATAAGCCATGCACACGCTTGTAGCCTACCTCCATATTTAACCCTACCATCACACCAACTACCTCATCACTCTGATCAATGCCAACATCTTGGTCCCCGTCCGGATGCACAATATACGTGGGCGGCAAGCCATATTGAAAGATGCTCTTCGCAATGCGGAATCTGTCTCCGGACCCGATGCGTAGGAGTGCACCGAGGTTGGCTTTCTCCAGCATATAGTTGTACATTTTGTTCCGGTTGCTTTCGTCGCCGGGTGCAGTGTTAGTAATCGCGTCGGATTGAGGATCCAGGAACTCAGTGATTGATGCGGAATCCGTACGTGCTGTGCCCAGATTGTGTAGTTGGGATGTTGTGAAGAAATTCCCTAGTGGGTCTGTGACGGGGTAGATGCAAAGTATGACCTTCGGTTTAGGGTTGATGTACAGGCCAGCAAGGAGGGATAGGTATCCGCCAGCTGAGCTTCCTGACACCGCAAGGCGCTGGGTATCCAGGACGTCTGGACCCGTGTGTTTGGCTAGCTCAGTTCGGATGAAGGCTATACAGTCTTGGACATCTTCAAAAATATCTTGAACACCGACTTGAGGGGCTAATCTATAATCGGCAGAAACAAGTGCATAGTTGTATTTTCTGATACCCCTAGTCATATGCGGCGGGATATTCGTATCTCGTCGACCCTGGCTTTAAAATGACATGTTAATTATCAAGTTTCAGTGAATATACAATTGCCATCAGGGACATACACAAGGCCACCACCATGGAACCAAAGAAGGACAGGTACTTTATGGGCATTAGGAGGGAGGGTCAAATCCAGATGTATATGGGAGCGGGCCAACTTTCTTGTAGGTAATTTTGTGCGGTTCCAGAGTGTCCATATTTGATGAAATGAAGTCGCAACTACTATTCCTGCGCTGAGGATTCTTTCGCGCAGATTTTTATATCATGTGCGGGCTTGAGAGAGGACCAAAGGCGTTGAAGAACTCCCTCGACGAAGAATATGATAGAGCACAGAATTTCAGCCTGCACAAGCACAGTCATGGGCCAATAGGGTCCAATTTTTAGGATTTGAAGACTTGCATTCCGTAGAGCCGTCCACTCGTAGTTATACTGTAAGCCAGATTACCTGTATTGTCATTCAATGCTGAATCTGCTGTCAGCACCTCGTGTCTGAAATTTCCGGCTCGTATAGCACCGTCTCTAGGCAAGTTAGGGCATTAAGATCGACAATGACTCATACATGGTCAGTGTTGATAATGTGGTCGAAACTAGTCCGTGCGGAGATTTTGTGTCCGGCTCGGTCGCTGGTCCGAAGTAGGGTCTTGAGGACGGGTTTTTGAGTAGCCACACCCTTCGGTATCCACTCTTGGGTAATGACCATTTATCTATGGATTTATTCATGGATTGAAAGGTGGTGTTCAATAGAGAGTCACATATGTCCGCAGCCAAATTTGTTTCACAGCAAAGCACAGCATATATATTTAAAGCGCATTAGAGCTGTCGGCAGGAGAAGGGGCTTGGATGTTGTGACTCCACGCGAGCGGAACCCTCCTTCGGTTGGAGCGTAAGCGTGTGTCAGCACAGCAGACCTGGGGACGGGAGGTTCGTATCGGCGTGCCAGATGGATGACTCAAAGGGCTCGTGCGCATGAATATGATTATTCTTAAAACGCCGACTTGACGCATATCCAAGTGCAATCCGCATCAACCATATTAGGACATCACTGGCAGCTATTCAACATCACACTGTGGCAACAACCATGGAACACAATAAGACCAGCCAAAAGCTCTCTGACGAAGTGCTTGAATGGCTGCCCCAGACAGATATATGCAAAGCCTCTTTGGATCTGGCCCAGCGAGCGCTTCCCGAGCCCATTCTTAATCACGTTATACGAACATTTCTCCTCGCTCGGTGGCTTTCAGAGAAGGAGGGGAGCGAATGGAGTCAGCCAAACAACCTCACACTATTATATGTCGCCAGCATTTGTCACGACCTTGGTGCCAGCGATCTATATAACGGGAGCCAACGATTTGAAGTTGAGGGCGCGGATGCTGCGAAGACTCATCTATTATCGCATGGTATGTCAGAAGAGTCGAGCCATCAAGTCTGGATCGCAATTGCGCTACACACCACTGCAGGTATTGCTGAGCGTATCTATCCGCTATCCCGCCTGGTGCGATATGGAGTCATGATGGACTTCTCACCGGCTACCCGCCAGGCCATGGGGGCCGTCGAATACTCGTCGGAGATTGAGAAGCACCTACCACGGCTTAATATTGAGAAGGTCCTCGGCGATGCAGTTGTGGGTCAAGCAGAACACATCGACCAATCTGCGCGCTCCACTTTACCCAACACCAAGAAGCATCCTAAGGCAAGCTGGCCAGGTATACTTCTGCGAGCACACCTGGAAAACCCACATCAAGATGGCGTCAATCCAGCCTTTTAGATATTTCTCTCCTCGGAGATGATATAAGAAGATAGGTTTTGGCATCTCAATCCTCGCCGCTACGCGACTAGTAGTGACGAATCTAACAAGCATAAGTAGAAAGCAGTCATGATGTCGACGACGTAGGCCCGGAAATTTGAAGACCACACAACCTATCCCAAAGACATGAAGAGTAAGAAGAATTCCTACAACGAGTCCCCTGGGATTATCTGATTGGACCATCGTCGTTCGCGAATCTAAGCGCCAACAATACGGGTATCATGTCGAAGCGTGAACGTACCTGGGCCTCGGCTGTAGTGAAGCGATTATGAGCGGAGTCTAGGTAGTTATGGGATTTCCCTAGTTCAATGAATGAGTAAAAGTGTTATGTCACAAGAAGGGGGAACTTACTGAAGAAGGCAAAGAATCCAGGGAAGTGTGAGAGATATTGCAGAGGGAAGACTTACCAGGCAGTCGGCTTCCAGCCTATATCAGGCCAACAATAGGCCCTACAGAAACTTGGTATATCGGCTTTCTAGGTAAGAATAAATTTTAATTCAGTCTCACTTATTATTTACATAACCATGAATTAGTTAATGATTCACTACATTAAGCACTGTAATTGTTACAGCTTGCGGCCGGACTCACTAATCGAACAAGCCAAAAGGCTAAATATGTCAGAACACTATGGTCTCAAATGACTGGGACCGGTATAAGTAGCGCACATAACGTTAGGGTCGCAAGTCCTGAGGATAGCGCGCTTGAATGTAGCTCTATCTAGGCCAGAACGCTAGACAGGAGAAGGTATAATAAAATTGAGCTTAAAAGGAATTACGGTAAATAGAAGAGAGGGTGAAGATGCCTACCATGCCATTTTTATATAACGAACTCTATTATACTACGTCTATCTTAAACAAAGAAAGGATTCAGAGAAAAGATACCAGATACAATACAAACATACAACCGTAATAGTGCTGAATTCGACTCTAATCAAAGACATGTAAAAGAGAAGGTGTTGAAAGGCGTGTTGAGTTATTATTAATAAAGATATCCTGGATATTGGGCCTAGCGGGCGATAAATAGAGCGTATAGGGCTAAATACATGAAGATTGTATTAGGAATAATAATTCCAAATGCATAACCTTCCAACCCGTCTGAGCCTACGGTGGCTGAGGGGAGTCAGAAATATGGGAAATCGGGATTTCTGACCCCTCCCAGGCTTAGTGTGGCTATCCTGAACTGGAACCCGGGGTAGTCCACCAGCTTCTAATCTTCGCCTCCTATTCAAATTCCATGCCTTTGGAAGCGCTCCATTTGCATGAGTTTCAGGGTAAGCGAGCCTCCGTGGTGTGGACCGATACTCCGGTCCCCGGAGGCTGGCTGGACGATTTAGGGGCATTATTTAAGTGCGCCAGCCCCCATTCTTTAACCGCCCCGATTTTCGTCCGAGTCAGCTGCAAAGCATTAAGCCGCACGCAGTGTAACCTGCTCACCTGAAATAGACCATTCTAGTAAATGGTATGATGAAAGTAGGTGGCTGTATATTCTATAATTGTAGTTGAAAATTAGTGATCTTCGATCCCATTGATCACTTCTAGTCGCTTATCTCATTTGAATCACATTGGTTTTAGAAGATTACATCAGACTGCGATTGTTCTCTAGAAATGGACTAGTTCGATATCATGTCTCTTCAAATGTTGGATGAAATCTACTAAATCGGGGGTTGGGGCAGTATGCAAAGCTCATGGACTGCAGTAAGATTCTAACTTCTTCCATGATGCTGGTAGCCACGTGTGGCTTAACATGCGCTGGGGAATCATCAGTTGGGGGCCTCTTCGGTTTTGGCGGCTTACAACAGAAATCCTAAATAGATCGTAGTGGAACACAATGCCTTTAAATGGAAAAGGAGTTTCGTTCCCATATTCTCGCTATGAATCATTGAAAAATGCAGGCTGAAAGGCAGACTCGGCGCAAGCCTATAAAGTCTTGTTTGAAGTGCAATCGGCGAAAGCAAAAGGCACGAGCGCAATCCCATTATCCCCAATGAAAGCACAAGTACTGACTCTGACCTAGTGTAATCGGCAAAAAGCCATGTAATCACTGCACCAGTCGAGAGGTCGAATATCTTTGTATCTACTCTAATGCTCCTCCGCGGCGGGGCATTGGCAGAGATTATACCGACTGTCACCCGACCCGTCGACCAAGTTCCACGCTTGACCACAGTGAGGAGCGGGAAACATCGGCGACATTATCTTCATATGAATCTGACTCGAATGATTTGTCCCTAGAAACTCTGGGATATGGGTCAAGGATTGGGTTTCCTCCCCATCGCCTACGAATCACGGTTTGTTTCTCTAGTTCTCTAGCATGATTAAATTTTGGCCATCACGTTGATTTCAAGCACCCAGGGACCATATTAAAACTATGGGATCATCGAGACCCCAGAGGACCTGGCCAGATAGATCAATCACAGACTTTCTGGTTGGTATGTTCCTAAATGAAATCAACCGAATATACGAAGTTATCCATCCTCCGTCATTCTAGTGCAGATACGACACATGGTGCAAATCACAAGAAAGGAATGACCACTTTGGAGACTCCATTCCGGAAGACGATATTAATTTTGGAGTGCTGATTCTCCGGATTTGCCTCCTCAGCATTCAGAATCTACCACATTCCAAATATCCCACCTTCGGGGTATTGAGCACTCACCTCGATCACCTAGAGCATTGGTTTTGTACACTTGCCGATGAACTCGGTAATTTGAACGCCCTTGAAAGAAAGCCCTCCATTATCACAGTTCAGCACAGATTCTATCACGTCTGCTACTTGCAGAACTATGCCAAGATTCGGCCTAGCTGGTCGGTCTTGAGTGCGGCTGTTAAGGATGCGCGAGAGCTAGGACTAAATCTGAAAAATCCGGGTATCCCCATCAGTGACTTGGATATGGAGCTTCGACGTCGAACCTTTTGGAACTTTTACGTCTGGGATCGGTAAGTAGACAAGATGGATTCTTCAAAGTTGGTGATCGTTCACTCTGACACGCTACCTATCGCTCAGATATATGTGCACATTTTTTGGGCTCTGGCCTCTCATTCCTGAAGGATATTTTGATATCGACCCGCCCCACGATAGTCTCCAGGCCCTGGCCATCACGCCCTACGTCCTGACTCCATTCACGGACCGGGTATTTCACATTAAATTGGCTCGCTACCTCACTGCATTCATGAGCCTACCTTCTTGGAAAGATGATCAGCATACTCCAGCCGTGGTAGCCGAGTTTGCACAACGGTTTCAGGGGGGATCATCGATCAGGTACCTCCAGTATATTGGCTGGATAACCCAGATACAACGTGGGATGCAGTGGACCCGGCAATCCCTCGCAAGAGAGAATATCTCCATCTTTCTATCCACAATACAAAGGCGTCGCTCTACAGGGCCTTTGCTGATCCATGCAACCATCTCCATCAGGAGACGAATACACCACCCAAGCACGGCACTGACCTGCTCACACTTTCCCACCGTCGAGCGCTGATGGATGCTACGTGTAAGGCGATCTCTTCCATCACCAAGCTCTACGCATTGACAGATGACGAAGCAGACGGCGCCGGAGAAAGGATATTTATGCTACCAATCTGGCTCGTGGACGCTTTAGCGTGTCTCGGGGTCTGTCTGCTGTCTGTCCAAGCAGACGAAAGAAGACTTGCAGAAAAGGGATTGCAGATCAGTCCTGACCAAGGGCTACGATCTGCTTTTGCTACATTCTTCGATACCTTTCGTCTACTCTGCCAGCAGGCTCTTCGGTACGGCTTAGCAAAGAGAAGTATGAAAATACTGGAGATGCTACATAACATTTTGGATGCTTCGCCCGGTCGCGAATTTCTGCCTGGTACGGATAATTGTGAGACAGTCACTCTAGGAGCCTTTAGTATGGCTCAGACTGGAGCGACAAGCTTCCAGCTGGAGCACGCACTGGTGTCCCTGCATAGTCGCGGCGGCGAAGAATCGCACAGTCGCAATTCGACATCCTTGCCAGAGTGGCTGCCCAGTTTCTTGCAATCGCCTGGTCGATCCTGGCTGTTTCAGGATGGGGCGGTTTTTAGAAATCTGTTAGCCTAGAATGATGAGTGAAGCGATGAGTATACCCCGCATTGCATTGCGTATTCATGGTATTTCCAGCGGTATGATTGGGAGTTTGTATTTTTAGGTTTGTGGGCCAGGGTTGTGTGATGTTGAACTACTATTGGTTGGATGACAATATGCATATGAGGAGAGAATTGAAATGCTGCTTTCAAGTCTTATTTGCGAGACATGTCGTTGTGGACGCGCAATGCGCTGTAAATATTACTCTAGATTTACTATGTGGCATGCAGGTGAGCCAAAGAGATATGACGGAGAGACCCGCCATAGCCTCCTTTATGGGCAATGATGACATTAGGGCGGTGCAAGTGAGACTAAGTGTGTCGATCGGTTGCCCTTTTGGGAGGATTGCACAGGAGTTGGCCGGTAAAAGCATCCTTGGCTGGCATCATTCGCCTGGGTGGATTGGGAGTAGCGATCAGTCAGGTTGTGGTAGGCAAGAGAGTGCTTATGTAGCTTGATGAGCTATTTTTGTAGTGGATTTTACTGTCTCCTACACAATGTAGACCCTAGCTCGGTTGCGATACCTTTGTCAAAGGCTATAAAAGTCGAGCGTCTCAACTACGGGGCTTCATGGTCTGGGCGGAATGGAGAACATATCTATCTTTTTATTAGCATTATATTGTCAATTGGCGAGCCTTCATGCAGAGGACTAGCATTTATGTACTGCAGTACATAGTCTCTCAGGGTCCTTGATCCATTGCCCGAGGTGCGTTCTGTATTTACAGTAGCATTGGCACGGAAGAGTAATGACATAGATATCGATAACTACATACAGATATACTCGGTATTTTAACTACGAGGAATTGACCCTGATGCAATTTTTTTTTAGCTCTCGATAGGTAAACAAAATATGTCAAAACTAGATCGGCATCGGCAATTGAGCGAACTCTCGATCCTACGGCAGTGCTGCAGTACTGTAGATTGCGGTCGGTCCTCCACCAGAGACTTTCACCTCCAAAGTATCCTTAGCTCCACCCACGTCAAGCAGTTTGATTGAACCCTGCCCGACCCAGTTTTTCAGATCCCATTCAGGTATCATTTCCTGTTCCGGAGGGTCCAACTCGGCGAGAAACTTGGTTCTGCGCGGGATGTGGCTGCCTGAGGCAACATTCCTGGAAGCCGAAGTCGAAAAACTCAAAAAAAAAAGTTGGCATGGCCGGAGAGACATTCCTGGGCGCCAGTCAATCATTTCTACGCCACGGAATATTGTACAACTTCAATTAGCTCAGGGCTACCGCGTCAAAACAAAAAGAGGGGGGAAGTAAGAACCCTGATTGCGACGCTTGCAGCCGTTTCCTGCGCGACCCTCGTCGACGTCATTCGGGCCGAACAGAGAAAAATAGCGCCAAGCAGAAGAGAGCGAGAGAGCATTGACTTCGCACCACCCAAGAGGTCACCCTCTCAGCCTTATCGCCGTCATCCATTTCTTCTTAGATCCTCTCCCCTCCCAAGACAAATCTTATTTAATTTTATTTTTGCGACCCAAAGACCTTTCTCCCCTCTCTTCTCATCTCTGCGCGTTGGCGCGTTCTGCTCTCCTGAGGTTCAAAGTTGAACTAACTCTAGGCCCCCGTGAAAGCCGAGACATTGGCCCCAAAACCACCACACCGGATCCCTCTCCATGGCATTCAAGGCGACTGTCACGAGTGTCTCTTGGTTCTCATAGACGCCCTCGCATTATCATCGCCAACGGCCTCCGGTTCCGACCGGTGATCGTGGATGATGCGCCCAGGGCTGGATAAACCGGGCGCGCTCCCTCTCCTGGCGCTGATTGTCTTCTCGTTGTTGACTCTCGTGCCGTCGTTGTCGAGTATCTACAATATCAAGTTCGTGGACTTTAGCTACTTCACCGGCGGAGCTCGCAGTACGTCCATTGGCTTTGGTCTCATCGAGAAATACTCCGTTTATGCTAATCGTTGGTGCCTACAGAGCTTCCCCTGATTCAAGATGGCGCCGCCGCATTCCCTCCGGACACACCTCCCATTGACCCTCAAAAGTCGTGGGTGATGACTGCACAATATCGTACGCGTGGAAGTCGCATATCACGCTCTTTGCGATCCAATGGCGCCGCGACCGTCCCCGGCGAAGTCACCCCGGTGGAGAATAAAAGTCGACTCTCCTATACCGCTCCAGAATCATCCTCATTTATGTTCGGCCGACGCGCTCGCGCATTTCGGACATACTTTATCCAGCAATTAGATGACTATCAGCTATTCACCTCCTTTTCCAATCGGAGTCTTCCAGCTGCGCCTACGATCCTCAACCCCGCTGTCACGCTCTCTAATGCCTCTCCTCTACCCACCTCAACTGACGACAACCGCTCCGAAACTACACATCGTCCCGATAATAACTCTTCACCTCCATGTATATCTCCCACGGAGGGTGCGGGACTGCAGATCCCGATCTTGTGCAACAAGTGGCAGCAGGCCTGCCGCATGACAATTGACCTTTGGGAGTATGCCAAGCACACTGCACTCATCTCCCGGGTGCAACCCCTAATTCAGCTCGGATCCAAATACCTGGAATCGATGTTTACATTTCAAAACGCACCTGACGAGCAATCGACAACATTGGCCCGTTCTGCAAAAGATGCGCCGGCTGCGACCAACTCTACTCCTGGTTCCACGGGCCAGATGCAAAAGCTACAGACAACATCGAGTGATCAGACCACAGATGCTGCTGGGCACACGGCAGAATTGCGGGGCAGCTGTATGGCCGTGGTCATCGGCTTGGTAGCAGGGATCATGTGGTTCTAAACTGATGTACTTTCTTGTACATTCTTTCCAGTCGAGGTCTTACAATTTGTTGGTATTGTGAGGCATGTCAAGTTCTACATGTACGACCTATTTTTCTCCTCTGCGATGAATGGCGTTATTGTCTTGGAAGTTTAGATCACCAAGTATATTCTATGCTTGGTATTGTGAGGAGTATGCGCTTAGGTCTATCTGACCTCGACATGTGATGGTTGGAACTTTGTATGGATGGCTCTGGTTTAGCCTCCAGTGGATCTTAATAATGATATTTACATCTTTCTACATATGACTCTCTAGTTGAAAGCATAAAGGGGAGAAACCCCTTGTTCTTCGGAGGCCTAGCAGGGCGAGTTCTTAGGCAGTGGTCAATGTATAGTTTCTGTGATGGTCAAGATGCGCGTAGGTGGTGAGAGCTTCCGGTCCTTCGCGAGGCCATTCAACCGGTAAAGATCATGTGCAGTTGAGGAATCTTTTGTCTCAACCTGGTATCTGACTTCGCTTGCTCTTTTCCATTCACCATTATCCTATATCCGTGCTCTCAGGGCTCTGGCAAACCGCATTCCAACCACGATGATGTATACTTCCTGGGACACGACTCCGGGTATTACTGAGCTGCTCATTCCTTTAGCTGGGTGGCTTAGCAGGGAAGAGTATTCGTCACGTTAGATATCTCTACTTGAACCTTCAGCTGTGCACTGCCGTGAAAGATTAGTGGAGTATGGTTGATCTTCCTTCGTCCTTATTCTTCCCGAGTGTGTGCCGAAGAATGAATGAATTCGGGTCTTTACTCTGCGAGAAGAACCGTAAGACTCAGTCAAATTAAAACAGGAAATCCAAGAGGACTGATATACGGCTCCAATTTGACTTTGGTACTTCACAGTGCCGATTTCGGGCGCGATGCGCCCAATGGGCCAATTCAGCCTCACTTAGCAGGTGGGGGCTAAACCATTTCACTCCAACTCAGTCATCCGTCACCAGTTCCCTCTAGCTCATGTTCGTGCCTGATTCATGATATCTCGATAACCAGGGCTCTACTGAATAAGACCAAAGTAAAATCGTTTTCGACCTTCTAGATCAATGGCTCAAGCAGTGCCAACAATTACCTGCAATCCATCACCCCCGCTTTCTACTGGCGCCACCATCAGACCAGGTCTCGCCCTTCCAGTAATTCAGAACAATCAAAGTCTATGGGACAACGCTGTAAAAACCGTTCCGGAGACCGAACTTTCTCTGATCGATTTCAAGAATGCTGAGAAACGAGACATTCTTGAGGATGTCCTTGCCCTTGCGAAGCAGCGAAGAGAAGAATGCTTGCGGAAAAGATGGCGCATCAGAAGGAAGAATGGCACGATAATCATCCTACGAGATGTATTTGAAAAAGTAATTGTCTGGATCAATAAATTCAAGGAAATTGGAGATATTGCAGTGCAATATGACCCGACCCACGCATCGCTGCCCTGGGCTGGTATCCGGATGATTCTTCAACTGACAATCAATGACTCAAGCATTTTCGGTGCTATGCTGCAGGGTGTTGATGCTATAGCAAAGATGATAACCCGATACGCCATTTTTGAGGGTATCTATCTTGCATCTCGCGTACTCACTCCGGCTGAGACACAGTTAGCGCTATCGCTTACCAGGTTGTACGCTTCAATCTTGTTCTTCCTCGGAAAGGCACTTCATTACTATGCCAAGAATACTGCCAAACGCTTCGCGAAAAGTGCAGTGTCTTTCTCGGATAACAATATGGATGACATATTGAAAGAGGTCTACGAAGCAGAGAAATTCGTCAGCCAGGACGCACATCTAGTCGATGCGGACAGACAGCAAGCTATGGCCTACATTATAAAGCACACGGAGAGCATGACACTCAACATGAGTCAATATGCACAGTCTAATTCAGGAGTGCATCCAATGTTAGATAGTACATCTCAGGCACAGATGCAGCGTCTAACCTCGGCGCTTGAAGGACTGGAGCAACCCATTCTACGAGTATCGGAACTGTTGGTCGATTGGCAAGACCAGCTTGATGCTACACACCGATCAGGGGTTCTGAACTGGATATCGAATGTTCCATACATGCATCATCACCGAGCAGTACGAAAAGGCCGTCTTAAAGACACTTGTCTGTGGCTGTTGGAAAAACCAGTATTCTCTGACTGGCAGACTACGAGCTACTCCTCTATTCTCTGGTTACATGGTATTCCTGGCTCGGGGAAGTCAAAACTGATGTAAGTTTTGTTTGATCACAAAGATAACTTGATCTGACGAGCATTCTGCGCTAGATCTTTGGTGGTGGACGACCTCATTCCCCAAGGGGGAAACGTCTCATCATCAGCCCCAGTTGCATATTTCTACTGTGCCAGAAATCCGAACGAGCAGATCCCGAGCATGTGCTCTGCGGTATTGCACGTCAGCTTGTCTGCAAATCAGTGAACCAGTCGATACATCATTTCGCATTGGGAAAGTACCAAAGGTTTGTCAAGGACAGCCCGCAGCCGGTGAAATTGTCGATCGAAGATGCGATTGCAATGATTCTGGCCGTGTTGGACGATCCCCCGCTACTATCGTAATCGACGCTATTGATGAGGCGGATGCCACCAGACGGCACGAGCTTCTGGATGGCCTCGAAAGTATCATCCAGCAGGCTTCGAATGTCGTGAAGATATTTGTTTCAAGTCGTGACGAGGTGGATATCGTTTGGAGACTCGAGCATTCACCAAATCTTTATGTTCATGCAGCCGACAACTCAGATGACATTGAAAGGTTTGTTATAACCGAAGTGGATGTGGCTATTCGGACCCGTCGACTTCTTGGGGGTGACGTCTCTGATGGTTTGAGGGATATGATCGTCACTCGTTTGACCAACGAAGCTCACGGAATGTAAGAAACCACGTGTTGCTGTAATGATTCCTTAAGGTCACTAATACCTACCAGGTTTCGATGGGTAACTTTGCAGCTGCAAAACCTCTGCGACTCAAGTCGAATCAAATGCGAAGAGGACATATGCCAAGAGCTTGGTAGACTGCCCACTTCTCTGGCCGAGACATACGATATGATTTACAATCAGATAGCACAATCAGGGCCGCGTAGTAAGACTGTCGGGGAGCGGGTTCTTAAATGGCTCCTCGCCACACAACGGCCCTTGAAGATTGATGAATTGCGAGCAGCAGTCTCGGTGGATGTCAATGGACTTTACAGCGCGCTCAGTAAGCGTGATATACTGGCAATGACCTGCAACTTGGTTGTCGAAGATACGGAGCTGGGAATTTTTCGCTATGCACATACTTCAGTGCTTGAATATCTGGAGACACGGCCTGAATTCAATGCATCACAGGTGAATATGCTTTTGCTGGAGCGATGCATGGATACTCTTTTGCATAGATCCATCCCTGGCTACTCACACTGTTTCAAGGATATGGGGATCTGTGTCGAAGAAATATTCAAAGACTATGCTTCTACATTCTGGTTGCAGCACTGTTTCAGTTGCAACGATCAGGACCGAAAATGGGAGGCCCTATCCAAAATCAAAAAGTTCCTTTTCAGCGGGCTCCAAAAGTCAAAAGCTCTCTGCGATTGGGAGAAAGATACGGAATACTGGATTTTATATGGGCAGGCAGATCGTGTTCGAAAGACAATCAAACTATTATATCGGGGGACTGGCCCGGATGTGGACAGTCCTACCCATTGGTATCTTACCTGTGCAGTTGGCTTGACGGAGATAATCGAGGAAATGACAATCGAGGAGATCAATGTGCTGAACACGAATTTTCGCTGTCTCGTTGATGACACGGATTCCCGGCCGAAATCCGTAAAGCCAATGGGTCTAGGGATGAATGGGCTGCAAATGGCTATCGTTCGCTCAAATGAGGCGGCTGTGGATGTTCTATTGCGGAAAGGCGCGAGTATCTTACAACGGACAGACAAAAATGAAACTTGTTTGAGCCTCGCTACAACTCGCAACAATCCCGTGGTTGTCGACCTCCTGTGTGAGGCTGGGGCCGATCCAAACGAGAGCTGTCCTGTTCAAATGAAAGACCCTGGCGGTACGATGCACCAGCTTGACCTTGATCCAGGAACACGTGAGTTTAATCCAAGGCCTGCGACTGCCATGGGCTTCCGTCAAAATACACGAACGGTTCTTCTCGATGAGGACATTGAGACGCCCCTTCATTCTGCTTCATTTCATGGCAACGAGCGTACTGTTGTGGCTTTACTGAGATGGGGCGCTGATATCAATGCCCGAAGTTGCCTTGGGTCAACTGCGCTCCATAAGGCGATGGAAGGAGACCATCAACATGTGGCGATAATTCTGATTAAAGCAGGCGCAGATGTATCCACGCCATTGATGTACGGTCGGACACCACTGCATCTGGCTTCTGCCATGGGTCAACACAGATTAGTAGAATGTATTCTCCAACACGGTGGAAATGCGCGGGCCCGTGATCATTTTGGAAAGACCGCACAAGAAATTGCGCGGCGGTATGGTCATAATCGCATTGTACAGATGCTGGAAGATGCCGGTGCAAATATTTCAGCTGACGAAGTTCCACAATCTTCTTATCTTCTCGGTGCCACGATGGAAGAGTTTGAGGCCGCTGGGCGAGAGGAATTAGAGCTCAGACAGGCACACCTCGGGGAGAATGAGCTTGAAATCTCAGATACCGAAGAGACTATTGAGTATAAACTCCTCTTGGGAGCCACTTCGAAGGCGGATACTTAGGCCAGTATCTGGTTGGTTCATCTGGGGAAAGGATGTAGAGAGGGTGCAAACGTTGCCACAAATTGCAATTTCTTGCTAGCAGATTTCACAGCTTTCAAGAATGAATGGTATTTGGTATTCAGGTAGCTGCATGTCAATCCTTCTGAACTGTGAACGCTCGCTAATCGATTAATGGATATTCCGACTGGGCATTAGCTTCAACTTCAAAATATTGTCATTTAAGAACTCTCGAAACATTTCCCAGTTGACGAGATGAATAGCGTTTATTCAACTGTGAATCCCTAACAGTAATAACGAAAACAATCTAACAACTCAAACCCAAAACCACGATCCAAATTCAGACCGAGACAGGAGACTTCCTATCCAATCCGCTAAGCCATAGGCCTAGGCTCATACTCCATCAAAGGAACCTGCCCCGAATTCCTATCACCTGCTAAGGGCTGACTGAAGTCGACAACTTTCCGCGCCCGGCGGGCCTTCTTAATCAGCAGTCCGGGATGGAAGATGATCAAGACAAGCATGGTTAGAAACATGAGAAAAGCATCAAAGACGTAGATATACGCCTCTTTCGTGTTGATATCAGCCGTTCTCTTGGCGCCGAATTGAATCGTTCGAACAAGATTACGGACCATCAGAGCCGCACAAGCAACATAAAGCGTCCACATATACCGTCGCCACAAAAGGTCGGGGTTCATTGTGAGAATAGGCGTGGGCATTTTCTGAAGTCGTCGATGAAAAGTCACAGCGATAGCCACGAAAAGGGCAAAGACGAATAATGAAAAGATCAATCCAGCAAGGACGACCTTTTTGCCAATATCCATGACCTTGGGGTCTCCGGTGACTTGGACACCTGCACCACCCAGTTGTGTACAGAAACATATCACGTCGTTCATGACGAAGACGAATGTGAGCCATTTCGGACGCATGCTTGACAAATGCTCGGCGTCGAAGGCGCGTATCATGCGACCGAGGACCATGTAAACGGTTGCCGCGAGGAGCGGGGGTGCACATAGAATGAGCATTTCTTGAAGTGCCCAAGATTTGATCTCGGTTCGGGATTGATGGGACCATGCTCTGCCATAGTAACCAAATGTTTCGCCTGTCGATCTTGGTTAGCCAACATTCGTGTTTGCTGAAGTCGGAGATATCGTACAGACTCCCCCTAATACAAAGGGTATGAAGTATGCAGCGCGAAACGGACACATCAAGACGAGATGAATGACTGTCGCGATGCCGAAGACTGCCATAAAGGCATATCCGGCTGTTGCAGAAGGTGTGTATGGGTAGAACTCGACCCAGGGACTTGAGCCATTGGTGCCATTATGGTAAACGATATCCATCTCGATTCCTTGGTGGAAAGAAGTTTGATAAAATGCTTAATTTCTGAACGACGAGGCAAGTATATTTATTCTCAGGCCATTTTGGTCCGCACCTTAACGATTTATTGGTATTACCGAATCGGGAAATATCAAGAACGAATACGTGTGGGTCTGGGTGGGCACTCTCACGATGGACCCGCGCTTAAGGACTGATACCAAGCATTTCCCCTACTTAATGCCACTAAACCCCCAGAAATTGTGAACATGCAGGCAGAGAAATTGTCATTTTTAGGATGATCATTGAAATTTCTATAAACTATCTCCACCAGTGATGTCAAAAATCAGCATGGGAAAAATTTGACCACAAGTACGGAGTGCTCCTACCGCCACTGTCCATGGAAAAGGCCACCAAGTGGTTGGGCTACGAGGCGACATGAAAAGTCTCAATTCAACACGCACACAATTCATTCGATTTGGGTATCATATCAATTCTCCTGCCACACCCGCCGCAAAGGCCACTCAATCCAAGGTCGATACTCTTGCTGAAGGCACGCCGATATCCCCAACAATACATGCTCAGCCCAGCCCTTCATAAACCAAACACTATCCATATACTTCAACATAACAGCCCAGTATGCCAATATAACGAGGGCCCGCGGCTCTTTATGTTCCAACAAGCCCACCAGCTCCCACGGCAAACGATATAGCCAGCCAATTAGCAAATGCATTAAGCCGACGCCGGGGTCGCCGATTGATCGATTCTCATAAACTTCCCGCATTATCTCAAGCAAGTTGTTTATTGCGTGTCTGTACATGGTGCGCGTACTTTCGTCCGTTATCTCCTGATCGATGAGTCGCTGTAATGCTTCCACGTGAATGGTATGTTCGTGTAGCTCAATACGCATAGCATCGCTCAAGAAGGGTTCCATTTCCTCGGCTTTTGGCTCCAGAATTCCACTGAATACCTTGGCATGATAGGATGAAACAATTGTGCGCACACCTCGCATGAGCACTTGCCATTCCGCTGCACCAGCATCGCTGAAGATAAGATATTCACCCGGTCGAGGACCACGGCCAAAGTAGATGAAACAAACCAGCACCGCGGCCATGTAAATCTTCTGGCAATTTTCGGCATTCAGTTGTGAGAGAACGCTTGTGACTGTGCGAACACCGAATGTGAAGTGGTTATCTGCTTGTCGGATGTATTTGTCGCGTGACTCGGGATTTTTGTATGCGAGATGAAGAGCGGAGAGAGCGAGGATGAGGTGTAGAATTGAAGGGAATTCCATGCCCCACTGAACGAGGTGGTTCTGCCAGATTCCATTCCGGTCACCGTCTTCAACCATTGTTTGGTAGGTTGAGATGGTATAATTGTGGAATAGATGTAGATCGGCTAGTGAGATGGATTCGAAGGGTAAAAATTCGACTGGAGGCTCCGTTGATTGAATCGGTGATGGACTTTGATTTTTGGGCTTGGACAATTTAAACGTCTGCTTCAGTCCCCCACTGGAATATGCATACGGTCGAAAGCGTCGAGGGCGTGATTTCGAAGGCTGTTCAGGCGATGTTTCGCATATACTTGCACTCGGCGACAGCGTTTCTGAAGCTGGAGGTGTCGGAACAATGACGGAGAACGAGCATTCAGCCCCATGGTTATCGCAATTGGTGCAGATTGGCTTCTTCTCGTCGCACTGCAACAGATCATCCCCGTCATCAGTTTCTGCAATCAATGTAATTGATGAATTCCATCGCGGGAAGCAAAATAAGCCTCGCAAAAACTTCAACATTTTGACCAGGACGCGAGCCCGAGATCCAACAGTGTGATACGAGGACCCCAGGAGGTGCAATGCATGATATAAACCCACCTTAATACGCCGCTTCTTACAATTAACACAACCGAGTCGTGACTTTCGGTGTGTTCGCCGCGATCTAAATGGCTTGTCACCCAAGAGATCCATATTTCGTCCAGCTTCAGGAATGGTCGTATTCGTTCCTTATAATGTCGCTAAAGGCTGTAGCCTGCTGACAACCTTAATGCATCTATCCAGGGGCCGTGAACACTAGTGTCAATCGAGAAAATAATTACCGGGGGCGAGACAACGATCGACGAGCTTTCAGCTGGCTTGTCTGTTTCTTCCTGTTTCATGGGTGGGTGCTGGGTGATATCCGTGCCTTACTGCCCACCCAAAGCGGGTAGCACGGATACGGATACGCAGAAATTTCCTATCTGGATTTGGTCGCAACGCTTTATTGAGTAAGGATGGTGATTGGTTGGAAGGTAATTAGTGGGGCAAATGGTGGCTTCGAAGGATAAGAATAGCTAACGATCACGACTTAGAATCGACATGCCGAGAGAACAACTCAAACTACAAAAAAGAAGAACACAGATAGAGCGGAAGTAATTCATTATTCACAATCTTCGTTATTCAAATTGGATACATAATGTAAGCAGTAGGTAGTGCTTTGTCCAAAATTAAATATCATCAACGTCCAGGCATTTCAACATTTAAAGACGAGCACGGCCCTGGTTGCCCCCGTAAATGACATCAAAGCGGTCCAGGTTCATGACCTTATCCCAGGCCGCCACAAAGTCGCCCACAAACTTGGTCTGGCCGTCGTAAGAGCCGTAAAGCTCAGCCAGGGCACGCAGCTCGGCGTGGTGGCCGAAGATGAGGTCGACACGGCTGGCATCCCACTTCTTGGCGCCGGTCTTGCGGTCGAAACCCTCGAAGGTCTCGTGTTTGCTGTCTGTGGGCTTCCAGACGGTGTTCATGTCAAGCAGGTTGACGAAGAAGTCGTTGGTCAGCTGGCCAGGGCGCTGGGTGAAGACACCCAGGTTGGAGTGGTCGTAGTTGCCGTTCAGGACACGCAGACCACCGACCAGGACGGTCATCTCGGGGGCGGTGAGGGTGAGGAGTTGAGCGCGGTCGACAAGAATCTGTTCGCTGTGGATGCGCTTAGAGGAGTTGCCGTAGTTGCGGAAACCGTCGACAACGGGCTCGAGGTAGCGCATGGACTCGACATCGGTGTCCTCCTGGCTGGCATCCGTACGACCGGGAGTGAAGGGGACGGGGATACCGGCGGCTTTCTCCAGGGCGGCGCAGCCGGCTAGAACGATGAGGTCGGCCAGCGACACCCGCTTGTTGCCTGTCTGGGAGCTGTTGAACTTGCGCTGGATCTCCTCCAGGGCGCTCAGGACCTCAACGAGTTGGGCAGGGTTGTTGACCTTCCAGTTGTTCTGGGGAGCAAGGCGGATGCGGGCACCGTTAGCACCACCACGCTTGTCACCGCCACGGAAGGTGGAGGCAGAGGCCCAAGCGGTAGAGATGAACTTGGTGGGCTCAACACCGGAGCTCAAGATGTGGCGCTTGAGGTCAGCAGCATCCTCAGCATCGATCAGAGGGTGGTCAACAGCAGGGACGGGATCCTCCCAGAAGAGAATTTCCTTGGGGACCTCAGGGCCGAGCCAGCGGGCGCGGGGACCCAAATCACGGTGGATAAGCTTGAACCAGGCACGGGCGAAAGCGTCGGCGAACTGGTCAGGGTTGGCCAGGAAGCGGCGAGAGATCTTCTCGTAGGCGGGATCAAAGCGCAGAGACAGATCAGTGGTCAGCATCTTAGGCTTGTGCTTCTTGTTCGCGTCATAAGCATCGGGGATGGGCTCGTCGTTAGTCTTGGCCACCCACTGGTTGGCACCGGCGGGGGACTTTGTGAGCTCCCAGTCATACTTGAAGAGATACTCAAGGAACTGATTGCCCCACTTGGTAGGAGTACGGGTCCATGTCACCTCCAGACCAGAAGTGATGGTATGAGGACCCTTACCAGTGCCGTGAGCGTTGGTCCAGCCAAAGCCCTGCTGCTCAATGCCGGCGCCCTCGGGCTCCTTGCCAACGTTTTCAGCGCTCGCCGCACCATGAGTCTTACCAAAGCTGTGGCCTCCGGCAATCAGGGCGACGGTCTCCTCATCGTTCATGGCCATACGACCGAAAGTGATGCGGATATCACGGGCAGCAGCAACGGGGTCGGGGTTGCCATCGGGACCCTCGGGGTTCACGTAGATCAGACCCATGACGACGGCAGCGAGGGGGTCCTCGGGATCACGAGTGCGGATGTCACTCTGCTTGGCGGCATCTTGCTCGTTCTCGGGCTTGTAACGGGCATCATTGGTGAGCCACTCCAGTTCATTACCCCAGTAAACCGACTCATCGGCCTCCCAAGCGTCGGCACGGCCACCGGCGAAACCAAAGGTCTTGAAGCCCATGGACTCCAGGGCAACGTTACCAGCCAGGACCAACAGATCGGCCCAAGAGATCTTGTTACCGTACTTTTGCTTAATGGGCCACAACAGGCGGCGAGCCTTGTCGAGGGAAACGTTATCGGGCCAGCTGTTGAGAGGAGCAAAGCGCTGCTGGCCCTGACCGGCACCACCACGGCCGTCGAAGACGCGGTAGGTACCAGCACTGTGCCATGCCATACGAATAAAGAGACCACCGTAGTGGCCAAAGTCCGCGGGCCACCACTCCTGGGAGTCAGTCATGAGGTCATTTAGGTCCTTCTTGACGGCATAGTAGTCGAGGCTCTTGAAAGCAGTCGCATAATCAAAGTCCTTGTTCATTGGGTTGGTTGCCTCGGTGTGCTGGCGCAGAATATTGAGCTTCAAGTTCTCGGGCCACCAGTCACGGTTGCGAGTGCCGTGGCCAGCCACATTGGCCGACTTGTGTACTGGGCATTCACCCATTTTGGAATGTATAATATGTGTGGGATAGGGATCAGGGAGAGAGGAAGGAGGTTTTAGAGACAAAGAAACGAGAGAAAGAGAGAAATCGTCCGGGGGCGAAGAGCACCCCGCACTTTATAATGAGCGAGGGCCAATCCAACAGTCGCGTCGCACCGCCAAACCCACGGAGCGAATGACGGGAAACGCAATTAGCATGAGAGAGCTCTTGGGCCAAATCCTCGGGAAATGGCCCATCTTTGTCAGCTCTTTGGTTCTGGGCCATCTGCTGATTCCTAAGCTCGAGGTTGCGATTGGACCAGACCACCGTTGTCCGGAAACTGTGGAGAGCGGGGGGGGAAGAGAGTCCGTTTGGTGGTCTGCGGGGGGGGAAGATCACTTGCGAATCACAGTCTCCGGCCAGTCCCGTGACTGTGGTTGAGACTAAACCAAACATTCCGACTGTAGAGTACAGTAGTACGTTGGTTCGCAGCTGCACGCCTCGCCCAACGCCTCTCGAGAGTCCAATTGACTCTGCATTTACTCTATTTGTGCTGCTATCATAGCCGATCGCCGCCGGAGATCCTTGCATTTTGTTCCGAGCTCTCCTCACTGGCTGCTTGAGCCCCCTCACCCTTGGAAACGGGCAACCTCGGAACTTGCTAGCGCCCCTCGTTCCGTGCTCAATATGTACAACCTTGCACGAGCATATAGAATAATCTATTAGCTTCCTGCTTCATGGAACAGATAACGCTGGAGCGAGGTAGTGGGTGTCTAGGTTTCCGTGAGCAGCCCACAATCCTCGTACCTTATTTCAACATCGCTGCGAGATAATAATTATTAGGTCGATGGAGAGAACCATCTCGATACAGCTATATCGGGCAAATCCATCGATTTTTTGCCCCGCTCCTTGCATTCATCATATGATCTACCAGATCCTTACTGTTTGCATTCCGGACTCGCTGACGCTGCGATGGAGGGGCTTGCTGATAGCACGACTGATCAATGACGTCATTATCTACCTAATCTAACCGACGAGTTAGTTGCTAGTTCTTAGGTAAGATTCCTAGTCTTTCGAATTTGGCTAATTAGAATTACTGTTCTAGGACACGGGCATGAGAGACGAGCTTCTTGCTCAATTTTTGAAGATTATGGCATCATAGAATGTATACAATAACAAATCTGTGCGTTCGCGCAGTGTCGAATCAAACGTAACCCTGCCGCATGCAAAGTACCAATTAGGCAGTCAATTCCGAGCAGACCCCGATCACGTTGAGAGTGGGGACGGCCTCAACCGCTTTGGCTTCCATTCATGTTCCGATTAAGTAATCAGACTAGTTCGGGACCACTAGCTTACAACTGGCCAGGACATCATTGTATTAATCATTCGACCTGGCCAGCGCTACGAGAATCGATCCATGGTTGATCAACCCAGAATTACCCCCGACGGGAGATTTCTTCTCCAGGTATGTCTGCTTAGCTGATATTCCCTGGTCACCCAGATGATGGCTACTTAGTTTCAGCCATTTCCATTTCATCTTCCTGCTCACCTTTATCATGTGCTCCAACAAACAATGCAGACACCAATCCGGCAGTAGTAAACGCTAACGCCAATTGGAAAGCTCCATGTAGAGCATCCAGATAACACTGATCCCCTCCAAGCAGCTAGACCCCGTGTCTAGCATGCTCTGATTCATCCGGTGCTTGAACATCACACTGGCAACCGAAAGTCCCACGGTCGCCCCAGTCGACCGAAAGGCATACAATGCAGATGTGGCAGTAGCATGTCTCTCATGTGGTACCGAATGCAGCAGAGCCAATATCAACATCGTCAAAGCTCCGCCCATGCCGAAGCCTTTGCACAGGAGATATACCTCAGGAAGAATCCATGGGGTGTGAACTGAGGTAACGGCAAAGCCTAGCGATGCCAGCAGCAGCAGCAGAGTCATGGTATAACGGAAAATTCCGTATCTACCTGTGACTCGGATGACTAGCCCGACGAGGAAAGACCCAAGTCCAGCGCCAATGGAGTCGGGCAGAAGGCGAAGCCCAATTTCACTGGTGGAATGGCCCAGCAGTTTCATGTATAATGGGACATAAAAGGTGAGTGCATAGAATGCCATCGACATGAACCAAGCAGTCAGGCATGCGGCCACCACCGTCCGTCGGCGGAAGAGAGACAGTGGAATGATCGGCTCCCTAGCCCACTGCCATTCAATCCAGACGAAGCCTGCCAAGAGCGCTATCCCAAGCGGAACAGTAATCGCAAACAAGCCAGTCACAAGCTCGGGTCCGTCATGGTTGAGTCCGATAAGAAGTAATACCAAGGACGACACCAACGTCCCAGCACCAGCAAAGTCAACACGACCCAAGAGCTCCCGCCAACTCCGTGTATCATCGGTATACCCCGGTACAAACATGGCAACTCCAATCCCAGAAATCAGCGAGACAGGCGCAATCCCAATAAACGCCCATCTCCAACCAACCACATCATTAACAGCACCCCCAATAACAGCCCCAAGTCCCATCCCCGCCGTATACACCACAGCCCCCGTCCCCTGCCATATCCCACGTCGTTTAAGCGGAATATTATCCGATGCGATAAACGTAGCAATCGAGATACATCCCCCACCACCGATACCAGTAACAACGCGCGCAGCAATGAGCACGATCTTCGATCCGGAAAGCCCGCAAACAAGATTCCCAATCGTAAACATACAACACGAGCAGCAGAAACTAGCCCGCCGGCCGAAGATATCGCTCAATTTGCCGCTGAGTGGTTGTGTAGCCGTGAGGCCGATTAGGTATCCGGAGCCGAGCCATGATATGATGCTGACGGAGTGGAACTCGTTTGCGATCGTGGCGGAAAGGGTGGATGTGATGGTGCTGTCTGCGGCTGCGAGGAAGGTGGCGATCCAGGTTGAGATTATGCCGGCTATGATGGGTGGTCTCAGGGATGTGTCGTCGTCGTGGAGGGGTTTGTATCCTGCCGTCGTCGCCATGGCTCTGTCATTTCTTGAGTGCGTGAGACGGTGTTTCCTTCAAGAGCGTCATTTAGGGATGTAACACGGTTCTTGTCGGATTTGAGGGAGGCTGAGGGGGGGATCTGGGGGGGTGGTGATCTGCGACAGGGATGAGGAAAAGCATTCATGCCTCGAACGCGGATCCCGAGGTGTCCAATAGGAGTTGGATATGTCTTACGATTTGCATCAACCTGCATTTAAGCGGCTTTACTAGTGGCTGACATCGCATATATTGCTTTTTCTTCAGTGTCGCAAAAGGCGCTCTATGAAGGCCGCTCGATGCTGGTGCAGGAAATAATCGATTATTGACTGCTTTCGGGACCGCCTCTGATGGGTGCCTGACACTTTTGGAGTAAACATGTTTTGAGTGAAGAGTTCGATACTGCTTGCGAATTGATTCATTTTTTGAAGAGCCTGGGGGTGAGTGTTCTCTTGAAGTCTTCAGACATGTCTCTTAAACTCTCCCATTCATTCTCTTCTGAGGACGCTTCCGAGTTTTGCCAGGTTAGATCTACGGAATTATCAAAGTCTACTTCATCAAAAATTAGCTACATGGGCCGTATCTCTTAGGTAAATGATGTATAGGCAATGAAAGTTTTTATTTATCTCATGTTTCTACCGGTTCAAGAGTTAAGAACCCTTTTTCGGTCGGATGTTATTTGCCACCTCCTTAGTTCCCCCGTAGAGGGCCATGACAGCGGTCAAGGTTGATGTTATTGATCTGAGGCAATCAGGCTCCAGTTGGCTGTAGCGCAAATTCATGGAGAATACCTATGCTATTATTACGGAGGCAGTCCCTACACCGAGCCATAGTAGCGGCGGGCACCCAGTGATCTCGATCGCCAACGGCACAAGAACAGACTGCGTGGAGTGAGTACCACAAGCCTCGTTTGATGAAATATGCTCATCTGTAATAGATATGCTTGGTTTGACGAAACCCAATTTCCGGGTCAAGAAATGGAATTAGACTGCTGGAATATTGCAATGTTTTACGAAATCACTGGAGAGGTCAGTCCTTGCCCTCCGCACGCAATCCCCTTCTTAAAGCTGACAGATCGACCAGGAGTTTGTTCTATGGAACCCATCTATAGCCAAAAATGGTACATAAACTAGCTCTTCAAGCAAGCTACTCATTGCGCTTGCATCGGCGACCCCGAGTGCTACCCCGACGGCGCTACCATCTTCTTACGATTACCCATGCACAGTCTCACAAGGCATATCCTACTGTATAGCTATATCAACACCTACTTCAACCTAAGGTTGGGGAGTGGTGTATCTATCAATAGAGCGTTCTGAGATAGCTAAAGGTAAAACTAGTCATTTGAAGCTTATGGGCCTGCTTATCTTCCTTTGAAGACGAATTCTTCACTTGTTATCACAGCTTGCGCAACTTCCTCTTATAATAACCCGAGGTGTCTCATTAAGAACTATGGCAAGCACTCTCCCTGCAGACTTAATACTTGGTGAAAGATCCTCAATTCAAATAAGTCCTTGGCGTGCCTCACTTCACTTCGTCCCGAGAGGGCTCTCTATAAGATGTTTCAATGCCTGGCTGCTAAGCTTTCATCTTGTTAATGTACAGCCTCGGTCAGTGCAAGAGAATAACTCCAGGCATAAAAAATCAACCATATACCGCCAACTTTATATGCCATGGTTCGAATAATACGATGGAACTGATTAAACATCAGGATCAAATACATCCTTGACTACTCCGAAAGCCTTTTTTCCTATATTACGAGGAGGATCATAGAATGGATTTTCCCTACCCTCGTATAGGAAATTATCTACCTGCTTTCCGTACCAAGTAGCACCTCCTAGATAATAAAAACCTCCCTCGTAGCCGATAACAAGGTTTAGTCGACAACCCTGCTAAAGACTTTTTTCACAGATCTTAGTTCGTAACTCTAAGAGGAAGATATACTAAATATTGCCGTTATCAATAAAGACTAGAAAACTCAATTTCACGGACTGAATTGTGGACGGTAGCTTCGAAAGAAAAGTGATCAGATCAGCCTAGCTAACGATAAACCGCGATAATACAAAATAGCAAAGCTTAGGCTATTTCTTAATAGGGAAGATACTATCTAACAATACAGGGGCGGCGTTAATATGTAGCACTTTCTACTTATAATAACCGTCTAGTTCTATAGTATAGAAGGTAAACTCCTCTAAGTCTGTTATATTACTTAGTATTTCGCGGAGCCGTCCGTTACGGAAGGTTTTCTAGTTCTCCGTAGGTCCTCTTCTACTAAATATTAGTAGAAGGTCTAGGCGACGAAAGCCTAGTTTTTTCAAAACTACTAGAAAATAATCGTATTCTACGCAAGGATTATCGAATATAGTATAGTTAATCCCTATATATAGCTATCGGGTATCTAGAGTAAGTTCCACTATATTATTTTTCTATCGTGCTAAAGCGCGTATAATAATACGAAATACGCGGTACTTCTCTCGGTAACGTTTATCGACTCTTTACTAGGGAAATATAATTATATCCTCTAGCTCTTCGGTGGTTAAGGTTAGCTATCCCCGGGGAATAGGATAGTTAAACCCTTACGGGAATGCTCGGATTATAGGACTAGGATATATTAGAGCAAACGGGATACTATAGGCTACGGCTGTAACCGTCACTCTTTTTAGTACTAAGAACCGCTCGAGGCTATACAGAAATACCTCCTCGTCGTAGTTCCCAGCTAAAACATCGGCTTATTTGCGCAGTAGCCCCCGGTAGATAGCCCAACACTCGCTTATTAATAGCCCGGACGAACCTAGCTTTTTCTCGGTTTTGAACTTTTGGTACCACGACTCTACTATATTAAGCTTGCGTCGCCGCATAAATAACTCTTCGATGTTTGTGATATATACGGCCTTGAACTAGAGTAGAACATTCTATCCGCGGAAATTCGCACTATTCCTCATCTAATAGACAGAATCGCCATATTCCTCGTCCTCCCTGTAGGTATAGTCGAAGTCGTCGTCGTAAAATTCCCAGTCTAGCAGCTTACCTCGGCCGTCAAGTTCACCGTGACGTCGTCTCGATTCGAACGACTCCTCTATCTCGTTGTCACTTGCATCGGATTCTGGCACGTATAGCCCGCACGCAGTATTGATATCCCCCGCTAGTATTCCTGAATTACAAAATCAAAGAATAACTAAAGAAGATTTATATATTAGTTTTAAAAATACTTTAAATACTAGTTCGTTAAGGAACTATAAACTTGAGCTGGGCCCCTTGCAAATCGTGCATCATCCTAAATGATCTCTGTAATCTTGTGTCGGAATTTCTCATGATCTGCGATCGCACGAAAGACCTTGATATTCAATGGGTTCGCCGACAAAAAGACTCGTTGCAGTCTGAGCTCCACTGAATTGCAGGATTGTTTAGAGACAAGGCGGAGCGTTTTGATATCGCGGTTCGGTAGATATGATAATATTGCGCTCCAGAGCTCCACGGGGAGGCCATAGAATTGAGTCATGTTGTGTTGGGCGGTTGCATGAAGGTGAGTGGTAGGGAGACTTCCAAGGAGAAGTGGGGTGGGCAACAAAGCCTTCAGGCCATCGGAGAGGTGAAAGATCCAACTTCAAGCTAAACTAATCTGAACTTGGATGTGCATGATCTGCATCCCCTCGTGGTTTGTAATTTATTTGGTAAAACACGGTGCCCCATTTAAGTCTCCAGCTCATTTGGCCAAACTTTAGCGTTGCAACATAACCCTATCTAATTGAATTTACCGCCTTCGAAGGTTCGCTCCTCTTTGGCAAAGTGCTCAACCTTATAACTATAACCCTAAGTTGATTTACGTTGATGACAATGCGCTAGCCTAATCTGGTAATGCAACCGGGGAACCGATCCGACATCGTGATTCGTCCGAGTGGAGGACAGCCATGGCAGTTGCCTTCTCTTGTCCTCAGGTTATGGTTTTATATTTCGGCATTTCTGGGAGATGACAAAACGCTAACTCAATAAGGCAGAGATATGACCAACGCGCGGAGTTAGATCTTCAGTAACCCCAATGCTTAGGTCTCGGGCTTATGGCTGTCCTCAAGTCCAGGTTTTCCGGTCTGAAATGAAGATATAAATACGACACTTGATGTTCGTTGACTTTACTTTAGAACAAGTTGTCTTTCAACCCTTTCTAAAGCTCTTTGATCTCAACCCTTACTAGCTGCAATGTCTGCTCCCCAAATTCTTCGCTCCGAGGACGTTTTGGAGAAGTATGGCAAATCACTTGCCGGAAAGACAGGTAACCTTCAATTAATGTATCAGGATCATTGATATTTACTAACATTTGGCCTTGGAACAGTTCTTATTACTGGTGTCTCCGAGCAGTCCATCGCGGGTGAGCTCGCCATCCAGCTGGCTGCCGCTGATCCCAAGCTCCTCATCCTGAGTGCTCGCAAGGAGTCTAATGTAGCTCCTATTGCCGAAAAGATCAAAAATTCCAAGCCCAATGTCGAAACTAGGTTCCTCAACATTGACCTCAGCGACTTGAGCAACATCCGCCAGGCAGTTAAGGAGGGCCTGGCAGATGTGCCCAAGATTGACCATGTGGTCTTTGTGGCGGGTGTGATGATCTGCCCTTACGGCAAGACCAAAGACGGGTTTGAGATGCAGCTCGGCGTCAATTACCTCGCAAACTTCCTCCTTGTGAAGCTCCTTCTGCCGAAAATCCAGGCGGCTGGCCCAGGATCCTCGATTATCATCACGTCGAGTGGAGTCATGAGACAAGGCAAGGTCAATTTCGAAGATATTGGGTTCAGCGTTAGTCTCCAGAACTTGAAAATACGGTCCCCATATTGAAAGAAACATTGGAAGTTAACTCTCTCTATAGGATGGAAAGACCTACGAGCCATGGACCGCCTATTCTCAGTCCAATGCCGCACGCACCATGTTCGCGAAAAGGCTCGGCGAGAAGTTGAAGAGTCAGGGCATTCGTGTCTTTAGCATTGATCCTGGTTGTACGTGTGCCGTTCCCTTTGGACGTAGTAAATTCAAGACTAACCGTAATAGCTGTCAAAACCGGCTTGCAAAGACACTCCCCTCCTGGCTTTTTTGACATGGTCGAGGAGTGGAAAAAAGCTGGCCGTAAGTGACTAGATTTACCTTGACCTACGGATTCATACTCATATTAGAACAGCTCTTGTGGACGCAGATGGAAACAAGTTTCTCATACAGCCTTGGACGACTCAGTCGGAAGGAGCAGCGACAATGATCACCGGAATGATTGATCCTACTATCTCCGGTAAGTGCTGACTATTATTACTCGAACCTAAGCATAACGCTGACTCGGTCTGATCTGGTAGCTGACGATAACGGATCGTACTTGTGCCAAAATGCCGTGGCAAAGGATCACATGCACTCCCATGTTCGGGATGAACAGAATATCTCGCGACTTTGGAAGATCAGTGAGGAGATGATCCAGGAGAAGTATGACTTGTAGGAAGCATTTTCGATTTGGTACAATCACACTCTTGCACTATTATTATTCAATTTCGTGAATGAAATGCTCGGACGGCTCGGGCAATCTTAACGCCTTCTCCCCTCGCTTTTTCCTCCAAAAGTTTGTAGACACTAGAAGCTCTGGAGAGTCCTTCAACATCCAGCTCCATTTCTGCACCACTTCCTCTGATAATTCATACGCTCGGGGATCCCACGACTCGCCCCAAACAATCATCCCCACTTGTCCTGAATATGCACGCAGGCCATAAAGATCTGCACAAAGTTCCTCGTCGTCGTATTTTGACATCTTCAGAATCAAGGTATTTCGAAATGAACGAATGGGTAGGAGATCAATCCACGGATGATGGATAATTTGCTTTTGCGTCGAGCTTGGTTGTAGGCTTGGCGGTAGATGGAAAGTGATTGGCCCAGCAACATTAAATAATGAAGCGATATCTTCGCGTAAAGCCTCCATCGTCAGATCCATGGTGGCAGCATTCTGAAACATCGCTCGTATGATATTGAACTGTGTCACGGAGTGAATAAGACTGGGAGAAGGCGGTATTTCGCCAGCGCCCTCGACCAAATGCCTTCTTAATCGATGGAAATATTGCGCTGGGGAAAGCGGCGAGTTACTACATGAGAGACCGTTGAGGTCTTGGCTTATCGGGGAGTCTTCAGACACTGGGGATGGTTCCGGCGTCCCGTTACCGCGAACATCGTCTATCGCGGGAATGCCCCGTGTCTCGTTGGTATAGATAATCCAACGGTGCTCTCGCTGCTCTTTTTGTCTTTCTGCCTGCTTCCGCTTACCTGCCTGGCGGTCAGCCGGAGGGCGGAGGAGAAGAGGGTTAGCGTCACTCACGACTGGCACGTTGGTTGAGGCGATTCTGCAGCCTTCGCTTGGAAACAGGATCTAGTTGCTCCATCGACTCTTCTGTCTTGAATTGTCTCTGGGGTCGTTTCTGGATCATTGTTCGTGATACTGAATGTGGGATGAGGAAAGGGAAGTTTTGGAGGTAAGCGGCAATAAGCACAGATTGCCACCCGGAAATAAGCGCCTAAACGCCGCCACGCACGTACATCTGTGGCCAACGTCGTTTTACGTCAGAAATGCCCTTTCTTAATTACTAGAAACGGAGGGTTTTGCCTTTCGAAGAATAAGCAGAGATTGAAGCGGTAGATTCCGAGACGTTTGGGGATTGAGGTAGGCTGTTGGCGGGGAACTCCAGGTGGGAATCTCCCGGAAATATTGCTTCTAGACTGAGCCTGCTGTTGACAACAGCTAAATGAATTGTTTACTGTTAGCCGAGATTGAAACAAAGTATTGCACAATGAAAAGGACTTAGCTTTAACTGGGGAATTATTTTAATGGAAGAAAATACGCAAAAGCATGTTTATTTTCTCGACTACCCTCCCTCTCAAGTTCCTCAAGACCGTCCACAGAGTAGAATTTCGTAGTCGGGAGCATAATTCCAAGTTCGGACGTTGAAGAAGTGGAAGGATCTCTATTTAGGTACATTCATGCAAGTTCACGAATTTTGGACACTGTAGCTTTTTGCTTCTTGTTCTATCCATGATAATCCCATACAGTAGGAGCCACTAAATGTTGCCCCCTTGAAGGCGGTATCAAGCGACAGAAAGTATCTATTCCAAGAGGCCGTCAGAAAACGCGACCTGCGGTTGCTCGGCCTGTCTTTTTTTATATTGCGATTTCCTCTATGGCTTCTCAACATCTTGCTCGCTTAACCCTTTTCACCCGTGCAGGGTGTGGTTTATGTGACACTGCCAAGCATACAGTGACCCAATTGCAAAAACGACGGCCCTTCGAATACGTGGAGAAGGATATCATGGATGCCCAAAACAAGCTCTGGAAGAATGTATACGAGTTTGATGTTCCTGTTCTGCACGCCCAGTCTGTCAAGAACGGTTTACCCAAGGAGGCCGAACTTTCCGACGCACGAAAGCTGTTCCATCGATGGACCGAACAAGAGGTTGAGAAGTTGGTCGACGAGGCCGAGAAATGAGCTTCACCACCGGTCCATCTATAAGACGTGGCAATCTCTTCAGACTTTCCTCCATGAGCTTTCAAGCTTTGTTTTCCTCTGGTCGGCACGATTCTTGTATCGATAAAAAACACTGTCTTCAAAATCAACCAAACATCCCGACTGTGATGTAACATAGTGATGACATGCATACTCAACCCGACTTGGTGCAGCTAGTAGCATGTCAGTGGCTCTTTAATCACGAGGGAGTTAATTACAATCTGCATCGTATATTCATGTCTTGATTTATTTTAGAATTGATGAGAGGCAAAGCAAGCTTCAAGGTTGGTTCTCCCCGGTGTAAGGCATAGATAGAGTCAGCATGAGAAAAGTAGTGATCGTAGGATTGCTGCGACCAACCTAGTAAACTCCATAGAAGACTAATCTCAAATAACTTTATCGCTATGGGCCTCATGGAAGCCATAGATGTAGATATACAAGATAGCCATTGCGAATAGTGTACGGCTTAAACCTAGCTTAAGAAGGTATGGTACACGAAACGTCTTCATAGTTTAATTCTTGCGAAGCACTTAGGGAACCTTGATATCAGGAATGGTTCCCTTTCGTCATCAGATATTATGCAAGCGGTCCCTCTTCCATCATGACACCCCCTTGTTCTACTGGAAAGTCGGTAGGCTAACAAACCTCGCCGTTCAGCTTCCGCCGAACGACGGCGAGGAGAGATGGCATGAGCTGAACTTCACATAGCAAGAACTGGGACAATAGATATAGAAATGTTCAAGAAACGTTCCATAGCAAAGCTTGTGTGATTCTGTGGTGAAAGCGCTTGACTGCCAAAATTACAAAAAATCAAGAGATCGTCGGTGCCTGGATCTCGAGTAGAACCCCCATTTTAGTGCAGCCTTCTTAGGAGTCCGTCTCTCCATGATAAAATCTCGAATTATCATAAAATCAACATCAACCTCTCAATGTCGAGTCATAACGAAGTTGGTGCTGACTACTTCCATTCCAAAATTGGCGGTTGACTTATCCCAACTGTTGTCTGATTGGATCATCGCCCCACCTTCTCCGGTCTCCAAAGTCATGGAAGCAATGGAACCTTCGAGCTTCACTCCGGCTAAATCGTGCGGGCCCTGCTTTTATTCGGCATTCTCGCGGATCTGAACATACTGAGCCCATTCTACTTGTCTCGTTACAGGTCCGACCGTCTCTTTTCGCGCAGGTCACGACCCTGATCTTTGTCTCAGACCCCGACACCGTCTTCTCCGCCAATCTTCGCCGTTACCCACCATGGCTGGCAAATGCGTTCACAAGGGATGTGGGGAAGACTTTCGCCAATCCGGAGGAAGCCTGCGTGTATCATCCAGGTCCACCAGTGTTCCACGAGGGGCAGAAGGGTAAGGACCTTGGTGCTACCCCGTCAATTAGAGGCTAAGACTAGAGCTAACTCTACCTAGGCTGGAAATGCTGCAAACCCCGCGTCCTGACCTTTGAGGAATTCCTCGCCATTCCGCCCTGCACCACGGGCAAACACTCCACCGTCGATGATACACCTGCTGCAGAGCCTGTAAAGGCTACTGAGGAACCCGCTGCGCCTCCGACCGAGACTGCGCCTGCGCCCGAACCCGTTGAGACGAAGCTACCCGAGCGCCCTACCAATACCCCCGCAAAGCCCGTCGTCGAGGAGCCCGACTCGGATGACCCCGATGCAGTGATTCCTGAGAATGCGACATGTCTCCGGAAGGGTTGCGGTGTTACATATAATCCCAGCGCCTCTCGCGATGAGAAATGCGTGCACCACCCCGGAGCGCCTGTTTTCCACGAGGGCAGCAAAGGATGGTCCTGCTGTAAGCGGCGGGTCCTGGAATTCGACCAATTCTTGAAGATCCCGGGATGCACGGAAAAAGTCAGGCATATGTTCGTTGGCAAGGCCAAGCCGGCCGGCGAGGAGAAGGTCGAAACTGTTCGGTAAGTTTTGTCGACCGCAATTGGCATCGGCCGCGCTAAAGAAGAACTTCCCTAGCAATGATTTCTACCAAACTGCCTCCTCCGTGAACGTCGCTCTGTACCTGAAGAAGATCGATAAGGAGCGCGCGCGCGTCGACCTCACCGAAAATACCATCACCTTTGACCTCCCAACTTCCGACAACAAGCGCTTCCAAGATACATACAATCTTTTCGCTCCCATTGACCCCGAGAAGTCCTCGTTCCGTGTGCTGGGTACTAAGCTGGAGCTGACACTGGTCAAGGCCGACGGCACCAGCTGGCCGGTTCTACGCAACGACGATAAGTGGAGTGGACAGCGCATTCAGATTGGTAATGCGGGTCGAGCGTGAGGAGAGCTAGACTAGGTCGGAATATACCTCGAGTAGAAGGGTGGATCCAAAAGCTGAGGTCTGGTTGTGATTTTCCATTGATGCCGTTTTATGATGGTGATGCATTGATGACTAGGGTCGAGTCGAAGACTCGAAGACTTGAAGACCTATATGGATAATATTGAATGAACATGTCTTCGTGGACCTCGTGCCACGGTCGACCAGGCAAGATCATCGTAAGCAGCTCGTTGAACTCTGGTAGAGATATATGATAAAGTTGACTATCATCCTCGTGGGTGTACGACCAGGTCTGAACTACCTCATGAATTGTATTGATATCATATTCTGCTGCTCAGTAAAGTGGTGGACTTTGCTTTTCTTGTTTGCCTTCTTATCACGCCGTGTTTACATGTTTTTCTGCCCGTGGAATATCCTGGGCAGATTGGCTTGACCTCACTTCTCTTCGCTCCAGGGGAATATCCTCCTCTTCCTCTTCCTCCTTGACACTTTCCACCTTCTTCCCTCACTCACCTTCCTACTCATTCCGTACGCAAGCAAGACTCACCAAGAGAACAAGCAACATGTCGACCCTAGCAGAATTCAAGGACTGGAAGCGTGAACTGCTCTTACACGGACACTTCTCTGACATGGAGATCATCTGTCAAGGTGTTACCTTCAAAGCTCACCGGGCTATCGTCTGCACTCAGTCACCATTCTTCAACAGTGCATTCTCTCGCGGATTCAAGGTGACTTGGATATACTCTCGCAGCGGCCTCGGTTTGCTGACATTTTCAGGAAACCACCGAAAAAGTCATCGAGATACAGGACGATACTCCAGACACAATCGCCTGCGTCATGTCCTACCTCTACATCGGAGACTATGATGACGGTGGAAATGAGCTACGATCCCGTGCTCCAGATCCTGTCCCCTTCAATCGTCCGTCCGTCGCAGCCAGCCCTGAGGACAAACCAGGCGACGCAGAGCTTATGAAACAAGTTGCCTTGATGAACATTCGGGTCTTCGTCACCGCAGATAAATTCGGAATTCTCCCATTGAAGACCCTGGCAATGCAGAAGTTCTCTCCCTGGGCATGTCTCAATTGGGATTCCCCCATGTTCCCCGAAATCGCCGAAGCCGTCATGACAAAAGTCCCTGCCCATGAACCAGGCCTTCGAGTGATCCTCGCCAGGACAATCGCAAAGCACATTCTGGAACTGGCCCGCAAGCCGGCGATAATGAGCCTCCTGAACTCGTTCGGATCCCTTTCAACACTTGTCATTGCGGGACTCATTCGTGATGGACGAATCCAGGAAGAACGGGACCCTCTGGAAGAATTTGCTTGGAGATTCCACGCAACCCGTTACTGTCTCGAGTGTTCAGCAAAGCTCAGTGTGGACCCGGGAAATGCAGAGTTTCATGCGAAGAATTTCCACTGTGCGGACTGTCTGGCTCGACGTAGATGACCGCGCATGTGTGTGTGACCGGTTGTCCACTTCGATCGTTGTTTCGTCTGTTTCTCATGGCTTTGTATGGTTATTTCGATAGCTCGGTGAAATGCCGGCAGGTTATGGTGTTTGTGGGGTTAATCTAATTAGTCTGCTCGTTATTGTTTTTGAATATGAAACGCAGTCAGTGCCTACGGGCCTTAATTCCACATGTTTTCAGGACGTCCGAAATGAAATATACATCACCCAGCCTTAAGGGGTGTGCATACCTTGGATCAATGGCGTAAAGAAACCCTAGGTAACAGCAGGATATATATATATATCTTAGCCCAAGGGACAAGCAGTCTTAGGTAGCTGGCATGATTCAATATTGTTGGGCATTAGGTTCAGAAATAGTTCTTAAGTAGATGTAAACAATTGACTCGGGTCTAGCGTCTTATAGCCTGAGATCGTGAAGACTCCCGCCCAGGTGAGTCGTCCCTCGAGGCCACAGAGACTGTAGCATCTCGCCCGGGCAAGAGAGCTAAGCTATACCTGGAGGTCTGATGGAGAAAGCTACTGCCACGGCTGCTCGAAGGAGGTACCTTGCCCAATCCGTAGTTCCCCTTTCAGGCTAGGGTTCTAGCCTTGAGGCTAGTCTTGGATTGGTGACCATCCACGATACGAAGGCTTTGAGCCGCATCGAAAATAGATGCCCGGAATGGCTAGCCATGCCGCGGACATTTGTCTACTCCATGCCAAGCATGACAGGGTAGGCATTAAACGCCAGTTGCCAAGACATCGCCATGGACCACAGCAAACGGAAATTTGCATGGCCGTGACTTGCGGCTTAAATTTTACACAAGCTACGTGTGGTCCGAGGCAGAGCATCTCCACCAATTGGACCAACACACCAACCCAACCAACCGCGATCAACACAACCAAGAGGTTGTAAACAAAGGGATGTACCGCCCCCTCCACAGCTAAAGCGCATGGAGCTCCCAAGAAGGGAACCCTTGCCAAGCCATAATTTGGAAGGGAAAAAGAGAGACGAACTATTCTCCGGAGCCGGGAACGGAAGGAAACCCATAGAGCAAAAGCCACAAGGATAACCCTCAGCAAGCCATCTGTGATGGAGCCACGGGATTGTTTACATATATTGTAGATATAGTAAACCTCTACTGATGATGAAGAAGAAAAGAAAAAAACATCAAAGGGCGGCGGGCGGAAGCTGTATTTAAAGCCAAAATTTGGAAAAGGCGCTAGTGCGGATTGGGTGGGCCTGGAAAATAGATGTACCGGTGGCCGAGCAAACTCGATTTAGCGCTAGCTAAAACAGGAAAATAGGGCACATTTCTGCTAGGGCTTGGGGCGCTCAGGTGACATGGCTGGTCTCAGGAAGTCCAGGATCGTGGACTCGCATGTGAAAAAGTCCCCCCCCGGTCCAGCAAAAGCCAAGTTGGCTTAGTCGGCGGTCAGCCGATTCTTCGTGATGGCTGAGGGAGCGGTGAACTGGCCATTTTTTCCCGATCTCCTCCGTTCTGTCAGAATCTAGATTGATCAGGATAGTATTGTATATTTTGTTTTACTCGATAGCCCTGTAAGCCCGATATATCTTTACCCAGGCCGCTTTTCCTATGTTACATTCTTTGTATACCCATCGCGTTCTCCTGTCCTCCTGAGCGGGACGGAATGTGGGCGGGACCTGGCCCTTAGCCTTTTCCAGATGGCTTCCATGGAATCACGCTGCAACCTTACGGGGGCCCGCTTCTTCCAATCAAGGTACCGAAGCACGAGACCAGATCGCTTTGTCTCATCTTTTCCGGTCCAAACTTCCAAACGTTGAACACTCGGCAGGTCAACCAGTCACTCGTAACCCTTCTTCCAACTAGCTTTTTTGCCCCAATCCTGTATATCCACTGGGTCCCCTTTGAGATCCTTCCCATGCGACCTCTTTCCCCATCCAACAAATCATAACCCTCGTGGTCACATCGCATTCCGTACCTGGTACGTGTTGCCCTTTCTAGTCTCTGCCCCCCCCTCCTCTTTTCCACTGTGTAGATCCCCCGTTTCCATCTGTCTTTTTCGCCAGGCTACTACAGAGAATACTTGTCTCAAAAATCAGAGCCTAACGCTGTCACAGTCCCCACCAGACCCTGACTTTTTTTTCGGCGCTTTAAAGACCGTCCCCGCCCCAAGTGACCCTCTCCCCCCTGTCCGAGTCCACCTCCTGTCGGCACATTCCTACCACCGCGACTGCTTGACTTCCACTTCAACCACGCTTACGATCACACCTACAACCACCTCCTCTCCATCCTTCCTCTCCGCTGCCCATCATGGGTTCCTCCGACACCACCAACGGTGCTCCCGCCCTGCGCTACATTCCCCTCACCTATACCCCGGCCGACTCCCAGGCCTCCGCATTGCGCCTGATCTTGACCCTCTTCCCCCACTGGGAGGGTCCTGGCAACAAGATCGAGTTTGTGCGATTCACTGATGGCATCACCAACACGGTACGTCCTGAGCCCGACCCCAGATCCGCCCTGCCGGAACTTTTCGCTGGGTCAACGACTGACCTAGACCTCACAGCTCCTGAAAATCATCAACCGCAAGGCTGGCCTGACGGATGAGGAGATAGACAATGATGCGGTACTGATGCGCGCGTACGGAAATGGCACAGAGATCCTTATAGACCGTGAAAGTACGCTATTCCCAGGACATCGTCCTAGAATCCCCCTTCTGCCCTGACTCTGGCCCCATGCGACAATCTCCATGGCTCGCCCGCTGCTCGTTCTCCACGGCCCAGTACGACATTCACTAAAAGTAGATTTCTTTTTGTGCCTCTAGGAGAAACCACTTCCCATGCCCTCCTCGCCAGTCGTGGCCTGGCCCCTCCCCTCCTCGCCCGCTTCAAGAACGGCCTCCTCTACCGCTTCATTCGCGGCAAGCCCTGTGGCCATGAAGACCTGGTCACTCCTCCTATTTTCCGTGGCGTAGCACGCAAGCTCGCACAATGGCACGCCGTACTCCCCAACACCGGCGCAGGTTCAACATCTTCAAATGCAGTCAACGAGCACGATACCGACTTGACACCAATTCAACCTCGCCGCGCAGGCTCCTCTATGTGGGCAGTCCTCCAGCGATGGGTCATGGCTCTGCCCGTGGCAACCCCGGAGCAGAAGGCCCGTCGCTTGACTCTGCAGAAGGAACTTGAGTGGGCGGTGGGCCAGCTGGATGACGGTGTAGGCATTGGTGAAGACGGCGTACGCCACCCCCCTCCCGCAGACCCATTCCTGCGTACCCTCTCCCCCCTTCCTACAAGTCGCACAGCATCACTAACTTTTTGTCTTTTTACCGGTTGTGTAGCTTGTTTTCGCTCACTGTGATCTCCTCTGCGCCAATGTGATCATCCTGCCTGATGACGCGGGTGTGCAGACTGAGGATGGCATTGCCCCGGTCAACTTCATCGACTACGAGTATGCCGTTCCCGCCCCGGCGGCCTTTGACATTGCCAACCACCTGGCCGAGTGGATCGGCTACGACTGTGACTACAATATGATCCCCACCCAGTCGGTCCGTCGTCAATTCCTCACCGAGTACACCAAGAGTTACTGCGAGCACCGCGGGCTCGACGCTTCTTCGCAGGCCGAGATCGTCGACCGCCTCTACCAGGACGTGGACCGGTTCCGCGGTATCCCTGGATTGTACTGGTAAGTAGCCGTTCTTACACAGCAACTGCGAGGAATTCCCACCTACGGGAGTCGACAAAAGCTACTCGTGCTAATCCAGTTCTCGTTCACAGGGGTGTGTGGGCTCTCATCCAGGCCCAGATCTCGCAGATTGACTTTGATTACGCCGACTACGCGGAGCAACGACTTGGCGAATATTGGGCGTGGAAGTGTGAGATTGATGGCAGCAGAAAGCAGGCCGGCGAAGAGATGCCCCTCCGTGAGAAGCGCTGGGCGCAGGAGGCATGAAAGCATGACGCTGGAAAATGTCCCCTCTTACCCCCTCGTACACCTTCCTCTTCCTCTCCCCCCCGAATGGCCTGCTTCATCCCTTTCTCCTCCGTCGCTCCACCCACCCCCCTTTTTCTCTCCTCGCTCCCTCCCCCACAGCATTTGCAGGCCTTCCTACCTTGACGACTCATTTCCCTCAGCCTGCTCCTCTTTCTCGCATCCTGCATTTGCATTTGCATCTTCATCCCACCTGGCCCAGCGGCATAAACGCCCCTTCGCAACCGCCCTTCGCAGCCGGCCTCTTCGCTCGCCACGCCCCACATCCATCGGGTTCGATACTTGTCACAACCTGCATAAGGTCTCGCTAACCTGACGCACGGCTTTTTGCCGCTGGGCCAGCCTTAGCTCAGCGGCAGCCCAGTGCCCCCGTCTGGCACTGAGACTAGCTGCTCGCGACGACGCCAACTGTCTACATAATCCCTCTCCGCCCGCGGAGAATTCTGGTGTAGCTACTAGTCGCGCTTAGCGGTGTAGTACCGTTATCCTGTTGCGCTACTGTCATCTTGTTCCCGATATCGGCAGAGCCAATGAGTGCGGTAAAGGGGAACCACGTGCTTGAGTGGAGCGAACAAGGCCCGCTACGGGCGCGTAAGCATTGCGACGTCATTTGTGGTCTTCAACGACGGTGTTGGGCTCTTTAAAATTATGGTTATCGCTTTTTATTTATCTTTGTCATATCGCTGTGTTTTTCTCATGGCCCTTCAGTCTATTTTCATTTGCGTTCTGTCTTTGTTCCACTGCACAATACTGCTGGCTTGTGGAGGTATCTGATGATCTACCCCGCTGAAGATATAGCAATACACGGAGAGCCATTGAGTTGATTAGCTAGGTTAATGATAATATGGTGTTTGAATGTTTTGCTCTTGTCTATAACCTTTGTTTTACCAAGTTACCTGATCCCAATTACTCTGACTCTTACTACGCCTTTAGGACAACTTGCAGGCCGCACAGCGCCTGACTGGGACCAATCACCAGGCCCGCTGGTCTCTCATCCAATTATCTAGATCTAGTAGTAGAAAAAGACACAATATCAAAGTCAAACTCACACCCACCTCCCTCTTATACATCAAACTCCACCGCCTGATGCTACCTACAAAACACCGAAAGGTCATATGGAAAAACCGGTGGCATCGCAAAAAACACATCAACCCCAATCCACCATCATCAGACAGCGACGGCTAGCCAGTGGTTGTTCAATTTCGTCGTCGCCAAAGCCACCTCCCAGCATGTTCGCTACCCTCGAGGTTAATTGGTTTCGGAACATGTTCCGTATATGGATCGTTCTGTCTCGTTATGGTAACCTTCACCTGGTTCCTGGTTCCAGAAACAAATGGTGAGCATCGTATTCTCTAGACGTTGATTGACCTGACTAACTTTGCTCTAGGGTTGTCTCTGGAAGACATGAACGAGCTCTTTGCTTAGGATAACATTCGGGCTAGATTAACACCATTCAGGTTGTCTACCATTGAAGTAATTGAAGCAAGCGAAGATCTTAAGCTAGATCTAGGAGTTGAGAATCCTACTAAGTCAGGTTCAGTCTGGGATAGACTACATAGTCGCACTGGTGTATTGTTCGTCATGGGAACCTACCAACATTTTTTAATTTATTTGACTCTAGCCAATGGCAGTGTTAGGTTGTGGTCTAAGGCTACACTCCACGTGAGGTTGTAGACGGGGATACGAGGGGGCGACAAAAATCAAGAGACAGCATCAACATGATTTATGGGAAAACTAACGCAACCAAAGAGAGAATAAGTCACAGGAACAGGTAACAAGAATCTCTCAGTATTCAACTCCTTCATTTGTGATGTATGAAAAGAGTGTCTGAACGAAGACCTCTCCTATTTCTTGATCGCAGCTTCAGTAGCCTCCTTGAGCTTAGCACCAAGATCTTTATCAACACGAGCGAAGAGAGCTGAAACCATAGTTAGTAGAGCACTTTGAGAAATCCACAAGAAGAGTACCAACCGTATACGTCGTTCCGCAGGCTACCCGATTTAACTCCCTTCAGGCTAGACACAATATTTGCAATGGTCCGATCTTGGTGTCCAGGTTCCCGACCAAGGACCTTCCACAGAGCAGCAGGCTGAACAAAGTCCTCGTCGGTGATGTGGCTCGTGTAAGTGGCGACTTCTCCAATCCACTTCTCATGCTCTGTGTGCAGGCTCAATGCCTGGGGTTTGACCCCCTTGACCTCGGGATAGTATTTGGTAGGCTTGAGAGTGGAGTTGACGTAGTTCGGATCTCCACCGTAATTGTCATCGAATCTCATCTTGCCGTCTCTCTGGAATGGGCAGTACACTGGGACCTTGGCTGCGTTAGTCGGGAGCTGTTGATAGTTCACACCGAGGCGATAGCGGGCAGCGTCGGGGTAGGCGAATAGTCTTGCTTGGAGAACTAAAAATTCATGAGTTTGAATGCGTATATACTATGGTTGCAGAAGTTATTGACATACCTGGATCGGCAGACGCCGCAAAGCCAGGCACCATGGTAGATGGAGAGAAGGATGCTTGCTCGATATCGGCGAAATAGTTGTTGGGCTAGAGTTCGTCATCATCCACAGAGTCAGTAAAGCGATCCTGCAAAGGATGGGTGCCAACTCACGTTACGATTCAGGGTGAGCTGGCCGATTTGTCTCAATGGGAAGTCCTTGTGCGGCCAGACTTTCGTCATGTCGAAGATGTTCCACTGGTACTTTTCCGCCTCGGACGGATCCATGACTTGAACGTAGACATTCCACTTGGGATAGTCTCCTCGATCAATAGCCTCGAACATATCTCGGATCATGTAGTCTGGGTCTTCGCCTGCAATTCGAGTGGCCTCCTCGGCAGTGAAATTCTTGACTCCTTGCTGAGTCTTGATGTGAAGTTTGATGTACTTGAATGAACCATCCTAAACACGGGTTAACAATGAACGATGTGGCTTGGGTATTCTTCTAACCTCTTTAGTGAACTTGTAGGTATGTCCACTGTATGAGTTCAGGAACCGAATCGACCGAGGGGTTCCGCGATCACTAAAGAGAACCAAAAGCTGGTGAATACCCTCTGGGTTACCCACGTGGAAGCTAATATAAAGTCAATAAAGGCTATGAGAAGGAGCACTACCGAACATACTCCCAGAACTACAGACGACGTCAGCTCATGCGCAAAATAAAAGAGTCGCCCAAATCTGCTTACCATGTTTGGGTCAGGAAGATGAGTCTGCGGATGTCTCTTATGCGAGCGATTCATAGAAGGAAACTTGATCGGATCCCGAATGAAGAAGACGGGCTTCGAAAGTATCAGTCACGAAATGAAAATACACAAGCTTGGTACCATGCATACCGTGTTGTTGAAGACCCAGTCCAAGTTACCCTCATCGGTATAGAGCTTCATCCCCCAACCGTGCACATCTCGAGTTGTATCCGCCGAGCCTGACTCTGGACCCACGGTTGACACACGCAAGAGAACCGGAGTCTTCTTGCCAGCCTGGTTGAGGAAGCTAGCTGAGGTGATATCTGAGCAATCGGCCGTAGCTTCAAATTCGCCATATGCGCTAGACGTAACATGTTAGACCAATTTAGAGACCGCAGAATGGGTACAATTGAATCGCAAGGATTGCTAATTGAGAAGCCGATGATTCATAGAATGATTGACGTACCCGACGGCTTTAGCATGAACAACTCTGAGGTACAAGATTTATCAGCCTTGTTTTTGCTTTTATTTTAGGACAATTGGACCATACCGTTCCGGAATTCTCTCGCGAGAGAAATGTGCCAGTGTCTCGATGAGCTGAGTATCCTGTAGAAGACCAAGACCCCCACCTCCTTGCTGGCCGCGCATCAGGACAGCGGTGCTGCTGCTTGCGAAGGGACATCCTGGTTACTGTCAGCCGAGTTCTGAGCATTGATTTGTATTCTGAACTAACCCTCCGCTAGGGTGTAGTATTTCTGATCAGGCATGTCGAAATTCCGATTGACTCGCGCGCAAGCGAATTGGAGTTCAAAGATGTTTAAAGATGGAGAAGTACTCCTGAGCAAGAATTCACTTCTTTATGAATACTCACCTCATTCCCGCTAATTGCTTTTGGTTATACTAGTCAATTACATCAGAGTTGTGCCTCGACGCGTGAGTTAGAATCATCCGTGAATCTATTGGTTCCGCTAGTATTTCCCAAAATGGAAGGGGTGGCATCTGAGAACAGTAGCTTTCCTCATGACGTCATCCGGTTTCGATCGGAAACTTTTTTTTAACCTTTCTAGGCCCTCCTTGTATGGCTATTCAGTATCTTGGAGAGGAAACTAAGTTTTTAGCGGATCTCAAACATGCAGATGCTTCTTGAAGGGGAGAGATCTCGAATTAACCGCTGCGGGGTCCTGACCGTCCAAAAAAACGGAGCTGCGGGACTACATTGACAAAAAGTACGCAGTATCCCCAAAAGGGTACACCGACTTTTTCTAGCAAACAATTCGATAGCAGTTAGGCAATGAACCCCAGTTGAATGTCATCTTTGAGTTGCTCAAGTTGAAAATCAAGAATCTCGACGGTCAGGCTGATTTGTCTTCGCAGCAATTCGTTTTCTTGCTTGTTTCCCGCAAGATTTACTTTTGGGACTGACTCCACGACTCGTCCATACAATTCATATGCCGAGATTGGCTAGATCATGCCACGGTTTGAAAGACAAAATAGTCTTTGCCATGTCTAACAGTGAGCGGCCATTATGACTGGCGGACTAGGTGGACTCGAGGTCAGCTTATCAGTCTGAAATTTCATGAAATATGATCTTATCATAATGGCCAATTGAATGAACTAGTGTACTGGGCGTCTTATCCAGGCCATTGAACATGATAATAGCGACGAGACCGTAAATTCGAACTCGATCATCTGTTGTCTTTAGGTCTATGTGCGGCGGCCAATGTCTATGCATCTAGAGTTTATTGTACTAGCAAATAGCTATCAATGACAATCGTGAAACATGAAACTATGTACAGGTCTCATATAGACATGAGCAAGAAAATATTAACACCAGCCAAATCCGGCAACTACAGACGGTGCTGGACAGGAGAAGTAGGCTCCGCAAGGCACTCCGGAATAGAAACGGTGTTCTTCTCCACCTGGCCATCCCACTGCAGCACACGACCCATCTTATAATAAGACTCAATTCCACGGCGAGCGTGCTCGGCCGGAGTGAACGGGTCAGGGTCAGCGAGGGTACGGCTAAAGAGCTCCAAAGAAACCCAGCCACGGAAGCCAAGGTCATCGAAGAACACCCGCGCGATATCCAAGATGGGCAGGTAGCCGCCGCGGTTCTCTTCGAAGGGGAATAGACGGGCATTGCGAGACCAGTTCATGCGGACAGGCTGACCGGGGACGTGGAAGGGGTGGTCTTCGTTCAGAGGGGCAGTGAGACGCTCACCATCGACGAGCTGAACATAGAAGATCTTGGCGGGGTCGATGTTGGCTGTGCGCAAGCGCTGGAGAGAAGCAGCCAGGTCTGCGGCCGCGTTGGGCGTCTTGCCTGATGGCGAGGCAGGGTCGGCATATACACGACCGGCGATGTTGAAGGAGTCCAGGCACAGGCCGAAGTTGGAACGGTCAACATCGCGGACGACTTCCCATGAGGCCTCCCAGGTATCGACGTGGTCGCCCCAGCAGAGAGCCTCGTACACGAAGCGGAAACCAGCGCCAGCACCGAGATCAGCCAGACGCTGGAGATCACGAACAATCACCGTGCGATCGCCCGTTGTCCGCGGGGCACCGGTTGTAGGATCAGGACCCAGGAAGTTGGATGGCACTTGGATCATGTCGGTTCCCAGCGCCCGCGCCAGGATGAACCATTTGGGAAGCTTCTCGTTGATTAGGCGATCAGACTCGGCGCGGTCGATCAGACCTTCGTACATGGAAAAGGGCTGCAGGCAGATGATGGTCATGCCGAGTCTCTCGCACAGCCGCCGTGTTTGGCGGGCGGCTTCCATGTGGTCGCCATTAAATGTGCGCTGGGCATAGCAGTCTAGATCGTCGAAGAAGAGCTCGATACCCTCGAAACCGTGGGCAGCAGCTTGCATCAACTTGCCCGGTAGATCATGAATCCAAGGTCTCCCTAGAGACATGGAGGCAATGCCGGGGCGATTGAACATCTTGGCGACCGGATGGAGATTAACCGACCGGGCGGCGTTGAATGTATCCGAGGAGAAAGAAAGGAGGCAGGGGTGTAAGGACAATAGCGGTATGGAGATCGAAGTATAAAGTTCAATATACCCGGTGACCTTTTGAAAGAGGGAAGGCAGGAAATGCTTCATGCAATAGTACAGTCGGCAAGGTGCAAAGGATGTATGGAGTAAGCACAACGTTGAAGGACCAACGGACTAGATATCGAAATGCGAAACAAGCAGACGGGTATCCACGGGTCTACTCTTTTCTCGCGATAAACAGACTGACGAGAAACCATTACCCCCTGACCCCATCTTTGCTCGAGAATATCACTTGCATATTATGATTAGCAGACCTCGAGGGCGAATGATGAGTGCAGACCCTCCCAAGTGAGAGCGGCTAAACGAAAGAGAAGCAAATCATTTGGCGGGTCAGTCGAGGTCTCTACTCTATAGAGTTAGTGCGGTATCCGTAATACAGTGGCAAACCATTATCCGCTCTGCAGGACGCCCACAAAGCTCATCGTATGATTACTGTCTGTAATGAACATACCATGCGACCTCTCTCCAGTATAAATCGAGTTTGCGCGTCCCTTCTTTTTCGTTTACCCGGCCCAATCATCTCCGTGCTTTACGTTCATCCACCTCCACTCACCTCGTCGACCTCTTCGGCAGCTGCAAAGCCCATTGCCAGAATCCTCAGCCCAGCTCACCGAATATAATCCCCGCGGCTCCCCGGTTATATTCTCTGACCCTGGATCTCTATACGGCAAGAACTTTTCCCTGCTGACGTGCCAAGGCCCCTTCAACCGAGGTGCCCAAGCAATACCATGACTCTCATCTCAAGGTCTCCGGATTTAACATATCCGAATGATTCATTCATGCCACCCTGACCTTCTACAAGTTGCAACTGCTCTGAATCTCTACAACTTTCTACTGTGACCCATTTCTACCATGTCCCTCAAAGTTGCCATCATCGGCGCTGGCCTCATCGGTCCCCGCCATGCTCAATCCGTCATTGCGAATCCAACCACCGAGCTGATTGCCCTGGTCGATCCAGCACCAACAGGCAAAGACACCGCCACCAAGTTGAACACCAACTTCTATTCCACCGTGGCAGACCTCCTAGCCTCCCCACACAAACCCGACGCAGCAATCGTGTGCACTCCAAACCACACGCACGTCCCCGTGGCCAAGGAGCTCCTCGCAGGCGGAGTCCACGTCCTCCTCGAAAAGCCCGTCAGCGACACTCTCGAAACAGGCCGCTCCCTGCTCGAGTTCGCCCGAGCCCCAGAACACGCCCACCTCAAGCTCCTAGTCGGCCACCACCGCCGCTTCAACCCCTACGTGCGCGCCACAAAAGCCGTCCTGCAGTCCGGCTCCCTGGGCCGAGTCATCGCCGTCAACGGCCTGTGGACACTATACAAGCCAGACGCGTACTTTGCCGCCCCAACCGACTGGCGCGCCTCTAGCGCTCGCGGCGGCGGCGTCATCCCCATCAACCTCGTGCACGACATCGATCTAATGCACCACCTCTTCGGCCCAATCGTCCGCGTACAAGCCGAAAAGACCCTCCCCCAACGCCCCAGTCCCCCCCATGACGCCGACGAAGGCGCCGCACTAACAATGCGCTTCGCCTCCGGCGTCGTCGGCACATTCCTCGTCTGCGATGCAACGCCCTCCGCGCACAACTTCGAGTCCGGCACGGGCGAGAACCCGATGATCCCGCGCGCGAGCGACGCCTCGGACTTTTACCGGATTTTCGGCTCAGATGCCTCGCTGAGTGTGCCTGATCTGACGCGGTGGAGTTATGGGGCTGCGGCGAAGAGTTGGTCGAGTGCGTTGGTTGCGGAGAAGATTGCGTTGCCGGATGAGGAGGCGCCGTTTGATTTGCAGTTGGCGCATTTTGTGGATGTTATTCGTGGGGTGGCGGAGCCCAGTTGTTCGGGGGATGAGGGGTTGAGGGCGTTGATTGTTTGTAAGGCTGTGCAGACGGCGATGCAGACGGGGTTGCCGGTGGAGATTCCTGTTCATCCGTTGGCGTAGGATTGAGATGTGGTGAGCTGAATATAACGAAACTTTTACTGTGTGCTTTGAAACGTGTGTGATTACTACCTGAAGAATTATAGCTAGGACTGTGGACAGGGATGGCCAATTGATCTCTTTCTTCCGCTTGACTTTTTTCTTTCTCTCGATTCCTTCGCCGAATGATTCCTGCAAAGTCTGCAAAGTTCCTTTCCGTCTTGACTATCTCGGTCGATCCTTTGAACTTCTAGTTCTATATTTCTACGGATGGATGCAAAATGGATATTCGATCATCAAATTATGTTCATTCAAGGTATATATATCAACACAATAGGGACACACCCTATTCGATCCGACTCAATAGATCAAGATCAAAACACGATTCTACAACGACAACGCAAACACCAGAAACATGATTCCATCTCCAAAATATACACCACGTATCTCATCAAGCATACGAAGTCTTGGGCTGCTGCGCAGTATCCTCAACCTGCACGGCATTCAGCTTAGCCTCAGCGAGACCCGACTCTTCAATGTCATGACGGAAACGCTCCTCGTCCTCGCGCAGAGTGGCAACGATCTGCCCGTGAGCACGCCAGATAGGCTTGATCTCGAACAGACGGTCCATGCTCTCGAGAGGAATACCCTTGGTCTCGGGGATGAGGAAGAAGACAAAGAAGACGGAGCAGATCATCAGCGACGCGAAGAAGAAGTACACGCCATAGCCCATGGTGGTGAACATCTGCGGGGTGAAGCGCGAGATGAGGAAGTTCCACAGCCAGTTGGAGGCGGCGGCACAGGCCTGGGCCAGGGAACGCATGTTTGTGTCGAACATTTCCTGTGTGGGCAGTCAGTATTGGGGTTTTCATCGCAGTGCTTGTTTGTTTGCATGTGTCAACTTACCGAGTTGAGAACCCAGGGAGTACCGTTCCAGGTAGGGGTATAGAAGACGGTCCACAGGTAGAAGAAGAACATGGCAGCAATACCACCGCCATCCATGGTGGTCTTGGGGTGAGCGGCTGGCTCGGCAATCTTGATGTACGCACCAACGATCCACAGGCAGATGGAACCGCCAACAGCACCGATCAAGAGCAGGTTACGGCGACCGACGTGGTCAATGAGATACAGCAGCCAAATGAAGGTAACGACGGTCTTGACAACACCGAAGATACCGGTGGTCAAAAGACTAGTGTTGGTACCAGTAACGCCAATACTCTGCAAAACCAGGTTAGCAAATACCCTCCACTTTTGCTCCTGATTCAACTAACCTTGAAAACAGTAGGTGAATAGTAATTTATAGCGTTAATCCCCGAGCCATTCTGCCAGAAGAAGAGCATGCTGCCCAGGAATAGACGCCACATAACACGCTTGTTGGTGCCGGCAGCCTTGAAGGGCTTCCAGAAGCCAATGCCGATGGTGGAGCGCTGCTCCTCCAGGGCCTGGTCGATGGCGCCGATCTCCTCGATCATGTAGATATCATCCTCGGGCAATTGACGGATCCAGCACAGGTTCTTGATGGCGTCCTCGCGGCGGCCACGGGAGAACAGCCAACGGGGAGACTCGCGGATGAAGGCACTACCGATGAGCAGGAGACCCGCGGGGATCAGCTGGACGGCGAAGGGGATCAACCATTGCTTGTGGCTGGGAGCCATGGTCTCGGAGACACCATACTAACGATGATAGATTAGCGCTATTGAAAGATAGTTTAGTGATAGTTTTGGCGAGAAGACTTACGTTGATCCAGAAACCCACAAGACCACCAATCTGCCATCCAAGTTCGTAGACACCGACCAGGCGACCTCGAATAGCAGGGGGTGCCAGTTCAGAGATATAAATAGGGGTAATATTGGAACCGGCACCGACGCCAAGACCAGCCAGGACACGACCAGCGTAGATCAGACCCAAACCACGGGCGCCGTTGGCACCCAACATGAGACCAGCACCAAGAATGAAGATCAGAGCAGCAGAAATCAGGCCTATACGACGGCCCCAGAAGTGACCAATGGGGTACGCGAAGAAGGCGCCAAAGAAAGCACCAGCTTGGTAGCAGGACACGATATTGGCGCTGATCAAGTTCTTCTCTCCGGTGCCCATGGTGTCGAAATGGAACTCACTCTTGAACGAGTCCAGAGCCAGGGTTGTGCCGATAAAGGCACTGTCATAACCGATCATGCACGAGGTGCATGATGCCACAGCAGCCAGGAGGTAAACCCTCCAGTTGTAGACGGCCTTGGGCGTCGGCCGATCCTCGACTATCTTTAGGATAGACATGGCGGCGGAGGGAAAATCAAAGGACAATAATATAACAAGATGTGTAAAAAAACAGGAGGAAGTCAGATCAATCCCTTCCAAGGGGATGGCAAACAACTTTCACCCTAACGGGTATGAAAGTTGGAGATAGTAGGCAAGGGAGGAAAATCCGGGGGATGGAGAAGAAGAGAGTAGAAAGAGGGTCTTGCTGAGGTTCCACGAACGAGGGAGATGCGAGATCTAAATAGCCACGCGAATCCCCAGACTACTGGGTTGACTGGGGAAGAAGGAAAGAAAGTATCTGGGGGAGACCCGGGGGGGCGAAGCGAAAATCGTGGATGACAGTGGGAGGCGCGGAGAAGAGTATAACACAACCTTTTTTTCTGGCGAAAGGCTAAAAAGCTAACTCCGGCAAAACGATATGAAAGCACGTGGGTGAACAGATCGTAGAGGTTAAAGGCAGAGGCTTCAGCCAAAGGCTATTTGGTGGACAGGTGCAGGATTGGAAGGTACACCATCTTCCAAGGGCTGGGCAGGGGAGGCGGGATTGGTCCAATTGGACTGGAAAATCTCTGCTGGTTGGCTGGGCTGCTTGGCTCAGGCTGGGGGGCTTGGAATTGTGGGGAGGGCCGATATCGCGGAGTGGAACCATGGGGGAATACCCCAACTGGAGTAGTTGGATATGTCGGTCGCATACTTACTGTAGGTGTTTCTCCACGGGGGCTGTCGACTCTGGGGAGGGGGACCAGTGCCTCCTCCAATAAACAATGCAGACTACATGCCGGGACGGTAGTCAAACAGCTGGTTCCTGATTCGCTCGGCCAGTGGGATCCCCAACGCGGCCATGGAGAAACGATCCAATGATAACGGGTGGCCAAAGTCATGAGTGGGTAAACCAAAGTGGCTTGGAAAAGCGATCCTCCGGGGACGGTTTGGCCGGACGGAGGAGGAATAACGGCGGTAGCTTTGTGCCCAGTCTGGAGAATGGCGATGTCAATCGCAATTCGATGCGTCTGGTTCTTCTGGGCGGATTTTGTTACCGGATTGTAATCCTGGGCGAGATGTCACGAAGAGAATATTGTTCTGGTGGTGTGCGAGAGGGAATGGAAGTGAAGGATGCTGGGACTTGGCGGGGGAGAGGGAGTCTCTCCATCACGTGAATCAAGTACCGTACTAAGACAACTATACAAAGTACAGAGCGATAGATCACAGACTACGAGTCTTCTACATTAAACTGTCAAACGCAGCCTCAGCCAGATTCAACGTACTCTTGGATGAATGGTCGGGGTCGAGTTCAAATACCGCCACTTGGCCCACCACCAACGGTCTGAGGATTCGAGAGAGTTTGCCGCTCACTATACGTCTTTAACGCGGAGAATATACCATTTGGGTACAGTGATTACATGTATGAAATGAAAGAACTGGATATATTGACAATGCCGATCGGACATGTTATCAGCTAAGCGCAAGCGCACATAAACCGAGATTCCCGTACGAGCGTGAGCAGCTGCTGGAAGAGAAAAGCAGGAGACAGGAACTGAGGCAAAGAGAAGACGAGTCGATGATGGTCATGGGATCGATCATGTGCCTGAAGGCCCGCACCACTCACGAGGAGGGATTCTGGAGGACTCTTATACCAAAAGTGAATGCTCATATGAGGTCGAGTAATAGAAAACGCACAATAACTATTAGATGTCAACTGCCACAAACGAAAGCACTGTGAATAACATGCGGAGTCCCAGTGCCCTTTGCCCAGAGCATTGTACCGAGTCCCTGCGGAATTGACGGCAGATCTCTTAGCCTAGCCCCGGTTTTTCGTGTTGGCGGGACAAGGACGTGTATAATTAATACCTCTAAATCTCCTCAAGATCTTGCACAACTTCCCCCTCCTTTCCCCTCCAATTCATCCCATCTCCAATTTCACACACACATCCACCATGGCCGCACCAGCAGTCGAAACCTCCATCCCGCAAACACAACCCGAGGAGCCCATCACCAGCCCCTCGCACCTCGACGGCGTGGCCTACCTCTACGGCCACCCGCTCCTTAACTCGCTCTCCCCACCTCTCCACCAAACCATCTACAATGCCCTGGGCCTCAACTGGCAGCAAATCCCCCTCTCCAGCGTAACCGGCACCTCAGCCACCTACCCGCCCCCATACACGCGCTCCCCGCCCATCCAAACCTTCCTCGCCTCCATCAAGGCCAACCCCAAATTCGTCGGCTCCTCCGTGACCATGCCCCACAAGGTCGCCATCATGCCTCACCTGGACGATCTGACCGAGCACGCCCGCCAAGCCGGCGCCTGCAACACGATCTTCCTCCGCGAGGATCCCGCCACGGGCGCCCGCCAGTACGTCGGCACCAACACCGACTGCGACGGCATCCGCGAAGCGCTGATCCAGAACGCGCCCGATGCGTCGCGCTTCCGCGGCCGGCCCGCCCTGATCATTGGCGGCGGCGGTACCGCCCGTACGGCCATCTACGTGATGCGCCGCTGGCTGGGCTCGAGCAAGATCTACATCGTCAACCGGGACGCTGCCGAGGTCGCGACGATCATGGCCGAGGATCGCGCACGGAACCCGGATCCGAATGCCCAGGCGCCCCTGGTGCCCGTTACTGACCCCAAGGAGGCTGCTCGTCTCGAGGCCCCCGCTGCGATCGTCTCGGGAATCCCTAACTACCCGCCCAAGACGCCGGAGGAACTCAATGCCCGTGCTGTGATCCAGGCGTTCCTGGGAACCGCGGCTGATGCGCCGAAGCAGCAGGGTGTGATTTTGGAGATGTGCTACCACCCCGTCCCCTGGACGGAGATTGCTCAGCTTGCGTCGACTGGTGGCTGGAAGGTTATTCTTGGCTCGGAGGCACTGATCTGGCAAGGTCTGGAGCAGGCGCGGCTTTGGACGGGCAAGGATGTTATTGGCACACCTGGTGTTGTGGATGCCGTCAAGGCTGTTGTCAATGGCTCCGTTACTGAGCGGGCTGCGCAAGCGAAGACGGCTTCTAACTTGTAATGGGTGGAGGCGCTGAACTTGTCATTGCTCACACTGGTGTCTCTCCCGGTTTTCCTTTCTCATTGTTTTACATTTCTCATGCTCATTTGATGATTGAATAGAGCTTAAAATTCTTGCATATATATAGATGGGTGGCGTCAGTTGTGGAAACTGGAAACATGACTCTGAATATACAGAACATTTGGAATTGTCCCGAGCCTAATTACATATAGTCACTGAAGATATGTAGATGCAACCAGTACCATGTGACATAGGTACTCTGTCATCTCAATATAATGTCATTATGTCCGAAGCAGAGCTTTATCTACGCACCGGGTCGAGAATATGACAGATGGCGGACCCGCCGCCAGACCTCGCGCACCGTACGCTCTTGGGACTCGCGGCCAGTCTCGGTACTTGACGGGCCAGCGGGTCTAGAAAAGAGGTTAGCCACGGCCTTCAATGCGATCCTTCAATGCAATGAGTGGGGTTTGCTCACCTAATGGCCAGATATAGTCGACTCCCCAGCCGCACATCTCCAATCGGTGCCGTATCAGGGTCCTCTGGTGGATTAGCCGTAGTAACGAGTCCACCCGCCTCAAGGAGGATAGCAATTCCAGCAGCCACGTCCCTGTAACCGTCAATAAGCCACCCAGAATTCAAAAAAAAGGAATGAAAAATCAAAAAGTCAAACATACCACTCCCAACAACCCCCTCCCACCAGATATCAAACGACCCCATCGCCGTATATGCCAAATCCAATGTTGCACTCCCCAAACTCCTCACCCCATGCACCATGCCCCCCCTTCCCGTCCCTCGCCCCAATCTCCGCCGCCATATTGAAAAAGCTCTCAATCTTGCGATGCATATTCCCATCCGGGATATCGCGGCGGTCCTTCCCCCACTCGCACGAGAAGATACACTGGGACGGCGCATTGGCCGGCATAGGCGGGATGGGGTTACGGATTAGCGGGAGCTGGCGTTTCTCGTTGAGCCAGGCGCCGCGGCCGGAGCAGGCGGAGAAGAGTTGGTCTTGGAAGGGGGCGTAGATTACGCCGATGACGGGGCGGTGGTGGACGATGAAGCCGATGGAGACGCAGAACATGGGGAAGATGTGGGTGTAGTTTACGGTTCCTGGGTTGTGTTAGTTTGGGAGGGGGTTAGGTGAGGAGTTTTAATTGGGTTTGTACCATCTAGAGGATCGATGCACCAGGTTGGTTGTTCGTCGATTAGGTAGTCGCGTGATTGGCCCTTGGCGTAGGTTTCTTCGCCGAGGAATCTGGAGGGGCTGGTTAGTTGTGTTGGACGGGGTCGTAAAGGGGGTGAAGCGAACTTGTGTGAGGGGTATTTGCTTTGGATGGCATTGTGGATGAATACCTCGACATCTGGTCATGTCAGTCCGGGCTGATTCTGATACATCAGATCTCGTTGCATGGCTGGCTTACCCTCGTCCGTCTGGGTCACGATATCGACTGCATTCTCCTTCTCCTCGAATGTCTGTGGGCTATCACCACCGGCGATGCGCTGCTCAACGCGCTCCATCAGTAGATCACCAGCCTTACGGCCGAGGTCGACCGCAAACGCGTATATCTCGTCGAGCTCATCCTGAGAGAGCTGTCCCGCGGCCATGGCGGGGGTGTGATTTCGGGGAAGATGGTAGAGAGTGAAGCTGGTAGGAACGGGCGGATGAACTCTGTCAGTGATGACAGGATTCGAGGGGGTTAGGAGAGAGAGGCTGAACTGTCAGACGGGTTGACTCATGGGTGACCGGTGAAAAATAGGTCGAGGACCACCGCGATTAGCCGGTTTGCCTTATCGGTGGTTCTCCACCGCGGGGTGGAGTCCGACGTGGAGGCTGCGTTGTTCGCATGTCTGATGATCAATGTCTGGACTAGTACAAGCGCTTACCGATAGTCCTTGGATTTTGAGTGAGGTGAGAAGTATCGAGAGAACCAAAATCCAAGCTAATGTGGTTCAATCGGTCGAGATCTCTGGAGGTGCATTCCAGGTGGCGTTTATCATACCCTTTTTTGGATCAATGTTTTATTCGGGTACAGTTATCAACCAGACTGACTCGGGTTAGAGAGTATAAACTGACATTACATTTTACAAAATATAGTGATGAAAGAACCATAGGTATTGGATTGGTGTCTGCCAGAATCACGACATTCTTCCAGAGACATCCTTGGGACATGGAGTTCATTAATCGATCGCTGAGAGGCAAACCATGGCATTCGACTAGAAAAAGAGTAAGAGATGGCTGGAACAAGTCAGAATTCTGGATAATAGTCGGAATTAGGAAGGTGTAGAAAGAGACACCCTTAGGAACTGACAAGCAGCCTGAAAAGTGTTGCGATCTCGTTTAATCTGCCCGAAATCAAGGCCGCAGTTTTTCCATGGCTTAAAAGAGTAGGGAAGGGATACCCCTCCAGCCGCAGCCATACAGAACGAGAACTACAAGCCTGATACTATCAAATCACTCTCCTTGTTGTGAATGACAGTCTCTATTCCCCGCATTGATCATAACCTCGGGCAACTCTCCGAGAATGCTGCCGGCCGAAAAGAAGAACCCCCAAAATCCCCAGCCGGTTTGAGCGGCAAAGCGCTCAGCCGGCCCAAATTGCGGGGAGAACCCAGTCACGAATCAGAACGAGCCCATTCAGCAGCACACTGCTGGACATGTCCATCTCCCCCCACCATCCATTGAACATTCTACTACTGTACTCCTCCATACTATCACAACTAACAACCTCCCAATTGCAAATTCCATACACCCCTCATACACCTTGAATCTACAAAAATGGGCAAATCAATCCTCCTCATCAACGGTCCAAACCTCAACCTCCTCGGCACCCGTGAACCCCACATCTACGGACACACCACCCTCGCCGACGTCGAGAACGACAGCCGCACCCTGGCAACCCAACACGGCTGCACCTTCGACGCCTTCCAATCCAACCACGAAGGCGCCATCGTCGACCGCATCCAAGCCGCCCGCGGCCACGTCGACGGCATCATCATCAACCCGGGCGCCTACACGCATACCTCCGTTGCGATTCGCGATGCCCTGCTCGGCGTGGGCATCCCGTTTATCGAGCTACATGTGAGCAATGTGCATGCGCGCGAGCCGTGGCGCCATCACTCGTATTTTAGTGATAAGGCGGCCGGGATTATTGTGGGCCTGGGGGTTTATGGGTATAAGGTTGCCGTGGAGCACGTTGCGGTGAATTTTAAGGAGTTGGAGAAGGGGGAAAGTAAGGCTGCTTTGTAGGTAGGTGGAGGGGAGGGGAGGTTTTTTTTGGTTCTTGTATATACCTGTTTGTTGTATATAGGGCAATTGAGGTTAGTGGGACGGAAAAATTGGAATATCTTTGGGATGTTTTTGGATGCGTGATGTTGGACGTAGACTAGTTATTGTATCTACCGCGGATCTGATGGTCAAATACATCAACCTAGCCAGTTCTCAATATTGTGGCATTTCCTGGGCTCGCCTCCCCTAAGCGTTAACCACTGTCGGCCACCAGGGCCATGATGGAGGAATGAGCGCCGACCAGCGGCTTGACAGAACAACTAGCTAGACATTGAACCTTCCGAGATATCACCTTTTAGGTGTCCCTGAAATGCTGATCGACTCCTGTCGCACAGAAGGAGGCGCGGTGCCGGACAATTGTTGCGTTTGTGCCAGCAAAAATGGCTCAATCTGACTGGAGAAAGAGAATAGCTCCGGTACGCCACTTTCCGCGACGAAGCCGAGGTTTTGCATGAACTCGGGTTGATTGTCAGGTCTGCATAATCGAGATTAGTATTTCATCTTGGATAGTTAATATAGTGTCAACTCACTTTTCAGCGCCATCCAACGATGCAAGCTCGTCAAACAAAGCATCCAGATCCGGTGCGATTCTTTGCGGTTGTTGACGCCGTGCAGGCCCGTAGCCATCCATGTCGACATAGGGACTAATGTTGAGGGAGGGATCTTGGTATGTAGAGTACTGCCCGCCGGAGGGGAAGGATGGCGGAAAATCGGGAATGATGTTTTGAGCTTTAGCCGGGACGGACGTAGTCGATTGTCGAAATCCCTCTAATTGACCTGGCTGTACCGAGACTTCTGAGGCGCCACCGACAGTAGTCATGGATGGTGTAGGCGTGTGAATGAGACCGCCATTATCGTCGATGCCTTGTGTCGCTCGGAGCCAAGGAGTGGAGAGGAAATGTTCAGATGGGGGAAGATGGCTTTCGTTTTGAGTGGGCTGCAAGTCGGTCGAGGAGAGAAGATGACGGGGAGTCGATACTGGCATGATATGATGCTGCAGGGTTGCGTGTTCAGTGGAAGGAGTAATGTCCAGCGGTTGTGGTTGATTCCTCGGTGCGGAAACTGGACCTGCTAGGGATTGATCTTGCGTAACCCAGAGCTGCCTAAGATTGGACGCCAACGATTCAATTTGTGCCCGAAGCCCTATCTCAATGTCGGTCACCAGGCTCCGGGAGACTGACCGTGGAAGACAATACCCAAGGATCATCCCAAAGGTAGGCGCAGTTGCGGAGTGACTGTAGGTTTCCATGAAGACCAGAAGCAGTTGGAGCAGGCGTTTAGAGCTCTCAATTGCCTTCCCCTTGTGGGGTATTTCGGGCAAATTTTGGTCACTTTCACGCGCAGCAATCTGCAGACTCAACGCTGCGACAATACTTTGATATGTCATTTCAAGTCCAAAGATGTGAGGTGATGGCAACTTGATTGGGCGATTTTGTAAATCGACTCGATAACTCTTCGGAAGCGCCGAGGCCCATCGCTGCAGCTGCATCTCAAGTGATTCTAGTTGCGAACGAGAGATCGTCGGGTCTTGCTTATAATAACAGAGGTCGTTTAAAATCGACACTAGAGAAACGAGTCGGTTGAACGTGCTCAGGGCATGGAGAGGACCGCGCTGCATAGAAGCACGAGAAGACTGGGTCGGACGGAAACTAGTCTGATCTTCCCATGGATGCCATTCCTCTAGTCCATCCTCATTGATACCCCCTACCCTGGCGAGGTCGTCCTTCCGCAGTGACGGACATTGTGAGGTATGCTCCGCAATCAGCGTTTCAAGCACAAAACACCCCAGGAAGACATGCTTGGCTCGTCCCAGTTGTTTGTCCGGAGATCGTGATGGAGCTGTGAAAGATGGTCGGTCCAGACCCAATGTCTGGGCAATCCGAACAGCATGTCCCACAAGCATCCATGCGGAAGTCCATTGCTGCTGGCCGAATTTAATCAAAGACAAGATAAGCAGTGCTTGGACATGGCCGAGTTCATATGGGCCAATCTCGGACGGAATGAGTTCCCGAGCCGTATTATACATTCGGAAGGAGTCCATATGAGGATGGGCCAGGTTATCGGATAGGTGGGCGGCATTGGCGGACGTATCTTGAAAAGAGGCCAGAGCCAGGACAGCCCACAATGCAGCATGATCTCCAGACCCGGGCGCTGTGCGTGACATGGAGACATCGCCTTCGGCGTATTGATAAGCGGTGCGTAGTATGTCATGTTTTTCCAGGATTGGAAACCAACACTGTGTGTATGAAAAGTAAATATCGAGAAGGGGCCATGCGTTGGAAGGAAGTTGGAGTAGCTCGTTGCTGGTAATCAATCGGCGATCATCAGCATTGAGCGAGATGGCGAGAGGAGGTGACTGTATCTCCTCGGGTATGGTTTGTACACCTGACTCTCGAGTCCGGTACCCAGGAGGTCTCGGGGCCGAGCTAATCATGGACGCGCGCGAGGGCGATATCCCCGTGAATGGCGTTTCCCGATACTCGAGTCCTTCTGGTATTTGCCATTCGTGCGCTTCTGACGAGGCCAGGACATCATCGACGTCCAATGGTGTGTCACCATCACCATACGCTTGAAGACTTCGTTCCCTCTCCTCCTCTGGCTGTTCGAGGACCACCAGCATGCGCTCAATATCCCTCAGCACAGTACTATTCTTGAATGACGATAGCAGGGTATCCGATCCTTCCGCCTCCTTGCCCATCGTTGCAAGATGGCTGGGGAGGTTGATCGATCTCATCAAGGCACGCATCACATCTTCACTGCCTTGGATTTTCTGAAATACCAAACCCCATAGCAGTTCCAGCGACCGAATATACCCTGTCGGAAGACCTCGCTTCTTGGGATTGGCCTTGTAGGTGCAGGGCCGGCCTAGCGAGGCACAGGTCGAGCAGACTGGTTGTATTCCGTCGCATTTGTCCTTTTTCGATCGACAACTGTCGCAGGCTCGTGATACCCGCTGCCGCTTGGGCAGGGCAGGGTCGTCTTGTGCATTCGCCTTGCCATCATCATCTGGATCCGCCAATCGTCGTTTGGCCTTGCCGCTAGCCCCGGTGGCTTGACGAGATTCGGAGCTCATGGTGATTGCGAGGATCCGCTAGTCGGGTTCAGCCGCATGTTCTTTGCGATGCGATCAAGCGAGGGGGGGGGGGGGGGGGGGGATTGAATCTTTTGCCGACGGCAGCTTGCGCTGCGCAGACTAGTGCTGGCGACCTAGTCCATGCATTACCGTCCCAACAATGGAGAATATAGGTGCGAGAATCAATGGGACCAAATTTAAACGGTCGCAGGTACAGCTAGAGTTGTCTGCACTAGCGAAAAAGAAGAGCACGGCTGTTGCATCCGCGTGCCCGAGTTTCGCAGAGGGCTTCTTTCTCGTTCCGGGGAAAGAGGAGTCGCGCGGCAGAAAGGTGGCCCGCAAATCCCCGCCTACAACTGGGGCCCCTCCCTCTCCGTGCGGTTCCCTCACTGGTCACAGTTCGTGGCTCGTCGACTTGTCTGCCACCCATTGCCCCCAGCACAGACAGAGCCCTTCACCTCCCTTTCTGCTACTCTAAACCCCAAATTCCCAGGTTGCAAATTTTCCATTTTCTGTCTTTCACCGACAACTCTAGCGCCTTCCTGTGGTAATGGGCTCTCACACTTCCGTGTGAACCGGCTCTCCGCGACACGATGTCCCTCCTAGAGACCAAGCGCAAACTGGAGGACGACCACAACGAGCAGCCCCGGAAGTATGGCCCTGGAGGAACGGTTTCTTGGCTGCCAGCGATACGGTCGCAGCCGAGCTCACGACGAGCGAGTGAGCAGGTAGAGGCATATGGCGACCCCTATACGTTGGCAACGTCGTTGCGGGAACTGCAATCTAACCGCGGCTCCCCGGTTCTCTTCGATAATGGCCTCTTGCAGACTCCGCGCATCTTTACTCCCAAGTCATCGATCGTCCTCATCGGTATTCGAGGCACCGGAAAGTCCAGCCTGGCTGTCATTCTGGCGGCTACCACGGGCCGCCGACTGATCGACTCGGACCGATATTTTCACCAGGTGACTGGATGCTCCCGTGCTACATTCAAGAGGGATAACGACCATGCGGTGTACCGACAACAAGAAGCGCGAGTCTTCGAGTCGATGCTATCGGATAATCAAGAAGGATGTGTTATTGCTTGCGGAGCTGGGTCAATGGAGCGCAGTGGCCAGAGCCTGCTGAGAGAATATGCGCAGACGCATCCTGTCATCCATGTCATCCGAGACCCAGAGAGCATTCAGTCGTATCTCAAAGCTTGGGATATCCAAAAAGTGCGACACTTTCTTGAACTATCGGGGCCGATATATCGAGGCTGTTCCAATATGGAATTTTTCAACCTCTCGGAGACCATCAACCGCAGCGGCGCACAGCCAGTCAAAGATGGCCATGACCCATCACCGGAACCCAAACTCGACCAGCGAGCACAGACACCAACGCCCTTCTTAACCCTTAAAAGAGTTCAGCGCGATTTTCTCAGTTTCATCGCTTTCGTGACTGGCGATCGTACAGAGATGAGCCGCCAACAGGCTTCCTTCCCGTTGTCACTATTGCCCGTTGAGACTCGGCGGAATACATTGGCACTGTCAGTTCCGTTCTCTGCTCTCTACGAGCGGGACCTGGATATCGAGGAACTTGAATTCACTGTGGATGCCTTTGAGCTCGTCATAGACGTCACGAGCCCTTCCGGCCAGCCAGGTGCTGATTCAAACTTGGCCGATAGAATCAGTCAAGTGGTGGCAACGATACGCCGCAATATCATTGTGCCGTTGATGTACCACGTCGAAAGCTACATTACTCCCGCGGGATCTCTATCGCCTGGTCAAAAAGCTCGTGTCAATGATGATATCTATTTGACCCTTGTTCGACACGGCTTGCGTCTGGGCCCCAGTTTCCTGTCAGTGGACCTGACCCGTGACGATGCCTTGTTGTCTCAGGTCATCAAGTGCAGGGGAGCAACGAAAATCATCGGCCATTTCGAGGCCTTCCAACCTTTACCCGGCGGCTGGGATGGAGTCGAATACATGAACATATACGAGCGAGCAAAAAGGCTTGGATGCAATGTGGTGCGAATCTGCCAGCCAGCCGAAACCATGGAAGACAATGAGGCCGTGCGAAGATTCCGACATCGAATTGAAAGTCTTCCTGTGGCTGGTCTCCCACTTATTGCATACAACACAGGCCATTTGGGTCGCATGTCTCGCTGCTTTAATCCCACCCTCACACCCGTCACACACCCATCTCTCATGCCCGAAACGCCTCCTCAATTATTTCCCACTATCACCGCACGCGATGCCCAACAGGCACTCTACAGTTCCTTTGCACTGGATCCGATGCAGTACTTTCTCTTTGGTGCGAATGTCAACTACAGTATGTCACCTGCGATGCACAACACCGCATTCAGGGTCTGTGGGATGCCACATCGCTATACCATCTTCCAGTGTCCCGAACTACGCGGATTGAATGAGCTGGTGGAAAATCCGTACTTTGGTGGCTCCAGTGTCAGTCTTCCATACAAGACAGAAGTCATCCCTCTTCTCCATTCAATGTCACCGCATGCCCGAGCGATTGGTGCCGTCAACACGCTCATTCCCATCCGGAACAACGAGATCTCCGATCCCCGCCTTTCAGAAGAATCTTCTATACATCTCGAAAAGACCCGTGCTGGACCAGTCAAGGGCTTACACGGAGACAACACTGATTGGATTGGAATCTGCAATTGTATTCGCCGTGGTCTTTCTCCAGCAAACGCCGTGCGTCCGTCAACCACAGGCCTTGTCATTGGATCTGGCGGCATGGCTCGCGCTGCGATCTACTCCATGATTCATCTTGGCGTGCAAAATATCTTTGTCTACAATCGCACAATCGCCAATGCCAAGAAGCTAGCTGATCATTACAACCGGCAAGACTTGGTGTCGAGCGAACGAAGCCAGGATCGACGCCCAAGGGTCAGCACTCTCAGCTCATTGGATGAGCCATGGCCAGCGGTCTATAAGCAACCAACGATCATCGTCTCCGGTATTCCAGCTCACAGTATTGGAGGCGAACCTGCGCCCAACTTTCATGTACCGACGCAATGGCTCGAGAGCCCAACGGGTGGTGTCGTCGTCGATGTAAGTTCTTCCCAATCTCTACCTCGAGAGCTGTGTCTCAGCTCAGCCCTTGGTCGCACACGATATCCAGATCGGGATCCATGAAACTAACTTCTTTTTCAGCTGGCTTATAAACCCCTGAACACTCCGCTTATGAAACAAATTCGGGCTCTGTCCCACCGGGGCTGGGTAGCATTGGACGGTCTCGACGTCCTCCCCGAGCAAGGCTTTGCCCAGTTCGAGCTTTTCACTGGTCGCCGCGCCCCCCGCCGACTCATGCGGACCATTGTCCTTCAGGAATACGAGGATGATGAAGCACATGATGACCGCAATGCTATCCAATATAGGCTACGAAACCTCGATGGGCAACCGACTTGAGACGATACAGCAGAATAAACTGAAAAACACAAGGTCATCCTGCCGCGCTTTTCCGAGCTCTGCGTGGCTGCTGTGGATCCCATGAGGAAGATCAGCAGCCGGAGCAACTATTCTGGATCGGCGCATCACCTCTTATAGTGCCCCACCCCGCTTTGAGGTTCTCCCCGAGGACCGACTGTCGGTATTATCGGCGGGTCGCAGAGCAGTGGAGTTTTTGGATCTCCATCGATCGAAGATCACTGGATTTATAGGTGTGATTCGAATCCGGCCGCCCGCTGCTATCTTGTCTGGAATTAAGCTCTCTTTGATGAGCAACGACCATACCCTAACTATCAGGAATAATGAACGACACGTTAAGGAAGCAAACAGTATAAATGTAGCATAGATATAGCACGATCAGTCAGCCATGCCCCTCCACAACCTTGAGAATAGTCATGTTCCTCGAATGAAAAGTTCTCCGGCTACTAGGTCACCAAGTTGATGAACATACCAAGAGTGGAGCAATGTCTCTCATCACCCGACAAACAGAGCTAGATTCATCCCCGCTCCACTCTTCAATATAAATCAAACGATCTGCACAGATCCAAGCTTGACCAAGGCAATGGTCGCGCGAGGAGCAATTAGCTCTGTTTCAAGCCGTGAGGCTGAAACATCTAGTTCGCAACCGTCGATCATCCACAATGGGAGCTTAAAAATAGCCAAACCCTGCCCTGTTCGGTAAGCCGTTTCATGCTTTTTTAGCATCGGCTTTTCTCGAACAACACCTCCAACTACGGTAATGTCATTTTGAATCAGGGTCCAAAGCAGGGTCTCTGTAGTCCTTTAATTCATTCTCTAATTGTCTACTGTAGTCGGAAATCTCTTTTGGCTACTGGACTATTGGTTGTAGAATATGCAAGAATCTTGACTTGAGATCTGCTGAAACACGGGCAGCACGCACAGGGTAATTGCTGATATGCTACTGTACGAGGTACTGCAGCATGCATCAAAGCATATCGGTCACAATGGATGCATTAGCAGGTATGGATTAGATCTTGAATCAAGTTTCTTCGGCTGTGTTTTGACCGTGTAGATGAACCAGATTTAGTGACCTTCGAGCGATGCCTCTATACCTCACGATCGAGTCGCGTGCATGAGAGCAGGGTCCCTTTTCACAGATTAGTATTCATTTGCTTTTTATACATCAGAACTTCGATCGACATTCGGAGACCACATACATGTTTTTACTGACCTTTACCAAGGTTTTCCTTTTCAAAATTCCTGCAATCCCCCCCCCCCCCCCCCCCCCCCCCGCGGTCTTGCTTTCGATTTCTTATTTCGACCTGATTACTCTCCCTGTACATGCTCTCGACAAGCTTTGTCTACTACCTGTCAACACTAGACACACGATACGTAGCTTAGCTTCTCTATGACGTATCTCTAGGCCCTGGACTACCCAAAATTTGGCCCCCGGGGCCAAGCTGAAAGACCCGCATCAAAACCTCCACTCCGAAGACTTTTAGTTCCATTCAGGTTCTGCCTGCGCCTCGGCGGAAAGACACCCCTCATCCCTCCAGGTCGAAAACTTGCTTCTCGCATCGCTCGAGGGCAGTCAAATCAAACCTCCCAACAATGAGCCGCGCAGAAGATTCAACTCTCAATAAAGCCGTGTCAGACCTTGAGAGCGCCAAAATGGCCACCGATACCGCGAGCACAGACGAAGGGGACATTCTGGAGCCCCTTCTCTTCCTTTTAGCTGCCCGGCGTGGCGTTCACCAAGATCCTTCTTTCGCCAGCACTCATGTTCCCGATGATCGGACGATCACCTTTAAAGGCCCGTCCGGGGTTGAGCCGGCTGTGGATCGATCGTCGCGGTGGAGTCGGTTTGTCCGCCACATGGGCTATCTTCCGACCAGGTAAGTAATTGCGAGGGCATGGCCCATGAGAAAGAGCGACTGAAGGAACATCACGGCAGAGAAAAAAAAAGCTAACAAAGCACTTCATGATACAGTTCTCGGATTGGATTCACTTTGATGACCTTCTACTTGGTTGGGTCCTGCGCTACGCATTTCACGAAGCCCAGCAAAAAGGGATCAGAACAGGCAAAGAGAGACGTGCTCTACGGAATGAAACTGGGACTCTGTGTCGCAGCACTCGTCCTGGCCCTCCTCATCGCTGCTGGACGCGCCGCACGAAAGCAAACGATCGCCGCCATCCCGCCCGAATTCAACCTGGCGTCTTACCAATATCGCCTGCTGAACGCGATGCGCCAACGGGGAATCCACTACCGGGAGATTCAAGTCATCAGTCTGGAGAAGAAGATGAAGTATTGGAGGAAAGATCCGGGTTTGCGTGAATGTTTCACTATCAAGGGAGTTGTGGATCCGGGGAGTGCGGGCGGGGCTGTTTATGATGTTGTTGTGAACTTTTGGAACGATGGGCGGCTTAATTTGCGGTTTTGGCCGACGGAGGAGAATGGCGCGGAGGATGGTTTGGCTGGGAAGGCCGAGTTGATACTGGAGATTGTGGATAGGTGTAACGCTTAGGTGTGTATAGAGCGTTTCATATCGATATACCATATTTAGCATGGGCTAGTAGGGGGTTATCGTTGTTCTATTGAGTGACCTTTGGTCCCTCGATGGTAAGTTCTCCTGGATGTGTAGAATATGGTATACCGCATCTTCTAATGATCCATTGTTAAATTGCAGAGGTTATACTCTGTGGTCATGGCAGATCGATCTTGATTAGCGATTCACACCATTGCCGTGATCCAATCGAGTGTAGATCGACAATCAGCATAGATAAACAAGAAACAAGCACTGGCCAATCAATGTCTTCCCTAACCTAAACATGTAGTATTGGGCAATAATAATTAGCTCTGCCTAGGTCATCGTGGGCTAGGAGTATATACGTGTGTAGTCAAGTCTATATACGGCGTCCTTGGATGTAGATCGATCCGAAGGCGAATTGTTGACGTCTTGAGATCCATCTCTAATCATGTCCACAATAATAAGGTGAATGGGGGTCTGGACAGGGGTAGATTAATCTGCCACGTGACACTGTAGGTGTTTCAGGATGGTGCTGAAACAAGGCGGTCCGAGCTGAGGACTAGGTTGGTCGGTTGCTACTCCGCACTGTGAGTGAACTAGTCTCGGAGCCTGTCAGTTTGAAGGTTTCGCCCGGACCAGGTGATTGAAAGACGAAAGCGAGGATAGCACACTAGGAATACGAAGAATAGCTTTTGCAATGTCTCTCGTCGCTAGGGTTCGCGTTTGGCCTCAGATTGCGACCTGACGGGGAGGCGACCAAATAGTAAACACTCCTTCAGGGGAGAAAGCGGGGGCCCAGGATGGTTGATGTTGGGCGACTGGCGAATGAGACGACAGATCCGGGAGTATCTGTTTGAGACAGACGAGCCGTTCCATGGGCACCGCTGCTCACCTCTCGGGCAATTGGGAAACCCTATCCTTGACCGGAAATAGCCAAGCTAATGACCCGTTGGATTACTGGAGCAGCCTGCGTTTCGCGAGGAGAAGTGCCGTGAGCGTGGGATCTGAATTTCGGGACTTGCATGTAGCGTCCATCTCTCCTTTGGGACATTGTCATGATTGTCTTCCATCTGGCATTGGGGGCAGACAGGTCTGTCCCTCCAATTCATCTTCAGGAAATCAGGACACTTTGACAGCACCGTCCCTGCCGGCGATGCTGGACTTTCGGGGATCTTCGTCTGGGCTGGCGGTGCTTTAATTAAATTCATGACGCCCCTGGGGCTAGGGTGATCCAATTGGGCCGTGCGGGCTGCTCATGGGTAGCAATGCGGCCCGCACGTTGTCGCGCGTCGTCAGTTCGAGTCTCCACGTAGGCCTGGATGTGGGAGTACTTCCTTGACTGGACATGGACTGTGAGCCAGAGTGGACGACGAGCTTCATGATTGCAATCGGAGCCGCCTGTCATCTCGGGATGGAAATTTGAAGGGAATGGAAAATGATTCATATAGATTTCAGTTGTTTAAAAAGAAGATGGAAATATGGAAATGATACCGTAGAAAGTGGGAGATTATGGTGGGAAGTGAATCGGTGCTGGCGGTCATTTCTGCCACGGCCACCAAATCACTCTCATCACTTTATCTCGGCCTCCTTTCCTTCTCCTCCTTGTCCGCCCCCCCAACATCTCTCTCGTTTCGTTTCTTTTCTTTTTTTCTTTGGACGTTCTTCCTATTTCGAACTGTTCCTCGACTTTACCTTGACGACCAATTCTGCCTCCCCCACGATCTGCTTTCCTTTCTTTTTTTTGCGCTCCGTCCCATCCTCCCTCACCCCTCTCTCTGTCTCTCCAAGATTGTCTACATCCGCGAGGGGCAAACCACTTTCGCTTCGCCTGAAGCGCTTGTCACAACACCCGCGTTTATCTATCTGAAACGTCGTGTAGCACTTGGTCTGTGCCGTCTCTCTGGTATGTACACTCATTTCCACTTCTCCCTTGGGTTTATTTGGAGTTCCTCCGTGATGCTAGTGCTACGGGTCTTGAGCCATTTCAGCCAGAACCGCGCCTTGCTCACCTCAGCAACTGCACCGCATAGTCCCTCTCTCCCCCAGTTCACGAGGGGAGGCTGCTCTGTCTCACGCTTAAGCAGATGATGGGTATTTTTATCAGCTAACGCCTCAGCTCGCTCTACTTCAGCCACGCCTCTCTTTCATCAGCCCGCTCACCCCTTGTCGCATTCCCCTCCTCTCCCCCGATCCCGCGCAACGCTGGACCTCCACTCCAGCCGTGTCATAATCCCGTCATTCGTGTCCACAACGATCGAGACTCGATTTGTCTGAAGCGGCACGATCGCATGTGCACGTAGCGCGTGTATTCTGCCCCCCGCGACTGTGACTCGCCCTGCTCCTGCGCTGAACCGCCAAACGAGCCCGCAATTAACGGCGACGGCGGAGAGATTAGGTTTCTAGCGACCACTGGAGAACCTCATAAGTAGCGTTCAGGAGGAAATCATTTCAAGATGGAGTCACCGGATATTCGTCCGGAGTCTCCTTTGGACCAAGAGGACATCCCTTTCCCATGTATGGGTTGTGGAGAGGTATGACTCGCGTGGACAATGGATTAGCAATGTCGCAGACTGACGCTCGCTCAGATTTTGGAAGAAGGAAAGGCCTTTGAGCTCTGTATGTCTCCCGTCGCTTTGTGTATGATGCTCTCTATAAACCGACTCGTGCTAACCCCTCCAAAGCTGGACAGAGATGGCACATTGATTGTTTCCGATGCAGCACTTGCAACACCCTTCTAGACTCCGACGCTCACCTCCTTCTTCTCGGCGACGGATCCCTCATTTGCAGCAACTGTACCTACAGCTGCAACTCTTGTGGTGACAAGATTGAAGATCTAGCGATTCTTACAGGTGACCAGGCTTTCTGTGCCCAGTGTTTCCGTTGTCGTAACTGCAAAAAGAAGATCGAGAACCTACGCTACGCCCGCACCTCACAAGGAATCTTCTGTATGGACTGTCACGAATCTTTAATGCAACGAAGGCGCAAGAAAAAGCAAGTGCCGCGGGCAAAAGGCCGGGGGGACCGGGGGTAAAACTGGACAAATCTTTGCCCTCGCTTCCCCCAAGCATGGAGGAAACACGGTCCATCGATGAGGCTGCCAGTGAGACATATGCGGAACCTACCGAGCCATTGTACGGAAGAACAGACGGCCATGGTGATAATGCACGTACCGAGTCATCACCCACGGATCAGCCGGCTGCCATAGGTAAGGAAGTCACGACCCTTTCATCCAATCCGTGATCCAAGAGAACTGATCAAAGACTCACCTTATCTTATTCAGACAACCTTATTCTTCCCTCGAGCACTTACCGGAGCAGTCGCCAACTGAATGGACAGCGTGATAACGACGCCGACGAAGGCGGCGAATTCCTGATTCCTCTCACCTTCGATCCCTCAGAGGCCCTTCGCTCATCCTCCAATACACAATCTCAGCAAGAATTGCCCCGCGACTACTTTGGCCAAATCGGATCTGGCGATTCATCTCTCAGAACTTCTCGCGACGGCCGAGATTACACGTTAGAACCTCCATCCCGTGTCTCCTCGGAACATCCATCTCCCCACATCGCATACCAAGAGAAAGGTCGGGAAGCGCGTGAGACCGACTCCAGTCGACGTGACATGGAATCCCGAAACGGATGGACGGAGAAGCCCTCCACATCTCACTCTGAAAGAGCAGCACGCCTCGGAAAGTCAGAGTCCGCTCGTAGCTCCCGATCCGATCTGCCATTGGCGCTGAGAGACATGAGTGCTTTCTCTGGAGCGACTAGCCCTGATAGCAACCGGTCGAAGGAAGTCACTGGGTTGGATGGTGCTACACCGGGCTCTGCGCGTCCTTCAACCGAGCTACGCAGACCCCACGAGCACACAAATATGGATTCGAGCCGTTCGCAGCCTGCTTCAAGCATGGCATACCCACCTAAGCGGGGCGATTCACTTGAGGGCAAGCACCATCAGATCCCACGGAAGGACATTGGTGCCTCACCTACATCCTCCGCTTACGGGGGATCTCCCAGGCTACCTGATAGCATCACCGAGCAGCAGAAACACAACCTCACCTTGGTCAGCAACACACTGGACGGCGCGGGCTCGCCGTCCCAAACCCGCTACGGCAGCGAATTCTCCCAAGACGATGATCAAACCAGCGAATCCTTCCTCCGACGCATGTCTAATTCCGTCCGGCATGGTCGAAGCTTCAGTGACAAGAGTGTGCGCCTCGGGAAAGACAGCAAATTCCCCCGCTCACCTGCCAATGGCAGCTCCATTGGAACGGATATCGGCAGCCCTACGGCCAGCACCGCCCAAGCCGAGGAAATTGCCTGGCTTCGTAATGAGCTACGCAAGGAACGTCAGCGTGTGTCGGAGATGGAGGCCGCCGTCCGCGTCACTGCAGATGTCAAGCAAGTCAACACCGAGCTCTCGGAGAAGCGATCCACCATGGTTGTTCTCGATGCCCAGAGAGAAATCGTTCTGCGGGAGCTCACGGTCCTAACGGAACATTTGGAAGCGGAGAAACGTGGTGCTGCTGGTGGACCTCTAGACCTTGGAAAGCTCTCGAACCGTGTCCTTCGTGAACTTGCAGAGTCCATTCACAAACTCAAGGCGTCCTACACTCCGCAAATCGAGGAGCTTATCCAAAAACGCAGTGATTTGACGGAAGAGCTCGCCAATCTCAATCGGCAAAAGGAAAAGACCTTCCAAGAATTTGAGCAGCTTTCGTCCAAGAACGCGCAGCTGGCCGAGCTGAACAACACACTCGTGCACCAGATTCAGGGACTTTACAAGACCAGCTCTGATGTTCACCGTGGTGCGAATGGACTGGGAATCATCTCGCACAGCAAGGACAGATCCATTGGCTCGCTCGAAACTCTGAAGCCATCCATTGACAGCCTTGCGCCGTCTATCTCGACTGCTCACATTTCTGACGATATCGAGACGCAGACTGCCACGGCTACAGTTGTGCCTGGCCCTCAGGTTGTTAACTTGCGCAAGGGCAAGTTCATGAACTGGAAAAAGGGCGGTCAGAATGTTGCCAAGGGTGTCAAGGGTCTCAAGGGAGCCTTCATGTCCAGCGAAAATGCAGAGGGTGGCGGTGGTCTTCCTCGTTCTCAGACACAGGATCCTAGCCGACAGGGCTTTGGATTCTTTGGAAACCAACGCAGTAAGCAAGGCGGCAAAATGTCGCAGGCCGACAGCGTGCCGGTCTTGGCCGAAGCCGTTGGAGGTGGTACGTTTTCATCAATCAGTTTTAATGTCGTCCAGCTAACCTCTTTTTTCCAGGTCTCTTCGGTACGGATCTGGAAGTGCGCATGGAGCATGAGAAGAGCATTATTCCGGCGATTGTTACCCGGTGCATCCAGGAGGTCGAGTTACGAGGTATGTGTTCCTTCTCTTATGTCACAATCGGCTTGTGTTTGTCTAACTCCGTTTAGGCATGGATATGGAGGGCATTTATCGCAAATCTGGTGCAGCCTCCGCCATTCAGGGTATTCGCGACGGCTTTGAACGCTCTCCATTCGATTATGACATTTCCGACCCTGACCTTGACATTCATGCTGTCACTTCTGCTCTCAAGCAGTACTTCCGCAAGCTCCCAATGCCGCTGATTACCTATGACTGTTACGATAAGATCATCGACTCGTCTGAGATCACACACACCCCTGCACGAGTTGAGCTTTTACAAAAATATTTGGCTGAATTGCCCCGTGTGCACCGCGACGTTCTAGAGTTCCTGGTCTTCCATCTGAAGCGTGTGGTTGAGCGCCAAGATGAGAATCTGATGACCAGCCAGAATATCGCCGTCGTCTTTGCGCCGACCATCATGCGGCCTGAGAGCTTGGCCCGCGAGATGACGGATGTGCAAAAGAAGAATGATATTCTCAAGTTCCTAGTCGATAATTGTCAGGACGTCTTCATGGGCATGCAGACTTAATCTTGAAATCTCGAATTCCCTTTGTCTTTACCTGGGATCATTTGCTCTTTTTTGTGATGTCCCTCTTCGAACGTCTATGTGTGACTTTTGGTCGTCTCATATCTCTACAGATGTACAGAAACCAGACCAGAGTTCTCTTTTGGTCTTTTGTTCCCAGCCCATTCCTCCCCTCCCCTCCCCCTCCCTCCCTCATTCCACACTACTCTGTTCACGATCAGCGCTGCACGCTCGATACAGATACCCTGCCATGCCATTGATTCATTCTGCGCTTTCTGCTTGGTCTCGCCGCTTCTCTTTACATATTCCGCAGGTCCGAAGCTAGTCCATCCTTCTCCCCCTTTTCCTCCGTACCTTCACGTGGTCGACTTCGTCCTGCACCTCGCTGTCTACACCAGGGAATTCTTCAAAATTCTTGGTTTTGCTTGGGTGGCTGTAGGGACTTTTTCCCTTGTTCAAGTCCCTACTCTTTTTTTTGTTTTTTGTCATTGATTCAACTTTACCCTTTTTTTGGACTCACAATCCGTGTTGAGCGAGCATTGGATAGTGTCAATAGCGTTAAGCATCTTTATCGCCGGCCGAAATCTGATCTTGGTAGATTGATTCAAATCTGTTTCCTCCGGGTGTATGTGGGATAGAGATGTATCCCGCAGTAAGTTCGTTTCCACTAGGGTCCTTTAGGAATGAACTAGTTACGAGGTTTGCCCTGAGTAAGCTTATTAAAACTTTCTGTCTCCGTGAATTGAACCCCCGACTTTCTCGTCACCATACAAACAATTCGCGACACTTGGTGATGCTCAAATACTTCACCGCGATGCTCACAACCAACAAATACGGCACTAACGATCACCACAGTAATTAAAAGGCTTCAAAAAGAGAATATTATACTTAGCTAAATCTAAGGATTATTTTGATATGAGGAAAGTATTAAAAATATACAAAAATATAGCCGCGGTAGTGGTATCTATGTCCCGACAGCATAAAAAAGAAGTAACCCTCCACCTTAGAGGACCCCATTCCTTTCCCCGGGGATTTACCGACGCCTCATGGACGTCGAACCCCGATGAGACGTCCAGCGGTGATACCACTAGGCTATTAGGGGGGAGGGTTACTGGGAGGGACTGGAACTGGGTTATAACCTCTAGAATGTTTGCATTCAAGCTACCCTGCCTTATTCGCTATATACGCCATCCACATCCTCCAGAGTATTCACCAGCGTATAGCCCTCCATTTTAATATCTTCAGTGACCTATTTCAAGTTATGTACTTTCCAAAATTCGTATACAATAGTAAGACCGGGTACGAAGCCAAGCTTTATATCTATGTATCCGGTACTATGCAGGACTCACTATAGCTCCATAACCTCCAGCTCCATACTGTGGCCTCGTCCCGCACCAATCACCGCCCGACCGCCTACGACATCACCTCGCCCAGCTTCCCGCAGCTCCTGTTACCCCCCAAATCCTCAACCTCAGCCCCAGCCTCGAAGGGCTTTCTTCCAGTTTTTACAGTCGCCATGTCCAAACCAGGTCGATACCTCCTCGTCTCCCTCCCGACCTCCATCGTCCCCTCGCACCACCGCGACGACGCCCTCGACGCCGTATCGGCCACGGTCTCCCCGAGAACGGCTCCGTAGCCTCCTTTCCAATCCCGGAATTCAAGATCGGAACGCTAGATGCGCTAGTGCAGCAGGCTGATGAGCTAGCTAAGCTGGAGAATTCTTGCCAGGCGGTGGTGGCTAAGGTTGGCGATGCGTTGAAGAATATCCTGGAGGGCGATGAGGCGCAGATCGAGCGCATGAAGGTCGTGAATGATAGTACGTGTCTTGGAGGGCAGTGAACATTATTCTAGACGTGCCAGCTGACAATTCGCAGAACCGGTTGATCAGTACCTGCGGACGTTCTCGTGGAATAAGGTCAAGTATCGTGCGGATAAGCCGCTGGCGGAGTTGATCGATCTGCTGCACAAGGTAGGTTGCAGGACGATTGCTAAACAGCTAATGTATAATGTATAAAGCGGGACGTGAACTAATATATCTTGCAGGAAGCTGCTAGCATCGACAATGATATCCGGTCCAAGTACTCGCAATATAACCAAGTTAAGAACACGTTGGCTACGCTCCAGCGGAAACAAACGTGCGACCTCCACAGATGTCCTCCATCGCGAAACACCGAAACACCGCAAGAAGCTAACAATACCCGTTACTCTATAGAGGAAACCTCTCCACAAAATCCCTCGCTTCCATCGTCGACCCCCGATCCATCGTCCAAGACTCCGAATACATTGAGACCCACCTGATCGCCGTGCCCTCCCAGCTAGTCAAGGACTTCCTCAAGACCTACGAGACCGTCGCCCCGATGGTCGTTCCCCGATCCGCACAATTGCTCGCTGAGGACAGCGAATTCTCTCTCTATGCCGTGACTAGCTTCAAGAAGCACAGTGTCGAGTTTGTGCACAAGTGCCGCGAGCAGAAGTGGATCCCGCGCGACTTTAAATACGTTGAGGGTGGCAAGGAGGAGGAGCGTAAGGAGGTTGAGCGTGTTGGTGGTGATGAGCGCAAGCTTTGGGGGGAGACGCTGCGGCTGGGGCGGACTGCTTGGAGCGAGGCTGTGATGGTCTGGATTCATATTTTGGTCCTGCGGGTGTTCGTGGAGACTGTCCTGCGGTATGGACTTCCGCTAGACTTTGTCTGCGGTCTGATTCGGGTATGTTCTTTTCTATCATGTTCCTTTTCTGTCGTGGGGTGAGTTACTAACATGAGTTCGTCTTTTTTAGACACCGTCCTCGAAGCACGCGGACAAGGCTAAGAGCAACCTCGAAGAAAAGTACTCATACCTGGCGGGCAATGCCTTTGGCCGAGACAAGAAGGGCCGCGTTAAACGGGACGACCCGAGCGAGATGCATGCGGGTGCTGAAGGAACCGCAGAGTACACACCATATGTCTACTACGAATTCGAGTTCCAGTGAGATCCCCCCTCGAAGGTATACAGAAGGGATTCGTTGTTGCGTGGGAAAGAGAATTGCGTACATATACCAGTCAGGTACATTAGCACAAACTAGCATGTTTTAGTCATGTTACGGTTCCATTCGCGATTTTTCTACATTTAGTGTATACGCTTCCTCAATTGGGACTTTCTGTGGCTCTCCATGGAACTAATTCCAAGTCCTGTTCAGAGGTTGAATTCTCTTGCAAAGCAATCTATATTTGTCCAGTATTTACAGCGCCTGTATGCGGGGAATCAAGATAAAAACAAACATTCCAGATCCACACCACAGTATGCGACTGCCCTCTCTCTCTCTTCAATCCTAGCGAGACCCTTTTCTGCTCGTACACACCAAATCATTCATAAACACCATGTATCAAGGAAGGAACAGCCAGTTTACTCCTTCTTGGGGGGCAGATAACCCTTGGAGTCGAGGTAATCAATGATCTGCTTCACAGCATCGGGGACAGCCAGATCCACGTTCTTGATGTACACCTCGGGCTTCTCGGGCGCCTCATAGGGGGCACTGATACCAGTGAACTCCTTAATAATACCCTCCCGAGCCTTCTTGTACAGTCCCTTGGGATCACGCTGCTCAGCAACCTCAACGGGGACATCAACGTGGACCTCGACGAAAGGCAACCCCGTCTCCTCGCCGGGGGTGGGCACCTCGTGCAGCTGGCGGGCGGTCTCACGGTCCTTGCGGTAGGGCGAGATGAACGAGGTAATGGCGATGGCGGAGGAATCAGCGAACAACTTGGCCACCTCGGCGATCCGGCGGATGTTCTCGTTGCGGTCGGACTCGCTGAAGCCCAGGTCCTTGTTCAGGCCGAACCGGATGTTGTCGCCGTCCAGACGGTAGGCGTGCACGCCGCGGTCGTGCAGCAGCTGGTGCTCCAGTTCGACGGCTAGTGTAGACTTGCCCGAGGCGGAGAGGCCGGTCAGCCAGATGGTAAGACCTTGCTGCTTGCGCAGGTCGTTGCGCTCCTTGCGGGTCAGGGCGGCGGCGTGGAAGGTGATGTTGCTGGAGAAGGTAGGGTTAGTATAGTTCTGGGGCTGTTCTGGCGGGTGTGATGGCAATTGGGTAGTGATGCTTTAGATCTTAAGGGCTTAAGAAGTGCAATTGAACTTACGTGGCCATTTTGAAGGGATGTGTATGTGCAAGAGAGAAGATGAAGGAGAGTCAACTGGAGTAAATGAAGGAGGAGGGGGGTAGAGGAGACGGTGAAACGGGCCGCGTAAGAGCGGAAACGAGTGCTGATCGCGGGGTTTTTGGTTTTCTGCGGGCTTGGCGGGTTGGTAACTTGGTTGATACGAAATGCCGGTTCTATACGAATTGCGCCATCGATTCAACTTTGTATACCGAAAAAAACCAAGGTTCAGGTTGATATTCAATGATGCAAAATAATTCTATGCTATACATAATCCAGCCTTGTCCGACTAGATAGTTCCAAAATGCTTTCTAGTAACCACAGCATGACAGAAAATACAAAAAGAAATTGACAAAAAAAGGGAGGGGAAATCGCCAGTACGCCAGGAACCAGGAACAAAGTTGATCACGTCAGAGAATTTTTTTTTCAATCACTGACGCCACGGTACAAGCCGGACAACGCCTATGGGGATCCAGTTAGCCACATTTTTTCGCCACAATGCAAAAAAGCTTAAAGTAAGACAAGTTGTAGATTGCGATAGGAAACTTACAGCAGCCTGCTTGGGCTCGATAAACAGCGCCTTGGCCTCAACCAGCACTACAGGCTCCTTTCCTTCCTCGGGGAGAGTCTCAATGCGACCCTCAACCCACGCCTTGCGGCCTTCCACTTTGACAGTCTCCGCCCGAAGAACCACGTAGGTGTTGGCCATGGCCGGCGCCCGGTAATCAATGTTCAGGTTGGCGGTCACACCGACCTTGTTCGGTAATGCCGGAAAACAGCAGCGGGCCAGATTCTCGTCCAACATTGTAGCTAGCAAACCACCGTGAATAATACCGGGGTGGCCGCAGATATCAGAGCCCAGGTACATGAGCGAGACCAGGCTCTTGCCCTCGCGATGGGCGAACACGAACGGCGGAACAACGAGCTTGTTCGGGCCCAATAGAGTGCCCGCCGTCAGACTGCGCGCGCGAATGCCCTCTGGATACCGCAGATACGGGCGCGACTCCTCGAAATCGTCATCTTCGCGAAGCCTGTTGGCCTCGGGGTGTGTGCGGAGATACTCATCGACTTCCTCGGCATGAGCATCCACGGGGACGAAGGCCGTGAGGGTCTCGGCGTTGGAGATGATAGGGGTCGCCATGAGTCGCGAGACGGTACGTTGAGTCTGGTAGAGAAGACCGGCAGAGAAGGCAAGAACAGCGATCGAAGTGAAGCCAAGGAAGCGGCGGAATCGCGATCGCGGAGGAGGAGAAGGAGGGGGTGTTTGCGGGTGAACGGAAGGGTTCGGTTCTGCGACAGCCGACGGATTAGATACTTGTCCACCTAGAGATACGATGCCGTTGGTGTATCGGGTTCAGATCGTAGCACATGGCTTACCGGTAGAGTAGGATCGACTGCGAGTATACTGCGGAAACGCGAAAGAGGGCCGATGTGTGGATGAGGCTATCCGGCGCTGGAGGAGAAGCCGAGATGGAGCTGGCGTCAATCGAGCTGTTGAGGAGATGGAGGAGGAAGAGGAGGAGAGGGCGGAAGAAGGAAAAGATGATAAACGGAGCATGATCCAAATCCGCTCCGTTCGAGGGCGTCACAGTCGAGTTGTTGGGAGGCAAAGGGTTCGTTGAGGACGGAGAGTGGACTCCGGCTAAGTTACCTCGGCATCCTGTCCTTCTTGGGCGTTTTCCGCGTTTTCCATCATCGGCGGTACCGGAAAATTTTAGGTGGTGGCTAAGCCCCCAAAAAATTTGTAAGCTTTGATTTTATGAGTAAATGGTGTGTATTATGTAGTGGTAAGAGGTTCTTTTTTATGAATACTTGTTCATTCTAACTTGTCTGCATCGGGTTTGGTATGACCGTTTGGATCGCCAGTGCAGATTTATCTCCACCGCTCGCTCCACTACATACTTCTCCCAGGTTCACGGTGTAAACACCAACCGCTAGCACTACCACCCGTGGACGTGGATTCCCTTTGAGTTTACCGAGTAGATATACCGTACTTTATGTCCTTGATGTTGTTCAAAGCCACTAGAATAACATCAGATGAAAATGCTGTAAAAGGAAATCAACAAACCAATGTTTTGCAGGCACAAGACCAGCGCTACCATATTGGGAAATATATAGTTAGAAAAAAACCTCTGATTCAAAATTTATGGAGACACCATGTCAATTCGAACTTCTTCTTTCGTGAGATCTATTTCATGGCCATCGTCGTTGTTTTAGTTAACATTAATGCGAAGTCCCCAAGACTTGCGACGCGGGGACTCTGCCAGCTGTGAACTGCATGGCTCTCTCCAGCCAACAGTTCCAGAACAACTTTGTTTGGCGGTCATCAAAATTCTATAGACCAATATACACAGACCACCATGCGTTCCAACCTACAAGTTGAGTATCTTCACAGTACCATAGGCAGACGGCTCAAGTCAAATCCTAGATTCTTTGCAAAAAAACACGATGCGGTCTGATTAGCCTCTGGATCGCTCGTTTCTCTCCAAACAAGCAGTGCATGCCTCCAAAAGCAGAATAATCGAATTGTAAACTGTTCAAGAATATACCTACAGCAGAAAATGTAACAAAATTAACGCTCCTTAACCGCTGGAACGGAGTCAATCCAGCAAAATTCCCGCTATACTTATACGGCACGTGACCTAACCACGTGACTTAGTATACCCTAACGAAGTATACAAAGTCTCAAGTAAATCAAGCAGAAGAATCATCACGCCTCAACGTTTTTGAAGTGTTAACTGGGCATGAAAATGACAAATAGGTACATATATTAAATACAGTGGCTGTGGAAGCCCATAACACTGTAAATATTGGCGGAGCTGTTCTGTATTAACACTTGGAAAAAAGGTATTGAAAGATGCAGACAAATCAGAGGAATATGCGAAGAAACTAATGGATAAACAGTGCTCATTCTCTATACAAAAGCGCATTGGAGTGATTTGATATCATATAGCTTTACATCTCGAATTTGGAACAAAATATCCAATATTCGGTGGTGCTTCCTGCTCCCGTCCTCGTCATGGCGGCGGTGGCTACAAGGGATACATCTAGATTCTCACAATGAGACCTTGAAAAGAGATGTTGAGAGTTAATGTAGAACAACTCCTGCCTCAAATATGGCGAGAGGCTTCCAAGCAATCGCCGCGGTGATGGGTGCTTGGTCATTTCCCCAGTTGACGCTGCCTTTCTCTCTTTTCTTCACCTCCCATCACACTCCACATACGCAAACTTGAGATCATTCTCCCATCTTGCATCCTTTCAAGACCTTCAAGCATCCAATCGACTGTCTCATTATCCAAATGGACAACCCCAATCGTGTCATATCCTTCGATGACTTCGAAGAGGAGAGCGTATCTTCTTCCGAGTCTTGGTATCCCCCACCGAATCTCCCGCAGAATCTCGCATCGCATCACCAATCTCATCCTCAGATTCTTTGCGTGAACCCAGCAGATTTGAACTCTTATGGTCAAGTGCAAGTGATCCTTCCCTCGAGCTGTGCTATCTGCCCAAAAATGGCACAGTATGACTGCGGTGATTGCCGTGCCATCTCATACTGTAGCCCGGAGCATGCGCAACTCGACGAATCCTCTCACAAAGAAGCTTGCTCGAACATCTATGAGAGCAGTCAAAGACTCGAGATATTGAGACAGCAGCTTGTCTCCCGCATTCCAAGCCCCTTCCGCCACAACATCGGACAGTTCTGGGCGATGCCCGAGACCTCCGTGTACTTGCAGGAGATGTCCAATCTGGTGGAATTACTGGGGTCAATAATTCACCGCACGGCGGTTGAACGACGCCTCGTCTATGCCTTCCACGTCATGTATTTTGGAGGAAGCGATCGCCAGAGCTTCAGATTCAGAGTCCCAGCTCTCATGATGCGTATCAACCGGGACCAAGAGTGCTACGACTTCATGAAGTGGCGCTCCAACAACCACAACAGAGACCGGTTGAGCCAAATGTCTCTCGAGACCATGAGGGTCCGCTTTGCAAACCCCATCATCACCGGGCCCCGTATCATCAGCCAGGACAACTTCGTGGGCTACATCGACGAGGATATCTTCGAGCCGATCGAAGAATTCGACCGGGAAACATCCATCATGACACTGATTCCGCTGTGTCTGGTGAAGATCCGATTCCTATTCGAGGTCCAGCGGATGGAGCTGGCAGTCCAAGCCTTTGGTTCGCGATTCCCCAACGAGGTCTTGGACATGATCGTGAAGAACATCCCCACGACCAAGAAAATCGCCCAGAATCAACAACTTGTCGAAAACCCATTCGTTCGGCTTGGGGCTATGGAGACGCTGATGGGTCAAATCCTACAGCTCTACAACAAGATCCATAGCCTCAATCCTTACGTTTGGAAAGGGATGGTGTGGGCAAAGCGTGGTGATGCTCGGCGGGGGGAGATGGATCCCCAGTGGCTCGCGTGGGACATGGAGACCTACGTGAAGAACAACTGGGAATCATGGATCGAGACTCCTGGAGCGATTTCGCTCCTGAAGAGAATCATGGCCGAGACAGGAAACACTTGATTCCTGTCTCGTAATAAGGGCATCTATCTCATGTGTGATTAGCGAGGACCTCTCTTTCTTGTCAGATTAGCGAAAAATCTCATCTCATGTATGATTCTAAATACTTCATTATCTTCTCGAGATCCATCGAGATTAAGCATGTCGTAGTTGAGTACCAGAATAATCCATAATGTTCTCTAGCTCTCTCGAGCCAAGTTATCCATTCTTGACTAGATTTGTATCCATACACTATCTTGCTAGGAGTCTGATCCAAGCGCTCTGTAGGTTCATGTAAATGTGGTCGCTCAGATTGATATTATGAGATCATTCAAACTTCGAATTCGAACCAGAATATGAAGATTGAGTGAACAGCCCTGGTAGTCTCGGCTACTCACATTTGACCATCCGGTATGATCACTTTTGGCCATCACGAATGCTCACAATGTAATCCATGGCCCCTGGCGTGAGGACCCACTCGCGATAGGTCCTAGCCAGGACCAACTGCGCTTCCTCCACGGACCCCGGCTTGTAATCAGGCGGGTTTGCCTGTAGGTGATTGCCTGGGTTCAGCAGCGCCCCCAAAAGTGAACGTTCAGACGGTCTACGTGCCTGTAGATTTGGAGAGTCTGAACGTTCAAGGCTTTCACCAATTCTATGCGAGAGGCGTATCGCATAGCACGGGGCTCCGCGGAGATCGCTGGATGGTCCGGCACGTTATCCAAGATCAGATCTACGAGCTCTTGCGGCAGCCTCTTGCGGAGCAAGGCGGCTGTGGAATCTATCTTTTGCAGCTCGAAGACTAGACGGATCTTGAGTATGGCCAGGAAAACAAGGTGAGCAATCGTGTGGCTGGCTCCGGGGATGTCAGAGGCCGGTTCATAGAGGAAACAATCAACCGGCTCAAAGAGATATGGGCTTGATAGGTAGCCATAGACATCTCCTTCGCCAAAGTCAAAGTAATCATGTAGTGGGTTGGCAGCTGGGAAAGTGTAGCATTTGAGGAAGCTATAACACTCCTGGTAGCAACCAAGCCTGAGGAGGAGAGCCGGTGGAATATCCCGGAGATCGTCGTGTTGTTCAGCTTGATTTCCGCAAAGCAGCTCCATGATTCCGACCAACTGGGCCTTGACTGACTCAGTTGTGTTGATTTGGGCAATGTCTCCGAGAAATTTCATTTTTCGCTCCAAGTGTTGCCAAGATAGCGAGCGACCCCAGTAGACTGATAATAATACCAGCATGTATTTGAAGGTGCAGATAAAGTCTAGGTTGCCACGTTCGATTTCGGAGGTGTCAAGCATATGGAGTTTCATTTGGTTGCACTCGTCCTTGTGTGATGGCCAGTGAGCATCCTGGTGCTCAGGGCAACAGTAAAACATCACTTTGCATGTAGTACAGCGGATAAGATCATCCTTCTGTACATTACAGACTCCACACCCCGAAATAGGTGCAGGGAACGCTGGAAGAGTGAAGAGGCTCGATATCAGCACGTTGTTGGTAAGAGGAGGGCTTTCAGGGCGTTCGATGACTGCGGGATCGACGATGGTATCCATAGTTTGATGCGATTGAAGTAGAGATGGAAGCTGGAAGAGTGGTTGATGAGGATGAAAGTGTGTAGATGGGAGGAATATGCGAAGGTGAAGGAACTCGAGGACGAGAGGTGGAATGGTATCCCAATAGCCTCGCGGCTGGGGAAGAGTATACTTGCGGCTGTGCATAGTCTTGCCCAGCCGCACGCTCAAGGCATCGACGACTAATGGCAAGACCAAGGCTGCATCAAATGTACATAACCCGAGCTTTGGAATATTAGAAGATACGATAACTACATGAATGTGCATTATAGAACTCTAATGATCTCTATATGAACCGGACAAATATATATAGAGAATCTTATAAGCGCAATGAGGTTCTTGTTGAAGTGCCCATTAGTTTATATTGATGGCTTTTTTGACGGGGAGAAACTTGCTTTGCCTGTGCGTAAATAAGTATGGAGTATTTTAATCATGAAAATGCTAATTTGTCTGTTTTTAGAAATACATATGCTGGTCTGCACTTTCAATAGATGTCAATGGCTCGGAAATCATATTCATGGCTCTTCCAATCATCATGCAGGGATAATATTCTCTGGGATTCGACGGATTATGCTGAATCTTGAATGTGCATACGCTTTCTGAGTTTGGGATTGGCTCATGTTATCCAGGGTTCCTATTGTGACAGGCTATTATACCCAATGATATCTTCCTTGAGAGTCCTGCGAGTGGATACAAAATGCTCATTGCCCGGCTGTTCAAGCCTCGAAGTTTGAATATCCTCCAACTCCTTGTCAATTCACCTCGTGCGTGGCTATACTAACACAATTATTCGGAAAGGGCGGCTGAAGTTTCTGCAGATGCCAGACAGGCTAGAGATCTACACCTCCCGCCAATTGATACGACAAATGCCCCTTTCAATGGACCACTGAAGTTGAGATGTCACTCTGTTCCCTTGGGCTGCAATCACAGGCCTATCCGTCGCTATGTATCCAGGCCAGCCACCAGCATGAACTAAGTCTAACGAGCTATCGTATGAATGGATATTCAAAAGACCGGGACAATATCTACAAGGTCAAACATGTGAAGGCTTCGGGGGTGATGAATTAACCTAAAATTCATCCTTACAAGAGATATAGGGTAACAAATTAACCTCTGGATGTTATCATGCTGGCAGGGGATTGTCAGTTCAAGTAGAGGCTCTATACCACAATCAGCTGGAAATTGGGGAGCATTCCTGTGGCTTAAATTTCTGTCACATGCATTAGAAGACGCTGTAAATAGCGAGCCCTGTGCGTGATCATGATAGTACTTGAATGGCTATCGAAATTCTAGGTGACGGTATTTTCCCACGTGCAATGGCAATGTCATCTATGAATCTAGATTCATCAGATCTAAAATGCAAGTTATCACTACATTCCCGGCGGACGTATCCGCTGTCGCCTTCGCCGATGAGATCTCATTGAGGCATGAAAGGGGCTCCTTGTCACTCTCCGACCTTGGGCCGATCAGCCGACTGTCGAATCGGCCCGCCTGATCGCCACGGCCGACCGGACCAGCTGCTCGATCTATTTACTATCTAAATCGTGTGCCACCAATCACTCATAACTAGCGTGCAGCAACGTGCATGCAGTGTTGCAAATGCAGGGCCGCGATGCAACACCGCGACGCGGGGATGATCGACAGGGGTGGAGTATGCATGCCAGCGGGCAGCCACGACTCCCTACGCAGGGGCATTGCAATCCTGCTAAATACCGGCCTTCCTGCTTTCTGGGAGGACCATCAGAGTTTCTCCTTTCCGGTCCTTTTCAATCATGCTATCGCAGCATTTAATTCTGTCGCTCTTTCTGGCCAGCGGTCGCGTGCTGGTCAATGCCGCCCAGTCTCCACCTGTTGAGGATTATGATGTGCTCCAATATATCGATCCGCTGATCGGCAGCGCAAACGGAGGTAAGTTGGAAGCCACTCTAGGTCTTTGTCGCCATCTGCTTTATCTAACTATTGTGTTCCATATTGCAGGAAATGTTTTTCCGGGTGCTTCGCTGCCCTATGGCATGGCCAAGGCGGGCGCTGATACCAATTCCGACAGCAACCAGGGTGGTTTCGCATACGATGGCAGTAATGTGACTGGCTTTTCAAGCATGCACGACTCCGGCACAGGTGGCAGTCCTTCTCTCGGCAATTTTCCTCTATTTCCATACGCACAATGCAAGGATGATGATGTGAATGGCTGCGCCTATCCGAAGAAATCCCGGGCAACTCCTTATACTCCAGGCTCGGTCCAGGCCAGCCCGGGCTACTTTGCACTTTCCTTGGAATCGGATGTAGACGTTGAAATGACCGCAGCTCAGCATACTTCTCTCTTTCGATTCACATTTCCAGAGGACAGCAACCCACTGATTTTGTTGGATCTCTCCGATTTGTCCGACTCCCGACAGGACAACGCATCCATCTCCATTGATGAATACAGCGGCCGTATGACGGGGAGTGGCAGGTTCCTGCCAAGCTTTGGGAGTGGAGCATATACGCTCCATTTCTGTGCCGATTTCCAAAGCACTGGCTGGTTGCGGGATAGTGGTGTTTTTGTCGATGCTCGAGCCAGTACCGGCGTCCACGATCTGACCATTTCGCGAAGTATCAATGGCTATCCACTACCGGTAAGCAAGCAGTCTGACATTGGCAGCATGCAGTTTTGAGTCTGACAAATTCCTAGGGAGGTGGATTCATTCGTCATGAGACCCCTTCCGACGGCATTGTCCAAGCCCGTGTGGGTGTTAGCTTCATTAGCCCCGAGCAAGCATGCTCTCATGCGGAAGCAGAGATCGGCGACTTTGATTTCGAAGCAACCCGTCAAGCTGCTGTTGATCAGTGGACTGAGAAACTCCAACCAATTCGTGTCTCACGCAATGGTGTAAAGGAGTCTGTTCTCACTAACTTCTACAGTGGTATCTATAGAACCATGATTAACCCTCAGAATTATACTGGCGAGAACCCATTGTGGACAAGCTCTGAGCCATACTTTGACTCTTTCTATTGGTATGTCCACATTTAGGGAAGACGAGAGTAAACACTGACCATTACCAGTCTATGGGATTCTTTCCGCTCCCAAATTCCATTCCTGACGATCTTCGATCCAAGCTCCGTGGCTCAGATGGTTCGCTCGCTTATTGATACTCAGCGTCATCTGGGATGGCTACCCGACTGCCGCATGTCGCTATGTAAGGGTACGGATGATAGCTCTGCTGAAAATGAAGTTATGACACCGGCTGACCTTCAATATCCAGGTTTTACACAGGGAGGCTCAAACGCCGATAACATCTTGGTCGACGCCTACATTAAGGGCCTCACTGACGGGATTGATTGGGACGCAGGCTATGTGGCAGTTCAGAAAGATGCCGAGGAGGAGCCATACGATTGGTCCAATGAGGGCCGTGGAGGTCTTCAAAGCTGGAAATCGTTACATTATATTCCCGTGGAAGATTTCGACTACTTGGGCTTTGGCACGATGACACGCAGTATTTCGCGCACCCTTGAGTACTCATACAACGATTTCGCTATTGCGCAGATGGCTCGGGGTCTCAACAAAACTGGGGACGCCGAGAAGTATGAGACGCGTTCCGAGTCTTGGAAAAACTTGTTCAAGCAGGATCAAACCTCCTTCATTAACGGAAAAGACACTGGGTTCACTGGTTTCTTCCAGCCCAAGTATCTTAATCAAACTTGGGGATACCAGGACCCTCTCCAGTGCTCAAACATTGACAACAGCGGAAGCATCTGCTCCCTTCAGAATAATGCCGCAGAAACATTTGAGTCCAGTATCTGGGAATACCAATTGTATGTTACTTTCCTACGGCCTCATGTTGTCTAAGTCTGACTAATATATAATAGCTTTGTTCCTCATGATATGGCAGCTCTGATTCCCTTGCTCGGCGGCCCTTCCAACTTTGTCAAGCGCCTTGATTACCTCCACGATCAGAACATCACCTACATTGGCAACGAACCTGCCTTCCTCACTGTTTTTCAATATCATTATGCTGGCCGTCCCGCTAAATCCACCGCACGAGTCCGCACATATATTCCAGACTTCTTCTCTCCAACACCAACAGGACTCCCTGGCAATGACGACTCTGGTGCAATGGGCTCATTTGTCGCCATGTCCATGATGGGCCTTTTCCCAAACCCGGGACAGAGCGTGTATCTCATCACAGTTCCGTTCTTTGAATCAGTGAGCATCGTCTCGCCCCTCACAGGAAACACAGCCACCGTGCGCGTTGCAAACTGGAGTAAATTCAATTCGCTCAACGATACTGGAGGTACTGGATTTATCCAGTCAGCGACCCTGAATGGACAGCCCTATACTCGAAGCTGGGTCGACCACAACTTCTTCACCGAGGGTCAAGACTTGGTGCTCATTTTGGGTCGCAATGAGAGTGCATGGGGTACTGGTCCTGACGACCTACCGCCTTCTTTATCAGATAGCACATCATCGAGTGTGATGGGTCGTTCGTTTTTTGGTGGCATTGTCGAAGAGTTGAATAGGTCCAAGAGACCTATTGTTGGCGGCCGTGGGATCCATGCTAGGCATACTATGCACTTGGATCATCATGCTAAGTTTGTTAGAGGCCCATATTGGCAGAAGGGTTGGTAGGCTTCAAGGTAAGACAACTTTGTATTATTATTCTGTGTTGTACAATGCATTACTGAATTCAAGTCGGGTTATTCAACATCATTGATTAATATACCGGACATATTAAATAGTCGTAAATCATTATACCTCACCTGTCTCAAAGACATTATAGGTATCACATACTCATGAGGTGTTGCGGTAGGATTCCCGCATCCACAGAGGCGAGGATTTAAAAAAAGCTCAACAGGTTATCATCCACCCGTTAAATGGTAAGCATAAACAGCGTAGACGCTTCGTTACTCGCGGAACCAAGCCATGCGGGGAAGTCGCAGCTCGAAAACACAGAAGGCGAAGTATTGTACCTTAGCGCTATCACTCTTGTGGTGACTGTCCTTTGTCGTCACCTTATCCTTGCATATCTGTCGGGCCCTTGGAGATAAACTGTGAAGCACCTTCCATCTTCCATCGCTCGTTACAGCCCGTGTCGCCGAGATGGGGCTAAGGAAACGGCCGTCATCGAGAAGAGCCTAATGCATGGGGTTCGTGATGTGTGAGTTGGTCATCAGTCACCAAAGATTGTGTATCCAAGTACTCCAATCCCCAACGGGGTATGATTTCTTCGTAAGCGGTGTTTCTCACATTGCTGTTGAAATAGACAGGGTGACTGCGAATAAGCCTCATCAGTTATCCACCATACTCCGCTGAATAGAGTCATGTTGACGGAGACTACTTACTAATTTGGAGAGAGGAGAGTCTCAGAAGGTCCCATCACTGTGCTGGAGCCCGTGTCTGATGGAATGATTTTGGGTTAGCTTGAGAAGAGAATGTCTAAGACAGCCCCCAGCTCTGGAATGATATGAGGAACTTACCTTGCACCCGGCTATCCATGCATTGTCTTCACACCAAACATCGTATAAGAATGTGTTGCGTATCTTGTCTAGGCGGAGCTCAAATCTCGCTTTCTGTTCTTCGAGGTGAGGCAGAGACGTGGCTCATCTTCTGGAAGACATAGCGTGTATCTTTGGAAAAGAATGTACCCCGCTCACGGATCTGGCAAAGTAGGCAGAGTTGCAGAAGCATACTCTGGATTGAGGTGGGAATGCCCTGCCTTGGACATTTTTTTGAAGCTCTAAATTAGGTGAGATCCTTTTCTGTATGGCACATGACCAAAGACACGTACATATGGCCGTTGGCGTACTACAGCTGGATTTGTCGCTAGGGCCGTAGTACCGCAATCCATTTGATGGAAGTCGCGCCAACGACACTCGGATTTCTCTTTCAGGGCCGGCTTTCGAGACCCCAGCGCTCCTCAATTCTTTTGAATCGTGGTATTTTGACCATGCGTTTATCTGCTTGATGCTCCTCGTTCCATCTTTGTCTCATGTCTCATGTCTCATTCCGTTTGAGCAATCACCCACAAGTCCGTCGCGAGTCGCCGTTGTGATATTTATAGAGGCGCCAGGGATAATTTCATCTTTAATGACCAGTAGGACCATGACCGTCAGTCCACTTCGCCGTCGTGGAGAGCCATGATGTTTTTGTCGACCCTGGTCTACACAGGAGGCACTTCTACGTCTCTGCATCCAGCGAGAAGCCAAGTGGATGAGTTTGAGTGAGGAGCCAGGTGCGCTCAAGAAGGACACACACACATAGAGAGAGAGAGGTTTAAACTATAAAACGATTCTCCGGGTGCGGTCATAGGTAGTATTGTCGGGCTCGTTAGCAGTATTCTATAGTAAGACGTTGAGGGTATATTTTTCTTGTAGAGATGTGTAGCTTCGCCTGTTTCTTGGTTATTATATCGATATAAAATAAGCTCAAAGCATATGATTCGTTGAAGAGATATGAAAAGTTACAGTGGCCCTCCGTGTAAAGAATGCTATTTGTAGAGATGCTTAGAAACAGCCTTACGAATGAGGTGGCTGCGGCCGCCAATTGAATACTACCTAAGTCGTCTACGGAAATTGTCGCTATTACGTGAGCATGAAATAAGGAACATCCCCTTTGATGCACAAATACATGTTTTGATGCATGGAATGATATATTGGATATCTATGCTACTATGAAGCGCCTTCGCAAAATGCAAGTCGAGGGCAAAGACAACCTCCGAATAACTTAATAGCTTTGAAGGGACCTCACATATCCATTTCATCATCATCCCAACCCAGCTGCTCATAGATAGACTTTGTCTGTGCCTTTTCCGGTGTAACCGGCACAAGAGGAGCGCTCTTGGCAGGTGATCGCAGGATCGCAGGGGAGGAGGATGCTTGGGATGTGCTGGGGGCGAACAAGGGCACAGGTCGAGGTACAAGCATGGGATTAGGGCCTTGCTGCTTGGGAGGCGTCTCCGTAATCATCGAGAATCTTGGACCTTGTGGGGATCTGCTAAGATTTGGTGACGAGTCGGGGGCCATGGCTATACTTTTGCGACGGGAGGAAACAGGTGTAGTCGGTGCCACGAGTTGAGGTTGTGAGAATGGATCATTGTGGCTTGAACGAGGTGCAGGGAGATCGGGCACCCGGAAAAGGCCCTTGCCTTTCGTGGAAGGCATGGACGGTCGATGTGCTAGGTCTGTTCCTTGGCTATCGAACAGTAACTTAGACGGAGGTCGTGATGGTGTTTCTTGAATTGAGCCTAGTTCGGTGAGCTGTGTTTGTGGCTCGCGCTGCCTTTTCCTTGACACTCGTTGAGAGCCAAAGGGTGTTGAATCGGGGCCAGAGAAGGAGATAGCCCGTCGCGTTGATGAGGGAATCATGACAGGGGACTCGGCAAGAGTGTGGTCCTCCATCTCTCCTGCAAAAGACCGCGATGGCGCCAGACTGCGCGGTAAACGGGGCAGTCCGACAATTGCATCCTTCCTGCGATTACCACGAGGTGTAGCCATGACCTGCACACCCTCGCCAAGTGGATTTCGGACCGGGTTCTTTGGCTTGCGAGAACTTCCTCCGCCTGTAGACATTCGCTTGGAGGCATCCTCGGCAATGTCTTTAGCAACGACTTCACGGTTCGGCTTGCGAAGTGTCTGGATGGCATTATCAAGCTCCCTCTTCTGATCAGCCAACATCTGCACCTTACGAAGCTTGCTCTCGTGTTGTCTGGCAGCCGCGTTAAGATCAATCTCGCGGTTCTCCACTCTCTTGACCTGAATACCACCACGGACACTGCCGCTCATGGCTGTTGGCAGCATTGGCTCCAAAGAATCACGTTTTGTATCATGCTGGGTCGGGGCAGTTTTGGACCGACTTAGTGATGGATGGCGAATCTGAGACGCTGCGGCTTTTTCGTCTGTTAAAACACGCTGTAAGGATCGTCTGGGTTTTTGAACTGGAGATTCCCGCTTGCCATCAGGCCCTGGTTCTGGGCGGCGTGACTTGCTCGATGATTGGGTCTTCTTAGCCGCCGGAGAGATGCCCCCAGAAACACCGAACTTGCGAGTGACCAATTTGCATTTATCCGGCAGTCGTGAAACATAGAAGGGAATGATGACTTCGGTGCAAAAGTCGCGCACTGCGTCACTCTCACTTTTCTTCCCGGACATATGGCCATCAGTAAATGATGAGGCCTTTGCAGAGTCAGCTGCGGTCGACTCCTCCATGCTTACAGCATGCCATATACAAAGCCGGTCCAGATGCAATTCGAGAAGAACATTGAGATCTTGAGGCTTCTTGGTTCTCTTCTTGGGTGTGTTTGTCTCTTCGCCAGCTGGCTTGACATTGTCAGGATTGTCTTTCTCAATGGGAGTGGACTCTAGAGCCATGACTTCCAGTATCAGGAGGATCTGCAACTGGGTTTCGCGCAGTCGCAAATCGGAGATATGCTTCTTCGTCTCCGGGTCACGGGAGCCTTCTAGAGTTGAGGCATCCACCATGCTTCGATCCTTCCACCATTTGCGGACAAATCCATCCTCTTCGGGGTAGAAACCATTCTTGCCTAGTTTCTTCTTCTTAGTTTTGCGCTTTTTGGCTAGAACACCCTCATCGTCGGAGACAGCAAGCACGGCTTCGCGGACCGACGCAGGGAGAGACTCGCGGTACTTGAGGTCCATCTTCTTAGCAGGCAAGACAGCCTCCCGGTAAAAGTCAATCAGTTGGGTAGGCGTCTGGATCTGCTCATGCTCTGAGTGTTGGAAAGCAGTCCGGCAACGTGTCAATGGTCCCTTGGCAAAATAGGCCAGAGATGTCTGGGTTTCGTGTCAGAAAGAGGCTCACATTGCTACTCAATGGAATTCTCACCTTCGAGATATATAGAGCTTGCAGATAGTGCTCTCGCATCCCATCGAGTAGCTCGTCCGGAGACAGTTTGGTATCCGGGGCAAGATTAACGTCCATAGCACTTGCAGCCCCGAGGACTTGGGAATCACCCAGTCCAAATGAAACATCCATCTGGGAATCATCTCCAGTCACGGCTGGAGCAAGGGATTGACTCCGATATTCAAGTACGTCGACGAAAGATGGTTGCACTTGTGTATCATCGATAGCAGACGACCCAAACACAACGTCAACCTGCAACCCAGCAAACTCCTCACCCAGGCCCAGATCAGAGGATGGCTCCTCGATTCGCGCAGTCTGCCACCAGTTCATGGCATCCAGGGCAGTGCATGAAATGTCACTGACGTCGACATCCATGACGACATCTCTGGATCCTTTCCATCCCTTGACCGCGACAACGACGTCGCCTTCCTGCACCCATCGCGCAAGCCTTGAAAGAGAATATATACCACGTTTCACACGCTCAACAACGTAAAGTCCACCACTTGCGGCCAATCGGACCGCCAGCACAGTCGGCTCGGCACAAGACCGCAAGTCTCTTTCAAGAGCGGGGATATCGGCGGCGAAAAGGCCACCAGGCTCTGAGCGCGACCAAGACGCGTCTTCAAGCCATGATAGTGGGAAGCGAGATCGGGGAAGTAGACAGATTGGCTCGAGAATTAGCGGTTCATCGGATAAGGACGCAGCATGAGCCTGGACAAGTCGACGAATAAATGGTTAACTGGGGAGTGTTCTTCCTTCGATTTGCGCACACCGAACCCGCGAAATCACCTACCCGAATCACAATCGAAGTTGTAGAGAGCTGACCCGCAGCAATGTCGGTTCCGATCTTGCGTTTCTTCGTCGGCGGCTGGGTCTCGTGGAGCTTGTTCAGCGAGGACGAACTGAGGGGATCCAGGGCGCCGGGAATTGCGCGCGTGGTCATGGTCGCGTTTAAAAGGCTGTGTGCATCGTGTCGTAGGCGAAAGAACGGAAGCAGAAACAGAAAAAGAATGCAGTAACCAACCCCCAAAAGGACGCTATGCAATTGCCCGTACGCCCGAATTCTCGAATGCTAAAATGGATGTTGGATGTTGGTTGGCGCGCGAGTCTGGAGTGGGCAAGTCTGGCGTCACGCGTCGAGGCCCAAGCGTTTCTGTCCCCCGCTCAGCCCTAAAGACTAAAAATTGAAGATGCGATGGAAACGATTGATCAGCACAATAGAAGCTAATGATAAGGGATACTAATGTTCCTGGGATTGATGAAGGGGGATTCAATTGAGTTTGTTCATTAAACTGATTAATTTCTATCTGGCTACGACGACTTGGCGTCTACAAAACTGTCCATCCCGCCGTGTCAAAACTATCTTTTCGCACTAAACAAAGACCCACCAGATTGATGGTTCGGGCTAAAACACATTAGGGGATAAATTGTGAGAATAATTTGCGATGTGCATTTGACAAACACGAGCTTCAGGCGGAGATAAGTACAGCAGTCAACCAATTATATCAAAATGGCTTCTAAGAAAAGAGATCCTTGGTTGTTGAGCCTCGAATCAAGTACAAGAACCCCTAATCGACACGCTCGGGATTGTGATTCTTTCAGAGAGTGGTTAGAGTCATCTTAAACGATTGAATCGTATAAGGTGCCAATTTGGGGGTATTCCGCTCCGAATGATGTATCAACAGAATGACTTGCTCAAAGTACTCAGAAGACACTCACAACAACCCTATATCTAGACGCACAAGGCAGCAGATCTACCCGACAGAAAATATACCGGTGAATAAAACCAAATCGACATCCTCTGCAACAATCGAAAAGACAAATGGCCTGTCAAACACCACACTCGGCAGATGTGTTGGAAGGGATCGCTTCAACACCACCGCTGTAGCAGCGGCAGCCTCTGTACCATTTTCATCCAATAGGATAGCAACACTGTGTATAATACGTTGAACCATGAAAGAATAAGAAATCCTCGGAAATGTCCCTGATATTGGATATCCCAAGTCCTTAAGCTTTTGTGCGATATCTTCCTGGGTACGAAGGTTGAACTTTGGCAGGCCAAACTGCAGTAGTTTTGTTTGTACGAACTGGCGCGGAGTTCCATCACGGCAGATTGTTCGTAAAATTTGGAGTGGAGAACAACCATCGGACGGTAAATAGGCGATGAAAGACCATTGTGAACCCGCATTCGAGGCATAGGGAAGCCGAATTGCCGTATATGCACTGTCTTTCGAGATCAGAACCTCCTCACGATGAAAAAACATCATTTCGACGGGATCAGTTCGATGGTCAGATGTATGGAACGGGAAGTCTTTGATGGTGTTTTTTCGATCGAATTTCTTCTGCCATGCGGCTTTGAACACCAGTGCGTTTATTAGGACCATGTTGGCCTGAGACAGGGTTTGACGGCTCAACATCGAGGGTATCAGCCCATTTGTCTGTTGGGAAATCCAACCATTTATCAAGTTTGTTCCATCCTCTAGGCGAGTAAAACTGCAATCCAGATGCGCATCAAATTGTTTGAGATATTCGATGTAAGTAGGAACAACTTCGGAAGAGTTGTCTGCAAACATCGCGTTTGCGGTGGTAAACTGCCGTCCGGTATCAAGCGCAGTAGTCAATGCAGCCTGGATTGTCGAAAGTTCGGATATCACTTTGTCAGGCTCCTCCAGCCCAAGCTTTTCGCATAACTGTCTACATTTCGCTTCGTCTGCCCCTCCCGCTAGCATTCCCAGGGCGATAGTTATCGACAGAGGAGATATTGCAATGCCAGCAGATAAACTCTCTTTCTCACATATTTGTATTGCCAAGTTCCATCCTAATTGATTGATCGTGTCGACCACCGATGGTGTTTTCTCGGATGTCATCGTAGGGAGATTTTAAGAGATAGAGACGAGCGGACACGGAGGAAAAGGCTTCGTTTCAGCCGTAAAGTATTATACAATAGACCTCGCGGCGTTGGGACTGCCAGACCGCACGAAGAGTAAGCGGGTATTGCAGGTTGCGTTCCGAATAATCGGACTGCATATATTCGAGACCTGAGTATGCTGCAGGAGGATGGATAGAACAGTGGGAGGTACCTCTAGATAGTGAGGGGTACAGAAGTGGAGGGGCACAGAAGTTGACGGGTGGACGGGTAAGATATAGGGTTATACGGTATGAAAATCGTTCTGGAAAAACGAAATGTAGTATCTTTCCACATCAGGAAGCATTGATAATTTACAAAGTGTCCAACACAACGTGGGATAGTATGCAGTATTGACGAAGAAGATTGAACGAAACCAATAGATAGGTATACGATGAATGGATTGATTGATTGATTGAAGATGTTAGACATACGCGCGGACCCGCTAACTGAACAGGCCAAAAGACCAAATATGTCAGAACGCTATGTTCTGACATGACCAGGTCCGATATACTGTAAGCAGCGCACATAACGTTAGGAGAGCCAGTCCTAACCATAGAATTAAGATCACGATATGCGGAGTGGTCTTTCTAAGAGTGCCCAGGATTGCCCGCTGAATCTAAATTTACGGAATACATACCATACAAAGTGGCATAAATTCAATGAGTTGGTAGGTGTGAATTTCTGGGTCATGTCATTTAGTACTATCTTTGTTATTAAAAAATCATTAGGGCTATAACATATCCGCCATAGAAATCTTGTTGTCATCTTTTTGAATATAGCTATCCCTGACAGAAAAGCCCAGATCTTGAACATATAAAGTAGGTTTCGCTTGGCATTGGATTTAAAGATACCGATGTACGGAGTAGTGGCCTCAGTGAAAGACCACTTCCGCTAGAGCGCTAAACCTAGCACACAGATAATTTTGTATGTAGTGGCCCTTCGAATTTGTATAGAGCTCCGAAGAGTGTCAGATCAGCTGGCAACGCACTAATACATATCTGGCTTAGCTGTGTAGTTTGCTTGAGAACGGAAGCACTTTCCACGAAGCTCAGGCATCTGTCAGATGTAACCCGGAGCGAATAAGGACTCTGCTCCCGAAGGAGACGGCACCGAGGGAGGCGAGGGTCTGACAGGAGGGCTAGAGAAAAGTAAGCCGATGCGGAGTGCAAAAACAATGGATCATTAAAAGAGTAAGTAATCCCCGAGGGACTATCGTCAAGCGGGAGTTCCTTCTGACAGACTATATCAGTCAGGAGGGATCCCACAAATTCATCAATTCAATCATACTACTACATTCTTCTTCTCGTTCATCATGGGCCGGAAATATCGTAACCCGCTTATCAACCCGCTACACTACGCCACAACACAGCTGCACACTGGACCCCCTGTCACATACGCGGCTGCCCAGCGAGGTCTTACCAGCTATGATTATGGTATTTGAAGGGATTGACAATAGAATTCAGTGTTATAATCATTGATGTCACTGACTGAACCCCCCTTATAAAAGTAATCGTCGGCGCCGGCGCAGCAGGCTGTGTCCTCGCCAACAAACTCTCCGAGGACAAAAACGTCTCTGTCCTGCTTCTCGAAGCTGGCGGCGACAACACCAAAGTCTTTGAATCCAAAGATCCCATCCTCTTCGCCAAACTCCTCCACTCCCAACATGACTGGGACTACTATACAGTCGAGCAGCCCAGCCTGGCAAACCGCTCCCTCTACTGGCCCCGAGGCAAAATCCTCGGCGGCTCCTCCTCCCTCAGCGCAATGATGTACCACCACGCCTCCAAATCCGACTTTGACGAGAGGGCTGCTACCCACGGCTGCAAGGGCTGGAGCTACTCTGATCTGGCCCCGTTCCTCCAAGGCATGGAGCGCTTTACTCCCCACCCGGGGCGGCCCGCGATAGACACCTAGTATCGTGGGTCCACCGGGGAATGGCACACTAGGTACTCGTGGTTATCCGAGATTATCGAGAAGGGGTTCCTGCCTGCTTGTCAGGATGTTCAGATCCCGGTTATTCTGGATGTGAATACCCCTTAGGGGGGTCTAGGGGTGACTCGATTCTAGACTTTCATCGATCCTAAGGGTCAGCGCTCGTCGCTAGCGACGGCTTTCCTGACCCCGAAGGTATTGGCCAGGCTAAACTTGTATGTAGCGTGCAATGTCCGTGTGACTCGTGTACTGTTCGATCAAATCACTACCAAGGAGCCGACGGCAATTGGAGTTGAATTTCAAACTAGCCGTAGAGGTGATCGCTTCGAGGTCCACGCAAGGCGAGAGGTTATTCTCTCTGGAGGAGCTGTCAACACCCCGCAAACACTTCTACTGAGTGGTATCGGTCCGGCCGATACGCTGAAAGCTCATGGGATCCCTATAATTCGAGAGGGGGAGGCCGTTAGTCGCAATCTGAAAGACCACTTGTGCACCACACCCGTCCTCGTCAAAGCCAAGGACGGCCTTACCCTGGACTACTTAGCTAACGAGGCTAGGGCCATTCTAGCTCTGGCACGCTGGATGCTAACGGGTAGTGACCCGCTATCCAGCAATGCCGGCGAGGCAGCTGCCTGCATCCGATCCACGGACTACCACTTTCCCCAGACGGTGAATACTCCTAACGACTTTACCTCTAGGAAAAACGCACCTGATATCGAGATCATTGGCGCCCCGCTAGCATCCATCCACCACGGCGAGGAGAAACCACTCGATAACAGCAGCATCTTCAGCATTGCCCCAATTGGTCTTCGCCCACAGAGCCACGGCACAGTCACCCTCAAGAGTCGCGATGTCTTTGATGCGCGTAAGTGATTTTCCCCCGACTATAGCTTAGACTAACACGCTAATCGGAATCTATATAATCCAGCAATCATCGACCCAAAATACTTCACCGACAAAGGCGACAACGACCGCAGCGTCCTCCTCATCGGCCTCCGCGTCTGCCTAGATATAATCCAAAGCCCCGCTTTCATAGAATACTTTGAGCCCATCCCCTCCAACGACGACCCAAGCTCATACTGGTGGCCCGCCTCGAGCAGCAACATCGAAAAGATCACCGACGAGCAACTGCTGCGCTTCATGGACGAAAAGGCCTTTACGCTGTATCATCCCGTTGGTTCGGCGCGTATGGGTCCGTCACCTGCGACGAGCGTCGTCGATTTGGAATGTCGGGTGCATGGGGTGAAGTGTCTTCGTATTATGGATGCTAGTGTGTTCCCGGAACATATTAGTGGGCATCCTACGGCGCCTATTGCTGCTATGGCGGCCAAGTTGAGTGCGATGATTATTGAGCGGATGGGGGATGCTAGTCCTGTAGGGGCGAATTTGTGAGGATAGAGTTGCCTGTCGAGTGGGATCTTCTCTTTTCTCTAGTGGGGATTGGTCTTTTAACTGTCTGGGTTCGTTGGTACTACCATAATGGATATAAAGCCTGCAAGGCTAACCAGTACATAGTTAATGCAATAGAAATTAGGTAAACTAGGGATTAGGTGGCATATAGACAGTGATAGGAATGTGTGTTACGTAGCTTTGCCTGCTGCAGTAGGATATTCATGCTATGTCTACAATGATGCTTTTCAGACTTGATGGGCGGAAGTGGAAAAGGACAATATATCGTACCCTCCATATACATGGCCAACCTACGGGGGTATAATTACGTCGTTCTTTATCTTGGGACGTCTAGACAAGAAGTCCGCGTTGCTGTACGTAGCAATACTCTGAAGATGTGGAAGGTAATGTTGTTCAACTTAAATGGTTGAAATGGAGTAGATATTATTTGTATTTGCTAATGTTTAGATTAGCAGCAGACCCACGGGTCAAGAGAGAGCCTCGAATGTTGAGAAGAACAAAACAAGAAGCAACAGGGCTCCCCCTGACCCGCACCTCCCGGACTCCGAGGATTGAATCCCGCATGCAGGTCAATCACACTCGGCATTAAAGCCACTCGGGAGGCTGGTCAAGTGGTGAAAAGGTGGTATGGTTGTTGAAGACTTTCGCTCCGCAAAAACGCCAAAAACTTCCCGTTCCCAGCCGATGAATAGTGGTATCATGTTGAATTTTGTCTTCGCCGTAAGGCCCGTCTTTGGGGCGACCATGCAGAATAATGAAACAAGGAAAATAAAAGGGGAACAAAGGGATGGCTTCCGTGGAAAACCAAACTTTTTGTCACAAAAAGAGGTTTGTGGGGTTTTATAGAAAAGAAAAATGGTTCTATGCACGTGCTTTGAGTTGTTGAAAACAAAGCATACTCATCACAGTCGTCACAACGTCTCCGAGGTCACCGGACGGAGGGATCCCTTTAGAACTTGAGTGCCTTGGGCTTCTCCCAGGAGAAGCTCTGGTTGGTGAAGTGACCGTTCTTGGCGGTCTGGATGTAGATGGGCTTGGCCAGGTCGAGGTCCTTGACGATCACACCGGGGCGGAGATCGAAGTTGTTGCGGATGATCTGGACCAGCTCGTCAGAGGTCTTGGAGCTAGTGCCGTAGGTCTCGACGAAGATGGAGAGGGGGCTCAGCGACACCAATGGCGTAGGAGAGCTGAACGAGAGCACGGCGGGCAAGGCCGGCGTTGACCAGAGACTTGGCGATCCAGCGCGCAACGTAGGCGGCCGAGCGGTCGACCTTGGAGTAGTCCTTGCCGGAGAAGGCACCACCACCGTGAGCACCCCAGCCACCGTAAGTGTCGACGATGATCTTACGGCCAGTGAGACCGGCGTCACCCTGGGGACCACCGATGACGAAGCGGCCAGAGGGCTGCATGTGGTAGACGGTGCGGTCATCGAGCAGGTTAGCGGGGATGACCTTGCGGACGATCTTCTCCTTGAGGACGGTGCGGAGCTCCTCCGTGGAGACATCGTCAGTGTGCTGGGCAGAGATGACGACGGTGTCGACACGCAGAGGCTTGACGGCACCGTTGTCGTGGGCGTACTCAATAGTCACCTGGGTCTTGGTGTCAGGGAGCAGCCAGGGGATGGAGCCGTCGTTACGGGCGGCCTTCATGGCAGCATTGAGCTTGTGAGAGAGCAGGATGGTGAGGGGGAGGAGCTCGGGGGTCTCGTCGGTGGCATAACCGAACATGATACCCTGGTCACCAGCACCGAGCTTCTCCAGAGCCTCCTCGTAGTGGAGACCCTGAGCGATATCGGGGGACTGCTGCTCAATGGCAACGAGGACGTTGCAGGTCTTGTAGTCGAAGCCCTTCTCGGAGGCATCGTAGCCGATGTCCTTGATGGCGTTACGGATGACCTTCTGGTAGTCCAGCTGGGCCTTGGTGGTGATCTCACCGAAGACCATGATCATACCTGGGGATGCATGTCAGATTTGAGGGGGCCATTTTGGAGGGGGGCAGGGAAGTCAGATGGAATCCCCGAGCCCCGATCCCCGAGAGGAAAGAAGAAAAAACCTACCAGTCTTGGTGGCGGTCTCGCAAGCGACCTTGGAGAGGGGGTCCTCAGCCAAGCAGGCATCGAGGATAGCATCGGAAACCTGGTCGCTATAGAAGGGGAGAAGGTTAGGATTGAAGCCGTAGGCATTGAGGGTTTTTCCTTCAGGGGCGAATAAAAAACTCACGCAATCTTATCGGGGTGACCTTCACCGACGGACTCGGAGGTGAAGAGGAAGGTGCCGGGCTGCGAACCGTTTGCAAGGGAACCCATTGTGACGGATTGTGTGACTTGAAGAAGTCTTTAGGGAGGAGAAAATAAAGAGAGGAGGAGGAATGAAGAAAGAAGGAGAGAGGGAGGAGAGAAAGGAAGAGAAGAAGAGGGGGGAAAAGAAAAGTAATAATAGGTGGGGTTTTTTTCTTGCGGCCCAGTGGCAGAATAAGGGTTACTCGGCCAGTACGAGGGTTGCCAGTGGTGGTGTGGTGGTGCACGTGGGTATAGCCGAAGTCACTCTCAGCCAGTGGCCAGCATGTCCGGTTGTTCCTTGTAGTTTCTGTCCCATTATTCTTGTGATTCTGGTTTCAACGGCCCCTGCCACTTCCACTTTTCCACTTCCACTCAGCGTGGGGCTGGCCCTTCACCGCCCTGCACCTGTCAGCCCCCTCGATTGCGCCATTCCGTGAATCTGCCAGGCGGTCACAGCTGGCAGATCTGAGCCCCTCCGGCAACTGCAAATTCTCGCGTACCCGGCCTCCGATAAGCTGATATGAAAAGCTGCCCATAATTTTATCACCGCCAAGACCCGGTCCATTAGCAAGAACCACACCAGCACCAGCACCAGCACCAGCACCAACACCAACATCAACATCAACATCAACCTACACCCACCATGTCCAAGTTCGGTGTCCTGGTCATGGGCCCTGCGGGTGCAGGCAAGACCACCTTTAGCAACTCCCTCATCCACCATCTGCAAAGCACCCGCCGCAGCTGCTTCTACGTCAACCTCGATCCGGCCGCCGAGAACTTTACCTACCAGCCCGACCTCGACATTCGCGAGCTGATCACCCTCGAAGATGTCATGGATGAGCTGGGCCTCGGCCCCAACGGTGGTCTCATCTACTGTTTCGAGTTCCTCCTACAAAACCTCGAGTTCCTGACCGAAGCTCTGGACCCACTAAGCGAGGAATACCTCATCATCTTCGACATGCCCGGCCAGATCGAGCTCTACACACATATCCCTCTCCTCCCATCATTAACGCAGTTCCTGTCCCGGCAAGGACCGCTGAACATCAACCTCTGCGCCGCCTACCTCCTCGAAAGTACCTTTGTCGTCGACAAAGCCAAGTTTTTCGCCGGCACCCTTAGCGCCATGTCCGCCATGCTGATGCTGGAGATTCCTCATGTGAACATTCTCAGCAAGATGGATCAGGTGCGGGATATGGTGACTCGTCGCGAGTTGAGGCGGTTCGCCAATGTGGATGTGCAACTGCTACAAAAGGATGAGGAAGATACGGGGCCAGCTGCCAACCCTATGGCGAAGGATGCCTTGATGAGCGGTGACTCATTCAACCAGCTCAATCGGGCCGTGGCGCAACTGATTGATGATTTCAGCATGGTCTCGTTCTTGCAGCTGGATGTTTCAGACGAGGACAGTGTCGCCGGAGTTCTGAGCCATATTGACGATGCCATCCAATACCACGAGGCCCAGGAGCCTCGAGAACCCAAGGACGAGCAAGAGGTGAACTACGAGGATTAAAAGGTAGAGGATCGCAATCATAATCTCAGCACCTCGAGCGATATGGAGGACTCTCCTCGACGCCAAACCCAATCCTTGACATGACGCCTTCCCCGCAAGTCTCAGACGGTTATACTCGGAATATTCCCCTCGCGACGCGTCCGAGATCTCCCGTGGTCCAACCTACACAACTCCGCCATTGCGCATTAGCAAGTCGCTCTCAGCCTATAAACCGCTCCAGCGTGTCGCAAGTCCCGCTTCTGGTGACGAAATTCCGGGCCCGAATTGTGAAGTGTCCGATCCCGGATGTGGGGCTGAATCGTACTGGAGACAAACCATCTCACCAAGCATTTCTGTGGAGTTTATTTTGGTCCTGATTTTCCTTTGATGTTTGGCATTTCATTATTTCTGCGACTCTGCCCCAGAAGAAAAAGTTGATATGAAACCAGTCATCTCATCCATAGACTCCGATAATCAACACCTCATGACTGATGAACATGTGCAAAGCCCGGGAATCTGAAATCCCAAACCAAGTCCTGGAATAGGCAATGGAAGCAAAAAGAAAGAGTAGAATGAAGTCCAAATGGAACCGTATCAATAGGCAAGACATCGTCCATCCAACCATCCAACCCATAATATCCAACGCCCCAGCGATGACAAATAACCAAAAGCTCTTACCCACCATCTCCCTTTCTATATCCTACCACCACTGACCCGAACCACCCATCCCCTTCCCACCAGCACCACCACCACCACCAGGAGCACCACCCTGTTCAATCATCGCCCAACCCTCCTGCAAAAACCCCATCAAAAACCCCCAAACCCTCCCCGCATCCTTAAAAGCCTGCTCCCCACCAACATTCCAAACATAAACACCCAGCACAACCACAGATCCCCAAAACACCACCCGCACAATAAACCGCACCCACCACATCACCCACCACACGACAAACCGCCGTATGTAATCCAGGATGACCAGCGAGACGAGCAGAACGCCGCCTAGCACGAGCGCGCTCATGAGATCAGGCATCGTGGAAGATCCGAGCGTTGTCGCGAGGAGATGTGAGAGTGGTGTCAGGATGTAGGGATCTACGACGGTGGTGCGGAAGGTGGAGAGGTGGGTTGTTAGTTGGGAGTGGGCTGTTGAGCGGAGGTAGGTGTAGGTTGCGTTTGTGAGGATTGTTTGGAGGGGTTCTGGCGGATGTTAGTATTGTGCCTCACGATGATCATGGTATGCAAGGTGTGTTAGCTTTGGGGTAGACGGTACCTGGGAGGTGATCCATGATCTTTGTTTGTGTGGTTTCGAGGGTTTAAGAAAATGATTTAGATTGCGGGTTGGTGGTAGATATGGTGGACCGCGAGGACAAAGAAGCTTTGATTACGAGCGCGTGGTATCTTCGGGTCGAGGTGTAGACAGAGCCTGGGTTTGTGGTGTTTCACAGTGGATAAAGAGATGTTGACGTGTAGGAGGAGGTGTATATAGCTATGCGACGAGAGACAAAGGTGAAAGGTGGAAGTTGAAGGTCGGACTGGGAGGGCCTGGACCAGTTCCCGTAGCTGCGGAGATAACGCGGTGCAAAACAAACAAACAAGCTCGCGGCCGCAGCACAGCATCATAAGCCGAGCTTACAATCAAGTCAAAGGAAAGATGGAGAAAGAAAATTCAAAAATGACAGAATAATACAAGTCTTCCCGAGTATGGGAAGTACTGTACAGTTGATGATTATATACCAGTAGAGCAAAGTAAGTAGTGGTGAGTGTATATACAAGCGCAGGTGGGTAGTACGGGGTACCTCGCCCCAATCCCACAAAATGGACAACCGGTGCTTCCAATTCAAGCACGGTCTGCGCGGCACCGCGCGCACGAGCTAACGGTCCAAAAGATTCAAAGTCAAAAAACCAAATATCAAATCAATAAAAAGTCAACCCAAAGGGTGAAACGCTGGGGAACGCAAAACTCCCAGACACCCGACTTCTCCAACCATCGGGCTGGAGGTGAGTCCTGATGCAGATGCAGATGAGGTGGTATAGGTAACGAAAGCAGGAAAAGGTAACAAGAATCAAAAAGGGAACCCAAATGAAAGCACATATATCACTGTTGAAATACTGGATGTCGTCTCTCAGTATCCAAAAAGTGCAGAAGCCCATTACATCAACGACCGGAGAGTTTCCCTCTCGGCCTGAATGTCCACCTGCAACCGGCGAGTCTGACGGAGAGCCTCATCCCTGTAAAAAAGGCACAATCGGGTTAGCTTGGCGCCCCCCAAAACACGATGCATCTCGTATCCGAGTCGGGATGAGATCGGAACTCTCATCCGCGGGAAATTTATTTGCGCGACGGGGAAAAAAAGAAAAACGTACCTGTCAGATTGCAGCTGGGCTACATCAACCTGTGCGCGGTTCATCCGTCCCACTACCTCCTCCATCTCCATGTCTACATCGCGAATGGCTCGCTCCAGTGCCTTGACGTGCTTCTCTAGCACTTCGGTCTGGACGACGGTTGTCAGTGGGACACCCTCACCACTGGTGGTCTTGTCCAGGCGTGGGGACCGGCCGGCGAAGGGCGTATTTGGTGGTCGTGGGGAAATGTTAGCTGGCGTGCGAGAACCATTCTTCATGCGCTGGAGCTGGGCATTGTGGTTCTCCTTCAGCAGGCAGATTTCTTCCTCGTGCTTGCTCAGTTCCTCTTCAGAATGGTTCTGAGCGTTCAGGAGGTTCTCCTCAAGCTCCTTCATCTGGTTCTGTAGAGTGTTGATGCGCTCAACGGAGATTTGCTGGTCGCGCTCACCCTTATCAATGGCCGTTGCCAGACGGCCGCGAAGGAGCTGTTGACCTGCAATTGCTGGTGGACATAACCAGCGAGTTCGTTGCTGCGCTTGTTGATCGCCTCCAGCTCAGCCGATTGGCCGCTGGCCTCGGCGTGTTGTCTATCAGCCTGAAGCTGTTGGAAGGCAGACTCCAGAGAAGATGAGGTTGCCATGACCTCGGCAAAGCTTTCCTGATCCGCCTCGAGCCATTCGGGCACCTCGGTATCGTGTTCCTGAAGGAGGACCCGAAGGGAGCTAGTCTCTTGCTCAGCGCGGTCTAGATCCATCTTGAGACCCGCCAAGTTCTTCTCGCACTGCCACTTGCCATCCAGCGCATCTTCGGCGCGCAAGCGCAGGTGGTTCACCTCATCCCGCAGGCTGCGCACCTCTCGCTCATAGCCCAGTTTACGTGGCGGGCCAGCTTCTTGAGCACGCAGAACCTCGGCCTCCAGAAGGCGAGTCTGCTTCATGAACTCGCGCTCTTGGAAAGCGTGGCGGTTCAAGAGGCTTCTCAGTGTACGGTGGAGAGCGTCTCGCTGGGTCTCGATATCCTTGACCTTGTCGACCAGCGACTCGCGTGTCTCTCCCCGGTCCTTGTTGCCAGATACCGAGTTGGAGCGGGACAGGGAACCCGAGCGCGCAAGACCACTAGTGGGCTTCCGAGCGAGCGAGTTGGATCGTGAAAGACCAAACGCCGAATGGCGCTTCCCTTGTACACCGTCCTCCTCGGCAATTGATGCGAATCGTCCGCCTTGCAGCTGTGCTAGTGAAGCGTTCTCGATCTTCAATGCCTCGATCTCTTCAATCAATCGCTGCGTGTCTGAAGCGGGAGGCGCATTACCCTCCCGGAGGATATCACGCTCATTCCGCAATTGCTCCAGTTCCACGCGCATGGCTGTGAGTAAATCTTCAAAGTTATCTTTTGATTGGCGTTCCTCCAGCAGCTTCCGCCTCGTGTTTTCCAAGGCAGTTTCCAACTCTTTCGTTTTCGATGAAAGATCAGATAGATCCGTTCGTTCTCGCCGAAGCTAGAAAATACCGTCAGTCAAAAAGACGCCTCGCTTCTCGGGCTGAACCTCAAAGCCTCGAACCTCGAACTTACCTGCTGAACCTGATTTTCCAATATTTGAACATGCGATTCAGACGCAGTTCGCTGCATCCGCTCTTCCTGGAGCCTCTGCGAAAACTCGGCCTTCAATTGCGCGCGTTCCTGCTCTGCAGCCCGACGGATCTTTTCAATATCTTCCTGTCGATCAGGACCGTATCGAATCGAACTCGTGCCTGAATCAGAGAAATAGTCACTCGTCCGGCGGCTGACTTCGGGTCCCTCTGTTTGCAAACGCTCAATCAGATCCTCCAATTCCATTTCCCGACGGATCGAGCCCGCCAATTCGGAGCTAATCTCGCGCAATTCATTCTCCAAATCGGCCAGCTTGGACGTGTATACGGTGTCGTGGGCGCTGAGTGTCCCTAATGACGGCGTTCGCGCAGGCGGGCCAAAGCCAGCGGCTTTGGTATCGTATGACGAAGGAGGTCCCATGGGGACGTTGGCCAGGGGCGGCATGGGAGAGGGCATAGGTGATCGACCGCCGTCGGAGATCTCAGTACTGGAGGACTCCGCACCGGGCGAGGTAGCGGTGTTCGCTTTCCAACCAAAGAACGAGCTGATCTTTTTTCCGGGGGTTTTGGGTTGTCTGGGGTCGGTGTGGCCCATGGACATGGATCGTGGATCGACATCAATCTGCAAAGGGGGTGGGCGGTTCATCGGAGGGTGCAAGGCCATACTCGTCGCGCGGCGCTGAGTAGGGGGCGGCGAGTTCAAGATCGGGATGAATGGCTCGCTCACTAGACGACTGTGCAGGGGGGTTCCAAAGCCGGTTCCATTCGTGAACTGGTGCTCGTAATCTTCGTCAAAATAGTCGGCGCTTTCGTCGTCGTCGTCGTCTTCGTCCTCAACCACGGACCGGAGAAACGCGGCTGTTGGGGCAGTATCTATACGGAGGGGGTTGGCAGGATGTCGACCACGAGAGTATCTGGGAAATCGCGAGGTAGGTAAGCGATGATGGGTCTTCCAAGTATTGGAGAAGCGAGACAGCATGGATTGGCCATGTCAATCAAGTTCCCCCCGAACGCACGACCACCTCCAGCTTGGCAATTGTGGCTTTTCTTTTCTTTTCTCGTCACCAAGAATTGAAATGGAGAGCAACCATAGGCTGACTGGATGGTGGGTATATCAAGTAGGTTCGTGCGCTGTGTTCGGGGAGGTATATAGAATGGGATGATAAGAGCGGAACGGGGTGTAGAACAATGGCATCGCATACCTATTGGGATTCCTTGGCGGAGATATAAAGGAGTCGCCTCCCTCGACAGATGAAGGGGATATAGGACCGGTAGCAGGATGAGGAATGGGAGGGGGTTTATTCTCGATCGAAAGGGGAGAGGATAGATGGGGAGGGTCGATCAGTGGACTGGCATGCCGGTCCTGCGCCGGCAGCGGGAGAGGCTTTCGATGCACCGGTACTTGTGCTTGGACTTGTACTGGCGATTGAACGTAGTCTTGACCTGAAAATGAGGTGGAATGGTGGTGGTGGTAGAGTTGCGACGAAAGGGGTGGTGGTGGGGAGTTGTGGGAGTAGTAGTCCAAGCCCGAGGAGGAAGACGAGCTGGCTCTAGAAGTAACGGAGTAGCGACTAGTTGGAGTCTCTGGGGAAGGAGTGATAGTCGTTGTCGCAGTCGCAGACGTGGGATGAGGAATGGAAGCTGAAGGCCGAGATGCGGGAGAGCCGCTCCGAGTTGGAGCAGCAGGAGGAGGAGGTGCCATGAAACCAGCCTAGTGAAGATCAAAAAATAGCCGTCGATCGACAGGCCATACCGATTTCACACGGGACAAAGAATGGAGATTGGACTATAGAGGGGGGGGGGAGGATTAGGGGCGCAAGAGAAAGAGGGGAAGAATTGGCACGCGCTCCAGGTGAGTGGCTCAAAGGGGAAAGGATGTCTTTGTTCGAGACTATCAAAAAAGATAATCATGGGCGAAAATAATGAGAGACTCAGGAGATGCCAACAAATTGGAGATTAAAAAAAAAAAGAAAAAAAGAAAAATGGAAAAAAAGGAGAAGGTCTATAGGAAGTGTAAAGTTACTTAGCAGAGCAGAACCTTAGCGCTTTTTCGGAGGAGACGGGCGATTAGCGCTGGGCCAAGCCCGTGGGCTGGTTCCAGGAGGTGGTCTCTTGTCTTTCTCCTGGCACTGCTTGTCCAGTCTGGTCCAGGGGTAAAAACCCGCAAGGAGAGAAAGAAGTTTAGCGTTTGGCACAATTTAGCGCCCTTGGCCAGGACCAGTCAAGCGTCGGTGGAGCAATAGCCCCTCTCGAACGGGCAGACGGGGCCAGTCTGCATGGATGAAGGGCCTGGATTACATCTGATTGGCACCGCAATACAATCGTCGCGCTGAGAGCGGCTTGCCAAGGTGCGCTCTGGCCGGTGGTGATCGACAATGCTTGCCGATGAACGTGTGAAGGAAATTGGGGGGCTTTTTGCTTTTCTTCTTGTGGTGCTCATCCGGTAACTAACTTTCTATCGTAGAGAGATACCGTCCATACAGAAGGGTATACTTCCATACTTCCTCTCTATCACAATCACAACGCTTTAGAATCGAGATCATCCCTCGCAGCATTATTCGTTCTCCCGGCGCTTGAATCCTGGATGAAAATAGAAACTGGATTCACTAGTGTCACCTGCCATTTGTCTCCCCCTTGAGTCGTGGATCTCTCAAGAGGTTGGAACTCTGGATCCGACCCGCGCTAGTGCTGGGGAGAGGGGCGCTCGATTTCAGGGGTAGTGCCAGGTTGCATCAAAGTACCCTGCAGGTACTTTTATACTAGTGATATATCGTAAAGGTACTTCTGCGATACGTCGCCAGAACTCCTGCCCTGGGTCCAAGGTTCTTGGGCCACGCAAGGCCGGTCAATGCCAATTGAATCTACGGAGTACGGTACTACTCTTGACTGTCAATCCATGACGGACACTGTCGAGTGTCGACTGCGTATTCCGTATCATATACACTCCAGACTCCATAGCAACCCCATCGGCTTGGACTCTATATTTGATACGCTGTATCCTACCATGCAATATCTTGTGCACGGTCGGATCTTACTTGCGACCTGGCAGATCGCACACTCTACAGCACAGAACTCATATCGATTCAACTAATATACCAATTATCTGCTCCGTACTCCGTACTGTTCAGCATAATAGATGAAGCTCCATAAACACTACTATACTTGGACCTTCTTACGGACCAAGCGGTCTAGAAATGGAGTCTGTTTCCCCTCCGCCGTCGGCGAGATATAGATTAAGGGGGTTTTCCAGTCCTGACCAACGATCGTGCCCTCCAAACCTTGCACCTTTGCAAGCCCCCACGATCGATAACTACTTCGTACTACTTATGGAGTACGGAGTACTATCGTGGGAATCACCTCCCATGTGGATCAAAGATCCTTGCCCCCTTTTCCCTTGATCCAGTGAAGCCAACGTACTGTACTGTACTCCATAGACAAGACCGGAGTTGCTCTTTTCGGCCCATGCATGGAAATCTGACCCTTGGCCCCCTCATCCTCGTCATCCTTTGGCGCACCCAGCTGCTGATGCCGTTCTTAAATTATGTGAACAATGTAACTGTGTGAACGAACAGGGCCAGAGAAACAGTGCGAACGTGCTCCCGTCCTGCAGGGCTAACCGTAGCGCCAGCAGGCGTTGTCCACCCACCCAATCATCCCACCTCGCCAAACACTCGGGCCAGCGCCTGGCCGGCGGAGACTTCTTCAAAAAGCCTGGTCTTGTCCTTGCACCCATTCAGGCCGCCTCAGCTGAACCAATCCAGCGGCTGGACGGGAGGGTTCCTGAGGGGTCCTGAATGGGGGCGTCAACTGCTCGGTCTGCCCTGCGCTACTGTCGGTGAGGCTCGCAACACTGATTGAACGGAATCAGATATGCTAATGCTAGAGTGGGGAATGCCGAGTAATCCGAGTAATCTCACGATTCCATCTTCTCGTTCGTCGCTGGACCCTGTAAGCTGAGAGTGTTGCCCTTGGCCAGCCACGAACTGTGCTGACAGTGATGTAAACCCAAGACTCAACCAACCACAGTAGTAAATGCATGATTCACATGAAACCAGGGATCTAGACTTCCTAGCATCTGACAACCTCCCAGTTTTGGAAGTAGAAAACATGGGGTACAGTACATTAAAGACATGGATAACCGCCAGCCATGTTTCGGAACCTGCAAAAGTCCGAAGGGCTGGACTCATCGACAGGAAGCGTAAGGTGTAATTTAGTTGTGTGCTTGATCCAAGCTTCGAGCCTGGACCTGTCAATGCATCTTTTCTTTTTATATACGGAACTTTTCACTGTAGATCACCTTTTCCAAGGATTTGTGTAGATTTCTTTTTCGTCCCACGCCAACTGGTTCCCAAATCGCATGAGGTCCACTCTAGCTTGATAGCCCCAGCGTCCAGTTCTCGGCCTCGTCACGCCAAAGCGGGAAACCCGACCGTAACCACGTCGTACAGTCCCACCACATTACGTCGGGGTGTTCGAGGAATAAATAAATCTTGTCCACGCCGCTTGGTGACGTCCCGTGGCTTGATCTATTGTTACACCATGCGTACTTATTGGAGCCTTCTATTTATTTGAGCCCGCGTAGGGCTGTTGGCTTCCAAGGGGTAGCGGGTACGCCAGGGTCCACAGCGCTGAGATATTTATATACCGTGAAGCTGTAGCCGACACCAGGGTAGTTAAAGGGGATCCCGCCTTCCGGTATTCAGGGTCGCACGTATTTAATCCACATATCATGTTGTATATGTCCTATTTGTACGTAGTGACGCAATTCTTTGCTCTCGGGCCCTGAACAAAATCTGTGCTACCCAACAAACAACGACGGAGGGCCAATTCCCTGCCAACTGCATGAGCAATGAGTCCCCATCCAAGACACGTATTTCGATAGCCTAGAATATATTCTGAAAATACCATCAATCTGTCTTGACACCGCCTTAAGGCTCTGATTTGATTGTGAGTCCCACGTACTTTTTAATTCGCAATTGCGCCAGACATCTGGAGCTTGGTTCGCCCAGTTGCAGGAGTCAAATATGCCCGTTTTCTCATCTAGCTGCAACTCAAGAACTGAAGTCCAAAGGGTATCAATTTCAAAACCATTGAGAGAGTTATTCAGCTTCGATCCCATTTCATTGGTAGTCAACATGTTCTTAATCTGCGGTCACCTCGCCCATACAGGCTTTTAACTCGTCTTATTACGAAGCTTTTGGAACATGATCAAATCACTCTTCAAACCGGATTGAACAATTCGAGGAGGTATCGAAGTCTTCAATGAGATACCCCGAAGTTCCTTATTGCACCCGGCCTATAATCCCAGCAGGAAAGCAGCGCTCCAAGTTACACCTCGGATCATTCACGATATCTTCCGATGAGAAATGACGCTGTGACCCAAAAAACCTTTAAATCGTAGTCCATTCCCTTGCTCTCCAAATACTCAAGATTATTCACGAAGTTAGTGTCTTGCAGACTATGAAAACCCACATCCTCGTTCTTGTACCTGCTTTCCCCTGCCAATTGCCAACCTGATTACCTCTGCGACTCTCACCACTCAAGGCGACCAACCAATCGCACCACGATGTCATTTCAGACGCCGGTGTCGATAGTATCAACTCAAATTGTAGGGCTGGGAACACTGGATGGATTCCATTACGCCAATGGTGTGGAGCAATACTGCGGGATTCCCTACGCCTCGTTATCAAAACGATGGACGCGCTCTGTACTGAAGACTTCGTGGGAAAATGGCTACCACAATGGAACACAACTTGGGTGGGCTACTTTCATACCAGATGGAATTCTCACTAATGCGAGTGTCACATTGCAGAAATAACATGCCACGCCCGCAAACTCCAGGTTACAACACAAACATATTCATACCGGTCCCTCCAAATCCGAATTTTCCCCGTCATCCAGAAGTCGACGAGAAGACTGCTCTGGTCATGAATGTAGTCGTTCCCCAGCACCCACGCTTAGAAGGAGAGAAATTCCCCGTACTCGCGTGGATTCATGGCGGGTCTCTGCTCTTCGGTAGTGCGAACTACGGAATCTACGATGCCGTCAATCTGGTCTCCCACAGTGTCGAAATTGGTTGGCCCGTTGTAGTAGCGAGTTTTAATTACCGACTGGGATTAGGCGGTTTCCTCGCTAGTGCAAAGATCGGCGAGGAATTGAAGGCAGATGGGTTCGAGGGTAACGGGAATTTTGGATTCACGGATCAAAAAGTTGCAATGGACTGGATTCAAACATATATCAGTGAGTTTGGAGGCGACCCAAACAGCGTCACTGTCTTTGGCCAGTCAGCAGGTGGTGTCTCGATTGGCCATCAGATGGCAGCGAACAATCCAATGAAATTTGACCGAGCGATTTGCATGTCTGGCTTGGGGAGTACGCTTTCACCACTGGATTTAGATGAGCATGAGGCATTGTTTGACGCAACGTGTCGCTATTTCTCTATTGACCCCCATGCCCCGGATGCCCTCGATCAGCTTAGAAAAGTACCAGAACAGGAAATGGCGAACGCGGACCACATTATCCAAGGAGTTCCATCGGGGACTGGTAATACCTGCAATGATGGATGGTTCTATGCATTCGACCCGCAACTTCAATTAAAGACTGAGGCACCAAGTTGGTTGAAATCTTTTATGATAGGCGATGTGCACGACGAAGGCGTGATTTTCACCATGAATGTCATGAATGAGACATACGAAACCGTACGACAGACACTACTGGAAAGCATACAAAACGGGGTCTACGTCGACAGAATCCTTTTCGAATATGGTATCACCCGGAATACGTCAAGTCCAACCCTTGTGGATAAAGTGTGCACTATGGGCGGAGAGGCTGTCTTCAAGATCCAGAACTATCTTACTGCGAATGTTAACAAGCGGTTGAGACAGGAGAAAGCCATATTCAAATATCATTTCAACCAGCGATCCCGTCTCAACAATGCCTTGAATGGGCTGGCGTACCATGGCTTTGATGTGCTGTACCTATTTGGCAATCTCAACAACCAACTCAATGCCAGGGAACGCGCTATGCGACGTGAGATGGCATCGGCTTGGGTCAAGTTTGCATGGGGTCAAGAGCCATGGCGGACTGAGTTTTGGAAGGTCTGGGGTCCTGATTCATTGGGTAGACTGGAGACAGAGGAAGAAGATGAGCATGTACGCTCCTATTCAAGGTTCAAGCACTTGCTGTTATGGGGCTCTGATGGACTGTGGGAGAAGTATCTGGTTGGACTGGACCGTTTATTGATGAAGCGGGGAAAGCCGAGGACATCTAGGCATACTCCTACTGCTGGATTATAGTATCACGCGCAAGGCTACGAGAAAAATTTTCAAATCAGCAGGCAAGAGGTTGATATTGTTCGAAAATAAGATAGTTCATTCTAAACCGATGGAGCTAGGGTAAGTCAATTCAATCTCAACGTTTTTTCTGTAGATTTGCCTTAGTGACAAGATAGCCACCCAGGGCTACCAGACCAGCTGCACCTGCAAGAAGTGACGTATTGCTCAAGTAGGGCTCCTCATGAACTCGTCCAAGCTGGGTAGGCTTCTTGTTCTTGACAAGGTCACTACCAGAACCTCTAGCAATGTAATCCTCCCACTGCACCTGTGAAAGGTTCTTCTGGTAATCAACGACAGTGCCAGACCAGTTATTCGTAATGACTCCGTCATCTCTCTTGTACCAACTGTTGCACTTGGGATCTGCAAAACTACTACTCCGCAGCAGAGCTTGAATTCTGTCGTTGTACTCTTTCATCACCTCTGGTGTTGGAATTAGAGCAAGAGTTTTCCCTAGCTGTCGGGAACGGATCACCTCGCCAACCAAGGCGTTCAGGTAGCGTGACTGCGCTTCGATCATGAGGATGATGGAATTGTGTCCTATGTTGTGTTAAAATCTCCCAGCCACAATCATCTGGAAAGCACATGTACTCACCAAGGTTAGTGTTGGGACCATAGAACATTCCAAAATTAGGCAAGTCCTCAACAGTGACTCCGTAGTAAGCCTTCGCCCCATCTTTCCAAATATCCGCAACAGGGCGACCATTAGTACCATAGACTTGAATCGGGTACATAAAGTCGACAGTCTTGAAACCCGTCGCTAGCACGATAAAGTCATATTCTTGCTCGCCAGCACCTTCAATGTCAATCCCCTTGTTTGTGATGCGATTGATCCGTCGTGTCTCCAGATCTACATTGTCGCGGGCCAAGGCGGGATAGTAGTCATCGGATAGAATAACTCTCTTGCATCCAGGTGCATAGTCGGGCGTCAAGGTCTCCCAGAGCTCGGGCTTGTTGGCTAATTGAGTTTTGAGCATACCCGCGCACCAATCTCGGATCATCTGCGCATACTCGGAGTTATCATCGAAGACAGCAGCATGGAATCCTTCGCGCATTTCCATCTGCCATGCACGTTTGCGCCAGCGAATTGGTGGAATGTAGGTTAATAAGGCCTTTTGGAAAGCAGACACGGGAGCGTCAAGGCGAGGGATTAGCCAGTTTGGCGTCCGCTGGAAAACAGTGAGGTGGGAAGCAGCCGGTGCAATCTCAGGGATGATTTGAGCTGCCGTTGCTCCTATAATTATTGTTAGGATACCAATATAGCCTTTAAGAAGATTTGAGAGCATACCATTTCCAATAATCGCAATCTTCTTCCCCTTGAAATCATAGCTCCAGTCCCATCGAGCGGAATGCATCAACTTTCCTTGGAAGTCATCGAGACCCGGGATATCAGGATATCGTGGCAAGTTGAGCTGGCCGACGGCAGAGATAAGGAAATCGGAGGCAATGACATAGGAGGACCCAAACTCGCTGTCCTTCTGTCCCGATAGATTGACAGTGACTTTCCATTTTGATTCATTGTCGTCCCAACGGGCTTCGTCCACTGCTGAATTGAACCGTATATGTTTATAAAGACCCCATTTTTCTGCGACACGAACAAGGTATGCCTAAGATAATTGAGAAGACTCTCCGTTAGCTTCAGTCTTGGCCACAAAAGTGAAAGAGTGTAGATGCTGACTTACATAGATCTCCTCCTGACCAGGGTACTCGCGAGACCAACTGGGGTTTTGCTCGAAGGAATAGCTGTATAAGATGCTCCAGACTGTAACTCATCAGCCGCATGCTTAGTGCGTGTTCAGGAAATAGCGAACATACCGTCACAGCAACATCCAGGATACTTTTGGTCATTCCACGTCCCGCCTACATTACTACTTTTCTCCAAAATGACAAAGTTGCGACAATTATTCCGCTTGATGAGGTCTATTGCCATGTTCATGCCTTCGCGCGAGGTCGGTCAGCCTCGTATCCTCTGTAGCCACGAACAATCAACATACCGGATATTCCGGCTCCAATAATGACGACTGTTGCATTTGTGAAGTCTTTGTTTCCAACTGGAAGACGAGTACTGGAGGGGGGGGGCATCTTGACTTCGTGTTGGGAAGCCCCTCGAGCAGGACTGGAAGAAAATAGCTTGCTGCATCATTACGAGGGTAGCGATCATGGATATATAGCATAAAGGGCTGATAGCTCAGTTCTAGCCAGTCACGAGTACGTAGATGCATCATAAGTTTTCCCCCTGTAACCGAAACCCCTCATCTGCGCCTGTGAGTAGGTTTGGGCATACGCGCAAAGTCTCGGCAGTAGCACAACCCAAACATATCCGTGACGACGTAGCTCGCTGGAAGGTTTGCCCACTTAATTCAATTCACAAGACATGATTTTATTCTACCCAATTTTTAAACATTCATAATGATAAGGATACCAACGTAGCTAATCATCCACGATGCCACAAATTCGGCAATGCGGACGGAGATGTGCGGGGAACCTGGCTACACGCCGAGGTAGCTCGGGTTGCATAAAAGTAAAGGCTGGTTTCTGCAGAACCTTGGCTCTGCGGGGGTATTGATGTCAACCTAGATTCATGGCAGCTCAATTCCCTCTCTCTCGGCCGCCTGCAAAATGTACTGCTTGACCTGGTGATTGTGAAGATAAAGTATCAGAAACACTGACCAGAAATCCAACGCGAAAACAAAAAAAAAAACAGTCAAATCACAGATAAACATCGAGAATAAACTTACCTTGTCATCAGGGACCAGCTCGATTGCCAGCCGTCCGTCACCATCACGTTTTTCTGCCTCTGCCCCCGATTTTAAGAGTAGAATAGCAGCATCACCATGACCCTCCGAGATAGCATGATGCAGTGCCGTCAGTCCGTCATTATCAGTCGCGTTAACTGGGCTTTTGCCTTCCTCCAAGAGCATCTTGATAATAGGGACAGAACCAACCGCCGCTGCTCGGTGCAGAGGGAGTTGGCCACGAATGTCTTTTACCCGAGCGCTACATTTATGCGCTAGCAAACTTCGGACTGTAGAAATGTTGGATTTGGAGCTTGCGAAATGCAGAGCATTCTGTAAATCGTTATTGAAAGATCATGACATACTCTGAGAATCACTGACCTGGCCAGAATTGCTTTTTATGCTGACATCGGCGCCTTTGCGCAGAAGCAAGTCGATGATATGATCACCTTCGGCATCCTTGAGGCTGGCAGCAATCATGAGTGGCGTCCATCCGGACCCGTCCTATCGTACATTATTCCGATTCAGCTTTCAAGTCGAGATAGATCGGATCAAATATTTGTTCATGTTAGAAACACTCACCTCAACATCGGGATCGAAGTTCTTGCTGGCAACCAGCAGTTCCACAATAGGAAACCGGTTGTACGCTGTTGCCCAATGGATGGGAAGGCGATCATCATCATCTTTGACAAGCGCAGCCTTCGGATTTGCCTGAGAAAAAAAGGTCAATTCAATCTTCATACGGTGATTTTAAAGCCATATCGTAGACTCGGCATTCCCCCGCTGCAGAGTGTGGGTTTCTGCGGGGCAGCTCAAAGCTCTACAGAAGGCGATCACGCACGTTCAGCAGCGATTCAGCAATTTCAGCTGTCTCAGATGGTCAGAATGTTTTCAAATCCCAGTAACTAGCAATACATACTCTTGCCCTCACGGGCAGCCTCATGCAGAGGAAACTTGGGGCTCTGGTCAGGATCCATGACGATGATAAAGTGGAGGATTAGAGATAAGAGCTGCGATAAGTGAGAAGGTCGACACCTGACGATGGACACCTTAGGCAGTAAGGCTGGAGGACTTCCCATCAGAAGATTCACATCCGCATCCACCACACCTCCAACTCCAATCGCCCACCTCATCATTGCAGTATTGGAGCCGATCGACAGTGTTATTCAGGATTACTGAATTTTCATTGCAATACACGACTTGAGTAACGACTGGACAAAACGCTGTCCGCCGCGCACACGATCTTTCGAGGCTCAAAGCCTCTGCGCGTGCACTTCTTTCGCGACTCTCCAACTTCTCCCAACCGCGATCATACCTCTTTCAAACCATTACCCCATCACAACAATGGTTTCTTTACCCTCTCAATCAGCCGATGAGGCTGTCCGCGCCTCCGCGAAACGCACCGCCGACCTATTCGGTACAGAATACCTAATGGTCACACCCTCGACTCTGGCAGACGGCTCAATCGGCGTGTCCTACCGGCGAAAAGCAGAATACCAAGATGTGATGGAATTGCCCTCAGCGCTGGCTGAGAAACAGGCAAAGGCTGCTGCGGGGCGCACAAAACGACCCAAGATCCAGCCAGCCCAGTCTCAGGCTGTAGGCGATGGCAGCGGTGCTTCGATGGCGCTTGTCAGGAGGCCGGCGGGCGTGAGTGCAGGCGCTGCTGGCGGCGAAGATCAGCCTAAGAGTTTGATCCAAAGACCATCGGCAACGAAGCAGCAACGGCCGGATTGGCATGCGCCATGGAAGTTGATGCGTGTGATCTCGGGACATCTGGGTTGGGTACGAGCCTTGGCGGTTGAGCCAAATAACCAGTGGTTTGCCAGTGGTGCCGGCGATCGGACAATTAAGATTTGGAATATGGCGACGGGTGCGCTGCGACTTACCTTGACGGGTCACATTTCGACTGTACGTGGTTTGGCAGTGTCGCCCCGGCATCCGTACCTTTTCTCGTGCGGTGAGGATAAGATGGTCAAGTGCTGGGATTTGGAGACGAATAAGGTCATTCGCCACTACCACGGCCATCTCAGTGGTGTCTATACATTGGCGCTGCACCCTCGCCTCGACCTGCTGGTTACCGGTGGTCGCGATGGTGTATGCCGAGTGTGGGACATGCGCACGCGAAGCAACGTTCACGTTCTTTCTGGACACAAAGGCACTGTCGCCGACATCAAGTGCCAAGAAGCTGACCCTCAGGTCATCTCAGGCTCACTGGACGCTACAGTTCGACTATGGGATCTGGCGGCTGGCAAGTCTATGGGCGTTCTGACGCACCACAAGAAGGGTGTTCGTGCGCTTGCTACTCACCCGACCGAGTTCACTTTTGCTAGTGCCAGCACCGGCAGCATCAAGCAGTGGAAGTGCCCAGAGGGCGACTTCATGCAGAACTTCGACGGTCAAAATGCCATCATCAACACTCTTTCCGTCAACGACGAGAACGTACTGTTCTCTGGCGGTGACAACGGCTCCATGTCATTCTGGGACTGGAAGACTGGATACCAATTCCAATCTATCGACACTATGGCGCAACCCGGTTCCCTCGACGCTGAAACCGGTATCATGGCCTCGACCTTTGATCGGACTGGTCTGCGTCTTATTACCGGCGAGGCGGACAAGACCATCAAGATCTGGAAGGAGGATGAGAATGCCACTCCCGAGACGCACCCTGTTACGTGGGCTCCTACTCTTGGCAGACAGCGGTATTAGAGATTTTTTGGGCTGCCTGTTCTCAGTTGTTAATACCCTTCTTGTCTCCTTGGTCAATTTTGTTACGGCACTGGGTGGCGTTCAAGGTGGTTCATGTGCTTGCCCTGCAATTTTGAAGTCAAGGGATTGGGAGAAAATCATTTCTTGAATAAAAGTTCCATACTTCAGGAGGGAATCAAGCTCTGTACAACTACAATATAAAGAGCTCTTGTCGAGTACTTTTCCAATACTTCTTTTCATTTCACATTAGCTACAAGAGTATGGTTTGAGGAAATATATGACCAAAAGGGTATCGTATGTCATGCTAACTGCCTACTGCGTAGTATGATCAAATGTTGTTACAAAATGCGGAACTGAAACTCCAGGAATGCATAGAAAGACGCAATGCACCTGAAAAAGCTACTGCTCGATGCCCATGCCAAAGCCTTTAGCTTCCGCATCCTCGCGGAATGCAAGCTTCACATCCTCCGGTGCGACACGAAGTCGAATCTTGCTAGTCCGGTCACCACGAGTAGGAATCGTAGAGCCTCCAAGCAAGTTCTTCGTGCCGGAGCCTTGCTCCAAAGCCAGAACGCCAGAATTCATGAGTTCCATGGCAGCGAATCCTAGAGCCCGCACCCGGGATGCAGCACCCCCGCCAAGGAGGAAGTCTTTAACGCCTGCTCCCGCGGCACCGGCGACAGCTACGGCCGCATCCGCGATACGACGTGCCTCGTCAAGGACGTCACCGAAGGTGGACTCGGTAATTCCAGTACGTTGCACGCGTGCTAGTAGAGCGGCCAGGAAGAGCTTGCCAGAAAGAGGTAGGCACCGCAGTGATTGCTGGAGTGGTGTAGAGGTTGCCTCCTGGATCGCCTGCTTGATAGTGGCGATGGTCACACGGCCAGGTTGGCCCTTACCGAGTGCAGGTTTTGAGGCTGGTGAATCGCCGGCTCCCTTTTCTGTGAGCGCTTTGTTACGTCGAGCAGGAGTCTTGCTCGGAGTTGGAGGAATATCATCTGCAGCATCATCGTCCACTGGGGCGGCGTTGGCGGCTTCATCGGCCTCTTGCTCCGCAATTTCGACCGCACGTCGGCAGATATCCAAAGCACGACGTGCATCACCGCTGACAGCAGCAACTTTGCGACTAGCAAACTGAATGGCGTCAGGATCGACGATGTTGCCTGGAACACTAGCCAGGCGAGTGCTGATAATCTCCATCAGATCAGTGTGTCGGTATCCGGGAAATGTGATACGGGTGAGGCCGAGACGGCTGGAAATTTTGTTGCTCAGGGTACGTTCAGGCAGGTCCATGGTATTGGCCACGGCCAAGACGATAAGACGAGAGTGACGAAGCGCAGGCCAGTTGAAGAAGTTGTACATCACTGACTGATTCTTGGTGACCAGCTGATCCAATTCGTCCATAAGGACGACGCAAGAGACTCTGCGAGGCGAAGGATTGGAGAATTCTTGCTCTAGAAGGTCAAGCGCATGGGAGGGAGAGACTCTGTCTCCTTTCAAGGCCTCCCAAAGAAGAGAGTATGATTGGTGTGGGTCGGTGACTTTCATGCCGTTAATCTCCACGAAAATGAAATCGTCCATCTCCTCCTCAAGCACGGCAGCATTGAGCTGGGCCACAACTTCTCGCACGGTTGCGGTTTTACCTGTACCCGGGGTACCTGAGATGTAGATACACGCTCCGGTGCCTTCCATGATAGCGGCACTGAGATGGTTGTAGACGGTATTGAACTCAGTTTTTCGACAGGGGAGGGATTCGGGGACAGTCGAAACGTGCAGTAGGGTGCGCGCTTGCTGGTAGGGCGAGGCAAAATGAGATGGCTCAAGGACGCGAGTGCCCAGCGGGGTGAATTCAAGAGGCTTCTTTACGACAATTCTGGACACTCTATTAGTTCACTGATATACCGGTGTAGGTATAATATGCTTGCATACCGCTTGTTTGAAGGTGTCGTCAAAGCCTTCTTGCGCTGTGATTTCGGGGTCGCATTGGTCGCAGCCATTCTTTGCCGTTTCCTCGGAGTGGATGGAGCGGCAGTCTCGTCCTTGGTATCGACATGCTGCGGACGTGGTTAATTCATGTTGATGTGGATGATCCTGCTGTCTGGACCAGCAGTGGGAGGCTTACGTCGTCATCAGCCGCCTTCCTCTTCCGCGCCGCTTTTAGGCCCTCCTTCACCATGCTGATGAGTTGATGGATGTTGCGCTCTCCGTAGACTTCCTCCCAGTTGAACTCGTCAGTGTATCGGCCCTGCACTTGGTTGACACCTCGACGGCACACGATGCACTTGTTGAACTCGACACGTTCTGCTTTGTCCTTGGGTGGTACTCCGTTCGGGTATTTGGCGTAGAAGGCGTCCTTCGACATTACCGTTGCCTTGCCATTGATGGAAGTGACAGGGTTGACGTTGAAATCAGCTGTGAGGTACTGCTCATTGGGCAGAGCGTCGGTTCTCCGCTTGTTCCTTGTTGACATGAACTCGTCAGGCGAGGCAAACCACATGACGTTGACCGACTTGATAACTTCCCCTTCCTCATCCTCATCTTCCTCCTCAAGGAATTCGGTAATAATTCCGACCCAGTCCTTGCCATTCTCGGGGGATTTAAGGAGCACGACCTCGCCCAATGTGCACTCGAATGAACCCATTCTTGCGCCCACGATTGCTGGGCCTTTCTTCGCAGGACGTGATGACCGCCGTCGGCGAGACTTTGCGGGGCTCGCATTGTTTGTCTCGGGATCCTCCTTGACCTCAGTCTCTTCTGTAGCATAAATCCAGTCCCAAGGGTGGTCCTCGTCGCCCAGTTCATCGTCAGAGTCCTCGTGCACCAAGGCCCCCTTGGTCATCCATTGCTGGGCGCGCTTTCGTACATTGCGGCGTTTCTGGGAGCCCTCGTCACTCGAATGATCCGTGTCAACCGTCATTGTACCCGACCGGCCAATCGCTTCAATTGAGTGGACTGTGGGCGCGACGATGACGGAAGCTCAAGAGAGGAATAATGGAAATCGCGTTGCAAACACGCGTTGTCCACTTTACTCCCCTTTTGGCTTAGCGTTTGCAGCAATCCCGCCAATAAAGAAGTAGTGAGTGGATCCCAGTAGCGTTTGCAGCAATCCCGCCAATAAAGAAGTAGTGAGTGGATCCCAGTCATCTACCGTCTCACGAGGCCTACCTCTGGCTGGTTGATTCAGTCGTTTAGTTATACAGTAACAAGATTTTGAGCAAATTTATGGTTAGAATAACGGCTAAATTAACAGATTACGTCAGGGCCTGATATACTATGTATTGTTATTGCTTTCTTTGACAATTGGCTATCATTCTCAGGTCTAGAAAATCTACACAAAAACCTGTAGTCATTTATTGATAATTACGATATAAGAGACATCTAAGCAGTTATCCAAGAATTGCAGCAAGTTTCTGATCCTCCATATACTACCAGTGATATTGTCCACAAGACTCACCATAAGCAACCGGAACTATTGCAAGTCTATGCTACTGTATCTATGAAGCTCATGTACCTTACGGTATATAGGCCATCTGGAAATTTCCAGCATCATAGGCATTTTCCAGAAGCAGCTTTGCTTTATTAAAGGTCCTCTTATGTCCACTTTGTATGCTTTCTTAGTCTTTGCGCTCTGTCCCCTACACCCCTTCTCCGCGTCTTCATTCTGTTTCTTTCCCTTTTCCAAATATTCAAATACTCCTTCCTAGCATCTTGATCAATTTTCCTTTTCATAATTTTATCTTGGCGGACGCTTCTCGATTCCACGTCTACCCCTATGTTACCAGTATCGATGTCTAACCGAGTCGCCCACTCCAACCCCACATTCCGGAAACTGCCCAGACTGAATCAATCCTATCCAGATATGGATCAGTGAGCTTCTAAATGATCTACTCTAGATGCTGAATGTGTTTTAACTTACTGGTATGCTTACAGAGATCGCCTAGCGCGTGATGCCAACCGGAGTACGCCACCCTTATATCAAATTTGCTCATTAACTGGGTCCCATTGCCATTATCATAATTAACTCAAGAGACAGGTAGTTATACTTCAAGATACGGCTCCGAGCCTGATGACAATATTGAGAGAGGGGCAACTCGTCAAGCGCAGAATGACAAATCCGCTTCTACAGTCCCTTCACAGCCTAGACACAAATTCCCAGAGGGAAACCTCATTGACCTCGACAGTCCTCCTTCGTCGCCCCGATCGATTCCACCAGAACCCCAAGTACCCCAGCTCGAGCTATCTGCCGATGTACCTACAGCCCAGCCAACAACCCCACAGAGTCCTGAGACCCAGCGGGCAGGCTATTCTACGTCGTTCCAAAGCCAGAGGGGCCGTGGCTACTCACCATCTGGCCGCGTTCTCTCACATAATACTAAGACCAGAAGCACTCCCCCACCAATTCGTCCCCCTTCAGCAAAATCAAAATGGCTCGCTGGTATGGAGCCTGACTGTAAGAAGCCTCTGCGTTCCGTTGAAAGCTCGGCACTAAACTTATTCGTTAGCTATTGTGGTGTTAGGGGATTACATCGCGTAAGCTCTTTCCGGTTCCTCGAACCAGTTTGTGGTAGCTAATCTACCTGATAAGAACCGAAGATGTCTCCGTAGCCAGGCTATTTGGGAAGGCTGCGGCATTTCCTGGACGGGAGGAGTTATTTGAGCATGTTGGCCGGGATACTGGCGCTTTTATCCAGCCTCCAGTGGAGAGTGACACAGTATGCTATCGTACCATATCCAATAATAAGTGTTCATCGCTGACCGTTCGAAGGAACTTCTCATATGGGGAAACGACAGCCAGGTAGGAGCCGCGAAGAGGATGCTCCAAGATAGAGTGATCAGGTACCGCGACGAGCAATTGGCGGAAAGCGATAGATTACTCTCTCAAACTCGCCAAACAACAGCCCAGCGACCTTCAAGATATTCGCGCCACTCTCTCGGCACTGGACGCAAACCTGTGGAGTGGGACAAGATCTCACCTTATGACAGCGTTGAGAAGATGAAACGCAAGCAAGAGAAAATGGCATTGGAGATGCTTCGAAAAGAGCCCGAAGGAGCGGAGTGTAATGTATGAAAATCCTATAATCACAACGTCCGGTGAAATTTCGGGATCCTAATTCTTTCCCACAGCACAAATTAGTCTTTGTGTGGCCTACAGATGGCCCTTCGCCCCAAGAGTGCTTGGGGAGGGATCTTGAGACACTTGACAATATTCGTTCAGACCTGCAGGTTCACGCTTACTTGGACCCCGAGTACCCGACACACATCGTTGTCACTAACAACGAAGGCTTCGATACTGGATCCGTTGTCCAGTTCCTTCGGGCAGCATGGAAGGAGGGGATGGGACAAACGGACCTGCACATCAAGAAGCTCATGCTTGCAGCAGTCGGCCACGAATTTCTCGAGAAAGGTGTAATCCTTGAAAAGCATGGTCCTGTCGCAAAACCATTCGTTTGGGAATATCCACTGCAAGGTGCAAATGCTAGCGTTGAGGTGTTTGACAATAATATGGATGCTATCCGTATCTCGAATTCCAACGAGATTCTGCAGAATATGCGAATCTCTCTTTCCATGATCAACTACTTCAATGGCAATCTGCGGATGCGATTTCATTTCGGTACTTTTGTTCTGGACAGATGCAGACTCCCGAAGAGAGATGTGAGGTCCTTCAGCCTTGCTGAATTCAGGGCCATGATCGAACATGATCACTGTCGAGGGCGAGTCGTGCCCGGGTATGTACCCTGAAGCCCTACAGAAAGCTGGATTCAACTTACAAGCTTGATAGATTGAAGATCGGGACGGATGAAATGTTGAATCGACTTCGTCGTGCGGATGAGCTCCTTGAGCCCATTGGTCAGGTCCAGCCTCTTCATAAGTTGGAGTTCATGGAGCCTAACCACTCGGCCACTATCGAGTTCGATAAACGCCTCGGTTATGAATTCCGACTTGAGCTTTACCTCAAGAGGATTAAGCGTGCCGGCGAAGTCGAAATCAAAGGTCACCGTTGGTTCAAGGCATACCCTGACGAAGACAAGACCCTGAGAATGCCGTTACAGCTAGCCATGGTGGACTTTGCTAAGTAAAAGACTTTCTTCCTCTGTATATGATGAGGATATACTGATACTTCGTCACAGGGCTGACTGGCAGTGCAACATCGAGTTCTTCGAGTTGGCTAACGAGAGAGACCTCCCCAAGACTCTGCGCGAGCTTGCATCCAGTATCAGATTCACCAGTAGTGGCGACAGCCACCACTTCATCTCCAAGGCTGCAATGAAGATCATGATTCCAAAAGAAACACCTGACGCCCGCATTGTCAAAAAGTCCGCAATTCGGTTCAAGGTCAAGGGAACTAACTTGATCCTTGAGCTCGCTCGATTCGACGTGTATAGAAGGACCACCTTCTATAAGTCACACTGGAGTGCCACTCTTTACAACCCTGCTTGGGATTCACTCATGGGAGGAGAGATCGGCCCAGGCGGGATTCAACCATGCGGAGCAGGCCTAGAGACTTTCTTCCCGTCAACCGAAAGCGGCAATGCACAGGAAGGGGACGGTCTGATAGATGTCTTGCGGGTTGTCCATAGGATTGCGGGGCTGATGGGTGGCCCTGAGATTGGCTTCAGTTCGACGGCCAGGGACGAGAGTATGGCTGGATTGATTAACGTGGACCTAGGGACTCTGTTCTAAGGGTTGAATGACTCGCATGGCCATCGTGGTCTTTCACATATTCCACAGCTTTGGTTGAATGTAAGTTGCGATATGTGGAATTTGCTGTTTCCAGGATATGACCTTTCTTGAATTGAGCCCCCAGCCTGTTCGTCCATCTATTGGGAGAGAAATGTAACCTCCAAACTCGATTAATGTTTGGCTCGACCAAGAGATCTCTCAGCGGCAGGACCAATTGTGCATTAAGAAAATACATGCGATATTACGTAGACGGATGGATACTCGTAGACCTTCGATAGGAGAGGTTAAGGAGAACTTTGGTATGTATACTCGCTGACCTTCTAGACTGTATGTGGGGAATTTCGCCGATTGCAGAATTGAAGTGATATATAAGTTTTTGATATTTTGGCATTTCTAGATTGTCTCCGCACTCATGAACTGTATGTGGATGTTTATCCAGCAGCTGCACCAGCAGTCTGCGCGGGCACAGCCTCGCCACTGAGCATCTTCTGGCGGAGGACTATAAACAGTCAGTAAACAACCCATCAATCCGGATACGCAACCTCGAAAAGAAGCATCCGTAGCCATGGAAATACTCACCTTCCTCAACAACCCGCAATTGCTGGTTCTTGCCCTGTACAATCTTCTCCAGCTCCTGTAGATTCGCATCCAAGCCCTTGACCTTGTCATTATAGAAAGCAATTGCCTTCTCAGCAGTCTAACCCAACCCAAAACGCAATTAGTAATTGTCCAAATCTCCCCAATGCGCGCCCAATCATTCTCCAACCATACCTTCTCAACATAGAAACCAGTCCCAACGTCAACAAGTACCTTCTCCCGATCCGTCAACCGACCCTTGACATACAACGAGCTGGTCAGAGGCACAAGGATCTCATCCCGGCCATCGGTGCCCTTCTTCGCGGAGCCAGTCACGCCGTCGTTGATCGAGTTCACGCAGTCCCGGAATTTGGCCTGCGCCGCGCGCAGCTTCGTGTGTGAGGAGGTCAGGTGCTCCAACTCGGAGGTGAGACGGGTCTGGAGGGAGCGGAGTTGGGGTACGGAGAGGGAGGCGAGATTGACTGGTAAACCCGCGTAGGGATATTGTTAGCTAGCTGGATATTGCAGTTGTGGTGGTGATGGTTTTGCGGGTTGCGGGCGTACCTGAGCCCGGGGGAGCTCCGCCGGAGGAGCTATCTGAGGATGCCATAGTGGATTATGTGGTGTGCAGAGATCCGGTATAATCGAATTGCAGAAATTCGACGTCAGAAACTTATGCGCTCGGTGGTGGACTCTGCGTGCATACGATTTGCGGGCGGAGGTGGGGGGTTTGGGAGCTTGAGGAAAATGAAGGGAGTAGAGCTGTGGAAATAGTGCGGGTAGAGATTCACAGCCAGAGCGCAGAGTGGGATGGACGACTATACACACGCACCTCAGTCCCACGTCAGAGCTCTGATCGTGGTGGTCTCCTCGTTTTTCAACCGTAGTCTGCGCGAGTAAAGTTATCGAGGTATAGTAGTAATGTTTGTAATGCCTGGTTGTAGACGTATTTTTAAAAGGAGTGGGTGATAAATTCGCTATATTACAGTCGCAACGCCCATTCGGCGTCTTGGTCAATAAAATACAATATGCTACAGATTCATGCCTGGTGTCCCCTCACAGCTGAGAGAGCAGGCCTTGAACAAACGAGGGAAGATCCTCGAGGGAAACATCCTCTTTGACACTCAGACGGCGGCACTGTACTTCCAGGGCCTGGTTCTTCTTCCAGCCGTTGCCAACTACCACGATGACTGGGTAGCCGATCAGGTCAGCGTCGCCCAGTTTCCAGCCCATGCCCTTGTCACGGTCATCGAGAAGAGTGTCCACAGGTTTCAGACTCCCTGAGGTGAGACTGTCATAGACTTCTTCAGCTACCGAGTCCAATCCCTTGCCAGGAACCACAACAGCCTCAAAAGGAGCGATGGCCCGAGGCCAGTTCAATCCCTTGTCATCTGCCAGCCGGTTCACAACGGCTGAGATCATGCGCGAAACTCCGATTCCGTGACAGCCCATCTGCATAGGGACGATTAGCTCTTTACTAGACTTGCCTCCCGATTCAGCGGATCCATCAAGCACGGCCGAGTTGACGGACACTGAGGCATTGAGGACTTCGCTGTACCGCGTGCCGAGATGGAAAGTATGGCCGAGTTCGACAGCAGGGTTGCTGGTCAAAATGCCCTCCCCACACTGCGAGCATCGGTCTCCGTCGTGGACTCGGACAAGGCTGAGCTTGTTTGAGGTCCCAGGGAAACGGTCCATCATGGTGTACTCAATATCTGCAGCAGTGCAGCCGGACTGTTGGAGAAGATCACTGAGCGGCGGGCGTTGGTATACCCGCACTTGCGAGTCGTACAAGTCAAGCACACGAGGCTTCTCGGACGATTTGCGAGACTTGACATGGGCAACCCACTTCTCCAACGGGTTCTCCACACTGAGGTCCAGGTCGATGCCTGCGGCTGTTGCAATTGCCTTGGCGGCATGGGAGTTGACGTGACGCTCCTCCGGCTCGGTGAACCCATTCTTCAACGAGAATTTGGGGAACCAGCCCCGAAGAAGAGTATTCCCATCGTGCGAAATGGCCATCCACATACCGGTTGAGACTGTTGAGCCAACTTCAACGGGGACATCCTCCTCTGTCTGGAAGCCAGGTACAGAGCCCTTCCCGACTGCTTCGGGGAAACTATGACTCTTGCCGTCTGCAAGCTCTTCATTGTATACATGGTCACAGTTTGAGCAGCTCACGACCCGGTCTTCGCCCTTGGCACTGATGAAGTGATACTCGTGACTGAGATTGCCTCCCATGTTTCCTGAGTCTGCTGCTGCGACAAGGTATGGAATCTTCAGTTCATCAAATAATTGGGTATAGGCATGTTTCACAGCGCGATATGTCTCAAGGGCCTTCTCCGCACTGTAATCGAAAGTGTACAGGTCCTTCATGACGAATTCTCGCCCCCGGAGAAGACCCTGCCTCGGACGAGCTTCATCGCGGTATTTCCTAGCTTTTGGGGAGTCAGCCTGGGATAATCCGTAACGGGCTGGATATTTCTGACTTATTTGGTACACTCGTAAAGGGAGATTCTTGTAGGATGTCGTCAAGTTCCCAACAAGAGTAGTGATTTCTTCCTCGTGGGTCGGAGCAAGAATGAAACGAGCGCCTTTTCGATCTTCGAATCGAAATATCTGAGGTGATGTTAACACCCAGTCCTCTAAAAGCTAATGAGATAAGGTCTACCTCGGAGCCTTCGGTCAATCGACCAGATTGTTCCCAGAGTTCCTGAGAAGATATTGACGAAAGGGAAACTTTTGATGCCCCTGATAAGATGTTAGCACATGTAACAGAGACATTCCTAAATATGGTATTCACCCAAGGAGCGCATATGCTTGTCGATGAGACGTTCTAGTTTATCCTGGACTCGCAAGCCAAGGGGTAGGAGGTGGAACACTCCAGAATATGCCTGTCAAAATAGTGAGAAATGTGACAGACTTGAAGAAAGATTCCACTCCCTCACCTGACGTAGGAATCCTCCCCAAACCAAGAGGTCATTCGCATCCTCTAGTCGTTCCTGTTAGCATTTGTCGACTGAGAAGTTTCTTGTCGCAACCAGCCTACCTTGTTCTCCGCTGACGGGCTTCTTGGAAATACCGCCCGTGGGAATCCAAAAATTGGAAAGTCGAGTCCGCCCATCAATCTATAGCCTGTTAGTTGTTGCAATTGCATGATTCGGGGAATCAGTTAGTTATCTTCCGGCGCATACATGAAGCTCGCGGCGCTGGACGCGGAGGCCCAGCACCAAGTGCCTCCCAGAGGAGCGACTGGGTATGCGAAATACTCCACAGATCATCGAGGAGATAAATCCCAAACGATCAGCCTTCAATTCACAAACTCTCGACGGGCGTCCAACAACGAAACTCAAGAAAAGCGTCGCGCGGGTGGCCCTCGGGTAGGGAGTGTGTTTCTTATCGGGTGGTCCGAGCGTCCTGATAATCGGTCCGCCGCAAAAGATTTCTCCGTCCAATTTTCTCTCCGTCAAAAAGTCCCTCCAAGCCTTGAATTCACCACCATGGCGAAAGGGAAAGGCAAGCGCTCGTCGGGCGCAAATGAGACCCTCCCCGATGCAGGTGTATCCGTTTCCCAATCCGAATCCGCTCCCGAGATGCAGATGCCCCAGATAGACGAGGGCGCCTTCGCTGGCCTCCGACAGAAGATCGAGCAACGATTGAAGGACCAGAGCTCTGGCAAGGGAAATTCGAAGAAAAATGACAAGCTGAATGCTTCTGCTCAGCAGTCTCCCGCGACGAAGGAAAAGCAGGGTACTCCCAAGACCGGCAAGAGGCAAGAAGCCTCCGCTCAAGGCAAGAAGCGTGATCGCAACGGGGAAGTGATTGCGAGAGATGAGAAGAAGGGTGGAAAGGACAAGCAGTACAAGCCCACAGCTGGTGCGAAGAAGGCCAACAATGCCGATACTTTGCGCCAGGAGATTTTGGCACTGGGCGGTACTGAGGAGGACCTTGAGCTACTTGCCGATGTCGACTCAGAGTCCGAAGTTGAAGGCACGTATTCTAAGTCTAAGTCTAAGGGTGGTGACGATGACCTCCGCAAGGAATTGTCCAAGATGCTCGAAGCGGCGGGTCATGTTGTCCCAGACGACTTAGCAGAAGACGAAGCCGAGGAAGAGGACTTGGAGGATGAAGATGCACAAGACGAAGGCTCTGAGGGCGATAGTGAAGAGACCAGCGAACCCGAGGACGATGTTTCTGAGGTCTCCGATATCGAGGAAGCACCTCCAGCACCCAGAGAGTCCAAGGCGAAGAAGGAGCCCGAAATTGTCGTTCCCAAGGAATTTGCGAAGCTCGTATGTTACGCCCTGCCATTGCTTATTTTGTCCCTCATACTAACTCGGCATTCTTTAGGCCGTTTTACCTCGTTCGGATTGGTATGCCATTCCCTTGCCTCCAGTCGGCAGTGCAAAGCAAATGAACGCCCTTCCCCGGCATCTAATCGATCGGATCCACGAGCTCGCCAATTCCCTCCTCCAGGCGGAAAATGATGAATATGCCAAAGCCCAGCAGGCCTCGGCCTCTTCGTCGCACAAGTTCTACACTACCATCATGTCTTCCGGTACCCTGAGCGATAAGATTTCAGCTCTAACTCTTGCCGCTCAAGAGTCGCCTCTACACAACACCAAGTCTCTGGAGACTCTCATCGGACTTGGAGGCAAGCGTAGCCGTGCTCAAGCGGTTGAGGTTCTTCGGTCTCTGAAGGATATGTTTGCCCAAGGTACTCTCTTACCCGCAGATCGTCGCCTGAAGTCATTTGCCAACCAGCCTGGCCTTGTGGCTGCATTCCAGGGTGCTGGTGGCCGATGGACCGAGCGCGATCCGCTCCCTGGGGGTCTGCAGAAGAGCCACCTGATCGTCTGGGCGTTTGAGGATTTCCTGAAGGAGCAGTATTTTGCGATCCTCAAGATCTTGGAGGTGTGGTGCAATGACGAGATTGAATTCTCGCGATCTCGCGCTGTCAGCTACGTATACGAGTTGCTCAAGGAGAAGCCCGAGCAAGAGGCAAACTTGCTGCGCCTTCTTGTGAATAAGCTTGGTGACCCCGGAAAGAAGATCGCTTCACGTGCATCTTATCTTCTCTTGCAGCTTGAGCAGACGCATCCTATGATGAAGCCTCTTATCATCAAGGGTGTTGAGGAGTTGCTATTCCGACCTGGTCAGAGCCAGCATGCCAAGTACTACGCTATCATCACTCTGAACCAGACGGTCCTCAGCTTGAAGGAGGCGGAGGTTGCTATGCAGCTCCTGGACATCTACTTCGGCATGTTCGTCACTCTTCTGAAGCCTGCCCCTTCCGGTAAGCCTGGTCCTCAAGGCAAGCCGCAGGGTAAGCCCGGCAAGAAGGGACCCAGGAGCAAGGGCCGCAACCAGCCCGCCAAGGGAGAAGCCCAGGATGATGAGATGCGCGAGAAGTTGACCTCGGGTGTTTTGACCGGCGTCAACCGCGCCTATCCCTTCACCGATGCCGACTCTGACCGGTATGTCTACTTTAATCCAATAAAGCGTGATATTAAATATACTAACATGTTATCTAGACTCTCAAAACATATTGATACCCTATTCCGCATCACCCACTCGTCAAACTTCAACACCAGTATTCAGGCTCTCATGCTGATCCAGCAACTCACTGGGTCTACGCAAGTTGCTAGCGATCGCTTCTACCGGACGTTGTACGAATCTCTTCTGGATCCTCGTGTTGCCACCTCATCAAAGCAGTCGCTTTACCTGAACCTTTTGTTCAAGGCACTCAAAAATGATCTGAACGTCCGTCGAGTCAAGGCCTTTGTCAAGCGTATTGTTCAGGTCCTTGGAATGCACCAGCCTGCGTTCATCTGTGGTGTCTTCTACCTGATTCGCGAGTTGGAGAAGACTTTTACTGGCCTCCAGTCTTTGTTGGACCAGCCCGAGGACAACGAGAGCGATGGCGAAGAGGTCTTCCGCGACGTACCCGATGAGGATGATGAAGAGCCACTACCCGCCCCTGTTGAGACCAAACTGAAGCAAAACAACGGGTATGACCCTCGCAAGCGTGATCCGGAGCACAGCAATGCCGACAAGACCTGTCTCTGGGAATTGGTATGTAGATTTTGCCCTCTACTTTGATGATTTTTCGCGCGCGCTAACACATTCCAGCTTCCCTACGTATCCCACTTCCATCCCTCTGTTTCCGTCAATGCTTCCCGCCTTTTGGAGCACGAGACTATGAGCGGCAAGCCCGATATGACCATTCACACTCTCACCCACTTCCTTGATCGCTTCGTCTACCGTACTCCCAAGGCCAACGCCACCTCCCGTGGTGCCTCGATCATGCAGCCTCTCGCCGGTGGCGAGGCTCAAGATCGCCTGGTGGAAGCCGGCAAGTCCGCGCCTCAGGGCCAGCCTCTCAACTCGGAGAACTTCTGGAAGAAGAAGGCCGACGAGGTCGCAGCGGAGGATGTCTTCTTCCACGAGTACTTCAACCGTGTTAACAAGGACAAGACCAAGGCCAAGAAGGGCAAGGGTGCAGATGACGGCGCCGAGCGCGATGAGGATGCCGCGGATGTCAGCGACAACGAGTCTGAGATTTGGAAGGCCCTTGTGGACTCTCGGCCCGAACTGGAGGCTGACGATGATGACGATGATGATCTGGATATGGACGACCTGGACTCTGAGTTCGACGAGGACGAGGACGAGGATGAGGATGAAGAGGGCGAGGGAGCTGCCGGTAGCGACGACGAGGTTATCTTCAACGACGAGTCGGACGTCCCATCTGACGAGGATATGGATGAGGCTGACGACTTCGATATGGACGAGGAAATCGCTCCTCTGCCGTCGAAGAAGGCTGCCAAGAAGACTGCCAAGGTGGAGAAGGAAGACGACGAGGACGACTTCGACATGGACGTTTCGGACGACGAAGCCTTCTTCAACAGCGACGACGACCTGCCTTCCGACATGGAACTTGGTGGTGTGGATTTGGAGCCCCAGGCCGAGGCCTCGGACAACAAGAAGAAGCGCCGCAAGCTCAAGAACCTGCCGACATTTGCTTCTGCCGACGACTATGCGGCATTGCTGGCAGACGAAGACGAGGGTATATAGGGGGATTTTATGTCGTCTTTTTAACTGTACGCTTGGACATATGTTGTTTTCATTGCATCAAAAATATTCATTACGGAAGGGCAGTCCTGTTAGGATTTTATGGTTCTATACCAGCGGAGCTTGGTTGCAGGGCTCTGGGGATAAAAATAAATACAGTTTCAGGCTCGCAATTGTCTCTCTTTCATCTCGCTCACTCATTCATGTCTTTTAGGCAGCTGGATGGGATGTCCCCCTTCAAATCGTTGGAAGTGGTATAGCAGGGCTACGATTGGAGGCAAATGGCCATTTCACAATATGACACTCTGCCAGGTGAGGTTTTCCTTTCTGAGCTGCGGCCCGTGTGGATCGATAGAAGGACCAAGAGAACACAAAGCAATCTCATTAAACTTGAAGAGTAAGTGGATACCACACAATCTTACATGAGTAGTTGAGAAACGAGTTACTGGTTGAATCATGACTTCATTCAAGAAATAGAATCAAGGGCTACATAATGGGCCAGGGTTTTATGACTCCAGACTGAAATTGGTCTCACGGTGCCTCGTAGATATTCCCTTCCTTTCCCCGATGCCCAGCTGAAACAACTTCCGCCCGATTACTGGCCTTAATACCGCCCGAATGGGAACCAAGCTCTGCTTTGGAGGGTTGCTGTGCCATTGACACATACTCTGGTTGAAGAGGCTGCATCCCCGGTAACTCGGGTTGCTGGTTCAGGTAGGTCTGCTCGGGTTGTTGTCTGGATATATCTAATTCGGGCTTGTTATACTCCGTTTCGATTTCGTGGCGCGGTGGCTGTTGAGTTGGGGGGTTCTGTGGAGGACCTTGGCCAGGTAGAGGGTTTATTGGGGCCGATGCATTCGAAGGAAAACCTGTGTTCATGGCTGGGTTTGCGGGATGAGGGTATTGGGAAGCGGGTGGTTGAGAGCCTGGTGGGAAACCAGACGCAGGCTGCTGGTATTGTCCTGGCTGTGGTCTCCGTCTACGGTGCATTAGGAAGAATATGATGGCTCCTGCAATCAAACTGATAAAAGCCAGGCCACCAATGACACCTCCAACAATTGCACCAACGGGGGCAGAACTGCCGCGGTGATCGGATGGATTCGAGGTAGCAGACGACCCTGAGGTCCCTGGGGATGTGCCCGAGGCAGAGGTGGTCGTGGTGGAGCTTGAGCTTGAGCTTGTCGTTGAAGATGGCGTCGGGTATCCAGCTGGATATTGTGTTCCAGTCGAGATACCGTTTGATCCGGTGTAAACGGGGAACGCAATCGGGTCCCTGAATCCGCTCCAATAAGGCTCCATTTGATACTCGATGCCCTCCTTTTCGGAGCAGACGAACGACAGGTAGTCAGTGCCATAGGAGAAGGTCACGCAGTAGGGTTGAGTGCCAGTACTAGATATCGCAGAACTCATGTTAATCAGTGATTCAAGGACCGGACATGATGCGCCAACATACCATCTTGCGACACTCGAAGAACAACCTGAGCCACTGCAGGACCAGGTGCTCCATTGGGCTTCTCCTACACACGCTGTCTGGGGCGGAATTGCATTACCGACAAAATGGGCGTCGCTATTCCAGAAGCATGTTACTGAAGGATCATTGTACGTCCATTTTTGATCTGGGGCGTATGCAAGAATTAGCATAGCACCGTGGAGCGTTCGAATCTAGGTCTCAAGGTTGGGACATATACCATAGCCTGAGCCCGAAAACCAACCGCAGATGTTCGATGGAATATGGTCGGCTCTCTTTGATAGATTGAACGCAGTCGGACTTGGGATTAAATCAGGGCCAGACGTGGTCGTTGGGGGAAACACGGTCGAAGGCACTAAAGAAAGAGCAGACGACATTCTCGGATGCTATCGACCCTATCCGCCTGTCATTGATCGAGTGCGGAAGACGAAGCCCTTTTGTCTTGACGCTCACCTTTTGAACCCCCTGAGCCCCTCGGCGAGAATCTTTTGGCAGGAACTCCAATCATAAAGACTGGCGACTGGTCCAGACTGTGAATAAAAGAGGACATTGGATTTTGGGGCGAAGCGCACTAAGGAACAGAATACGAGAAAATGGATCATAAAGGGAAGGGATCAACAAGTCTATGCCTTCAGACTCAATTATAATGATCCGAGGTGGAGAATAACATGTTCGTGCAAGCTAAAACAATATAAGGAGCTGGATGAATAGGCGAATGAGATCCAACGGTATCGATCCTGAACGAAGTGGGACCAGATAGAACGGATTCGAAAGATCGATCATTTAGTTTAGATAGGGCAGGGAAGTTTGAGCAATAAAAAGCAAGATTAGCCAATTCCACGAACCATGCCATGTGATGCTTATTATGGCGTACGGTGTGATTGGATAATGACTGTAGTTCGCAATGGGGGCCATCGTTTGCAACTACGGCCGCAACTTACTTTACTTTAGAGTATTCCCGGGTTGAAAAAGGAGAACAGCTAAACAGACATATTGTTGATTATCTAGCTAGGCTAAACTATTCAAGCGAGAGTATTTCAAAGTAGCGGCAAGAGTCTCCATAACAAGGCAAAGGCATCAATGCAGCTCTCTTCATACCAGTGTTGTACCGCGTAGTGGCCTCTAGTTAAGACAAAGTCAGTTAGTGACTTGACCTAGAAGGCTATCAATATTGGTCCCGTAAGAAAATTTATATCTTGAAGTATCTCCCACAATCGCCTTTTCACACCCGAGAATCGTATTGCGTCTAGAACTTAGTGTTAGTGGTGGCGGTGGTAGGCGTTTGATAGGACCCACAACTTTATTTCCATACTACCGTGTACAGTAGGACACGAATTCAGGCAAGTTTTTTTTCCGAATCTAAGGACCTAACCGCTTAGAAATCGGCCAAAAGATACTATCTAGGCAAATCATTCATACCAGCTTTCCGAAACTGACGGCAGGGACATCAAGGAACAACAATCAATCGACAGAGTGAAGTTTGGGAAGCCCGCAAGGGCATCCAACGGGCTCCTAGGAGTAATCACTTTGGAGGGAGCTGCTAAGCCTAGAATGAGATGGTGATCGCCCAGAATTGCGTTCTGATATCGGTGATTAGTAGCGGGACCGGGATTGCATCCTGGACAATCTTTTTCCTAGCGAACCCTTGTGAAAATCCAAACTCGCTGATCAGAGAAATGGTTATGGTATAGGGCAAAAGGTCTAGCCATCAATCTAATACGGTGCATATTATAAGGTAGTAGCAAGTCATCTACGCTCAGATTGTACTAAGCGAGCACAAGCAGCGAGCGTCTGAGCACTAAAGAGAGCTGGAGAGTCAAGATATGGTATTGGAAATCAAGTAGAGTAGGTAGGCACCATACAGTCATTAGCTACGTGTAGTAATAAATGCGGTGGCCTGTAGGACTACGCTGGAGTGGTCTGGATAAGGTCTAAAAGGTGCTCCGGGTAATGAGCCGAGCGGCATCCAGAACGCCCTCGGGTCCGAGGGCGCCACCATACAGTACATAGTGGACCAGATCTCTGTACAGAGTGGTTCATAGGGCAGTTAAGTTGACATTACTAAAACATTGGAAGGATGAATATGCCAACCAAACAGACTCACGGGATCTCCAAAGCGAGATGGAATGCCGAGTCAGTCTGTGGACTGGGCATGAGGTCATGGTGGACGACGAGCACGAAAGAGGCTGGAACACGGCCATGCCGCGTAAACCGGGGCTTCCTGGGTGGATTTGCATAGGTTGCCTGGTCAATACTGAGCGAGGAATGTATGTAATTGGATAACAATAATGGTACCATTTGTTGGACTGAGTCTTGAGTAGTGTATTTCAGGAGTAGTCAATAGATTGTCGGCCTGTCTATTGTATAGTTAGTCTTTCCTGTGGTGACTTGTTGATTCGGCAGCACTTGCTGAGAACGGCCGTGCTGAGTCAGCCAGCACGTGGCTTGTACGGAGTACTGTCAGGGCAATACCGCCCTTTCCGCTTTGGGCCGGTGCAAGAGACGAGAGACACTCCCAGACTTCCACTTTTTGTTCCTCCTCCATTTTAACCAGTTATATTGATTCAAGAAATTATAGATTACTTTACACATCCACAATGCCACTGCCACTGCCTCCTGGGGGGCGAATACCGTTGATCCCCCACTTATTTCCCAGATATCATCTATGTTCAGTGGTCAGTGAACCCAGACTAAAGACCAAGACCCCCTCCCCCAAGAAACCTCCAACACCGCATCCGGGTTTGGACCGCCCGCAAGACCGAATCAGCACGGCCACAGAGACCACTGCACTGGGATTCCATGTTTTCAAAGGTTGATTGCACGGGTTGTTCTGATTTCCGACCGGGGCCCTACGGGGCCTGCGGGGCAGGCTCTCAAGCCTTCATTCGATCGCAGCCGCTTGCGGGGCGGTCTTGGGCCCACTCGAGCAGGTCGTGGCTGAATGGATATGATGTGCGGGCGCAACCCATTTTGAGGGTACGTACATGAGGTACGTAGGGAGAGACTCCGTGATTCAAGGATTTGGACTGGGTTAATCCTTGGATCGGATACAAGGGAGGGGCGCAGGAGAGATCCTGCGAGGATCTCGGACTGGCCGTGAACCATGCGACTTGGAGGGATCCAGAGCCTCTTCATCGTGAGCACGAGACTGCTGCTGCCTGCAGTCTGTAATCTGCAAATGCAGACTACAGACTCAATACCCGACGACAGAGGTATACATATTCCCTTCTTGCTCGGCACAGACTCACGCTTTAGCTTTTGGACGAGTCAGATGATTAGGATACCTCTTCCTGAATCCTCCCCGAGTTCCCTAGGGATATTATTCCAAGAATGGGATCTCAAATCCTCGGGTTTGACTCTTGAGGCCTCACTTTTGGGGGCGGCGCATTTAGTCTTCGCCCCTTGGCTTGACTAGGCTTTCCTGGGCTTCAGCTTGGCCCTCCAATGCCTTTTGTAAAGTGCAGATTGTACCTTCTTAACCACCGGCACCCACCCAGCGTTCCGTTCAGGGCTCCGCCGTGGCTTGACAGGGTCGCCTATTGCGGCTGACGTGCTACCCTCCATCACGTCATGTCATGGAGATCGACGAGATTTTTCCATTCCGGCAACAGAAACAGAGAAGTGGGGAATTCGAAAATGACCGGGGGTATCGATGTATACCCCGAATGATACCTGATTTGCCCATTGAAATTACTGTCCTGCCCCTACGATCGCACCGGTACGTAGTCCGCCCAGGTATACGAGAATACGAGGATACCAACTCTGGCCCTTCTTGGCCGGTTCGCTTTTGTCCTTTTTTTTTTTTTTTTAATTTACTACAATTCCTGTTTCGCTCACTTCTCTTCTCTTTTCCTCTTCTTCTGCGACTTCTGTCCTTTGTCGTGACTGAACCTCCCCCGTTCGGCCATTGCGATCTTGCATTCCATTCTTTGGACTCATTGTAGATCCCGTTTGCCCTAATCGCAACCCCCAAGAACACTACCAGAACCTCCCCGACTGGTGACGAGATCTCTTCGATTGCCAGAATCGAGAGAAACTGAACGAACCTAGAAAAAGAGAGAAAATCCATCTCTCTAGCGCAACACAAACACTCATACCCAGTCTACCACCTCATCCAACCCAACTCTACCCTCTCCACACGGACAGGTTTATGTATCCGAAGGGCTTCGGCACCGTTTCACTTCTCGACTCCGCCGAGTACCGTCAACAGCGGCTCGCCCGCTCGTTAAGCTTAAAATGGCTCGGCCAGAAGACACCGCAGCAATGGACACTCATGAGGGCGACAGCGATCGCTCCCCAGACCTGAACGACAAGCTGGATCAGAACCAGAAGCTAAAGGACCTTGACCTCGAGGATCAGGGCCGCCGGTTGTCGCATCACCATGTCACAGCAATTGACTCGTCGTCTACCAGTGAGAGTGTGGGCCGTCAGATTGAGATGGAGTCGGAGAATACCATCAAGTATCGGACTTGCAGTTGGCAAAAGGTGAGCTTGGTGTCTATGCGATATGACTGAAAATGGCAGGATAGTTACTGGGAGGAGAGAAAGGGAAAGAGACTTGGTGCTAACGTGCCGCAATATTAGACTGCTGCCCTGCTCTTCTCCGAGTACATCTGTTTGGCTATCATGTCATTCCCCTGGTCGTACTCTGTTCTGGGTCTCGTGCCCGGTCTGATTTTGACCATTGTGATTGCGGGTATAGTACTGTACACATCGCTGATCGTCTGGTACGTTCCCTTCATTGCCTTATATTATTATGTGGTCGCGCATAGCTGACAGTGGTATCTCCGCAGGCGATTCTGTCTGCGACATCCCGAAATCCGCGACGTGTGCGATCTTGGCCAGTATCTATTCTGGGATTCCAAGATCGCCTGGTGGGCAACCGCTGTCATGTTCCTACTGAACAACACCTTCATCCAAGGCCTGCACTGCGTGGTCGGTGCCGAGTACCTGAATACCATGTCCGGTGGCGCAGTCTGCACGGTGGTATTTTCCCTCATTGTTGCGATTGTCTCGTTCTTCTTCTCCCTGCCTCGCACGTTCAGCGCGCTGTCTCGAGTTGCCACTTTTTCCGCTTTCTTCACCTTCATCTCGGTCCTTCTGGCGACTATCTTTGCTGGCATTGAAGATCATCCCGCCGGATACCCCAAGAAGGGAAATCCCATTGTGCTAGCGATCCCTGCCCAGGGCACGACGTTCATCACTGGCATGAGTGCATTCCTGAATATCAGCTACACTTTCATCGGCCAGATCACACTGCCCAGCTTCATCGCCGAGATGAAGGAGCCGCGTGACTTCTGGAAATCCGTTACTGCCGTGACCATCGCCGAGGTCATTGTCTTCAGTCTAGTCGGGTCTATTGTGTATGCCTACACGGGTACCCAGTACGTGACCGCACCCGCCTTCGGTTCTCTCTCCGACGAGGTCTACAAGAAGGTCTCCTTCTCCTTCATGATCCCCACGATCATTTTCTTGGGCGTGCTATATGCCTCCGTGTCAGCCCGTTTCGTCTTTTTCCGCTTGTTCGAAGGAACTCGCCATAAGGGCAACAACACCGTGGTGGGCTGGGCTGCCTGGGCAGGCATCCTAGCCATCCTATGGATTATGGCCTGGATCATCGCCGAGGTGATTCCTTTCTTCTCGGACCTGTTGTCGATTATGAGTTCACTGTTTGATTCCTTCTTTGGTTTCATATTCTGGGGGGTGGCGTATATTCGCATGCGGGCTGCCGATCATGGACCGGACTTTTATAAGACTCGTGGTTTGCGTGGTTGGTGCGGTTTCATTTTCAATGTCTTTTTGATTTTGGTGGGAATTTTCTTCTTGGGACCTGGTACCTACGTGAGTATCGCTGATATGATGTCTTTTTATCCAATTTCTTCCCTTGCTAACGTTTTTTCCCCCTTCAGGCTTCCGTCATGTCCGTGGTCCAAAGTTACCAATCTGGCACTGTTGGCGGCGTCTTCACCTGCGCTAGCAACGGACTTTGATCTTTCCCGCTCTCTCCTGCGACGGCCTCTCCTTGCTGATATAGCTGACCGAGGAGGGATCTGATGACTTGATGACTGAGAATAATAAGGTGACCAATTGCGCACAACCTGGTCCGGGGCTTTGCATGATTTTCTTTCGCTTGAGATATGCTACTGCTGGTCCTGGTAGGCGCAGTTCTATTTGGGAGGTGATTTGTATCATTTAGTTTGATTTGTTGGACTCTTAGGATGTTGGGATCTTTGTTTTTTCTTATACGCCGCTCCAGCATTCCTTGCACATAAAAAACCCACGGCATTGAATGAATTCGGGCGACTGGCATCGGGGCAACTATCTGCGTTGCTTCTGAGAGATCAATTCGCCGTCGCCACAACCACCCTTTCCATCTTTTGTTGATCCGGTCGATATATCAGATATATGACGGAGTGCTTGTAGATATACTCGTCCACCTCCCATCGTTCTTAGCTTCCCGAGGAGTGGCGCCTGCCCAATGGGGAAACCAGCTCTTCTCTTGACTGCCCCGGCCTCTCCCTATCGCCACGTGATTTTCCCGCTGTGCTTCTCCGACGGCGGAAGGGCACCACACTTTCTCGCGACCATTTTTCTTGTCCTTCCTTTCCTTCTCTCTCAATTCAATTCCCAAAAGCATTGAATCACCATGTCTAGCGTTCGCTCCTTCAAGAAAAGTGTCGACCTCGTCGCCGCGAGGGCTGCTGCCTTCAACGCTCCCCGCGCCTCTGTCGGCTCCACAGTTCTGCGGAGGGAGCTTTCCTCCGCGGTGCGGGCAGCTCCCCGCAGGCCAGCTGCTAGAATCACTTCGCGAGCTGCCATTCCCCAGGTGAAGAACCAGGTTGCTCGCTATGCTTCTAGCTCGAGCGAGCCCTTGGCTAAGACTCAGCTTTATGACCTGCACGAGGCTCATGGCGCCAAGATGGTGCCTTTTGCCGGATATTCTATGCCGTTGCAGTATGCGGACTTGAGCCATGTCGAGAGCCATGCGTGGACTCGTGAGAAGGCTAGTCTGTTTGATGTTAGCCACATGTATGTCAATTGCTTCACTTTATAACCTGAGAATTCGTCCAATTGAAGAATGGGCCTAATCAATTGCTCTACACAGGGTTCAGCACCAACTGAGCGGCCCCGGTGCCCTCCCGCTGTTGATGAAGATCACCCCCTCGTCGCTCGACAAGCTTATCCCGAACACTTCGACCCTGTCCTGCCTTCTGGAAGAAGAAACTGGCGGTATAATCGACGACACCGTCATCACCCGCCGCGGCGAAAATTCCTTCTACTTTGTCACCAATGCCGGCCGCCGCGCCGAGGACCTGGAGTTCCTGCGGTCCGAGATCGATGCCTACCGTTACCGCCACGGTATGGATAGCATCAAGTGGGAGATTCTCGAGGACCGCGCGCTGGTTGCGCTGCAGGGTCTGCTCGCTGCCAGTGCCCTCCAGCCCCTCATCAATACCTCTGCTTCCACAGCGGAGACCGACTTGAGCACCCTGTACTTCGGCCAGTGCCGAGAGTTGTACATCACTTTGGCCGACGGCTCGGCCTCTCCTTCGCCCCTGCTCATCTCCCGTACCGGCTACACCGGTGAGGATGGATTCGAGATCTCCATCCCCACCTCTGCCGCCGCCGACCTCCCCCAGCAGGTCGTCAACCTCCTCCTCAAGGACAGCAACACCGTCCGTCTGGCCGGTCTTGCTGCTCGTGACTCCCTCCGTCTCGAGGCTGGCATGTGTCTTTACGGCCACGACATCTCCACCGCCCAGACTCCCCCAGACGCCGCCCTGGGCTGGGTTGTCGGTCGTGACCGCCGTGATCCGGCCACTGCCACTTTCAACGGTGCCTCCGTTATTCTCTCCCAGCTCGCCAGCCCCAAGACCCTCAAGCAGCGCCGCGTCGGTTTGACCGTTGAGAAGGGTTCTCCCGCTCGCGAGGGCGCCGTGGTCGTAGACCTTGCCGACCCCGCTAACCCCGTCGAGGTCGGTGTCGTCACATCTGGTCTCCCCAGCCCCACGCTCGGCGGAGCCAACATCGCCATGGCGTATGTCAAGAACGGTCTCCACAAGAAGGGCACCGAGCTTGGCGTCAAGGTCCGCAACAAAGTTCGCAAGGCTACTGTTGTGGGCATGCCTTGGATCGAGAGCAAGTTCCACCGCCCGTCTTAGATGTGGGTTGAGGAAACTTCACCTCCGATCTATACTGAATTACTTTGTGCTTATTTATGTGTGGAGCGTGGGCGAAACGATTAAGTTATGATATATTTGGTTGCTCTTGTACATACAATTCCTTTTTCGCAACCGTTTTTCTTTTCTTTCTTTTTCTTGTTTTTGAGATACTCGGTTTTGCATGTTCTACTTCAACAATAGAGCGATTTTCAAAACATTTTGAACATTTGGTTACTGGTCTCTTGATCAACCGCGATAAGCTTAATCTGACTCTTTTAAGATATTAGTAGGTATTATGTTTCATAGATGGAGTAGTTCCTTGCTAGCAAGCGAAGACTGTGACACATAGATATTCTAGCTCATCATTCTAACCTAGTCCAATACAAGTACACCCCCCTTATGGTACCAACGTCACTGCGCTTGAACATACAGGAACAATGTAAGCGCATCTCTGTCCATTCGATATGAAGTTCTATTCACAGATATGTACATTGGAATCGACTCCCTTCCTAAGGCACTATATTCATCAAGTCCACCCCGACATCTACCAAAACGTATTTCGCTGCCAATTCTCATCATATCCCGACGTCGTCCCGAAAATATTCGTCGTCACGTAGTGGCCATTCGTACTAGTTGTATGCGTGAATCCAGCCATACACCCTATCACGGTGTGAAAGAATCCAGTGATGACACCGTAGACAGCTCCGGCGGCGGCAGCGACGTTGTAAGCGCAAATGTCGTAGCCTATTTGGTAATGGAAGAGTTAGAGTTGTGATAGCTGCGGTGTAGGGAAAAGGGGATCTGCTGAGATTTCTTGGATTAGACGCAATAACGGTGTACCTTCGTTGTGGGCCATTCGAGCAAACACGTAGCCACCCAGAGCGTCGAGGCCCATGATGAAGATCTGGACTTGTGGTTTACCGCCTGTTAAGCCTCCAGCCGCTATATAAGAATGAATAGAGTTAGATAGGAGCTTTCGCTATGGACCGTGTTTTCGATACTTGAGACTTACATTGATATATCCCGATACATTCTCCACCCAACGGTATAGCAGCGACAACAGCTGCAATCAACAACCCACTCGGCGCTGCGAGATGAAACTATTAGCTTTTCCCTTGACTATTTAATCGGTCTAAGAGCTTCTGGAGATACGTACTCTCCCCGAGGACGAGGTTACTAATCTCCGCGGTGACTAGCACACAGATTCCAAAACTACTGCCTAGTAAAATAAGAAGCATCCACGCCGGAGTCGGTATCCCCGCGTATGCAATGAACTCCACGAATGCTAGAACCCCGGACTTGGTGACTCCGGCTAGGGCACCTAATTGCAGTGCCCGCGCGGTGAGCACCCCGCCGCTGACGTGGATAGCTGTTGCTACGGCTGCGGGACCGGCGGCTGCATTTGCGGCGATGTCAAGGGCGGCCAGGGCGAAGAATATCCATACTGGGATTGAAGGGTCTGTTAGGATGGAGGATTGGTGTGGTTGATATCGAGAAGGAGGAGCTTACCGTTGATAGCGGGGAGGGGGCGATCCGTGTCCATGGTGTGTGATGGTAGCTGGATTCAGTGTTCGCTGCAAGATAGCGAGTGCGCCAAGGGTCTTCGCAATGATTTGCGTAGACTTTTCGATCAAGCATTATGCGTCTTGGGTAGGGGAGCCTTTGCTCTTAAAGAGTACTGGGTCAGTGTAGAGCCCCATGACGGAATACGAAGCTCTTGTCATGATGGCTCCAGTGCCCGATCACTAGTGGAACCAGCGCCAAAAGCGAGGTTGAAGACTGCAATCTCCCTCGATTTGTCGGGCGAATGGACAATTGAACAGGAAAAACAAAGCAGCAGAGGCTAATAACTGTACTTCACCAGGGGCCAATGGGAGACGCGCATTACCGAGACTAGTCCAGGGCGATGGGCTTGGCTCGTGAACTTCTGCAGTCAGCTTCGCCCTGCGCCACAGAAAAACCGGGCAACGCGATGCGATCCAATGGCGACCCAAGGCAGACCTGGCGCGAAGCTGCCGGGTTGTGAGTTGCGTGGTTGTTTTTGGACTGCTTCTGCACCTGTCGGGGTTGGCTGTGGCGCAATAATCCTGCTTAGCCACCTTAAGACGCTAGCATATGGCAGTCATTTGGGCTCGGGACTCGAGGGGGCTGAAAGTTCTTTTTGCTGTCAAACTTTCATGGAGTGACTTGTCAGATAAATCAGCGCTCTGGCTGTCTCACCGTCCTGGGCATATTAGTGTGAACTGTTACCTAGGTCTCGCGGGTTCTCTTGATAACAATGAACTCAACAACCTGTGTCATCGAGGCCAACCCAGATGTATCTGGGACCGGGGTAAGTCACTCTGCTGGTTCAGCTTCAGAGCAAGATGACTGATGTGTGCCTCCTTCAGATCCGGGCATCAATCTATGCCCTCTGTCTCGGCGGTACGCTCGTAAGCTACTTCCTCCGAGTATTCTCTCCAGGCGAAGACGAAGAAGAGTTCTCTCGCGGCGTATCCTCCGCGCTGGGTATGCAAGGACTAGCATTGCTTTGTACAGCAATCTACCAGACCTTCCGCAATGAGTTAACCCTCTTCCACGCCATCTGTGTGGTCCATCTCCTTGCCTTGCTGGGTCTCAATCTCATCAGCAAAGGCCGATACGCTGGATTTGGTCCCTGGCGCCTATGGTGCTTTGTATTTATCCAGGTTATCGCGCTGGGGGCATTCATCGCTTTCAATGTGTATGTCTGGGTGACGGCGCCTCATTTTGGCAGCCAACCCTCTTGCAACCCGGACACAGTTTATGTCGTATTTGGCGTGAGCATCCATGCTACGTCTCCAGTGTTCCGGTATATCATTCTCGGCACACTGGGTGCCAGTGCTGCGGGCTTCATTCTCGTCTTCACTTGTATGCTGCCGTGTCTGTGCGGGGTGTGGATTCGTCGACGACGAGATGCGCAGGGTAGTGCCAGCCCAGCCCGTAAACGAGATTGTACCAAGTGGTTTGTGCAGACGTCGACGAGTACCGAGTACCACAGCGAACAACGGGAGGAATTGTCCGGCCAAGCGCTGCTCAATTTCACTCTGAATAGGGCTGCATACATTGGGCTTTGTATCTATTTGATTGTATCATTGGAACAGACGATTCAACGGAATACCCTCGATCCTCAGGAGAAGGGATGGACGTTTGGACAAGTCATTGCGATCTTCTTGTTGCTTGGAGTTGCAAATGAGCTGCTAAATGTCGTGCTGGCGAGCTGGGATCGCCGGATTGGCCATGAAGCTGGGTCTCAAGAGCTGACGCAGGTCAGGCCTGCGTCTAGTAGCACGGCGTCGAGGAATTCACTTTGTTAGTCTGGTATGATTGTTTCGTATCTTTGTTATATCCAACTTGTATAAATTACAAAATGATAGCCATAATTCCACCAAATCCAAACGCTAACCCAATCAAAAGATGTACTCCAAGGAGGCCCTCCTGCCGTCATTGCGCCTGGGGCTGCGTGATATCAGAAGGGAATAAAAAAAATCCAATAACCAGATGTCAGTCTAGAACGTCAATCGTAAACGTATCATGCATATTGCATAAGAAGAATCGCATTCTTTAGTAAGGGATGAAGTCAATTCTCATGCGATCTAGGCAAAGTGGTTAGCAGGAGACATGAAAAATTCGACAAGCTTCAAGATGCATACCCAAGAAATGACTCCAATCCTCGTCCTCGCTCAGCTGATTCGCCCAATACTGTTCGAGGAACTTCAAAGACTGCAATACATTCGGCACCCGAATGGTATCATGTAATGATGCCAACAGCTGCCGCACTGTATCGCGATCTTCACCAAGTGCCTCGCAACCCGCAATAAATAGTGGAGTCGTCAACATTACCCATGGACTCAGACCAGCAGATGGTCCGATCTGAGCCGTGCACTCCAGGATCCGTTGCACCGACTGCTGCACGAGAACTGAAGTAGTCGGCGTTTTGCGAAGTCGTCTGTGAATCTGGATCAAAGCGCCATGTTGGAATGCCTCGTTGCAGAGTGCAAGATGCTGGACACTCTCTGCTGAAAGCCCTTCTGCCACCCCCGGATAGAACGAGGGTTGCGAGGTCGCACCTCGATCCATGAGTTCTCGTATTGATGACTCCAGCGCAGCGGCTTCATCTTCGGCATCACCATCAATCTCGCCCGTGATAAAACCCTGACTCTGGATTTCTTTCTCGGCTTGGTGGCTTCTCCAGGCGGCGGCTCCAATCTGTCGGAAGACAGCTGCTAGGTCAACCGTGAAGCCCCAGTAGTCATCCAGGTAGTCCGGTGAGTCCCTTTGCCCCGCCAAATCCGACGGCGCAAAGTCTGATGGATCTCCGATGGGAGGTCCATTCCCTGTCAACGCTGTCAGCGACACGATTGACCAGTACCAGCGGTCCAAGTATCGACGAAAGCCACTCTCCGTCCGAAGCGAATTTTCCCCTGTCGTACCCAGTGTCTTCATCAATGCCCTTGCGCCCTCAATATGGGCTCGCCATGAATTTGGATGAATTGCTCCAGAATGGATCTCTGCTAGACAGAGAGTTCGGGCTGTCGCTACCAGCGCCTCCGAATCTGTAGAGGAGGGGTTCTGTAGCTCTTTTCGGAAGTGTTCCAGACTGAGCCCCATCAACCGAGCAATATCTGGTGCCGTTTTCACGCTTTCAGATTGATTATGAAGGGCTTGAATATGAATTGCAGATAAGGCTGTGGTGGCGTAGAGTAAGGACGGGGTCTGGAGGGCCATGGGCACAATCATCCGGCAGATATCTTGCTGCATGCCCGAGTGGCTCGCGGTTATTTGGGACGCATCGTTTATGAAATGGTGCAACAGGGCTCTTTGATCGGACGAGAGGGAGGAGAAGGGATCGACGTGTTGCACTAGAGTCAATTGCGAGGCAGCCTGCGCTTGCGATTGGGCTTGCGCTTGTGCTTGTGCTTGTGCTTGCGCCTGCGCCTGCGCCTGCGCTTGTGCCGACTTGGTGGTATAGATAAACTCCCCTGGCGAGTACTCTGGAAGGGCGAGTCAGCATGTGTATATCCAACAAATCCGAAGGCATTTCCTGCATCATACCCAATCTCTGCATGTTCCCTGTGTCCACGCAGGCCCCGAATCGCGATCGCGAAAAGGCACGCCCACCCCACTGCAACTGCATGGCGTACTTGCACTGGACGCCAGCGGACTGGCAGCGCCCACATATGGGCCTTTGCTCGTCACATTTCTGGCGTCGCGCTTTACATCTTGTGCAGCCGGTAAAAGATCTCGACATCGGTGCTGGTGGTGGTTGTTCGTGGATGTGTGGAGAGAGAAGAAATTCTGCGGGGAATGCGCGATCTCCGGTCGGTGATCGGACGAGTCCCGCGTGGCGACTCGAAGGCGGCCGGTCTGGGGAATAAACAGGAGTCCTTGTGTTTATGAAGGAGAGAGAGAGAGAAGGAGAAGGAACAAAAAGGCAAGTTCGACCTTTGGCTCTTCTTATCGGAGATACTTGCTAGTGATTACTTGGATCCTAAAAGTTGTCAATTGCAGTTTAGCGGCCAATCCTCGTGCGGATCCACTGATCAGCGGCGGGTTTATCAGTACAACCTCGTGCTCGTTCAAACGAAGTACATGTTCATGTCGAATAATGACATGTCTAATAATGAGCCAAGTACAAACGTTGCTGTAACGCATAAAGACAAGAGCTGCCCCAAGAAAAGAGACAAATGTGCGCTATGGCAGAGAATACACAGTACATGCCACCAGAGTATATGTTCATCCCAGAAATCAGGCTGACAAGATAAGAAAGAAAGAAAAAAAGCCAGCGTCTCCGGATCGCCATTGCTCAGCCATCAAATGTATAGCGAAGCCATTCACCCACCGCCCGAAGACTCTCCCATCGCACCGATTCGTCTTTGTCGGCCATCAACTCCATGACGCGGGTCTTCAAGCCCGCTCGTTCGAGTTGAGTGCGTCGTTCGGGAAGCTCCTTCACCAAATGTCCCACATCGTTACAGGCAATGGCCAAAACTTGCTTGTCATTCTCCCAGTCCTTGGAAAGAATCTCAGCCAACTTCTTCGGCAAGGCACCGTTTGCTTCATCCAGGATTCGGCGGGCATTTTCCTTCCAGAAGGTTGGGTTCTTATGGGGGGGCGACCAGCGCAGATGACCCGACTGAACTTCGGCGGCGTATTGATCGAAAGTAGTCTGGGTCTTTGTGTATTCGTCCAGCATGGTAGAAAGTCCGTTAAGATCTTCGAGAAGATCAGGATCCGTCAGGTGACGACCAGCGAGGTTGGTCAGGAGAGCTGGCAGTCGAACAAACACAGCGACAGGCAGGAGGGTCGTCCGGTTGCTGATGCAGAGGTTGTAGAGAGTGGCGAGAAGAAGGCGGGTAGTCTTTTCTTTCGGTGAAAGGCGGAGGAGCTGGGTGTAGAGTTGAATGATTTCGTAGCTTCTGCAAGAAGTCAATGACCAAGTCCGCGGTTGCTTTTCTGCCTCGCGCAGATATCACTTACTCTTGGAGCTCTTCACCGACGAGCGAACTCTCAAATGTGAGCTGCCAGATCACCAAAAGGACACGGTAAAGCAGCTGCAGACCCACGCCACCAGCAAGGCCAGGTTCAATGCCACGTGTGCTAGTTCCCGTCGTACTGCCATTATCTTTAGAACCTGCCGCAGTGCGGAGTGTCTCAATCAATGGGTCCAAGGTTTCCTTTCGGTGGTTCCAAAAGATCTCCCGGGAGTGCTTCTTCCGCAGAAGCTCGGAGAACCCTTGGACGCCAATATCCTGAAGCCCGCTGTCATGGTTCTTGGTCAGGGTAGAGAGATAGAGGTATAATTGTGGAAGCGCCTGCTCGTCCCGTGGAGCAGGTTTAGACGATGTCACAAGGCTGTGTGACACGAGAGCCGTGAGGAAGGTAGATGTGAGCAGCGGGATCGGGTCTTCGGCGTTGGTGGAGTTGTGCAAGAAAGGCAGGAATGGCTTGTAGGGCTCGGGGTGAGAGACGAGCGAGTCGGCCAGCGCAGGGACATCTGTTGATGCAAATACATCAGCTTTAGGAAATAAGGAAGCTCTCTCGCATGTAGCATTTACCCTGAATCAGGTCCGATGCCAGCACCAAGATGTATTGGACAATATCGGTTCTCCTAGAGGCTGACTCCAAGACGCTCTTGCCCTGCGACCCACCAGCGAGCAAGCTTGTGTACCCAGCAAGGTCCGCCTCTATTGTTTGAATGCGCTGCTCCTTGCGCACCTTGTCCACAGCCTTGATCTTCTTAAGATGGTCATCGGTGATGTTGCCCGCGCGAACAGCGCCTTCCCATGGAATTGGCCGAGCGCGGATATTATTCTGCAGGGAGCTGAGGTACGTGGGCGGCTCCAGCGACATGATGATTGAATTGTACGCCGGGCCAGAGGAAAGGAATGGCAGGCCGGAGTTGTGGTGAACGGTGATGGTCGAGAAGGGAGGAGGAGCTTGGGGGGGTGAATGACGGAAGCTGGCGACGCCAAGACCACATCTCGGCCCTCCCAACGGATCTTGGCTCATCGTTCCACCTTCGAGTCTCACGGTCCCTCGTCTCATTCCAACCTTCCCCTCGTAACACCGTGTGTGCTACCGACAAACCCCTTTTCCTGTGGGCTTGTCGCTTCCGCTCGCTTTTTGAATCAAGCTTCTTGTGCGACGTTCATCTTGCGACGTGGTCGCTTACTTGTACTTCTACTTATTGAATTCTACTCCAAGTCTTTCGTTTACACAATCGGTCTTCTTGTGGACTTCCACATACCAGGATTCTCTTGCACTCCAATTCCCTTCTCAAGTTCCAAATTGAATCCATCGCAATCGACGAGATCGCCGTTGTTCGAGCCCAGCCCCCACCGAACCCATGCAAACTGAACACGAGGCATTTGCTGCCTAGAAGCCGCGTCGCCCTCCTACAACACACCTTTCACCATGGCGCAAAACTCGCAGGCCCCCAAGTCCAAATGGGGTGTGGGCAGTCTCTTCCAGCAAGCCGTTGCGGGTGTCGAATCCCGTTTAGACAATATATTGATGGACCAGGAGGACGCACAGAAAGCCTCAAATACAAAACCCAAGGAGACGGAAAGTACAGCGTCGCCAATTTCAAGATCTCCTGCTGGCTGTAAGGAGCACCCCAGACGACCGAATTGGATCTCAACTAATTAAGGAAATTAGCAATTTCACGAAGCTCATCCAATGCGCGCAGAAATGATCGGCTCCAAGAACGACTGGCGCGAGCCGTGGTCAAATCGAACACTGCGAATCGGAACGCACAATCTTCACCTGGCCAAGTTTCGTCAACCGCAGCCAGTCCAGCACCAAGTACTGATGCACGATCAAGTATGGACATCGACACTGGTCTTGCAGTCGCATCGATCGCGCCTGAAGACTTGAAAAGTCCTCCGCCAGATGGAGAGAGCGTCATAAGCCATGCAAGTGCGGCTAGAACAAGCTATGAATCAGATAGATCTACCCGCAAGTCTACCGAGATCTCTGGAGCAGAATCCTTACCTAGGCCCTCGACTGAGGTCGACGAACAAGTTTCGAAATTAGGAAGACCCAGCTTGGACTTGCTGAGCTCACAGCGAAGTGAAGTATCAGGTGGCCGCGCATCCGGGGAAAGCACCCGTATGAGCTTTGATACACCGTCCGAGTCTCGAACGAGTGAGGACAACGGCGCTGAATCCCAGTGGCAACAAGAGAGATATGAGTATATGGCCCGTATTGATGAGCTTCAGAGGAATCTAGAAAATCTGGCGGGAGAGGCTGCCAAGTCCGCAAAGGGTGCCGCCGCTGCCACTTCTCCAGGGAGCCGGGAGAAAGAGCTCGAAGAAACGAGAGAGAAGTACGCCTTGCTGATGAAAGAAGGGCAGAAGCTCGAGTCAGAGGCGGCAAATTCCCGCACTGCTGTTAGAAGATTGAGGCAACAACTTGCCGAAAACTCGAAATCGCAGATGGAAATGAAGAAAAAGACCGAGAGGCTGGAGAGAGATTTACTCAACACCGAAAGCAGAGCCAAGCGAGCTGAAGCTGCAGAGAAGCGATCAAATGATTCATTATCAACATATACTAAGACAGCCAAAGACCTCGAGGCCGTGACAAATGAGCGCGATGCCTTGAACCAAACCGTTCGGGAAATGAAGGCACAAATCGGCCGAGCGGTTGCGCGCGCCGAAGCTGCTGAAGCAAAGGCTCACTCCGACGCCTTGGAGAAGGAAAAGCGTAGAGCAGATGAACTCGAAGAGGAGTTGTCAAGCGTCAAAATCGAGCTTGATATCAGTCAGACAAAGTCAAAGAAAGAGATTGCGGATTTGAAGGAAAAGGCCGACCAGGAGAAAGAGAGGGCCCGCTTGCTTGAGATTGAGTTGAAGGGAGAGCAAGCAGCCTTGGAGAGCAAGATGGAAAGCTTGCGTGCACGTGCGGAAGAAGCTTCTTCCGGGGCTACTGGAGAGACGCAGGCCAAGTTACTACGCCAAATTGAGACCCTGCAGACACAATATTCAGTTGCCAGCGAGAATTGGCACACCTTGGAAGGCTCCTATATTTCTCGCCTCGATGCGGCAGAGAAAGAACGCGACCAGGCCGCTGACAGAGAGAAAGAGCTGCGAAAGAAACTTCGGGAATCGGTAAGGCATCAACGCACGACTCCGGGGATATCATCGGCTAACAGTCTCGCAGACCCTCAAAGTCAAAGAGCTTGAAGAGGAAGTAGAAAATGCGAAGGAGGCCGAGCATGACCTGGAAAGCCAGCTCCAGGCGCGTGTTCAAGAGGTTCAAAAGGTGCAACAAAAACTTCAGAGTGCAATGGACGAGGTCACTTCTGCACAAAAGGAGCTAGTTGAGCAGAAGAAGGTGTGTGATGCAAACTGGGCGCAAAAGCTTGAGGAGGAACGTGCCAGATGGAGAGAGCAGGTGCATAGCTTGCAACAGCCTCGTGGGATCTCCCCCGTTCCGTCCACTCGCCGTTCAAGCAATCTCGATGCTCTGCCGTCTGTTCTGTCAGAATATCGTCCCCGCAGCCGGCGCTCGTCTACCTTACCCCCGGGCTCACCAGATATTGCCACACCACCGCGCCAAAATTCCTATCCAACCTCAATTGCTCAGGGAACTCTCTCCCCTCCCCCGATCAGCACTACCATGGGCCCTCCATCCATGATTTTGGAAACCCCTTCAATCACCTTTGAACCGGATGAGTTCTTCAGCTCTGCTGATCCCACAACACCGTCCGCCTATGGCGGTACACAAGCAGCTCCGCGCGGCATCAACGACATAATCTCGGAATCAACTGTCGGTGCTGGTCCATCCGTGCAGTTGGTCGAGCGCATGAGTGCTACGGTCCGCCGATTGGAGAGTGAGCGCGCTGGGTCCAAAGACGAGCTTGCACGAGTCACCGCTCAACGTGATGAGTCCAGGCAACAGGTTGTCGACCTCATGCGCGAGCTCGAAGAGAAGAAAACTGCCGACTCTCGAGTTGAGGAGCTCGAGGCCAAGCTTGCTGATATTGACCAGCGGTACTTGACAACGCTTGAGATGCTCGGTGAAAAGAGCGAGCAGGTCGAGGAGCTTCAAGCCGATATTGCTGATCTGAAAAAGATTTATCGAGAGCTGGTCGACAGTACGATGAAATGAGTGTATAGATGTTTTCACCCCTTGTATATAGAGAACTTCATTGCTAGTGGATTTTAGAACGCAACTCGGAATAATACCCCTGCAAGTCGTGCCAAGTACAGTGGGGTTCCATAAGTGTGAATGCCCCCGGAAAGTTCAAGATCTTCTTATCAGCAATACCTTGGTAGGCAAATTGAGGCATAATGCCTGAGTTGTCTAGAGAGACGTCAAAAGACAGTTAGCAAGATTCCTTAAAAAACCTGAAGTTGGAGCGATATTTTTTCTTGTACGCTACAGAACTTCGTGCGAATGATTCTCTCCAGGATTGTATTACTGTCTACATTGATGCCAATACAATCTTTAGGACTTGTGATGAAATTCGGTGATCTTGTTCGAATATAGTTTGCAAACAAGGTTACCAACGAAGCAAAGATGCTAAATAAGAAAATCTGTAGACCTCTTCAACCTCCAAAAGTTCCCCTGTGGGTTGTTCCGTTTGCACTTCCGTTACTACTTCTTGAATCAGCATACTCTTTCATTCCTTCAGGCTCATCAGACGCTCACATTTGAATAGCAGGGGAGATGCCCCTCCGATAAGTTCCACTCCTGCTGCGAGAGGGGGTCGAACTTCTGGATGGAGAAGCCAAATGAGAATCTATTTTCGTATTTTCATGAGCTCATGGCCTTCTATTTTGGCGATTCCTATTCCCTGCCGAAGACGCATGGCCTGTTCAAAGACGACCTATCAGTGCTGAAAGTGCTGAGCGTTCGCATGCCAGTTTCCAGCTTCTTGAGTTCTCGGCTCAGACGTTCTCGTTCTTCTTTAACTTCCTGGGACTCCCCAGCAAGCTTTTCAATCTCTTCGTCGTCCATGCTGTTGATGACTTGGTTAGAAAAGATTTGTTCCAGGGGACGAAGTAAGCAATTCTCAATTGCAAGGATTGCGACGTTATCAATGAAGACCATGATAGCATTCTATTTCATTTTCATTAACATATTTGCTGGTAAGGGTCCAAATCTTTCCGGCCGTTGCGCACTTACCTCATAATATGCCAGCATCTGAGTCACAATGTCAATAACTGCGAATTGACCGTCAGAGGTCTGAGATTGAATAGCAGCTTCTTTGAGGTCTTGAAGGGTGAAAGTTTCTTGCCCTAGTTGACCCGATTTCTCGGAGGAACTGTTCCTCAGGATATCCGTCAAGGCCTCCAGCTGATTTTGGGCCCGACCTCGCTGTATTCTTTGAAGAAACCCTCTTCCCATAGGGAGAGGATGGCCGGTCGTCGTGTAGGATAGTAGTTCATCGAGTTTATCATGCAATGAATCCCTTAAAGTTTCCAATTCTGGATTAATAATGCCACCCAAGAGTGCTTTTTTGGTGCTATCATCGGCCAGATACCCGAAAGCAAGCTGGACGAATTCATTGACCGACTGCCAGGCTTGATTCAAATGATGTTTAGCGATCTCTCCCCATGGCTTTGCCTGATCTCTAAATAGCTCTCCAACGAGTAGCTGGTTGGCGCATCCAGGAAATTCAATGCCACGATTTTTTGCAGCTTGTCTCATCATTTCACTCAAGAGTTCATTCACAGAGATATCTTCTGGCACCCACTGTCTCATGTAAGATTGGAACCTCCGGTTGCTCAAGTCCGATAGGGGCCGAGGTACAGCGTATATGTGTTCGGGGAGCCTTCGGCGGAAACCGTGGATGAACATCGCATCTGCGAAAAACTCATTCAGTTCTCGAATGATTGCACGTAGTCGACGGGCATCTCCAGTATCCAAATGGTCATCATTGAGGCCACCAAAGAAGTCTTTGGAGTACATGCCATTCAATGCTTCGGTGACAATGCGCTGGAAATGGGAGCTGATGTTGAGTAAAAAGCCTCGCTGGTCCCTAGTTGTTGGCCGTGCCGTTCCAAGCTTGGCCATGCTTTGTCTCCGGTCATCAATTTTCAGTTCAATGTCCTTTATCAGCAAGGGCAAATTACCGGCGATGTGTTTGAGCAGAATATTGCTCAGGCGATGTCGGAGTCGGTCGATGCCCACGTGTGCTCGAGGAAGAGAGGCCCATCGTCCCTTCGAAAAGTAATTTCTCTCTTCCTCGTCTCGCTGGTCATCGGAGACTTCGCGCGTCTTATGTGAGCGGTTGCGCAGAGCGTGCCATCCTAGCTTTAGCTTGATACTTTCGTTTCTGATGTACTCTAGGTATCGACCTTCTTCGTCCGTCCCTTCGTCAAGTTTATCGGTGTGAGTGACGATAGCAAGGACTCTTTCGTATTCCGGATCATGATGCTTTGCCATTCTCAAAACGTCCTGTATGTGATAATCCACTTTTGCACTAATAACTGCCAGGATTATACTGCGGTCTTTGGCCATGTATCTCTCTGTCAATTGTCGAACAATCCCAATTCCTTCCTCGCTCTGTTCCTTGCTGGGGGACGTATATAGACCAGGCAGATCCACGAGGGTAAGCTCTGGCTTATCTGGCCCGGAGATTTCAATCTTGAGAACATCGTCGCTGAATCCGGCGTGCTGATTGGGATTGTCGCTAATGCCCATACAAGCTTTAGCTTGATCGATTAGCTCGACGAGATCATTGTCGCTCGGGAAGGCCTCCGAATAGAAGTTTCGGAGCCTCTCTCTCTCTTGCTCGTCTGTTCTCGAGTCTCCTGGCTCGATCGAAACTTTCACTCTCGTCTGTGGCTTACGACGGAGAATGACCTCGGTCGCAAATCGTGTACAGATTGTACCTTTGGTGGGAAAGCGCACTCTCGAGATGGCCTCAAGCACTGAGCTCTTCCCACTGGATTGACTACCACAGACAATGAGTTGAGGAAGTTCCACAAGCCCTCCAACTCCAATGCCACGTAGTTCATCAATCTTGTCAAGCAGCTCAGATTGCTGAGACTGCAGCTGGTGCATAGCCTTGTTTTCTGACTTCGAAAGCATAATGAGATTGTAGTTCTTTCTTGAGATAAATCGGATAGATACTGATAGAAGAAGATTTATTGTTGCAAGTTATCCCTCTTAGCGACTTCATGAGCAAGTATTTAAGCACTTTTCGTGATTGCCTTGCCCCCTCTGGCCCCATGCAGACAGAATCCTGCTATAGTACTTTTTGTCTGTGCTAACTTCATGTCGCAACATCTCGATTGGCTCTCACTACACTTCACATGCAAAACAGAGTAGCTGTTATCAGACATTCTCATCCACTGGACTGCTATATTTAGTCTGCTTCAGTCCTCTCTCGTCTTGACTCGGCAGGCTTCAAAATTCCCATACTTAGAACATCCTTAGAAGGCATCGCATCCTGGCTGGACTTATTTATAGAGACGCGATACCTTCTTGTCAAATCATGTTTTTCTAATCTAGACAATCTTAAGATATCTGTAACTTGGCTACTGCCGCTGCCAGCGCGTCCTGATACATGGTTATCTAGCGGGCCGAGCCTCTCCGGTTAACCTTGTCGGCAAAGTGACTTGAACTATGCTATGTAGGAGGTGCAAATTAACTCGAAATGGGAAAGGATGCTGTCAAGGGGAAGACCCAGGGCGCTTACGCCCGTAAGCTTAGAGGACATGGTTAGATGGGGCAGACCAACACCGTGAAGCAGGAGCAAGTCAGAGAGCCGGCCTAAGGAGCGCAATCAATTGGTACGGATTCTTAACTGACTCGCGTTCAATAATGGGGCCATGCACAGGCCATTGCGTCCACTGTACTTTTGCACAGAGAGACTGCTAACCAAGGCGCTTCCCAGAGTATCTAAATTTATCACTGCGCCCTATGCAAGATCATGCTTTCTACTTATGTAGGTATGTTGATTGAATTTCATAATTTCAATCAATTCCAACGAGAGCTTGACACGGCTTGATGATTTGAAGTGAGCGAAAGGGGTTTGTTTGCTTCTATGACGACAGTTGGACTCTCGGTTCGGATGAAGTTTCGGATGAAATCCGAGATCCGCGCGTGTACTGAGAACGTGAACAAGCAAAACAGAATATATTTAAAGGAGCCTTCCTGTTGACCCTCAGTCGGCAAAATTCAATAGGTACTATTCTGACAACGCGAAGCAGCTTCCTCTTTGAATACGTAGGATTGAATTTTGCCTCGGGAGATAAGAAATAAACGTACTATGAGATTCGATATCATTAAGTCATATCCTGGATGGCTTCTTTTGTGCAATGTCTACTTTCAAACCCGAAAAACAAGAAGGAAATATGCCCTATGTATGAGAAATTCCCAAATTCTACCAAAGGCGGTTCCCATGTGGGTACCGGGTACCAAAGCTTAGACCTCCCTGGCCCCACTACCCATAATTACGCGTCGCGTTGCAACTGTTTATCAATTTCACTCTTTGAATGATCAATGCCACCATGCCTAAAGGTGCCAGTACAACTCGCGGACGCGTCTCCAAGGCTTCTGCACAATCTCAATCATTGAATGCGGCAAATATCGTGGCCTTGAAACGAGAGATCAACACATCTGCGCGTCAACCGTTGCAGGAGGTGAACAATCCCCCGACTCGCTCGGCTCGCAAAGCTACGTGCAACGCACTTGACGGGTTTCAAGAAAATGCTTTGATTCGCTGGATTCGAGAAGTGAAGGAGCTATATTGGCTTCCAACGGATTCGCAAATCTCCAGAAGCGCGAGCCAGATTCATAAACGCGATTGCAACAATACCGTTCTCAAGCAGACTTGGACGTCTCAATTCATCAAACGCCTACCAGATGACTTGAAGCCGTCAAAACCGCGCCTAGCCAAGAAAAAATGCCTTGGGCCATCTGATCTGGAGACTATCCAGCATTGGTTCGATCGTTTGAAGCCTTTGATTGCCGACGTTCCTCCGGAAAATATTTACAATTTTGATGAGACCAACTTCCAGATTGGCCTGACAACGAGACCACGACTGTATTTTACTGTGCGCTCTGATTTCGTTCCCCCCAGAGAGTGGTGTGAGTGGATAACCTCGATCGACTGCATTGCTGCCGACGGATGGGCAGCAGGCTCATACCTTGTCATTCAAGAATCCTCGATCGACCCGCCCCTCGATTACCAGGATGTGATCGATGATATTCCTGATTGGACGCAGCTCCATGAGACCCCGAATGGTCGACTTACTGAGGAGCTTGCATTGGACTGGCTTAAGGTTTTCCACGAAAGGACCAAGGATCGCGTCGCAGAAGGTCAATCACGCCTGCTCCTCTTCAGAGGGCAACCGCTTTTCTTGACTTTTAATTTCCTTCGATTCTGCGAGGACCGTTGCATTATTCCGTTCTGCTTTCCGCTCAATATCGCGCATCTTATGCAGCCTTTCGATCTGAAACATTTTCCGGTTTACAAGAAGTATAGCGCGGAGTATTGGTGGCATCCCGAAGATCCCGATGAGGAGAAAATGGACTGGCTCTGTGGTTTTGGTTCTATGCGAGAAGAAAACTTGACGCCCGATATCATTAAGCGTGCATTTGCCGATCGGGGCATCTTTCCATTCAATCCATCTAAATTGACTGGACCGCTACAGGAAGACAAGATCAAGAGGCCTCAGGTTGAGGAGGACAGCAAATGAGACACCTATCTCTTATGAATCTTGCATTCGGATGGACGTCGTCAATGGGATAGCTGAAAGATAAACCAAGGTTCGTGCCACAAGAAACGACGAGGCAGGTCGGATAGTTACGACTTGTAGTTTATGTAATTATATCCTGGTCGGTAAATTAATTTGAAATGGCGTCAGGGCAATGCAGAGTATTTCGAATCAAGGCGCAGGACACGACCCCTCTAATCGTCGGAAAATAGGGCCCCGACTAGCTGAGTATACAGCGTCAATACGACGCTGCGGAGTGAGTGTGGGGTAAGTGCTCAACTTCCCCAACAAGAAAGGAATCCTCCGCTGGAGTTTTTCCTCTAATGACGATAGTTTTAATTGTCCGTGCCCGGTGGAAAATTCACATTTCGTTGTCAGTGTGCTTTTTAAAGATGAAGCTTTTGGCCGTGGGGTTATTCATGATATGTTGGATATTTAAGACCATAACCGGAGATCAGTCATACATCTCACCATGAAGCTATGGGGGCATTTTTCGATCCTTCTGTTCGCCCTTGTGGTAAATGGACAGAATGACACTCTTGGTCTCAGCAGTGGGTACACATCACTATCAACTGCGAATTTCGACATCAAGTTAGTCAAGGATTCGCAAATTCTTGCCTCTCTAAAACTGACTGGCTCTGATTTTGATTTCTTGCCATTCGACGATATCACCTATCGAGCGGCCAATGGCCAATATCACAATGGCGACATCACCTTCCGCTATCGTGTTTCTGGTGCTACTGAATGGGTATCAGTCGACTCATCGACGGCAAGAAAAAAGGTGAACAGCGTCACAACCAGCGGTCTCGCTGCTGCCGACCTTTCGCCTACATTACCATCAAATTCGCCAATTCGTGTGATCCGAGAATGGTCTACAGTTGACGGGGACTTGGGACTGTCATTCACGCTTACAAATACGGCCAAACAGCCTGTAGAGATTGGCAGTCTTGGTTTTCCCACGGAGTTTAACAGTATCTTTACGAATCGTGCAGCGGAAGACATGGCGGCAAAGTGCTCGCTCACCGACCCTTACATTGGAATGGATGCTGGGTATCTTCAAGTTACTCCGACATCTGGAACAGGAGCTGCATTGATTGTGACTCCTCTCGGCAACACCAGTACTCCACTCGAAGCGTGGAGAAATCTAGATGAACCCAGTACTGACCCTCTTTACTATGAGAGTCAGACTTTTGAAGGTTTCTACGAGTGGCAGACTCATAGCAAGGCGTATGCTGAAAATGAATGGTCTGGCATCACGCCTTGGAATGATCCAAGCTCCAAGACATTGAAATCTGGCAAGTCGGTCACGTATGGGCTGCGATTCTCCATTGTCAAGGACGGAATTCGCGGTATCCAAAAAGCTGTTCAGTCAACCGACACTCCTGTCACAATTGGCATTCCTGGTTATGTCGTCCCTGTTGACCTCACTGCCCAACTTTACGTGTTCCACGGGGATATCTCCAAGGTTGTATCCGACGATAAAGCATTCAAGATCTCGCAAGACTCGAAGGGTACCCTCAGCCTGACTCCAACTGGCTCTGTTTGGGGCCGAACCAAAGTGACCATCACATATAAAGATGGCAAGGTTCAAACGGTGCACTATTTCATCACTGATTCTGCGCCATCAGTCATCAGCAAACTCGGCGAATTCTCTACCACATCTATGTGGTTTGACAATACCTCGGATCCCTTCGGCCGCGCGCCCTCAGTCATAACTTGGGATCATTCAATCGGAGCACAAGTCTTGCAGGATCCGCGAGTCTGGATCTCAGGTCTCAGCGACGAAGGTGGCGTGATCTACCTAGCTACAGCCATGAAACAATTCGGTCTCAGCGATTCCGCGGAAATCACGAAACTTGAACACTTCGCTTCTGATGTACTCTCAAAAACAATCCAAAATCCGGATTTCACCGTTCGGAAGAGCATCTTTTTCTATGAGCCTGATCTAGTCCCCAACTACCAGTACAATCAGTCTATTGACTGGGGCAACTGGTGGTCATGGAATAGGAACGCCTCGTATGCGACAGATCGTGCGTACGATTATATCCATGTGATCGGGGCTTATTGGGCACTTTATCGTGCTGGGCGAGCCGATGACTCGCTTCTCAGTGTCAATACTTGGCAGTGGTACCTGGGTAAGGCGTACAATACCACAGTCACCTGTTTTGCAACCGACTCGAATGGCAATGGCTTGGTCGGGTACTCGCGGGTGGGGCTCATGGGGGAGACTGTGGTGGGAGAGCTTCTGGCCGATCTTCGTCGTGAGAATTGGACTAGTGAAGCAGATGCTGTGGAAGCTGCCATGAAACTCCGGGCAGATGCGTGGGATACTCAGGCCGTGCCGTATGGAAGCGAGATGGCTTGGGATTCGACGGGTCAGGAGGGAATCTATTACTGGAGCAAGTAAGTTCCCATTCTCGAAAAGGAAACGAGCACATTCTAACGGGCAATGTACTATCAGCTACTTCAATCTCGCGAACACAGCAACAAAAACCATCAACAGCATCATCGGATACATGCCAACGGTTTCTCACTGGGGCTGGAACGGAAATGCTCGAAGATATTGGGATTTCATGTAAGCTCTCCCCCAATCAACACTCCCAACCTTATCTCATCATACATCTATCTAGTTACGGTGGCAAATTAGAACGAATCGAGCGCATGATTCACCATTACGGCTCCGGCCTTAACGCGCTTCCGCTCCTTTCCCAATTCCGCCAAACTCCCAACGACACTTATCTCCTACGCGTGGGATATGGCGGTATCACGGGCCCACTGAGCAACATTCGCCAAGATGGATCCATGTACAATGCCTTCCACTCGTTCCCCGATACCCTCCGTGGCGACGATTATTCGGGAGACTATGGGCCGAACTTTCTCGGCATGATGATTGGATCTGGTGTCTATGTTGTGCACGATCCGGATGTAGGCCTTGTGACTTATGGCGGGAATATGGGTGTGTCGGGTAATTCTGTCACAGTCCAGCCGCGGGATGCTCTACGCCGTCGTGTTTATGTTGCTCAGTTGGGTGTTTATGTTACGATCAGCGCGGGCCAGATTGAGCAGTTTTCGTTCGATACGTCTGACCTAGCCTCTTTGAAGATGCGTGTCGTGCCTGGTCCGGCCAAGGCGTCGTCTACTATCGTTTGGATCGAAACGCCTGGCACCACTGACACATACGTTGTTTCTGGGAAGGCAAAAAGCCAGAGAGGTGGATGGGCGGTTGAACTGGGTTCTGCAGGGGCCGACGTGATCGTCTCCAAGGTGTAAAGTTCCTCGCTACGATCTTGCTGTTCCGAATTCTAGCAAATTAAGATTGGACACCTTCCATCGTCTACTTCGACAGGATCAAATTCGTGCGTACGCATTCAATCCTTCTCGGAATCCCCAATAGGGCAGTTGCGAACATCTTCTCGATCGCAGCAGGTAAATCCGTTCAAACATTAGACATCATAGAAACGACATTGTAGTTCAACTGTTCTTTTCACTTGATGTAAACTTACCACTTTGAGAACAATAGCCTTAAGCGCGGATGCAATCCCAGCCAATGAATCGCAGTTCCCATTCACACCAGCGGGTCAAGATGCGGGGGAATGATGCAGCCTTGAGAGCGGACCTTGGCCAGATAGTTCAAAGGTACTAGTACCTACTCTATCACTTTTAAAAAGCTAAACCATGATTCAATCTGCCTTGATCTCTCACTGTCCCTTGCCTTGGAATGACTGGGATACCGTTGCCGCCAATGTAAAGAGAACAATACCCTTGTTCGATTGCCTGCTGTGGAGTTGAGAAAGATGTCATAACAATGGTTGTTTGAGTGTATCTTCGTAAGTCCCCAGAGCTATCTTCAAAAATGACGGGCCATGATGACATCCGCGGTGATCGGCCGTGATTCGCCACTGCCCTGGCGAACCTACCACCATCCGCCGCCATATACGGTACGAAGTTAGTGATGTAGGCGAGTTCGGTAGGATCCACGGGAATCCATATTTCTTGGTTTCTTCGAGAATTATTCTCCATATATGACATGGGTCAATTTGGCAATGGGACGATCTTGGTTGTGTTCGTGGCGAGCCCTACAAGGCCACGTGATTTTTGACTGACTCACGATGCACTTTTCCGGCAATCGGGCAGTTCCCGAGTGTCCCGAGTGGTAGCCGAAAAATTCACGGCGAGAATTGCACGCAATAATGATTGAGTCATTAGTTTGGATTCACATGAATCTTTTTCTTTTAGAGGGAATCAAGGTTGGCCAGCAAAAAATTTGTCATTATGATAGATAGTGTGTGTAGCTATGTACAATAAGTGATTTGGTTGTATTATCTTGGTCGTCGTTGCATCGTAAGTCATTATGTCGGTCGGGAGATGATCGAGGGGTGTCTCGGAAGAATAGAGCAGGAGGTGAAGATAATCGAAATGATGTTGGTCCCAGATTAACCGGCAATGGGAGAGACGGAGATGCAGCAGAAGTTGTTTTTGGAGGTCATTTCAATACAATGGCTCTGATCCGGAAAAAGACCATCATCAGGAGATAATTGGGAGGATTGAGATGCCACGGATTCCGTGTTCATGGGTATCTCAGTCGCTTCGACTCGGACAAAGGCATTTTTTGTCTCAGATTGTATCTTGATTTCGGGTAGGTCGTTCTCATCTTCTTCGTCCGTCTCTTCAAAGTCGAAGGAGCTGATGCGAGACTTCATATCATTTTCGGTCCAGAGGACAGATCCACAATGTAACCGGAAGTGAGCCACGCAGCGGCGGAGATTGGGATCGGGCGCGGTGGCCTCCCGAGTGAGCTTCTCCTTGGAGATGACGGTGAGCTTATATGGAAGAGCGTTTCGGTTCGCCATGGGGGGCCACCGCTTGTTGGTGTTCTTTGTGAAGTTGGGCACCGCCCGTGCAGGCTTAGGAGTCGCAGGAGTTTTGAGGCCGAGAGCAATGGTCATTCTCGTCTAGTCACTGGCGAGGGGGTGGTGTGACTGTAGGAGGATTACTATAGTGGAATAGTTTTGGTGTTGGCCGTTGATTGTGGTTGATAATTAGGATTGATTCCTGGTTGGAATTGGAGGTTTGACTGGTGATAGATTATTTCCGAGCAGAATGGTGCGTTGCTTTTGAGATTGAATGGGAAAAGGGAAGGGTTAGTCACAAAAGAGGGAGGAGTCGAAGCGAGTCTTATACGGGACGGATCTGCAGTATGGGGAACCAAGCACCCACTTGGTAAGAACGGCGCTAGGGGCTGCCCTCTAGAGGACTAGTCACTAAGGATTTTCGGGCCACCTACAGTCCTAACCTGTTGGCAAAAACTCTGCCGTGTGACCCAACTCCTCCACTTCTCTTATTCACCACCGGTTCTAGACCTGCCCGCTCTGAAGGCGTGCTTTGTTGGCCGCTGCTGCTGCAGTCATTACTTCGTAGTGGACTCCGTACTGGAGGATTTTTCCCCCTACCATTTTATCCGGATAGTGGATGATGGGATGACCTCTACTATGATTCATCACTCTGTTTGAATTTGCCATCTAGTGATCTATCCTTCTTTATTACCAAATAAATGTTTTATTGTAAGACCAGTGTCAAAGAGCAGGTCGTTCCTTTTCATCGTTAGAGCACAGCATACATTCACGGACCTTTTTCGTTGCACAGTGCACTGGTGCACTTACTGGGCCGGGTAATCGGGCCAGAAAAGAGTGGAGATTTGTGATCAGTTGATGCTTCGAAATTTTTTCTGTGGAGACCCTGCGGCGGAGCTTATCTTCCTTTATTCAGCAAAACCCAACTGGCAAACCACATTCCACAATCCACGCCCGGGGGAGACTCACGATCTCCACGGATTACCCTTCCAGGAAATCCGAACACCCTCAACTTCGTGACGAGTCTGGCTGGGCTCCTCGATAGTGATCAACCACGACTCTTCATGACAGAACTCTCGGTCGCGTTGGATCTCCTCTTTCCTACAGACTCGCTGGACTATACCTGCTATTTTTTTCCATCCAACATTGCTGAACTCCTTGAGGATTGAACTAGATTGCCTATCGCTGCGTGGCAAAAAAATGGAAATCACCAATTTGACTGAGCAATTCTTCAGGCACAGTACCGGACCCCTCGGAGAAATACTGCGTGGAACTAGAAGGCTAGAAGGCCCCGCCTCACACATTCCTGCCTAGGCTTCACCTCCTCCTTGGAGTGTTTCCTCAGCCCAAGGTCCACGGCGGAGACATCGTGATTGTTAACTGATTCTAACTTGCCAAACTGTCAAAACTGCGCCCCAAAGTACACACGTTCCACGATGCACATAATCTCCGGGAAAAAGTCGCGCGATGACAGCGACTGGCCTCTTTGGTTTCGGAGTTGACGGACCCCGTAGATCTTCTTGCCACTACCCCCCACTCTCTCCATTCTCCTCAACTCACAGCGCCCTTCAGTACGATCTTTGGACGGAGTATGAGGGTCTCCTACAGGATAATTATAGTAGACCCATATAACCCCCCTGATAGTGCCGAAAACAGGAGTAATGTGCCTTTTTTTGAGGTGCTAGCAGTCGCCCCTCCGGTAACGCAGGCGCGGCCATTACCGTCAAGGCTAGGCCTATTGCCAACATCTAAACCCCTCCGTCTACCCCAGAAGAGATGATTGTTGAGAATTTGAGTCTTTACTCTATAATAGTTCTCTTTCTTCATACTTATCTGACTATCTATGAGTCGCAGTCTTTATCCAGCTGTCCTATTTTCATCTATCAATCATTGTGCGCCATCGCAAACGTGCTGGACCCACTGTGGATATAAAAGAAAATGAAAATTGCGCCGAAAAAGTAAATGTTGAGGACAGTAAATATCATGAGCGAAGAATGCTAACGAGAAAGCTGATAAGCAAGAAGCCCAACTTGTGCATTCTAAAGATATCAAGTATCAAATCTTTCGAAACTGAAAGTAAAGGAAAAACAAGGCAGACAGTGAGATTTAGACATTCGCTAGGTTCAGACATACTTGGTACCATGTTTGACCTGTTTGGATATAGCTGTGATGGCTGGAGGTCATAGAGGGGTCGGCCTACATTGAATCTGGTGTATTGAAAAACTGTCAATGTGACACGGTACACGAAAGGTGGATGCATTTGATAGAGTCGCTAATGGCCCATCTTTAATTGACACTTGGCTTACGAGGGATGTTAATTACTATAGAACTTTATCTCGACCTGGACGTCCTTGACTCTGCGTCTTGCTTGTTTTCGAAGCCCTTGCATAGTAGTTCGTAGCCTTTAAGAAGGCAAACATGAAAGGAATGTTGTTTGCTTTCTCAAGCTATAATTTTTATTTACCTCAACCCAAATGCTAGAAGTTGTCCTATATCCAGTCGTTTTCCTATTAGGTATTGATTGATTGTTACCCATATTCAAGCCTAGCCGAGTATAATCAACACAGTGGCTATCTACATTATTTCGACATCTCTTTTGTTGCTTTTTTATTTGTTTCCCTTTCACCCCTAAACTAACTGCCGATCCTCACCTCTAGCTAAAGTTCCAGCGGGAACTACTGCACGACAGCGAATGACTCGTTTTAGGTCGCAACGCTGCTGCGGATTCCGATCTATCGGTCATGGGTTCAACTGCCCCGCACCCAAAAGGATGACATGCCCTTCCCGCCAGCTCCTCACCTGTAGTCTGAAACATTCCTTGCTCCGACTAATGCAAGATTGCAACTGAAGATCACCATACAGTAGAGTAGCCCCGAAGGATGACCTATACCGACAACGGGCATGAATCTACATACTACCTAACCTTCACCTGAGTTCCTTGATCGGCGTTTCAACCTAAATTGTCCACCCCTCAGCATCAAGGATATCCTTTTTTTTAATACACCTTGGTCCATCACACCCGCAGTTCAAGATTCTTCTTTCCATCCTCGGAGGTAAGCATTCAAACCCAATTCGTGTACTCGGACCGTGGCGGTCCAAGCCGCCCGTTTCTGGGCCTTGTTTATCGTTACATTCGAAGAATGAAATACCACGCCACTGTCACAGAGTTTTCGATTAATGCCTATCACTGTGAAAGTTGTCTAGAGTTTATGGAGAACTACTACGATGATCTACGCACTGTCAAGACTGATTGGGTCCTGGCATCATGTGGAGCATAGTGACAATGTCTTAGAACAGAAGATGACAGTCAAATCCCGGAAAGGGAATTCCAAACTCGGCAGTGGAGGCTAATCCAAGCCTCGTAATAGGCACCAACGAGTGGGTTGTAATCAATCAGAGGCCTTGTTCTGTTCTTGCCGAACTCGCATTCGCTACGCTTCTGAGTGCACGCTGTGCAACGCGTGGCCTTCCCCCGATACGCAACGCTCCGAGAACCTAGGTTCGTCATTATAGAAACAACGAAAGAGGCTCGGGCTAGACTTGGCCTAGTCGCCATTCGTGGCGCGCGTGATGCCCATGTCCACATGCCTCAATTGTGCAGCCGGTTTGTCTGGTGCTGGTCGAATCAGAGCTTCGCTTGCTCCTTAGACATACCGCTCATGCTATACGAGAGACATTGGATAAGCCGGATTTGGGTGATCTCCGTGAGTATCTTTCCTTTAGGGATCATTTCTTCAGGATTGGTTCTCTGTGGTCACTTTTATCTGTTTGAAACCAGCGATCCTCTCTTCGCTGAGTGGTTGGCGCCTGGTATCGTTGCAGTTGAGGGGGCAGGCTCCGAAGACTTTCATTCAGGTTGAGCCAGAATGGGGAGAGAAAGAATGTTTTTCGGCGGTCATCAACCAATTACTGGTCTTTAAATCGAGCTTACGAAAGTGGCTGAACGTTTTTATTGCTCGTTAGTCTCAAAGCTTAGTAGTTATTGGGGAAATAGGTCCTTATTCTAGATATATGGCCACGCCTTTGCGGCAGGATTTCCCTTTTTAGAGGCACTCTCTTGGGGATTTTTTTGTATTGTGCAGACTGGGCGATTCCCCGAATGAGTCAAGACATGGAGACACATTCTACTGAGGGATCCAGCAATTGCTCTATACGGGATGGCTGGCGAACAGTATATCTTCTGAAGTGTATATGCGTGTTGAGCTACCATACCAGTGGTTCAGAATATGCAGTAATGCAAAGCTTTGATCTGCCCATCAGAAAATCCCTCCTCACATCAGATAATGTGTCTGATATTATCGTTCAACCTGCAGGTTGCATCCAAGTCCCTGGATCGCGTTGGGCCGCCTTGATGCCTATCCTGTAAGGAGAGCCCCTTTGCCCCAGTATATTCAAAGTATGGCCCAAATTAGAGCTGCAGAGACATGCCATATTTCTCGTCCGGGTCCAGTGTTGCGCCTCGCTCCTCTTGGGACTCTGTGTAACCAGAATAAGTTGAAAAGGGTCGCTACCGAGGCCGAGCCTGAGAACGGCAACACGACAATCCGAGCTGCAGTGAGACCCGGCAGGAGCATATGTTAGAAGACAGCGTACATTGCGTTCTTAGTGGGCTCGGCGTCGTTATTGTGCAACTCTGTACATCTCCGCCCTCGTACGGCCGTTGAGGAAGGGATTCTACTCTTTCTGTTCGAGGCATATCAAACCTAACGACGATCGCGCGTCTGTGGTATTATTCAAAATTTAAAATTCGCGGCGCATGGACCATCGACTATCTCAAGTGATCAGGTCTGGGTCATGATTCAAAGGTCATCTGCGTCGATCCGAGGAGAACCCACTTGAACCTACTCGGCGCGGCGGGGCTCCCGAGCAGATTGCGAACCAGACCATAGCATCCCCCAGATGAGGGAAGATATTTCAGGTCACGGTATTGGTTCCTACTCGAGGACATAGCTCGACTCGACCATATAACGGTAGACTTGGATCTTCGAAGCGGGATCAGATGAATTATACATCAGTACCCCGCGACTCGACCCTCTCAAAACTCGGCGGCATCAAAGCGCGCACGAGCATCATCTTCATCCGTAATACGCTAGGCCTAAAACGTTGTTAGCTCATCTCGTCCGGCTGACAATATGCGGCCTGAGCTCCTATGACTGCTCGGCCTTTTTCAGTCCTCCAATCTCATTCGCCTACAGAGCAGAAGGCCCCCTCATTGCCTGTTTTTCCGAGCACTTCGCCTATGCCAAGAAGGAGATGTAAATTCGGTGCAGAAACAAGACATATGTTTCGAGGACTTGACCCGCGGAAGCTATTTCCCTTTCTCTTAGCGCCAGGACATTAACGTACTAGATTTGCCGTTAGGCCCGATATAATCCGATTGCATATCGCCGTCTCAAATGGCCGTTGGCTGTAACTTTGGACGCTGTTCTGCAGAAATGAGGCTGGATTCATGTCCGCCCTGAGGTTTATCGTGAAAATACATGCCCAGTAAGAGAAGGACAGTTCATCGTTTGGGACTGTTATTACCTCATGGCAGCACGATAGTTAGTTAGACTTACCAACTCTATCGAAGTTAACTCTAACTTATTCTTCCCTCTCACTTCATTCACTGTCTATCAATGTCTTTTCACTGGGACTGATTATAGCTATCATGTTCTAAGACCTCTCAAGTTACACTGTCCAGACCGGCCGAACTTGATCTAAGAAATTTGGAAGGCCTATCACATCAAGTCTATTCTCTCGCTGAGTGATGGAGGCATGAAGGGAAAGGACGCCTTGAAGAAGGACAAGGGACTTTTTGACCACGGTTTAGTCGAGACTGGATATCATTTCTAGCTCGTCTGCATTTCACTAGCACGATTTTGCAGCCCTTAAAACTATTTGATCATTACACAGTGCATACTTTCCAGGCTTGTATCCCATTCTTTCTCGATTCGAGCATCTCGTGATAAGCCCCGCGAAAGAAATCCAACTTGTACGACTACTGCTCTTGCTTCTTTTCCCCTTTCTACACCTTATTTCTCTGCCAAAACAACGCCGGAATATGCCAACTGCATGACTGCACGCAAATTCTGTCCACGCTGTTCGTGCCCATTCACGCAAGGTCCTCTATTTCACCAACCCCATCGGCCCTTGTCCTACCTCGGGAAAATCGCTTTCCGCTCGAGCAATTTGCTGCAGGAGCGAAGAGCGAGTTATCCACCGCAAAGCTTCTCATTTGTCTTTCACGCCCATCCTAGGAGCCCCCAAACCCTGCCCGCGCCGTATCCGCGACGCCGCGCCATTAGAAGATCAAAAAGAACATCCAGTCCCATTCCCGCTGGCCCCCCTCCTAGATCTGATCCCCTCGCCGTTGGACTATATCCGATCCTCTCTATAGTCTGACGAATTTTTACGGCGAACTACGGACTGTACCCTATAGAGTCCTTCAGTGCTCAAGTGATCTTCTAGACCTATCGTACCCTTATTGTCTTTGCTATCCTATGCCCTATACTTCGCGGCCCCACGGCAGATCCCGAGCCCGAGAACTACAGTGCTATCATTGACAAAGTTGCTTCCATATTACTTTTTACAATCCTTCCTTTTTCGGCTTGAGATATCTTTTGTTCCCTTTTATCTTATTTTTTCCCCCTTGAATTTTTATTCGGCTGATCTATATCGTGTTCTTTGATCCTCGATTCTGATTGACTGGTCATAATTCTGGATTATTTATTGCCTCCCTGGTCGACATTTCTCTCAAACAATTGGCTTTATACCTCCCCGGTCTGTCCATTCCCGTGACTAATCACGCGACGCTGCATTCCACCTGCACCTGCGCATCTCACATCTTTCAACCCCCCTTGCCCCAAATCCCGTCATCTTTTCCCACCCCCTTGAGACCCATCGTCGTGGGTCCTCATTGTCTGGGTCTCTAGATTTCTGGTTTTGTGTATTTCTGGGCTTTTGCCATCTCCTCTTTATCTGATTCGGGTGGTGTTGTTGGCGCCTATTGAACCACTTATCAACGACAGTATTCCGGCCCACCTTTTGGGAGTCCTGCATAGCACCTCACGTGGCAGCTGCCCTCCTGATTCCTCAGGCAACAACATCCGTGAAACCGCAGCACCGAATCAGGCATCAACCAGGCATCAAACTCCCCATCACCTCAACCCGCTCACCGCCTCGCCCCTCTCGCAACTCCCAGCGCATCCCGACGCCCGAAGCTCCATCGTTCGACCACATCTAACCCAACCATTCCCGCCGATCGACCTCAAGAGGCCCGACTCCCCCCCATCTGCATGCAAGCCTAGCATACCCGCCCACTTGCGCCACCGACTCTTGTCGCAACTTGTTCGCGACTCGATCCCAACCCATCCTCCGGGCGCGTTCCCTCGACGCGCCATTTCGCGGCCTCACCGTTCGATCGTTCGACTATGTATGGCACGCCTCAATCTCACGCGACAATGAACGGACTGGGCGAGGTGGTCGACGGCGCGGGGACCATCGATCCCGCAAATCTCAGTAACTCCGGTATGTCTGACTTTGCTCTTCCCTCGTCATGATTTTATCGGTCGCATCGTCGTCGTTTTGTCGCTTTTTTGATATTCCTTGCGCTTGCGCTGTGTGTGTTTGCTGCCTGTCCTGATTGCACCTGTCGTCTCTTTGCGCACCTCGCCGCGATGGGGATCCTCGTCGCCGTTCATTAATGGCGCTCGATTTTTCTCGCCCCTCTCTTCGCCCTCTCTGTCACTTTCCCAGTCACCTTCCTGTACACTGATACCCCTCCTAGTCTCTGCTATGCCGGCACCATCCACTGCTGAGCCAAGTCCGCGTGGTGTCAAGCGTAGTCGCACTCCAGATCACAGTGGGAATGGACTTAGAGATGGAGATCAAGACGATGGTACGTGTGCGATAGGAGGTGGAACAGCGGGACTCTAGTCATCCTTATGTCTTTTCGTCTGTTTCCTCAGGGAAATTGCATCTTTTCCTTCGCTCCGCTTTTGCGTTCCTTTCTCACAGTCGCATTTACTTTGTGCTTTGTTTCCTGCAGTTTGCTAACCTCTTTTGAATTTGATTTAGAGGACCAAGGTCGTCGCAAACGCGGTCGTCCCCCTAAAACACCTCGGGCTAGCTCCAACGATCATCAAGCCACGGGTACTCCTGTTCAAACGCCTCAGATGCAAACCCGGCCTCTGCCTCACCAGGGTGCCGGGTCCCCGCCGCTTGCATCACCGCCTGACAAACCCACTCCGTCAAAGACGCTCGTCAAAGCACTCCCCACTGTCAGAGACCATACGTCTGATCAATTAAACGAGGAGGGCGATGAGTACATCCCCAAGGAGTTTGATGATGCCGGAGAAACAAAGGTGGATTCTATGGGTTATCCCCTAGGTGGCCGTGAATACAAATGCCGCACTTTCCGTGTCCCCCACCGAGGCACCAAGCTCTTCATGTTGGCGACGGAGTGCGCAAGAGTGTTGAATTATCGGGATTCGTATCTACTATTCAACAAGAATCGCTCGTTGCACAAGATTATTGCATCTCAAATCGAGAAGGACGACCTCATCCAGCAAGACATTCTCCCATACTCCTATCGCTCTCGCCAAATCGCAATCGTTTCCGCCAGGTCTATGTTCCGGCAGTTCGGCAGTCGCGTGATAGTGAACGGCAGACGAGTTCGTGACGATTACTGGGAGAGCAAGGCGCGGAAGCAGGGCTTTACCGAGGAAGACATGGCCGGTGAGAAACGTCCCGGGGCCACCAAGGCTCGTGACCCTCCGGTAGAGACTCAGACTTCCACTTTGCTGCCACTTCCCCACAACGATGTCATCTTCAGCAGTACTGTTGAGCCTCTGCCACCCGGCTTGTCACTGGATGTTACGGATTCTACCTCGTTGGGCCAGCTCCCGATGATTCATATGGCGACAACCGACGATCCTCGGCTGCGGGATTACAATTCTATGCCTCGCTCACGCCAAGAGTTGACTGGCCAACTATACCAGGACAATACACGGACCAGTACTGGGGCTGAAATTATCCATCAGGCTCAGACCGCTGCCGATTTCAATAAAGCTTTGAACGCTCAAAGAAGTTTCCGTCTGAAGGGGTTGGATGAATTCTACGCGAAGCCTCGCGAGGCGCCTGAAATTGAGGGACAGGCCACCACTGCTCTCGATTCTGGCTTGTCCGTGTCGCAGCCTATTCAGCCTGTCCAAATACCACCTGCGGGGATGGCAACCTCTTCCCATCCTCAACATATGATTCCTCCCCAGACCATGGTGCCCGGTCAACAAGCTTTCCCTCAGCAGCCACATCAACAATCAATCGCTCAGTCCCCCGTCAGAGGAATGCCTCCTACCGGCATGCAACCCAACCTTATGCATCAGCGATCCAACCCATCCATGCCGGCCGGTATACCCCAGGCTTCCTACGCGTATCCTTCGCAGCAGCCACAGCAGATGTGGGGTCAACCACCACCTCAACCCCAACCGTCGCCCATGTCCGCGTCGGGGCCGCAAGGGGTGGGGATGCCTCAGTACGGTCAGCAGATGCCAGCAAATCCACAACAGGCACCATCGCCGCTGCACCATGGCCAGCAGCCTCAGCAGTCTCCTCGTCAACACCGCCCGTCGGTGCCACAAATTCCTCCGCAATTCCAGCAGATGCAGCAGCATCCCCAAATGCAGCAACAGATGCAACAGCAAATGCAGTTTGCAGCCGCCGGCTCTCCTGCTGGTTACCCTACTATGGCAAGAGCAATGTACCCCTCCGGACAGGCTCCTGGCGGTCAAGCCTTCATGACCGGCAACCCCCAGCAAGCAGGTATGACGATGCCCATGGGTGCGGGTGGTATGCCTGGCTGGCCTGCGGGAGCTGGTGCCCCGATGCAACCTGGTCAGCCTCAGCCTGGTCAGTCCGGCAGCCCATTGGGAGGATGGTCAGGCTACTAGATTGTGGTTTGGCGTTGTCTAGAATGGCGTTTATGGGACGCATTTTGCAGCATCGCAGACACCATTTGTTTTTATTCATTTGTCGCTTTCTTGACATCCTCAAATGTTTCCCGGTCTTCCTATTTCGCCCCTCCTTTTCCTGTTGGGGTGATCAACCCGATTTAACCTCTCTGTCCCCCCTTGCATCTTGTGTCTTCTTGTGTGACAACCCCTCATCGAGGGGTTTTTCGGTAATGTTAATCTGGGCCAGCCTCCCTATACCCTTTGTTGTACTTGGTTCGGCTCGGGTCTTGATTGATGTCCTTGCACGCTATTTTCCCTGTTTTTGATTCTCCTATCCTGTTCATTTCAGTGGTTCGGGGAAAGTCTCACCCGGCGTTTCTTATTGCTTGTCTTTTCTGGCGTTGATTTCCCACCTGTTTTGTTATTACAGATCTACGAGTATGTACGTTTCTTCTTTCTCAATATCCTTCGTCATACATGGTCGATAGAGAGGGTATCAGTGCCGAGTTTTTTCGGCGGGCTGTTTCTCGGATTCGAGAATTATTTGTTATCTATGCTCTACTCCCCAACGCGTTTCCTCTCAATTGGTGCTTCTTCCTGGGAAGCATATTTGACAGCTGCCTTTGTGCAAATTTCACCCTTGCGTGTGTTCTGCTCTTTTGCCTGTATTACCGTCTGTGGGATTTTTTTTCCTAGGGTGCTTTCTTCGGATAGCCTCCTTTTTTGCTTTGCTGTCTATTTCATCCAGTCAACTTATGTGAACGGCAATATCGGACGCTCATCATCCCTAATCTACGTTTCTGCTGTCCATACTTCTATCATGTGTTATTTTCGCGGCGAGCTTTTGTGCTACGTTCACTCTCGAAGTTGTTTCATATTCCCCTCTCTTGCTGTGGGTAGCTTCAAATTGACAATGATACCTTGTTCTGACTCTTCCGGTTTTGTTGTCTTGTTTCGCTCGCATGGTAGCATGTCGTTGAGTTAATATTCTCGACTACGGACCACTTGCATGGACATTTATCGGGACGATGGTGGCTATTAGGAGACGCGTATATCCATCATGCCTATACTACGGCCTCAACACAACGAATATGCATACTCTCAAGTAGATCTCCTAGGGATTATCAGGCTTGTTTACGAGCATGCCGCGGACTGTTTGCTAATGTAGCATGAGCTTTCTTCTCCATGTTCCCGAAAAAGAGTCGATTAGTCTCGGATTTATCTCGGTATCTTGCCTCGCGATTAAACAAAACTTTGATCTCGCCACCGGGCAATGATCAAAAATACTACACCCAGTACCCACTTCGCATACAGCAAAAAGGATTTAAAGACGTCCCCGGGAAGGCTCGAACTTCCAACCTCCTGATTAACAGTCAGACGCGCTAGCCGATTGCGCCACGGAGACAGTCGATATGGTGTGGCTTGACTTATGTTAATATTACTGGAACTTCATAATTCCCGCTTGCTCACTGGGAAGTTCTAACTAAGTCTGGAGATCAGACCAAATGATTAACTCAACATTAACCGGGCCATGGTTCTATAATCCTAATTACAAGGATCTTTCAAAAGCTATACTCAATATCTTCTTCAAATCTTTTTATCTGGTCTAAGAATATACTACGACTCCGTGGCCATCCAGGTATATATCTTTTAGTCGTTTTCAAGGCTATGTTGCGCTCGAGGGCTATTGGGCAAATAAATATATTTCCGTCGCGTGTTGTCACGGAAAGAGTTCATCTGCATCATTAACACGACTAAAATATATGGAAAGAAAAGAGAACAAAATTCACACAAATATCAAACCTGGTATAGCTCACTAGCATTCTCTAGTACTCCCCGCCAAAAAGCGTGAGCAGAATACCCAGTGGGATGCCCAGGGAAGGCGAAGTAGAATATTTTGTTCACGATATGCGTCTAAGCCAATTCAATACCATCAGAAACACCCTACCAACCGACTCTCCGAAATCATCTGGGCTTCCTAGCATTCCGAGAGCCATTAAAATATCCTGTTGTTTAGTTACTTAGTTCCATATTCTCGCAAGTTAGACTGGAATGCTTTATTATGTCGACTACCGAGAACCACCTCGACCAACACGAGTAGAAGCAGTTGTCGGTCAACCTGTCCCTATGGAACACCACCAAGAATGCTCAGAGATGAAATAGAGGTGATATCCTCGCACATAGATGCATAGCAACAGAAGAAATCGACATATAGACTCAACCATTCTCGAGCTAAATTTCAAACTAGATCACCTACGCATCCGAAAGGCAATAGATCCGATAAAACTCGAACTCATTCCATACTGATCATCAAGAACAAGGTATATAGCCATTATAGCTAGTTCAGAGAAGTTAAATACTTTCCAAAAATTGTTAGTGATATTTTTAACATGAAGAACAGACAAAGACCGAAAACTGATGTTCCGATTTCCCACAAACCGAGTTTTTCTACCCACGGTTCCCTCCCACACAACGCAAAAAATCGTACTGCGCCTACTCCGTAAGATTCGTTAGCAGTTAGAGCAATTGATCTTCGGAAGACCGCAAAAAGAAACGTCCCCGGGAAGGCTCGAACTTCCAACCTCCTGATTAACAGTCAGACGCGCTAGCCGATTGCGCCACGGAGACCCACTTGTGTAGAACGTCGGAGGAAATAGTGGCTCACGATATTGAACAAATCCAAAACTGGGAAAATGGGCAGTCTGACCATATATAAGACGAGGCTACATGAGGTGGATGGACGAGTCGTGGGCAAAAGGGAACGAAGAGCATCCCATTAGAACTAATGTTTCTAACAGTGTCCCCCAGTGACTTTCATAAGGGGATACGGGAAGTGGAGAGGGTATCCTTTGATTTGCGTTGAAAATCCTAGTCAAGCCATCGCGTTCAGAACTTTTTTTCGTGCCTCTAACGGATTATCTCGCAGACTATTATTTAAAGGGTCTTTTTGTCAATTTGATGGATCAAGAAAGAACATTTTCTATTACCTTCTCGATATAACTGCGTCCAGAAATGAATTGTAAGTAGAGTGAGGTAGGAAGAATGCAACCTAAGTGAGTAGAAGGAATGAGTAATATAGCGCTAAAAAAAGCTGCTTCATGACACAGAGAATGTGAGGGTGGGCAAACCAAGACTCCTGATATGAGCTGACTTTTCATGCTATGTCTAAATAGTCGGGTTGAGTCCGAAGTCGGACACATACGTAGGACGTGGAGGCAGGGCTTCCTACCCGATCAGCCGTACTTTATACCCGTACTCAAACTAAGAACTGTACATGATCCGTTCTCCATGCGCACTCAATTTAGAATAACGTCGGATTAGTTATAAGTTTAAGTGCCGGTAGATGAAGTTCCTAGAGACTAAGGTCAAATGAAGCAAGAAAAGTCTCCTCCATTCAATCATTGTTTCTTGGATAGTGACACCTAGATTCACTTGTAGGTTATCAAAAAGATGAGAACATAGATACGCCTCTAATTCTTGACACAGAGAGTTACAGGTATACACACAGTGTATGGCCCCACCCTGATGTCTTAAGGGACCAAACACATTCAGTGCAACGGCTTAACGCAGCCTCCCCTGCGCTACCGGGCGGTAGCGGGAGCGGCATTAGTGTTAGCATAGTAGTAGTAGTAGTAGTAGTAGTAGTAGTAGTAGTAGTAGTAGTAGCAGTAGTAGTAGTAGCAGTAGCAGCAGCAGTACCAGTACCAGGGCCAGCTTAGATGGCTCAGGAACTGCTCGTTGGTCGATTGACTACGTGCTATGAAGAGAGAGAAAGGAAGGAAAGAAAAGGTCCTTCGCCTCTAAGCAGCCTCCACCAGAAAAAGGGTGGTCCTAGTCATTATAACTCGCAGATCACTGTAACGCGCACATTTATGGGAGCATTGAATTCAACCTCTTTTTGCGGTATAAGGACCGCCTTTCTCATCACTAATCTGTAAATATTATTCGGCACCGAGAGTAATCCCTAAACGGCTATGTTTGCGACCTTCCTTCCTTCTGATTGTATCTTATGCCCTTAGGCCAGAGCACCATATTTATCATCAAATACGCATGTGAAGATCTCTCCCCATATCAGCAAGCCCGGAGTCTTTGATAACCTTATTCAACGGATTTGATGCCTGACTCCATAGGCATCACATATAGATCTTTTGTTCTTGTTCGCGGGGACCTACTCTTCATTCTTTCCACGTGCTGAATTCTTCGTTGAAGTTTTATTGAATTGCTCTTTATCAGCTTCGTAAACATACAACGATCAGGAGACTTCAGAACAGCAGAATGCACCGACCCGTTCATCGCGTTGAATTTTCACAGTCCCAGGTATTATTATTATGTCTTGTTCAAGTCCAGATAACTACACAGGGTACAAGAAAACGAAACTTTGAAGTTAAGTATGTTCATTGAATTTATATATATAACGCCCGAGAGCCCAATTATATCTCATGGGGTATTCGTAAGGAAAGCGACGCGATTGTATACGGCTCTAGGGAAGTACCCGCCCTAGAATCACTGCGGCCAGTCCTTGCAGTCATTATACGCCATTTCGTTGATTGGTCGATTTAGTGCTTAGCAGCCTCTGTTACTCATGTTAGATGGTTCCATATATACGAGAGGGCATATTATCTGACATACCCTTGTGGACATCAGCTTTGGTGTTGTGAACGTGCTCGTCCTTCTTGTCACCGAGAGCATCAACGGCAGCATTAGCACGGGTGCTGATGCTGGCATCGGAGTCCTTGGCGACCTCCTTGTTCGCGGTCTTGGAGGTCTGGGCACCGGCACCCTGGACAGTCTCAGAGACGTAGTTGGCAGCGTTCTGATGAGCATCTGTTAGCAGACAGCACCAAAGATGGAAGTCGAAGGTAGGAGCGATAGTAACGAACCTTGATGGTCTCCATTGTGAAGGTGAAGTTTGAGTGGTTGATTGAAAAGGTTTGTTTGTTTGGTAGTTTGGTTCTTGCAATTGTTGATGAAGAGTTCGTTCGAGGGCGATCCATGGGCTATTTATCCTCGAATTCATGGCCTTGGTTATCCTGTGATACACTACGTCATGGCCGTCTAGACCCCTCGGTGACGATTGCGGTCCGGGCTTGGTTATTGTGGAGAAGTGTTCCGGGGGTCTGAGTTCAGGATAAACAAGATTCTGCTACTGCCAAGCCACAGGTCTAGTTCTTGCAGCCAGTATGTATATACAACGTGCGGATTAGATCGCCGCACAGGCTTTCAAGACAACATCTATATGAAATTTTAACTACAGCCAGGAGACCTGAACAGCCTTAATTATTTCACATTAATATTTTCTCCCTACAGAAAATCCTCGCAACATCTTTCTTGATGGAATTTCCGGACTAAGAAACTTGGAGGGGGAATACTTCGGGAGGCTCCGCGGTGACGCAGTGGCTGGCGCACCCGAAACTTGGTTCTGTCGGCTCCCTTGAACCTGGACCAACTTTCATGCATGCTCAAGAGTCTAGGACTGGCGGATTCACATGAATTTTGGGGCTCGCCATAGTTGGCTTGATGCACGGAATTGTGTTGGTGGCGGTCGTCCTACAAGATAGATGCTATCAGCAAGGTCGTCGCATTATTCCTATCACCGGATGTTCCCCATAGCCGGTGGCAAGGCGAATACACGTAAGCCCAGCAGATAGCAGTCATGATTCATAGGTTCCAAATGCGGACTTTGAGTGCACATTTTGATTTTGAGGACGGCCATATTAATTTGGCCAGCTACTATTTAGATCGATGATCGATGATCTACCGATCCATGTGCTGTTAATTGGCATACGTGCATCCGTGGCCTGTCAAGATTCCGAACCAGGAAGGTGGGGCAGGGGAAGAGCCCAAGCGTACGTCATCCCCAGGCTCAGCCAATCTACAACTCGGTCCATGGTATGTTCCAACCAAAGAGGTATCGTAGGTCATTCAGAAATGATGCCTATTGACGTAGAAGGAACCCAGAAGTGGTATGAACCAGTAGCAGCCACGTCCACGCCTTGGCTCGGGTAGAAGCGCTACGATTGCAATTCTCGAGGCATACTAGATTCGTGAAGATAATTGACAGATGTACATTCGAGTTGCAGATAAAGTTATTTAGAACAAACTAGCTATTCGTAAGTACTTAGGTGTATGTACTCTTCTTGAAGTGATACCAAGTAGGGTAAGCGCGACTGACTTGGCTTTTAAGGATTTGGTGTCGAGTCTTGTCTGGCTACCCTGACATTTCATTAAACGGAGCAGAGATATAAGCATCTGTCTCCGTGGCGCAATCGGCTAGCGCGTCTGACTGTTAATCAGGAGGTTGGAAGTTCGAGCCTTCCCGGGGACGTGCGACTTACCTTTTGCTGCCTGCCACATTTCAATCAAAGTCCCTTACGGAAGGAACACTTGTTAATCTTTTTGATCATTTTTTTTTTTAGATACTCTTGATTTTTTCATCGGATAGTTATTTTCATCCTATTAAATTGGAAAAATCTCATTAGGCTGGTTAATTTACACGATTGGTAGGGAATCTCGAAGAGTAGCCACCGATATATATTCGTACACTTACCACTCCCGACGACCCGCCAGCAACTCACCGAGTTTCCGGTCCACGCCCTCCATCCTTTGAAAGGTCTTTCTATACAGGTCGGGAAGTACCTGTTCGTCTGTTCTCATCCATATCATACCAATGAGATGAGATGAGGTGATTTTGAACTTTCTTCGGGGTTTCAAACCAATGGAATCCACTAAAGATTATGCTCTATAACGGTAAGCTGGCCTGTTGGTACCTAGGTACTTGGTATACATTACCTCGGCAAAATTGTATAGCCTCTGAGCTTTTACAACGATACGAAGCAGTCTGAAAGAACCATAAAATGAAATGGAAGATAGGAGAGAGAGTGTGTGTGTGTACCTCATAGTATGTATTGAACAGGGCTGTTCCTTCCTCCGGTAACCTTCTTCCCCACAACCTTAATCCCGAAACACAAATATCCGACAGAAGTTTATTCCATCTACGTCTCCGAGTAGAGAAGAGTAAGCTCAGCCTCTCCATAATCTGCAACGCCCTCCTTCTTCATGGTTAAATTGATCTTATCTCCCGAAACAGTTCCCTCAAACCTAAACCGGGAAATCCGAGTTAGTGCAACCCAAACAACAGTATAGGAAGTATGATCAGAGAAACTCACCAGTAATCCTGATTCTCACCGACAAATAACTCAATACTATCACCATCAAGCTTGGTAATCGTGCCAGTCATAGAATAGGTTGCCTTTGTAGACGCGCATTATGGTGGATGATGGGACTGTGCGAAAACTGTAATGGATACAGAAGGTTCAATGCAGAAATAGATATGGAAAGAGAAGGCAATCGAGGGAATAGGGTAGGTGGGCTTTCATGTCTATTCTGATGGGTTCATTCTTGGACCATCTGCCATCTACCTTCGGGATTTTGAACCAGACTAACCCCGCTCATCCAAGTCCACCACCTACAAGATCGAATAGCGTTATTCGAGACTCTCGTATGCCGATATGATACGGTGTCCCAAGGCTAGACTGCAGCAAGAATACAACGAGATAGACTGTCCAGCCCTGTTCGACCAGCTCTCGATCTCATGTAGATCACTAGTGATCACAACCAAATCTTGCCAACCCAAGGCAAGCGATCTAACTTCGGTGTAGCTTGGATGTAGCTTACTCAATCTGCACGGCCACATGCAAGTGATTATCCAATGCGGGGTTGACAAGATTGGCAGCACGGGTTCACTCAGTCAGCCATGTTCGTCTAGCCCTAACATGAGCCACGAACTGCCACCACGATACGTAGTTCTCAGCTAGCCATGTTTGCGGGTCATCAGTTTCAACGCTACAGATATTGCAGCTATCTCCACAAGCATCACCGTTATAATCTCAATCGTACACGCCCTTGAATCAGTCTGCCTTCTTTATTCACCAATATTAGTAAAGAAAGACTCGATTCAGTTTGCCAGTAAACACACAGATCCTCCGTCGGAAGGAAGTGGAAGATCATCTAAGTGTTTCTCTGGGGCATGTTCATGCAACATGCACGGCTATCACTGTGCATAACCGATTCAGAGTGCATACAGTACGTGGCGTAGCGAACGTCTACTGGGATTTGGCATCGTTGCAACGGAATCTCTTCGTGGAGAAAGATACGTTCTCACTGGCTAAGTCAATCATGGAGTCATGCACCGCTCAGCCATGAGCCTTAAAGTCGAGTTGAGCTTAACTCTGCATGAACAGTCAGGCAGCCACTAGCCCAATAGAACTAGAAGATCCGTCCACCTACAAAAAAGCACAGCGGATTTGTAAACAGGAAACTTAGATTTTAGAAGCTTTCATACACAGAACTAAGGGCTCTCAGAGCCAAAAACCCCCCCTCCAGCAAAAAGAGGTATCTAAAAACCCGTAACCAGAGGCGTGGTAACGGGCGCCGCACTCGACGGGCAAACACAAGCCGAAACACTAGTCACCGGCGGCACAGTGCAGTGCGGGTTAACAGTCCATGTCGCAGACGTAACAACAGCACGGGCGTTCGTCTCGACCTTCTCCGCCTTAACAAGCACAGGAATGACAGCACCAGTGTTCAAACTGAAAGTGCGGTGTCCAACAACATCCAGGATAGACCCGATCTCACCCGAGTGGCTGGTCACACTGACAAAGGTATCATCCTTGCCGCTAGAAGAGAAGAAAATCTCGCCCAGCACGGTAGTGCTGCGGATATCCTGGGCGGCGCTGGTCTCCTCGGTGACGCCGTTCCACAGCTGGTCGTTCTCCGCGAAACCGTCCTCGATGCGCCAGGACGGGAACAGGTCCTTGATGTAGGTCTTGCTGTGGCGGTGGTCGCAGGTGTGGATGCTTATGCTCTCGCGCAAGAGTTCCTTGATCACGGGCTTGAAAGGGGCGGAGCCGTGGGGCAATTGCAGGCCGGTGAAGGTGTAGTTGGCGGTTTGGAGGGTACGGGTCAGCGGGGAGACATAGTAGTTGTCTGGGGTGTGGATGCGCTGCTCCTTGATCTCCTTTTGCCAGAAGTCGTGCGCGATGAGGGCTTGGTTGACGCCGTTGGGGGTCAGGGCGGCGTCGGACCAGGTGGCGGTGCTGTTGCCGTCGAGCTCGGCCCAGTAGCACTAAATTTGAGATAGTTCGTGTTCAGCTGGGTGTTGTGCGAGAAGAGGTCAAGAAGGGGAAATGTGGACTTACGTTCCAGGCGGGAGTGCCATAGAAGGACTCCGCGGCGTTGTGGTAGCCCTCACCGTGGCGGCCGAGGAAGAGCACCTTGTACTCGACGTCCTTGCCCGCCTTCTTGTTCAGCTCCTGGACCTGGTTGTAGAAGCGTTCCCACTGAGTGAGGTCCTTGCCATTGTGCTTGAGCTTTTGGTCGGCGGGGTAGGTGCGGTTGATGAGGCCAAAGTTGACAGCAGTCTACACGCCAAGTCAAGTGGATGTTAGATCATGATCTTTGAATTTCCCGAAGGAAAAGGTTGCATTGCAGTTCGATCACTTACGTAGTCAAAGGTCGACGGATCAGTGGCAGTCTCATCCTGCAGGAAGTATCCCGACACGGTGGAGTATTCAATCGAAGATGCGGCTTGCACCGACGCGACAAGACCCAAGAGGGCCGGGGTTAGAGCGGAAACCTTCATGGCGCGGCTGACTGTTTTTCCACGATACTGAAGCTGTCAGGCAAGTGGGCAGCGTGGGAGCTGGTGAGAATGATCGGCAGAGCCATCGGTTTTTATACGTGACCCGGCGGAGACTGTCCGGCGTGAACTTGTCAAGGGCAGGAATGTTGGAGCTCTCCGCAGTGGGCAGCGGGCCGACTTGAAACAGCGAAAGAGCGACGGCCAACGGAGCGGAGCACGTGGCAGGGCGGGCGAAGAATTGGCTGACCCACTAAATAAACTAAATTCAAACTAAAGGCTGGCTAAAGTCACTAGTTATAAGTTACTCGACCATTATTAGCTATATCTATCATGTTCACCATCGGCTAATTAGAAAGGTAGCCTTAAATACGTCGACTTTCTGACGATGTAGCCAATCGTGGCCCGGACAGACGTCGTGCATCGGCAAAGTAGGCCGTGGCTCGTCCGTAAGCGCCGGGTAGTTCGAAAATGACACGCGAATAGAGAAAGGTCCTCGAGCTAGGCTCGCCAATTTGCACCAATGACAACATCCAACCACATTTTTGATCGGGTGACAAGAGAGCGGAATTCACAAGGGTTCTGAAAGAGAACAAAGAAGAAGTAGGTATAGATAGATAGATAGATAGATAGATAGATAGATAGATAGGTACATATACTATGTATCGAATAGCCAGTTGCTGCCAAATATGCAAGTCCGTAACCTGTTCCAAAAATAAAGGAGTCAAGCCCATCCCCAAAAGAAGTAGGTAGTGTACGCATGAACGAAGAAATGAACAATGGGTGATCCACAAAAAGGGCCACGGAGAAGGTAAAAAGGTCTCGAGCACCGATGGCTCGGAAGAATTAAAAGGTCGTATCAGACACCCAAATAGAATATCCCAGGCCAATAAACACAAAAATGCACACAATGCTCCTGATATGTAAAAAACCCCGGTGGGACAACACCGAATAAAATAGAGAGACAAAAGAAGAAAAAACGAAGATATGTAGAAGGCAGCTTTCGACAGTGACTCGGTTTTCCCGGGCGCAATTAGAAAATAAACAGGGGCCTTACGTACGTAGGCGAGGGAAAAAAAGTGATGACCAAAAGCGGTAAAAGGGCAAAGCGGAAAAACAACTCGCACGTGAAGACGAGATGGCGCGTAGCGGTTCGTCCCAGACCAACAAAAGTATATTTATCGCGGCACATTTCTCATAGCCAAACCGATCCTGGGTCCAACAAGGGTTGTAAAGGGATGTCAATTCCTTCAAGAAGGGTAATGACCCGGGGTCGTGTTATTCGCAAATCCATAAGCCTTTGTCTTGTGCCCCATGTGCTGGGCAACAAAACGAGGATCATGCTGCTCGTAGTCATTCATCATAAACTCAGTTTGCTTCCGTTCACCGCCATCTGCTGAGCCCTGTAAGTCCGCATCTTCAACTGAGTAGATCAAAGAGGGAGAACCAGACACGGGCTCCATCCCAAACGCGTGTCCAGAGTGGTCGACCGCTGACTCAAACCCAATGGGGGAGACAGTGGTCGAATGGGGCACCTGGAGACCGCTCTGGAAGTCAGGTGAGGAAATAGAGCTAGTGTCTGCCCAGCTCCGAGCGGTCATGGGTACCGGATCGCAGCTTACGTACTCGGGGAACGCGGAAACCTGGGCCGGAGCTGACATGGGCGGGGCGACATGCTGGTATGGGAAGGGGGAGTAGATATCCAGTGGCGTGGTAGGTGGCGACGCGATGTTCACTTGCATCGGCTGGGAGGAAGGGAAGAACTGAGTTGTGGAATGCGCAGACAAGCAGTAGTTGCTGTCCGTCGGCGAGGCAGGCAAGAAGTGCTGGAAGTCCTGAGGCGTCAAGGGAGTTGGCGGAGCCAGAGTCGTCGAAGACACAGACGGGCGCAGCATATCGGCCTTGCTGGCCTTCATGGACCCGGACTCGGCGAAAGTGAAGTTCAGAGGAGAGCGTTGGGCAGCCGATGCCTTTCGGACACCTGCATACCGAGTGTTCAGACATTGGGCCGACTTGGAGTGCCTCATCGAGTTACCGGCACCAGCAGAGCTTGGGACGCGGCTAGTAGGGGACAGGGACGACATGGAAGTGGGAGCAGCCAGAGAACGGGCGTTGGAGGTGCCAATGGCAGCAGGACGAGGACGCTTGCGCCGGGCGGCAAGATCAAGCTCCTTTCCAGCCTCCTTCCACGATGCTCCTCCTCCGCGACCCAAGGATTGGGGCATCCCAGACTCGCCAGTGTGAATGCCGATGCCATCCAGGGCAGTAAGCGCACCAGATGACTCGCGTCGAGTGACAGAGATATCCGGGGTCTGCAGGGCCATCGGGTATTGCATATTGTTGTAGTCAATGCTGCCATCTCCGGGAAGCTGATTCTTGGAGTGTTGTGCCCATTGTTCGTTCTGAGCATGGTACTGAGCTCCAGCGAAGGCCTCCACATTCTGGGGTACAGAGTGCGATGAGCTGGGTACCTCAGCAATCGTTTGGCATGAAGTAGTCTCAGCTTGGCCATGCGAGGATGCCCACGACGTGGACTCCTCGTTGTTCTGCCAATCCGAGTAACCAGCGCCGTACGCAGTTTGGGTCTTGCTTTCTTGGTGCTTAGGGGTAGTGCTAGGCGGGGCCATGGAGGTGGGAGAAATGGCCTCGTCCTCCTGTGTAGACTCGTGCTTGCTGCCTCGTCGGCCTGTGAAACGGTCTCGGGCAGCGCATGCAGCATTCAACGCCCGCTGCAGAGATGCGAACGTTGCCTCGCGAGCTGATTCACTTTTTGTCTTTTGGTGTTTCTTCGTCTTGCCATCCTCCTTGCTATTCTCCGACGTGGAAGTGGTGGCTGTGGACGCGGCGGTGGTAGTCTCTGGCTTGGGGGTGGTGAACTCCTCTGATTCTTCCTTCACAGCGGACGCCTGGCGAGACTCGGAAAGTTGGTCAATAGTCTCGGACTTTTGTCGTGCGGCCTCTTCGGCCTCGGTCTTGGCTTTCTGCATCTTCTCAAATTCCTCCTGGCGTTTTTGTTGCTTGGCCTTGGCACGTCGATTTTGGAACCAGTTCTAAGCGGACGGAAATTAGCACGGGTGTTGTCTCAATTGTGCCCACCAAAGATATTTATCGGAACCAAGACATACCGCAACTCGAGGCAGACTCAGGTTGGTTTGAGCCGCCAATTGCCGCTTGACGTTGCTGCTAGGTTTGGGGTGGGCCTGGAACTGAGCTTCCAAGGTCTCGACCTGCTCCTTGGTCAAGCGAGGGCGCGAGAGGTTCTCTGTATATTCGTCGTAGTCCATGATGGGTTGGTGGTAGTAGTCGAGCATCTCCATGGGTGGATGGGGGTAGAGATATCCGTCAATGGGGTGGTGGTGCATCATGGGCGGCGGCACCATGGCCGGGTCGTAGGCCATGGCATGCTCCATTGGGAGGCCCGGGTGGGCTTGGTAGTTCCATGAGGGGTGAATGTAGCTCATGGCTGTGAAGTGAGGGACGGGCTGAGAGGAGAAGAGGAGGAGGGAGATGTTGTATGATGAGGTGGAGGATTAGGGAGAGGATCGGAGAGGGAGAACGGGGAAGTTCTAAAGGAACGAAGGTCGCTGCACGAGGAGGTAACTGCAGGTACGAAGAACAGACTATATCATGGACAGCGCGAAGTGTGATGAGTGGCGAGCTTTGGAAGGAGTGTGGGTGGACGTAGGTAGAAAAAGAAACGAGCCAAGTGAGGGCATACAAGGTTGATTAAGGAGAGACGGAGGCCGAGAAAGATTAAGGCCGAGAACGGTAGCAAACAGAAAAAGGAAAGAAAAAGAATGTAAAGGGGAATTAAGGAAAGTAGTAGTGGGGGGAGTGAAGAGGTAGGTGATGAAGAGGAGAAAGGAGGAAGGAGAGGAGGAGGAGAGAGAGAAGCGCTGGCGGAGAGTGATGGAGCGATGGAGGAGCAATCGGGACCTGACGAGGAGTCGTCGTCGAAATGAATTCCGGAGCTTTGGCGGGTGGTACACTTGGTCACTTGGTACGGGGCGGTACGCAAAGACCGGGGGAGCTGCGGTACAGATCTGGTACGATCTGGGACCCGTATTTTTTATTTGTCCAGGAACTGTAGAACTGATTACCGCTATGAACCTATGATATAATTCCTTCCTATTGCTCTTATTACTATCTCTCTATAAAACATCCTTTTTAAGTCGTTTCTGCGCCATGGAGAAGTAAAATTCTCTCCCCTAATCGACTTCGGAAAGGTCACTCCATGTTTGCGGACCGCCAGGTGCCGGTATGAACGGGGCTTTAAGCCGGCGCTCGAGCATCTCACACGGCACAAGGGGACAAAGATCGTCGCGAACAACCAGTCATAATGTCTCGTGAAATCCGGTCCCACCAAAAAGGCTGTAATCTATCCTCCGTAATACTAGAACCGCAATCCTCCAAACTCTGCCTCGGACTCAATACTCTGCCCTTCATTTCTCTTGCTGGGCCCTCAACTGGGCTGAAAAAAAAAAGAAAAGAAAATAAACCCTCCCCACTTGCTGACTTCGTGGAGTCGCGCTACCTCCCGCGCGGTGTCTAGGGGGTGGCGGCCCTGCTGGACCTGCCGGGACCTACTCGGCCCTGTGCAACTGCGGGCTGCGGGCTGCGAAAGGTCACACACACCCTACATCGAGTCCAGAATGGAATTCCGATCTGGCCTGGGCCCTCGAAAAGACCGGAGAGGGCGTGCACAGGTTTTTGGAGCACGGGTGTACAGTACATGCACATCCTGCATGTACAGTATAACCAGAGTTTACTTAGCAAGTTAGCATGGTACATGGCATTTTCTTAAAAACGGGCAATATAGTTAAGGTATTTTGAACAGTATCCCATTTAGGGTATGTAAACGCAACTTAGTTCAGAGACTGTGGAAAAGAGCAGAGCTAATCACCATGATAGTTTTTCCCAGAAAAAAAAGTGGACTTTTCTCCTCCCCGAGTACCGGTGTCCATCGGCGAGCCCTAAGCCAAAATGGAGAGATCCAATTTGGATCGCTGGCACCAATCAGCAGAGAGGGTCCGATCAACCGCTGTTTGAGGTCAGGCTCCACTATGATGCGCTGCCCAGCCTGAACTCGGTATTGAAGGTATTTGCAGTGGTATTTTACATCCTGCAGTGACGGTATACATTTGTCGAGGAGAATTTTATCTTTTGTTTCCCGTAAACTACTGGAGACGGTGGATGCAAACTTAGATTGGCTAGTCAATTAGTGAAGATGTTCAAATTTGGCTTGTGAAGAAGAATTGCCTTGACTACAGTATGTATGTACTGTGCTCTCCACTGAAAAAAGGGGCTTGGCACTAGCCTACTGGAGTCTGGAGATCGGGATACAATAAGCTGCTTAAGACACCCGTGACAATCTATACATTTAGTCAGGCACAAGGTTCAAAACAAACGATCCATGGTTACGTGTGGGGGGATGATGACCTCGTCATCCCGCGGATCTTTTCACGAGTCAGGCTTGTACTCTGTGTAGATGGCATGTACCTATCGGAGCCTGAAGAATTCCCTATCATGCTTGTCTAGCCTATCTGAGTCGATTGTCGGATGCTCAAGGAAAGAGAAGAAGGGTGATGTTCGGTATATTTGGTATTTTATCCTGGTAACTTTGATAAAATCCAGTATCACAAATACCTCAGTCCGCTCGAGACCGAACCCGCCTGCTGGACAGTTCCTGCATTAGCGTCATGTCTGATCCCCAAAAGTGGCTTGTCGTGGAGCCAAGAACGATCACAGGGGTGCTGCACATGAAATCATTCCCCAGTAACGAGATGTCTAGGTCTGCATCATTATAGAATCAACAGTATGATCACTCCATACGGAGGACATTGCTCTATCTATTACAGTATTCTGTGTAGAGTGTATCCAGTCCTCGGCATCTTGCCAAACATACCTATGAGTATGAAGCGACGAAGATTGTATAACAAAGACTGCAACTCTTGACCTGCCAAGATAAGCCCCGCATATCCTTTTTATGACCAAACTGGGGATAACCATGGACTTGGTAGTCCGAAGGATACGGAATACAGAGTACAGAGTACTGAACGTACGAGGAACACACATTGGCCGTGCAGACTTGCAGGAAGAAAGGGCGCACCCACAAAGCCAAGACAGGATTTGCCCGTGTTTCGAGATATTTCCTCGTCCTGGACCAGCCTGCTGGGCCGGCTGGTCGGGAGCTGCTCCCCGGCCTCGATTTGTACTACTTAATTCACTACGTCTACGATATACGGTGTACGACTAAACATAGTTATGCTTCTTCAATGCTTGGCAGAGACGGCATGATTCCACGTGATCATTGGATAGGAGACGGGCCCTGCAAAGTTGTTATTCGAGCGTGGCAGCACCGTCTCAAGCCTCGAGCCCCACGCCTTCCCCAAAGAAGATGCTTGTGAGGCGGACATGGCAGGCCCCGCCAAGACCAGCCTAAATATCAATAGTCGACCGATCCCGTCGATCATTCAGGATCTGCCGAGCTTTGTTTTCTGTTTCCTTTCCAAGCCACGAAGGTCCCCAAGGCCAGCTTTGAAGCCTATCGTCCCAACTAGCAATCAGAACAGGCTCCAGTCATTGTTGGACGATACCCCCCCCCATCTCACCTCCTCCCGACGGTCTGGTTGGCCCTGGTCGCGGCGCTAAACCTCCTGGCCGGAGAGGCTCCATGCACCGCGGATCACGAGGCAGACGCCTCGAATCCACCCCCTTTCCTCGTTTTTCTCGTCACCTCGTTGGTTCACCGATTTGGGCAGGACTCGGAACCTCTCTCCTTCCCCCAGAGGATCGGAAGATCAAAGAATCGGAGGATCGGAGTAGTCTGGAGGATCTCCTGATCCTCGACCTGCAGGCGCACGTCCGAGCTCGCAACTGCTCTCCGGGTGACTCGGAAAGTACAGAGCTTGGCCTGCCCAGAGCTTTGCTGTTGGATTGAACGAAGAATCTTTCTCCGAAAGAAGCTGTCGCTGCCAGTGTCTGCTGCACGATACTGGATCGCCATATCCAATGCCTCTCAAGCTTGGAGCGGCACAACGCTCGAATCTGCAGCATCATAGGCATTTCAACTACGTCGGCCACTACATGATGCTTACCTGATGACCTTTTTTTGACGCCTGCATCTATCATACTCCATACTACATTCCTGTTACCCGTTCTCAAGACTGAACCAAACGGAGTTCGTTGTAGCGAGGGGGGAGTGCGCTTTGCCGGTGTGCCATTATCTCCTCGTATGCCACCCTGTGAGATGATGTTCCTGGAGGAGCATGCATGCTACGGGTAACAAGTCATTGGCTTGACACCAAAACGTCTCACAGACGATCCTGGCTGGCAAACCCTAAGTTATGGGGTCTAGCTGGTCCCAGGCATGTTTATGCCTATCTCCAGAACTTTGATACCGTCGCACGAACTCACTACATCCCCGCTTTGGCTTTTGCCAGTCATTCTAAAGACTCTTGTAGACTCTGGCTATCGTCATAGCCACGCCCATGGTCCTGACCAGGCAAATCAGGAGAAGACTCTCGGACCACCGGAAGAAGCTCTCGCTCTCGTTCTCTGCCCAAGCCCCAAAGCGTGGCACCCCCTCTATCCATCCCACTTCGCGCAGTGATCGACGAAGTAGCTTGCCTTGTTTATCAGAGGATCTGATTCGACTGCAGCAGGAGTGTCCAACGCTCCAAGACTTCCGGGCGATCCTTCTTTTGGGGCCAATCTGATCACCGTCGGGGACCTGCAAGTGGGGAGCATTGATCCCCAACTGGTCTCGTCTCCCCCTATCACCGGAGATAATGGTCATTGCAAACCGTGACCCGCAAGGAACGAAACGGGCGGAAGTGGGGCTTGATAGTGCGGGAATCTGGGACTTTGCGATCGTAGAAGACTATGTTCTCCGTACTCAACAGGCGTACTTCTGGGCAGACTAGACTGACTCGGCCGGAGATGGGATCTACATGCTAGGAGCAGTTCGGACTCCGCACTCACGTCAATCGTACGACAACGTGGCGTGCTTCTGTACCCGACAAACCTTGTTGTCCTGTACGGGCGATCCTGGATATGAGAACCCCGTTCGTTGGAGATACCCTCTCTGCCAGGGAAAATAACCCCGCGCCTGGGTGGTCTGCGATGATGATCGTATGTCATATCATCACCATCGTCATTCCCTTTCAAGGTTCGTGATGAACTGAAAGCTTCACGTGCAGCAGGCGCTTATCAGCGCCTCCAATCATAGGTTTTCTTTCTGCTTGGATCTGCCCATGTCATCATTGTTGTACCATGGGAGGATGGTTCGTCTGGCTCGGCAATCATGAAGACTCCACCGAATCCACTGCGCACATGGCGAGAACCAAGAACCAAGAAAGCGCCTGTTCGTGGGAACTACTGTATCAGGAGTCGATAGTTAGACTCTGACTATTGGTTTCGGCCAAGCCGAGAATCTCCCGAGAAGCTCGAGTGCTTCGCCCTGTCCACACCTTCGTGAGATTCCCCCATATGAAGCAAATACTAGTCTTGACTATGGACACGCCAGTCCTAGACGGGATGGTCTATGGTGTTAGTTATGGCGTGCATGGGATCCAATTGAGCCGGGAACGGGGCCGACTAACGATCTCCGCCATCTCCGTAATGATCACGATGGCATAAACTGGAGTGGAATCCGTCAGGAATTAGTCATTAGTCAAATCTCGTGGAGAATGGGGGTACTGTAGAAAGTTTGACACCAAGGCCAAGCACGAACGATCGACAGTGACAGTCAAACTTGAGACTAACTCAACTTGGTCAAGCCCCATTTAACTAGCGCCCTCCTTTTGAGTCCCTCCTATTCTCCGTTCTTCATCCGTGGGTAAAAAAACTACGAAATGTACGGAGTACTACTTCCTAATTGGTTCGAGAGCAATGCTTCAACTTGGAGAGATCTGCAACGCCCGCACGGATCCCCCAGCCCCCATCCGACTATTGATTGGATCTGGCGTGAACCGTTGTGCCGGAACGAAACAATCTCAAATCTCTTCGAATAATACTGAGTTCTTCAAATATACACGTCTAAATCTCCGTATACTACTGCTGGTAAGCGTACCATACAACAATACCTGAGTATATCTTTTCCTCGTACCGTACTCCGTCAATCTCCCTTGTCAAAAAACAAGACAACAAAGAAAGCACAGGCGCAGAAGAAAAGTCCATCCGCCCAGAAAATTCCCCGACTTTTCTGCTTTCTTAGTGATCGACGTGTGACGGCAGCCACAGAGTGAATAGTACTTTGTTTTTTTCTTACTGTCGCTCCATCACTTCTCTCCACTATCTGCCGCCTCCTCGGATCGTGTCTCAAGCGTGCTGGTCTAAGTCATGGAGCCTGAGCATTTGGCAGCCTTGGGGGATCCTCAGATCGACGTCGCCCGATCATCCAAAGCCAAGTCCCCGCGTAACACCTAAAGCACTCTTCCCCCTAGATCTCCAGACATATTGTGTCATACTGTGCTACCTTGAACTGGGTGGCTCTGCAGGTGGGCCAAGACGAACGCCTACCCCTTGTACTACTACTCATGCGATGCAAGAACAGACTCGGAGGTTTTCGGTCTACCTAGCCCATGCCAGAAGAAGAGAAGAAAGGAGTGAGAAGGAAGAAGGTGGCTTACTGGGGCTGAGAGACATGTCCCAGTCTACGAGATCCATTGAAGCCACACTACCCCTCGAAATGTGACTGATCTGCCGCCATCCTCCATGGCCTGAACTTACCACTGCTGCCTGACGATCTCCCATCATTCCGTTCTCTTGCGTGACTTCATGTGGCCCGGCACTTTCAAACGCTTAACCTGTGGCGGTGCGTGATGCCCAGAAAATCATCCTGCAGGCAGAAATATATGATACTGTAGTTAGTTACAGGACGCTAAGTTATTTGTCAAAGCCAAAGCCATAGACCAATAGTGTCTATCCAGAGCTTGTACGGAGGAACAGGCATCCTTCAACGGGGAAAGGGTTTCTGGCCTGCAAGTGCCAAGTCCTGTGTCTGCAGAGTGCAGACTGCAAGTCTGCAACAGCCAACGATGATCGACCCAGGGTCCCGCTGCACCTGAAACAGGCAAGAGGAGAAAGGACTCGCCACGACCCAGTCGGGAACTACCTGCATGCATCGCGCGAGGATCAGGGGAGCGTGCTGCCGTACCGTTCGATCCAGCACGACCCGATGCTGTGGTTGAGATCGGAATCAGGGCCAGCTACAAGTTGCAACATGAAGGAAAAAGAAAAGGCAACTACAGTACTGTATGTACTCTTCAGTACTTGCTCGTTGTACTGTGCTCGTCCCGGCTTGCTCTTCATGTATGTGCTGATATTGTATTGCCGCCACTGTCGCCATCATGCATACCCAGGGGTCAATTCGAGAGCCTGTGAGTTGTGCATGATCGAGAGATACTATGCTAGGTTCGTTTCAACAGTGCTTGTCGCTCGTTGGACTGTGATGTGAGCTCTGACCCGTGTGCTGACTGCGACAAGGTACCCCCTTGCATGCTTTGCTCACCGGGACGAGCTGCATCACGTCCACTGAGGAAGCTTGATCCTTTGCATCTACCTTTCCCATCCGGCGGCTGTTCTGCCCTTGGTGTGACCTGGCCAGGCCTGTCCCGGCTTGTCTCCCCGAAGCTGGGCATTGATCTGCGATGCATATCCAGTTGGAATTAGCTACTGGTAACCGGACAATACGCTTTGGTGCCGAGCAGCATGTCCCTCGTGAAAAGTGCACCCTGTCACGGTTGCAGCCGTGCAGCAGCACGATGCGGCTCACTGGACGGTACTGTACTCTCCTAAGTCTCAATTATCTCCTCCGTCATCCGGCGTGTACCAGATCCCAAGGCCCTCTCTCAAAACGCCCGGATCTCAACTTCGGGGGATGGATCCTGGCAAATTGTCCTCTGGACTGGACCCGGGTGCAGCGGTGGCAAAATTTGCATGAACTGCTGTTCGCAGGAATAGACCAGGGCCGTTGGTGGCTGGTTGCTCGGTTGCTTGGCTCGACTGCAGCTGGAGTACCTACTACTGCACCTACAGTACGTATACTGTAGTAAGTACCACATCTGGAGCTACAGTAACTAGCCATCCTACGTCCCTCCTTAGCAACCGGGGCTCTACGACTGGCGGTCCGTTCTGCAAGGATCATAACCCCTGCTGCGCGCCACCACTCGCCCGCAGCGTTTCAAGGGCCTCGATTGAAATCGAACCGCGACGAAGAACCCCGAGCCTTAATCAGACTCCAGAGCCTGGTTGTCACGTCTACTGTGCTATACTGTATGTAGGGCCCAGGGCTGACAAATGTCGTCATCACGTACAGAGTCTCCGGATCTCGTACAGGCATGTACAGAATTACGGTCTGTCGGTGTGTCCGGTTGGAGGGAGGCTCTTGCCTATGAGGGTAGGAGTTACATCACGCCCTTCGCGATGCCTACACTCTTTCAGTTTGATCACGTTCGTGATGATGCTGAAGAGTCTTATCGACAGGGTGTAGAGATGTGTTCCGGACAAGCTCGGCTTTGGTGTCTCGGTAGACATTGAAGGGCCGGTCCCGAATGTGTAAAGGGCGTGGCCACTGTGTTACCCTGCTCCCGTCGAGTGGGAACTAAATGGATCGTCTCGTTAGTCAGAGGTGAGTCTGTTGCGAAATCCTAGGCCTCGGAAGATCGTAGGATCTATACGTACATATAGGGAGACTTGTATACTGCGGCCTCAGCAACCTAGCCTCCTAACTTAAAGTGACAATCTATTATGCCTCCTCTTTGTATGGTAATTCTATTTACTCTGGCTTGTTGCCAGTATAATTTGTGTTTGTTCAATGAGATGTAGATGCAAAGCAGACAGGAAAGTACAAGATCAACAAGGTCAGGTCAAGGAAGGTACTAGGTAGCACCATAGTGGAGAGAGACGATAGGCAGAGAGAGTGTGTTCTGTGCACCAGCTTCCAGAGACTCGGTATCAAGCCAAAAAGCAACCGCGCAGCTACTGTGCAACATGCTGCGCACGCTTATCTCAACCCAAGCCATACCATCTCTCCTGCTGTGCAACTCACCCAGCAGCACCCCCAAACTCCCCTAACATCGCCCAATATCCTTGACCCCTGCACCATGTATTCCCAATGCAACCCCATACCCCAACGCATGTCCACGCCTATTGCAGCGCGTTCCGAATCTCAATCTGAATCTGCCCATCCACAACGCCCTTCACAACGACGCTGCGCAAATCCTCAACAATCCAGTCCGCGCCCGCTTCGCGGATCTTCTCGATCGAGTGCGTCGTCGACAGCGCAATCACCTTGTACCCGGCTGCCTTGCCCGCCTTGATCCCACTAGGCGCATCCTCGAGCACGACGATGTTCGTCGAGCCCTCCAGCCCAATCCTCTTCGCTCCAAGCTGGTAGCATTGTGGGTCCGGCTTGCCGAGCTCGACATCCTCGGCGACGACGAGGTGCTTCGGGTGTGTGAGGCCAAGTACGCTAAGCCAGCCGTCAATCAGGGCTCGAGTGCCGGATGTCACGACGCCCCATTTTGCGGAGGAGTTGTCGAGGGCGTTGAGGAGGTCACGGCCCCCGCGGATTTCGACGGCATCGGAGCCGTATTCTTGGGGGATGCGGCCTTCAATATAGCTGACATCTGTTGGAGATGAACGTTAGAACACATATATAAACTATATGGCTCGGGCTGGGAGGATTCGAAGACGTACATTCCCAGTTGGCCTTGGTCTTGTCGTATAGTCCCAGAGTGTCAATGCTGCGTCGGCCGTGCGAGGTAGCTAGGATGGTCTTGGGGTCTACGCCCAGCTCGGCACCGATTCTAGATAAGTGTCAGACTCGCAATTTTGCGAGAGTGTAGGCAATTTTTGCGGCTGACTCACTCGTGCCAGTGCTTGACAATTGCTGTTGGGAAAAGGTATAGTTAGCTTCCGCATCACAGTGGAGTTGATAGTCGTAAACAGAGACTTCATACCATCTGTAGAGTCGACAATTGTACCATCAAAGTCGGAGAGAAGCCCATCAAAGGTGTGGACCTCTGCAGGTGCAGAGAATGTTTCTGTCGCGGAGGACATGGCGGGGGAGGGGTTCTGCGGGGAGACGAGATAGAGAGGTTGCAGTTGGAAAAAACCGTTCGAATGGGATCGAACAGTAGGTGTAGTGTATGCAATGTAATTATGTGAATGCAAAGAAAGGAAATCTATGTCTATGTCCTTAAAAGAAAGTGAGAAAAGAAAGGCAGAAAAGAAAGGCAGAAAAGAAAGGGCAGAGGAAGATGATATCCAGGCTTCGCGACATCTTGCGGTACGGACGTATGTAGTAGTTGTCCCGCCGCCGCGGATCGGTGATCGGCATTTGTATTTCTCCGCTTATCGAAATCTTGGCGCTCAACTTTTTCGACTCGATTTGGCGGAGCACTAGACACTGTACCGGTGTGCCTTTTTTAGTCTCTATTCAGTGAGAATTGGTATACAGGCAAGATGGTCAAGCTTGGTGGGTCCCTTGTCTCTCTGAATCATTCTCAGACTCTCAGATCATTTTTCTAACGTATTGCAGGCAAGAATTCAAAGCGGGTGCCAGTCCGTCTGAGGCACAAGATTGAGAAGGCTGCTGTTGCGAAACAAAGGAAGCAGAAGAAGCTCGCAAAGAAGGTAATTGAACCATGCATCTTTTGGATTCAGGGATTTTTCTTCCTCGAGATTCCCATGTGCGGAAACCATTCTTACACTTTTCTTTTCACAGAACCCCGAATGGCGGTCTAAGATCAAGAAGGACCCGGGTATCCCCAACCTGTTCCCGTTCAAGGACAAGCTCCTCCATGATATCGAAGAGAAGAAGCGTCTGAAGACTGAGGAGCAAGAGCGCATCCGTGAGGAGGCTCGTGCTCGCAAGATCGAGGCCAAGCAGGCCCAAGGTGGCCCGCAGGCGGCGGTGGACATTGTGGAGGATGATCTGCTGGATGATGATATGGTCGCTGATGGTGACGAGTCAAACCCCATGGCGGCGCTACTTGCTTCTGCCCGGGCCCGTGCTCAGGAATATGACGGCGAGAACGAGAGTGAGGATGAGGAGATGGGCGACGACGACGACGAGATGGATGAGGACGAAGAGGAGCTGGGTGTGACATTTGAGGACGCTGCGACGCTAGGCAGCCTACAGAACCCTACCAAGGAGAGCTCACGGCGTCAATTCGACAAGGTCTTCAAGACGGTTACGGATGCGGCTGATGTGGTGCTGTACGTGCTCGATGCACGCGATCCCGAGGGCACCCGCTCGAAGGAGGTCGAGCGGGAGATCATGGCTGCCGATGCTGGCTCCAAGCGATTGATTCTCATTCTGAACAAGATTGATCTTGTCCCCGCACCAGTCCTCAAGGCCTGGTTGATCCACCTGCGCCGCTACTTCCCTACCCTCCCTCTGAAGGCGTCAAGCGGCGCTCCCAACGCCCACAGCTTCGACCACAAGCAATTGACCGTCAAGGGTACCTCGGAGACTCTCTTCCGTGCCCTCAAGTCCTACGCGCACAGCAAGCAACTGAAGCGATCCATCTCCGTCGGTGTCATCGGTTACCCCAACGTGGGCAAGTCGTCCGTGATTAACGCCTTGACCGCTCGCCTGAACAAGGGCTCCAGTAATGCCTGCCCGACCGGCGCCGAGGCTGGTGTCACCACCTCCCTGCGTAGCGTCAAGCTCGACAACAAGCTCAAGCTGATTGACTCGCCCGGTATCGTCTTCCCCAGCGCGGGTGGCAAGACCAGCAATAAGGCCAAGGAGAACGAGCAGGCTCGCCTGGTCCTGCTCAACGCCATCCCTCCCAAGCAGATCGAAGATCCTGTTGCCGCTGTCAACCTGCTGATTAAGCGTCTCTCGTCCTCGGAGACTTTGATCAACAAGATGCTCGAGGTGTACGGCATCACCACCCTGTTCCCGACCGGAGACAAGACCACCGACTTCCTGGTCCAGGTGGCCCGCAAGCGTGGACGTCTCGGCAAACGTGGTGTTCCCAACGTTGAGAGCGCTGCTATGACCGTCATCAACGACTGGCGTGATGGCCGCATCCAAGGCTGGGCCAATGCCCCCGTCTTGCCCGTCGCCGGGTCTGCAGCCGAGACCGCGGAGCCTAGCACTGGACCCGTGGACAATGTACAGGTTGTCACGGAGTGGGCGAAGGAATTCAAGATCGAAGGCCTTTGGGGCAATGGCGAGGGCGATGACGAGGAGATGGCCGAATAAACGGGCTGTCTTTTGTTGGAGGTCGAGTCTTTCGATTTACTACTCCTGTTACGAAGTCATCCATTCTCGTTTTAGATTTCTTGGATACCAAAAAGTGGGCGTTTAATCTTCTTGGATGATGGATGGTTTTTATATTTTTCATTATTTCTTTGTCGTTTGAATTTGTTTCAATTCAGGCATTTGTCCATACTCTATCTACGAGAAGTAGCGAATTCAATTGGGCATCAATACTGAGACATTTACTTGAGGATACGCAAACGAGTCCATAGCCTGTACTCGAGTTATTCCTTGCCATAGAAACTAACTCGCGCAGTCCAAAGTAAAATCTGCACGTATCACCGATGCATGGGGTCTACCACGCCTCGATGACCCAGTGCAGTCCCCTCCCCACTGCGCTCCCGAAAGTCAACTCGCGTCGCGGGATTTCGCGTTCGCCTCAACCCGCCACCCTTCAAACCACCTACCTCACCACTCAGCACGCAAGATCTGTAACAATCCCAGCGATATCGGGATTTAGCTATCCTTGCCCGAACTGGGCACAGATAAAGTGCGACATATATCCAATTCCAATCACCAAGAACCAACACCATCTACAAAAGCTCCACCACCGAAAGGAAAGGACACAAGTCCAATCCACAACAGAATCACCATGCCGCCGCGCAAATCTACTTCATCGGCAACGCCGGCCGAAACAGATGAGCCGTCGCAGTTATCTCCGCAAGTGCAGAGCACCGCCGACAAGCCCATCACCGCGACGGAGCAACAGATTAAGGCTCGGGCAGAGCTAGGTGTCAGCGTCGATGTAAGCGGATCATACCCTCACCTTGAACCCATTATGTGGCGTGTTGAGAAGGCATCAAGACAAGAGGATGTCTTTGCAGACCGAAAACTAATACAATGACCTCTCCTTCGCTGTATAGGACTACCTCCTCCCGCGCTCGCTGACAATCCGTCTGGCGAAATCTGTGCTCCCGCCCAACACAACGATACAAAAGGATGCCGTCCTGGCTATCCAAAAAGCTGCGACTGTTTTCGTGTCCTACCTTTCGTCGCAGTACGTAACCCATTTCTTCTCTGTTCCATACTTCCTACATCTGGCCAGAACCCATCATGGTTTCCACCACCTACAATACCAGACTGTGGTTCGCAATTCGCAAAGGGAAACCCGAACTAACCATCCACTTCCCGCCCAGTGCCAACGACGCAACCCTCAAACGCACCGTCGCCCCCGCAGACGTCTTCAACGCCCTCTCCGAACTAGAACTCGACTCCTTCCGCCCGCGCCTCGAACAAGAACTCGAAGCCTACACCGAAATCAAAGCCGACAAGCGCAAGGCCAAGAAGGCCGATGCCAACGGCGGTACTGGCGACGGTGACTCCACCGCCGCGGTGGGAGCATCTACGACCCGGGCCGAGGGCGAGGATGTCGAGATGGAGGATAACCCGGCGAAGCGGGTGAAGCGCGATGGGGATGAGAGTGGTGGCGGTGCGGGACAGGTCGATGGTGATGAGACGCAGGAGGAGGATGAAGTTGAGGATGAGGGTGATGAGGAAGAGGAGGAAGCTGAGGGGGAGGAAGCTGAGGATGAGGATGAGGAGGATGAGGCGGGGAGGGGTGAGGAGGATGTTGATCGGGTGGAGGATTTGGATGGGGCGCGTAGGCGGATGGATCCTGATGCTGATGAGACGGATGATGATGATGATGGGCCTGCTAGTCAGTTGCGGGATGACCTGGGACTTGGCTAAGGAAGCCCGGGGATACTTGGGGAAAAATGAGGTTGGCTTGAATGGGTTTTCTGGTTTAGGGGATGTCTTTTGAAAGGTGATGTCTTTGGAAGGGTTCACCGTTGCTATAGAAATCCATTGGATATACATAATGACGACTTGGTTCATGCGATTTAGTTTGAAGCTGGAGCATTGGCTGTCCGTGGATGCTGTGGCTACATCTCTTCCGCAAGACAGTTGACTGTATCCCATCTCCATTGAGCCTTCAGGCCAGGTAAGCCTGCGTCGGGCAATTGGACAAGCATACCTCTATATCCCTGACAGACGTGAGATGGACACTGCATGGCCCGGGCAATCTTGCAAGAGATTGAAGAGCTAGAGATCCCCATGACGCATGTAGATATGCATCCCTTCGGAAATACTAGCCTACTACAAAACATATACCAAGATCATCTTGAAAATCTCGGAGCATTATAGCTCACTTGCATTATCACAGGTATTAACTTCTTCATAATCGTATCAGAAATAAAACGAGCAGGCATCCGCCACGACCCAGATGCCCGAAGGAAGATAATAATCGAGCTCGCAAGCTCCACAACAACAGCAGCACAATCATGAACCTTCCCAGGGCTATGCACCCCTAAAACAAGAAATAAAACAGTCACCCAGGACTGAAAACGCCAACGCCACCTCATGCAACTGATCCGTAGTCTATCGTTGGTATCTTGCGAAGGACGGATGAATGGTAAAAAAGGGGGGAGGACTGCTCGACATTGTCCCGAAGGACGAAAGGAGCGGGTTGAGAAGAAAAAGCCCACAACGTAGGGGAAGAAAAAATCAATTCCGTGGACACCGTTATGCATCCCATGATGGGTTAATGGAAAATAAGGTAGAGGGGTTGAGAATGAAAAGAAATTGGAAGGAGGCGTGAGAATCAGGAGGATGCAGTGGTCACTTCCTCGACTGGGTGCGCGTCAACGCCGGCCTTGAGTCCAGGGAATATCAGGGATGGTTTGATTGAGCTATTAGCTCGAGCTGCACCAGGTGGCAGACAACGCATGGGCTCGGCCGGGTCAATCTTCTTGTCGATGGTGACGGAGACCATGTTCGCCTTGCTGACTGTGGCGAAGGAGGAAATTAACTGGGTAGCGGGAGGCGCGGCCTTGGGCTTGCCGGTACGCTTCTTGGGTCCAGCCTTTGCCGCGGGTTTGCGGCCTCCCTTGGCTGGCGCAGGTGCCTTGCCATCCGCTTTCTTGAGTAGGCTGCTGAGGCTCTTACCGCTGCTGGCTGGGTTGGTGATGGTTCGCTGGGTGAGCTTCTTAGCCACGGGTTGCTCATCGTAAGAGGAGGACGGCGTCATCAAGCCAGTATCGATGCGAGGACGCTTCTTGGGTGTGGAGGTGATGACCACAGCCACCTTCTGTTCGGAATCGGAAGAGGAGAACTCCTCGTCGGAGCCAGGCTTGATTCCAAATACCGGCTCTGGCAGCGGCATGGCGTAGGGTTGGGGATCCTTCCAGCTCTTCAGCTTGACCAGATCCGCCACATCGTCGGTAGAGCCTTGTACAATGAGATCAAAACAATTATCAAACTCCTTGCCTGCGGGCGGCTCGTTGTTGATGAACATAGTCACGCCGTCCTTGCGGCTACGGATGACCGTGCATAGACTCTTCACAAGGCGTCGGACACCGGGAATCTTCAGACTTGTACCTGCAACGATGAGAACGCGAGGGCGGGACTTGATATCAGCATTCATGACGGATGTGATCGCCTCTTCGTCGGGGTTATGTTCGTTATAGAGGACGATACGCGGGCGCATGCGCCCAACACCGTGGCTCCGTTGACCTGCTCCAATTCGGGCTCGGTCATTGCCCGCACATTCTTCGCAATCAGGTGGATCGGCTTCACAGAACTTTTCCGGTTCTAGGTTCTGGAGATGGCGACACTTCTGGCACACCATCTTGGTGATACTGCCATGGAGTTGGATTGTGATCGGCCAGCGACCTTTGACGCTGAGAGGGATCTCGGTCTCTAAAGGTTGCATTGACGTCTCGAGGCCGTCGATGTTCTGGGTGTACAGTCGCTTGAGCCGGTTCTCCTTCCCGAGGCTGGCGAGCATTTCGTGGAACTTGGTGGGCTGGCACTTGGCCGCTTCAACCGACAGCGACCGCACCAATTCATGGAAGGGGCCGGTCAGGGCATCATCCTGATAGACGGCAGCATCAAAGAGTAGCTTGCCGGAAGCCTTGAGGTTGTGCTTCTTCTGCAAGGACTTGAACAGGCCATCAGTGGAGCGAAAATCGGGGACTGTCGGTGGGCGGTTAGCTTAAGTTTCGACGTGCGACGTGCAGCGCGGGTATCGGGGAAAGGTGGGCGAAAAACTTACTACCCGCCGATGTGGAGATGCCGGCGCCGGCAATGGCGACAATGTCCTTTTGGTGGCGGAGGCTGTCGACGAGCAGTTTCACCTGATCTTGCTGCTCGTAAGATGACTTGGACAGGTCGAGATACTGCGTGGTGCGCTCTTTGGGCAGGGGGTTGCGCCTCCGCTTCTTCGCGGGCGGAGGGCAGTCTTGGCGCGTCGAATCCTCAGCGTCCTGGGATGACGGCGTCAGGTACCGGGTGGCCGGCTCAGGCGTGGACCGCAACGACGAGGGCACGGAGCTCAAGTCCGAAACGTCTGACAGATCATAGTCTATTCCTTCCATGACGGAGAAGATTGCGAGTCTCCGTCGTGGAAGTAACAAGAGGTGGTAGGCGGAAGGAGAAAAAAAAAAAGGGTTGGGTGATGCTGCCGGAGGGAAATTGACCCGCGGTGGACACACTCGGGAGAGGGGCCAGGAGGGGGGGGGGGGGGGGAGGAGATCAGGCCGCTCGTCGGAACACACGAATCAGAGAAATTGGGACAGGTAGAATCATGTAGAGCTGCTGGAACATGTACGCGTCACATGGGAAGGATTTGGAAGCTCCAACTAGATGAGGAATTGTAGGGAGGGGGGAGGTTGAGAGTTGGAAGATGCAGAAGGGGAGGAGGGTTGGAAAAGGGAGAAGTTGCAGACGATGAGGTCAGCTGTCGGTGCTCGATGATACTGAGGGAGAGGAGCAGAGAATAGCGGGAAATATGGGGGTAGAGAGAAAGAGTCAAAAAGGGACACGGGCCCAGCGAGAACCAAGAAAAAAGAAACCTCGTCGACTCTTTTTATTTGGGAGGGAACAGTTGTGGAATGTGGTTGTTGCGAAAGAGGAGAGAAGATCGCGGAGATTTGATGGAAAAAAGGACTGACAGTCGGGTTGTTGGTATGTGCACCACCGGCGGGGACTCGATGATGCGCTTGTTTTGATGCAAAGTAACGTCGAACTGGGCTCGACCGGATGGACGAGGGAAATAGGAGGACACTGTTTCGGAGATTGATCAAAGTCCTGGGATCTTGGGAGCTCGGTGGAAGAGGTGTTATATCTCTAGAATATGGTAGCGATATATCACGAATTGCAATCTACAGTATTCTTCTCTTCTGGATGTTCATTCATTCTTTTGCTTGTTTGTCCTGCGGGCGGCTCTGTTTTCACTTTTCACGGTTGCTTTGCTTTGTGCTCGTCCCGACGGTTTTCATGGTGCAGCACGCTGATTGGCCTAGCTAGATGTGGGACTGAACGTCGTTTCTAATTGGTGGATCATGGTTGGCAGGGCTACCAGTCAGGTCACGTGCTATAGGTTACTTGGACCCGCATCAGTCTGGCTGAGTCAGCGCGAAGTCCGGCCGAGTCACGGGAGAGTCACGGGGAGGGTCACAACCAAAATGGGGAGCGCTGCGAATGCCTCAAGTCAATCAAAGACCAAACTGATCTATACAACATCATCCATCTCCCGCGAGATACTAATCTGATACTTCTCAATTTATATTCCGGATATCACGCCGCTACAATTACCAAGGACCAATTGTGACTACAGTGAATCCGATCCCTGGCGGCGCTTATTGATCCCGGTTCTCGCCATATCAACACCGCCAACGGTCCCCGCAACAGATTGGCATTCCTAGCAGTGACCCCCGTCAGCCATGCAGGGTGGGCTCCAGTGACCCTCTGCATGACAGCCGGACCCTTTGAGTGGCCTTTTGTGATTGTTCGCAATGCCATTGATCATGGAGGAAGCTATCAATGTCGACGACCTCTTCGGTGAGGGTCATTCCTTGGATCTGGGGTTACCCCCGGCACCGGCCCCGCCCACCAAAGGGCTGCCCCAATGTCTCGATGAGATGCGCCTGCTGGGCTGTCGCCAGTAAGTGACTATCTGCTAGATCTTGGGATATCACTGAATTTCAAAACTAATCATGGATTTGCTCTTCCGCAGGAAGGTGGCTTGGTCCCGGCTAGGAGGCATAGCCTACATCGCCTCCGATGGAGTGCGAGTATGTGTGCGAAATCTTCAGTCCCGTTCCTCAGATGGAAAATGGGTCTTAAGTGACGAGTTCCCTTTGGGCCCGGTCACTGAAGCCCATAATGGCAATCAGCTGCTCCATCTCTCCTGGAACGATGCTGGGTCGGAGCTGGCCGTGGTTGACTGCTTGGGGCGAGTGTCTATATATTCGGTCTTTATGGCCTTGAATAATATAACAGGCCTGCGCCAGGCAACCTATGATTCGAGTGACGATAGTAATCAGATTGTCGGTCTGATGTGGCTCAATCCTGGTCGTCAGGTAGGTCCTGCTGCTTGTGGCTGATAAGCCGAGAGATAGTATATAAATAACCCGATACACTGACACATCCCCAAAGGTCCATGCATTTCAACAGGCAGCCAAACTAAACAATAGATGGGCGTATTCACCATTCCGCTGGCGTCCAACCCATCCCTCTCACCCTGCGGGCAAAAGCTCCTTGATCTCAGTCACTCGAGCAGGCCAGATCAAATTGATGTACCAGAATATGGATGGCAAGTGGGCAGAGGTCCCTGCAGAACTGAAGAATACCGGGTATTCAGACCGGTTGTTGACCCATGCAGCAATGGTCGCCACACAAGGTTGGCCTCTCCCTTCTCTTCCATATCATGACCTCGATGGATGGCTAATAGATCCCAATTAGGAACAATTTTGCTGGCCACTTACTCTGTATGCCAGAAGATCTGCTTATACCGAGTAGAAGTCTCTTGGACCCCCAACAAATGGGACCCCACTGCAATCAGGAGCCCTAACAAATGGCCGATTCCTTCCCTCCGCCTCCTCCACTATAAAATCGATATGCCCAGCAGTATTCTGAACGTCAACCTCGGTTCCGAAGAGCACTCGGATCAACCTTTGCCATTCCCCAACTCGGTCTACTCGTTGACCCGGCTGGAAGTCATTCCAGGGCAAGTTGATAGCCCTACGGGGCCAACTACTACTAGTCCTTGGATTCTGGGAGTCTTCTCCAAGCCCCTCCATGCCACGCCAGAATATCCAGATCAGCAAGGCCCTCTCAGTGTGATTGTTCGATGGCAACTAGATTCTGCACAACAAACATTCCACCCCAAATTCGACGAGGTTGCATCGAAGAAGAGTAACGCACAGGCCAAGGTACGATGTGGATTCCACTTTATCCTGGGGAGTCATGCTGATAACATTGATAGCCGAAAATCGAGATGCGTCGACTTGAAGACATCCATCTACACAAATATATTATCTCTGTGGACTTGATAGAGCACGTTACAGCCCCTGCACTAGCACTTACCCATGATGATAGCTCCATCACATTCTATGAGACGAAGACCATGACCGTTTTCAATGGGATGGATGATACCAACACGGTCAATTGCTTTGCCCAGGCAGGATTCCAATACCCAATGGATACACCGGGTATGTTCGCCGTAAAACTAAACCCTTGTGCCACAGGACTTGAATTTGATACATATAGGTCTTTCTATCGCATTCTCTCCAAACTCCTGCGCTGCAGTGGCATTGGACAGTGAGGGGCAGCTCAGATTAAGATGGATGGAGCACACATTCGGATCCAGTGGTGGTCTTTACGACGAGAGTATGCGGTTTGCACCCCCAGGAACCAATCCAATTCACTAACCCGGCTTTTATAGGTAAATTCTCGGCCGCGATTGCAGCATTGACTCTGGCTTTTAGCCGAGGCTCTGGCAGTGATGCCAATACGGACGACATTCTGATGATTGTCCTGGGTCAGCTATCCCCTGGTAAGTTATGGGACAAGCTACGTTAGTGAAAATCTGGACAACCTCCTGATGATGTCAATAGAAAACCAATCCACATTTCTCAGCGAGGTATACCGGGCGTTGTCGATCAACTGCAACTTCACTATCGAACAGGAAAAGCTGTTGACACATGCGTATATCCCCCGAGCACTAAGTTTACAAGCTAGTCTGGGCTTCAAGGGAAGAAGCCACCCGCGAAGTCTGTCCTCGGCTATCTCTTGGGCTATCCTGCAGCTTCGACATTCTTCAGTGCTGTATGCAGCCTACTTCCAGAATAGCAAGAACGTGCCCGCCGAGGCGCATGATTCAGGTAAACTGGGATCTAATCCAGTATCACCTCCATGATCGATTGTTGACACAACCCCAGGAATTCTTCATGCCCTCCTCGGAAACACGAGATGGGCTCTCGATTTCTCCCATTACATCCTCAGCGAGATCTTCGATCTAGCCGACGATTTCGAAAACGTCCTCCATGACTCGGAAGCATTCACCCAAAAACGTAAGTTTCACTCTCTCAAAACTTTCCCCATCCATCCATTTATCCCCCTAACAAGAATCCCACCCAGTCAAAACAACAACCTCCCTCCCCCTCCTCATCCTCCTCTCCAGCATGTCCCGCGCCTTCATGCGCTTCATCTGCCGCGGCCTCCGCGGCGTCCGCAACGGCTTCGAACAAATAAACCCCGCCATGCTCGAACCCGAATCCCGTTTCTACTACATCGACATCTGCCAAGCCCTCGAGACCTCCCCCGTCCGCGTGGACATCTACGAAAAGTTCCTCGCAGGCGTTGACTCCGCCGTCAAACACGCCTACCAAGGCTCCGGCTTCGGAGACGCCGAACGACCAAGCCCGGAGAAAGAATTACTCGTGAACGCGCGTATCCCCCCGTTCTCGTTTCAGCCGTTGAGACGCTGCTCAGTCAGACTGTGCCTTCGATTCGGTCGGAGATTAATCGGAAGGATATCGTGCTGGGTGACTATAGTTGGCTCGGGTTTGGGGATGATCCCCGAACGGTGGCGTATCGGAAGCGTCGTGACGTTGATATCTTGATGAAGCTGCCTCTGCGGCCTTTGGCTGCGAGTCTAGATACTGCGGGACCAGCGCAGATGTTAAGGAGACGTCGCTGTGTGCGCTGTTGTGAGGTCTCTGGGGATGGGGGAAGGCCGAGGACGGGTCCTTGGACGAAGATGATGCATCGGCTTAATTTGCTTCGGAGTTGTGCTTGTGGTGGTGCGTGGGTTATGGAGATTCCTGGGACTGGTGTTGAAGGTGCGCAGGGTGCTCAGGCATTGGCGTCGAGAGCTGTGGGTGTTATTGGGTCAGGGTAGGTTGGTAGGTTTTGATGTTGATATGCCTTTGGTAGAACGCATAGAAAGGTTTATGACCAGTTATGGAATGCATGTTGCTATTTTATGGGAGAATGGTGTGATGAGGAGCCGTGATGGACACTAATTGACTTTAGAGTCTACCGTCTACAGAGTACTTGATCGAAGAGGTGTATACTTAGACAGACTAGGGGTACTCGCCACGAGTACCCCTATAGGTTGCCTATACGTTATGCAACAGGCCATTCAGATGAGTCTAGACCAAATAGACCAGGAGAATAGTCCAAGCGCCGTAGAGCGGCTAGAGTCGAAGAATACCACGTATAGAGAGCCTCTGCACATTCACAATACAAAATTCCAGCACTGGCCATCTCAGCCACAGAAGAAAGACGTCTAAGTGTCATGTCATGTCAAGAGTCGATTTGCATCGTTTTTTAAGATACACAATCAAGTTCCATTTTTTGGATGTAAAAAAAAAGAAAATCGACCCTGCTCAGGTCCACACATCACACATCCTGCTTAATGTGTCCAAGGGCAAGTACCGTGTTTCCCCCACAAAACTCCAGATCCGATAAAGTTCTGCACTTAAGCCTGTTGAAACAAACATGTTAGCATAATGTTACTCCAATAAGTACTGGTGTACTCGATAGGATGCAGTCGTGTCGAGTGTAGACAGACAGTGTATTATCCCGTCTGGAGATTGTAAAGAAACATCCAGACGAGTTAACACAGCCATTCCACATTCACTGCCGGTGTCTCTCATACCTTAACGGCGTACTTCCGCTGGGGGAAGTGGATCTCGCGCTTGCGCTGGCGATCGGTGGTCCGGGTAGCCTCGAACTTGGTGAGCCGGCGGCGGAGCTCACGGGTGAGCTTGGGGCGGAGGTCCAGAGGGATGTACTTCTTGTTCTTGTAGAACAGACGCAGCTGAGCGCGCTGGTTGGCGTTGATGACGGTGAGAACGCGAGCGATCGACTTGCGAACCTCGGAGCTGTAGATGAGAAAAAGTCACAGGTCAGTGTACGATCTTGAGAAATTTCGATATGAATTGCGGATTGCGATGGGTATTTCTCTTTCTGCGACGTTCTTCTGGGATATTTGGTATGTCGTTGGGATTGTCGGTGCGAAATTTGTCGTCTGGTGAAATTTTCGTTGTGGTTGTCCGGTGCGCGATTCTCTCATCGCACGATACCCCGATCCCGGTCGTTCGTCGCAGAAATCCATCCGTAGAAAGTGTAGTGGTGTAAGGATGTCGGAACTCGATGTACGCACATTCTCTGGGTCTTGGTAGAAGCGCCGTTGGCGATCTTCTGGACGCGGAGCTGGTTAAGCTCGGTCTTCAACTCCTCGAGCTGCTTGGAGAGCTCCTCCTTGTTCTTTCCCCAGAGCTGACCAGCCTTGACCTTGGACGACTAGACGTAAATTCCATCAGCGCGAGATTCCACAGGAAGCGATTGTCGTCGAACATACCATGGTGGCGGCTTTGTTGTGTGTGCTGGGTTGTCGGCGTTGAGAATTGAAGATGTCCGATGGACCAAATTGTGGTTGTGGGACTAGGGCTAAGCGAGTTGGTCGCACTAAGCGGGCACGTGATGATGGGCGAAAAATAGTGGAAATTGTGTGGATGTCTGATTTTCAAGGCAGAATATTGCCACCCATTCAGTCAGGTCTCGAGGTGTCGAGGCATCAAGCCCCTTGCCAGATTGGGTTAGCTCCTTGGCGGTGCACTTACGTCGACTGGCAGCGGGCCTTGCTCTGGCATGTCCGGGGTTTAAATGGGCGAGAGAGAACGAGTGAATCGATTCGGTGTTGTCTGAGAATTCCTGTGAACTATCTACCACCAGCACATCATGACATCCACGGGCTCTGGATGGGCACAGCTTCGGCAGCAAGCCCGCTCGCTAGAAACTCAGGTACCGAATACCTCATGAGGATATGATCCCATACACAAGATACTTGAGACTAATATGAACCGCTATAACTAGACCGAGCAGCTCTTCCATACATACGCACAATTCAGCTCTCTCACCAAGCCACCACCTTCACCCACAGAGGAAGAGCTAAGGCTCGAGTCCCAGTTGAAAGACCTCCTTGAACGAGTACGTCCACGCCTGGCATCCCCCCGTGAAGCCTGATGGAGAGCAAGAAACATGACTGATTGTCTGACACAGCGAGAATCCCTCATCTCTCAACTCTCTCGCCTCCTCGACTCTGAAGCTACCCTTACCTCCTCCGCCCTTAAACAGAACAACCTCGCCCGCCACCGCGAAGTCCTGGCCGACCACCGCCGGGAGCTCCAACGGTTGACGTCCGCTATCGCCGAGTCGCGCGACCGCGCCAATCTACTTTCCAACGTCCGCTCTGACATCGATGCCTACCGCTCCTCCAATCCCGGCGCGGCTGAGGCCGACTACATGCTCGAAGAGCGGGGGCGAGTCGAGAACAGCCATAACATGATTGACGGCGTGCTCAGCCAGGCATATGCCATTAACGAGAACTTCGGAATCCAGCGTGAAACTATCGCCAGCATCAACAGGCGGATCGTCGGCGCTGCGAGCCAGGTGCCCGGTATGAACTACTTGATTGGGAAGATTGGAACCAAGAAGCGGAGAGATGCTATCATCCTAGGCTGCTTTATTGGATTCTGCTTTCTGATGCTAGTTTTCTTCCGGTAGGCGGGCTGGACTCGTCTCGGCGATTTGCTTCGTTGTTATTGTGCTCCGACTCAAGTTTCATTTTCATCTATCTCTTGCGCTTCCTGCAGCCCGTACAGCGACTGAGTATTTATCTTGATGGTTTCCTTGCGGCGTTTAGGGGGTTGGGCATTTCCTTGAGGACTCCCTGTTACAACAGGAATGACGATAATACTTGCACTTGGCTTGCGATGGCGTCTATGTTCTTTCTATCATACACTTTCTCTATATTATGTACAAATCCAAATGTTGAGAGGAGACTCGGTATCATCCAGTGGTTCAGCTGCAAGCTGAGGCCCGTCTTTCGTGCGCGCTGTAGTTTATTTGCGATTTGCCATCTCAGCTTCGTAGATGGCTTTTCTCTCTACAATGAGCTTTTGCAAGCCCGTATTCAGCGTTTCCATCTCCGCTGGCTCAGCATTGCCACTGCCAGCCCAGCGGATACGACACTCCGAGTCCACAAGGTACACGTAGCCGACCTTCGAATTCATCATGCCAACGGCCTCCTTGAGAGACTCGGTAAAGCCCTTCTGCACCAAGAAGTACCGCGAGTGTTGCTGGGCGGGCAACTTGCGGCGCATGCTCCACATGAACATCTTCACCAGTGCCGCCTTCATGCGGTTCTCTTCCAAGTTGATATCCACCATCTGCGCGAATTGAGAATTCTTGGCCAGAATCTCCGCCATCCGGGGGTTCTGCGCCGGCCCTGTGAATGTTCCTACCTGAGTCTCTGCCCAGACGCTGGAGAACAACTTCACCACGCTGATATTGCCAAACAAAGTTGGCGTTGTGTCTTGTTTATATTTTGGCTCGGCAAGTGTGATACCGGACATGTTGGGGAAGTATAGGGCCTTGTCGCCTTTGAAGAGGCGGGGGTTTGACACGAAGGTTTTGCCTTCTAGGAAGCGCAGGTTTGACCATTCTCGGAAGTAGGGTTTGGCGACTTGGCGTGTCCTATGAGTTGGTTAAGCAAGTTGTTAGCTCCGGTTCCATTCCTGAATGTCCGGGGTATTAGACATGGAGACGATAACGTACAGTTCTTTCCGCCGCTCAAGATGCCGATCATAGTCCACAAAATCGTCTCGCCTTTGCTTCAATGATCGTGTGTCTTTCCCTGTATTCTGACCAGCCATTGGCCGCGTGGGTGCTCCGATCGGACGGTCCAACATGGGAGGCTTGAAGTCCGCATCGCCAGGCTGGGGCTTCATATCCGGGTTTTGTTGGAACTGGGCGCCGCGTCGCGGAGGCTGGGGCTCTCTGCGCGGCGGGGAGGATATCGTCGCCTCGGAAATGCTATTGTTCGGTTTCGACTCATTTGTGCCAGTTGTAGAGGCATAGTGGCGTATCGTCGAGGATTTCGCGCGGAGATGAGAGAGTGCCCCAGTGCTTCGGAATTGGCAGCTTAGACAGCGCCCGCTTCTGAGGAGCGGAAGCTCTGATAGGAGATAGGATGGTAATGGTGACTTCCACATCTTGGTGGGTGTATGTGAGAGGATGTTCGGGTGCGACAGCTGGATCTGGACGAGAACGAGTCTCTGCCGGGTTCATTTCGCGATCTTCAAAATTGCCTAAATCGGGATGGTCAGATCACATGACCTGTACTCAATCTGGAGCTGATTTTCGATAAACGGTTCAGACAAGTTCCAGTGCTAGTCATATAGATTGTTATATTCCAATAAATGGACATAGATTCCAAATGAAGTGTTGTGGGCTTTTATTGTTTCTAATCTTAAAGTTCATATACCTCGACAACAAGTATATGTTCGTAAGGGGAGGAAGTCATTGTTCAGAAATATACCTGAAACTCTTTGCAGATGAGTCGGGCAGAAATTTGTAGTAGCCTGCAAAATCACTTGAATAATTTCCCGAAAAAGATATCCTGAATTATTAGTCAGAGAACATGTGTCTTCCAAATCCTTGCCAAATCCTCTCTTCCAAATCCTCTCAAGCCACGATCATGACCGTTCAAATCATCCAGACGAATTCGGTTATATGGACAGTCCCGTGACTTGGCGGCGTTTTCGCGCAACGCCGCGTCCACGGGTGCCTCAACTGTGGCTCAAGTGCTTCACCCTGACAACTGCGTTGTCAGAGCTGCCTGCAGTGACACGGTAACCCTACCAAACTTACCAGGTCTAGTACCTTTCAGGCAACTGCGATGACTCCTCCGTGGTTCAGACACACCTTTCGCTATCGGATGCCTGACTAGTCCGCCATCATGTCGGGACAGAGAAGCAAGACAAGCTTCTTTCGCGCCCTCGAGCACTTGGACTGCTCTGATGACTCTCAAGATGATGACGATTCTCTGGAGCGACTTCTGGCTCGCGCAAAGCCTAGAGAAATTTTAAACTCGACCGCTGCCTCATCCAGCCCGCAGCAGATTACGCTTACACGGGCAAACACGGCGCCCTCGCCCTCGTATACGGACAAGGAGCTTCAAGAAGTTGCTCTTGCGCATGATGCTCATCCAAGACGGCGAATTCAGCCCTTGGAATCGAATTTGAGGACCGTGAAGCGCTCTCAGACCACTGGCACTATGTCCAGCACTACTTCAGGCCCGACGAGAGGTGGAGGTCCTGCTCTGAAGAAAAGGAGGACGAACAGTATCATCAAGCTGGTTCCTGAGGAACAGCGGATCTTCAAAAATCTCGTCTTCTGTGAGGCTTTCTTTTTCTCTGCTTTCTTTTACTCCGCTCTCTTACTAATGTTCTGTACAGTCTTTTTCCCAAATAACGATATATCTCCCTCTCGCCGTCTGCGCATCCAGCGAGCACGGGAATACGGTGCTTCCTGGATGATAGACTGGACAGAAAATATTACGCACGTGGTCGTGGATAAGGATCTACAGTATTCTGACCTCGTTAAATATCTCAAGCTCGAGACATTTCCCGTTAGTCCGCTTCGCCCGTGTCTGCGCCAGAATTTGCTGAACATGGCTATAGGAAAATGTGGCTCTTGTCAACGAGTCATATCCTTCAGATTGCATCAGATTTCGCTCCGTTTTGAGTCCAGCCCAAGCGCGATTTCGTGTGGAAGGAGTGCCAGAATCTGGGCAGAAAGATGCCCCGGCTCCAACAACCGCGTCAGTCGCAGTGGACTCACTGCCACTGAAAAGGCCGAGAAAAGGCCAGGAACAGACACCGGAGCCATCGCAGTCCCCGGTTAGGGAGGTTATCCTTGATAGTAACCCTTCATCAGAAGTGGTTGCTAACATTGCTGGCTCTGAGGAAAGAACCGAGGAGACGCGTCAACGCGATGCCCTAGATGATATAATCGCAGAGGCGAAAGCAGCAAGCCATTTGGTGAGTAGATTCAACATTAAAGACCTTCGCTATTCACTAACGAGTCGGACCAGCCGCTTGATCCGATCGATTCCTCTGACGAGGAACCTGACAAACCTGATAGTGAGTCAGAATCATCAGAGCCTGACCCATCCAGATCAAAGGAAGAACCGCGAGGAGAGCCTGTCGTCGAAACGTGGGCGCGCAGTTTTGCCTGCATGCAAAAGTCCGACCCCAATGCAAAGCGCGACAATCCAAACAATCGAACCATCGAAGTCTTACAGCAAATGCTGGACTACTATACGCGAACAGGAGATCATTGGCGGACGCTGGCTTACCGCAAGTGCATCAACGCTCTGCGGAGACAGACCAAGAAGATCATATCCAGAACAGAGGCGCGGGCAATCCCCGGCATCGGAGATCGGCTGGCAGACAAGATCGAAGAAATTGTCTTGACTGACCACCTCCGCCGGCTGGACCATACCAACGAGACCGAAGCAGAAACCATCATCCAGGAGTTTCTCGGTATCTACGGGTGTGGTCTTGCCCAGGCATCCAAATGGGTGGCGCAAGGGTATCGAAGCCTCGACGACCTTCGTGAGCGAGCTCCCTTGACCAAGAATCAGCGCATCGGCCTGGAGCGCTACCATGACTTTGCGCAGCGGATTCCGCGCAAGGAGGTCGAGGCCCACGGGGCGATCGTGCGACAGGCAGTCCAGGCGGTGGACCAGGACATGCAGGTGATCATTTCAGGCTCTTACCGCCGCGGGGCTCAGGACTCAGGCGACATTGATCTGCTTATCACCAAGCCAGACGGTACCGGAGAGCAGATCCGGTCGCTGATCCTGGATACCGTGGTGCCTCAGCTGTTTGCAAATAACTTCCTGCAGACTGGTCTGCAGACTTCACGACGGAATGGCGACGGTTCTAAATGGCAAGGGGCATCTATGATTCCCGGAAGCACGGTCTGGCGGCGCCTCGATCTACTCTTCGTTCCTGGAGCGGAGTTTGGAGCGGCGATGATATACTTCACGGGCAATGACATTTTCAACCGTAGTATGCGGTTGCTCGCACGGAAGAAGGGGATGTGTCTGAACCAGCGAGGACTATTCACGGACGTACTGCGTAATGGACAGTTGAAGGTGAATCCAGGCCGACTGGTCGAAGGGCGCGACGAGCGGCGGATCTTCGCGGTGCTGGGTGTGCCCTGGCGACCTCCAGAGCAGCGAATTTGCTAGAGAAGAATGGACAAGTATTCTTTGATTTCTTTGTTCACAATAGCCATTCTATGAACCTCTTAGAAATTAAAAAAAAAATCCAGTGATGATGCAGAATATAGACCTAGACCGAGACCGAGAGACAGCCAAAGTCAAATACCCCGAAAAGGTGCATATTATTTCGCAGGTTGCTGGAAGGTGCCGGTCAAATGGTGACCTCCAATTTCCATCAGCTTAGAAATTTTGCCCCTCCATTGACACGGTGACACGGTGACACGGTCTCTCTCCTTCTCTACCTTCTCGTCTTCCAATTTCTCCCACCTTCCAACATTTGTACTTTCCTTCTTCCATCACCGCCTTCTTAGCTCCCTTTTTTCCGTCCTTGCCATCCACCCCTCCTTCCATCACCGCCTTCATCCCCTTTCCCATCACCGCCTTTCTTCCATCATCACCGCCTTTTCATTTCATCACCGCCCTCCGTGCGGTGAAGCCTCATCGCCTTCTTTCCCCCCCTGCGACCGTGCAGACCGCCCTCTACTGCCCCCCCAGTTTTGCCCGCACCTCAAAAAGAAACATTCGTGCTCGAGTCCTCTTCAAAACGACGACGACTCTGCACCTCGACGTGGGCCCTGGTTCGTCGGCCTGCCCTCTCCTGTCGAGGTCGTCGCCCCGCCACGTCGACCTGACGTGTTGTTATGCTCAGCTGGGTTTCTGCCCTTCACCTCTGATTCGTCCCGGACCGCGTGCCTGCTGCTCTGTGGTCGAGCTCATCGCGTGTGTTACTCGATCACTGACGAGGACTCGATTGTGCTAACAAGGCAATTGGAGTCGTCGGTGGACCCCTGTAACTGACGCGTCCGCAAATCTCGTCTCTACCGCCCCTCCAAAACACACTCACCGGGTCTGACCACCAACGGTCACCGTTCAAAATGGGTCGCAAGCCCAATCAACTCATTCTTGAGTTCTTCATTCGAGGTCCTAAGCTGGAGGACTCGAGCAACCGATACCAGCACACCTGCAAGGCCTGTGGCGAAAAGTTCCCGAAAGGCCGCATCGATAGCCTCACCAACCACCTGGTCAAAAAGTGCCAGGCCATTCCTCTCCGTGACCGTCAGCGCGTGCTCCTGCGTCTTCACGAACTCCCCGATCTCACCGAAGGTGATGCCAACAAGGATCCTAATGCTCCCGCCGGAAAGAAGGGTGACGGCTCATTCGGTAACCGCCCCAACTTCGATGGTCTGAACGTGCTCGCAGAGGCGTCCCGCCAGGTGGTTGCCTCGGATCATACCAAACGAGGCCCTGCATATGCTCAGTCCGTGACGTCCGGTGGAAAGACCGTGGTAGTTGACCCCGCGCTGGAGGCCGAGTTTACCGTTCAGTCGGATGTCAAGGATGAGGACGAGAATGCACAGGGTAAGTTCCCTGGATGATTTGACCCAAGCCGGAATTCAGCATGCTAATGATGGTTGTTTACCAGGAACTGCTCAGTCTTCTGGTACTCCTACCATTCCCGCCCTCCCCAGTCACACCTCCGACCACCCTTCTTCCATGTCCCCCCCACTGGGCGACCACTCCATGACACCCGATTCGACATCCAATGCGCGCCAGTCACAGCTCTCGATGATCGCCGCTTCTGCAAACGAGATGGTCCCTCAGGGACTGACAATGGACGACGATGGTTTGAAGATGAACCAGTGGAATCAGCAGCTTACGACCCATGAGCAGCTCCTGTTTGACAGTCTACAAGAGCATGACCCGTCCCTGACTGCTGCCACCCAGCGGGCTGCGTCGTTCCCGCGACCCATTGCGATGAACCCCAACACACAGGCCAAGGGCTTTGTTAACGAATTTGGGAACTCTACCAAGCCTGCCAAGCCCAAGGTTCGCGGCCGCTTCTCTGATGAGCGCCGTCGTGAGGTTCAAGAAGTGCGCAAGCGCGGAGCGTGCATCCGTTGCCGCATGTTGAAGAAGCCGGTACGAACTGCTTTAATCTGACGTCCCATATATGAAATGTACTGACAATAACTTTCAGTGCTCCGGCGAAACTCCTTGCACCACCTGCGCCAGTGTTGAGAGTGCTCGTCTGTGGAAACACCCTTGTATTCGAACTCGCCTGTCCGAAGAGTTCGAGCTCTACAATGCCAGTAAGTTTCATTTTGTTCGGTAAGCTATTGTCAGCTTGATGACTGACATGACTAGATCTCCACGCCACACTTGCCTACCATGACACCAACTCCATCAAGAACCAGGTCAAGTTTGAGCACTACGCTGGCCGCATTGAGGTCACCCATCTCGAGGAGAGCATGGTCTATGTCACAATCAGCGGACTTCAGGGCCACCGTGCCTCTGTCTCGGCCCTTGACCCGCAGCTTCAAGGCCTGGGCGATGACCAGTTCTCTGCACCTGCACAGGAGATCTACCTTCTGGATAGCGATGCTGATGACATTCCAAGCAAGCTGGAACTGTACATCAAAAAGACTGCTTCCCTCTTCTTCGAGCGTGAGGAGTCTAACTTCATGAAGTCCACCTTGATGCTGGCCTCGGAGCTAGCCCAGGCTAAGAAGGACACCCTGCTTGAGCGTGCCGTGGATTTGTGGGTCGCTACTCACATTCTGGTCGACAACGAGCTTACCTGGAAGACATTTTGCAACCCCACTCTTCCTCCAACCTCGATGCACTCCCTGTCCCAGCCCTCGGATGAGGGTCGCCTTCCGATCGAAGAAGTGTCGGACCCTGAGTCCTACGCTCTGCTGTGCAGCCAGCTGCGTGCTGCTATGGAAAAGCGTGCCATGCAGCTAAGCAAGTCTGTCATCAATGACCTCGAGCGCCGTCTGCTTCAGCGCCAGAAGACTGGCTGGTTTGAGACCTTCCTCGTGGCTATTGTCCTCCTGAACTGTGTCGAGCGCACTTGCTGGCTGTTCCGCTCGTGGGACAATGAAACTTTTGTGCAGCGTGTAAGTTTGACATGTCCTCCTGAGCTTGGAGTACCCAATCACTAACATCTTATAGTGGCCTTTGGACAAACGTCCCCCTTACTACTACACCCAGTCCGACCGTTTCTCTGACATCCTGCACATGCTCCTCCGCATGCGCAGCCTTCCCCCCAAGTCTGTCGTTCGCCAGGATAACGGTACCCTCAAGGCCGTCGATGGCAGCGATGAGTACGCTATGCGCTGGTTTGATATGATTCAGGTCACTCCCTACTATCTTGAGGAGCGCACCAATGCCATTTTCGACCCTCAAGATTCGCGCTCGCTTGACCTTCGCCACAGTGCTGGCTTGCTCTTGCCACACAATGCCTAGATCATGAGACACGAGTATAGATCTCTCGCTGAACATCTTGTCAGAAAGGATTTCTGAGAAATGTAACGAGTCGCAACAACGTCATTGATATTGTATGATTTCAAGGGGATGATGATCAATCGCGGGTGTGATCTTGATATCGGTGGATCCACTGCTTGATTAGAAAATACCACAAACGGAGGCATCTGGTGCAGGATCTCCGGATGAGGCAGTGGCCATCATTTTGTTCTAATTCTTCTTTATGCTATTGCAACGGTGTCTTTTGGGATCCAGATGGTGTTGTGGGGTTCGGAGGCGAATTTATCCGGGCTTTTGATTCTGTCTTGCTTCTCAAGATTAATTGTTAGGATTAAATGTCTTATTACTTGCCACTTGTTCCTTTTCTGCTAATTGAAGTAGCGTAGCTACGCTCGAGATTGTTGAATACGTGGAAGTAGTACCAGTTGAGGGCACGGATTGTCACGTGAGAACCGTATACATCTACATCAGGGAGAACTGGTGGGTGACCAAACTCTTTTTTTGGTTTTTGGGGGGGGGGGGGTTAAGAAAATCACGAAAAATCCAAAAAGATCAAACTAACTATCTGCATACCCAGGGATTCCTATTGGAGGAAGATCCTTCTCCAATCCATCCATCCATGCCCTCAATCCGTTCCCTCAACAACCACCATCTCCCGATCCATTCTCCCATATGAACCGCCAAGCAATTTCCCTTCCTGTATCCCATAAAATCAAAGCGAAACTAAAAAAAAAGAAAACCAAAGCAAAGGGACCCCTAAGTTTCCGTTCCATGCATGAATCTCAATGTCATCGGGTACAAAGACGTACAGGGTCCCGATGAATGCAAAGGAGCGATCTCCTCAAGATTCCGAAAAACCCTCCCAAATCAGTCTGAAAAACGAAAAATCAGAGTAAAAAGCAAATCCCAAATTCCTGCTGAAAATACGCAAAGTCTTCGACGTTATCATGCACGGCGAGAAAGCTGGTGATTGCCGATGCAATTCACAATTCATTGTCCCATCCGTTGCGGGACTCACCCAGATCCTCGTTAGTCTGGGAGTAAACAGGATTGCTTGGGCGCGATCGGTAGCCTTGAACAGAATCCTAATCCTCCTAGGATTGGAAAACGTTCTCCCAACCGTTCTCATTTAGGCCCTCGCCCTCCTGGATGCCCTCAACCTCATGCTCATCGTTCACAAGGTCAGTGCCATAGGCCCAATAATTGTCAGAGTCGTAAGCCCGCTGTTTGCACATTCGAAACACACTCTGGGTGTTCTCTGAGGAGATCGCCGCAGCGCAGAAGCAGGTCGTCAGAGTCAAGAAGATTCGCCGCTGCAAGCGCTTCATCGTATGCGCGATAGATTTCCACAAGCTCCAGCTCCTCTGCTTTCACCCGCTCAGCCAGATCGTTCGGAGAGAGCCCTTGGGCCTTGTGTTTGGAGATTCGCCCTTGTGCTGCTCTCATATCCATGCTGGAATTCAGACGCTTGATTATTCTCTGACCAAAGATTAGTGGATATGTACCTCTCAAGAAATTTGCCCATATCAAACTCACCCGAAGAATTGCCCTTGTGTCATCGGAATCCGCAATCCCAAATCCTTTGCGCAGCCCAATCAAATATCCATACTTCACCAGATATCGCCGACAAATTGAATGAAAAGTACCTAAAATCAACCGCGACTGTAATTTCTCACCGATAAGCTTGCTGAGACGCTCACGCATCTCCCGACTCGCTTTGATCGTGAACGTGCAGCAGATGACATCTTGTGGTTGATAGCCATGGTGAGAAAGCAGGTACGCGACGCAGGAATAACCCTCGTGCTTGTCGTCCCAGCAAGTCAGAAAGGTGCGGTGGAAAAGTTAGTTACAGGATAGACCATTTGATATAGTGAGCACAATAATGACATACCCGCCCGGGAGAGGACCATCTTCTGTCAGAATCTCGGCCAGGATAGTCACAAAACCAGGGCGCAAGTCAATGTCGTAGAAAGACCCCATTTGAAGGATCTCTGAGCTCTGGGCGATCGGCAGGCCAGGGCTGTTGACGAGAAACAACCCGCCCTGGTTTTCTCGAAAAAACAAGCAATTTGATGATACTCATTTTAGTGAATCTGTGCGTTGACTGCAGTGAATATGTTAGTAGCTTGTTGAAATATTGGAAGCTTGGTGTAGGTTGAGCGACTGAGTGCTTGTGAGGGGATGAAAAGGACGAGAGGTAGAAGGATGAGAGTTAGGAGGATGCAAGGTAGAATCGAGCAGAGTACTCACTCGATGTTGATGAGGTTGTAGATTGATGGGCGAGGAAGCAGATGGTGGTGAATAGGGAGTAGGAGGAGAAAGAATATGGACGAGGAGAAGCTTTGGGGGCGAGGAGTGGGGTTAGAGATGATGGTGATGTAGAAGGAGGAGAGTGAATAGGAGGAAGCTTTTATGTCAAGGGGAACAGAAGGAGAAAATGGTCACAAGGAGGGAGAAGGCCGAGTAAGGAAATAGAAGAGTAGAAGGGAATGTAGAGAGAGATCGTGATAATGGAGTGAACTTTGTGAGAGAAGAGACTTACCCGAGGTTCGTGGCGATGAGTAGAGGATGAGAGGTGAAGGAGGATCACGATGAGCGTCGTGCGGAGACGGAATGGATGAAGAATGGGTGGCGATGGAGGAAGAAGTCGTGACGACTAGATTGGTGATATCAGTACGTGGTTAAAGAAGTGTGGGTGAGATGAAAATGTAGATGAATAGAAGAGAGTAGAAGATCAGAAGTGAACGAGGTGGTGAGAGTAAAGAGTTGCCTGACGGTGGTGGTGCTGAGTAGAGGTGGAAGGATAAAAAGAGTAAGAAGATGAGGATACGTTGAGGGGAGCAGGATGGCGAAGGATACGTCGTCGAGACTAAATAGGGAAATCAGGGTGTTTGTCGGAGAAGTGTAGGTGAGAGGAGATCTTAACGAAGGAAAGAGAACAGATGGTGGGAAGTGAGCGAGGGCTTGCGAGCAAGGACTTACCTGAAGCGAGGCGGAGTGCCTAGAGGCAGTATGGTAGAGAGAGGTAAGATGATGATGATGATATGCGAGGGTGAAGGATCAAGATGGAGTGGAATAAATAGGATTGAAAGATGAGGTAGAAGGATGAGGCAGAAAAATGGAGGAGTAGAAGAAGAAGGATTCAAGATGATGGCGGAAGATTCTGCAGCGAAAGGAAAGATCGCCCATGGAATGTATACGAAATTAGGCTGCCTCGCAGTGAGTCTGTCTTGGACGAAGTAGTGTGCCATCTCTTTCAAGTCTACACTCCTGTATGCCTGTCCAGTATCACAACAGGGATCCCTCTCCATGGAAGGCAACTTCTTCTAGAATCGTACCCATGTAATACTCACCGAACTGGTGCCTCAAACCCCAGCCTTGCGCCAAAATTCATAGCCAGTATAGTGTGTGACTGGATGACCTCAGCTGCCTCACTCTTGGAGCATATAGCGTCCTTAGATCGGAGACTTTCGCGGAGCTCAATCTGCTAGATACAAACCATGAGATATTGGCCGTTAGTAAAGTACCTGAAACCTATGAATCGTACAATGCTCGAGACACTTAGACTTTGGGTCTTCGAGATGCTTCGAATCTACATGGAAGATAAAGTTGACACGGATCGCGGGGTTAGATGTGGTAGTATCAGCTCTTCCAAATGTGGAGGAAAAGCCGCTTGACAAAGGAGGAAGCTAGGAAGCTAGATGTCTTGTTTGGTGGAGAAGATGGATGCACGCAAAGAGAACAGTATTCACAAGGAAATCCATCACCTGAATGTAGCTAGAAGAACCAGTAGGTAGGGGATCAAGGCTTCGAGAGATGCTGGTGAATCAGTTTCGAGTTGACACGTTCCTGATAATTTCCTCGGGCAACGTGATGAAGTGAACTTAGAATATTGTTACGTCTAGGGAAACCAGCTTATGGTTCTTTTTTTGAAGTTTTATTCAACTACTTTGTCTAGTCCTCTTCCGAGTCTCTTTCGTAGGTATCATAATGTAATCAAGAATGCTTCTTCTTTGAAGCGTCAATCGTTTACTGACGGGGCGTCGAGTAGAATCTAAACAGATTATACAACCGTAGCGACTACCATGGATTCACATATTTCCGCTCCATCCCCATTTGCAATGGCGCTTAGCGGAATTTGCAGCTCATTATCACCAAACAGATAGGTATAAAGGTTCTACCCGGCAGCTTCCACTCGTTTGCTGTGGATAGCAACTTATATTTTCAACATCTCTCTTGGATCTCCCAATCTGGGCATTATTATTTCCTATTACCCCCTCTTCCATCATCTATATAAGCTTTTATTGAACCGGCTTCATCAAATTGTTGAAACAGGAATTCTATATCACAAGCCCCTAGCTTATGGCCCCGGACAGATGTAGGCTTTCTTCTGTCTTCTGCCTGGGAGCCCATGGCGTTCTGCATGGTATCCTCCTAACCGCCCTATTTAAATAACTCACATCAGTGGACGGCCCTCTTTCTTCCAGGCTCATATGGAAGAGAGAATTCGAATATGATCGACCTCCAACTTGGAGAGATCTGGATATGGTGGTGACATTGAGGGTGTGGATAGAGATGTCAATAAATTGGCTTACCCCTTTGGGGTGACCAATGAATCCGTGCGAAGTCCCGAATGAACTTCTCCTACTTCGGTAATGTGGCTCCGCAAATCATTCCAGAACCCATTCTAACATCATGAAATGTTACTCATATAGCATGTCCTTGCCTCAACGAATCTCCGCTTTACTTTGAATACTTTTCTCGACCTGGAAAGGTCTCAGGGATAGTCGATATCCTGGTTTAGAGCCAACGCAAGCTTCTTGCCTTTCACCACGCTGTCAAGATCGGCGTCACACACATCTCGCAACCTTCTCTATGGCGCTGAAGTCGTAAGGAAATCTACTCTAGAGTACGGGTTGTTCCTGTAACGCATGCTAGAGCCTCAAATGGAACTAACTGAAACTAGACAGCTTGGGTAGCCTTCTTCAACTGGCAGGGTCTCTGCTCCAGGGTACTTACAAATTGCTCGTTTTTCACCACGCCGTCGAGATCGGGTTCCCACGTATCTCGCAACTTTCTCTAGGTACGACGCTGACGCGGTAAGTCGATCTCCTCCTGAGCATGAACTGTGCTTGTAACACAGGCCAGAGTCTCAAATAGAGCTTACTGACACTATACAGCTCTCATCCGTTTCAAGGAAAATTCTACTCACGCTTCCACGCCATACCCGGGAAAGCCCGGTCTATGGACATCAAGCAAGTCCATTGCCGGTATCAAGCCTTCCAACCAATCATTTTGAAGCCATACGCCGATATCAACAACCCGGAGGAGCGACTCAGATCTGAAATGTTCTTCTGTTCTCTTTCATTCGTCAACGCGTTCCCTTCCACTACTCTCGACACGAAAACCTCTATTCCTCTATTCCTTACTATCCATGCTGGATCCGAAGACATTGACATCTCGCACGTGTGGGAGATCGACGATTGATGAACACACTTACCGCCTCGAAACGAAATACTACATCAAAGATACAGGCTAGACAGCAGATGGTGGAGCACAAGGCCTAGTGGCAATCTCGCGCGTGGCTCGTCGCATCGGGGATTGATTTAAGAGTGTCATTGTTGCACTTGGCTCTTCACAACTTTTGCCTCGACCTCACTCCTGTGTCCATTTCACAGTGGCAAACGGCCAAGGTCTTTCTGAGAGCTGCGCAATTCTTTAATTAGACTCATCCGACTACGTCGCTATCAAAGGCTCGCGAGATTTATATAAAACCGCGAATGACGTCTGACCGCATGCCTTTTTGATTATTGGCTGGGAATTTACGGCTACTCAATGTTTCCAACAGCACACAAAGGCTTATTATTGGCTTTTGTACGTTGATGATTTCTCCCCCCCCCCCCGCCCCTTCGTTAATCGGTCACTAATTCGAGATTTGGGAAGAAACAAATGGGGTATGCAAATAGAGATCCCCTGTTCTCAAAGACGTCACCAATATACAGCCCAGTGCTGCGTCGGTAGTAGCCAAAAGTACTTACTACCGAGTTATTCCCCCTCGACCTGGATGTAACGATGACCATGAGGTTGACAATGGCCCTGTGCCGTTGGCGCTGGAGATATGGACCGCCCTAAACCACCCACCCTGCAAGAGAGCAAGTAGGATAGAAATAAGGGCCGAACTTCTAGAGTCTGGAGGCACAATGGTAATTAGAGGCTCCTGCCCGAGAGTTGTCTAGTTATACGCAATAATATCCCATCTTAATTTGACAGTATCTAAAGCACGACTTGAAAAATCTAAAAGATCGTACAAGTGTCCCACCACGCTCCATGATTCAAATAGTTCATAACATAGAAAGAAAAGTAAATAATACACAAACCCATCCTCCTCTCACGGCGTCACAGTCCCCAAATCCATCGTCCCCGACCCCTGCCCCTGCGCCCCTGGCAGGAAACTCTGTTCCAGAACAACGGCATAAAACTTGCCTTCCTCAGATGTATCATGATACCTCCCCGCAGAAAGAACAGCCCTATCCCACCCAAAGAACAAACTTTAGGTTAGCTTCATGGCACGAATAGAGAAAAGAGAATAGAGGAACTAAACATACCATCCTTTGTACTTTGGCTGATTGAAAATATCAGTGAACACCTTCAAAATATGTAGAGGTAGTTCCAGGATTGAAGGGAGGTCGGGACCGTCGCCGCAGATGGGGAGGCCCAGTTTGTTGACGGGGAGGTAGGCCACTTCGGCGGTGTTGTGGGGGTTACGCGTTTCCTGGAAGATGACGAGGCGGCGGGAGAGTTGTGGTTGGGGCTTGTTCATTGTGGTGATGGTATGGGATAGAGGGCTGAGTATTGTATTTGGATTGTCTCTTAGACAATATGACTTTGGGTATCAGATATCAGCCTGTGGATGTAGCGCGAATTCGGTTGCTGGTGAATTCGAATTCAAAGTTTTGTCTGCCTGGCAGGCTGGGAATAAGCTCGTGCCTGGCGCTTGAGGCGCTAATTTATCTGTGAGACGCAGTTAGATTGATTCAAAGAAAGAAGGAGAATTGTAACTCTGATATTCTCTTACTCGAAGACCCGTGAAGCTAAATGCAGGTCTGACTGGCTGTTTGGAAAATTCGCGATTTGGACAGGCTCGGCTTATCGCGTGGAGGGGGAAAGCGCGGGGCAAGAAAGGGGGGGGGGGCCGAGACTGTGTAGTGTATTTTATCTGCGCCACCACGAGGGGGACCTGGAGATAGATCGCGACAGGATAGATTGGATCGCGATGGGGTCGGGAGGTATTTGGCTTTTGTTGAATCTCGAATTACGGGGAGTCTTAAGACTTAGCGCAGTGCTTCTTGTCATTTGCCGTGCGCGCTTGTAGTGGTGGGGCTTGAGGGGGAGAAGGTCCGTTACGAGCGCGTGGATTCTTGACGATTGATTTGATGGTGGCTAATGGACAAGATTTCATCGCTTCAAGGTTGATAAATATACTCTTTGATATGTACATGCTTATGGTTGTTTATTTTTGAAGGGACCAGTCTCTAGTGGGGCCTTGAAATACAGTCATAACAGTAGAGAAGAAGCAACAAGATCTTATCTAAACAATACTATGGATATAGAACAACCAAGAAGGTAACACAGAACAGAAAAGGTTCTGATCAAAAGATAAAAGCGAAAGACATTGGGTATCATGGAAGAGAAAGAAGGTATCATGAAGGCTTCAAAAAGAAAAAGAGGAAAAACGAAGGAAACACAAGTAGACTGCACAGGAATGGAAACCTGCCAAAAAGTAGCCAAAACTTGAAACACAAAACATAGCAGGCATTATACCTAGATTATTATAGATTAAGCATCAAGTTCACCATCAAGAACTCTCCGCGCCGCATCCAGACGGCGCCGAAGGACACATGCAGCTTTCAAATCTGGATCGGGCGAGGTCGTGATAGCCTGTAGGTCCATGCAGACCTTTCCAAGACTGGAGAACAGCTGCTCCAGCATCTGAGTGTCATCATCGTTGATACCACCGGATACAGGAGTTGCAGAGCTCGGGTGTGGACTCGAAGCTGCGCGCACCGTCGAAACAAGAGATGAAACCAGGGATGTCGGTGTCGCGGAGCCAGCTGTAGATCTTTGTGCTGGAGATTGCTGAACCTCGACCGGAGTAGCATTGGCTTCTTCGCGAGGAAGACGGGGCGTCGCGGAGCGGTCGTTTTCAACGGTAGAGCTGGCGCGGTGGCTGTGGTGCTGGTGACGCAGTTCATGGTTGAACCTGCGATCCCAGTATAGAATGTCGTCGTCGTCGTCGGGCAGATGCTCCTCACCCTCCGTAGCCGTAGCAAATGTACCAACGGTCGAGACGGAGAGAGAGCTGTTAGTGCGCGAGTGTCGCACCGAGTGCGAGTTTGTGGGTCGCGTCGTTTCCACGGAGCCATGGGAGCTGACGCTGACACGACGCATTTGCTGCGAGAAGTTGCCTAGGGCACTGTGGAGAATGAAATGCTCGTAATCGAACGCGTCTTCACGTTCCTCGTGAGGCGTGGCAAGGTCTGCATCGAGCGGTTCGCGCAGAATCTCGTCCAGCGCTTCTCGATCAATGTCGCCGTCGTCATAGTAGTCGCCCTCCTCGGCATCCTCGTACATGCTCTCTGCAGCGGACTCACGGCCATCGTACTCGTTATGCTCATGACCCCGCCATGATTCATCTGTGTCTTGCGAGAGATCAGGGCTTTGCTCCGCAGGGCTGTCACCAGTGCGCTCTGGATTATAAGACCCGTTCCGGTCTTTCGAGGCTATCTCCGTATACTGTCGAGATTGAGTCTCGCGCGCGTATTCTGAGCTTCCGTCACGTCGAGGATTCGACCCACGACTGCTACGGCCGTCGCGGACCTCCAGGCCGTTCTGATACCAAGGGTCCGCAGCAGTCAAAGGACTCGGCGTTCGCAGACTTTGCAAGCTGCGCCGTCGCAGATTGTCCTCTTGCGTCCGTACCTTGAGCGAGGAGATCTTGATGTGAAGACCCTTCATCTGGTACTGAAGATCGCGTACTTGCAGCTGCGACTGCGCACGACTGGGCGGGCCGTATGAGCTGTAGACTGGGCTGAAGGCGCCTCCATTGGATCTGGACTCATCCTCCTCCGAAATTCCCAAGCCTCTCGGTGAGGAACAAGATGAGCTATCTTCGCGGATGACGGGAGACTGGATCGCCGGAGATCCACTGGAGACTGGAGAGTGTGATGGTTGAGGTGATTGTGCTTGTAAATGTGGGGGTCGTATAGACGAGATCGATGCCCGATGCGTGAGGTACGACCGTGTAGGTTCATACTGAAAGGACCGATCGTCATTATAGAAATTGGACGTGCTGCTTGATCCCATCGCCGAGACCGACCGAGACACCCCTTTCGTATCCGTGGACAAACTCGACTCAGCCGGGAAATTGGTCTCGCTGTGCACGCGAGAATGGCGACTGTTCGAGGCATCTTGCGATGAGATGAATGACTGGCGACGCAAAGTCGAGCCCTTGCGATCGGCCTTGGAAATCGACCGATACAATCCACCGGGGTGCAGGCCCATAGGCGAGGTATTGCCCGGCGCGGACGGCGAAGGCGAAGGCGTAAGACGCACCGAGGAGCGAGCGCGATTCAAATTGCCCTCCATCAACTGCGAAACAAGTCAGTTTCCCTCTGGAATGTTCCAATGCTTCATCCATTGTCTGCCACGCTAGATCTCCACATACCGTCAGGCGCTTCTTTGCATTCTCCAGAATCCTCTCTGCTTCACTGCTCAAGATCGCCGACGAGAACTCTTCTCCAGGACCCTTGCCCTTGACAGCAGATGTCACGATGCTGCTGTTAGGCAATTCAGAGCCAATCTTGACCTCATCCCCGCTGCCAGTCTTGCTTCCACTCTCCACCACGTGGGCGTTCGGTGACACCTCCGGCGCACTCTGGGGCGAAGACGCCTCTCCCGAAGACCGCCCGCTTCGCCCGCTCACCGTCGAGCTGGAGCTACTACTCAACTCCACATTCGCCGATTCCTGATTCCCAATCGCAGGCGAGTGAGTGCGTTGCAGTGGCGATCCTCTTAACCCCAGTCTCCGCTGCTGTTGTTGTTGTTGTTGTTGCTGCTCCTCCTGCTGCGGCCCCTGCTGGTCCTGCGAATCCACAACCTCGTCAAAACCGTCAGCCCACGCCGGGGACATCTCCTCCCCAATATCGGACAACCGCCGACTGGCATTCATCTCGTCATGGGTGCGATGGCGGGAAAAATTTTTCTTGGGGCGAGCGGAGCCAGCATGGGGGTCAGCGGCGTTGTAGCGCGCGTTCAAGTTGGTCAAGTAGACGAGTGTGGAGGGTGGGGAGGGAGTTTGGGATTCGCGCTCGCTGCCGTCATACGGCAGGATCATGTCCGGGTCGGTCAGGGTGAGGGAGGGCATGCGTGACGATGGAGGGCCCGGGGGCCGGGGAGGTTTTTGTTGGAATGTGACGATTGAGAGGTAGAGATGAGAGAGAGGGAGAGAGAGAAAAGGAGAGAAGAAAGAGGACTCTAGTACTCCGTACAGTAATTTCAGTCGCCAAGTTTAGTCTGTCGAGTTCGGCTCGTTCGTTGGGGGTCCTGGTACCCTAGCAAAAGTGCCCCTAACGGGCGTGTTGGTGGATGCGGCTTAGCGGGCTGTGATCATTGCCCGTTCGGGAAGGGCGCGGTTGAAGATGTGAAGATATTCGGAGTGTTCGTTGGTTGGGACAGAGTGGACAGTCGCTTTGGATGTGTAGATTGAGGAGTCGAAAAGCAAAGTGGTTGGTTGAGGAGTGGAAGTGTATTGGGGGTTGTCGAGGAAGAAGTAGACGAGTCACTTTTTCTTTCCCCTCGGACTCTCTGGACTACTACTATGGACTGCCGAATCGACAAGGCATTTGTATTGTGTTCCACTGTTCATGCCAGCGAGCTTCATAGAGTTCTTAGCTCGGCCAGTGTTTAATTACACCTCCACCCTCGCGCTTTGGTAAGCAAACCAGTCTGACCAAGCGAACAGTCTCAGGAGTCTAGAGCGCCCCGTGCTCACTCTACCGTGGCCAATGGCAATAACTTTCATTCAAATAAAAGAGTGTACATGCCCCCAGCTTCGTACAGTCGTACATAGCTCATCACTTAAAGGAGTAGGTGTACCAGGGGTGGCTGCACGTTGAGCGAAGAAGCAAGGATGATTCCATCTGGTTTCAGGTGGCTCCAGTCTTCGGGCCGAAAAGGCTAAGCAGCACAATTTGAATGGAACGAACCCCTGAGATGATGAGATCCCGCGGGTGCAGTCCCACGGGAATAATCCACGGTAGAGTGGAGACTCATTTCATCCGATGATTGGAGGGATGAAACGGAATAATAACAGTTCCTGGATAAATGTATAGAAGATAGTCTAGAGGAGTATGTACGGTAGACCATCCTTGTTACTCGCTAAGGTAGAATGCCAGGACATACTGCCTGGATCGTCACAATAAAAATGCTTTTATGCTGTTGATTCGCGACTCCGTTTGTACAGATTACAAAATAACATCCATGGGGGGAAAAACGCCCTTCAAACTGTATCCAAAAACAAATCATCCAAGCAAAATGCCCAATGCTCATATCTATACTTTCTCAAGCAGCAGCTTGGCACCGCTAGCCGCCGGTCCGGCCTTCTTCTCGCCCTTGCCAGACTCCGAGGCCTGCGTCAGAGCCTTCTTGTTCTTCTTCAGAGTCTTGAGCAACTCAGCCTTGCCCTGGAACTCGTCCGACTCGGCCATCGCGACAATCACAAAGGTGTTGGGGCCGGTCGCCCACTCCACAACCTCGTCCCGGATCTGCTCATACAACAGATCGTGGAAGTTCAACGGTGGAGACACCTTCTCCACGGACTTGGTGGCGGGGTTATAACGACCGCCCTGCACGAGGGACTTGAGGAGACGGCCAAAGGCAGCAGAGTCGCGCTGTTCGGACTGGGTCTTGGCGGCGTTGGCAACGGCTTGCAGGGCAGCAGTCTTGTCACCAGAGGATCCGAACAGGACCTCGCCGACGAACTGGCAGCCAAAGGAGGTCTCCAGAAGAGCCTCGGCACGGGCAGCAATAAAGGCAAGTAGGGTGGGTGAAGCGGCCACAGCCAGCTCGCTGCGCCGGATAGCGGGGTCTTTCTTCGAGGTTTCTTTCCGGATCTCACGAATCTCATTCAACACCCCCAAATCGGCCTCGGGCAGGAGCCACTTGACGCGATCACCTGCGAAGGGGAACAGGACAGCAGCACGAGCGACCAGATCGTTGACCTGGCGGAATAGTTCCTCATTACGAGCCTCCTCGGCATCGTTCTGGTTGAGAAGTTCCGAGAAGATCGACTTGCCGCTCAGTTTTGTGTCGTCAATCACTTCGTATGCGGCTAGAATCACCATGTGACCGTTCGCATCCCCTGCCATCGCCTTGATGGTATCCCTGTAGAATCGTAGCAGCAGCTTACGGTCCTTGGCGTTGGCATAGGCCAGACTCAGGCACATCAGACGAGAGCCAGACGCGGTGAAAGCCAAGTTCTTCACCAGATCGCCCTCTTCGTCACCCTTGAGCAACTCGATGAATTCGTTCGCCTCGTTGCTGCCAGGCTTTGTGTTGAGGAAATATTGCAACATGGCATCGTGCAAGAGAGTGAAACCGGTGGTCTTCTTCTGGACCATATGGTTGATGAGCTCATGCAAGAAGTGCATGATAGGTCCCCGCTTTTCAGGGTGCGCCTCCAAGATCTTAACCAGATCCGAAGTCTCCTTGTCATCCTGGAAGATGGCAAACTCGGGGCCGTACCACTCACGGAGGATCCGTCGGCGCTGCTCCTTGGACGCAACTGTGCGGTAGATATCGTCCAGAATCCATGATGCCTCGGGGTGACGAATCAGACGCTTGACGTGGCCGTAAAACTCGGGAATGATCAGGTCGCGGGTTTCTGCATCACCGTGCACAATTAACTTGCCCACCAAGAACTTGGCGTAGCGGCTCTGCGCCAACTCCTTGTAGCTGCCCTTCAACTCCTGCGCAATCTGCTTGCGCTGCTCCAGGTTGCCGTACTTCAGGGCAGTCTGGATGATTCGCACAGAGTCATGCTTGAACACGAAATCGCTGACACGACCGGTGATAATCTCGAATAGCTCCTTGATGAGCTTCTTGCGTTGTTCCAGAGGGACGTGGGACTTGCGGCGCAGCTGCTCCCAAAGCTTCTTGGAGCGGGCGATCGTGTCGGCGTTGGGCTTGGCAGCCTTGCGCTCCTGTTGGAGGGCCTTTTGCTTCGCATGGGACTCGCGGGAGGTGCTACCTAGTTAGATCATGCGTGTTAGTCTCGTCCAACTTCATTGCCAGCAGGCATAGCGGGTAGGAAGACATACTCTTCGCCTCGCCATTTTGTTGCTTGTTATCCTTCTTGTCCGACTTGGCGCTCTCCTCCTCCTCCTCCTCCTCCTCCTCCTCGTCGTCGCTCACATCGTCCATTTCAACATCATCGGGTGTGGCATCCAGATCATCGAAATCGTCGTCTCCGTCATCCGAAGAAAGATTGTCCATATCGAAATCGTCCCCGTCATCCTCAGAGTCCTCTTGTTGAACCTTCTTCTTGGAAGCCTTCTTGTCAGACTTGCCAGACTTGCCAGACTTGAAATCCTTTTAGAAGAAGCAGCAGCGCTCTTCTTCGCCGGTGCGACAGTCTTGGACTTCTTCACAGGTGCGGAGACCTGGCTCTTGCTCCGCTTTCCATTGCGGTCCTCGGCGGCGTCGACACGACGCTTGACACCAGCCATTGTCAATATAGGTCACAGCGACGCTGATTTGATGTCTGGACTAGGTAGGGATAAAAAGGTGCGTGGGATTCCGAGCTGTTAATGCTCGGCGTGCTGGTGGATAATTTTTTTGATTTACAGGCGGAGGGAGTTTTTTTTGCCGGTTGTTTGCAGAGTTTGCACCGATAAGAGCCAGCGACTGGCTTGGCGGAAGCGTACGATTTGAAGATGTACTTTGGGGGAAAGCCTCTTTAACTTCGATCCCACGAAGTAAATAATCAATTATTGAACATAATGATTAACTGATGATTCGTTTGACAATGTATATAGCCACTTCTAAATAGAATGGTGTAGAACGAGAGACTTGGTCTTGCCGTGCCGTCATTATAACCAGTCCTCGATCGATGAGGAAGAGAAAAAAAGGGAAAGGAAAGATAGAATATACAAAGAAAGAACCAAAAAACGAAAGCTGTGTATCATCCCTCGTGAGACATCTGCATCCATCAAGGACGACTGCGTGCCCAGTGAATATCATCGAGAAACACAAGTACATGGCGTGGTTCCATCACGCCACCCGATAAGCCAGAACGCCCCGAGAAATCGAACCAAATGTCGGGAAAAAAATATCGTCTCATCATGTATGTTCAAATCATCCTTCATTTATCGTTCTCAAGGGCGGGCGCTACTGTAGTCGTCGGTGTCTTGACGGCGCCCAACTCCGATCCACCCCCACTCTGTCCACGCTTCCTGCCAGGGATGTGGAACCCGAACGATGTAGACGACTTGTTCGCGGGTTGTTGCGTGTCGTTGGATGAGTCGCCAAAGCGGGCGAAAATTCCCTTTTTCTTGGGTTTGGCGTCGTCGTTGAGACCGACATCCTCAAAAGTTTCTTCTTCCATGCGTTCGGGCCGTTCGAAACTGGTGGATCGCATGGAGGGGGAGTTGATATGGGAGAAGCGGGAGTCGAGGGATGTCCGGGAGGGCGCGGCTTCGGCGTATATCACCGGGGAGCGTGCAGAGATGTCCTGCGAGAGATTAGTATGGGGTTGTATTTCCGGTAGCCCGTAGATGGCAATGGGAGTGCATACGAAGGACCGGCGATAAGAATCGAATGATTCGCGGGATATGGAGAAAGGCTCATTCTCATCGACCAGGTCACGATGTTTTGTTGTCGATCGCGCCGAGCCGGGGTATCGGTGCCAGAAGCTTTGTTTCTCAGGGGGTGAGGGCTATGGATGGTCAGTCAGTGCCGGTCTCTTACTGTGCCTCTGGTCGCATTGTTTCGAGTTTCGAGAAGGAGACTATACCGGAAGATAAACGCCGCTATCGTTCACGACTATCCGGACCCATCACGATTAGCATACAATTCCAGTGAAGAATATCGATCCGTTATTGCACAACGGACTTCGTGCAATAACGGACTTCATATCCCGTCGAGACATACCGCACAATTTGTACTCGGGAGGCGGTTGGCCATCACAACTGCGGCGCATAGTAATGGGACCCGGGCGGTCGTTCGGGGACAAACGGGCCTCGTCAAAGCCATCGGACTCGAGGCCATTGGGCTGGGGCTTTCGACCAAGAAGATTGCGAAAAGGAGGCATGTTGGAAGGACAGTAGAATTGGTGCTGTAAGCGGGAAAAGAGGAACCACCAGAGGAGAAAGGGACGGAACGAGAAGGAGGGGACCAACTGGAGACTTCTTCTTCACATGATCTGCGCCCGCCCTTTCCGTACACTTAGTTACTGAGTACTCCGAGTACTACGACTACAGTGCTACTACAAGTTCACTCTCACGCTACGTCATGGCTGATCTTCGGTCTTGTCCTCCTCCTCAATCCTTCTTGGTGCATTTCCTCCAGCGAACCACAATCTATTGATGTGTCTCTCATCATCCCCCGGTAAGGATCGCGATCAGCCACTCTACGTAAGATGGCTTGTTCCTGTCCCATCCCCTTTTTGTGGACCGATGGTCCTACAATCCTGTTCCTGACACCGCCCTCGCTGCGCTTCCCCTGCCCCCGATGAGGCAGTGCCCGCGTGAGCAGCTGGTGGTGCAATAATAATGCATTGAAGCTACGCTCAGGGCCAAATTTCAGTGTTTCTGAATGGCCAACTCACAACCAGCTAAAAAGTTTGGGAAACTGAACTCCTGCCCAGTCTCAGCCTGACGGTTGCCTCTGGAAATCTCAGGACAGAAAAGTATACTCTCAGCACAACCGGTATACAACCCTGTCCATTTACGTAGTTGATCTGCCTTTGTGTTGATCAATCATCATCTCTGCTAACCTCGTTATGCTTTCTTAAAGTATTCTCGGGATCTAATAGTCTTCTTGCATCCTGCAGTATCCGACTTTCGGGCCTGGATGTCTCGGCCTACGACTATCTGAACAAGGGATGATCAAGCATGGAAGACTAGGTGAATTTCATAAAATTCTTGACGAAAGCATAGATAATCATTTCAAGAGCTATTTGACCAAACGAGATTCGACACTTTTGAAGTAGATTGTTTCAGACTAGGTCAAGTTGGGTCGTGAAAAAGCTCGCATGCTTGTGAAGCCATCTTCATCGGGCGAACTACTACATACCTCGTGAACATTGTTCTTTGATACCTTTATGAGTACGGTGACGCATATCCTCAGGATTCTTTTTTTTCATCTTTCTATCTTCCTCGGGAAATCTGTGCAGCGAATGGCCGCTTTCTAAACTCTGTTTTTCTGGCGGAGAAGGATGAACTGCCTACAATCTGCCGAAGATAAACAGTCTTCTTTGTGTCAATAGGTAACTATCCTCCTATCTGATGATATAATCAGTACGACAACGGTAGCTATGTTGGGATCGAAATAGAGCTATGTGCAAACCCCGACGCCTAATTCGTCTCGGAGGGGGCGGGTGAATCCATGGATCTTTGGTTGGCTACGATAGCGTTTAGGAGTCTTGTCATGGTCATTCACTATCACCAGCACTCACCATCTTTGCTCAACGACAACTTATGCTGCTGATAATTTCTGTGCCCCTGCACAACTGACCTCGAACGGGCAGATAGAGCCAAGATGGACAACTCGAACGGTATACATTCAAAAGCTTTTTAGCAAAAGCCTGCGCTAACACAGAAATTGGCCAGATGATGTATTTGATTCAGATACACAAAATCATTCCGATCCTCCACCATATTCATCCTCCTCATATCCTCCATCCTACAAGCCCAGATGCTCCACGTCCACCTCACCTGATACAGACACCGCAGACGGAGCCATGGTCATCAATATTCCCACCGTTGAGCACCTTGCCATCACTACCTTTGACCACGATGAAATTAGACAAGATGACAGGCCTAGTACAAGAACGAAAATATATCGCAAGTTGCGGAAATTACTACGGCATATCGCGTCAGTGTCACGGAATATGTTCGAGTACTTGAGGGCGGTGACACCGTGCGCATGGGTAGTAACTCTGTGCATTATCTGTGTCCTTGTGGGACTGGCATACGGGATTGTGATGATTGGGTGTAGTTTGGTCTTGAGTACCAGCCCTGCAGATGGATTATCACGGCCTGTTCCTCCAGTTTGTCGGGTCCAGTTGAAACCAAGTCCAGAGGTAGCAGCTAATACTGTAGCTGCAAGTGTCGGAGTACCAAGTACAGTCATGGAAAGTACCGAGACTTCAAGCATCCAGGGGGAGGCCCCAAATATTCAAGAAGAGGCCCCAAGTGCACAAGAAGAAGAAAGCATACTGGAAGAAGCTCCCAGTACTGAACAGCAGGGCTTTCTAAGTTCCTTGTTTAGCATCGGAAAAGGTATCACCAGTAGCATTTTTGGATGAATACTTATCACATATGTCTTTATATCCTTGAGGTATCGACTGGCTATTTCGGAAGTCTCGGCTATGGTTGACTTGGATGATGAATTGACTCGCAATTTGATTGCTCTACGATTCCACTTCTTTAAATGAAAGCAATAGCCAAACTACACAGCATTAAACTAAATCATCTGGGTCAATATGAGTCTGACCGATGATGTAAAAGTACTGCATATGACCTTCTTAAAGGGGAAATTGTGACTCCCGCCGCCCAACTTGCCTCGGATGCGCAAGAGAATTCCATGGATCTATACCGGGCTACAATAGGCCTAGCAACCTGCTCTTGATTTCCCCTTAAACCTCAAATGGTGACTTTTTTCAGCTGACCTACACGGTGAGCCAACACGTCCAGCAATGTAGTTTTACCGGCACCGCTGACGCCCATCAGAGCAGTCAGCGTGCCCGGTTTGACCCGGCCGGAGACGATACCAAGTAATCTTCGAGGCTCACCCTTGATCTTAATGTCTTAAACAATATCACGCCAGATAAAGAGATCTCTCTGTGGAGGAAGATTTGGTGGATCGTACTGAGTCATTTCGTAGGAAGATGCCACGACGTATAAGCCATTGGTCTCTTCTTCATCTGCGTTGCCGTCTTTCGATGCTTTCGGTTGATGTCCGCGTCGGAAAACCAATACTTCAGTGGTACTCGTGGTGGACGAATTGAGCTCCGTGCAGACGTGACAGGAAGCCGATCAAGAAGGCGATCAGAATTCCGAAATTACGCCACACATGCGTGTAGGAGAAGTTGTAGGAAGCCCAGATATACGAGTCACTGCTGACTGTGTTTTGGCCGGTGACAGCACCTTTGGACGAACAAATGAAAGTATCACCTTCCATGTTCGGGTAAGCTGGGATCATCGAGGAACAGCCGTAATCGCGACCGTGAAACTCGTTAGCCGCCAGGATTTCGAACGCATAATAAATCGGATTCATATAGTGTAGCCAACTAAACCAGGGATGCATATATGGCACTGGCACAATGAATCCTGTGTAGATCGCCAATGCCAGAGTAAAAACACCGGCGAGAGCCATGGCCTGGGACACGGTCTTCGTGATAGCAGCCATAGTTCGAAACACTGCACTCATGACGAACATGACGATGAAGTTGATGAGGAAGTAAATAAAGAACTGCGAGGGCTCGCGTCGGAGATTGCTGAGGAAGTATAAGATGATATTAAAGGCGACCGCGAGCAAGAATTTGCTGGAATATCGCTCAGAATTCCTGCAATGGCTTCGGTGAAAGGATGGTAGAAAGCATACGTTTTGTGCTTCTCGACGATTGCGCTGTGATTACAGACTGTTGATCTCGGCCATGGCTGTCAAGGCGTTCAGAAGCACTGCATAGAAAAGAACGGCGCCTTTTTGAAAGAAGTTGCTCGTCTCTGGAGGTGTACCATAGAATACGGATCCTACAATAAGTGCGATAATACAATTTCCGACGAAGCTGGTAATAGTCGCCGTGCGCTCATTCCACAGACGCTGGTAGCACGCTTTGTGTTTATCTTGATTTGCATTGGTACACTCAGTAGATAGGGTGAAGCTAAGCGAGTGTGATCTGTCTGTGCCTGAATCTTCTGTTCCTTGAGCGGGCGCAGGTTGTTCTCCGAGTTCGAGGTGACTTCATTGTTGTGCTCCTTCATAATGCGCTGTAGCTCTTGGTATTCAGGGGAGAGATACCAGTAGGCCTCGAATTCGTCCGGGGTTCGAAGGACTTGGCTTTCCATGCCATCACGCGCCTGACGCTCCACAGGGTTGGTGACGGAGGTAAGGAAATCGCCAGTGGTTTGGCGGGGTGGGCAGTACCAGCCTTGTTGCTCAAGAAAGTCTTTGCAGCACTTGCTGGGCCAAAATAGATCTGATGGCCTTCATAGAGAACAACGGCCTTGTCGAACAGGTCGTAGATCGCTTGGCTAGCCTGGTAGACAGCCACAGCATGCGCAGAGTCATCAATATCTGCGGCCGATCGCAGGGATTGAACGAAGCGTAGAGCAGTTGCTGAATCTAAACCACGTGTTGAATTTCAGTACCTCTGGATGGAAATCTATATTGACTATCCAGAAGCCCTTGGGTGTTCATGCGACCATTCTACTAGCTAAGTCATATTCGAGAGAAGTGATGTCACTTTTGGGAAAACAGACTTGTATGGATGAATCAAGTGACGTGAGGGGGAAGTGCGAAGATGTAAAATAGGAAAAGTGTTTTCCCTATTAGGAAGGTAAGCACATCGCTACTTTGGTTGTTGATTTGTGATGTCCTACCGGCTCCGTAAACGGATGCGGCCATCTATATTTCATTCTGCACCCATATTGCATATATCGCCATCATTTATGGCTTTGCAGATCTCCAAGTATCTCAACAATTTGAAGCTCCACGAATTCTCCAGCCATGCCCAGCAAAAAAGGTATGTTTGATTCGAACCCTCATTGTACATTTGCTCGTTTCAAAATCTGATGCATTATAAGGCAACATCGACTGCGGTAATCCCCCACCAGACGGCTCGAATGATAACAATGTCTTCTCATTTGAAACCAGCAATCCTGACGTACACGAAGACAAGCCTGCTACGACTCGGGGTTGGATAGCCGTCATCATTGTCGGTTGTATCATCCTATCAACTATCAGTCTCTTGATTTGGGGAGTCATAGCACAGGCATCCCCCAGATCAAAGACTCAGAGCTCACTTGAGGAAGCTACGCCTGTCAAACTCCCTGTCTCCAGAAGCGTTTCTTACTTGAGCATCAACATGACGAATACTTCTGCTCAGAACTCCACTTTGAGCATCGCCAACACAGAAAACGATATTGTTTCCCCTTCCCTTAAGACGAGAAGCTTTCCGAGGGTAGATAGCTGTGAATCCAGTGATGACTGTGATTGGGGTCAAATTTGCTCTGACGGAAGCTGCAAGTGGGGCTGTGATAGCAACGACGATTGTCGTCATCCACACACTTGCAAGAATGGGTGGTGCATCTACGTCCAAAAGCCCTGCCGGTACTTTCCATGTCCCGATAGGTGTACTGTGAAGTCACATACATGCTCAAAGAACATCCAGTGCTGCTCAAAGATTTGTCGACGAAGTCCCCGGGATAAGACGACTCGGGTTTGCCAACAAGGATCTCGACAGCAGACAGAGGAGCTCCCGGACGAGGATGTGGGAGAAGATGTTGAGTAACTGTATGTGATTGATAGAGGTCATCTGTTGGTGGCTTGGACGTTCTTAGTTTAGCTCTGGCTTAGGGTTATCCTCTGTGAAGTTAGCGGGCGCTCTTTCTGGCTTTGGGGGCTCTTTGTTTCGCCATTTTGCTCGTCGACGGGCTTGTCTTTTCATGATTTTGAGAAGTTGTCTTAGTTTCATTGCTGGAATAAAGGTTCTTGCTACCTACTTGATTTCTCATGCCACGCTCTGGCCTTCCATTTCCCTTCTAATAATAAATCTTCTTGCACGGCAGGAATGCCTATTGATCAGGTATGGGAGAAAGTCACCTAGTCAAAAGTCGTTATCCTTACTCTGAATGACTTGTAGATTGGCACGTATAAATTCACTTTGCATAATATTCCATATCTGAGTTCTACTCTTCTTCACTTCGATCTCATGTAGATAGTAACCTTTTCATCACACGATCGCAAATTTAGTGTCTCCCGTGGCTGAAAATGCGGAACGTACTAGAATCCGCTCTAACATAGGGAGGGGCTGTGACTTTGGTGACGCTGGTAAAATGCGTGTAGATAGATCATTTTTTTGTGATCTTTGGTGGCGATCGAGGGTATAATGCAGGCACCGCAGCTCCAGCACTTCCTTCTTCTGTTTTCTCTCCACTCTCGGTATTTACTACGGCATGCACTTTTTACTTAAATACTAGGCTATTGTCACAGTGACAGTAAAATTGTGCTTATTATTCCATCTAAAAAGCCACTTGACTATTAAATTGAACTTTGCACAGGCCATCACCCACTTCCAACGGTAGCACCTTCCATCACGACAACTCCCACCCGACGTCTTATGGCGAACCAACCTGATCAAGCTTCCAACCAGTAATAGAACTTTCCTCTCATAACCCCCAAGGCTTGTCTTCTCCCTTTCTCTGGTGTTACTGGCAACATACAGCAGCACTACCATCGGACTAGCTCCTGCACTTTGACTGGCATTCCAGACTTCATCGAGTGATTGGCACCGACACCTACCAGAACGGCGTTACCTCCATCCCGAATATAAGCAGCACGGTGGAACTCATCCTCCTTATCGCCAACAAGAACATCTCGCAGCAAAACTGGATCGCCACCCCCATGACCACCTTCTCCTTTCACGACTGGGACCTCGTAGGGATCTTCAAACAACGGGTGTACTGTAATGGTAGTTTTTTCAACACCGCCCTGAATATATTTGGACGAGGTGGCCTTGGGAACACGTTCACCCCCCGGGGAGTAGCCGCCTTCAACGACGTTGATTTCAAGTCGACCTTTGCTTCCGTTGAAGACACAGCGATAGCCCTCCCACGGCGCATACGCGTACGTGTTGTACGTCAAGACAGCTCGGTTCTTGTATGTGATCACCATGGAGAGGTTATCTTCGATAGAGATTCCCTCGCCAAAACAGTTTCGATCGCGGATGTAGCCGTCTTCATGCTCGGCATTTAAATATAGTTTCTTCAGTCGGTCACTCTGGCTAATGTCAAAGGCAAAAGGATCCTCCTTTGCTGCTTCGTTGTTGAGATATCGTTCTCCGAGGTTCTTCTCTCCACGTCGCTGAGCGTTCTCTTTTCCGTAGAACCGAAGATCGCCAACGCAGTAGACCGTTTCCGGCTCGGTGTTCAGCCAGAAGTGAATTAAGTCAAAGTGATGGATGGACTTGTGCATCTGAATTCCTCCACTGTTCTCCTTCTCTCGGTGCCAGCGGCGCATAAAGTCTGATCCATGCGCGCAATCGAGAATCCAGTCCATATGGACGGTTGAAACTTCTCCAATAACGCCAGAATCAATCAGCTCACGGATCTTGGTGTGGTGAGGAGCATAGCGATAGTTGAAGAGAACGCGGACCCGCTTCCCGGTCCGTTTCTCTGCATCGATCATGAGCTGCAGCTTTTCCTCATCGATGGTCATCGGCTTCTCGGTGATAGCATCACAGCCTAGCTCCATTGCACGAACACAATAGACATGGTGAAAACGGTCGATCGTGGTGACAATGACCACGTCTGGTTTGTGGTCTGCAACCATTTTGTCGAAGTCGGCGGCCTTGTATGTCTGCACGCGAGTTGAGCCGAGCCCGACAATATCGTCATTGACGGCATCCATGCGAGTTTGATTCGTGTCGCAAATTGCAACGAGCTTAGCATTATCTTTGAAATCTTGGATAATGCTTTTGTAGTAGAAGGATGATCGGACACCCGTGCCTACAATGGCGTAGCGTGTAAGTTTAGGAATAGTCATGGTTCAAACTTGAAACGCAAGATCTTAAAAAGTAGATAGTAGCAAGGCTAGAGTCAAGGTAAAGGGTGGATGATGTTAGCATGGTGCCTGGATTGAGGCTGCTTATATATTACTCTATGGTGAACTATGTAACAGTCAAGTCCCCATCACTTACGAGAGGAGAGTGGGGTTGGGAACTACTCCGACCCTAGTTAGGCATGCCGTGAGCCAAGCAAGGGCGGGTAAGGGCGGGGGACCCTTTCCCAATTGATGTCGGCAGTACAGGTGGAGGCCTCGGGGTTGGTCGGTGCAAAACTTAATGCAGAATTTCCAAATCCAGGTCGGCACGCGGTCGGGACGCGGTAGCCCGCGGACGGAGATTTAAATATACCTCAATAGGAAATTTCACCAGTAGTTGGGTGACCAAAGCTGGATAGTAATGTCATATTGAATTTGATCGCACGACTTTCTGTGGATGTTGGTAGCACTCGGATCGCTACAGATAAATTGATGGCGGGCTTGTGCGACACAAATATCCGCACTGGTTGGTTTAAAGTCATGGAGAAAATCGAGGCAGGATGGCAGAGGAGTATTTCCGATTGCATCTTAAGTTGTATAGAGTAGATGATTCTTTACGCAAGACATAATCATATTGCTCAAATTAACATCATTCCCACCTTGGTGCTAAGGTACCGGTGACCGGCCACAACTGCCAATGGAAACACATACTCCTAGCGAGTCTCATTGTTCCCGTTGCTCTCCAGATGGGGACCGGTTACACTAATTACCTCCCCCTCTCGTTGAATAACTGCCTTGGCAAATTCCCTTGCCGAAAGATTTTCCTGTGCGAACAAAATATCCAGTTCCTCATAGGTCCTACCTCCAGTCTCAGGAAGCCGGAAATAAGCCCATGCAAACGAAAGCACAGTAAGACCACCTGTAAGAAGGCCTGTCTTGCCTCTCCAGTTAGCCCACTGTGGATTGAGAATATATGGAGCGACGACTGAGTTGATGATATTCAGGATGAGGTAAACACCGCGGGCAAGGGTGATCGTCTTTGCACGTAATCTGGTAGAAGACACTTCTCCATTGATAATGTATGGCAGTGGCCCGATTGAGAGGCACCAGACACCGAACCATACCAAGTAGATGGCGGACGTAGCAAATCCGAAGGCAGAAGTGTCAGGACCGAAGGCGAGAAAGCCAATCAGGAACATGAGCAGTGAGAGGATGACACAGCCGACCAAGAAAAGGGGCCTTCGGCCATAATTGCCAGTCAGCGCAGAAGAGCTGAAATTGCAAGTGAGATGGATTGCCCCGATTCCAAGGGTCATCTTGAAAGAATCGTCCGAGCTCAAGCCGGCTTGCTGGAAAAAGTAGGTTGCGTAGCCCTGAATTACAAATCCAGTGAGAATCTGGATGCCCCATGTTGCACAGGCAATCTCAGTTCGTCGCAAATTGGTCCCCTTAAAGCAGGCAAGGTACGATGAGTCTCTGGTCATATCCTGCTCGAGTTGGTTGGTCTCAATCATGAGTGCCACGGCCTGTTTTGCATTCCCCTGTGCCATCTCTTGACTTTGAGCCGAAGTCAGCCTCAAAACGGAGTGTTCGGCCTTATCGTAGCGACCCTTACGAACGAGCCACCATGGAGATTCGGGGCAGAAAAGAACAAGTGGGAAAATGATTACCGGCCACACCCATTGGACGGCAAAAGGAATGCGATAGGCCCAGTCACTCTGAGAGTGGTTGAGACTGAAGAGAACGGCATAAGAGAAAAACTGCCCGATTCCCCAGCATACCACCACCCAAGTTTCAAGATAACTGCGCAAGACAAGAGGGGCCACCTCTGAGGCAAAAGCAGGGGCCATGGTCGAAAACATGCCCCACGGAATGCCAGCCAAGAGCTCACCAACAAAGAGAACCCGAACATCAGGGGCAAAAACTTGAATGAAAATGAATCCGGTGAGGACCAGTAAGGCGCCGTGAAGGACTTTCTTGTGGCCATACCGATCCGTGAGGTATCCATTCAGCATGACCCCAATGATATTGCCCAAGGGATTTGACATTCCCAGGGCCACTTGCCACTGAGCGTCCAGTGTGTATTTCCCTGAGTGCTTGATCTCATGTCCGTATTTTTTCTGGAACGCTGGAAAGCCAAAGAGGGTGCCAATCAGCGCAGTATCGTACCCGTCCATGATAATACACAGGCTAACAACTGCCGACCAAAAGGCAGCTTTGGGGTACCGCCTTACGGCTTGTAGGAATGTCGTGTTGTGCTCATCCTCAGTAGCTAAATTAGCATACTCCTTGAGCCTTCCCCAGTCTTTGACAACGTTGTCGTTCATGATATCATCCTGTGGTGTGCCTTCTTCAACATGTTGTGCCGTAACTTTACTATCTGTGGAAGTTCTGGCGGCCATTTTATGTCCTGATGTCTCGTTTCGCAGTCTTGAACAAGAGCCACAGAAAGGCGATTGCCAGTACCAGCGGTGGTTGTTGAAGTGAATCACCCGAGCTGAGAACAAGTTGGGAAAAGAAATAAGTCAACCTAGATGGAAACACTTACGCGGACTAGGTGCGGAAGAATTGGAATTTATATTGAAAAGGATGTGCCTTCCCTATGTAGATCGTTTGCTGCAATCTAACCAAAAGCTGGTCGGGAAGTGAAAACACACCCACGTAGACCCTTCTTCTGAACTTAACTTCCAGCCAACCCCGGATTTTCATAATGCAGATGGCTTTCTCCACATAGTTCAACGCTAGACAAACGTAGTCTCTGCCTATGCTCATTATTCGATAGAGCTAAAAAGTCCACAATTACGTGCGACTGGTACTTTGGCCCATGAATTAAACCTCAAGTCTGACATCAAATAGCTTACCCTGGTAAGTCCCTAGGAACACCCCAGCGTTGAAGTTGCAAGTTAAAAGTTGGTACAACCAAGATCGAGGATTTTGCGTTCTGGCTCGTACTAGGACCACGCTAAAAATGCAGGGGCATCCTTTCTATTCGATAAATAACCGTCCATTAGCAGTAAGCCCTACGCCCCGTTTCTGCTTAGACTGACGCTGTACCGAATTTTGGTCTTCCCCGCAAATATGGTCGCCGGCAGCATCCAATCAATGAATTTCTCACCGTAGCATTGATTATTTGGTTCAGTTTACCCCGCACAACGGACTCAAAGTCTGGAGGCGCAGTCGCACGGGCTTAGTACTCCCAAATTGGGGCGGGGCTCACGTCACAACACAACAATGAAATCCTATTTCTGGGCGGGAGGAAACCACGAAACATCCCCGCTATGAGCACTTTCCCTTTCAACAGATCGGATCCATTACCAATTTATCTCAAGACTCCGATACCAATGGAATTTGTGTGGAAGCCGTCTGGAGTACAGAGCAGGAGACGGACGGCCCAAGATAAGCTTTCCCGAAGCACCTTAGGTTGAGACTGGGCTGACTTAACCGATCTCTACCATGTCATAGTTGCCGTGCACGCAAGAAGAGATGTTATCATCTGGATAAGGCTGATCAGTTTGAAAAGTCTGACAAGGCCGAGAAAGATGGCAGAGCGGAAGCTATGGAAACGGCAGCTGCGGAGCCTCTCTCTGAAGCAAATACCCGAGAGTCAAGTCTAGATCCAAGTCGAGTAACCATATATAATCCCGAGTCCGTTTTGAAAGATCTTTCCGAATCTCCTGAGTCGGCTGCAGGAGTTGAACAGGAGCTTCGCGATCCAATACGTTCACAGCCAGGGCAAATACAGTCCCCAGAGGCAGTGAAACTATCATCACAGACGGAAAACCAAGAGCGGAAATTGCATTGGTACAAGAGGCAAAGAAGAGCTGCTCCACCAAAGCTCTCTAACCGCCATCGACAATATCTCGAAGATACTGGAGCCTTTCTTGAACTACCACGAGCAACCATGGATGCGCTCTTGCCAATTTACATATCTGGCTTGGATGATCTCATACCCATCCTGGACGGCGCGCGTGTCTTCCGTGATTATAGCAACGAGCGGTCCTCCCCATACCTAGTGAAGGCAATGTGCCTTGTGACCTGCAAAATGATATCGGCGGCCCCTTTCCTCCGAATGAAAGCTGATGGACCACTCATGGAGCCTCTGGAGTTTGCATCTAAGCTTCTGGCAGGACTCAATGCGGCTATCAAAGCAGATCTCGAGCCCGATAGGATCGTCAAGGTCCAAGTCCTTGCATTGATGCATCTACACACGGATGGTTTGGCTGGAATGGACCGTGCATCGAGTTACCTATCACAGGCCATTTGTGAAGCATGGTCGTTATCTCTACATGTGCAAATTCCGGGGAATCCAGAACAAGATCGGAACGGCCTTTTGTGGTGGTCTCTGCGAAACTTCGACCGAGTAAACAAACCTATTACGGGAGCGGCACCTTTCCTCATTGACGACACTGACATTGGACTTGAGCGTATCGGCCTAATGAAAAACAGCTACCGCTCCCAGCTCATGGAGGTATCTCTGCGTTTGGGCGATCTCATGGTTACTGCGACCAAAGTTTATAAAGCGAGCTGCAAAGCGGCTGTCGATCAGTGTCATGAATTTCTTTCTCTCTCCGAACTTACCTCGGGCACCGATTATGACCATTTCCACAGATCGCACAAAGGTATAGTGCCCCAGCCCCTAAGAATTCAGAACTACTCCTGTGATTGAGATTAATGGCAATAGAGTACCTGGAGATCTGGTATCATGTGGCTGCCATGCTATCCTGTCGGTATAGCGGGCCGGGCAGCGTTCAATACAATCGACGCCTCGCATCAGCTGATCGTATTGTCGATTTGACCTCCTGTAACAAGGGTCAGAATCTCCCTCCACTTCCTCTTGTGCCATATGCTATGTCAATGGCCCTTACAGTTATATACCGCGCCTTACGTGACAACCAGCGGGATACCAAAACCGCATATGACAACCTCTTCGTGTGCTGTAATGCCTTGGAGGCTGTGAGCAAACTCTGGACGAGTACAAAGAGGGTGGTTCAGCTTGCAAAGCGGTTGTTAAAGCTTATAAACAAGCGTGGGGACATGAATTCAAGGCATTCGGATAACAGCAACGAACACCTTCGCCGAGAAGGTGAAGCAACGAGTACGGGTACAGATAATTCCACGACAATCAGACATCGAGTAGACAATGGATGTTCCAACGTTGATGGAATACCGAAAATTCCAACTGGTGCTTCTCAGACTCACAAATCAATGCATAACGGACATGCCGCACAGTGTGATGAAAATACACAACAGTCAAACGATATGTGGATAGGATCCGAAACGTCCCACTTCCAGCTCGACAGGGCGATCTTCGACTTGTTTGACGACAGCTTGCCAATCGCATTCCAAGATCCAGCCACGCTGGATTATATCCACTTCTCAATGAACGAAAATAGCTATTCCAGCAGCAACTTCCAGTTCTGCTCTAATTTGGCCTCGCCGGACCTTGAATATGGCGGCGACAGCCTTCACGCAAACGTCGACTCGGACTTGAGGATTGAATTTTTGCAAAATGTATAACCATCTGTGAGCATGGGTCGGACAGTTTTGAGTTACCTATTGTGTAGACGGAAAGGAGCAGATCGAATATATCGACAGGTGAACAAAACTTGGAAGATGGTATTGAAAACAGCCAGCCAGGTGGTATGAGGATCAGAAAATTCAAAGATTACCGAAATATCAATTCAAGAATCATCCGAAATGAAAAGAGTGGGACAGCAAAAATATTATGGTGGTGGTGGCCGGGTTCGAACCAGTGCCCACCAAAATCGTGAGTAGGGTTATAGAACCCAAAAAGAGCAAAATATTTTAATCTGTCATGGATAACCTAGTGGGAGGCCCACCGCCAAGCTAGCGACCTTGCTTCGGCCTTGTGCCAGCAGGTACGCGTGCCCGGTACGAATCCTGGGGTCGCCGCCACACTCGTGCGAGTAATCCACGACGCTGTGAGGCGCTAAGCAATGGAAGTGACCCTTGAGGGAAGCAATTCTGCAGAGACACTTCCACCCCGGGGTGGCGTCGCCGGAATACACCGTCCCGTTACAGGGAAGCTGGCTGCTTGGTGAGACGACTACACCTTTCTTTTTTTTTTTTTTTGTTCTTCCATTGTGAATGTATGTATGTCCGGAGTACTTTGACCTGAACGCCAAGACATACTAATCTCACAGTGGATTTTCCCAAAGTACGACGAGTGGGTGTCTCACTACTGGGGCGGTGCTAGTGGCATATATTAACCGGCCGGCAAAACAAGGCTGCCCCTCTTCCACATTTCAAGCATTGAAGCGACCTTCCTTACAAATCAAGATCAATGAGATATTATATCAGGACATATCAGTTTTGAAAGGAGGGCAGCTTTCAACAAAGTTCCGGCAATGAGTGACGATCAAGCAAAACAGGACCCCACGGATTATGGGCCTCGCATCTGTCCTCCAGGCTTCTCCGATCACTCGTTCAAGACCGACAGCGGCGTAGAGCTCGCTGTCCGAATCTGGCCCGCTGATCCTCCCGTTGACAAGCCAGCTCCAGTTGTGGTTTACACCCACGGTGGCGGCTGGTTTGCTGGAAACCACTTTGCGCCGCTTCCATGGATGCAACCTGGCTTTCGCCAGCGAGGCCACCATATGGTATCTCACAACTACCGACTTGGTCCGCAGGCGAACTATGAAATGCAGCTGCAGGACTCTATGGATGCCTTGAGTTGGTGCCGGGCCAATCTCCCATCCATACTCGGCACAGACTCAGTAGACATGAACCAGCTGATCCTCTGTGGTGAGTCAGCCGGCGCACTTCTCACTGGCCTCATGGGACACCATCTATCTCCACCGCCAAAGGCTGTTATTCTTGTGTATGGGGCAGTTGATCCAGCAGCAGCGTGGCCCATTCTAGCCCCGGTCCCCGAGAACTCTGCCGACACGCCGGCATGGGTTGGCGAGTTCTCTGATGCTGAGCTCGAGGAATTCCTAAAGGACCGAGATGAATCTAACATGTTAACGGATGCGCTATGGGCTGATGAGAATAAGACTACGTCCGAGCAGGCGCTGAGTAAACTCTGGGCGACGGATGTCCGCTTCACGCGTCGCATACGACTTCAGGCGGAGCTTCACCAGTGGCGATCTGACATAACTGCGCGTGTCGGTTCTACTATCAGGTCGTTTCGCCTAGGCTCGATACATGCTGAGCGCTTTGCGGATGAAGCTGCCCTGGCTGCGTTTCTGCTATCTATGTCACCATCTCCGCTTCTCGAGACGAAGACATGGTATCCACCAACGGCTTTCCTGCATGGCATGGCTGATAGAGCTGCTCCACTTTCACAAAGCCAGGCAATGGCTGAGCGTCTCAAGGCGATGGAGGTACCGGTCGTTGAAAGTTACGAGCCTAATGAAGACCATTGTTTCGATCACAAGTATACTGTGAGTAAACCTTGCCAGGCATCCTGCTAGTACACACACTGACTAGTAGCGTAGAGCTCCGACGTGCCGGGATGGGACACATATATCCAGCCTATTCTGGATTTTTGCAACCAACATGTCCGGTAACTGTGGATAAATTGGCTTTGATATATGTGTTTACAGAAGACTGTGACTTGAAGGAACAAGAAGCAGCTCTTCTACGATTCTGACGTAGGGCTCATGCTGCGATAAGACAGCTCTTCATGAAACCAGGTTTTTTAAGGAAGATTTATGCAGGTGTGAAACTCATTTATTCAACCTGAAACGGTTTCCTTCGTTTCGCGTGCATCATGCTATGGAGGGAACAGGAAAAGTCAAGATATTTGGAGATTGTAAAAACTTATGATTTCTAGCTCATTTCTTCAGAAAGCCCTCCTCGCATTAGAGAACATCCTTTTGGCCGTCTTGGAATACAATCACCCTCTTCTCCATCATGTCTTTGGAAAGCAATGCTCGAGCTCTTCCGCAGTAGGGCGAAATTTCACAAAGTGATTGAGTCTCTCGAGGTCTTCTCTGCATAATTCGTCGCGTAGGGCTTCTGGCACATCCTTCTGACCATATAGAAAGCCTCCCTTTTCAGCAGCTGATCTTGAAAGCTCCTGTAATGCAGTTCACGTGTTTTGGACTTCATCTATCAAGAGACGGTAACAGTGAAAGGTGCCCAACATATGTACCTAGACTAAATTGTCACTTTCGTTGCAAGAAATTTCCCTACGTCATGTCACTTAGAGGTCGATGCCACGAACGATGATCAATCTACATAATTCTCTATTTGTAATAAGCCATGTTCTAGACCCAAGCTCGGTCACCAATTAACCCCTGGGTCACTATGTGAGTCTGCAGAGTGGGGGCTGTTTCGGGGGCCATTTAAACGTGGGTGAAGATTACTTCAACCAAGCCGCAATTTCAGATCCCAGACAAGACGCCAGACTTTACAAAGTCGTTATCAGCAAGAATTCAAAAAAAAAAAAAAAAAAAAAAAAAAAAAAAAGGGTTTCATCTAACTAACAAGACCAAAATCGCAATTAAAACGGACAGGGGTTGTCTTCGAAGCAGGCACTGGCAAAGAAAACTGGGAAAGATACGCGTCACCGCGACCGTAGGTGCGTGTGCAGTAAACAAATGATCGACACAGTGTATAGAACCACCAGGCGTAAAATGGAACATCACCCCGGCAGGTCGAAGCCTGGGCATCCAGCTTCGACATCAGAGTCCAGACAATCTCAAGAAGCCTCTGCCCGAGCCTTGAGATCTCTATTGAACTCAGCAAAATGGGCAGCCATCTTCTTGCCCAACAGAGACGGGCCCATCAAGAATGCCAGAGGGCCCTTGAGATCCTCCGACTGTGTGAAGATAGTGGCTGTTCCGTCCTTGGTTGGCTCCATACGGAACTGATGCAGGCCAGCGACGGTCAACACAGGAGGGCCCTGCCACGAAAGCATGCCTTCGGAGTTTTCCTTTCCAAAAGATGAGTCGTTAGCATTGACTTGAGGTAGATACTGCAGGTAAACAATAGGAGGCCCGGGCGGGTACCCACTCTGATCTCGGCGATGAATTTCCAGCCCTCAATGTTGCACTCGAGTTTGTCTCCATTCACGAGGGTCTCGGGTGTCTTGGACTCCTCCTGGATCTTGACGCCCTTGATGAAATCGGTGTGCCATTCTGGGTAAGCGGAGAAATTGAGGAGCTATTCTTTGTATCAGCGCTCGTACGGGTGGCCGGTTCTGATGGAGGGCCAGGTGGCGACGGGACATACCACTTCGCGCACTTTGGCGGGCGGTGCAGCGATCTCGATCTTGCTCTCGTTTCGGGGCATTCTGTTCAAGACCAGCGGTGAGTGGTGTGGAGGATGAAGGGGAGAAGGGGGCAGGGGGCAGGGAGCAGATGAGCTTCTGGGATTGTTTGGAGGTGCGTGTGCGGAAGGCGCTAAGCTCCTCCACTATTGTGAGCAATTACTAGTGCTTGTTACAGCCTTCCAAGGTTCTCATTTAGAGATGTGGAGCTTATCTGTCAGAAATACATCCTGTTTTATATATTTCTCACAACTCTATGTGCTACAGTGGCCAAGATATCGAGGAGATCTTGATTCTCCATCCTAATCTCTCTGTTATACGACTTGCATTCAAAGCACAGAATGCTTTCCCATTCCAGATATTGCAGCGGGACGACCACAGAGTGGGATGCAGAGAATGGTCTCATGGGAAATTCCATCAGCCCAGCCTAAAGTCGGGACTTGGATTTCGCTAATAGGAATGTTTAGCCTGTAGTCAGCACAAAGACAGGACACGCTCATACCTTCAAGTTCAGCCTTCTTCGCCCGGAACCGCGCAGCCGGTGCACCACTAGCAAGCCTCTCCGAAAGAGCATCGGTCGCATTGTAAACGGCCAAGATGCGCTCGCTCCTAAGCGGCAGATTTTGTAGCCGCTTCGTCTCCATCATACTGACACCATCGTTGACATCAAGCTGCTTCTCCAGAAACTCAATGACCGAGTTATGGAAGCCTTCAACGGGAAATACGCGGTTAACCAATCCCCAACTCTCCAATTCCTGGACTGTGAGCTTCCGGCCAAACATCAAGAAGTCATTCGCGCGATGAACGCCCATATGTCTAGCCAGGTTGGTAGAAGCTCCGGATTCGGGAACCAAGGCCAATGAATTGAACGGGACTTGTAGATATGTTGTCTCGGATGCGAGGATGATATCGGCAATGCCCTGGAACCAGGCTGCTCCTCCACCAACACCGGGGCCGTTCAGGGCCAGGACAAACACTTTTTTGTGGTCGATAAGAGATCTCATCAATTCAATCACTGTATCAAGTTAGCTGATAAGATGTCTTTGCGTGAGATAGAAATAAACCTACTTATGGTGAAACGAGCCAAATGGAGAAGCTTTAGCTGGGTTTTCGTGAGATCGGCCATGTCTTCATCCAATGGCCGTGAGCCTATACTCCAGTATTCAGTCACTATGCTGATCATGGACTATCATGTTTGACCGCGGGTTTCACTGACCTCGAACATCAGCACCGGCTGAAAAGAAACGGCCCTCACCCGTCAAGACTGTGAAGACAGTATTAGGGTTATCATCGAGCTCTTTCACAGCATGTACGGTATCGACAAGCAAGTTTCCACCAAATGAATTGAGCGATTTGGGTCGATTGAACTGGCTCTCGTTTAGTCAAAATCATGATGAGATTATATCGCTAACTCACTTTGATAATCCCAATCTGGCCCTTCACCTCGACCTTGATATCCGTATACTGATAAGATGGCATTGTGTTGTTGATCTAGAACTCTCCTCCCCCTCAAGGCAGAAGGACACTCAGCCGCACTTTTATGCGTTTTTGTCATCAGAAAGACTCTTGTGGGGGGAAGTGCCGTTTGCGGGTTATCGAATCACAACACGCGTTGGTTGACCCCGCACTACGGCCGTACCCGCTGGGTGCTGAGAAGCACCTCGGATGGTGAGATTAAATCCACTACCGAGGTAAGATAGTCGATTAATCATCGCTAGGGATTAACTATGAAAACCATCATCAAGGAAATTCGACTGGATAAATATGCGAAAATGTCTCCTGTTACCGAGGCGGATATTCTTCATTTCTCCTTCAGTCCCAAAATTTCGCTTCCACAAAACGAGGCCCCTCAAATAAGGCAGTATGTATTCTCTTAACTTTACCATGGGGAAAATATTGAATCAACATACAGAAACCTCCAGAGAGGAGGCTTATAATACGTTCGTGATCATGAGTTGCATGAAACAATGTCAGATCGAGTTGTTCGTTAGCAAGAATACCAATATCTTGCAGTGACTGTCATCCAAAGGCATTTTCAAATTGAAGCCTTCAACTTCCAATATCGCAAAAGCTTGGAACTAACCCAAGTTCAGAGGGGATACGCAAGAGAACGACGTCAACTGTGGAATCTTAAAAGCATCGACCAGACCTATGGCAAAGAATTAGATCGGAGAACCTCAAAGCCCGAACGTACGAACTTACCAACAATAGCCGCGTACATGCCAAGTCCACTCATGGCGAGAGCCGCCAAGAAGTAGATAATGTGCCAGATATTGACGGCGATTTGGAGCGGTCCGCCGGCCATAAAGCCTCGGATCCATCGCCGGGCAGCTGTATCGCTTCTGGAAATGCGTCCAGTCACAGGGTCAAACCCTTCATCATCAGCTTCGTGAATAGAGTTCTTCTGAATGTCGAAGCACAAGGCGAATAATGGAGGGAAAGCGTATGTTAGATTCATAAGCATCGAGGCTGCGACGACACTGACAAACCCAAAGAAATCGGGAATAGCTGCAGCGATGATGAAAGCGATAATCCACCACACAGGAACCAAGGCAGCGTAAATGAACTTTCCACGCGTGGTGGTCAGAGGAGGAGCCTTGAAAATATCAAGTAAAACATTGTTGTAAAACACCTTGATGCCGATATTGCCATATAGGCCCCCCCGAAATCAGAGCTGCGAGAAGGGACACCATATTACCCACAGTCTGCCAGGCGTAGATACTGACGCCCTGATAGCTCGGATTGTAACTATACTGTCCTTGAAGATAATATACCACGCAGCCGTACGTGAGATAGACGGCATAGATGAAGAATTGAGCTCCCCACATCGCCTTGATAAAGTCGCCGGGCCGTTTCATCTCAGCCAAGAACTCCACGAATAATTGGGCACCCGCATATGCAGTTACACCGGAGAGCATGCCGTTAACGGCACCGATCAGGCCATCAGATGGAATGGTATTGTAGTGAATGATCGGGGGATAATTGCCGGCACTGTCAGGCTTAATGGTCTCCGGATCGACTGCACTACCAGCAGACCCTAGTATAGAGATATGATAATTCGGAGGTGAGTTAGCCATCACACCCATCGACATGAAAACGACAAATAGGTTCATCCAAACTGCAAGGTTTGCAAGCCAGCCGTAATTTCTCAGAGTGCGGACTTGAGTCACGAAAAAGCAAGCACAGACAAAAATAGCCGGACAGACGGCATAGCAAAGGCGGAATTTGGACATCTGGGATATGTTCTGTCCAAATAAGATCGTGAGTTGTCCAACGATTAGAAGCAAAGAAATTCCTTGGCAGATATTTGTGATGTAGCGACCAAATCGACCGAGTGTTCGGAAACCAAGATCTCCGTAGTTCTTTGCTGGGTATTCATAACTGTCCACGCCAAGGAAGACTCGCCAAATGAGATACCCCGAATACCCAGCCATGATACCAAAGACTGTGTAGAATGCAACGCCTGTCAGATACTCAATTAATCATTAATCAATCTAATAAAACTATCTTTCATCCTGGCGTCAGTCTCTCACCTGGCCCCCAACCCAGCGTACCCATCGTAAAGCCAGTGCTATACGGACCCAGAATGTCAGTAGTGATAAGAAAAAAGCCTAGCAAAAAGTTTAGTTCGATCCACACGGAGAAATATAATATTACTTGAACTCACAGGCCCCCCATGAAGCTGATCTGAGCGCCCGGCTTGCGTTGGTCCACTCCTCGTCGGTGATCATGAGTCTTCTTTCACGATGGGTAAAGTCACTCGCAGTCAGATGAGTCGTGATCTGATTAGCCTGATCATGACCATCTCGCTTCCCGGCCAGAACACAGCGTATGTTTAGAACGGGCGACTCCAAAGTCAGCTCCTCAGCTCTCGTCTTCTGTGCGTAGAAGGAATATTCCTCGAAAGTGACGGTTGGATCATAAGGTTCGCGAGCCTGCGGCTTGATCAGAGTGTTAAAAGCCACCTGCTGAGAGGGGACCTGTAGGTTGGGTCCCACCTTCTCGTCCATGATCAGACGTGAGTGGGTAGGAGGGTGCTTTATTGTGAACAGAGCAAGGTAGTGCGCTTTGCTGAGAGGCCAAATGTGGAGGGCGATATATGGAAGCAATAGTCTGCAATTACTTTGGCTCCCGGACAAGTCGTGCAGGCTCACTCCAGCGTCAAACAAAGAGTCGAAAGGTCCAAGATCACCGAAGTACCACGAAGACCACCTCGGGGCATTTCCAGGCTTATGTACCTTCGCGATCAAAGAATTAACCTTTCTTGTGGATCTCAGCCCCGGATTCCTCAAAACACGAAAGCGAAAAAGGATTCAACCAAACCATCATTCCTCGATCCAAGTGGCTGAAAGAACTCTGAGAAGCATTGCCCAGGTAATCAGCTGCCGCATTGACGGGGACAGGACCGTCTGTGGACAAAGGTGTCAGATGTCCTGGACAGGGATGTGGCGGGGCAGACTGACAGGTCAGATTGGCCAGCCTCCTATTTTCTTTCGCGTTCTAACCATAATCTGGAAGTCAAGTGCTAAAGGGATTTGACTGCGATCCTCCGAGATTTGGGAGATCTACTGATTGTGTACAGTACGTACCGAAACTGGTGCGACCACCTACATGTACTCTTGGATGGACTTTCCTGGCCCCACGCCAAGACACACTAGTCTATATTGGAGTTCTTCCGGAGTATCCCTGTAAGTTGCCCGTGTATTGCTTCGTACGTAGATTACATAGTAATTTGAGGCATGTAATCTGACACCTCCATTCCCCCTCTAAAACAGCCTCCCTCGGGAGGCATACTCAACAGTTAACCACGAGTGGTCCAAGCAAAGATGGCTCCAAACCTAGCTCCTTTAATTCTTCGACACATCATTATCCTCGAAAATCAGTTCTTCCCATCCAACCCAACCATCTTCATCGAAACATCCCACAACTTTGTCGCATTCACCTCATCATAAGCCCAAGGCGCATACCCAGCGCCCATAGGTCCAGTCTCGGGATCATGCGGACCCGCAATCTGACAATCATCAAGATACTTCCCACCATGCTTCTCTAAGGCCTTCGCAACAGCCGCCCAGACAGTAGTAGCAGCGCCCTGCTCGAGACTCTTCCACCTCAGCGCAAAGGACTTGTCGGTGCCCTAACTCTGTCACGCTTCATCAGGGACGTGTTGCTGGAGACCCGTGGTGATACCGCCAGGGTGCAGACTGAAAGCGAGGAGGCCCTTCGATCCGTACCGGCGCTGAACTTCGTTAGCCGGCTAGATGATAGCGGTTTTGCTCTGTCCGTAGGCCTTCCAAGGTTCGTATTCGCCCGCTAGGGAGAGGTTGTCCATATACGCGGTTGAAATACGGTGGGCGGTGGAGGAGACGAAGACTACCCGGGAAGGGAAGGTTAGGGTCGAGGAACTTAGGAGGGTGGGCTTTAGGAGCTGGAGGAGGAGGAAGTGGGTGAGGTGATTTACGCCGAATTGGGTCTCGAATTTTGGAGTCTCCAAGCCTCCCATCAAACGTGACATGTAACCTCCGTATATTTTGGCCCTATATCCACAAGGGAGAAGCCTAGGAACTCAAAAAACACGGTGACTATTGTATCAAGCAAAGGTCAGCTTAGCTACAAATCGCCGGTGGAACGTAAAATAATAGCTTCTCTCCCCGTTTGAGACGCCAATAGTTCGTGGACCGAAACAGATCCCAACAGTTGTGGACCACTAAGCCCCAGGCAGACATAAAAGAGCGTGTTACCTCCCAGCCGGTCGGATCCCAAGGGTCTTTCCAGACTAATATTCCCGCGGTTCCTTCCATCGAGTTGCATAGGTCTTCACAGAGCTCGTATTCATCCACCAATGGTTCAAGGACAATCAAATTATCGCGCATTTGGGGGCTAGGGAATAGGTCAAGCCACGGGTGATGAGGAGTCGAGAGCTGGAGCGCAGTAGGACGCAAGCTAACGGGGAGAGACATCACTTCATTGCCGGCCAGTGAGGGGCCAGCGATACAGAAAGGAGACAACGCATCGTTATGCATCAGGATCGATTGATATCCCAGGATTTCGATATTATGTATCAGAGCCCGAGTCAAGTTTAGTTGAGTGAGGCCTAGAAGAAGTTCCGTGCGGGGCGAACCGGTCAAGTAGTGGTCATGACATATGCATTCTAACCGACGAAGGACCCATTTTGTCTCTTCCGAATGAATCCCAAGGTTGTAAAGGTCCCTCAGACATGCAAAGTCGGTCAAGCAGTCGCCGATAACCGTTATCAGTGCTCTTGTCGGTGGGTCGTAGTTCTCCGGTTTCTCCGCGCCACAGCGCCGGCGCCGACCTGGATGAGAGGAGTTAGATACCGCTACAGATAGGGTAAGGGTTGACTTGCGGCTCTCTCTCTTGATCAAACGATTCTGCACTCTCTTCCTTATTTTCGGATCGGTAATTCCGGTCCAATCATCCCCCCGGCTGGAATGCAACCTGTAGGGGGATACCTTGTGGAGGCGATGCTTGCGGAGGGACATAGGCAGATATATTGAGCTGAAGATCCATTTCCCTATTCAACAAGAAGAGCGCATGCATAGAGGCGAAAAGTAACATAGCATATGGTGAAAACATAGCGAGTTGTCACTCATGATGACATCGTTCTAACCGCTTTAGGGAAGCCCCACAACTTGAGGCTTTTGAGTGTGCGGCTGACAAAAAGGCGGAAGCGGCCATTCTAGATTATGAGAACCATGGATAAAAATATAGCGCTGTCACCCAGCTGCATTAGCGCAACCTTAAATAGGGGTAATATGACCATCTTTATTTATTCTGAATGCGGTGAGGCCAGCTCTACTCCACTTACGAAGAGGCAGTACTCCCTGATCCGCGAGAATTGACTCTGCAGCTTGCCTCGCCTCGAGTACAAGCACCCCTTCATTCTTCTCTCTGAATATATAAAGGGGTCAGTCAACCCTCATAAGCAAAAACAAAGGCTTCTACCCTGCGTTAGAACCTACTTCCCCATAATTTTCGTTCACCTAAACTGTCATCATGACATTTCGATATGCTGCAGCTTATGCACATCCAAGTGGCCCCGGGGATGAGCGCCCGGCAGCTGAACAGATCGTCCGAGACGAAGGTCTCATTGGAAAATGGGGGGACAAGGTGATCTTGATCACAGGTTGCTCTTCAGGTATCGGGGTCGAGACTGCCAAGGCATTGGCGAAGACCGGTGCGAAGCTATATCTAACAGCACGAAATCTCGAAAAGGCAAAGAAGGCCATTGGGGAACTTGCAGTGTCTCCGAATGTCCACCTTCTTCAGCTTGACCAGGAGTCTCTTGAGAGCGTTCGGAGTTGTGCTTCAGCGTTTCTGGCTCAGAACAGCCGGTTGCACATCTTGGTTGCAAACGCGGGCGTCATGATGACCCGCAAAGAGACCACGAAGGACGGCTTTGAGCTTCAGTTTGGAGTGAATCACCTATCACACTTTCTCTTGATCAACCTCCTGATGCCAGCTCTCCTCTCGGCATCCACACCGTCATTCCAATCAAGAGTAGTTGTTCTTTCCTCGACTGGGCACAAATTCTCTTCTGTCAATTTCGAAGACATCAATTCCGACGGCAAGTTTGAGGCCATGCAGGCGTACGGGCAGAGCAAAACCGCGAATTTGTGGACTGCAAACGAGATCGAGAGGCGCTATGGGTCTCAGGGACTCCACGCATGTAGCGTTCACCCGGGTGCGGTTACAACCAACCTGGGACAGCACATGTCCGAGGAGGAGATCCAAGCCATAACTCAGGACCCAAAGCTTATGGCCAGCTACATGAATCCAGCCCAGGGTGCTGCTACTAGTGTGTGGGCGGCTGTCTCGAAGGATCTCGAAGGCCAAGGGGCCAGATACTTGGAAAACTGCCAGATTTCAACTGCGCATGATCCCGCGGGGGGTATCTGGGCACCAGGCTATGGCCAGCATGCATTTGATGCCGCTGGTGCCAAGAAGCTGTGGGAAGTCTCCCTACAATATGTTTCACTCAAGTGAAGAATGCTTGTTCCGTGTTTTGCATTTTGTGAGAAAAAAAACCTCTGGGGTGTAGGTAGACTTCCCAGCTGCGGAGTGCCTCCTGACCCGCAGCTGAAGGATCTCACAAAAGTGTTTTGCTACAGTATTTATGTTATCAATTCATGGAACATAACGCCAGGCTGCCAGATAGGATTAAGAATGAGAGTTCTTCGTTCCGACAGGATGTCTTCTGTACGGTAAGTGGGCCAAGACGGTCCGGTATAGATGCGCCCACGAGAGCAGCTTGTTGGAGTAAAGTGTTCTATAGATGACGACTCAGGAATTTTGATTTTCTGGGCTATCCTCAATATAGTCTGGGAATCTTGTTGCTTTCGGCCGCTTATGTACAACCCCCTTCGGCCCCTTCATCAATTCATTCCTGTTGTCTCCAAGTACGGGGAGAGAATAGTACTGTCGGAGAAAATCATCTTTCCCTGCAAATGTTAGCACTGTATATAAGCACAGCCTTCTGTATTATAACTAGCGGGCGTAAACGAAGGCTGCAACGCATATAGGCAGGCTGGCAATCTTGCCACTTGGACATAGGAGCACTTGTCCATATTGCCATGGAAAATTATCATTCGCTTGGACCGTCAATACAGTTACGAGACAAAGCACCGTATTTTAATAAGAGTAAGTCATGGTATTGAGACTTATACAGGAATATTGATATTCCGGACTTATCCCTAATATGGACTAGTGAGTAATGGGGGTGGGGCTAGAGAATCTCTCTAAGAGTGGAGGAGGGTGCACCAGTTTCGGGACGTCGGCGTGTAAAAATGCGCATTATATCGCCCTTGCCCTGCAAGGTGCCCTGCAAGGGCAAATTCGTAGGTGCATTCAACAAATAACCAGAGATACTATCGCTATAGCCCTTTCTTAGTAAAGAAGAAATCTATAAACACGAAGAGGGTGTGTCTAACCCTTGTGATCGGCTACCTTCGGATCACTGTGTTCTGTGTAACATCAGGCAAGCAGGGCCAGCGACATGAGCGGGGTTTTTGAGTGTCTGATTCGTATCGTGTAGCTTCCTTGGATCTTCTACGGCGGCCAACTGTAGCCACCGACCAGAAACCCTTCATTGGGCGTCTATTTGACCGCCCTATTGATCGTCCTGATCTATGCCTAAGGCCTAGACGCATCTTATTTCCTAATTAGGCAATTCGATATGATTATTAATGACCGTGGAAGGTAACTAACTAATATTATCCCAAGCCCCCCGAGCCCTCTCTTGCTACTAGCTGTCTTCTCAGTCACGTCTTAGCTATCTTTCTCATCCTTAATATTCTCTCGCGATTTATTTCTCGTTGGTGAATCTTGGGTTTGATTATCGTGAGAGAGGGCCGTTAGGTAGAGAGGGTCTCTTCCAGTCTTGGTTTAGCAATCAAATATCTAACTTCCTTTACTATCAACGTCAATAAATAGCTTTAAGCAGTATCTAGATTAGATGACAGTAGTCTAACTAATTCGGGATGTAAGATGCTTATGTAGGCGGAATTAGACGCCCTAGTAGTTATTTGACTTACCCGAAATTAGATGATTGAGATTCTGAAGGAGTAGTTTCAGTATTGAGCCAGTTTTCTGCCTCAAAAAGTGGGGTTTAAACTTATGCGCACAGAACGGTCTGAGAGCAATCCAGGAGATAGCAGGAAGGGACCTTTCACATCAGATTTCCCATGTATTCTAGTGTATTTTAGGCTGACCTATCCTACTATCCCAATAATTGTAGAGTTTAAGAGCCTTGGATATCATAGATACTACTCCATAGTCACCTTTTATACATAAGAGTGGGGTATGTGACGAATCGGAGAGCCCGTCGCGTCACTATGGGCCATTTAGAAATCGTGTGGGGATTTCTTTGTTCTGACTACGCCGTGACATACAAGGTAAGCACCACCTGGGAACTTTAAACAAGCAGGGATAAACTGACTTTTTCGATGGCAGAGGTTTAGTCTAGATATCACCAAGTATTATTATTGGCAATTCCCCCCATTTGATGTCAAATTATCGGACAGGAGGATACTGTCGCTTCTACCCGGGTCAAGATTGGTCCTTTCACGAGGTTATACGTGATGAGTTCATATTCTTCGGTGACAGGAATTTGGATGATATGAGACGAACTGCTGAGGCTCAGGTTGGACGGGCTGGTGCTGAGAGGCCTGTCATCATGGGTGAGCAGTCGAGCTGAAAGCACAGTGCCCACTACCCAGAGAAGAAAAGTCCTTAGCGAGGCTAGAAAATCTTTGGGCTCTCGACTCGACAAACAAGGGAAGTTCCCTTGGATTCGCTGAATGACAGAGGCATCTACTGTTCTGACCGTAAGTTACACGCTGTGAATAGGCGTGCGGCACCAAAGGTAAGCTGGGTTGACACAAGGGCTGGGCAAGCTTCGGCGGCTATACAAAAACTAGACGGATGACGGCTTCCTTATGCGCAAGGGATACTGAGAAATGGCACTGCATGCCCCCTCACGCAAATGAGGCCTTTTGGATGACTGCCTTTCATAGGCCCAGGTCGACCCCGAAGTTGACATGCAGAATGAAGAGCCAATCCTTCGCATACCGCCGCGGCACTCTTGTGCGCTCATAGGACAAAAGAGGGCGCGCGGTCTTAGACCAAATTCGGGATTGCTTCGGGGTATGAGATATTTTCCGTACAGTCTTTCTCATAACAGCCAAGATGCCGTCTCGACAAAGCTCACCTGCTCTGCCCTTGCATCTTGTCTCGGTCGGTTGTTGATTGACGAAGGAGCGTGGGAGGAGAGGAGGCCCAAGCGGCAGCGGCCCCACACGTGATGTCTTTGCCTCACTCGGTACTCCGTACAGAGTAGACACAAAAATTCTTTACAGATTTTGGATCTTTTAGTGGCTGATTGGTTGCCTGTTGCCTCTGCAGATAGACTGTTGGAGATCATAGAAGCCACATAGCCCCGGTCACGTTGACAGATCAAAACGATCAAGGGAGGCTTGGGAGATGATAGGGCCATCATCCTGGCTTCGAGCGATCCTCTTCCTCTTTTGCTGGGGGCTGGTGCATGCCTCCAGCCAGTCACCATGTAGCGATTTGGTACATCCACAGCCGATCGCAATCAATTTGTCTCTTGATTCCGTGTAAGAAACCTTCCAGACACACTGTGACTTCTTACTTTTGTACCAATAATCCATTATCATTCAGGACCGCCGTCTGCGTCCCTTCGATTGACCAGTTCGTCGTTTTGGCCGTTGCTTATCCTCGGTCAATTGACTCACCTCTTCCCAAATATGCTGAAACCACGACTCTGCTGCGCATGAATTATTTACAAGAGCGTAATATCAAACCTAATCGTTACTCGAGTATCTTTGGCAAATTCTTTGGCAAGTTCTTCGCTTCCAAAAGCTCAACACCGCCCGACTTGAATGAAAAGCAATCTTCAGAGCAGATAACGCTCGGGTTTATAGAGGCTTTTGAACGGGTGAAAAATATATCGTCGGCAAATTCTGGCACAAACATTACATCCGCGGTCATCTCGTTCCCACGCTTTTTCAGCTTTGAGGTTCACAAGCTTGCCGTTGAGGCGGCGCAGAGAGCTGGCATCTTTCCCGTTCACTCCACGAGTCCCCACCAATTATTTTCTATGCTTGAAAACATACTGGAAGAAAATATAACAGCTGTCAGACGATATGATTACACTCCAAAGCTCCTAATCATCGACTATGGCCTATTGTATTTCGACGTTCAGACACATGGCAGGCGATGTCATCTGAATATTTCACTCGACTGGATGGGCTGTATGAACATTATCCACAGGCTTGTCAACAGGGTTGTGTCGACCAATGCGGACATACAACTGCAGCTTGATCAAGGTGCCTCATACAATACTCTCAAATCTGCCGTCTATCGAGCACAGTACTTGATGAAAATGGACCGCGATGTTGAGTCGTGGGACGAAAAAGTCTCGAAAGAAGACCGTCCGGAAAGGTGGCTCCTTGAACTGGATGATTGGTGGACTGGTCAGCAGAAGGACGCATTTATTTCCCGGGAAGATATCGAGTCCGCCGAAGCTGAGTATGTCAGCGATCTAGCAGAGCTTTTGGATAATCTCCTTATTTGCCTTGAAGGTGAGAGAAGTTCTTTTTTGGTCTCTCGACTCGCTTGAGATATCCTGCTGCTCAGGTAAACTAATTTCAATGTTCTATAGAGGCAAAAACCCATGATGAAACCGAGGCAGATCAGTCATATTTGGATTTTGACAAAATTATCGTTCTAGGCAACTTATGTGATAGGTCACTCATCGTACGTGCCTTGAAAAAGAGTGTCGGTGAGCATGCTAGGATTACTGGAGGTAGCTCAGAGTCGGACGTTATACTAGAAGCTCTAGCTGGTGCTCGTTTTGCCTTCAAGTTTCACGAAGCCGAGCTCAGGATTCGAGAAAACATGGAGACTCAACTTACTGGCCACGTGGATCTCTAACATAAGGCAATAGCTATGCATCATCAACCGACTTGATCTGATCAAAGAATATTCATAAGATCAAGGATCCAATGCATCTGTGAAATACCAGCTGTCCCAATGGTGAAAATGCTGAAATAAGACTACACCGTCCTCCTTTTCTACTCAAAGTTTCCTGTCACTCACATTACCTCCCAAGACATGACCAGCGTCGAGTAGAGGCTCGATCATCTCTTTATTCACGACTTGCCACCTTAGCCCTATAGGGATAATTTGGCTATCAATTTCAGACATCAGAAATGCTACTGCTCTTGAGAAAACAGAATATTACGGCAACTGACATCATAGCAAAGCATCTGGCCATCGCTTTCCAGATATTAAATTGTAACGGATTTTCATTATCTCAATATGAAGTTTCACTAATGGGAGGAGCAAGCTCAGCGTGCTAGAGAACGGGCGATGTAGTGAAACGTCAAGGGAATCTGGCGTCATAGAGCATAATGGAAGCTCAGCTTACAATTCTTTGGTGATATTGATTGGCGTCATACAGAACTTGATGGCTGTGTTACGAATCAGGGTCTCAATTGCAGCTACTGTGGGCTCATGTGTGTTAAAAGCATGGACAATAGCACAGTCAAGAACATGACCGAATAGTCGCAGAGAGTTTGGAGCGGTCTATTACTCCACATTCCAGTGTCTGTTACCTACATGGGATCATCTGCATGGCAAGCAGTTGTGCCCCTTGCAGTCTTCCTCGAGGCAGCGGCGTGGGCATGTTCTGCTGCTGACCCCAGATGGCTTGACAAGCCACAGCCTATGAGATAATCATATAGAGTACCGACCTTGAATCCAAAGACATAATATGAGCGAAGTAGGTATATCAGCTTCAGGGATATTCCGAGGAGAATGCTGATGACATCTTCTTTCCGATGGTGTTTAAGTTGGAAAATAGCTCCCATTTCGAGACTGATGAATATTCAAACTCCAACCTGCATAATAATCTCAGGGCACATATATTCTACAAGTGTAGGCTCTCTTGGAAAGGGTTGCTGACAACGTAAGGAGCATCTGCCCAGAAGCTTTCTTCGCATGAGCTAAGTGGAAGTAGCGAGAGACATTGCCTCGATCGTGTCGTATCCGGACCGTCCGGTCAGGTATAAATAAGAGTCTCAGTTCCGTCAAATGAGTTTCCTCGATATCATTTACATCAATAACAATAACCCAAATCGATCTAGATTACCTCAATCCTACTTTTCCTAATCGCCATCATGCAGTTCGTTCTCAATAAACTTGCCCTGCTTGCACTATTTGCCATTGCGGTCTCTGGTGCATCTAAATTTGCCGACACTTGCCAAAACATTGAGAGTTCTGGATCGATGATTCAAGCCGAGTGCCAGGAACGTGAAAATGGGCAGCTGCAGATGAGCCAGCTGGATTTGAACCGCTGCATCAAGAATAGCAAAGGCTCTCTCAAGGTCAGTTCCTGTGAGTCAAAATTCTTTTGGGCTGTGGCTAACGATAAGAAAACATGACACAGTGTGGCAAAAAGTGAGCTTACCCCCTGCTTCTTAGATAGCTGTTGATCATACCGTTCTAACTCATTTGCAGCGGAAACTTTGCTGGATCGTGCATCAACTGCAGTCTTCGGGGACACACTGACCTTGAATGTCAGTGCCGAAATGCTGACGGGGATCATTCATATGTACCCGCTCATATTGATATCAGTCAGTTCTTCAGACTTAGGTTTCATGAACTTGACAGACAGCTCACATATAACTGGAACAAAAGACAACTGCATCAGCAACAACCATGGCGAACTTGGCTGCTAAATGCAGTAAATATTGACCATGCCTATTTATAGGGGTATTTGATATTATTCGGCAACGAATGTCTGCTGAGGGGAAATTCTGTGAATGTTAGGGTCATGCACCGGGATACGCTCGTTACGAATTTAGATGATGAATGATGAACAGAGGAATCTAAGAACCACATTTTTAACAAAAATATCGAGACTTCCTGCCCATATAAAGATCATTTCAGTTGCTATTCATCATATCCATGTTCAGGACTGATGGTTTGGTCTCCCAATCATCGGGATCAGAAGCGAGAGAATGGTAGACAGATCAATTGTACGGATTAGGTCAAAAGCCGTCTTAACTTGAGGGTGAGTACTGGTAAAGGCTAACCTCGTTAACCCGATGGTTTGTCTATGGTGTACCAAGCTTTGTGTCTAAACTAATTGGGTAAAAAAAGTCCCGTAGTGAGGAGAAAAGGGATCGGCACACGCCACGATGCAACCCAAATCTGTGGGAGGTCATTATGTGCCTACAAACAATGCCTATCGAGTTTAGTCGATTTTTTGAACACCTAAAACGCACCAGTCCCAGCCCGTGCCGGGCGGTTTTAGCGTATTAGTGTCTTCTTAGTCGCAAGACTAAGGTTTGGTTTCACTTCGGCGTTGCCAAGCATAATTGCGCCATTCTCATTTGTCAAATTGGTTCAAGATAGCCAATCCATACATTGTCAAGTGCGCGCTATTCATCCCGTCTACATTTCCGGGTTAGCATCAAATACCTCGTCGCAGATGGGATAATGCGACCCGAGACAAACCAACCGGACTCCGTTAGTAACTCATCATTATTGTTGCAGATCGCATCATTGCCCACGCCAAATAGCCGAGCCAAGACGAAAGAGCCATACTAATATCACCAGGAATCCTGCCGTTCAGACTAGATAAGTCATGGGACAGTTTCTAACAACGAGAGTTCTCTCAGAGATCTTCCTCGAGGCAACCTCAACGCTCATAACCCCCGCGAACTGGCAAATAGTTTGAGCTCAAGCCTAACTGGCGTTATTGTACCACGCTCATTTTGCGGACAATTTCAAGCTCTCACTTGGTCTGCAACATGTCTGCATTAGTAGAGGACAGCTCTGGCAGAAGCGATGACATACAAGCTTCAGAGGTTAGCAAGGCTGATGTTCTCACTAAAGAGGCATCGGTCACAGTGGGGGAAGAATCCCAGACGAACTCAACAAATGAAGCAGAAGGCAATCGTTCTGCTAAATCTCAAAATGAGAACGACACAGTCTACGTCAATGGCCACCCCGTCATTGAAAATGGTATGACGATTGTCTTGTTCTACTCAAGTTTTTCTTTTCTGGCGCTCATTCATTGAGAATAGGAGACGACGTGTCGAGATTCCTGATCTCCGATCGCGACGATGGTGACCCTTCATTTACATTTCGCTCAATAGTCCTGGGCACAGCTTTTACGGCCCTTTCTAGTGTGATCACCATGATCTACATCTTCAAGCCAACTATGATGCAAGTTTCGGCGGTTTTCCTTCAGCGTAAGGTACTCAAAGCAGATATCAAGCGGTCTCTCTTCTAACATTTCCAAGTGCTGGTCTACATCTTTGGCGAAGCATGGGCGATTTTCACCCCTCGACCGGATCGATTCAAAAGCAGATGGGTGCAGAAGACGCTTCGATTCCTCAACTCTGGACAACCGTTCGGAATCAAAGAACACGTTGTCGCTTCACTGATCGCATCATCTGGGAACAATGGGCTTGCAGGAGTCGAGGTCTATGCTGCTGAGCGACTTTTTTACGATCGCAGCGTCTCTGCGTCCACTGCAATACTCGCTACTTTCTCTATCTCTCTTTGTGGATTTGTAGTGGCGGGGTTATTACGACCGCTTATCGTCTACCCTGCTGAAATGGTGTATTGGACTACTTTGCCACAAGTGGTGCTGTTCCAAAATCTCCACTTCGATACTCGCGCGAACAGAGGCCGACTCATCAAATTTGGCTGGGCTCTTGTTCTCGCTGCAATCTGGGAATTTTTCCCATCATATATTATCACTTGGTTCGGTGGACTTTCCATCGTCTGTCTGGCTACAATCAATGCCCCAGAAAACACAAGGACTATCATCTCTACAATTTTTGGAGGTGCATCATCCAATCAAGGGTTGGGTCTGCTCAATTTCTCTTTAGATTGGCAATATATCCAGAGCCAGTACCTATCCTTGCCTTTCAAGCAACAACTAAACACTTGGATTGCATATGTCATCTGGTACCCTGCAATGCTTGGTCTCTACTACAGCAATGCCTGGAATGCCAAGAACTTTCCATTCATGTCTACTTCTCTCTTCAAGAGTGATGGGTCCAGATTAACCACAACCGCAATCCTGAACAGCGAGGGAATCATTGACGAGGCCAAGCTTGCGAAAATCGGTTTGCCGTACTTGACCTCCAGTACAGTCTGGGGATATTTCACCCAAAATCTCGCAATTGGAGCGTTGATTACGCATGTGATAATTTTCTACGGCAAAGATATGGTACTGGCATGGAAGCAGGCCCGAAGCAAGACGCAACCTGATCCACACTATCGGGCGATGCTCAAATACAAAGAGGTTCCAATGTGGTGGTACTTGGTCCTCTTCGTTCTCTGCTTCATTGCAGGAATTATCGTGACTGCTCACGGCGAGACAACCCTCCCTGTCTGGGGTTATATCATTGCTCTTCTCCTTGGAGGGTTCATTGCACCATTCTCCTGTATCTTATACGGGCTTTATGGGAGCGGAGTCTCCACGAACCAGATCTCAAAGATGGTTGCAGGTGCAGTGCATCCGGGGCGGCCCTTGGCCAACTTCTATTTCGCTAGCTGGTCTCACCAGGTCATACTTCTCGCCGTCAATCTGGCAAACTGGTTGAAAGTCGGACAGTATACAAAAGTGCCACATCGGGTCATGTTTGGCACCCAAATTTACGCAACCCTTCTCGGAGCTGGTCTCAACTATGCTGTGATGACCACCATCGTCACGAACCAGCGCGAGATTCTCCTAGATCCTGAGGGAAATAGTGTTTGGAGTGGCTCTTACATGCAAAGCCTCAATTCGCAAGCCATTACCTGGGCTCTGGCCAAGGACATGTACGGTGCTAAAAGCCGATACTTTATCGTCCCTCTTGGCATTGTCATCGGCCTAGCTCTGCCAGTTCTTCACTGGGGAGTCGCGAGAGTTTTCCCGCGGGTTCGCAATTGGCCGATCAATACTGCGATTATTGCATTGTACTCTGGCTACACTTATTACGGGAACACCTCATGGGTATGTTCCTCAATTGCGGTCGGGGTTTTCTCTCAATTCTGGCTTCGCCGCAGATTGCCCAGAATCTACAACAAGTACAACTACCTCATTGGAGCTGCCATGGACGGAGGTTCTCAGATCGTCATTTTCATCCTGTCATTTGCGGTTTTCGGCGCGAGTGGAACAGAGCATCGATTCCCGACGTGGTGGGGATCGCCCTCTGGTAACCCGGATCATTGCTTGTAGTCCGAAAGATCTAGGATCAACATGAATGGCGTACAAAGGGCGCGGGTAATGTGTCAATGGAGCTATGGGGAGGCTCAAGGAAACCAAAGGCTCCATGATAACATCTTGTTCCGACTCGGCACTGTTGAAGTATTCCGGGCGCCTGGAGTTATCATTCGGGTTACAGGAGTAGCCTTGGAGCTGGCTCCAAGTTACGCTGAGGATGGAGACAACATTATTATGGAAGGGAGCACGGAATATGATGCTTGTTCAAATCGAGTCTATGTTATTGTGGCATGCCAACAGACAAAGAATAGTATATCCAGAGAAACCGAATCACAGATTCGGTGTGCTCATCACGTTGCTTGTCTCCGAGGTCTCACTGCCGTAATTGTAAAATCCTGCCCCATTCTTGACGCCTAAGCGCCCGTTCTGGATCATGTTCTGAAGGTACACTCTCGGCTCAGCCGGGATGCCTGTCCGAGATTCTGCATAGTGGTTTTCAATATCCAAGACCACGTCGAGACCGACAACATCCATCTGTTCACATGGTCCTTTGGGTGTCTTCAAGACGTCCTTGAAGATTGCATCAATCTCCCGAGGCGTACATACGCCCTCGGAGAGTGCCAGTAGCGTTTCACGCTTGATAGCAGCCCAAATTCTGTGATTTCAACAAGGTAAGCTCGTGGGTCAACAGAACAGGCTGGGCTCAGGTCATGAAAGTGAATCCTACCTGTTGTATATGTAACCAATAGAGTCTTTCTTCACATGGAAGGGTGAGAAACCATGTGCTCTACATTGCTCTAGCAGCAGTGACACGGCAGCGGGATCGGTGTCCTGATGCCCCATAATCTCGATAGCTGATGGGTTTGTCATTAGTTCAAGACCTGCTCAATTTCAATCACCTGAGCATGGGTTAAATTTACCTGATGTCTCTGGAGGCCAGTCTGCGCAACATTGCAACATGTTAGTAAGGAGTTCTTGGAAAAACCGAGTATAAAGGGTCTCGTACAGCAGTGTGCGCTCAATATCCTGTTTTTGTGCTTCAGATCTAGCCCCTCAATAATCTCGGAGATTCCATAACTGCTAGAGTTGGAAGCAATGATTGTGTGTGCAGGAGCCAGATCATCAAGCTGGGTGATGACCTTCTGCTTCAAGGCCCAATTCTCGGGTACGCACTTTGTTTGAAAATGATGTCAGACCATCACAATGCATCACAATTCGAATCGAGCGGATGATACTTCGACAACCAACCATGCGTCTTGAAGAGTGGACTTCAAAGAATCTGGCTGCGACACTGTGACCTCTCCCCAATTTTTGTCGTGGTCCACTGCTGCATTACGAAGCTGATGCACATAGCTCAGACCGTCTTGCAGCTGCTGTTTCTGTAGATCAACGAGACAAACAGAGCCGCCTCTTCCCGACCACTTCCGACTGTTAACGGAGCGTGCCCAACGTCAAAATTTGAGAATTTTGCTCACCATGAATGCAAGTCGTCTGCCTTGAGTCCCAGCACCGATAATGACCACAGACCCGGCGGGCCTTTGCGTGATGTCCACTGTCATTTTCTTCCTTATATAGTCTTCGTAAGAGAGCAGACAGAAAGTCGAATGTTGAGCTCGTTTCTTTCGTTCGCAGCGAAACCTTGAAATAAGCTATGCGGCCTTCTTCGCGATTCTATGACATGCGGCTAAATGTACACTTCTTCAACTCAACCGACCGAATGAAATCGCCGGCAGCCAAGGCAGATATAGGATGACGGGCCGGTCATTCGGATCCGGCTTCTCCATAGGTAGCATTACCGATCTGCAACAAGATCCACGCCCTTAGCCAACTCTTGCCCGGCTCTGATCCCCTTGCGGGATGCTTTAGTCTCTGGATCGTGCCTGTGTCGGTTCTGAGCCGAGGGGTCCAACGCTCAAACGCCTCTTCACGCTGTATCCGGCGAAATCGGAATTGGTGATTGGTGGATATGGTATCCACATCGGATCCGAAGCGAAGAGCCAAGAAAAGGCGCGCGTCATGAATTGGAGACTTGCCCGTTACAGTACCTACTGTACTACGCTACCCCAGAATCGGATCGAATTCTCCAGAGATTAAGCGCAACTGTTACAGACTTGAAGTTTGATACTAAGTCAATCTCAGGAGTGGAATTTATGGGGTCCTGAATGAAAGGTTTAGCCTCAAACTCGATCTCGGCCGATCTCCTCAAAAGGTCGCGGCTTGCCAGATGGTTGGTAAGAAGGAAATCTAGGCCCTCCATAGTGACAATGCCCGTGTTGAAATGTTTCAAAACCATCTAATATGTCCAAATGCAACCGTCATTGCCTGCTGACTGGCAAGAGCTAGCGGCTGCCAAGTTGCCTGTGCCTCCGCGGAGATGAGTTTGGATGATCTTAGACTCTGAGTCTTGGCCAAGAAAGTATGAGGTAAAGATCGAAGAGATACAAAAAGTCCCTCAGTGCTCTCTAGCACAGCAAGGTCTCCGAGGAGAAACCTCGAACGCTGCCAAACAGACAAGTATATACCAACATGGAAACTGCATTGAACGCCACAAGCTTCTGGTGTCTAAAGCGCTTCACAGTCAAGGCATAGTACGGGATAGCCGTATAAGCCTAGCACTATTGCAAGCCTGGCGATGTTGCCGCTGGGCTGTATGAGTATGGATTCTCAACAACTTGCATTTCAGCGGGCCAGAGGTAGGGTGTCGCATGGCAAGGTGTGCTCTTGAACACGCTACCAGAATCTCTGCCTGGACTGTACAAGCACGATGTTATTCTTCCAACCCTGACAGTCTGGCGACATACCGCCAGATCTCAGAGTTGGACGACATATTGCGGCGAATCATCAGACCTGGTGGAGATGGATGAACTTAGTCTCTTGACGGGTGTATCCAATAGTCAATGTTCATCTTGGATTTACGTAACTAGTCCAAAGTTTCCCAACGAGATATGTCTTTTTGGTTGTTCTCGAACGTAGCGAAAACGCTCAAGCGCGCCTAGATACTCCATGCATGTGCATCCTGGAGGGAATTTCAAGGCACGCTTTCTCTCTTGACTTCAAAGTTCAAACCAAAGATCGCGAATTTGCCAGGCACTGGTCTTGATCTTTTTATCGAAAGGTCGAAGTAGGGGTAACCTCACAAAGCCAATCTCGGCGAGGCAGTCCAGATCCCCAGATCCAGAGCAGACGTGCTCTTCGTAGCGACTACCCCGGATTTCCTAGCCTCCAGATTCCTGCATGCATGCACTAAACAGACAGAGATCTGAGCGGGGAAGCTCGTGGTGCCTCGACGCCCAACAGCCTGTGCCACTCGGTTAGCCCGCGGGGGTGGGACTCCGACCCAGTCCATGCTCATATTACAAGGAAATATCCTTTCCCCATTGCGTCTGACCTCCAATTAATTCAAGCCTTCTTCATAATGCACACCGACCGAGTCCACCGACGCAAGCAGTTTTCAAGCTGCGATGCGTGCCGCAAGTCTCGCGTTGCCTGCGACGCTTTGCGAAGACTCTCTGCGACCGGAGAGTCGAATGTCGCCACTTGTAGCCGCTGTGCGGCTCGGAACCGACATTGCAGCTTTGAGGTGCGGATGCTCGCGGTCAACCCGGATGACTGCATATTTGAGGAGATTATCTGACCCAGCATGTTTGTAGTGGATGAAAAAGGTCGTTTCCAGGGCGGATGGGTCCAGTCCTTCATCAGATCGCTGGAATCCGCTTCTCTCCCCACCGCCGTCCTATGGCAGGAGCCAAGAGGAAGGGTTCAATCTGTCTCCGCACTTCAATGACCCAGGGGGAGATTCGCCTCGTAATGGGTAAAACTGTCTCAATCATTCTTCACTTCTCTGAGAACTTTCTATTGACCCTCGTTTACCCCTTTAGTGTGGTTGAGAGCCCAGTCCACGGCGACCATGGGACCCCGACACCCTCCGCCAGCTCCTCACTGATCAGCCTAGAAGTCTCGGACTGGCTTCGATCAATGTATGAGGACGTCTTCGAACAGGTCTTTGGGTCTTGGCTAGGCAACTACAGCTGTCCATTCTCGTGAGTGACAATTCGAGCCTAAGAATCACCCCCATTGACTGCGCACACGGGCACTAACGCAGGCCCAGATTCGGGGAGAATGGCCACTTGGAAGAGGGCGCAAGCGACCATCCGGGATTTTCGCTATCGGTCAGCATTTCGTCGCTATGCAGGCAATTCGACCAGTTGATGAAGGACCTGGAAAAGCAAGGGCCAGCGAGTGCGAGGGCTCATCCTCCAACGCAAACGGAATTGGTAAAGGAATGGCAGATCGAAACTACCCTGAATCAAGCAATTCAAACCTTTTCCGCTCGATGGCTGCCTCTGACCTTCAACTCGCCCGACCAAAAATTGGCGCAAACCCCATTGATACAGTCACTTTGGCGGGAACTGAGACAGAATCTTCTCAAATCCATGAACAGACCCTGTTATCGATCCATGCTGAGCTTATACCTTTTTGCCATGGTCCCGGTTCCAGTCGGCATACCAGAAGACGAGGAGGAAAGCGGCGTTCCCGCTCAGGTATGTGTGCAAGCTGCTTTGCAGCAAGTACAATACCTTCGCGCGCGCCAGAGAAGCCTTGAATTCAATGGCTCCAAGGTCTCGCTTTTATCAGACCGAGCGACACCCATATCTACTCCGGAACAGATTCGATCCGAGTTTATACACATTGAGAGTATGATATACTGGGCAGCCATGACGTTCGACACCTCATCTGCCTTGACTTTCAACACCAAGTCCGTCCTTTCTTCAGGTCTCCTGGGCTGGGAAGCCGAATCCTCGTGGCGGATGGTCCAGACCTGCACGAATATCTTCCATGAACAGTCCGAAAGGTGGCGTACTCATGGAGTGTTGGTCACTGAAGAAACGGCAAATCAAATTATCGGTGCTGCCCATGCATGGAAGCTTCGCGTGTGGAAAATGGGTACAATTTTGAAGGAGGCACTTCGCGAAGGTCATGGCGAAGACGCTGTATACCACGCATATACCTCTGCCGCGGAGGCAATCAGACAGTTCAATGTCACTTATCGCCCCTTGCTAGCAGCGTGCGAACGACGACTACAATTTTTGTCGCAACATACAAAGCTTCGCTGGTGTGAGTATCTACCTTCTACGACTCTGTCTCCCTATTGCAGACCGAGGATACTAATCTTCTTCTTTCTACACATAGACGAGCTGATGGTGCACCACCACTTGAGTATTCTAATTATGATTGATGCCATCGAGATTGCCTCGAGAGAAGACATTCTCGAGAAAATGAGCGTCACAAAGTCAGACGCACAGGGCAGTCTTCTCAACTGTCTACAATTTGGTCTCAGCAATCACTTTACGATACCTACGCGCCAGGGTTCGGACAGCAGTACTGGTTCGTTCCCGCTAGTGGCTATCGATCCTTATCCCCACCATCTCCTCGCGGGCGTACAGCTTTTGTGGAAAGGGATTGAGCGGGACTTCGATGATGGTCATATGGATCAGACGACTTGTGAGAATTTGCAGTCTATTCTTCTTCAGACACTTGAACTCCTTCCACAAACGTCCAAGTCGGTCAGGAAAGGGACTGAGCGGGCTCAGTTTGCTTTCCTACGACAAGAACGGTGAAGTCCATAGCCAAATATAATTTAACTTCTATGATAACTCCTGTCGTCAATAGTACTCATAGTTTGCGGCACATTTATATTGCGCATAAGCACAATAATCCCACTCCCTAAAACAAAAAGAAGAAAAAAACACAGAGCGGTGTAAGTCAGAAATCATACTCCACGCCTGAGCATGGGTTGAACTTGTGCCTCAAAAGGCGAGTCTATGTCTTCTTATTACATTCAAAGATCAAGATATCTCATGGCTGATCCTCACCGGACTTGATAATACGGTATATCCGCTTATGCTGTTCCAATGCCACCAAAGTCGCAATCGTCTGTGGACCCAAGCGAACAAAACTAGGTGTCCAACCGCGGAACACCCACCGATAACCCTCAGATCGAGTCAAATCAGTCACAATCTTCAGGACTGACACACGCTTCGAAGAACTCATCAGCTGCGTTCGAATCACATCCATCGGGCTAGAGATTGAGGTTGCAACTAGACTAGCCAACAGCGAAGCAGAAATATGAATAACCGGACTCTCCCCACTGCCACTACTCCACCTTTGAAGCAAGGTCTTGAACGTGTCATAAGATGCCAATTGACTCGCGGTCATGATTCCACAGCGAAAACAGTTAGGCCACAGGCCCTGGATAAACGACCTCCAACCTTCATTGCGCTTCATTTGCACCCAGGCGTCAAGCACATTCTTGTAATTTCGGCGATGTTGAATAGGTAATGACCTGTCGTTTTGCATCCGGATGTTTGCGATATCTGATGGCGTGCCGAATATGGCTCCCACGAAGCCCGATGTCGCCGCCATCATGGTTAGCATTGGAGCCGTGACAGGCTTGTCTGATTTAGCTGCGGATTGTTTGAGTTCTTCGTACAGGGCAATACGTGAGGCCCCATATGTTACTATGCAATTGTTAGATTGCTGCTCAAAATTTTAGATGTAGTAGTACTCACATGATCTCATCAACCCAGCGGACAGCTATCATGTTGGCGGCGTTAATTGACATGAAAGTTCTAGATGTAACCAAGGGGTAAATGCTTACTCCATGATAAAGACCTCTAACACCCTCGCTCCGAATGATTTGTACTCCCGTTCGAACTGAACCTTGCTTTGCACCGTCTGCAACAGTTTGCATGCGGACCTTGACTATGGTGATTCAACGTGAGACATTCGTCTTGAAGATATCATATATCTTGCACGGGAACACTTACTCAGATCAAACGGATGCGACACCATTACCGCCATACAAGATGCCGAGCCACCAAACCATCTCGGATAGCTAATTTCAGCTTGTTTGGTATGGGCTGGAATAATGTGAGGCGTAGGTATAGGGGCAATCTTTGTTTCAGCCATGTTGACGAGAAGTATTTTTGTGAATCTCGCTCATAAGAAGGAAACTCTTCAAATATGACTCGGCAATTACCGAGTCGGTGCTAGTTTTATACCCGACTGCCGACCCTTTGATGACCGGTGAATGGGCTACCCCAACTTTTGGGCTTCGGCGTTGGCGCTAAGGGCCCGAGGTGTTCCTGCAGGGTTTCCTCGGTCGAGATTCATGCTACCAGAACGTTTTGCACTTGGAGTGTTCCATGTGTCAAAGATAATAGGTGCCTTTGTGAAAAATGTCCCTGTTCTGCTCAGTGATGGTAAATCAAGGCAGTCTCTCCTTGATCACCTACCCATGTCTCTTGGAATCTCACCTGTTGATTATCTCCGCGGGGGGGTCGCTAAGACGGCTATATGGTTACTTGACATGCTTGCTCACAACATTCACGAAGTCACTGATTGTCTATCGAGGTATGATTTATTAGGCTGTTTGCGTGGACTGACTTAAAATTCGGATTTCAACATCATCCTCCTGCGAACCATCCCAGATAACAATCCCGACCGTATAACGTCTGAGAGGTATGCCGTGGGGGCGCATGCTGCCTGCTTCGCCCACCAACGCAAGCGTGGCAGATTCTCAGCTTTACATGAGCAAGGGCTCTTTTTACATCACCATCTAGAGCTATGCTCCATCGAGTGCTGTCATCGAGGACACTACTGCACTGTGTACGTGATCATCGTCGAGGCAAATGTACTGCAAAATTGTTCAAGGGAAACAACGTGACCGTCGATTCCGGCTCCACAGGGCGAGAGGATCCCAGGGACGCGCTCGTCAACAACGATGCCGCAAAGAAAGCACCCTAGACCACTGCGATGATCTATTGTGAGAAAAGGAAATCGGCCAAGTGATTCTTATCATATATGCAAGAAATGTGGCCTTGTCACGGTTCAGAAAGGAAACGATTTTCATGACTCGGTCCAGCCAATCAGCAATTTTCCGTCGGGTATTTCCAGCGGAGAATTCCAGAGCTTGCCTTACTCCATTGTCGTCCTTAGCCTCAACTCGACTCCACGTCCAAAATGCAACATGGTGCCTTGGGCATTGAAGGATGTCGGGTAAATGGCTAAGATACGCAGAGGGGAGTCTGATGGTTGCATTATTTGAATACGTTGCCAAACTCTTCTCTTTTCCTGAAGCTTTCTACCACTTGGTTATACTTCTCGCACAGACAAGCTCCCAGGATGAGTATTTCCCAAGCCTCAATACCTTTGTCGCACCTACTCCCTCCGCTCGTCCTGGGTGGCGCCGGATTCAGCCATCAAGTATACCGGAATCCCAATTCAGCACAAGCACTGGAAGTCCTCAAACGAGCGTTCCAATTAGGACTACGCGCCATCGACACCTCTGCTTATTATCATCCTTCGGAAATACTTCTTGGTGAAGCATTATCACATCCCGATATTACGAGCCAGTACTCTCGCGACCAGTATTTTTTGATGACCAAAGTTGGTCGAATTGCGGCAACAAAATTCGACTACTCTCCATCATGGGTTCGACAGTCAGTGATGCGTTCGCTCCAACGTCTACACACCCGGTATCTAGATGTTGTGTTTTGCCATGATGTCGAATTTGTCCCAGAAGAAGAGGTTATGGGCGCCATCGGTGTTTTGCTCGACATGGTTCGCGAAGGCCATATCAGATACGTCGGGATCTCGAGCTACCGGATAGACATCCTCGCTCGAATTGCTCGCCGCGTTCAGAGTCAATACTCTCGGCCTCTTGACATAATCCAGAATTGGGCCCAGATGACTCTTCAGAATGACCGCCTGGCACAAGAAGGCTTGAAAGCTTTCCGGGAAGCAGGTGTATCTTGTGTCTGCAGTTCGAGTCCATTGGCTATTGGTCTTCTCCGCGCAAATAGCGTGCCGGTGGGAGATCTGGGGGACTTTCATCCCGCACCTTCAGGCCTACGAAGCGTCGTCAAAGAAGCGGCCGACTATGTCGCAGGGCAGGGAGAGTCTATGGCAGCCTTGGCGTTGCGGCATTCTATTCGCCGTGGCCAGTCGCTATCAACTCCCGATTTCCGTATAACGACTATTATGGGAATTACATCCATAGCGGAGTTGGAAGACAACCTCGCAACCGCTCGGCAGGTTCTACAAGTGTCGAATGAGCCTCATTGGCTCTGGAGCACAGATGCTGGTCAGTCTGTGGAGGGCAATATGGCCAGAGCAACAGTGGACGAGCGACTTTGTTCAGCCGTTCACAACATTTTGGGCCCATGGCGTGACTACTCCTTCCCCAGTCCGGGTGATGACTGGGATGTGGCCACCAAACAGCCAGTGTCCACCAAACAGCCAGTGTCTACCAAATTATGAGGCTAAATCGCATATGAAATGCCAGTGACCACGTACAATAGATGACAAAGGGTGCTAGCGACAGAATTGGTATAAATTGTCTCCCCAAGTTACCTTGACTAGGGGTAACATCCTCTTACCTCTGGCATAACTTCGGAGTATGTAGTCACCTCTCTAATTAGCGTTAACTAATCAGCGTCAATTATTATTTTCTCCAGCCAAGAATCAGTAGATGACCATGCTGTAGCTGTGAGAGTCTAATTTAGGCAAAAAGCTCGCAGATCTCTTAGAGTAAACTGCAGGGGCAGGCTTACAGCCTCGGCTTAAAAACCCTTATTGGTCACGGACATCGGAGATTTAGCCTGATCGCTGGAAGTATCCACCAGCTCTCCCCGCAATTTTTGTCTCCGCACTCGCGGCACATTTTCGATCACTCCTGGGTATCTGCAATGACCAACACCAACATGGCCCACCGGAGTCAAACTAGAGTCCTAAGAGCTTGCGACTCTTGCACATACTCCAAACAAAGATGCGATGGGCAGCGACCATGGTAAGCGGGTCAAAATGGCGATTTCAAGACACTAGCTAACCGTATCACATCAAGCCGTCGATGTGCAGGTACACTGAAGATCTCTGGATCATCTTCAAATTTGACCCACTAACTTGTATGACCAGAGCGCAAAGAGGAATGCCATTACACCAAGGCTGTTCGAAAGCGTGGTCGCCGACCGAGGGGAGACCCTGGCCGGGAACTACACCGTGATGACCAGAACTTTAGGAACAGATCGCCCCAGAATCAATCACGAAGTCCTGGAGATACCGTGATGTCAAGTAGCACGTCAAATCAGGATGCGCCCTCGGTGATGTCCTCTCTGGAACACCGATCATATGGGCTCGATGCGAATGCAAATGACACGCTGTCTATAACAAGTCCCTCTGGCGCAGATAAATTTGCAACCAACAACCCACCGTTTTCTGCGCAGGAAGACGCATTGGGTGGGCTTTTTCAGACTTCTCTGAGCAGTGCGCGACTTGAAACAAGTCAAACAGCAATATCACCGACTCGCGTACGCCCTTCGGAATGAAAACTACGGTTAAGGATGTCATTTAGCTAAATTTTCTTTCGCAGATTTCGCTCGATCACCGAGGGTCACTGTCCGGTCTTCATCAGACTGTCTTTGACGATGTCCCTGGGTCAATGCCGGACCATGTATCAATGAGATCAACCTATCGCTGCCTTGACTCGATGCTCCCACACTTGAATGGCCTCCTTTCCGCCGAGGAGGCTTCGGAGATGCTCGAAATTTACTTCAATGAGAAGCACAACTCCCTCTTCAAATCAACATCTCCCTACATGCTAGCTCATGTCTTGCACCCATCATCCGTCCTCCATCCTACCGATCCTCGGCCAACATCAGCGGCGCTGCTTGCTGTCATCCTGTTTTGTGTTGCGCAAACTGCCGACATGAAAATATTTGACACGCCGGGGGCCCGAGAACGCATGAGTGTGGATCTCTATCGTCTTTCATTAGACCTGCTTCAATCCGAAGATCCAGATAATTACTTCCGTACATCTGGTAAGCCCTTGACTATACGCTGGATACAGCACCATTTATTGACTTGCGATAGACGGCTGGCAATTCCATCCTCATCCCAGTGGCGGTACGCCAAATAATTCACATTCGGCTCCGGATCGACAGGCAAGTGGCAAAGCGTTACTGCCCCGACAACTGGGCTCAACTGATACCATTCTGGCCGTTGCTATCCTGACAATAGTAATATCGGGCGGACACTATAAAGCCGACTCGCTTAAATGGCGCGACAAGTTGATTCGGCTGGTTCGAGCCAGTGGGCTCAGCATGGAAGACCAAGACATTGATCTCGGGCCCGTTTTCTGTGGGCTATACAATGGCGACGCTACTTTCCGAAGATGGCTAGTCGCGAAAGAAGAGCGTAGACGCTTATTCTGGCTCGTCTACTGTCTTGATAGACACTTGGCCCTGTCCTTCAATATGCGAATCAGTATTGCCGAAGGCACTTTTGCGTGCGGACCCCCTTGCCGGAGAAGCTCTGGCAATCCCTCGATACGGCTGATCTGAACTGTATTCCTGCGTGTTCATTAGGTCCGCCCACCCAAATATCGGGCGGTGGGTTCTTCGAATACTTCCTGCCTCTCGCCAGGGTTTTGGGCCAGATCATCGACTTGCACCATGTTCGGGCCCATCCCACCCTCGGGCAGTACATTTCTCGGGATGCTGTTCGCCGCATAGAGGCGATGATAGCCCATCGAGAACAGGAGCTCGTTGACTTGGAGAATCAAGCAGACTCATACGTCACCAATGACGGAGCTCTTCACTCCTTCCCGCAGCAATCCAATGGTGGCCCATCCCAAGGCGTGGACCCATTTGGATCTCCTAATGCAGGAACGTCAAAGGACCCGAAGCTCCATTTAGTGAAGATCTACAGCACTTATCTACTGCATGTCTTCTACATACTGTTGCATGGTAAATGGGATCCCATCTCAATGATCGAAGACAGGGACGACTGGATCACCTCGGAAAGCTTCTTGACCTGTGCCTCGCACGCCTTGAGTGCATCCGGGGTAGTTTCGCAAATTCTGACCATCGACCCGGAAATGACCTTCATGCCTTATCTGTTTGGGATTTACCTTCTTCAGGGCAGTTTCATTCTCCTTCTATTTGTGGACCGCATGCCCGAGCTTGGTCCGAATCGATCGGTGGAAGAGGTGTGCGAAACGATTATCAGAGCTCACGAGGTGAGCGTGGTCACTCTTGATACCACTTTCCAAGTATGTCGAACTTTCCCCAAAAATTCTTTTGTTCGAGTAGAGGCTTATATACTTTGTAGAAAAATTTCCGCAAGGTATTCAGGTCCATGTTATATGACGCCCAGCAGGCTGGGCCTCATTCTTGGGATGAACACAAAGCTCGACGCAGAGAACTACTCTCTCTATACCGGTGGACACCCTTGGCTCAAGGTCTTGCCTATTGAATTAATTTTTGATTATCAAAATATACCCCTGCAGATAATTTCAAACTTGCACAAAAGTAAAGCCTCGACATCCAAAACATATATCATAAAAATCAATTCGTTGGACATAGTGCACAAACAGATTCGTTCAATGCGTATAGACTAGACAAGTCAATCTTGAAGAGTCGTAACAGTGATGTCGCTTATCGCAACAGAAGAAAAAGAAGAAGAAGAAGAAGAAGAAGAAGAAGAAGAAAGTCATAACCAAAGTGAAAAAAGGCACGTGCATAAGTAGGGTATCTCAGTTTCGTAATTTCAACAACATCACTCAATGACGTGTCTGGGGTAGCTCATGAATCATATTCTGCGACTGGTTATTTCCTTCGGGAGACTCAAATGTTGAAGGTAATTCGGCCGCGTATGCTTTGCCATGGTAGTTTAAAGGCTCTGGGTTCAGATGTCAGTCCAACGCATCGAAATTTCACATTTCTACCACAATTCATACCTGGTGGCTGCGTATGGTAAAAATCAGCAGGCAATTCCGCCGTGAAGCTTTTCCCTTGACCGTATTGCGGCGGTGCAAACGGGTACTTTGACTGTGAGCGCCCCGATATGGACGAATGTCGCTTAGTTCCCTCCGGTGACTGCAACTGATATGAATTGAGGGAGACCGTATCAGACTGTCTTCGCGAAGCCATCGAGTCCGACCGGGCCATATACGATCGATCGGCGGGATTGATCGTCTTGAGTCTTCCGTCCTCTACGACTGCCTGCAGGACACCTGCATCGAGGAGTTCTGCCTTTTTGATCAGACGATCCACCAGGACCTTCGAGGCTGCTTTTAACTGATTCTTGACGAATGAGACCAAAGTGACATTGCAGTTGATTTCGATATCCTCCTGAAGATAAAGTCCGGTCTGGGGGGCTGCCTCGTGGCGGAAGTCCCGGAATTGCCGAGGCTCGTCGAGCTGGTTTCCTGCAATTCGCCATTTGCTTTTGATGTCGATTCCCAGCGGGACGAACATGTGTGTTTCCAGGCCCCATTCGGTATCGTGGAAACAGCCCCTGAAGCTGACTTTGCCCGATCCCATCTTGCCGAAGCCCGGGATATATTGGACGCGCTCGACGATCTCATACCAGGTAAAATAATATTCATCTGCGGCAGCATCTCGTGGGGCTTGAATGGCATCGTACTCGAGGACGAGAGGGTTCAGCGTGATGATTTCACCATGGCTATGGAGAATGTCGAGGGCCAGTTGGCGGGGCACACCCGTCGGGATGGGGGTGATGTTGGTATAGGTTTCTTTCTTGCGCATCATCGTGCGAGATCGAGGTGAGAGGTCAATCGACAAGAAATCAGGATGAGTTACAGTGGTGTGCAAAAGCACAGTGCGAAAGGGAGGGAGCTTTCGAGTGGAAAGCAAAACGTGAGATTAGAAATAAGAAGCGGTCATCTCGGATGTTCTCGTATTTCAGCTGCTTATGCTGACGGCATGACCAGGCCAAAGTATAAACGACCTAAAATTAAGTTGACTTGGAATCTCACCGCCCAATTCACCGCATTATTCTCGAAGGCGCGGGTTCCACATTTGGCCAAGTTCCCAGTGGGTTGGGTTTCCCCGAGAATACCCGGTTTCTGCAGAACTGACCCGAGATGGAATCATCGTACCCTGGCGGTTGCTGGCTATAAATATGCTGAGATCGGTTTCATGACAGGACGACGGGATCAGACAGCATATTCCCAAGTCCACAGTGGACTAGCCTCTCACGTCAGCCTCGATCCCGGGCCCCGGGTATGCCAAGGAGTGATGGTTAGACTCCAGGCGCCAAACCCAGCCATCACCCTGGCCACAGTTTGCACCCAATAATAGATATCACCAAAACCCGCTGCAAACTCCATCAGTATCTGTGGAACCAAGACCAGGTAGTTGGAACCAGGAGGTAATTAGATATAATGATATAATGATTGCTTCCAAAAGGCAGGACTCGTTGGACGGGGGCTTGAACAGCCCCCCAAGCGCAGACAAACAAAGAACAACGCAGAAAAGGTCGCTGGAAACCCAAAAAAATACACAGAATCAAGTATTCGCACCCCATCCCATAGTGAACCTCCAATCCTGTCCCACCTCGCTAATCCCGCGAGCCAATCCCACGACACTGTCAACAAAGCCACCTTCACCTCTGGCGACACGTTCCCGCCGCTCAAGTTCGGCATCTGACTCCCGAGGCCGGAAATTAATCAACTGCTCCGTGCTCATTCCTTGCACCCGCTCAGCGTCGAGCCTTGTAAGGAGATTATTGTCGCCCGACCGGCGCGTCCATGCAGCCTGCTTGACAGCTGGTGCCCACCACTCCGCCAGGGCTGATTCATTGCGATTCTGTGCATAGCACTTGATGAGACTGGAGTCGGCGTTTGGGTCGAGCGAGGCGTTCCAGCGCGTAAAGGCGATTTCGTATCGCTTTTCCATCAGCCAGATAACCGGCCAGGTGATGATCCAGAGCTGAAGAATGACAACAAGCCACCAGACAAATGTATTCGTGCGTAGCCGGTTGATCCAGTGTGGGGAGTAGACGGTGACGGAGCTGTGGGCTTGGGAGAAATGTTGATTGATGGTGCCACGGTAGTTCAGCTCGCGGATGTGGGAGTCGAGGATATTGCGCATCGCTTGGCGATCGAAGCCCTTCAGTTCGCGGTAGATAGTGAAGCTGGTTATTTCATTGAATATCAGTCAAAGATCACACGGACTCGAACGGGCGGGTAAGAGGGGGGGAACATACGACTTCACTGATGCTGGATCAGAGCAGAATCGCTCACACCAAAGCTTGAGGGCATCGTTGATGTTCACAACGGCCTCATCTTGCTCTTCCTCCTGGATATCAGCATCGATGCCGGCCTCGGCATCCGGACCGAGAAGAGCAGCATCGCTGTCCACGGTATGATCAAGGGCCCGACGTGCCTTGGGAGCCTTGTACACGCGCGACTGCATGATCCCACCCCGATAAGCAGAGATTTCGTCTCCATCGCGGATCACGTCGATTTCCATCCAATTGACATGCATTGGACCGCCCTCCCATCCCGTCAGCATGGTCTCCGCAAGATCCAGGCGGAACTCGAAGTCGGTGACGGTGTTGCTCTTCTTCTGCTTGCTATCGTTGGAGGACTCGGTGTGCGTGCCTTTGATGAGCAGCATCGGCCGCACGGGCAGTTTCAACTGCCTGCGGATAACGTGGAACAGCTCATCTTTGTAGCTACAGAGGCGTGGGTCGAGAGACACGACCCGAGTATCGTAGGAGTGGACATTCTTGGTGCCTGGGATCGCATAGGCTGCATCGACGATGCGGAGGGGTCGGAAGGCACCGGTCGGACGGGAAGAGGATGACGCGGGGGTGGGGTTGGAAGCAGAGACAGGCTCGATATCAGGATCGTCGGTATAAGGAGGTGGCAGGTCGTCCTCGTCGGCGATGGAATGCAGCGAGTGCGAGGAGGCAGCGTCCGCGAGATCGTCGCGGTGGAGGCGGCCCATGGTTGATCCACGACGGAAAGGGTAAAAGACAAACAAATACTTCACCGAATCCGGCTGGTCGGAGAGATTGGAAATGTCAGGATTTTCACCGTGGAAAGGGTTCCTTCGATGGAGTGCGAATGAGGAGACGGCAGTTTTGGAGGCAGTTGAGGCTCTAGGCTGACACTAGACCCTCGTATTCGTATCCTGACCAGTCACTAGTCTATCGGGGACAATTGCCGAGTAGATGTATACATATTGCTCAATGGCCTCAGTGTAAAAGGAACCGCACTGTAGAGTCATCAATTGTGCCACTGATTGTAGTTGGTCAAGAAATGCACAATGGAGCCTTGAAGACAGGAAGTTGGAAGTCCTGGAACTCTACAACCACCAGCGAGCGGAGCGAGATGCTTCTTTCCGTAGACGCGAATAGCTTCAGTCAATTGAGTCTCATATTAAGGCTATTTTTCCAGCTCCATACGTTTCACCTGTGTCTTTATTCCCAGCCAATTCCCCTCGATTTGGACAATGACCATCTCTGCCTACGAGATGGCGAGATCGAAGACCTCATAGGGGGAGTCCGCCGACGCTTCCAGTGGCAAACTGCCTCTTTCCTTGTAAAGACATCCGTCCCTCTCTGCGAAACTAAGTAGATGCCGTCAAAGTCAAACTTATCCTGTGGGATCTTGTGGGAGATTCCAAGCCTTTCGTTTGTCCCACTACAAATCCAGCTCATCATCTCTCACAACCCAACTCGGTCCTCAACTTCTTCCCTTTCCACCTTTCGCTCTCCCAAGAATTTTCAACTTGAACCCACCTAGCTTTCTATCACTCACACTCTCAAATACCTGAATCATCCAGTCAAGATGGGTCGATGGGGTTACCGTGCGTCTTCCAACTCCCCTCCTTCTGACATCTCAAACGTCGCTGACTCCGCTAACCTCACTTCACCAGGCCTCTTCGAAGACGACATGGACCTCGATATTGCCTGTACTATTATGAAAAGTCTCGGTGTCAACACCGAGAAGTGGGACCATGCACCCATACAGACAGTCAACCAAACCGACATGCTGGCCCCTCAGGGTTCTCGAGAACACTACAAGACCAAGGACTATTCCAAGCAGCTGCAAGATGAGATTGTGCCCTCTGTGCGCGCCAAGTTTGACGCTAACAACCTTGGTGAATGTCTCATGACCAAGAGTCTCGCTAAGGAAGGCAAGGTTGATGTGGTTACTGTCACCACTGGCGAATACAAGACGATCATCCTTGGGGCTCTCATGATGCGGGTCGGGGCTAAGATCAACGAGGAGGATCTTCAGCATCTCCGGGACTTAGTTCCCAAAGTTGTCTGTATTCCGGGAACCACTTGGGCTCTAGGGGATGTGGGCTTTCGTAGTCCAGGCAAAGCTCAGTTCCTTGCTGCCCTCGACGCTTAAGCCGCGTAGCTCTCACGAGTTGAGGTAAGTCTAATCCTGGAATAAATGGGTTTGGGAATCAATGTGACACGTGCTAATGGCTCTGTTTAAGCTGCTTTCAATGCGGGAAAATTGAGTCTGAGATCGGCCGCAAGCCTCTTCAGTGCGGCAAGTGTAAGCGTGGTTATTACTGCAACCAGGTCAGTCTGCTTCACCATCTTTTTTTTCTCACTTAGTGACATTGTACTGGAACTTCTCAGGAGTGCCAGAAAAAACACTGGCGGGCCCACAAGTCTATCTGCATCCCTCCTGGGCAGCGCCGCTTGTTGAATGTCTAACGAGGTTCCTTGCGCCTATAACCGGCCTGCTGCCACACACCTTGCAAGGGATATCCGAACGGCCCTGCGGGAGTTTCTTTGGATCAGATGCAACAACATGATTCGTGATGGTATTATTAGCGGGGCTGAATTTACATTGTTCTCTGCCTGATGGATCCTTTGCTGGGATATCTTTTCAATGCATTCCAAAACTACAAGTTGCAGTTCTTAGATTCACTCAAGTCTTGCAAGACATTTCTTACACAGAACAAATCTCTCCATCTCCAAATTATTGTTCCGTCATTATTCTTCCATGGTCTATTCCGACGCTATGGTATCCACTCTTGCATCTATAGTCTTTCTAGCCTTTAACAGATCCATCTCTAGTGCAGATCTTCTTGTACCAGATGCATGCGTCTAAACCAGATCTTGTCCGCCACTCAATCCCCATAGACTCCACCTCGCCATCAATGCCAATCCGAAACTCCACCGCAGCAAAGCCATGCATCGTCAGAGTTGGTGCATCCATCAAATCCACATACGCAATCCACCTCTCCCCGGAGACGTGGACAAAGTCACACTTGGTGCGGAAGTTGAGGTCCGGAAGCTTTGCATGTAGTTTCGGATCGGGTCTTGCATTCACCAATTTGCCTTGTCTTCTTTCGGTGGTCACTACAGTCAGGTATTTGTATCCAGGGTGATAATATACCCCGGCGTACTTTGATAGTGCGAGGGAGGGTCGTATGGGCTTCTCAGGGCGGTTAGGATAAATGGTATCAAGCCCGTTGCGGACGTTTTCTTTAGCAATTTCCACGGTTCTCTGCCAACTGTAGCGGGGGCGTGTGCGTTAGCGTACCTTCAGATTGCATTTCGAATTTGTCTAGACTAACAATTTGGTCCAATTATACCTCTCCTTGGGGGGAATTCCAAGTTTGTTGTCAACCAAATGCCAAGTGAGTATCTCTGCAACGGCATTTGCTGTGAATGCCGTGTTTCCCATAACGGCAACCCCAAAATCCAAATCGGGGATGAAGGTCACCAAAGCTCCAAAGGCATCCATTCCTCCGTGATGTCTCCAAAAGCGACGTCCACAATACGAAGAAGTCTGCCATGCCTGTGCATACATAATAGGTGTATCGAACGGAGCTGGATCCGCCATTCCAGTTGGGATCCGTGGATGGCGGAGAGTCCTATGCGCTTTCGGGCTCAATGGTTCTTGCTCACGAATCCAAAACTTCAACCACTTGACCATATCCGCTGCAGACATGATAATCGCACCTGATCCACTGACCTCCTCTGTTGGCATTCGGGTGAATGGCTGATATTGGCCCTCGTCCTCGTCCCAGAAGTAACCCCGGGCCACATGAGCATCCGATTCTAAGGCTTGCTCTAGCGAGAGATAGGTGTTCTCCATCCCGAGTGGCTTCCAAAGCCAAGTGCATAGAGCATCACCGAGCCATTGACCGGTAAGCGTTTCTATCACATGTGAGAGGACCACAAACATGAGGTTGCTGTAGCAGTGCTCTGCGCGCGGCTCGCTAATCATGGGCAAGTGTCGCAGATTCTGCACCATTTCCTGGAGTGTTATCACTCTTTTGCGTCCGTCAAAGCCGGAAGGCCTTATATAGCGGAGGTAGGCATTCTCGTGCTTTCCTAGACCCGTACGATGGCAGAGAGCGTCCTCAATGGTGATGTGATTCGTTGCCCATTCATCTTCCAGTGCAAAGTCGGCTCTGATAAGAGAGCAAATTGGGGTTTTCCAGGAGAGTGGTTGGCCCCTGTCATCTTTGTACTCGTTTCTAGCGATCAGAATTGCCAGAAGAGCTGCGACATGGGCCTTGGTGGTGCTACCGGCGTATGATAGAGTGTCCGCGCAGAAAGGGGTCGAGGGGAACTCTGCCGTTCCATAACCCTGAGCTTTATGTGAGCGTTTTCTCGGGGTAATTAGAGATTATTCAAGATTATTGCTCATTCGTGTCTTGGCTCGCATCATCTTTCTCGTGCATGAGACTCACAGAAAGTGATAAACTTACCTCGGTAAGGAAATTATCCCCATCGACCACAGCAAGGGAGATGCCAGGAACATGCCAGCTCTGAAGCAAGTTGCTCACAACTTCTGAAAGGTCCCTCGAGGCATAGTGGCTTTTCCTGCTAGATTCAGTGCTCCAAGAGTGGCTTGTCATCTCGGCGGGGCGGGACAGAGGATCGAAACTTGGTTGTGGAATAGCTGTAGATTATAGGATGAGTCAAGAAGGCTGAAGGCTCTAAATACCCGGATCAGTAGACTGAAAGCAGCATGAGCAACAAGGTGTATCAATGCAAAGGTTTGTAACGAAGTGAGGCTTGAAAGAGCGAGAACTTGCTTCGTTCCTCGATTGATTGGGAGTGGGGGCCAAGCGGCTAGAAGCACCTGGCAGGAATCCGACACCATCTTTATCTGTCTGCCTAACCATACGTTAAATCTAGTTCAAAACTTGCCTTCTGAACGTGAATGTCTCTAGATGCAGGCTTATGAAGTCACCTGACAGTGTCCCCCACTGGCTGGTATTTTGTGCCCTGACCACGACCCCATACTACTACCCTTCCACCAATGGAAACTCCTGGCCCTGCGGCAGGACGAGACAAGCTTTGGTTAGTTATACGAAGATGTGATTTATAATGAGCTGAACAGCCCCTTTCGAGTGATTTTTTGATTTATGTCTCCTGGATTTGTGAATGCTTCCAGTAATGGCCACATCTTGCTCGGCCCTTTGCGGCCGCCTTTTCTTTTGTCTCTCGCGGCCCATACTTCAGCCCACCGGACCCTCTCGTTCTTCCCCAAATACGAATACCTGCTTAATCAGACCGTCCACAACAACTGCTCTCGTGAATATGCTGCCTATCTTGAATGAGACCACAATTCCTCAACAATTCCCCCCGAGTTGACTATTTGGGTCTCAAATAGCTCTTACGACTCTTACTCCCTACTCATCAACTGCATACTGAAAGCAATGCCAGAGACCTACAAGTCCGATATGGCTAGTGCCCAAGTCCTCCTAGGCCTTACGCCTACGATTCTTGCAAGCATCGGGCCAAGCGTCTACGAAACCGCCCCGCTTATTGCTTCAGGTCGCCGTCCGCTTCTCGTGCTCTTCCTCGTCATCGGGTCGCCTGCTGTTGTTGTCGACCCCTCGATTAGCTTTCGCCAACAGCCAGAGGATCTTCGAGACCCCTATAAATGGACATCGCCTGCTTCTTTACAGCGTGCGGGGATTTTGTTGGTAATACTGGAATTCCTAGTAGCACTTGGGTCTATTGCGAATATAGGCCACATGAGCTACGAGATCGCAACAAAATCGACCTTCAGCTTTAATACACACGAAACGTACTTTCAAACAATTTGGATTGCCACAAACGTCGCGAGTCATCTCTTATCAGCTATTGTCTACCGCACCACTGTCTACACCCAAAGAAAAGACCATAGCCCACGAACTAAACCGTGGTAGCTTATTCTCCGTTGGCTCGGGCTCCATTTCTCGTTAGGTGATGAGAAGGAACCAGTCCATGTGCAATTGCGACCGTCCTCATTGTCGAGCCTTTTATTTTCCTGGTTCACCACCATCCTATCCGCATGCAATCTCATTTTCGGAAGTCTCATATTCTCTAGTCTACTTTTTATATCTGTCAGAGATGCTGTCATCATTGCATTCCGGTATTTTGCTTCGGCCGTTTGCTGCAGAATCTTGGTCAAGTATGAGCTCTCCGTCTTTCGCGAAGGTATTGACATAAAGTCAGAGACGAGTGATGCTTTTAAACAAACTGCCAGCCCACTAGGAGATCTTCGGAAAGCTCCCAAGTGAGTTTTATAGGACTTCTTGCAAGGGGTCCTTCGTGAACTGTCTATCATGCTCGTTTGCCATGCTAAGCACTCTTGTTGATTAGCGAGTTCCTTCGAGTCAATTGTTCTAATAAATGTCATTAGCCTTAGCCTCGTCATTTCCAATGACTCCTTGTGTAGCCCAAGTTAGGAGCTTCGCGAGCTTCACGGGTTTCATTCTGTATGATTTAACTGATATGATAGCTCCCCTATGTCGCTGATTCCATGTTGATGCCTTAGTCACGTGGGGGTCGACAAGGTTCTGCCGATGCGACAGCCCTTCAGCTATGAGCAGCTATACTTTCGGTGGCAGAGTTGAAGGGGAACCGTGCCGTTATACCGGGCAATACAAAGTGGTGACTCAGTCCTCGGATTCCTTTTGTGATCTCTCTCATTGCTGCCCCTGTCACTCTTTACTATTCACGGAAGAGACTATGAAACGGTAGATCTCTACGCAAAGGGGGCTGGAAAGCAAGTCTGGAGGAAGCAATCTTGTCTATCGCGGAAATCCCTGAATCTCTAGACAAGAAGGAAAACAGGAAAGTATATAGGTTATCCAAAAAGTAATCTAGAAGGAAACTTCCGGAGCCTATCTGCAAAAAGGCACCCTTCAGAGAATCATCTGCGACAATCCAGAAAGAAGGACTTGCTGAGAAGCCAAGGCAGGAAAGGAGAAAGGAATCTCCATCAGTGAAAATGATAAACAAACTACTCCTGATATTTTCGCTTTCCCATTCATAATTTTTGGATCTCCTCATCGCATGCCTGTGTGACTACATTTGTTAATGTCACCCTTCAAATCAGTCGTGATTTGCTCGAGAATACACTTTCGTGCTTTGGGTTGACTTTCTCACTCGGCAAAGTTTCCCTTCGATTCCTGGAAAAGCGGGCCGAAAGTATCTGAGACGGGCCGAGTGGGAACCAGACCTTAGGCATGGCAGGTTTGTACGGAGAACCCGTAGGGCGAATGTCCCTTTATTGCGGGTCTGAAATTTTGGCATGCATGCTGCCACCAAAAACTTGAGATTTACAGCTGAGATTTCGGAGATAAGAGTGTGCTTTAGGGCCACACGGTGTTTTGGACCATCCAGATTGGTCCATTTGAGGTGGACAAGCTTATCTGGAGTGGGTCGTGGTCGTGGGTCCAGTTCGCCATTGCCTTTGACTCCACTACGGGCACTTAGCGATATCTGGCAATAAAATTGAATATTTTTCAGTCGAAACAACATGCAATGAACTTGTCGCAATTGTAAATTGGTCTATTCGTTGTTGAACCACTGTATCCTCGTCATCTGAGCCAAAAACGACTGCAATCTATAATCTAAGTGGGAATCGAAAGCGCTTGCCGAATGAAATGGTCGATGGAATTACAGCGCTACAGGATCGCCAATCCTGTCCTGTGGGCCGATTCCTCGTCGCCGTACAGCGATAAGCCCAATAATGAGGCCAAGACCTGCAAGTCCAGTGGAGCACCAAAGCCCGGTAGAATACTGTTGAGCAATGGCGTGCCCTTTCTCGATATCAACAGCTTCAGTAGTTGCAGCAGAGAAAGCCAAGGCAACGCCGGAGCCAATCTGGAATGCAGTGTTCAACTACAGGTGTGTTAGATTCTTGGATCCAGGAGTTTAGAAGCAAGATTCACTTACCATTCCACCGCATAAACTCTTGACCTCGACTGGAACTGTCGTAAGGATCGTCGTGCTTGTCGTAACAAAAATAAGAGACACGGCAGAAATGCTGATGAGCGATGTACCAAGAACATTCACCCAGCTATATAAGTCAGTACCATGAAACAATGAAGTTCAGTAGGAGATACATACAAGTCGGTTGTTAAAGTCACTGTCAAAGCACTCGGGACTGGGGCCACGACAGTGAGAATGAGACCTGCAAGAAGCAAGTATTTTCCATTCATGTACTCGAGAAGCTTTCCTGTTCCCAAGGATACAATGAATCCAATAACACCCATTGGTAGAAATCGAAGCGCAGTATCTCCAGCGGATAACTTGTCCACTTGCTGGGCGGTCAACACAATATAGTAAATGACGTTCTGGTAACTTCCGTAGCAGGCTATCATTTTGTCAGAGATATCCTTAACGAGATTTTATCATCTAGGATTTGACTTACTGAAGCCAGCAACCCAAAGGCCAGCGAAGTTGCGAATTTTCCACAGTGAAAGAGGCATCAAGGGGTTGCTGATGTAGCTTTCCAGCAGGACAAAGGCCACGAGCATAGCAATAGCAAGAATCAAAAGAGCGATGATGAAGGGTTGGTCCCAGCCATAGACTCCTCCGCTGGAGAGCACAAACTGGAGTAGAATAAGTCCAGCTGTAGAAAGGATTGCGCCAAAGTAATCCATTCTGGTTCTTGATTTGGTATCCACGCGGTCACGGGGCAAAACAACAAGGCCTAGCGTTCCCAGGGAGCCGGTGATGATGACAATGAAGTAAAAGATGTACCTCCAGCCCAACGATGATGTTAAAAAGCCACCAAAGATGAGGCCAGCACAAAAGCCCAATGTGCCAGAGGCGGCATAGATTGAGAGTGCTCGAGTTCGGTCAACACCGGTGAAATACGAACTGATGATACCAATTGCAGATGGAACAGTCAAAGCTGCACCAATTCCCTGGATTCCACGGAAGACTGTGAGTTGGATAAAGGACTGGCCAAATCCAATGGCCAGCGTCCATACAGACAGCCAGAAAAGACCCAGGCAGAGAATCTTTTTCCTTCCATAACTGTACTATGTCAGAATGCTTGAAGGTCAATTCAGATGTGTTTCAAATATCTTACCGATCTGATAAAGCTCCAGCTAGGAGGAGAAACCCACCAAACGTCAAAGTGTACGCGGAAATCATCCATTGCAGATTGGAGCTAGTCACATCAAATTCTTCTTGAATCGACGCCAATCCCATGTTAGAACTCGTCATGAAAACATTGTCGAGGAATTGGGAGCCTGAAGTCACCAGCAGGATCAAGGAGCCTCTCCAAGATGCCAGCCGACCAAATTCTTCTGGGAGCTTTTCCAATACTAAGGTTTGTTCACTCCCAGCAGGGGAGGCCACAGCAGTATTGGGAGTCTCTGGGAATGGTGTACTTGGACACGACGTTCCAGGAACAGAAAATACTGAGAGCTCGATACATTTGGGAAGAATGTCCTTTGAAGAGTAGTCCTCGTCAGCCCGGAAGGCGTGCTTGCCACGGAGTTGACGAAGCCAGTTGAAAATGGCCATTTGGAGTCTTGAATTTTTGTTTGCTGAAAAGAAATAGCAATAACATACTGATATATTATACCATTCCTAGGAGAAATCTTAGAAAAAATCTGAACTATGGAACAGGTCCAGTTAAAAAAGTGGGTACAACTCGTTCGGGTAGCACCCACAGGTGGACCGGCTATCGCACACAATGATCGAGACCCTTTAAGACACAACTGGTCACATATTTGAAGTTGCCTTTACACGTGTCTCGTCTGTGAAATTTGCTGCAGGAAAGGTGAGTAGATTGAATATTGTAAGCAGCATGCGCCATGGGAAGGCAAGAACGCCGAAGTACTGTGGTGGAGGGGCGAGGACTATGAGAGAGATAAGCACCATCCACTCAGACACGTGCGAAAGCTCTCTGGTCTTCTCAAATTTTGACTTGGAAACTCGAGACCCACAGTAGGGTCTCACGGATATTCAGTCGCAAATCCCAGACTATCTCGGCAGAGAAGTTAATTACAGGGCTAGAAACCCTAGATGAGGGAGAAAAGTAGAACTTCAGGCTCTGTATTGGCCTCGCGCTTGAAGAGAATCAGCCCTACGAGGTCTTACATATAGAGTCATGGATCAAAATAGAGAGCTCTGAGCTGAGTCTCTTCACATGGAGATTTCAAAGAGTGTTAGTAAGGCTCTAATTTATGAGTTGGATTTGAAGCGTGGAAAATCTAGGCAAGTACGCGGTGGCTAAGGAAGACCAAAAACTATTCCTCAAACCCAATTGTCTCTACTTCTATACCTTAAGTCTACTTCAGCAGCATATTCTCGTTATAACGCATAGTGTACGCCTGATGCACGCTCGGGCCGTATTTGTCTTCATCGTCTCGAGACAGCTGAAAGTGCAAGTTGTATCATGTGAATGTAAATTTAAACTAACTCTCGGGTATTTTCCTCCTTTACATTCGAAGTCAATGCCGTGGAGAAACCACAAATCAACCATTAGTACACCCACGAGGATACGAAGACATGGCTCTTATTACTAGGTGGATCTTTTTCTTCTACGGCCAGGTTTTTAGAGTTGGGGAAGACGAAGATCGGGGTTTTAGCAAAATGGTCACGTCACTGGTCTACTTAAATACCCCGGCACCTAATAATCTGTCATTATTTGACATTAAGACGTATAGCTAACGTACAGCAGTAACTTCCCCTTTGACTCACTTGTTGCACCCACACATGGATCACTGTCATGTTTGTGGTATACATTACCATGGTTGTTCTTGGAAGGCCGTCTCTTTTTTTTTTTTTTCTAACGTTGTGTATGTACCTGACTAGTCTAGAGCATAGATAGGGAATAAGTACCTGACTCACCTACTTAAAGAATGTCATCCGGGCTAGTGTCTAGCACCGAAATGGCTAGACCACATGCCGACGTAGATATATATCTATAGAGGAAGAGATGAATTCAACACATACGGTTGATCTAAATACATCTTGAAGAACATGTAGGGCTAAAATAAGGCACTGTATTGCTTATAGAGGTATCAGAATCGTTGAAATTAGTTCGAGTCAACAGGTTCAGAGTGGGCAGGATAGGAGAACAGCTTTGACATTATTGGTGGTGGGTGCGAAAGATGTCTCAGGGCCATGTAACCAAAAGTTTGTTCCCTTTACATCAACCAGCACCAAGTGGTCGAGCGGTAACTCGACCATCCACTTCTTCCTTGGTCTAGTGGTCATGATTTCCGCTTGTCATTAACTCTGATAAGCGCGGGAGACCGGGGTTCGATTCCCCGAGGGAGAGTCATCTTTTTTTATTCTTTTGAGCTATTTTTTTTGACTTGCCAGGTGCCTTTGTTTCCAGTATCGACTCTGATAATTATATTGTAAATTATCGTAAATTGAGTTCAAAGATCAGGATCGAGAAGCCAGCAGGATATCTATGGTGGATGGGAAATCCAATGCACGCAAACAGAGGGCAAACCAGCTGTGCAGGTCAGCAAACACTGACCAAAAACAAAATGACGTGCCGAATCTATGAGGGAGTTTATAATTACGGCTGTGATCATGGCGATATTTCCAAATCAGGCAGGCACTCCCAACCCTCCATCCACTTCGGGGATCCTCGAATGGAAACCATGAGACCTCCTTAACCTCTTGCACAACAACAACGCACCTCTCTGGATATCCACTTAGTGATCATCTACAAGTTTCGCATCTTCTCCAGCGCCACAGTCTTCTGGTGCCGGTTGTCTCTGAAGCTGCCATGGCTTTCTGGGTTGGCTGGCCGTTGTGGGAGAAGTTGAGCTTTGTATGTCGAGGCCTGCTGGGCTTTTTGTGTACATTCCGACTGACCTTTTGAACCAGGTGCTGGTACTTTTGATCGTGCGATGAGACCCTGGCATCACGAAGACATGGAGGGCAGGAAGCTGACGATGATGCAGGTTGTTGTATTTGTATATGCCTGTTGTGTCCTCGCATTCAACACGTGGATGACCCGCCGATATGCCGCCACTGAATCGCGCCAGAAGGACCAAGAGGCAGAGCTATACCCCATGCTATCGCGAGATGATGTGCCATTCGGTGCCAAAGCCCTCGAACGAGGTGTGCAGGTCGAAGGCATTTGGGTCTCTAATCACAACACTCCACATTCGAGCACACTCCATCCCGAAACACCAACTACGGACCAACCATCGAGCCCTGACATGAGGAAGTATCCAGTGCGCCCGCCAACTCCAGCCTCGTCCGTGGCCATCGAGAATGCAAAATATTCTCGAAAGTCTCTACCTGCAGACACTCCGACTGCATCAAGTTCTGAGGTAGATCTTGTCGTGGCCACCGAGAACCCAGACCAAACTCGCGTCCCCGCTGAAGTCTACACTCCTGCGATGTTTTCCCAGACCCCGAGCTCGCCAAGTACCTTCGGCCGCCACAGTGAGAGCTTCGTCGGCGACAAGAGGTACAAACAGAAGCGTGCCAGCTTCCACTCCCGAATCTGGCATGCAGGCCAAGTCTTTGACAACCAGCCTGCGGCGGGTCCTCGTGATCGTGATGAGCTGGGTTGGGCCCAAACTGGCAATGCTGTTGCCCATTCGCCAGATGAGCAGCGCCGGGCTTCACGGATGTCCAGTAAGTGCCTCTTGTAGCCACACTAGGAAAATCGGGCCAGTGAACCAATTCTGTAACCACAGGAGTTCTTCGCAAGCGATCCTCAGAGGAGTTTCGGCGAAAGATGAGCGCCATCTTCAACGAGCGAATCCATATGAACGTGCCGTCCGAGAGACTCGAAATTGATCCAATGTTCCGACCCACTCAAAGCCCACACAAACGGAAGTCGATACTCACGCAATCTCGTTCATGGAACCAGTGAGTGGCAGGGGATCAGGCTGACCTGCGGAGGCTTGCCGTTGTCATCCCTAAAGCAATGGTTCCTTTGGAATATACTGATAGCGGAGAATGGCTTGGAGTGGAGATGTTTTCGAGTGAAGGACAATGAGATTGACTTTGAATCATGGTGGTCTGGAAGGGAATACTTTCGTTATACGTCCTTCGAAGACTCGGTGAAAGCACACAGTAGACGCTTGATGCAAGCAGATATGTATTTATTACACCACTGACAATGAGAACAAGTGCTGCAAGTATTTTGAGTTCCCTGCCTCGGACTTCCAGTATCAGCGACAGCTTCACAGATGTTTTTTATTGTGGAGCTGTGTCGAGCAACAAGCACCACGGATGCCGTTTAGCCTGTTGCTGCCTTGAGGCTTCCATTTGACGGGGACCACGTGACTGCGCGACAGCCTCGACGCGTCCGAAACGAAGGCAAATGTTGACTCGTTGGGACAACTCGCTTTTTGCCACAAACAGATCCAACCTGCACTGGGAAAATTCCAGTGACTCATTGACTCAATTTTCTCAGCTCTTCCTCGTTGTCATTTTCAGGAAGTTTGGGGTGCTGTGAGGACCGCCTCATCTAGTTTGAACGCGTGCTGTCGTGTTGACAAACCTCGCAAATCACGACCGTGCTTCGAAGAGCTCCTACACTATCGAAAAGGACTCACTCACTTGGAACTATGACTGCCGACATGGAAACACAAGGGGAGCACGATGATGGTGGTTTGACTGGTCCTGGGGCTCCGACCCCGCTCTCTGCTCTGGAGGTGAGTAAGAATGAAAGAACTTGATACACAGGCTTCCTTCGGTGCGGAAGGCTGAACTCGCATCGCAGGGGATGGCTGGCTTGACTGCCCGAGATATTAAATTGTTTGTGGACGCTGGATATCACACCGTCGAGAGAGTTGCTTTCACGTACGTATCGAGTCTCTTCTCCCGCTCCTGCAGCCCTTGCACTTGCATTGATCGGTCACGGACTCTGTGGATCAAAATGAGCTGACATATTGGACATACTGTAGACCAAAGCGCCAGCTGGAGCAGATCAAGGGCATCTCAGAGCAAAAGGCTAGTAAGATCCTGGCTGAGGGTGAGTCATTACCAGCAATGCCATTTTTTCCACCATCTCAGGTTGATGATGATACTGAACCTGCTTCCTCGACTAGCTAATAAGCTCGTTCCCCTGGGATTCACAACCGCCACCGAGATGCATGCTCGACGAAGTGAGCTTATTTCCGTTACAACTGGATCCAAACAACTAGACACCTTGCTTGGTGGTGGTATCGAGACCGGGTCAATCACAGAGATTTTTGGAGAATTCAGAACGGGAAAGAGTCAGATCTGCCACACTCTTGCAGTAACCTGCCAATTGCCCTTTGATATGGGTGGAGGTGAGGGCAAGTGTCTCTACATCGATACCGAGGGAACCTTCCGGCCCGTTCGACTCCTGGCGGTTGCCCAACGATACGGACTCGTTGGAGAGGAAGTCCTCGACAATGTCGCTTATGCTCGAGCTTACAATTCCGACCATCAGCTACAGCTGCTTAACCAGGCCTCTCAGATGATGTGTGAGACCCGATTCTCACTCCTCATCGTGGACTCGGCCACCTCGCTCTATCGTACAGACTTCAATGGCCGTGGTGAGCTTGCATCACGGCAGACCCATCTCGCGAAATTCTTGCGCACATTGCAGCATCTCGCGGATGAGTTTGGTATTGCGGTTGTCATCACCAATCAGGTTGTCGCCCAAGTCGACGGTGGCCCCAGCGCCATGTTCAATCCCGACCCTAAGAAGCCTATTGGAGGCAACATCATTGCTCACGCTAGTACAACACGGCTTAGCTTGAAGAAGGGCCGAGGAGAGACCCGTATTTGCAAGATCTATGACAGCCCCTGCCTGCCCGAAAGCGACTGTCTGTTTGCCATCAACGAAGATGGCATTGGCGATCCTAGTGAGAAAGATCTGGAGAAGGACTAGACTTTTTCATTTATTTTTATTACTCTTGACACGATGTTAGTGACCTTACGAGCCTGAATTGACCTACTGTTTTATTCGATATCCTTGCTGTGGGTCCTGTGGTCGCAACTTTTGGCTGAAAAACAGTATGGAATTCTCTTGTTCATATGGTAGAATAATAACTCAGCTCCTGTTGTATCCATTTGAGTTGCCTTTACGTCTAAGTGATTATTGGTGGGGTGTATTTTGTAGGTCCGAGGCGCTAGCAAACTGCCGTAGTCGCCCGAAGGAAGGTCGAGAGGTCGCGCGCCCGCGCCAAGACTTTGTTTTTTGAAGCTCCAGCTTTCCGCCTTTGCAACCTTCCCCGTCTGCCATCGGCCATGGAATTCTGAGTCGGCCCTGATTATCGTCCCTGCTTCGCAGCTGTTCACCATGGCGAAGATTTACAAAGACACAAGGGTCGACCTGCGGCCATTTTCGCCGGCCACAGTCGCCAACATCCAGGTCTCACCTCAAGAAAGCGCGCCCCGTCGGCCTCGCTTTTCGACCTCCTCTGCCCCCGACCAGCCCGAGATCCCGATCGCGAAGGATGAAGACGAGTTCACCAGACGGTATCTTACTACACAGGGCGCAGTCTACTTCCGCAAACGCAAGTCGTACCCGAGGACCTTTGTGTGGAGGGTGGTCAATGACAACAAGGTGCTGGAGATTCAATGCGCGGACTTGACGAAAAGTGGCACTGAGCGCTTCGAATACAATGTGACCCTGCGGCTACACTTCCAAGAACAGATTCTTCCATCTGGTGTGGCGTTGGCAGATGTGGAGGAACATGAGGTTCTCAGCGTCTTTGTGATTACGGCGTCAAAGCAGCTCCATACCTTGTCACTTCGACCAGAGTTCTTCCGGAGGACAGAGTCGATCGATGACAATGTGAGCGAATGGTGCAAGACGTGCATCCCTGCACCTCTTTCTTTCTCAACCCCCCACAGACTTCACGCGAGCAGCCCGCAAGAGCTGTTCATCTCCCTTGATAACGGCGCGCTCCTGCGGTTGACCCGCAGAGCTGGAGATGATGGTAAGACCCTTGAACATATCTTGACAGTACTGAGATGCAGGCTGACTTTGTGATTGGAACAGGTTCTCACTGGACTCCTCTTACCTTCGACGAACGAACATGGGGCGCGTCGATTCGAGGCCTTGTAAAGTGGCACGCAACCTCCTCGATCAAGCACAATGGACGCAATCTCGACCTGAACGTCGCCAATGCCATCGCTACAACCTCCGACGAGACCTACGTCTTCGCCGTTTGCCTGAATCACACCTTGAAAATCTGGAATCTTGCTACAAATAAGCTTGCGGCGACAAAGGATCTTCTGGGCCGCCAAATGGACCCCGATGCGGTGCCATATACGTTGAATCCTGCCGAGACATCGTTCATCCGGGTATTCAACGCAGAGAGGGCAATGGATGGTGGTCACAGGTTCTATGTCGTCACCTACTCTCCTTTCGAGGACGGGCGCTTCAAGTTCTGGGCTGTGAAGGGTGGATTAACGTCTGATCTTGTTATCGAGGACCTCTTTGCCGATGCAGTCTTCCGACCTGTTGACCCAGACGTGACGGGTAACATGTTCTGGAGTATCGCAGACTTCCAGGTCAAACCCGTGGAGGAAGGAAAGGGAATGGAGCTGTGGGTGTTGTGGAGAAACCATGGCCTCTATCAGCTCTACACCCTGCACTTTGATCTGCAAACCCTGGTGGCAGATTGGTCTACGAACTGGGTTTCAACAACGTTTGAAACACATCGACAAGAGCCACTACCTGCGCCAACCCTCGAAGATGTCGAAGACCCAACTGAGAAGTGGCTTGCCTACCTCTTGCAACCAACTCGATACCTGCCTGAAGTTCTTGAGACTGCATTGGCGGTTTATCAGGAGGCGCTTAGACCGCTGTCCTCAACCTCATCTGGAGTTTTGAAGAAGGACGTACCGCTGGCGGAGAGACTTTGCTCTACTATTGCAGCGACCGTCTCCCTTCGCAAATATACCGAAGATGAGATGGACTATGCTCGGTTCCGGATGGACACAGATGTCAAGTGGCGTCAATTCTGGCAAGTTGCAGAAGACCTCAACAAGCGCAGATTCGAACCCGTTTCCCTTGCATACGACTCCTTCTACGAGATGCCCTGGCTTCTTCTCTCCGACTCCTGCGCTGTGATCCGAGAATGCAATACTGCTGAATTGCTCCTACACAATTCGAGTTCCGACTTACGTGAGGAGGGTCCCAAAATCGTGGACCGATGGAGACATCGCAATCTCGATGCCGAGCTTGGCAGTCTGTACGAACAAGCTTCTTCATTGATGAAGGTGGCTGCTGAGTTCAGAAAAAAGTTCTCTGCAGAGCTCGATGCGGCATGCCGGGCTGCTCTCGAAGTCGAAATTTTCAACGAACCTTCTTCATCAGTTGTCGACCGCATGGATAGTTTCCGGGAGCGCTGCGAGTTTGGGGACCGAATCTCTAATAAGACATTTGAGGGTCTTGTTGCGGCGTTGAATGAGTACTTAGATGCTGAGAGCTTGTCTGTGGATCCGTTCTATGCCATCATCGACACTGTCCCTTCCGGCTTTAACGGCAAGGACTCGGGGCTTCTCTCAACATACTTCGGCGCACGAGTCGCCGTGAGTGGTGCACTCGAGACGGTCGTGCTCACGCGCCAGATCCTCTATGACTTGTTGATCCTGGTCACCTTTGTGGACGGCGAGATTGAACAGAGCGAACGCTCAAACTTCGACGCCGCTGATCTGTTTTCCACACTCATTGATTCTCTCCGAGAGTACGAAATGATGTACTGGCTCAGCTCGAATGTCCGGAAATGCGCGGACCGTACCGCTAGTACTGGGACAGAGGGTTCGGGCTCGGTCTTTTCTCTGAAGGAGAAGAAGTCCGATCAGAACAAGAACCTGCGGACGGCGACCATTCTAGAGGACCTCTTTGTCACAGACATCAAGCCGCGTCAAGCGATTGGTGTGCCCCAGAGTTATACCCTGACTCTTGGGATCAGGGATGTCCTAGCTTGGGTTACGCGACCCGGTGAAGTGGCGTATCCTAACGCATTGGCTTACATTCAGTGCGATCTTATTGCTAAGGACAATATTGATCTTGCATGGGATTTCCTGCGTTTCCAGGCAAGCACATCCTGGGCAACGTATGTCAAGGGTCGCCTGCATGTGGCAATGGCCGAGTTTGACATTGCAGCCATTTACTTCCGCAAGGCGGCATATCTTCTGTGTAAGTTGGAGACCCTGGACTTGAACATGGGTATTCGGCCTACTAACACACCTTGTAGCTTGTGGCAAGCCTTTGGGTAACCTGCACGAAATGTCGTCAACCCTCCTGGACCTTATTTCCGTGAATTGCTTCCACAATGGCATTCCGAAGTATTACCAGCATATCCTGTCGGTCTTTGAGCACGTGCGCTCGTTCTCCCATGTCGCAGAGTTTGCCAGCCTGGCGCTGCAGGCCCTTGATTCGGAGGCCTGGGCCGAGCACGACCCCGAATACACGAGCATGCGAACTGATCTGCTCTCGCGCCTGTTCTATGCATCCCTCAAGACCTGCCAATTTGACCAGGCCTACTCTGCCTTGGCCCGGTACCAGGATCTTGCCTTGCAGAGGTCCGCTCTCAGTTCTCTCATCACCAACATCCTCGCTGTATCTGGGCCTGGTGCTGCTGGAATTAAGCAGATCCTCCGTTTCCCAACAGCGCTTGTACCAAACATTGCTTCTCACATTGATGAAGTCCTCGTCTCTCTCGCCCGAAAGCAAAACACCTTTACCTCATGGACTGATATAGACAACAACGAGGTTGATGCTTCATCGACCGACTACAACCGGATCTTGCAGGCCTACCGCATCGCTCGTAATGACTATCGCGGTGCTGCTGAGATCGCCTACCGGAACGTTCAGCGTTTGCGCAAGGCAAGGGACGCACCCTCATCCGCTCTTGTCCGTAAAACTAGGAGAGATGCTGAGGCTTCCGGTGTACCTGAAGACGACCTTGAGAGTAAGGAGATCCGCCACGAGCTACTGTCCTTGATCAATCTGCTCGCCTCCGTCGACAAGAGCGAAGCCTACATTCTTGTCGAAACTGGCCCACTCGCATCCTTCGCTGCGGGCACGCCACCTCCACAGCAGAAGCACCGACAGACGGATGATGACGGCAACGTCTTCATGGAAGATGCGGATGCGACATCCCAAAGTCCATTTGAGGCCAGACGCAGATCATCAAGCGGGCCTTCAATCACACCCGCTGGTCGCAGAGATAGTCGCTCCTCATTCAGTGGCGGACGGGGCAGCGTATCTTTCAAAGTACCAGTCGAACAACCTCAAGAAAGGATCATTGTTACCCTTGACCACCTGCGTCGCGAGTATCAGTCCGAACTTGATCGCGTTAGCCGTATAGAGCGCGGTGACTGGGAGTTTGGTCTTTTGGGGGATGAGGACGAGGACGTCGATAATGATGACACGATGGTTCTGTCATAGCGTTGATGGCGAGCATCTATGATTTGTTGTTGGGAAACTTCTTGACATTTTTTTTTCTTTCTTCTTTTGTGTACGCGGGCGGGAAGTCGAGGAGGAGTTTTGCATTATGCCCGATTAGTCTTTCATCTTTTCTCCATAAGGTAGTCTTCTCATCTCGTATGGATGTGGTGCAAAATAGGATTTGGACTCCATGTTTTCCCATCAGGTTCCTTTAGACAGTCTTCCGGTCGTCATGCGAACCTAAATTATGGAAGTGACTGTCACTAGATAGATCTTATCTGGCTATGAAGCGGAGGTAGGGTGCCGGCCGTCAGGACCGTTGCGGACAAGTTCCATGGATCCGGATTGAAATCCAACCAAATGTCTGAGTTGACGAAGATGTAACGGACGGTCGCCATCTAGCTTAGAATTCCATACTATCTACTGAATGGAATCCGTCCATGTTGTGAAAAAATCATTGACCGTGACTTTGTTTCAAATACAAATGAATTCTAGACATTCGAGGTCTTCGTGATGGATGACTTTCCTGCGGCAGGAGATATCGGTAAAATATATATTCAGTTCCTGCTCTAATCCAGCCGCATCCATGAGTAAGATACTGGGCCCCAATTAATGGACTAACAAATCTACCTGATGAGACCATGATATTTTTGTTAGTTGAAAAAATTCTGACAGCTCAAAGATAGAAAGGGACGAAGAGTTGCTCGGGAGATAGAACTATTTCGTGCTGTGGGCACTTACGGGATGCTAGCAAGCCTCGCATTGAACTGCACTCATTTACCCAATTTATAAGGTCGCAAGTTCTTTGAGCTAGGAAAACTTCATAGACAGAACCAATGTCAACTCGAAGAATATTATTTATATTTAGTCTATCCCCTGATTATCATTAAGAGTAAAAGGGCGCGAGCATAAGTATCAGACAAACCACCCAATTCCATCTGCCACAGGCACAGCTCAGACGAAAAATTAAATCAATAGGAGTCAACGAGAGTAAGAAGTAACCAGTCTTGCAACTGGAATGAACGAGAGTCATGAAAAGGACCAAAGACATAAACAAAGTCAAAAAGCATATAATGGACAACGCCTGGCAAAGCAAAATTGTATGTTGACGTCGATATGTACCGCAAAGGATTGGAAATCGATAAGAGCGCCAAACCAAACTCGGCCTTCAAAAAGGCTAACCTGCTTAATCTGTGTAGTGCAATGAATAGAACTTGGTGAACGAGAATGAAGCTAGCGGGAACGGAGCCCAAGGAACAAGTAGGTTCATCTATTGCGCGTCCTCAGTCGCCATACTGCTCGCATATAGTTGACCGAAGTGCGACTTGGGATCTGTGAGCAACGCGTATGGCTCTCCGGTTTCAACAATCCGGCCGGCATCCAGCACCACAACGCGGTCAAAGTCGAGAATGGTATCGAGCTTGTGCGCGACCGCGATGATGGTGTGGTTGCAGAACTTCTCGCGAATGACGCGTTGCATTATATCATCTGTCTTCGCGTCGATGCTGTTGGGAAATGACCTGTTAGCAAATGTCTCGAGTCCTCCTGGGCTATTGCGTATTACTGCAAGGGGTGGTTGAGGTACGTGTGCTAGCGTAGTAGGAAGCGCCATCAAGTCGATCCAAGCGTAATGTGGCGTTCGGATCAAGCCGCATATGCAGGGGGGATTGACAGGCGCGAAAAAAAGAAATAATCGGAAAACAAACAAAAAAGACAAAAAAAAAAAAAAAAAAAACAAAGTGGAGAGAACTCGATGCGAGGGTAAACGTCAGGGGGAGGGTCAATCAATGGATTTGTACTCACTTGCTGGTGGCCTCATCGAGGATGAGGATGTTCCCCTGGCGAAGGAGTGCGCGTGCGAGACAAAAGAGCTGTTTTTGTCCGTGCGACAAGTGGATCTCGTCCATGTCCGAGTCAAGGTCTCCCTTCTCAAGGATCACAGGGAGGAGCTGCACGCTTTTGAGCGCATTGCGAATATCTTGGTCGGTGCTCGATCCGGTTGGGTCGGCATTGAGGCGAATGCTGCCCTTGAACAGCAGTGAGTCTTGGGAGACGCCATTGATGCGTGAGCGAATTTCGCGGCGAGGGAGGCTGGTGATGTCAACACCGTCCACGGTGATAATACCGCTAGTCAATTCGATCATTCGGAAGATGCTCATAATCATAGAAGTCTTGCCACTGTTGTCACGATTAAGTCAGATGAGATGCACAAAAGCGGGTGTAGGGGTTCCTCACCTTCCAGTTCGTCCACAAATGCCGACTTTCTCTCCTGCCGAGACAGATAGAGACACATCATTGAGAACCGGCTCTGAGGGTCTAGATAGCCTGTGAGCTCTTAATCAGTTCGATACAATAGAGTGATAGTCATACCTGTAGGCCGCGGATACTGAATGGAAAGACACTGCACCATTCGACGGCCAGTTGGGAGGAATATCACCATCCTCCCCAGGCAAGTCCTCTGAATCGACATTGTGAGTAAATTCTTTCACACGCATGATGGAGCCAATGTGAGTCTCCAAGTTGGTCCAGAAGGTCACCATGAGCTTGATGCTCTGACTGAACTGAATGACATTGAGGAGGGCGACCCCAACAGATCCAGCGCCCAGACTGGTTCCACGTAGGACGACAACCAGAACAATTAGCAGCACCGCAATACCTGCGACAACAAGATCCAAAGATAGTGTCAACCAGCGCTGAATCGCAAACATAAAGTAGAATGGCCGTTGCGAGTAGTCAAGGAGCTCGATGTTTTTCATCTCCATGCCATGCTGCCAGCCAAAGGCTCGTAGTGTAACGAGGCCCTGAAGACAATCAGTGAAATGAGAGTACAATGGGGCTTTAGCCTCGAGATCCAAGTAACGTAATTGCCGAGAAGTGCGCAAGTACATCTTCTGGATGAGGAAAAGGAGCCCAAGGACGAACGGGAATGAGATTGCGGCATACTTCGAGCCAACGCCGATGAGGGCCATCTGGGCAAGGCAGAGGAAGAAAGTGGCGACAGTGTTGATGGCAGCAATGGGAAGTTCCATATCAATGAGTTGTAGGTCTTGACTGAAGCGATTGAGGATATTACCACTGTCTGTCGTTGAAAAAAACAGCATCGGAGCGCTAAGAACAGTCTGCAACAACGTGCGGTGAAAGCTCTCACCAGACTTTGGGACCATGGTGATAATCATCTGCCAGCAGCCTACAATCAAGGCGAACATGGCAATACAGCCCAGCATAACGTAGATACCCATGTAATACCCAACTTGTTGCTTTGGCTCAGCAGTGTCCGAGTTGGCCCACCACTTCAACCAGATGCTGGGGAAGGAGATGCAGAAGACGAAGATGGCCATGGCAACCATAAAGACAAGGGCAGACAGCCACCCGATTGCGTTGATATAATAGGTATAGATCGAGAGATCACCGCCCGCGTCACGGTTCTCAGGCTCCGGGATGATGGCCTCTTTCTCCTTCTCGACAGAATCGACAGTGCTGTAACTCGGAGACGCAGAAAACCTCTTCGGCTTGTAGTCCCAATCCGGTGCGCCTAAGTCAAAGCTGGAGACGTATCCGCCGGTCTTATTGAGTGCACTGAAGCTACCTTGCTCAGCGATGCGACCGGTCTTATCCAGTACAACAATGTGGTCAGAATAGGGCAGACGCTTGACAGACGATGAAGCGACGATAACTGAAGTACCAATCTCCCTCAATAGGCCCATATTCCCGAAAAGATAGTGGAAAATGTGACTTTCTGTGGTGGCATCAAGACCACTAAGGGCATCATCCAGAATAATAATCTTTCTTCGGGCATAGACCGCGCGGGCAAGCGCAATACGTTGGCTTTGACCGCCACTGAGAGCAACACCTTTGCTTCCAATGACACTTCGGTCGCCACGAGGGAACTGTGAAAGATCTTCCTCGAGCGCACATGCTTGAATGACGGATGAATACCACTTGGGGTCGTATTCTGACATAGAAACGATACTGTCCTTGATGGTCCCGTTCATATGCCACGGCGTCTGGTCACAGAATGCTACACTTGGTGAAGTCAATTCAACCTTTCCTTCTTCACATCGGATCTCTCCCAGGAGGGCCTTCAGAAGAGTTGATTTGCCGCAGCCAGAAGGTCCAACCAGCATAGTAAAGCTACCACGAGGAATAGTCAATGTGATGTCCTTCAGGACAGGCTCCTTCCCAGCATCCCATCCAAAGGTGCCATTCTGGATTATAGCGGCATTGGCTGAGAAGGAAGAAGTGGAGCCGCGCTTCAAAGACTCAACAGAGCCGGAGTTGCTTGAATATATGTCCAAATCACCAGATTTAGAAAGGAGTTTGGCCTCGCCAAGATCTTCGAGAGAGGCAATTTGAGGAGCATTTCGTCGCTGGTCAGAGTGGTCATCCTTGTCGAGAAACTCCTGGATACGAGCGAATGACCCAACCGAGCCAGCGAAAGACATCAAAGCCATGACGAGCGTAAGGAGAGGATCAGCGAGAAGTGAAAAGAGTGACAATGAGGTAAAAACCCGGGAAACATTCAGTGTTGAGTCGGAGACGGCGACGTACACACCGAAAGTGAAGATTGGGGCGAAGATGCGAGTCAGCCAAGCAAAACCCATGTTATAGACCAAAAGAGTTCTGAACTTCTTTGAGATATTCAACTCGTCGATGCGAAGGCCATGCACAAATTTCATGAACGAATCCTGCAGGCCAAGCATTTTAACACCTTTGATAGAGCCCAGCATACCAGAAGTAGACGAGATGCGACGCTCAATGGCTTCGAGCCATTTGGCTTGCCTGGATACCACAAACGACATTCCAATGAGAGATCCAACTAGCGCGACCAGAGCGACACAGACGGGAACAACGCATGAGATTCCAAGCTGTCGCTCCAGCAAATAGATGGCCAGCCCGATCTCGGCGGAGTTGGCCCAGATCTCATGCATGGTTTGCCAGCCCTGAGTAATACGTTCGACATCAGCGCTCATCAGGGTGATGGAATTGGCGGGGTCAGCTTCGTTGAGGGTGAGGCTGCTAGCCTTTTTGTATAGCATAGTGACAAGAATACCGCGAACCATGGTAATACCACGGTACGTGTTGTGCTGGTATTGTCCCATTGAGACCTTCGATACTGTTAGAAATGATTGCTGCGTTGATTGTTCGAAAATGACACCACTCACAGCTAAGCCAGTGTAGACCAAGATATAAGCGCCGATCAGCCCATATCCAACATTGTTGGTCGCATTGTTCACTGGCTCATCAAAGAATGACAATGATCGAGTCAGAAGCAATGGCTGGCAAAAGTTGAAAGCAACGACACATGCGCGAGCTGGAACAGCTGCTAGAAGTGGCGATTTGGCAGCCTTGAATGACTCAAATTGTAAAGTGTTTGGGGATTTGGATTTTACTAGAAACCGTGAGCCCACTTTATTAACCAGAAGTGGATTGAGGGCTGTTATGTACCTTTACTCCATCTCTCTTCAAACAAAGCCAGAAGTCTTTCGGAGCTCAACTCCTTGTCCAGCACGAAAAGGTCCTCCACAGAAAGGACATTGCTGAAACCTGTCCTAAACAGTGGGTTCAACCACCAAAAGAGAGCTCGGTTGTAGAAGCCAGCGGTAGCCTCTGGTGGGTACCCTGTAAACTCAGTCTTCAGAATATGACGCTTTTCGATAGCTTCCAGAACCACAAGAAGCAGTTTTCCTCCCACTGCGACGGTAGTAACAACTGCAATGACTTCATTAAGCTCATCAACAGCCCTGAGCCATAGAGTTCTGGCCCGCGCGATATCGAAAAGTAGACTGCAGAACAGGTATGCGTTTAAAATGAACGAGGGTCGGACAGACCGCGTGTGCTCTGCATAAGAGAGTGTGCAGAGCATCAACGCCCCAACGGTGAGCACAGCATTAGTCGCAATGGAAGCTTTGGTTTTATCAGCGGTGGGAAAAGCCCATAAGGCAGTTTGCGCGATTCCGAGTCCAATAAAGAAAAACCACGAGGCCTGCCAGTACAATTAAGTTAGAGATACAGCCGATCTCCTAATTCAGAACCACATGGCTGACAGCCATTATATCCTGAACCAGATCTCAAATAGGCTGACTTACAAGTTTGAGTGGAAGTAACCATGATCCCACAACTTTGCGTCGTTTCTGCGAAAGTTGCCATACCCGTAACGGAACCAGAATTGAAATCAAGGCGATGGGAAGAAGACCGAGGATTGTCTCCTCGAACAAGAGCGAAAAGTCAAATCCTCCGCGACACGAACCCGCATCCCAGCGCATTGTGTTGTCCAAATCGCGGCACGTAGGCCCTGAAGAGCTAGAGGTGGCCATGACTTTGCCCTCCGGGTACCATCAACGCGCTCAAGAAGATGGGAGTTGGAGAGAAAGTAGTCGGAAAGAGGGCCAAGACTGTCGAGTTGTTAGATTAGCAAGATGAACTTGGAAATGAGCATTGCATTAGGGGGGCGAGTTTGGCGGGTCTTGGGGTCTAGATTAGATTCATCCAAAATAGTGCTTCCGTGGGTACGGAGTACATACATAGGGACGGGCCAAGGTGCCAGGTCTTTACTAGTACGCATCCCCTGTGCAGGAGGACCTTACTACTGCATCTAGGAGATGTGTGTACCTACGCTCCTGAGCTCCTATGGGCCTTTCATCTCCCCTCAGCTCCTGTCTCGTTCGTGGTATCACTGGGTCCCTGTAAGCGAGTGGGCTTGGTCAGATGCAACCATCTACAATGTTGTTACTGGCCATGCCCTACGAGAGCAATGGATCTTTGGTCCCGTTGATTTAAATTTGTCCCACTGATGGCGTGGTTTCTATTTCCAAACCTTTTTCTTACTATGATGTAGTACGTAACTCTATGCCATTTTCGAGAAAAACTCCGGAGTGGATTATCATTGCGTGTTTTTCCAGTGCTAAATGACTCAACGAAACAAGATACTAAGCTCCTTTTTTCCCGTAATATCTTGTTATTTTCCCATTGTGATTTTTCCAAGAGTATAGTATTATTTGGGCGGCCGAGTTTTGATCTTTCCCCCTTAGGGATGTGGGGGATGCAGCACCCTCACTAGAGCTTCCCCCTGGAGTCAAAGGACCTCGCGACGCACCTAAGCGGACCGATCGACCGACCGACACGAGGGTCAAGGCTGTGTAACCTTGCAGTAAAAATTACAAAGAGCCGGGCTAGTATTTCTGCTCCGACAGTGAAGACGGTGAAAATGTTTTTTTTTTCTTTTTTTCTTTCTTTTTTTAATGCTGAGTCTTGTTCTCCCTTCTGGGTTTACCCCCACAGGACGTATCCCCCCAAGGCTCATACGAAAACCCACCTTCATGCGAGGGCGCCTCCCATCTGTATGATGGAGGGTCCATGAATAATGACTGTTGTATGATTATTGCTGACGCGACTTTTGAAACACTGCAGCTGACGGAAATATTTTTCTCTCGTGAACCTTCCTCGACCGCATGGAATTGGAAGCTGAAGTTAGACAGAGTGATGCCCAAGGCCATGGATCTGGCTGTATGGCTGTACCACCATCTAAGACTTCGCAACAACAGCTTCAGCCCTCGGTGATTCGCAGGCACGACGTCTTGGACATGTAAGTGTCCACTTGGAGGATGATCTGCATCGGGTGGGATGTACGATGTACTGGTAGTAATTTTCTCGCAGAGACACAACATCATTCAAAACCAATGTCTGTCTGAAGTCATAGATTTGTATTAATTTGTAGATACTGTCTTTATGTTGATTTTGTCTCCGTTTTCCTAACCTACTCCTCGTTGACCATGCATTCGCGGACAAACGAAATTTACTCCAACGTACTACTGTATGTATTAGGTCCCGGCGCATCTTCACTGACAAACTCTACCTGTCATGCCCAAGATTTGCTTTGTCAAGGCGGGCGGGCTAACTTGCCACTAGTTACCGGTTTTCCTCATAAGAGCCCCGTTGTGGGTTTTGCTATTTTAAGGTGGACATCGATGTATCTAGCCCAATCGTTCTGTTTTGCTGCTCGGCAGCGGAGCAACTCCTACTAGTCCAACAACCTCCGTGAGATACTATCGGATGGTAATTCCACCTGATCCATTTCAATCTCAACCGGCATGACGAGGGCCATGCTTTCCTCATGACGACAAGGGAGTGGGGTTCCCCTGGGAGCGCCCCGTGGAAAGTCACCCCTCTGTGTATGTCCCACGGCCGGTACCTACAGCAACTGCGCCTGAGGAGCAACTTGGCGAAGTCAGCCATATGCAGCCTGGCCAGGGTGAGCCGGTTTCTTCTCGACGAGCAGCGTGGTTGATGGGTTGCGAGGCTGGCAGGTGGATGCAGTGTCGTAATTTTACAACGGAAAACTCAGATGGCCCAGAGAAAAAAACACAGACAGTGCAGGAAACCAAATCGGTAATCCACAGCCTTCCCCTGACCCAAACCTCGAGGTCTCCACCGAACAATGGGGCAATATCAGGCCCATTGTCTACCTGTTTACCGGGCCTGAGGATAGAGTATGTTCATCTAATCAATAGCTGATAGCTTTAGATCGGGAGGCGAACCGAGCGATAGATAGATCGGAGATGACCTGTCATGCTGGGGGCATCTCGGTCGATCATCATCACAATAGCCTTTAAGGTCGAGCGCCCACTGCCCTGTGCAAATTGTGGTGGTGCGCCACTAGTCTCTAGCTCGACCAGCATCAATCGTGGCATTGGAGCAGCCCAACCGGTTGGCGGGCACTAGACTCGTTAGTGGCGGGAGAGTCGGTCTAGTGGGCTTAGCTGGCGGCTGGCGCTGCTCCTGCTTAGGGCTCGGTTAGTATGTTCACTTTGGGTTTAATGCAGTAGTAGAGCTGTCAGCCTCTGGGGAAATCTCGCATTTTGAGTTGTTCGTTCAATAAAACATGATTATTCACCACTAAAACTTGGGGCCATCCTGTCTTAGCCTCCGGCAGTCATCACTATTACCTATCCCCACATCTTCTTCAGGCAGTTCTTGAGTTCAGCCGGATGCCAGCGGCCCCGGTGGATCGTGTTTGACCTGGGCCGGGCGTTCATCCACTGTCAAACGGCCAACCTGGCTGTTCCCAACTTCCTACACGGGCGGCATGTTATTCTGGACAGGGGTCAGCAAGCTAGCCTCAGCCCTCGATTCGCCTCGATCCCGTTTGCGGGAGGCTGGCGTTGTGGTCATCGTTGAAGCTAGTGATAGGATTGGCAAATCGACGTTCCAGAATGTCGAGCCTTGTTTGCTCTGTTGACAATCGCAGGAAGCAAGAAAACGAAACATTCAAATCAAGGAATTCAATTCGATGAAGCAGCAAACGATGACCAAAAGAAAGTACAGAACCATCAGGCGCTGCACACATGGACGGAGAAATTAGTAGCGTATAACATTCTTTCCTCCCGAACCATGCTTTTGTCGTGCCCCTCGGAATGTTACGTGAAGAAGCAATAGGCATGGATCCCTCGTAAGTGAAGCGTTGCGACCGGGGAGAAGAACTCCTGTGCTCAGGTGCTGCCAGTGATCTTCTATTTGAGAATACTGATTTCATTTTAGGGATGTCTCATTGTTACAGTCATTATGGTTAAACTCAGTCAAAAGCCCAAAACTAAAATTAATCAAGCTGCATGGATCAAAGAGTGTAGTCTATATGGGTTCAGTGTTCCGCGTTAGACACGATTGATAAATCGATAATCTGATGTGTAGTTTGGAGATCAGAAGAACCCACAAGACTCGAAAAGGAGGACTCTGCAGCCATAGTCGAAAAGGCGCGAGTCACGAATAATGATCATAATAATACATAAAAAGTAGCCCAACTCGATTCCACTCTCCACTACTGGCAAAGTATGTACTGCTGCCCCTTCGTCGCCAAGTTTAGCGTCCGTATGTGATAGGTCGATCCAAGCGGGTGGCCCCCACGGGATCGACCCGCGATCCTCCCTTGTTGGCCTTGATGTGTCTTTTTTTCGCTTTTTGCGCTTGACCTTTCCCTCGAAAGAAAGCCCTTGCAGAATTCCCAACTAGGAACGACTGGGCGCTACAGTACAGTAGTGGGCCGAGTCAGTGGCTTGGATACCTTCTCGTTTATGTCTGTCAGCGCCACGAAATGCTCTCATCTCCACCGTGAGGTACTGATGGGCCTACCATGTTCCTTAATGCCTCGAGTCCTAGGGTCGCTATTGAGGCCGAGAAAGAGATCTGGTTACGTTTGAAAGCCAAAAGCAGTAACTATGTCTGAGAACTCCCGTATTTCCCCCCACCATATGTTTTCTATACTTCCATTAGTGTACCTTGCTTGGCGCGATAAGCCCTCCACTTTGCCCGTGCCGTTATCACCAATCATAATCTTTATGAGGCTTGCGGCTACTTCATCCGAATGTCCTTATTGAACACATGTTCAATAGTTAGCTGGCCACATCGTCTGAGTAATCTTCAGACTTGCTCACTAATCAATTAGTGCTGTTCCCCAATCCAGGGCAAAAGTAAACACTACCGGGCTTCGGCACTCCTCATCTACTCAGCCCAGACTTCCAAAGGGATCGACCATCTAGCGCGACACCCCACAGAGAAATCAAACATATACATATACAAACACTTTCCATTATTAGAAGGACTGGAAAAATACAAACCCCGAAAATGGGGATCAATATTGGAACCGAAACCACCCGGCGCACACATTATCCCATCTAAGCGATTACAGCTCCTCCCCACCGACTCTTCGCCGGTTCGCAGTCCGCACTACAATTGCTCAGGCAGAAAGGGGGAGGAATGCGAGACAAAAACGAGTCATCCAACGGGAACCCCGATCGTGATTACCGTCAGCCACTCTTGAGTCCGAGATGCGGTGTAGACCCTGAATGCGCGGTAAATCGTCTGGCTGATCTCCTCGTCAGGGCCCAAACCTTGCTGATTCTGATGAGCCTTATGCTTCGTGTGCCGCACAGACTGCAGCCGCAGCCATAATAATTTGGGACTGAACATCTAGTAAGCAGGTTACTAAGACACCTCTGAACAGGTGGAGGCTCGCCATGTGTGCAGAAATGCATCTGGGGCCTCCCACCCTGTCGGTGTAACTGCCAAGGGTCGAGGGCATGTAAAACCCCCAAGAGGGCCCGTCAGTCGTGAGGCCTCCCAGACCTCACCCGGCCAATGGACTGCCAAAAAAGGCTAGATTGGACCCTGTTGATTGGGATAGAATGAAGTTGTCCCGCCGAAACCTCGATCGTGAAGGAATGTTCTCCACGCCAAACCCTATGCACCGGCTCGTATGTCATCAAGATCAGCCGATCACCATCTGACCGGCAGTTACGGAACTGGAATGAGCGAATTGCCACTCAATTTCCAGCAAAACTCGTTGAATAACGAGAGGACTCGAAGAAAAAACGCACCGACTATGACGCGCCTTGAACTATCACGTTGACGACGCAGGCCTGATCGAAAGAGCGCGGCTTTGATGCGCTGCTACCTTGCTGAACCACGTTTGAGACCGCATCCTGGGGCGCCTGGATCGGGAAATTACAGAGTGACGATGTTCAATAGTTAGTTAAATAGTTAGAGCTCTACTGGTCTAGTCAAAAGCACTTGGGAACAAACTGACAACTGTGGTTAACAGTCGTAGTAGTAATCGGACCATCGCCAGGCCCAGTGAAACAGGCAGAATGTTTACTAAACCGAGTAAATGGGCCTTCGTATTGCTTCTTTGACCTTTATATTTTTGGATCAGTTCCTCAGTGTAGGGCGAGGGCTGTCACCATCAGCAGTACGACAGGAAAGCAAATAGAGAATTACTGTCATAATAATTAATTTCTCTAAAAAATTGATCTTAGAAAAGGAGGAGGAAGGCAGAGAGGGCCCGTTCTGGTAGTGTCTGACCTGGTTCCACAGGGGGGCCCAACAGGACTAGATCCACTCAGCGTGGCGTCTCCAACCCTTCATCATCTAGATCCGAATCTATGCAAGGAAGATACATGGGGGATCCTGAAATTGCCAGTTGCCCCCAGCGGTGTCCTACTATTGGGGCTAATGGAAAGGTGTCTTGCCTGTATTACTGTAATCTCGGCCTCCTTTCGAGGCAATGTGCCCAACATGCGCTGTACCTATTGGTACCTATGGTACGTGTACATCCGTATACTGCGCGGCGACGTTTGTGAACGAGCTGGAGCATGGCCATGCATCTGTAGTCCCGATGACCGATGGCGTAACTATTTTGGTCGATAGGCTGGGAAAAATGAACCCTCAGTTCTTTTAAAATATCTGAGACTATCCGACTTCGCGGGCCACTCCATGCGAGATAGCCTTCGTCCTTTTACTTGGATTTTTTTTCTTAATTGGTTCCTTCCCCAATCCAATCCTAATTAAAGGCCCTCCACACAATTTTGTGTGCCTCTGTCGATCCGCTCTTGTTCTTGATCGAACTAACACGACGAAGCTCCCTTCTTCCATCGCTATCGTACGGCCAAAAGTCCAGACCGACCTCTAGCATTTTGTCCCCTCGCATTCTTCTATTCGACAGCATAGCATTCAGCATTTATTTTTACGATTACCAGAAACCATCATTATGGTTAATAATTCTCACTGCTATCTGCCTCGGTTCACTCCGGCGGTCGACGGGCCTAAACGCCCGGTTTCGATGAAGACGAGACCGACGCCTTCCCAACATGCGCAGTTATTAACCGCGTGGCACGAAAGGCGACTGGAATTGGTATTGCAGGCCACCTGGGCGATGGTTCTGCACTACTATATCCGATCCGAGGATATCTGCTTTGGCTATCAACACATTGACGGCGACTCTATTTCCTCTCGACACCCTGTACAGCGGTCGAGTATCGCCAACCTGTCAGCCTTTCGGCTGGCAATCAACGAGAACGACTCCATTCAGGCAATTGTAGATAAAGTACGGGAGTACGATGGACTCGACTCGCAGCTTGGAGGTGTGGGAAGTGACGAGGGCGCTTCCGAGGGGGGCTACTTGCCTTTCAACACCATCCTGATGTTGCGCACATATCGCAAGGCGAGCGATACACCCTCCTCGCCGCTTTCTCAACAACCAATTTTGGCAACCGCTCTCCCCGACCAGGTACGTGTCTTCCGTCTTCTTTCTGCTGGTTGTTTTCCTGGTCGGCTTCTTGCAAATGCTGGTCCCATAGGACGCCAGCCCAATTTTGCATGCTTGCGTGTCAGGAAATTATATTTGCTAACCTCAGGTTGCATTGCTTATAGTGCCAAGTCCGCCTCCATGTGAAGGTGTTGCGCCGGGATATCAACATCTTCCTCGAATGGCGAAATGGGGACATGTCCGGGGAGCAGATGAAGAGCGTTGCCCATATTTTCGAGCAGATGCTTCCTCAAGCACTTTCGCCCGGGAACACCGCTATTAGCCAGCTTAATTTGTTCTCCGAGAATGACTTGCAGCGCATCCGCCAGTGGAATTCGCATACTCCTGAAATGTACAATCGCACCATCCACGATGCTATTCATGACCAGGCCCTTAGCGGCCCTCATCGAGAGGCTGTGAGCGCTTGGGATGGAAGTTTGACGTATGTTGAGCTCGATGCATTGGCTTCAAAGCTCGCGTCTCATCTGCGTACGCAGGGCGTTGGCCCAGAAGTGCGCGTTGCGCTTTGCTTTGATAAATCGGTGAGTTCTGCCCTGGTTTTATTGTTGTTATCGTCATTGTTCCAGAAATACCATGCAATTCCGTGCAGAAGTATATCCTGGACTGTGTGGGAGGAATCTGTGTGTGATATTGTGATGAAGCGGGCGCTGACAGCTGCAAGAAATGGAACATCGTTGCCATGCTGGGCGTGATGAAGGCGGGCGGCGCCTTCGTCCCATTGGATCCGACCCACCCAACCTCGCGATTGCAACGTTTAATCGAGTCTGTTAAGGCAACGGTGGTGTTGTGCTCTCCATCGCGTGAGGAGGTTCTTCGACCCATTGCGAACACATTGATTCCCCTCTGCGCCGATACTCTGGAAGGACTATCGGACCCTGTAGAAGATGTCGACCTTGCATCGGGTGTCACTAGCAAGAATGCCGCCTATGTCCTGTTCACTTCCGGGTCCACGGGAGAGCCTAAGGTATGTTTTGAATTCCTTCCCGCCGTGAAACGTGGACAGAAGAGATAGAGTTATTGTGGGAAACTGAGATTTGCGAATCGCAAGCATTGACGATGGTTCTGTAGGGCACTTTGTTGGAGCATCGAGCGTTCTTGTCCAGCGCAATGGTGCATGGCCCTGGCCTGCATGTCTTCCGTGACACACGAGCCCTTCACTTTGCGGCTCACACCTTTGACGCTAGCTTGGCCGAGACACTGACACCCCTGATCCACGGTGCATGTGTGTGTATTCCTAGCGAGGAGGAGCGATTGAATGACATTGTCGGCTTCATCAATGAGCACCGAGTCAACCAAGCATGCTTCACCCCGTCATTCATCGGCTTTATTGAAATCGACAGTGTGCCGGGATTGCAAAGTCTTGTTCTGGCCGGTGAGGCAATGTCGCAGTCCCAACTGGCCACATGGTCCAGAATCAAACTGGTCAATGGTTATGGCCCTACCGAGGCCAGTGTCGCATCTGTGCTGAATTCAAATGTTACACCTACTACCGATTGCAAAGATATCGGCCTGCCTGTTGGAGTTCGCTCTTGGGTAGTTGATCCTGAAAATCATGACGAACTCGTTCCCGTAGGCTGCCCTGGTGAATTACTTCTTGAAGGTCCTACGCTCGCCCGTTGTTATGTGAATAACCCAGAGAAGACAAACGAGTCTTTCATCTACGATCCTGCCTGGGTCAAGCTCGATGCTGGAAGGGGGTCTAAGCGCAGATTTTACAAGACGGGTGACTTGGTGAGGTACAACTCCGACACTGGCGCTCTCAACTACGTCGGTCGCAAAGACACCCAGGTCAAGGTTCATGGGCAGCGAATCGAACTGGGCGAAATCGAGAACCAATTGAACAAGGACATTCTCGTTACGCATTGCTCTGTGTTCTTTCCCAAGTCCGGTTTCTCCAAAGGCAGGCTCGCAGCCGTCATTTCATCTGCTGGGCTCCTCCCAGAACAATCAGATAGGGACTTGAAGCCCTTGCGTTTAATATCGTCGAGCCAAAAATCGAAAATCGTACCGCAACTTCGCGAACGACTATCCACACGGCTACCCACGTATATGGTCCCTTCGGTCTGGCTGTGTGTAGAAGCTATGCCGCTGCTACCATCTGGAAAGCTTGATAGAAAAGGGATCGCAAGCTGGGTGGCCAACTTGGAGCAGGATCCTGATATTATAGAGACTGGTTCAGGCTTTCAGCCTTCAGGGGAGTTGTCTCAACCTGCTAACGAGAAGGAGGAGGCACTGGTCTCCGTGTTTAGCCGTGTTCTGAATATCCCTCAGAACCATGTCAGTTTGAATGAGAGCTTCCTCGCCATGGGTGGTGACTCCATTGCCGCTATGACTTGTATCGGTATGTGCAAGAAGCGGGGCCTTGCTCTATCCGTTCAGGAAGTCTTACGCAGCAAGTCGATTCGGGATTTGGCATCGCGGGTTCGAGCCATTGATCATTCGACCACATATCAGGAAGCTGTCGACGAACCATTTGAACTCTCCCCCATTCAGATTCTTCACTTTGGTGTCCGCAAGGAAGGTCAGGGTCATTTCAACCAAGGAATTCTTACCCGCCTCAGCAAGCCCGTCAACGAAGGTATCCTACGCCAGGCGATTGAAACACTCATCTCGCGTCATTCGATGCTCCGCGCTCGGTTCAATGATTCTGGATCTGCAACGGCTTCGATGCAGCGCATCACTCAAGATGTGAAGGGTTCGTTCAGGCTTCGAACCAACAGTGTAAACAGCATTGAAGAAACGAAAGCCTTTATCGGCAGCAGTCAAGGTTGCATCAACGCATTTTCTGGGCCTCTGTTGGCTGCTGATTACTTTCGTGTCCAGGGACAAGAATCGTGCCATGTGTTGTCCATGACTGCTCATCATCTTGTGGTTGACATCGTTTCGTGGAGGATCATCCTCGAAGATCTGGAAGACTTGCTTGTCAACCCTGGCAAGACGACCAGCGAGAATGGATCTCTGCCTTTTCAGACCTGGTGCAAGTTGCAGGAGGAACATTGCAATAACTTGATTAAAGAAGGAAAGGCTGCTACCGATCAACTACCCGCTATCGACTTTGGTTATTGGGGATTGAACAACAGCCAGACGACATACGGCGATGTGGACTGCGCGTCCTTCGAGATTGATGCCACCCGCTCTAACACGATCATGATGGGATGCCACAAAGCTTTGAACACAGAGCCCATTGATTTGTTCCTGGCAGCTATGCTCCACTCATTTGGAAAGTCCTTCACGGACCGATCATTACCTACTATCTACAACGAAGGACATGGTAGAGAGGCCTGGGATCCATCAATCGACATTTCACACACTGTCGGCTGGTTCACTATTCTGCAACCAATCTTCGTCTCCGACTACAAGCCGGGTAGCGCCATCGATACGCTCATCCAGGTCAAGGATCTACGTCGTCGAGTCTCCGACAACGGTCGCGCGGACTTTGCCAGCCGTGTGCTTCAACTCGAGGGCAAAGATAGTGGTCGCCACCCCCACCCATTCGAGATGTCTTTCAACTACGTCGGTCAGCACCGCGACCTTCAGAGAACGGACGGACTCTTCCAGCTTGTGGATCAAATGGCTGGCGAAGCGGGTCAAGGTAGTGATGCTGCTGATTTTGGACGGGATACTCCTCGTTTCGGGTTATTTGAGATTTCAGCTATGGTCGTTGCTGGCAGGATCCGGTTTACTTTCTCTTTCAACAAGTTCATCCTGCATCAGAAACGCATTCATGACTGGGTATCCAGCTGCCACCACCAACTGGTTTCTCTCTCTGAGAAATTGATGGCAATGTCACCCCGCTTCACGCTGAGCACATTCCCTATGCTTTCATTGAACTATGAGAGCCTGGACAAGATGCTCGCCCAGAAGCTGCCGGCACTAGGCGTCAGCTCGCCTAATATGATTGAAGATATCTATCCATGCTCTCGCATGCAGCAGGGTATTCTTCTTGGTCGAACTCGAGATAGCTCGTACTACGCCGTGCATGACACATTCGAGGTCCGCGGCACTGGAGCGACCAAGCCAAACATGGATCGTTTGGTTGAGGCCTGGGGGCAAGTCGTGTCTCGTCATGCCATGTTCCGGACCATCTTTGCAGAGAACCTCACTCCTCGGGATCCGTTCTGCCAAGTTGTGTTGAAGGAGTACAATATCTCGCCAGTCATTCTACAGTCTTCCAGCGAAAAAGATGTATTAGCTACCTTTGATGCTCAGACACCCAAGGACTACAGCGAGATTGCCCCTGCATACAGGTTCAGCATTTGTCAGACCCCAAGCGGCAAGCTCTTCTGTCGCATCGAGCTTAGCCACGCTGCCATGGACGGCAACTCAATTTCTATCCTCATGCGAGATATGCAGCTGGCCTATGTCGGTAGACTCGAGGAGAGCCGGCGACCATTGTTCAAGGATTACTTGAGGTATCTGCTGGATGCCCCGAACGAGGCTAGCATTCAGTATTGGTGCCCGTACCTTTCTGGGGCCAGGCCGTCTCTCTTCCCCACTCTGACGGATGGCAATAAGCCCGTCGAGAAGAGTCTTCGATCCGTTCCCGTCAACTTTGGCTCTCTGAATCAGTTGCAGAGTGTCTGCGAGAAGAAAGGAATAACCCTGTCCAATGCTTTTAATGCCGCTTGGGGTCTCACTCTGCGTCTGTTCTGTGGCTCTGATGATGTGAGCTTCAGTTACATGGCTTCCCTTCGAGATGTGGCAGTCGATGGAGTTCAATGGGTTGTTGGTCCTGTCATAAATCTCATGATCTGCCGCATGAAGATCTCCGGCGACTCGCTTCTCACGGATGTTCTTGAGCAAATCCAGAATGACTACGTGGAGAGCCTCCCCTATAGACACACCTCTCTCATCGACATCCAGCATGCACTCAAGCTGTCTGATGCTAACCTGTTCAATTCCGGTGTCTCCTACCGCCGCCTTCCTGGTGCGAAGGATGCGGTCGGCAGCGATATCGAGTTTGTGGAGGTAGGGGCCATCCATGATCCAGCCGAGTTCCCAATTTTCGTCAACATTGAGGCGATGGATACCAAAGCTAGGATTGAACTGAATTACTGGACGACAAACCTCTCCGATGCCCAAGCCGCCAACGTTGCAAACACATATGTCCGTTGCCTTGAGGGCATTTTGACCAACTGTGACAACCAGATCGGCCAGCTTGACTGTTCCAGCGACCTGAATAAGGCCCAAATCCAATCCTGGAATAGAAAGAGTCCTAAATACGTTGATCGCTGTACCTATGAGGGGGTCCAGAAGATGGCCAAGCAAAAACCAGACTCGCTGGCAATCGCTGCTTGGGATGGAAACCTCACTTATTCCAAATTGGACCAGTACTCGTCAAGGCTTGCCAGCTACCTGGTCACGTTTGGAGTTGGTCCTGGAAGCCTGATTCCAACGTGCTTCGAAAAATCCGTCTGGAACACTGTTGCCATGCTAGCTGTCATGAAGGCGGGTGGAGGCTGTATTCCTGTCGATGGCTCAAAGACCATGGGTCTCATTGAGAAATGGGTCGTCGACAATGTCGTACAGGTTGCTCTTGCTTCTCCTGAGAAGTCTCAGACCCTTGAGGATACTATCCCATATGTCATTCCGGTCAGCGAATCTCTCCTAGAGTATCTGAACGACGAGCCGCTTCCATTGACGGCTGGTCGGTCTGACCCGGCCTATGTTGCCTTCACCTCTGGCACTTCACGCCGTGCTCGTGGGGTCGTGCTCGAACATGGTACAATTATGACACGCGCTGAGACTTTTGCCTCTTCCCTCGGCATCTCTGACTCCTCTAGGACCCTGCAGTTCGCTGCTCACACGTCTGACCTGTTTTTACTAGAGACCATGGGAACTTTCAGTCGTGGGGGTTGTCTCTGCATTCCGGCTGAGGTTGACCCAGTCAATCTCGCTGCTTCTATGAGTGTTCTGAACGCTAACCTGGCTTGCATCACCCCCACAGTGGCAAGCTTTATGGATCCCAAGGATGTTCCTAATCTCAAAACCGTGGCATTTATGGGAGAACCTGCATCTGAAAAGCTGTTGCAGAACTGGGCATCCGAGGATCTCCAGGTCCACCTTCTATATGGTAACACGGAGGCTTCTTCGGCATTCATGCACTGCAAGGTTGTCGGCCAGAGGACAAAAGCTTGCATTGGATCATCAATCTCTAGTTTCTCCTGGGTTGTTGATCCGTCCAACCACAACGCTCTTGTTCCTGTTGGTGCCATTGGTGAACTGGCCATTGAGGGCCCAGTTGTTGCTCGTGGCTACCTTGCTGGCACCAAGGATGGAGAGTCCGAGTTCTTTGAGAAGCCAGCTTGGATCTCTGCTTTCCCCGGCGGCAAGAATCGCAAGTTCCTCAAGACCGGTGATCTTGTTCGATATAACACTGATGGCTCTCTGGTCTTCCTTGGTCGAAAGAGTGCTCCCGGCATGTCTTCTGAACGCATGATTATTCAAAATGCTTTGAATGAGTTCCTCGGGCCTCAACGAATGTCTGTCATCGACAACTTACCCTTGGCTGGAAATCCTTCAGATAGCATTGTTGCCTTCATTGGATCATCCAGATCGACAACAGCAGCCCCTGACGAGCAGGTTATTCTGAAGTCTGCGCCGGAGTTAAAGTCCGTTATCGCCTCGCTGCACACTCATCTGTCCACCAAACTCCCTGCTAACAAGGTTCCGAGTACCTATGTTCCTGTTTCCATCTTCCCCTTGACTCCTTTCGGTAAGCTAAACTTCCAGACCCTGAGAGCCGAGCTTCAAGCTCTTCCCGACAGCGTGAAGGGATCATTCAACTGCAGGAAGTGGATTGATGCCGGGTCGGAAAATCGCGCATCGTTTGGATCTGGTGTCTCAAACAACCACCTCGACTTCTGGAAAGAGTATCTGGCCGACGTAGAGCCATGCAATTTCCCGCCTATTTCTCACGTCACTACCAATGCGGAACGTTCGACCAGGACTCTCAACAAACAGACGCAGAAGATGCATGCATTCAGCAAGATGTCTGGTGTTTCGGTGGAGACATTGTTTCAAACTGCCTGGGGTATTGTCCTGCGATGCTACACTGGCTGCGACGATGTCTGCTTTGGCTTCTCCACGGAATCAGATGCACAATGTATCTCTATCTGCCGCCTTATTTTGAACAACGAGCGCAGATTGGAAGACACATTGCAGGAGTCCAAGACCCAGTTTGAAAAGGGTCGCGAGAACTTTGCTGATCTTGCCATCATCAAGCATCACCTCGGTCTCGACAACTCTAGTCTCTTCAATACACTGCTTACCTACCGCACTGCCTCCTCTCTGCCTCAAGGTGATGCTGGTGACTCAAATACAGTCAAGAACTACAAGATCGCTGTCGCAGCGGTTGTTTCTAGCACTGTCGCTGAAATCCACTTCACCTACTCCGCCGATACCCTTACGTCCGCTCAAACAAGCCACATAATTGATGCATTCGACCATATTTTGAATGATATGATGTCCTCGAGCCCCCGTCATCGCACTATCGGCGATTTGGATCTCTTCCCTGAACGATCCTGCCGCCAAATTCGTGACTGGAATGCCGCCCTTCCGCCAAGAATGGACAGGTGCGCGGACGAGCTCATCCAACAGCAAGCCCTTCTTCATCCCCGGGCCGAAGCCATCTGCTCGTGGGACAAGAACTTCTCGTACGGTCAATTGGAAATTGTTGCCAGCCGCCTTGGCCGCTTTTTGACAAACTCGGGGGTGGGGCCCGAAGTATTTGTTGTTTTGTGTTTCGAGAAGTCAGCTTGGGCCGTTGTCGCTCAGCTGGCTGTTCTCAAAGCTGGAGGCGCATTTGTCTCAATCGATCCCTCCCATCCTGATTCTCGTTTACAAATGCTAATTGATGAGATTGGTACTGATCTCGTCCTCTGTTCATCTTCCCTTCAGCCAAAGCTTGCGAAGCTGTGCAAGAAGGCTTTTGGTGTCTCTCAAAACTCAATCTCCCAGCTCCCCGAATCCCCCCTTGCTCTTCCTGGTGCCCGTCCCAACCCTCAAAATGCCGCCTATGCTATATTTACCTCTGGTACGACCGGAAAGCCCAAGGCTACTGTGGTCGAGCATGTTGCATTGAGTACGACTGCTATCGCTATGATGGACGCTCTTCACATGAACTCAGGCACTCGTGCGCTTCAATTCTCCAACTACACCTTTGACGTCAGTGTTCTCGAAATCATGATGACATTGATGACTGGTGGATGTGTTTGTGTGCCAAGCGAAGAAGAAAGAATGAACAACCTGGGTGGTGCCATCCGACGTATGGAAGCTAACTACATGTCCTCGCCGCCTGCAATTGTCAACACTCTGGAGCCCAAGACCGTTCCAACCCTGAAGACGATCATCACTGGCGGTGAAAAGATGCCCGCTAACCACATTGATCGCTGGCATGATCGGTTCGTCATCAACGCGTACGGTCCGTCTGAAGCTACTGTCGTTGCAACAGTCGGCGTGAAGGTCGACTGGGACGGGAATCGTGTCAATGATGACCCAACCTCCATCGGTACGGCAGCCAACTGCAGAGTCTGGATCGTTGATCCGAACAACTATAACCGCCTGCTCCCTGTCGGTTCTGTCGGCGAGATGCTCCTTGAAGGCAGTAACATTGCGCGTGAATACCTTGGTAACCCAGAAAAGACCAAAGCGGCTTTCGTTGACGACCCGGCTTGGAGCCACCAAAATGGGCTGCTTGGGCTGTTCAAGCGCAAAGATCGCATGTACCGTACCGGCGATCTTGTTCGCTACAACAGCGATGGTACTCTTGCGTTCATCTCCCGCAAGGACACTCAAATCAAGTTCAATGGCCAGCGGATTGAACTCGAGGAGATTGAACACCAGTGCGTCCGCTGCCTTCCTGAAGGCTCCCAAGTTGCCGTGGACGTGGTTGTCCCTCAAGAGCGAACCGTGGCCAAGGGTCTTGCGGCTTTCTTCACCGTCCATGATGAGGACTCCTTCCAAGGTGGCAGCACCGATCAGTTCACCCCAACTATACCTGGCGCTGATCCTCTGCTTCTGCCAATTTCTGTGTCCAATATGGATGCTGTTCAGAAGCTGAAGAGCTCATTACCAGACCATTTGCCTCAGAGCATGATGCCTCGCCTCTTCTTCCCGCTACGAAACTTACCGTTTACATCGTCTGCTAAGATCGATCGCCGCAGACTCCGTGCCATGGTGCAGACCCTGTCCAAGGAGGCTCTCAAGTCTTACATCACTTTAAATGTCTCGGCTCCGACCGAAGAGGCCTCTACTGACGGGATCGACGCCAAGCTCCGCGATCTTTGGGAGAAGACCCTTGACCTTGAGGCCGGGTCGGTTACTAACCAAGACAGCTTCTTTGCGCTGGGTGGTGATTCCTTCTCCGCCATGAACCTTGTGGGTGCTGCCCAGGTGCAAGGAATTTCGCTCAATGTCGCGACCATCTTCAAGACCCCTGTTTTGATCGACATGGCAAAGAGCTGCTCCGAATCCACTGCAACTCCCACTTCCAAGCCAGTTGCTCTTAAGCCCTTCTCGCTCCTCCCACTATCCGTCGATCTCGATAACCTCTTGGAAGAAGTGACCGAAAACTGCGCTGTGCCCAAGGATGAAATCTTGGATGTATACCCTTGCAGTGCCGTCCAGGAAGGTCTCTTGACAATGTCCATCAAACACCACGGTGCCTACGTTGCGCAGCCAGCCTTCCGCTTGGCTCATGGTGCCGACCTCAACCGATTCAAGGCTGCCTGGCAACAGACAGTGGCAGACTTGGACGTTCTCCGCACCAGGATTGTCCACACCGAAGCGATGAACTTCGCACAGGTCATCGTCAAAGATACACCTATTGACTGGGTGCATGCCGAGTCTTTTGATGAGTTGCCCAATGATATCATAGACCTTCCCAAGCACAACGGTGCACCTTTGGCAGGGTATGCAATCGTTCAACCTCGCCAATCTTCAACTTGCTACTTTGTTTGGTCAGTTCACCATGCTCTTTATGACGGCTGGAGCATTCCCCTCGTGTACCGCAGACTCGAGGAGAACTACAAGGCTCTACAAAACAAGATTCCCGCGACTTCATATGGGCTCTTCATTGAATATCTCAGCAAGAAGAATATGGAAGAATCCGATGCATTCTGGAACCGCTATCTCGCTAACTTGTCTGCTACTCCATTCCCCCAGAACAAGAATTCTGTGCCAGATGCCATTCGTGCTGGAAACACCCAGTACCACACCATGGAGATTTCGCGACCGGCAAACAGTGTTGACTTCACACTTCCGGTGCTTCTTCGCGCAGCCTGGGCCATCGTGGTCTCAACTCATACTGGGACTGGTGATGTCTGCTTTGGCGAGACTTTGTCCGGTCGTAACATCGACCTGCCTGGCGTGGGCGACATTGCGGGACCTGTGCTTTCCACCGTTCCCACCCGCATCACGGTTGATCAGGAGATGCCCATTATCCAGTATCTCGACATGATTCATCAATCCACCACCGACATGATTCCTCACCTGCATGCTGGCCTCCAGCGTATCCGTTCACTCAACAATGACACGTCTGCCGGCTGTGGTTTCCAAAACCTGTTGGTCATCCAGCCCACTGAGGGCGAGCTGGACCATAATATTTGGATTGATGAGAAACGGGAAACCAGCGAGGACTTCTTCACTCACCCGCTTGTCATCGAATGTGGCATTTCCAAGACCCGTATCTCTTTCACTGTTCATCATGATGAGCTAGTCATCAATGGCTGGCAGAGCAAACACCTCGCGGAGCAATTTGGTCATGTGCTGAGCCAGCTCATGTCAACCCTGAAGACAAGCTCTAACAAGCTTGCGGAGCTGGAGGTTGTCAGCCCCGAGGACAAGTTGGAGATCGCTCGCTGGAACCAACGTGAAATTCCATCGGTCGAACGCTGTGTCCATGACTTCATTCATGACAAGTGTCTGGAGACACCAAATGCACCTGCAGTCTGTGCGTGGGATGGCGAGCTTACCTATAGGGAATTCTGGGACCTCGCGTCTTCGTTCGCCAACTACCTTGTTTCTCGTGGTGTTGGCCCGGAGGTGTTTGTCCCTGTGTGTCTTGACAAATCTGCTTGGGCAATGGTCACACTCATCAGTATCCTGATCGCTGGCGGTGGCTACGTTCCCTTGGACCCTCATCATCCCGTTTCCCGACACGAAGAGATTTTGAAAGATGTCGGCGCCAATATGATTCTCTGCACGCCCAACTACACGAACAGATACACCCGTGTTGTTAAGACAGTCATCCCAATCAGCAAGGACACGCTGAAGGCGTACGGATCTCTCAATGTCAATGCCAGAAACCGCACGAAAGTCCAACCTTCGAACATGGCCTACACACTTTTCACTTCTGGCTCTACCGGACGCGCCAAGGGTATCGTCGTCGAGCATCGCAACGCAGTCAGCAGCATTATGGCATTTGCTCCAATGACTCTGATGAGGCCCCAGTCGCGAGTCTTTCAATTTGCTTCTCTCACATTCGACGCCGCAATCATGGAGACATTGGCGATCTTGATGGTTGGTGGCTGCATATGTGTTCCAAGTGAGGACGAGCGCTTGAACGACGTCGCTGGTGCTATCCGCCGCTTGAATGTCACTTGGACCTTCCTCACGCCGTCCATTGCAAGCATCATCGAGCCATCTTCCGTCCCCTCGCTGGAAATCCTCATCGTCGGTGGTGAGAAGATGTCCCAGGAAGTCATCACCAAGTGGGCCAATGTCCTTCATTTGATGAATGGCTACGGTCCTACGGAAACCGTTGTTTTTGCTGTGGTCGATACCGCTGTCGCCACCAGCCGCGACCCGGCTCGCATCGGTTATGGTATCCCTTGCACTTTGACCTGGATTGTTGACGCTGAGAACCATGACCGCCTTGCACCACTTGGCGCTGTCGGCGAGCTCGCACTTGAAGGCCCAGCCTTGGCCAGGGAATACCTCAAAAATCCCGAGAAGAATGCGGAGTCTTTCATCATGGATCCCGCGTGGGTAAAGGACTTCAAGTCCTCTATTCCGTCGCCCCGACGAATCTACAAGACTGGTGATCTTTGCTATTACAACCCTGACGGCTCCATTGAATACATTAGCCGCAAGGATCACCAAGTCAAACTCCACGGACAGCGCATGGAACTCGGCGAAATTGAACACAGGCTTTCTGAACATGAGGCCGTTCGCCATGCAATTGTGATTCTGCCCAAGACTGGGCCTCTGAAGCAGCGACTTGTGACCGTGATGTCGGCAAACCGGATCGCTGCCGACAACAAGCTGATTTCCGACAAGCCGTGTGAGCTTCTCAGCGAAGAGGAATTTGATACCAAGGGTCTCTCTATTCTTGTCGAGGTGCAGAAGCGCCTTGAAGCCCAACTGCCTGTCTACATGGTTCCTCAGACTTGGGCTCTGATCAAAAAGCTACCCATGCTTGTTTCTGGCAAACTCGATCGGAAGAAGATCTCCGCCTGGCTCGAGAACATTGACGACGACTCCTACGAGCGCATCATGCAAGATTTCGACCGCATGAAGCGTGGCGTGACAGAGAAGCCACAGCCAGAGCAGGAGAAAACCGGCTCCCTCAAGATCATTCGCGAGATTTTTGCGCAGGTCCTCAACATCTCCTTACAGAAGGTCAATGTCGACCGCTCTTTTGTCAGCTTGGGTAGGTTTTCAATGCCTCCGAGTCTCAATCCAAATAATTATTCACACTAACAAATTCATCCAGGCGGTGACAGTATTACCGGAATGGCCGTGATATCCCGAGCGCGAAAGCAGGGCCTCATTGTCACATTGAATGACATCCTGCAGTCCAAGTCTGTCAAGGAACTTGCCCAAGTTGCCACTGTCAAGGCTCCCGCCGCCACTCAGCCGCAGGAGAAATCTGGGGAAGGATTTGGACTGTCCCCCGTTCAAATGCTCTACATGCAGTCTTCGACATCTTTCAAAGGTTTGGCTCGATTCAACCAAAGCCTCACTGTGCGAATCGCCAGACGTGTTGAAGGGGAAGTTCTTCGCAGGGCCATCAAGGCTGTGACTAGCCAGCATTCCATGTTGCAGGCTCGCTTCATCAAGGTGAAGAACGGTATCTGGGAACAGAGAACCGGCAGAGTGTGTACAAGATCTGTCTTATTTCTCAGGGAGATACTAATAATACCACACAGGAAATTGATACTTCCTACCGATTCCGCGTGCACTCTGTGAGCGACACTCGCGCAATGGTCCCAAAGATTGCCGAGAGCCAGTCCTGCCTGGATCCGCTCAATGGCCCAATTTTTGCTGCCGATCTGTTCAATCTTCGCAGTGGCGGCCAAGTTCTCTTCCTTGTCGCACATCATCTATGTGTCGACATGGTGTCTTGGCGAATCATTCTCCAGGATCTTGAAGAGCTTGTCGTTTCCGGCTCACTGTCTGATGAAAAGGCCTTATCCTTCCAAAGCTGGTGCGCTATGCAGCTAGAACACGCGAAGACCCATGATGATTATCTCGGTATCCCTTTCACTCCAGAGAGGTCGAACATGGGCTACTGGGGCATGGCCAATACTACCAATCGGTACGGTGACCTAAAGATGGAGTCCTTCACTCTGAGTGAAGATACCACTGGGTTCCTTCTCAACGATTGCCATGACGTATTTGGAACCGAGACTGTGGACATTTTGCTTGCCGCAGTCGTTCACTCATTCAGATTGATTTTCACCGACAGAAAGATTCCGACAATCTACAACGAAGGCCACGGTCGTGAGCCTTGGGACCCAAGCATCGATCTTTCTAGAACCGTTGGTTGGTTTACAACCATGACTCCTCTGCTTATTGACGGAAAACAAGGTGAGCAATGTTTCTTCTCCGTCACGGAATCTGAATACGGCCTCTTTCTTACCTAAATTTGCAGGAACTATTCTTGATACTATCAAGCGTGTCAAAGACACACGACGCAAGTTCACGGACAATGGCCGCCCCTACTTTGCCAAGAGTCTTCTTGCATCCGACCAACAGTCATCTGATGATTTCCAAGTGCCTTTGGAAATTCTCTTCAACTACCTTGGAAAACTCCAGCAGCTGGAGCGAGCTGATTCTCTCTTCCGCCATCAGGGTAGTGTCTTCGACAGCTCGGACTTTGCCGTCGCGGGTGACATGGGCCCCGAAACAGACCGATTCGCTCTCTTCGAACTCTCTGCCATTGTCGTGAAAGAGCGTCTGAACGTATCATTTGCGTACAACGGCAAGATGTCTCGAGAACCCCAAATCCGCCGCTGGATCTTACAGTGCAAGCAAACACTCGAGAAAGAAATGTCTATTCTGAGAAATGCCACCCCAGAACCCACTCTCAGTGACTATCCTCAGCTGCCCATCAACTACAATGGTCTCCAGATCCTTACCAACAGCACTTTCAAAAAGCTCAGCATTCGAAGCAAGTCCGAAGTGAAGGATATTTATCCATGCTCACCGATGCAGGAAGGTCTTTTGCTCAGCCAGCTGCGTGATTCTAGCGCCTACATGTTCCACACCATTTTTGAGATCAAAGATGCTCGCTCCGGAAAGGTTGATGCTGAAAGACTGGCTCGTTCATGGCAGATGCTCGTAGATCGTCACCCAGTTCTCAGAACCATCTTCATTGACAGCAACTACAGTGGCGGATCCTTTGACCAGCTTGTTCTCCAGAAGCTGACTGACTGTGTGCTTCGTGTTGAGTGCCTTGACTCACAAGTCGAGGACAAGCTGAAGGCCATCTGCCTCCATGATCTCAACGCCATGCGGCCAGCCAAGCTGTCACATCAGTTCACAGTCTGTAAAACTATCAGCAGACGCGTGCTGGTTAAACTTGAAATCAACCACGCTATTATCGATGGCGGTGGCGTTGATGTCCTACTCCGTGATCTGGCCCTGGCTTACGATCGTCGCCTGCCTGAAGGTCAAGGTCCCAAATTCAGCGAGTACATTCGCTACATCAGAACACAAAGCCAGGATGTCGCGCTTGATCACTGGAAGGAATATCTTGGCGGCGTACGTCCTTGCCACATTTCTCCTGCAGATGGTATCCAAGCAAAGCGTGAGCTTAAGGGCATTTTGATGGACTTCACTCGATACCCTGAACTTTTGAACTTTTGCGAGCAGGCTTCTGTTACCCTGGCGAATCTGACTTTGTCTGCTTGGGCGATTGTTCTCCGGGAGGTTACTCGTTCCGATGATGTCTGTTTTGGATACTTGTCTGCCGGTCGCGATGCGCCCGTCAACGGCATCCAGGACATGGTTGGCATTTTCATCAACATGCTCTGCTGCAGGGTGAAATTTTCTGGTCACCAGTCCCTCGCCGATGTCTCTAAGAAAGTCAACAACGATTATATTCGCAGCATTCCTCACCAAAGCTGCTCTCTCGCCAGTATTCAGCATGAACTTGGGTGGCAGGGCCAGTCCCTTTTCAACACTACTCTATCCATCCAGAACCACACTGTCGCGGGTGGTAACAAGGAGAAAGGTCTCACCTTTGATCTGCAACATGCCCACGACCCAAGTGAGGTAAGTTTCAACGGAATGTTTCCTTGATAATAATTCAAGGTGCTGATACTATTACTACAGTATGCTATCACAGTGAACGTCGATATCTCTCGAGGTGCAGAAGGCATCATGTTGCGCTACTGGAATGACATGGTGAGCGATGACCAAGCACAGGGCTTGGTAAACAGTATTGCAAAGGTGTTCACCAGCTTCATTGAGGCGCCATCTTCAAAAATTTCGTCCTTGAAGTTGGAGAACAGTATTTTAGAGGAACAGGATTCGGAATGGACCAAGTCTCAGTCTACTCTGAATGAGAAAGTGAAGTCAGGTATCGAAGGTCTGGACAGCGCTGCGATTCAAAAGATTATTGACAACCGTGTGCATGAGATTATTGGACAGATGCTGAGAGATGGAAAGTTGATGGTGCCCCATATGCGACCAGAGAGCTTCTCTGGCTATGGGCACCCTGATGATGGAGTGGATTCTCCATACCCACTGGAGGATGGTATTCAAGGAGCCGATGATTCGGGCGTTTGCTCTGCGACATCACGATCAAGCGAGGAGGGATTGCTGGCAGATCTTGAGAGAAGATTATGGACTCTATGGAGCACTGCCTTGGGCTTGTCGCCTAATGTTGTGCGACACCAGGACAGTTTCTTCAAACTGGGCGGTGACAGTATCACTGCAATGAAGATGGTTAGCGCTGCACGCGAGGACGGTTTGGTTCTTACTGTTGCAGATGTTTTCAACAACCCAGTTTTCGAGGACATGCTCGCGACTGTTCGGGCGGCTAATGTCACCCAGCAAATGTTAGATGTCGATCTGAAGCCTGCTCATAAGGACACCGACTCTTTCACGGACAGCAAACCGACAACACTCGCACCGACCCCGTCTTCCGAAAGCATTTCTGTCCTCAGGCCCGTCAAAGCTGTGGATGATGCCTCCGTGCAGACCGGGATCTGTCCTAAGATAGGTGTTTTCAAGGGTGGTATTGCGGATGTCCTTCCTGTGACCGACTTCCAGGCCATGTCCCTCACTGCAACCCTGTTCAAGTCACGATGGATGTTGAACTATTTCTTCCTGGAAGGCAACGGACCTCTAGACCTACGCCGCCTCCGCGAGAGCTGCTTAAAGGTTGTTGATGCGTTCGATATTCTGCGGACCGTTTTCGTTTGCTTCCACGACCAATTCTTCCAGGTCGTGCTCCGCAAGATTCGTCCCAGCATTTTTGTTTACGAGACCGATCGTGGGATGGATGAGTTTACCATGAGCCTGCAGCAGCGTGACCGTGATTATGGCCCTCGCGAAGGAGAGCAGTACGTACAATTCTACGTGGTCAAGAAGAAGAACAGTGATGAACACCGTATCATGATTCGTCTTTCTCACACCCAGTACGACGGTGTGTGTCTTTCCAAGATCATGTCTGCCATCAAGCTTGGATACGAGGGCAGCCCTCTCCCTCCTGTGACTCCTTACGCCAGCTACCTGCGTCAACTCCCCGGTACAATCGGTCCGGATCATTACAATCACTGGTCCAAGCTCTTGAAGGACTCGCAAATGACGCAGGTTGTGCGCCGCAAGGGAACTTCCATGTTCCAAAATGTGGGTGCTTTCACTGAAATTCGGAGGAACATTGAGATCCCTCCCACGGCACTTGGAAACGTCACCGTTGCAACTGTTATGCAGGCGGCCTGGGCCATCACCCTGGCAAAGCTGTCTGCCCAGTCCGATGTGGTCTTTGGTCTGACAATTAGCGGTCGCAACGCAACTGTTCCGGGTATCGAGACTACCGTTGGCCCTTGTGTCAACGTCATTCCAGTACGCGTCAAGTTTGATGAGAAATGGACTGGACTTGGACTTTTCCGTTATCTTCAAGATCAGCAAGTCTCGAATATGCCCTTTGAGTCTCTTGGCTTCCGAGAGATCATTAAGCAGTGCACTGACTGGCCTGCATGGACATATTTCACTACCTCAGTATTCCACCAGAACGTTGACTACGAGGGCTCCCTTGAACTAGACAACACAAAGTATCGCATGGGCGGTGCCGGCGTCAACGACAACTTTGCGGACTTGACTCTGGTTTCTCGTCCCGCAGATGATCGCAGCCTGAGTGTCACTCTTGGATACTCTGAGAAGGGACCTATCATTCCAGCCTTTGCAACCAAGGTCCTCGACATGGTCTGCGAAATTGCACTGTCCCTCGTCGCAAACCCTTCCACTGCCCTGCCATCGCCAAGCATGCTGCGCTCCCTCCCACCTCAGGTAGTCGACGACCTGCCCCGATCCTCAGATGAGCATTTCCTCAGCGCTCACCTCAAGTCCCGCTCCATCGCTGAATTGCTTGTACACTCTGACATCCTATCCCGCTCGTGGCATCAAGTCTTACCAAACCGTGCTTCTACTTCCACAACTGCTTCAGATACTGGTGACAAACCCACCCACCAAGCTGCTTTCCAGCTTGACTCATCATTCTTCGATCTTGGTGGCGACATCTTCAACATGGCCCAACTCACATGGCTCCTTGAGCAAGAAGGTCTCAAAGTTCGCCTCGAGGATCTTCTTGAGCATCCTTCTTTCCTTGGGCAGATGGCTGTCCTGGCCTTGCACAATGCAAAGCACCAGGATGATTTCCCTCCTGAGTTTGCTGCTGGCACAGCCTCACCTGATCCTGTCGCCACAACTCGCGTCGAAAAGAGAAAGACTTGGGAGAAGGCCATGATGATCGCCCGCAAACTGACGCGCAGGAACAACATGGTTTCAAGCCATGCCTGATAGTCGGATAGCATCATGATGACTCTATACGTTTCAAAGACCTACGAGCACAAAACCACGTCCGGGTCACCCTCACCCCAACAAAAAAAAAAAAAAGGAGCAACTTCCCACGGGAAGCTTGCAAAACACAAAAATAGTCCATCGTTGGATATTCCATATTTTCCTTTGTCCCCTTCATGTTTATGTGTTTGATGACCCATTCTTTTGTCTCGAAAAACATTCGCATTTTTCCTATGTTCACATTATGCTCAACTGGCGTCGGATTGGGATAGATGGATCTGGGGTCGATGTCTGTGTTGTTACTCTCATCATAGCGATTCGTTTCCGATAATATCGGTTTCACAATTATGTCTCTCGTATTGCCATACCATGTTATCTAATATAATGGAACTTATATGTACTAAACATCGTCTCCAGCATCATAAGAGGATCCCAAATTGTAGCTATCCCGTAGAGATGCACATCATTAAGAGCAGCAAAAAAATAGAATATAACCGGAAATCCTAGTTCTGAACTACGATGTCTTGGGCCAACAGCGACCTGGTCATGAGACCAAACGATTCTCTTCAAGGAAATGCTCTTTCTATGCTGGGCCAGAAATTGTGGAATTCCAGTACAGCAATTATTGCACATTTCGCTAGTCTTTCAGAGCCAATCAACTACCTCTCATCGGAAACAACCTTCTCTATACATGTGAGCTATGCAGCTGCTTCTGACCAACAACCCTCATCAATCTCAATGGCGGAGAATTTCCCTCCTGACAAAGGCGACGATGCTCTTCGATCAGCTTCCTGGCCCTCGTTGACGCCGCATCGTCATCAACAACCTGGCCAGATCGCAATAAAAGGTTCGCATAGAGCGTTTCAATGATTGCCGCAAGCCGTTGCTCCGTGTCAAGACGGAGACTGCTATCGTTCTCAGAGCTATAGGTCAACCGGGTGACGTCCAAGAAACCAGCTGCTATGCATTCGTCGCGGACCTTGGCCGATGCTTGGAAACATTTCCCTTCAGCTTTGAGCGAGGAATCGAAACATCTTCGAATCTCCCAGATGACCGGGTTTTTGTTTGAGATGTATGTTTCTTCGTCGATTTCTTCCCACTGTACATAGCCCCCTGGTTCTGATGGGGGGTTAGAGCTGAAACATCACAGCGAGTTGCTTTGTACCAGGGAGACATTGATGTGAGCTACTTACTAAGAATGGCTTTGACGTTTGAGATAGCAGCCTGGTAATCAGATTCGTCGATAGCAGCAACCAATAGGCGCACATGGACTAGATCATATCGGTTTAAGTGTTCTTTTGGAAACGGCTTTGTGATATCGTGGACCGAGAACTCGATGAGGCCCGAGTCTGTGGGGAATTGATCGAGCGAGATGTCGAAGCCATGGTAATAACGATTGACTCGAGCGGATGTCTCTAATTCTCGCGCGACATCCTTCAGCCAGATGCTTATTAGATTGAGTTAGCTGTCAAAAAGATTGGACGAGAAAGGGACGTCGGTCTTACCCAGTTCCAGTGGCAATATCTGCAACAGAAAGTATTTCTTCTTTGGGAATTGATGGGTGAATCAGACTATCTTCGGTTATTTTCTTGAGCAAGTCGTGCTGTTTGTCAAGCCTAGATGTTGCGATGGACCATTAATTAGATGGATGTCTATGGCTTCATATTTGAAATTCGAAACAGCGTCTCTACCGTTCTGATTCTTTCGGGCTTCTTCCAAAAACGTATTTCTCATGAGTATGAAGCATGCCGAGAGTTGTGTTAGGAAAAGAGTAAAGAAGTCGAAAAAGACTCGTAGTAGTAGCCTGCTCTCAGTAACTGATGGGAATTCAAAAGCAGTGGAGCCGGAACCGAAGGAATTCGGTCCATGTAGGGAGCGGAGAGGTACTTATAGGTAGGATTGCCCAGAAGAATTATCGCACGCTTGAATATCCCCAGGAGAAATCATCCGAAGACCCCCAATGATGTGGCACCCCCTCCTTCCCACGCTCAGATCTTGTGAAAAGTGCCGAAAGGCCCTCTCAACTCCCTTCTCTCCAGCAAACGAGTCAGATCAATCGGTATATCCGAATCAATGAGCGATCACCCCTCAGCTGATGACTATCTTGCTGGAATATCAAGGAATCCAGACAGTAAGTCAATTTGTTCGCCATTCGCGTGAGTCTTTCCTCTCCAGCATCGGATATACTTCCCATGCTCGTAAGCTTCTCCAGACAACGCCACACCTACACTCTCGGGTTAGCGTCGTTACACTGCATACATACTGCAAGCTAGCCAGCCACATCACGTTTCTCATCGCGCATAATTTCCATTCCTGGTGCTGCTTCTCAGTCGGAGTTTGTCCTGATTGATGAGTGAGGAGGTGATTGGGTGTTGTTATCAGAAATGCTATGCATGCAACGTGGGCTGCTGGGATCTTACTATTTTGGAAGTGGCGGTATGAAGTGTTTGTCTGATGCTTCCGAATCAGAGTCACAAATTAAGCTCAGTATCGAACGGTAAAGGGATTAATATCATGAAGTTCAAATAAGAAAACTTTTATCATTAATCGCGTATGTGCAAAATGCTGATATAGGCACAATCCAAACCAATCCTTCCAACGCGACCAATCTCAAATAATTATAGTAAATGCAAGGGTATCTATCTAACATCTGGCTAGTATGACCGGACCAACGAGCACGAAATTAACATGCAATGCAAGAAAACATATACACAAGGACGATGACAACAGAGCTATTGGTCACGGTAGTCTAAAGAGACCCACGCGACCACTTTCCCCGCGCTCGAATCCGTCTTCCATACGTATAGAAAAGATACGGAATGGGGATTAGAGCAATGGAGACAAAGCCCAGGACACTAGCTGCCCATGGCACACCAAGGTTATGAAACATGGCGCTGGTGAAGAGCGGGAAGCAGCCCGCAAATAAAGAGCGCAAGAAAGTATTTGCAGCAATCGCGCTAGCAGAGGTTTGCTGGAAGGTGTCGATCAGGTAGTTCAGTGCAGCCTGGAAGATAGTGAAGAAGCCGAAGCCCATCATGACGGCGCCGATAATGGGACCTATCCAGTGGATGTGTTTGGGACTTGCCCAGCCAAAGACGAACATGCCCGCTGCGAAAACGACAGAGCCGAGCATCATAGGTGGCAGTCTTGCCTCGGGGACTGCGCGGTTATTGTTTGCCTTGAAGCGTTTGAGGTAGAAGCGCTGGTTGGATAAGTTGATCGCAGCGCCGATGAGGATGCCAACTAGGTAGGCGAGGAAAGGTAGAGCGCCGACGACTTGATTCCATCCACGGATTTCTTGGAAGACGATGGGGAATGCTGCTAGACTGAGGTAGAGGATACCGTAGACGAAGGAGGCGTATAATGCCACGAGGAAGCAGATGGGTGTCGCGAGGAGCTGGAAGGGTCGGACGAGGTACTTGTTGCCCAGTTCTTTGAGGGTCACGTCCCACTCTTCGTGTCGAGCGTGGAGAGCCCAGTTTCCGCTTTCAAAGCGAAGTCTTTGAGCCTTATAGACTAGAAGGACTGGTGGGTAACTTTCATCAATGAAGATGAGGTCAAGAAGGAGGAAGAACATCATCATGATGCCGGTAATCTAAGAGACATTAGAAGGGCAGAGAGAGATACAGGAGCAAAGGAGACCCACATATTCAGTCCATCGCCAGTGGAGGTAGCTCTGAACAATGGCACCACCGACAATAGGACCCAGGACCGGACCACCGACAACAGCCATGGCGTATCCGACGATCGCAGCGCCGCGCTGTTCAGGTGTCCAGATATCACTTAGAACACCACCAGTATTGGTGACTGGTGCCGAGCCAAAAAAGCCCGTGAAGAATCGGGTCAACATGATCGTCTGCAGGTCCTTTGCAGTTGCAGTACCGAACGACATAATCGCTGCAACGAAGTAGGGAGCGAGCACAGCCGGTTTGCGACCATACACCTCGGACAGCGGTGCCCATACGAGGGGACCCAGACCCAAACCGAATAGTAGCAGTGAAGTTCCCAGTGTCGAAACTTCCATGGAAACGCCAAACTCGTGAGCGACTTGTTCTTGGCCCGTGGAGTAACTATAGATCTCTGTTTAGTACTTTATCGCGAACACACTTCAAAGCTCTCTCTTACACAGAACTAGCCCATGTCGCACCTGTGATTGATAACAACAGTTAGTACTTGCCCGCTGGCCAGATTCAATTGGAGGTTAAAGTGGAGAAGTCTAATTCAACATACCCATCGTCGTCAACCCATATAACACCGTCGTAGTAGCCTTCTTCCCAAAACTCCAATTCAATGGTCTATACGGATCATCCGGGCCTTCAAAATCCACAATAACATCCGGACTCGTCTTCGTATGCGTCAACGGATGCGTAAACTTGGCTGTCTGCCCCGGATCTCGACTGCGAATGCGCGACACGACCGATTGCGCACGCTGTTCGAACACAGAGAGCCCCGATGCCGCTGTGGTTTGTTTCTCTAGTGGCAGGGCGGCCTGTCCGTTTTCCTCGTCGGCATGGTGGTCCGTATCGAGTGACTCGATGTCCGCGGATGAGGTGGTTGAGAGGTGATCGTCCTCTGTTTGCTCGGGCATGACTGGTTCATGCGCACGAGTGCGACACACAATGTTACTATCGAAGGGACTTGATTAAGAATGAAAAAAAAAAAGTAAAAGCGCGATAAAAGAAAAAAAGATGTCTGCGACAAGAACTCCGACACCGAGCGCGGGGATAAGGAATTGCCCGCCGTTGAAAGGACGCGGATTGGTAGTCTCAGGAAATCGTGGGTCTGGTTTGGACGTTTTAAGACGTCATGGGCTGCTTATGCTGATTCCACTTGCAATGCTTGGCTTGATGAGATTTCGCGGGAGATGGGCATGTGGATGGAGTCCAAGTATATATTTCATTTCGTTAGGTGGCGTCGATTGGTCTAGTGCTTTTTCTTTTTTAGTTCTGGAGAGCTTTTTGATCGGACGTCCGACGCCGATGGCGAGCCGTCTTATCCGACGGCGGAGCTGGTTCGATGAGATCCTGAAATGTGGGGCATTGGGACTCGGCGCAAAGCCGAGACTCGGCGGGTTGAAGGGGATGGCCGAGACTTTTGGAGAAAGATGGTGATCTGGTGGATATTTCATGCAAAGGTCAGGATGTTGGCACAAGTACGAAGTGCTTCTACTCTCCTCCTACTAACTGAGTTCTTTGAAAAGCAACCGAGAAAATGAGAACAATTGAATATACGTCCGGACCCACGCCATCGTCTACAAAATGCCATATCGTCTATGATTTTATGATACATCATGCCTGCAACTCCTATGAACAATCCACTGCCCAGAGACACCATCCATGAGAACACACCTCAAGCCGTGGGGTGCATGGTCTCCCACTTGTGAACGGCCTCCAGAGCCGCAGTCACCTTCAACCCAATACGAGCATCCAGTTCGTAACTCTCCCAGCGCGCAGCATGGTCCAGATGCTCTTTACAAGTATGGACCAACTTCCGCTCTTGCTCCGGCTTCTCAGAGACATCTGACGAGAGCTTGTGCAGCGATTGATAAGTTGGTCGCTCCATCCAGACGTTCGCGGCCATCTCAAAGTTCGCAGCGGGAAGGACCCAATCATCCTTCAAATGACCCTTGAACAAGGATTTCTCATGAATCAACACCTTGGTCTTGAGGACCTCTTTCGCTTCTTCGTGATTGTGCAGAGACCGCAGTACGGCTGCCCGGAGAAGCTCCAAAATTGCTTTCTCCTCTAGTCCCTCGCGAGGCCAGGTTTTGTTCTCGCTGCTTTCGCACCAGGCCAAGCGGCTTAGAGATTCCTCGAGCTGGCTGCGCGTCATACGGCTATGTCCGTTCCAGAAGAAAATCATCTCCTCGATGGGGTCCACGCCAATGGCGTCCACCAGCTCGACGTTCCATTCCTTGGCCCGGGCTTCCCACTTGGCAATCTTGCGCGTAACGAATACGTCGAATGGGAGTTGGCGGGCCATGAACCGTTTCTTGCCGGCCCATGGAGGGGCTTTGCGGATATATTCTGCGGCCTGGCGCGCGTGCTCCTTTGCCTTTTGGGGGTCGTCTGCGATAGATTGACGGTATAGCGCAACTTGGCAGGAACCTGCGATATAGTAGTACAAGGAGCGGGACCAGGAGTTGAGGTCCACACACTGACAAGCATGTTAACAGCCATTCCAGCCGGTAGGAAATAAGCGGACAAGAGACGTACCTCGATAAACGATGCCGAGCACACCTCGTAATTGTGCAAGAACAGCGCGTTCAGACTCTTCTCGAAGACACACAAAGCTGCAACCTGCTTAAGCGGGCTCTTGCTGTTTGAGCTAAGGAGTTCCAAAGCGCCCTCCAAATCCTTGTTAGCACCCTTCATCCGCGACTCTTCCAAGAGCCAGAGGCGACTGTTCGGGAATCGAGATCGCATCTCCGTCAACAATTCAGTCAGCCTCTCTTGTGGATAGCCTTCCACATCATCCTCGCCCGGGGTCGGGTCGGGCATGATATCGCAGTAACGCACAAACCCGTTATAATATCCAAGCAATGCCAAGGCCGCCATGGCACCGATGATGTTGTGGAACTTGCTGGCTTGCCAGAGCATTCGCAATCCTCGTTGCTTGTCGCCATGGAATCCAATGATGGATAGTAACCTGCTGAAAGCGGGTGGGACCATGGAAATGAGAAGGAGAAGGATACCAAAGCAGAAGTTGGCACCAGAGTGTACGAATACGTCAATATCATTTTGGAAGATGTCCGAGTCGGGGTCGTGGTTGATGATGTTCGAGCCACCGGGTGTGGAAGTACCAGATGCAAGCTCTGGGTCTGGGCTGACGGTCAAGCCGGATAACGACTGGGTGAGATCCTGTTCATCGATGGGAACTGATCGAGCTGTGGCAGACGGAACTTTGTGGGATACCTCGCTGGGTGAGTCTACCGACTTGACATCTGTGCTGGCTCTACTAGCCTTGGAGAGATCACTCGAACTAGGGAGGAGAACTCGGCTGGGATCTCTCAGCTCCATGAATTTCTCCTCCATCTTCAAGATGGCATCCAGGGCAATGTAAGCCTTGCGCAGACGATAGAAGGCCTTGATGCTTTCCGTCAGACTTTCATTGAGTACGCCCACGACAGCACCCATCAGCTGCGCGATCGCTTGACACAGAGCATATTCACTACCCGCCACATAGATCTCCGAGCGGAAGGCATTCGGGGCATGGGAATTATGTTGGGCGCGGTGTTGATCACTAGATGCTGATGTTTCCGCTTCGCTCAATCGTTCGGACGCTGTGGACGGTTAGCGCGAGGACCATGCAACGGTTCAACCCACGGCATCGTACCTTGCCGCATAATCTCTTGTTCAAAGCCCAGGGTCGCTCGAACGAAAGCCACCATTCCTTTCCCCAGCTATTTGAACTGTCAGCATGAATTTTCTCGTCATTCTGCGCTACGTCATCGCAGTTGGCCGGCTCACGCACATTATGGAAAGACGAGGTACCCTTGGCCAAGCCAGCTTCGGCACTATCGACATCGTCGTTGAGGATAAAAGTCGCCGCTATTGAAGTCGTCCTATTAGTTTGCTGCTCAGACAATTGAAGCATTAGGCATGGTAGCTTACCTTGCATCGCCTCATCCACTTCCTCGCTCGAAGAATCCACCGTCAGCACAAGACACGTCAAGTAGGAAGGGGTTGCGTCCGGGCAGCCCATCTCGCACGCAGTATAACCAGGTCACATCTACCAGCAGGGTCCAACATACAGTCTTTCAACTCGGCCAGCGAGTCCAGCGATTGTGTCGAGGCATTGGCGGGCTTCTTGCCGTACAACCAAGACCCCACTCGCAACATGGTGGTAGTCGCGCCTCGCAGATAGAAATCGGAGGCGATTCAGAGAACCACAGGACCTCAATGAATGATTCCAGTCGAGACTATCGAGACACTCTCCTTCCGCCACAACGACAGGCCAAAACTAGAGGCACGGATTGGGAAGAATGTCAACGATACCCATGCGCGGAGCACGACGGATTACCGAGAACGGCCAGATAGCGCGGGGATAAGGAAACCGGCGGAGAGAGAGAAAGATAACGAGCGGAGAGTACAAGGGAAGACGGAAGTCCAAGGCTTGTCTCAGATCAGGGAACCATGATGACAATAAATTGACCGTGGGGCCAGAACGAAGGAATCAGCCGCGGAGGTGCACTGCGTTCCATGGGCTTTCGTGGCGTGCCGATGGCTCCGGAGGGGGCGAAACCAACTGCCTGGGGGGAAGCATAAAACCGAGAGATGCTCCAACGTCGTCAATCAGGAACAGGGCTTTGCCGAAAAGGGCAGCATAGTTGCAGGATTATTAATTGCAATGAGAATAGAATGAAGTTAACAAAGAGTTCTAATCATTAGGTAGTTCTAGAGTGGACAGGTCGTCCTGGTCATCTCTTCCATCTGTTCAGCTCCTCTTCCATCAGCTAATTTCTTATCGCCAATCAGTAATCACGTTTGCAGCCTGAGGCTGCACCTCCGCCAAGGTGGGAAGCTCCCCCATCGAACAGCAGCATCACATTCCATCCACCCCTCACCAACAACCACAACGCTCTTCTGTCGCCTTCTACCTCCATCAATCTGCGAGAATAGTTACCTTCTCCAGATAAATACCATTTCGCCCACCTTCTCTACCCCCGCTCTCTACATTACACACCGCCACACTCACACCATGTCCAATTCGGCCCAAGCCCAGACCAAGGCCGATGCCTCCGAGCAGCCTCAGCAACAGCAGAAGCCCCAAGTGCTCGAGGAGGACGACGAGTTTGAGGACTTCCCCGTCGAGGGTAAGCGATCCCGGTGCCCCGAATTCATAACCCATGGCACGCCACGGGCATGCGCTGACTATGTTCCCCGCCAGATTGGCCTCAGGAAGAAGCCGAGCAGAATGCCGGGTCCGCAGCGAACGGAGGCAAGGAGCATCTGTGGGAGGAGAGCTGGGATGATGACGATGCCGCGGAGGACTTCTCCAAGCAGCTGAGGTACGTTTACAGCCACCACGACAGGCATCAGATGTCCACCCGGCGCTTTGTCCAGCTTTATGACACCACCCATCGAGCCAAGATTCATTCATGGTCCTATTTTGGAGATATCATAGCTAATCTTCTATCCACACTTACAGGGAAGAGCTCAAGAAGGTCGAAGCATCGCACTAGACAAGATAATACAATGGAAAAGACAATATACGAAAAGAACTTCCGCGTTCCTACATGACATACACCGCCCCTCGAACCGGCTGAACGCCTCTCCCTCTCACGCTACACCATACCATACCCCCCTTTGAACCGATGTAATGCGAAGATAAAGACGACGATGAAACAAGTGAGCTCGAGCATGAGTGCATGAACAAAGACGATCAGGACTGTTGGGCGAGGCCATACCAGGACCATTGATGTTGCTGCTACTGCTCAGGCTGTGTTTGTGTCTGATCTCGTGTATCAGCATACTCTTCTGATGGGCTTGTCTGATTGATGTCTGCGCTGCATGTCTAGGACGCAGTAGGGAGGCTAGACGGGTATAACTCCCAGTATCGAATAGCAAGTCGGTCCGGAAAATCCATTGGGTTCTTGCTACGCCTACTACGTATTTGCATCCAGTAACTGGAATTTCCATCGTAGATCTCGTAAAACCAGGCGTTTTCCCTACTGTCTCCCAACGGTCTATGTACAAAGCAAGCTATCCACCAAGGTCCCCATACCCTGCCCCTTCTTTCCAATATCCAGGCTCAGGCATCGCCCTCATAGCTTCGGTCTCGTATCTGACCAGAAACAGAACTTAGTTACCAGGTATACATCAAGAAGCAAAAGAACCGAGTTGAACATGAAAATTTTGTGATTTATATCAAAAAGAAAAAAATCTTGGCTGTGTACATTACAGTTTCGTGAAAATGTCCCAACTTGACATTGAAGGGGGAGAGATGCAATCTTACTCCTCCGCTAGATATGCCATTTACTTACTGGACAGAGCGGCAACACCGGGCAACTCCTTACCCTCGAGGAGCTCGAGGGATGCGCCGCCACCAGTGGAGACGTGGGAGAGCTTGTCCTCGACGCCGTACTTGGCAGCGACGGTAGCAGTGTCACCACCGCCAATGATGACGATGGAGCCGGACTGGGCGGCCTTGACGGCGGCATCGAGAGTCTTCTCGGTACCGTTGGCGAAGGGCTTCAGCTCGAAGACACCGGGAGGACCGTTCCAGAGGATGGTCTTGGCCTTACCAATGACCTCCTCGTACTTCTCGACGGACTTGGGACCAACGTCCAGACCCATGTAGCCATCGGGGATGCCCTCGGCATCGGTGGCAGTGCCGACGGTGGCGTCAGCGGAGAACTTGTCGGCGGTCACGTAGTCGACGGGAAGGACAATCTCAACGTTGTTCTTCTTGGCCTTCTCGACAATCTCACCGACAATCTTGCTGCCGGCTTCGTCGAAGAGGGAGTTACCGATCTTGACGTTCTCGAGGGTCTTCTTGAAGGTGAAGGCCATACCACCGGTGATGATCAGGCTGTTAACCTTGGGGAGCAGGTTGTCGATCAGCTGGATCTTATCGGAGACCTTGGCACCGCCGAGGATGGCAAGGAAGGGGCGCTGAGGGTTCTCGAGAGCCTTGGCGAAGTACTCGAGCTCCTTCTTGACGAGGAAACCGGCGGCCTTCTGGGGGAGGTCGACACCGACCATGGAGCTGTGGCCACGGTGGGCAGTGCCGAAAGCGTCGTCTGGAGGGAACTGGGAGTCAGTACAAAAATGTGCTCCAAAAAGTCCAGCTGAAAGTAGGAATGCATCACGTACTGATGTAGATGTCACCGAGGGCAGTCAGGCCCTTGCGGAACTCAGCAACCTTCTCCTTATCGGCCTTGACCTTCTTGCCCTCGGCGTCCTTGGAGGAACCCTCCTCCTCGGCGTGGAAGCGCAGGTTCTCCAACAGGATGACCTGGCCGCCGGTAGCCTTGTTGACGGTCTCCTCGACCTGGGGACCAACGCAGTCCTCGGTGAAGATGACATTCTTACCGCCGAGGAGTTTGGAGAGCTCAGCTACGACGGGCTTCAGGCTGTACTTGGGGTTGACCTTGCCGTCGGGACGGCCCAGGTGGGACATCAAGATGACGGCCTTAGCGCCGTTGTCAATGGCATACTTGATGGTGGGCAGAGCACCGGCAATGCGCTGGTTGTTGGTGATGTTCTTGTCCGCATCGAGGGGGACGTTGAAGTCGACCTATGGCGGGGTCATAATGAGCCATTGATATCCATAACAGAAAAAACTAAAACATTTCAACATACACGGATCAGGACACGCTTGTCCTTGAGGTCGACATCGGTGATGTTGAGCTTGTTAGAGAGAGACATTGTCGGCAAGATTCTGTGTCAGTGATGTCAGCGGGGACGTTCCCAAGCTTGAGGGTGTGGTTTACGCAGCCGTACCTCGACAATTGGGGACGATTGAAGCGAAGTAGAGACAGAGCCAGGGAGAAGAGGGGGAATACGATCCAGGAGAACGAGGAATCTTAATCAGGCCACGGTGAGTCGCGACAAGAAGGATGGAGGGGCTCGTGGAGGGACGTGGTGGGGCTCACCGGTGAAGAGGGCGACTGCCGGATTGAGCTTGGTTGCAACGGGGTACGGACCGGTGATGTATTCGAGTGCTTCCAGTGACTTGCACTCTATCGCGTTACCCATACAGTTTCCAGGTAACCCTATAGCTCGCTCTACTTGGGGTTTAGGTAACCCGACTTCCTCCGGACACATCAATCGGGCTGATGCGGGACTGATGTCAGAGCTTCCCGTCCACACGGAACAGGCCGGGCATCCTGGGGTCCTCGATAGCCTCGGAGTCGGGGATTTCTGGGGAGATCGCTGGTTGCTGATCCTCTGATGCTATCCTAATTGGCCAGGCTGGAATTGTCCATAGCCGCTACGCTGCTAGACGCGGGTATTGTGATCCGTTTCGTGACACTTTGTGCAAAAGGAAGAGCTTCGTTGCAAACCCGAAGACTAAACCACACCCCAAATATCCCTAGAAGTGCCTCCAAAGGTATCATCCAAATACCATTTTTCGGCGATGATGAACGAAAGAAGACGTGTACCCCAAACGGATATTCCCAAATACGAATAAAAACACAAACCCAAGGTCCTTTTTGAATGCAACCATATCCTCCCCGCGAACTTTCATATCCCCTATACATAAGAGACAGATATGCGGACCAACCGAAACCGAAACGCCTGAACAGATAGACCGGCAAGCAAAGACAAGCATGACGGAAAGGTAAATCGTTAACGTGATATCCGCTGCGGGGAGTGTACTCAAGACTCATCCGCGGAGTTGGTGAGCGAGAGGTATGCGGTCCACGCAATACCAATAGATGAAACAAATGGCTGCATTAAATTATCAATACTAGAAGCACACGGAAGAGAGGGGTTCTAGAAACTCACAATCTGGTACTGGATAGGAATGACTCGGAAGTTGAGAATCTGGACTGCCGGCCACAGGACAAAGTTGGCCTTGAGCGTTGGCAAGTATACGTCCCGGAACTTTTGAGTCAACGCTCTCTTGCCTCCTCCTTCGGCAATGGTCATAAAAGTAAAGAAACACGCCAGACCTAGAGAACGCAATGTCAGCGCGGAATCCGATCAGAACGGTGGGCAGACAAGCTCATACCGAAAGGCGCAAATATCAACTGATCAAAGGCAACGCGCTTGAACACGGGCACACTGGGGTTCATCTTGGTGAGAGGGAATGCTCGTGATAAAAATCCGAACCACTGGAATTGGACCGGAGCCATGAAGAAACCATATGCCATGAATCTCGTCACACGCTCAAAGTCGAACGGCGCCGGAGACTGTGCCGCAGGCCCAATCTCTCCGATCACAGGTGGTCTCCCCTTGTCCAAGTCATGAATCTCTATCGAAATGAAGTCATTATTCTCGAGCGTTCGTTGAGCATTTCGTGCCCGGAAGGCGGTAATTAACTGCGCAACGGTATCGGCGACGCCACCAAGCACCTATGTCGACATCAATCGTCAATCGCAAATTCCAAGCAGTGTGGTATTGTGGATGAATTTAAGAAACGGGCGGCTTACAGCGTTGGTGACCATCGTCGTGAGAACTGTCGTTGCAAGTCGATTAGCATTCGATCGTACAGCGCCTCGGACTCCTCCGGATTGATGTCTCACCTGGCTTCTCGGCATAGTAAGTGTTGAATTTGCTCGCAATCCGCGTAGCGACAGCCATCTCGATGAGGAATATAATCGTGTGCAAAAGTGGCTGTCAGTGGCGGAGCACGTCAGCACGAGCAAGTTTGAAAAGGGACACACAGCCAAACAGATGGTCAAGGGAAAACGTACCACGCGACCGTAGATATATCTTCTATTCAGTCCATCGAGGACTTTCCGCTTTGCAGAGGTAATCATGGCGGCAGAGGACGAATGGGGGGTTGAAGGCAAGAGTTCCGCCCGCTGAGGTCTAGGCTATCTCGCGTATGTATGACGCAAACTTCGGTGAGAGCCAGAACCGGTGTGCGTGTGGACCGTCCGCTGGCCTTAGTTATCGGAATACCCCTGGAATGCCGATGGGAGAGGCGCGGACGGGAATATATCACTGAAGATGGACGTCTACCCCAGATCGAAGTGGATGATTCGACTCCGCTACGGCTGGACGGACGGTTCATGACTAACGGGAACGGGGCCGAAGTCACGGGTGGCGGCAGGCAACAGGGGCGGTGACGTTCGGCTCAGACTCGGACGCAGCCTTGCGCGGTTAGTTTCCACCCTATCATCATTCATACCTCGCGATTCTTGATATGTACCGTACAACAGTACATCACTACATATATACATCACAGTAGTGGACTCAGAACCTCCTGGGCGGGTCTTACATTCTCTGTGTCGTTCTTTTTTTAGACTTGACAAAATACTAGGTTGCTTAATGAACTGTGTGAATTACAGTATATCACATTCACTATATATACATTCAACATTTTAATGCCATATTCAATATAATTATGCAGATACTCGGGGCTGATCATCCGCCAGAATGTCTGGCAGGTCTCGAATATCGGTCGTCTCGTTCGTATTCACATCCACAAGGCGTACCGCCTCCAGATGGAGGGGGCCGGTCGCAAGGGGTAGTAGCTTCAGTTCGGTTGAGTGGCAGGTTCCAGGCAAGAGGGGGCTAATTGTGGGTGTTAGTTACAAGTTGATCCTGAAGAGATCATACCACTGGTAGGTTAATAGGACTCACCCGACACGGATATCTGTGCTCAAACTGATCAATTCGGCCTCCTGTCCAGCAACGCTCTTCTGCATCGCGTGGACAATATTGTCGTCCGTCACGGCCTCCGCCACATGATCCTCCTTCCGGCTCGAGATGGATGAGGATGAGGGGCGAGCCATATGGCCCCTCGGATCCACACGTTTCCGTCGAGGAATCGCGATCAGAGCGAATTTTCTCGGGATGTTAGAGCGGTTGACAATGAACACATCCCAAGAGAATGGTGAGCCAACTTGAACACGAGAAGGACCAGAGAATGATATAGTCACGCCCACATCTGTAACTGAATATGCTCGTTCTCGCAACGAGGACCGGTTGTTTGGATGCGCCCCTGTTTGGGAATGGCCTTGAGGCATGGATAGGCTGGTGGGCCGGTTGCTTCTTTGCAGCGCCTGGCTGGGACCGCCAAAGGTAGGATTAAGGGGCAAGGAAAAATCAACATTAGTCCGCCATTGCATAGTGATGCGAGGCTTGCAGTCGTCAGATAGATGAATGACTGCTCCTAACGAGATGTCCAGCATACTCATCATGGCAGTCGATGACGGGTTGGTCTCAGGACCATACTCTGGAGTCAATTTGTACATCAGGGTCACGTCGTCTCGGGGCCGACAGGTGATGGGGAGCTCAAGACCTTGCACGGCCGACAGAGGCTCAAGCGTGCCCTCGGATAACTTCACATCTGCTTTATCAAAGCAGATCTCACAATTCAAGAAAGGGGTTACTTCGAAATCCAGACTTGCAACTGTAGTGGGGAGGCCACTGTAGGAATTCAAGCGAGAATAGCGAATTCTTGCACTGGCTGCAGGGACCACACGAAAGGGGTGACCATGTTGCTGCTGGACGTTGTATATAGGATCCTCATTGTATGTTGTAGGCACGACCCGCAACAACCTTGAGGCAGGAAGGAAAGGCTCTTTGTGCTCGAGGGATTTATCGCCAGACAAGGGCTGGAACATATTCGTCGATGCGGGTACTAGGGGAGGAAGATAGTCGTCTTCGGGATCTTCCAGTTGGCTGGATTCTGAAGGATTGAGGCTCGCAGAAGCAATAAATAAGAGCGATGGGTTCGGGATGCGATTTCGAGGTCTCTCTGGAAAATATTAGTCTCTGGGTGCATCCTGTATCATCCTACTGTTGACGCACTCAGAAATGTCTCCATGCTCCAAATGAGGTAGACGTGGTTCCCAGTCCCATCTTCGCCCTCGAATTCATTAAAGATCACCAATGGTTCCTCCCTTGTGTCCACAATTCCAGAGAAGATGACCTCCCTAGCTGGAGTCGGATTCTCTGCCACGGTCTGAGCAGGGTCGACCGCAAATACGTCTAGTTGGACTTCGAGACGGGGTAAATAATGCTTGAGGATGGTATCCGTGCAGTCGGAGAGTCGCAGTACAACGCGGACGGGGAGAGATTCGTCTTGAACACGGTTAGTAAACGAAGGATTTATTTCAGGTACACAAACAGGCCTGTTGCATACCGAAAAATAGAAGTGACCGTTGGGGAATAGAGGAAAGCACCGAGGGAAGATCGTCTGCTCCGTCCTCCAGGGCCAAGGTCAATGCCCCTTCAATATCGACTGAGGGAGCATGCGGGACCACCGTGTCGAGAACCGCATGCCGCAGGAACTCGCCGGGAATTTCCAGACCAGGCATTGCGACAGAGAATGTCGCATGCAACAGTTGTCAACGAATTCCCGTGTTCGGCGTGTTTGCGGGCATTAAGGAGATAGGATCACTGCCCTGATAAGGTGGCAGGTGCAAACAACGCAAACACCAGAGCTTAATCCCAAACGCTTCTCATTTTCACTCCTTCGACTTTTAACCCCAAACGTTCATCATGAATCCAATGACTGGCCCATCAGGTGGTCCAGCCATATGGCAGGAGGCTCGAAATGCTGATGGGAGAGTCTACTACTACAATGTCCAGACGAAGGTGACACAGTGGGCAAAGCCAATTGAGCTAATGACCCCCGTGGAGGTTTGTTCCCAACTACAATCACACGCACATCTTTGAACTGTTCTAACCTTACTTCTGGGATTTTTTAGCGTGCCCTTTCCAATCAGCCTTGGAAGGAATACACAGCAGAAGGAGGGCGCAAATACTGGTACAACACAGAGACCAAACAGAGCACGTGGGAGATCCCTGAGGTTTACAAGAATGCGCTCGCACAGGCTCCAGCTGCCCCAGCTCCCACTGCTCCGGCTCCCTCTGTCGCGTAAGTAAACTTGCTTATATTGTCTATCACTGTCAAAATGCTAATATCATTGCAGTGCTCCGGCTTTCGTAGCAGGCGGCACCAGTTCTTTCGCGCAACACCCCCATCGTGAGCGCGAGCGAGACCGAGACCGAGACCGGGATCGCGATCGCGAGCGCGATGACTATGATCGGGGATATGGCGATCGTCGAGGAGGATATGGGTCTTATGATCCCAACAGTATGGCGGCTGCATCAGCTCTGGCCACACAGACCGACCCCGAGTATGGCTCCCTTGAAGAAGCAGAAAGCGCCTTCATGAAAATGCTCAAGCGGAATAACGTCCAGCCCGATTGGTCCTGGGAGCAGACAATGCGTGCGACTATCAAAGACCCTCAGTATCGTTCTCTTAAGAATCCGATGGATCGAAAGGCAGCCTTTGAGAAATACGCGGCCGAGGTTCGCATGCAGGAAAAGGACCGGGCGAAAGAACGATTCGCTAAGCTCCGCACAGATTTCAATACCATGCTGAAGCGGCATCCTGAAATCAAGCACTACAGTCGCTGGAAGACCATCCGGCCTATTATCGAGGGCGAGACCACGTTCCGCGCTACCAATGATGAGAACGAAAGGCGTCAGCTCTTTGAGGAGTATGTCATTGAGCTCAAGAAAGCACACGTTGAACAAGAATCGGCCACGCGCAAGGCGGCTATGGATGAGCTCATGACCATTCTCAATTCTCTCAACCTTGAGCCGTACACGCGCTGGTCGGAGGCTGAAGCGGTCATTGAGTCCAATGATCAAGTCAAAGCTGATGATAAGTTCAAGACCCTGACCAAGTCTGATATTTTGACTGCCTTTGAAAATCATATCAAGTCCTTGGAGCGCGCATTTAACGATGCTCGCCAGCTGCAAAAGGCAGTCAGGGCCCGAAAAGAGCGCCGCAATCGTGAAGGGTACTTGGAGTTGTTGAAGGAGCTCAAATCCCAGGGGAAAATCAAGGCGGGCAGCAGATGGACGGATATTCGGCCAATCATCCAAGATGACCCCCGATATCAGGCAATTCTGGGCCAACCTGGGTCAACACCCCTTGATCTCTTCTGGGATATGGTTGAGGAAGAGGAGCGTTCTCTTCGCGGGCCCCGTAATGACGTTCTGGACGTCCTCGACGTAAGTTTTATCAACTATGGAAATGATCTTACAGACGCTAACGAGTCTCTTAGGACAAACGCTACGAGGTTACCACCAAGACTTCGCTCGAGGAGTTCACCGAGATTATGCTTTCTGATCGTCGCACTTCTAAGATTGATTCCGATATCTTGAGCCTTCTTTTCCAGCGCATCCAAGAGAAGGCCATTCGTCGGGATGAGGAGGAGAAACACGCAGCAGATCGTCACCAGCGCCGCGCAGTTGACGCACTTCGCTCTCGGATTAAGCGTCTGGAGCCCCCTGTGCGTCTGGCAGACACCTGGGACGAAGTCAGACCACGCCTTGAGAAATATGAAGAGTACAAGGCTGTTGAATCCGACGAGCTTCGTGAATCGGCATTTGAGAAAGTCATCCGCCGCCTGAAGGAGAAGGAAGAAGACGAAAAGGAGCGTGATGTCCGGGATCGTGATCGTGATCGCGATCACAGCCGCCGTCGTGATTATGATCGCGGTGATCGCGACTACCGTAGTAGCCGCGGTGAACGACGTGGTGGCAGCCGAGTCAGCCGTACTCCCGAACCTGATGCGTACGAGGCGGACCGCCGCAAAGCACAAGCGGACCGTGAACGATCCTATCGCAAGGTCAGCGCAATCTCCCCCTCTCGAGAGCGTCGTGAAGATCGTGAGCGCGACAGAGGAGACCGGGACCGCGACCGCGATCGCGAGCGTTACCGTGAACGTGACCGAGGAGACCGCGATTACGACCGACGTCCCGGCGATCGACGAGAAGACGAGCGCGAGCGTCTCTATCGCACGCGTGGAGATCCCCGTGGAGGTCGTGATGAGCTTGACTACGGCGAAACCCGCAGCACTACCAGTACGGACCGTCGACGCCGTCGGGAGAGCGATTCTGAAAGTGTGACCAGCCGGTCGACGAAGCGATACCGCCGTGATAGCCGTGAGCGGGATCGTAGCAAGGGTCCTCGGCGTGCTGGGCCAGAACGCTCTGCGGTTCCTGAAGAGGAGAGCAAGAAGGATGAGAAGGCCATTCACTCTGGCAGCGAGGAAGGGGAGATCGAAGAGGATTAGATGGGGTAAAGTGTATATCAATGGACACTACTTGACTACAATCTCTTGGATATAGTACAGTCCAGTTCAACCATTATTCAATCTAACCTAGCTATTGCCTTGTCCATAATCCAGGTTCACTGGCATACTCCTGAGTCTCCGCAGGCAACATACATCGCAGTATACAGTCCAGGGAAGCGGCTCAATGTCCGGTTCGGCAGTCGTCAGGCATCGCCTCGGACGGAATAATATCCTCCGGAGGGTAAGATCTCCGTCGCGTAAACACCAACCAGGTGGACCGTTTCCACGCCATCGTCCTTCTGTGCAGAATAACTCCGAGACAAGGCTCCTGCAACGTGGACCCCTAAATCTTAGTTCTAACCTTGGGGACCCTGGTTCTTGCCCAGTAAGGATATGGTGAAACGTGGAAACCCTGAAGGGTCCCTTGATCTAACTTTGAAGGTACAGATTCATGAACTAAACACCCCTGTCTGGATGTGCATGAGACCCTTTTCCTGTCGTTCATTTCTCCGTTATGCGCCCCACGGAATGATTTATCCTCGACAAAGTGCGGAGTATGGCCCCGTTCACCATGATGAGTATGTTCATGGGAAATCTACCGATTGGAAGGCATTCAAACTTGCAGGACAAGACTGGACCTTTTCTGAACCCGTTCAGGAACATCGTCCGGTGCATCATTAGCTTGTTTCGAGCTATGAAGCTCACATAAAGGGGAGCTGTTCCCTCGATGGGACAGTGTGAAGAAACTCAACCAAGGTTCTATCATCAAGACAAGATTCAAGAAATCATCTCTTGAACATCACAATGCCTCGAATTCTCACCTACCTCGCTATCGGAGCTCTGTCAACTTGCGCCGTGGCTACGCCCGTCGCTGAGCCTGCCATCACGGCTGCTCCCAGTCTTGAGAAGCGCGCATCTTGCACTTTCTCGGGCTCCACCGGTGCTGCTTCAGCCAGCGCCTCGCAGAAGTCCTGCGCTACTATCGTGCTTTCCAACGTGGCTGTTCCCTCAGGCGTCACATTGGACCTCAGCAACCTGAACGATGGCACCCATGTAAGACTTCGAGTCTGCTTTTCATTTTGTATCAACACAGACTCATTGTTTTCGGTTTTAGGTCGTCTTCGAGGGTACAACCACTTGGGGCTATGAGGAGTGGACGGGCCCCATGCTGCAGATCGAGGGCAAGGATATCACCGTCACCGGTGCCAGCGGCGCGAAGCTCAACCCTGATGGTGCCCGCTGGTGGGATGGCCAGGGTGGAAACGGTGGCAAGACAAAGCCCAAGTTCTTTGCCGCTCACAGTCTGACCGGCTCTTCCTCTATCAATAACCTGTACATTGAGAACACTCCCGTGCAGGCCGTTAGCATCAATGGCTGTGATGGATTGACTATCAACCAAATGACCATTGACAACAAGGCCGGTGACAGTGCAGGTGGCCACAACACTGATGGCTTTGATATCGGCTCTAGTAGCAACGTGGTTATCAACGGTGCCACCGTGTACAACCAGGACGATTGTGTTGCTGTCAATTCTGGCACTGTAAGACAACCCCGGCAAGAAAGGGCATACTGGGCGCATCATTGCTGACTATTTCTCTAGGGTATCACCTTCAGCGGTGGTTACTGCTCTGGCGGCCACGGTCTGTCCATTGGCAGTGTTGGCGGCCGCTCTGACAACACCGTCGACACCGTTACCTTCAAAGACTCCACTGTCACCAACTCGGACAATGGTAGGAAGGCTCATTAACTGGCTCTTTTCAACTTCAGATCTGACTCAATAAATCTAGGTATCCGTGTCAAGGCCACCGAGGGCACCACTGGTACCATCAAGGGCGTTACCTACTCTGGCATCACCCTTTCCTCTATCGCCAAGTAAGCTACACAACAACTGCCATTCTTACCAGATCATCATCCCACTAACATCTTGTTAGATACGGTATCCTGATCGAGCAGAACTACAACGGCGGAGACCTCAAGGGTTCCCCGACCAGCGGTGTCCCCATCACCGACCTCACTATCTCCAACATTTCCGGCTCCGGTGCTGTTGCCTCCAGCGGGTATGATATTGCCATCGTCTGTGGCAGTGGCGCCTGCTCCAGCTGGACCTGGAGCAACGTCAAGGTCACCGGTGGTAAGACCTACGGCAGCTGCCAGAACGTTCCTAGCCCTGCTAGCTGCTAAATCTTTTGATCTTCGGTGGGAATTGGACCTAGTTGATCCTCGGCAGGACCACATAAGGGGGACTGTTTATCATTGATGTTTTTTGTACTAGTCTGACTTTGATTTCTATTTTCCTTTGGATATTGTCTATGAAAAATCGAGGGCGGGCTTTACCCTTTTCCGTTTATTTGAATATTCTTACGCAACAATCCGTACTCCCCGTGCCAACTACGCATCGTAACCCTACTCCGGGACAATTTGCCTCGTTGGTTTCCGAACTGGCTATCTTGGGGGCCCAACGAATGCAACTAACAAAACCTCTATGCATCTGGTCAAGTGTTTTCACCAATCTTCCCCCCTGTGATAGGTCCCAACAGCGCACAGTGCAGTCATCCCCTACACTGAGCAAATACCTCCCTCCAGGATGAAAACCCAAGCCCAGAACCCAGCTATCATGCCCAAACAAGGTCTTGATCAATCTCCCCCTCATATCCCAGAGTTTTACCGTCTTGTCCCTTCCACCCGTAGCCACAAACTCCGCAGTATCGCTGCCGGATGAACCGATTGTCGATCCTCTCAGACCCGCCAAGTATTGATGGCTTGCCTTGGGAGCAAAAACACAACATTCAATGAAATTTTCATGACCACGTAGAAAGGCATTAGTTTCCCCGGAATCCACATCCCATATTGTCGCAGCTTGGTCACGACCACCCGTGACGAGCCATTTCCCATCAACCGCAGGAGAAAGACTGTATATCCAATCACCCTGCGAATATATCGTCCTGATGCAGTAGCCCGTGACTACATCTCATATACGAATCGATGCATCGCGACTAGTCGAGAGAAGACGATTTTCACCTTCTCGCAGAAACCGTACAGACGTGACGGGAAGATCATGGCCACAAAGTGTTCGAACATTGGTATAGTCGTTCCTTGGATCCCAGATCTTGATTGTGAAATTATTCGAGCTCGATGCAAGTAGTATCTTGCCCTTTTGACCGCCGAAGTCGACATCTGTCACGCTTTGCGAATGGCCCTTGAGTGTCCTTTCGAGTTCGCCAAACTCCCAGTCCGAGATTTTGATGGTACAGTCATCTGATCCAGATGCTAGAATGGAGTATACTGGATGGAAGGCAATGCATGTGATGGCTGCTCTATGAGATTCCAAGGTGTAGGTTGGGGTAGTAGGAAGCCATTTATTTGGATCTTGATTTGGTCGTGTCACAGCTTTTGAAGAGGATTCTAGCTGCGACTGTAAACGATCGTTTTCTATCCCCAGCTTTATGATCTGATGGTAGTACGTTAGTACGCTTAGTTATCCTATCGCTGATGCAATGGCTTTACCTCTTTCCGCAGAAGGGCGACTTTTATCCATTTTTGCTCTAAGATTCGCGAATAATTTTTGACGGCCTGCTTTGGGAAGACATCTTTTAATTGTAATTCTTCTCGTAAGGCCTCGACACATTTTGATGCATTTATCAGTGATAGGTAGCCTATCATAGCTTTATGGCTTGTAACAGAATTAGTATGAGATCCGCAGGAAGGGTTCAAAGCACCTACAGTTCTGTGGCTTGTCCTGGAGTCAATACACTCATGACAGCGATGGAAGAATCAGTTTGGAATTACAGTTCCTTTGCAATCGAGGAGTGTCTCCTTATAAAAGGCGTACCCCTTGTTCTTACGAAATGGTGCATGATCGGGAATACGGCTGCATGGAATCACATGATTACAAGGCACAATGCGAGGAGAGACAGATGTTTCAATCGCACTATTGGAATATCTGTAATGATACGATCCCGTCGCAGGGAAGTGAGACTCTTTCTGACGGACTGGCTAGGAGATTAAGCTTGCTTCCGTCGGTCTAGGTCTACTCGTAACAAGACTAGAAGAGAGGATTGTGGCTGAAGTCTAAAATTACTGTCATACTGGCTTAGCAAAATTTCATTGATTGAAATGCAAAGGTAAAGATTTCCTGGTAGAGCTTCTCGCGAAAACGTTGTTGATGGGGTAGCTTACTAGGCTGCTGCTACTGCTTGTAGAGGTATTGAATACGGAAAGCATTAACAATCGCAGCATCAAGGAAGAAGTAAAGAAGCGGGAACTAATTACGCTCGCCCTTTCCGATAATTTAATGCCTGAGATTCCAGGCATTAGTTTCAGGCCACAAAAGTTCGGTTGATGATCACGTGATAGTGAATCTCAGGGCCAATCGGAGTTAGGCTTTCGATCGCAAACTGACCAATCAGCATGGTATGTTTGTCTCAAAATCCCCCCCCAAAAAATCCCCTTCCATTTACTTAGGAAGTAATAAGCTTCGTTAAGCTCCGCAATTGCAGTGAGGCCCTTGATTTCTCGACACATATACGCACGGGGGGAATACAGCAAATTTTAACGAGAGAAATTTCATAGATTTCTATCACTCTTCGTTTAAATGAATGCAGATTTCCATTGCTAGAGGGATTTTATTGTGACAACCTTGGAAAACGGTTACGATGATGGATAGATATATTTGTGGAGAAAGCTATCCGTTCCCGCGAACCCCTGCCGGGCGAGCTAGCCTATACAGCGTCAATGGTCAACTAAAAAGAAGTATTCCTTATGACAAGTAGTGGTCATCTCCTGTTCAGGATTAATTTCTTCCAGATATCAAATGAAACTAATGTCCTACCCGTGTCGTAGCCTGGCCGACCTCACCGAACTGACCTACCCACCGGGCTAGATGGAGGGACTAGAAGGTCTCGCACCACCTTCTCCAATGCCTCTGCTTTAAATGGATACCTTGCGTGCTGAACCCGGACACTTCGAGTGAAGCAGAGACTTAGTGCCGTCAGCTTACGAAAGACCTAACTGGTCCGGATGGGTTTTATGAAAAATTGACATTGTGCAAAAACTAGTAGGTAGGCCTGAAAACCACGTCCATGATGGATCGACCAGATGCAAGAAAACCCAGCTATTCAACAAATGACAGTCTTCCCTACCATTTGGCCTTCAGCCACACCCAAGAAGATATCCACCTCTACCGATCATCAAGTCATAGAAAGCTTTTTGGTAACCGAACCCTCAGCCCAGAGTACAAAAGAATTAACTCCGATGAAACAATCATGCCGATCAAAAAATCCCCCGACCATGTTATCGTAAAGAAAAAAGCGTTGGGTGAGATCAGATGGCAGGTGTTCCCGTCTTTTCACTAGAGATTTCGGAGGAGGTCCGAATCCCTGGAGCCATGAAAACGGAATAAGGGCAGACAGATGATGATGAGTTGAGATGATCGATGATCTCGAGATGTAGAGAAGTACAGTGAAGTGAAGACTAATGGAGCATGCCATTCTCTCCTAGGGGACCTTCTCGTTCACGTTCGACCACCCATCATCCATCATCATCATCATCATCCTCCTCCTCGCCATCATTCAGAACATCCTCTCCATTTCCAAGAGAAACCCTGACGGGGCGACGTAGCTTTCTACGATGAACCGCCAAGGCCCTGCAAAGACCAGGAAACGCCATTAGCCAACTGACTCTTCCGTTGCCGCGGCGCCGGTTGCGCCGCTGCTCAGAATCGCGGCCATCACCATTGTGAAGGCGGCGTTGGTGCTCATGAGGGATGCCCTCTTCAGTTCTCTTCTTCCAAGAAGTAGTAGTTGCCAGCCAACTTCTGCTCCTGGTCCATCTGACTGTTGTACTTGTTGATACGAGGGCGGTAGCTGTTGGGGTCACGACGGAAAGTGACATCCAGATTCCGCAGGAACTTGTTGCAACCAGTGACCAGAGACTCAGGAGTGTTGGCGTGAGCGTCCACGGAAGGCTTTCCGTCGAAGACGATAACGCGGTCAGCCAGGTAGGTGGCCATAATGAAATCGTGCTCGACGATGAAGGCAGTCTTCTTAGTGTGCATGATGAAACGCTTGATAACGCGGGCAGCAACGATACGCTGCTCGGAGTCCAGGTAGGCACTGGGCTCGTCAATCAGGTAGATATCGGCAGGGATACCAAGGGCAAGGACGATGGCAACACGTTGCAACTCACCACCAGACAGGTTCTGAACCTCCTGGTCGATGAAGTCATCAAGCTTGAGCGGCTTGTAGACATCGGTCTGGAATTGTGGGGAAAGGAATGCAGCCTTGATACGCTTGAAGAAGAGCTGGCGGACAGTACCCTGGAACTTGGGGGTAATCTTCTGAGGCTTCATGCTGATGTTCATCTTGGGGACTGAACGGTTACCATCGGGCTTCTCGGCACCAGCCAGCATCTTACAGAAGGTGGTCTTTCCGGTTCCGTTCTCACCCATCATCACGATAATCTCGGAGTCAGTGAATTGACCGGCTTCAATCTTGAGGTGGAAGTTGCCGAGGGTCTTCTCCATGGCGGGATAGCCATATGCGTGTGCCTTGTCTGCAATGAAGTCGTCACCAGCCTCACTGAGGCGGAAAGTCAGAGACTCCTCACGGAAACGCAAGTTCTCGGTCGGGATATGACCGTCGAGGAAGATGTTGATACCCTCGCGAACGGACGAAGGGAGGGTAACAACACCGTAGACAGCAGGGCGACCGTAGAGAACGCAGATGAAATCGGAAAGATAATCAAGAACCGAAAGATCGTGCTCGACGACAATGACGTAGTCATCGGGACGGAGAAGGCCACGGATGGTACGGGCAGCAGCCAGACGCTGCTTGACATCAAGATAAGACGAGGGCTCGTCAAACATGTACCTATAGATTTGGTAAGTGGAATGATCCAAGTGCAATTCGGATTCTCAAAAACTTACACATCGGCCTTCTGGACACAGACCAGGCCAATGGCGAAACGCTGCAGCTCACCACCAGACAGGTGACCAATGTCACGGTCCGCAACCTGGTTCAGTTCTAAATTTTGTAAATTGATTAGTCTTTTGTCTAGAATTAAGAGAAATGAGATTCCATACCAAGCACATCCATGATCTCCTGCATGTTGTCCAGCTGGTCACGAGCCTTGATGAGATCCTTGACGCCCTGGACGGGACCCTTGACGGCGCGGGGAATCTGATCGACATACTGAGGCTTGACAACAGCCTTCAGGTTGTCTTCCAGGACCTTGGTGAAGTAGTCTATTTACTTGGTCAGTCATAGCCGTTCACTGATCATGTTGGCTTGATTTCACGGACTCTGCAGCTCGGAACCACGGAAATACTTCAGAATCTCCTCCCAGTCAGGAGGGTTATCGTAGCGGCCCAGGTTAGGCTTCAGCTTGCCACTCAGAATCTTCAGCGCGGTACTCTTTCCGATACCGTTTGTTCCAACGAGACCGAGGACCTGACCGGGACGGGGCATGGGCAGACGGTGAAGCTTGAAGCTGTTGGCGGAGTAACGGTGGGTGACCTGGCTCTCCAGGTTGGTGGGCAGGTTGATAATATTGATGGCGCCGAAAGGACACTTCTTGGGGCAAATACCACAACCGATGCAAAGGCTCTCGGAAATGAAGGCGATCTTCGAATCGGAGGCCACTTCAATGCAAAGCTTACCCGTGCGGACCACGGGGCAAGACTTCTTGCACTCCTGACGACATTTCTGTAGCACATCAAGTCAGCCTCTGTGAAATCAAGTCAAACCGTTGTTCCAGATCCATACCTTCGGTTTGCACTGTAGATCAAGAACATTTGAGGTAAGCCGGCCATGAACGAGGTATTCAAAACGCGAGGATTGCAGTTAGCGGGGTAGTCAGTGACGAACCTTGTCGCTGTTGACAATGGCAATACTAGAGGCAAGATGATCGTTAGAAATGCGCAAGTCTTCTTTGGAGAAGCTAGCTGAACATACCGAGTAAGCTTGTCAGACATGGTGGCGGCTTTGAGTCTCAAAGAACCACGATCAAGTTTCAGAGGCGGGTATCCAGAGATTGACAGCGGAGGTTGTCGCGTGCAAGGACCATCAGATCAGGCGGAGAAAACGCCGGCGCTGGCAAAGGAATCGGGCGCAGAGTAGCACCAAGTTTCTGCGCAGACTTGAACTGACGGGTGAAAGGCAGAGCAATCGCGACGACGAGAGGGGCAAATTGAACGCTTTCTTTCCAGATTATTGTGGGCGAGTCTGCCTGAGGCCACAAACAAGTGACCGCCCTGAATGGGCGCATTATTTCGCATGACGCTGATTGGTGGGGCAGAACGGGGCGGAAAAAAGGTTCCTGCGGGTCTAGCTGACTTAATCCGACAACGTGACACAGGATGGTCACGGGACTGCCAGCTGGTCGAGAAGCGAAGACACTAGTCCCAAAGAAGAGAGTTGTTGCTGCCTGAGGGCCGAGGCCGCCAAGCCGATCGTTCTGCAAACCAAACCAAACCGAATCAAACCTCCCCCAACTCTTCTCCCTCACTCGTCTCTACCTGCCACAGCCGCACGCCGTCACCGCAGCTCCCCCCGCCCACCATTCCTTTCTCACCTTGATACGCTAACCTCCCCTCTTGCGGGGTCACCGCGCTATGGAGCGTAAGTGAATTTTCCCCTCTTTTCCTCAAAGCGCGGGTGTATTGCTTGACCGGGTTGCCCGCGTACTTCTCCGCGTTGCTCGACCCACTGTCAGAATCCCCCGATTTTCCTATTGTTCCTCGGGATCGAGGCGTTCCTTGACTTGTTTTGACGTATGTTGGATGGAATCGCTCTCTGAGCGTGGGTTGTCGTTGTCAATCTCCTCGTGGCTGCTTCCCCAGTCCTGCTCACGCCCAATCCACCCCGTTATCAAAAACCATCATATGTCATCAATCTTGATATGCTGTGTGACTCCACCGATATCAAGCTCAATTGCTCTGCGGTTTGAGTCGCGTATCATTTCTTCACGGTCTCTCGTGTCTTTGGCGTGTCTCCTTCTCGGAATTGAGCTTCAATGCTAACTGCCCCTCCTGTCATAGCCTCCAGCATGGTGATCCCATCGGGTCAAGAACCTCTTACCTCCTCCAGTATGCCAAATGGCTACTCACATTCCAGTATGGATGAAGACGCACCCGCAGAGCTCGACATCACCCCTAAGAGCGAGCCAAATGCCTACGGGCTCATCGAGTCGCATCCCGTCTCCGAGTCCTCCCCCGAACCTGATGCCGCGGACGACTCGTATGAGGCCGAGTCTCCAGCTTCAGATGGAGAAGATGAAGACGTTGTGATGGAAAACAGTGGGGATGATATCGGTCAATACAGCCGTGAAAACTCTACATCGCCCGAACCAGACCGCGGCGTCAAGCGAAAATCGTCGCCGCCAGACGAAGTCGAGTTCATGCGACAAAATCCCGATCTGTATGGCCTTCGTCGAAGTGGTCGCGCACGTCAAACACGTCATCTCGTCGACTCGTCCGACTCTGACTCCGATGTCGTTGCGCCACGCTCCAAGCGCCGACGCAAGGAACCCTCCCAGCAACCTTCCAAGACATCACGGTCGGCTACAAATTCCTCATTCTCGGAATCTGACAGTGATGAGTACGGAGGAAAGGGTGCCCGCGCAAACAAGGCACGACGACGGCGTCTAAAGCAAGCCGCAAGCACAGAACCCTCCTTTGCTGAGGTGCGCTTCTCGACGCGGAATGCCTCCAAGGTGTCGAACTACAATGAAGACGAAGATGATGAGATCTTCGACGAAGATCCGGATGAAATCATGGACAGCTACTGGGCCCAAAACTACGTGGAGGACACCCGCCCTGCTGTTGATGTCGTTTTGAATCATCGGCTAAAGGAAGGCGTGGACCCCAAAAACCCAGATGTCGATCGCCAAGACTTTGAATTCTACATCAAGTGGCAGGACAAGTCACATGTTCATGCCACCTGGGAATCGAATGAGTCTCTTGCCAATTGTCGCAGCACGCGTCGTGCGGACAACTATGTACGTAAGGTGCTCAACGAAGAGCTTCGTCTGCTCCATGACCCCGACGCACCTCCAGAGGATCGAGAGAAGTGGAACCTTGATCGGGAACGTGATGTCGAGGCCATTGAAGACTACAAAAATGTCGAAAGAGTTATCGGTGTCCGAGAAGGGGAGGACGGCACGACTGAATATCTCGTGAAGTGGAAACGGCTGTTCTATGATTCGTGTACCTGGGAAGCCGAAGATCTGGTCAGTGATATTGCACAGAGTGAAATTGACCGTTTCATCGATCGCTCGGCTCGCGTGCCCGTCTCCGACAAGAACGAAACCAATCCAGCTACCCGCCGACCATTTGAGCGTATTCAAACCACGCCAGACTTCTTGAAGAATGGAGAACTCAAGGATTTCCAGATTAAAGGCCTGAATTTTTTGGCATTCAACTGGGTCAAAGACCGGAATGTGGTCCTGGCAGATGAGATGGGACTTGGAAAAACGGTACAGACTGTTTCTTTCATCAACTGGCTGCGTCATGTTCGGCGACAGCAAGGTCCTTTCATTGTCATTGTCCCCCTGTCAACCATGCCGGCATGGGCGGACACATTCGATAATTGGACCCCGGATTTGAATTATGTCGTCTACAATGGCAGCGAGAAGGCGCGTTCAGTTCTCCGGGATTACGAGTTGATGGTGGATGGTAACCCTAAGCGGCCAAAGTTCCACGTCCTCCTGACCACTTACGAATACGCCATGAACGACTCTCCCTTCCTCGGCCAGTTCAAATGGCAGTTCATGGCTGTTGACGAGGCCCACCGTCTTAAGAACCGTGATTCACAGCTTTACGTCAAGCTCAGTGAGTGGAAGTGCCAGGCACGTCTTCTCATCACTGGTACTCCCATCCAAAACAATTTGGCTGAGCTGTCCGCTCTCATGGACTTCCTCAGCCCCGGCATGGTTCACGTAGATGTCGATATGGATCTAAACTCAGAGCATGCGTCACAAAAGCTAGCCGAGTTGACCGATGCTATTCAACCATTTATGCTACGCCGTACCAAGTCCAAAGTGGAGTCGGATCTTCCTCCAAAGACTGAGAAGATCATTCGCGTGGAGCTTTCTGATGTCCAGTTGGAGTACTACAAGAACATCCTGACCAAGAACTACGCTGCTTTGAATGATGGTGCCAAAGGCGTGAAACAATCACTGCTGAATATCATGATGGAACTAAAGAAAGCGAGTAATCACCCGTTCATGTTCCCCAATGCAGAGGCAAGGATCTTGGAAGGCAGCACACGGCGAGAGGACATCCTTCGCGCCATGATAACCAGCAGTGGCAAGATGATGTTGTTGGATCAACTACTCCGCAAACTCAAGACCGACGGTCATCGCATCCTGATTTTCTGTCAAATGGTTGGCATGCTCAACATTCTCAGTGAATACATGGAATATCGTGGCTACAAGTATCAACGGCTTGATGGAACCATTCCTTCGGCTGCTCGTCGCCTGGCCATTGAACACTACAATGCCCCAGAGAGTACCGATTTCGCCTTCCTCCTCTCCACGAGAGCCGGTGGTCTTGGAATTAACTTGATGACCGCTGATACTGTCGTTCTCTTTGATTCCGATTGGAACCCTCAAGCCGATTTGCAAGCCATGGCACGAGCTCACCGCATCGGGCAAACCAAACCCGTGAGCGTCTACCGCCTTGTATCCAAAGATACTATCGAAGAGGAAGTTATTGAGAGAGCCCGGAACAAGCTCATGTTGGAATTTATCACAATCCAGCGTGGCGTGACCGACAAGGAAGCCACTGAGATGCAGAACAAGATGGCCCGCGTGGTCAACGAACCGAACTCCACGGAGGATATCTCCCGCATCCTCAAACGTCGTGGCCAGAAGATGTTCGAGCAAACTGATAACCAGAAGAAACTTGAGCAACTTGATATTGACTCCGTTCTCGCAAACGCAGAACTTCACCACACTGAGCAGGAGGAATCGATCCAGGCAGACGGTGGTGAAGAATTCTTGAAAGCCTTTGACTTTGTCGACATCAAGGTCGATGATCTCACTTGGGATGACATCATTCCTGCAGATCAGCTCGAGGAGATTAAAGCAGAAGAGAAACGCAAGGCCGATGAGAGGTATCTTGCGGAGGTTATTGAGGAGAACCGGCCTCGGAAACGCCATGCGCCTGCTGAATCGAAAGAAACTCGGGGAGAACGCCAGGCCAAGCGTCAGGCAAGGGCACAAGTCGCTTTGGACGATGATGAGGATGACAGCAGCTCCCTAGATCCAAAGCGTCCTCTGGAAGAAAAGGAATACCGTTCTCTTTCACGGGCCTTCCTGCGTTATGGTGATTGGGCAGATTGCGAAGAGCTCATTGTCGAGGATGCTCGGCTGCAAAATCGGGACCGAGAAACGGTTTATGCGGCTCTTCGTGAGATCACGGACAAGGCGACCTCACTTGTCCAAGAGAACCTGGCCCAAATGGAGGCTATCAAGCAGTCTGGCAAGAACTTGACGAAGAAAGAACAAAAGGCTGTTCTCTTTGACCATCACGGTGTGAAGCGCCTCAATGCCTGGACCATCGTCGACCGGCCGCCTGATATGCGCCTTATTCGGAAAATTACTACTGCTCTGCCGGATTTCAAGACCTTCCGTCTTCCAGAAGCCACCAAGTTGGCTGATTACAGCTGCCCATGGGGTGCTCGTGAGGATGGAATGCTCCTAGTTGGCATTGCACGTCATGGATTTGGCGCTTGGACACAAATTCGAGATGATGTGGATCTGGGCCTTGGTGATAAGTTCTTCCTGGAGGAACACCGCGTGGAGCGAAAGACCCAGCGTGCCCAAGGGGATGAAAAGTCTACCAAGTCACCGGGAGCTGTCCATCTCGTCCGCCGTGCCGAGTATCTGCTCTCTGTCATGAGGAACAAACACAGCAACGGCAGCAATCTCAACGCGAGAAGAGCGGTTGAGAATCATCACCGGAACAACAAGCGGAACTCGCGCGTTGGCAGTGGTAGCGTTTCCGCATCTCCTGCTCCCCCTGCTCGCAAGGGTCACCGGGAAGCTGAGCGATCAAGACCTCGTTCCCACACACATGGTAGCCGTGACTCCGGTGATCGTCACCATACCCCAAGCCATGACCGCCCAAGGTCAGGTCAGGATGGTGACCGCCCTCGCCACCGTCCCTCTGACGCGGCCAACGATGAGCACCGTCGTCGCAAGAGTCACGAGAATGGCAGCTCGAGCAAAGAAGACATGGCCAAAGCGTTCTTCCGCCCCATCGTGCCAAATCTTAAGCAGGTCTCCATGATCACAGCGAAGAACTATCCCAACAAACATGAACGGGCTGTCAAGCTCCGCAACACGATTGTGAAGATTGGGAAGTTCATTCGCAACACGCTGGAAGGTGAACAGTCTATGCCTTCCCTTGAGAAACGTCTGTGGTAAGTATTGATTCAACCAGTATTGCTGGGCGATCTGTTGATTCGAAATTTAGGGATTATGTTTCCGCCAACTATTGGCCCAACAAGGAGGCCAGCGGATCCAAACTTCAACAGATGTTTGATAAGGTCATGGAAGCCAGTAAGCTCGAGGGTGAGAAGAGATCGAACGGTTCATGATCCAAAAAGATCCGCTCAATAGCTCTGCCGGGCTGATCTTTTTTTTCTCGTGCATGATGACACGACATACATGTTGAGGAGTGTTGGCCATGTTCCCGGTCTTCGACATCTGGACACCTAAACCGCCAGCTCCCTCCTCCCCCTACTCCTTCCCTATCCCTCCCAGCTAGGCCGGTGTTAATCAACCAGATGAGATGTCAAGGACCTTTCTTTTTGATTAAAAGTACATATGAATGCGAGGAGTTGCATGGCATTGCTACGGCGTCGGAATGGGTTGCGATTCACGCAACCAAAAAATGCTTACAAAGCATGAATAGGAGAATTCCGATCTGTTTTATTTGAATATGATTCGAACGTCAAGACGATATTTGCATGGTGTGCTTGGTGCTCTTTTGTATTTCCGGGGTGTCATTTCCTAAGCTTCTTACCTTTGCTTTCTGTTGGCAGACCATTGTCCACCCATAACACATCTCTCTACTGAGAATTCGCTGAAATGGGCTACGTTTGGTCTGCCGTCAGTAATCTCTTGATTTCGTTTCTGTTTCCTTTTGAAATCTTCTCGTTTTGTCGCATCGCCCCGGTCTCATTTTCTGCGATATTGTCCCCTGGGCCACGGCCGTTTCCTTTCCTGTTGTTACTTTTACATGTATCCTATGGAGTGGCTACCATGGCGTCGATTGATATTATGGCTCAATCAGGAGATCATTGAACTAGTCAAGAGCACTAGTTATGCTTCATAATTCCTTCTCTTCCTTGTTAGATTCAAATACGCACTGCTTAGATCCTAAAGGTAGGAATACCTAGCTGTTCGCGGCTCCAGCCTCTTAGGTAGTTTGAGGGCGCTACCAACTCTGAGTTATGCATGTCAGGGCGAGTAACAGATAGAGCCACCTATGTTAACATTGGGATGGTATGCAGGAAATAAAAGACAGACTAGAAAGAGTCTGAGACTCAACATTTCAGAAAAACGATCAATCCCCGAGAGACATTGATAGAAGATAAAGGATATATTCGTACAGATATTCGTTCCGCTTTGCCTTCTCACTCCCTTTTCAAAAAGCAGGTATCCCAAGGCTATCGCAACGCCAGTCACGCCATGAAGAAATAAAAATATAGAGATAACAAGATATTAATGCAGGGCCGGGAAAATTAGGCCGCAGCATCGGCCTCACCTTCGGCGTTCTCCGCCGACTTGGCCTGTAATTGCTCCTGCTGTTGCTTGAAATGCAATTGCTGGTGCTGGAGCTTTTCCAAACTAGTAGCCAGCTTTCCTGGCGCCGTTGGAGGAGCGCCGATATCGCCAACAAGAGCGCTGAAGAGCCGCAGCTCAGCTTCGATCACATCGTCAAATACAGCATCCTTCTCCAGCCAGGCTTGCTCACGCTTTGGTCGAAGCTCGACCCATTCAGATTTGAGCTGTGCGGTCTCTTTTTCTGCCCAGAATATCTGGCGGCGGAGGAGCCGGTATAGATCGCGTGGGGCCATGGTGACCTCGCGGTCATCAAAGCCGAGCTCTGGCCCGAATTCTGGAATGCTTGTCTCCTCTGTGTCATCGTGTGCGGTGATGGTCGTCAATACAGGCTCATTGAGGTGCTCTGTTTCGCTGCCAGGCTCTCTTGCAGGCTGGGAGAGCTTGAGGCGAATTCGTTGGAGCTTCGAGGCTGGGGTACCGGTCATGCTGCCAACGGCCGCGGCCTTGACCTCGGTCGGGCGCAGATTGTCGAGTTCGTGCACAGAGCGCATGTGCTTTGTGAGGGCATCCGAGCGGGTGAAATTACGATCACACTCTGATGCAGTATGTTAGAAAGGGGAAACTAAACGAAACAAAGGAGGTAGTAGGTGAGGGAGAGGAAGGCGGGGAGTGACGCACCAGGGAGGGTGCAGTAGAAAGGTTTCTCTCGAGTATGGCTCCTCATATGCGCACGTAAGGCATATGCGCTGGCATGCGTTTGACCTTTACGGGAGCAATCCATCCACTCGCACGAGTACCGCTTCTGCCGGGTCCCGATATGCTCGTGATGGATATGTTGCACCAGGCCATCCATATTGCCGAGGTCACCTGCCGTGCATCCATCCCACTGACACACAGTTACTTGATCGCCGCTCTGGCCGCTGTAATCATCCTCTTGGGTGTTGCCGCCCAGCGCAGCACCAAAGAGGAGAGGGGAGTTCGGGAGGTCGCCGGAGGTGTCGGAGGAGATGGAGGCTGTTGGTGAGGGTGGAGGTGGGATCTCGTCTTGGAGAGACGACATGGGGGTGTGGCGGTCCCAGGAAGCTACCCCTGTACGACGGCGCTTTGATGGGGGCATATTCGAAGCTGACGGCGATTGAGGGCGGCTCTCGTGCTTAACGGAGTCGCGATCTGAGTCGTCGGCAGTGCCGATGGACGACAAGGGGGAAGCTTCACGAGATGCCATAGTGGCGGTAATGACGGTAATTGACAAGGTTATATGGCCCAAATGACCAACTTGGGACGAGGATAGCAATTGCTGCAACGACTGACAAGAGACAGTCGCGCAGGTGGCTGGCGCAAGGCGAGGGACGATGGCGCATCACGTGATGGTGCTCCGAGCTCGAGTTGATTTTCTTTTTTTGTTTTTTGTTTCTTGTTTTCTCCTCTTTCCACTCCCCCCAACCACTGCAATGGCTGCAAAATCGGAGGAAATCCAACTAACTCGCTCACATTGAGCATAGCATGCCTTTTCTGTACTGACATTACTCTGGTAAGCACCTTTCTACCTTGGGCTTGCCCTTCCCCCGACCCTTGCTATTTGCATGATGAACGCAAAGAAGAATTCTGCAATTCAGACAATCTCCGTGCATTTCTTTCGGGTCTTGCTTTGTGAGATTGCATGTTGACTCTTCTACACTTGATCTGATCTACGCAATGCCATTTCACATCATGACATCAATTGCTATTATTTTCACTGCTAGAGTTGTCCGCTAACAACCTGTAAAGTATTTATCCAGTTAGGTTTCTCCCCTCAATACCGTGGCCCGGCGACTGTATGCTGCTTCAAGATGGCATCAATTTCAGCCATCTCCTCGTCCGTGAGCTTGTCGACTCCAGTCATATTCTGAACCAGCTTGTCAACAGTCGTACCGCCGGGAATGGGAATGATGGTGGGCATGCCGGGTTTGCCGCTGAGAGTGCGAATCCAAGCCAGAGCAATCTGGGATGGAGCAACATTCTTGCGAGAGGCTAGGCTGTTGACCTCGTTGATGAGATTCAGGTTTTGCTGGAAGTTTTCCTCTTTGAACCGTGACAGGTGTCGCCGGATGTCACCCTCGGGAATGTCATTCAGAGAGGTCACTGCACCTGTCCAGACACCGCGACCAAGAGGCGAGTAGGCAACGATGGGGATGTCGAGCTCCGCACAGGTCTTTGCAATGTCGTTCTCTAGAATTTCGGTCGACCAGAGCGACAGTTCCACCTCGACGGCGGCAATGGGATGAACTTTGTGTCTATGCAGGTAGTTAGTATAGATAGTTCAATAAATAGGTCATGGGCTTGCAACGTACGCTCTCCGGATAGTCTCCGCATCCACTTCACTGAGACCAATGCCACCAATCTTTCCCTCCTTCACATACTGCGCAAGGACCTCGATGGTGTGTTCAACGGGGAATTCGGGGTCCTGTCTGGCCACCTCGAAGATATCGACCTTTATCTTTCCATCCAACAGGCGTAGAGTCTCGTCAACGCTACGACGGATATTCGCTTCCGAGCCATCCGGAATCAACTGGCCGGGCTTCAATCCACCCTTGATGCTGAGAACAACCTTGTCTGCAGCCTCGGGGTATTTTGTGAAATACTTGTTCAGCAGGTGCATGGAGTTGTACTCTGGTGTGCCGTAGAGCTCACCACCATTCCAGAAGTTGGCACCGAGCTCTAAGGACTTGTTGAGGGTCTCGAAGCACACTTCCTGAGATGGTGGCTGGGCCTGCCAAGTCATTCCTGGACAGGAGTCAGTATAGACAACTCTCGTGAGAACCAAGGGAAGCTGGAAGAAAAGCCATACTCATAGTGCCATAGCCCGTTGGGCCAACCTCTTTTCCAACGAGAGTGGGCATTTTGTGTGTCGCCGTTGGTATTCAAAGCGGTAAATCTGGCGAGGAAGATATAATGAACAAAGTGCAAGGACTTCGATTGTTGACTAGTGGCAATGGAGGAGGTTAAGCGTTCGTAGAGCAGGGCTGCTGTGGCGGGCGGGCTTCTTATACCTGAGTCGCCCCTCACGAGTGAGTGGTAGATAATATGCCCCACCAATCCACGAATAAGCACCTTAACCCCGATTCCTGCAGAATGTCCGTTAGCAGTGTCATTCATGCAACAGCTCTACTAAACCGCGATTAATCCCGTGCTAAATACGCTCTACGGGGAAAGCTCCATGCGATGCCTCCTACCACGGCCGGGCCAATTGCGAGGAAATCTGTCAAAATTGGTGCATCGGAGTTAAGATTGCGTAGACCGAAGAACTAAACACCGCCGGGATGGAGATGCCATCTAAGTTGAGCATTTTAGGAAATACGGGGATAACTTAGTGGAAGCCGGCTCTTATTTGAATCAGGCAGGAATATTCTTGACAATGTTTTATTCCACAACTACAGCTACTGTGCTTGGATTCAAATACCTCGCAAGCTATAGACCTGACTAAATAACTCCCCGCCTATAGGAAGTAGCATTGCTAAACTATAAAAACATTTCATATAATATCACATCAAATCATTTCTCCTTTTCATTCCCCAAATTCAAAGATTAAACTTATCATCCAACCCAAGCTCATCCGAACTATCAACCGCATCTCGCCATCGCGACGCAAGCTCCGTCTCCACGGCAGCAAAGATAATCGGTAGATCTGAAGCAGAAAGCTTCTCTCCACTATGATATCCTGGTCCGATTTGAATGTTCTCAATTTGTTGTTGGTTTCCTTGTTTGATGGTAGCTGAGTACGTGACTCCGCTGGCACTGACGACTGGCGTCGCGTCGAGATTTATCGGTTTGCCATACTCAGCCTTGAAAAGGGAGCTCAGGATACCAGTAGCGGAGGGTGTTTCTGAAGATGTTTCTGAAGGTGTTTCTGAAGGTGTTTCGATAGGTGTTTCGATAGGTTTTTTTTCCGTGGGAGTTGGGTCTGAAACGCCCAGTAGGTCAAAGACCTCAGAAAGGTAACGTTCGGTATCGGGGATTAGTCTCTTTGCGAGAGTTAGCATGCACTTTTCAGGTGTCAGGATCAGGTGGCTAGCGTACCGGATCGCGAGGCTGCACAGCAGGCAGAGATTCGGCTTGATCTGCTGTTGTTGACGCCTGAATTGGATGCGCGCAAACAGTGGAGATGGCCAGCATTGCCAGAACTCCAATCAATGTCCAAGAAAATCTTTGTGATGGTAGCGACATTTTGTATAGAAGAGTTGTTGCTCTTAGGTTTTCCAGCGATTGAAGGGTGATTTGATGGATGGACTGGGGATAGGACGCGAAGGAAGTTGAAGAGCACTTGAAAGAGATCTTCCACAGGCGAGGTAGATCAGGATCCACTAATGATTCATATACCTTTATCCTGCAATCAGTGGAACAATATTTGCCCTCGTGTGGAATGAGGGCTTGAAACGCTCGGATGCCGATATGAGGCTAGTCTGGTCAAAGTGCCAGCCAAATTCATCCCCCAAGCCATCTAATTCCTCCGTTTACCTCTTCTTTGTTGCTATAGTACCTTCTCAAACTGCTTGGTCTTGAGGTTGTCATTTTTTCGATCTAGGGATGTTTCTGTTGAGTGCGGATCCTGGGAATGACAGCCTAGCATTCCAGAAGGTAAACCCAGACCCACATCAAAGCCGTTGCTAGGTCATAATGACAGGGTATGGTTCCTCAAGGGAAATTTTTGCCAGAATAAATCTTGTCGTTCAAACCGACGAGGAATGATGGAGTAGCGCACCATTATGTGTGATGCAATCTTGACAGCGGCTGATTCTTGGAAGCGACAGGATAGAGGTTACTCCAAGATACCTCATATAGTCTAACAGATCAACTCATCAGCATTATTTGCATGACGAACTACAGGCACAGGGACTGTTGGGTGTACCCAATGCGTCCGAGCAGACCAAAGTTCCAAAAGTAAAATTTACGAGCTTGATTCTCCGAGCTATGGGCTGTTCATCTATACACCATCATTGAAGCGGTAGTGATTCGTCCATCTCTGTTAGGAAGTATATCTCGTCAGTCCCATTCAAAGATAAAGACAATTTGGGCGACCATACCTTGTCAAATGGCTTTGAAGAATCGCAGAAACGAAGATCCGTCGCAAGGCGAATCACATTGTCAGGATCATGGTTGATTGTGGAAGCATGAATCTAGAACGCATGCCCGTTAGTCTAGTTCCAATCAAGTCCTTGTGCTAAGGTACATACCATGTGAGGCTTGTGCAGGACAACATCACCAGCCTCATAGGCCGAGACCAGCCATCGCCGGCCATGTGCCCGGGAAAATTCAGCCGGTGTCTCTGACAGGAGGCCCGTTGCCATCATATTCGAGTTGAAAGCCGACCGAGCCTCCTCATCTGTCAACCCAGCCTCCTTAGCCTTGACGAAGAATGCTTCCTCCATCTCGACTCCGATTCGGTCGCCTATGGCGCATAACTTAGTGACAGCCGATAAATGCCAGGTTCAAAAGCGGAACATACCATCTTCCAAATAAACCAGTCCTCCACCATTTAATTTGATGTCTCCCATCGGTACCCAGGCAGTAACACTGGTCGGTTCGCCATAGCGCAGGAAAATCTGGTCGTAGTGTACACCAATTGGCTTCGAGCCAGGAATGTTATTCCTCAACAACGTTCGGCGCAGACTGAGCGTGTTCTTGCCCCAGTCTGTGAACTTGGAGACAAAATCATATAGCGCTGGGTGTTTGCAGAACTTCTCGGCATACCAATCTTGATAATGGGCGTCCAAGGCGAGGTCGACAAAGGCCGCTGCACGATCTCCACCGGGCCTTCCATTACCACCAGTGTGGCCGGCACCAATGCCGGGATAGTCCTCGTGGGACTTTGCTGGGTCAAAAACGCCCTCGACGGGCTTGGTGCCAGGTTTGAGAACACCAGTTGACTCTAGGGAGGAGAAATATGACTCGCGGGCAGCAAGGACATCTTCGCGAGGGAGGATTTGCTTAAGAAAGAGATATCCGTCTTCATCATATCTCTTGCGCAGTTCTTCTACCGGGAGTGAAGGGTCGGACGGGCGCAGTAGCGCAGCATTCTCTGAGTTTAAGGGACCATCGTTGACGGCGAGCTGCTCTGCGATAAGGGCGACCATGTTTGACAAGTATTGCAAGACGTCAAACCGGGAGGATATCAAAAAGGTAGAAAGATACGGAAGGACATTTCGCAGTTGACAAGGACGAGACGAAATTTATATCTCGTCTGCAATCAGGTCTCCACGATGGCGGGGTAGACAAGTATTAATCTGGAATATCCAACCAAATCAACAAGGTGATCAGCTCTGCCCCGCATGTCCAACATGTTCGGCCTTATTCGTGGGGCTTTTGAAGCTCGTGGAATATCCGATGACTGCATTATGCCACGATGGATGGAGGCAGACGCAAAAGTAGTAAAATTCCCCGCACCTCCTGCGGAAAATGTTTACCCTTTTGGGGGGGGGGGGGAAGTGGGGTGGAGATCCGGTCCACCTGCGGAAATTATTACTCTATGCCTTCTTATAAAGGCAACATGACTGCTGCGGTGCAGTAATAGCTCGAAGACTGGTTCCACATGCCCCTGTGATCATCGTGATGTGGGAGTAGTGCGAGTAGCTTGTCGTTCAGATTCTGGCTGCCGAGAAGGTATATCGGGGGTGGGATTTTGAAATCCTTGGAGAGACTAAAGCTCAAAAACATGGAGGGGAACAGAGAGGTTGAACAAAATCGATACTACCTATGAATAGTGTTAAGTGTAGAGACGAAATGAAACTTCCTCAAAACGATCGAGGTGAATTTAAGCTCTTTTATATCTGTTACCCAGGAATTCGCTCAGAACAAGCTAAGACAAACGAGGAAGTATGCAGACATTAATACTCTACACCGAGAAGATAAAAACAGATTAGAGTACAGATTACAACTCTAATCTTCACATGTTCTCCTCTCTTACACCCATACATCGCATGTCATTAAATTTTTGATCTTTGGGCCAAGTATGCGTGTTGTTATGCCGTCTTGGGCGGCCTTTTAACATCTCCTTCGATGGCTCCAACTTCGACTCTAACAGATCTGGAAGTGAGTACTCATTGCTTTGACTCTGTTCATAGATCTCAAGCAAAGAGAATGAAGCGTTTGTTTTGAAAGATTGGTGTACGGAGAAGCTTCCTTATATTCATTCCAAGGCTCATGATGACATTTCCATATTGTAAATAACAATGCACGACGAAAAATGGCTTGATCGCTAACAAATGCAGATAGATTAACTCAAGAAGTCTACTTTCATGCATGTCCATCTTTATAATCGCTGAGATGCCAAGACTTCACTCCATCTTCAATGACCAATTCCTTCGTCGAGAAGACAATCGATTCGTACAAATCCTTCGCCGCTGCCCTTGCTTTCGCGTGCCAAGGTCCGCGACCCCCAAGCCTAGCATCCTCTCTGCTGCGCCAAATGCCTATTTCAAAATTAGCATAGTTCAAACCCACAATTATCTGTTCAATCAAAATGGAGAATTCATACAAGTTGCCAGATTTTGCCTCTCCTCGTTCTTCGTGCCGAACCAGTACTTCAACAAGCCTCCACTGGTAATAGCTTCCTGATGAGAATATGCATCCAGCGCATGAAGATGATCTTGATCAACACCCGGTTGAAGTTTGGACCGGAAAGACACCACGTAGAAAGACTGTCTCGTCCAGATGTGACCCTCTGCTTCCGCAAAGGTTTTCACAAGGTCAAATACCTCGTTCCAGTTAAATGACTCCAGATACTCCCCAGTGGCATAGTCATTGCGGACTGGTTTGAAGAATGATAGTGCTAGCGCGAGAAGACGACTTTGGGTATCTAGGGCCTCTAGATCTAAAAGGTGAGGAGCGTCATTGTACGGAGAGGCGATGAGGCGTGTATCTGCAATTGTTGAAGGAATCGATTGTTGCTCTTCCTGATCCCATTGGAGTTGGAGTGATGCTGCGCCGTTGAATTTGAGGTCATCAAAGTTTGATGAGATATGCGTATGAGGTCGAAGGTGCTTGAGGACCCTTTTCGTCTTTGATTGATCTTTGAGAGGGCCGAAGTTGGACGGTGCCTTTAGGACAGGAGTGACTGTCTCGACAGTCATGATTAAGACCCGGTATAAAAGAATTGATCTCCGAGCAGTCTATAGCGAAGCGGAATGCAAATTTGTACGCAGTGACGCAAGATAGGGTGTGCAATATCAAACAAAAAAGCCCGCTCGATGTCAGGTACGGAAACGAATGTAGGATATGTATGGACACAGCATAAAAAAAAAGACCAGCAAGATATCGCCACAAGACAAGGCCCCTTTATACTACAAGAACAGAGAATTCGTGCTCACCGCTACCACGGTCTCTCTTATTTGTACCACATTCCTTCCAATTGCGAAAGAACCGCTGAGCAAAAGGTACGGCTGGAGCACGCCATAAGGGACCGGGTGCCACCCTGACCTCCAAAGTTTGGGTCAGCGAAAAATCAGAATTTAAACTCCCAGTACTGTAACAATTGAAAATTGCCGTACACCCAGCGGCTTCGGGGGAAAATTATCTTCCGAAGGATCCTTCGAATAGTGTAATTTTATCTCTGTTCTAACTGGAACCAAATGGATTTTGTTGACGTGGTTCTCCACGTGTATGATACATAGTGTGCAAACCCTAAATGAGATAGTGGCGCGCGGCGTGGATCAGGGGGAAATGCTACGTCAATATTAGTGGACAAGCTATGGCTTCCTACAGGATGAGCAAATAAGATCCTGATTAGGCAAAGGATGTCGTTTGGTTTAGTCTCAAATCTCTGATTGGTCCTCTGTGGCCGATCTACTGTACAGAAATGGTATCACGTGCTCGATGTAGTATGGCAGCGAAATCTGCCTGAACCTGGTCTCCCCTGATCGTCACTGCCTTTTCAACGCCCAGAATAAAAAAAAAAAATGCTCAGACCTGCAAGTGCATAGCAAAATAAAAATCATAATAATGGACAACGGCACAGGCCTTATGGCTTGGGAGGTGGACCCATCTTGCCATTCCCGGTGTCAACCTTCTTCTTGGGCGGAAGAGCCGGCACCTTGAACCCGTCGCGATCCTTTTGAGTATTGATGCTGCTCTGGCCGCCACCAACCTGGGTGAATGTTCCAGAATTGAACCAGCGGTCTTCATCGGCCTTGCGCTTGCGGTTCATCTCGGCCTGCACCTTAGGATCGACTAGTTCCAGGCCCTGGACGGGAGTGAAAGCAATCGTACTGGCAGTACCTGCGGTGGCCGACAAGGATCCGACACCTGATGAACGGAGACCCTTGGACTGTAGTACACTCGCAGTGCCAGCGGAGCCACCCTGGCCAAAGCCACGCAATGACGACGCAGTACCACCGACGGGGGTAGCTGCGCCCCATCCCTTGTTGTTCTTACTGAGCTTGGCGCGAGTACGCTGGTCGATCTGAGTTGCGCGAATACGGCCGTCGTTCTGTTGGCCCAGCATGCCCAGCCCGACGGTACCTTCGCCAGTGCCGTATCCAACTTCTGCCTCCTCCTTGCCAAAAGCCACGCGGTTCTGCGCCTTTCGTAGCTCGGTCATGGCGACGGCCTCCTTGGCCTTGCGTGCACGTCGTCCACCGCGTTTCCGGGAAGGCTTGTCATCAGGTGCAGGAAGCGCCTTGATTCCAGAGTTTGGCGCAGGTTCCGTCAGTTTCTCCAATCGCTTGAAACATTGCTCTTTGAGTTCCTCGCCCAGCGAGCCGTCCTTGTTGTAGTTTGCGATATCCGCACGTGTAGCCAGAACCATCTTCGCAGCGACGATCCGGATAGCTTGCTTCTTCAGATCACTCGGCACCTCTTGGATCAACGGGGAATCGTACAAGAAGCCCTGTGAGCGAATACCGATATTTGTAGCAAACCCAAGGCCCTCTTGCCTCCGTGAGCCTTGTGCACCCAGATTACATGCGGGAATCTTGGCTAGTTCGCGCAAACCACCAGTCTGATTGAGGAACTGCGCAGCCGTATGGGCACCAATGAGTGCCGCCAGATTGGGGGCAATCGAGTTCACACGAGACCGGATACTTTCTGTCAGAGCAGTGCGCTCACGGTCAAGCTTGAGAATTCTCTCGCAGGTGTCGAGGACCACTTTGAGCTCCGAGTCAGTCATCTCCCGGCCACGGGTTGTTGTGCCTTCCACCGCAACGACCATAAGGGTAGGTCCATCCAGCACAGACTTGAGTGACTCGCCGGCCATATTGTCTGCCGAGTTCGAAATGGCTTTGATATCATCGAGAGGTCCATTCTTGAGGATGGCGACCGTTTTCGCGTATTTAATCGAGTTCGTGACGAGGGTTTCTAGTTCGGGGAATCGAATGGAATAGTGATCGCGCAGGGCTTTGTGTAGCCGGGTCAGTTCGTCGGCGGTCTCGATGGAGAGGTCGAACTCGTTCGACGGCTTTGCGCTTTGTTCTGGGACTTGCTCCTCCATGAGGTCTTCCTGTTCGATCTGCTCCTCATCCTGGAAGTCTTCGTCCTCCTCGAAGTCGCGCAACAGCTCGTCGGCGGCCGACATGATGGCGGGAGGATAAGATGATCAAGTGAATACTAAGAAAGTAGTCAAGCACACCCTAGACGCCACCGGGCCAGACACAAATTGGGATAAGAAATCGAAGCAGCAACCGTGAAACTGCGGCGGAAGAGCTGCGCTTAGTCATGGGGGGAGCTCGAAAGTTTGCGGGTGGCGAGTTGGACCAGAAGCGCAGGCCTGTCGATTTCATCGGCGACTTGTGATAATCGCGACCGCAGCACCTATACCACTCAGTTCGGGCTGAGAGGGGCCATTGTGGTTTTTTTGTGATTAAGAGCTACCTGCACTTCGGAGCTCTTAAGTCTCCTTTCTTTCCACTCTCACTGTCCCACTTCATATCTCAGCTCGGAAGCAAATTCCAGCCAACTCTCTCCGACACGGTCTCCAAATTACGGCACGTTTCTACGCACTCTTTCAAGTCGTCACACTCCCACAACCACCTTCACCATGGAGGCTTCGCGAGGCCCTCCCCGGGTCAAGAACAAGGCCCCGGCGCCAATCCAGATCTCCGCAGAGCAGCTGCTGCGCGAGGCTGTTGATCGCCAGGAACCCGGTCTTCAGGCGCCGACCCAGCGCTTCGCGGATCTCGAGGAATTACACGAGTACCAAGGCCGAAAGCGCAAGGAATTCGAAGACTATGTGCGGCGGAACCGCATTAATATGAACAACTGGATGCGCTATGCCGCCTGGGAATTGGAACAGAAGGAATTCCGTCGGGCGCGCTCAATCTTTGAGCGCGCACTGGACGTGGACTCGACCTCCGTCGTGCTATGGATTCGCTATATCGAAGCCGAGATGAAAACTCGCAACATCAATCACGCCCGCAACCTCCTCGACCGTGCCGTGACGATCCTACCGCGCGTGGACAAGCTCTGGTATAAGTATGTGTACATGGAAGAGACGCTGGGCAATATTCCAGGTACTCGCCAAGTGTTTGAGCGATGGATGTCATGGGAGCCTGAAGAGGGTGCGTGGAGCGCATACATCAAGCTGGAGAAGCGATACAACGAGTTTGAGCGAGCACGGGCGATCTTCCAGCGCTTCACCATTGTTCATCCCGAGCCGAAGAACTGGATCAAGTGGGCTCGGTTCGAGGAGGAGTCTGGCACAAGCGATCTAGTACGCGAGGTTTATGGGTTGGCCATCGAGACACTGGGCGAGGATTTCATGGATGAGAAGCTCTTCGCGGCTTATGCCAAGTTCGAGGCCAAGTTGAAAGAATACGAGCGTGCGCGGGCAATTTACAAATATGCCCTTGATCGCCTGCCACGGTCCAAGTCGATGACCCTACACAAGGCCTATACCACCTTTGAAAAACAATTCGGTGATCGGGAAGGTGTGGAGGATGTCATTTTGTCCAAGCGCCGTGTTCAATATGAGGAGCAGCTGAAGGAGAACCCCCGGAATTACGATATCTGGTTCGACTTTGCACGACTCGAAGAAACCGCCGGTGACCCCGAGCGCGTACGGGATACCTACGAGCGAGCAATTGCGCAAATCCCACCGTCACAAGAGAAGCGACACTGGCGCCGGTATATTTACCTCTGGATTTTCTACGCCGTGTGGGAAGAGATGGAAGCCAAGGATATGGACCGCGCACGACAGATCTACCAAGAATGCATCAAGCTGATCCCGCACAAAAAGTTCACGTTTGCCAAGGTGTGGCTCATGAAGGCGCAGTTTGAGATTCGACAAATGGAGCTACAGGCCGCACGCAAGACGCTAGGCCAAGCCATCGGTATGTGTCCGAAGGACAAGCTCTTCCGCGGCTATATTGAACTCGAGCGGCAATTGTTCGAGTTTGTGCGGTGCCGAACCCTGTACGAGAAGCAGATCGAGTGGAATTCCTCCAACAGCCAGGCCTGGATTCAGTATGCGGAGCTTGAACGCGGGCTGGATGATTTGGAGCGGACGCGGGCGCTCTACGAACTCGGTATTGACCAGCCGACGCTCGACATGCCCGAGCTCGTGTGGAAGTCTTACATTGACTTCGAGGAGTATGAGGGTGAGTATGACCGAGTTCGCGCGTTGTACGAGCGTCTCCTCTCCAAGACGGATCATGTCAAGGTCTGGATCAACTATGCCCGGTTCGAGATCAACATACCCGAAGACGAGGAAGAGGAGGAAGAGGACGAAGAAGCCCGGCCAGTCAGCGAGGAAGCCAAGCGTCGGGCACGGGCAGTGTTCGAGCGGGCGCACAAGGTGTTCAAGGACAAGGAGCTCAAGGAAGAGGTATGTAAACTCCACCTTGCTTTACTTTCTATTCTCCGTCATATATGGTACGACTTGTTTGGGACTCTGGCTAACGCTGACACAGCGAGTGGAACTTCTCAATGCCTGGCGGTCATTCGAGAACACGCACGGATCGCCCGAGGACATCGACAAGATCGAGAAACAAATGCCGCGGCGGGTCAAGAAGCGCCGCAAGTTGGAGGACGACCGGTACGAGGAGTACATGGACTACGTGTTCCCGGCCGACGACAAGTCCGCCGCGAACCTGTCTCGGCTGCTCCAGCGGGCCCACCAGTGGAAGCAAACTCAGGGTTGACGAGTGGAGGGAGCGATGTGTCTGTGTCTGTGACTGTGACTGTGACTGTGACTGTGTTCGATATGAATATCTGGATCTGGATTTGGGCCAGGACGTGTTGGCCTTCTTCCCGGGTGTTTTACCAGAGGACTGTAATTTCCCACTGCTTGGCGGTGCTTCAAAATGCGACGGGTTCTTCCGTGTTACCCTGGATGAACCGATCTTTCATCTCACCCGATCGCGGGATCAATTGAGATCTCGGGCTGCTGGCTTCTCCCATAAATACGTTTGATGGCTGAGATTCGTTGGACCTAGGATGATGCCTGTGCGACCAGCTCCTCCGACTCCATCCATTGTATTTGTAGCTAGGTACAGTCCTCCACACGTACTCCCGAGTAGGCACGGAATACAACGGAATACACCCATATTAGGTCCACGCTGAGTGACGAGGACTGTGCGCGACCTCTTTCATCGAGCAGCTATGGTATAAATAGCACCACAGCTGGAGGGCGTTCGTATAGACTGACCTGATGAGATGACAGCCTATTCGCAGTTCCTGGTTGGTGTTTCTTGCTTTGTCCCTTCTGCTTTAGAGTACTCCCCACCCAGGCAATTTAATCTGGCCTATGAGGGGGCCTGGTCTGATGTCGCCTCTGCGCGATCCTAGTCTACTAGGTACTACTAATAACATGTTCTAACTACGACGACTTTGTACTACCACGATAAGAAATAGAACTTACCTCATAAGCCATGACAGAATGACTCCATCGTAACTAACTAGCTTGTCGATCACTGTACGGAGTACTGTACCTCCATTCTACGCAACTCCGTCCTTCGTCCAGACTGTCCCCACTCGCGTAGGCGTTTGCCCATGAGGGCCCCATCCCCAAACGCCCGAACCGGCGCCAAGTGGAGGCCTCGAACCCCTTTGGAGGTTGGGGCGAAACACGGGGGCTTGCTAGCCTTCCATGAAAATTCCATGGGCCAGGAAAGTGCCGGTCAGACAGGGAACCTATCCAACTGTACCCCTCGATGGGCATAGAGCACTGGTAGTTGAACTCGATATGACAAACTTTTTCTCGATCAAGTCTGAGAGTCACGAGTGGGAGTCTCGCGCATTACGATAGGATCAATGTTAGCCGCTGACACCGAAGTCATCACACCAGTGTCCAGTATGTCCAGTGTCGCTACTGTACTCCAACTGTCCTGTCTTCGTTTGGTCGAGCGATCGGCGCACGAGCCAAGTGTGATGGAGGGATTTCCAAGGTTTCTGGCACTCCACCGGACCAACCGTGGATCGCGAGGGAGCGCAGCGGCTGGGACTGGAAAAAAAAGGGGGAGAGATGGGACGGGTTTGTGGACAAACCGATTATGATTGAGGCCTTGTTTTTGGTTGTTTGTGTAGACTCCGTAAGGAGGGGGTGAACCTTGCATTGGATGGGTCGTTGCGGTCTGAGCTGCAGATGGAAAAAGAGAAAATGAGGAAACGAGGGGAGGATGAGTTGTTTGGTTCCTGGGCCCACTGGACCAGGGACCTGGTCAGGAACAGGCACGGGAACGGGAACGGGAGACGAGAACTACAGCCATCAACTACCGTATGAGAGGGAGAATGAGCTCTACCAGGAAGTGATACATGTATAGAAATCATTCTCGAGCATCGGAGTATTCTGCAGAGCATACCTACTCCGTAGAATCCACCACATAATGTCCCAATAATTCCCTTAGCTGACTCGAGTATCGCAGATCCGACCAAAAGGAAATGAAATTATGACGAAATGGGCTGTTCAGGGGGATCCTCGCTAAAGAGTCAGTCACTTGAGTCGTCAGGACTCGTGTCACTGGACTGGACTGTCTCGGCCTGACAAGTGCCTGAGAACCTCCTCCCGTTCCTAGTTAGGGGGCTCAACTGTGTCTCACCCGATCACCTCCCTCTTTCCCTACCCTCCCTCCCGCCGCCGCCTCCTCCTCCTCCTCCTCCTCCTCGAAATTGCCGACCTTGGTGTTGTCATCTGTTGTTCTCCCCCGGTGTGCTGTGCACTCATCCATTCGGTACGTTCTCATGTTTCTCTGTGATTTTCCTTGCCAGACAATCCAATACTCATCCTCGAACGACACAGCTTCCTCTTCGCCGCGACCTGTCGCTCCCTTCGTTCTCTACTCCCCCGATTTGCCTGCGCTTGCTGCAGACAATCCAATTCGCTTGTCCGATTCAATTCTGTGACTTGCGATCGCATCAATCATTATCATCCACGGCTACCCACTCGACGCCACACCTCCCCGACATTCCCGAGCTGGATGACTCGCGATCACCCCGATATTTGACTTTGACAACCCCACACACCACATTCCTGCATACTTAGTTGACACCGGTCGGGTCTCCATTCGGCGTACCATACACCAACTCTACTATCAGCCTCATCAGAATCGTGCTCGAGACTCATCTTCTGCCCCGAATGCTAGTATCTTCTTGCGACCTGTTCCCGGCCAAAATGAGATAGCCCTCTGGCAGACTCCGTGATTTTCTCCAGTGGCTATTGGTTTGATTGAGGGCCCGAATTCCTCTTCCCCTGCTGGCTGGCCATCCGCACTCTTTCGTTGGTCTGGTATCACCCGTTTCGCTCTTTTACTCACTTCACCATGACTGTCCCCGAGCCCCCCATCAGATTGGAGGGAGACTGCTCGGTGATTTCCGGCAACACACTTTATCATTATTCGTCTAGTGGCCTTGTATCGATCCCGCTCGAGGTCAATGGCAACTGGACTCAGCTAAACGGCGGCGTGTCTGTCTCCAATGCCGTATGTCTCAAAGGCGGGATAGAGGGCAGTGAGAATGACGACGAAGCCCTGTACGTGGTTGGCGGGACCACCACTAATGCAGACAGCACATATTCCGGTCTCCAACGCTTCTCGTTCAAGGATCAGATGTGGCAAACCCTGGGATCTGGAACAACCTCAATGACCGCCCGAACGGGCCATGGTGCCGCATTTGTTGCGTCTGATTCCTCGATCATTGTTTATGCAGGCAACGTAGGCGCGGGAACCAGCACCGCGCTCTCTGCCCAATCCTTCCTGATCTCGACAAAATCCCCCTATGGCCAGACGTCCGTGGTGAACCAGGGAGCTCCAACCCTCAACAATCCCCAACTGCTCCCCTGGAACTCAACTCACGTTGGGATGTTTGGCGGGGAGGGCGGAAGCCAAGCTGTCTACACATACAATAGTGCAACGGGATGGGACCTCTCGCCCATAAGCCTCCCTTCCGTCCTGTCAACATCGACTCCGCTCACTCTCCTTTCTGGGTCGGGGGATAGCAAGGTGCTGGAATATTTCGACATGAATGCCTCTCCTAACTCCGTGGTTAATTACGAACTCATGAGCCCGGATGGAAAGCCCGAAAGCCCTGCTGTGGCGGTCGGTGCTTCATCTAAGAAGCGGAGCACGGGGAGCTATCCCACCTACAACGACACCCTTGCCCCCAGCTACACGTGGTCAGATTACGCCCTCGCCCAGGGAAGCAACGGCATGGTTGTTCTGTCCAGTGGCCGGAGCAATAACTCGCTCGCCATTTTCAACCAGACCTCGAATAGCTGGGTCAATTCGACAGAATTGTTCCAGGGCAAGAGTGTACAACACGTTTTGACAACGAATACCACCACTTCGACTACCATGACCCCTACAGCCACACCAACTCCTTTGGCCTCGGCATCAACTAGCGCTACCCCCAGCTCGACTACCACTGCTGCCGCCGCTGCCAGTGGCGGCTCTCATACGGACACCAAAGTCATTATTGGTGCCGTCCTCGGCGGCGTGTGCGGTGTCGCCATCATCCTTCTCCTGCTTCTCTGGCTGCTGAAACGCGTAAGGACAAAGAGAGAGCTGAACAGCCAGGCCCGTGGCGGTGACAGTAAGGACAGACTCAGCTTCCAGGACCGGGGTATAGAACCCCTGGCTGGCGGTGCGTACCCCATGGCTAGGAGTCCCGTTCCGGTTGCCTCGATGTCAGCCGATTCGCTCGCGATATTATCCGGCAAATACAAGGGAGAGAAGTCTCTCATGCCCCCTCCCGCCAACAGCGGCTACGGTCTGTCTGCCACACCTCGCAAGAACAGCCCGCTCTCACCAATCCCATCGAGTGGTCTCGCGCCATCAAGCATGTGGTCGGAAGATGCGTACCGCAACAGCACCACCCCCTCGGAACCTGGCAACAAACCGGGTGACCGCACCACCGACGAAGGCTGGAGCAAGTACTTTGAAGATAACGGCACCACGAATGTCAGCGGAATGCCCGCCGACCGATCCACCACCAGCTCTGTCTACACAAAATCCGACTACCGTGGCAGCGCCTGGCCCATGACGAACTTGACCCCGCTGAACTTGGGTTTCCTGGACCAGCCCAAGCCACTGGGCCGCGTATACAGCGGCAGTCCAACGACGGAGCATGCATCGTCGAGTCGGAGCCTCGCAATCCACGAAGGACAGAGCGCGCGGATATCCAGCGCCGACTCGATCAGCGTGACTAGCGACGACGACCCGCACGACACGAACTGGACTGGCGCGCATACCAGCTGGCTTGGCCGCCCGACTAGCAGCAATTACAGCACGAGTTTCTACAACAGTAGCTCACGCGACTTGCCGAGCTCGAATCCGCAGTTGCCGCGACACTCGAACGGCCGCCGCTCGAGCGTTGCGATCCCTGAGGATATTGATGAATTGCCGATGCCCGGACGCAACAATGCGAATTCAGATATGAGTTGGTTGAATTTGAATGCCGAGCGATAACACCGTTCTCTACACCATTCCCTCCCTTGTCACTCATCCACCCTCCTTGATCTATTACACGTACACACGCACTGTCTCTTCAGTCTATTTCATTCCATGCATGGCGTCCCGGCTCCTGGTGTCTGTAAAAAGTTGCGTGGCTTCGGGCGTTGCATCTCCTCTGCGTCTCGCTTTCTCGTCCTCGCATCTAAGTATTCCATACTTTCTGTCTCTGCCTGTCGCTGTTTCCTTATCTTGTTCCTGTTCTATTCGAGTGCAAGTCATTCTCACTCTGTAGCGTTGTGTCTCACCACTTTATGTCGATATTGGTGTCCCGTTTTGTCCCGTCTTGCTACGCGCTTGCGCTGTGCCTAGTTTCGGCTTTGAAGCCATTTCTTTGTCTTGTCTGTGACTTGCGAACTGTCTTTTGTACATACTTCAATTTCATGGAGGTGCTTAGCTGCCTCGCATTTCTGATTGATGCTTCATGGTGACGGTATTGTTTATGTTGTGGGTAGATTGTAGAGATGCACTAAAACGGACTCCCCGCTCTAGACCACCAGCCTTGCGGACGCATTAACACCGACGATAGCTTCTCCGACGGGTTATCATCGTCGTGAAATACCCGAAAAGACGCCATCGCAATCTACTAAAACTAAAACACTAAAACCCGGCCCTTTGTCCATCCGCTCGTGCCGTGCTGATGACCCCTCGTCAAGAGTAAGCAGGTGAGATTGCAAGACGACGAGTGTGATGGAAGGACCCATCTTCGCACGGAAGAAATGGCATGCAGCCTCATCGATCCCAAGATCTCCTTCTTCCCCAAAGCAGACGGGGCCATTTTAAGATCGAAACGGGTCGTACCTGCATGGCCACGTTCTCGCCCACAGACCGTGGGTCTGATCTTCGATCGAGAGAACGTCGATCGCCCGATCCAGCCCTGGTCCCCGGACCTCAATACAACATTCTACCCCCAGACTGCAGCTGATGAACCTGCGGTAGTTCCGGAAAAGCCAGCTGACTTTGCAGAAAAATATCTGCGTGCCTTTCTGGCTGAGCATGAGAGACTCAGGCTTTCGGTGCTTTGGTATTATACGCGCGAGATCTTCCAGGAGGATGAATTTCTGGCCGGGTTGCAAGAGAAAGCGCAGTTAGCGCAGGAGTCGATTGGGTGGGAGTTTGCGGTTATTGGCATTCTCGATGTCGATGTTTATCTTCGCTTGGCTACTGTGAATCTTGACCTGGGTATGGTACCGCGAGGGGAAACAATTTGCGCTCATACAATTACTCAAAACACTGGTGTATGTTACAGTCCCGACCGCTGGTGAGATCTAATTTTGCTGAATGTTTTTTTGTCCAGGATGTATTCGTTGTACCTAGTCTTATGGAAGACTGGAGATTCCAACGATGTCCTTATCTCGAACGCGGCGGGCTCCGCGCGTACGCTGGAGTGCCGCTTCGCTTGAAAACCGAATCTGGGCATACTGTTGGTCTGGGATCAATTTGTCTGGCGTCGGGTCAGAGCGAGGAACCCTTGACCAAAGCGCAACATCAGGCGCTCGTTCGTCTGGCCGATTGGGTTGTTTCCGATCTCGTACAATGTACGAGAGCTAGACGTCAGCGAGAAAGACATCGAATGTCTGAACTTCTCGCCAAAGCACAGAAGGAGACGAATCAAACCGTGGCCGTTGAGCCAGTCTCCCAGATTCTGAGAACTATGTACCCGGACGCAATCATCCGCCTGCAGCCGGCTAGAGCAACCCACGTTGAGCTTGAGGGATGTGATTCAATTCCAGTCTCGGAGCTCAAAGATGGACTCTGGGAAGACGTTAAGTTCCTCGATGACTATATTATGAATTCGAATCACCTCTCGCCCCCATCTAATAAACCGGTTCGCATCGTTGCTATCCCGTGCGAAAGCATATCGGGATCGTCATTACTCATCGTGGCAACAAAAGACTTCCGCCTTGTCTTTGACGACGCCGATGCATGGTTTATTCAGGCTTGCGCAGATATCATCTCTCAAATGTGGCGCAAAAGCCTTCTCGCAGAAGCTATGATCGCCAAGGAAAAGTTTCTCCGAGCGTTCTCTCATCAACTTCGAACTCCCGTTCACGGCATCCTAGGTTCTCTGGAACTTTTGACTGAGGACCTCAAGTCCAGAATTTTGTATGAGGGAACGGCTTCGATTCCGGCAATTGAACAGGCTACTGCTGAGTCGGAGATGAATTCGCGGGAACCCTTTACGTACCTGAACATCATCAAGATGGCGGGTCGTGATCTCACGTCGATTATCAATAATTTGATTGCGCTCAACAAGTGGTCTGATATCGCCATGGCGGAGAGGCATTATACTATGCATACCTTGGACGAGCTGGAGACTGAAATTGGCAACGAGATAGCCAAGGTAACTATGGGTGACACGCGGTATACATGTTCAATATTCTTTGCCCAGAACTCATCCCCACCATGCAAAAGTTCTCCATCGATCTTGTGGTTCTTCGGGATACTCTGCTCCCATTGGTGATTAACTCGATCCAAAATACACCGCAAGGAGTTGTGTCGGTTACTGCTTCAATCCAATCAGACCGCAAACAACTCATTATCGATGTTGAAGATACTGGCCGGGGAATTCAGTCTGACGATCAAAAGCGTATTTTTGAGGCATACGAGAAGGTTGATTCGCATTCGTCGGGCGCTGGATTGGGTCTCACACTTGCTTCGAAGTTTGCATCGCTCATTCACGGCTCAATTGAATTGGTTTCTTCGGAGATTGGGCGTGGCTCTCACTTTAGAGCCACGTTCCGGGAAGTTGAGTGTGATGGCTCGTCTCAACCGTCGCAGCCTTTGCCTACGAAGCTCCATCGTTTGCCATCGCGGTTTTTCAAAATACCTACCAACTCTGATTCTTCACCACTGGGCGATCAGTTTGCATCTTTCTTGACTCGCAATGGGTTCACTTGCTCGGACAGTATGGATGATTGCTTGGTCATTGTTGAAGCTGGGCCCGACACAGAACAGCACCGCGCATGTCTGTCTCAAGTGACATCCGAACAAGTTGCTATCTGCCTTGTCCCGATCTCAGAAGAGAAACATTGTCTGCAACAACCCGAGGAGAATGTGATCTATATCAGTGGACCATTCTTAACCTCGACATTCCATTCAGCTCTTGAACGAGCACAAACCTATCTCAAGACGAATGCCTCCCAACCACCTCTACCACAACCGAAAAGAAGCGATCAAGCCGTCATCATGCCCATAAGGATACAAAAAGACCCAATCGCAGAAGAAAATACCCCATTACCCGAATCATCACTCATATCGAAACAACTCACCACAACCACCACTCTCCCACCCGCATCTCAACCAGCCATCCCAGTCTCCATCGACACGAAAATAACCACAACACTCTCCCAACTCCGAACCACCACCACCCCGTCACCCTAATAGTAGACGACAACGCCGTCAACCTCCGCGTCATGGAAACATACTGCAAAAAGCGAGGCCTCCCCTACCTCTCCGCCATGAACGGCCAACAAGCCGTCCAACGCTACACCCAGCACCAAAAACAAGCCTCTCAAGATGAAGACCCCGGTTCCCGACCCCAGCCAATCCAGCTGATTTTCATGGACCTGCAAATGCCGGTATGCGGCGGCATCGAAGCGACGCAGCAGATCCGCGCACTGGAGCAGGAAAATGATTGGTGTAAGAGCTTTTTGTTCGTTATGACTGGTCAGGATAGTCCGGCGGATAGGACTGATGCGGAGGAGGCTGGGGCCGATGAGTATTCTGTTAAACCGGTTGTTATTAAGCAGCTTGATCGGGTGGTGAGGCAGTATTTTCCGGCTTTTGGGAGTAGTTAGTTAGGTATGGCGTGGTATGTTTGCGTGGTTCTTTTGACTTAATGCAAGCTGGATATTTGATATTTGATATTTGATACCAGCGGTGATGACCATGTACTGTCACAACAAATATTTACTGACCTTTGTGAGTTTTTTTAGCTAGCGCTTTGAGTTAGTTTGGTTTGGCTTGATATAGCAGCGTTTTCTGGAATATGCGCCAAGTCAGGCAGGCTCTCAAATTTACCGAGGTTTCCAGCATGGTTAGCAAAGGAATAAAAATAGTAATTCTTTCTAGGCTATGATCCACCGGGCTATGTATGACCGACTCTGAATCTTATCTACTTCCTATTCGCCACCCTACTCTAGCGGCAGTAAAGTTATGGACATCGCTAAATATTTTCTCTATTGCACCCACTTGCCGAAGGTACCTCCTACCCTGTGGCCCTGAAGCTGATGTGGTTGCTGAATCTTGCCCTAACTAGAGGTAGTCCAAGCCGAGGATATACAACAGGAACGTGAACACCCGACATGAGGATGAGCATTTTCATGTACATCATATATACGTCACCAAGGTATCGGGTCTTGGTTAAATGAGGTTAAATCATTTTCGTTTATTCCAGGAATCTTCTCCGTTAGCCTCGGGTATTTTTCTTTGCTTTCACCGGGAAATGACTGACCAGGTAGTAGAATATCCGGATCGACTACTCACTTCCAAGTCGCAACCCATCTGAGTAACTGGGAATTTGAAGTGGGTATGGATGACGAACGTAAATTTCTCTCCCAGGTTTCTATAGCTTCGATTCCAGGGATATAATTCTCAACCAAGTCTTCCCTTCCAAACAGCCAAAGATGGTGTAACGGGAAGACAGCTGTGCTGGCAGCCTCATCCATATGAGGAGCCCCGTTGGGGCGGCAGTGATCCAGGTTCGACTCCTGGCCTTTCGGCAAATATCTTTTTGTAATATGCTACTTCAAAGTACATACTTTCCCAGTGACTATTTTGCTACACTGTTTGTACGAGATCGTTTGTTGACCGAATTGATGACTACGATAGGTATCTTGTACATAGACCGCATTCTGGATGTGATATGCTGTATACGCTCAGAAGAAACACTCATCCCTGCATTTTCTATGACGAATAGTAATCTACGCGCCGCTGATGAACAAAGCAGGGACCGGTGCTGATCTTGGGTCTCTTTACCTCATCAAGTCACCTCCGAAGCCGGTTTTGGAAAAGTTACTCCTCTCAAGTAATCATGTCGAATTATTATTACCACCACTTCCTTTTCGAAGTTAACGTACGGATACATGCATGGTAGACTAGTGACCACACGGTTGAGCTAGATACAAGCGTCAAACTCCAAGTATCCAGTCAAAATCAGTAAAAGATCTTGGGCTAAAAACTTGAGAAAATCAAATGAGTAGGACGGTTCAAGGCATGGATAGATCTAGCTAAATTAAGTTCCCAGAGCGAGCCAAAAAAGAGGAACTTGAAACAAAAGAAGGGCAGAAATATTCTTGTCAATCTCTACTAAACAAAGTCTAACGAAATGAATCAACGCTAATAACCAAAACCGGTGCATCTGCACATTATGCCGCAACGGGCGTATTATCCTCCCAAATCCAACCCAATCCCATATCTAAACAGCAATAGCCGGCGCAAGGTTACCAGTCAAGGACTCCTGCAGATTATCCGCATCCGCATAGGTGTCCATTCCCGTACGGATCGCGATATCAGCCTCGGCAACAGCTGGAGCGTCGACACTGGAAACTTCTTGCTTGGCAGGCCAGATTTCGTGGCCGGCAGCCTGCTCCTTGTTGAAGTGCTCGATGACAACTTCGCGCACAGTGCTCTGGAAGTGCAGCGGGCCCATCTCCATCTCTGGGTGGAGGAGACCGTTGACGAAGACACCGGCGTTCAGGTTCTTCTGTGTGTGGATGCAGAGGTACTTGTCTTCGGACATGATGCGCTTGTACATGTCACTGATGAGGTTGAAGTCTTCATCGGTGGCATCGTTGTGGCGGTAGACCTCGTAGCGCATAACAGACTTAGTTGGGATCACGGGAGTGAAGCGCTGCATGAAGAAGAAGTTTGGACTGTGTTTTAGGTTAGCATATGCTTTAGAATGAGATGTGGTCCATAATAACAATGTGGGGTACTCACGAGACGTTGCAGGAAGCGTTGGGCCAGAAGTAGGTAGTAGCTATCCGGAAGCCCTTGTCGATCTGTTCCTGGCGCTGAGCACCGTAGTGCTGGATGTGACCGTCCTTGGTCTTGACGTAGTATGAGCTCAGGTCGGCGATGGTCGGAATATCGGGGTGCGCAACTTGGCAATGGTAGCACTCGTTGTAGTTGTCGGCCAGAATCTTCCAGTTGAAGTCACCCTCCATGTCCCAGGTGTGGTCAAAGTGGTAGTCGTCGAAATTGTAGTAGTCGAAGCGAGGCTGCTCGTCGACACCGTCAAAGTCGTCCTTCCAGGCAACCTCGGGTGTCTCCTTGGAATCGAGGTTGACCCAGATGAAGCCATTACGATCAATATGCACATGGACGGGAGAGAGGTCATTGTCATGCAGGTAGGCCTTGATGTTTCCCTGCTCATCCTGGGAGACGATGAACTTGTAGCCAGCCGCGTCGTACTGGACCCAGTCGCCGGCATTGGGGACGCGGTGCTTGTGTGTGGTGAGGAGCCATTTGCGAGAGAAGATTGATCGTCGCTCAAGCTCGTACATGTCCTGGGAAGTATACCATGATGCTGGCAGGGCGCGAACAGGCGTCTTCTGGTCCTTCTGAACTTCAGGGGCCGTGGTGGTGGTACCGAACCAATTCCTCAAGAAAGACATTCTGAATATGTATCAAAGACAAATCTTGATAACCAAGGTTATTAAGAGAGATAAGGACGTTTGAAGTCTTTGGAACTAGATATTCTGATCTGTGTCTGAAACTGATACTGACTACAATGCAGGCGAAAGCAGCTTTTTTATGAAGCTATAGTGACCACCCCAGCGCCACAGCTGACCACGGTTCACGGCGGTCCAGGACCATATCCGAACGATGTCAACGGGGTGTAAACCTTCATGCCCGATAGCCACGATATTTTGGGAAGCAACAGTAACAATCAGGTGGCCAATTCCAACGGGCAGTATACCTGGGGACCGGTCACCTGATCGGTTGGGCGTTCCCGTCGGGTCCGGATGGCTTCAAGCTTATCGACCTCACCATTCCGTAAATTGCTAAATAAACCAGCCTTCCAGCCCCGTCGCACTTGTGGCAAGCTGACCAGCCAATTGTGTAGGCTGTAGCAACCCACGTCCAGTCTAGAACGCTGGTATGCCTGAACCGTTCCAGACGGTCCTCGAATATGGGTTTTTTGAACCTGAATCTCTGATAGGTGGCAGGTAAACTAGTGATACAAAACCGAGCCGTCCCCCAGAACCGACGGTGGAGCCGGCTATCAAAACCGATATCTTGTCTTGACTTTCTCCATCCTCTCCGGATTTTAATATGGAGAAGTTGCCAGCGCCAGGCTGATTAGAGTGGTTTTACATGAGGCTGGCTTCGAGGTCTTTGCAAGTTGGACGTATGTAAGATCTAGAGTATTTATGAAGAGTATGATCTGCGATAACATTAGAAGGAATTATCCAATAGATAGCCCGATTTTTCTGTTTGAGCGATATCTATATCACATGGCCCGTAGTTACACGTAGGAATGAGGGCCTGGAACTCCGGGCCCAACGAACAGATAAGTGGACCGAGAATCCACTGGCTAGGCCGAATGCAGTCTGGAGCTCCTGATCTTATCACGCGACGTGCTTCGATTCAGTCTGTCGCATAATCGGAACTAGGAGCGGTGGATGTCCTTCGCTGGTCTTCATGAGAGCTTGGACCCATTCAGTATCCCTCCTTAACAAAAGTCGGTCGTCGGACTTGACCAATGGCAGCGACACAGCAAGTATTATCAGCGCACGAATATGCTGGACCGATGATGAATCACAGAGCGAGAAGTTTGGATCCGAAATACTGAATTGAAGAAACTCCTGGAAAATGGAATTCATGTTGGTAGACTTCAGATCTGGATGAAACTCTCACAATTATGGCATTCGCTCCATTCTAAGATCATCATCCAAGAGCCAATTAAGAGCACTGTTCACGATCGCCTCGCCGCTCATACTGCGATCATCTAGAAGTTGAGACAGATCATTGTATTCCATTGCTGGATCCATTGTGGACTTCATGCCAATGACCGCAGAGCCAGCGGCAATTTCCGTCTGGGAATTGGGGTTACCCCCGGACGGCACTCCGTTATTCACCCTGGAGGAATATGAAGAGGGCTCATCTGCACCAGGGGAGGGTGCATGGGCGCTATTATCTCGTCTTTCTGAGAGTGCTGAAGAGTGCTCGGTAAGGAACCGGGCCATCCAATTATCCAGTACGAAGGCATCTGACATGGAGTCCCTACAGTAGTTCTGGAAGGATCGTAGATGAGTCACCTACAAAGCTAATGGTATCAGAAATCGATAACACAATTGGGGCAAATGATAAAAATAGCAATTGGGAACTTACATAATGTTCCACTACCGACCAGTAAGCTTTGAGGCCCATGAGGAACTTAAAATTAAACACCAGACGCTGTCGGGCCGAGCTAAGATCCGAGGGATCATCACTGCAGAGTAATGTGTGCAGGTGAACACTGGAGCTGACAACCGCAATATGACCGTAGATAAAGTATTCCATCTTGCACTTTGGCGTGGTTTGAGAATACCGGAGAATATCAGATACGATGGTCGCACTCTCTTTGCACTTTGCCGCCCTGTCCCGAGTCGTCCACCGCGCAAGTCGCGTATCCAGGAATGGGAAAAGGAGCATTTGACGGAAATGGTAATACCCAATATGCATGGATAAAAATGTTTTCCCAACCTGCTTGTCAACCATGAGCATGAGGTTGTCATACGAGTATGTTAAATAGGGTGGCAAATTTTTCGCCCATTGGTCAAGACCATGTTCCAACACGGCAGCTTCCTTGCAAAATTCCTCAAAGGAAATTGCATTTTGACTGAGACGTCGCAGCAAAACATTGATCCTGGTGTATATATTGAGAGTCCTCCCCATCTGAGCCCACATGTCACACCTGGAAGAGGGCGAAGCTCTCGATTCAATGAGCAGCTCGGCACTAAGCGTCTGGAAATCTACGTCATCAATCTCTGGAAGAGGCGCCATGTCATGGAACGGAGAGGGAGGCTCGACTGCCATATCCGATGCAGACCAATGAACGGCAATATAAATGGTCAACCATGTCCGGCGTCGCTCCTCTCGAAGCACCACCGTCGCAGTATCTGCAGGAGACAAAAGCTCGGCATGTAGACGAGCCAGACCGACGTATACATGCTTTCCTCGGATATTACCTTCGCCGCTGAAGTAGAATCCGACTAAGAGATATCCTTGCACAGTTTCTAGGCTGGGCGTGACCATGTGCTCCTGGCATCGGCGGATCGCCTCGGTTGCGTATATTTTTCCTCGGGCACAGGGGGCGATATTGTTGAATACCCGATTCTCGGAGTATCTACCAGAACGCCATTAGTGGTATTGGGCCGAATGAGCATAAAAAAGGGCTCACCGAGCAGCTAGTGCACACATCGCATAAACGTGGGTCATGGATGCCTTGCCTTCGTGAAGGCGATGCATGAAACTTGGTTCATGGAAGATGGTGTGGGCGATGTTATGCACATATTGGAAATACAAGGGCACAAGTTCGAATACCAGTCCCTGCGAGCCAAAAGCACCAAGGACATGATCCTCGTCGTGTGGACCATTGTGGTATGCTTTTTCAGGGATGGCTGTCGCGATGCTCAGCCTGCTAGAGCCTCGTCTTAGCGTGCACGGAATGGACTGTGCTTGACAAAGCTGGCAGCCGTCCCCAGTGGAAGCTGGAATACAGCGCCTTTTGCGGGTGCTGTTCATATGTCAAACTCAGTCCATGATGATTGTTGGGGTAGAAAACTTACCGACAAGCCGCACAGGCTCCAGCTCGTGCCCTTTTTGAGTCATTGAGGTTACTTGTCATATGCGCCGTCAAGTTGCCATGAGAAGGTGAAAAGTACGGTCGGGGAACCCCGGAATATGGGGTATCGCACGTGACTTGTATCGTCTGGTTGGCCACATGGAATATCTTCTAGATCTATGTCCAGGAAAGAAGTATCTAATTGTTGCATGATAGATATCTAATGTGAGAACTCGTATTCTCTAGAAAGGGTGTGCTCTAAAAGCATGTCAAATTGCATTAGAAGGTCAAGAGTGGTGTCACATTGTTTGAACCAATGAACAGAACAGTCATGGATATCATGTAGAAGAGACATTCATGTTACATCATTCGTAGAAATAGTTACACATTAGTAAAGTTTGACAAAAACGAAGACCGTTTGGAAACCCGACGAAATTCGTCAACTGCCGGGCTGACAACCTTCGTACTCCCACCTCCATCCTCGACCTCCATCGGTTCGAGCCCTAGATAGCTCGTGGATTTAGCCTCTGTGTATGGACCCTGTCCATCCTTTTTTGCTCGAATGTAATAATGTTCATCTGCTTCATCCGTACCAATATACCATCTCTCCTTCAGTTGCCAGCCGGCGGGACCACCTCCACATGCACCTTGCAGCTGCGAGGAATAGGGGCTATTCACCGCGATCGCAAACAGATTCTGCGGTTCGGTAAAAGCTGCTTCGAAGATAACAAAGACCAGGCAAATGAAAGAGGTCAGGAAAGCAAAGACGAGGATCACGTAGAAAATACCCTGCCAGCGCTCGGTACCGCCGGAAGCGTAGCCTACTGATTGCAAAGAGGCCGGAAAGTCCTGATAGACTGGCTCGGGAGAATGTTGTTGGGGACGGTGTAGTTGAAGTAGTGAACAAAGGGGGGCATTTTGAGAGGAAAGGATGAGTGTGCTTCCAGCCATCACTGCCACAGCTTCCCCGACGGAGGGAAGGGACGGGTTCAGGGAATATGTTTTGGTATTCGAGTCGTATGCGGGCATCAGTTGCATTAGAAGGCGCTCGTTACTTGCTTGAGAATTCGTAATTCCCGAGCCTAGGTTGAGAGAAGGGGCCCATTCACTGGCAAAATTCTTCTAGTCTCCTTGCCAGAAGCCCTCGGTGAAGTTCTTTGTGTTGCGGTCGTATATTGGAGCAGGTTGGTGCTATTTTCACAATTGGAGCTGAAGAAGGCGCCACTAGACGCCGCGACGTAGCGTGTGGAGCAAACGCCAGTCAATTTGGCGCGAATAACACACATTACATATTCAGGATTAGAGACGCTTGGTTTGCCAAGCAGGTAAATCGAGTTAGCTGGCCAGAGGCCGGTGGTATTCAAGATTGTATTGTTGGATCCCGGGTACGTGCCAAAGATGGGAGGCCGTTGATCATATTTCTTGCCAAATCCAAAAATGTCATCGACCACTGTACGGTTGAGCCAGGATGGAGTGCGCGGAATGTCATCAGGTGTTGTAGCACTCCAAGTTGTGGCGTTGAAGTGCACATTTGGCCATTCAGAATAAATTAAGGGTGACAGCTCGGACTTGTTCATGCCTACACAAAGCACGTTGACAGCGGGTGAAGGCACTGAGGCCTCGAGGCTGTACATGCCCTCACCTGAAGCATCCCGTGGCTGGCGGATATCATTTTTCTCGTCCATCGCTGCGATGGGTATCCCGCGATGTGGCATTGCCATTTGCTTTCAGAGCCACCTAAAGCTTCCGCCGCTGTTGTGGAAAACATCGCGACAAAGGTGACTACCAATACGATCGCACCCAGGAATGTGAGTACCGAGTACCGCAAGCTTTTCCAATGCATGATCATTGACCCAGGCTGCATGATTCATGCTCTCATATTCATGTCCGATATGGTAATTCCCCGCAAGCCCTTCATTAGCGATCTCCGGCTCAAAACTTGTCCCAGGATCGCGACGGATATCGTGACATAGGTCATTTCGATAGTTTTGGCAAAGAACGCGCAGAGCAAATTGGCCGTTGACGGGGCCAAGGATCCATCGCTGCTAACATTGTTCCGTCTTGGCTTTCGAATTGCGATGGCGAGATAGATTCCCGAGAAGACCGTCGCATAAAACGCCAGAACGAAGATAATTACCGAGATTCACGAGAATCGACTTTGTAGGACTGTTGCTCGAGTGGGGCAGTCTGCTGGTGAGTGATGTGAATGGGGAAATCGCCGGGGTTCCTCGGGGCGTTTTTAGGAAGCCTGGGGTCGTTGTAGTAGTGGTTTCGCTACCGGCACTGGAGACCGAGTCGCGTTTGCCTCGGGCAGGCAGCGTACCAGAGAGAGTCGGTGATACGCAATTCAACCTCTCGAAACACTTCCTCCGAAAAGCTTTCATGTGTGAATACCGGCGGGAGATAGGCGCATTCGAGGCTGGGTGAGGAGCGACCGCCTAGTGGGTTCCACGAGCGCTGTGGTTTCGCAGTGACCAGATCTTCCTCCGAAGGTAGAATCGAGTGTTGTGACTCCCGCGACTCGGCCATGGTAGGCACGATGGGAGGCGGGGAGATCGTTGGAGAGAAGCTCAGAGGAGAATGAGGTGAAGCTATCAGTCGACGTCGACCAGTTTTGACGGGGCTTGAAACCCTGTCATCCTTGCCCGTCTAACGCGCGACTTTAAAATAGACCGAGAACACAACAATACGACTGCGTCGTCCGCTTATACTTCGTGCGGTTGTTGATCCTCTCTGGGGGCTGAGTTGGGCCTAACCTCACTTCGTCGTGTCGGCCGCTAATGCATTAGCTGCTTTAGTGCCATCCTGTGCCCGCAGCGATGAGCTAAGATCCACTCTTCTGGCAGGGTTCAGTACGGAGTACGGTAGCGTGAGAAACGCTGCTTAGGGTCCTTGAGATTGGAGCGCGGGACGATCCAAATAGGCATCGAATCTTAATGGGCCTGGGACATGCTCGTCAGTAGGATGTAAAAGTTAGGTGCATATCTCAGGCACTAAAAGGCGCGATCTAAGAGAGCCATACTGGACCACTATTGCCAAGAGCCCTGCAAGGATAGAGAAGGATATCTGGTCCCTGATTTGAAGGAATCATGTGAGCTAGTGCTTATCCTTGAAGCCACACATATTCCTGGAATAAATCGACATGTAATATACAGAGGTCTCGCAGTTGGCCAACTTTGATGATGACATGTTGCTCTACAGCACTCTTTGCAGATATGAGCGAATTTATTTCTTCATACAAGCCAGCTCCATGCTGTGTTTCGAGAAGAGACTCAAAACACCTCTAAGATCACTTTTGATGGACTCGTGAAGCAGGTCGGGGAAGAGATTCAAATACTAATCCAGAGATCGCTCGGGCAAATAGCAAAGAATAGGCAAGACCAATGCCATGCTAACCGAGGTCATGACTATTTTCAAGTCAGTCGCAATGTAGAAAATCAGCCACGGTCAGCAATAACCTACCTGGAACGGCCCGAAAGGCCTGGAAGAAACTGTCTTTTACCATGGACTGTAATGGTTCTGGCAGAGAAAATCCATAGCGACTGTCACTCAAGACATGGTGGATAATCTACAAACCACATTGTTAATTATTGTCCCAGAGGTCAAACGAGCGAGGAAAATCACCTGAACTGAACCTGCAAAGTCGGCAAATTTCCGCTCAAGATACGCTTTGAATACCATCCGGCAGGTCACAGACGTTGCGCTAACCCCCATCATCATTCCCAGCTGCTGTGCCAAGTAGTAAGCTGTCATCGCCGTAGCAGACATGTGGCTGGGAATCGATGCCGATAGTCCGACGAAGGTCACGGAGAAGAATCCTCCCATGCCGACGCCCATGATGATAGTAAAGAGAAGCTCCCAATAGTAAGGCCCTTGGGGCAATCGAGCTACTAGAAGAATATTCCCTAATGTCATCGCCATGCAACATTTGATCGATAGTGATTTGTATTTCCCAGTTCTGGGTTCCAAGTTAGGTCTGACTTCAACGTATTGACCAGAGAAAACGTACCGCCGAACAATGTTGCCGACCACAAGGCCACTCAAAGTGCTAGCCGCGGCCAAGGGAAGTATCGATAAAGCCGCCAGGCTGGCAGAGGTATTCTTGGTCCGGACCCAAAAGTCAGCGAAGTTGCTGGAAAACTGGATGACCTGTCAGCATGGCAACATTCAAGAGATAATAAGGCTCAAGAGAAGACTTACTCCACAGAAAGTGAACATTGCCAGAAATTGTGCAATATACGCAAGGCCAGTACCGTTGGTCTTTAGAAGATTCAGCGGAACTAGAGCTGCCTTGGTCCAGTAGCGTTCATTCAACCCGTACAAGATGCATCCAATGATAACAGTTGCGACCGTTATCGCCACGAGCACAGTTTTCTGAGGCGACTCCTCCTCCGAAATAAGCTGACACACTCCCATGATTGCTGCAATAATGGTGCCTAGTAGACAAATGCCCGGTAGGTTCAGTTCTGGTTTCGATTCGCCCAGTTCTCCTCCTTCCTTCGTGCTCGAGTATCCATCGTTCATTGCGGAGGGCAATCGCCATGCAGCCATCCCAAAGCAAAACATCCCTAGTGGGACTTTAATCAGGAAGGACCATCGCCAACCTAAGAAATCAGTCAGGAGTCCACCTAGCGGCGATCCTATGGTGACACCAAAAGTTCCAGACATCTGTAGATAGCATCGAAGGACAGCGACTTCTCTCAATGGTGCCATTTCTACAACAAGAGAACAGACGTCAGCAAAGGTACTCGCTCTGCCCTCGACGAGATATTTACCTGTGATGATCACGCTGATCAAATCGGTCATGCCAGCGCCCCCAGCGCCAGCAACAAACCGGCCAGCGATCACAACTCCGAGATAAGGTGCCAACCCGCTATACGCCTAATTAGCTGGTTCTCCTTGGCACATCCCAGAGTGATTAACAAATACCTAACCATACACCCGAAAGTGAATACAATGTAAGCCACCAACAAAGTTGTTTTGTAACCATAGATTTCACAGACTCTTCCATACTGTGCTTGTTAGCCATCGGATTGTTTGGCTCAGACAGGAGCCAATTTCAACATACCAGAGGAAGCGTGACGGAGTATCCAAGATTGTATGCCGTGATGAGCCAAGGTCCGAGGGAAAGACGGTGAAAGTCCGACGCGATATGGCCGCTTGTCGTGAAAACGAAGTATTCATCGCCAATAGCGAGAAAGACACCTGGTAGATGTCATATTAGGCTTACCATTCGGATATTTGCGATAAAAACGGGGGGAAACTGTACCCAGCACAGCAATTAAGAAGAAAACCATATCAACTCCGGGCCTTGTTTCTCCTTTTGCCTCTGACAGCCTCTCAGGGTCATCCACCGGTCGGCCTGACGGCTTCACTAACGGCGTGCGTTCATCCATAGCTACCCAGTGCTGTCAAGACGTAAGTGAACGAAATCCCCGGAACCAAGTCTGTCCTGAGGAGTACAAGTTTAAAAGCAGAGACTGTCAGCCTCCCCAAAAAAACTTTGCAGATCGATCGCATGAACTGCGATCGACATGGCAGACAAGCCACACAGGCTAGCGATCTATGGCTGGCTGCACGGAGAAATCCGGGCCTACGGTACAATAGCAATTATGGTCCAGCTTTTCGCCATCAAAACACGAACGGCATAACGCAGTCTCTGTATGGAGGATTAAATTAAGACCATTTGTTAATCCTTGCTTCAAGCACATCATCACACGCGTAGCCCCTTCTTTCTGTCCTTTTTCCCAGCGTCATGGATCGGGACGATCTCGGGGACCGCAACCACAACACGGGGAATTGGATCATCTCATTCTAATTTCACGGCAGCGATGCATGAATGGTAAGCAGCCACCATGGAAGTGGCAATTATCCCATAGTTTTATGTATCATTGGGGTGTTCCTCAGCATCTCGTGGGCGATGTATACGGCTGAGAATTGTTACACAACAGATGCCCCTAGTCTCATTAGGTTAGGATCGTCAAAACAGAGGTTCAATCAGGAAAGAGCGGACTGGGGGGCTTACCAGTCATGAACAGCAACAAGCATGGGCAGAGAACCATCAATTCACCCTGCATTTCACCGCTGCAGATTGTGGCATTCCAATGAATCCATGTGATCAGATCTATTGAATTTCAATCCAGGCTTCGTTGCATCCCGAGGTGACCATCGTCTTAGTTTGCACTTCATCATCACACGCCAATTGAGTTTCCATCAAGTCCTCAACAGCCGAACTGCATTTTTGATCAATTGCCAGACCGCTCTTGCAAGGACTGAAACAGTGCCATTCGGCTTTTGATAGTGCCTCTCTCAACCATGATCTTCGGTGGGGCCGGAGCTAGCTATGGTCTGTCGGAGTGGTGGGGGGGAGTGGAGACGTGATCTAGCCTCGGGGCTCACGATGATATCCCTTGACGTGTCACATTGGGACTACTTGTGGCGAATTTATGCAAGAGCAGATTTGCAATCATGAGACAAGATCTCCAGGATACGAGGGATTTTCCGATTGGCAACCCCAATTCCAGAAAGCATAATTGAGATTGATATGATCTTATCAAGGCTAGCAGTTTGTCCCTCCACTAATGGCTAGTGAGACCCCCGAAGCGAATCAAGACAGTGTCAAAAGAACAGCGGATGAGTCTGGAACAACGATATGGAGAACTCCGTGGTCGATGGTCGCTGAGTCCTCTTGCTCATCAACAACCACTGGCCTTCCTTTCGAGAGTTCATAATCATACGAGATACCTCCGAAAGTAATGCTTCCCACAGAATCACTTCCCGGCGCAGACAGACGCTCCACCTGTGCTTTCTTGACCTGAGTCGGAATCTTAAACTCATATTCACGAGTCGGTCGGTTTCGGGTCTCAGTCTGGTTGTAAGCCTGGAGATTCAGGACCACAAGCTTAGACAGCTCGTCTCCATGATAAATTCCATAGGCGGCCTCCGTATCTTCGACCAATGGGATGTTCACAATACGAGCATCTCGAACGTTACCAATTGCAGATGCGACCATGATCTGACCGTAGTATGGCGCCCTTGTCTTCGGAGGTTGCCCCTTGCTAGAAATCGGTTGCCATGACGCATATCGGTAGTTGAGTCCTTGGTGGAAATGAAGGCGCTTGATGTTCTATAGGCAAAGGTCAGTGATCATACAGACTTGAAGGTTATTACGTGGTCATACGTGCGCGGCAGCCCAAAGGGAGAAGTCGACAAGCCACAAAGCATCACCGAAGACATTTGTTTCGCCGTTACGACCTTGGTTAGCGATTGAATTGGTCTCGCCAAGCGTGTAGGGGTGACCCAAATAAGCAAGGTTCTTTGCACGCTGAATATGGGGGGCAAGGTTTTCCACTATGTTAGTGTGGTTCATGAGAACGGCTGGTTCTGTTAGCTTTCATGCTTGCAATTATTCGAAAGTGACAGCCATACTTTGAAGGTCGTAAGAGACTGGGGCCAAAGGAGGACTGAAAACTCCCATATAGCTGTAGAATAGAGGATAGGGGTTAGCCTTCTGGCACAATGCACAGCGACGTGTGAATAGTAGGCTCACTTATGGAAAGATAGATCTTTTGTTAAATTCTTCGGATCATAGCCAAGTTGGAACATTGCTTCAGCCGTCCAGTTGCTTTTGACAATGTCCAAAATGACAAAGCTGGGTGACATGAAGCCTGGGAAAGCACCGGGGCATGCGTTTTCGACGGCAGCCTTGATCGCCGCGGTCTTGTAGTTCCATTCATTGACGTAACTTTGAAGGGTATAGTTTGCGGGTCGGTAATTTGGAGCTTCCATGTTGATCTCATTGCCCAATTCATAGGAATCCAAGTTGGCACCCATGGTACGGCAGGCTTCCACGGCTTCATCCGTGAGTTGCTGGGTAGAGCTGTTTTGCTTCATGTTCAAGCCGTGGATGTATTTCATGTTTCCCAAGGCTTGGTACGATTCAAAGAATCCAGGGCCATAATTGATCTGGCTAGGCTGGTCGTCAGTCGGGTGAGTAAAGACAAGGTCGATGCTATCTGTTTGGTCAGGAAAATAGATAGCATTGTCTCTGAGATTAGAAAGTATTAGCGAATTCTCCTTCGAGCAGTCAAAGGCTGTAACTCATACTGGGAAGTACCCCCGACTCTCACTTTGGGGTATACGCCCGTGATGTCCTTGAAGTTCTCTAACAAGTTTTGAGAGAACTGGTTTGGAGAAGATTTGTTACCAGCATAATCAGGAAAGAAAGCAAATTCCAAAGAGAAAGACTGTAGATCGTTGGGGATAATTTCACTATCCTTCGGCGGCAGTGGAATAGCTATGGGACGGCTGGAACAGTCGCCTGCTGCGAAATACACGGCACTGGTAGCCAACAAGAATTTATAGGACCGCATCTTTCCCAAGGATGGTGTTGCATACAATATTGATATTCAATTGAAACTGGGGTTCTCTTCAGTCTATTTATCCCATCCAGCTCACGGCTATCTTCCTACGTCGGCTTTTGATAGATATCCATATGAAAGGGTCTATGCTACCATTTACTTGGAGTAAATAACAAGATCTCTTAGTAACATGATATAGAAGCCATACTAGCTTTCTTGGCGCGTGCCAACAACCGACTGTCAAAAGCCGTCACTTATCAACATGGCATCGCTTTCAAGCTATGATTCGTCGCATAGTAGCCGATTCTATCCCCGGACCCTTACTCCACACTTCCCCAGGGTGCACCCCACAAAGATCCGAACTTTACAGTCTTCAACATGTTCGAAAATATTCTAGTTGAGGGCTACATTGTCCCTGTGTGTCTAATCAGTAGATGTCTCAATTTTCCTCGTAAAAACTGAGTCTATCTGCTTGCTAATCCGTCTCAAAACTCGATTTCTAGATAAATGAGTAAGAATTTGACGTGATTTAAGATCGTTGTGCTCCTGGTAGTAATTTATAGCTCTCGGCAAGCGGTTCAGCAGCGAAAGTTTAAATTCGACAAGCCGAATGTTTGTGTCCAATATGCCGACATTCTGAGCTCCAACTGCCGTGTGGGCAGGACCTAGCGCAATCTAAAAGTGTTACCAAAGCAAGGACTTAACTCCGCCTACATCATATAAAATTTGTACATTCATGAGTTTAGTTTTGATCCTCTACGTTTCTAACTCGTAACTCTACATCCTCACAGACGTACGGTCCTAGGTGAAGTGGAAGTCTGAATTTGTAGCACATTTACGGATCACCTACAGCCCTTTGGATATTAGCTAGCAAGTTGAATCAAAGTTCTGAATGATTACTTTCTTCATTGAAGAAATGGCTAATGAGACGCTCTTATGATATCCCTCGGTTGAAATTAGCCTCAGCCCCCCGCACATGAGCGGATCCTAGCTTCAAGGTCCAAAGAAATCGGCCCAGCAGGGTCTCGCTGAACATGCAGAGTAATCAAATTACCCATGAAGTCCATATATGTGGCAATTTAAATATCTTCCCACGCCTCGCATGATTCTACCCCGCATGGTTCCTTTCCTGCTTGGCACAAATTTGTGAACTTACGGGTGTTCCGGTTGAAGAGCAGTAGATGCTTTAAAGTCCTTGATTCTACGTGATTCCACTCGTTGAACTTCATGGGTATTCCACTATGACTTGCTTTGTTGGACTTCATTGACTTCATTCCATTGCGGTTATATTCGACATCTTATTCTTAATCTCCGATGCATGCTCTCACATAGTCATCTTCATGCCACCGTTGGCACAGACCAAGCTTCCTGTACACCACTGGCCATCAGGTGTCGTCAACATGCCCACAACACCAGCAACCTCGCTAGTAAATGCCGGTCTCCGGCCACCCATCTTCTCCTCAATCAGACGCTTCTGCTCATCGGTCAAGCGCGCCATCGTCTCCGGGTCCGTCAAATCCATCTTACTGCCAGGGGTATTATCCTGGAAGCCCTGAATATCTCTCCAGAAGTCCTCACCCGTGGCGAAATACATATCACCAACCACAGGGCCCGGGTTGACGGCATTGACGGTGGCACGATCTGCCAGCTCACGCGCCCAGGTACGGGTCATAGACTCGAGCGCAGCCTTGGTGCCACCATAGATGGACTGTCCGACGAATCCCAATTGAGATGAGACGCTAGAGATATTGATAATGCGGCCGCTGCGGTCGGTGGGTAGGAAGGGGGCAACGGCTTGTGTGAGGAGCAGAGGGGCGAGCACGTTGATCGTGTAGATCCAATTGAATTGCTCTGCACCGATAGGGCCACGGACGGGGTCGTTTAGGTTGCAATCGCCGGCGACACCGGCGCAGTTGATGAGAATATCAATTTGAAACTTGTCCGATGAGCCACAGCTCTTCTTGGCGGCATCGAGAATAACGTTGGTGGCCGCCTCGGGCTTGCTCAAATCGGCCTGGATGTGATCGCAGCGGATGCCATGGGAAGAGGCCAACGAGGCGCAGAGCTCTTCCGTGTGTGCACGCGAGGACTCGGATGTGAAATTCAGGAGGAGGTGGCATCCCTTAGCAGCGAGATTGCGAGCAATAGCTTCACCAATTCCTGGAAGGAGAACCGGTTGTTAGCGGATAACATTCTTATCGCAACCGAGGGGCCTTCTTACCCCGCGATCCGCCAGTGACGATGCCGAATTTGCCCTCCAACACGCGGTTTTGGTTGGCCATTTTGGAAGGTATATGGTGATGTTTCTGAATGAGAAGTTGAAGAGAACAAAAGGGAAAGCGCAAGCCTTTTTGAACCACCTATGCTACTTTGTACTCTCTGCAAAGCAAAACCTAATTTAGCCGACAGGCGACTTCGGCCCTTTTCCAAAGCTTCGCTGATTCCCCCGCCGCTCCACTCCGCGGACCAAAATTTCCCGTTTCAGCACAAATCAGGAAGGCCGGTTAATTACTTCGTCGTCGCGTGACGTTTAACCCTTCCACCGTTTTCTGGGGAGAGTCCCTGAGGTCCCTGAGGGAAGGAAAAAACCGGTGGGCTACTCCAATCGCACCTTCAGCCGCTTAAATTCCTCCGCATTCTCCTTGATCGCAATCTCGACTGGCAGACGCTCCATACTACTGGCCCCGAAGAAACCATGCACCCCTTTGGTTCGTGATAGAACATACTCTGCGTCCGATGGACGGGCAATTGGCCCGCCGTGGCAGAGTACCAGAATGTCAGGGTTGACACCGTACGCCGCATCTCGAATCGCCTGCACGAATCCAACACAGTCTTCTAGCGACCGACTGTTCTTTGCTCCGATTGAACCAGACGTGGTTAAACCTGCGTGGGCGACAACGATATCTGCTCCGACGCTGGCCATGTCGATTGCGTCTTGGGGACTGAAAACGTACGGGGTAGTGACCAGTCCTTGGTCATGGGCGATCCTGATCATTTCGACCTCGCGATCATAGCCCATCTCCGTGTCCTCCAGGTGTTGGCGAAATTGGCCATCAATCAGTCCAACGGTCGGAAAGTTCTGTACACCAACGAAGCCCAGTCTCTTCAACTCGGTGAGGAAGATAGACATGTCCCGGAAGGGATCAGTTCCACAGACACCAGCGAGAACGGGAGTCTCCTTGACGACAGGGAGGACCTCGCTGGCCTAGACACATGTCAGCCATTGAAAGAAAGGAATAACTTGTGTAAACATACCATCTCGACCACTACCTGGTTGGCATCCGAGTATGGCATCAACCCAGCTAGCGATCCGCGCCCAGCCATGCGGAATCGACCTGAATTGTAAACTAGGATAAGATCACAGCCACCATTCTCGACGGCCTTTGCGGAGAGCCCGATACCTAGTAGACATGTTAGCATAGATTGAATTCTTAAGTCCAAGAGCTAGGGCTCGTCTCACCAGCACCAGCGCCTACAATAATTGAGCCATCAGCGACCGTCTTGCGAAGCCTGGCTAGAACCTCTTCGCGGGTAGCTGGGCGGGGCATGGTCGTGAAGACTGAAGCTTATATCTCACTAGCACCAGGCCTTGAAGAAAGAGCCCGTAAGTGTACAATGTGATATTTTGCAAAGGAAAACTCGACGCAGCAATCGTGTCACTGAAGGACCTCTTTGCCTTTGTGGTTGGACAAACCGATAGACCGGGTTCTCATGTTGCACCTCGATGGATCGGATGGTGCCTCGGTGCCCCGCAGCTCTGGCATTCCAGCCCCGCGAATTACCTCATTCCATGCCCACTCTGCCCTGCAATCTTACCTAAGGTGCTCTTTGCTACGGTGCAGAGTTAATAGCCAAGGATACAGCACTATATTCTTGATTAGGTTTGTGCATGTGTTATCGCCTTACAAATCCTTCATGGAGTCCACATACAATGATGGAGCTTACTTAGGCATGGAGAATTAGCATCGATGCGCAGGAAATACTTATGTTGGATTGCTCCCGTCGAAGCCACGCACGACTCTTACATTGGTTTGCTACCTAAGTAGACTACTACCTATGATGTATGATAGTACAGGGTTAAAATTTCAAAGATGTATCAAGGTACCTATGAAGCCAAGGATATATAAGTCCTGAGAGGACTTCGAAGGCGTCTCTCAAGATTGACGCAACAGCATGCCAAGCTGTTCCGGAATTACTATGGCGCGTATCAAACTACTCTGGGAGATGCATTGCTACAACTGAACCTATAGTGGAACAAAATACTCAATGTATGCCAGTTTTTGGAACTCCTTCAATATATCTTCAGGCCTTTATTACCAGCTTAAGATTCGGGACCTGTACGCCTAAACTAGTACTCTGTTGCGCGACGCATTCAGGGGATGGAATTGAAGCTACGCTAAACGTAGAACTAATGCAGGAGCAAGGATGTCGTAGGGGCCGGTCAAACAGAATATCAGGTGATAAGACGTGATGTGATGAGGGGCTGCGTCGTAGTGCTACTGGCTTTTCAAACCTCACCCTTCGTCCTAAAACATTTCAATTGATCCATAGGACCTCGAGATGGCTCAAATATCGGATCTCATTCGTGACTCCCGACTGGACACTTACTTCCTTCCAGATTGTACCGTGGAGACCGTCCATACTTAGCGCGAGTCCGACACTACCGGCCAACGGCGAGTCGTTAATAGGTCAGAGCATTGGCAGCGGCAGAAAAGGATTGGAGGTGGTGGCTTTGGGAACGTTTGGTTGGAGAAATGTATCAGGGGTGGCCAGCTAGACGGCCCAATACGAGACGGCACTCTCCGGGCTGTGAAGCAGATGACCGTGGATTCGCGCTATGGATCTATTGATTACAATCGTGAGCTGAAAGCCATGGCCAAGTTTTCGCACAAACGCGTTCGTTCCTTCTAAAATCAGACCTAAACCTTCCACTAATGGTAATAGTACGAAAGATGCTTCGTCAAGTCATTTGGGTGGTACGAGGAGGGTGACCAGTTATTTATCGCTATGGAATATCTCGATGCCGGCGATCTGTATACGTTCGTCTACCGAAAGCCACCACTGCCGGAAATCGAGACGAAGGAAATCGCCTACCGAATTCTTGAGGGGCTGGACATGATGCACGATAATGGATTTGCTCATCGAGATTTGAAGCCCAATGTAGGTCTGATACGTTGGCACCTATGCTATGCGAGCAGTCAAAGGACGCTTTCGCAATAAAAAAAAAGTCCATAGATGCTGATTCCATACAATTTCCAGAATATTTTGATCGAGTCGCACCCACCGAATGTATGGTGGATCAAGATTGCCGACTTTGGGATTTCAAAACGCATCGAATAAGGCAATAGGCCATTGTCAACCCTCTGTGGCACGCAAGGTTATATTGCCCCAGAAATGTACGGGTTCGTCCAGGGAGACAGTGTATACGCAACTGATATTTGGGCGTTCGGGGAAATTGTCTTTCAGCTTCTCACCAAAAAGCCGACATTCAAGCACCTTGGACTGCTTGCAAATTACATTCCAAAACCAGATACCTTTCCCAGTGAGGAACTGGCAAATTTCAATGTCAGTACGACGGGGATCGATTTCATACTTGCACTTATGCATCCACTTCCCACCAAGCGATTGACGGCCTCCTCAGCATTGTTACAGGGATGGATCAAGTCAGCGACCGAGATAGACAAATTGCCTATAAAGTTGGATCCCTCACATACCTCCATGGAAGAAAAATCGGATACTCTCCCTGAAGACAATTTTGCAACCTGGAACACAAGATCAATTCGGCCAAACCAGCTCAAAATACAATCCCCGGTAAGACTTAGCGAATAGGGATATGTTTAAATGGACACAATCTCACTAAGAAGATAAGAACCCATACAACGCCTTATCGATGGCCTCAAACGCGGAGACTTTCGTTTGAAAATGAAATTTGAGGCCCATGCCCTAAGGGCAATTCTTTCACCAGATCGAAGCTTGCTCGCAATTACAGGACCTAATCCAGATGTTCAGATCTGGAGAGTTGAAGATGGGATTTTACTCTATAGACTCAAGGGCACGCATTCTCCAACCTTTTCTGGGGACGGGAGATATTTGGCAGTCCTAAGTACCACAGCAGCGATGATTTTGCAGCCTCATACGGGGAAAACACGGATGAACCTTCCATTACCGGAGAGTAATGCTGGATTCATAGCCTTTTCCCCGGACAGTGAGCTTCTTGTGGCAGGCGGTTGGTCCAGTGAGAATGATATCAAGCTCTGGTACTCTTTTACCGGCGAGACATATGCAAAGTTTGTACCGCCTGTGACACTCCCAAAGGGGGCGGCTTCCCATGAGGCAGATCTAATTGTTGCGTTGAGCTTTAGTGCCGACGGCCAACGAGTCTTGTGTGCCACAACATTTCATACCTGGAGCTGGGACATTGCGATGGCAAGGTTACTGATACACCCCCGACTGATGAGATGGGCAACCTAATAAAGAAATATAAAGGCATGTTCTCGCTAGATGGGGAGTCTATCGCTTTCGAAGCATATATGGTGGGAGCGTGTATTTTTGCTGGTAACAGCTCAGGTGGCCCAATGACAAGAATAATGATTCCTGATAGCCTGTTGTGGGAATGGACATTATCACCAGATGGAAGAGTTGTGGCAACAGTGACCTTCGAAATCACGAGTAGAATTTTAGGGTTCTGGGATACAGCCTCCGGTGAACTCCTTTATTCCACCTCCATGAGTTGCCGCACTTTTATAGTTGGAGATTGGTCTCGTCCCTTCGACAACATCAAAGGATTGTCTTTCTCAGCGGACTCATCATGGATGGCGTTTTGCGGCCCTCCTGGGGTGAGAGTAGGGCCATGCGGAGAAGAGGATTCTTGACAGTGCTACATATGTGATGCCTAATGTATTCAGGGACCGGGAAATATCACAATTCCTAGTTTTGTCCCAGTATAAACTCTGAGATGTACAGCGTCAAAATGCAGAAGTTATAGATATACACGAGAACAAGCCGGGTATGCCAAAAATGGTAGTTTTGTTATCTGCCTGTCATTCACAAGCAATCATAACATGAGATCATATAGAGTTGTCCTAGTGAATTTTATCATCGTCTTCTCCCCTATAAGTTATGCGTAGATCAGTAATCTTAACTGAGGCCAAATGATCTTACTTGAAGGTTAGGATTGATACGATTATGGTTTTCTATATCGCCCATAAGCTAGATGATTTAATCAATTGACATGATCGCCTCTCTAAGTCGAATCACTTGTATAAGCAGCGATCCGTACATTCACCACGGGCCCACATTTCAGACACGCTAAGTACTATCTGCATTAAAGCCCAGGCCAGTTAGGAACATCATTGTCCTGGGACAAATAGTTATCTATGTATGCGTTCTTGACCAGGGAGACCTTGTTGCTGTCCATTCAAGGAATCAAGTACAACACGCTATGGCTTACTATTCGAACATCACAGAATCGACTGGTAAGCTTGTTTTATTATCCTATGTATAGTCATGCTCTTTGGCAGCCGCGAGTGGCTTTACGTGCATCCCACAATCTCGGCAGACTGATTTTCCCGCATCAAGATCTCAATTTTGTAGGTGTGATCCAATCTTCTAAGCGCTTTGCTCGAGCTGCATGAAGAGTCAAGTCATCAATCTGCCGGGTCATCCTGCCGGAAATTATACCCTGCTAGGGATATCAACAGCCCCAATTCAAAGGCAAGCTCCACGTAATAGGTCTGCCGACTCACTCGCATCATTTCACTAAACATGCAGGGGCCAACCGATCAAGTTTAGCTGTAATTTCCCATGACTGGTGCTCCAGAAAACATGCTCATGAGGTCGTGTGAACGCCCAATGGCCAACCCTTTGACATGACGTTTCTGCTTACGCAGCCTTTTTCAGCACTGGACAGGCAACTCGTCCACTGGGCTTGACTCGCTTGAGAGGAATTTCGATTTGTTCACCATACTCCCCACAGCCTCTGACCTAGTCAATGGACGGCAGCCTATTAGTCTAGCTCTGGTATGGACCCATGCCTTGCGGGGGTCGTTCGTGTTTCGTAAGGACGCAATCTGTATCTTTCACGCTTCGTACGTCCCATACAGACCATGCTCTGCCTATGGAATTTCACCATGGTTCAGCCACATCCACAGGGGGGTGGTCCTTGATACTTTTCGTTTGAAGGCTGGTGAAGTACGAACACGGCCTCGTCACCAGCTTTATCCCGTCCCTGCTCTGCCACACTTTCCACATCTACCCCACCTCCCCACCTGAGCTTCGCTTCGGCCAGACCCTAGATGCACCAGTTATTAAACAGGGAAGACTTGGTGGGCTCTTGGCATGAATGAGAGCAAATAGAGAGTGGATGCTCCTAGTAGCCTCCCGAGGCTGTAATTCCTGAGAAGGACAGGGGGCTTAATCTCGAATCTGGACCACACAGAGAGCGTGACGCCTGCTCCAAGGATGCAGAGTTTGACGCCCCAATAATGAGATTAGGCTGCGTATGCATCTGATAGCGCTAGGAGATCTCTCCAATTGACCTCTTCGGGACCCGCAAAAACATACCAGAGTTGTACACGGACACTGGAGAGTAACCCCGGGTTCATGGATGGTTTCGCGTCGATCCATTATCCAAGCGAGGATCAGGGAACGCCCTGCATCTACCAACGGCACGCGTGGAGTCGGGAGTGAAATGCAACACGCAATGGATGGACAGCTACGGCGAAGGCCGATCCAGCTTCGCTGGATGCATTAAAGGAGCAGATAGAGCGCAGGGGAACCCTATGGATTTGGCGTAAGTGGCATCCTGATACCGTGATTGGCTACTTACACAGCCTGCAAACTATGTAATGCGATTCACAGCCATCACCTGGCGAAAGTTACATACGGCGACGTTGATACTCTGGAGAGAGCAACGAGTCCATTGACTCGCTGGACATGGGACCCTGCGGGTATCAGAATGCGAATACGTAGGCTACCAAAGATACAAGCACTGGCCTGAAGTGTCAAGAAGGAGTTGATCGCGAACGAGATAACATGCGCCACGGCGAGACCAGACCCAAGAAGCTTGCATACGTAGCATACCCGCCCTTCATCGCCGATCTACTCCAGGATACGAAATACGACTGGATGATAGAACCATGGATCCTTGAATGGTCGGAAAGTCGGCTGCCGGATCACCGATGGAGTCATCAATGCCGAGACACCTAAACGAATTGGCTTCAATAGTTTGACAGCGGGGTCTTCTAGAACTGCCAGGCAGCACTGAGGAAGGACGGGGCTGTGGCTGTGTTGGATGCAATGCCGTGCGCAAGCAGGATACATCGTACGTCGAATATTGTGGGTGCCTAGAGAACGACTGGAGCTTAGTTCGTTAGTGATGGCTGACCGCTCAAGTGGGTGCGATAACTTTAATGCACATTGTCGGCAATTTTTATCTCCGGTCATGACAACGCTATGGAAGGGAGACCGATTCACACCAGTTCTTAACGATGGAATCCTGACCATCAAATATGAGTAAGCTGGGGTCCAAAATCCCACCAATTAGCTAGACTCAGGGTAACACCCTAAAGGTAAATACATAGTAGTCACTGAAATCCAAGAAATAATGAAGCTTAGGAGAAATAACACAAAGGCTAGTCGAGAATGCCAAGCCACCTTGATCCTTCCTACCACTTCGCGTCGATAGCAACTCAAAAGGCCGCGTGGGCAGGCGTGGCAAGTGCAGCGGGCGCAGCAGCCACAGGTAGCTAACCCCATCGCACTAGGCAGAATAAAGGCCTAGCGAGCGACGGGACTGAGCATTTGACGCGGGACTAGGCTGCTCTGAGTAAGCGGGAGGGAACTGGCCGCGAGTCCCTGCATTTTCAGGGTAAGATGGCTGAAATGGCGAAACCGAAAGCGAGAAGGCGAGCGTCGGATTATCCGAACCGGGAATCACGGGAAATAAATTCCGGTATTGGGATGAGCTAGCAAAATCTTGTTTAGTTTACTCCGTAGGGCCGAGAAACCACACGGAATAGAGAAAGTGAAAGGAAGGAACGGAAGGAACCATAGAATCAAGAAAAAAAGGGTCCCGCCACCGCCGAACAGGCAGTAGACTAAACTAAACCATAACCACCGTAGAGTTAGGCTAACCAAAACAAAACTGAAGAGCAGAAAAAAGGGCCCTGACAAGTTAAACATGTGGCATAATCTCCCAGGGCTGGGACGCCGTACGCCGTACGAATCAAAGGCGCCGAACCAGCCCTAGCGAACCTAGTTGGGGTAAAGCCATGAAGCATAATCGCTGGATCGGGCGCGGCTAGTCCCAGTAACGGAGTGGATATACGTAGACTGCATACGTATGCCCCGTCCCTCGTCTGCGAAGAGCAAATCACCTCTCGGCTAGACATACCCCCTCCTCTTTACCCCCAAATGTCTTGAAAGGAGGGTCATGCACGAACCACAACCGTGCCGGTCAGGGTCGAGATCGGGATTGCAGAAGCTTGGATGATCGGCGCAGGCTACCATATATGGGATGGCTTATGCTGATCGGGGGTGTCAGCTTGACAGCGAGAGGAACATAACCAGGGGATCTCAACAGCGGGAGGGGGCTAGCTGGGAGGAGAAGGAGGTAATTGAGGTGATGCGGGTCTAATGGCGTTACATATCCCTGTATTAGCCAGATATGGTTAAAAAAAGTCAGCGCGAGCGATGGGTAAATGTCTGCTTAGGGGTATAGGTGCAGAGTACTTCATAACACCCATCACAGCGGTGTCCAGGAGAGTGAAAGAATTACAGGGGGTAGGATATGAACAAGAACGAGGTGAAAAGCATCACTCATCGTACGTTGCCCACTTACGTACGCTGAGCGGAAAGCCCCCGCGCGAATGAGTCGATTAATGATTTCTCGGGGCGGGGCGGCATTGGACGCGTACGAGTACGAAAGTCGCACGGACCGGGCCCCTGGGCCCTAAATTGTCCTCTCAGTGTGATGGTTACTTCTGGAACTCTCCAATGTACAGTAGTAGCAGTGTATCTTGAATGCAGATAGGCACGGGATGCATGGAGCATACACCAGCTAGAAAGGACGTGACAGCCTTATCGTCTTTATTGACTCTATTGCCTGAGGTAAGTAGCAATTCAAATGTACTTACCTGGTATTGGCTGTACATGTGCATGTACCTAGCATGGGAATATTATCTGACTTGCAATCCATCGGACAATCTTTATTCTACATTCTCCTTGACCAATGAGGTCCGAATTTAAATTTTCATTGTTTGGACATGACTTTGGGTGGCTCGGAACTATTTGAAGCAGAGGTGCGAAGATTGGGACGTAAGGGCGCCACGCCCTTGTCATCAAGCACATTAGAGTTCCTTGGGCTGAACCGTCAGAAATGGAAAAGAGATTGAGGTTTGAGGGGGGAAAGAATGAGACACAAAATTGGTCAGTGATCCAGTTAGGTATCAGAACACTGGGTTTATCTGATTTTAAAACTAGATTAATTTCGAAATTCCTTGGCTTCTGCTCCTGATTTGCGTGGTCCTTCGCCCTACGGCGATCTGGCCAAGGACCCGTCGTAATTAGAATACCAGAACGGAAACAGTCTTCGCGACTGTTTCATTACACCGACGGCAAAAATTACAGTGGCTATGTAGGATATCCAATGCCCTACCTAGAATATATCAATCTCACATCTATGGTTCAGTGCTCTGTAAATAACTGGCCATACTACACACTCATCACCAGCCTGTCTCGACTCTGGAGGCTCTGCCAGCGCTCACAATATTCCTCGAAATATCCTTTCTCCACCTCCTGAAGCTCGGAGCCGGGCGTTAGTTCCCAAACAGGCATAGCGAGGAGCGCAACATCATCACTTACGTATGTCCCCAGACTCCAGCGCCTCGCCTTACGGCACTGGCCACGATTGATTCTACTGATAGGCACCGTAGGGGATAATTTTGCTGTCATGCCAACGAGGATCATTACAAAGGGTGTACTGTACACTGTACCACGCAAAAAGGTTGCGGGCTGGGCCAGTAGTGGCTAAAATATAGTCCGACCGAGTGGATTCAAAAGGAAGTCCCTGCGCCGCTTACTTCTCAAGCTCTGGTTCTCAGGGTCCATGGATCCAGTGGGCAAGAAAAAAAATCTAATCAATTTTACTTGTAGTCCTTTGAAGTTTGTCCGTAGTTCTACCGATATACTTCTCAGAGACAGAATTTTCCCCCATCTATTTTCCTTTTCCCTATCGTCAGTCTCCAGGTAGAGTGGAGAACAGTACAAGTTCGCTTGGGTTAACTGAAGCCCTAGTCGCATTGAGAATCTAGGTGGAGGTCCAGTGGGAATTTGACACCGGCCGTGAGGTTGTCATAGGGAGATGTTGCGTGCCAAGGACGACGTGCTGATCAAGCAAAAGATATTGCTTCAGCCACACTCTCATGTACCTAGTAGAGAAGAAAAGATCAGGAGGGAGGGTCAGTTTAGAGAGTCAAAGGACTACCGATTTGAGGCATGGATTACGAATAATAGGAGACTTGTCCCTCTGTCCAAGCGTCAGAACGCGCCAGAGGAGATCTGGCTGACGAGTCTGTCCCCGCCAGGGTCGTGATGGGGCGGCCCGGAAGAAACGGAGCCCAAGAAACGGGTCTGCACAGAAACCGCCGTAGTTCCAAGGGGTGGGTAGGGGTCCTCTCAGGATGCGAGCTTCCGAGGGGGGTGGACACTGGACACTGGACACTAACCGGACTGAGGGGACTTACGTGGTTGTGGTTCATTATTATTTTATACAAGATTAAATTTTGGAATTATTTTATCCTTCTGGTCATAGAAAGTGTTGATTAGGTTGGTGTTGTTGCGGGAACAATTGGTTAATCAGAAAAATTACAGTTTTGGGCGGTACCGATGCGGGTTTGGTATTCGGAGTACTGTATTTCCATGATGGAGTTATGGTACTTATTCAACTTGTCACTCGGGCTGCTGAATGCCTCGTTATTGGACATTCAATTGAACTGGTATCTGATGTAGCTAGACAGTACGAGGTACGAGGTACTCCGTAGTATTATACGAATCATCACCTCTATGAATGTGCTCATCGTTGGAAAAATGACAATAATAGTAATTCGATTAATACCCGGTCCATAGCTGATAATAATAATTCTACGTGATCCGCCCGAGATCCACTTCAACGGCTAGTACGATAGCCAACGCGGTATCGAGTGGAAAATACCCTACGAGCTTCTGGGGAGCCTCGCCAGACAGAGACCCTGGAAGCTTGGCTTCGCATATTAGTATGTATTAGTTCCTCAAACGGACTTGGCTGCGAAACTCGTCATCCTTTTTCTCTCCTCTCCTCGACTTCGTCGTGCTTCTGTATTCTCTTATCTCTTTATATCCTTTCCCTCCAATCCCGTCCTTTCCCATTTTCTCTCCAATCTTTCCATTCTTGAGGGCTCTCTGGAACTTACTTGCCTTCCAAACTTGACACGGGCTCTCCCCCCACCTGACGATCAACCATCTCTTTGCTCGTGTCTCTTATCACATATCGCATCATTTTCTTCCGACCTTCGCCAAACTGAGAATCGAAGTCTACGAATTAACACACACACACACACACATACTCGCCCGTGAAGACCTCCTTTTTATCCTTTTTCAACTGGAGTCATACGGAAATTCACTTGCCTTGTTCTCTGGTAGACAAGGTTACTAGTGTATCGGCCGAGGGTTACGACCGCTATTGAATTTCATCGCACTACTTTGGCTTCCGCTCCTAACCCCCTGGAATTTTCTCAGCCCAGTTTGCAACTGCTGTGGACGATTGTGCTCCCAATTCAAATCCTGAAAGTGCGAAACGAAGCACCGGAATCTCAGGAAGGACGCTATTAAGGGTTGTGACAAGGCCAACGGTGTGGGAAGAACCGACCAGTGTCGAACCGTTCATCAACTCCCTGACAAACCCTGGGAGCTCCTGAACCCTCAAAGTCTTTAAACTCCCTATTGTTCGATTATCGCCACGCTTTGAGGGGCACGAGGTCGAGTCATCGGGCTTCTGGCAGGTCTGTTGGCAAGTGCCCATCAAGAATCTAATGTTGTCGACGTGTTACACCACCCGGGGGACAAACATCTTTCAAGAGCCGCTGGTACGTTTGCTGTACAATCCGTCGGGATGAAATGAAAGAGGCGAAAGACTCGTTCCTCTGCCTGTCTTTCTGTTTCTTTTCTCGTTTCTCTCCATACTTTCAAGTCCCGTTTACTCCCGATTCCATCCCTGCCCGTTCAGCATGATCCCACGGATCATCTCGAGCCTCTTCACCCAAAGCTGTAAGCAATCCAGACTGACCGGCGAATGTGCCCTTCTTAGTATAAGTTTCCAGCCTCGGTGACCGCATTTCGGGGCATTGAGGAAATGTCTAGCGGTATGACGAGCATTGTATCAATTCTAAACAACGACGACCACCCGTCGTTTGCAGTCCGGTCCAATCCGAGACTCACCCGTACCAACACCTCGCCCTCGCATTACCCCCAGCAACAGCATCCGCATCAGCTTCCTCCGCCTGTCAGTGATCCGCAGTATGCCCGCCCACATGCTTCATCCAAGTCTCCTTCGGCATCCCCACGAGGCACACGGCATCTCTTCAACCCAGCAGCAGAGACGGCTCAGCCTACATCACCGGGCTCTTCGGATGGCTCCGCCTATGACTATTTCAGCAGTCAAGCTTCATCGTCAGCTTACCACCCGTACGCTCGGCAGGACCTGCGACGGGATCCATTCCGCTACCCATCTCGCGGGCCAGCCGCTCCGCGAACACCACCCGAGATTCATGCCAGCACAGCAACAGAGGCAAAGTCTTCACAATCCGGCAACACTCGTGGGACAGGGCGTAAGAATAAATACCCATGCCCATACGCCGCGAGTCATGGCTGCTCGGCTACATTCACGACATCGGGCCACGCAGCCCGGCATGGGAAGAAGCACACCGGCGAGAAGAGCGTCCACTGCCCCATTTGCAACAAGGCATTCACACGCAAAGACAACATGAAGCAGCATATCCGCACCCACCGCACCCATTCAGACGACATGCGATCTACTCCTTCAGAAACCGATGGCGAGGCTCGATGGGCCTTGCCTCTACCGGATTCGGGCTATACCCCTCAAGCTCATAGTCGGACGGTCAGCCAGTCGACAGATGCCAGTACGACAATGCCCCCACCCAGCTAGATGGCCCATAAACCTTCCTAAAAGAGGAGGGTAGAGGAATGAAGCAAAATAAACAAGAGGGTCTCCTTTAAGAGAAGGTTGGACAAGGTGGCAAATATCTGCAATGCCCCTAAGAGCAACCCCTTTTCTGATATGTCTATCATGTCTTGCATAAGGATGACTGCTTCTCTGACGATCTGAGTGTGCCTGCGACAACTGCTGTGCAGTGAGCCTTGTCCTCGTTGTCTAATTGTGCAACGGCCTGCACCGTCGAGAAGTTCTCGCCGGGCACCTAAAACTTTTCCACCACGGTTATGCCGTCGATGCAGCATAACCCCACCTCCGGATCCTACACCAGGATTCGACGAGACGTCCATGCTCGCGCATGATCCATGAGTTCTTGATTTCCGTTCTCGACATCTGTTTGTATTACATCTTCTCATCATTCATCATCCACATCTTGCATTTTCACATCTTCAGTTGTATATTCCTCATGTATCATTGCAAGTGCATGTATTTGTCTTTAAGGGACTTGATCCTACGATACTCAAGAAGAGGACCAAGGCACTACGGTGTATGTCTATCATCTATTTTTGTATAGTACTCTATGAATTGAATGACGGTGTGTGAATATCTTAGCCATGTGCCTAACTAATACCAGCCATGCGTATACGTCATAAGGATAGAGATCTATGAATAGGGTTGTGCGTGTGGTAAGTGGCATCGGAGAAATAATCCTAAACTGCATATAACGTGGCAGCGGCACGTTGTACATTACATATGATCTGTGAAATCGACGGCAAAAGGACGGCTCCTGGCGCTGGAAACGGCCGCTTTTACACTCGTGTACGCGGCCTCTGCTAGAGACTGACGAGGAGTCATCCATCCAAAGCATGGGTCTAATAGCGTATAGCCCTATTCGCTTCAAACTAAGTAATTTTGTATCCGGATACACCGGTATTTTCCACCCGTTTTGGCATTAACCAGCGCCTCATGTGTACGCGGCCTCCAGTCATGATTCAGTCTTTCATCCCCCATTGAATTAGCCCAGTAAAAAAAAATACGAATCCATGTACTAGAGAAGATCATTGAAACTCCAAATTGCAGATTTCTCAAATCCAAGGCGGTACACAAGCCAGGACTTTGTACATGTAAGTGAATAGATTGTGCCGAATCCCTTTGCGATCCATCGTTGGCGGAAACTGATTCATGTAGGGAACACCTTTTTTAGCCTGAGGATAACATGCGCCAAATGGATCCCCTCGTTTTCATATCTCTGCTCATAGCCACGCCTCTGGTTTGGCTTTCATGGATCTTCCAGTCCAGGTTCAGCAGATCCCAAAGGATTGTTTACCTGACTGGTGTTCTGGCCTACGTTGTAGCTCTCTCTGGCTTTTCAATGACGAACTTATGGCAATATAGGTATTGTGGAGATCTCCATTCTCTCCCATACTCAATAGCGGAAACTAATTCTAGAAAATTCCGATTAGACTGACTTGACGGGTGCTAATAATATGCGGAACATGTTGCTCGATACGTGAGAGTTTTATTCCAATCTTGGATTGATACCAACCTGAGAAGAGCGGGCACCGCCACCACCAGCCACCACGTCAGGTTACATAATTGCAAGGACGAAGCAGAAACAATGGCGGTGCTAGGTTTAGCCTCGTTGATCATAAGGTTGACCGTTCTAGGCTTGTTGGGCTTTGGCATGAATCCGGTGCCTCTCACCTGCGGTTCTCGGCCCGCGGATGAGTAAGAACCAGGTCCATCCGTTCCATGCTTTTGGTTGTATGCAGACCTGGGAACCTCGTCCGCTGCCCAGCCCCGCGGGGCCAGCCGAATCCTGATCCGTGGAACCTTTGTTGACTGTTGATATCCGGATTGTGGTCCATAGAGAACGCATATAACTGTTCCATCATGCATCGATTCATTCTCAAGGATATCCACTGCAAGCGCCTAGAATCAGACCAGCGGTCAAGCGACCCTGTCCGATCGAGGACCAGTTGACAACGTGTGGCGTCCAGGCCTGGGCGTCCGTTGGGTGGAGGCTATGTACGTAGGGCTGGTCCCCTTGGTTCCTTGATGGGCCCATGCAACATGACGTTGGGTGCCATGACAGGCTGAGTGAACGCGATACGACACGATACGAGCGCTCATTCGAGGGTAGAATTTCTCCCCAGCATATCCTGTCTAGTGCCAGTCGGAAGTGGCATAACGTCATCGCGGACACCCAAACGTTTCATCTTGGAGAAGGAGGGAAAGGGGGGGGGGGGGGGGGGGGGGGAGGGAGGCCAAAGAGTCGATATATTATAGAGAACATAGGGCCCTGAGGAAGACTTGGCCGTGACCTTTCCACACGATGGAGGGAAGATTTTGTCTTTCAGCTCTCTCGCCTCGTGTCTCTCAGCCACTGCCAAGTTGCCCCTCCAGCCTCAGCCGATCCCTGTCGCTAACCAGTTAGTTTGCTCTGCCTCGCTGCCTCTCTCGTGTGTCTGCTCTTTCTGCTCTGCTCTGCTCTCCCCGCTGCCCGTCGCCCAACGACGTCACGCCACCCTGCCCCGCCTCAGTCGCACTCGACAAAGTCTCATTGCTGCCTCATCGCGATTTCATCTTCTCCACCAACTCTTGTCCCCGTGAACGGTAGATAGTTCACACAGTCGACCCTTATTTCTTTCTTACTTCCACCTATTCCACCCTCTCATCGGTCGCCGTTCATCTCCATTTCCTCCCCCCCATCGTTCACGATGGCGTACTACGACGATCGTCGCCACTATGCACCCCGCGACCGTGGCCGTCCAGCCGCCGGTTATGCTGCAGATTACTACGAAGATCACCCCCGGAGCCTCCATGCAAGGCCTGATCGAGAACTCTACCTCTCTCGAGGGGGTGAGGACTCGGTCGAGGAAATCCAGCGCGACTATCCTCCCGGGTCTGACTACGTCTATGAGCGCGGCTACGACTCTCGTCGCTCGCGACGCCCGGTCTACGAGAATGTGCGTCGTGCATCCTCAGTTGGTGGCTACGATCCGTCCTACGATAATGGTTACTACCGCTCCCGAACCCGACGAACTAGGCAATATGATGATCGCCGTAAGTGGTCTTTCTCCCTTAAAGCGACTCTCGCTTCCTGAGCGACGCATCCCATCTTCGTGATACTAAAAGCTACCTCAGGCCCCCGTCGCTCTCGCTCCAGATACTCATCGCCTTCTTCATCCAGCCCATCTCCGTCCCGTCATAGACGCCGTAAGTCTCTGGGCGAAACTGCCCTCGGCGCTCTTGGCCTAGGCTCCGTTGTTTCCAGACACTCAGACCGCACTGATCGTGGCCGCGCCCGATCCTCTTCACGGCGCCGTGGTCGTGGCTACTCCTCATCACGATCTCGCAGTCGCAGTCGTGACCGTGATCGCAACCATCGTCAACGCAGCGAGCAGCGCCTTGCTCAGGCCGCGCGTGCCGCCTTAACGGCCGGTGCTGTGGAAGCTTTCAAATCTCGCAAAGAACCCGGCGACTGGACTGGCGCCAAGGGCAAGCGGATCCTCACAGCGGCTGTCGCCGCGGCCGGCACCGATGGCCTCATCGATAAAGACCCCAACAAGCACTCTGGGCGTCACGTCGTGGAGTCTACGCTTGCAGGTCTTGCTGCGAGTCATTTTGTCCGCGGTGGACGTTCCTCATCCAAGGGACGCGATGGCCGTGGCCGTTCTAGCAGTGGTCTCAAAGACCTCGCCGCCACGGGCGCCCTTGCCGCTGCCGGCAAAGAGATCTTTGACCGCCTCTCGCGCTCGCGATCTCGTCCTCGCGGCCGCGATGATCGTGACCGTGATCATGGTAGCGACGATGATCGCCGTGGATCGAAGAAGCGAAGCAAGAGCGTGTCGGAGTACATTACCAAGGGCATCGCCGCCCTGGGCATTGGAGAAGCAGCATCCGACCGTGGTCGAGACGACCGCGGCCGTGACAGAGATGATCGATACGATCGACATCGGGAGCGGCGTCATCACCGGGACCGGGACTCCCGTTACGACTCCTATTCAGACTCGGATGCAGAGAGCGACTATCGCAGCAGGGATCACAGACATGGCAGAGGCTCGAGAGATGTAGGTCGAAATCGTTCCATGAACGGCAACAGAGCACCCCCCGTAGCATCCCCCATAGCACGCAACAGCGCGCCCCGTGGCGAGAAGGGCCGGGGATCTACCAACCGGGGATCCCACTCCAGCTCCGAAAGTGATTCTGACTTAGGCGACAGTGACGATGAAAAGGAGAAACGCAAGAAGATGAAGCGGGACATGTTGTTGACCTCCGGGCTGGCCACCGTGGCCACCATCCACGCTGCCCACGGAGTCTACGGCGGGATCCGGAAACGCAAGGAACGCACGCAGCAGGTGAAAGATGGCGAGATTACGACGGAGGAGGCGCGCAAGCGTCGGATCAAGGAGAATACCACGGATGCATTTAGCATCGGGCTGGCAGCGTTGGGTATCAAGGGCGCGTATACGGAGTGGAAGGAGGTGAATGAGAAACGCAAAGAAACGAAACACTTCCGGGATGAATGTGCGCAGCGTGCTTTGAAGCGGGAGATGCGTCGTTCTCGGAGTCAGGGGTCTGCTCCGCAGAGTCGTCGCCGATGGCCTGATGAGATTGAACACCCGACCGAGTCTCATTATGGGCATAGCAGTGGTGGTGGCTTCTCGTATCATGATGGAAATCCTTATGGAGCAACGAGTGCGGCACCGGCGATCTCTTATTAGTGTGCTTTTGACCTTTCCCCTTGTTCTGCCTGTTTATTCTTTCCTTGTACACTGGACGATATTCACGACTCTTATGACATTTTTATGAATTCTCTTCTCTCTCTCTCTCTCTTCCCCCCCTCTCCTAGGATGGATTCTGCCTTATCTATCTTTATTTTGACTGATTCCTGCAGCTTATGTTCGTATTTGTTTTGTTGCTAGACGGGGTTCCGATGGGGCCCGATGGGGCTGATTGTTTCTGCAGCGTTTGTTGTGCTTGGGGGCGGGTTCAGCCTCCGCAGTTTGATTCTTCATGGATCTTTACCAACCCATGGATTTGATCAGTTATAAACAAGAGTATTCTAATCTCCTTCTTCCCGGCTTTACTACAGTAGTATTATTCTGAAGATTATCCTATCAATCTAATCAACCAGCTCCTTCGGCAGCCGTGCTCAGCCGGAGGCCTGCCTAGTTCTGACTAAGCGAGTCCCACCTGGTGAGGACCCCGCTTCCTTACCCAAGATGACTAACCACCCTCACCCACCCAGCCCGGACCTGTGAAGTGGTGCGCTGGTGCACCGTGAAAGGCGGTAGGTGGGGCCAGAGACTTTTCCCCTCCTCAAAGATCTGCTTCTCCCTCCTTTTCTTTTCCTCCTTCTTCCATCTCTCCTATACCCCCCTCTTTGGTTCGTTTTCTTGCTCCCATCCTCGACGATTTCCAGTTTTATTCATACTGACCATCCTCTGCATAGTCTTTTTAATCACATCCATCCACAATGGCTGCCCCCGCTCAGAAGTTCAAGGTCGCTGACATTGTATGTATCCCATCAACACCCGAATTCCATCTTGATCGACGTGGTCAATGACTGACCTATCTTCTTCTACCTCTCTAGTCCCTGGCTGCCTTCGGTCGCCGGGAGATTGAGCTCTCCGAGGTTGAGATGCCCGGTCTCATGGCCATCCGTGAGAAGTACGGTGCCGACCAGCCCCTCCAGGGTGCCCGTATCGCTGGTTGCCTGCACATGAGTACGTTCCGTTGATATGCAGACCACGTATGAGCTATTTTTTTTCTGACCCCCTCAAACAGCCATTCAGACCGCTGTCCTCATCGAGACCCTCGTTGCCCTCGGTGCTGAGGTTACCTGGACCTCCTGCAACATTTTCTCCACTCAGGATCACGCCGCCGCTGCTATTGCCGCTGCCGGTGTCCCTGTGTAAGTTGGAATTCTCCCGTTTAAAATTTTAAAATCAACTTCTTTCTAACTCTCGTTGTTTACAGCTTCGCCTGGAAGGGTGAGACCGAGGAGGAGTACCAGTGGTGCCTTGAGCAGCAGCTGTTCGCCTTCAAGGATAACAAGAAGCTCAACCTCATCCTCGACGACGGTGGTGACCTGACCTCCCTCGTCCACGCCAAGTACCCCGAGATGCTTGAGGACTGCTACGGTGTCTCCGAGGAGACCACCACCGGTGTCCACCACCTGTACAAGATGCTGAAGGAGGGCAAGCTGAAGGTCCCCGCCATCAACGTCAACGACTGCGTTACCAAGTCCAAGTTCGACAACCTGTACGGTTGCCGTGAGTCCCTCATTGACGGTATCAAGCGTGCCACCGATGTCATGATCGCTGGTAAGATCGGTGTTGTCGCCGGTTACGGTGATGTCGGCAAGGGTTGCGCCCAGGCTCTGCACTCCATGGGTGCCCGCGTCCTCGTTACCGAGGTCGACCCCATCAACGCCCTCCAGGCTGCCGTCCAGGGTTTCGAGGTCGTCACCATGGAGGAGGCTGCTTCCATCGGTCAGATCTTCGTCACCACCACTGGCTGCCGTGACATCCTGGTTGGCCGCCACTTCGAGGCCATGCGCAACGACGCCATCGTCTGCAACATTGGTCACTTCGACATTGAGATCGACGTTGCCTGGCTCAAGGCCAACGCTCAGTCTGTCCAGAACATCAAGCCCCAGGTCGACCGCTACCTGCTGAACGGCAAGCACATCATCCTGCTCGCCGAGGGCCGTCTGGTCAACCTTGGCTGTGCCACTGGTCACTCTTCCTTCGTCATGTCCTGCTCCTTCTCCAACCAGGTCCTGGCTCAGATCGCCCTCTTCAAGGCCGAGGACGTTGCCTTCGGCAACAAGTACGTCGAGTTCGGCTCCTCTGGCAAGAAGCCCGTCGGTGTCTACGTTCTGCCCAAGCAGCTTGACGAGCAGGTCGCTCGCTGCCACTTGGCCCACGTCAACGCCAAGCTGACTGAGCTCACCCCTGTCCAGGCTGAGTACCTCAGCCTTGACGTCAACGGCCCCTACAAGAGCGAGATGTAAGCTTTTCCTTCCCCCGTTCTCCCCTTCTCTATGGAATCACGTTTTTACTAACTCTGATCCTAGCTACCGCTACTAAACAAACCACTTAATCTTCTTTTCCAATTGCGTCAGATATTCCATGAGCTTTCTTGAGAAATAGACTTTCAACATGATTCGACGAACGTTACGATTGGCATTTCGGGTTCTTTATCAACTTTGAACCCTAAAAGTGGTTGTCCTTCAACGGCATAAAAGTGGTCTCCACATCTGGGAAATATGTGTGGAGAAAGGGTGTGTGTGTGCTTGATGTGTTTTTGTTTCACTGGCGTGGGTTGACCTGGGACTGGTCTTGCATTCAACACTGCGTACGGATGGGAATTTTCTTTTTCTTCTACCTATTTTTATTCTACCTTGATACCTTTATCTCTGTGCTGGCTTCTGGCCTGGTCGTGGGCCTCTCGGGATGGTTTGAGTACTGTTCTGGTGGCTCTTTGTGGCCATGGTTGGATGGCTATCTGTAGCTGGACAGTCTTAAAAATATAATGACGCCGAGCGCGAAATTTGCTCTGCATTTTGGAGTTCCTCGTAGAGAAATGTCAGCCAAGCTGTGATCTTCCGCGTTGGGCTCATGGGTCCTCGGGCTTCGAACTGAAATCTTAATTATGACATTTAGGCGGTATTGCTACCTCCCCCTCGATGTTTCCGAATCAATTCACACAGCATATCAGCAGCAGCAACCGCAAACCCTGGATCATTAATAGGCCTACCATCACGAACAACCAATATCTCACTACCCCTCAACTCATCCTCCAAAGTGGTAAACAGCGCCCTATCCGCCACGGGATTCCAGAATGGATTCTCCGGAGTATCCAGCAAACTAACCCCACCCAGAGGCAGAATCACCTTCGTCCGACAGTCCCTCTCCCATCCCGCATTCCCCTCGAGCAAATTCGTCGCAATGACCTTCGCGATGCGAACACACTCCTCCTTCGTAGTGCGCATAAGCGTCACGGTGGAATTATGCGGATGGAACACCCGCTTATGCGGACCCGTCGCCTGGGCGAAAACATAGGGCACTGATTCGGGAGTTCCGAAATTGACAATGTCGCAGGCACCTAGGCTGAGCACGCGGGGGATGTTTCTTTTCGTGGCGGCGCATAGGCGCGTGGGTCCTGCGCTGAGGACGCCGCCGACGACTTCATCGGCGATTTCGGTCGTCGTTAGGTCTAGGACGGCGTCTAGTTGATCTTCTGATATTAGCCGTTCCATGGCTTTTTCCGCCGGAGCCTGTGGCGTGGAAGACGTATACTTCGCAGCCCGGTAGGACGGACTCGAGACGTTCGCGTGCGGCGGTGGCAGCTGGCGTTGTCACGCCGAACATGGTGATTCCAATGCGGACGGTGTCGTTTTGTGTCTGTGATGGCTGTTCTGAACCGGTCTGTGTCCCGGTAGTAGCGGGGACTGATGTCACTGCTGTCGACTTCGACGAAACGTCTTCAAAATAAGCCCTCGCCATCCCTGCAATCGCACCGGCCGCATTCCCCAAAACTCTCTCCAACAACCGGTTCCGACCTGCAATGTCCACGACGCTGTACATCATTGTAATATCAGTCTGACCAATGTACGGCCCTACATCCCCCGACGCCATCGTCGAGACCATTAACTTGGGAACCCCAACCGGCAGCGCATCACGCATAACCTGCGTAGCTAGCGCTGTACCGCAGGACCCGCCTATGCCAATGATCCCGTGGACTTTCTTTTCCGCAAACAGATCGGATACAAAGGAACTTGCGTATGGGGCCAGAGTGTCGATGTACTCTGTGCGGTCGAGAGTTTTGATTTCGACGGTTGGTCGTTTGAGAGAGGTGAAATAGCTGCTGTAGATTTCTTGGCCGAAGGTGATCTTGTCGTGGGTGATTGGGTTGCGGCCAATATCCATTAATTGGACTTGGCAGAGGGTGTGTTTCTCGATTTGGGATTTTGTGTATAAAAGTTCTGATAGTTTGGTGTCGCATGTGCCTAGTAGGAGAATTGTTGGTATTGTCCGGGGCATTTTGATAGATGCGTGGGAGACCAATCTGATATTGCAGTTAGATAGAGAATAAGATATTTTTGGAGGAGTCAGGGTGTAAACATGAACAGGAATGAATCGATGAAGACCAGGGACGTGCGGGGGGTGGGGTTGGCATAGTGGCCGCTAAGCTATACCTTGCCGGAAGTTGACCATCCATAGCAATCTCCAGTTGGCGACGCAGGCGCATTCGTTCGCGATTCCGCGCCATCTTTTCAGGGTCATCGTGCCGCAGGACGATGCCCATGTCTTTGCGCATCCTACGCAGCGTAGTATCAGACATTTCAATCCCATCATTTGCTAGAATTTCGAGTATTTTCTGTCCAATACTCACGATCAACACTGATCAACAACGTACGACGTCACGTGCAATAGGGGTGGAGCGTACCTTCGTGGAGAACTTGTCTTCACAGACGAACTTTCGGACGCGTTCGCGGAGCTCGCCATCCTTACTTCTTCGATAGACTGCTCGGACTTCGGTGACAACACCCCACTCGTCGAGTCGGCGGCGCAATGTTTTACATGTAATTGAGACTCTGTGCCGTTCCTGCAGAACCTTACATATCTCCGCTAGCGAGATGTTGTCCGCGTAAAGACTAAGCACCAGGTCTTTGTGCACATCTATATTGATCTGAGGCGGCATACTGCGTATTGAGGAAAGTGAATGGCTGAGGGTACGGGGATGCTTGGAGGAGAACGGAATGGCGAGCTGGTCTGGGGTGACTTCCACCCGCCAGCGGTCAGTGTGCATAATTACGTAATCGAATTGCCATAACATCAAAAGATGCAGAAAAGGAAAGACTTGTTAGGATCCTAGCTTTATCCTTGAAATTTCTCCAGGAATTCAATTTGGGTAATGAGGCGTACTGATCTCGCAGCCATCACTCTCAACAGTTGATCTCGACCTTCTATCCAACCGAGACAGCAAAGTGGTGCTTTAGCAGCCGCCTCCCGTCTGCCGTCGTTTACCATGCAGTTTTCGGGACGCGAACGACGATATATACGGTTGGAACTCAAATAAATTTTGACAGTGGCAGCGATTCCGAAAAACAGGTCGGTTTCTCCTCTTGTCGTGTCTGTGGGATAAGCCCAGCCAATCAATCATCATTTTCGTCAATTCGTAGCTGCAAATATTACTTTTCGCATTGTCCGCTAAATATAATACCATTTCGACAGGGTGTTGCAGTGAGAGTTTGCTTTCTAGAATCTGTGGTCAATCTCTGCTAGAAAACCGGTTGGTTGAAGCTCTACACTGAGGTATACAATTTAGGTGTCGTGAGAGTAGTATCGGCGTGCGTAATTGCAATCTGCGGGGAAATATGTCGAGGGATAGGATTTGGCCTACATTCCGTGTGGGTTAACGTGTTTACAAATATAAGTTCATTAACGAGAAACATGCATTCAATTCGAATGGTAGTCTCATACTTATTCAGACTGAGCAAATAACGTCTGGCAAGAGACCCATTGCAGTCAATAATTCCTTTAAACTTTTAATTTGTTTAAGTCCGGATCATGTGACCTGGTCTGCCAACGACCCAGGCAGCAGAGGAAATTGCATCTCTCTCAATTACAGAGGTCGCTTGCAGGATTGACTCATACCATCTGGCCTTCTGTCTACTGCATACTCTAGCTCCATCATGGACTGGGATAGCATCTGCTTCAACGCCGCAACATTGATTGCGGGTGTCTTCGTCCTCGACTCTGGCGCAGACAAATTCCTCGACCACACGGTTATCGTAGGACAGCGATTGGGCATTTCACCAACTTTAATTGCACTTTTAACTGCCGGTGCCGAATATGAAGAGGTATGTAGCTCGTTCTTTTGATAAGTCTTCCCGGCTTGGCTGACGCGTGTGCCAAGCTTGCTGTCGTTGTTGCCGCTATCGTTCAAGGCCACAGCCCTCTGGCTTTGGGCAATGTAGTTGGGTCCGCCATATCCAATATCCTGGGGGCATTCTCATTAGCGCTTCTTGTCCATCCGGGCCATATGGAATTTGACAAGAGCGCAAAAATCTACTCGGCCCTTCTTCTCTTCATCACTACGCTGTTTGTGATCTTGGCATTCTTCAATCAACTGAATAAAGTGACTGGAAGTCTTCTTATCGCTGGCTTCGTGATTTACATTCTGTCTATAGGTTATGCCATTTATAAAGGCGTTACTGAAGCGCCTCAGCTGTCTGACTGTGATAGCGACAGCGACAGCGACGATGATCTGCCTGTCCACCAGGACGATCATGCGGCTGGTCAGAATAGTCAGACTTCAATTTCAGAACATTCGCCTCTCTTGGCCGACACAGCTCCGTCGCGGGATCACAATGGTGCGAGGAAGCCCCCGCGCTCACTTTTCTACCATCTCTGTCAACTTCTCCTCGGACTGCTTGCACTCTCTCTATCTGGTTACATCATTGCCCACAGCGCAGGCGCCCTCACCCAATCATTACAGCTATCCGGTACCGTCTTTGGCTTGACGGTGATTGCTTTCGCAACGACTCTCCCAGAGAAATTCATCTCCGTGATGAGTGGCTCCAGAGGCCAGGGTGGCATTGTTGTTGCGACTACGGCTGGGAGTAACATATTCCTCTTGACAATCTGCATCGGTGTTGTCGCCGTTACTGGAATCCCCATTAACCACACGGATAATTTTGTCCTTTTTGAACTAGCGACTGTGTGGATATCTGCGTTGGGCTTGGTTGCTATTGTTTTCCTTGGATCCAGTCGGATTGCTGGGTTCGTGCTTTTGGCTGCATACACCGTGTTCATAGTGCTTGAGTTCACTGTGTACAGACGGTGATTTTTCGGGTCCTGATATCAGCACCTCAAATATACCCTGATGCCAATTACGGTTTGCACACATGTCAAATAGTGTATGTCTCGATAGTAGCAAAGGATGCCTACACATACGGGTGTCGGTGAGTATTTATCCAATTGCCCCTGGTCAGCGTTATACATCTGTGAATAATGTGCCCTTTCCTCGCCAATCGCTCTGCTAGTCTTGAATAGAAAGGCCGACTGTTATCATGAAAATATGATGAAATTTCTCTGAGAACTACTATAATCGTGACATTGTACCTCCGACCCCCAGTCATCCACGCCGTCCTGACATATTGGAACTGCTCGGAATTAGCGGCAGAGTTGGCTCAATCGGACCCTCAAATGGCGAAGGTGGTGCTGTGCTATGTCGAACATTATAGATGCTGCCGTCATGTCCGTAATCGAGATCCCAGCGCGAGTCAAAAGCCATCTTGTTGTTCATATCCCCATATGGTCTTGAACTCGAGTTCACACTGCTCGCCGAAGGCGAGAGAGGTCGCGGCGACTTGAGCAGCTCGTCAGTCCTTGCCGCTTCCTGCAGAGGAAGAAGCTCGGTTATTCGTCGATCCTCAGTTTCAATCAGTTGGGTCATAGATTGGGCAGAGGCACGTTTGTCGCGGAAGTCCTGCCATCCTGGGGACGGCTCCTTGAGCCGGCTTGCGTAGAAAAGGCCGATCAGCATGAAGATGGCAAGGATGAGGGTAAAGACAGCATTGTATAGGAAGAATATGACGGCCATGATCCCGGTCATGAGATCTGGAGGGTTGAAAGTGTCGCTGAAGACGAGAATGAAGATAGCATTGACAAAATTGATGGCGGCGGCGGTTATGGCGAAGCCGTTGGCTTTCTTGTCCCTGTACGGTCGCAGAATTGCAGTACAGACCAAGAAAGCAGCCTCAAAGATGAGAAGGACTATAGCTTGCGCTGTAGGGTTGTGTTGTGCGAATGCGATAATCATGCCCTTCAAGACTGAATAAACTAGTAGAGGAATGATGAAGTAGTATGTCTCAGCCTTGTAATAGACGTATAAAGATCCCCACTTCGTCAGACAGGCCTCATCAAAATAAAGCGAGGAATTTGGGGTTTTATTGAAGTGCCTCGAAGACCGTGCATGCTGAAAGATTTTGAAAATCCCGTTGCCGAGGGTGATAGTCATGGCGAGCCAAATAGTGATAGCCAGGACGGATTCAGCCGCCGAGTCCCGGCGATATAGTTCCCACATGCTAAACACACAGAATTGAGGGTAGCCAAGAAGTATGATTCGGCAGATATTCCCTCGCATAAAGCTCTGCCAGTCATGCTGGGGACCAAATATATCCCGGGACCTCGCCTTGTTCGTCTTGTCCCAAATTGCAGATAGGCCGAACTTGAGAGCCATAATAGCAAGGAGCATGATGATGGCGATGAAATAAAAGACTATATACCCCGTCATAAAGATGTTGGTAGAGTCAATACCTGCGCGGAAGCCCATCCGGATGATACCATACAGCAGGACTTCTGCTCCACCCTCTGATGTCGGCACGCTTCTCTTCGCAAGCATTTCAGTCGAACGTTTCAGGAGACCGATCGAAATATCCCCAGCTTCGGAAACCAGATCTGAAGCCGTGCCTCCTGTCGCACGCTGAAACCAAGTCGTGATGGTGTTGAGGAAATTTGCACGTACGATGCTCATGGTCCATTGAAAATTCTGAGTCCAATTCTGGATCATCGGTGTAAATTCCACCGCTGTAAGGCCAGCCATGGCTTGACTCTGCATGAATCCAAGAAACAGCAGGGCACGAAATGAGACTTGAGTTGCGATGTTGGAATAGCCGAGAATCGAGAGGATGGTACCCGTAAATAGACTCGCTCCAGTGATGATTGCCAGTGTCCAGGCTACTCCTGCTTGATATACTGTAGCGCTATTGACGACGCGGGCTTTAATACAAGTGATACTTTGATTCGTCGACGTGGCTATCATATTCACTCGCACGATGGCATCGAGATCAGGAAAGGTGTAGGCGATACCTATCAAAATGTAACGAGTCAATTGGCTATCTCACCATGAGACAAGATTCGCTCCTGAATCTGACAATAAACTTACTTGGAATTTGCGAAATCGTATTCTTTGACACAGAAAGAGTTGCATATGGCACTGTCATGTTCTCCGGTGTCATCGGACAGAATCCAGACAATTGGTAGTCGCACGGGTTCACTTGCGCCGTCAAGAAGCTGTACCCGAAGACCAGGAGGTCAAGATCCATGAGAATCTTCCCGGAGTAGTTGATTTCGCCGTCAAACTCCATAGTAAGAGTCTCGTTTTCAGGTGTGAGCGTCAGCTTGAAATTGTTGGTCTTTATGACACTGTCATCGGAGCAGGGGATCAGGGCGGTGGATTCGAGTATATTGACGGCATTGATCAAATGAGGGAAGTAAAGAACACCCAAAGTGCCTTTGATAAGACATCTCGTGGCCTTCATTTTTGAGGAAGAACGCAGTGACAGCAAGAGCGATGACTGCGGTAAGATTCACTGCAGATAATCAAAGGAAGACAGCGAAAGGCTCATCTCACCAGGAGAAGGTGCCCCGCAAATCAAGGCAGCTTAATAAGTTTCCAATAACAGAATAGTCAAAGATTATAGTTAACTAAGGGGGTGGGTAGCTTTGTCATGAACACCCTGTTCATCCAGTCATCTCTCGCGTCAGCATCGACACTGCCACGATGGGACCAGGGTTTCAGTTTGCGCCAAATCTGCATCCAACGGCAACTCCCGGAGTTGCTTGTTTTTGAGTGTATGGGGAGATGGTAAATGGTAAAAAGTATCGCTAGTAGTGATTGATAATGCATGGCAGATCGAACTCAATATATACAATATATACAAGACTGATCAGTACCCTTCCCGATATTGCACTCACTCCCTTGAGCACGTAAGCGGAAGCCACTAGTTAGTTCCACTTACGCGCGGCGTGCGAATTTCTCACCCAATGTCATCATTGCAACAGATCTTCCCACAAGAAGGATCAGGCGCTCCTGGCTTACTGGGTCTGGCGCTTACGACTGAATGTAGGTTCTTCTACTGGATACTGTTTGAAAGTTGATTGTTTATCTGTAAACTCGCCATTTTGGCTCCCTCGTACGGTTCGTGATTACGCGAAAATACCAGGGTAGCCGTGATTTTCTTCAGATGTGCGCGACCAGATGATGGAAGATGATAGTGCAATTATTTTGTTGAGTGTCTGTACCTTGTACCTGTAGACCATAGAAACACACTGCTAACGGCGCTAAGAGAAGAAAGCATCCATCGAACTGGTCCCGCTTAGCTAAGATCCTGGATTTTCAAGAGTCTAGAGCCTCCAAAGAAAAGCTTCCAGCCGAGAGACTAATAATCGGGAGTCGGGGTACAGACCGCCGATTGAACCTGCTGAATATGTAACCTTTGGGGGAGGAAAGCACCTTAGCACTCACAACAAAATTCAATGACCGAAGCCTAGGAATCGGCGGTCGGAAGGGAAGCATGCCGAGTAAGGCCCACCTTGACAAGCCTTCCAAGGTCCAGAGTCCAGTTAACCCAATCTAGCCGAGTTTTCTTCAGCATGTGGTAGAGAAGTTATAGCAGTGACCAATCTTTGATGTATATATTAATTCTTAATCTCTTCAATTCAGAGTCTTGATTGAGGATTCCGGCATAGATGTGAATGCTTCCTGAACAAAAGCGCTTGGCCGGTTTTCCGGGAACAGGAAGAAAAGGGAGGGAAATATATTGCAGTTGAGAACGGGATACCTGTCTATGTATGATAATCTGTGTCCTTATTGGTATGGAATATCCATGAAGCTCTACGAATAAATAATTAACTGTACCGAGGTCGTATCGTTGCCAATAATTAAGCTCAAGCTACTTGAATCAGATTACATATTTCTAGAAACAAGGCCAACCTCCTGCGGACCTTCCATTGATCCATGGATGCATATAATCGATTGGTCTGTCAATTTGATGGAGATTCACTCCTACAGGAGGTCTCTATGCGGAGATTTCCAGGACCAGCGTTTGCTGATTGCCACTTGCCTCGAGTGCCCATTTAGGCGTGGATTTGCCATTTTCTTTTCTTTCGTAGGTCTTCGTTCTCTCTAGAGATAGATTCAAAGTCGGAGATTTCCGGACTTCTTCGTTTCCTTTGCGTACTTGCGTACTGGCCTCTGACGCAGGCACATCTACTCTGCCCTAACGCAACTGTAGCTCCCATTAATATGTCTTGAAACTCATTCCAATCATTCACCAAAAGCTACTCTAGCCCACCCCGAAAATAGGTTCATAGGCGAATTCCAGTGTGCGTGAAGAGACGAGGAAAAATCGTCGGAATCTCTTGTCGAGGGCCCAACATGAACCAATAGCAGGTGTCAATTACTATAAACCCTCCATCTCAGCCTCTGCTTTTCCCTGGTTTACATGGCTTGACTTGCGTCGCCCAACTACTTTGTACCTTTGCCTCCGTTGCTGGTCTTGGGTATGCATTTTGATGGCGTCCCTCGTTTAGTATCTAAATCTTCGAAATTTCTCTCCCAAGCTCGATTTACAGTAGAAGTTGTGAGATACATCGCATGGTGATATTCTCCCAGAGCCACTGGGTCAACAGGTTGAGCGACGAGTGAGCATTGTTGGAAACCTCTTGGCATCGAGCCATGGATAGAATGATGCAACGTTTGTAGCCTACGATAGTATGACTATTGCGGGAATAAGATAGATATCCTTCATCGATTTGCGCACTGTCGGGGATTTCAACCGTGAAACAGGACACTCATTAGGGAGAATGCATCAGGAGATCATGAACGAACCTATAGTTACAGGCGCTCAACAAAGTACCAGATCACCCTCTCAGCACCGTCAACCCTGCCCCTGGCTGCCTAGGATAGGATGATCTACCCCACTATCTGGAATTACTCACGGTCGGCAGTCCTCGACTCATCAGACCCTGCATCACTAGACTGACTAATCCGCTGCCGAATTAGTTAGTTATGTGAAAGTAAAAGGCCCTCCCTTCGTAGTCTCACGCTTGTATTGGAAGATTGTGGGACTTGTGAGCTAGAGATTTTGACACCGGGCCCGCTATGATGCAAACTTGATCGCTTGCCCTAAGGTCGCAGATATACATCTACACAACTCCAGTTCGACTTCCATTGTTGACGTACATCCATATCACGCCATTTGAAACGAAGCTTCAAATGAAACAGAAGAAGCATCATACTACATCTACTCAAACCACTCAAAAGAGCAGTAAACGACAAGGATGGTGCTCAAAAGGGTGGTATGGTCTCCTTCAAATAAGGCTCAGGGGCTGATAATGCTCTCAAGCGATGTCACATCTGACTACCGGCGACATCTCCGCTCCATATACAGTAAACACCCAATAACATGTCAAGGTTTGCGGCTAGTAAGATCGACCAGCTCTCATCGAGGAGTTACTAGGAGTTAGGTTGTGGTTGGTGTACCCAGGCTTCACCATTCTGGTCGGGAGGCGGACCGCCCCCGTGCCACCTGCAGAAATGTATCGACCAGTCAGCGTGATGCCCGCACTTCACAGATTTAGGGCCACCTATACCGCATTTAACCATAATAATATATTCGTTATTCTGTTGCTTAGCCTCAGAGAGTGCCTTAACTAACAAGTTACCGACGATGTACTTGGAGGATATTCGGCGGGGACAACCCTTACCAGATCTCACGACGAATATTATTTACCCTGCTGGTAGAGTCCAGTCGGGTGCTACCACATAAGTTCAGGGTGGCGTGAATTTATCGCCGCAATATGTAGCATGTCCTCTGGTTTCATATGTCGATGAGAATGGCGTCGGCTTTCTATGTGAAACGCCTAGAATTGTACAAAATTAACGACGTGCTTTTCTAGCGAGGACCAATAAATATTCTCAATTTTATTAGGATGAGAGATACATTCGCAGTGTTACTAAAGTCTCCCTGCAGCATTAATAGCCGGATCATTAGGCTATGTAGCCTCGTCGGATATGAGAAATGGCTATACTAATAGCTAGTACGAAGTCGGTGATGCTTTTCGGTCTAGTTGTATAGCATTGCCGATAAGCACCTTCTTCCCCGCGTATTTTGCAAAAAACCTTACCCTGCAGCCGGGTGAAGAATGCAGGTTCTTCGTGTCTAACAATCACGCTTACCGCTTTTGAACTCCCCGTGATGTATAGGGCGTGCTCTTTGGTTCCTCTCATCCCTGGGAACGGTGGAGAAATTTGCAGCTCTCTCAGTACCGGTAGCAGCCAAGTGTTTTAATAAAAAGGCGTGGATGCTTTGATAGGTCGTCATGCATATGGATGGTTGATAATTAGCCAAACTTCTTAAACTTTACGTATGTATAACGTAGTAATGCAGGCTACCTTGAAAGCAGGATGCCCTGAAAAAAGTTAGCTTCGAGTCTCTCCATGTTCCGCGTCATTTTGAGATATTGTTCCGTGGCTTTTGTAGCATTGAAATTTGCCCTCATCGGCGACCCGGGTGTCATTCCCGTCGCATCTCAGGTCGAGTAGGTATATATATCGACAATCTCCCCATGAATCATCGGATAACGAACTCGACCAACATTCATCAAGAAAGCCTAAGAAACCAAAACTTTCAGCCAACATGCAGCGTACATCGGGTTTGGTGGTTTTCCTCCTAACCCAAGTTGCCTATGCCCAGCAGACCCTCTGGGGCCAATGTAAGATTTTGCTATCGGTCATTCTGTCAAAAATCCTGGGTTAATGGATTTGGTAGGTGGCGGTAGTGGATATATAGGATCAACGGTCTGCGCAGCATCGGCAACATGCAGTACCCAGAACCCTTGTATGTATTTGGGGTTTCGTCCCTCATCCAAAGCTAGGACGCTGATTATCGACAAGACTATGCCCAATGTATCCCTGCAACCGCCGCAGTAAGCACGACAAGCACGACTTCAACATCCAAGACCACCCTGGTGACTACCACTGCCACTACCACTACCAAGGGATCCACCACTGGAACTACCACTACGGCCCCTACTGTTACCAACAGTGGCAATCCGTTCAGCGGCTACCAGCTCTACGCAAACCCATACTACTCCTCGGAGGTCTTCACTTTGGCAATTCCGTCTCTGACGAGCTCTCTCGCTGCTAAGGCCAGCGCAGTGGCTAAGGTCCCATCTTTCGTCTGGCTGTAGGTCTGATTATTTCTCGTGGATGTGCCTCTACTAATTGCAATAGTGACACGGCTGCCAAAGTTCCGACCATGGGAACTTACCTTGCCGACATCCAGACACAGAACAAGGCCGGTGCTAGCCCTCCCATCGCTGGTATTTTTGTGGTCTATGACTTGCCGGACCGTGACTGCGCCGCTCTTGCCAGCAACGGCGAGTACTCGATTGCCAACAACGGAGTTGCGAACTACAAAGCGTACATTGACGCAATCAGGGCTCAGATTCTCAAGTACTCTGATGTGCAGACTATTTTGGTCATCGGTCAGGCCCTAAACCCTAGTCGTATACGCCTACTATGCTAACTTTTTTCCAGAGCCCGATAGTCTCGCCAACCTCGTAACCAACCTAAATGTGGCTAAGTGCGCCAACGCTGAAAGCGCCTATCTGGAGTGCGTCAACTATGCGTTGATTCAGCTCAACTTGCCAAATGTCGCGATGTATATTGATGCCGGTATGATCCCCCTTTGCAGGAAAACTCCCATTTATCCTTCTTAGAAAGGGAGTGGTGGCTGAGTCGATGTATCTAGGACACGCCGGCTGGCTAGGATGGTCTGCTAATCTCCAACCTGCCGCTACCCTCTTCGCCAACGTGTACAAGAACGCATCGTCACCGGCTGCTGTACGCGGATTGGCTACTAATGTTGCCAACTACAATGCCTGGACAATCAGTCCGTGCCCATCCTACACTTCAGGCGACTCCAACTGTGACGAGAAGCTTTATGTCAATGCAATTGCCCCTCTGCTTCAGTCTGCCGGCTTCAATGCTCACTTCATCACCGATACTTGTAAGTCACATTCTTTATTCTTTACCTTTTTCAGACATGTTGCATATGAATGGTATGAATATCTAACCTCTGTTTAGCCCGCAACGGTGTTCAGCCAACCAAGCAAAACGCATGGGGTGATTGGTGCAACGTCATTGGCACTGGATTCGGTGTTCGCCCCACGACAGATACTGGCGATGCTCTTCAGGATGCATTCGTTTGGGTTAAGCCTGGCGGAGAGTGTGACGGTACATCAGATACCACCTCGGCGCGATACGATGCCCACTGCGGATACAGCGATGCTTTGCAGCCTGCCCCTGAAGCCGGAACTTGGTTCCAGGTGAGTTTTCAAACCGTGTCAATCGTGTTCGCCTTTACAATCGTTCCCTCGCTGATATTTCATAGGCCTATTTCGAGCAGTTGCTCACGAATGCCAACCCGTCATTCTAAGTTGATGGATATGGGGACTGTCGGCGGGTTAAATGGAAATCTTGAATGTGCTTGAGAATTGAGAATTGGAATACTATTGTGATATGACCTTCTACTTAGTATGAAAGCTTCTATCTTTTGGTTTATGCTTTCTACACAGCCAATACTCGGAATCAAAAATCTTATTTCGCATTTTGTCCACCAAAATTCGACTAAACTTGACCATTGGGAGTGTTTTCTAGAGAACAATACCCGCTTACATACAGAATGAGTTGCATGAGCAGCTATTCTCGACCTCTCTCTATATACAAACGGTCATTATTGATATGAACGGCCTACTTTCTGAGGTACTTACGTATCCACTATCGGATACCCGACGAAAGTTTATGAACTAGACTTGTCAATGCCTCCAGCCTCACTCTATCTTCTTCAGTTCCGATTATTGAAGCAGTCGCGTCCCCAAATAATCCCCACACGGGAGGAAACTTTGGACTATTCCAACCCGGGAATTTGATACTCTGGAAGGCCGTCTCCATGTAATTTCGTTCTTTGAGCGCATCCCGCCTCCGGGAAAACTCTTCAGCACGTTGCTTGTTACCAACTGAATCGTAGTATACCTTACCGAGGGTTGCACAATAGATAATTAAGGAGGCTTGTCCGGCTGCCAGGGCCGTCGACACCCATGACCCAGTATGGTACGTGATCGGTGTTGTGGCGGTTGGGTTCTCAGTCTCAGCTACCTTGTTTCCGGGTAGGTAGAAGTTCATTGCCTTGAAGTCTTCTGAAACGTTATCAGGTTTGCCATGTTGATCCGCTGCTCCGATGCGGAAGATATATTTCGGCGCTCTTTGGTAAGGTAAGAAGTCCGTTACTTTCAAACTGATATCGTCGTTGGCGGAGCAAAAGATCAGGATCTTGGCCTCGACTGCCTCGTCGATGGCGGCTCTGAGATCCTCGAGCTCGGGGTCTTGTTCAGAATTTCCCGAATCCTCGCCCGACGGAATGGTGGATTCATTTTCTCTGTGCTTGGCTAGAATACTCCACGACATGGAAATGATATTAACCTTGCGCCCAATCGCAGCCCGGATGGCCATAGCGGCGCTGCGAGCCGTGATCATCCGACTGCCGTCTCTTGAAGGGATGTCGTGCACACGCATCACACACAGTGACACCCACGGGTTGACGCGAGCTATCATGTTAGCCATCACAGTTCCGCGCCCATGAGTAGAGTTGTGCCAGGGCTCCTCAGTGTGTTTCCCTCGAGGATAGTAACTAAGCCCGGAGGCTTCGACCATCTGACCGAAGTATATATGGAGCTTGTCGAGGCGGACACCATCATCAATTAGCGCGACCTTGACCTTCTCTGGTCGGCCATGCGTTTCCGGAAGACTATCGTGAACTCGCTGCAACGCGCCGCGGAAGCGGTCTATGGCTTCCATCCATTTGTCGCGATGCACTACCTCCAGTGGCCCGTCACCACCAGGGTAGCCATTGTTACCAATAGAGGATAAAGGCCAGCAGCGAAGGCCCGTTGTTTGGAATTCTGGGATGATGATCGGCCGAGCTGACTTGTCCTTTATGCGCTGTTCGATACTACGGGTGAAAGTGGCAAAAGAACGTCTCATCCGTTCAATCGACTCCAGTCCCTTTAAGAAGCCTCCATATTAGTCGCCTAGAAATCTGCGTTGATTATCGAACAAAGTCAATTGGGAGGCTTACTGGCGCTGCTTGGATGGTGACGGTCTTCAACTCAGATTTGTCTGCTGGGGCACATAGACGTGGGATCCCCTCCTCTGAAGCCCACCCTCGTAGGATAGCCTGGTTTCCAGACCAGTATAGGACCAAGTGTTGGACATCGGGTGCAGCTTGTCGGATCACGTCAATACTAAGGTCTGGTCTTTGCCAGTCCCTGAAATCATTCCCAAGGATGTTAGCGAGAATAACCCTAGCCACGGGGAGCTGGCCTTTACCATGTTTCCACCATGATCCGACCCCCATTCTCCTTTCGTGGCTTTTCTAGTCCCAGAGAGTCTCTTCCAGCAATAGCCCGCTCAATTGCGGCATCTGTGTGATACGGAACAATCATGTCGTCAACGTAGAGGCGAATTATCCTCCGCACCCCAGCCTCAAATAGCTCATCAAAGACAGAAACCAAGGACTGCCGACCCGGATGTGGGTTTTCCCCAAACTGTGGCCCTTGCTTTACGCCTCCTGGCCGCTTGTTATAGGTTTTGAGCTCTTTCTTTGGAGCTTCTGATGCAGAAGTACTTAATCTGGTCGTGGGGATACGCACATATGAAAGAACTTTGTCAAATCCTCCGACTGATAGTCGCGAAATCAGATCTATGATTCGGTCAGGGTCCTTTTCTTCAAGGCTGATGGCGTCGAAGTAGAGGTTTCGCTCGCAGGCATGTTTCCCGTATATGAGCTCTCGCGCAATCAAGTCTGGACGCTGTCGAATATAGTGCATGTGCAGATGTAGGAGTAGGTGGTTCATAGACTGCTCGGGGTCTTTTCTATTTTGGTTCTTGGCCTCCGCTATTCCATGACGCGGTCCATCTATCAGACTTGCCGACACCGGCTGGGTGACCGCCAAGGAAGGGTTGGTTGGCGCTCGTTTGAGTCCGGACCCCGTGTTGGGGGGAACAAGGTGGTGATCCAAGCTCTGGGGCCTGCTACCTTGTTGGCCTCCTTCAATCGTTGCACGAGACCGCCCACGGTCGGACCTGGGCATGGAGGTATTGGACCCGACGCTGATGAGCGCGGATTCCCCGGGAACAAAGTCGATGGACATGGAGTTTCTGGACATGGCGGCTCCCGGCGGAGTCGGGCTCAGGGGAATCAGGGGTGGAACGCTAGGAATTTTGAAGTGGCTGGCCTGGACGTTCGCCGCCACGGGCGCCCCTCGCGACTTGGTCTCCTCGGCCAGGTTTCGCTTCCCATCCTGGTTGAGATCGGTTGGTTCTGCGACAGGGGTTTTTGATGGGTTCAATCTCTTCTCTCGCTGGGCTGAGTGGACAAGACAGTACTGATATGGAGACTGGCCAAGTCTGTTGAATTCGGCACCTCGTTCCATCAGCTTATCGGCCCTTTGGATCATTTCCTTCACCAGCTTGACATACTCCTGCCCACGGCCTAGGCACTGCTGTGGGTGCAATGCATAGTGAATCGGCGTGTTGCTGTCTTCCTTGTCCTGTGCAGCGAGGATCTGCGCGGTCGCATGTGCGAAGTACTCTTTGGCTCTGTCTAAGGTCTCTTTCCGTTGTTGATTTGTGTTGTCGCGTATCGCCAGATAAAACAAGTGATGGAAGAAGTTTTGGCCCGCATCGTCCTGCATGGCTAGAATTTCCGGCAGCTGGGCGGGACAATGCTGTTTGATGAACTTGATGAATGCAAGATGACCATATGAAACAGCCAAGAGCCAAATAGGAGCTTCCTTCTCCCCATTTTTGGGTGCTCTCTCGATGATATAGATGATGGCCTTTCGGACAATTGGGTTTTCAGTATGGTACTGGTTCCACCTGCGAGCTAGCGCATGGAGCAATGAAGGATGTTCGCGGTCGCGCTTATCCGTTTCAATGAGAATCTTCTTTTTATAAGGCTCAAGTAGGGCAACTGCTAAGTTCTCATCCTTGTCGTCGCTCCACCGTCGTTGTCTCTTCTCCAGCTGGCCCAGAATGTAACTGCATCGGTCGTATATATCCTTCTGCCGCAACTCACTTTGTTCTCGATCGTTATTTTCTGGGCGCTCATGCTCCTCCTGTAGAGTAGATACTCCAGGGTCATCAGGATTTTCGTCAAAGAGGTCCTGTTCCGGGAGCTCATCGACATCTTCTGAGTAGTGGTCATTGGGAAAGCTCATCGCGCCTGCTATTCGTACCGAGTACGATAAACTCATGGTCGAATCGCCCATCTTGTGGGAACACAACAGAGAGAAGGGAAGAAAGATAAACTAGGGCATGACTTGCTCCCTCAATTCAATTGGAGTCAATTGGACCCCACTTCAGCCGCCCCGCGAGGCGCGTGGGTGGTTGTGACGAGGAGTGTGCGTGCATGCATATGTATGCATTTGGGTTGTTTGCCTACTGATTATTATTGGCCAGATCAATCGAACAATGGATAATGGCTCCGTTCGTGCTTCTCCATAATCCACTAGAGCAGAAACTAGGATACAAGGCACCGTCCAATCTTAGCGTAATTTCCCGGGCCTACAACCTCTGCTTGATTGCTTTCCCATAGCTTGTCCAGAAGGTAAAATCCCATAACTTGTTCAGATCCACCGATGCCAAATTCCACCGGTCAATAGACTCTCCCTGGTCGAGGTCATTGTATGGCTCATAGCTGGGATCAAACGGAATAGCTTCGTCTTGAGATCGCACGCTGCCTAGCGAGACAAGGCGTGTTGTCAAGTTAGGGGTGATACGGACATATGGAACACAGTCAAAGTCATTGTCATTTTCGCGTGTCAGCAGAACGCATGTGCGCAAATGGGAGACAATGCCATTGGACTGCGAACGGTTTTCCTGTAGTGCCCACTGGGCTTGGAAATAGTTCCCCCACTCATCAAATGGCCGACTACCCGTGATTTCGGCTGCAAAAGTCACAGTCTTTTCCACAGAGCTCTCGACCCCAGCCTCGCCATTTACGGGGACAGCCCCTCCATTAATTCCCAACTTGAATGTTTTCTTCAGATTTTCGAGTTGTGTGGTCTCCATCATACTATATCGCTCGTCTGGTCCGACTTTCCTAACAGAAGGGCCACTCCGCGGGGGGCTACCCGCGCTAGGAAGGAAGTCGAAGTTGATGGAGGCATCTTTGATTCGCGTCCCTCGATAGGACAGGAACTGGAAGTCGTAGACTAACAATGTAGCTCTCTGATCGGACTCGGGTGTGAGTGTGCCATGGATTATGGCGCGTGCGACACATTGCACGTAGAACGCGGGTCTCTTTCGAGACCCTGAACGGAACATCACCGTTTCCTTGCGCTGTTTTTGTCCAGGACGGCTGCGAACTTTGTATCCTGGGAAAGGTGGGGGCCAATACGTGTTAGCCCAATACAGCTGATGTACAGAGCCCAAGAGGCAGATAACAAAGTCGCAAGAACCTACCTCCAGGCCGTCCATCTTCTGGACCCAGCTCAAGCTTGAACAAAGTAGGGTCATTGTCCTGGTCGGCATCGTCTTGCTCTTCTCCTATTGTTGATTCATCTTCGCTCACCCACAACTCCCAGTCGTTGTACTGATCCATTGCGGCAGCATGTGCTAGTTGTTTTGTAATATTCAGATATTGGTATGAAGTTTGTTGGAGGTTCACAAGTTCCCACAGGGAGGGGCAACGGGGCTCTGTTATATCTTCATCAAAATGCAGATCAGTCATCAGCTCGATTGAGCAGTCGACATGCCTCGCATGACCCGCTCCCAAGTGTTAGCGAGTCACTAGGAATAATTGATCGTAGATACAATTAATACATAAACACTACTGGCACCCCGATCCGACATCAGCCACTAGATAGGCCATATCACTCTTTTCATCAAGTAAGTCGTAAGGAATATACAATACTTTGGATTTACAAGTAGTTTCCAAGTGGCATTATTGACTGATGTGATGGCGCTGACTGGCTGAATGTAAATGACGTGGCCAAACCTGGATGGTACTTATGCATAGGGTTGTCACTGATCTCTTGCGCCTGTAATGAACAAGGGCGCCTAGAAAGTGGGGGCCGTTACGGGCATCATACCATTTGGGTGACCCCACTGTCGTCTGAACCCAAAGGATTTGTTATTTTCTTCTCATCCAGGCACTACTTCGACCGTCTCCTCTAAATTTGGGAATTTTGTCTAACACATCCGGCAAACAGAGCCCAGGAGGGCTTGCCACCTTCCGTTATGGCGGATTCCGGGGCGACTGAAGGGATGGAAGACGTTCGTGAGGAGATTGGAGCAGACATGGGCATTGCGACGGACAACCAGGAACTGTTGTCATTTGAACCGATAAATCGCTTGGAAGCTGCTGAAAACTACGGAATCGATCCATTCCCTCATGTTGAGTTTGTTTGCCCTACAATAATTGTTCCACTGGTCATGGCACTGATTACTTGATATCTTCCCACAATAGTGTTGTACATGTAGCGGCACTTTGGCCGACTGATCAAATACTCTCACTCGAAACTCTCGGTATAGAGAATCTCTCAATGGAGAAGCAAGAGTATCTTTGTCGCCTGCCAATGCGCTCGCTGCTCAAGGGAGGGCAATCGGCAGCGATCCAACTACTTTCGCATTTAAAAGCTATGAGAAAGGGCGTCTCTACAGTAAGTAAAAGAGGTCCCAGAGAATAGCATCCCTTGCCCTACTGACATGTGATGGGAAGGTCCACGAGCTATCATGTTCGTCGCTTACGATTTCGGAGCTGTTCTACTAAAAAATGTACCGTTATGAGTTCTTTCCATCGGCGCAGTGAACTTGGAGATGCGAGATCTCATCTGACTTACATTCTAACTACAGGCAATTGCACTTACATTGAAAGGCGATAGAAAATACGAGAAAATTTTTCATGCCACTGCGGTTACAGTACGCTTCCATAGTCTATGTCGAGGACCGAGTGCTGGAGGTGATGCTGACTCCTCTTCTAAAGATCTTCTGCGGATGCCCACACCGGAGCTCCGACCTCGAAATTTTTCAAACAGAGCTATTCGAATTTCTACTCCACAAAAAGGCGAAGGAATGGAGTTCCCTGCTTCCCATTCTAAACGTAGTACGCCTCAGCCGAGCCATCCGCACGTCGACCAGCGCCTTCATCAACTCCAAGCTCACGGTTCGATCTCGGGTGATCAGTTTATACGCCCGTGAGAGAGAAACTGGGAGTATTCACACTGTGAGAAGGATTAACCCATAAAGTCAATGTTTCTCATCGATTTCTAACGGATTGATAGGCCTGGGACGCACACACAGGCACTCTCGGCTTACCGTCGGAGTTTGCCATCCAAGAAGAGGATAAAATGACCTTCCCAAATCTCAGCACATACGTTGCATACGAGCCTGACAGTATGGTGTTCATCCCAAAGTATAAATTTGAATTTTATTTGACATTTTGGCCAGCCTGGATTGCCCACCCATCCTGGGTCCGTTGGGAGCAGTTCCTCTTAGCGATAACCGCTCCACCGCGCCCATCCCCACATATGCCATCTAAAGCGGAACAAGTGGCATTCCTCCTAGAACATCCGACCTATACCGCCTGGGTCAAAGGATCCGGTGGTAGGATTTTATACGTTCATGGAACAACACCCAATCTCCCCGAAACCCTCGCTGATCAGCTTCTCTGGCAATGGCGCATGGACAGACCTTTTGATGCACAGAACGACTGCCGAATTATACCTTTCACCTTTAATCACACCGACACCCTGCGCGATTCAATGGTGGACTTCATGGTCTTTGCCATTAGCCACCTAAGGTTGGGTCGGTATACTGGCTCCCAAGGAGCCTCGTATCAGCGCTTGCAGGGTCAATTTGAATTCCATGGTGGATGGACGGAAAAAGCAGTGCTCTCGAACTTTGACTTTCTTGCACAGCCGTACGAGACTACGGTTTTTCTTTTGCAGAATTTTGATGAGTGCGATGACAAGAGCCGAGCTTTATTCCACCGGTATCTGCAGACCATGTCGGAAGGAACAGAAGAGCACATCCGCATCATGGTAACTTCGCGACAGCCGCACGCCCTATTAACGGAGCTTTCGTCCTGGCCGGAAATCAACACGGATGAACTCAGTCTTGATCCAGGGGATATGGCTGCAGATAGCTCCTTGAACACTACGAGTTGGGCAGCCCGAGATGGGCTCGATCCTGAAGTTGGAGGAAAAGTCCAAATTTGGAACAAGTGCATCGGAGAACAGTTGAATGAGATCAAAGTGGGACAGGTGGACACAATCATTCAACTCATCCAAGAACACACAGGTTGGCCCCATCAAGTCCAGGATGGCCAATTCATCAAGTGTTTGCACTTTTGGATGGAATCGGCCCCGGTGATAGTGTGGCGCAGGTGTTGGATAGGATACTTCGGCGATACAGCATGGAGGATGGGTTTACCTGGATAATGTCGTGGTTGATCGCGACTGCGCGGCCATTCACACAAGGAGAACTGGCGGAACTCCTGTCCTCATACTTCAGGCAATACACCAGAGAACAGCAAACATCAGAGTCCATTGTTCTGGACCGGGAGGCTGCTCAATGGAAGTTGGATGTTTGGCTCCGTGGGCTCGTTGACATAGACCAGGAGCAAGTGAAATTCCGCAGCAATATTCGCGATATCATCTTTGACAGAACTCCTGATCAACAGCAATTCCTCTGGCATGGGGTGGAAGAGCAGGCCCACCAGACAATCGTCAAGTTTTGCATCCACCACTTTCAATGTCACGCAATATTCAATCCGATGCAAAGGATTTACGAAGAACATCGACAGCGGGGCCCTCAAGCCGACGGGCAAAAAAAGCAGATGTCTGCTCCACTCACCCCAGACGGAGTAGATGTTCTGTTCTACCTCGAGTTACAGGAGATGGCACTGGGCAGCGATGGTTCTTTCTAACCTTTCGGTCCAAGTGTTCGATCTCCTCTATGTGTAAGCCAGCCCCACAACGTCTGTTTATTTGCACATCGCATCTAATGCCGGAACACAGAATATAAATAGCGTGTCCGTGGGTTATGTTTGAGAATCAGTACCTGGAATACATGACCATCTAGTTTTTGTCCTTTTAAATCCTATTTCCTACGTTGATTAATAGAAAGTGACCATTTTCAAGCATAGTCGAAATGCGACTGGCTCGTAGGATTGATACGCGTATGGCATGTTAATGTGTGTCGTGTCTTGAAGAATCGGCTACTAGTGGGTGATAAAATATGCCAGGAGACTCAATTCCACGCATCTCTTCAAGGTTTCAAGCCAAAATCTGGTAGATAAACTGCCAATTCAGCGTATACAGAAAGGAAGACGAACGAATTATTTTCGACTGATTGCGCGGAGGCCAAGTAGCGTGGGCTCGCGGGCATCAAATTCAACCGCCAATTTTTCCTCGTTTGCCTGTTTCCATTCCTCCTTCCTCCTCTTTTCTCCTTTTCCGTCTCCAAGCCCTCTTGACTCTTCTTCCTCCTTTTCATTGTCCTTTTCTGTTCCTCACCTCTACCTTCTTGTTCTTCCTCGTTTCAACAAGACTCGGCTCAGAGTCTCCATCCAACTCTCGAGGGCACATTATCTCATAACCTCGCTCTTGGACACATAGACGCGCAGGTCACACTCACTTTTTTGTCGTTGCCATCCTGAACGTGGTTACTGAGATCAACAGAGCCATCCCAGACTAGGAACCCCTCCCTGCCAGCCCAACCAAGTGTTTCGAAGCTGTATTGAAACCCACCTATAACTTTCTGGCTTGATTACTGATTGATACAGGAACCGACAGATTGCCCGCTTTGAGCTTCTTGAGCCGTCTGAGAGTACCTTGACTGTTAGGAACGTCCCTGATCTCACTACAACCGGGCAATTGGCCGCCCTGTTGAAGCAGTACAGATCTGCTGATCCGGCGGGTGGCTTGCCCTGCAAGATAGCTCTTCTTGACGATCTTTCTCCCAGTCCCTCCCCGTGGAAGCCCAGGATTTGCAAGGAACTCGACATCCGTGGCGTTCCTTGGCAAGATAACCGGATTCACAACCCGGTTTGAAGCAACGGTAATTCAAGTCATCGGTACACCAGAGTCAACTCCTTGTGAATTGTGCTTATTGGAAAAGGCAGTTTTCGTCAATTGCATTACGGACCCTGCCACACAACCTGGCAGAAATTGCCACTAGCACCCCCGTCCCTGTCCTTGGCACCTGGAGCCAGCCACCATGAGAGCCACACAGACACGAATGCGACGCCCTACAGCACAGGAGCTGGAGACAGCCCTTGAGTAGCCGAAATGCCTCCTTTTACAGCAGGCATCCCTGAAGAAGCTTCGACGAGCAATCAAGGCAGCTATTCGCACTGAAAACTCGTTAATCAAGCAGATCATGGAAAAATATCCTTCTGTCCGCCAAACGACAAGGCTACAAGTCCTCCATCACCTTCTGGGATTGAAGGACGCCCTGTACGCAAACCTCACACAAATGGATCGACTACTTTATGGACTCGAGGAGCAGCTTGCCATTTACATTCAGCACATTGCCGAACACAACGCTGATGCAAACCCTCGTCCAGGTTCTCGTCCGACCGCCTCTACCCCCGACCGGAGTGAGAGCCTTGTAGTGTAACGACAGAATGAATACCCCACCTAAATGCGCAACGGAGAAGAGTTCATGATGGTCAAGCTTGGTTTGGCGCTCATTTATGGAATGATCAATCTTCATCTAGGGAATTGGTGGATCGTAAAGGAGGGAGGGTGGAAACTGCGTTTGCTGGCGGTCTTATCGCTGCGGAAGTACTCGGATCTGCCCCCACGGATTTAACATACACAGCTTTCAGACTAGCCCGTCAGCTCATGAAATTTTTCTTCCTTTGCAATCTAACTATCGTGCCATTTTGCACGGGCTAGTCGTAAATCAATCTTCAAGAATAACTATCTTTTGCCGTCTCAATGTATCACCAGTCCGTTCTGGCATATTACCTTATCAACCTCTCTTTCTAAGACCTCAATGTAGGACGGGTACTGGCGGATGCATTGAATACTTCCACCGGCTACCTTTAAATCGAGGTTTCGTTACCAAGTAACAAATTCCCTGCCTGTGGCTCGGACTATGATCCTCATAAATCTCATACTTACAGTCTGTTGAATTGCGAGCAATCGTGGTGTTCCAGGCGATGGTGGAGCCGGGTGTGTAAACACAAATGATTGTCCCGAGTGCAGATATGCTTAAATTTTATTAGATCTATCCGAAACTCCTTCCAACATATTCTGTCTATCTGACTATGAATGTCGCCTGGGTTCTCGACCCCATCAATGTCGACTCAGCCGTTGCATTGAACGATATCACTTCAATATCTACGTTGGGAATCTATTCTTCCTATATGATAGTCGGGGTCTTACTCCTTTAGCGCCGTTATCATGGACAGATTGCTGACTTCGATATGATTGATGAATTGTCGATCAATCTTCCAGATCTATGACTTGTTTAGGGGCCATTCCACGTACCGGGTTTCCTGGACACTGTGGTTAACATCTATGCGCGCATTTATACGATCATAGTTATTTCCTTCATTTTTATGCCCCCTGAGATGAAATTCAGTGTGGTAGGGACCGTTAGGTTGTCGTTCCGTTTGTGCATACTATCTTCTAGGTGACCAAGATGTATATAAGCTCCCTGTTCTGAAGGTTGCGTCGTAGAGATTTCACAGGATAGCTAGAAATCGAGACTGGTCTAGCTATGGCAAAAAATCCATGTTCTGGCAATGACACTACATTATACCGTAACATTAATAAACATACCGGAACCGCAAATTCTTCAAATCAGTCGTGTCCACTAAATCCATTTGAGTCATTCCGCCATCTTTCTCCTGATGGTCGGAAGGCTCGACACTCAGACTCATTTTGTCTCGCCGGGAATTTTCCCAACGCAGATAGAATAACAAGGCAAGTCCAACCACGACGCAGATAACGAGGCAGATTATTATTGCCAGGAAACCGCTCTAAGCTGATATCAGTACCGAGCTTTGGGAGAGATATATCACCATTTGCGGCAGTGGGGGAACTTACCTGGTATTTTGGTGCCTCGCGTGTGAAAAAGAGCTGCGGACCAATAATATTTCCAGTGCAATACATGATGAAATAGATGGCACTGACAGTTGTTTTCTTCGTGAAACCACCCACATTGGAACTGATCATTGCCAGGGAAACTGGCATCGTAGCAGAGTAAATACCCATGAGAAGGAGGCCAGCGTAGCGTGCAGCAGTAGAGGTTCCAGCATAGACCAAGCCGCTTCCAAGAATACTGATGATTATCATTCCAACAATCACTAGGCAGCGGCTGTTTGGTACTTTCGACGAGACAATGCCACTGAAGCCTCTTATCAGTAATCTCCTTGGTCTAGAGAGTGAAGTTGTAACTTACCCAATCAGCACGAATATAAATACTATCAGACCTCCAGGAATGCCAAGGAGTAGCGTATGGAATGTGTTGTAGCCAAACCCTTTCAGTACCAATCCATTGAACTTTTCATCGTCAGAACTGGATCCAGAAATTGTATGAATATCATGACGGATACTCACAGTGGTAAAGCCGCCATTGGGAATGTTGCAAGCCAGTATCAGGCCTGCAAGGAGCCAAGTTTTAATGTCTGTGAAAGCTTCCACGATTTGGCGACGATCAATTTCCGTGTTCTTGTATCCGGTCTGGTTTGCTCTCATGCGCTCTATCGCAATCAACCTCTCTTCTTCAGTGAGGAATTTAGCGTCGGTAGGCGAATCTGGAAGTCGGAAAAGCATGAGTGTGCCCCAGGCAAAGGTGGCGATCCCGAAAATGATGAAAAGCCACTGCGTATGAAATTAGAAACACTCCTAAGATAAAAAAGGTTGGAGCAAACATACCTGCCATGCCTTAAGGCTATCTTTAATCTGCAGAATACCGACTGCAATGAGGTTGCCGAAGATAAGAGAAAGGGAGTTTCCACAGAACCAGATACCGGCACGGAGGGGCTGCTCAGAGGTGCGATACCAGAGGGAGGTGATCAAAGTGAACCCAGGGGATAGGCTTGCCTCAGTACATCCGAGCAGGAACCTGGTTACCATCAGAGTGGCAAAGTTCTTGGTGGCCGCATGACAGGCAAGAACTACGGCCCACAGGATACTGTAGAATGTAAGCGACGTTCAAGAGTCCCAGAGAATGACATACAAGTTGGTAGCCAGGTATTTGCCCAGGGAAATTTGACCATGAGTAACGAGGCTGGATATCTGTGGGAGCGTTAGCGTTAGAAGAGGGCAGAATAAAACGAGGATATTGGTGGTAGGCTCACGAGAAAAACAAATATCCGAAATAGAAGATTCCAGATGTCCAACTATACTGAGACCCGACTAAGTGCAGGTCCTCTTGAAGGCCCATCAGCGCAGCGTAATTCAGCGTCTGTTTATCCAAGAACGCCATCATATATGCCACAAGCATGAGGGGAAGAATTCTTTAAAAAAACTGTCAGCATCCATGGAAAGTTTCCATTGACAAAATAGAGACCAACGTGAAGTCAATTTTTCGCACGAGTCTCCTTTCCGCAGTAGGTGAGAATTGCGGCGATGAAGAGTGGAGTTGCTCAAGAGCTCCATTGTCGACACTTTGCTGGTCCATTCTCTCATTCGAATGGCCATCCTCCTTCTTAGTGAGTGTGCCTGCCATTGTATAATCAACCGATATAAAGGAACTTTGAGGACGATGGAAGATCTGCTATCTTCAAGCAACCTGGCTTCCGCTACTCTATTTATACATCAGTCCATTTGTCTAGATAGCTTCTCCTCACACTAATGTGACCTGCCTTTTGACTGCCAAGATAATCATACCCCCGCAAACTCAATCCTCCGATAAGAGTCTGTGCTCGAGACTAGGTTTGCCTCGGGTCAGTTATCATTGGTTCGGTCGGCAAGGCTGTTCGCGGCTTGGCGAGGCTAAAGCCATGGCGTTCATCTAGATAGGGGAAACCAGATGGTCCAGCCGAATTGTTTCGAGGAGCTGATTGGATTGACAAGAATTAAGTTGATTTCCCCAGATAACAGGATTGGAGCCTGCATACTTGAAGAGGCTCCCTTCAATCGGAGCCTTCCTCCTATCCCGACTATATCTGATTATCGGCATTTAGGAGATAAACTTCATACCCTCAGTTTCATTTGTCTCAGATTATAGGCTACACAGATACTGTGGGTTTTCTATCACTCGCGCTGGAAGTCCTTCTTCACTGCCTCGGCAAATTCGTCATCGACCAGCATTTGGCATCCGACAACGGCCATTCCGGCAGCACAGGCGATAGCCCTCTCGAATCCCTCGGGTGAACCAGCCCCACTTGTGAATTCTGGGGTATGGTTGACACCTTTCGCTGGGATACAAAACACGCCGTGGAAGCCCGGTATGACGTATGATACGTTGCCTATCATGCTGTTAGTCGTGGTAAATCAAAAGCCTGTGTGGAAGAGATCGACAAACCCATATCAGTTGAAGCCCCAGCGAGCGCGCCTTTTTGTTCGGAGTTATCGAACAGAGTGTGGTGACCCATTGCCCGCATTGCTGAGACGTAACTTTCGCAAATAGGTATATTGCTCTTCAGGTCATCATAACTAACACCCCTGAAATGACTCTGTCAGCCGAATGGAGGTTTCTGCTCATCGATAAACAATTACATACCATTCGTATTCCACTTTGCACCCAGTCGCCGTGGCAGCAGCCTCAAAACAATTGACAACCTTCTCCGTCAAAGGCTTCAGAGTCTTCTTCGTTGGAGAACGGATATAGTAATCCACCGAGGCGGACATAGGAATAATATTCGGGCGAGCACCTCCATTTACAATGACGCCGTGGATCTTCTGAGAGGGCAAAATCTGCTGTCGAAGCAGTGAGATATTCACATATGCTGAGACCACTGCATCAAGGGCATTGATACCCTCCCAGGGTGCCGCTGCTGCGTGGGATGGCTTTCCAGTGAAAGTTACCTTGACCTTGTTATTGGCCAAATATCCTCCTTCGACAGAGGTCGCAACACCATGCACATCCGGGCGATTGGGTGACATTGGCACGGGATGCACCATCAGACAGGCATCTACGTTTTCGTAGGCGCCCGCTTCGATCAGCTTCACCTTACCACCGCCAGATTCCTCTGCAGGAGTACCCAGCAAGCGGACAGCGAATCCTGGGATGCTAGAAGACTGTGCCTGTGCCTTCATTGCCTCGCAAGTAGCAATGAATGCAGCGATAGAGCTGGTCGCGATCAAATTGTGGCCACAAGCATGGCCAATGCCAGGCAGGGCATCTGCAGCTTGTAAATATATTTTTGGACGTGCTCGGTAGTGGATGAATCTACTTACCGTACTCTGCATTGAACACAACAACACGACCACCACTTCCGTGGGTGAACTCAACCTCAAGAGCCGTGTCCAAGCCATATGCCTTGGGGCGAACTTGATATCCACTCGATTGGAGGCCGTTGAACAGCTCGCAGATGTGGTCGTGAGCCTGGTATTCTTTATAGGCAAGTTCAGGATTCGACCAAATCTAAACAAGGTCAGCTTTGAGGCGCTTTCGTATTGATCCTGAGTGACATACCTTCTGGTTGATATCTTTCAGCTGCGCATCATAACGGCGAAGTGCCTCTTGGACAGTGTCCAGGAAGGGCCGCTGGGCCTCGGGAACATGCATCTTGGGTACTTTGATCAAAATCTGACAGGGATGAGGGGTAGACGCAATGATAAGAATGCGGCGTTTAATGTTATAAGGTCGAGGTGCTGGAGCCCACAGGGTCTCCTCCTAGTCTTTACTTATCTGAACATCTTCAAATGCACGCTTTCCCCCGCTTGGCTTTCCCGTTCCTCTCGGCAACGCTTCGCCTTTCTGGATGTGGTTAGGGACCCGTTTGCCGACAGAGCCAATCGGCAGCCTCTGCATCGGCAAGTCTCTTTCTTATCGTCGCCAATTTTAAACGTCTGATTGCTCCACTGGGCAGATAAGGCAAAGCACTTCCCCAGCCTCCACTTCCCCTTCGACATCTCTTGAGCCCCCCCCGGTCGTCCTCCCTTTGGCGATAGGCTCTCCTAACTCCTCGCAACATAAGTACTACCCCAGATTGAGCTACATACCCGATATTGCTGAACGGACCCGTAAAAGACCCTCGAGCACCAGATGGGGTCCGGACAGCTGTCACGGTCGACGCCCAGAAGATGCACAAGCAGGGCAAGACACGTTCCAAGACCGGTAGGGATCCACACGCCGCTTATCCTTTGCCTAATCCCTCAGGATTGTGTAGCTGTTAGCGAAAGAGTTGGCTAATAAACTCGGCTAGGCTGCCGGACATGTCGCATCCGTAAGGTAAAATGCGACGAGGAGAAGCACATAGTCGAGGGTCGAGAGCCCCAGTGCCGACGATGCACAGCAGCACGCATCAAATGCGAGTGGAAGGGCGGACCAATCCCGCGGAATACTTCCTCTTCCTCATCTTCCTCGACTTTGAGGGAAGGGCCCGAGCAATTGCCCACCCAAAATGCAGGTCAATCCGACCAGGCCACCCGAAAACGACTCCCTGTTCAACAGTCTTTCAATCCTGGCAAAGCACCATTACTTCCGTCGCATAGAATTGGCAATGGGGACCGTAATCAAAGTCTCCAAGCCGCCAACTCTTTGACTCTATCTGCTTTTGACCGGGATTGTCTCAGTTACCTCCAGAATTCGACACTAGTCATCATCCTTGGAAAACATTGGCCCTGGTCTACGATTTCATACGCGTACCACCGAATCGCTGACACCGAGCCTATGGTCATGAGCATGATCCTGGCTAGTACTGCAAGGGAAATTCATCGATCACGACTCTACGATCAGGAAGCACTTTCTATCAGCAGTCTCAATCCGAGTTCGAGTAATAATAATGAGTCCTGTGAGCTTGATGGGCGGATGCATTACGGTCGAGCATTATCCAGCCTCCGTCAAGCCCTGAAATCGGGCGTGAGAACGCCTCAAAAAGTTGAGGCCATTTTCATCACGCTATGGTTGATGATTGACTATGAAAATCGCTTTGGAAGTGGTGCTGCCGCCATTAATATCCACATTCGCGGCATCGAGACCCTCCTTCACAACCATGTTGTTCCGTTTCTCCGGGGCCACGCTCACCAGCACCATGAGTTCGCAGGCCGCCAGCAAACACCGTCTCCTGCCCTAACATTCAACAATGAGAATTCGTCGCCTCGTTCACCAGCGGATCTTGTATCACCAGCTACTGGTGAACACGTCGCTGGAGTCGGCTCCTGTTCTCTGGTCTCGCAGTCAAATTCCGTCGAGGGGCTCGGCTGTACCTCTGTCCCCCTTTTTCTACTTTGGACATTATACTTCTTTACCCCAGCAGCATTGTTCTTCGGACCTACTACAGGACGAATGGACTCTGATATATTCCAATTTTTCCTTGGCAACCAAAGCGATGATACAATTCCTTTGACTCTGTCAGAGTTATATCGAATTAGCAGACAATCACCTGCTCGGTTCTGGGGTAGTACATACCCAATGTCTGCTCAGATGGATGACATGGAGAATCTTCCGGCGTTGACTCTCTACCATCGAAGTCATGTCATCCAATTTAAGATCACGGAACAATTCAAGGGCGGCGTCCCTACTGAGGCCACTGTGGACGAGATATCCCCCTACCAGAAAATCATTGGTGAAATCAACATCATCGCGCTTGTGAGTCACACTATGTCCCAAATATCTCCTCTGTGTAACTTCTAATGCGTAACAGGAATACGACTCCGTCCTTACAGCCGTCAGAACTTCGCAATCATGTGATATTGGCGCAGGCCGCCGGGTCTTGGAAACAAGTTACTGGGCTGCCATCACATTCTACAGTACCATTGTCTTTTTTCACCTGTGTTTCCAGGATATCATCAACAAGCAGCCGGGAACTCAGGTTCAGAGCCAAATTATGCCTCTTTCCACCGCAGTTTCCCTGGTTCTCGAATTGAGTCTTAAGCTTCATCGCTCCAGGCCACATCTGATCGTTCGCATTACGTGGCCTCTATTCCTGGCGGGAATCGCGACGTCGGATCGGATATACCAGGATTGGGTGTCGATCAGATTGAAGGAACTCGGTCGCTTTGGACAGAATTATACTCGAATTAGTCGCCGATTCGATGAGATCATACAGAGCGGGCACCCTTATGTCTCTGAGAGGGATTTCCATTTCTTAGCGAATGCGGAATAGGGAACAGTTATCATACTTTGCGTTATATTTATCGGTTTACGTTACGGCATTACCAGTTCACGTATATACGTTTGAAACTACTAGGTACAGGGCCCAGGAAGAAATAACTCTAGAGTATTACGAACAATTACACTTCATTCAATGCTGACTACTTCTTTTCGAACCCATGTCGCTAGTATTCTAAAGTCATCAGGGGGCCTGCTCTGCACATGGAATTGCCGGGTTGTTCGACATACTCTCGTAAGTAACACCTCCACTTTGACATTGCGGCATTCGGACTAGAAACTAAAAAATAATCCGTAGGAAAACCTGACGTAATGTAGAGTATTACCTCTTCACTCAATTTTCAAGGCTGGGGTATCGCCGAGAAAGCCTCCCATTCTGTATGAAAGTCAGTGTCAAGGGTTGAAGAAGCAGGCTTGAAAGCTCAACTTACGTAGCAGGGTAACGATCGCCAGGGACTTCATTTTCTTGGATCAGTTTTCGAATATCCTGGATTTCCTTGTCCGTCAATTGGAGCAGAGACGACCTGTTGTTTTCTTCCATCCTCTCAGCAGACCGTGTGCCCGGAATTGGGATAATGTCAGGGCCCTGAGCAAGCAACCAGGCTATTGCAACCTGTGTGGGCGTCACATCATGAATCTTTGCCACGCTCTTGAGACCATCCACCAATTTCAAAATCTTCGGGAAATTCTCTCTCGAGTACTTTGGGAAATTCCGGCGCAAGTCTGCCTCGGGTAAGTCATCGAAAGACTGGATTTGCCCAGTTAGGATCCCGCGGCCGATGGGGCTATAAGCAACAACGGCAATGCCCAGCTCACGGCAGGTATTCAATAGATTGATTTTTGGTGACTCAATGTCTAGCGCGAAAGGACTGTATTCGATCTGTAGCGCGGTGATGGGATGGACAGCATGTGCTCGGCGAAGTGTCGCTGCGGATACCTCGGAGATACCAAGATATCGAATCTTGCCTTCACTGTGAAAAGAGCTTAGTGAAACTCACCTGATCATGATCAACAGAGTCATACTTCTTCAACCCAACCATTGCTTCAATTGTTTTCTCGATCGGTGTCACGCCATCCACGCGATGGCAATAGTACAGATCAATAGTGCTGACTCCAAGCCGCTTGAGACTCTTCTCACAGGCAATTCGCACGTACTCAGGATCGGAGCGAATCGACATGTTGCCCGTTTCGCTATCCCGCTGAACACCAAACTTTGTGGCAAGGAAGATATCCTCTCTTTTGCCAGAACGCTTGAACCACTCTCCCACTATGTCCTCGCTATCTCTATACAAATCTGCTGTATCCCAAAAGCACTGTCCAACAGCATATGCGTGATCCAGGAAGGCGAGCTTCTCATCGAGCGAACCTGCGGACCCATATATGCCACCAATGCTCATGAGTCCGAGTCCAACAGCAGGCACCTGAGGGCCTTCGTGGCCAAGTCTTCGATATGGGATAGACATCTGGAATAGGAAATTGTGTGAATTCCTTTAAAGCTGATTTGCATGAAAGTTAAGTTTTTCAAGGAACAAAGAAGCCGCCCCTCTTTGTTATTTAAGCTGAAGGGGACTCTTCTACTCCGTATGTACGGAGTACGCCAGCTTTATAGCTATGGCAGGATGCCATTGGCTCGTCGACTGCAAGCACAAGGCCCGTCAACAGATGATTGGTTGTCTTCTTGGTTAGTCACCTGTCATCAACATACAGTCCCCGCAGGCGTTGCGGATTTAAGTACGGACGGACTTTAACACAGGACTTTAGCAACGGATTTAACTACAAAGGCAAATCATCAGTAAGTGTAACCAAATTCAAGATAAGATGATACATCGTGATGTCGTGTAATGTGTGAGTACAACACCTCTTCATTACTTTATAAAAGCCCCCAATGAGAGTGGGAAAATCATGCGCCATTGATGTAGAACCTTGGCACTCACTATGAAATCTCCAGTTTCAGCAAGACGCTGCTGGTTCATGAGGATGACTTCCAACAAAGAACTTCCCCAAGCAACAGCTGGCAAATCCGGACTACACATAATACGTCAAGGTCCTGTTGTGGTGCAGCGTTTAAACTCAAAATCAAGTCTGGGGATTAATGGAAACTTTACAGAACCACGATCTCAATTCATGGTCCCATATTTAGAACCTATGAACCTCAAATTCCAGTTTGCGCTCCCGAATATTAAAACACATTGGGCTATTCCGACGTCTCCCGACTGGTCTACAAGATCGCCATCTCATTAGCAAGCTCACCGCCATAATCGTTTCGATCCCCTCGCCCTTGAGCGCGTTTCTTCTCGTCTTCCCTCCGAATACTCGTCACGTAATTCCGGAACCGGTTACACATCTCCAGCACCCGCTGGAAATGGGTCTTAGTTACAATCGTCACAAGAGAGGTATCATAGTCCGGGTCCTCGTCGCTCTCAAACTCCGCTAGCGTGATTGCTGTCTGTAGCGCATTGCGAATATCCCGCCCATTGAGCTGTGTCTCGCCCGTGGTTTCAAGAACCCAGGACTTCGCGTCCGGTGCAATCTGGATTTTACCCGCGCGGTCGCGCACCAGCTTCCGGAAGAAGCCGTTCCAGACTTGCCGGCGCGTTTCCTCATCAAGGGGCTGGTAGTCGATTGCGATATGGACACGTGAGATGAAGGCGTCATCAATTTGTCCGACGCGGTTTGTGGTGAGGAAGAGGAGGCCTTTGAAGTATTCCATTCGGCGGAGGAAGGCTGCAAAATTGTTGTTACTATTTATCAGCGAGATGGTGGTTCGAATTGTAAATTACCTGATACTAGTCCGTTTCGGGCGAGATCTCGATTCTGTCGTCGTTCCAGGAAGATATCTGCTTCATCAACGAGGAGCACTGCATTCCAGGCTTCCGCAAGATTAAACCACTTCACGAGCTCGCGTTCGACGATAGTCTCACTCGTGCCAATATCAGCGACTGTAAGTGCAAGGAGTGGCCGGTGCAACCATTCAGAGATAGCCTCTATTCTCTATTAGCTAATGTTTCCGACAGTGGGATTTACGGTTGATGTACCGACTGTGTAAGTTTTGCCAACCCCCGGGGGTCCTGGAAGATTGTTGTTAGATGTAACATTAAAAAAAAAAAACCTCCAACGGGGGAGATACCATGTAGCAATATAATCTGCCCAGAACCTTTCCCTTCGATGAAGTCCGCTGACCATTGCCTGGTCTTGCTATTTTGGCGGTTTGAAAGAGCCTGGATCGTTTTCAGCTCGTCGTGGCCAATAACGAGGTTGTCGAGACTCTCGTTCGACGGCACAGATTCTTGGACGTAGTCAAGAGAGATCAGGACTGAAAATATTAGTATCGCTTCCGTGGTGTTCAATAAAAGGACACCTTACTCCATTCCTTGTGTCTCAGAGCATAAGCCAGTACATCTGGGCATAGCAGAAGTAGTTGATGCTCGGTGAGCTCACCAACCACAGGGCCACTTGGTTCGGCATTAAGTGTCTTGTTGGCACGGTATGCAGGGCCTTCCGTCCATGTTGAGGGACCCGGCCGTCTGAGGTAGGGCTCATTGACACGCCTTGGGGGGCGTGGTCTTATTTCTTCGGTAGTATGAAAAGACCAATCGTTATTGACAAGAATGTCATCGTACTCCTGAAACCGATTTGAATCATCTATCTCGCGCAGAGAGGACATCGGCTCTTCGTGGTCAGAGTCTGCAAGCCCTCTCCGGTGGTCTATCACCAACTTTCCAGAATACTATTTGTGTGTCAGTGGCCTAGTCAATAGCTTCTTTGTTAGCCCATGACCTACATATTGGCTGGCGTGTTTGATTGGACCGTTGTACTCCGCCAGGAGATTGCCTTGGCGGAGAGCCTTGAAGAAGATTGTGCTTCGGCGTAATATCTGCTCACGTCGCTTTCCACCGTCCCACGCGTCCCAAATAGAGATCGGACACACTGGTAGAGTTGTGACTTCTCGCAACCCAGAATAAGCGTGTACTTTCACGGAGATCAAAGCTCGTTGGAGTCGGTTGCCATCGGTCTCTAACCGCCATAGATCGACGAGCCATCCCTTTTCAATCCCGACCCCCAAGGAATCGAGCTGACTTATACCACTGGGCTTAACATCCAACACAACTGCAGCATGTGTAGACCCGTCAACGTGAATATAGACATCAATTCCGGGTTTCAGAAGGTACCAGATCATGTCAAAAGCCACCCGAGGAACAGAATCAGACAGATGTCTTTGACAGGTCAGTATGTGCTCCTGGTAGATGGGGCGAATAAAATCCAGCAGATGTTGGGCATGTTTCTTCAGCTGGTCAATTCGTTGAGCGTTACCGTGATGCTCACTCTTGCAAATCGTTCCCGCGGAAGTCCTGTCGGCCATTGTTTCGATGGAGTCAAAATGGTGCAACAGAACGGCAAAGGGCTCTGGAATTCTTAACGTATTTCCCGTTGTTTGACCGGGCCAACTGTAATTCAACGAGGGGTAGTAGTCCACCATGTCATTGATTGCCTCCGCAAGCATCGGAGAGTGCACCACGAGGTAACGTTTAGAAACACGCTTCGGATTCAGCATTTCAGGACGGGGCGCGTCCAGAATTCCCGATGACCTGAATCGCGCTCTCCTTACCTCAACAAGAACCTCAATGGTGATGACAGGGCCCTTCCACTCCGCGGGTTCTGACGCGGTCTGCTTGGTGTCTGCTGGTACCTGGGTGGAGCCTACGCCCAGGGAAAACTCGATAGGTCGATCGTCGATGTACCTCAGATCAGGCATATAAGCATCCATGTCTTCTTCATCGCCGAACTCTCTTCCCCGGCGCGGATAGAAGACTTTGGTATTCCACATGATGGCTGGCTCAACTGACTGAAGGTCTGGTTTTGCATCTCGACGTCGTCGGATCTTCACTAGATCAACGACGGTATTTCGTGGGCTAGCTAACGAGTCATCATCGCTGCGGTAGGATCGCCGACGACGAGCACGGCGAGTGTACCGAGCTTCAGATGAATAGGACGAATCTGTGGAACCCGAGGAGGCCACAACCACTGGAAGTGGTACCGGGGTAGCTTGCTCCGTTTCCATGATAGAACGCCTTGTTGGTGTCCTTCACGTGGAAATTGGTAGGCTAGTATGTGTTTGTAGAAAACAGGTGAGCGGGATTTCTTGCGAGTTGACTGATACTTCTGGTCCTGATACGTGTGGAGACTGAAGTAGATGAGGGGAAGAGGGGTATGGCGTTAGGGCGATCAACCCTTCAACATCCCGGTGTGCCCCAAATGCACCATCGCATATAGCCAGGTTGAACACGTCAGCAAATGGGGGCGGTTTTAATAATACGAGATGTTCAAGCATTAGTACATAGTACTATTGGAGGTGGGAAGGATGAGGCTAAGCGGGGCGAGTTGATCTCCTGGGGTCCCATCACGTCCTAGGACACTTAATGTAGTGGTGCCGCCCTCCTTGCGATCCATCTTCTGGCTGGGAAGAGGGTCAAAAACCCATCTTTCAACTCATACCTTGATCCATCGTTCAATTTATCTAGGGAGATGAATAGAGGCAAACAAGTAGAGCCCAGTCAGGGACTGATCCGGCGGTTCAGCGATGATATCTCGCAATCTTCGCCGGGGAGTCCCTGGGTCGTGCCCTGTCAGCCAAGGTGGCGTTTGACCGAAATCGAGAGCGATCACGTTCGTTGCGCTCTGAATGGGATCAACTCCTGCTGCAAGGTCAGGAACTCGCTCAAGGCTGCGTCCCTGACGAAGAGGCCGTTCTACTTCACCAGAGCCAGCGACTTCACGCAGCGTGGACCAAATTCCGACGAAGCCTCCCAAAGGAGCAACAGATACGACTTGAAGACTGCGATAGGCCAGACATCAATTTCCTCGTGGCCACTGTCAACAAGGCATCGGCAACATGGAAGTCGGGACGAGAAGAAAGCACTTTGGGCAAGCTCAAATCCAAATTCCACAGCCTTTGTGAGATTTGCCAAGATCACAGTTCGCTGCTGAAAATCTTTCCCACAAACGACAAGTACGTTGCCTTGCTAACGGGGTCAATCTCTGCTATCGCTCAGGCGACTATAAATCACCAAAACATCGCCGAGGGGGTGGCGGATACCCTCGACGATCTGGGCTATGATCTTGATTTCTGGAACCGCCAGATGATGGAGCATGGAAATATCCCCGCTCTCCGTCCATATATCCAGGAGCTTTATGTCGTGGTCTTTGAGTTCTTCACGGAGATATTTACCAAGTGGTCGAAATCCGGCTGGAAGCGATTTCTCACCAGTTTCGATGAGGGCGTATTCAACAAGCTCTTCACGTCCAAGAAAAACCGCCTTTTGGCCATTGAGCGTCGCATGGAACGCCATATCAATCTCGACTTCCGCCATCACACTGCCATGAGTCTTAAGACGGTGATTGAAAACCAGGAAAGGCTCTTCAATATATTACCGGACCAACTTGGCGAACAAAGATTATTCCTTGGAGTATCCCTTCAAAGGTTTCTAGAGCAACAACAAATTTTCAGTCTCGAACCACCCCAGGCGGCCTTGGTAATAAGCACGGTAGAAAGCACAGCAGGAGAGACGCAACCCGTTTCTACGAGTGGTGACAGTGACCTCGCACTCCCTGAACCGGAGGTTCACCCGACCCGACGTGCGCAATACCGGTTCAACCGTGCAGAGATTCAAGCACAATTGACCACATTCACAAATCAATGGATGAATCAAGTCAATTACTTGATTGAGGCTGCCAATCAGATGTCACTTCTTCGGCTCGACAAGGAGGTACACCATCGTCTAGTGGCGTGGTTACGAGGCCTCGATTCAATGAATTTATGGATTCGAGGCCCCCACGGCGTGCCACGGCCTAGCCAAAATTCCATGACTGCGGTGTCTCTGGCAGCACTGGCGCGCAACAACAACATCCCCTGTATCGTCTACTTCTGCACCTTCACAGGCCCTCATTCTTCTGGGATTTCCAAGCGAGTCGAGCTGGGATTCTTGCTCGCCTCGATTGTCACGCAGCTAGTTCAATTCCTCCCAGATAAAGGTTACGCAGAGGCGGACCTATCTCCTACGCGCTTCTCAACCCTCGCACAGGGCTCTTTAAGTGTGGTCGAGACGCTCCAGCTGATACAAGATGTGCGGAACGTTGGCCCGAGATTGGTATATGGCTTTATAGATAACATTCAGGTCCTAGAAGATCGGTCCGATGAAGCCTATAACCGAGATCTATTGAGGGTTATTGCGACTATATGTAGGCTTGGTAGCCGGAGTCAGCTTTCAGAGAGTGATGGTACACCGAACGAGGACGAGGTATCTGTAGTTCCGGGCACAAGGATCTGTTTCACAACGGAAGGATACGTGGATGGCCTGGCGCAGGCCATAGAGCTACAATTAGTTGAGAGGGTTGAATTTGACCTTGAGACGAATGACCCCCTTGGGGGAGAGGCCGGTGGAAGACTTGTATGGGATGCGGAGGGAAGGGATGATTGATCAACACCACTACAGCTATGAATGTCAATGTTGAGGCTGTGATCAAGCCACGGGCTGCATGCAAAGTCTTTCAATATACAAGGAGGATTAGAATCAGCTTCACCACTTGCACAGACGCCCACTTAGAATCAAGCCCTTGAAAATGACATTCACTCAGAATTTCCCAATCTTTTCGTCACGCATTCCTCATTTCCCCAAGAATTAACACCCGGGTGCTGCCAAGGCCAAGGGGCGCACAGCCGCAGCGCGGCTCCCAAATACTATGTAGAAGACGCCAGGGATAACGAGAGAAGGGAAATTGGACGGACCCTTCGCTATCACAGGTTTGTTCCCTGAAAAGTGTTTTAAATTCAAGGTTCACGGCCTGCATATATGATGGAACCTTAAATTCTGATTGGTTGGGATAATGAGGCTCTTATTTAAGGTCACCCTCACATCACATTCTCACACACTTGACATTGACGTCGAAGGATAGAAGGATACTATGGATGCTGAATGCCAAAAGTGGGCAGCACAGCCCCTGGGAATCGATTCGTAGCCTTGTGAGTCGGTTGTCGTCAGAATAGAATTTTGCAAGGAGTACTGGATTAGCGGTCGTTGGCCAACTCTTATTCTCATGTATCCGCTATCATCTACAAGAAATTCTCCTTATCTTTCACTTTTCAGCATATTATTTTCGCCGCGACTTTGCATACGATATCCAATATCTTTCTAAATTCTGTCTTTACTTCAGGGAAGGGATTCTCTCCACGGCACATTTTCCTGCTCCCTTTGTACCTTGACCTCGCAATGGGTGCATCGCTAAGCATCCTCGGAGGTGCTGTCGAGGATGGTCTAAAGATTGGAAGCGACATGATGCAGAGTCTTTCTAAAAACTCAGTTTTCAGGGAAGGCACCTCTGGTATAGAAAGCGAAAGCCCCTTGGGTGATTTGTCCCGTATATCCGGTACTGAGAGTGAAAGTTCATTGATCGACGCACCCGATTCGTTTATTTCTGGAGATACTGGAATGAAATCACTAGAATATCTACATTCGGTAATCGGTAGGTTAGATAAAGGCATATATCCTCGTGATTTGTTGAGTCTAACACATCGACACATGCTCAAAGACCATGCAATGGAATTTTACGATCTTCTTGATGCGCTTTCTTCTGCCATCTCACCATCAGCCACGGTATCGGCCACAATATCAGCATCGACATTTCCCATGACCGCTCCAGCGGAAATGATCACCTCAGCCGTATCGACAGCAGAAGGAACTCTGTGATGCAATCTTTTCTCAAATTTTACATCCCTCTGCGCATCAGCAACACATGCTTCTGGAGCTGTAGAGCCAACTCCGACATTTGCAGCTCTTTCATCCTGTGTGTGTTATTCAGCCACGCACAATTTTGGTCGTGCTCTTGCCATCGCGGCATTAACATGTGGCGCAAATACAACTGCATACACATCCGCAAGCCCTAGCTTGGCTTTTTCCGCCATCGCAACGTCTGCAACACCGAGCTCCGAGGGGTTCGGTATGGCAATGTCCGCGAATCGAATGGAGAGGCTTTGTGCACATATGGGGGAAGTAAGGAACTTAGCCAGCGTACAGCTTGCTAAAGTGTCTCCGTCGGTGACAAGTTCTAGTGCTGCAACTGCTACTGAATCGAGTGATGGGGTAGCACTTTCAACATCCAAAGCAGGACTCAGTGTCGCTGGTTTTGCTGGCGTGCTCTTGATCTAGGACACCTAACATGGAAGCAAAAAAAAGAAAGATGAGATGAACTTGTGTTCGTTGAATCTCAGCGATCTGCCTTGCCCTAATGCCCTGCTCCTCTGAGACCTTGACTCATCAATCTTTACGTATTGCAACTATCCACGGGTTTAGCTTGCTATCTATAGACTTGGCATACTTGGAACATTCACATTTGAGTTATTGCGTATATATTGGTGCAGTGGACCCGGCCTTCGCAGGTTAATTAATTATGTACACTTCAAGATTTATGCAGTCATCAATCCAAAATCAGACGCCACAACCGAAAATTCTCGGTGGATCCCCTCGGATCCCGCTTTCCTCGCTCTGAATTATCGATAATATTTCTAATTTAAGGGAGAGCAGCGGGAGCATAGCTCTGGTCAGGAGTGACGACTTTGCCGCCAGCAAGTTGGTTGTCGGTATAGGCAGGCCAGATGATCTGACGACTCAAGTTGTTGACAACGGACAGGGTGGTGAAGCCATTACCCGGACCAAACTGCCCACTCCAGCCAGAAGTAATGGTGTAGTCACCACAGTTGGAGGGACCTCCGTTGGCCTGGGAGGCGGTGTTGGCAGTCACAACGTATGTGCAAGAAGTAGCACTGCCAGAGCCGGGGTAGATGCCGAAGGTCCAGGTGCACGAGGAATCGTTGGCGGCGCAGACGCGCTTCATGCTTTCGATGGTCCATTCAGGGCCAGCGGCCATCATTGAGACGCCGGCGACGGGGGCAGCGAGGACCGCGGGAGCGGCGAAGATAGTGGCCAGGAGGAGCTGAGAGAATTGCATGGTTGCGATTTGGTGTATTTTCGGTGGAAGGTAGGTGTTAGGGAGTATTGTAAATAGTTCGGAGGAGATATAAGCTATTGCAGGGTGATGTGAGAATAAAACCACTTGGTAGAGGCCGTGTTGAAGCTATTTAAGGTATTTTCCAGTCCTCTGAAGTCATTGATCTTGGCCTTATCCCAAACGAGCCATCGCAGCGATCATCAGAGATGTTGCTCAAAAAGGATGTTCCCTAAAATTAGTGAATGTAACTGTACAACAGGAGCTGGTAGGAACCTCCGGAAGACGACTCTATCTCAGCGTGCTGGGCATGTCTTACCTGTGTATGTAGAGGTGAGACATCACCTGACGAGGTGTTCAGTTCAATCATTCAAGGATGCTACATTGCTAACCCCACATTCACAATTTAAGACATGTTCGAGACCTCTCCAATCATATCCCGCTTGCCGTAGGGCACGCCGTAGGGGCCCCCCGCGTTTGTGCGCCCCAAGATCCACGTGCTGCCGAAAGTTACCAGCATTTACCAGAAAATGAGGAAAGACCCTGAGTAAATGAATAATAATAGTCTGCTAACATCATACCACTATAGGTAGCCGAAAAAGATCAGATCGTACAGGATGCATCACACACAAGTCATTCCTTTTCGGTGTCTCTCCGTCAAGATCCACCTCTTCTGTGAGACACTCTATTTATAAACACCATTAAGTTCATGATGAGGGAGGAGCTTCACCGATGATCGAGGGAGCAAGAATCGCGAGGATAGAGTATTTATCTAGCATGTTATTAGTTGCTCGGAATATTTCCACATTCCATCTTCAATAATAACGAGTCCTTCAACCAGTCATGCCCGAACGAACCGGTTATGAACCCTACAGGTAGCGAAAACGAGAGGATCCTAATTTTCTGATAGGCCACTACGTGGTCTACGCCTATGCATTAATTCCACCAAGTAGAGATACCGAAGCTAGAGAAAGGAAAAATCGTTGGTGGTTGATAGCTTAGCTTGTTCATTCCACGAAATACGTTTCAATGAATTCAGACGACTCTTTCATTATGCATTACGCTTAGATCTCGGATTCTTGGACCGCTCATGAAGACCGTGGTTTTTAATTTGCCGGAGGGCCAGCAGGGCATAACTCATACGATGGGTCTCACTACACGATATCCCGGGTAATTCTATCCCTCGAGTGTTGGTGATAAAAGAAAAGATCAAAGGCCTCACTCAGACAAAAGCTGCAAATTAGACATGGCTGAGGATTGCCGCCGCCACCCGCGCGGGAAGATCGTGGCGTTCTTAGATTAAATCAGGTTCATACGGTCAGGTACTCGAGAACTTGCGGTAGCTCTATCGCATATACGTGCAGCATACAAAGCTGCCCGTTACGAAAAATGAATGATGTGCAACCCCCAAGCCCATTACCGCTGAAACTGCTTCAGTTCCACCCATCGGAGAGGCGGGTAGGCTAGCATCGCCCACGAGACCCCAACCCAAATGCCAAGGTCAGAGCCATCGTCGCCAACCATCTTCGCGATCGGTCCAACAAACCAGACCTGGTCCATAGACACAATAGCCCCAGCCCAGCCAATCAAAAATGCCAATAGTGCTGCGATACCGACCGGCAGTTTAGACGGATCTGCCCACGCATCCCAGTCAAATCCGAGCGATCGGCGATATATCAGATGCTCTTCAATGGCAATGGTCAGGTAGATTGTCACCCAATAGCCCATTAGTGCCAGCCAATTATCGAAGATGTCGTATAAATTATTGCGTCCACCGAGCGCGCATGCTGTGTAGATGACAACGCCGACACACGAGTAGAACCACCGCGGCAGCCTTGCTAAGTTACGCCCCATGATTTGGAAGCCTAGCGAGGCTGAGTACGTGCCGGGGATGTTGTTGGCGATAAGCCCAAGTGCGACAAGGACGCCCATGAATTTGCCGAATCCTCCAAGACCATCGTAGCCGGCGAGAATCAAGGCCCCAGATGAAGTGTTATATGCATCCTCCCATGTCGCATGTGTCACAGTGCCCGATGCGAGTCCAACGCCCATCAAGTTGGCGAACGTCAGGGACAACCCCACACCGAGGAAGGTCATGAGGAAAGTCTTCCATTTCAACGTGGTAGGAGGAAAGTAGACGTAAAAGTCGGCACCCGCGGGCGCCCAAGCCACGGACGCAGATAGACAGAGTGAAAAGAAGGACAGTCTGTTTCCAGCGATGGTCTGAGAAGAGCCAGTCGAGGCAATTGAAGTATCAAACTTGGGACCCGCACTGCCGACCAAGACGAAGACGGCGATGATCTGAGGAATCCATGCCCATCGCTCATAGATATGAAATAAACGCATGCCAAACAAAACCACCACCCAGGTTACGATGGCGATAATGATGATGCCCACGACGACAGTCATGCGACCCCCAGCAACGGCAGATAGAACTTGACCACCAACTACACAATCTATCATGCCGTAGCCCAGCATGATAATTATGTTCAGAAGACAAGCAATTTTGCTCGGGTAATAACCCATGAAATATCGTGCGATAACCTAATTCGCGTCAGTCCATAATTCCTAGTCAATCATTGATTCAAAACCCCACCATGGTACGATTGCCACTAGCGGGTCCAAATGTGCCCATGTAAGCAACACCGGCCGCTCCAAGCAACGCGCCAAAAGTGGCACACAGAGCAGAATCGACAAAGCCCAACGAAAATATCAGCGGGCCCATCATACCAAGAGCCATGTTGTTCGCCGTGATATTAGTACTGAACCATAGCAGACTCATCTGCAGGTAATCAGACGCCTTGGCATCATGGCGCTCGTGGAGTGGGACACGCTCGATACCGCGACTTTCGAAGAATTCCAGCTCCGTAAGACGGCCATTGAGCCGGCTGAATATATTGCCTGACTCGGATGGTGCAGGGCTCAAGACAGATGGATCTTCAGGCGCAAGATCCGATGAGGACGATTGCACGTCTGGGGAAGATTGCACCCCCTTTTCCTCGTCTCCTAAGGTCCGGGCCATGGCTATGTGAGATTAGACGGTGTCGGGAGAGAAAAATGATCTCCTGGTCTGACGGGCGGGAAATCCTCCACTGGACCGAAGCAATCTTCTCGGGTTCGGCATTGCTTGGCTTGCTTGTCTCGCCCTTGCGGGTCTACCCACCCAATTGGATCAGTCGCGTCTGCAAGGCCACCAACTCAACCAGCCGGTTTTCTAACTACTGTAAACCAATAGGAGTCACAAAATGTACGGTTCGTTGTGTACATAAATAACCCTGCCTGGAAACACGTTGTCATTGGTGCGCGACATCCGCCTCAGGGGTCGAATGCGCACCAATTTGCCCTTCTGAGTTGGCAGGTAGCATTACTGAATTGCTGGTCTGAAGAATATAACCCATGCTGGATCTCTCAATGTCTTTCTTAAGGCTCAGCATAGACACTATCCGTTCTTGTGCCATTGATCGTGGAATACGGGACGGAGCGATCACATAACCGCAGGGATGTATATACCGCGCCGCGAGCAGATGCCAGCTCCTACAGTTTTGGATGCTGAACGCGGCCGAGTTGAGGGAAAGAAGTCTCTAATCGTGTCATCCGTGGAAAAGTAGGACCAGCGGTGTGGATTGTGGATTCATGTTCAATCATTTCATTTGAAAGGCTTAAGCGTTCTGAGGCTATATAGATATTTAGGACACCCTGTTCAGGGCGCTAGTCCCAGTAAGCGTGATATGATATTTATCGTCCAATGTACTTGAGCTCCAAGTATCGTGCCGGCATGTAGGTCAAAGCCGTTACCACAAACGTAAACTCATTCGCAACATCACCACCATAGTCACCAATCAACTTGGCCAGGGGTCCAATAAACCAAGTCTCGTCCATACCCACACACCACGCCACAACACCGAGTGCAAAGGCCACCGAGGCACCTAGACCCACGGGCAAACGAGCCGGGTCATTCCATCCTTCCAAGTCATAGTTGTCAAAATTGCCCTTGCGGAAAATATAGTGTTCCTCAAACAGAATCACGGCATAGCTGGTGCACCAGTAGCCCAGCAAGCTCAAGAAATCCTGGAGATAGGTGTTCAGCTTCTGCCGACCACCAATAGCCAGCGCAAGGATGCAGATGAAGCAGAAAATAGTCCAAATGAAGCGAGGAACGCGAGCAAAGGGTCGTGACAGTTGCTGGAAGGAAATCGCAGAGCTGTAGATACTGATCACGTTGACATTGATTCCAGACAAAACGAGCAGGGTGAGGAGGAATTTGGCGAATCCACGGGGGTAGAGCATCTCTTGAATAAGATAGCCGAGACCCTCCTCGTACGCGCCCGACCAGTCAGGTTTGCTGTTTAGAGCAGAAGCGACGACACAGCCGGCCACCATACCGATCGATGTGGGGATGGCAATGCCGAATGTGGTCATGAAGAATACCTTCACCCGATTCACGTCAGCAGGGTAGTGAACATAGTAGTCACTGGCCATTGTGCACCACGACGCGCTGGAACCGTAGACAATGGCCATCAAGCTGAGAACAGCGCCGGCGAAGGTGGCTCCAGTGGCAGTGGCCGGGGCCGAGTTGTCGGCATACTTGCCAGTCTGCCCGAAGATGATCATGAAAATCACGAAGAAGACGATCCAGGCCCATCGCTCGTAAAACAAGATAGCCTTCAATCCGACGAAAGAGATGACGAGCGCCACAACCGCCAGAATGACGATACCGAGAATCAGCGAGACATGGCCATCGGAGACCGCAGTCAATGCAAGACCACCCGTGATGCACGAGACAGCAGCCCAACCCATCTGCTGAATAGCATTGAGCAGGGCGACGAGCTTGTTGGGCCACCAACCAAAGCTGTATCGACTAACGCTGATCTGGCGCAAACCAGTCACAGCCCCGAAGGTCGCGCAGAATCCGCTAAGGGTCGCAGCCAGAATCGAGGCAAATATGGTGATCAGGATTGACTGCTTCAGGCTGAGACCGAATTCCCAGCCGAGGAAACCAGTCGCGAAGCAGGACGTGTTCATAGTACCGCTGGCCCACAGCAGCGCCATTGACAACTCCTCAACCCAGTGCACCTTTCTCTTGTCCTCTGCACGCTTGCGAACAATGGCTTCCGACTCGATTCCAAGTTTGTTGTCCATCCTAGCCTCCAGTGCGCGCATCTTGCCCATCAAACCGGGAGCATCGTTGTCGACCGGAATCGCATCCAGCGAATTCTGCTCCGCATATGGGTACTTGGCCTCGGCAGGGCCTTTCTCGGGATCGTACGCCATGCTGAGCTACGGGAGGGCGTCTAGCAAAGGGGGGAGAAAAAAAAAAAGGGCACGATCGCGACGTACAAAGGGCAACCGTGTGGGGATTTAAATCAAGCTGTGGAGAAAAGATAAGGTTTGCCTCAGTGTGGGCAATTTCATCACTGGACAGGATAAAATTACTGTAATCTCATGGAATTCGATTTTTCTTTACCTCGGGAACCAGCATCGGGGATCCATGATAGGCGGATTGGAAGGTTAGCGTATGTCAGGCCCTGCTGGGCCGATTATCTTCTTTCCTATTCAGGCGAAGGTTTTAACGCAAAATCCCACGCCACTGAAGTCGCCCATTGGATGGAACCGGGGTATCTGCGGAGTCCGCCTCCGAAAAAGTCAAAAGAGTGTAAAAGTCCACGTGAGCAAGGGGCTGGAGGCAAGAAATCTCTGGTGGTTAGAGTTTTGGCGTGGTTGTCAGATCTCAGGGCCATACTGTACTCCGTCCTTGCTCATGGTCGAGGTTTAAAGCCAAGGCTTGCCCAGAAGGCTTGCTTCGAAGAAGCTTCTTCGAATGCTCAGCCGGGGGAACATCAGTCTCATCAAGGAACAATCCAAGGCGAAGCCATTACGAACATGCATTATGGTTTACAGTCTAGATTTTCAACATACCTTCGACTACATTACAGGGTAACTATTCAAGAGTTAGGAAATGCAAAAATTGTGGACGTGAGACTTTTTCTAGTGCGCGCGGTGCCCGATCGGAGATTTCCGTTCCAAATGACAAACCGTAGCACGGCTGGCGTCGGACCAAGGTACCTACTTAGTGTTCCAAGTACATAAGCACGATAAGAATGTAGCACTGGGTACCCAGTAGACTGGGTGCCCATACCAAACGAGCGGGGGCGCCGGTAGCACATCCAAATCTAAGGGGGAAATAGCCGGGGTTGGCTTGTATATAGCCCTGCCAACCACAAAGAGCATTTGATCTCTTGGCCTGTGTCTGTTTTAGGTGATTGGCTCCCTTTCGAGGCTTACACGATGTACTACGGAGTACTGTAGGTGCATTGTCCTCGACTACTATGTACTGAGTTGCCACACAAGCAGTACCCAATTACCGAATTGAATGTATTCTTTTGTGGTGTCCAAGTATATGACATGAACCCTTGAAATCTATGTAGTTGATAGAATCTTAACACTTAGGATGAACCGATATACTAAAACCATAGGTGCTAAAAGAAATCAAGCTAAAAGATTTCTTGCTTCTTTGATTAGGCCTTTGGAGATATGGAGCCTTTAAATGATGCGAAAATCAAAGTTAGGTCTCGAAAGAGCAGTCAACAATGACTAGACTGATGGTAGCAATAGGTCTGCTTATCAGAGTAAAGAGTACTATCTAGTAACTAATCAACAGTCGATCAACAGCAAGTCAGCACGATTTTCCTGGCAGTTCATATTTGGGCCCATTCTGGCCCCCACTCTCCAATTATGGGGCACGTTTCCCCTCAGTATTTGAACAATGGTAGCCAACTCCGTGCAGACAGCCCCTTGTAAATTTAGTGTCGGTCACGCCCCTACCTACCGATAGCCATCATGGCCTCCACACAAAGCCCCCCGTTTCCTCCGGAGTTTGCTATCACAACTCCACGCCTACGCATCCATCCATTTGACCCGGATAACCTTTCTCACTGCGAGTTTCTGGTCCAACTATGGAACACAGATGACTTTATCAACTCATGTGGCCGAACCGGCATCGACACTTCCGAGAAAGCTGCCGCCTTTATCAGACGACGCGTCCTAGCAGACTACGCTCGCAACCACCATGGCCAGTTTCTAGTATCGCTTGTCGAAACCACTCCAGCTCCCAAGCTTATCGGCTGCGTGTCGCTTATGAAGGGAGCTCCGCCTGGCCCGCTCTATCTTGCCCCCGACATTGGATACACGATTCTACCAGAGGAGAGCGGGAAAGGGTATGCTACTGAGGCAGCCAAGGGGCTTCTTGAATACGCGAGTGGGGAGCTTGGCATTCATGGTGCCTTTGGATTCTGTGCTGCGACGGATATGCGGAGTCGCAGGGTCTTGGAAAAGCTTGGAATGGACTATCGGGGAGTAGCTGCTTTGTCGGTCTTTGGTGGAAAGGAGAGTGCTGTTTATACCTTACCTGGGATGGAGAAAGATCTGGCCGTGTATAATCTCACGGAGCAGCTGCATGACAAATGAAGTATAAGAAAAGGCTCATATATAGATCGAAGAAGAATGGTAGATAGGGCCTTTTATAAATCTCAGTTCAGACTTGACTAGCACAGATTTTCCTCTCAGAAAATGATATGACAGCAGCACAGTGGAAAAAGTATTGGTCTCAACCAGAGACATAAGGAAACAAAATATGGAATATATCTAGTGAGTGCCAAACAGTTGCAACAATCCAGCCCTGTAATCATCCACAAGGCGGTCAACCTCGACCAGCCCCAATCCCAGGCAGAATGGCCACCGCCCAACCCACACTTTATCGAATGGCGGGCACACTTTAAACCTCTCCTCGAATCAGCTGCTCATCGACCCCCACCTTCGCCCATCGAGGATCGACCGTGAATCTCTGCTTGTCGAGGCATAACCTAGCGCCTGCATTGCCCAGCGGTATCGCAGTCGGGGCTTCCAGCACCCCGGGGTTGAACCACCCAAACTTCGGCGCTGCCACCTACCCACCCTCCGAAAACGAGGAAGCAGCCTGAGCGGATCTCGTTGCGACACACCACATGGTCAACATGATGGAGGACTTCAACAGTGAGACAGACAGTGATTACACAAGCTACTGGAGAGACTGGGTAGGTTGACCCTTCGTGGATACTATGCGATACGCCTTCCGCAGCCCCGCTGCACGTGAATTTGCGTCGATGCCAATTGCTCCTCCTATATATGGCGTGATCTTGAATTCCTAGCATGCTGCTCGCGAAACCCGCCATGTTTGATTCTGAATCGAAATGTGCCACCATATTTCTGACCATTTTGAAATGCGCTAACCTGCCAATTCTATCATTCAGTTTGTGTCATCGCGAGGAAATGAATACTTCTGCGAAATCGACGAGGATTACCTGACAGACCGATTCAACCTCACGGGCTTGAACACCGAGGTCCCCTACTACCAATATGCTTTGGACCTGGTGACCGACGTTTTCGACCTTGATGCCGACGATGATTTGCGGGAGCAAATCGAGAAGTCTGCTCGTCACCTTTATGGCCTCGTCCATGCTCGATACATCGTCACTACTCGCGGTCTCGCCAAGATGGTCAGTCCTTTCGCTTATCTTCAGTCAGACAACCAATACCGTGGAATCTCAACTAACATCGCTCTAGCTTGACAAATACAAGAAATGCGACTTTGGCAAGTGTCCCCGTGTCCTCTGTGATGGACACCCCCTCTTGCCCTTGGGCCAACACGACCTCCCAAACATGAGCACTGTCAAGCTCTACTGCCCCAAATGTGAAGACATCTACAACCCTAAATCCTCACGCCACGCCTCCATTGACGGTGCTTACTTCGGCACCTCATTCCACTCCATCTTATTCCAAGTGTACCCCGCTCTTAACCCCGAGAAGAGCCTGCGCCGCTACGAGCCGCGCATCTACGGCTTCAAGGTCCACGCCGCCGCCGCTCTCGCCCGCTGGCAAGATTGCTGTCGCGAGGACATGCAAGACCGCCTCGCTGAATTCGGCATGAGCCAAAAGTTCGTCGAAGAAAGCGACAGCGAGGAGGAAAACTACGAGTATGGCGAGGAGAACGAGACCGTGAAGACGGAGAAGGTCGCCGGTGATGCGGCATCGGCTCGCATGGATCTGGGTAACTGATTTGAACCCCCAGCATACAGTTTTACTGGATCTCACACGAGCAAACATTTGGCGTAACGGGGAAACATTTTTTTTCTGTACTTTGATCTTCCGTGATATGCTTAACGATTAATGGCGTTTCCAAGGCCCACATGGCGTGCCTTATAGTTGTTCTTCCCGACAATGTATCTACATCATTCCCCTACTCTTGCCTGGAAATCTCCTCTGTGGAGGTATGACATGAAGGAAAATAAATGACATGGCAGTAGAGTTCTATACTTCTAAACGCTTCTCTATATTCGGGTGCAGCTTTTAAGACCTGCATCCGCCGCTGAATAGAATGCCTTGTTGTGTACATAGTATAAGCGTGCCTCGATCTCAGTTGCCTTCACCCAACAGCTGATATTAGGGCGATAATCCCATCTTTCGCAACTCCTCAAAGGCAAACTTGACTGCACGGGCAAGTTCCTCGCCCTTGCTCCATGCCTCATCATGTTCTCCAGTAATAGGGAGTATCTGCACACGACGATCATTCGACGTCAACTCTTCCTTCACAGCCTGCGCCTTCCTCCCTTCCCACGCACGAAGAGAGTCCCGCATCGTCTCAAGCTGTCCCAGATCCACGAGGCTATCATCCTTCGAATGCGCGAGCACAACTAACCGTCCAGTCTTCCATCCACCCTCCACGCCTCTCGACCCAACCATCTGAGCGGGCGACACCGCATCCCAGAGCAACTCGTCCGATCCAAATGCCCCCTCGACAAACTTGCGGTATTCAGAAATATCCCGGTGCGTTTCCACGATTTGTCGCAGGTCATAGATACCAGCGACGCCGACAATAGCCATCGGGTGCGCTACTAGTCGTGGCGGAAGCGGTTCAGGAGACGAGGAAACCGGCTCAGTGGGCACGTCACACTCATCAGCGCCTCCGTTGAACAATTGCTCCCGATGTCCCGCTACCGCACCCATAACCGCCTGGAAAGCCAGTGTCGCGCCGCAGCTGTGACCGACGAGGATGTACCGCTGGCCGAAGCCGTATGTATTTTGAAGAAAAGCCAGCGCTGCTTCCACGTCGCGGATATGATCGGGATGTTTGGCATTGCGGTATTCTTGGGCAGGTGTTGCCGTTTTATCTTGGGGGTGATTCGGATGTGGACTGAGCCGATACTCGATCGAGGCAAAGCCTGTTATTGTGAGGTTAGGTGAGGATTGGAGAATGGATTGAGTAGGTTCGATGGTTTCTGCTGTGATTGTTGGATCGCGCCAGGCGCCACCGTGGATGTAGCTGGAGTATCGGCCTTGCTGTTAGCTATTGTCTTGTTCTTGTTGGACGGGAGATTGCGATGCGTGGATTGGGCTGGGGGTCGTACATTACCCAGTAACCATCTTTGTGTTGCTCGAGGGGTGTGACGGTTATGGTCTGGAGTATGCTATGCTGACCGTAGGTCAATGTTCTTTTGGATGTCTGGGTCGCCATGGTGGAGTGTGTAGTTGTCGTGTGAGTTTCATGATGAAGCTGGACGCTGGTCACTTTATAGCTATCGTCGGGTCGGGTCCTATCGATAAGGCGGCTCGGAGGTGGGACGGTCTCCGCGATTTGATACCAGGGGAATGAAAGGCACCAGGAGACAGAAAGTTTTTAACATGATTACTCTCTGTTAGAGAATTGAAATTACGTGTCTAGCTCATATAGAGTGGTCATTTTTAGTAGATAGACTAGCGATGTACAGTTGGACATAGTCAACAAGTGCTAACATGTAATACGGGCGTATATGCCCCTCGCCGCCACTATCAATGATGTACCGTATTACCACACCATCCATACGACACTAAACCCGAAAGGAAATTGTTCGACGGGTTCCTTTCACACAAACCGTGCATCCGCCCCATCTCCAAGTCTAACCTCACCCCCTCCACACGGTGCAACCACCTTTCAATATGGCCGAGTATGTCATTCCTGAGATCGTTTTCCTATGCCATTACTAACACGGTCGCAGAGCACAAGCCCCCCTCGCGGCCGTCAAGGTCGAGGCCTTGGTACAGTCTCCCCGAATCTTGAAAATCTTCCCTACCCTCGTCAGCGAGAAATACTCATATCCGACGCTCTAGGTGGTGATGAAAATCATCAAGCACTGCTCTCAGACTTTCCCGACCGCTGCGACCGGTTCCCTCGTCGGTATGGACGTCGAGGGCACCCTTGAGGTCACCAACTCTTTCCCGTTCCCCGTTGTCGAGATGCCCACCGAGTCACACTTCGATAACGCCGCTCCCAACCCGGCCGCCGCTGCACCCCGGGCCAAGTCCAACGTCGCTTACCAGGCTGAGATGCTTCGCATGATTCGTGAGGTTAACATTGATGCCAACAACGCTGGCTGGTACACCAGCGCCAACATGGGCAACTTTGTCAACATGAACGTGATCGAGAACCAGTTTTTCTACCAGAAGGAATTGAACGAGCGGACGGTCGCGCTGGTGCACGATGTTTCCCGCAGCGCTCAGGGCAGCCTGAGCCTGCGTGCTTTCCGTCTGTCGGCCAAGTTCATGGAGGCGTTCAAGGATAACAAGTTCAACTCGGAGGAGTACGTGAAACCCAACAGCACACGGATGTAAGCGATGGCCGGTATAACTGACTATCTCTCTACAGGTTGCAAAAGTCCAACCTCCGCCACCAAGATATCTTCGAGGAGCTGCCTGTCGAGATCCACAACTCCCACCTGATCACTTCGTTCATCCACCAGCTGCAGTGCCCCGCCGCCGCGCCCACCGACCTCCCGGTCTCGCTCAGCGCTCTCGAGACCAGCTCCTTCTCCAAGTCCACCACTCTCACCCCCAACTTTGACAACCTGTCTCTCAGCATCGACCCCTTCCTCGAGAAGAACTGCGACCTCCTGCTGGATAGCATCGAGGCCCACAACACCGAGGTCAACAACTACCAGTACTATCAGCGCGTGCTCGGCCGCGAGCAGCAGAAGATCAACAACTGGAAGCAGAAGCGCGCCCAAGAGAACGCCACCCGCGCCACGCTCAAGCAGCCCCTCCTCCCCGAGGACGAGTGGCAGCGTCTGTTCAAGCTCCCCACCGAGCCCAGCCGGCTGGAGAGCATGCTCAACACCCGCCAGGTGGAGCAATTCTCGCGCCAGGTCGACAGCTTCGTCTCGGCGACGACTGGCAAGATGTTTGCTGCTAAGGGTAACCTGCTGCCCGGAGAGACCGCTAAATAAATATCAATTTCTTGATTGGGGCGAGTGAGAGTGGAGAGGAGACGAACCCTGATAACTCAGGGCCTTTTGGGTATTGCATGAAACCTTATTACGGCGTAGGGAGGGAAAATGTTCTCTGGGATGTTAATACGACTTCCTCTTTTGTTTTCTTTGTATCCGTGACGAGGGTCGAGTCCGTTTTTGTGATCGATATATGGACTCGCCATCCGCTCATAGAACACAATGATCTTTTCTAGACACGACTTTGAAAATGTTTTCTTCTTTACTGGGAGCTCTTTAGGATTTGTCCAGTTGCTTTTTAATCTTCTTTACTGTAGCACGACTAGTTGATACTTGCATCTAAGCTGGCCTGGACCTCTCCATCATCTAGCCCTAATCAATACAGGGCATGGGATATCACGTGCATTGGATATGACCTCATACACCCATCATGGCATGGCGATTATCAGTTACTGATAAGATCGCAATCAGGGCAGGTGCATAGACAAAGAGCTTTACAGATTTCATTTGTGATTATTGCATATTATTGCATATATACGGTGTTGCCTCGGTTGTACTCATGTATAACACTCATTCAGATATTTGGGTGGTAAGTCTCCGAGGACTATATATCTCCAATTCCGTTGAGCGATAAGCAGATCTCCAGCTTTAGATGGACGGAACCTAACTAGGGGTCTCCACCAAAGAAGCAACTTCATACAATGAGCGATACGCTTACAAGAGACCTACCAGGCAGGCGCATTTGCAGCAGTTGTTGTCGATTTCATCGTCTATCCAGTTGATACCTTAAAGACGCGCACCCAATCTCCAAACTATGAGAAAGTATTCAAAGACGCTCGCACAGGCGCTGTAAGACGAGATGTTCTCTTTCGCGGATTATACCAAGGTGTTTGGAGTGTCGTCTTCTCGACGATACCATCATGTCAGTATCCAACGGGAAAAGAGAAATCCAGTAGGGTTCTCCAATCTAACATCTCTAACGCCGTTCACAGCAGGAGCATTCTTCACCACATACGAAGCTATAAAATGCGCCTTGCACGATTCATCTAATAAAACGAAAACCACCGGTAGCAAATCAGACTACTACACGCAATCTTCAAAGACAGGCTTCCATCTACCATTCACACATTCACTTCCAAGCCCGGTCATCAATGCGATTGCATCTTCAACGGCCGAGGCCGTGTCCTGTTTCATGCTCACGCCGGCAGAAGTCCTCAAACAAAATGCGCAAATGGTCAGCACCAGTCAAAGTCAATCGAGTACTAAGCCGCAGGGTACCAGTGTGAGTGCCGTGCGCCAGGTACTCGGACGATTCAAGGGCCATCCGTGGAGACTTTGGAATGGATACTTTGCATTGCTGGGACGAAATCTACCCTTCACGGGCCTTCAGTTTCCGATGTTTGAATATATCCGGTCACACGTTATTGACCGGTACAGACGACGCAAAGTAGCAAAGGCTTCTACCGGCGGTACTAAGGAAGCATCAAGTCAAAAGGAGCAGCTCATTGAGCGAGCTGGGTTGACTGGACTCTCTGCGTCGGTATCTGGGTCTATCGCCGCGGTTATCACAACACCAATAGACGTGATCAAGACACGCGTTATGCTCTCTGCAAGTGATAACACTGCTGCGGACTCGGAAGTCGTGGGAAAGCAGGCTGGCAAGGGCTCGAAGAAAAGCATTTGGACTGTTGGAAAGCAAATACTCCATGAAGAAGGGATTCGTGGTCTTTTTAGGGGAGGGATCATTCGTGGTGTTTGGACGGCTATGTCGTTGAGTCTGTATCTTGGGTTGTATGAGGGTGGTCGGTTTTATCTTGAGAATCGGCGTCGCAGATTGGAGGAGATATCTTAGCATGCTGCAGAAAAGACGGGGGAATCAATAGCGGGATGCATGAGGAGCTGTCCAGTCCCGGTTTTCTCATGATTGTTAATATGTGCATTATAGAGCTAAGGCGTATTGAGCAAGAGAGAATCGGTACCTAATGCCAAAACTTTACCGCACCTGGCACGGCTATCCTTGTCCTGAATGATCAGCTGCCCCTGTTCAACAGTATGGATACCTCAGTTACGTTCATGACATCGCACTACAACCTGGTGCGAGGACATCGCGAATACTGGATCGACTTCAAACATGAGTTTCATCAATTGTAATATTGGTTCAACATAAATCATATTCATATGGTGCAGGGGGGGGTCATCTAGTCATATCTGTCGTCAGAGTAGAGTTGTGCTGAGGCAATACATGCGCAAAGCCCCGGGGACAAAGTAAAAACGTAAACATAAACAAAAACGCAAAAAAAAGGTACAACGCTCCATAATAGAGACAAAACCCAGGGAAAAAGCCCAGGTCGAGGTTGAAATAGTCCAGCAATCCAAAATGTAAAATCAAATAACGAACCAAATAACTACCAGGTACCGTATCCCAGTAGCCTAGAAACCCGCAAGTTTCTTAAACCAACTCGACTTCTTCGCGCCTGAGCTTGCAGCTGCTCCACCATGCCGGCTCCCATGCTGAGAGCGCATACCCCGATCACGCTCATAATCTCCACTCCCGGAACTACTCTTCACCCCCTCACGGCGCGACTCGCGTTGCCGAGACCGCGCATCATCAACTACCTCCTCGTCAGGCATATCGCCATACTTTGCTCTCCGACGAGCTCTGCGGCGCGCAGCACGGCGCGCTTCCTCGTCCGAGGAGAGCGAGTGAGCGTTCTCGGCGGCACCGGCCGCGTCAGGGGGCAGATCGATGACGGTGGGAACGATGGGCGGCGGCTCAGGGGGTTCTTCAGCTTGTGAGTAGACCCACGTGGAGATCTTGTCTTTCTTGGGCCCACCTGTGTTCCCATGATTGAGGCCCCCCGTCATCAACGGTGCCCGCGTCTGCTCCGGCTGAGGCATAGCCTTCGATCGGCGGCGCCGAGCCTTGTCCTCTGCGTAGGAACGAGATCCACGACGGCCGTCTGGCTGGTCCTCCGGTGCGTAACCGTCGACTGGGGGCTCGTCGACGCGGGAACGGCGACGTTTGGCTTTGGCGGCCATTTCTTCTTCGCGTTGGCGACGGCGCTCGCGGCGCTCGGCGGCTTTCGCTTCTTCGGCTGCGGCGGCTTCGCGTGCGGCTTGTTCCTCGCGGGCTCGACGTTCTTCGCGTGCGACGCGGCGAATCCGGCGCTCTTCTTCGCGGCGTTGGTCTTCTTCTTCGCGGGCTCGTTGCTCGCGTGCTTCGCGCTCCCGCAACTTCTCTTTACGCCTGGCTCTTCGCTCTTCGGCTTCACGGGCTTCGGCTTCTCGTGTGTCAGAGGGGGCTTGGCGAGATGTGCGCTTTGCACGACGAGCTGCTCTTCGAGCCTCTGCGTCTTCGGGCTCGGTTTCGCCGCCGGCAGCAGCGCCAGCGGCGTCCGTGGTAAATCCTTCAGCATCAGTATCAGGCTTCACGGAACGACGGCGTCGATCGTCACGGCGTCGGCGATCGTCACGCTCTGTCTCTGTGAAGGCCCTGGCATCTTCATCCCGGTAAGAGCGAGACTTGCGACGGTCTGGCATCTCGGGACGCGTAGGCTTCCGCAGTGAACCAAAGATACCCATGAACCCACCGGTGTCTTGCTTCTTGGGTGTTGCATTAGGGCGCTTCAGGCGTCGCTCTCGAGGTGGCGCATCGACGTAGGCCATGTCATCGGCCCCTGAAAGAACGTCTGGAGCGCCGCGAGCTTGCTCGGCATCGACGATGACAGCATCTTCTTCATCAGGTTTTGCGCGGGACTAAATGGAAGAGAAAGAAAATGCGTTAGTTCGAGCTGCGATGCCCCGATACGTTGGAACTGCATGCAACGTACCTCTCTCTTTGACTTGCGCTTTGACCCTCTCGAGCCCTCCTTAGGTGACTGGCCATCAGCGTCTTCCATATCGACCAGGACCATATCATCATCCTCAATAGCGTAAGGGTCGCGGGGAACTACATCAATATACAGTTAGTAAATAATTCGGCGTGGAAATATTAATTGCCTGGCGTGTCGTTGCTTACCCGACTTGCGGCGCTCAGCACGTGGACGGTCGCGTTTGGATTTGGACGCGTTGATGCCCATCAGCTTGGCTGCCTTATCGTTTACCTCCGGCTTGTCATCTGGAGGCGGCGACGGCATGGCCGCTTCATCTTCTTGGTCAATGGAAGGACGTCTGGATACCGGCTTGGAAGAAGGTCGTTTGGATGATGTTTCTGGTTTCCGGGATGACTTGCTTCGTGGCGGGGGCTGACCAAATACGAAGTTGGACAGGGTTGTTGCGCGCTGCTGTTTTGAGGACCGAGCTTCACGCTCGCGCTCCCGCTCGCGCTCCCGGCGCCTTTCCCGATCAGACGAGGATTTTTCAACCTCAGCGTCTGATTCCTTTGGACGGGATTTTGTGGATTTGGAACGGATTGCTGCTACAGGGGAGCGGTCGCGGTCGCGTTCACGTTCACGTTCACGTTCACGTTCACGTTCACGATCGCGAGTTGATTCCTTTCGCTCCTCTTTTTCCCGTTTCTTAAGAGACTCGGCTTCTTCAGCGGGCTTGATTTCCTTACTTTCCTCAATTTCTTTGCTCTCCTTGCTGCTCTCCTTGGGCTCCTTCTTGCTGGACTTTTTGGGTGGCGGTGCTGAGCCCCAGAAACCCCAACCACCACTGCTAGTGGTACGATCCACACGAGCGCGTTCCTTCTTAGATGACTTAGGAGGTTCATCTACATCTGGGGGTGGTGTTAGGGGCGCGCCATCATCTTCTGGCTCGGCTGTACGTTCAGCATGCTTAGGCTCGGGCGCAGGGGGCTCCTCTGCCGGGGGAGGCGTAGGTTCCTTGGCGATGGCCACGGCAGCAGCAGATTTCTTGTACTTTTTCAGTTCCTTCTTTGACATCTTCGAGAGGTCGGGAGCTGGCGGTTCGGGTTCGGGTTTGGGAGCAGGCTCGGGCTCGGCGGGAATCCCAATTTCAGGTTCGTCAGGGAAACTTCCGGGTACGGAGTCTCTGGAGACTTGTTTGTCCACCTCAGGCTCAGGTTGGGGTTCCTCCGCAGGTTCGGGTGATTTTTCAGATGGAAGCTCAAAGTCCTTTCCGGGAATGGGAAGTCCCTTCTGGACCAACTTCTTCTCCCTTTTCTTCCTCTCTTTGGATGACAGATCATTCCATCCCTCGTATAGAGGATCATCGTGAACTGGAGCGGGTTCTGGCTGGGGTACGATTTCCACTTCAGGTTCGGGCTGAGGTTCAATGACAGGCTCGGGCTCAGGCTCGGGCTCGGGTTCCTTGGTCTTTGTCTTGGAGCTCGACTTTGCCTCTTTGAGTTTGTCCTTCTTGTTCTGCTCGAGTGCCTTGATACGCTCTGCAACAGACAGCTTGGCCGTGGACTTGAGTTTCGATGACTTTTCGGGAGGAGGCTCCTCTTTAACGGGTTCTGGCACGATTTCAGGTTCGGGTGAGGGTTCGGGCTCGGGTTCCTTGGGAGGGTCGTCGCCAACGTCGATAAGAAGATCTTCTTGCTCAACGGGTTCCTCCTTTGGCTTGGACTTCTCCTTTGTTGACTTGGTCTTCGTGGCAGAGGCTCCAGTCAACGATGCCCAGAACCCCTTAGCAGCAGGCTTCTCTTCCTTGACTGGTTCGATGGCCTTGGTCTTCTTGATGGTCTTGGACTTTGAACCAGCTTCAGCCCAGATGTCATCATCATTGTCGAGGGCTTCGGGCTCGGGAGTAAGGCCTTGGGCTGGAGGAGTCGGTGCTGGCGGAGGCGGTTCTTCAATACCCTTCTTCTTTTTCTTCTTGTCCTTAGTCGGACCCCAGACACCCCAGGCGTCATCCTCTGCTAGTTTCGGAGGCTCGGGCTCGGGCTCGGGCTCAGGCTGGGGTTCTGGCTCGACAACAGGAGGCTCCGGTTCGGGTTCGGGCTCCGGTGGCTTATCGGAAGGAAGCTCAAAGTCCTTTCCAGGGATAGGAAGTCCCTTCTGGACCAGTTTCTTCTCGCGCTTTTTCCGGTCTTTAGAAGAAAGGGTATGCCAACCTTCATATAGAGGATCATCATGCACGGGAGCAGGTTCGGGTTCGGGCTCTGGTTCAGGTTGCTCAGGCTCCGGCTCGGGTTCGGGCTCGGGTTCGGGCTGAGGCTCGGGTTCGAGTTTGTCCTTTTTCTTCTTCTTGTCTTTGGGGGTTATACCCCAGGCACTCCAGGCATCTTGGGGCTCCTTGGCCTTGGGAGGTTCCGGGGCCGGTTCCTCGATGATGGGCTCTGGTTCTTTCTTGGATTTCTTGTCTTTCTTACCGCCAGTGCCCCAAGCACCCCAGTCATCCTCTGCTGGAGGATCGGGAGCGGGTGCAGGAATAGGCTCGGAGTCGGCTAGTAGATCGATCTTTTTCTTCTTCTTGTCCTTTTTCGAAGGAACAGCCCATCCCCAGTCATTATCAGCTTCTTGGTTCGGTTCCGGAGCAGGTGGATCTGGGGCAGCCGGAGCAGCTTGGGCTTCTGCTTCTTGTCTGGCTTTTACAGCCTCGTCGTAGGCGGCCTGCTTGGCTGCATTCGCTTCCCGAACCTTGGCAAGCTCGTCTTCTGCGTCTTTTACCTTTTTCTCCCAGTCCTTCTTGGCTTTTCGCTGTTCCTTCTTGGAAAGACCAATGTACCAGGGATCTGTAAGGATGGACCCAGGGACTTCCGGTTCGGGCTCGAGATCCAATTCAGGTAAAGGCTCCAAGACAACAGGCTCGGGATTGGCCTGAGCGGTTGCTCCAGGCTTGGGCTCGGGGGCGGGCTCCGGATCAAGCAAGCTTATCTTTTTCTTCTTATCCTTGGTCGCGACACCCCAACTACCCCAGTCTTCCTCTGCTTTGGGCTCCTCGGCTGGAGGGGATCCCAAATCGCCAAAGTCGAACCCGCCAGCGGTCGCCTTGGTCGATTTCTTCTTAGTAGAAGTGCTTCCCCAGGGGTTGGTGTCTTTGGGTTCTTCTTTCGGGACTGACTCTCCAATAGCCCCAAGACCCCATTTGCTCGCAGCAGGGGCACCGGCACCTCCAGTACTCCAATCTTTGCCCCATCCACCAAAGCTGAAGCCAGTCCCTCCGGTTTTAGGACCCGGGTCGAAGTCGAGGTCCAGCTGGGGGGCCCCGCTATCTAGGCTGATATCCTGGAAAGCCCCCGGGGGCGGCTCATCCTGCAAAGCAGAATCAGCATAAGAAAACACCGTAGAATTGCTGAATGTATATCTACTTACCTTTCCTTTCTTCTTCTTTCCTGCCGTGGTAAACCCAGCCCAGTCATCACCGCCGCCATCCTCAACATCATCAGCCCAGCTGAGATTGTTCTTGGCAGCAGCCGCCTCGGCAGCTTTCCGTTCTTCCTCCTCTGCCTCCTCCTGTTTCTTTTTCTTGCTTCCAGGAACAGTCCCCCAGGTATTCCAGTCATCTCCGCCATCATCTCCTCCTCCTCCTCCACCACCGCTACCATCATCCCCGCCTCCACCTGCCCCGCCTGCATCACCACCGCTACCTCCATCACCATTCGTCTGGTCATCTCCAGCATCGTTCGAACCACCCCCGCTATCAGGCGGAGGCGGCGGGGCAGCGGGTTTCTTGGCCGCACCACCAGTAGCACCTTTTTTCTTCTTGTGCTCTCGAACACCAACTGGATTCTCGAAATCAATATAGACATCCAGTATCGTATCTTTATACAGCGAACGGGAATGGTTGCGCGATTTCGTAGTCGGCGCGGGAGGCGCAGCGGGTGACGCTGCCGTCCTGCGCTCCGCAAGCGCAGGGAGCGCACTATATTCCGGAGGAAGATTGCTCACGGCATCATCGTAGGAGGGCGGAGGTTGAGTGTACCACGGGAGTGCGGGAGACCGTAAACCCAATTCGTCGGCACGCTTATCCTTGCACGTATCATCCAGACATCGTAGCGAACTCCCCGTAGGACCCTGGACGAGAATCGCCCAGACATCGTCGACCAGTTTTTCTACCGCTTCTTCCCAGCGCAGACTGTGGTGGGCGGTTTCCGCAGTGGTGAGCTTGTCCACGCAGGCATGACAGGCAACGGGCGCAAGAACTTCCATGATGAAAGCGCATGCGCTGGTGTCGCGGCTGGCCTGATCAGAGACCCGTCCACTCGATTATGGGCAGAGAACACATGGGGTGGTGGGTTTGGAATCGAATTCCCCCCGCAGGAGAACGTCGAGTCGAGGTATTGCGTCGAGTACAGGCCCGGGTTCGAGGGCAAGGAGATTATATTATAACAAAAGCGCGAATCGCGTTCGTATTGAATATTTTCTTTGCGAGGTATGAAGGCGTTGGAAAAAAACAAATTAGCCACCCAGCACGACCGGCGCGAATTCGAGGGATTCGAGGTGGGGATCCGAGCGCGCAAAGCGCGGGCGATAGGAGCGGTGACTAGTTTTTGAGTCGAGGGGTGGGTTGGGATCACGGACTCTGTGAGACTGAGATGTTCAAATTCCGTGAAACCTGGATCGTTAGGAAGGGAGAAGAAAAGGATTTCTAAAAGGAAAAAAAGGGATTAGCCAGTGGAATGGCAGGGATGGGGGGGGAAAGGCATGGGGCGGTGGAGGGTGATCAGTGAACAGTGAACAGTGATCATCGGTGATCCATGCCCGCACTTCGGAGTACTTGGGACATACTTTGCGTTCCCCGGTTCCTCCCTTGGCTTTGGATTACTTTGTTCGATGAACGCAACAGCAAATGTACACTGTACAGTCGTAGGACCAGTTTCAGCAATCGGAGTCACTCGCGAACTCCTGTTCGAGGCAACCCGAGACAATACGGGCTAAGAAGAGAGAGAAAAAAAAGCTACCGAATCGGAGAAAAGAAGAAGGCTGGGACGAACGATGGCGGGTAATCGGTATACCTCGCACTTCCATAGTCCTCCCCTCGCAAGGAGAAAGAAAAGGAGAAAAGGGAAAACTTTTGTTTTGGGAGGTGTTTATGTTTTCTTATTTCCTGGTGATATTACTTGCTTATTTGTTCCTTCTTCCAACCACCTATCGATCCCCTGCAACCCCCAAACCACCGCACCGCCCACCAACCAGTCAGACAGCTCTGTTCTAACTAAGTCACTCAGCACCAGCCTATCGACCATCAGTGATGTACCCAAAGACACAGTACCCAAAGTACATAACCCCCCGCCGTACTTGGAGCCTATCGATACCCAGAGTCCCCCTCCACCAGCGCACGTCCAAAGCAGGGGGATCTTGATCCGCCCTTGAGACTGGATGCTGGACGCCTGCATCCTGCATTCTGCAACTCTTTTTTCCCTCCCTTTACCCTGGACAGATGCAATGTACGCTACTCGATGCTAATCTACAAATCTACAAACATGCAAAGCACAGTTTGATTGTGTACAAATTGCCCCTTTCACCGCATCAAACTAGGGTAACGGAGGCCCCCCTCAACCACGGTACACGTCGTGGCTTAATAAGAACGGAAAACAATCATACCATGACCATGGATGCCCGACTGACTAGTCTACGGGTAGGCCCGTCTGCATGGAATCCAACTGCAGCCAGAAAGTGGAGTGGGTTGTACCGTGTATACGGAGTAGTATGTAGCACATAGAAAATGCACGTATACTCCCGTCGAGTCTGGCGGCCCAACATACCTACATACAAGTATCGCCACTCGAATACTACAAACCACAGAATAGAACAATACTTCTATCCATCTGCATATAGCACTGACACGCGGAAAGGCGGAGAAAAATTGGAAGAGGCTCCTCGCTCATTCTTTCAGAGGCTGCAGTACTGTAGTTCATACTTCCCCCAGCCGCAATCACAATCTCTTCTTCGCAAACCATCAACACCCTGGCATACTGGCAAGACAGGAAGACAAATCCAAACATTTCATTCCCACCACACCCCTCCTTCTGCAGGGAAAAAAAAAGAGAGCCTAGTTTGGCGCCCTGCACGCGAATAAAAAAGCTTGGGTGGTTGTTTCCTCACCGCCACTTTGGACCGGAGGAAATCGTTTACCCAGTGCGGGGAGGGGATCCGCGGCGGAGGGATAGTGGCTTCTTGACTCATACTCGTGCCCATCGAGAGGAGGGTACTGGAGACAAAAGACATGGAAGAGTCGAAAAGTTCCGGCCTAATTGTGGAGGAGATTGTATTGGGAATGATGTTGTCTAACTACTTGGAGAAATGGCTTGAGATAACTTACGATGCCAGTCTACGATAACTAACGACAAACCATCCGGAGTATGAAACTGGTGGCATTGGGTAAACAAGACAATACAATGGCGCATGGACAACGAAAGTACAATACAGCGACAAAGGAAAAGGGAATCGAGCGAGATTGGGGAGATTCAAAACAACACAAAGACATTGGCCATACCAATCCAGATCCAAACCCTTTGCCCGACCCAACCCCTTCTAAACACCATCCTTGACCACGATCACAGAATACACGGGAGGAACTCCCTCGGGTTACGTACATTACCCATTTAGGTAGACGAAGCGCTGGGCCTCGGCGGAGGGACGTCCTCGCCATACGCTTCGCGATATTCCTCGCGATAGCGTTCAATATCGCGCGCTGACTTTTTAAAGTAGGGCTGGCATTGGTGGTCAGCATCAATCCACGCCATGATCATTTCACCGGAGAGAAGGGGAGATGAAAGGCTTACCTGCTTCTCCGAGTCGGTCAAGTCTTTCCATTCAGCAGCAATTCGCAGGGCCGCATCCTTCACCTGGAGGTTCTTGAAGTCGCCGCTATCGTGGCGCTCCTTAACAAACCACAAATACGCAGTAATAGGGCTCTTGACCAAGCGCTCATCATGGAGGTTGATGTACTTGCTGTGACCCAGTCGGCGGAGGTGTTTGCGAGCAGTGTTTGCCTGCTTGACCTGAAGAGGCGTGTAGAGCTTGATCCATTCTTCATAGGAGGCCTCGTTGGCAGTCCGGTTTTCCTCGGCCTGGTTGACGAATCGCTGTTGCAATATATTAGCATAACATGTTCCCGATATAACACAAAATGGTCATTTAGTCATAACGTACGTCGGCCTCATTCAATCGCTGGGAGTGAACTTGATTAATCGCCTCCTTAAAGATTTCGACTTGAGAGAGAGAAGGCGACTGCTCCTTCAATTCCTTGAGCTTATGCTGGATGGCAATAGCGCGAGCTGCTTGAGGCAGCTTCTTGGGTGGTTGCAGAGCAGTTTCCTTGAGTTGTTTGACCAGCTCGCGGCTTTCCTTCTTCTCTTTGGCCTCCTTTTGCTTCTCCGTCAATTCGCGCTTTTTCTTCTCCGCCTTGGGCTTCTTGGTCGTCGACTTCTTGGTGGACTTCTTGGAGGTAGTAGACTCCGTGGCATCCGTCGCAAAAGAACAAGACTGTTGCGATTTAAGAACAGAGAAAGATCCGGCCAGCGGAGTCGAGAATCGAGGGTTCGAGGCGAGAGAAAGACCGCGAAGCTGATTCTGCACTCCGATCACGCGAGTCTGGTGCGACAAGCTATCGCCGAGGCGCAGGTGCCGCAGCACATTCGCGCGAGCGACCCGTTGAAGAGACATTGTCGGCGATTATAAGTTTAGCGGTAGGAGGAGTGACCACAAAGTAGTCGATCTGCTGTCGGTTGAAATTGACCGAGGGATAGGCGCAGTTGTAGGTGTGTGGAAGGGGCTCCTGACGCAAGCGGGCAGGGGAGGCTGGAACTGCTTACCAGGGCGGGTCAACCAGCCAAACAGCCAAAACAGCGGGCGCAACAAGCGCGTCTGAGCTTCGTTTGGGCCCCACCGCTTTTGGGACTAGTCCCATATCATGTGACATAAAGGACCCGCCGCCACGTGACAGCGATCACGCCCCAGTCGCAAAAAGCCCAGGGCAGGAGCCTCACATCCAAGTTTCAGTGCATTATCTCTCGACGGCCCCCGACGACGCCACTGACAACTTTCAACACGAGATTTCATGGAAGCGCGGTGATCCTAACAGGCTCTTTTGTGCTCTAACGTCCCGGTGCTCTTGAGTTTCAGTAATACTCACTCATCGTTGGCCTGTGACAATGGCTCGCCACGGGGATACTCGCTCACCATCTCCTGCAGGCAGCACATACTCCTCGTCTCGCCGGAATCGCAGAGAGGATGATCGCTTCGATAGAAACAGACGGGATGAAGGACGGGGATATCGCAGATCCCGCAGCCCGGAGGTGGGTAAACCTCGAATTCACTCTCTCGTATCCTCATCTCTAACTCGTCCGGCGACAATGCAGCGGCGTTATCGTGGTCGCGACCACGGCCGTGACAGAGATGGCCATCGCCGCCGAGACCGATCGATAGACCGACGCGAAGAAGACAGTTACCGCCCCAGCCGACGAGATCGGTCGCGAGACCGAGACGACGATCGCGATTATCGCCGCCGGAGTCGCGACAGAGACTACCGACCTAGGAGAGATAATTCACGCGACCGGGATCGCAGGCGCACAGATGATTCTGCTGATGTGAAGCACAAGTCTAGACGGGCTGACAGCCGTGACCGTGGCGCGACTCGACGGTCCAGATCTCGCACGCAAGAGGTACGTTATCGTGAAGGTCCTATCACCACCAGAGCGTATGATGCTTATTACGTTCGGCAGCCATCCAAACCCGCTGCCCCAGCCCCCGCCCCCGCCGCTCAAACGGACGAGCAGAAAAAAGCAGAGAGATTAGCAAAACTCGAACTATGGAAGGCTAAGCAAGCCGCCGAGCGGGAACGGAAGCAACAAGAACAAGCTGCTGCCGGTGGCGGACGCGGAATTCTGGATGAAATTGATCGCAGATCTGGCTTGTCTCCTGCTGTGGGTTCGCCTCAAACTCCTGCTACACCAACCGACACTGCGTCCCCGGCTCCATACGCTGGAAAATTCGACCCCAAGGCCATTGCTAAGAGCGCGGCCTCGAATGGAACGACCACCGCACCCGCGGTACTTGGAATTGATGTCGCGGTTCCGCAGACCAAGGCTGCTGTGCGACCACCTACAGCGCCTTCTGCAACCGCACCCGCTCCCTTGAAGGCCAAAGGCAATGTGAGTGGATTTGGACTTGGTGCCAAACATGCTTTTGAGTCCGATAAACCCTCGGCTACTCGAACTCTAGGCTTTGGCGAAGAAGAGTCAACTCGCAAGAAATTGGAGCGGCTCCCAACCCCTCCCCTCGATGACGGCAAGGACACTTTTGTCGGTGCAGATGACGCCGGTGATGACGACGACGTTGATATGCAAGACGGTGATAACGAGGAAGAAGCTGCCGCTGCCGTGCGAGCTGCCGCTGAACGGCGTGAGGAGCGACTTCAGAATCAGCAGTCCGAGATGAACGCCGATATCCACATGGAAGATGCTTCCAACCAGCAGGCCGAGTCTGCCGAGATGGAAGTTGATGAGGCCGAGGAGGTTGATCCTTTAGATGCATTCATGTCGGACCTTGCAGATACCGCTCCACCGAAAAAGAAGATTGGCGTCACATTCGCAAAGAAGAAAGCCACGCAGCAACCCCAGGCGATGTTTGGCGACGAGGACGATGTGGACATCACGGCTGTTGGTGCTGAAGATGCAGACGACGTTCTCGCCATGGCAAGCAAGAAAAAGAAGAAGGAAATTCCGACAGTCGATCACGCCAAGGTCGAGTACGAGCCGTTCCGTAGGGACTTCTATAATGAGCCAAATCATCTTGCCGATATGACTGAAGAGGAAGTGGCAAATTTGCGCCACGAGCTGGATGGCATTAAAGTACGTGGACAGGACATTCCCAAGCCCGTTCAGAAATGGGCCCAATGTGGATTGGGCGTACAAACCTTGGATGTGGTCGAGCGTCTGGGCTTCGAGGGGCTCACATCTGTCCAAGCCCAAGCCATTCCCTCTATCATGTCTGGCCGTGATGTGATTGGTGTTGCAAAGACTGGTTCAGGAAAAACAATGGCCTTCCTTGTCCCTATGTTCCGACACATCAAGGATCAGCGACCGCTGGGTAACATGGAGGGCCCTATTAGTCTGATCATGACGCCGACTCGTGAATTGGCCACGCAAATCCACAAAGATTGTAAGCCGTTCCTGAAAGCACTCGGCCTTCGCGCGGTCTGCGCTTATGGCGGTGCTCCTATTAAAGATCAAATCGCAGAGCTGAAGCGTGGTGCGGAGGTCGTCGTTTGCACCCCCGGTCGAATGATTGATCTACTCGCTGCGAACGCTGGCCGAGTTACGAACCTTCATCGGGTGACGTATGTCGTTCTCGACGAGGCAGATCGTATGTTCGACATGGGCTTTGAGCCGCAGGTCATGAAAATTCTAGCCAACGTTCGACCGGATCGTCAGACGGTGCTTTTCTCGGCTACATTTCCTCGCAACATGGAGGCACTCGCCAGAAAGACCCTCAAGAAGCCTATTGAGATTGTGGTTGGCGGTAGGAGTGTCGTGGCCCCTGAAATTACCCAAGTGGTTGAGGTGCGCAACGAAGATCAGAAATTCGTTCGCCTCTTGGAATTGCTGGGCAATCTGTACTCTGAAGACGAAAATGAGGATGCGCGGGCGCTGATCTTTGTCGATCGTCAGGAGTCTGCCGATAACCTGCTGAAGGAGTTAATGCGAAAGGGCTACCCTTGCATGTCTATCCACGGCGGAAAAGATCAAGTCGATCGTGATTCTACCATTGAAGACTTCAAGGCTGGTATTTTCCCTCTTCTTGTCGCTACCTCGGTCGCTGCTCGTGGTCTGGACGTGAAGCAGCTGAAGTTGGTAGTTAATTATGATGCCCCTAATCACTTGGAAGACTACGTTCACCGTGCTGGTCGTACTGGTCGTGCTGGAAACACCGGCACTGCAGTGACATTCCTCACAGAAGAACAGGAGCGATACTCTGTGGATATTGCAAAGGCACTCAAGCAGAGTGGACAGGAGATTCCCGAGCCAGTTCAGAAATTGGTTGACAGCTTCCTGGAGAAGGTCAAAGCTGGCAAGGAGAAGGCCAGTGGATCAGGCTTCGGTGGAAAAGGTCTGGAACGTCTTGACCAAGAACGTGAGACCGCTCGTATGCGTGAGCGCCGAACATATAAGACTGGCGAGGAAGGCGAGGAGGACGAGGAGAAGGATGAAAAGAAAGAAAAGGCCGACGAAGAACGCTTCAACAAGGCACTGTCCGCAGTGCAATCTGCCGCTGCCCCCGCACCTGCGCCTCTTGCAGGTGTTCCCAAGGGCATTGATTTGGATGGCAAGATTACAGTGCACAAGACCGAGAGGGATCCCAACGCTGCCGGGAAGAACCCTCTGGACAAGGTTGGTTCTGCCGTGGCCGATATCCATGCTCGTCTGAGTCGCGCTGGTGTGATGAGATCTGGTGTACCCATCGACAACCGTGGGCCAGATGCCGGTGCATTCCATGCTACACTGGAGATCAACGACTTTCCCCGTAAGTTTACTCCCAATGCCACACTATTCATTGATGAACTTTTACTAACATCCATCTCCATCTACAGAGAAAGCTCGTTGGGCCGTTACCAACCGCACGAATGTCGCCAAAATCCTGGAAGCCTCTGGCACATCCATTACCACCAAGGGCAGTTTCTACCCCACTGGCAAGGAGCCTGGTCCCAACGAGAACCCCAAGCTGTATATCCTTGTTGAAGGCGAGACTGAAATTTCCGTCACCAACGCAATGCGTGAGCTGATGCGTCTGCTCAAGGAGGGTACCGTTGCCGCTGCTGATAGCGACGCCCGTGCGCCAGCTAGCGGCCGTTATAGCGTTGTTTAGTCCTTTCTTTCAGCGGACAGGAATTGATGATATACACGTATGTAGCTTATACTCGGCGGTTTGTACCATAGCATGGAATGGTGAAGCTCTTTCAAATGTCCTCTCTTCATTCTCAAAAGGGTAAAACTAGGGATGTAAAAATAGAGGCGCTAATAGAGACTGACCGCGGGCGTCAACGAAAAATAAAAAGTGAGTGTACTCCCAAGCCGCTCAATAAACGACCGCAAAAGTCATCGCCAAAGTTGACGCTATAAAAAAAAAAGTGTCCATGAATATGCAAATCCCAAACGCCAGCACCAAATCAGACGCACCGCCATTTACTGTGCACTGGCATATACTTAATTCCACTGTCTGGCCTCCTCCGCCCCATCAGCATCCCGCACAGCCCTCTCCGTCTCACTCGCCTCATTCAAAGTCTGCGCTTGAGTCTTGGCCTTTTGCGCCGCCAGTTTAGTGCCTAGCTTCCCTTTACTAGAAGCAGATGCAGCCTCCGCTCGTTTCTGCAAGAATAAGATTAGCCATTGGACTACCGTATTACCTTGATATGAATGGACAGTTTCAAACAAATGGTGCTCACCTGCGCTGCAATTGCGGCATTAGACCGCGCCTCGTCATTGCCCCCTTGTTGCGGGGAACTCTCGCCGAGTGTGCGGCCCGGGGTATTCTGCCAATTCGCTTTGGCAGGGACGGAGGCGCGTGGAGCAGTTGATTGTCCGGATGGTGGGGCACCGACGACTCGACCAGGACCGGCGAAGGCGTCTGGCTCGTTTGATGAGCGGGAGCAGATATTGCCCATGGTGTTTGTGAGTGGGGTAGATTAGATGGAAGTGCCGTTGCCCCTGGACTTTTAGTCTGGCGTTGGGAAATGGGATGCAAGGGGAAGTGCCTCGGGGCAATTGGTAGGTTGCGACTGAGAAAAGAGTAGAGACGGATTGGATATGCGCCTGGTCGATCTAGAGGCAGGGGATGTGTTGGGGATCTGGCCAGTGCATGTTGGAATTAGCGCAGTGATGCGATAAGGCGATAGCTGGTGACGATCCGGGGCACGTGGGGTTACGTCAGCATATCCTACTACCCGATCGAGGCCTTGGCGAAGTGGTAACTCTTTGAGTCTTGAATCCTATAGCAATAGGGTCGCCTCTGTCATGCGACAATGGTTTATTCATTATATTAGCTCGAAAACATCTCTTCTGTCTCGATAGGTCTGGATGATAGTACAGTCCACAGACGGCGTCGAGTGGCAGAACTGCCCGCCGCGGGTCTCTGTTAGTCATCCACGAAATCATCCAGATCCAGATGGAAAAGAAACCCTCCCCCTCTCACGGGCCAGATCACATTGGAATGCTGGGGAATATCTCCTCTCGCGTGGTCCATTATCCCTCGGCGACAAGCCCAGCAATGTTCGCGACGAGATTCGAATTGACCGCTTGCCAACGAGTGCATTACCATTCGCCTGCCGATCATGACGCCTAACCCCCAAGGTCCCCATCCTCCATCAGCGTCCCAAAGGTCCTCAGGAGAGTTCTGACAGTCCGCATAGGCCGTTAGCGAAACCCAACCCGCCCGATACGAATCGCCCACATCTTCTCTTCGTTGCATTTTCCGAGTCAAATATTACTCTCTTACTACGTGCTCTCGCTCGCCCGCTACATCTCACAAGGTCCTCGCTGGTCCCTGCTCGAAATCTTGTGCTGCATGACGATCGTTCGCCGATTTCTCCGATTGTATCGGTAATACTCTGCCTACGTTGTACGTTCGCTTTGCCTGCAGGCTTAGTGCATGATACAATTGTGAGACTGTCTGCAAGATAGAGGTGCTTTGATCCGTGCTCGTGGGAATTTTCCGGGAGCACGGTACTTCGTGGTGGACTACCGTGGCATTGGGCAATTTGCCGGTTACGTGATATACTTGTGTCAAGGGAATTATTCCTGGTGACCAATTATCCTACCTGCAGTCGCATGCTCTTCTCGGTCCCTTGACCGTTCCTCTTTCCCCCTGTTCCACATCCTGTGCCTTGCTGCCGCGGGAAGATAACGGGCTTTGAGGTTTCTTCTGTACCAGTACAGAGCCTTATCTTTCCCCCTTTCCTTTCCTCGGCGACTCGCCCTGAACCGTGATAAAATGGCTTCCCAACCCCAAGTAGGCGACTTCTGCCTCGAGTGTCGCTGGGAGGATTTACATATCGACACTAAGGCCGCAGAGGAGCCCTCAGTCCCCCACTGCGAGACCCAGTGGAACTGCACGGACGCTGATCATCATACATCGCTGGCTCAATGCGATGTCAACGAGGCTTGCTGTGATGAAGATGCCTGTGTCGATGAATGTGTCGATGACTGTGGATCAATATGTGACGGCTTCGTAGACTGCGACGCCTCGACTGTGTGCTCGGTTGCGAACTGCGACGAGGACCATTGCGAAAGCACCGACCCCGTCTGCTTCGACAATCACTGTTGTGACAGTACGACCGACCAAGATTGCACGTTTGACTCTATTTTCGGACTTACAACGCCGCTGTCGTTGGACATTTCCAATACTTTGTCGTCGGCAGCGATGGGCCATCCTCCTGTCGCCGAAGCCGGGAAAACGGCAGACCACACCTTGCCGGGCATGATTGATCCATGCTATCAATACGACTTCCTATCTTCCTACCAGACTCACGCAACAAATTGTGACCAAAATGTCCCCAACCATCTCGGATGTCAGGACTTCCGAAAGGATTGGGAGGACATGTTTACACACCAACACCAACCTATACCTCAACAACCAGATGTGAACCCTGCAGATGTCTTCCACATGCTTGGAATGTGCTCTGACTTTTCTGTGTGCCACGACCAACAACTCACTACCCACCATCACCACCAACAACCCGATTCAAACACCCTCGAGAAGCCGCAGGATGACACTCTAAACTGTTTTCACCCAGAGCACCATCATGTTCATGGCCAATTCAAGAACCCTAATGACCTAAATATTCATGTCCACGGCCCTCATCGCAACCACCACCGCTGCCGAGCTCACCACCACCACTCTCATCCCTATTCCCCTTATTCGCGTCAGTCCAGATCCAGCGTGAGCTCGCACTTCATGTCTAGCCCGAGGGAGACGCCTCCTCCTCTTGAAAGAGATATTTCGTCAGTCTTGACGACGCCAGAATTCTCCGCATCAGATACCGAGTTGCACATCTGCAAGTGGGTGACATCTATTCATGGTATTCAAGCTCCTTGCGGTGCTACCTTCGCCGATTCTGGCGCTCTCCAAGACCATCTTGTGTCTGCGCACATGAACACTGTCGACGGTGCAAAGGGCAATGGATACTATTGCTGCTGGCAAGGATGTCACCGTCCTGATGAGCCGTTCTCACAAAAGTCGAAGCTCCAAGGCCATTTCCTGACACATAGTAATTGTGAGACGCCCACAATTTCGAAGAAATATGCTCTTGCTAACGAATGATGAACTAGATAAAAATTTCAACTGCTCCGTCTGTGGAAAGAATTTTGCCAGGCAAGCAACCTTGGACCGCCATGAGCGTAGTCATCGAGGAGACAAGCCATTCAAGTGCAAAGACTGTGGAAAGACATTTACCGATAGTAGCGAACTGAGTAAGTCATTCTCCCTTTTCATATTCTCATCAATTACTAATGACTCCAGAAACGCATTCGCGGACTCATACCGGTGAAAAGCCATTCAAATGCACTTATCCAGGATGTAAATTCGAGACCGGCGATGTGAGTGTTTTCACGATATACTTTTTAATCATTCTGATCGCTGACAGTTGGCAGTCATCAAATATGTCAAGTCACAGATTGACTCACGGCGAACGAAAACATAAATGTCCTTTCCCCGGCTGTCCGAAGAGCTTTACTAGGCCCGGTATGTAAGCTTGTTACCCTCTTTCCAATTACTTATACTGACTCTGTACTCCACTTTAGACCAATTGAAACGCCACCAACGAACAAAACACAAACAAGACATATCTTCGACACTCCCATCCCCTAACCCTGACCACTTCAGTCTATCTTCTTTTGCCGTCTTATAACGAACCATCTTCCTACTATTCCCATATTATACACGACTTGTCATGTTTTCCACGACCTTGCGGTCCATCCCGGCGCTGGGGCGTCACTCGGCCTTCCTTTGATGGATGGCAACAGGAAGGATACGAATGGGATTCCCTTGGAGTTCAACCTGGAACGGGCGTTTTTGGCATACTTGAAAAATATTCATTGATGTTGTCTGGACTCTCTTTTCTCTGGACATGTTACTAGCGAATTTCTATTCGGGGATGTATTGACCAGTGTATGCCTTTTTTATCATTGACGTCAATGCGGTGATTTCCTTCCCACCCATAATTTCATGAAGACAATTCAAAAGGCCTCTCCTACAATGGATTATAGTCACTTTCCAACAGGCCGAATGCCTGGAATCCCGATTTATACATCTACCACATAAAATACCCCATCAAAGGGCTATCATACAAAACCCCCGATTCCCTCACGCAACGTCTACCAAACACCCCCTCTCTCATTCAGCATGAGCCCTCTCCTCAAGAATCTCAACCGCATTCCTCAACTCCCTAACCCGCTGCCCAACCCTCCTCCTCACCTCATCACGCACCTCACCCCCCACCTCCTGCGGATTAAAATGCGTCTCAACAAACGCATCCTCGCCCAACTCCGATCCAGCCTCCCCTCCTCCCTCCACTTGACCCCCGACATTCCTAACACCACTATCGACATCCTCGCCTGGCCTAGCCGTGTACAGATGATACACAGCGCAGAGCTGGTTCAGCGCGTCGCGCGCAGAGTCCCGGTCCGAGGCGGCGTAGATTGTTGCACCGTCTGTGCTTTCGGTGGCGATTTCGAATTCGTCTTTGGCGATTTCATAGAGGTCTTGGAGTTCTTCGATTAGGAGATCTGCTGTTGGTTTGGGGGGTGTGGGGCTTGAGTATGCTCTGATGAGCGGGGTTGGTGGTTGAGAGCGTGTTGGGGTGGTATGTAATGGAGTGAGTGTTTTTGTGGGATTTGCATTGGGGTGTTGGCGAGTGTTTCTGGATAAGATGCTGTACAAAGCGCGAGGTGGTGTGATGATGCGGGCCACTCGGGTTGATTGCAGATTGCGGAGGCGCAGGAGGGGCGCTCCGGAGCGGAGGGGGGCAGATGCCATGTTTAGGACTGGAGGTATGTGCAATGCTAATATTATGAACTGGTGGTCAAGTGCTGTCCAGTTTCTCCGGACGAAGTTGATGAATGGAGGTCTCGGACTCGGAGGACCTTCGGTGGTCCCATCCCCGGAGCTAGGGATTGATGACGTAGTGTCACGTGGTGATAAGCACAGGGGAGCAAAAAGCCAATTGATGTTGTTGTGTTTAGTTAATGTCACGTATTCATAATGCGTGGGGGATGATCAATTTCAAAAAAAACTTTCAGATATTTACACTCAAAGCCGGAGAATTGTATTTAGATCAAGGGTGGTATGCTGAAGACGATGCCATGAAGATTGTCTATCCAGCCACCGGCAGTTGACAGGCCTGCAAACTCATTTGTGATGCCTTTAGAGATTATAACCCAGCTCCAGTCCCTCCCAGTAGCCCTCCACCTCTGTGGTCTAGCGGTATAACTGCTGGACAATCCCACTAGTTGGTAGAAGTTATGACGCTCCATCTGAGCTTCCCTCTAGGAGGTCCTCAGAGGTGGAGGGTTACCTCTTTTTTATACTTGCGATATGACAAATCTACGCATGAAAGTCTATGCTTGTGCTCTTTGCGAGAACTTTTGTATATCAAAGTACTTCTTAGAGCTAGTCCAATGCACTAGTTATGCTTAATGCTCTCTTTGGCAAGAATTCAAAGGATTACCGTGGGATATAGTGTGAGGTTGAGGGAGTGAGCATTGGGGTGAAGTATTTGAGCATCGTCGAGCGCCGCAGGTCCGTTTATATGGGGAAGAGAAAGTTAAGGGTTCGATTCGTGGAGGTGGAAAGGTTTTCCACATTGAATCTTTGATGAGATTTTGTTGTTAAGCGGTTGAACATAGCTTGACATGCTCGGTATGTGTGTAGTTGGCGATTATGGTTTTAATAGCTTGGCTAATATGGAAGTGCTCTGGTTTTCGCGAATCTTCTCTTGGTGATGCCTAACTCATATCCTAAGGTAATTCATTCAAATTATTAATAATAGTATAAAGATAATACTACAGGAGGACACTCAATTAATGAGTCCTAATAATCAAGATCTTATAAACAGATTGCTTGCTGGTGAAGCAAATCGAGAATTGTTTCATTCTTGGTGCAAAGTCCACCTAGACTTTGGGAAGAGTAATGCGCAGCGCACGCGGAGTAAGGCTAACCACATCTCCTTCGTCATTCAGATTGAACTCGAACTCCGGCATGCCAACATTCCCATAGATATAGGAGTCCAGTTCTAACCAAGTTAGGCAGGCCGAAAGCATTGTACCAGATGTTGGTTGTGAACTCAGACCCTGAATTACCGCCGAAAATGAAACTCGCCCGGGGCTTTTGAGGCCCGTAGGTTGCAGGCGCATACCAAGTAGTGAAGGGGTTTTCTCCAGACCTGCTTTGGCTGCAAAGGCTTGACCCATGTCCACAGAGTTGCTGACCCATTCGGCAATCTTCAATCCCGGTTCATCGTCCGTAATGAGAGTAATGGATGAGTTCGAGGTACCATTCTCCAGGGCATATGTCCCTGCAAATCTTTCAGCTGCCTGATTTTTGGCTATCTGCTCCAGGGCAGGAAGCATGATATCGGCGACTTGTTCACCCAGCTTCAATGGTAATGAGAAGCTGCCGTTGCCTGCCGTAAGAATTGCGAACCCGGCATTGTGATCTGGAGATAGGGCCATGATTGAATTGTACATTCCAATATTTCCAGCTTTAGTGTATAGGTCAACAAGTCGAGGCTCGCTGAAGGACATTATCTCCCAAGGGTGTCCCACAGAGACTTGTAAGGAGGCTGTATGAGTTGCTGGTTTCATCCACCGTCTAGTCATGGCGGGACTGACTAGTGTATTGGCTAGAATGGCGCGACCAAGGGTGGAAATATCATTTGGTGATGAGTAGATCCCACCAGCGCTATTGAGATGTTAGTAAATTCTTGCTCATGTAGGAGAAAATTCCCAAAACTCACGGGATTGCATCTCCGATGTCCAAATCGAATTGACTGGAAGTCATGTCTGAGGGTACTACCGCCAGACTCGGAGCAGGCATGCTGTCACTAGAGTGGGACAGCCCAAGGGGCTTGATAATGCGCTCCATAAGGATATCTTGGAAGGGTTTCTGGGCGATTGCTTCAAGCGCATAACCCAAAATTTGGTAGCCGGCATTTGAATATAGCGGTGTAGAGGAAGTTGCCGCAATCGGCTGGGTGTCGAGTATTCCATCAAAGAACTCTACACAGGTGTCAGCGAGCCAGTTCATAGATACCATTTTTTTCTTGATAGACCCACGCTGCCTGTTACATGGTGGAAAAGGAGCGTTCCCACATGGCAATCGCTCTGACTTGGGCAGCGAGGGCAATCCCATGCCAGCAAGAGCCTGAGGAGGAGCACTTGCTGCTAAATCCATGAAAGCATCTGCATACCAAACAGTCAGTATGGGATTATACAAGCTCAGATATTATGACTCACAGTCTCTTGGGATACCAGCCTGATGGCTGGCGAGTTCACCGATCGTCACTTCATCCCAATTCACGTAGTCGATCTGGTCGATCTGTTGCGAGCGGTTGTAAGGGCTTCGCAATTCGGGCACGTATTTTGACACAGGCTCTTGAAAATGTCGTGTGCCGTTAAATGTCATATAAAGCAGCATGGTCCATAATTTAGAAATGCTGCCAATACGGAACACGGTATTTTCGTCCACTTCTCGAACTCCCACGGACCCATTCCGTATCGAGTCATCCGTGTGTGAGAGGCCATATGCAGTGTATGAATCACTTCCACTGAATATTTGAACAGATATTGAATTTCCGGCCAGTTCTCCGGATGCGATGGCTTGTTTTATCTGTGCAGTCAGATTTTGTGTCGCTTCTATGAATATTGGGTGACTACCGATCTCCGTCGGAGCCGGAAAGGCTGGCCCTAGGATCGGGCAGGCATTGGGTTTGGCGGCGACCCACGCGCCCAGAGATAGTAATGACAATAATGAAAAAGAATACATTGTCAAAGATTAGACGCCTCGCCGAGTTCTCTGGACGTCGAAAGATTTCGCGTTTCGAGGTGAAGGACGAGTCGCGTACTTATAACATAGCATTCCAATCCCTCCCGTCCCAAATGTGCGGCACTGGCATGGGCATAGGAGCCTTGAACGCGAAAAGAAGACCGCAAGAATCTACATAGTTACAGCTTGCTCTATAGCTACAGCTCCTGTCGTATTGATTTCGAAGGTTACTCATTCTACTCTAGGATGCCAACTTCATTGATCAGCTTTGATGGCCATAGCGGAGAGCACTTTTTTCTTTTTGCGCGATTAGAGGTGCGTCACGCCGCTTACTGGCAATTTACTCGACACCGAATAGTACTTATTCAAACTAACATGCCTTCTACTGTGTCATTCTCATTACATTGTTTCAAGCTCTTAGGTGAATCAGGATGTTGTGGTCGCTGCGTCCTAGTTCCATTCCCGGGCATCAAGCTACGCTGCCAGATCCGAGCGGCATAGTATTGAAATCCCCACAAAGTACGCACACAAGGACAAGAACGTTGTCTAGATTGAGCGGTATACCTGTTCAATGAGAAAAATGACCCTGGAAAGGCATGATTGAAAATGCTCCTGCATAATCGACTCCCTTGGAGGGAGGGTCTAACCAGTTGGCCATATTTCCAATCGCCTAGCCTTAAACATCGTCCATGAATTGTATAGAGTGGTTTATCTTCGTTTTTATCGGTTATTCTAATTGGGATCTTAGCAGACCATTTATGAAAAAAATAAGATTATAATTCCTAAATATTTTCAAAGCCCAAGCTGAGGTGAGGTGGTAGGGAAACGAAAGGGTACGAAGGGGGTTGTGAACGCCCTTGTCCCTTCATTTGCCCTTTCGTGATCTCCACACCAGATACGATTCAGCATCAATTAATGAGCCTTGTAGAATTATCGTTTTTTCTGTCTTCACTCTACTACCTGTGATCGAAAATATTGCGCATTGTAGGCCACGGGAGCTCTATTTTCTGTGCGTGGCGTCTCCCGCAACTCAGTTCTAGTGCGGGTAAATTTTTTGCATCGAGATCTGTGACATTTGAGCTGAAATTACAGTGAGATTTCGGATTAATAGGACGTAATTACCCGATACAGTCTGGGCAGTACTTTATACTAACCTGGAAATGGTGGAAAAATTACCTATCACCCCAAACGCGTTTGATGGCGGCTAAATTCCTCAGGGGCACATTGAAATGCGGGGAGTAAACAGACCCTCGTTTCAGCATTCCTCCAACCATCATCTTCAGACATCTTTAGTCGGACCATATGGCCGCACTGTTTTGAGTATGGCGCGTTTATCACTTCGTGATCTGGCACTTGTAGGTAAGCCTTTCGTGATTTGACGACTTCTTTCCATTGACCCTGGAAGTAAAGCTAAGGATTAGCTTTGGAGGATGCCAGATTAGCGTCAGATCCATGACCTATAAATTGTCTTGATTCTGTACATTTGCATCGACAACGCGAATCGTTCTCAACGCAATATACATCATGACTCGAAATCTTCTGACCGCTGTCGCGGTCCTGGCCCAGCTCGCCGCCTGTCAACAGATTGGATCAATTCCCGAAGTTCACCCGAAGCTGCAAACATGGAAATGCAGCACTACAGGAGGTTGTGTGAAACATGACACTTCAGTGGTCTTGGACGCTTTATCGCACCCACTTCATCAAGTCGGAAACAGCAGTGTCTCGTGCGGAGACTGGAGCACTGGGTTGAATCCAACACTTTGCGCAACTGAAGAGTCATGCGCCAAAAACTGCGAGCTAGACGGAGTCGACTACGCCGCTCACGGGGTGAGTACTAAAGGCAGCAGTTTGATTCTCCACCAATACATGAAATCCGACGGCGCTTTGTCCTCCGTATCGCCGCGAGTGTATTTGCTCGACGAGAGTGGGAAAAATTATGATATGCTAAAACTTTTAAACCAAGAGCTGAGCTTCGATGTGGACGTTTCCTCCCTTGTGTGTGGAATGAACGGTGCCCTTTATCTGTCAGAAATGGTTCAATCTGGAGGTCTGAGCAAGCTCAACCCAGCGGGTGCGCAGTATGGCACGGGGTATTGTGACGCACAGTGTTTTACGACGCCCTGGATCAATGGGGTGGCCAATGTCGATTCTTCCGGTGCTTGCTGCAACGAGATGGATCTCTGGGAAGCCAATGCTCGTTCTACTGGATACACACCGCACGCCTGTAATATCACTGGCCTCTATGAATGCACTGGTGATGAATGTGGCAGCAGTGGTGTCTGCGACAAGTCTGGTTGCGGGTATAATGCATACGCGCTTGGTGCCCACGATTATTATGGATATCGGAAAGAAGTCGACACCACAAAACGCTTTACTGTCGTGACGCAATTTGTGACCGACGACAATACTGCTCAAGGAACACTATCGCAGATTCGACGATTGTATGTCCAAAACGAGAAAGTGATCCAGAACGCTGTCGTCGACGTCTCCGGCAGCGAGATCAACTCTATTACCGATGGATACTGTTCAGAAACTGCTAGCTATTTCCAGCAAAAGGGCGGTCTCAAGCAAATGGGCAAAGCAATTGGTCGCGGAATGGTTCTGATCTTCAGTATCTGGAATGACTCGGGTGCTTTTATGAACTGGTTGGATAGTGGGAGTGCCGGACCGTGCAACAGCACTGAAGGTAATCCTGCGCTTATCGAGGCGCAGCATCCTGAGACATCGGTGACTTTTTCGAACATCAGGTGGGGAGATATTGGATCTACCTATTCGTATTGAATATAGATTTCAAATAGAACTCGATGGCAATTTCTTTGGATCTTGTCTAACTATAATTCAGTTTTCATTTTGTATTACCGGTTTCCATCTCATGCCAGCAACGGATAAACATTAATGAGAGTATGCAGTTCGTGTAATCATCAAAATCATAAACAGTAATGTCAGAAACAACGTCAAAAACATGGAACCTTCAAATAATCATTACCGGTCGTTCGAATTCCTCCATCTGTTCCAACTTCGAGTCATTTCTTTGCCCCAGCGGATTTACTCCAGCTTTTCATCAGTATTAGCCTTGATCTCCTTGTCATCATGGTCCTTGTTGTCATGGTCGACATCTTGCACCTCATTCTTATAGTTGGCGACAGGAGTGGCCTGAGGGACGTTCTGGTTGTTACCGTTGTTGTTTTTCCAGTTGTTCTGATCCTGGGGATAGTTGCGGGCGACAACGGAGCCAGTGGGAGTAGCACCGTAGCGGTTCCAGTCCGAGCGGCAGGACCAGCCAGAGCGGTCGTTTGGGTCATTGTCCTTGCACTTATCGTTATAACGGCCATTGTAGTAGTCATCGTTGCTGTTCCAGTCATTGAAAGGCCAGATACGGGGGAGCAGGGCAGAGGCAACTTCTTCAGCGGTCTCACGGTCCTCCTCGTGCTCCTGGTGGCGATCCGCCTCCTCTTGCTCGCGGTAGTTGTCGTAGTGGCCATCATTGGGATAGGAGCGTGGAACGTGGATGATAGAGCTGGCAGCGGCGGCATCGATCACTGGAGTAGCGTGGTCAAGGTCATAGACGCCGGGGACGATATCGCGCTTCTGATTTGCGTGCCATTGGCCATTGGCATCAGTCCAACCACCCTGATTATTGTTGGGGTTGTTGTGCCATACCCCATTGGCATCGGTCCAGCCCTGGCTGTAGTCGGTAGAGTGCCAGACACCGTTAGCATCAGTCCAGCCAGCTCCATTCTGAGTGTTCTGGCCATTTTGATTGTTTTGATGCCACACGCCATTGGCGTCGGTCCAACCACCTTGGTTGTTCTGGTTACCCTGGTGCCATTGCCCGTTGGAATCAGTCCAACCGCCCTGGTTGTTATTCTGATCAGACGGCCAATTGCGGGCATGGATGCCAGTACCGGGGATATTAACTCCAGGAACACCGACATTCGGAAGACCAACACCGGGAGCTCCAAGGTTACCGTATTTGCGGAGCTCTTCAGCATTCAGAGACTGGGATGGAACAGAGCGACGCTGCCAACGGTTGTTGTACTGGCCATTCTGGTTCCAGTCGTTTCCTCGCCACTGGCCATTTTGATAGTTGCCATTTTGAGCATTCTCGCCGTTTTGCCAGGTCTGGCCATTCTGATAGTATTGGCCATTCTGGTAGTTCTGGCCATTCTCATTCCAGCCGACCTGGTTACTACCCTCATTGGGAATGAAGTCGCCGTTCGAGTCATAATGGCCCTTTCTGTATTGACCGCTGGGGTCCCACTGGCCACCTTGATCATTGGGGTCGACGGGAAGGGCGAGCGCCGTGAAAGGAGAAATGGCCAAAAGAAGAAGGCCGTTGATCAGAATGTAACGCATTTTGAAGATCGAGCTTCACTGAATATGAGAACTAAAAGGTTTGGGTTCTCTTGAGCTCTGGGATTTGTAGATTCCAAGAGATGCTCTGGCTTGAGATGAAGAATAGACCGTGGAGACCGAATCAAGCTTGTATTTATACTCGAGCTGAGCAGAGCTCGACGAACTCCAAACCATTGCATTACGTATACAGCTATAGCTGGTCAAGATGCTCTCTCCAAGGTTTCCGATGCCAATGTCTGATCCTGGTCAGTACACAACCTCATTGAGTTTTGTTGGGAGTATCTAGTCGCTCACTGCAAGGGACATCAATCGAACGTGCAGTCCAGAATTGTTCTGCCTTGCGGGGATGGAAAGCTCACGATGAAGCTGCAGTATGATTTCAGCGAACCCGTAAACATTTTGTTTAATATGAGCGAAATTCAATGCCATGCACGAGATGCCTTACCTAACCGCGCTTTGACTCCTGATGGCGGACATGATGAACCTCGCATGAAGCTGCATGAAATGTCCTGTCGGGAAGGGCGATCATCCCTAGAAGCGGCTTAAGCGCATTCCAATGGATCTTCTGTACTGTTACCTGGCTAGACTATGCAGATACTTGGCATCTGACAAGACATTGTTACACCATTGCACCTATGAGTGATGATCTTGGTCCCACTAAATCGCATGGCTGGTGCCTCTCTGGGGGTGGCTTCGGATTAACCACGCACCACGCCATCGGCGTGCTCAAGAGATCTGAAGGGAAACGTGTAAGACATGCAGGAAATGATTGCGTCAATACTTGCGTGCGGTGATTTTTGAATCCCAAGGTGATAATAGAGTTAAAGGTGAGCTGTCTTGAGAATGTTTTGGTATGCACTGAGAATTGCGGTCTGGCTGGTAGGATGTTGAACTGGGGGGTTTGGGCTTTCCAGTGTTTGCGGTTTTAAACTTGTTTTCTTTTCATGCGTAGGTAGGACTTTCTCGTGGGGCATCTTTCTCTCGTTCGGTTTCATGGGCAACGGGAGCTTGCTCTTGATGTCATATGGCAAACAATGTCCAGCCTGGGCTTCGAGGTGCTACGCCAACTTTAGGTTTGCCCTAAAACCCATGAACCCTTCCTTGACTTCAACTTTCGGTCCGAACCCGAGTACTTGGGGTAAATAATAACTCTTATATTTGCTTTGAGAATGCCTTTATAAGCTCCAAGATTCAGAAAACAACTTCGATATTGCTAACTCAAAGTCGTATCCCAACAGACAACCTCTTAAACAATCAACATCCCGACAATCAACTCAACCACATCCGCTCATTCTCAGAACGAAGGGTTCGCATTCTCAACCAACTGCTCGAAATAAGCCTACACAAACAATGTCAGCCTCCAAAATACCTCAGCCTCACATAAAAGTGTCAACCATACCTGGAACCAAGTCCCAGCCTCAGGCGCAGGCTGCAGAGCATCACTATATCCACAATGCGCATCATAGCGAGCAGAAGACGAGTCCGAAGTACCATCACTCTCACCACCAGGCTTAACCCAAACAAAAGCGTCTTCCAGCGCATCCCCTGTGTCAGTCGTGGGTCGGACGCCGAAACCAGTGCCCTTGACATTGCACCAGTCTCCCCAGGCACTTTGTTGAGTGGGTTGGACGCCGTTGCGGCCTGTGAAGAACGGAAATAGCTCAGTCAATACTTACATCCAAAGTCTTTCTGGTATATGACCCAAACTAACGGTCATCGAAATGGAATGAATGAACACCGAGATACTCACCAGTATCAGTAATAAAATGCGCATCCCACCCCGCACTCTGCAGCAAGGGCGCAATCGCATTAACGTATTTCTTCTCATCGCAGTTCGAATCCCCAGATGTATATGAGGGACATGTATCCAGGGACCAGCCGTTATAATTTGCGACGTTGGTAGCTAGACCGCGCAGTGCGGCGGGTTGGGATGCGTTGTTGTACACCTGTGCGAAGAGTGTAGCTGCTGGGCTTAGATTGGCGGGCCAGCCTAGCCAACCGGCGTGTCCTGGATGAGTTGGTTAGCAGGTTTGATTCGGTTAGGCTTAGTTAGATTGATTCTGGGTGGAGGGGAGATATGATAAATACCGGCATCGATATACATAGCCACGTTAGCGAGATTCAGCTGCGTTACTGCGTAGTTGACGCACTCAAGGTATGCGTCGTAAGCGTTTGCGCATTTATCGACGTTCATGTTAGTAACCAGGTTTGCCAGGCTATCCGGTTCTAGATAGAAACCGTAAGATATAAGCAGAGTCTCAAAACAGTCAAACACGAAGAACCTGATATCTCACCGATAACAAGAATAGTTTGAACATCCGAGTACTGTGTCAAAACCGCCTTGATACTATCAATATACGCCTTATACTTCGTAACGCCATCATCCGCAATCGAGTATTCGCCATTACTCGCCAGCGCGGCGCAGTCACGATCCGGTAAATCGTAAACCACGAATTGACCCGCATAAGGCGGGTTTGCGCCAGCGGCGTTCTTGGACTGGATGTCCGCGAGGAAGTCGCCCATGGTTGGTACTTTTGCGGCTGTGTCGCTGTGGCACGCAATTAGCTTCAAGTATTGTTGGGAATAGTGGTAAACCCCCTGAGATGGAGCTTACAGCCAGAAGAATGACGGGACGACTGCGGCCGAACTTGCGGCAGCTTGTGCGGAGCCTGTCATGGAGGGAATAGCGGAGGCATAGACTTCGGAGGAATAGTAGGAATTTGCGTAGAGCTGGTATCCAGAGAAGGGATTGCCAGTTGTCGCGGCAGCAGTGACAGTCGCCTCGGTTGGGGATGTAGATGAGCTTGCTCGCGCGTGGATGACTCCTGCTACGGCTGACTGGGCTAACAGCGGCATAAAAGAGATAAAAGAGCGCATGTTGATTGTTGAACCGCCAGCGGATAAGATTCTGTTCAAAGATTGTGGTGTTAACTTCCAGGACTGGATATCTTGGGTCCGCCCTTCGAAAAGGGAGAACTACAATGGATTTAAGCTGTTTTATATACCTCCACATTCCATCATGGCTGAACGCCATGCCGCCGTGTGGCCGACGCCCCATTCCTAATTCAATCAGGGTTCAACGCCATGTCCCTGTGCCCGTCACGGGTAGCTCAGACAAATCGATATCGAACGTTGACCAAAACGAGACGATAGCTCGACATCCCACAGCCTCGTAAAATTACTCAAGTCACATTCACAATGCAAAACCCCAGACTAATATCTGGGCATGTTTCGCGGACAAAACTCCCCGCCCCAAAAGTGGATGCATCCGGTCGATCTTGATCGGCATACTTGGCCACTGAAGAAGGAACGTAGATAAAAGGTGTCATTTGTATTAAGCACGGATTGCGGGCCGGATCAGAGATAGTATAGTCACGGAAAATTTGCAGATGTTGTTTCAAGGGGTCTATTGCTTAGATATGATCGTTCTATCTGCGGAGGACCATGACTACGTGGCGGCGAGTGGCTGGTAGGAAGTGGGGAAATCTGGGGTATTAGTTTCTTCAGGGACTTCAAGATGTGGGGATTACATTACACTTTACTCTATGGACGTCTAAGCCATGTGAGTTCATGAAAAGTTATGGGTAGAGTGTAAATAAATTTCTGTATGGGTTTGCCATGGTGAACAGTATTCAAACTGATATAGAGAAAGGGAAAAAGGAAAAATTCAAGTGAGTGGAGTGGTATCGCGCAATCATCAAGGGGGTCCGGCCTAGCCTGAATCAAAGTAGTACAAGTAAAGCCAAGTAAAAAATAAATGCAAAACAATCACAAAAATGAAACTAAAAAGCCACACTCAAGTCCAAGCGTGGACCAACTCAACGACGAGCCCGATCACATTCAGCCAGGAACTTGTAGATCCCCTCGACGTCATACTCCGGCGTAGGCTCCGGCTGACCAGCGCTAGAGATTTCCGGGAAGAATGGTCTATCGCCGAGCTCGCTGATGTTAATGCTCGAGTAAGCAGAGTGCGAGGATGTCCACGGGTTACTGCCAAACAGCTCTTTATCCTCGAAACTGATTGCGTGGCCGGAGTCATGGCCCGAGTCTCCGGTGAAGGGGCTGCCGAATTCGGGCGTGAGCATGCCGTGCCAGTCAATGTCGTTGGATGGGTGGGTAGGTGGATTAGATGGCTTCTCAAAGAGATACTCTGTCTCCGAGGAGGCGGCTACGCTGGGGGCGAAGGGGAACAGGAGAGCCAGGTCAGCGCCGGTTCGAAGATTAAAGTCTTCGTCTTGGGTGATTCGGCCTCGTTGAATTCCAACTTCGTCGCATAGACGTTCGACGGTCTCTGCATCGCAACCTGGGAATCGTACTCGAATCGTCGAGCGATTGTGCAGAGAGATTGGCAGATCGCCCAACGTCGACAGACGCTTCAGGTCATTCACCACGATAGCAAACTCCTTCAGAGCCCGGGCAAAGTCGGCAGAAAGCAGGTCCATAAGGCCATCCGAGTTCAAAGTTTGAACAGCCTCGGAGCCAGTCTGCTTATTCAAAGCGCTGAAAGCACCAAAGGCGGTGATAGTAGGCGAAAGCTGGAAGTCAAGGCTCGACCCGGAAGCTTTGCGAGGGACAGCAGTCATCTTACGACCAGCCTGGTCCTGCAAGACACTAACAGCCTTGTACCGCTTCTCACCGGTATGCGGATCAATTCCATCGAAACGCACTTTCTGACCCGACAAGAAGAACGCCCGCACGCCCTGGGAAACATTCTGAATAACCTGAGCCGGGGCAGCAGGCCCATGGGAGAAATACCGGGCACCACCGAACCGCCCAGCGCCGATGGTATATCCACCCGCAGTACGACCAAGCGTTCCCCCGGTCAAGTTTGGACGAAGCGTAGACGCAAATGGAGCACGAGTAGTAATCTTGCTGAGATTCGAAGCAACCCGAGTCGTCCTGTAAGCATTGACATCGGCCTGGATACCGGATCGAACGGCTGAGACAAAGGCACCAGCCGCACGGGTAGAGAAGTAGCGGCTACGGGCTTGTCGGATAGCAGCGGCGCGGTTGATAGGCTGGCGAGCATTGACACGAGCGTAAACAGGCTGATATCGTAGTGAAGGATGTTGTGTGGGTTCTGGGAGTTTGGCTCTTATAGCCTTAGCAGCCTTCTCGTAGGCGAACCTATAGTCAGTTGTAACACGGGCTTGTCAGCGAGTGACTCAGATCGGTATCGGCATGGGAGGGTGTAGAGGGGGCTGATCAACGTACCTTGCTGCTCTCCAAATTTTGGGGAGCAGCAGGTGCCCATTGGCAGGCGCCATACTGATGGGTAGGAGATGGATGGATACGCTGGGAGTGCGTGAGGAGGGATGAAAGAGAGATGCCTGATGACGGAGGAGTTGGGGCTTATCATGACGCCTCAGGCAGGCTACCCCAGTGGCGGTGCATTGGCGATTTGCCACACATGTGACCCCGCATGATTGGCGGAGTGGCTGGTGGGCTCCACCTGGATCAGCAGTATAAGATGTACGGGGAGAACGTGGGAATGAAGTGAGAGTGACTTGAATGTAGAGATCTCGTCGAGCGAAAAGAGGGAGTCTGATGATATAAACTACATTTAGAGGTCAACCGTAGAGCCTAACAGCACGAGGACCAGCGTTTTCCTAGGCGACAAGACAATTCTGAGTTGACACGCGACACGAGATCTTCTCACGTCATGTTCCTTTAGTGCTAATTAACTCTTATCCAACTACTGGAAGGGTCGATAGAAGATGATTCATATCACATATCACGTATCAGTACATTCCACGAGGATTCAATCCATGGGTATTCACTAAAAGGGTAGACATCAAGTCGTATCATTATTTTCTCAAATACATCGTCAGTTCCCATATCAACACACCGGAACGCCATTATTCGAACGCCATTATTCAAACGCCTTATTAATCCTGATCACCTGTGACCTAGGATTCCTCAGTTGCACCGTATCACAAGACTCGACTCGAGAAAAGCCCCCAAAGTCCGTCAACTCATGGCCCAGACCATTCTGGGTCCTTGGACTCGGACTTGGTGAGGGTTGCCAGTAGTCGTCTGAAGTGACTTGCTCCGGCCTGACAAGACAAATGAGGCGGTTGAGAACCGCAAATTCAAGCTTCAGCTTGATGCTGTAGACCAGTGACTTTAGGGCCGTTTGGATGGTGTAGCGATTGGTAAATTCCATGACGAGGAGGACCACGTCCAGGAGGATGAGAAAGATGTTGATGGCGAGGACGTAGTGGAGGGTTTTGCGATGGGCCTTGTGAATGCGAGATCCTTGGGGGACGATAGTCAGGTTTCGGATGACCTGCACGACGTAGAGGTAAGAGATGATCATCTCTTGCACGGAGAAGCCGACTAGCTCGATGCGCTCCATGATGTCGTAGGCGTGTTGCCAGACGGCATTATTTGTGTTGACGAAATTAGAACCATAAGTGAGGATGGTCGTGGGCACGTGGAGAATAATTGCATTGGTGATGATCATGATCAAGACGCGGTTGAGGACTCTGGTATCAGTGACCAGGAGATTGAGACGAGAGTAAAGCACGACTGCCTGGCCGGTGACCATGAAATACCAGCCGATCGTGGAGAGAGTCAGTGAAAACCATAGTGGCGCCAGGGCCATATCCTTTAGTAGGAAGCTGATCGCCTGTGGCACCACGCCGAGCAAGCCGCTCAGCAGCAAACTCCAGAAGTAGAGGCCGCGCCAGTGTTTGAATGTACAGAGAATGAGGACGACCAGCTCGATGGAGTTGTAGATGGCGAGGCCGAGCAAGGTCACGATGCTGAGGATCAGCACGAGTTGTTGCCCAGAATAGGAGCCGTGGCCATTCTCGGCAAGTGGAGCGCTGTCAGCGGCCATGGCGAGCAGCGCACCCTGGACGGTCGGATCCGATCAAGGCCGAATGCCAGTATGCGATTGTGCTCATGAGATGCGACGAGTCGATTATGCAGCGGCCGACATGGAGATCTGGGGAAGGGACAGAAGGGGAAAAGAAAGAATAAGAATAAGAGGAGGAGGAGGAGGAGGAGGAAGAAGAAGGGTTCTGACTGATGGAGAGGACGTGGAAAATCCACAGAGGCGCGAAGAGGTGAATGTTAAGTCTCTGGGGCCCTAGGGACTGGGGACTGGGGACTGGGGACTGGGGAAAGACGAAAAAGAGCAAAAAGAGCGAATAGGGTCAGCACAGAAATCGACCATCAAAACCATAAACTCCCGAGTCCGACGAGGATGAGAAATCAATCTTTGCCTTTTTGTTCCCCCCCCACACCTTTTCCTAGACAGTGATGGAGCTTTCGAAATCTCTGACTTTCTCTCTCTTTTCCTGTCAGATTCCGTGTAACCAGTCCGAATATCGTCCTTCTCGCCTCAATACTAATCTCCCGCCTCGCTCCTTTTTACTTTCGGGGACTCCCATGCCAAAAGAGTCAACCCCGCTCCAGTCCGCCGAGGGCTTTCTAACTGGCTGCCCGTCCGAAATGGCGTTTAACGGAACCCCCCGACCTGTGGCCACCCAAAACGTGTTGGCCCCCCGCGAACCCGCGAGCCCGCGAACCACGGGCCTCCGTTTAAATTAATAAGCGATGCCTCCCACAGTCTGGGGATTTCCCAACCACACACTAGACTCGGTTAGTCCGTTGGTCGGCCAGTCGGCGCGCACTAACAAAGTTTGGCACGTCCAAGCAACCGAGAATCAAAGCGGACTCGGTCAGTTCAAGAGTTGGACCGTTCTTTTTTCTGCTCCGCATAGCCGAAAGGGTCCGTGATGCAAATGGATTCCCCTGGCACGGAAGTCGGGCATTGGGCCCAATAGGAATGCCTGACTGTACAAGGCTCCATTCTAACTTCTCTCCAGGGCCGGGAGTAGTCAAGAGTCAAGGTCAAGACCCATCTCAGTGATCTTACCCCAGCATTTCCTGGCATGAGCAATCGCCTTGGCAGTCGACAGTCGAGAGTCGAGACTCTCGACCCTACAAGGCTAGTGGGCACTGGGCGGGTTCCTCCTCGATCTCATCCATCTGCTCGTGGTCGTCCGGGGAAAAAAGGCCATCTCTTTGTCTGTCAGACACGAGACTATGAAACAATAGCCCTTGTGGCTGCGGCCTTGGGAAGGCCCCTTTGTGTGACTCCCGAGACTCCGCGTGTCCGCGACGCCTCTTGTTGCAAACGAGGATGTGATGAGATTGTGTCTGTCCGCGCGTTGTCAGCCACCCCAGGCGAGACACCACGAGTCATGTGCAAATTGGCTTTCCACCTCCAGCCTTTCCCCAGAAGAGCAGACTCGCCTGGAAGTTTGAACCTTACAGCAAGTGGTCCCCCTCCTTCCCCACCCCACATCCGCTAAGGCAAATAGCAAAACCTTGCCTGGAAAGGGGAAAAGCTTGGTTATTGGGCAATGGGTGGAAAGCTGGAAACTCCACGGTCGCACCCCCGTCTTCTCGTTTGTCGAATGAACTTGAGCTTGAGAACATGCCCTACAGTAGTACTATACTGTTCTTCCCCATATTATTCTCGGAAACTCGGCAGTCAGATCGATTCCAGGCAGGGTTGACTTCTTGGCATTGCGGTTCTTGCATTGAACTGGTATGGTATATACTAGTACATGCTAAAGCCATACAAATCATAATCCTCTCCTCTCCTGTAGCCCTCACTGGCCAGCCGTGTTACCAACTCGGCCAAAGCTCGGTCTACTGGATCCACGTGGATTGGACAGATCGGCTTCGGTACTTGCAGGCGTCCATCAGGATGTCACTAACTACATGTCTTACTACCTCTATCGGTAGCGAGTCCTCGGAAATCCAAGACACAAACGAAAAAAAACACATCCAGTCAAGTAAATGCTGTCAATCACGCCCTTTCGAAAATCCCATCCTGGTCAGCTGTCCCTTCTCGCCCCTCAGCAATGCCTCAGCAATGCCTAGCGCGAAAAAAATTATCCCCCTCCCGACCGAATTCTATGGTCGGCGTTGATATCCGGGATCTAGCGCTCGGCCTTGGCGAGCCCGTGTCTTACCAACCGAAGGAAATCGAGGAATCTAGGCCGAGGGAGAACTCCTATAACTACCGGTTTCGCCACTCGCTATCCAGCGCGACTGCTGTAGTTTGACCATTTTGATGGCCGTGGTGCATGATCACCCTGCAAAATGGATCCTTTATCTACCCTGAACCGGTAAGGTTCGTCTACTTTTCTGTCTCGGGTGGCGAGAGCCGAAGTCGAAGCTCTGGTTATACACTATACGTGCAGTATACGTGAATTTTTCTTCTCGATTGTCTTCTGTATATAGAAGACACCCCGAGATGCGCTCTCAAGAATTGGAAGTAGAATCGGAATTTGGAGTTGGATTAGTCCCCCTCTTGTCGGACTCGGGTCTCCTTCAATTCCCTTCCCCCGCCAGTTATGGCCACAACCTTCCCTCTATTCCCACACTTACCCCCCGAACTGCGCCGGCTAATCTGGAAAGAATGTCTCCCGAAAACCCGCGTCTTCGACACCATGCTTCCCTGCCTAGTGTACGAATCCTCGCACTGTCGCGGGACAGGCTGGGCGTCGCGCGAAAGCTGGAGATCGCCAGTTATCACGCGGGTATGTCGGGAATCCCGCGCGGTAGCGCATGAAACAGGCCGAGTGCTATTCCGCGAAGACGACACTAATGTCCCCGATTACATCGAGAGCATGTGGTCGGATGCGAGCACGGATATTGTGGCGCAGTATTGGTGTCCGGGCCTGGAGGGGGTGATATTTTGGTCGTTGGATGATCCGGATGTGTACATGTTTCATTGGGCCGGGATGTATGGGCGGGCGATGATTGCTGAGGCGCGGTTGCGGAGTGCGTTGCACTTGGTCAGTGGGACGTTTGACTGGACGAATTTGGCGCGATTGGAGGAGTGTTTTGTCTGTTTGGAGGATCCGGTGATGATTCATTTGAGCAGGAAGGAGTTGCTTCTTTCGGGCTTGTTTGGTCATCTAGGGGAAGAATATATTCAACCGGTTGATCCGATGGATACGCAGACGTTGAAGAAGTTCCACCAGCTGGCGTTGACGTCTAGTCAACAATTACCCGAGACGCTGGATTTCTTTGATCAATTGCTCACGCCAACGTTCCAGAAAAGAATCCAAAACTGGACTCGCGACACGATGACCCGCTGGATCTACCAGGAATGGAACCACGCCAGCGAGGCCGAGTATACGGCTATCTCGCATCCCGAGCGAGTCTGGCTGGGCCCACGAGAACCGGGCAAGGATGGGAATACGTTTAATCCGCTTCGGCCGTGTTCGTACAAATACGACACGTGCTTCAACATGTCGAATGAAGTGCATTTCTCGTATAACGAGAAACATCCGTGGGTGAAGGAGAAACTGGCACGGGCACCGAGGTTTTATCCGAGAATCATGATTCGGCCGTGTATCAAGCGGTGCTGGATTCCAAGGACTCTGCCGCGACGGGGGAGGCCGAGAGGGCATTATCGAGCTGGATGGAGATGAATGGAAGTCAGTATTTTCGACGTCCTCTTGGCCGAGACTTGTCCGCTGCCATGTATGTGCAAATGCGGACGTATTATCTGGTGGGGTTTCTGAAAAGCACCAGCACTTTGTTGTGTTGTCAGAGCTCACAGAATAGGGTATGCTCTCTATGCGGGAGTTTGACAGTTATGTGGTACAACCTGATTTAATGAAGAGCTATAGCTAGTAAGAGCTATTTGTACACTTGACGAGGGCAATGAGTGAAGACCCTCTACTTCGTCCTTCCTCCGCTTCCCGCTTCTTCTACTTCTACTTCTACATCTATTGCATCCTTGGGATTTCTTTCTTAATTATTAATTTCTTACCTCCTCTGCTTCTATCCTTACTCCGCTTCCTCCACTACTATCTCTGCCTCCCGCCTCCCGTCATCGATACTAACAAGACTTAACGAAATACAACACCTTCACCAGCAAAATCCCATAGTGAAATCTTTCAATTTTAAAGTCTAAATCCTATCTCATCAAAGCATCGTAACCATGCCAACATCCTTTTGTATCCAGTCTACTCATCATCCCCAAAGAACACCTTAACAGGCAACCACGCATCCCCACAAACCTTAAACCGATCCTTCAATCCATCCAACTGCTTCACCTCCTCCTCACTCAACTTCCACCCATCAATCTCAAAGTTGGCATCAATCCGCGCCTTACTCACAGACTTGGGAATCACACTCCACCCCTTGTGAAGACCCCACACCAGCAACACCTGCTGCGGCGTCTTGCCCTTCTTCTCCGCCAGCCCCAGCAGAGTCGGGTCCTTGTAGAGCGGGGAGTTGGTGGAGCCCAGGCAGGAGTAGCCTGTGGAGTGGATGCCCTTGGAGGTGTTATAGGCGACTAGCTTGGGGGAGGGGTTGTTGGGGTGGAGTTCGATTTGGTTGACGGCGGGGATGATTTTGGTGGAGGGGTCGTTGAGGAGGATTTCGAGGTTTTTGATGCCAAAGTTGGAGACGCCAATGTTGCGGACTTTGCCTGTTGCGGGGAGTTTTTGCATTTCTTGCCTGGAGAAGGAGGATGGTTAGTTAAATTTGCCTTTCCCTGCGATCTCTGCGTTGGAGAGGTTCCGATATAGATCGGTGTGCCTCTTTGAAGGATGAAGGTACTCACCAGGTCTTGATAAAGTTCCAGTCAGGCAGGTGCTTGGACTTATCCTCGGGGTCGGTCGAGCTGGGCCAGTGCATCAGGTACAGGTCGACATAGTCAACACCCAGATCCTTGAGAGAGGAGGCAATGCCCTTCTCAACCTGGTGGTGCCAGGTGTTGTCGAGCTTGGTGGTGAGCCAGATCTGGTCGCGGGGCACGCCGGAGTCGCGAATGCCAGCACCGACCTCGGCTTCGTTGCCGTAGGCCAGGGCTGTGTCAATGTGGCGGTAGCCCTTTAGCAAGGCGTTCTTGACAGCCTCACGGACCTCATTGGGCTTGGATTGCCAAGTTCCCAAGCCGATGGCGGGGATCTTGTCACCAGTGTTGAGGGTGTAGGTCTTCCTGGGAGAAGAAGAAGAGGGGGAAATTATTAGATCGCGTGTGCGGGGAGTATAGAGGTGGAAGAGAGAGAGAGCGATGGCTTACTTGGTGTGTTCGCCGGACATTATGGCGGTAGTAAGCGGGAATGGGAAATTGGAGGGAGGGGTTGAAGGGAAGAGGTAGCAAGATCCATCGGTCGATTGACTGGCAGAGGGTCTTTTATAAGCATGGCCAGCAAGTCAATAGGAGCGGTGGTAAAGTGGGCAGGTCCAAGCCGCGATGATGTCGCAGTGGAGGGGCAGATCGGAGAGGAAACACAGCCATCGCGTCAAATCAAAGCCATGCTCTGTATCAGAGTGGGGCCCCGGCTTTTCCCCTTCTGGATGCTTCTGTCGTGTGCGGAACGAATCAGGCACGGGTCTTAGGCGGGGTTCTAGAACGGTTAGAACAGGGTAGGAAGGTGATTATGGCTGTGAACGTGGCACTGGAGTTCCAGGTTATGGAGAATCCTGGGATGATGGATTACCAATCAGTACGTGGCCTGAGGCAATGGTCCACGTGTCTAGGGATGGAAGTACTCCGAGTAGTAGACGACTGGACTTCTACGGTACTGACCAGCAGTCCCTCTCTCATGAAACAATCCCCCAAATCCACCCAAAGTTCGGGTAAATGCAGGGACCCCATCCACTCGATCCTGCCAAGCCCAATTGGCCTGACCCTCTCACCCTGATCAGAGTCCACAGTCCACACCTCACCCTCCGTCCCAACACGGTTCACAGCCTCCAACTCTCTCCTTGCTTGTCTCGGAAAATCCGCCCTCTCCGCCGAATCCGCTCGGTCCAATTCCTCCTCCCCGAACCCACGAGACTCCCCGCCAACCCCCGCCCTGGACCCGCGGATAATTTTGTTTGACGCGACGTTCCCCGAGCGCCTCACGCATTGCATTATACCCGAGCTCCAAGGTCAAGCTCAAGCTCAAGCTCACGCCCCAGAGCCCCAAGCTCCATCCCTCGGGAAATATACTGCACCGGTGCAGATCAGATACCCCACACACCTACACGCCTCCCCCCCAGGAATTTCCCCGGCTCGATCTCTAGCCTTTCATCATGTCCTCCGGTTTCGTGTCAGCCGGCACGAACGAGGAGCCCATTGAGCGTGACGATGCCTGGGTAAGAGCGCAGAAAGAATTGGAGGAGGAGCGGCAGCGGAAGGCCGAGGCTGGCCAGCAGAAGGATGGGAAGAGTCTTTTCGAGGTGCTACAGCAGAATAAAAGTGAGCAGAGCCCGAACTCATCGCCTTTTCCTCTGTCTCTCTCCCTTCCCTCGCTACAAACTGCATTACTCGTGGTGGCGCCATCGCCTGTAGCTACCGGGTCTTGGTAGACCATACTATATGCTCGATGGCTCCCCCCGAAGCCAAATGAACCGAGAACAGGGCACGCGTGGCTAACATGTCAGGATGACCTCCGCGATTACCAGTGGCGAAACAAGAACAATTCGAAGAGAAAATACGATTGAAGAACCAATTCCGCGCACTCGATGAAGACGAGGTGGATTTCCTGGATTCGGTGCTGGAGTCGACTCGCGCGCAGGAAGAGGCCGTGAAGAAGGATACGGCCGATCAACTGGAGGTCTTCCGGAAACAGCGCGAGGAGGCGGAGAAAGCGATGTTAGGGTCGGCCTCGTCGGATGTGACGCCTGCGCCGGTGGAGGAGGAGGATTGGGCGATTTCGGCGAGGAAGAGGAGGAGGGAGAAGGGGAAGGATTTGTTGCTTCCGGGGAAGAAGCGTAAAGCTTCTGTGACGGAGGAGGCGACAAAGGGTACGGAGAAGACTGAGATAGTAGCTGCTAAGCCTGCGCCCACATCTTCAACGGGTACGCAGGACTCAAAAACGGCTGGAAATGCTGTTACGAGTGCATCGGGAACACCGGCACAGTCCAGGACGGACAAGAGTAGGACAGACACTACTAAGCAGGCAGCAAAACCAGCATCTGCCTCACTAGGACTGGTTGGATATGGATCAGACTCCGATTCAGAATGAATTAAAACATGTTTCAAAAAGCAACATTCTTATTTCACACATCAATCAACCCAACTCCAACATTATCTTCTCATCCCCTTCTCCAACCCAATCCCAAGTCAAGACTCTCCCTCCCATCAAACCCACCCTCATCTAATCATAATGCACCACATTCTGCTTAACCTCCTGCTCCTCAACCTTCCTCTCCAAATCATGCGGCAAATAATCCTCCTTCTTACTGCCAGGCACGAACCACGGCGCATGCGAGAACATATAATTCATCTCCTCCAGCGGCACCTGCTTAGTCTCAGGCAACAAGAAGTAAAAGAAGACCGCGTTCGTGAAGTTACAAATCACAAACAGATAGTAATACCGATACTTGATATTCTCCATCGCAATCGGGGTAACCTGGCCAATCATCGTGTTAAACGCAAACGAGATACCCGTCGCGATAGAAACACCCTTCGACCGAGTCCGAGTATCGAAGACTTCGGCCGGGATAATCCACGAGAGCGGACCGCAGGTCGCCGAAAAGGAGAAGTTGTAGAGCCAGGTCATGATGATGAAGCCCCAGTGGGCGCCGCTGTTGATGGTTGTGGGCGGGAACTTGGCTAGCAGGATTGTCGCGATGATGAAGGTTACGCAGTTGCCGAGGTTGCCGCCGATGAGGGTCCAGCGACGGCCGAAGCGGTCGATGAAGAGGATGCAGAGGAATTGGGCGACAAGGGCGATGATGGAGTTGATGGCTTGGTACCGGAGGGTGGCTTCGCCGGAGATGCCGATTTGCTTGTAGATGTCGACAGAGTAGTATCTGGAGCGTGTTAGATGGCGTTTAAACAAGGAGGATTAGGATTGGGATGGGATGGGATGGGATGGGATGGAGGGGGGATGCTCTTACTGGATGGCAGAGACACCGGTCATTTGCACAGAAGCTTGAATAGCACAGCAGAGGAAGAGTCGGCGGAAAGAAGACCGGTTCTGGAACAGCTCGGCGTAGGACTTGGCCTCGTTCTCATGTTCAAAGGTGATGCTCTCCTGGATCTGGGCGTATTCGGCCTGCACCCAGGGATCAAGCTCGTTTCCGTGAGCGTGCAGCTTAGCAAGAGTCTTGAGACCCTCATCTGGGCGGTTGTGGTCAATCAACCAACGGGGAGACTAAGAGTTGTTAGAGAGGGTTATCGTTATCAAGCATACAGTATACAAGAAAGCCATTTATGCATACCTCGGGGAAAACTGTGATCAGCAGGCCCAAGCACACAGCAGGAATCATCTGGATACCCAGAGGGAGCTGCCATTGGGCATTGTTGCCGGAATCGAAACCAATATAAGTGCCGTAGGAGATCCACGAAGCGCACAGAGCTCCAACACCGAGCATGAACTGCTGCAGCGCAGTAACTCGGCCACGGATCTTGGGGTGGCAGATCTCAGCCTGGTACAAGGGGATCACCATGGTCAGGAAACCGACACTTTGGAACCAATTAGTTATACTCATTCCACCTTACGTGCTGAGATAGAAAGAAAGACATACCCGAATCCAGCAAAGAATCGGCCGCTGTAGAGATAGGGCAAAGTCCGGGCACCGGTCTGGAGAGAACCTCCCAGACAGAACAACAGACAACCCAAGGAGATGGTCTTACGTCGACCCAGGTAGTCACCGCTGGGGCCAGCGCAGCAGGCACCGAAGAAGGCACCGCAAGTAAACATGGAGACAACCAGGCCACTGTAGGAATAATGAGCATGTGAATTAAGTACCAAGATATAGTTGGTTCTGACCTTTGGGTAGAGTTGGCGGCAAATTTGGAAACAAACGAGTCACACACAATGACCTCTGCAATCACACCGAGATCATCTTGGTCATGTTAGTATAAAGGTTCAAATCAAGTGATCAAGTTGAGATCGCATGGAAATACATACATCCATAGAGGAATGAACCGAGCGAGGCGAACACGCCGACCAGGAACTAGATCCCAATTAGATTGACCTTTTCATCGAAGAATAACACTTGTGTACAATATGGATCGTACCTGGTACCACGACGGCGAGAGACGCATGACGAACGACTTGCTCGTAGCACTAAATAGTCGAATAGCTCAAAAGAACTCCGCCAACTCAAATGAAAATTCAAAGAAGACCCACGGGGGAATCAAACACTCTGGGGATCTCCACAAAGCTCAAACCCGGCCATGAAGGAGGGAAGTAAGTCTACATATACTACCGTCCCGCTCGCCCATGACTACTCCGTACTGTACTCTTGGATCCTAGCTCGTAGCTTCGGAGGAAATCTTGCCTTGTAAGCCACCATAATGATCCATCGCGTGGCCAACGCCCTCCCCCAACTAAAACCCTCCTCCAACCACTTAAGTTTCTAACCAACCAGAGTCATCAAGACCCTCTCCCCAAAGAACTGGGGCGGGCCTCGCTAACTCGGCTTTTCCGTAAATCATCCCCGTGTGGGGACATAGTCCACGCCCACATCTCCAACTCCGACAGCGATAACCGGCGATCTCGGACCATGATTGATGGGAAATACCGCCCCGCCCCAGTTCGGCCATTGAGATGCCTGTCCTGCATAATCGAGTCATTGGCCTAGTGACACACGCGAGGCATGTTTTGGGGATAGCCACTCGGCCGTACACACGTTAGGCGTGGCTTTAAGCGGGTCCCTTGTCCTTAGCAAGATGGGGTCGAGACTCTGCCCCGCAGGAGATTTACCATTTCCAGGACTACGAGAAGAAGGACGCGAGATAAATTGGGACCTGAGTTCCTGAATGAGAACTGGATCTGGATTCCTTTTTTTTCACTGGTTAGCTTAGCTAGTCATTTGCTATTTGCTATTCGCTCTCCGGTTTGGTCATCCCGCTTTATTTCGTTTTTTTCCCCGTTTTTAACCATAACCTTCATTCCTTCGGCTACGATTAAAGTAAGTTTGGTTAATTGTTTTTCCCCTCGCTATTAACCGTTGCAAGCGATCGGCTGTTTTCGTTTCCTTGGCTTGGCTTAACCTGGCCTTGGATTCGGGCTCTAGCTCAATGGATCTCGGTTGCACTGGTGTTCTATAAGTGAAAGCCACCCGAGTCGTCTTGTAAAACGGGACTGCAGTACTGAACGGACTTTTTTTTGTCTCTCCAAAGTAAAAAAGGATCTGAACTAAGTTGACCCAATTCTTCAAGGGATTGTCTTGTCCTGGGATAGCTTTAGCGAATCACCATGACTTCCTTCACTAAGCTCGAGGACCATGAGACCCCGGTCATTGCGGTTCATCCTTCCCGCCGCGTCTCGAAGATCAACCCGAATATCTATGCTGGCTTTACTGAGTGAGTAATGTTCCTTGTCATTCAACAGATGCTATAGCAAGTAGTACTGCTTGTACTACTGCTTACTGCTTGCTATACTCTGCTGGAACTAATACTCATCCTGGTCACTGAACAATGGACTAATATTTTCTTGTTAGACACATGGGCCGATGCATCTACGGCGGCATCTATGACCCCGGTAACCCGCTGTCTGACGAGAATGGCTTCCGAAAGGATGTCCTCGGTGCACTGAAGGAACTCGATATCCCTGTCGTCCGGTATCCCGGAGGCAACTTCTGTGCTACCTATCACTGGCTGGATGGTGTCGGTCCTAAGGATCAGCGGCCCTCGCGGTAATATAATCCGGAAGAAGTACAGGCGGAATGAAACAAACTGACAGCTATGACTAGTCCCGAACTTGCCTGGCTAGGCACAGAGACAAACGAGTTTGGAACAGATGAGTTCATGAAGTGGTGTGAGGAACTCGGCACCGAGCCCTATCTGTGCTTCAACTTTGGCACTGGCACGCTGGATGAAGGTATGCTGCTTGACTCAAACCTACTTACTTCGAGACACCTTTTGGGAAACATTCGTAACTTATATATGACTCTGCAGCTCTTGCGTGGGTGGAATACTGCAATGGCACTGGCAACACATACTATGCCAACATGCGCCGCAAGAATGGCCGCGAAGAGCCATACAACGTATGTCGTCCCCGTTCATACATCAGGAAACACCCACTCATCAATGCAACAGGTCAAATACTGGGCCCTCGGAAACGAGGTATGGGGCCCATGGCAGGTCGAACAAATGACCAAGGAAGCATATGCGCACAGGGCAGTGCAGTGGGCCAAAGGTAACCCTCATCTATACAACCCTCCCCATCTCTTTTCAAATACTTATTCCCACTCCCTTGACAGCCCTCAAACTCCTCGACCCCAGCCTCATCCTTATCCTCTGCGGCCAAGACGGCACCGCAACTTGGGACTACTACACCCTAAATCAATGCCTCCTCCCGGCGCACTCCGCCCTCTCCACCAGCGCAGTGCCTCTCATCGACATGCACAGCATCCACCTCTACACCTCCTCAAACGAGCACCTCCCCAACGCCACAGCCCCTCTCGCCGCCGAACGCGCCATCGAAATCACCTCTTCGCTCATCGACCTCGCCCGCATCGAAAACAAGGTTCCCCCCTCGCAGCCCCGTCCAACAATCTGCTTCGACGAATGGAACGTCTGGGATCCCATCCGCGCCGAGGGCAGCCTCGGCGCTGAAGAAAGCTACACGCTCTCCGACGCGCTCGCCGTCGCAGTCTGGCTGAACGTGTTTGTCCGGAAGAGTCGCGATCTGGGCATGGCGTGTATCGCACAGAGCGTGAATGTGATTTCCCCGCTGATGACTACCCCCGAGGGTATTGTCAAGCAGACGACGTGGTGGCCGTTGTATTTGTTTTCGCGGTTTATGCGTGGGTGGACTGTTAGTGCGCATGTTTCGTGTGGGACGTACGAGGGAGAGACGGCCCCAGTTTGGTTGAGGAGTGCGGTGCAGACGCCTTGGTTGGATGTTAGTGCTTCGGTTGGGGAGGATGGGTTTGCGAATCTTGCCGTGGTGAATATTCATGAGGAGAAGTCGTTTGAGACTAAGGTTGAGGGGGTGTCGGGGCAGGTCGAGGTGTTTACTGTTACTGGGGAGGGGGTTGCGGCGACGAATATGAAGGGCAAGGAGGAGGTTGCTATTGCGGAGTCGAAGTGGGATGGGCAGGGGCTTTATGCATTCCCTAAGTTGTCGATTACATTGATGAGATGGAAGGCTGAGTAAGGGGATTTTGGGGCTTTGGAGTTTTTATAGAGGTTCTTCGGTATAGATTGAGATGGTTCCAATACATGTGTTTCATGAGAGAAGTATACACGGATTAAATTAGGTTAAGAGTGAGGATAGCTGTGTTGACTACTAACAGGAATCATGCTTTAGATATAGATCGTATGGACGTGATCGATGGGCACAAGTCTATCTCTAACCGTAGGTCACATCTCGGACGGTACCGTCGTGGTCAAGGTGGACATTCAGCCTGAAGCATTAAATAACATTCTGTCAGAAAGATGTGTTCCCATAGCTCCCTCTCAATGTTTGTGGGCGTTTCTCTAGCATACCTATCCGGGTTATGGTCCATCGTCTTCATATCATCGGGCTTCAGCACACGGTGGGACTTGGGAAGATCTTTCCTCGCAAAAGACTAGCAGTACACAGAGTCAGTGTTAAGCTTCTCATTTATCGTCTTTCAATCCGAGTACATACCAGCTCATCACTGCCACCATCGCTGATCTTCTTTCCCATCAGCTTGTTGACCCACTCGGACTTGTCGCCCATCTCGGAGTTGATACCAGGCACAACAAGAGGCATGATGGTCAACGATGAAAGTCTGAATGATTACAAAAGTAGAATGTGATAGTGTGTTTGAATCTGGTCAAGTACAGCACAGAGAGAGAGAGAATATGCTACGCCAAGGTGCACAGGCAACTATATATGCCGGGTTGGCCGATGACGTAGGTGCCCGAGAAGAAAGATTAGTCAGTTTGGGGAGATTGGGATGGGAAGAGCCAGTAAGAATCCTGGGGAGTATATATACAGATTGATTCAGGTATGGGGCATTAAGCGGGGTATGTCCAACAGATCTCGGTGTGCTGTGTCGTGTGCTTGGATTCTGGTTTTGGTCGTTCTTGTTCTCGAAAATGAGGCTGTGGCGTAACTGTATACTTCATTCCCCGAGCAACAAGCTGCACTCGTATCACGTCATACTTGCGGAGCTGCTTGCTCTGCGTAGCGCTGGAGGGATGTTCCTGCCTCAAAAATAATTCTTGGGAACACTTCTCATGCTATCCTCATGGACTTCACCTGAAGGAAGTTACGATGGAAGCGAAATCTAGAGCGGCTACTCGGGCAACGCCCTTCCATCCAGGGTAGCCAACACTCTTGTAGTGTTAGTGTCACGACCACTTTTATTCCCTAATTTCTTCCACTTGAGACCTTATCCTTTGTTTCCTAATGTGAAGCACAAGGCTGATGCAGTTCGGATCACCAATCATAGCGGCAGAAAGAACCTGTGATGCTCCCGATGTTGTCTATGCAGGCCCTTGCCAGACCACAGCAGCAACCATGGATCAGTCCTTGAAGGAGCATAGCACATCATCTACAGGGATGCAAGATACTTTGACAACTGTCCACTGGATTCATCATGCTCTAGGAACGTTGGTCCCAAAGAGCATTCGACCACAGCAGAGACCAGATTCACTTGAGTCCACAGGATCAGGATACCAAGATGAACGACAGGACCATACCCCGAATGGAGAACCGTCCAAAGCTATGGCAGCCTCGTCCGTGGCAACTAGCACTCCCGCCATTACTAGCAGGTCTTCCACATCTGTCTTCAATGGCAGGACCTCCATCGCAGCAGCCACAGTCCTAGGCATCATCACCTTCGCCGCCCTCCTCTTCCTCGCCATTTGGTACCTCCGACACCACAGACGACGCAGAAAACACAAACTGCTGACCCAAAACCAAGACTTCGGGCAGTCAGAGATTACCCTCGGCGAAGATACCAGCAAGACCCTGGATGATTTCCTCATGAAGGACGTCCCGCTTGAACGAACCTCTTTCATGTTCAGTCGCAGCCGGTCGCCCTCCATCACCTTTGTGGTTGATGAAGCCGAGCGACCTAGCCTGAACAAGGCCCGCAACAGCTACGGCGCTTTGAGCAGTAGCCAGACCAAGCTGGAGTCACTGACTCGCATCTCAACGGATGGAACACGGCCAAGTCTCCTTTCATCGGAGTTGACGATGCCGACCTCACAGAGCGCCTCGGTAAACTCCTCGTCCAAGCCGGCATCTACCAACTCGGCAACACCCCGAGCATCACCTCGAGTATCAGTGTCTTCATCGCAGCTGTGGACCACAATTACCAGTTCAACGGACTGCCCCTCCACCATCACTCAAGAACAGCCATCCACCGCACCGCCAACATCCCGATCATCGCAGGTCTGGACCACAACCACCGGTTCAACCGAGAACAACAGTTCCATGACCAGTCCAGATAATCGGTCTCGTCTGTCAAACGGCTCGCGAGCTTCAAGTCGGCTGTCGGCGCAGAGTCCGCTGCGAGGTGGTGTTCGGCTGAGCAACGCTGAAAGTACGGGGTTGAGACGTTATCAGCGTCGCTCGCAGAGCCGGTCATCGCAGAATACGGTCGTTCCAGTATCTCCAACTGCGGAGTCTGGGTCTAGTGGTTCGGGCCAGTTGCCTTCTATCCAGTCGACTCCGTCGCCTTTGTTCCGTTCTTCGGAGAGTTGAGTACAGTGGTATGTGTTTTTGAGGGTTTGCCTCTTCAGCATGTGTTATGGCTAGTATGAGTATAAAGTATATTGTGTCGGTATGCATGGCGAGGCGGATTTGGAGTGGTTCTTGGATATTGTGCATTGGACGGGTTCACGATTGAGGATATTTTCGACACTCAAGGCGGTTGTCGGTAGACGAGGCCACTCATTATTCTTTGTTATTGAAAAGCCCATCAGTGTCCAGAGGAAATATATTTTGGTTCAGGATACTCGCACAATCGCTTCATTATCAAGCTATCCAGTGTTGAGTAGAACAACTAGCTACAAGCAGGGGTTTAATAACTTGGTTCGAGTCTCTGAGCACAGGACAACAGAAGTGCCATCAAGCGAACAAACAAACGAAGAAAAGAGCAAACGAAACCCCGAACAGATGTCAGTCATGAAATGTACAAAGAAAGTAAGGGAAAAGGAATCCCATCAACCAACAAGGAACCACGCTAAAAACGAGAAACAACGTATCCCATTGGAGATCTATCCGAACATGTATGTCATGCCGAGGAGAACAAACAAAAGGCAAAGGTCATGACTTCATCTCACGTACACTACGCAAACACCGCTCGATCCGCTTCCCACGCTCCCGTTCCCGAACAAGCGTATCCTTGACGAAAGCGCGGATGGCATCTCGCCCAACTTTCTCCCGCCACGTCGTCCACCCAGCTAGCTCGCCGATGACAACGTCTTTGTTCCAAGTAATCTCTTTCGCGAGACGAGAGGACTGCAGCTCTCCGTCGTGAATCTTCTGCTCGAGGTCTCGGACGGATTTTTGTCGGGATTCCTCGAAGCCGGGGAGGTTGATGTTGAATTTGCGTGGGAGAGAGGATGAGATTAGCGAGGAGCGGGAGCGGGAGATGCTTCGGTTTGTGGAGGTGAGGGTGGACATGAGGGTTAGTGGGCGGGAGAGAGATGTGAGGATTGCGGCGGTGGTGTTGTCCATTGATGTGAGTGCGGCCAAGAATTGGAGGAGAGGGGAGGAGTCGGATGTTGAGGTTGAAAGGTAGGTGCCGTAGCGGGTAAAGGCGTCTATGTAGGTCGATGGTAAAGCGTTGGTAGGTTCTTTAAGGGTGGAGAGCACGTTCGAGCAGAGGGTGACTGCGTCTGCGAGATCGGAAGCGCTGTTTTGTAGGGCATGTCCCCGTCGGAGCAGGCTGCGCGTGTTGACGTGTACGCCGCGGACCATGTCCTGGGCGTGAGAGATGAATTGTTCTGTGTCGCGCATGCCCTCGAGAGAAACAGGTGCGTACTCGTCGGCAATAGTCTCGATGAGTACAGCTGCCTTGCGCCGGGATCGATCGGCCATCATTTCCGGTTGTAGCTCGGGAACCAGGAAGAATTCCCATAGCATTTCATGGGTGGAGAAGGTCGGATGGGTGAGGAGGGTCTTCAGGAACCGATCTAGCTTTTCTTGAAGGTCGTGCAGAACAGAGCGAGAGGGCTTTGAGTGGACTTGGAATGGGTTCCGGAAATCCGAGAGAGATGGCACGTAGGAGGCAGGGTGCTCTACGGCTAGCCACTTGGCAAGGTTCTCAAAGTCACTGAAACTGCGGCGACATGTGGTGACTGTGTACGTTGTCGATCCCGGACGAGACGTGGCTATGGTTTCGGAGGGTGGATAGGGTGCGCCAGACTTGAGAATGAAGCGTACCGTTGCATCTTCGACGAAGAACGATCGAACGACGGTAGTCACACGGCCTGAAGGATCCCCACATGCGGATGGCGGATGCGATAGCAGGATCAGATCATCGATCCGGTTTCGTACTTCATCGTCCTTTGCCAGTTCGACTGCAGTCAATCCACGGGCCTCCTTGACATGGACATCGACCCTAGGATCCATGAATAGAATGCGAACCTGATCCACACGCCCATATTTACTAGCCATCATTAATGGAGTGAATCTCTTGTCGTTCGTTGCATTTGGGTCGCAATCGCTCTCCTGGAGAATCCGTGTCGTTATATCTGGATCGCCGACGATATGTAGTAATGTGTTGCCTTTCGCGTCCACATGGTCATCGAGCTGAAGAGGTTTCCCGTTTCCTTGGGCCTTCTGTGCTGCCGTTAAGCCGGCCTGGATCATCATTTTGTACTCGGGATGGTCATAGGACCGACAAAGAGCGAAGAGTGGAGTTTGCCCATGCTTGTCACGCTGTCGCCAGGGAACAAGTCTACCGAGCCGAGACAGTAAAGAAGGCGTGCTAAATAGATAGTGACCCACTGTCCGCCCGTGGACATCTGACTTCGTCAGGTACTTGGCAACGACACTCTCGTCGGTCTTGCTGAAGAGAAAGTCGAGAATAACTTCGACACTCTCGGCATGGCCAAGCTGCACGGCTGCATTGAGTAACGTAGTTCCATCCGCGTTGGTGTCTTCGAGAATATCCTCCAGGGGATAGAATTCTTCCAAGCTCAAAAGATACTTCAATGAATCGGTCTGGCGACTCTCCACTGCCATCATAGGAATTGAATCCCCGGCTGGATCTTGCGTTTTGGTCAGAGTTTCCAACGAAGTATCGCCTTCAATATTGCTTGCCATTGACCCAATGGTGGGCGTCCTGGAAATAAAAGAGACAGCCGATGACTCTGATAAGCTGCGGAGATCCATGGAGACCTTCTTGATGGGCCGGTGGTAATCCTTCTTAGGGGAGTCGCCGCTCCATGTCTGGAAAGGGAAAACATGTGCGAGAGGGGGCGCATCCGTGTCAATGGCTTCTTCTGGTACTGGTTGGCCATTGGTGAAGATCGAGCTACTGTACATGGACAACGTCTCGCGGGGCGATTCTTCTGGTTCCGAGGAACTATCGGTCCGGAAGAGTACAGACTTTCGCTCAGGTTCACGCGGGACAGCTTCATCGATAAACTCACAATCTCCATTTGGTTCGAGAATGCTTCTCATATCGGAAATCCGACCTGCTTTGGTGGCTTTCCATAGCCGTCGATTTCGTGTACTTGCGCGACGCAGACCAGCCGAGTCGGTCACAAGGTACATCAAAACTGCCTCGAAGGTGCTCAGTGCGTAGCCCATCTCACCACTATCCACATCATCAATGTATATAAAATGCTGCATGTACAACAGGCGAGCTTGAAGATGGCGAATCTGCGACCGGATGACAACAACCAACAGTAAAGAGACCAAAACATCAGCGTTGATTGTTAAAGGAGACCGGCCTTTCTCGGACGCTGGCCGATCGACATTGTCGTAGCTTCCAGGGAATGAGACGACTTTGACTGTCCCCAATAGGGTATTGAGCATCTCGTGAGGGCTCTTCGCATCGGCCATCTTGCGGAATTCTTCGACTCCACGTCCCAGCCGCCGAATGACTTCTCGTTTGCTTTCGCGTCCACCTTCCACGGAAATGCCAACTTGAGTCACATCAATGCTCTCCATGTGTCGGATTCGAGAGTCCAGCTCTGAATCTTCTGGTTGTCGGAAAGCGCATAGGCGAGGGAACAGAAGTGGTTCGTGTACTTGCTCTGCCACATATCGCTCAATAAGTCGCTCAACCAGAGGCCCCGTAAGATCAGTAGTGGCTCCCAACAGTGACAACTGCTGTTTATCAACGAGTCGAAAGAGATCAATAGCAGCTGTCACTGCAGTTTCCAGGCTTCGACGCATGAGATCTTCATCATCCTCAAAATATTCTTCCGAATTGAAGGGAAGCCGGCCTCGGCGGGATGACCAGCTGCGGATAGACGAGTTCTCATCTTGTAGGGAGTGCATTCGCGAAAGCCTATTTTCAGATTCACTTCCAGACGCAGAGGGCGAGCGAGACGGTGGTGGAGGTAACGGTTTGCCAAGCTCCTTGCCAAATTCACGGAATAACCTTTCCAGTCCGGGCTGCATTTGTCTCGCAATCATCGGAAAGTTCGCGAGCAGGTCGCCGAACGATTTGATCTCCTGCTTCGGCGGCGCTATAGATCCTCCATTGGTCGCTCGCTTATCAGAAGGGGTCGGTTCTATCGTTTTCATACTCGTCCCTGGTACTGCGGCTGGAATGATTCTGGCGGGATCGTATGACCCGACCAATGGGCGCGAAATGTAGTATATGAGCCATGGCCGGGACTCGTTAGACGAAGGATAATACAGCGCGTCTGAGAGAAGCTGGGCTTGCGTAAGGGACTTGAAGCCTGAAGATGAATTGTCCGTTAGTTGAGATAACGAATTCTGGCATATTTGTGATCCGCTCATGCCCACCTTTGTTACTGTAAACCGAGTTCTCTTTGATGATGACAGTCCTCCCATTGAACGTCGTCACTTGCTTCGCCTTGCCCCTATTATCGCGTACGTTGGATTCCTCCTTTCCGTTTGCTGAACCGGGGTTGATCGGGATACGCAGCACATGGCTCCCTAGGAACTCCTCCGACGCGACTAGGTCCGAGTAGTACAGGCTGGACTCCCGGTCGCGAGAGCCGATCAGGCATTCCGTTGTAGGAACGAGGAGAACCTGACACAGAGACAAATTCGCATCAACCATCCACTCCGGGCGATCCGAAGGGGTGCAGCATCTGGACTCACATGGTTCTCCACGGGTATACACTGCCCCGGTACAGTGCTTCGGAAGAAGGCACGGAGGAAAGGGTTTAGAGGGTGCATCCAAACGGTATTGGATGGCCCGGTATAAGATCTCTAGCAATCATCAAGTCGTGCGAATTAGAAATGGAGCCGTGGGGGAAGATTGGTCTGCAATGTCGATATTTCGCGGGGAAGAGCTCCGGCGCATTCAGCTGCAGGCAGCAGTCTGGGGTAATAGAGGCGGCTTAATCAGCGGCTGAGCAGTGGATAGAGAACAATGCCAGAATTTGGATATCAATCGATAGAATCAGCGCAAGAACAGACCGCAGAAAGGAAATGTACGACAACGGCACAATGCGAATCGAGCTGAACAGGGAGTTCGAGAACGTGATCGCTGCGGGAGCTGGCAACGCTATGCCGTTTTGGGTAATACTACAGACCAGGTCGATGTCAGGGTCTGGACCTGAATGTTTGCAATCTTTCACGAATAAAGAATAAAGATATTGGAAATGCGAGCTTCAGACATTATGCTCGGCAAAAAAAAATGATATTTTGGCTATTGTACAGAGAAATAAGTTAAGGGCAGAATCCATGTGCCAGTAGAACAATGGGGAACAAGGCTCAGTGATCCTCCACATGCGATATATAGCGCTCTCCACATGAGAGATCAAAAAAAGAACAACCCAGCACATACAGATCCACTCTGATCCCGGGAGGATAGAAGGAACGAGGCATGGACCCCCGTTTAACCCAGTCTGCGAACCTTGCGGCTACGAGTACCGCCAAACTTCACACGAGTCGAGTCAGTCACTCGACTAACAAGACCCCGGATGTTGCGTCCCTCGTTACCGAGGAGCACCTTTGTGAATCCATCACGACCCTTGCCAAAGCCCTGGAAGATAATCTCTAGCCGCTTGATATCCATCAAAAGGCCACGCTCCTGGATTTGCGAAAGAACGTGGGAGGACAATTGGTAGGCGGGATCAAAGCCGGCACGGCCACCTTTGCGGAATCCAATCTGGCCGGTGCCCATGGACAAGATAGGGTTACCATTCGGCCGTGTCAGCGTGAGGATGGTATTGTGCTTGTGTGCGTAGACGTGGAGGTGGTGAGGAGGAGCGCGGTCGGCGTAGGGGTTCTTGATCATGTCGGCTTCCAGGCTTTCGGCTAGTCGGGCGTAGTCAGCGCTGACACGCGAAGAAGCAGACGATCGAGATCCAGTCATCATCTTCGAAATGGCAGAGAGCGGCGAAGAGCTCTCGTCAGATTCGGGCTGGCGATCAAGGATCTGGTTCTCGATCGTTCGTGTCTTCTCCTTCAGACTTGAGGAGTCCTTCGGGGAGGAAGAGAATGACCGGATGGCACCTAAAGATGCGAAGCGAGGTTGACATTGCCGGCATACTGCAGGCAAGGTCTTTGCGAGGGCGTTCATCGAGAAGGAGTTCATTGCGGCGAGGGATGCCGGTGCCGCGGCGAGAATGAGGGACGCCGAGGTCGAGACGTGGGGAAAGAATCGACCAACTAGGTTGGTTCCGAAAATAATTATGCCACGCGCTGGTTTTGTTTTCGAGTAAATCAATTGAGCAGGGTGACCGTTGTAGCTGGCCGGGACGGTCGCGAAAGCCGTGATCGGACCGACGAGAGGCGGAAAGGAAACACTGGAAGTTTTTCGAAAGTCTTGGCATCTCCAGACTTTTTCCCTGTCCCGACTCATCTCTCCTCGGTCCAACCTCCGCTTCTCAACTATCTCACCCCGAACATCCGGGCAAGGCTGGATCTCTCTTGCTCTTCTTATTTCCGTGTTCTATTTTCCTTTTTCCTCGCCATACCTACTTCTAGAGCATGATTTCCGCCAAAATGTCCACCGCCACGCGGGCGGCGACTTTGCGCTCTCAGGCTTCGGCCTTCAGAGCCATTTCCCAAGGGTCTCGGACTCTTTCATATTCCGCATTGCCGGCTCAGACTTTGAAACTTTCTGGCAACAGCCAAAGGAACGCTCTTCAGCTGAACCAGCTCCCGGTATCCCAGCTCGTTTCGCCGTTTGCCGCCCTCCCTTTGACTCGATCTTTCCACGCTGCCACTCCTCTCTTCCAGCAACAGCAACAGCAAAAATCCAAGGAGGAGAAGAAGTCTGAGGAATCGCAGGGCGAGAAAGAGGAAGCCGGCAAGGAAGAGGAGAAGAAGGAGGAGGATAAGAAGGACGAGGCACCTCCACCACCCCATGGTGACAAGTCGCCCTGGCAAGTTTTCCGTGATACCCTCCAGACCGAGTTCAAGGCTTCCAAGGAGTGGAATGAGTCCACCAAGGCTCTGGCTTCCTCCGCGCATGAGTTCAGCGAGAATGAGAACATCAAGCGCGCTCGTGCGGCTTACCAGGCTGCTTCGGGAGCCGCGTCTACCCGCACATCCGAAGCTCTTAAGACGACCGGTCAGGTAATTGGAAAGAGTGCTTCCTGGACTTGGAATACTCCTGTCGTCAAGGGTGTGCGCAAGGGTGTCAGCGCTACCGGTGCTGGACTCGAGAAGGCCACGAGACCCGTGCGTGAGACTGAGGCCTACAAGAGCGTGAAAGAGGCCATTGATGATGGCAGTAGCTCGCGCTACGGTGGATGGATTGAGAAGGAGGAGCGTCGCAAGCAGCGTCAACTCCGTGAAGAAATGGAGATCAAGGCTGGCAAGCGCCCCCTGCAACCGATGGAGGAGGACCCAAAGTAAGTCTTGGCTTGTCACTCTGCTCAATGGATCGGATGCTAACTAAAGTTTCATCAGCGCCGGTACCAACATTACTCTTCACAAGGATGCAGCTTGGAAGGAGTCATGGAGCAACTTCCGCGACTCTAATCCCATGATGCAGAAGCTCTTTGCCATGAGGGATGTCTACGACGAGTCTGAGAACCCGCTCATCAGCACTGCTCGCAGCATTACCGACCGCATTGGTGGATTCTTCGCAGAGAACGAGACTGCCATGGTCGTCAAGAAGTTCCGTGAGATCGACCCCAACTTCCAGATGGAGGAATTCCTGCGCGAGCTGCGCGAATACATGCTTCCTGAGGTTCTGGATGCCTACGTCAAGGGTGACGTCGAGACCCTAAAGCTCTGGCTCTCTGATGCTCAGTTCTCGGTTTACGCCGCTCTTGCCAAACAATACACCACTGCCGGTCTGAAGTCTGACGGCCGTATTCTGGACATTCGTGGCGTTGACATCTCCAACGCTCGTCTGCTGGAGCCCGGCGAGATTCCCGTGTTTGTCGTGACTTGCCGTGCCCAGGAAGTTCACGTCTACCGCAATGTCAAGACCAACGAGCTTGCCGCTGGTATGGAGGACAAGGTTCAGCTGGTCACCTACGCTATCGGCCTGACCCGTATTCCCGAAGAAGTCAGCAACCCTGAGACCCGGGGTTGGAGATTGATTGAGCTGCAGAAGGCCGCTCGTGACTACATCTAGGCTTGTCCAGCGGATCTCATCTCATCACGCGATAACTACCGATTGTTCCTTTCAAGACTATATTCTCCTATTTGGATCATACCCTCTTCCCTACAACCCCTTACTCCTCGTCCTCTCGACTGTACAATATGACTGCTTGATTCCTCAACAGGCCGGTCTGGCGCTTGTTTACGGTTATGTCTGCCCTCGGATGCCACAGTGTCAGCCTTGTTTCTCTTGCAGATTTCTTCCCATTCTTCATGTATTAATGTTCTTTTCTCATCTGTCTCCTGTTTCGTTATCTTGTGAACCTGTTGCTGTCATTGACCAACGGGTTCTTGCAACAAAAAACACCCCTCCCATTTCCATAGACTCGGACTCGGCTTGTGTTGGACTTTGAGCTGATCTGATGCGCATTTGGTCTTGAGGTGTTTTGTGGCGTCTTTGTGCTTTTGCATTTTCACTCTCCCCTCGACACTGTTTGATCTGCATGTGGGCCATCCGGTTTGGCTGGTTAGGATGTCGTTGGCTGGATGCACTCGTCTGTAATCTGTGATTCTGGCGGGTGTAGAGACCAGTCAGACGGAGTTACATCAAAGTTGTATAAATATATCAGAGAAGAATATAATCTTCATGTCTGCCTACCATCAACTCCCATCTGATGATGCCTGCTCGTTGAGTTCATAGCACACGCATATTGGCAGCAGACATCCAGGGTTTTTGTCGTCCACTTTGAGTTTGGATACAAAATCTGAATTAAATACACAACTTTCAGTTCCTGTGCAACAACTGACCGAGGGACATCGGTCTGATAACGGTTGATCACGGGTCGGATGTGATGAGATGGGCGGTCTTTGTCCACAGCTGGACACTCAGAGCCCTGTCACTATTTTCTTGCTTTATTACGGTCCTCCATAAGAGAATGGTGGATTAGTGTCCATTCGATTAGATCTTTATTTCGAATATCTCCTCTACGTGGTGGTCAACACTTCTCGAAGGCGGGTAACTACCTAAGCACATAATTTCGATTTGTAATCACGACCATACAACCTACGCACATCCAGTCCGTGACACACCTCAATTTCGGTCGTGTTTTCTAATTTTTCTATAACAAAGGTCTGTCCTTTGTGGGAAAGGTTACAAGCAAGTCGAGGCCCGATGATGCCTACCGAGCCCTGAGTGCTGTTTCGTTATGATGGTCGCTCACGAGGGATTCAGTATAGGTAGGCAGAAGCCTCAAGACCTCACAAAGCTTCGTTATTGATAGCAATCCGTGAAGGGAGCCAGTATCATTTCATCACTATCCAAAGTTCAGACGACCGCGCAGCGAGGCGTGCAGCTCGATCACATGCTGTCGGTCGAGGTCTCGAGAACAAGCGAAAGCAGCAGCTGAAATTGGGTCATAACTTTCGGGTGAACACCTCTCAAAACGATACTCAAAACAATACTCAAAACGATAATAGACGACATACAAGAAGGGAAAAAGTAAACACAATTTTGTTCAGTCAGCCATGCATGTCCTTTTCAGCCTCCCCGGGCTTCTTTCAATGGCTAGCCACAGAATCACCGAGGCTGCATGAGTTGCTGAATCGAGGTGAGTTTGTTTAAAAACGGCCATAATGAGTTCATCAAGATTTACAGATGATATAGGGCGCACCAGACTAGCTGCGGAGCCAGTATTAAGCCTTTCAGATGAACTTGTACTCCAAAATTTTCTTCCAATCCTTCGAACAAGGCCAGACGACTCTCTTCTTCTGAACGCTATCATGCTTACATTCTCATTTGCACTTGCTACCGGTAACTTCAACAAGGAGTGTCTGGAGTATCAAAGCGCGACTTTGAGTTCAGTTCGCGAGAGAATTTTCTCCCCAAACAAAGCCACCATGGAGTCGACGTTGGGTGCTATTCTGCTTCTTGCTGGTGTGGAGGTTAGTTTGAAACCAAAGTTGTTTCTGATAATAGCTAAGATGTTCTGATCTTACAGGCTCAACAAGGAGTGCCATATCAAGTACAGCTCCATATGGGGGCAATTCACCAACTCCTCGAAGTATGCCAAAGAAAGGGTGTTTATTTGAGCGACGGGATCAAGCGTGCAATATTCTGGTGAGTCAACTAGGTAACAATTCATAGAAGATTCATATTAACATGATTTTACAGGTCGGACTTGAACGCTGCAGTCATGACAGGGTCGATCCGGGTCGTTGATCACACAACCTTCTCCGAGCTCCATTGGGGAAGAGACCCTTTCTCTCCTGAATTCTTCACGTTACCGCCAGGTTTCCAAGTCCACTCTCATTTACTTGGCGAAAAGTTTGTTGAGATACTCGAAGACATTTATGCTTTGCAATGCATTCGAGACTCAGCCCTTTTTGGCAAAGAGGATGTAATATCAATGGCCCATATTGATAACCATCAGGGCTCGATCCAGTCAAGGCTGGTAGCTCTGCCAAATCGCTCACCCATTTCGAATTGTTGTCACATTGCGGCATATCTATGCTCAACCATGCTGCGCTGCAAGATTTGGCGCACTTCGACCATTCCAGTACGTATATCGCCCCAGCCGTCTCTTCTGTGACTCTTCTGACTTGGATATTATCAGTCCCATCTCTCCCTGAAATTGCTTTGCAAGCTCCAAAGCACAAATGAAGATTCAATATGGAATGATTCGCCTGAACTACTAATCTGGCTTCTGCATATTGGCGGGGCTTTTGCACCCGCAGGGACTATCCGAACGGCCTACCAAGATTTGCTGCATTTGAACATGAGCACTAGATTCAGAGGTATGTATACGTCTTGGACAGAATTGTGTGACATTCTTCAGCAATTTATTTGGTCCGAGAAAGCATTCATGTCGCAGCTCAAGGCGTTCTGGGAGGAAAGTCAAGTCCAAGATGGGGCAGAGTAGACAAATTGCACGCCAAAGCTTACTTGTGCTTCCCACAAGCTATGCTTGTTTATAGCCTGCGTTGAGAATGATGATATAATTTGTTTCCCTGCTGTATCTCCCGTAGTTCTATTCATAAAAGTAGAATGAGCCCGGAAAACTGTTTCTCCCTGGCCTATTTGTAATCGCGATGTCTTGTACCTTGTGCCCATTGCTCCACAAGTGGCGTGATGATTGGCTGGATGTCCATAACTGTCTCCTAATATGGAATAGAGTCTCGACCTTACCTTAATTGGAAGTATCTTTCTTCCTTTTCAGGAACTATCTCTGTACCTTGAATGTATATGCCAAATTACTCACAATGACTCCCAAAATTCCAAAGGCTTTGGGCGAAGACTACAAATACTCAGTTTTCGTCGAAATAAAAAGACTCAGACTTTGTCCTCTATCCATCTTTGAGACTGGCTTTCCAACCAATTCAGCCATGACTTCTCAATCACGTCTTTTTCAGCCTCTCAAGATAGGCGACATGGAGATCCAACATCGTATCGGTATGGCTCCACTTACTCGTCTCCGCGCAACACACGACCGAGTACCGACATCATTGATGAAGGAGTACTACAGTCAACGGTCTGCAGTGCCCGGAACCCTGCTCATCGCCGAAGGAACCTTCATATCCGCAACTTGCGGTGGTTTCCCTTATGCACCAGGAATTTGGCGTGAAGATCAAGTCGCCGCTTGGAAAACCATCACTGATGAAGTCCACAGTCGTGGATGCTTCATATTCTGTCAACTATTCGCAATGGGCCGTGCTGCAGATGTCGAATTAGCCCGTGAAGAAGGTGCTTCAATCCTAGCACCTAGTGCCATTCCAATAGATGAAGGCGCTGCAGTGCCCCAAGCTATGACACTCGAAGAGATCCATCAAACGGTCCAAGATTTTGTGAAAGCTTCAAAGAATGCCATTCGCGCTGGCTTTGACGGTGTTGAAATACATGGTGCTAATGGATACCTCCTGGACCAATTCATTCAAGATGTCAGCAACAATCGTCAGGACGACTATGGAGGCAATGTGGAAAATAGATCTCGTCTTCTCGATGAAGTTATTAAAGCTGTTGTCGACACTATTGGTCCCAAGCGCGTCGGGCTTCGTCTAAGCCCGTGGAGTACATTCCAAGGGATGAGGATGGTTGATCCGATCCCGCAATTTACAGACGTCATCAAGAAAGCAAGCCAGTCGGATATCACATACCTTCATCTCGTCGAGTCCCGGATATCGGGTGCTACAGATTTCGAGGCCCATGATTGCTTGGATTTTGCATACGAGCTCTGGAATGGTCCTCTTCTTGTCGCTGGCGGGTATACCCCCCTGGAGGCGCGCAACCTTGTGGATGAAAAGTATCCGGCAAGAGACATTTTAGTCATATTTGGTCGGTTTTTCATATCCAATCCAGACCTCATTTATAGAGTGAGGGAGGGTCTGAAGCTGAGCCCATACAACAGGGAAACTTTCTATGTTGTTCAATCTCCAGAGGGCTATTTGGATTATCCCTCGAGCGAGGAATATCTGCTGGAAGGGTCCCGCTGAGACTTAAAATGGTGATGCATATGTATCGTTAAAGAATTTCGTGTAAAAAGAATTGTTCATTTCTAAAGAACGCTTCTGAAACTTGAAACCACTGTAATAGCATTACGATCATGTCTTTTGTTTTCAAATGTCATCCATTCGTCGTCCAATCCATAAATTACTGGCCACGGCCAGCACCACCCATCATGTTGCGAGCCCTGAAATCGAGATTATCAGTATATCCCGTTGAAGGAAATCAAAATCCAATGTCGGACTTACATCTCAGCAATGTTGGGGTCGCTCATGAGGCTCGACATATCGGGCATACCGCCACCCTGACCAAAGCTCTCGGCCATCTGACGGAGTTGGGGGTTGCTCATCAAGTTGTTCAGCATATCGGGGTTACCCATCAGATTCTGAGCCATGCTGGCGAACATGGGGTTGTTCATCATGGAGCCCAGGTCAGGCATACCGCCGCCACCGCCAGCACCGCCGCCGAGCATGCTAGCCAGGGAAGACAAGTCGGGCATGCCGCCAGCGCCACGGGAAGCGCCAGGGGCAGTATCCAGATCCTCGGATGGGGGCTCAGTAGCGCGGCTAGCCTCCTCGATCTTCTTGCTGCATGTCTCCAGACCGCGCTTCATGGCCTCACTACCACCGGTACCCTCGGCCTCAATACCCTTCTCGTAGGCCTCCTTCGCGGCGTGGTAGTCGCCCTTGTCGAACCGAGCAAGACCAAGACGGCTCCAGGCCTTCGAGTACTTGGGATCAACGGCAACGGCCAACTCGGCATCGTCAGCGGCCTTCTCGTGCTGGCCACACGCAGAATAAGCGGCAGCGCGGTTGGAGAGGTAGATCGGGTTGGCCGGGGCAATCTCCAGGGCCTTGGAGTATGATTCGACGGCGGCAGCGTAATCCTTCTTGGCCATGAGAGCGTTGCCCTCTGACTTCAGCTTGTCAGATTCCGGGGTAGGGGCGCCGGCCTTGGGCTGCTGCTCCTGGGTTTCCTGGGTTTCCTGGGTTCCTGCAGCAGCCGCCTGAGGGGTAGATCTGCTCCGCAGCTTCTCGTAGACGCTATAAATGCTGGCAAGAGACTGTCCACCCACGGCCTCCTTCACAGCGGCCTCATCGGTAGGGTCGACCTTGAAGGTATCGGCGATACAGGACTGGGCGATCTCAATGGATTCGGCATCATCGGCGGTGAGAGTGCCGTCCTTCAGGCTGGAGCCGAGGAAGTCAATGATGGCCAGAGCCAGGCGCTTCTTGCTTTCTGTGGGAGCCTGGAAAAGTGAATCATGTCAGCTCAGAAAGGCCGTATACTAGCCGGGTAAACAAATCCTTACCATGATGGCAGTGATCTATAGAGAAAGAAAAGAATGAGAAATGGAGGGGCTCACAGCAGCTCAGGAGTCGAAAAATGACAATGCGGGGGGAGCTTTTGCACGTGATCCATCTTATCGTCCCCGTTGGCCCAGACTGTTTGGGAACTGCTCGTTTGGATAGTCTCTCAATTTCCTCCGCGCCAGTTGGAGTCTGGCCTTGAATTGCGACTGTTTTTGGAGCACAATGACTCCATGTGAGCTCCAGTGCCGGTCTTAATACTCCCTCCCCCCTGCGACCCGAGCCATGTACTGGCCTAATGGAGTGCCCCGGGTCTATGCGGTCAACGGCCCTAACATTGCCCATGTCTCGGACGACGTGAATCGCCGTGGCACCAGCAGTTCCTTGGAGGAGGAACGACGTTCTATAGACTCCAAAGAGTCAACATATGGCGCTCACGACTCGGAGAATCCAGAAAGACGGGGTAATGATCTCAACCCCGAAGTGCCCCCGTCCGAAGCGGATGCCTCCCAATGGGAGCAAGAAGCTATCAGTGGCCTATGTGTTTCTCGCTCAGGGCATATGTTTGCAACCATAACTGAATCTTCTATTTCATTATGGCAGACCAGGGTATGTCTTCCGAAGTGTCGACTATAGCTCTTGGTCGATACTAACTCATGTGGCAGCCCACGGCAGTCGTAGCTGCGATAGCTCGGTCCGCATACTCGCTGAAGACTTACGGGCCAAATGTGGCAATTCTCATGCATCCTGATTCGACAATTCTTGTCGTGCAGACTCTCAATGGATACCTCCTCACCTATTCGGTTGCTTCGGACCCTGCGACGCGAGTCTACCAGCAAATGTTCGACCACTCTACGCATCCACGCCGCCAACAGCTGGCGCATTTCTCGGCCGTCGAAGAGGCAAACGTGGTGGGGGACATAAGTATCAGGTTCCGGATGGCAATCAAGATTGAGTCAGGGATTGTAAAAGCATTAGCGCTGGACCAGGAGCTCATCGTCGCCACGGTGAAGCCCCTGCTATTCAGTGCATCCGTTGGGCTCCGGAAGCCAGCGGAACACAGACCAAATCTGAAATGCTGAACCGCATATTGAACGTACCAAAAAAGGTCTCGGTTGTCGACATGATCTATGACCGTGCCATGAATCTTTTAATCTGGCTCACCAGCAATGGTCAGGCCTATGCCGTTCAACGGGTGCCTGGGGTGCAAGAGGAATCCGATGCGCCTAAAAAGCTGTTCCATGGTCACTGCTTCCATGACCCCAAGGGCGACGGTGAAGAAGCTGTCAATGTGGCAGTCAATGCGCGGTTCTCCCTACTTACGGTCAGTTGCGCAAACGGCGAGGTCCTGGTTTACACTGCCAAAGATTACACAGGGAATGTGCCACTTTCCCAGAAGTTGGATCCTCCCGCATCTCCTTCATCTACCGGAAAATTGACGTTTATGAACTACTCTCCCGATGGATATTGCCTGTTTGCTGGCTACGAGAAAGGGTGGACAACATGGAGCGTCTTCGGGAAGCCCGGCGGTAACAGCTTCTCCGTCGACCCTGCTTTGGCAACATCGAACGGGGAAGATTGGCTCACAGGTGTCTCGAATGGTTGCTGGATAGGCGGCGGGTCCGATATCATCTTGTCCGCGCAGAATGATCGGCGTCTCTGGATACTAGAGACAGCGCGCAGCGCCTTGACAGGATGCTTTTCCGCTGCGAATCTGGCTCGAGGGTTGCTCCAGACAGGGACTGAATTCATATTATATCGTGGACATGACCTGCCCGATCTGATGACTATCTCCGGCAAGGATTCACTCTGGCACCACGCCCAATATCCTCCTGCATATCTTCACTCGCAGTGGCCTATTCGATCCTGTGTGGTGTCTCAGGATGGGAGGTATGTGGCAATTGCTGGTCGACGTGGATTGGCGCATTACAGTGTCAACAGTGGCCGGTGGAAAGTCTTCGAGGACTCTAAAGTGGAGAACTCGTTTGCCGTCCGAGGAGGCATGTGTTGGTACGGGCATATCTTGATCGCGGCTGTTGAGAGCGATGGCTCATACGAGGTTCGTGGTTTCAAATTCAAGTTTTTATCAATGTAATCTAACGGGATTTATTAGCTGCGTCTTTACTCGCGCGAGAATGCCCTGACGAATAGCTCCATCATGCACATCGAATACCTCCCGTCACCTGTGGTCTTCATTGGTCCCTCTGGGGAGGACTCGCTCTTAGTCTACACTTACGACAACATTCTTTATCACTATATCATCAATTCTATGCAGACACACATAACCCTTGTTCCAGTTGGGCAGATTGCCTTTAACGGAATTGTCAGAGCACCTACTCGAGTCCGAGCAATCAGCTGGGTCTTGCCTGAGGATCAAATGCGTGAGTCTCCTTGTACTACTTACTGCCTGATATCTACGAATATGTGCCTGACATCGTCTTCGATAGGAAATGGCGATCCCTCTCAGGACGTGAAGGTAGCGTCAGTGCTCCTACTAGTTGATGGTAACCTTGTTCTCCTTCAGCCCACAGTGACGGACACTGGCGATCTCAAATACGACATGCGTATCATCTCCCATGACGTGGAGTATTATATCCTGATGCGCGACCAGCTTTCCTTCAATTTCTCGTCTCAGGTCGACGAGTCTCTGCCATCCAGCCCCTCTGCCGATATGGCTCTCGAGCCATCATACAGTAGCCTGTCGCTTCGAGACTCCTTATGGATGTTCCAAGGAAAGGATCTTCTAGCTTGGAATGACGTCCAAGACATACTTCAGCAAGAGATGCTGCCGACACCGCTCAACATCCCATTGGATTTCTATCCACTGTCGGTGATCCTGAATAAGGGTGTCGTGCTCGGGGTAGAATCCGAAGTGACACAACGGCGAGACGTCACCTTCACAAGCCTAAAATTCGCCATTCGAGTATGTTCCGCTAATTATGTTGCCCTCGTCTCTTCTCACCTAACTCATTCAGACACACCTTTTCCTCCCGTACTTCCTGCAATACTGCCTCGTCCACCTTGGAACACCAGCTGCGCTCTCCCTATGCCGACACTTCTCTCACCTGTCCTATTTCGCCCACGGTCTCGAAATCTTACTCCATCACGTCCTAGACGATGAAGTAGATAACGAAAGTCGTGCAAACAAGGCTGATGGCCTGGTAGCCCGTGAAGAACCCCTTCTACCTACCGTCATCACCTTCCTCCAGGCATCGCTACCCACCCGTGAATATCTCGACATCGTCGTACAATGTACACGCAAGACAGAACTCCGATTCTGGCGCACCCTCTTCACATACCTTCCCCCACCAAAGGACCTCTTTGAACAAGCCCTCAGACTCGACTCGCTCAAAACAGCCGTTGGCTATCTGCTCGTGCTGCAAGCATTCGAGGATGAAGAGGAACATGGCCATGACGGGCACATTGAAGAATACGTCGTCCGCCTCATCGGCCTGGCTTCTCAAAAGGGCGACTGGGAGCTTTGCGGTGAGCTTGCCCGATTCTTGATTGCCCTTGATTCCTCGGGCGAAATGCTGCGGCGTGCAATTGGTCGCGTCGGTTTGCGTTCCAGCCCGAGGCCGTCGCCGAATGGTAGCCATTCGGGCTTGGGGTCGAGAACCGCGTCAGCGGCCAGTGTGAGGGGTCTTGGGTTAAGTCTTCCGGCCCGCACGCCGTCTTGGACATCCCTTTCTCCGACTGCCTCGCCCTCTCTACTAGAAAATGGGCGTGATGGAGAGCTGTCTGACGAATACTCACACTCTGTGGATAGCCGTGACGGTTCATGAGCTAGTAATTCGGTCTGGTCGAGCTTATATCCCATCACCTTGCCTCCTGGGCTTTTTGTATATAATATCAATTTAGCGAACTGTTCTCTTCATATGAAGCCGTCTTTCTATGATTGTACTTTTGTTGAAAATAATGATAAAAACGGAGCCCTTGCAAATATTGGCATCCACCTTAAAAGTTAACCATACAACGAAACACATACAACTACAATTCCTCTACAATCATCCAAATGCTTAACATCCTCCCAAAAAGAAGAACCTTCCAATATTCGCATATTTTCTCATTCCCATCCCAAAATTTTCATACCAACATAAAAAGAATCATCAACCACAAGGGTATCTATACCAAACCAACCCGCCTAATCCCTAATCCCTAATCCAACTGCAACGTCCAGAGCCCATCACCCAAATAATGCCCCTCATCCATAACAACCCCCTTCCCCTTACTCTTCATCTCCTCCGTGCCAACCTTCAACGCACCAACAAGACAAATCTCCTCCTTCCCCTCCGCCTTGATAGCAACGACCTGCCCAGCCTCCAGCGCGTGCTCTGCGTCCGGGAGACGGCCGCCCGGCGAGGTCAGGCCGGGGGCCATTAGGGTGGCGCCGGAGAGAACGAAGCGGATTGCGCCGCGGTCGATTTGGATTGTTGGGAGGGCGGTGGGGTAAGCGTGGAGGAGGCGGAGGTGGGGGATTGGGGGGTCGTCGAAACGTTGGAAGAAGAGCGGGGTGGAGTCTATTGTGTAGAGGGTAGCGCGTTCGGGGCTAGGGGTGTTGGAGGGGGTGTTAGTTTCGGGTTTATCTTTGTTTTGGGGGTTGAGTTTGTGTTCTTGGGGAGTTGGTGCTGGGGGATGGCATCGTTGGACGTAATTTTGTGGTGTAGATGGGAGACGAGGGTGAGGATTGGAGGTGCTAGGGAGGGGGAGGAGTGCGTACAGCTTGACTGCTTCGAGAGAGGCCTTCTTGGGCATGATCTCTTCGATGTAGGGCTCAAAGCCGGGGTAAGTCTCCAGCAGCTTTTGCCGTAAGGCGCGAGCTGCGGAGGACTTGACCTTGGAGCGGTTGCTCGGTGGGATACTGCAAGACATGTTAGTAAAAGCTTTTCCTTATCCCTTCCAGGGTCTTCTTTCAAAGCTGGCACTCGTAGAATGTGCAAATGGAGCTTTGATGTGCTGAATAGCTGTCTTCGGAGATTGAGCCTGTGCGAGAGGTCCCATATCCCATTGGCCCGCCTCGGCGGGCGGATCAAAGTCCAAATCCAGAGTTGGTACAGCTTTGGGGGTGAAACTATGTGATCAAAGGTATCACTCACTCTTTTTTGAACATGATGCTGGTTGTTGGAGATAACTGGATGCTCCGAGTGGCAGAAGTGGGATGCGCGGGGGAGTCACGTGATGATATTTGCAAAGCAGCGAGAAGTTCCAGAGGAACGAGGAAAGAGGAGGGCGTCATTGGAATTGGGATGTTAAGATAAGGGATCTAGGCCACTGATGCGAAGTGAGAATTCGAGCTGAGAAAAAAAAAACCGAATGAGTTACATATTTGCATAACTGATCTACGAAGAACTCTTTACGATCGAGGATTGTGGAGAAAAATGTATGATCAATTTTGAACGAGGTGAATCATTTATTGAGCTACTAAAACGCGCTTAGGACTTGGCAGCACCAGCCTTAATGAGCATGATATCGCCATCCTCAACAACGTAGTCCTTGCCCTTGGTCATGACCTTGCCGGCAGCCTTGACGGCACCCTCATCACCGAGTTCCTTCAAGGTGCTGTAGTTGTACACAATAGCCTGAATGAAGGTCTTCTCAAAGTCGGTGTGGATGACACCAGCGGCGCTGGGGGCCTTGATGCCCTTGCGGATAGTCCACTGGCGAACTTCATCCGCACCGGTAGTGAAGAAGCTGGCCAGGCTGAGAGCCTGACGCATGGTGGTAATGACTTTGGGCAGGCCGGAGGCGGTGCCTAGGTTCTTGCACTCCTCGGCAGCGGCCTCGTCACCCATCTGGGTCAGACGCTCCTCGAACTGGGCGGAGATGGGCAGAATGGGCGAGTTGGGGGACTTCTCCTTAACCCACTCGAACAGCTTGGGGAGGTACTTGTTCTTCTTGCGGATGAAGTCCTTCTCGCTCAGGTTGACGAGGTAGACGACAGGCTTGGCAGTCAGAAGGAACAGAGGGTTGATGACTTCGACCTGGAGATCAATTCTTGTCAGCATGAAAGAACTGAAAAGAGATTGAGATGATTTTTTGTTGAGATCAAAAAAAACTCCAATGTTTTTTTTCAGTGCAGTACTTTAATTTCAAGATGCCCTCGAACGTGATATAAAATGAGGGATTCAACGAGCTGGGATTATCGCGCAAGCGCTTATTCATCATAAAAACATTGGAGTTTTTTTTTACCCTGGGGAAGGGGTGGGTGCAAAATACGGGGGGAAAGGATTTTCAAACGTACCTCCTTAGGGCCCCATTCACCCTCACGGATATCCTTGCCATCCTTGAGCCACTCGAGGACCTTGGCAGTAGTAGCCTCCTCCTCCTTCAGCTTCTTCATCTCCAGCGATTGACCACCACGACGGGTCTGCTTGGATAGAGACTCGAGGGCCTTCTCGACGAACTCGATATCCTTAATGCGCAGCTCCTCGCTGATGATGGTCAAATCACGGACGGGGTCGACGTCACCCTCGACGTGGATAATCTCGGCATCGTCGAAGCAACGAACGACCTGGAAGATGGCATCGACGGCACGGATGTGGGACAAGAAGGAGTTACCCAAGCCAGCACCGGTGGAGGCACCACGGGTCAGACCGGCGATATCGTACACGGTCAAGTTGGCGGGCACCTGGGACTTGGGCTTGTAGTGGCTGCAGAGCCAGTCGAACCGCTCATCGGGGACAATGACGCGGGCCTCTTCAGGGTCAATGGTGGCATAGGGGAAGTTGGCCGGGTTACCCAGCGAGGACTTGGTGATAGATTGGAAGAGCGTCGACTTGCCGACGTTGGCAAGACCAACCTAGATAGATCACATTGTAAGTGATTGAAAGGGGGTTTAAACAAGGTGTTGTGGGTGAAAGGTGTTGAGAGAAAAAAAAGAAAAGAAAAGGAGAAGGGGGAATGGGCGGAAGGAGGTTTAAATAGTTTTTTGGTGGAATTAAAAAGTGGACTGTGCTGTGCGAGGAAAAAAAAAAGAACCACAAGAAAAAAACACACAGGAGGGTGGGGTCATTGCTCACATACGATACCGCTCTTCAAGTTGTTGCCGGGACGGCCCAGCAGGACCTTTTCTTGAACTTGGGCCTTCTTGGGAGGCATTTTACTGGATTTCTTCTTCTTGCTGGAGTAGAAGCGACAGAGAAGAGGTGGAAGGTGGGGGGAAGAGGAGGAGGAGCAAAGGCGGAAGCGGGCGCAGGGATGGCGCGCGGCAAAAGCAGGACCAGCTGCGGATCGATCGACGATACGAAGGAAAAGAACGGACGAAGATGGAAGAGACGTGATGGCGAATTGCCCACAAGCACAGTGGGCAAGGTCAATTGGCTTGAGAAAAGCTGATATCAAAGAGAGAAGCTCGAGCAATCGCGTGGAAAAGAGAGCAACCTGCAAAGCCTCTGCGAAGTTTTCTGCCGGTCAGTGACCAATTTGACCGCCCACGTGATGACCGAGCCCTGCCCGGGACTGAGCTACGTCACTACCATCCACCTTGAAAATGTATTCCTGTATTAGGTATGGTACTAGAAGTGGTATGAAAGCCTAGGAAGCTGGAAAAAGATACCTATATTATATTTCCAGTCGGTATAGAGCCTTGCATAGTACTTGTTGTCGAGTGACTTGGAAGATCCTTGCGAGGCAAGTGGAATTATGCGAAATATACAAAATGACAAGTACGATGCCTCCGATTGAATTACACGACCTACATAGAATAGGAGGGCATTGAGGATGATTGAAGGTTGATCCCTCCCAGATTTGATTTTAAGGCCCTAGAAACCTTGAAATCCTTTGGGACATTAATTACCAAGAGCAATATATGAGCTTCTTCCCTGCTATTACTTAGCATTAGCTTTTTGAAGCGAGATCACAGTGGAATGGGGAACAACAATGCTGACCTCGGTGATGGTCATGACAGGCTGAATATTAACCAGTGTGCAAAGCTGCATAATGGTGGGGATAGGTTTATCTGCCCTGGATTCGCGCTCCTGAACAGAGATTCGTGGTCTGGAAGACATCCGGATAAGATTCGATATCAAATCCTGTATCAGAAGCAATCATATGCGCGCAAGAAATACGCACATTTGCTGGACCCTGAGGACATTGTCGTTGTTGGCTCAAATTCAAGCAGGAGGCTGACCGAGCAAGAGCTGAAAAGAAACATTGGACTGGTTCGATGCGAAGAGGATTGTACGAGAGAGAGCTGAAAGAGATTGAAGAAGAGGAGTCTGGATTGATAATTGTTCGGCCCCCAGGTACAACTCCTTCGCCAGCCACAGTTCCATGGACGACGACATCTACATCCATCTTTATCACTGGTGAAGCGAAGGGTCTCAGCTTGTCCAAAGGCACGGGTTTCCCCCAGCAGACTCCAATGTAGATAATGCCTAGCCGTGCTCTCAACAGACAGTTATTGATCTTACCAAGCCGTTGGTTTTATCGCTAGATCTTGTTCCACTGGAAGTCCACAGTCCTTTTGAAATTCGTAATCATCAAACATTGAATATGATAGTCCCTTGCTAATCCCATCAACACTCCCTCGCTGCCCATTTCCCCTGCTCTTGAGGACCAAGGTTTCGACCTGTCCTAACTCTCCAAGGAGTCTCTAAGGCGGTCCCCATGATACCATTTTTCCAACGTGGTCTGGCAGCTTCCCTGTCGAACGGGCTGGGCCAGCCATGGGCAAAGTAGATATCCAGTATATCCTGAAATACGTCAGATTGCAGCCAAATAATACCACTTCACCCTATATAGCATTTTTCGTACCTTTATCTCTTGCGACATATCAAGCCCACCATCGGTCCCAAAGATAACGGGCCATGAGCCTTCACGCTGAACATGCGGGATTCAGTTCAAGTTCAAGTTCAAGTAGTACTTCTTGCACTGCTCGAAGTATTCTTTGATCGGGGCGGTAACATCATCACACTCTTGTAGCCAATATCACGGATTCTCTTCCGTGTAAAGCACGTCGATTTCCCATCCACTTGCTTCATGCTCAGTCACCCTGCCTAGTCGCGTTAGATAATTACTAAAGCGAAATACTAAAGATCAAGGGCAAATAGCATTCAAGGGCCATACCATCAGTAGTGTCAAACATCAAAGACTTGCCATAGCGACCCCCAAATGTCAAATTGATCACCCATGGCGGGAATTCAAAATCCCCAGGGGTACAAGGCTTGTAGTCCTTCGGTTGCTTGTTGACATAATCGCATGGTCTTGAATCAGGCATAATTTGCCAAACTTCGCGCCGAGAATCCACGTAGGGCAGGTGACGCAGTAGCTCAATTACTTCATCGCTCTTCTTGGCGAGCCTCTCCTTGGTGATCTGTGGCCACCCCTCTGGTGGTGGGTAGAGGATGTCGCTTGGCTCCAGGAAGGGCATTTTGGTAAGGAATTGGTAGTAGTCCATCACAGCCGCGATAGTCTCGTCGCGACTATAGGATGGAACTTTTAGGCGAGGGTCTGGAGGTAAATCCATGATTGCAGAGAGTGGAGGTTGAAACAAGAACGAGGCGGCGTGAAGATTGACAGAGTCGACTTTTTAGTACTTTATAGTGCTGGGTACTTGGCTGTAACGCGAAATGTGGCGGATTACTTATATGTAGATGGTTAAAATATACAGTAAGGCCTACAAATAAGATATCCCAGGGTCGCCTCGGCTGTAACCGCGATCTGAAAGATGTTTAGCTACTCTTACTTTCAGGGTCTATCCAGTTCATCTCTCGAGTGGGGGAAACTTGAGAAAATCAAGCGTGCCACCAGGAATTGAAGAGACCTACAGGCCAGTTCATACAGCGAGAAAATACTGATCCTTGATGATTGCCAGAACAGATCGATGTATTTCTTTTTGGGCAGAATCGAAAAGCCCAGCACAAGTAAGAAGGGGATAGGTATAATAAAAGTACACAGCCTAGCAAAAACGTGCAAGGAAGTGGAAAACAAACAGCCATGCAGAACAAAACCCGCCCCCAGTATCCACCCCCAGAAAGCATAAACAATCCACATATAAAACGCCAATGGCAACATAGAAACATCCGGGAAGCAAAGACCACAAGGCATAAGGAGACAAGGTATCGTTATAGATCCATCGCATCGCCAGCTTCGGAGGCGGTATCAACCATATCAAGGAGCTTGGCGTAGGGCACTGTGACACGCTGCAGTTCGCGATATTTACCTGAAGTGCACGTTAGCAGAAGAAAGAGAAAGAAAATACCATAAAGATCACGGATTGAAAACATACCAAGAGCAAGAATGACCTCCTTCAACAAGGTCTCCCGTGGCCAGCCACATAGATCATCCGAGCCCTCGCGCCAATTGCGACCCTCGCGCTCATTAGCCTGCAACTTGGAAATAGTCTCTGATCCATCCTCGTCATCAAACAATCCGCCAATCAACCCTTTCAGCAACTCTTCAACTTTCCCCTTCAACCCTTCTGCACCGATGCGCTTGGCATACATATTCAGGTACAGCCGGAACTCCTCCTTGGCACCCAGTGACAAAGCAGCCGCCATGCGGTTCTCGAGATGGGCGATGGAAACGCTGGACTCGAAAGTCTCGTAGCCTTCACGCGAGAGTAACACCTTGATCAGGCGTTGCAGGAAGTATGCCCGACCACGCAGGAGGGTTTCGTTGGTGGTGTTGCGCTCCAGGAAAGGAATGATACCAGCAGAGACGGCGGCTTTGGCATCCTTGGTATCCTTGTTGGCTTCTCTGGCTTGCAGGTTACCCACTGGCGCATCAGTAGAGTTCCAATATTGGCTGCCGACGGCCCACCAAGCCTCCGAGACGCGTTGCCATGTATACATAGCTGGTGAGTACGAGTAGCCCTCGCCGTTTGTCAGCGAGACAACTATCCGACCTTCGGAGTTGATACGCGCGTCTGTGACAGCGGGTGCTGCAGTGGGATTTCCGCCGAGTGTGTGGATAGCTGCGTCAAGAACGGGCTGAAGGGAGACGGGTGGATGGGGGGAGGATAGGTGCTTCACATTCCAGACATAGCACATCCCCACCGATGAAATGCACAGAATCCAGGGACCATTGCATTCCAGGATAACCGGCTGTGCTTCCAAGACCAGTGCGCTCACCAAGCGTCGGCCTGCTGGCGTCCAGAGGTATATAGAACCATCTTCGCAAGCAGCTGCCCACAGATTCTGGTTACCCGTGACGAGGAGCACAGATTTGGGCAAAAAGTCTTGCCACAGAGGCTGTTCACCGCGGAAGAGTGTCAGACGAACAGGCTCACGGTCCACTGCTCGTCCAGTCAGACTGGCCGGTGAAGGGTTTCGTGCTTCAAAGACCACATCGATGCGGCCCTTGTCTTTTGCATTCGAGTCCCCTGCTTGGGCAGGAGGCTCTGTAGGCTTCCCGTTAGGATCGAGTGCACGTAGAATGTGACTGCGAATCTTGGGCACTGCCAGTCGAACCTGGCTAATGGACATGCACGGATTAGTGACTGCAGGTCGAATAAAGTCGGGAGTTGGCTGTTGACCAGTTGCTGGAGGCTGAACGATCGTTGGCAGTAGGCCATCGAGAGTGTTGGCCATGATGGGAGTGGCACCATTCTGACTGGCAACCGCTATACGCTTCTCAGTCTGTCCTTCTTCGTCACCCTCCAACTGCGCAAGTTTGCGCTTATTTCCGAATAGTAGCGCGGTCAACCCACCCTTTGGCAGGCCATCAAATGGCTTGGAAAGGTCAACAAGTGATGTAAGAGCATCTGATTTCACCTGACTGCTGACAGAAGCCATTAAACGAGCCTGGGGAAGAGATGATTCTCCAGCTCCGGCTCCAGAAACGAGCAAAGGGGCAATGCGTTTCTTGCCTTCTTTCGTGTACGTCGGACGTTGCTTCAACCTCTCCAACTTGGCTAGATACGGATCTGGTTTCGCCGCTTCTGTGGCTGGAGTAGAAGTGCCATTCGTCTGAGTCTTGGTCGACTCTGGAGCTGGCGATGGAACTCGAGCAGGAGTAGTACCATTAGATGGTTGTGGCGCTGATACCCCATTAACAGCGGGTTCTGCATGGCCATCGCCCATCAGGGCTCCCATGCGACCCTCAACGCCCTTGAGTTCGCCAGCCTTGCTCTTCTCCTCAAGCAATAGGCCATCGGTAGTCTCAGTGATACCAGCACCCTTGCGATTCGTTCCGAACTTGGTAAGTGACTTCTCATTCTCTTCCATCTCCGTCACCCAGCCCAGCTCGCCATCCTCAAAGCGCACCACCACAATAGTGCCGTCCAGAGCCGTAGCATAAAGACATTTTCCGTCGGGGCTCCATGCTAAATCTGAGATCGACTTGGCGGCCATTTCCTGCGCGACCACGATCGGGCGTGCATTGCTGGTGATCCACACACTGAGTGACTTGTCTGCACCTGCACATGCAATCACAGTGATATGGTGCTGCGCGGCGTGGTTGTCGGGTTGATTCTTGTTCACTGGTTCTCGAGAGTAAAGGCGGGGAGAGAATGAGCAAACCTCAACGGGTGCTTCGTGACCAATAAGATTGATGTCTCCATCCCAAGAGCCACGATTGATGATGGCAACAGAGCTGACCGGACCGTTGACGGCATTGGCAGCGGCGATATGCATACCATCTGGTGACCAGGAACAGCGTCGGAAATATGCGGTCAAGGGAGAGTTGGCGAAGGGCGCGGAGATGGTATGTTCAAGGACAAAGTTGTTCATCTGGTCATGGGATGTCGAATTGGGAGCGGGGGAGGTGAATCGGAAGATGCGTACAGTGCGATCATCGCTGGCCGTCGCAAAGTACTTATTCGCCGGGTCGAATGTGATTCCCTTGACGTGACTCTGGTGCACTGCTAGGGTCTTGAGCTTCTCGAAGGTATGTCCTGACCATACGACGACCTTCGAGTCGAGTCCAACAGAGACCAGAATCGACGAGTCGTGCGACCATCCCAAATCCTGCACATCATTGTCATGGCCGATCAACCGCCGAATCGTGCGCCAGTTTTCGACTGGAGGTGCCTCGTCTGAACCTATTTTTCCAACCTCCATTAGTCCCCTGGCTGCCACTCATCCCATTATCGGCGAGACCTACCGAATGTAGAATGTGTAGGAGGATTGGAATCCAGCGTGTACACGCAGACAATCTTATCATCCGCCCCTGAAGCAAGATACTTCCCATTCGGCGAAAAGCGAACCGTATGAATCGTGCCGGAATGATTGCTCATCGAAGCAAGTTGTTTCGGCTTGCTCGCGAATTCCGGGTTCCCGGTGTTGTGGATAGCCTCCGTAGACCAAATGCGAACGTATCCATCTAAAGTGCATCGAAATCGAAAAGAGTTAGCATCGAGCTTCACAATTGCACAACCCCTTCCTATGGCTTTCGCCCGAATTTCTCTGGGTCATTATCCGTCGAATACTCAGAAATGCTCACCTCCAGCAGCGGTCACAAGTCTCTTCCCATCGGGCGACACATCGCAACTGTAGACCTCGAAATCTTTCCGTTCTCCTATCGAAGCGCACGAATTAGCCTCCATGGTCTCAAAACCCTCGACGGAATAGCCCAGCGATATCTCAAATCTGCCGCCAGGCCAACCGAGCCAGTATTCTCATCTCAAACCCATCGAAATGCGATTTCGCCGTAGAGACCAGCATACCTCCATGCGTCAGCCAGACAGGCTTGATAATATGCATTGCGCAGCGCGGGCAGTCTGCGCCGCTCCCTTATATCCGATGAAACGAATCCAAATATAACCAGACAATTTCAGCTCGCAAATCTCAGCTCCGGATGAGCGAGGAATCCTCGAGAAAGGGCGATTGTGGAAGTGCGGCGTAGTAGGATGAGCGTTAGGTGTTTATCGGGCAGGACATCGCAGGGCAGTTGGATAGCACCAGCCACAAGCGCCTGTCGTGTAGGATATGCGGCGAAAATAGGAGGCAGCGGTGATCGGATTGGTGCGGTGTCTGCAGATAGAGTCGGGGGTTGGGTGGTGGGGGATGGATGATGGGAGTTGAAGCACAGGGAGGGCGCGCCCGTTCGAAAAGTCGCGATCTCCAGATTTGGCGTGGCCCGAGCTCCCTTCGCGTTTGACTTTAAATGTGAGGGACGCTGAAGTAAGCGAGTTCAGGCTGGAAGATGACTACGAACTTGGAGACAAGTCACCGTTTCTTCTAGTCTTTATAAAAAAAATAATCGTAGTATAGTAAATCAGGTTACAAGCTTATTGTACACTGGTCTTTTTTTATTCTCCTCTTCGTCTTGCTTGTCAATGCCCACAATATCCTTTTTGTACAAGTACAAAGACCGATCGGGTTATCCCGCACAGCGCAGCGCGGAGGCACCGATGCATTTTCTGATCCCATAGGAATATGCCAAAAAGGAAAAGAGCAGACGCAGAAGAGGATATTCAGCTGAGGGGAGTAATACAGAGGGGGAAAGAGACCCGGTTGGGACAGGATGCAGAGGACAAGGGAACAATGATATAAGCACACATCAGGAGAAGAGGAAATTGGAAGGTCGAGAGAGGGGGCTGGACTTGATCGTTTCGTTTCGCTTGCGGGTGCGCTGTATTTATCTCTTCCTGCTGGTCTCGTCGAATCCATCCAGCACACTCTGCGCAACACCATCTTGCGAGGCCTCATCAGCGATGGTGGAATCGACGTCATTCTCCACCTCCTCAAACTCGTCTGACTTGCTGGTGGAGCGAGGCTGCTCCCGACCGAGCGCCTTGGCAGCAAGACCCTTCGCCTGGGTCTCGTTGATCTTGCCATACACGGACATGGCCGAGGCAATCATGCCACCCATGTCGCCGACATTACCAGGGACCACGACAGCAGTACCCTCACGAGCCAGGTTGGAGAAGGCATCGACATACTTCTCAGCGACGCGCAGGCTAAGTGCACCCTGAGCAGCCTCTTGGCCATCCTGGATAGCGCGGGCAACGGCATCGATTCCGGTAGCCGTAGCCTCGGCCTTGAGCTTGATCGCCTCGGCCTCACCAGCAGCACGGTTAATCTGCTCGGCGCGGAGGGCCTCAGAGGCCAGAATCACAGATTGCTTACGACCCTCGGCGATGTTGATAGCGCTCTGGCGTTGACCCTCGGAATCAAGAATCTCAGCACGCTTCGATCGCTCGGCAGTGACCTGGCGGTGCATAGCGGCCACGACGCCATCGGGTGCGTGGATATCCCTAATCTCGTAACGCAGGCAGACAACACCCCAGTCCTGGGCGGCCTCGTTGATGGCTTGAGTGATATTGGTGTTCAGGGTGGCGCGCTCCTTCAAAACGTGGTCCAGGGTCAGCTGGCCGATCTCGGATCGCATAGTCGTCTGTGCAAGCTGGGAGATGGCGTATTCCGCATCCTCGACGCCGTAGCTACATTCCAGCAGAAACATCAGTCAGTCATTGACTCATAACATCCACCTATTAAGCCCCATGATCACTGGACATGCTCACCTAGCTTTATACGCATCAAAAACCCTCGTGTATAGCACACCGTCCAACTCGAGTGTAACGTTATCCGCCGTAATAGCATTCTGACTCGGAATCTCAATAGCCGACTCCTTCAAACTCCTCACGTAGGCAATGCGATCCACAAACGGAATCAGAATAGCAAGACCCGGTTCCAAAATCCGATGGAACTTTCCCATGCGCTCGACAATCCAAGCCGTCTGCTGCGGGACGAACCGTACAACCGTGTTTGCGGGAAGAGTCTGGCGGTTTGTGAAGTAGGCGGTAGGACCGAGACCGGATCCCTGCGAGCCACCGGCTGCAGCAAAGTTGCTAAAGATGGACTCTGGGGCAAGATTCCGCGGGGAATTCGAGACCGCGCGGGTTTGTGCTGGGGTCACGCATGGCGCGGTGGTTGTTCGGGGAAGGCGACGCTGTTGGGGGAGGAGGTTGGCGCCGCGAGACCGGAGCAGTCTTGACGTTTGGCGGGATGCACCCTCCATCTTGATAGATGTGGGGTTTGGGGTGGAAGTGTTGGTATCGTGGAGGGGAAGAGGTAGAGGAAAGCTGGTCAAGTTGAGCTGTCCGGAAGTATCTTGGCGAGGTTCGGGCTTTGTCGTTGCTCTGAGTGGTGGACTTGTGGCGGCCTGAGGCAGAAAGGTTACCTCCGCATCCGAAAGCTAAGGTTGCGGGCGCATATGTAGTTCTCGGCCATATATCAGGTGAGCGTCCTTCTTCATTTACATTTACCGTTACTAGAGAAAGAACCCTTAAAAGAAAGAAACCTGAGGTCTTGACAATCTTCCAATCGAAGTTCATGCCTGGATTACTCCACAATGTATCACATTACCTAGACCGGGAAAGAGAACAACCTGACTATGCACAAAGACACCCAGAACTCCACATATAAACCCCAAGCAATGAAAGCCCGAGATTGACAAAAGCCCATACCACAAAACATTCTCCTTCCCATTTGAGGTTACTGAAGATATGAAGTCCCATCAAGTAATCAACCGGCCCATGTACCTACCCACCATCGACAGAAAGCACGCCTTCCATGCAACGAACACCCGACTCCGAAACCACCAGCACGCAGAGCGAAAAAAAAATGAGATGAACCAACTTAGATCTGTGAGGGAAATTGATGACATCATACAAGACACTTTTCATTGCTGTTCTCGATCGTTGCATTGCTCTGGGTCGTTGCACCGTCATGCTGATACTCGCTAAGATCCAGAGCCCAATAGCCCGGGGGCGAATGGTCTGGATCAAAATAATAGAATGGGCGATTTAATAAGAAACACTCTCACAATAAAAAAAAAGAACACGAAAAAACTCTCTATGATCAGAAGAAAAACGGAGGGTGAAAGAAAACATCATTTTTTGAGCCCGGCAGACCGATGGTATCAGGCAGAAAGAAGGGGGGATATTTGCCCAGTAATATCATGCCCGAACTCCGGAGAACCATTTTGATAAGAGACAAAAAGAAAGCCCATGGATTTCGAAGCAAAAAGGACGGATAGAGAGGAGACTCGCAAGAACAAGCGAAAAAATAGATGTTAAAAATGAAAGAAAAAAAAAACTCCGAGGCTTCACAGTGGACCAGGAAACCCAGGGCGCCGTTTGTTGCGATGGAAATAAAACCATTCGACGCTGTAGAAAAGAAGTGGGCGACGATGCATGCAAGACCTTTTGAGCACAACGATGCTGATCATGAACCAAGAAGACGAAACACGCAAGGGGGAAAAGAGGATAAAGAATATGACCCCAGGAAGAATAAACGCGTTTGGAAACAAGAAAGAAAACCGAGGATGAGTTCAAGCAGAGAAGTTCCTCCACGCCTGTTGTCTCCCGCCAAACACCTCATTGTAGAAGCATCCAACGGTGCGACGGTTGAAATCATGCATGGCACCACTCGCCATGGACGAGCAGAGAAGGTCGAAAACCTCGGAGTTGAGGTTCGTTCTTCTGTCGTCGGACAGGTGGACGATGTCGGCAAGTACCTGTTCGGGGGTACCGGTAGGACTGAGGAGAGAGGCTTGATAGTAACTCATCAGAGCGGTGAATCCATAGTCGACGTGTCGTGTGAAATAATCATCAAGGGCTAATTGCCTAAATTCATTGTACAGTTGCGGATCGAAATTGCGGAGAAGGTACTGTGACCAGGTGCGATAAGGAGGGCCATTCTGTGCCCCAGATTCGGTTGCTGACGACCGTCCCCAAGGGGTGTAGAAAGGGGAATTTTCGGAGTAGTTGTGAGGAGAGGTGAAACTTTTAGGGTCAGGGGTTTTCGATCCCTTCGGTTTGGACGACCGGTTTTTCCTCTTCGGGGGCTTCTTCATTGGAGCAGTAACAGAGCCGGACGGAGAGCCTTGTTTCTGATCCGCGTGAAGGCTAAACAAAACCACAGAGTACGGGTCAGCCATCATTTGGAGCATGCACGAGGGGGGAGAATCAACAAACCTAGGTGAAGGGTGCTCCATTACAGACCGAGGGGGGGACGATTGGGTTGGGGGCGAACTTAGTCCGCACGCTGAAGGAGGATTGTCAATACATGGGTTGTCCGAATGGGTAGTAAAAGAGCCTTCCATTTGGGGGCTGGCTGCAGAAAGAGAGGAATAATCCTGGGGAGGTCCTACATTGGCAATTTCGTTCTGTGCCGGCTGGAACTCGGGTGCTGTGGACGAAAGCAACGTCTGGGGCCCGCGAGATGGGGTTCCATTGGGGACGAATTGACGGGGACCGTTCTGAATCGAGCCATTAGGAGTGCCGTCGACATGGCTGTTGATGGGGACGTTCTCGTCGTTCTTTGAGGAGTGCTTGGCGGCAGAAGCACCCTCATGCTGAGCGGAAGGATCGCGCTGGTCAACGGGAAGAACCCACTGCGCCCACCTCTCCTTGGGGCGAAGACGGTCCACACCATCCTCGCCGATTAGGTAGTCGACGTTGCGAAGACCGCGGGAAACGTGACGAAGCATCTCAAAGTCCTCAGTCAGGGACTTGACGCGCTTGAAGCTGGCGATGACAGCCAAAGGAACAAAGCCCTGGGAGTCCATGTGACGACGCAAGAACATGTCCTTGCACATGTTGTCAACCGAGAAGTAGTACTCAAGTTGCATAGACAGCATAGTCATGAGGTTGAAAGGCTCCATGTACTGCTGGTACGGGACCGCGCTCATAGGGCTGGGAGCGACATTAGGATAGGAGGGGTACATGGTGTTGACCTCTGCAGGGAATGGATAGACATTGTTGTACATGCCACCAGCAGCAGGCAATGAGGGTGAACGCAGAGGCATCCGGTTGTTCTGTTGTTGACCATTCTGAACTCCTTGCTGAGATCGCTGGCGGTCGTTAAAGCCGAACTTGCCGGGCACAAAGTTGTTGGCCATGCCGAACTGAGGGTTCTGGCCAAAGTTGGAGTAGGGTCCACGGCCGCGGTTGGCATTGCGACCTCCACGCTCCGCACGGGAGTCACCGCGCTCGCGGTTGAAGTCCTGGAAACCAGTAGTATCACGGCTCAAGTCTGCAGACTTGGAGCCTGACTCGGCACGGCGTTCGTTGGCACGAGCCGCGGCCTGAGAGTCGACAGCCAGGTGAGCGCCCTTCGTTTGACGGTCACCAGTGCGGGCATCTTGATTCCGGGGGAATTGCTTGCCATCACGCTGGGGGCGGGTGGAATGCTCGCCGCCGTTGACCTGCTTGCCGTTCGTAGTGGCCTCCTCAGCACCACGGCCACCACGGCCACGGTCCGCGGCATGGCCCTTTCGAGAATCTTGGTTGGTAACATCAGCGCTGGTGGAGCGTCTAGACTGTGCGGGAAGAGAAGCGGCACGACTGCTGCCGGTCTCATTGCGTCCACGCTCGCCGGGGGTTTGCTTGGCTGCTGAACCCTGGGCAGCCTGTCCAGAGGCAGCCTTCTCGCCGGCGGTAGCGCCGGTTCCATGAGCGCCACCTCGTCCACCGTCACGTCCACCACGAGCGGCTCTGCGGCCACCGCGGCCAGACGGTGTTGGAAGAGGGGTGTTGAAAACAGCAGTAGGAACGTAGTTGACGGGCATCCACTTCTCCTTGCCGTGGGTTCGAGCGGCGGGGCTCTTGTCCGTCCTCTCGGGCTTGTCGGTCTTTTCCTGGGCCTTCTTCTTCTCCTCGCCCACCGCGACCTCAGGAGTAGGCCATAATGAAGCATCCGCAACGGGGGGCAGAGCCTCATCACGACCCTTGCCATCGGACTTTTTGCCCTTGGTACCTTCCGAAGCACCATCGGCGCCCTTCTTCTTCGAACTGGCCTTGCCAGAGTCTTGTTGGCACTCCTCGGATTTAACCTTGGGAATGACGGGCAGCGGGGCAGCCTTGGCCTTGGCTTCCTGGGCCTCTTTCCTTTGCTGCCAGATGTTCACGGAGGGGAGAGGAGCAGCTTTCAGCTCCTTGGGAGGAGTGGCCTTTTCAGACTTCTCAGACTTGTCCGACTTTTCAGTCTTCTCCTTCGAGGTCTCTGAGCCGTTCTCAGACTTGTCAGCCTTGGTGTCCTGCTTCTCAGAGGAAGCGTCGGTGGTTCCGTTGGTAGTATTGGAGGCATCGCCCTCCTTCGATTGTGTGGCATTTGACCGAACGCTCGGGGACGAGGTCCGGGAGTTGTTAGCCTTGGATCGGTGAGCATGCTTGCTAGTCACAGTAGTGAACTCAGCATCATCGTCCACGCTCGTCGTGGCAGTAGCAGTTTCCTGCGGTGTCTCGGTCTCGGAGGCGGTGGTCACGGACTCAGCCAGGACTGGAACACTCTCAGTTGGCTCTTCAGTCTTGGATTCAGACTTCTCTGGCTCTGTAGATGCGATCTTGCTGGGGGCTGCACTCCCAGAGACGCCCTTGGCGGCTTGCGCGTAGGAAAATGTAGCGCTCATTGTGTTTTTGATAAGACGACAGTCGTCAAAGTTGTGGTAGATGGATGAATCCGTTATGGAACGGTGTTGTCCTTCAACAAGTGTGGAGTCACTTGTACACGCCCACGCGCGAGACAAACTCCAGGACCGGTATCACTCAAAAGAGGGTTTCAACCTGCTTGAAACCCCACGAAACTGCAAATTCCCGCTCACTCAGTGTTGGTCCCACGCGATATCGGCGAGTTCCGTCGGGATGAGAGGAAACGGTAGGTGGATGTCTGTTGACACGGAGGGACACGCTCGATCTGAAAAATGGGCGGATGAACCGTCTAGATCACGGATCGCATCAGTAGCGTCGTTGGTGTCGTGTGATAGAATGGACAGTGGTCTGGCGACGGGATGCACAGAACCACAAAAAGGTGGAGAATGAAAAAGGTGTTCCAAAAAAAAGTCTGCAACGGCAATGAGAAGGCGCTGCCCTGTCAATGTTGTGACGCAAGCAGTGAGAGAATGAACCGACAGGCCCGAGCAGTCAATGCGCGTGAATGTGGATCCGCAAATATCTTCCTCGTGAACTTCTCTAGCCACGATCGATTCCTCCGACTTGATCTCAACGACTGGACGAGAGGATCTCGGGGGTTCGAAGGTGAGGAGATGGTCGTGAACAGGAACGCGAACCGCACGTCGAATGTCTCGAGTGTTGTGGGTGACGAATTCTCGAAACTCGATCTAGGCCCCTTGTGTGGGGATCACAGGTACGAGTTAAGTGAGAGTTATGTGCGAGTTATGTGCGAGAAATGGCAGTCGCGAATTGACGGACCACGGGTTTTGGCGACGGACAATGACGAGAAGGTCGGTCACTCCGTTTTACTCTGAAATCAGTGAAGACGGAGAGGTGCCGAGCAGCGTTGTCCGCGTTGACTTGCACGTGTGGGAGAGGAAAAAAGGCAGGTCGCGGGATGGAAGTTAAACCCACGGAAGAAATCCCGAGGGTGGACGGACACAGGACTGCAGTTCGGGTCAGGGTCAGTGTCAGGAAGAAAGAAAGCAGGGTTGGAAGGAGGGGGTTGGAGAGTTGGGCAGCATACACACAAAGAAGGAGGGGAGGGGGGTAGGAGGTGAGAAGAGAGGGGAGGAAGTTGAAGAAGGGTAGGAAGAGGAGGAGGGACGGAGAACGCAAAATTATTATTTGGGTAATAATCAGGGCCAGGGTGTGGTAGCGGGGTGTGTCGCCCGCCGATAGTCCAGAGGTAGACGGGGCAATAAGGTAATGAAGGAACACGTCGTAATAGAGGTATTGGCTCATCAAATGTCAAAAATTCCAGGATACGTACTTTTTGTGGTTTTCCAAAAACACCCTAAAATCTCAAGGAGCAAGGACGTTGTTGGTCGAGGAATTTCACGAAAGGAAAAAAAAAAAAATCTCGACTATGGAGACCTTGTGGAATCCCTCGGTGCCGTAGCCGTACGCCCGCACGGAAAGGAAAGATTTGGCCTACACACCACACAAACCGAACTGAGGGCCCGCAACAAACACCAGTCGCACAATGTACTGCTCCCAACACATATGAGAGAAACCATGCAAGTCGACCTTGTGGTCTCTTCTTTCGGCCTAGCGGTTTGATGATAACTGACTATGTATGAGCTATATACCCCCCAACCCATTCATTACCGCCCGTTATTTCCATGTTCTATACATACCTGCAAAGCCTGGACATATTCTTAGCTATCCAACTGGTATACATTCGTCTATCATGGCTTAGGTCCAGAATCACCGAGTCCGCATAAACTCTTGATATCTTTATACTATCCCAATGGAGACCTCAAGGTCAACCACGACCTCGTCTCGACACTGACCGATAGCCGAACTATATCCGACGCCCAACCCGTAAACTTACAACTGAGCCTCAACAGCAGCTTGATCCAATGATAGTTCGTGGTCACTGATCATATATTGTACAGTATACAGTACCAACTTGATCACAAATAGCCTGCCTGCGACTGCTGGAAGATGGACAAGAGTATGCCTCGATTTGCGGCACCTCCCACACCCTTCGTCACCGTACGAACTGTACGGATTTTGTACATACTTGACACACCGTTGACACTTAAAAGCGGCTGGTATCCGCTAAGAAGGCCCGAAGAACCTGCACAGCGTCCACGTCAGACAACAAAGACTATTCAGATGAATACATTCTGTACATACGAGATTAATGAGAAACACCCTTCCTCCTCCTTTCCGGTACATTTTTTTTTCTTAATTGTCATTACCCAACGCTTGCCAGCCCTCGCGGGGTCCACCGGAGCCATGCTGCCCGATTATTGGCTTTCTGGGCGACACGACACTCGCCTGTCAGCTCGTTGGTTTCGGTACAACGAGGTTCGTCTGCTTTGTATTTTGATGGACTTGTTGGCCTATGTTTACATAATCTGGGTACTCACGGGTAGTATAGCAAGTAGTTATAGCAATGTAGGAATGATGACATTGTCAATACCCGCCTGGCAGGGCAGGGGGAATCTTCACAAGCCGTGGAGAAACGGATATACGCACGAAGGTTCCTCGGGTACCTGACGTTCTTACTGTACCGGGGCCGCGGTATTCGTATTACGAACCCAAGATGAAGAGTTCCCAAGAAGGTAAGATGCTCCTGGCATGAGCAATTCAAGATCGAGATATACAGGCATACATGTGAATATCTACTACGTCTTCCAGATGAGTTTCCCTTCTGCCAACTTCTTCTACTACCCAAGCCTAGTCCGGCCATCCCCGTGGTTATTCTGTGCGACCGAGGAATGCGATGGGCCTTGGCTGCCCTGTGTAGACCACGTGATCCCTCTGGCCCGATGCTGCCCGCGGTCATTAATGTAGTGTTGGGGTGACACCATAACATACGGAGGGGAAATGTACATCTTGAATAATGTACATAGTCGGGAGTACTCGATTGGGGGATGTATGTATGGAAAGCCTGCAAGCCCGGGTGCCTAGTCGCGGCCGGAGAATTGGCGGACGTTAACGTTAGATACGGCAGGCGAGCGATTAGGGCTGAAGGAGGGCACGCGGAATCCATCGGAAGAGGGGGTGGAGTTGGTAATCTAATTACAGCTGGCGAAGGCCCAACGAGTCGTGGGACAGTGGCCTGCGTCGTATCTGTATTACTGTACTCCCGACGACACCGTTGGCGCAGACAGCACGGACGAGGAAAAAGTACTATATGTGAGTCTATGAGTTCTAGTGTGCATGTTCGGATAGAAATTGTCGTGGGCAACACAGCCATAGTACATGGCAATATGTAGATTGCAGGTATTCAAAAGATTCGAGTGGTATGGTACACCTATAAAACCCCCGCGCCAGCGACAAAAGCCAAACACCTAGTCCATAGACCCCCAAGATGTCCAAAAAATGAGTTAAATCGCTTTACCAATGTCGCACGCCTATCAGCACCTGCTCACGTGGATCCGGCTCAATCAAGTTACCCGGCCCCGTCACGAACCCTAAGCGCATGAGAACGTGCCACACCAACTTACGCTTCAGACTCTCGCGCACGGAAATCTTCTCCAGCGCATCATACCCATTAAAGTATTTCAAAAAGACCGGCCAGTACTTCTTCAGCACGTCCTGGAGTTCATTCGGTGCGATGACTGGGCTCGCGCCCTCCAACCCTTGCACAGTGCCTCTCCGATCCGGGAATCGCGCGACGATCTCATCGAGCCAGCGTGACTCGAGAGGGGACGCGCGGTGCGGGGAGAGAATGAGAGATGAAAGGCGGAGGGCGGTAGATCGGTCGAGGAGCTTGTGGGACATGCGTAGCCGGGCGTGTGGATCGAGACGGCTGCCTGGCACGGGCGTGTTATCGCCGCTGCCGTGGCTGGCTAGGGAAGAGGAGGAAGAGGAGTTTGCGTCGTCGTCGTCGTCTTCTGAGGATGATGAATCTTCGTGATCGGCGCTGCCCTTGGCGAGGTATCGGTCTACTTCTTCTTTCCGGAGGGCCATTTCCACGGCCAGTTTGATTTCCGGGCTGACTTTGATGCGGGCGAAGGTTCGCAGTTGCGTTACCCAGCCACCGCGGAGCAGCCATGCCAGGATGGAGAAGTAGGTCTCTTTGTGGTCTTTGCTGGGGATGAAGCTGCCGTATGGTCGGGGCGTGCCGCTTAATGCAGAGAGCATCTTCGGAAGACTGGGTAGCGTGGGGAATGTGGTCTGGTAGGCGATGGTGGCGATCTCGAGTTTGCTCAGGTCGCAATTGGGAGACACGATATACGTATCTCGTTGGTGGATGGGAGGAATGGCTCGGGCACGACGCCAGTATACCAGGTGGCTCGCCAGCATCTGGATTGTCGATAACGGGATACCCGAAGAGGCTGATATTTGTGCAAATGATTTTGTAGGCTTGGAGCAACGGATGTAATGGGCTAGGGCGGGTGCGAGGGTGCCTCCAGAGGCCTCGACATCTTTGATGATCGCTGCTTCGCTATCCAGGAGAAGCAGGGCAAAGTGTTTCGCAAGAACTTGGTGAGGAGCATTGGTTTCGTCAGTCCCGGGATCGTCAACTGGAGTTGCACTGTCCGATGTTGTCAACCAAAGACCGGGATATGCTTTGTCGGTAGGGCCAGCCAAGTAGGGGGTCGAGGTCAATGGTGGAATCTGAAGCGAGATAGAGACATCATGGCTGAGGGAGACTGATGCAATTTTTGACGACGAGATGCTGGTGTAGACCGTGTACATGGCCCTGGCCAAAGACGATTGGTTGATCAACTCTGAATAGAGGTTATGAACGGATGTTTCTGATGTTCTCTAGGTCAGTACTAATCATAAGTTATAGAATCTTGAGGATGGTACTTACTCGTTTCTCGCGCTTTTCTCCTAACCTGCAAGATATGCTGCGACTCCCTCCAAACATAATCGGTTCGAGCTTGTTCCCACTTCAACGCCTTGGCGAACTTCTTAATGATATTCTCATAGATCTCCTTGACTCGCATCGAGTACTCCAGCAAGGGAGGATCCATAACAAATACCACATTGAACATAGTCATTTGGTCCTTATCCTCTGGATCAAGACCATCTTCCGGCTGCTTGCCAAACTTGCCACTCGCCGCCGAAGCCCGTTTGACCTCAGTAGGTGAAGCCGTCAATGTCAACTCGGTGATCGTCGCTACACTCCCACCCAGATCAGGCGAAGTGGCCGGGTCTTCTTCACCCTGACCATCTTCGGCACTCTCATTGTGGCCTAATTCCCCGCCATCCCATTCAGCGCGGGGCTTCTTTTTCTTCTTGCGCCGCTGCTTACGCCATGTCCCATCTTCGCGCACGAATACTGGCCATCCGATCAGTGCAAGATCGTTAATTCCGACCTCGAAGCGTCTTTTATGCCAAGAGCGAGACGGGCTCAGTAGTTTTTCCCACACGCTCCCGGGTAGGCCTAGAAGCGATTCCCAAGGCGGCCGCGATGAGCCTCCCGCAGCCCCATCTTCAGGGCGATCCGATAGAGCATCTTCCTCAGGATCCGAGCACGCGCCACCCCTTTTCCTCAGCGATGAAGCTCTGCCAGATCCCAGAGATCCAGGTCGTTGCGTTTCCGTACCAGCAGGTGACGCAGCATCGGGTGCAAGCGTAAGCGTGTCGATACCAAAGTTGCTCGCTCGTCGGCCAAGTCCAGCGTTCAGGTTCACACTCAGACTCGCGTTCGCATTCACGTTCCCAGCTACATGAGGTTCTCTCTCATCCTCATCTTCGTCGGAGCTAATCCCACTCTCATCGCTCGAGCTCGAATCGGTATTCTTGGAGCCTCGTCGACTGCGCGTGCGGGAGATGCGCCGGCCGCCCTTGGTCGTAGTCTTCAGCCGGTTCTCGCTAAGTGGGTTTGGAGGGTAGTGAAAAACGAGCCGCGGGCCGGTACGCGACCGGACGATGAGGATGATCGCGACTAGACATGGGTCTGGGGGGCGTGCGATCGACGACATCGAGTGCGTTGGCGATCGGCTGCGGCGCGAGGTTGGAGAGGCGTAGTGGTCCTAGCTGGGCGGAAACGCTTTCCCCGCATGCGCCCAGTTTGAGCTTGGAGAGCCGAGTGTATCACGCAGCGTTCGAGCAAAGAATTTCGAAGTTTACTGGGTATCTACATAGTTCATTGAAGTATGGGAATGGAAGTGGTATATATACAATTTTTTTTCATGTGCAATGCCCTCGATGAACGCCAATATGAGCCCCCGCCTATCGTGGGTGGGCTGATGTCCTCAATATCGTACAAAATCCTTCGACTAACTTTTCTCCCTCTCCTCAGTCTTTCTTTCCTGTATCTTGCGCTTTCGCTGTACTCGTAGAGGCGTTGTTACCGCTTGGTTGGTCATCTTTAAACACGAGTCCCAGGTTCTGGAAGTTATCGGGCGCCATAAGATTCCTAAAGACGAGGAAGACTCCGGGTCAGTATATGATGCTTCAAGTCTCTTGTCTTGCTGCCCTCGTTGCAGATAGACCGCTATTGCGCATCTGTCGAGCTCGGCAATCAGTTTCACGTACTTGTCCATCCGACAGGTGAGATATTCCTTGGCAAGCTTGCGGCAAGCCTCGTCGTTGGTGCCTCGATTGGACTTGATGCATTTCAAATAACCGGAAATGATGTGTTTGCATTCTCCTGGGCAGATGAAGCAAATGTTAGCCCCGTTCATGCGCTGTGGATTAGGCTTCTGTAGGCTAGAGTCATCTGCGCCAGAGTAATCGACATACCTTCGTGATCAAGAGGGAAGCTACCACGCTCAGGCCTGAATTCAATGCATCTGATTGTCAGCTTATATTCCAGGAACCCTATTCACGGCGCACGGCGCATCGCAGTCAAGAAAGACGATAAAGATCAAGGCGCTGGCAAAGACTCACGGCGTGGGCTTGTAGTTGACCGAACCACCTCCGGGGGCTCCGAAACTCATTTTTTTTGCAATGACTTGAAAAGGTCCCTGTCAGGAATCAATGTCTTCTTCGTCAACACGAGCTTGTGCAGCACCGACAAATGCGACGAGGGCGGAGTTGGATAATGTCTTGTAAGGGCGATCATCAAAAGTCCAAAGACAAACAGAACAAAAGAGACAAACACTTCCGCCAGCCAACCAGCGATCGCCGGAAACGCAGGATGCCGCCTATGATGTATTCCAGTGCTCGAGGACAGGACTCGACCCTTGACAGATGGACAATCGAGTGGACTAGAGATAACCGGAGCTGCAATTTCCCTCGCTGATTAGTTTCCCGTTTTGGGTGCGGCTTGCATAGGTTGTCATTTTGCACCATTTGCTTATGGTCAATCAAAAGTATATATATCTGACGAAGTTGCCCCAGATCAGATTGTCACCGCTACTCCTTTCTCTCCCAGAGCTTCAAGAAAAGCAGACATCATTGCTGAAACAAAGCGCTTATACAGTGGCTACACGGAATATTCGAAGGAAATCTCTCAAAATGCCAATGTAAGTACTTCTAAATACCAACCCTCACTACTCTTCATGATCTCCCCACATCACAACGCTGACAGTTCCCCACAGGAAACTTGAAGGAAGCTGCCAGTGTGGTGGCGTCGAATTTACCCTTCAATCCCAAACCCCAGTACCCTATCAGCTATGCGCTTGCAGCATTTGTCGCAAAGTTGGTGGCTACGGTGGCAGTGTGAACCTGGGCGGTATCGCAGATAGCCTTAAGGTATTGAAAGGCCAAGACCTGATCAAGTACGATCTTCCCCACCAACATCATGCAAACCCAAAACCCATCCAAACCAATGATCACCGCATTACATAAAGCAGCGTAAATACCTTACTAACGCTGGTATATAGAAAATACCGTGGAATCAAAGACCGCGGAACACCCGACGAAGAACTCTGCGAGTCAGAGCGCAACTTCTGCTCCAACTGCAGTACCATGTTATGGCTGTGGGATCATCACTGGCCGGAATTGATTCATCCATTCGCATCTGCTATTGATACTGAGCTGCCGGAGCCGGCTGAGATGGTTTGTGTCATGGAGAGTTCTAAGCCAGCCTGGATGCGGTGGCCTGAGGGTAAGAAGAGTACCCACACGCTCTACAATAAGGATAGTTTGGAGGAATGGCACAAGAAACATGGGTATTTTGTCGAGTGAGGGATAATTATTGTTAGGAGTGTCTTTGAGCCGAGCTATCATCAGAGCAGAAAGGTTTATGGGTTGAAGAAGTGAAGGGATTTGTGGTGCTACATGCTAATGCCTATGATGGAAGTACTTGAGAAATGAGCAACATGGAAGTCGTGAAGAAATTATCTTTTCATTCATATATGATCTAGGCTAAGGGGTATCATGGAACCTGAATTGCGAATTAGCAACAGATCACAACGTATTATGAGTGACACATTGTGTAGACAAGAACGTAGATCAGTTCTCCAAGGTGAATATAATTTTTTATCTTCAAGATGTATTCAGAAAGAACACAGCGAATGATTGGTGCTCATCAGGAAATGGGAGGCAGGGAGAATGAATGCCGGTAAGAACTTACAAAAAAGAAAGAGGGGTATCTACTGGGTGTATCGAATCCTAGATGATTGATCGATCGAGTCAGCAATGGCATTCATGGAAAATGCAAGCGTGAATGTCAAGATCAAAACATGGCAACTAAGTCAGGCTTTCGGAAAAGTTAGCAAGATGATCCAATGATGGGGGGGGGGGGACCCGGATTTGTCAAGAGCAACTCACCTCATTAAATCAGATTTTTGTATAAATGTTCATTGCCAAAATACCGAGGTATCCAGCTCAAACAGTGTGAATAACACATTCATCATAATAGATATGACCATGTAATAAGGGGCATTGGAAGCAAGTAAGAAGAAAGCGCAATAGAATACCTAATATACGCACAGTCAGACACAGTTATTTCAAACATTTCGTCCAAAGGGCGACGTCAATGAGGTATGACAGTGGGCAAAGTATCAGGTGACGAATTCTCAACAAGTATTCCACCTCCCAGACACCCACAGAGTTTGTACGCTCTGGTTTTGTAGGGTGAAGGGACGAAGATACGTTTTGTCCGCCCGTTCGTTCAAGATTTCTTCATGCAAGGGACATGCCGCGACAAGAGGGGAAAAGATTGACGAGGGAGTAATTGAAATTTACCTAACCAGCAGCTTGTTAGCATTGGATCCAGACAGGCAGACGCTGGTAGTAATGGCAAAAAAAAGAAGTTTGGTGTAGTCAGACAAGGCTGAAACTTAATATTGACAGTTTCCACATGATAACTTAAGATTGAGGAATGCCTTTGCATGTCGTAGAGTCATCATCCAAAGGGGGGAGGGTGTGAACAAGAGGGGGAAACATTGCTTGTAGTTTACCTTTTGAGAAAAATTGAAGCAAATCACGTCGAGGACCAAATGGCAGCATTAAGCCCTTCAAGTCCTCGACTAGTAGTGGTCTGTCTGACGGAACATCCAGATCAGAGACAGCTGAAGCTGCTTATGATCGGATTGAGAAAATAAGAGAAGAGAAGCAAGGCGAAAAGCCAACGGCTGTTGGATAAAAAGTTATTGTGAAGACACAGGAAGAAAGTAAAAAAAAATTTGCGGGTGGTGCGCGAAATATAAACGGAGCTCCCGAATACGGCAGGCGCGGTGAGCTTCGGGCGCAGTTTGTCGAAATGACAAACATCGCCCCACCCTTGGCTTCGCTTCCCTTCGCTTCCTTCCCAAATCAGGTGGAGTCGACCAGATACAGTGGAGAAAACAAAGAATATGTATTGTTGTTCTTGTGAAGACCAAATGGGATCCAGAAGACTACTAACTTATTTAAGTCCAGAATGATTGATTGGAGGCCAGAATGAATAGTCATCGGAATGTACAGCTGATACAACAATTTCCTCCATATCAACAACCAACACACGAGCTAGAGCTTTGCTTCTGGCTGCAGTGCTTGCCGAACTTCCTCTGCTGCTCGATACCCAGCGGTGACTGCTCCCTCCAGATACCCCTTCCACTCAAAGGCTGTCTCACCACCAGCAAAATGGATATCGAGGAACGGCTTTCGCAGCTCATCCCCATACTTCGACAGCATCTTTGGTCCCATTGATGAGGTTGGCGCCCCCCAGATGTACTCTTCCTTGGTCCATTCCATAACATTGATCTCCAAAACATCATGTGCCTTCTCTGACAACTTGAGGCCTACTAGCTCCGCAAGATGATCCACAACTGCTTCCTCTTGCTGAAGCGAGGGAAGCTGGTGCCATTTATACGCAACATCTCCCGCAATGAAGAATGCGAGGGAGTATTGGCCAATGCTCGGATCTGAGATGTCCCAGGAGAAACAAATAGGGCCTTTCAAGCTTGTGAACTTGCCTACAAGTCCTGCCTCTCTCCACCAGGCTTGCTTGTAGGAGATGACCACTTTGGCGTAGTGTCCAGGCTTGGTGCGAGAGACGAGCGCTCTCTTGCCCGACGGCAGGGGAGGTGAGAATCGGATATCGGTATAAGTATTAGTGGGATTAGCCATGATCACCTTGCGGGCCTTGAACGTAGCCCCAGTCGCTGTGGTGACTTGGCTGAGCCCATGGTGCTGTATAATACTGTCGACAGGACTGTTGAGCAGAATTGATCCTGGCTTCAAAGATCGACCGAGTGCGTAGGCAATCTCGGATGTGCCCTTCTTCACCTTTAATGACTGGGCGCCCTCTTCACCCTCGCTGATTATGCTGATGAAGCCCATGCCGGATTTGATGTAATCCAGGAAATAATGCGCTCCGACAGCATCAGCTTCACGCCCGACAATCGCACTGCAGAGGTGATTGGCGACACGTTGGGTGTGTTTGCCAGTGCATCCAAGACCGGCCACCCATTCTGCGAAAGTGACGTCCTCCTCTGTAGGGAAGTCATCCCATTTGCGGATATTCAGAGACTCGGGACGTTCAATGAGTGCTCCAGCGAGGATCTGTTCTTGCTCGCGATCCTCCTCAGTCGGGCCCTAATAAGCATGAATAAACACCATCAGCTCAAGTTACCTCGTCTTTGGACCTCGATGCCACTCACATTGCCCAGTGTTCCGTCTGGGCAGCGGACGACCTTGCCATCCAACCCTTGAAAGATCTCATCACCTTCTACATACTGTTCAACAGTCTCGAGTCCAAACTTCCGTGTCAAAGCAAAAACCTCCGGTTGAGTGGTCTTGTTGATCCAAGTGGCTCCCATTTCAATCACCCCAGGACCCGAGTCAAGATGTTGTGAGCGACTGCGACCACCAATGCGGGACTTGGCCTCTAGCACAACCGTATTCAAGCCAGCACTGTGGCATTGATACGCAGCGGCCAAGCCAGAAAAGCCACCGCCAACAACCACGACATCAACCTCAACGGGAGCAGCAGAATAACCCTTTTCCTTGGAATCCCTCCAAGGCTCCGAGGTCCCTCCGATCAAGGCTATAGCCTCGATCTCAAACTTGGCTTCGGGGAATGCCAGTTTCGGCACCGGCACCAATGTAGTTAGGGGACGGTGCGGAGCGCCGTGCTTCTCAGATAGGAGGTTTAGAACCGGACTGACGAGCTCTTCGGCTAAATCCATTGACCAGTCCACGGAGTAGAAGATGAGCTTCACGATTTCTCCTACAGATGCCCCGCCAGCCTCGAGCGCACTGGATACATTATTCACGGCTTGCTGTACCTGGTCAGCGAAAGTGTCAGGCCAGGAACCGTCTCTCCGCTGCCCGGTCTGGCCTGAGGTCATGACCAGTCGTTGTTGACCGCGTGCAGATACAGTATTAGAATACCATCCGGGATCGGGGGTGTTTGAACCGTTGAAAAACGTCGTGGATGGCTTGATATCTCGGGGAGCCATTCTAGCGGGTAGTAATGCTATAATGCCGGATAGAGAAGGGGGCTGAATTGTTACTGTAATGCCTTTTGTACTGGATACTTGTATAGCAGTCCCTGTGCACAACTGAAGTGTCTCGCATGCTATCTTGACTCTAATGGAATAGTTGTCCATAAATACTCGTTGCGCGGCTATCGATATTGGGCCCCGCTATGAGCCCTATCTGTACCCGCGCGGCGCGCGAGAAGATGTGGACCAGGCCCACATGGTGGAAACCCTACTACAGTACCAGTTCAAAAGTCTGAATGTAGAGTTCAAAAAATGTCCTTCTAAATACGCTACAACTTTCTCTTGGATGGAAAGGTCCCTCCGAATGTCTTTTGAATTGTCTTCTTATATAGCCCAGACCAAATCCCTTAATTAACATTTAAAGGATGACTGATGAGAGGATGTTGAACTTTTCTGTTGTTTCAAACCTATGGACTCCACTGTACTGTAGCGTCATACGATAGGCCAGATAGCCTGCAGCCATTGAGGAATATTCCCAGCATGGTGACTTTCACCTCCTTCTAGATACAGTAATTGATGCGAGACGGAAAGATCGCTCAGGCGCCGTGTAAGGTCTTCCCTATGATTAAGAATGTTCATGTTCAGCACTAGTCATTCATGCGTAAGCGTGATTTGATACTATAAAAAGCCCACACGGCCTCGTCGGTGGGTGGGATCCCTTTTTTTTCTTCCACCTGCATCTCTCGTCTTCTCTTGCCTGCTGATTCGCCTGGAGGATATCCCATTTCCTCGACATTTCCCACCTTTTCGATTCCACTGCGGTGGCAGCCATCCTCACACCCAGGTCTGGCTCAAGGGAAAAGACAATCGTCTTAGCCCTGATTAAGGTAGGTGGACCTTTATATAACTCCATAGTTGAGACCATGCTTCTCCATTAATAACCCGAGCCCCCGAGGTCCAATGACAAACTCATCAGTGTCAGCCCACAGCATTTCCAGCAGTTCACAGCCTTGTATTGAATGTCGCATCATGTAGCGATTGTGCTTCAAGACATCCTGCAACCATAATCGCTGTTCTTCTTTAACCATGCAGGACCCGATCATCAATAGAGGCCACATAAGAATGCATGCATAAGTGGACTCGATAACCTCCGGCATATGGATCATTGCAATGTCGATATGACCTTGTATACGCTCAAGCCTCTCTGCATCTCGTCTAGAAAGTGGGGACAGACCGGTTTCCAGGAAGATCAATAGCGCGTTGCGGCATACTTCCAGTGTTGCTTTTAGCGCGGCGGGCCAATCGGCGTCCGCGCAATCAGAATCTGACGGATTCCAGTTCAGCGTGGTTTGTTTTAAGTTGTTGTACGTTGCCAGTCGCTTTGGGTCAGGTAAGCTTTCCCATGAATGCATGAGCTCTTGCTGCGCTGCGAAAAGGGCGATTGATGAGATGAGCCCGAATAGACCGTGACCTCCACCGAACATGACCCCAAATGCCCCAAAGTCCTTCAAGTCATCTAGTGACTGGAGGAATGGGTCGTGGATCAGATTTCGACGCTCATTCATGCCAAACGGCGTGATGCTGTTACAGAGTACGAAGTAGGCATAGAACTCCATCACGAATCCATAAAGCTTCCGTTCCCCTTCGGTCTTGAGTTCGTGGCGCTTGTTCCGGAGCTCGAGAATAATGTGGCGACTTGCACGAAGATGCATGAAGAAAGATCCATCTAGGTTCCCGGAGATAACCTATATTTGCCCGTTAAAGTCGGTAAAGGGAGATTCCCCGGAATGAAGAAAATGGGCGTGGTTAGGCGTACCTCATATTGACAGAGCATGACCAGGGTCATGGCCACTCGAAGGAGTACAAATGGGTCCTTCAGTAGCTTCTCGTTCTGGGATACTTGCCGAAGTGTCTTCAATACTAAGCAATAATGTTGGTAGATGGCCTGGTTAATCTCGGGAGTCTCAGCCCTGAAGGACAAGTGCGCCCCACTTAGTGCTAGGACACTGTGCATCAACAGATCATCATTGTAGGCTATCGGCATAACCCACGATACGAAAGGAGCAGTCTGCGCAGGTGCCGTGGCTAATAGCGGCCCTGTCAGTTCCATATAGTGTGCCAGTAAGGTTTCCGATGCTGGCAGCAACATCCCGGCTCGCCGGGGGCTTAAAAAGGCGTTCAGGCCCCTCGACCATCTGATTGCATAGTCTTTTTTGTTATCCGCATCATCTTTGTCGTGCCTTTCAATCACTTCCAGAGAGTCCTGAGAAGATGGAGAAATCGCTATGGAGCTGTCATCTGAAGTGGAGCTCTCGGTCCCGTCACGGCCCCGCTTCTCCTGCTCAGATCTATTGTTGGGCGGATCGAGGCCGAAGATGCGGATGATATGAGGTGGCCATTCGCAGTCGATCTTGTTGCGGGTGCAGGCTTCACATTTTGGTTTCGTCTCGTCGCATTTCTTCTTTCGACGCCGGCAGGTCAAACACCCGGTCCGGGTACGAGGGAACTTGCGGCTCATTTGAGTTTCACCGTTTGTTGGCTGCGGAAAAGCCCCCGTTGATGGGGCAGACGACATAGTGGGTGTGTCAGATAACAAGTGGTCCTCTTGCGTCTGGAAAGCTGAAAGGAGAAGGAGACGTGGTGGAGATGGCGATCGTGGCCGTTCAACTCGGACTTTTGGCCATAACGAGGCTGCAGGGGTCTGTTTCGCGGAGACGGATTGGGGGCCGATTGCTGTGCTGGATGACCCCAGACCAAGAACTACCCAAGGCGACACCTTTGTCCTGAAAGAACTAGTCTACGTTCTCAATCTTTGGTTTGATAGGTTTCTTCCTGCGTGCTATTCGCACTAGCTACCAGCCACAATCATTGGGGGAGCAACTCGCCAGTGCGAAACAACCCTGGCTACACGTACCCCCCTCACTTGAAATCGAGTAGTTCTCAGCACTTTGTGACCTAATCTTGTCGATCTTCCCAACGCTCTTCCTGCTAGGCAACTGGGATTCGCAACCAAGATCCTCGAAGCTAGCATATAGATCAAAGTCACACTGAGCGCCCGACCATAGAAAATATTCGCTCTACGCCACATCCGAAAGCATCGGGCCGATCTCGCTTTTCAAAAAAGAGTATTGATCAGGTCCCTCTGAATGACTCTGAACTTGTGGAAAAGTTTGCGCTTTGTGAGCGCAGTTCTTATTTGGCTGAATGGTGTAAAGGACAGCCTGGCGGGGGTTGCGGGTCCTTTCGATACCAACTTCTGGATAAGGACGACAGATCATTGAGCGAAGTGGAAAGTTCCGCAGGTTCTCAAGAAATATAAATCAGTGGTTCACTACAGCAGCATGATAAAAGATGAAATGAACGTTGTCTTTTACTAAGAACTTCCCAGATAACCATTACTGGTGACATACAGTTAGTTGGTTCTTGCGCTCCGAGACTTAAGGAACCCGAGGTTTAACGAATGTGTCTCTTGCACCCAAACCAAGTGATCGAGAAAAAATTATTCAATAAACGATCTTTTAGAGATAGAAAGCTCGTTAGAGAGGAGAGTATGAGGGCGAGTGTATAAATGGCTAGGTAATAATCTGGTCAGCGTGCTAAATGATTCCACATGCTGGTATCCACTGGTTACGGCTAGACCTGCCATCCACAGCACACGAGGCTGGAGTTGCCATCCTTCGAGAACTTGTATAGTCCCGCCTCGCATGTTTCCCTTTAGCTGGACTCTAAATTAATATTATCAGTTCACAGATCATGTATAAAACCCCAGTACAAACCCCGGGATTATTCTAAACCAGAACTCACTGCAATAACCATGGCATCTCCTATTCAAGAGCTTCCAACTCTGCCTGAGATTGGAATCACACCCCCTTCGTCCTCTCTTGCAGTGAGGGCTTTCGTGTATGCAAAGCAGCACTGCACAGAGAGCGTCTACAATCATGCAATTCGTTCAGGGTACTGGGCAACAATAATTGCGAAGAAGCTTGCTGAGTTCCGCGATAATGCCAACCTCGACTTGGAGATGGTATTTGTCAGTTGTATCCTCCATGATATGGGTTGGGCAAATACTCCAGAGCTGTTGTCAACCGATAAGCGCTTCGAGGTCGATGGAGCCAACATCGCTCGAGACTTTTTGTTGAACGAAAAGCGACACGCCGAAGGAAACCTCAATGACGCCACTATCCAGCGCGTGTGGGACTCCATCGCTCTTCATACCACCGCCTCCATCGCTCGATATGCTGCACCCGAGGTCGCTCTCACTCATCTGGGTGTTACGGCCGATTTCTTCGGTCCTAACTTTCCTGGACCCAACGGCGCACCTCTGATCTCAGCTCAAGAGTATCATGCTGTCATGGAGGTATTCCCTCGCGCTGGTTTCAACACGGAGGGCTTCAAGCAAATCATGTGTGGACTATGTCGTACAAAACCTGCGACAACGTACGACAATTTCGTGAGTGTGATAGGGAGGAAATACGGCCTTGACGGAAACGGAGAAGGTAAGGAGGGGTATACCCTGGCGTGGGAAGAGTCACAGACTCAGCTCAATAACTTCTTGGTGCTTGGGTTGGATGAACTCGAAGAATCGCATGACCCCAAGTGACGATCTTAGAGACGGGACGTGTATTTTAAGATTTTGTGGCTGTAACTAGTCCCCTCTACAGTTGCATTCTCTGAGTTATGGAGGGATCGTCAAAGGGTGCAACTTGTTGAAGATTGATCTACCGACAGTGAACATTCACAACTTTCCAGCGGCTTACCACCCGTTTCGGTCATTATTCCTGTTCATCTGTTTCCAGGGTTGTTCACACCCCTTGTCTACATCCGTAAACCTGCTCAAGGCAACTCCATCCATGCAGAAAGTTGACCCTGGTAGACAGGGATTACGTGTAATAATACCACGGCGTTATATCCGTTGCTAGCCTGAGATTGGCAATTGCACTTCCACTTGCGCTCAGCTAAAAATGCTCTTTAGAGGAACATGACGGCAACGCCGAATCCTAATAAGTTTAGCCATACTACATCCTCACTCATATATACATTGATTCCATGCCAAATTCTTGAGTTACTAGACTGAGATACCGAATGCCTGTAGGAAAAGCCTCAATCAACATTTAACTATCCCACGGGCGCTGTGGTGAGCATGTAATTGCGTCCGAAGTGAAGGAAGTAGTAGAATTGGACAATGATGGAGCATGAAAACCAGATTTTTCATGCCTCCTTTCGGTGAGGGAATTCAGGAAGACCATGAGGTTGGCTTGATAAAAGACTCGGATGTGCACTCAGACACAGTGGACGCTTACCATTGGTTAATAGAATTAGAACCGGGTACAGTATCATTCGTGATCTACCACCTCCCCGTGATGGGAAGTTTTCTATAAGGTATGGCATGCAGAAACGGTGTCTGATCGCGAAACTTAACTCTAAAATGCAAGGGTTAGCCTAGAAGTGTTGATTTATGATATGAAGTATCGGTCTACCGAGCTCCTTATTCGATCTTCGTCAATTACCCGTGTGACAGGGAAGTTGTCTGACGCTGAAGAATTTCCTAGATAAAATGAGGTTAAACTGGCAGCCGAATGCGTACTATATCACTGAAGAACTTGTGACAACTAGCCTACGGGAAAGGCCAGATCATCACTCGCATCGATAGAATATCCACACCGTTTGCTGCTATCACTGAAAGAACAGAATGTGATGTGCAGGGTCCGATCTGTTTCCAACCCACTATACTTTTCCTTGCGCATAAAGGATATACTTAGCTACCCAATCGACTCGAGCCGGGATGAAGTTGCCCTTTTCCTTTTGCTCGTACTAGACGGATGACTAGAAGAGATCGGATGCTAGGTCCGTTTTCGGATAGAGCTCCGACTACTTATTTATCTTCACTTAGCAAACCCAATCGTTAAATATCATATATATTATAGTCTCTGGAAGATTTGCATGACTGCTCTTAGATTTCCTGGCGGACAGGGAGTATCGCGGGACGGAGCACAGACGGGGAGTGTCGCGAGACAGAGCACTAGACTGCGGGGCGCCGTCGATAGGCTTACTGATTGGGAACGACTCTCATCTGATTCTGGAGTTCCATGCATAGAATGAAACATCTTTCTCTAAAAAGGCGCTTCCAAAAACGCCACAACGGGATCACTTTATCGGTCAACCGTGAGTTACAACCCTCTGCAATAGAGTTTAGTCTATGTCTTCAATTTCCATCAGGGGTTTTGCCGGAGTACGTCGGGGAAGCATCGCGGATGTGCAAGAAATGCATCACTTCATACATGGTATGCAAACCCCGCCCAGATACACGGATACTGCAAGGAAAGCTAACACTTGCTGGTGCTGGCATCATCACTGGCATGAGCCTTTCCAGCATCAAAAGAGATATCTGGCCCTGACCTTCCTGTTTGGGAATCTGTTAATCGATCATTCATTCAGTGATCTATGTATGATCTGCCAAGCTTTCTTCTGCCTCCCGTGAGCTATGAGAAAAAGGACCCGGCCCTGTAGTGTGCCAAAAACTGGGGTACTATCACTGGCAATGAAATTTGCCAGATGGCGAGTCAGACTCTGGGAGGAATAATCCTTATCGCGGGGATACTTACCCCGTGCTTCGTATAGCTCGCTGCTATGCGTAAATTATGTTTCCTCCGTATCCAAAATGCCTAATTTGTTTCAGTCTCTAATACATGGAATAGCGAAGGGGGTATTCTAAAAAATACTAATAGTTAAGAAAATATAAATTGCGCTCAAAGCCCCCTGCAATATCCCGGATTCTGTTACCTCGAGTCATCAATCCGCAGAAGTCGCTACCTAGTCACAGCTTTATCTGGAATATTTATGCATCGTGCACCTTCATTATGCTTCCTTCCAAGCCTGTAGGTTTCTCCAGCGTCATGGACGCCTCAAACTCCCCAGAGGAACTCCTTGATAACAGTGTTTACCAGTTTGACGGCAATGTGAGGGCCAGGTACTTCTGGTATGGTATTGCTGCCCTCATTGGTGTGACGGCCATCTTGAACTTGCGTTGGCGTCTTGACTTGAGATTGAGGTATGCGTTTTCCTTTCCCGGTATTGCCAGTATAGCATGTGCTTACAGAAAAGGAATTCCAGGAAGCGCTCAAAACCAGCAAGCAATAGTTCTTCAAGTATCTTTTTTCAGGCTACTAATGCTGCCACAAACTTGGCACGTCGGGCGACATATCTTCAAGTGACTCCACCTGGTAGGGCATTCTGGTTCAAAGTCCCGCCTCTAGGTGTTGTCTACTTAATCCTCGCCTATATCTTGTTCATTCTCCTTCTCGAATTCTTGAATGATCACGGTTTTACGGGCCGTACATGGTGGACAATGGTTGGTCTTTGCGCTGGATGGCTCACTGTCGCTCAAATTCCACTCGTCGTCCTGCTCGTCAGCAAACATAGTCTCATCGGGTTGTTAACCGGGGTTTCCTATGAGAGACTCAACGTTTTTCACCGTTGGGTTGCACGTGGTATGTTACTTCTGGCAACACTCCATTTCGCTTTCCTCGCGTCGCGATGGGGTCGTGTTCCGGGTCTCCTATCTTCGGAGTGGGCAACTAATGACGCTTTCCGCTCCGGCGTAACGACTTATGTGATTCTTTTCTGGATGAGCTTCTCAACCGTTGCGCCCCTGAGACACTTCTCGTGGGAGTTCTTCGTTTTCCAGCACATAATTACCTACATGGGTTTTATCATTGCCGTTTCGATACATATTCCAAGCGACGCCAATGATGCTCACGCCTATGTCTATGTTGCGGTTGCCTTATACCTGGTTGAGCGGCTGGTTTACTTTGCTCGCTTTGCTTTCACCAACTCTGGTTCCAGCAAAGTGACTCTCGAGTCCCTGGAAGGAGATGTCACAAAAATGTATGTGACAAATCGTCGCATCAAGACCTGGGCTCCCGGATCACACGTCATGATTGGTATTCCACGATTCGGTCTGGTTCAATCCCACCCTGCCACTATCATGTCGATCCCTAGCTCCCATAATGGAGAGGTGGTCTTGCTATTGCGAGCCTACAAGGGGTTTACCAGGCGCATCTACGAAGAGAACCACAAAAGACCAAGAGAGATACCTGACGATGTGTCATTGCAAGAAGGACAGTCGAGAAGCTCTATGAAACAGTATGCGGCTTTGATCAATGGGCCATACGGATCATCGCATGCCGAATTCGTCTCATTCAAGACTGTCGTCTTAATTGCTGGCGCTACAGGTGTGACTTTCACCATGTCTGTCTTGCTTGACCTTGCCCATCGAGCCGCCGTTGCAGCAGAGAATGGTGATACACCGTACCCTGTGCGCAAAGTCACATTTGTATGGCTGATACGGAAATCTGTCTGGGTTGAATGGATCTCAGACGAGTTGCGAATAGCAGTGTCTGACCTTGAAAAGGCGGGAATTACGTTTGAATTGCAAATTTTTGTGACCAAGTCGGATAGCGAAGATACGATTCTAAGCAATAGTCCGAAGCTGGGTCCTCAATATCTTGAGAAAGTTGATGGGGCGAGGACAACTCACAGCATATCTGGTTCGTGTTTTGACTCGGGCCGTCCGACCTGGAAAGATCTGTTGCGCAATGTTCTTTCCGATGCCGAAGGAGAAAGTGCCGTGGGTGTATGTGGTCCTCTGAGCCTTTCAGTTGATATTCGGAAAGAGGTCGTTTCACTGAGTTCTGAGGGGACTCGACTTCTCTACTTGCATGTCGAAAGCTTTTCCTAGAAAGAGCTTTTGAACTTTATGTATATCTGATGAAGAGTCGAATGGAGTACACTATTACCAATATCTGATGCTAATATTCATGTCCTCGTACCCCAAATTGAAGAAAAACAGGCCGCACTCTGCGAGATTGCCACTGTAGGACGATCGTTCCCCACACCTAATCTTCTCGCTCTGGCCATGAAGGGACAAGGTGGCGGAGCAGAGCTGAACCCACGCCGTGAATTTACCTGTTCCTCCCAAAAGCTTGAAACAGATGCCATGCCAAGAAGCAGGGCTACACCTCTAGGTTAAATGCCAAAAGTCTTTTGCATGGATCAATCTAATATCATTCTGCTCCCACAATGGCAATCACCGATCGGCCAATCAATGATATTTTTCAGTCCCACTTCCATAGATCCCTTGCAAGTTTGCTTTGGGCCGTCGGAGAGATCTATAATATTACTTGACTGCATGACATACCCAGAGACTTAATGGGAACGATGATTACCCTCAGACCGTCAGGTATGTATGAGTGATCTTTAAAATAGGCTTGAGATCACCCAAGTTGACCAGGCCCAGGTTGGGACTAATTTCGGTCCAGAGAAGATCATCAAAACTCTGCTAGTGAGAGAAGCAAATGCATCCCTAAGTCACCCAACGTCTTTCCCTGACAATAAAAAGCAATCTGACCGGAGGCAAAATATTTTTGAGAAATCTACAATGCTTACGGTATTTTCGTTCGGTTGCTCAGTACCATCATAGTTCAATCTAACATGCTGTTTGCTAGTGGCCGACCTTACGACAAAGAAAACCTCAAACTCATACGTCTTGACCAATTGAACCAGGTCTCCATCGAACACGGACGATGTACCGTGTTATCATTCTGCGGCAGTGCGGTGCTTGAATTGGGAATTGAAGGCACCGTTGACCTCTACAATGACGCAATGAATCGGATTGCTTCGTTGTCTTGGAAGGGACCCTGGACGCGCATGGAGAATAAGCTCGATCGGACAACCTTGACAACAGCATTATGTCGTGATAGTGTCGGCTCCCGCATACGAGGGGGTTCTAGGAGATCTAGGCGTAGAGGTTAGGAATGTTGGTGTTCGAAAAACTTCCGGCCTTCGATGTATCTCATCTGCAACTAGAATGTTTTGAAAGTTATATTATCCACGAGTGGTCGTGAAATTCATACTATTGACTCCTGTCGTCCCCGTGCCACCCGTGGGCATCTTACGATACCCGAACAGCCTGGGTTTGATTTAAAACACCGGCTCAATTCCGAGATTTCTTGTCCAGACGGGGACACTGAAGATTGAAGAGCCAGGGAGCAAGGGATTGATTTGCTACTCCGAGCGTCCATCAGAGACCCTTTCTATAGAGCAGACACGATGGTTGCTTTGAGTTTCCTTTGAGTGACTGAGCAGGGTTCTGTGAATATACAGTAGCTTTGCACGTTATAGAACAGCCATCCTTGACCAAGGTGGCAGTGTAAAGAGCGAGCAATTCGTTATTGAAAAACGATGTTGACCATGTGTGGAGTGACCGGGAAGTTAATCGGATCGGTGGATCGATGGGCATCTGCTCTAGGCCGATCGACGAGTCATGCATGTTCCATCGGGTCTCTTCCACGGCATGTAGCATAGAATGGGGGCTGATGATACAAAGTTCCCAGTTTCCTCTCAGTCGGCATTACTGTGCCTGCTTCGCTAGGGATGCTGGTCTCTTCCTCGTTTGGGAAGGTCAATCACTATCATCGATGACCTTTCAGTAGATGGTGATTGGTGGCATGACAGATACATCACCAAACTCTAAATTGCGCCGCTTCCAGAGCTAGTTTTTGTCACATCCCGAGGAAGATCCACTTTCTTCTGGCAGTAGTGATAAATTATTTCATTCTGGTATTCGCTCCTTGGGGAAGGCAGGCTTCAGCTCCTGCTTCATTCCGAGATCTGGACAGGATCATCGTCAGTGCATCTGCCTTCTCAAGGTGGAGCCTTGGTTACCAATGTATTGTCGTCATTTTCGCAGCTGTGCAGCTTTCGCATTCGTATTTACCAGGTCGACAATCGCCTCGGGGTCTTACTTGTGTCGGGCTCCACTTGTCTTGAGGCCAGATTCTGTTCCCTAGATGAGGAGCTGAGATGAGCGAATTATTACTTGGTGGCTTTGTGATCCACCCGTGGAATTTCTGGACAAGCGAGAATGGGGCGCAAACAATTCCAGGGCGATATTATAATTTTGAGTTTATTGAGTGGACATTGCAAGAGCGTCCGAACAGTGAAATCTTAGTCATTATACTGGAATGCCTTTCCTATAGCATCCAATTCAGGACGTTCCAAAAGCTTTGCTAATGAATGAGATCAGAATCATAGAGTAAAATAAGCATTCGCATCAGCCTTTTGTTTCTTTCATTGTCTATCATGATTTATAAAGTAATCAGGTCAATATGTAGTCACTTTCTAGATTCGAGTCAAGGGTTGAAGGTAATGGACACAATCGGACCAAAATACTGGCAATTCGAGGAACTTATAGTACAACGTTGAGATGCCCAACGGTCGTATGTTATCAATGAGCACATGTCTATGATTCTATGCAGCGATACTGCTATGATCTACCCCGTAGACGATTCCATAACTCGTACCCGCAGCAAGCGCACCTACAAGCAGTGTTTGTGCCGCCCCGTAGAAACCTGCGCGCTTAGTTTTGAGGATGGCGTAGTTTTTGGAGAAGCCGAAAATGATACAAACGACGACGGTGATGCCTATCGAGATGAAGAGAGCGTGGTTCGTGTTTTTTATGGCGAAGTACGGGATCATGGGAAGGAGGCCACCTTTGAAAAGATTGGAATCAAGTTAGCGATGGAAGCTTCACAGATCAGAGGAAGGAGAAGAAACGCAGAACAATCGACATACCAATGAAGTATGAAATTCCCATCGTAGCTGCTGAAATCCACGCCCGTGAGACATTAGGCTTCTCGAGTTTCAATTCAAAGTCCATCATAAACTGTACTCAAGCGTCAGCGACTTTGCATTTATTCACAAAGAGATTGTCGAGAACTTACTCGAATCCATTGCTCCGTGTCCTGAGTGAGACAATCAATCACGGACCGACTTGCTTCTCTAGAAATGCCATAGCCGTCGAGAATCTCAAAACATTCCTCCTTTTCCGCGCTAGGTTTGGTGAGAACTTCTTCACGCTCGCGCGCCTCTTCACTCTTGTAGTGGTCTCGGTCGGTGACAGCTGCTAGATAGGCACCAAGTCCCATTGATATAGCTCCGCTGAACAATTCCGCAAGGCCGCCAATAATGACAATTTTTGAAGATCCGAGACTCGATAGACCAGCTGTAAGGGCAAAGGGAACGGTCATGCCATCGGCAAATCCAATCGTCATGTCCCGAATGATCGCACCTGATTCAGAGTGGCACTCAGAGGCGGCATGAGTTGGAATAGGAGACTCACTAATGGGCTCTGCTATTGAGGAGGCCATTTTGTGAAAACAGGAAATTTGATGGGTTCACACTAGGAAAGAAAAATCCAGTCGCTATTGAAAGTACACCTTGGACATTTTAAAGCCTTCTGGAGCAAAGTCCTGCCATACAAACAATACTGATACTTGGACTGGATGTGTATAGAATGCACTCCACCAATCAGCCTAGACCTATTAACAATCATCCTAAGCATAAGCCCGACTTGCCCGATCCAGTTGCTCAGTTAATATAGTCCACTGTACCAAATAGTGGGACCAGGAACATACGACTGGCGACTCATGACTAGAGCACTTGCCCTGGTTAGTTAGTAAGCCCGCCAATCATTGCATCCCTATTACACATCAAAGTTGGGAGATGGCAGCGATGACCTTGCGTGGCGAAAGAAGCTGGGAATGTTGGTTGCCTCAGGCGCCTATCAATAGGTGCTTGGGCTGGGACGGGGGCTTGTCAGACCACAAAAGACTGATGACGGGCACTCGGCCGGGTGTTTCGATTGCGATCAATCCAAAGCGGCCTGCTTGTGCCTCCACGGAAACAAGGTAGTATTACGTTCGAAAAATTGGGGAACCTAACGAACGTGTGGGGCGACCGAATTAAAGCTTATTTAGCGTCGCTAGGGTCTTCGTCCTCGACCATAGGATTTGTCCGACCATAAGGTCTTCTACCCCAATGAAGTCTATAAAATATCCGGAACCTTGGACACCGGAAAGCTTCGCGTTCCAATCTACCACTTAAAACTGTTTCCTCCCCTTAAGAACTTGGTTGACGAACGTGCCACCCGCCCGTTTGAAGTTACAGTATGTCCGCCTACGTCCACGATGACGCGTGCAGGACTACAAACGCCAAAGTACAACATGCTCAAAAAATCCCATATATATCTCCACTGATACTTTAACGTCGGTGTCAAAAGGTGCCTGGCTACGCGATAACTACCTTATCTGATATCCCTTTCATTGCTAGTCCCCCGGGCGGATATAGTACCCGAGCTTTTGACAGTCCGAACACTGTTGGTTTCGTCCAATGAACGCACAGCTTTGCAAGGGACATGAAGCTTTGGCATAATTTACGCTGTTCCGCGTTCCAGGGCTTTCGACCTACCTATGATAAGCTACATGATGGAGAGCATCTGGAGCAAGAGCGGGAATTTGAGTGGAAACAGCGACACGAAAATTCAAGTGATGCGTGGCCGAGAAAAGCAACCGTGGGGTTTTTTCTCTTGCTAGTCGACCTAACAATCCTTGTGATGTTGCTGCATACATTGAAGCCTCTAATCACTCTGCTGCGCCTGAATGAGCAACTCTTTAGCCCTCGAGTCACTTTGCCAAGCCCTAGTTTCTCAAACTATCGCAATGGAACAGTCCAGTCAAGTCGAATCCCTTTGATTCTACATCAAACTACAGCAACGGAAGAAATTCCAGAACGCTGGATTCAGCCACAACAAAGTTGCAAGAGAGCTTATTCAGAGTTTGAATACAAGGTGCGTTTGATTATCTTCATGGCCAGGAGAGACGACATGCGTGGACGACAATCGTCGTGCATACCTCATTATATCCACAGGTTATTGATCATTACTTTTAGCTATGGACTGACCAGTCGGCGCGCAATTTCTTGTCTGAGCACTACTCGTGGTTCGTGCCAATATGGGACAATTATGCATTCCCTATCCAACGAGCCGACTCGATTCGCTATTTTGTCCTGTATCACTATGGGGGGATCTACCTGGACATGGATACAGTGTGCAACAATACAATCCCAGTTTACAAACTCGGATCGCCGCGAGTCAAAGACTACGCTCTATTCAAATCAACCATTCCTACTGGCATCACGAATGACCTGTTGGTCGCCTCCGCGAGGCACCCCATCTACGCATCAGCAATATCGAACCTACCCGCATACAATGCGATCACTCGAGGCTGGGCTCGACTTCAACCGTATTGCGCTATCATGATTTCTGCTGGACCGTTGTTCTTGACTATGGTGGTGAAGGACTACTTACTCGAATCTAATTCACTACATTCGAAGACTGCGGGCGTCGTCAATCAAACTGAGCTGGCGCCCTATATCACCGATCTTCAGAGCAGCTCGTGGCATCATGCTGATGCACAAATGTTTATGTGGATTGGAGAGCGACCGTGGCTGTGGTTTACCATGGGGGCGTTTGTCCTCCTAGCTGGTCTTTACATCATCGATCGTCTGTTACTGCTTGTCTACGCTCTGTTTCGAAAGGCTCCATCGGATATCTACGGTATCAAATTGGATAAAGCGGCATAAATCGGGCCTGGATAGGGTTCCTATATAGTAATAGCTAATAGTGTACATTGGGACTGTAAGCACAGAGGGCCTCCCGATACTGATGCAAATATTCTCGAAGATTATGTCAATGACGTGAATGCATATTGTTTGAAATTATGTCTCGCCATTTACAATGAATAGAACCTGGTTTTTCTTGGCTCAGTCTGATTTCGTACCCTGCTATTTGTTTGGTCAAAAGTGAACTATAAGCCGACTGCACAAGGATTATAAACTCGCGAAAATTCCCAAACCTCGCTCACTTAGCTTGCTATTTATCACGCTGTTCCAGATCTTACTCCGGTCCCGTTATCTCATGAATATCAGAAGATACTAGAATCCATAACAACACCGTGGAACCAAGAGCAGGTATATGTATGCGGGAGAGCGGCACCTTCAGCAGGCAAGCGAGATTCATACCTAAAGTATGGATGGAAAATCTCATCTTGGAAGTCTCCACGAAAGTGTTTATTTGATCAATTGACATATCATCTCCTCCATTTTTGGCTGACCCTCTTCAGCACTTCGTTATAGAAGACCACTAGGTGGATGCGGGGCCCCATCGATAAGCGCGGGAGGAGATAAGCTGCTGGCGGTACTCGCGGGGCCAAGCTGAGCCACGATAACCAACCACCTCCAGGCTCCATCCGATCACTTACCGAAATTCCTGAGCCGTGTTGATAAATTGTTTCAATGCTCGGAAGTCTGAGCCAGCTTACCGTCTCCATTTCTCTCTCGTCCCGTCAAGAAACTCTATCTCGACCTGAACCTCCTCATACAGAATGACTGCCTCCAAGGTGTATGACGTCGTCGTCGTTGGTGCTGGCCTGAGTGGCCTACAAGCCGCCGTCGTAGTTCAAGCCGCAGGGCTTACTGTCTGTGTTCTAGAGGCCACTAATCGTGTGGGTGGAAAGACACTTTCAGTCAAATCCTCCGAGAAGGGATACAATGACTTGGGAGCGGCGTGGATCAACGACACGAATCAAAGCGAAATGTTCAAGCTCTTCAAGAAGTATGGCTTGGATACAGAGGTCCAACGTGCGTGTGGAGATACTGTCATCCACCATGCAGATGGCGCTGTGGAGAAGGTGCCTTACGGACAACTATCAGTAAGTGAGTTTGACCTCTGAACGAAAGTTACACGGCTAATTAAGTTTCAAAGGGAAACTTCGAACTTCTTTTGGAGCTCGTGGAAATTTTGAGAGAAGAATCCTCGACCGTAGATTTGGAGAATCCTCTAAAATCACACAACGCAGCTGAGATTGACCGGTTGACGTTCAAGGAATTTTGTGTCCGAAGGACGCACAATGAACAGACAATCGGAATTGCAAATCTGATTTCCTCTGCGTTGCTCGGAGTGGAAAGTGATGAAGTTAGTGCTTTGTACATGCTGCATTATTTCAAGTGTGGCTGTGGTATCGACAATCTCTTGTCGGACCGGAAAGATGGGGGTCAATATCTGAGGAATCGACAGGGTAAGCGTGGTAATACATTTCTTATTCCTATCGCATTCGCCAAATTCTCTTGAGCCATGCTAATAAATTAGGAAATCAAACAATCTCGAAGAAGTTTGCAGAAGAGCTTGGGTCGAATTCGGTCTTCTTATCAAAGCCAGTCGCCTCGGTGGACCAATCCAAAGATGGCCAAGGCGTTGTCGTCCTGACTCAGTCTGGGGAGCTTTTCCACGGTCGGAAGGCCATCATCTCAGTTCCTACAACGCTATACCCTACTATAACCTTCAACCCTCCGTTGCCTGCGAAGAAAACAGCCCTGAGCGATAACACTGTTATGGGGTACTATAGCAAGACTGTGTTTGTCTTCAAGGATCCTTGGTGGCAAACTGCCGGCTTGTCAGGCATCTTGGATTCGGAAGTTGGACCCATCAGCTTTACAAGGGATACCAGTATACCAGCAGATGATCAATGGTCCATCACCTGCTTTATCGTGGGTGAACGAGGAAGGCAATGGTCAAAATTGTCCAAAGCCGCTCGTCATAAGCAAGTATGGGAGCAATTCAGCCAAACCTTTGGCAAGTATGTGAACAATATACCCGAGCCGACCAATTCGATAGAAATGGAATGGGCCAAACAGGGCTATTTCTTGGGGGCGCCTTGCCCAGTCATGACGCCCGGCGTATTGACAACGGTGGGCACTGAGCTCGCAACATCCTTTGGAGATGTCCATTTTGTGGGCACTGAGACGTCAACGGTTTGGCGGGGATATATGGAAGGCGCGGTGCGATCGGGTCAACGAGGAGGTGCTGAGGTTGTGAAGGAGCTGATGAATGAGCTTTCTGTGAGGTAGAATGCCAATTTGGACAGGCATACAATATGGAAACCGAGGTCAAATCGTTGATGCTCCATACAGGTGGAGACATCGACAAGGGATCATGTATTATTGTAACCTTCTTCTCCCTAGCTCCGGAGCTATCTGTTGCCGCGTATCTGTAGCCGCGCAACGGCTGTTAACTCACTAGCGAGCCTCCCCAAGTCTACTAAGCTTGCCCCTTTTGCAGTCCCGCGTCATCAATCCGTCAGTCTTACTAGTTATCTGATCGCAATCAACTCTGAAAATGCGGAGGAAGTGGGTTCCTGAAACTTTTGAGCGCGGTAGATCAATGCTTATCGCCACCACTTCTCTTAGACCGTTGGTATAACAATCAATACGTGTCCAATTAAAACGACAGGGATCTTGATGTCCAAGAGCGGGGTTCTTTAACTAGCACCCAATGATGCGAAGGAAAGAACCTACCCGGCCTATGCAGCTATCACGTCCGTCACCTGCGTTAGTCTACCTGTCGGCCCATGGTGACAGAAGTACAATGACAATCTCCGATATTTAGGAGCTAGCTCCCCCCGCCTTATGAATAGAAATCTGACTATCCGCACGAGCGAAATAATAGTTAAACCATAGTCACTGTAATCTGGCTGCTCCTCGAGAGCTCCCTCTTTACGCGCCCGCGCCATTCTGAAAATGATGGACACAAAGGGAGAGTCCGATTGTATGAGGCCCCTTCCGAAGCCTATGCTAGCCTTTTGCTGATCACTCTACTCCCTTTTTCAGATGGGACAAAATCGCTTGAACAAACACACCATGTGCAGGACACAGAATCAAATTACTTGGCAGACAACAATGCAACCAACTCACCCAAGAAAATGCAATTAAACGCATTTACTCTCTTATGCATGGGGTTCGTCATCTGCAATAGCTGGGCTGGTATCTCGGCAAGTCTCCAACTCGCCCTCCTGCAGGGAGGGCCGGTCACCTTGGTATACTCCATCATTATCAGCACAACAGCATATTTTGCGATAGCAGCATCTTTGGGTGAGCTGGCATCTGTTTACCCGACAGCTGGTGGGCAATACCACTTCGCTTCGATTCTTGCCCCTCCCAGCATCAGACGAGGCATCTCTTATGCATGCGGTATCCTGGGAATATTCTCATGGGTCGCTATCAGTGTTTCGGTGACTATACTCATTGCGGAGACTTTGATGGCTGTGGTCGCTGCTACTCATGAAGGGTTTGTCGTCGAAGCTTGGCATATCTTCTTGGTCTACGAAGCGTTGGCATTCCTCGCTTTCATATATAACGTTCTCGCTTTGAAACGTGCTCCTTGGACGCACATTATTGGATGTGAGCCAAAATCTTGCATTGACTCGGATGGCATCTTTGATCTTCATGCTAATCGAGGTCCTACTCAGTCTTCCTTACTATTTCCATTTTCTTGATCTCTTTTGTCTCGATCCTTGCTCGGTCGCACGAAAAGCAACCGAGTTCATTTGTATGGGTCACGTTTATCAACGAGACCGGCTGGTCCGACGGTGTTTGCTTCTTGAGTGGTCTTTCCACCTCATGTTATATGTACATTGGCCTGGATGCCGCGATGCACATGGCCGAGGAATGTACAGAGCCAGAAAAAACGGTTCCTCGAACTATGCTAGCTGCTATCGGAATTGGCTTTGTCACTGGATTTGCCTACGCCGTTGCAGTATTGTATGGGATCACTGATATTGAGGAAATAATGACGACGACCGGGTAAGTTTTGGTTCGACGCTTTTATTTTGGACAAATTCCTGATGATTTGAGGCTATAGGTGGATCCCGTATCTTGTTAATGTTCAAACCCTCCGATCGACAACAATGGCAAATGCCTTTGCAACCCTTGCCATCATCATGGCAATTTTTATAATCATCGCATCCCAGGAGGCCTCTTCTCGACTCGCATGGTCTTTTGCGCGTGACGACGGCCTTTTACTGTCAAAGTTCATGCAGCGAGTGCATCCCAAACTTGATGTCCCTATCTATTCTCTGATCCTTAGTTGGTCTTTGGTCTTTATCTGCGGTCTAATCTATCTTGGATCCTCAACTGGTAAGTGGATCAAACTCCTGGCTTGCACACCCCTCTGTGTTTCCAAAGAAGAGGACTTCGTTACCGATGGACTGATCCCGATTCCTACTGTTTCTAGCGATCACCGCGCTCATTGGATCTGCTGTGATTCTTCAGCAGTTGTCATTCGTGATCCCAATCATTCTGCTTTTATATCAGAAACGATCAAAAAAGTTCTTACGACCCAAACGAGCCTTCAAACTACCTGATATTGTTGGGTGGATTGCCAATATCTACGTGGTTGTGTTTTGCACAGTGACGTTGATTTTCTTCAATTTCCCGATTTTCATTCCAACAACGTCTTCTTCAATGAGTAAGTCAGCATGCAGTTTATCCCTAGATTTAGCCTAATGAGTTGTGGAGACTGAAACCCAAGAATATTTCTGACGAGACATTAGATTACACGTGTGTCATCCTTGGGATTGCTCTTGTGCTTGGCTTCTTGAACTGGCTCCTGCATGCTCGAAGATACTACCATGGACCTGTGATCGATGAGCATGCAATAAGCCACTAAGCCTAGTAATTGAACATAGGATAGATGTAAGCAAATTGGAAGCGGTACTCAAACTTTAAAGTATTTTGTTACTTACTTTGTGACTAATTCAAGATATTTGTGCGAGTCCCCTGTTAGGACATCGCCAATAGAACACTAAATCTTCGCTAGGAAGAGTCGACCGATTTTCAGAAAAGGGTTTCTATAACTAAAAAGGTCCAAAAAAGAAAAAAAGAAAGCCAAAGCAGGGAACAAGTCGCATGGGTCTAGGCGAAGCTAAGTTCGAGAATGCCGCAGGGATGTTGAAGATCCTTCCTCTCGTTCAACGAAGATGCCTATGTGAGAAATGTCGTCTTTTCCAACGATATGTCAAGTGAAATAGTTTTATCGCTTCATCAACCAAACAAACGGAGTGAGTTCCATTTCGAGTAGCATTTAGGAGAAGACCTCATCCTGACGTCATCCTAAACATGCAATCTCCTGGAAACTCACACTGAGAAATCACACTCGTCAATCTGACGTTCTTCAGACCTTTAATAAAATTCCCGCTTTAACCCACAGAGTGAACGTAGCTTAGTTACACTTGTTGTGATTTGGACTGCAATCAAGATGCCTACCAAGTTCAAACTTAACACTGGCGCAGAAATCCCGGCCCTTGGATTCGGGACATGGCAAGATGAGCAAGCCCAGGAAGACGCCGTAACCGAGGCGCTTAAAGCCGGCTATCGGCACATCGACACTGCACGAGTGTAAGTTGCAATCTTCACCCTGAATTACCCCAAGTTATTAACAGCTTACACAACTAAACAACAGATATCTCACTGAGAAAGCGGTCGGTAAAGCAATCAAGAAGAGTGGCATCCCTCGTGAAGAACTCTTCATCACGACCAAGCTATGGAACAACAAGCACCATCCGGACGATGTAGCGCCCGCATTGCAGCAATCCCTTGATGATCTGGAATTGGAATTTGTCGACCTGTATCTGATCCATTGGCCTGTCGCTTGGAAACGCGGAGAAGAACTCTTTCCCAAGAAGAACGGGAATATGCTCCTGGAGGATATCGATATCGTCGACGTAAGATATCCCAGCGTGATTTACTTCTCTCAGTGGTCTATGCTAACAATACTATAGACATACAAGGCCATGGAGAAGCTGCTGAGCACCGGAAAAGTCAAAGCCATCGGTGTCTCAAACTTTTCCAAAGCCGAGATGGAACGACTTCTACAGAACACGTCCGTCGTCCCGGCAGTTCACCAGATGGAGTGTCACCCCTGGCTCCAGCAACGGGAATTCACTGCATGGCACCGTGCGAAAGGTATTCATGTCACACACTACTCGCCTTTGGGGAATCAGAATCAGCTTTACGGTGAGAAGGGCTCGATTGGAAAGTTGATCGACGAGCCTATTCTCGCTGAAATCGGCAAGCAATACGAAAAGAGCGCAGCTCAAGTCACCCTAGGTGAGTGGAACAACCCAAAGAACGGCCTAAAATATCTAATCTGATACCTTGATTCAGCGTGGGGTGTGACTCAGGGTCATTCAGTTCTTCCAAAGTCGAAAACGCCCTCGCGAATTCAGTCTAATCTCAAGGGCGACTTCAGATTAGGACCCCATGATATGGAGAAAATCCAGTACATTAACAAGAAGCTTCGTTTTAACGACAGCAGTGCGGAGTTCGGGCGAGATTTCTTTACTGATCTAGAGGGCAAATAAGCCTGACAAACATCCTTTTCTCTGCCCTCGTGTCCTAGTCAATCATTTCGGTCTCTACTGAAGGCGTTAATTAAATAACAATCGACAACTGGCTCCGTGTGTGCCCATTACTGCAGTAGACTCTTTCCAGACAGCGCCAAATGCGGTTTGACTTGCCTCAAAAAGCGAGCAATCTACCTTGATAGCGGGATGTCCTCTTCTAGAAATGCTATTAAGTATATGGGAGATGTTCATGAATCAGGTCGGGTTGCTGACTTCATACTATGTACAGCCCATCTCATCTCGTTTCGAAAATAAAAAATGACATCGAAACCAATCCGGTTTATACTCCCAAGAACCCAACTCCACCCACTAATCCCACGCATCACCCCATCCATCCTCAACATCTTCATCCTTCGGCTTCGTATCAATCTTCTTAGCTGGCGCCACAACTCTCGGCTTAGCAGCCGGCTTCGTCGCAGGGGTACTCTTCGTCAATCCCCTAGGTAGAGGATTTTTCGTCTTAGCTTGATTTTTCGCCGCCAACCACCCAGCGAAATCAGGCTCGCCGCCATCATCATAGGGAACAGCGGATGCTTTTGTTGCTGTCGGGTCCGGTGATGAAGGGTTGGGTGAGGCCACCGCCGCGGTGAAGGGGTCTACGTCTTTATCATCGTCATCGTCAATGGCGCCCCAGGCGTCAAAGACATCGTCTCCTTCTTCAGCGTCGTGCCATTGGTCCTCGACGACGGGGACAGGTATGTCGGACTGAGACCTGGAGAGAGGGTGGGCTGCCGGGCGTAGTGTTTTGTTGGATGGTTCGGGTTGGATAGAGGGTGAGGATTTGGCGGGGTGTGGGACGGAAGCTGGGCGGGGGATATCTTCGGAGACCTTGTTGGCGGCCGCTGTGGGTGCGATCTCGCCGTCTGCAGCAGCGAGTTTGTTGGTGAATGAGGAGATAGCCCAACCAGCCCAAGACTTGTCGTTGGAGTTGCCGATGCGGGCATCTGATTTGTTGGGTTCAGGGGTTGAGCTTGTCGGTGGCTGTATCACTGTGTCGGCCATTGTGCTGCCAAATTTGCGCACTCGGTGGATGTAGAGGTCTAGTGTTTTATTTGCTTGGTCGCGGACCAGCCTGTGTGATCATTAGTAGTGGCGATTGAGGGAGGCGTCAAATTAGTACTCACTTCTCCTTGTCTAAGAGTGCCGGACAAATGGCTGGCAGGATCTTGCCGGCGCAGTCTTCTTCCGTAAATGTATCAATTGTGGCAGAGAGTGCGAGGAGGCCAGCATTTCGAGCATGCACGAATGGATCTCTGATGGATCTCGTAAAGGCAGCAATGAGCACTTTGGATCGAGTCTAAACAAATGTCAGCCTGGAAAACATTGACTACCGAATGATAGAACCTCACACTTTGCCCCAGATTCTTCGCAATTTTGCCCAAGCAGATGGTGGTGTTGGTACGAATGCCAGGTTGCTCGTCGTTCGCCGTGCGCGCCAGGAACTTTAGCAGCTCTCCATTGACAACTCTGTCACTGAGTTTGCTGACAACAGACAAAACTGCCTTGACCGTTTGTTCTCGAACAACGGGGGCAATGTCTGTAAAACCAGAGGTCTGAAAAGCACAATATTAGCGGGAAAAATAGGAGCCAAGCAACGGCGACACCTACCATCTGTGGGAAGATCTTATCATTGACGACCTTCTGTGGCAGATTATCAATCATCAACGGCAGGTTATCCAATAGACAAACTCGCAGCGCACGGTCAGGGTTTCCAAAGAGCCGCACAATCACGGGTGTCAATTTGGCATTGAACTCGTCTGATGATAGCTTTGAGCCAATCTTCAAGGTTGCACTAAGGACCTTGGGTCCACCACCGCCAAATTCAACAGACTTGAGAAGCTCAGGAAGTACTTTCATTTTAAAGAAGTCTTCGGGGAAATCATCGGACAGATTATCGAGCTCACTTCAAGTGAGATTAGTACCGATGGAAAGACATGCAGCATTCAGAGGGACATACCTGATAAACTCCTCGCGCTCAGCCTCGCTTTTAAGCCCCAGGCTCTCCATATCTTCCGTCAAACGAATCAAAGGTGTCTGGAAGAAGCCGCCATGCTTCTTACCTTGCTCAACAAAATGCGCCGCGCTCAGTCGCAGCTTTGGGTTTGCCGTGCAGAGACGCTTATAGCTTTGCTGCATACTGGGCGGGATATTGGTTGTCTTGCCAATTTGATCCCCACCAGAGAATTGACCGTTGAAGACTTCGAAGACCAAGATGCCGAGTCCATATGCATCGACTGCTGTCAAAGGGTGGCGTTTGATAGCATCCCAACCAGCCTTGACCACTTCTGGAGGTGTGTAGCGAGCTGCGTCGGGGACCAGGCTTCCGTAGGTCTGATTTCGGTTTAGTATACTACGCCTGCGAGCTAGCCACCAGCAACTTACATATATGACAGCATCGTCCTCTTTCATAGAGCTCAGAATGTCAAATCCGCCCAGCTTCCACTCGCCGCTTTCACTCGTGTAGACAGAGGATGCGCGCACAGCACCGTGGACCGAAGATGCATCTTCGTTGATGAACTTGAGAGTAGACTAGATGCATAACCCAGATTAATGTCCACCAAATACACAGCGCACAGATACCAAGTAGTCTTACCGACACCGTGTATAACCCCCACTTCGCAGTTTCCTCGCTCAAGCTCCGCCGCTTGACATGCCACTCGAGTGGAACGACTCGTTCGGTCACGATATAGAGGTTCGTCTCATTCTGACAAACATCAGCCTCAATATTTGACCATCGACACTTCATATCATCGCTTCATAGCATTGCATATACCTCGATCGTATCCAAAACCTTGATCACACCAGGATGCCTCAGGGTCCTCGACTTGCGCACCGCATTCTTCGCCAAGGGGAGTCGAGACTTATTGGCCGCGATATCGAAGGTGAACACACTACACGCCGAGCCATCTTCCTAAGCATAGCAAAAGAGACCATGTTAGCATTCATTCAAGGTGTCAAGTAGTAACATCCCCGCGCCCCAACCGCAAGCCTAACAACGAAACCATAAGAATTAGCCACCTACCCTTCTTGTCCCATTATGAAGAGTCCATATAGAATCGCCGATATCCACTCTATCACCCAACGAAACGGGGAACGAGCTCCCCTTCGCGATCGCGGACGCGACGGCCGACTTGAGAAAGTCCATCTAGCGCTGCGCTGGCCACTTCGACTGCGAGGTTTGTTTGTGAATACCCGGCGGGGGCTGGCAGGAGCCCAATGGCCGGAGAAGAGGATTCGAAAGAAAGGAGTTTGGGATACGACAGCTGAATACTACCCAGGAAATAACGAGTCTCTGGGAATCAGTGCCTTCGAAGTTGTTTAGGTCAAGCTGAAGGGAGTCTTGCGGTGATTGACGCGGGCCCCGCCTTATCGCGGAAAGCCATGGGCGGCCTCAGGCAAAAGGGGGGTCCACCGCGTTTATTTGGTTTTCAGCTGCTGCCAGACATTCTCCACTTCCCACTCTTCTCCATGTCGCGGTCATGATGTTGGCTCGCAGTGGATGCGAGAATCTTCGACTCTGTACTATTGCAGAACTTCTCGGGAGCTCTTCTTGGAATCACTCAAACGGTAAGTACTCCCCCCTTCTCATGCCTCACCCCCACCTACCGGACGAGCTACACGCGACGCACTCTCCAATGATGCGAACCTGGTAAAAGGTCAGACCGCGCACCCTCAAAGCTACAACCTCCTCGTCCGAAAATATCGAAGGTACTCGCCTCTTCAGCGACAGCGTCTCTCCACCAACACCAACCAATCCAGACATTGTCTGAAGCAAGCTCTCTCCACGCCTCCATCTCTCTCAATCCAACCATGTCGAGGTTCCCAACCTGACCCCCAGCTTTCTCTAAGACTGGGGCACTCAACACCCATCCACTCTCCTCTCTGATCCAGTCCCATATGGACGCCCCGTTACACCCAGACCTGCTTCATCCCCGTCTCCACGCAGACACACGGCCAAGGCAAGAAGGTCTAGGCCCAAGTCTATGGCTTCCCCCGACACAGGGGCACGGCACTCTTTTCTTACACACGGAATCGATGCTGTGATGACCTTGGGACAAAGATACAAACAGCTTCGGTAGTCTGTATCTTCCGTGTGCATATCTACGCAATACCCGTGGCGAGCTTGCCATGGCTTGTCATGGGGTTGCGCGGCCGTCTTCTGGAGTTCCTGGGCTCGCTTTGCCTCCATGAGGGCCTGCTTGGAACTAATGGCTACGGTCGAAAGAGGGTGTTTGTCTGCTACTGCGTTGGGACGGGGGTGTTGTAGGCCTGGGGTGGGGTTTGGATTAGAGAGAATCTCATGGGTGGATTGGGCTTGTTGGGTGTGGTTGGGCGGGGAGAGTCGGGGATTGTGTGGAGAAGGGTGCTTTTGGCGTGTTTGGTGAGGTTGGTGTGGAGGGTTGATGTACTGGATTGTTTGAAGCACCGCGGTTGGGCTGGGGGTGGGAGTACTTGTGGGCTTTGGATGACGACCAAATTGAAACTGAAAAGACCTGAGGAGATGCAGTCTGCTATTCGGCACCAGTTTTTGGACGAGACTTGAAGGGTTCGTTGCTAATGTTGATCCTTCGCAGGCACATCAAAGTTAATCCGAAGGGTTTGCTCTTCCCTGGGTGGCGCCTTTATACCCCAAGTCGTGATTCCAAGGCAGTCGTAGGCCCTGGATATCGGAGTCCTCCGTGGCAGTCATGGGTCAATCTAGTTCAAGGTCACACTACAGGTCTAGATTACGGATTGGAAATTTCATATTTAGTAGAATCATTCATTGCATCCCGTAGGACTAGCAACCGTCATAGAGACCTCAGATATCGGCCATAGCGGCTCTCTCACCCACATACGCAACAGCCTCATCATCCTTCCCACTTCATATCCGTATCCGATCATCTGATCATTCACTCATGTCTGCCCCAACCCGCAGCCCGTCACGATCCCATACCACCCGAAGGAGGTACACATGTTGAAGAGAAAGAGAAGAAAGAGGAAGCAGATGGATCACCTGCAACCTCACGGACGCTTAATATCGACAGTTTTGAAAGAAGGCAGAGAAGATATCGAGCAATGGCAATAGGACAAGTCCAGGAAGAAATTGGGATAGTCTGACGGAGGGCCTCTTGTCCAGATGCTTGTCATATGTTGGCACATGGAAGAGGAGACGAGTTGAAAAAGCTCCGTTGGGGACGTGTCACGAACATGGCAGTTCATGGGACGGCAGGGACAGTGGCTAACAAACGGGGAAATCCGAGGAAATTTTGTCTTGGATATCGTCAGGCCCATGCCAGAGTGGTAGATAGACGTGCTAGATGTGACCACTCATCCAATTTGCTATTTGAACTGGTAAGTAAGCCGCGCGACAATCAATACGACGATTTGGGACTTACCTGCGATGTATCGTGCCGACATGTAGTTGACCAAACGGTACACCGGGGAATGATGGCCCAAATGATGACAGGAAGGTGAAGGCCGAGACACAGTGCGAATACAGAGCTTAGACAGATGAAGAGAGTCCAGACCCAGAGCTGGTAATCTTCAGTCACGGCATAGCTCAGCGATGAAACATCTACAATGTGAACAGGACAAGACTCTCACTCCAAAATTCAAATACGAATTTTGGCAGCTCATTTGGCTTCGTCAGTTGACTCAGCAGCATGAGAGCCGGCTCCGCCGTTAGCAGGGGTGTTGGACGACATCTGAGGCGGCATCTGCGGCGTTTGGTTGTAGCCGTTGCTCGGAGTCCGGTGGTTAGGCGGGAAATGGTGTGCTTGGTGGGGACTAGACGAGAAGTGGGGTTGTTGTTGGGGGTAACCGCCACGACCAGTGGGCACTGGGGGAGGAGGATGAGCGGCGAAGGAAATCCATACTGGGCGGGGAGACTCACTGTGCGCCGGTTGAGCCCCGAATCCGGGTTGTCCTGGCTGACCCGGAGACATGAACATCATTGGCTGTGGTGGCTGACCAGACTGAGAGTTTTGGTGCATCATCATCGGTGCACCACGGCTGGGGCTGGGATATCCGCTGTGAGGTTGGGGAGGGGGCGCATGCTGGGGGTAAGCATGACCAGGGGAAGGTGAGTACATTTGCATCTGGGGAGTATAAGGCGACATGGCCTGAGGAACACCCATGTAGGGTCCGTTGGAGGGATTTTGCACCATCATGGGAGCCCCCATGCTACCTTGTGGGCCAGAAAAGGAAGGGCCCCCCTGGTAGTGCCTCATTTGCCCCGGCTGAGGGCCTCCATAAAATTGTGGCATTGGCTGGCCGAATGCCAACTGAGCATGAGGAGCCATGGGTGAAGGGTAACCGACGTGGCTCTGGCTCATACGAGGTGAAGGGAAGACCTGCGACGAAGAGGCCGACAGCTGCATGCGATGATGATCTTCCATGTGAGGACCAGGACCGTGAGGGCCTTGGTGGACGTGAGGGCCGTTGGGAGGGCCAGATGAAGGAGGCATGCCAGGATTTCCTTGCTGGAAGTGGAAGGGCATCTGCTGCTGCTGGGGTAGGTTCGGGTTGTTGGACACGGACCGGCCCTGAGGTGAGACCGATTGAGCTCCACCCGGCTGCTTGAAAATGGCCTCGAAGTTTTTCTCTTCGTTGCCGGACGGAACATCCCAGGTGGGCCCGGTTTTGTAAGGAGGGGGAATGCCTCCGGTAGCCGGGTAAGGCTTGTTATCCGCAGCTTCAGCACTCTCCTTCTTCATTCGCTTGATCGGGTTAAAGTGATCGTCGATGGAGGGACGTTCTGAGGCAGGCAGTGGCTTCCTGATGCCAAAGAATGCAGATGGAGTGGTTGCACGAGATACCGAGCGGTTTCGGGAGAAAGGTCGAGGGCTGGCCGCATTGGCCGCGCCGGCAGCGGCCGCGGGGGCAGTAGGAGGAGCAGCACCGCCGGGAGTAAATGTGCTGGCAGCCGGGTTAGGCTTGAACTCCATGGCTCGAACATTGAATTTCGATGCTGCAGTAGTCGAGGAGGGCTGGCTCTTGACAGGGCTTGTCACACGAGGCTGCTCGCTGGCAGGGCCAGTAGGAGGCCCACGGGCATCTTGAATGGGCAGTGGGGCAGGGACAGGTCCCATGCCTGCACCCTTGCGCTGCTGGAGATTGTCTGCGAGTCGGTGGCTAAGCATACCAGTTCCTGGCCGACCAGCCTGCATAGGCTGCTGGGGGTACCGACCACTCGGTCCAGCGAGAGGACCCGTCGGCAGGTAACCCTGGCGGCCACGGGGATAGTTCTGGCGATCAGATGGAGCCACGGGGGAACCGCGCCGGTAGGCCCAGTAGTCCGCACTGGTGCCTTGGGTTCAGCGACCTGCGCAGCAGCCTTCGGCGAAGACTTGTCCTCCGATTGCTGTGCCCGGCTGATGATTGCCTCTTGTTTGTGAGGATCCTTGGCTAGAATAGGTACCAAGTCCTTGGGCACTGGGGTTGAAAGTTTGAAGTTCTTTGAGAACTTCATGAGTTCGTTCAGTTTAATCGTCCGGTCGTAGGACGCCTGGTTACGGCGGCGTTCCTGCATCTTCAACTTCTCACTGTTGGCAAACTGGCGGAAGTGGTCAAGCACCTCTGTCTCGACGTTGGCGGTGGCATTCTCGGGAATCGTTCGCTGCTGCTTAGCCGGAGGAATAGCAGCAACGGGGGCAATCTTGCTAGGCTCGGCCTTTTGTTCGTTTTCCGCGGCTTTGGGAGCTGCGGCGGGCTGTTGCTTCTCGACAGCTGGTACCTCCTTGGCTTGGACTGGGGCGGGGGAAGGAGGAGTCGGGGTTTGCTTAACCGGCACAGCGGGTTGGGCTCCGGCTTGGCGGCGACCAGGAGGAGTATATTTGTTGGGTTGTCCTGAGACCAAGGGCGGGAAGGCTTTGTTCTCACGTTGTACGCCACTGTACTTGTCTTCCTCGTCCTGATCACCAGTGTCTGGAGCTACCAGACCTCTCTCCTCACGCATGTGCACATTGTCCACATCAGTGCCCTCGATCTCGGCCGCAATTCGAGCCGCTTCCACCTGCTTTTGGCGGAAGTTCGGGTCGGAGCGATCAATGCGGGTTGTGTAGATGTGTTCGTCATAGCTGGTCTTTGTGCCGAAAAGGCGCTCGTTCGTCTCGAACTGATCCCAGCCCTTTGACTCACCAGCCGTGCTCTCCAGAGACATATGGACCTCGTGCTCGGCAGGCTCCCAGCGTTTAAGTGTACGCTCGCGCATCGCCAGGTTTCCGGAGATGTCAGCATCGGTTCTGAAACCACCAGTCCCTACATGAAAAAGGCTTGTTAGATCAGATCGTTCTTCCAGATACCGAGGAAATCGGGCGCATCTCTCACCATTTGATTCCTTGACCGAGACCTCGGCCGGGGACACATTGGGCACAGAGATATCGGCCACATCTTTGATATCGAATGCCATGCTGTGCTCCGGGGCAGATCCAACGTACGGGCTTGTCGTGTCACTCACACCGTTGGTCTTTCCCTGGTTCTCCTGAGAGGTGCGCTGCACCATCTTGAGAAGGAAGGAGGAATCACTCGCTTCCAAGTTCGAGGAAGAGAAGATACCGGTGAACTTCTCTCCGTTCTTGGTGGTGATTGTAGTCTGGAGGCCCTGTAAATCGAGATTCCCGGATCAGCGCTTCCATTCCCGTCAGGTCCCTTCTCAGACAGTCCTTACAATGAAGCTGGCGAACAAGAATACTAGTCGGTCGTGGGCATGGCTATCGGGGGTGTTGGACTCCTTCTGGCCCGGTCGAGGGGAGCCAGACTGTCGAGTCACATTGCCATTTGGAGAAGCATATGGGGAACGTTGGGTAATGGGGTTGGTCCCTTGAGTCCAAGCCTTGTGGGAGTTTGTGCGCCTGTGCAGTAACACATTATGTGGGTCAGCGGGGGGAGTGCAAACAGATATCGGTGGAGTAGAGATAAGAAGAGGTGTAGTGATCAAATCCGAGCAAACCAATTGGTGCTTCATGGACACACAATCCCACGCACAGCTGTGCTCAAGCTTGCCCAGCTTGAAGGCACGTGCACCAAGTTTCCACATTGGCTGGAGAGGAGTGACGGAAGGACGAAAGGCAATCATCGCCCGGATTGAATGTGAGGCAGACGCATCACTCCCAGCGGAGAGATAGCATTAGGGTTGTGGGGGCACGAGAATAGGAGGTGCAAGATGAAGGGGGGGGGGGGGGGCATTTGTGGTCGAGACGTACCGTTGACCACCATCCACAGGACTACCAGATTGTCGGCGACCGTCCCCCTTTGTGTTGCCGCTCGATCTCAGAGAAGGTCTGCCAGAGTTCTGTGCTGAGCTGCCCACAGCATTGCCAGAAGCGCTATTCGCAGCTGGCACAGAGTTCAAAGTCGAAGCCATTGATTGACTTGCAAGTGTGCGTTAGTTAGGGCAGGCTGGCGTCGTGGAACTTACACGGCGGAAAGCCGTGAGGATAGGCTCAACCACAACACACCGCCTGCACAAACAGGACGTGGAAGAGCAAGGAGGGGGGGGGTGAAGGGGGCTGTCGACTACCACCACGGCGATAGACGGAGAATCCCGGGCCGAAGAGTTGGATGGAAGGAAAGTGCAAGTCAGAGAATGAGGAGATGGGGAGGGTGAGACTTTTGAAGCGTTGAGGTTGCGAAATGGGGGAAAATGTTTGGGGAAAGGTGGAAGTCACGGGGGAAGTGGAAGTGGTAATCATCTTACGGTACCGTGTGCAACGCTTTGGCTGGCGGGCGGTTGGCGGGCGCCTGGACTCGTCGGCCAGTCTACTGAAATGCTCCATGAGACTGGTTACACATCATTTGATGACCTGTCAAAACACTCTTTGAGAATTTCAACCTTTCATTTACAATAATTGTTCAGAAGTGTCTCGATTGGGTTTTCCTGTTTACTAACCAATCTATAGATAAAATTTGATAAAATACCTTGGGTTCTTGGGCCTCCAACCTTGTCCCCTAGCCGGGTTGTAAATGTAGCATCGATACGACTGCGCCCACCAATCTATGGTTACCGTGACTCTCTGTAAGCGTGGGCGATAATATACTATTATAACTATATCTTGAATGGAGTCACTAATATCATAGAGACGACAAAGAATGATGATCAGTGGGGCATTCATCATCCGAACACAGATAGATCCAGAACCCTACAATACAGAGACTTTGTCAAGCGTATTATGTATCAAATCTGGAGGAAGCACCTATCAGAGAAAAAGAAAATCAAAGGACACGGTTCCTGAGACAACACCAATAGGCTATAAAGGTGAGCATCAACAGGGCATTGACCGTACTGAGTCGGTCTAGCGAGGCTTTGCAACAAAAGCTTGTGGGACTAGTGACGGTGACGCCCAACGCCGCCAGGTCGAAGCTTGAGTTGATCCAGGATACCCCGAGTTCGTATTAGGGCACTGCGACAGGACAAGGATGGCTAGGGGAAACAAGCTAAACAAGCTAGGTATACTATGGGTGGACTGCACTTGTGCACCGTACTTAGCTATCAGGATATACAGTAGAACCGAGATATATTACGTCGATCACAAGATAAAAGTGGAGGCGGGTACAGCCGAGATTGGGTGGGCAAATAGAGGGTCGCAGAGGCGCTAGAGATGAAGGGGCATTAAATTGAGCTGAAGAGTGGCACACATCAAATAGCGCTGGTCCCGTGCTTGCTTCAGTTAGGAGTAGCTACAGTAGTACCGTTCCATAGTCCTTTAGGCTGCAAGGCTGCAACTTTTTAAGGCCTGAGGCTGCAAAGTGACAATACTGTATTAACATTACTGCAGATCCCTGGCCTTTGGTCCGTCTCCTGCTATTTTGCAGCGAGTCCCTCTCTACCAGGCCCTGTATTAATGGTCATTACTATACACCTCTCAAAAGGTGGTTCGCTACCCTACCACACGCTAAACTACTCCCTACTTAACGCGCCTGGGGAGGCTGGGCGTCATCTGTTTGCTTGGCACCCAACTCTTTCCCCCCCCCCCATATCACCTTCGCTTATCCACACTACTTATGCAGTCCCCAACTGCTCGACCTCTTCCCCCCTTCGGAGACCCGGCTCTTTCTCCTGGACACTCTTCGACTGTCGCCAAATCTACGATGGCCTCTGCCTCCGGTCGCAGTTCCTCCGCCGCCTCGGGGCGCTCCCAATCCGCTAAGAGTGTGGTAAGTCGTTTATCAGTGAATTATGGATTCGCTCCGTCCCAAAAACACTTTTCGCGACCCATGTGTCACGCAGGCCACCAAAGATCCGGACGCTAATGCGGTGTCCTCTCCACAGCCCGATAAGCAAATATCCCAGATCGAAAAGAGCGTCACGCACCTCCTGGTCGCGACGAAACAACTTCTCGAAACCTTGACCCAGTGGTCCCGAAAACAGGCCTCCGAGACCGATGTATCCGATGTCTATGTCCGCCTAGGGTATGAGTTTAACCTGGCATGCCGTGCCTTTAATGCCATCGGTGTTGAAACCGCCGACCTCGGACCGGTGCCCGATGTCCTGCGCAGTATCCTCGAGGACACCCTGAGTCAAGATGCATCGTCACAGAGCCTCGACCGATACCTCCCTCAAATTCGCGACATTATTATCAACCTCCTACATGGTCTCAAGAAGAAACAGGCTCGCCTAAGGTCCCGACAGCAGCGAGAGGATGCCCGGCCTGGCATACCGGGTCGTCAGGCGAGCGCCGGAAGCTTGGCCAGCGGCCCATCGAATATTGGACAGTTATACGACGAAGCGGCTGCTTCAACGATGCCCCAGAACACGGTGACTTCGCCGAGGCGATCGGCTCGTCGATATGGGAGTAATGGATCACTCGAGGATACGCCAGCGGGTTCGCGCACCTCCCCCACGCATGGCGAGCCAAGGGGCACGAGTTACTCGGAGCGCGAAGCGTCCAGGCGGGAAACCCAGCAGATACTCACTCAGCCGTCCCCGCCAGAAGATGAACCGACTCCACGACCGCCCGCCCCTTCGGCCTCGACAACCCCAACGGCATTCCCAGCTCCACCGCCACCTCCGAAGGAAGAGGATGCCTTAGGCGCCCTGCAGCGGAGCGGCGAGCTGGAACGACGAGCGTCGCGCCGATTCTCCGCTTATCAGATCCAGAAACACCTAGGTACCTCGACCAACGGAGTCCCTGTTCTCCCTACTCAGAACTCTCCTATCCCCAATAGGGGACGAGATGTTCGTGAGTCTCTCAACGCTGTTCGCCTGCGAGGCTCGTATACCCATACAAGGCAACGCTCCTCGAACCGTCCCCAGGAAACCGCAAAAAGCGGCCCGGCGCAAGCAGCTGCAAATATTCCTCGGGCGGTGGAAGAGGAACAAAGCGCCCAAACCGAGGCCCCGGCGGTGGGATCAGAGAGCGTCAAACCAACAGCGCCCTTGACCGATCAACCTTCTCCCATTGAGAAGGAGCTGCCGGACGCCCCAGCTACTACTATTGAACCAACACCCGTCTTCCCGCAACCGCCCAAACGCCCGTCCCTAGGCGATGCCTTTGATCCCGAGAAAAGTACAGCGCAAGTTCCCGTGCCGGGCCCAGGAACACCAAGAGGGGATCGCTTTGGCTCCGTCAATATTTCCACCCCCCTTCCATCGCTCACTTCCCCGTGGATCAGCCATCCCCCGGTAAGGAGTTGACCCTCTTCTTGCAGTACAAGAGCAAGATCAAGAAGTATGTGTTGCCCGAGGGTACGGCAGACCTAACTATTGGACGGCTGCAACTTGCTTTCATCGAGAAATTCGCCTGGAACACCCACAACAACGGTGTCGATCTGCCTGAAATTTATATTCAAGATCCCATCTCGGGGATCCGCCACGAATTGGAGGACTTGAATGATGTTAAGGACCGTTCAGTCCTCGTTCTGAACGTCGATAGCTTGGACGAGGTCAAAAAGCATTTTGACGATAGCTTTGGCGGTGTGCGCAGTCTGGTGGAAGGTGTCAAGGAAGCACTCGTAGGTCAAGGAACGGCCATCCAACGGGTCTCAGACCGTCAACTTGAGGCTGCCAAGGAGATGGCTCGTTTGGCTGCTTCTCCACCTGCATCCATCGCAGGCTCTGCCAGCGCTAGTGGCACTCCAAAGACCGCGATCGCCGGAAGTCGTACACAACTCGCCGAGCTTCAGAGCTTGCGCCGGGACCTTGCCGTGCTACGGCAGACATATTCCAACTTTACATCGGATGTCACTAGCTCGATGACCGCCGTCCGAGCCAAGGCAACCGACATCAAGTCTGCCGCTGAGAACGCTGCTAATGCCACCTATGAAGGTGATGCCGGTCGTGCGCGCGTTAACAAGGGCAAGAAGGAGCTCGCCAACGAGTCTGAGCGACTTGTCTCCCGCGTCGATGATTTGCAGGATCTGGTTGAGGATCTTCGCAAGGACGTAGTCCAACGTGGTGTCCGGCCCCTGCCACGCCAACTGGAAGGCGTCAACCGCGATATCAGCACCGCCATGAAAGAGATCAAGAAGATGCAGGACTTCCTGGGCCGCGAGAAGCCCATCTGGACTAAGATCTGGGAGAAGGAGCTCCAGCAGGTCTGTGAAGAGCGAGACCAGCTCACCATGCAAGAGGATCTCGCAGCCGATCTGCAGGATGATCTTGAGAAAGCTGCTCAGACTTTCGCACTGGTCGAGCAAGCCACCAAAGAGCAAGCTTTGGAGAAGGCTGCGAATCCAGGGGCCACTCTGCGCGCTACCTCCCGCACCCTCGGTATCGATCCAACCATTGACCCTATGAAAGCCAAGGACAGTGTCCTCGGTGAAGTCCGCGCACTGCAACCCAATCATGAAAGCCGTCTTGAAGCCATCGAGCGAGCTGAGAAGAATCGCAAGAAGGAGCTGGAGACTCGGCGAATCGGCCTTTTCCAGAAGGAACTCGGCTCCTTCGTCCAAGACGGGAAGTTGAAGAAGAGCGGTGGTGTGGAAGAGGCGGAGCGTCTGCGCAACGCCAAGGATGATCGTATCCGCAAGGAGGTTTGGGAGAGACAGCAGGCTCGCAATGCGGAGATGGAAAAGGCCGAAGCGGAAGCTGCCGCTGCCACTGCTGGCGAAGAGAAGTCCGAAGGAGACGGAGCTGGTGACTCTCCAGCGGCACCGGATAATGAAGCTGTTACTATTCCCAACGAAGGAGAAGCTCCTAAAGATGAGGCCTCGCCGACAGAAGATGCCGAGAAGAAGGATGCCACGTGGGACCAAGCCAACTAAATCAACTGATCCAGCCAGTCGCGGTCTTATCTGAGCATCGCTCCCTCGAGGCGCTACTTCTTCACAACCTCATCATGAAGTATCGACTATTATTGCTGCTCACCTGCGATTTCTTTACGGATGTTCCACTGTTTTTGATTTTGTTTACTTACGCATGTGTCTCCCTATACCAATGTCTTGCTTTCCTATACCATTCATCTGTTGTTATCGCACCTGCAACTTGCATTCCATACTTATGTCACTTATTGACGATACCCTGCCACGATCGCTGCGGTGGCTTGTTTCGAATTTCAACGCGTCTTGCTCTGTCATATCTGACCTATTTTCATCTTGTCTCTCGCTGTGTTTTGACCTTTGCTCGCGTATGTAGCGTGGAGTTGAGTTGGCCCATTAGGCAGTTGATAGCGATTTAGTCTTTTTTCGACCCTTGTGTTACAATTTTCTTCTTTAGGCGGATGAGTAGCTAGATATTTCTTAGATTATGAGAGACTGTACACCATTTGGTGATATCTCGTGTGTCCAAACTGGCGGGGTTCAATCAAATATCAAGGATGCGTCGTTTGTCTCAGCGCTTCGTCCCCAGCCATCGCATTTAACCCCAACGCTCACCTAACCTAACCACCTCCGTTTCCCACGTCGTCACTCTTTTCCATTTCCATAATTTACGATCGTCACGGTCAAACTGACTCCCACTAACATCCACATACTCTTCGTGTTTGCCTAGAAGTTGCGATCGCGATACCTGGAGACCCACCATTCTACTGTTGTTGTGCCCGTCAAGCCACGCATCGGCCTGCCTCATCTCCGACTCGACTACCAACCCAGGACATTCAATTGGAAGCCACTCTTTGTACGACACTACCCAAAATCTCCATGAAGCTTTTATTGAATGACGCAAGTCAAACTAATTAACTCCCAGATCTCTATCCTGCTCTCTGTGTATAGCCTCAGAAAAGATAAGCAATCTGACAGGCTCTCCAGTTAAACATGCGGGTGTCTCCAGCCCTACTTTGCTTATTTCTCGCCTCGATCTCAAGAGCCCTGAACAATGAGGGCAGCGCCATTCTACGTCGCAATGCCGAGATAGAAGCGCGTCTAGCAGATGGACCCGTCTACGGCGTGCGAAAGATGAGTACCGATGAAGGCGAGAAGTTCTATCTTGAGTATTGGCATTTTGAAGATGCCGTGCAGGGTGGTCTATCGGAAAGGGATCTTGCGGAGGTGAACACTACCTCGAGAGACACATCCAACAGCGAGGATGCGACGCATCAGAAGGGACCTGTCGGAAACATGGGGACTGAAGTCTCACCGGCGCAATTTCTGGCTAGATCATACGCCTTTCAACCATCTTTTGAGCCGGAGTCTGGTGTGACGGGGGGTTGTTGGAGTCGCGGGATTTCAAGTGCCCCACGGGCACGAGCGCTTGTACATCTATCAACCGGTCTGATCGGTGCTGCAGTACCGGTGATACTTGTGTCATTGTCACGGACACTGGATCTGGTGATGTTGGTTGCTGTCCAAGTGGTCAGACTTGCTCTGGCACGATAGGGTCTTGTCAGAGCGGGTACACTACTTGCTCCCAGGCTCTGGGTGGTGGATGTTGTATTCCCGGCTATGACTGCGTTGAAGGTGGATGTAAGTCTAATCCTCCATGCACGTTAATACATCATCAACTAATCCCATCGAATAGGTGCATTTATCTCCGTGGTTACAGTGACGATAGACTCGAGCGTGACCATCTCAACAGTAACCCACACAACTTCCCAACAAACAAGCCACTCCACATCATCCAGATCAAGCTCCAGCTCCAGCAGCAGCAGCAGCTCAAAATCAACAACAAAAAGCACCAGCACAGAAAGTCTCGCCCCACCAGCCCGCGGAACCAGCATCACAACAACAACCCACTCATCAACAACCCGCATCGACCTCTGCCCAACGGGCTTCTACGCCTGCTCAGCCGTGTACAACGGCGGCTGCTGCCAAACAAACCGAGACTGCGACACAACATCCTGCCCGACGACGTCTTCGACGACATTCACCTCTGATGGTAAGACGATAGTCGTGCCCGTTACAACGGGGTCATCAGGCTCTTCGCGTAGCACGGGGAAATGTCCTGGTGGCTGGTTTAGTTGTGCGGATACGGCGGGTGGAGGTTGTTGTCCGAGTGGGTATGCTTGTGGCGCGAGTATTTGTACTGCGACGGGGTCGGTGGCTACGACTGTTGCTAAGGAGCAGCCGGCGAGTAATGGGGCTGGTGTTCATCGGGTTGGGGTGATCTTGTGTATTAGTTTGGTTGGCTTGGCTTGGATTTTATGAGATGTGTATGAGATATGTTGAATGATTTATGTGTTTTATGATTAGATCAGATACGACAATTGCTACCTGGATATTTGGTTAAAATGTTGTGATATCTGGATTGATAGTCCCTGGAAATCCCCTTGTGAGATTGGATATATGTCTGCCTAATGAGGTTTTGAAACGCAGTCTCGAAAGTATGGATGAATCTGGAAGTATCAGGTAGACACAAGCTTGGTGTTGGTCCGTCTAGATCAATGGATATACAAATAGAGCTTCCCCGCGTACAAAGGTCCGACCAAACCTAGCCCCCGCCTGCTGTCATCTCAAAAATAGCAACTAGATCTAAAATTATCTAATTTCGAAGTTTAACGGAACTAGACAGGTCATGACATTTATCCGTTAAAGGATAGATGATCTAGCTATGCGGGTAATACTTGGATGATGACATTAACTGTGCGCGATGGCCTAAGTTACAGTAGTCGCAGTATGGGTGCATTCGAAATTGAAACAAGTTAGCTTAAGATGGAGTTCATACCGATGATACCAATCCGAATCTTTGGACTCATGTAGTAACAAAGATCACTGATCTTGTACTCCTACATCTATCAGTGGCAGTTCAAAAGTGGACCAAGAAAAAAGGCCGTCAAAATATGCCTCGATTTTATGTTTCTAACAGATCTTTTTGAATGTCTTTTGAACCTTCTTTCTAGATATTCCCGGCATCTGTGTTTCAACTTGCCTTTCAAAGTATAGCTGATGAGATGGGTTTGAACTTTTTCGGGTCTTGCAAACTTATGGAACACCACTGTATTAGGAGGCTATGGAGCATTCCCTTCTTGAGACCAGACCTTGCAATGGGGTAATAAGACATACATCTAAAATCACATACCGACCCCCCATAACCCGAACCGAGATAAAATCTACATCTGTAAATCGAGGAAGCGCAGGCTATCTTGTAATGTACTCAAAAACGCCTCCCACCCCGCATAACCATTCCAGCCGAGAAGCGCCGAGGTCCATCCACCCATCAAATAGCCGACGCCGTTCACGACCTTCCACTATTGATTTCTCACACCCCATCTCACCATCACGAGACAAAAAATCAAGGCACCAGGCACCATGAAAGAACGACTAGCCTTGACACGCCGGCCCACTCGGGGAATGACCCGAAAACTCGGGGTCCTGTCCACCTTCCCCTTGGATAATATGGTAACCGAAGTACATCGGTTGCTAGGGCCGACGTGGGCGTTACCTCCTTACAATAGTATTCTACCACCCTACTTGCAAGAACCGTCCTCGCGTCTGGGGAAAGATGATTTGGATTTTCTCGTGCTGAAGGGTGCTCTGGATATTCCCGATCCGGGGTTTGCGGGGGAGATTTTCAAGGCGTATATTCGACATATTCATCCACATATACCGTTTTTGGATCTGGATCTCTTTTCGGATGCGATTTTTGAGGATGGACGGAAGTATAAAAAATCTATTAGTTTGTTGTTGTTTCAGGCTGTTATGTTTGCGGGCGCGATCTTTGTGGATTTGAAATATCTTTATGCTGCTGGTTTTCTGTCGCGGCGACATGCGTTGGATACGCTCTTCCAACGTGCAAGGGTAAGGAAACCCTCCAGTTGAAATTATAGAGGATTATAGCGGAGTACTAATGAGAACAGGCACTCTACGACTTTGACATTGAAGACGACAATCTCATCGTCATACAAAGCCTTCTACTCATGACATACTGGTACGAAAATCCAGACAGACACAAAGACGGCCGCCACTGGATCTCCGTCTGTATTTCACTCGCCTGCAAAACAGGCCTACACCTCGATCACACCTCGGCCCCAAAGCCAGACCAGAAATTCCGAAACATGCTCTGGTGGAGCGTCTTCACGCGAGATCGCTTAATCGCCCTGGGTCTCCAACAGCCACCCGTAATCAAAGACGAAGTCCACATGCCAGTCCCCCTGCTAGCCCTAGACGACTTAGACACCACGACTCAAAAATACGCAAAAGCCAGCTACGGCTCCAACGAAAGAAACCTCGCGCGCATCTTCGTCGAGAAAGTCAAACTGTGCCGCTGCGTCAAAGACGATCTCTACTCCTGGGACTGCCAACCAATCCACATCCCCACCGTCGCAGCAAAACCCCGACAAACAAGCCTCTGGCTATCCAAGCTCGAACTAGACGACTGGCTCCAGGATTTACCAGAGGATATATGCTTCCGCCCAAAACCCTTTCTGCCATCGCACAACGCAGACCTGATTTTCCACTCGCATTGCGCGTGGTTGAAAATGATTTACTTGGAGATATACTCCACGATACATCGGCAACTGGAGTTTCTTTCGGAAAAGTATAGTCCCAGTCAACCACTTTCTCTCGATGGCCCCGAAGCAGGTCCCGTTCTCCGCGGCGCGGTCGAACTAACAGTCCTCCTGCAAGACCTTTACCAAAAGCAGTTGATTTATTACCTGCCCACGACGAGCGTGGCTATGATTCTGCGCGCAGGGATTATTCACATCCAAGAAATGTTCTCGGGGGACCCGCACGTTGGCGCGGCCAGTTTTCGTCGCTTATCGCAATGTATTCTTGCACTGCAACAATTAGGCCGGCGGTACGGGTCTGCGTTCTTTCTGGCGACGTTGTTAGGAGCGCCCAAGGGGTCGTCTGTTATTACTTGTTCTCCTGATGAGATCCTGGCACATGTTGATATTGAGTCGTTGGATAAGCTTACCGTGAGTTATTCCGAGTCGTCGGTCTCTACGATTCTGAAGATTAGGGAGCCGTATGATAGGGATATTATATCAGGGCTGAAGTCGCGGAAGGTGGAGAGGGCTGGTGACCCTGGGCATGATGGATCTGCGAGGGCTTCTAGTTTGAAAAGTGAATCTTCCTTGGGCGATGCTTTTGAGATGCCGGATGTGGATTTTGCGGATTATACTTTGGAATAAGATGAAAATGATAAAGCTGAGCTAATAGAATACGGTTTTCTATATTCAATTACTGAGGGAAGAGGCACCGGATTATATGAAGAAAGTGGCAAAGCCAGTAGATTCCTATCTACACAGCCCACCAAAACCCAACCAAAATAACTGCCAAACAGAATGCAACATCACCAAGAGAAAGCAGGGAAGGTATTATTAGTGTAACGAGACAGCTAGCCTCAGAATCATGGGCCCGACACCCACCACAAGGCAAGGGTAGCCCTAAACCAAGATATGTGGCGCACACACGAAGGGAGAGTAAAAGTCAAGCCCGGACCAAGAAGACCACCAATTCGAAAGAGGATTCCAGGGCCGCAAGCATAGACAGACAGCACGGTAATAGCAAGCGTGAAAAGCCTAAGACCTTGTGTAGATAGGCAAGACGAATTCAAATTGAATCGAAAAAAAAGACAAGACATGAAAAGACCAAGAAGGGAAGACAGGGTATCGATAAAATATGAGAAAAATGAATAATCAGAAGACAGGACAGAAAATATTCAAGCCGAGATCAGTGCGAAACCCAGGTAAACGACAAAGATCGAACCGAGTCGTGGAAGGACAGGAAAAAAAGGGGACGAGAAGTCTCCAGGTATGGCGGGTCCAGTCACGATCCGGAATCACAAAGCACGGCAAAAGAGTCCAAACCAAGCAAATGACGATTCAAATGACAACCAATGCAAGAAAACTATAAGAAATCCCTATAAAGAAAAGAGACGGCATCCCTCACACTCCCGATACGCCGAGTAATCAATCGGTTCCTCCAGACGCCGAGTATGCAAATCGAAGTCATTCCATAATGCAGGCCAAACGGAACCCAACCGGTCACAACACGATACACCTACAGCCAGAACCAAGCGTCTAGCTCATTTCCATGCCATACTCATCCTCCTCCTTGAAGCTCATAGCCGCATGGCCCGCACTATTCCAGTACTGCGGCTGGCCCGCGCCATTGGCGCTGCTCCCCCGCTATGGAACGAGGGGCTCAGACCGGGTGGCGTCAAGCCATCGCTACCACCTTGAACGGGGTCACCGGCCAGGTTGGTGTGCTTGGGAACGCGCAGACCACTGCCCGGCCCGCGGGTGTAGCTGAAGGAGGTGGGGTCGTTCTTCTCGAGGGCATCGAGGATCTCGCTGCGCATGCGTTTCTCTTCCTCTGTGGGCTCGAATGGCCACGTCCCACCGAGGCTGCTGATCATCTCGGCGAGCTCGGCTTCTTGTTGGTACTTGACGTGCAGTGCCCACATCAAGTCGCGCATCCAGCTGACCGCACCATTGAGAATGTCGCCCTTGTTGGGGCCCTTCTCTTTGTCTTCGATGGGCAGGCCCATCGTGATATTGCCGGGTGTGGCGCGGCGGCCATTGCCGCCAGCTAGGAGAGATGTGGCAGCATTGCTCCCGGCGCCAGCCATAGAAAGAGCGGTGTTATTGACGAGTTGCTTGCGGACTTTGTCATCTTCCAGTCGATGCTGTGGTACCAAATGGGAGAGATCCTGGATACGCTCATTGATGTTGTCGCGGCGGCGTCGCTCCACTAGGTTGTGTGAGGCGCGACGTCGTCGGCGCTTGGCCTCTTGAGACTCGAGGTCCTGGGCGCTACCAGGGAGATGGGTGTCAACCTTGGCGGGCAATGATGCATGTTTGCCCGACTTGAGGATCTCTGAGATGCCAAGTTGCTGCGAATGGTGGGTTGGCGAACCAATCGGGGACTCGACATAGGAGTGTGCACTGCCGGGGGTTCCGTCCCATTGATTGGAGAGGGTCTTCTGGTGGCGGTGCTGAAGTCCGGATGTTCGGATCGGCTGGCCCGGGAAGCTGCCGGATTCCGGGGTACCCAGGGTCAAGGAACCCAGGGCGGGTGTCTTCGGGGTCATCGGGCTTCGTGTATCCGATGAAGTGCGATCCATGCCCTGCAAGTTCGGGCGAGATTTGGCATTAAGATAGTTCTGATCGAAAGAGCTCGCATTATGGAGGTGGTGGTTCTGCTGGTTCATGCGGAACTGATCGTAGTTGAAGCTGTTGTTGACGAAAGGGCTGGCCATTGGGGCGTTGTCTGGGGTATTCGAGTACATGTGTGACATTTGGCTTTGGTGACTCATGGCGATGCCTCCAGACTGGTCCTGGAGATAGTTGACGTTGTTGTCACGCTGGACACCATTCTGTCCGCTAATCTCTAGATCCAATAGTTCATCGGTGTCGATTCCGGAGTTGCCGAAGTTGAAGCTGGAGGACATGTTCTGCTGCGAGCCGTAGGAGAAAGGCATAAAGCCACTCTGCTGCATCGTCAAGTCGGACGGGTCGACCCCGTCATTGGGGTTCCCAAAGTGATTACCCATGTAACCGGAGTGAGACATCATGAAGGGGTTGCTGTGATCGTTAGATTCGTGTTTGATGAAAAGACTTGCTTCTGCCATTGCGCAGGCTAGATCTCGAGCCAGTAGGTAGTATGGGGGACGAACGTGGAAATTGGCGAGGAAAGGAGAAGACGTGTCGTCGATCCGAATTATTACTGAGCCTCTCTCTCTCTAGCAATAGTGATCCGCCCAAGTCAGGCAGCCGTCAATGCGCGATTACCAAAGCAAGTATGTGGCGGGGCGGAGATAAGATGATATCTGCGAGAACAACGCCAACATGTTAGCTTGAGATACGATCAATCAGAGAAAAGATGCGTGGTAGCGAAGACTAGATTGACGAGTCAAGATGCGCTGGCTCGCCTGGTCTAGGCAGATACAACGAGGCAGCCGAGGGGGGCAGCCACGAGGGTTGGAGGGTTGAATTCTGGAAAGAGAATGTGCGGGAATTTTTACCTTCCGAGTTCCCGAGTGTGTCAGTAGCGACCCGATGTCTATGGTTGATATGCGCACGTTGGTGACCGGAGGGGAAAAGTTCTGAGGCCAAGGGTCGGTGGGATGAGTCGACGGCCTCGGGGGACAATTGTCCGGGGCTGAGCGGATCGTCAACCACGCTGAGGCGGTTGCGCAGGAGATCAAAAGGAAGAATAAGATCGCGTAGTCTAGGAAGAATGACGACCAGAAATTGTAAGCAATCAGAGGCCCAGGGAACGATGGGGCAGGAGATGCGGAAACGTGGCGAGTCAGAAAAAGAAAGGGAGAGGGGGAGAAAGGGCGGATACAGATAAGCGCGGGCCTCTTTCAAGGGTACAAGCGAGTCGAGTCGCAACAGTAGTAGAACCGTAGCCAGGCCTGGAAAGGATGAAAGAGAGATTCAGATCAATAGTAGACCTGCGTCTCGAATCAAAGCCACAGTTCAATTCTGCGCCAGCGAGGAAGAACCCGATGCTGGGAATGAACGATACTCGAAGTAAAGAGCAAGACCCGAAGACCCAAAGAGTGGAGTGGAGAGAGGGAGAGAGCGGGGGGAACAAGCGGTGGAGGAGAGAACAGGCCGGGCGGTGAGCGGGTGGCGATCGTCGTGTGTTGACCAGTTGGTCACTTTTTCAGGTATGTCGGAAGGTATATGGTAGTCATGGTCCAGTGCAAGAACTGTACCCTTCCAACTCTGTGAATATGCCAGGTTGATCGGACCAGACTGTGTGTCCCCTTCTCGTCGGCTGAATTGGTCCTTTTCGCCCGTCGAGGGTGCGCCTTGACCCTGCGCATTCAGCCTCTCCCCAGCTCCCCAGGCCCTCGGGTCTGCGCCCCCGAATCGTCGTCCTGCAGACGAGGCCCCGCCGTTCGGGTTGAAATGCAAAATACGAACCCGCCCACGTAGTCTCTCTCTCGTCTTGGGTCTCTCTTGCTCTTTGATTCTCGTTTTGAAGCTCGTGATAGGCAAACAGGGGAAGGAGGTGGTGCTCGGATGTAGGGACGCAAAAGTATAACACAAGTATAGAGATATAGAGCTTACCAATCTGCGCAACCTTTCGGTGCCAAAGCTGAGATGAAGGATGAAGGTCTGAGCAGTGTTTGCTGGTCGAAACAAACCGAGAGTAGCAAAATACTGTGTTTGTGTTAGAAATGTATCCCAACTTTGAAAGTAAATAGCCCAAGTATATCGATAACGAGTTCTCAAGAGCCACGCATCAACATCATCAAAGATAGCACCACACAGATATTCAGCAGTGAGAAGGAGAGAAGAAGTACGTCCATCGACAGATCACCACGTCAACAACCGCAGAGCCCCACGTGGCAGCCAGCTCGTGCAGGCAGCAAAGATCCATGCAGGAACGATGGGCAATAAAGGGAAAGAGAAAAACGAGGGCGACGACAACAGACACAAACCACATACCTAGTATGATAAGATCGGGAAACAATCTCAACGTAGAAGAAACCCTACAAGATCCACAAGCCAAGCTATGCGAATCATGAGGCGCGACCACAGAGATCGAGACAAAGTATGAAGAGACGTGACGTGGAGCGAGTCAGGCAGACACGACAAATCTTCAAAGGCCCAAAAGGCAGACGTTTTTCTTCGTGGATGTTTTCTCGAAAAGGGGGAGCAGCCAGTGATGCCGTGCCAACACAGCAAGAGGGGGAGAAGTTTCAAAAAGCACTTGCAGATGCAAAACGAAGAAGAAAGAAGAAGAAGGGAAGCAGACTTTAAGAACCCTCTCACCTGCGTCCTGCACCTCTCATTTGATATATTACAACATCGGTCATGCAGCCCGTCGATCGGTGGGAATCGATGAGGCTTGCCGGCCTTCGGCATCGGACATACTACGCTTGTTTGGGGAGATTGCGAGATTAGGGGGGTTGGAATTATTTTGGATTTTATTGATTTAACTGATTATTTCATTTGGTGGTGTATAGAAGGTGTGTATTTATTTTAGGTTTTTGTTTCCTGGTCTGCCCCGACGTGGATCAGATGGTGGTGTGTAGGTCTTGGATGAGTGAGTGTGTGTGGTGTGTATGGAACTGGATAAATCGGTTTGGGGTAAGCGTGATTTACTCTTGATAATTTTGTCATTTTACTAACTTGGGATATAAGGCGTAGGATTTGCGGATTCTTTAGTCTATTTTAGGATCTTCTGGTGGGTTGGAGGGGGTGGGGAAGTATAAGTGTGTAGAGTCAAATGTAAACATGTAGAGAGTGCTGCCTCATGTCAAGGTCAAGGTTAGAGGGGGAGGAGACCGGTGAACCCTTAAGGCTCTTTCTAAGGTAAGAAAGAAGGAAAAGTATCGTGAAGACAGAAAATCGAAGATAAGAGTCAGAAACATGTCTAACGTCATCCATCTGACGATAGCAATAAAAAAGATAAACAGAATAATCAGCTCCAGGTATGTATAATCCGAAAGATCATTTCGACAAAACCCACCCGAAAAAGGACCCAAGACTCCAAAATGACCAGGGCCGTGAAAGATCCAAACAGCAAAAGAGGGGGGGGGGGGAAGGGTGATACAGCCGGATTTAGTCCAACGGCCTTGCCATCCCATGATACCAGTGGGCGTTTGTCACCTGTACACGAGTCATGACGCAGAAGAGAACCCAGGGCGTAGAGTGTCAAGGCAGCACAGGCCGAAAGGAATGTATCAGATGCTCCGGTTCCCTTCCTAACCTCCAACCAACCCGGCGCCGGAGGGGGTGGAAGTTTAGGGTTACAGACATACCAGAGAAACACGACACGAGAGACAATAACTGCGCGAGATAGGTTACCAAGTTTTTACGTTTTTGTTTACAAATCTTACCCATCTGACACCCTTTTTATCCATTGCGCGGTATACATTACCCATTTTACTCGCAAAGACCTAACAGTAGCCCATCATCTGGTGCGGAAATGAAACCCTATTTCAATCCATTTAGCAAGGACAGAGGCGCATTAGCGTCTCCGGGGGTTCCAGGGTTAACATCAGTGATGGGCCAGAGAGAGGGGGGCGGTTGACCGTCATCAGAAGAGATAGATGTGAGATCCGCCAATGAGACCATGTGGATTGGAGAATGGTGGATGAAGATGATGGGGGTGATCGTCCGCAGGCATGCAGAAGATGTACCCGTACCCGAAGGGCACTAGAGACGCTAGAGCCCGGGAGAGTATGAGGTAGGAGATGTTAGTGATAGTAGTCTTATATGAGCAGCTAGTGAAGGTGGGGGAAGGCACCGGAGTTGGTAGAGATCAACAAGATGTTTAGAGGAGAAGAGGGGGCGGGATCTCCAAGTATTTAGAGCCGAAGAAATGATACGGTGTAGTGTATCTTATCTTACCCTTCCGTATGCCTTTGTGCTCGTTGTATAGCAAGGAGATATTCCGCCAAGAGTCGAAGCATACTCCATATAGATTTCGAAATACGCAGAATACGGAGCACGGGGCATATCTCAACCGGAGAATATCAACGCCACGGGGATATCGGGGCCTTGAGGTAATCGGGACAAAGAACGAGAGCGAGAGCAAAAGTGCGAGAGCAAAAGTGATGAGGTAACGACTATTCTGTGGGTTTGTCAGTGCGCGAGTCTGTTCGGAGATGTCGTGCAGAGTGCAGAGTGCAGAGCGGTGGCGATCATGTCGGGGTCGGGGGTGCGATCGATGAGAGCTTGGACCGTGCAGCCGTGCAGGTGCAGCCTGGCGCAGGAGCCCTTTGAGCTTTGATGAGGAGGAGAGGATCAAGACGAGGAAGGAGGGGGGTGGATGTTTCACCCCCGCCAAACCCGTTGGCCTATATTCCCCCAGTTCACCCTTTCTGACGCTAGTCTCGACCCTCTCGAGACAAGAAGATGGTCCGTGACCTGCAGGCTCCAGCGACGGACTAAAGACATCCTGTCGTCTCCCGCTACGTTGGGCCATCAAGGCGGATCCCAAATGAAGATGATTGCGCAGCTGCTGCGATTTCGTCAGGCTTCACTCCAAAGTTGACAAATACATAGTGTATTCCAAGGTGCCTGTCGGCCACGACGGATCTCGAGAATGTGGCGGTGTGGTAGAAAAAGAAGAGGGAGGGGGGGATTGGAATGTGTCTGAGATGAGCGGCCAATAGCTGTCGTGTGTCAACCACACCTTTTCACCATCTCCTCGTTGCGCAGTTGCCAGCTCGATACAAAAACCGGTTGGCTGGCTTTGACTTCCTTGCAAAGACTAAGCCACAGGAGAAAGCGAGAACGTTTTCCATGCACCATGCGCATCATCGGAATGCCTCTAAGCCACCCTAGGGCCATCTCGGGGAGAATGATGATATAATTGGCAGCAATGTATACCGTAGGAGCCGGGGTATCCGAGACTATAATGCTAAGTAGGAGGTCTATACACTAGCCTAGATACTAACGCACTTGTTATACCTTAGTAGGTCATGATAGTCTATCTACCTCACGACTGACTCGTCAACTTGCATGATAGACCAGGAGAATCTCCGTAGTTGCAACTTCCTAGCACGATGGCCGTGGATCACTCACGTCCCGTCCCGTCAAGGTTCGGAGGGTATCGCCGGGACTTCCATGGTAATGCAAGGAGGTGCTCGGTGCTCGACCGTGGATGAGAAAGAAGAGTTAGAGTGTGGAAATGATATCCACTTGAAGGCACATGCATGTATAGCATTATAATAGTATATACCATACAAGGCACACATCAGTATCGTCACTCATTCCAACCTCCACACCCAGGCAATCCTCAACACGGCTGTATCAAATGCACACGGCCCTATGATGACGTCGAGGACATCCGGGTCATCCCGCATATGCAGCGGATGATGTATTACGGGGTACCCTAGCACAATATTATCCTCTAAAAATGTAAGCAGGTACGCCATCCTCCTGCGAGTGCAACGCCCACATGCGCATCGGACATACTACGGAGGAATATAGCCGTTTTCCCATTCCCAGGAAACATGCCCCCCTCTTCTTTTCACCAAAAAAAGCAAAACCCCCCAGTAATAGCAAGAAATCAAGAATGAGCCTAGTGAAAGACAGAGAGAGGGTAGGATGTTACCCAAGGGCGGCGCGGCGCGGCGGGCAAGCCCTATTCGGCTATCGGACAATTCGTCACTGTCGTACAGTCGGGTAGCCACAGGAGGGGCGTTATGCAACATTGCATTCGACTAAAGCTTTAGTTTTCGGCGTCTCGATAGATGAGCTAGGCAGGAGCAGGGAGTGTTTCCGATACGAGGGGAGCTATGGGAAGAGGGGGGAGTCAGAAAAGAGGGGCGAGGCAGGATAATTTGAGATTATAGTCGGCAATATACTTTGTAATATATTGATAAGATGGACTTCTGCAGACTAACGGTTAGTAGTTGATCGCATCGGTGGAGGATCCACGCGCGATACTTCGACCGATCGCCACAGGGTGTGCACCGGCCAGAGGATCGACATGGCGAGGGTGTGGAAGGTTTGGAGTCGATAGTGGGATGCTAATATTGCATGCAATAACGTATTATCAGGTATTTTATGTGGTATTGTATACAGTACACTGTAGTATTGTATAATGTGCAATATGATTGGTATAGTTCTTAGCAGGCTGGGTACGGGAAGTCCCAGCTAGGCATACTGCGTGAGCAACTCGAGCCAATATTGAGGATGGACTATGGACGCTAACGAGTGATGAAGCCAATAGAAAAGAGGATACACTGTCCTTATGATGAGTATTACGGTAGAAGTACTTCGCTGACCCGTAGAATCGTGGTCATGAGGGTAGTATTCCAAGGTCAAACAAGGAAGTATACAGAGCATCTCTCTAGAGTAGATGGGAATAGATGCACCGGATGGAAATGCGGAGTGGTCTGTGCCCCACCCGCGTCGGCTTGGACCCCCTGGAACCGCAACTTCACCACCTCCGGACTGCGCTCTCATCAACTCCGCAAGTCAGATACCAGTACCTCAGCACTAGCTTTATACCCACCAAAGCAAGGTAATCGTGCAAAGCCCGGGCCCTGGCTCGGTCCGACTCAAGTCCCGTCATCTGACAGCGTCGTTTCTCCCCCACAGACCGATCCGGGTTGGTCGCATCGGTAGCTTCACGCCATCTCGTCATCCGCCTTCTCGTCATCCGCCTTCCATCCCCCACCCCCTCCAACAACCTTTGACCATACCTGGCTCAGCGCTTCCTGGCCCAATCAGTTTAATCCGCCCTTTCAGCTGTGATCGCCGACCCCCGTACCCTCTCCTTGATCGAAGGATCTCCAACGTCCATCCGATTAGCGACTCCAGCGCCTCCGTTCCCCAGTTGACGTCGTACGCTCCTCGATCCGCCCCTGCCGCCTCGGAAACAAATCCATTCTTCAAAAACCCCGCTCGAGGAGGATCATCACTCGCACCAAGAGCCCTAGCCCTACCCGGGACCTCGCGTTGAAAGATCCGACTAGCCCAGGCGCCCCAAAAGGCATACAGTCTAGGGCATCGGAGAAGGCAACCGCACAGGAATCCCACCAGAGAGGTGACCGGAGGATCGCCCATCAGCAAAGTTTTACGATCGACCTGCGCATTATCGCCTTTCGGCTACGCGGTCAGCTACCAATCCGCAATTCACATCGGCGTCGGCGCTCCTATCACGGCGTTGCTGAGGACTTGTGGTTGTTCGCCCCCGGCCGTTCAGACCGTGTTCACTCGGCACGAGCACCCTCCCTCTGGGTACCTGCGATCCCCGCTAGGCAGAGTCAACCTCTGCGCCAGAACACTGGGAATAGGTCAAAAGCCGGATTCGCGTCATCTGCTCCTCGCAGACTCGGGTCTAGTCGCTAGCTTCCCCAGCCTAGCCAATCTGATAGACTGCTGCTCATCATCTGGCGCAGATCATTCTGCACTTCATCGTGCATAGTCCCTGAAGACGTTTTGTCTGTTTGGCTGTGTCTTACAGCTCCCTTGACGCTTGTTCTTTCTGGGTCTTTCCTCAGCCACGGGCGTGTCCTGCCGATAGATTGAGGCCGTGCACGGTTACCCCAGCTCATCTTTGCCTGCTTTCTGCATTCCCTTCCCCATTCCATCGGCAAGCCGTTGATCCAAGTCCTAGCTGGAAAGCATCTCTAGCCACTACTCTTTGGGGAAACTATGGCGAACACATCCTTTCGCGACTCTGTCAACTCGCTGGGCTGGTCTCGCAGAGACCCGGATTTCCCCGTGCGCACCAACAGTTCTTCTGAGACACCATTTCTCTCGCGCCTGCAGTCGTTGAACCCATTCGGGCAAGGCGGATATGTTCAGCTTCCCACGCATAATGAAGCCCCCGGTGCACCGCTGCCGGCGGCCACTCGACGAGAGGAGGAAGAGGGATTCTTCGCTTGTAAGTCAACTTTTGTGTTTATTTTGGTCATTTGTTTTCCCGTTTCTTGTTCTTGAATGAGTCTATCATGACTCGTGACCCCGACCCACCGATCTTCCTGTACAGCGTGCCCTACCTGCGATGCAGGTGACGAGTGCGAGTTCCTGCGCCGGGAAGGATTCCACCATTGTCCATGCTATGCTTGGCTACAGGGTCAACATCCGACAGGAGCAACAGCCATCCACATCTGAACTAAAGAAACCCGACTAACCGCTTCAAACATAGTGAGTCGATGGGATCGAATGCTCATCTTCGGCGCCTGTAACCTGGGCGCCGCCGTTTGCTTCATGATCTGCTTCTTCCTCTTCCCAGTGCTCACGCTCAAGCCTCGCAAATTCGCCGTCTTGTAAGTGTCTCTGCCAATACTTTCGAACCTCCCAAACTTCAGCCAAACTTTACCCTACCCTACCCTACCCTTGGTGTTATCAACTTCAGCCTCGTTCTACCCTACGATTCCCTTTCTCCAATCCCCTCCCTCTACCTCTTTGCCCCATACGCCCCCGTCGTTCCCTTCCATCTCCTATTCGGGCTCTGCCCTGCATAGCCACTGTTCTCCCTTCCCATTCAAACCCCGACACCTTGATCCCGGTCACTTGCGCCATCTCGCTCAGGCCATGTGCAAGTTCGTGTGGCCGCGCTCGACGCTTTCCATTCGTCAGCGCCCCGAACTATGCCGCCTGCCTGCGCCGCATGCCAAGCCCCAACATCCACGCAAGATGCGCGCATCCTCCGGCCAGCATCGCGATGCCAAGTTGTTTACTAACTTACTTCTTTTTTTCTTTTGCTACAGGTGGTCTGTCGGCTCAGCCTTGTTTTTGTTATCATGGGCAGTCCTCATGGGACCCTGGTCTTACGCTAAACATTTGGTCTCGGGACCACGGCTGCCATTTACGGCGGCTTATTTCGGGTCTATTGCGATGACTTTGTACTTTGCCATTGGGGTATGTATTTTCTTCTTTTTTTGGATGTTTATTTTTCTTTGCTCTTCACGTCGTATGCTTCTAGTCTGATCCTAGCTTTGTGTCCTCGATACTGGCTGTCGATCATCTTCACGCTCTGCCAGTCTTGTTCCACACCACCCTTCCCTTATCGCTGCTTGTCCTGTTATCGTCCTAGTACGATGGTTGCACTGCAAAATGTTGGGAAAAGGAGCGGAGATTTTGCATCCCTCTGTTTATCTTTCAGTGCGACGTGACTACACCCGTCACGCCGATAGCTTGATAGACATTCCCCTTTCGCGCAAGACGAGCTACGGCACTTCGAAGACAAGATCGCGACACATCGAGACGGGTGTAGGCCCGGGAGTTGTGGTGATATCACCTCGCCGTCCTCCCGTGCAACATCAGAATCCTGCGTTACAGGCGTTCAGCTCTCTCAACAGCGCTGTACAACGGCCACAAGGCTGGACTGCCCACATTCCCGAGACACGTCTCACTGTACCTGCGCATCTGATACTACATGTGTCTCGTTGCTTGCTACCTGCGCCCGCGGCCTGGACGTCGAGTCGATACTCGATTGTCTAGACCGTTTCCATTATCTCAAATTTTACCTTGTCTTCGCGTTCTGATATTCGAACTATTTGCTGTTGTTGCCGTCGTGCTTGAGAGACATTCGCTAACAAACTCCCACAGCTCCAAAGCCTCTTCCTCACCCTCATCTCGTCCATCTTCCAACTCGCCGCCCTTCTCTGGTATCTCGTCAGCTACTTCCCCATGGGCAGCACAGGACTGCAATTCATGGGTCGGTTTGGTGTGTCGCGGGTTTCGGCTTGGATGAGTGGGTGAATACCATACCAGCGATGGAGACCGATGCGTTGGGATCTGGATACAGGGTTTCTTACTGACGGCCGCGAGTTAATATCCATCTGCCTTTCCTCTTCCAGTCTTGGGTTCGTGTATATGTAGGTAGCGACGGTAGATAGAATTCATTTCTCTGATCACTCCATCTCCTGTTTATGATTCAGTGCACCTTAGAGCTCTATTAGTTTAACCATAAGCAAGACAGCCCATGCTGTGGTTGTTCAGCAGAAAGTATCAGTGCTCCCGTTAATTTTATGTAGATGCTATCCAAGGCTGCTAGATCCTTACTTCAACAGCAAGCGCAAGTACACAGCTAATGCTAATGCGAGCATAACCCAAAGCAGATAAAAACTACGACACCATCCAACAACCACCTTCAACACCAAATAACTTGCACCCATCAATACTTCCCCCGCATCATAACAACCCCAACCATCCCCTCAACAAGCTTCACACCGGGCACTTCGGCCTCAAAAATGCCCGTCTCCCCACCAGACCCGATCTGATGCCACCGCTGCAACAAGTCATTACTCTCCTTGGGCTTGACATCCGGTGAAGCCGTGCCAACAGTGATGTGCGGGATCGCATTCGCGCACGGGAACGCCGAGTCCGCGATACCATCGTTCTCGCCTTCGGCAGGCAAGATGCGCACGACGAACGCCATGATCCGGTTATCCCAGACGAGTCGCTCGAGGCGAACGCGTGCGCGGCCGAGTTTGGGTGGAGTGGCGATGGGGTCGTTGACCGGGTTAGCGGTCAACACGTCGACGTACTGCTTCACGTAGCGGTCCCAAATTTCGGTGCGGTCTTTGGACGCGGCGCGGTGGATTAGCGTGACGTGGAAGGCGGGCTGGATACGGCGGGAGTTGTGGAGTTGGTTGTACAGGCGGGCTGTCTCTGGGGACGTGTTGGTGAAGAGGGATTTGAGAGTGGAGGTGATTTCGGGGGTGGGCACGGAGACGCTGAAGTACTCGATCTTGCGAGCGAGCATGGCGGGGGTCGTTGCTGTGTTTGATTTCTGCGGGGCTACGGCCACGGGTGCGTTCTTGTGCTGCTTCTGACTCGGTTTGTCGTAGCCTTTGCTCAGGTCTTCTTTGACCTGGTAGCCGGCGATGGCGGCGTCAATGGCAGCGTCTAGCTCTTCCGGTGTAGGCATAGTGGGGATCACCCGAGGGTATGCGGCATGCAGAGCAGTTACCACGGTCTCGAGGTTCTCGCGGGACGAGGCGCACACGTCGAGGTCGATGATATGCTGGAAGTGCATGTCCGGGTCCCGGTCGGCGTCGACGCCCTCAAAGCGAGCCAGGAATCCGTCCATGATACCGACAATCTCCTGTCGGTTCTTGGTTCCAGCACGAATCGTCTGGTGATTGTCGCCGCGCTCAAGGACTCGCTTCCGAGTGATTTCCTTGATCGCAGGAAGGAGCTCAGGCTTTGGGTCGTGAACGTAGTGGAGGGCAACAAAATTAGCATCGTTGATGACAGGGAAAACATCCTCCATTAGTTGCTTGCGCTCCCGTCGCTGGTGGTTGTTGCGATCTGCGATCACGACGGGATACTCCGCCATGGCCTGGGTGATCTCAAAGGCAAACTGCTTCGGCTTGCCCTTCTGCTTGGGGAGATTATCGTTCTGAATATGACCCCATCCGAAGAGATGGACCAAAGCAAGCGCAACTGTTGTCTTTCCGCATCCTATAGAAGCGATGGGAGCGATGATGATATTGTTGCTGGCCCTTTTGGCATTGTCGTTCTCTTCCCCCATGGCGATGATTTCCGAGCCCTTCAGACCCCGCTCCTGCAAGAACTTCTCTCGTAGAGAGATAATGCCATGGTTATGGTTGTACTCCTGGCTGAGCTTGGGATTCTTGATGAACTCCCTCCGCGCAAACTGGAGATACTCCTCGGTGATCTTCTGATGCTTTCTGATCTTTGGCAGCTTCCCGGAGATAACCGCCTTGGTGCATTCACGCCACTGACGGTACATCAAGTATGGCTCCTCGAACTTGTACTTGAAAAACCAGTCCCTGTAACCGCTATCGCGGTCACTGATCTGGCATCGCACCACGAATCCTTCCGTCTCGCGGTCGTCCCATGTGCCACTCTCCGCGCAGCCCTCGAGGAACTTCTTCACGGACTCAATGTCATCGTACACCACATACTTTGCCTTCTTGAACCCCCATGCATCTGCAAATTCGTGTACCTTGTCTCCCGACATGGTAGCAAACTCTGGCTGGTTGTAGTTCAGGCCGTGAATGTAGATGCCGGCAGCTGCTTCGTCGTAGGCCAAGACATGCTCCTCGAAGCTGTCGTCACAAAGCTCTCCAACCGCCGTGATATTCATCTGTCGCAATGTCCGAGCCAATTCCTTGGAGGTTTTTCCGACTGTAGCGACATGTCGTTCTACCCATTTTTCACCGGCCTGTGCGTGGCTCATGTTGGTATCGGCCCGGACGCCCGTAGAGTGCTTGCTGCAGACCAGCAATTTGTCATCCTCGAGACCCGAGATGAAGATAATACAGCCATTCTCCTTCACACTCAATTCATAGGGACCCCGGGTCTTGTTCTCAATATTGTGCCACTGCGTGTCGTTGGTCTCGTTCACGTTGAAGAACTTGTCATAGCCGCGCACCGCGATCTCGGGGATGTTGTCTTTCCGTCGCGCTGTGAACAGGCCTCGGGCATATGTAGGTAGGTCAGGCCGTTTGTAATCCCAGTCCATAAACTTCCACGAGTCCACAGTGACACCCTTTGTGCCCGCGACATCGAAGGTGGTCTTTTTGCATGTGAAGGTGCGCTTCTTCTCGCCCTTGGACTGCTTGCGGGCGTCTTCCAGGTCGCGTACAAGCTGCGCAATCTGCGATGGATCCTGTGTCGCCATGTTTGCAGCTCTCTCGCGGTTGTTCTTTGTGTGAGGAGGAATTGGAATCGAAGGGTTGGATGGAGGGGAACACGCGAGGTGGGGGGTGGTGGAGTGCGAGGAAGCCGCGAGGACGACGAGCACTGGTTAATTAGCTGTCTCGGTAGCTGGCAAACCGAGTATTTAAAGGCCAGCAGCCGGTTGCACCAGAGTTGAAGCAGTGGAACAAGCAACCCCCAAGCTCGTAAAGAAAACGAGTCATTCGCGAAGAGTCACAGCCTGCGGGGAGCCAAAACGGTAAGGCGGCCCAGCCTTATCGCGCTTTTTTTCCCCGCCGAACTTCGAGCTCCGCCAACTTTTTTTAAAGCCCGCCTGCTCGTTACTTCGCCTCAACTCGATTTACTACATCTAATAGTCCCTTCCTTTTCCCACTTTTCTGTGACTCACTGTGGGGCACAACTATGGCTCAGCCCAATCCTTACCTGTTGGCCTGCGACAACCCGTCAGCACTGCTCGAACTCCTGCGCTCCAATCCCGCGATCGCTTCTTCCCAGGACGAACATGGATACTCCCTACTCCACGCCGCCTCATCCTACGGCCACCTCGATCTCCTGCGTGCGCTGGTGAAAGAATTCAATGTGAACGCCAACCTCCTCGATGAGGACGGCGAGACCTGCCTGTTCGTGGCTGAGACTCCCAAGGTCGCCCGATGCCTGGTCGAGGAACTCGGAGTCGATTATAACAAGACCAACGATGACGGGCACAAGGCTCACGAGAAGATGGAAGCCGACGATGAATTTCCCCAGGTAGTCGCCTACCTGCGCGAAGTCTCGGGGGCTCCTGCTGCGGCAGACAGCTCGGGGGGACCATTGAATGCCCCTCCACCTGTTCCTGGTAACATGCAGGTGAATATCGGTACAATGTCGGAACAAGAAGCCAATGCTGGTGAAATGGAGGTGGATCCCGAGTTTAAGCGCCGAATTGACGAGTTGGCAGCTCGCGAGGACTTCAACAGCGCAGCCACTCAAGAGCAATTGCGGGATTTGGTCATGGATGCACTCTCCGGTTCCAGCATTGAGACTGCTGATCGCGAAACCCGGAGGAGGGTGGAATAGATAAATTGCATTATTTTGTTGGCTTTACATCCTATACCCTGGGGCCATGTCTGCTCTGGCGAGCTTGGCTTTCACACCCCTTGAGCCCAAGCTATGGCACCGCCACTCCTCTGGAGGCTTCATGTCACGTATCCAGACTCTAGGAGATTGAGATATTGCACCTCAGTACAACCTCGGTGTCCTGGCGAATCGAAATCTCAGAGAACGGCTAACCGGCCGGTCACCAGGGAATGAGCAGCCTTCTCAGAGCTAGGTTTCTTGGGGATTAACTGGGGGTGGTTTTTCTGACGGGCGTAGGGCGGCTTATCGAAGAATTGCCTGATTTTATCTAGTTTCAGCCTCAGCGAGACACCAAAGCCCGAGGCATCCCCGGACATCCCCAGCCTCGGCACATATATTACAGACAAAAGATATAAAGGTGGTCTTAGTTTTTCGGTCCTTAACTATCCTTGAATCTTTGTATATCATTAGTGGCGTCTTGCTGCTTTGTGATGTAATCGAGGTGACGGTAAAACTGCCGCCTCGGGAAATGATCGCTCACGGAGCACAGAATGAGTTAGTCACCTCGCCGCCCTCAGCAGCTCACGGAGCGAACATAAGCAGCTCCCTAAGCAACCTGATCGCCCACCCTAAGGCTTAGGCTGATCGCCTTATTCGATCTCATTTTCCCTCTCCGTTGCATAAGATCCTCCGACGCTAACCGTACTTCTAGTGTTCCTAGGAGCGAAGGCTAGGATATGACTTACTCTCACGTTGCTATAGTAACTTCTCTCGCCTTTCCTGCTACTGTAGTTACGAAATATTTATAATCATGATGAATTGTACGTCTTACATAAGGCCGGGTGAAGTCCATGTCATAAATGTGCCTCAGCCCCAGCTTAAAGAGTAGTTAAATAGCTCGAAAAGGTGGGGGCGGCTCTTACCCCTATCTGTCACCCTCGGTAACCACTCACGAGGATCATAAGGGGGATTTTTGTTCCTAGAATAAGCTGCAATCTACCAATGCCACATTATCATCATCCATAATGGGCTTTCTTCAGCTCTTCAAGCATCTTGGTTCACCCAAGTTTGCCGAAAAAACAACGATGGGTGTCCAATCATTGCCGACTGAGCTCCTAGAAGCCATTCTCACGCTACTAGATTTCCAAACGCTCCTCCTAGCCCAACGAGTCTGCCGGCAATGGGCTAACTGCATCCAAGAATCCCCCAGAATTCAACAGATGCTTTTCTTCCAACCAGCATCTGCAAGCACATCCCGCCAACAAAACACATTCCTAGCATCAAAATTCCCCTACTGGTTCCCCGCCGATACACCCAAGTCTTGCAAGACTTCCTTCGGCGCAGGCGACATGCAAGATTTCCTCAACAATAGCGACGTATATAAACGGCCAGAGGCGAGTTGGCGGAGAATGCTGGTCCAGCAACCGCCAATCATGGTGCTAGGGTGGGTAGAGCGCAGCATCGCACCCGACGATATGGTAATGCTACACCGGTGGGAAATCCCGCTCCAAGCATTCGTCGGACTGCGAATGAACATGCTCTACGACCTTGTCGTCAAAAAGGCCGAGGTTGCGCCACAATATTTCTACTTCAGGGTGTTATGGTCCCAGTACGAGAGTTTTGAAAATAATATGGTGTCGCTCAAGTCGGAACCAGATCCTGCAATTTATGGAGGGAGGATCGCGGCACCACTTAAGAGAGCTATGCGGGGTGCCGATGTTGTTGTTGATATGTGGCATGCGAGTCACTTGCCGTCTCACATTTCGCATCAGCGGAGGGAAGAAACGTGGACTTGGAGTCTGGTGCGGGGACTTGCAGCACCAACGGGGGATTTGGAGGTTGGGCTGGTGCATGACATGAGAGAATTAAAGGAGGTTAATGGGTGGTCTTTGGCAACTGATTTTCCTGCTGGAATCGAACGATATATGATGGAATTCCCAGACGGGTGTAGTAGTGCCATGCCGTTGCCTGATGACGGTGACTCGGATCTATTATTTGGAATGTGAACGAGCGAGGAGAGAAACTGTTTTCTGTCACGGTGTCAGCCGCCCATGAAATAATGAAATTATATAGTGCTCATAATGATATCTAATAGATGGTCGTAATGTCGTAATCGCTATGCACAGGTATATAACTATAAATCTGGTCTTTGATCTGGCGTCGCGTTGATGGACCAAGATAGCATCCGACCTCGAGGTAAATCTAAATCAACCCCAGAGCTATTGATATTCGTTCCAGTCCGAGGCGCGCTAATAACTTTTCGCAATATTTTACAAATCCGTGAACCACTCTCCGAGGTCGAATCCACGAAATCCGAGATACTTTGGACGATCCCACCAGAGGACGTGGATGTTATCTTTCAGTTTCTTCCCGATCTAGATCAAGCTTATTTTGCACTGAGCTGCAAAAGGTTGCATGCCTACTACGTCTCATATACCAGACGACGAGGAATATGCGTACACTCAACATTGCCCAGGACGGAGCTACTCCATCGCCTCCAAAATGAGGGCTGGACATACTGTAGCGGATGTGACAATCTCCTCTCCACCAGTCCTATTTATGGCGGCAGCTTCTAAAATTTGGGAGGAAATATGATCGAAAGCCTGATATATTCGAATGTAACGTTTGGTGCTATATCCAACACTCTGGGGAAGTTGACATTTGTCTATGCTCGAGTATCACATTCCATCAAATGCAACATCCAGTCGATTGCTTTAGATCTCAACAGAAGGAGTTCCCATTCCCCAAGAAAAGACATCCAATCGATCACCTTGGATCTCGACAGAAGCCATTAAGACACTCGTCATATTCGACATCATCTGAGAAGTTTTTCCATATCTGCATTTTCAAGCATTCGCTAGCTCGAGTCTTTATCGTAACTCGAGCGTGGTTCAACAAAACTTCCAAGACTTTTCGGGTGGAAAATAAGTTCACTTTTCAGACCTCCGAAAAAAAACATTTCGCTGGGGATCTTCCAAAAGATCGGCCCTAGACAAAGCCGATACGAAACCGAGTTCTGGCTAAAGAATTTATTTAATGAAGCTAAATACAGATTCTTCATCGGAGACGAAAGCTCTAACTGGTACAAATGCCATGGATGGGAGACTGAGGGGGCTGGACTGTATACTTTCAAGATACTGCTAAATCGAGACTTAGGAGGCAATAGGTGGCCTAGCAAAGGGTGGAGACATAATTGTCATAACTAGCATGTTCTCGTATTCTCATTTGCTCACTTGCTCATTAGCTCATTTCTAGATTAGCTGCTATAGGCTGGAAACTTGAATTAAACATCAATACTAACATATTAGCTTTTCCTAGAATTCACAAGGCACGGCCACATCTGTATATCTAAGGCTAGCCACTAGAGCATGGTGAGTCCGCGCGGCTAGTTCCACTGATTACTTATATATAGTCTAAAGGGTCGATAATGTCTAAGCAGAGCTTTACTAACTAGTATGGAAGTTCGTAGCGCACGTAACGTTAAGAGAGCCGGTCCTAACACTACAATGCTTCTTATCGGAAGGGGCTTATCGGGAGTGCCACTAACCTGAAGAGCCGCCAAGCTTAAGTCGATCTGCCCGCATCTCCAACTTCCCTCCAAACCCCACACCTCCTACACCTCCTACACCTTACCGGCATCATGTCTCAACCAGCCTCCCCATATCCTACGCAATCCTCCTTCTACTCAACACCTCCAATTATGAACCCATCTATCAATCCTGACACACCACCTCCTCCACCCCCAAAACCGAGTAGCCATGAAGCCAGCCGAAGAGGCACCCCGCAGGGCACGACCTCCATGCCAACTCCACAGCAGCCACAACCTGGTTACCGACCGGATGCCCATTCATCAAGCCTCCAACAAGCACAATATCAAGTGAATTCGCCACCAGCATCCCTCCCGGCACCTCCCACAGTCGAAGAGGGCTGGCTACCAGACATCGTGAAGGACAAATCGTAAGATTCACTCACCCGATCCATTTACACCATAATCGCCCTAACCCCTCTCCCACTCCCAGAACAACCGACCTACAGTCAATCCTCCAAAACCCATCCCTCATCTCCGCCCTCTCCGCCCAACATCCATCCCACACATCCCGCCAAGTAAACCTCGAATCCCTCCTCCAAGTAAACAAAGACCTAGCAACCCGCCTCCTCGAGCTCCAAAACCACGTCTCCGACCTCCGCAACCAAACAGAGACAATGCTCCTCACGCATCAATCGCTAGAGGTCACCTGGCGTAAGAAGCAGACTGAGATGGATGCGGCGCTGGCGCCGTGGTCGCCTAAGGCGTTGTATCAACGGCTTAGCGCGGCGATCGCGGAGCAGGAGGCGGTTTGTCAGGCCGTAGAGGAGAGTTTCTTGGATGAGGATCATCATGGACGGGCGACGGAGAAGGAGATTACGGATTGGGTGAGGAGGGTTAGGGCGGAGGCGTCGAAGTTGGCGGCACGGAAGGAGGCCAAGGCAAGGTGGGATGAGGGGAGGGTTGGAGGTTGGCGGTGATTGGGAATATGCATTGGCTTGTCCCTCGAGGTCGCCTGGAATATATATAACCCGTGATATACCCACCCAATTTGCGTTTGCAGTGTTCAAGATATGCTGCCTCCGAATCTACGTACCATTTCAGTCTTGGACAGTGTACGTGCTGTGTATACTAGGACAACATGGGAAGTACGTGCCTCGCGGGACGATGATAAAAACGACTTCTCCCGTCAGGAACCTTAAATACCTCTGGCTCGGTCAGTACCTATCAGACGGCACACATGGAATCCTTTTGTTTTAATAAGATAGCTGCAAGCTGCCTCATTCGGTAACGAATTCGCTTCTCATATCACACGTCTCTTCAACACCATTTCAGATTTCAATTTCATACAGCCGACTTCCACTACTGTCCTTCGGCTTCACGCTTCTTCGCCTTCTGGCTCTTCCCCAGAATAACAGTACTCAGATCACCAACCGGAATCGTCAACGGGAAGTCGACAGCCTCAAAGATCTGGGCAATGAAAATCCACCAAATTGGCAGACACAAAGCAAAGTTGAAACCACCGGCGGTCTAGTCAAAAAATTAGTGGTCATTCATAGATGTCCAAAATATTTGGGCTTGCCTTACCTTCTGTAGTGTAGCTGCATGAGCGAGATTGCCCAAGGAAGTCTGGAAGAAAGTCGCCGCAGTCAAGGCAAAGGTGATGACCAGCAGGAGGAGGGCGAGGAAGAGGCAGACATTGGTTCGTATGGAACAGATGAGATATACGAAGGTCAGGATAGCGAGGATAGTAAAATATAGACCTAGGAGAAAGGGTCAATGGCTGATTATTATCGGCAGTGATGTAGAATGGTTGACGAACCAGTGGTTGCAGCAAATTCTGGCGTCTGCATTCCTTCTAAAGAATTACCAGTGGAAGAGTAATTGGTTCCAACGCCGAACCAGGGGATTAGAGTTGTGCCCTGGACAATCCAGAAAGTTCCTGCGTACGTCAGATCAGTACTAGTCTTTTTCCCCCACGCCTATATTTTGTATCTTAACATACCGTAGGTGAAGAAAAGGGCACACGAGAAAGTGTTTCCCAGAAGCCACTCGCCCACAGCTCCGAGGATTTGGACCATGCCACCGAAGAAAATATAGACGGGCCTGTCGGATGCAACGATAATATTAGAAGACATTCACCAATTAAGCGTCCTAGTATCTGCAAGGCTATCACTCACAAAACGGCTCCACCATTTCCGCCCGAGTGTCCCCAACCCATAGTCAACATCGCCGCAGGTGTCGCGGCAAGCAAGAAGCCCATTAGCGAAATGGGAGTTGGGTTGCCAAAGGTGCGACGCAGATTGCCAGCAGTAGGCGTCTTAGGGCTCAGGTAGAGCTTTTCAAAGGCATCCCGAGGAATTGGAAGCAAGACACTATCGGCCGTCTGGTAGCGACGGAGGATCTCGGCAGTGGCAGCGTCATGCTTCTCGCTGATGTTTTCGTCTGACATGTTAGGCGAAACAAATCCGATTCAGGGTTGCAATATCTGCGGAGTGAATAAACCAACGTGATCGCGATTGGTCCCGTATTAAAACAAAGAAGAAGAGAAGAATGCTGCAAGACCTTGATTTCCCCCTGGACCATCATCAGGGAAAAACCGATCTTATATTCCAAGTCTTTTCATCATGACCCCTCAACAATTCCAAATTCAATTCCCCGTCTCCTCACCCCCACAAAATCCACCCCCAGACTCCAACGCCACGTCCAACCCCGGAATATCTCCAGGCTAGGCCCCAGCGAGTCAAAACGAGATTCGGATCCAATCCAAAGTGCCTTGCATGGTTTACATTAGAGTCATCTGGAGAGGCGCAGTCGCGCCATTGAGGACTATCATTCGCTAGCCTAACAACCGCACTCACGTACCACCAGCCCATTAGCCCGCGCTCGAGAGTAAGCGGGTCCCGAACCTGTATTCTTGCGGAGGTAAGCTGCGGGGGGGAACTAGTCATTTTTCGCCCCCCCGATGGAAGGACGGGGCGTTTCCCCGCGAAATGACCCCGGAAAACCGAGGACTTTCAGCCTTCTCGGGGGATCCAATTCGGCTGCATGGTAGCTACCTCGGCCGTTTAGGGCTTATTGGGCGGTTTGGGCGGTAAGATTGATGGAAGTATAAAAGGTTACACGCGCCCAGACTTTTGAATGGCTTTTGTGGCGCCGGGCGAAAGTCTATTGAAAAGCTTTGCCTCGTATACTTTGTCTCGGGAGAAGATGCGATGGAGGATAATTATGGCGTGGTGGGTATCGTCCCGACCGTTACCTTAATCTTAGAGAGCGGATTATCATTCCGCTCTTGTTGTTGTTTCATTAACTATGCAACTATACAACCTGGCACTATTATGGAGAAGAGGGACCTCGGTCTCCTTGACAGGCAAGTGGAGGAATCTACAGTGGCGACTGGCGGCCCCTAAGCTTCAGCCCTCGAAGACTTCAAAACTATCTTTCTTCGTGCAATCGGAGATACACCGAAAAATAATTGCAAACTCACTCAAAGAGACGTCTGAGAAAGAAGGCAGTGATTTTAGGGTTGGACTTCTTACTCGGGCCAACAACATCATAACAACCAGACAGAGGACCTTCCAGAGTAAGTCATAAACTCAGTCTCTTGCGTCATAGTCATCCAGCGACTTCAATTCCAAGAAAGAAACACTATTCGCCATCGTATGTGCCCCAAGGCCATCCCACTTCCTCCACGGAGCAATTCTGCTTCCGAGGATGTACATAAGGCATGCATCCGAACACAACTCTTTGGGCATCGGATGTCAGGTTGTCAGCATCCATAAAATTGACTTTATGCTCGGGCTTAAAGGTCTTAAAGTCCGCCGGACTTCATCCTTCCCGGAGAAATCCCCCGAAAATCCCTAAAACCAGAAAGCCAACCAACGATCAACCGCGGCACTGAGTAGGCGACTTCCCGCAGTGGGTGGGACATCCCGGAAATCCTACGATAACAATCCCTCGCCAAGACCCAGTAGCCGAGCCGCGTCGCATTCGTATAATGACTCGAGAGAAGAGTGCTCTAGTTGACTAGCGGCGTTGGCGATAAGCTAGATTGTCTATCTATTAAATGCCAAGTAGTAGGATCAGGAGGGGTTGGAACTAGCCTTATAAGGAAGGTGGCTGCGGTTGATCCCGCCTCTGACGAATGTATACCCCGGAATCCATCCCCCCAGTTCAGCGATGAAATGCGAGCTGCTTGGTCAGCTTCGATCGAGCTAGTTAACTAACTACGCCTCGTTCATTGATAAGATAAAGGCCTCCCACCTTTGATAGCGCTCTCGTCGGCTGCTCGGACGAATCCAAGTTGCTGTCCAGTAGCTCGGCCGTGATGGTTGATTGCGATAACTGTTCGATCCCTCGCTTGTTCCTATCTACGTAACATCAAGCGTACGCCACTATCAACCGATGGGTTCCTATACGAGGTTGTTTAGGCTTGGCGAGGACGTTGAATGCAGCGAAGTTGGCCTAGTTTGGTACTATCCAGCTCTTTCCAGTGCAATGTTGGCGATAAGAGCATGATAATGCCGGAACGAGGACCGGAATGCGATGGATAGAGACGATAGCAAAGGGCTTCCAATTACTACCGTGATAACACTCTATGGTGGTATAAAATGCTTCAAAACGAAGCGATGGAGTGTCCCATTAACTATCAAGCTAGCGTTCCAAACAATTCGGCCCTTGTAGGATCTCATAATGCGAGGTTCTCTTGGCAACGCCCTGGTCGGGCTAAGCATCTCAGGCCTTGGCCTAACAGCTGCTGTGCAACGTGAATTTGAGATCGTACGGTTCCATGACCTTGGTGCTGTGACAGCAGACTCCCTGCACAATATTCATGTCGAATTTCTTGATGAGTCCTTCGAAGGTCATCTGAAACTGGTATATGGAGACTGCGGCATGGAAAGCCCCATATATGGACACCATGATATTGGCAGCATCTTTGTCAAGCGGGAGGCTAAGCCAGACCGATTTGTCTGGGTGACTCCTGCAGATGCACCTCATGCGCACTGTCTTCATGCATTCTCTGAATCGACCTTGCTTGGTCGGTCCTCTCCGGTCAGCGTCACCTCGCCCATCGTCAAGCGCGAGAGTATCGCTGATGTGGCCGATGCAATGGGCCCGTGGTTTGACGGTGTCGCATACATGAAATCCAAAAAGAATAGCCAATCTTTCGTCGCCAAGGCGAAAGACACATCTGTTGCCATTCTAGGCGGAGGCATGTCTGGCCTCATGACAAGCCACCTCCTTGAGTCCGTTGGAATTCACAATTGGCATATTTTCGAGTCATCAGAGCGAGTTGGTGGACGCATTCGCACCAAGTATCTCAACAACACTCGCCCGGATCAATACCAATACCAAGAAATGGGACCTATGCGCTTTCCCGTCAGCATCACCTATACAGATACCAACGAGACCCTCGAGATTATGGATCACCGCATGGTCTTTCAGCTGGCCGGTGTGCTCAATAAGATGAATACTGATAGACCTGATCTCCAAGTCAACTTCATTCCGTGGGTACAAAGCAGCCCCAATGTCCCTGCCTCGACAGGCGGCAATCGCCTACCAGATGGCCGTATCCCCACGGCAGCACAAGTCGCAGCCAATTCCTCTCTTGTTTATACAGCTGCATCATCTAATGCAACTGCCGTAGCTGATGCAGAAGCTGCTTATGAGAACTATACCACATTGGATGATCGGGCCACAATCCGCGCAATTGCGACCAACATGTACCAAGCCCACAAGAAAGCCGTGGAAGATGGCATGTTTCACTGGTCCGAAGCCGGCTATCTCCGCTATGCTATGGGCTACAACGCAAACATCACCGATTACGTTGCTGGCACCACCGACTCTCCCATTTGGGGCGACTTTTACGACGACGTCTACTTTGCAGCAACCAAGTGGCGCACAATCGACAAGGGTCTCGAATCACTGCCTCGTGCTTTCTACCCTCACGTCAAAGACAAGGTCACTTTCAACCGCACTGTGCAAGGTCTCATCTACAACGAAACAACCGAGAAAATTTCCGTCGCATGGCGAAATGACCCGCTTCAAATGATCCCTGAAACCGCGGAGTTCGATTACGCCGTCGTTGCAGCGCCATTCAGCAAAGTCCGGCTTTGGGATTTACCCAGGTATTCGTCACTATTGAGTCGTGCCATCTCATCACTCAACTATGATCCTGCCTGCAAGATGGCACTTCTGTACAAGACACGCTTTTGGGAACACATGGAAAATCCCATCTTCGGCGGCTGCGGCTCTGTCGATGTATCCGGCGTGGGCAACGTCTGCTATCCATCCTATAACATGAACGGTACTGGACCGGGCGTTATTCTGGCCTCGTATATCTCTGGTACACCTGCACGTTCGACGGCAGCTCTCAATCCAGAGGAGCACGTCGCACTCATCCAGCGCACGATGGTGGAAGTACATGGTGACATCGCTGCAGAGCAGTTCACTGGTATCTACGATCGGCAGTGCTGGGAATTCGACCGCCATCAGGCTGGTGCTTGGGCGGATCCGCTTGTTGGTCAGCAGGAGCTGTATCTACCGGCGTATTATCAGACCGAGTTCAATACGATTTTCATCGGTGAGCACACTAGTTATACGCATGCTTGGATCTTTTCGGCTCTGGACTCGGCTGTGCGGGGAACTACTCAGCTTCTGCTAGACCTTGGCCTTGTTGATGAGGCCAAGTCTATCGTGGAGACTTGGATGGGACGATGGATCAAGTTGTGAAGTAATTATGCTGTGGAATTTTCTATATTTTGTGTGGGAATATCTGATGAATAGACATAATGACGTGATCAGCAGCATCCTTACTGTCAAGAGATTTTCTACAATTATCGCCTGGTCCCTTCTATTTCCAATTCATGAACGTTAGATACTAGGGGATAACCTCCTTCCCCTTCCAATCCCAGCACCTCCCCCTCCCCCCATCTACATCCGGTTTTAATCCCGTGATGACACTCAACAGTCTATCAGCCGCATCTAACGGCTCCAATAAATCCCTTCCCTTCCAATAATCCTTCGTAAAATCCGTCTTCACGGTGCCCGGGTGCAACGCAACCGCAATAGCCCTCTCAGCGCAGCGGCCACGCAGATACAAATCAAACGTCTTGGCAACCTGATATACGGAGGCTTTACTCGCACGATACGAGTACCATCCCCCGGATGCGTTGTCAGAAATTGAACCCACCCGCGCCGCCATCATAGCATAGATGGCGTGCGCTGGTAGCTGCAGCTTTCCTTCGGAAGTCGGGAATGCAGATGCGGACTTGTTTGGGAGAAATGGGGATAGGTGTTTCATGAGAAGAAGTGGACCAAGCGCGTTCACTTTGAAACTGTCCAGTGCATTGGCAGCATCAATTTGAGAAGGAGATTTCTCGACATGTAAGATTCCAGGAAGTGTGAGAGCTAGGCGAAGTGGCGTCTCTGGCAATTCTTTGCGAATTGTATCGGCCATTAATGATATCGTGGATTCGTCTACCGTGGCAGATTAGCTTCCTCGCCTCGAATGGGAAAAACAGGAGATCGAGGGAATTCAAGAGAGCAACATCTGACATACCCTTCACATCAACTTTTAATATACGAAGTCTTTTTTCTGCATCGGAAGGTATTCCTTTGCCAGATAGCAGTTTCCCGCGAACTTCATCGCAGTTCTTCCGCGCTGTGACGACAACTGGGAGATTAGTTTGCGAAAGTAGTTGCTGAGCAAAAGCAAAGCCTATTCCGCGAGAAGCGGGTGTTACCAGCGCGAATCCATGCGCGGTTGCCATATTTAAATTGATTGGATGTCGGGTAATGATTTTGGAAGGAGGACGAGACTCGTTCACTTAATCTATGTTCCAGAATTCAATATGACGTCATTGGTATCCACCGAGAAAGGAACCAAACGCTTCCTTAAGTTTAGAACCCTGAGGAAAGTACCAAATCATATCGTCTGATCCGTTATACCTTGAAACACAAATAGAGAGATACTCCGTAACACGAGTAGAAAGACACTTCAGAAGGCATCCAGACGATCTCTGCATAAAGACAGAATTGAAGCGAATTTACCTGGAGTCCGCAATGAATGCCAACGAGGCAGTGGGCCCACGACGAACATCCAAGATCCCCAAGAGACATATTTAGTACCTGCAACTATCTTCGGGGGCTTGAACATATTAAATTCTCCGACGCACGTCAACACAAAGCGGTCTGACTTCGAAATGAAATTCGCTCATTGTTTCAACTACAACTCTTACGTTGTACTACAGATGGTCTTTCCACGGTGAACTGATGTTTGATTAATTGATATGACCAGGTCAGTCTGGTTTACAGAACGAAACGAGCGTATATGTGCGTCAACCGCACCTAAATGAGTGACATAATAAACAATTCGAAAAATCAACAGCAAACCCAAGATATTCCTCCTATACAAGGTCGACCTGCCCCTCGTGGCAGTTCCAATCAAACAGTGGGCTTTTTGATCTAAATACTAGACGTTATCAAGCCAGAATTTGCATTCACCTTGTTTGAAACGTTCCTTTATGCCGACACATTGGCAGAGGCATTGGCGGTGGCATCTGCGGAGGCATATCCAGATGAGTTGGCGCTCGCAGATGCATTGGCGCTCGCGCTGGCAGCAGCTGAGGCTTCAGCTTGAGCAGATGCCTCAGCCTCAGCAGAAGCTGATCCGCTGATTGAACCAGTAGCGCCAGGGAAAGAGATACTGATACTGGTACTCCAAGTCTCCGGCGCAGTACCAGTTCCAGTACCAACTCCAGCACCTAGGCTACCAGAGACGCTAGTGCCAGTCTCACCAGATCCGGAACCGCCAGCACCAGCGGAGTCAGAGCCAGAAATGCCAGAGCCAGAAGAGCCCGAGGTGGAATCACCGGAGCCCGTGGAGTCAGAGCCTGACGGGACGCTCGAAGAACTCGCGCCGAGAGAACTACTACCAGAAGTACCACCCTCAGCGCCAGTGGTGCCAGTTGCGCTCACTCCGGAATCTCCAGAGGAATCTCCGGAGCCTTCGCCGGAAGATCCTCCAGACAAACCACCGGAAGGACCGCCAGACACGCCAGCGCCTCCAGTCGAGCTAGCACCAAGAGATCCTGTGCCCGATGCGCCACCATTTCCAGCTCCTGTAGTAGAGGACCCGCCAGAAATGCTTCCAGATGAACCACCAGAGGCACTTCCAGATCCAGAAGCACCTAGAGAACCAGTACCTGAAGCACCGAGGCTACCAGAAGTAGTGCCGCTGGCACCCCCAGAATAGCCTCCGGATGAACCACTTGAAGTACTTCCGGATCCTGATAGACCTCCAGAGAGACCCCCAGAAAGACCACCAGAAGCACTTCCAGATCCAGAAGCACCTAGAGAACCAGTACCTGAAGCACCGAGGCTACCAGAAGTAGTGCCGCTGGCACCCCCAGAATAGCCTCCGGATGAACCACTTGAAGTACTTCCGGATCCTGATAGACCTCCAGAAAGACCCCCAGAAAGACCTCCAGAGGCACTTCCTGAGGCAGTCGCGCCACCAGTCGCGCTAGCACCGAGCGAGCCAGTCCCGGTAGCATCCAGGCCAGAAGATCCGCTCCCAAAGCCACCCCAGCCAACTCCACCAAGTCCACTAAGACCGCCACTCAGTCCACCATTGGCAGATCCAGAGGCCGATCCCGAGCCGGAAGCAGAAGCCTCTCCAGATGATTCACCAGACGATTCGCCCGAAGAATCAGCTGAGCTGCTTCCATAGGCACTACCGCTGCCAAAGATTGAGGCAAGTCCACTAAGGCCGCCACTGGCGGAAGATTCGGCGCTTCCAGAGCCGCTGCCCTCGCCACTGAGGGATCCGTCAAGGAACAGGCAGGGCTTACGAGCCTCGAGAGCCGTGTTGACAGGCATCGCCAGCGCGGTGCCCGCAAGCATAAGCATGACAATGTTTTTCATGTTGATTGAAAGATTGATATTAGAAAGAGAGGGGGAAGACAGAGTCAACTTGAGAGGAGGTGAAAGAGATAGAGAGAGGGTAAGTGTATAAGAAGAAAGAATGAATTGAAAGATTGTCAAGTTGAACCAGTCAACTGAAGCGAAAGACGGTGGGTGATGATGATGGTGATTGATGGAGGAAAGATGACCATCTTTATAGTTGACTAGAAGTAACCGGCATGGGAGATGAGTCCGCGATATCTCTGAGTCTTAGCTTGTCCCTGGTGTCTACCAATTTAGTGAAACGAATGTCCACATGTCTCATGGCATCCTGTTTCAAGGACCCGTGGTTGACATTTTCCATGTGTGGTCATCGGTTCGTACCTGGCGATTGAGATCCTAACCTCATATATGACGAATTGCTCGTTTCAAAACTAAGAAGTTAGATATCAATTGGTCTGCAATAGTATTATTCGACTGCTTATAAAACTGAAGGTACGGATCTATGAGCCATATATCCCATAATACTAAGCCAGACAAAGCACTGTATTCTTCGAACTAAAGCAGGGCATCCACTAAGTCGTGCCTGCATGGGACCAGTCGGTTTCGAGACCAGATACACTATCAACTGAGGAAGGCTATCCGGGAAGATCAACCGAAAAATGAGGCATCTTGCCATATTCGGGTGTTAGGCCGAGTGGGTCCAGGGGATTAGTGCCCGAGCATCCCGGACGCCGAACCGTTCATAGCAAACTTAGTTTTGGCGGGAGAGGCTTATTTTTAGATGTTTATCGCGTTAGAAACAGATTAAGGAGAAAGGGGGATTTCCGTGTGGTGCTGGTCGATCATCAGTTCATCCGGCATTAGTCTTATTCGTTCTGCTGCAGCTGCATCAGCATAGGTGAGGGCTTTTTATTCGGCATAGAATACCTTGTACTCGTTACCCTCGTCAGTCTCCGGAAAACTTATCCAGATTTTGAACAAACTTCCGGGCTTAGAGCGGATATTTAGAGATAGGAACATGATACAATCTGTAGAAAAATAGGTAAAATCCTGCTTCTGATGGATCAAGTCTATATCCTATCGTATCAGAATTCTTTCCGAACGACAAACGTTCGACCTAAGCCAAAGTTACTTACTTGATGAGAATATGTAACTAAATACAGTGAGACAAGCTATGGTGGATAAATTAGACCGTAGCAGAATGTGCCTGGTTAAGTCATGTTGTTGATATGAGAAACTCTGGACGTCTTACGATCGCCGTAGGCAAGCACAGTCTAGAGGTCTTTAGCTGAAGTCACATGAGTTTAGTCCATATTGATCTACGTTGCCTCTCATTAGACGGGGCTCCTTCCCTAAACGCCACAGTGGGAAACAATACACAAACAAAAATAACCCTGGACATCTGTTTTAGATCACTAAACTACCCTAAAAATGAGCTGCCAGCCCCACAGTGATGAGACCGATCTTTGGAAACGTGCAATTTCCGTAACTGCCCCATGGCTTGGAAGGAGTCTACACTCGAATTCTGCAAACTCATGAAATGCAAATGAGTGAGGATGAACGTGAATTTGCAAGCCAACGCTTTCTATGGCTCGATATCAGTGATGTCTTACCACCTTTCCTGTCCTGTGAATATGATCGCCTCCCTTATTGCATACTCGAGCTTGTCTTCCGCTATTTGAACAAGGGAAACGCTGTGACGCTGCGGGCCTGGCCTGCAAGCTTGGAACACCGTTGATTCAGGTCTACAAGCGAGGCTCTACCTGCGAGTTGGACTTTGTGCATGGCTCGGCATATAAATATATTGCAGAGAGTCAACGCCGGTCGCCAGAAGAGCTTCCACTGATTCTTCAACCTCAGGAGTATAAGCGGATTTATCGGGGCATATTGGCAGTATGGTGCTTTACCGATTGCCCTGATTCATTGAAAGATCTCCAAGAGCTTCGTGAAGAAGGTTTCAGGTCACGCTGGCACCTTACTTCAGAATATTATTTTGAAATGCATTATGGGCTTCTAAATGCGTTCCGGTACATATCGCGCGGTATGGCGAGGAAGTGGTATATGGGCGTTCCGCAAAAAATATTGTCAATGATCTGGCAACTTGGAGACTTTCTGCAATCAGATAATGCCTCACGTGGGTTGAAACAGCAATGCATATCAACTACTCAGGAGATTTTCCCGAGCTTTTGGAAAATGTCACCTCGATGCTTTTCATGCCATTCAAGCGAGAGTATGAGTTCGACGAGCTGCCAAGCAAGGAACTAGAAGTTTTCCGACAGCGATGTCAGACTTTCTTCGCTAAACGAGTCATATAGACTTTGTGTCCTCGTCTAAAGACGGGAGTAGCCTACCTATTCTCCTCCCCTAGTTAGCCTCACTACTAATCTATCTACCACTGTTACCCTTCTGGATATCTAGATTTTGATTAAGTTTCGGTCATCGAGCTGTTCACTTGGCTTGAGGAGAAGACTGTCGAGAGAAAGGTGGTTAATATCGAGGCCCCTTAGTCACATGTAACCCACGGATCATCGGCGTAAAACTATAAACTATGATGAAAATTAGGGAAAATAGGGGGACAAATATGATTGATCAAACCTCATGGTTAGTCATCTTCTGCTGGTAGGTGTTCACTAACCAACTAGAACTATAATTATGCTTTGAACAACGACATGTAGTTCGTTTCACTTGGAGTGTTTGTTAGAAAATGTCTAACACCGTACGTTGGCTCCACTTCCGGAGCCACCCGAACTCGTCAACTGTTCCAAACAATACTTTAATATGGAGAATTACAGTTGGCTAAGAGGCTACCTAGTTCAATCGCTGTTGCTACTAAACCGGATATCTCCAAGGCATCGTTTATCTGAGTTCAAGTATTCGCGCGGCGAAGGAAATCTCAAGCAATTATGCCCTTCCCTGTTGATTTAAATCAACAGAACTGATCAACGTCTCAGGTTGCTAAGAACCCCCAAAATAACTAGTTCTGACTAGTTCTGGTTCAGAAATAGAAATTAGTTTTAGCTTAATTTACATGCCGCGGAATAGCAAGTAAGAGGATCTATTATTAATCCTAATGATCACTCTCGCTTTCACTCCACGTACTCCCACCAGCTCATCCATTCACCGTCAAGACCGTGCGGCTTCATGGTCATGAAAACAGACACTTGGGTTTGAATCAAGCCATTCTCTGGATTTACGCGCACATCATGTAGACGATGGGCCTCGGCAGGAATTCTTTTATCAACCGGCAGAGAAGCAACCGGGGCTTCTTCGATTTCCACGACTCTCTGTAAAATCCGACAGTAAAGTTGCGCATCCCAAATACCTTCTTGTTTGGAATAACGAGAGAGCGTGGAAATTGCTTTACGTCGAAGCAAAGGAAAGCGGCACTTAGTCACAGTCCAATAAAGCATTGGTAGAAGCTCGGTATCCAAACAGAAGGACTTCGAGCCTGGGTGTTCGGGGTTGGTCTCCTCACTGAGACGAACTACTTGCTCTGCTGCATGAAAGACTGCCTCAAAGTGCGACAGATAGTTGTCATAGGCTAATTGCTCGCGGGAGCTAATGCAGGGAATCCACACCATCCCCGTGTGGTACTCGATTTGTAGGATCCAGGGGGCACGCGGATCGAGAATTCCGACCTCCTTGGTTGGCTTTTTCATCATCTCCGTGAATGCCATGTACCACATTTCGGTCTCTCGCAGGAGCGTTCTTTGCTCCTCTTCATGTTTCAGAAGTCTTGACTCGGGAGAATTTTCTCCACTCATTCGAATGGTGGCACTGAGGAGTATCGACCGTTGCATGAGATTCGCCATCACCTCGCGAGCTTGTGCGATGTTGTCGAATGTCAACAGTCTCTCATGAGATTTGACACCAAGCTTCTGCAGACTTATATTCAAGGGTATCAAGGGCCGGCCAAAGTATGGAAGCTGAATGTTGAGTCGGTATAACACCTGGAACAACTCGCGATCCACGCTACTATTCCCCATGGAGGTTTGGGCTTGCCTTTGACTTGAAAGGATCTTCATCCCGCCCTCAAGATGATCAAGTGCCCGCCTTTCATTCCCGTGGAGCATTTCGAGACCAGAAAAGAGCAAACATGTCACTAGTAATACAGTAAAGCAAGGGCCTTGGGCTTTTGATAGCAGGAGCCGCAAGCTCTGAATTGCCTTGCTGTACTGTTCTAAAACAAAGACCTCATGAGACTTTTGGAGTGCTCGAGACGAGGATGGACGCTTAGCATGAGCCGCACTGAGCGCAACGACAGCATGTCGAACCGTAGGCTCATGATGGCTAAGTTGCGGTAGCAGGCGACACCATAAGTCAGACGTGGAGTACCCAGAAAGCATGCGTGCAGTCTTTGTGCAGAATATATGCACGAACTCACGCTCTTCCATGGTCCCGGGTAGTACCTTGAGGCAGTTGTCTGCGCTGAGCGACCAGCGAGGGCCGTGGTAGACCTGGTTGCGGTTTTCATGACGTTCTATCGGAAGATTTATTTTGTATTTGCATTCGCGATTTGATTTCATACAGTTCTTGCAGTTAGGCTTCTCTTCGCCGCATTTCACATGTCGTGCCCTGTAAGAAGTCAGCGTTGGCTGCACACATTCTCCTCAAGGAAAAGAATTTACCTGCAAGTCACGCAGCCTGACCGAGATCTGCGCTGGGTAGAATTTCGCTGCCGGGGTAGTAGTGTTGATAGGCGAGCATTGTTTTGATGGGTGTCACTACCCATTCACGCGATCTTCTTTTCTTGCGAGGACTTGTCAACGGGCCTGGCTAGTATTCCACTGGACTTTGGAAGCCTCGATATGCTCCTCACAGGAAACTATTTTTCTTCCGATTTCTGTCAATTGCCATCTAGTAACAATCGCCCGCTACTGTGTAGAAATTAGCCAAGCATTCCTGTCATCAAGGCTGTGCATCATGGTCGTTCTGGCTAAAATGGAGGGTCATGTGACCCCAGGCATGGCCTGTAAGACTGTAACACTAAGCATTGGATGACTTAGTGCTTCTTGGTCCGGTACAGGGAAGATAATTTGGGGCTTAAAGCAGATCTATGTACAATTTCTGATCACGTATTCTGTTAACATCATCACCCGGTGCGTAAGTGTAGAACCCAAGTCTGTTCACAGTCAAAATGCCCCGCATCGTCTAATAGTAGTAGTAGCCGCGCTGATAATACATATTTCATGTCAGAACCTAAGCCCTGGTGATCTGGAGATCCATTGCTGATCTTGAACTACTGGCCAATCATGATCAAACATAATGTTCCTCTGGTCAAATTTGAGTACATACTTATGCCCGTGCTGGTTCTTGGATGGCAATTCATCGCTAGGTCACATGACTTGACCGACGTCGACAAATAGCACGAGTTGGATACCCATGTGAACTAATGCAAGTTCAAATTACCGACAATTCATCTTTGACCAAGAATAGTTGGCCATTGGAAGGCATTAAGGATAGTTCAATTCTTCGTGGTTGTCTTGCAGACTGACCGTACTGATGGCGTGCAGTAAGCGGACACCGCCAAGGGCGGAAATTCTGCTGCCTTCTAGCCCAATTCCCCTCTCCACGTTATCTTATCGTCGTCTTTACTCTTACGACCGTTGGAGTGTCGCTCAACTCGCGCTGACTATGGAGGGCCTGCGTTGACTATCGCCCATTTCGTGATCCTCGACGATCCTTGCCTGCTAGCTGATTAGACTCTGTGGCTTTTCCCGATCGACGGTCTACAGAGAGAGGCCTTCTACACCTCTAGCCTCTCGCGCAATGGACCAGGAAGAGGCTCCACCGCCTTACTCGGCCGTTGACCCGTTGCTGGCGCCTGCGAATAGTCGCAATAATGGCAGCGGCTCGGCCCCTCTGCGTGGGAATGTTTCAGCATCTCAGGATCCCAGTAGCTCGACCGCTAGCCAGTCCAGCACACCGTCGACCCCGGCTGTCGTGCCCACTCACTTCACCTCCGCGGTGACCTATTTCGAGGAGCGACCACCAACGAGCTTGGACGAGAGCCGTGATCTCTTGTATCATCATATGACGATATACCCGCGTAGCTCAGCCAAAGATTTTCCTCGACGACCTCGATGCTGGACTTCAAGTGTGGACGATGTTGCCCAGCAGGACTGGGATACCTTCCTGCGGTATCTATTTCCACCGCAATTAGGCTTGGCTGCTGCCTCGCAGCACCTCCCCCGGCAGCTGCGCGCTGAGATCCAGCGAGATCGCAAGGATCGACCGCAAGAAACAGATGAGCAGCGACAAGCCCGGATCGCCGCTGTGGTGGACGAATGGAATCAATGCTTTTTTGAGCCACGCGCAGCTCGGATCGACTTTGTGTATGTTGGTGAATCCGATGCAGCGCCTTCGTCCGCGCTTTGCCCTCGGTGCTACCCAGCTGCCACCAGAGCAACACAAAGTCCCAGCGCTGCGGGGGTTCTGGATAGCCAGCATGCGACAAATGCGAATGCGCCGTCACCCTTAACAGGGCAGCATGCACCGTCGCCAGCTGGCTGGCCGGTCCCTCCACACCAACTTTATTCTTACCCACCGGTGCCGGGTCATTTTGGACCATATGGAGCAATTCCTCCATTCCCGGGGCACGGTGCACTTCCCAACAATCAACCTCCTCAATACTATCCCCCTCCACCACCACCGCCTCCGGGTGTTCCGCCCTGGCAATGGAACAACTGGGCTTATACTCAGCCACAATTCGGAAATTCCGGCACTCAGAAGACCGGCGGTGCGCTTGGATGGATCTCTTCGCTTACATCACAGGCGCAAAAATACGGAGAACGGTTTGCCGAACAGGCTCAGCATTATGGGGATCAAATCAGTTCACATGCCATGAATTATGGTCGACAGGTTGAGGAACAAGCGCTGGCGCATGGACGATGGATTGAGGAGCAGGCCCGACTTCATGGGAGCAAGCAAGGTGTACAGCCATCTGCCCCGTACACTTACCAGGGGCCTTCATGGAATCCGAGCCAGACCACCGGCCCCACGCAGAGCACGCCAACACCTCCTCCAAACGACCCAAGCCCTCCCGCGCGGGCTGACAACGAAAACCAACCCTCAAATCAAGCATCAAACCAGACAAACCAAGACACAACCTTGAATCAGAATCGTGACCAGTCCGAGGGTCAAACCAAGGCCGGCAACAAAGACCCCCTCATTGATCGATCCCGTCGTGCCTCCATCAGCTCCATTTCTTCCGAATCTTCACTCAGCTCCATTGACACTCTCTCGACAACTTCCGATCTCAGCCCCTCAGATCTAGCGACCGTTCGTACGCAGCTACAGAACTTACACGATAGGCACGACCGCACATTATATGATGCGGCCGTCGACCTCCGTCGGCAGCTAGACGTCCTGCAAGAATCTCGTCGCGAAGCGAGGGCGTCTGGCCGTCAGAATTGGCGCAATGGGCGGTTCCAGCAGCAGCCCAACAGTGCAGACAGTAGTGATTGGGGTCGGTGGGAATCGCCCGAACAACAGGAACGCCAAACAAATGAGCGTCGCGCCATGAAAGAAGAGATGCGGGCTACCAAGCAAGCATTCCGAGATATCGTGCGACGCGCACGCAATGAACAGCGTGATAGGAAGCGCGCGAAATGGAATCGTCGACGTAAGGCCCTAGCGAGTGCAGAGAACAAAGCGAAAGATAAAACCTCGCTGGACGGCCGCATGGGCAATTTGGCACTTGGAGATGGAGATACCCCGAATCCTCGTCCAGTCCGTTCTCAGACCGCACCTGTATCCTCCCCAGGTCCCCAACGAAGTGTACCCGTGCGGTCCAATGCAAGCTCGGATCTTAGTGCGCAAGGAACAGCGAACCCACTGTCCACTGCGTCGCAGTCCAGTGTGAATGAGGTCCCATCTGAGCTTTCGGGTAGGAAGGCCAGGCCGCAGGATCGCTTTAAAGAAATGCTGAAGTCGCGGAGTGCGAAGAAGCAGCAGAAGTCCAACTCGGATTCGAAAGATGGAAAGGATGCAAAGCAGGATGGCAGTGGCATTTAAGCCTTTTGTTTGATGAAATTTCCCTTTCTGTGTGTATATATTGAAGTATTCGGTGGATGTCACGTTTTGCGAGAGTTCAAGTCTCTTCGAATGAGCTAGGATCAATGAATTTACGAGTTCACGGCAAACAGATTGGTATAGTCTTTACGTAGCCATACAACTGCCACATCAACCAAGGACGAAAAGAAAAGAAAAGAAAAGAAAAGAAAAGGATAGAGCCTTCCTCACCAATGGATCGAACCACCAACTTTTCGTTCCCTATATACCTCGCCATGATGCTCCATCACCACCCCACGATGCTGGAGTACATCACCAAGAGCAACCCGATCCCAGGCTCGATATACAATACATCCTCTACACCCTCACAATATTATTAGAAAGGTGCATTTATAGAATTAAATAATGACTATAATCAAGTATCTTTATAATATATATTTTATTCAAAAAAATAGAAAAAAAGATCTTTATCCGCGAGGAGGTGCTGCCACCACCTCGCATGCCCACCCGCCCACTCTCCCCGCCTAGGGATGTGTCCGACCATCCGTGGAGTTATACTCAACACTGGAGGCCGTACCTATTCCTATCACATGTTTGCCCTTTTCAGGGCACACCCAAAGGTCAATAGACCACTAGGCCATATGAGGGGGGAGAGTGACTGGAATACCAATACTGGGATTATATCCCACAAAAAACTTATGATGCTGGATATGAGAATTCAACCAGGATATTTTGCACATTCATCATCATGTACATCCACTTTGATGATTTCATAGATCAGTCCATTCCTCGAGGACATTCATGCCAGGCCACACCCACACAAGCTTTTCGATCATAGTCTCTATCATACACAATAGATAGCAAACCCCAAGCTCATGACTGCTGACTCTCATTCCTCTCGACCAACTCCCCAACTCCCAACCCACGACCAACCTTAACCTTGACCATCTTCTCACCCTCCTTGCCATCCTCCTTCTTGCCCAATTCGCCAACCTCATCGCCCTCGTCGGCATTCTCATCATCACCCTTCCCATCGGCCTTTTCATTCTCCCGGTCCTTCTTCTCAATCGCCTTCCAATCCAACCACAGCTTCTGCAGGTCCAGGCGCATGGCATAAGCATCCTCGCCGTCGGCATAGTACTTGCTCTCAATCTTCTCGACCTCGAAGCCCAGGGTATCGCGGTACAAACGCAGAGCGGCGGTGTTGGACATACGCACGTGCAGGGAGACATAGCTGGCACGGTGGGACTCGGCCATTGCGCGCTCTAATGCAAATAATCAGTAACCAGATATTCAATTCAAGCATCTGAAATATGCACAGCGAAGCGCAACACCCAGACCGCGTCTAAAAAAGAAAGGGACTCGGAAAAAAAAAAAAAAGAAAAAAGAAACTCACGACTCATCCGCATCAAGCGCTCCGCAATTCCCAACCTCCGATGCGTGCGCATCACGCTCAAACTCGTAATATGACCATGCTGCACACCATCCGTCGGCTCCTCCTCCATCTTCGCCAAAACATACCCCACAACCTTCGGATACTGGCCGGAGATATCTCCCGCGACGCCGGGGCCAGAACCGCCGCTCTTATACCCGTTCTTGGGCCGGACAACGGCGACGAAGCTCAGTTGCGGCCATGTCAGGGCGTGGTAGAGGTAGTATTTCAGGAAGTAGTTTTCGGGGAGGTTGGTGATGTTGCAGGTTTGGATGGAGGGGAGCAGGTCGATGTAGGAGGGGTAGGAGGAGAGGGGGACGATGTCGACCATTTTGGCGGGTTGTGGTGGATTGGTCCACGTTTGGAGGGTCCTCTAGGAGTCGGGTTTGGAGGGAGAGGTGGAATTGAGGCTGGAGAGGTGGGCAGCGTAGGTGTTGGATTGGGAGCGTGCTGGAGGCTTTTGGTTTCGGTGGTCTTGCGATGACCCGCGGGATATGCGGTCATGTGATTGGTAGGTGTGGGGCTGAGGGTGTAGAGAACTAAGTAGACGGTTGGGTGGGCATACTTAATCTGATTCACTTTGTTCTCGCAGAACAGAGCTGTCCGATGGTGGGTCAATATGTATTCTGATGTATATGGTTTGCTTCAAATAGCTTCAGAGCTACGATTCTATGCAAATCCATTCATGAAAAGTACATTCACTAAGATACGTATTGCTCCTAGCCGCCTGAGATAAGGCAGATGGGTAAAAATTGACCCGAAGGGTTGACCTATCGATGCTCATGCCCCCGGCCTATTATGTAGCTAAATTAATTGCGCGTGTTGAGGGCCGCTCCGACAGTTTATGCCATGACAAAGTGATAGAGAAGGGCTGTACCTTAAAGATCCATTAACAAGGATCATCGGCCCCCGAAGGAAGTTTCTATCGTTCCAAGACATCTTCAAACTCGATAGACGTAAATCGTCTAGATCAATAGATTGCTCGATGTTATTTATTGCATCGTGGTAGTACCTCCCCAGGCCATTGCGAGTATAGCTCACGTGTATAATACAGAACCAAGAATTCAAGTCGTGATGTATCGTCATATAGAGAACTCTATAGCTGGTATGTAGTCCCAGTTTATTGAAAAGGATGCATCTCCCTGTGAAACGGACTGAGACTGCTGTCTCACCTGTGTAAGAATACCAAATTACTCGATAGAAGGGATGACTTGAGCTATGATCAAGTAAGGACTATGCTTGTATTATATAGAGACATCTCAGTACTGGTATGGTTAAATTTTTCTATATATAGATCATGATTTTTTCATCCGGCTATGTATCTAAAATGATGGTCATAAGAAGAATATGAAGACTGGGCACGCTGTGAAACCTGGTACCAAGAACAGAAAAGACATGTCCAACCCAAATGGAACTGAATACACCAACATATGACAAACAATAACTCACAGACTCGACTGGCACATCACGTCGAGTCCACCATGATGGATATAGACAAAGGTCAACAATTAATCGCTAGTAATTGCGTGGGGCGCCTGGGGATCCACTGGAGTATCAGGGGAACTGGGTTGCACGGAGCTCTTCTCGCGCAGATCGATCCCCTGAGCCTTGAGTTGCTTACGGGCCTTGCGACCACCACAACAAGCTGCACAGCAGGAGCCGAGCTGGATGATGAATGCGAACAGGCTGAATCCCGAAGCAATCCACATAAACACTAGCATCTGCACGCCGACGTGCGCCTTGATGTTTAAATTGGGATCGGCATTGGCGAAGACGTTGGCAAAAATGATGAACATGACCGTTGCGACGGCTGAGGCGACGATAGTCACTAGTGCAGTGAAGAAGGATAGAATGAGGAAGGGGAATGCGCGTAGGAAGACAAAGGTGCGGCGTCGGTGGGGTGGTTTTCCCGAGGGTGTAACCTGGCCGCCCGAGACCCAAGACTTGATGGACTGTGGAGGTCGTGAGGAGACAGCGAAGGGGCTGAGGAAGATCATGATGAAGTTTAAGACTGCCGCAGCAATGAAGAGGCCAAACATCCAATGCGATGCAACTTTGGCAAGGTGTAGAGGCTCTTGGATATCGCTGGGCAGGGCAACTGTTGGAAGAGGGCATGGTTAGCTTGGATTGAACATTATAGTTGGTGTAAAATAGACAGAAATAAACATACTACTTGCGCCGGCCAAGAGCTCATTGACAATAATGTCGACCGGGTTGAAAGCATACAGCGTCTTCGGTTTCGAGCAGTTGGTTATCCCCTCATCATTGTAGCCCTCGCAGAACCCCCAAAGCCCGACTTGGTAGAAATCGTGCAAGCCAATTGACCGAGCAATGGAATTGATCAGGACTGCATTGGGTACGGACAAAGGAATAATATTGGAAAGGTCGAGGTAGAGGAAGTATGTACTGCGCAGGACTGGCTTGTTGGCCACATTGCCAATTCCCACCAGCACAACAAAGATCCAGGCGATTAGGTAAAGCAGAGAGCGGACGGCGCGGTGCCAATGAACGGTAGACTGGCGCCGATGAGCCACGGGCCGGTCTGGTGAGGTGCGACGGAAGAGAGGGAGGTGCCGCTTGCCCTTGACGGGAGCATCCGTCCCGTCGGCCATATTGAGTCGACTGAAGAAGACGGTGCGATGATGAGGATGGAAGGAGAAGAATGAGAGGAGGGCAGAGGAGAGTCCGCGGTCGGTCAGGATAGTGGGAAAGGCGCGGTGGCAGTGAGAAAATGACGTTTAGGCATCCATAAATTTGGGAGGCAAAGAAGGTAATGCGAAAAGCCACAGGAACGAGAGTCTGGGCGGGGGATATTTTTAACTGCCATTTGCAGAGGGCCAGAGAAGAGGGCCCAGGTCGATCTGTGATCCGCAGCGGTAGTTGCCCGTACGAGTACGGCGTCGAGATCCACCAAATAATAACAATAATGCAGTGATAATCCCTGAGCCCAAAGCTCCCCGGTCGGATCGTCAGTGGCTTGTCGCTAGTCTGCTCCATAAGTACAGCGGCAGATTGCGGCCACCGATCGGATACCGATTGTCAAAGGCAGAATATCTGGTAGAATCCTGAAATTGACCCACTACAGTACCTACTCCGGCAGACTCTTGAATGTCCTGATTTTCGAAGCCAGTCAAAGAACTACTGTAAAATAAGTACTGAACTGTACTACTGTAGGGCATCGAATTCCGCCTCCGTAAGCTAATGCGCTTATCTTACGTGGATCACCGAATTGGTTGACACTAGTATCATTTAATCTCGACACTACTTGGGCTTATTTGTTAGGGCGGATTCTGGATGAAATGAGATATTTGATAACTAACAATCTAGTCTATAAGTCATCTACGACAAATAAACAGTAAACCTACAATAGATTCGTGCATTGGATGGGCACAGTGTTAGGGCGGTCAAATAGATGTCCAATGGACGGATTTCCCATCGGTGGCCGCAATCCGCTGCCGTACATCAGCCACGGCGATCATGCAAGCCGGTTGCCGACCGGAGGCTATTTGCACCTGCTGCAACGACGTTGACATCGACATTTACGTAGTACTACTTCTGTACAGTAGAAGAACCCCCCAAAGAGATCAATCGTTTTCTAACGACGTCAGTCACGCCGAGTCCGAGTAAAGTATTATTGGAGTACCTTGGGCACCATTCACAAGGACCAACCCCAGAATAAAAGCTCCAAGGGGTGAGTGTCTCATTGCACCCTGGTGGTGGAGATCCGCACGTCCCGTATCAATTGGCCCATCGCCCAGTCACTGTTGCTGGCAACGTCATCTAGCGCTGCGCCTGTCCCCACCAGACCCTGGTTGGACCAAAAATTGGAGACTCGGTGGTTCTGGTTCCGCTGATAGTCCCAGCTTGTGGTGCTGGTATTTGTTGCAAGTTGCTGCCAGGTCTGGGCGGACCATGACTCGGGACTTCTCGCCAGGCAGAGACAAAAAAAAAACAGCATCCATTGCAGCCCTCCCACTTGGGACCTTACTCGCTTTTTTCTCTCTAAATCACTTGTCAACACAGCTCCTTCCTCCTCCGTCCTCTCAGGGTACACACACGCGACACCTTTCACCATGAGGTTGTCATCTCTCGTGCTGGCCCTCCTCGCAGGAGTGGCTGCGGCCGACACTACGACCTCCGAGTCATCTACTTCCAGCAAATCCGATTCTTCGACGGCCTTGGATTTATCGACCGCATCCACAGTGACCAACCCGTCCACCGTGGCCGTGCCATCCGGCAATTATATCACCTATAGCACCACAATCACCCTCGACAATGGCAACTCCTCGGTCTTGGTATCCACGACGACCGCTCCCAATGCGACAACGACCAGTTCGGGCAACCAGACAATTGTGACCACCACATCCGACTCCCTGACAATTCTGATGGGCGGCGGCCATACAACGACCCTTGGCAATGGGACCATGAATGCGACGGCCACCGCGTCGTCCACCTCCACCCAGACACCGGTCGTTAACACTCGCCCGTGCAACAACTATGCCGAGTTCTGCGCGCGCAACTACTCCAATATCACCATGGTCGCAGCCCATAACAGCCCGTTCGTGCGTAAAGGAAATGCGGCCGCAAACCAGGCGCTGGACGTGACGGCCCAACTCGACGATGGCATTCGAATGCGTAAGAAACCCTCGCAGAACAAACCCCTCCATTATTAGAAACATCCTCCACCTAACATCCACGCAGTTCAATTCCAAACTCACTACCAAAATGGCACCATGATGCTCTGCCACACTTCCTGCGATATCATCAATGTCGGGACTCTCGAGGCCTACCTCACCACAGTCGCCCAATGGATGCGCAAAAACCCCTACGACGTAGTCACCATCCTCATCGGCAACTATGACTACGTCTCTCCACAAAACTTCACCGAGCCCATCATGAACTCGGGTCTATATGACATGGCCTACACCCCATCCAAGATCCCCATGGGTCTGGACGATTGGCCCACGCTGTCGGAAATGATTCTGACCGGCAAGCGCGCCGTCTTCTTCATGGACTACCAGGCCAACCAGACAGCCATCCCGTGGCTGATGGACGAATTCTCGCAGATGTGGGAGACGCCCTTCTCGCCGACAGACGCCAATTTCCCTTGCACGGAGCAGCGCCCTCCTAATCTGTCCACCCAGGATGCTAAGAGTCGCATGTACATGGCTAACCACAACCTCAATCTGGAGCTTAATCTGGGCTCTTTCAGCCTGTTGATTCCCAACTCCGCTGTTCTCAACCAGACCAATGCCGTAAACGGTAATGGGAGTCTGGGGTGGATGGCACACAATTGTACCCGTAAGTGTCCCTTCTACCCATCATCGTCGCCCTGACCTGGACTTACTAACGCTGCCATCAGGTGACTGGGACCGCCCACCTAACTTCCTGCTGGTCGACTACTACAACTACGGCAACTTCAACGGCTCCGTCTTCGAAGTCGCCGCTGAGATGAACAACGTGACATACAACCGTACATGCTGCGGTCAAGAATCTGCCGCCGTGCCGGGCATATCGGTAACCAGCCTGTCGACAATGCTGGCTATCGCGGTCGGTGTCCAGTTCTTCCTATCTCAATTCTAGGCTCGTATGACCCTTACGACATGTTTTTTGTTTTCATTCTGTAAACTTCATCGTTTGGGCGGGATAGCTTGCTCATTGGCGCCGGTTCCTCTTTCCTCTAGGTATGTTGGAGTTTCGTGTAAATAGCTGATTTAGCCATGAATATCATTGCATATGCACTGAAACCCTGGATAGTTTTAATTTCAGATATCATTTCTTCATGCACAATTAAACTAGCTTTCGAATGATGTTACACTGTATAAATTGCCGGACTGGTTTGGATTGCACGTCAGTTAGTATTCGCCGAACCCTAGATCAAAGCTATTGCCCCTCCGCACTTTGAGCGCTCTCAAGATCCAAGTTCGAGTGAAGCAGACGCTGCAGAGACTACGGGCTGTCCGATTTAAGGAGCACCAAGCTGGAGTTCTGTGTGTTATGTTGGGGGTACAGATATTCATCCAGTTACAAATTCGCACGGTCTTCATAATTTGATTTTGCCTATTTCATGGGGTCTGTTACGTCTGGAATACTCTTATGCTTTAGTATGAACTTAGTGCTTGGGGCGTTATCTAGGGCTGGAACGGTCTTGGAGAATGATCCTCGGTGATTGCTTCCGCGTCGATTGGATATTTCCCGATGACACTCTCCGGATATGGATTGATGAAGCATGCCTTGTACTGAAATGTTCAAATTTCTGTGATGCCAACTTACAAATCGTGAATTGCGAGGGATGCTAAGTCATTAGGCATAGGAACGTAGAGGTGCAATTTTGAACTCGCTGGTACGGCAACTTGACGGCCTCGCAACGTTTGGTTCTGGCCTATGCATCAATGTTGACCGGGAAGCGAAAGCGACTGAGCAATACAAAACAAGCGCCCCAGAAGTGGGCATAATGAGACGTCGACTATGGAACGTAGGTTTCGAGCGGACTCTAACGGATGGATTGATGAGAGGTAGTAGTGGATATTGACATGATGAAGTGGCCTCTTCAGAGGGGTATTATTTGAATAGAGCTCGGTTTGTTCACGGTTCCTGAAGAATAAGGCAGGTGGAATCCATGGTTCGACATACCAGGGGCTGGGGTTAGGAGTTTAAATCCACGTGGCGGGCGGCATTCTTAACCAAGGATATGACAACGAAGTGGCTACATGATTAATAAGGAACATCTGCCCGGACGAGAGAAGACTGCGCATGAGATTTCTTATCTATACAAATCAGTTGCCGTTAGTGGTACAAAGTAGATAACCAATACCCTAGGCCTTCATTATCCTGATAGCAATTCCCGAGGCCTCCTACAGGCAACGCATCATTTTCGCTAATTGGCATAACCTCAAGCCTGCATAGCTCCACCGTGTAGCATATAATGGGATTAAATTTGGAAAAGCATGAGAACTCTTCTTTACGAATATTTTGAGTGTTGACTTGGTCATCTGTTAAGACATGTTTCCAGTGATCCTTCAGTGCTAGGCGCCATTTTGGAGGAGGACTTAATCCCCTCTTTGGCTATCACATCTAAAGTGATAACTTGAACTACACTCGGGAACTTAGGAATTGTAACTATGGCGTGTCAATGAACGATAATACCCACCGTACATGGCATTCGCCTTCCGAAACAGGAAAGTGGTTAGTGTGAAGGTACACACCCGTACGTATAAAAAGTGTTGGGGTGGAGCTTGAGTACACAATCCCGAAGAAAGAAACAAAGAATCCGAAGCTAGACACCGTGATTACAACCTACAGAGGAGCCAATATGGTCAAGGACAAAAGAAGAGCGAAATTCGAAATCGCTCCACAATTGTGACTAAGTCGGGAGATGTTTTTTTACTGGTTCCTATTTTCATCCCTAGAATGGAGATTGATAGTTCATATCGGCCTCAATTCTAGCTGAAATACCCTGATATACTGGGTCGCAGGTGATGGACGGAATTATGAGATTTGATGATAGCGCTGAGGTTGGAGGTGAGATCAATGCTGGGTTATTATCTCTTATCGTTGGCAGAGAAAAGGTGAAATAGTTTACCCCATTGTAATGGCAGCATAGTGTCTACACATTCACCTTTAGACGACTCGATATTGATGACTTGGAACACGGCCGGATCCATTGCTTGCGCTTGCCAGGAATGCATAGCTATGTACGTTCAGCTATGATGCCCTCCCTCCCAACGCACCACGGCGATTCTTTGCGAAACACCCTTCCCCTCCCCCTCCCTCCACTCTTGTCTCCCCCATTCTCAACCCACCTCAAAGCACCCTCTTACTCCGGCGTCTAGCCGCGGGCGAGAGCCTCCTCCAGCATCTGGGCGAACTCCTCGTCTGTGATGCTGTACGGAGGAGACGTGTCACCTTTGGCCTCGACGACGCCAGAAGAAGAGGGTGCACCGGAGAGTGGGGTCAACGGTCCCCCCCAGGGCCCAACGAACGTGCTAGATAGAAAAACCAGGTCAACAGGACAAGAACAGAACAGACGATTACGGCGAACCGGACGAAAGTACCTTCTGTGCCTGCACGTGGCTGTAGGCTTCGCCGGATGTGGTGGCGACGAATTCCTTGCCGAGCTCTCGCTTGCGCTTGCGAGAGTTGAGATTCTTGCAGATGGGATCTGCAACTGCGCTGTCCGCGACGCTGCTGTTGCTCTCATGGAGCCAGTCCAGCTTCTTCTTGCGGAAACGGCGGCGGAACTCGATCAACGGGCTGGAATCCTGGGTCAGCGGAGTTGGAGATGGGGCGTTGGATCCTTGGGGGCTCACATCTGTGTCTGAATCGCCGGTCAGGTCGATGACCACGATATCCTTGGGAGGCACAGGCAGAGCGGAAACGGTAGCCACCGGGGTGGCGGCGGTGACATTGGCGGAAGGCATCTCGTAGGCGATGCCGGCGTGTTGGTGGGTGCAGGCCGCTTGGTCAGAGGAGTTTGGCGGCAGGTAGCCACCGCGGCCAGAGAAGGTGGAATTGGCGTAGTTGGTGGTCATTGTAGTTGGCTCACCAGGTGGAGATTGGGCGGAGAGAGGGATTGGAAGATCGGGTGGAAGATCTTCGTAGTGGTGGCTTGTTGGAAGATCTTCCAAGTGACTTGGTAGAAGATCTGTGGGTTGATCTTCGTAAAGAGCAGGTTGTGAACAGGTATCTGAGCCAGCAGATTGCACACGGCGTGGGGTGGGAGTTTTGAAGTTGTTCGTGGGAGAAGAGGTGGAAAAGGGAGGTGCTGGGGATGGGACAGAAGGATTTATACCCGAAGGGTCAGTGGGTGGTCGTACGTAGGCAGCGTTCGGTGCGTTGGACGTCTGAGGCAACTGCTCATAGCTGCCTTGGTGATTGTCCTGTGGTGGGGTGAAGGCTGCCTCCACTGCGGAGGGTGGGTGACATGTGATAGCCTGAAGCTGTTGATAGTCCCGAATCAGGCAATTGTGTGTGGTCGCCACGGCGGTGTATCTGTCTTTCCACTCCTGGACTTCTATCTTCAGCTGGTCCACCCGATATCGATGGTTTGAGACCATGCGACGTGACTTCAGGAGTTCTGTCTCCAATTTCCGGATCCCCAAAAGACCAGTCTCAGGGTCTACCTGCTCGTACTTGAGCAAGGCATCGCGATACTTGTTGCGCTCGGCCATGACAACATCGAGGCGACGCCTGGAGCTGTCAAGGCGACTCCGAAGGACTTCACTGGAGTCTGTCCCTCTTCCAATCATGCAGTGTAGATTAGGTGCAGATGGATAATACCCAACGAGGGCATAAGGCGAGATGTGTTGGGAACTCGACTTGCCTTGAGTAAAAGCCTCGACAGCCGCGAGGCGAGATAGGCTCTCTGAGTTGAGGGTAACCTTGCCCTTTATCGTAGAGATAAAAGTAGGAGCTTGACGTGATGAGAGGAGTGCATGGGATGGGATCGATGGAATGGAAGCTTGACTGCCGGGGTGAATGTCGAGTGGCTGCGTAATTGTCTCTGTCGCTACTGAGGTGCATTGCTCCTCCTGGCTTTGTCTCTTGCTTGGGGAAATCTCGATATCTCCTCCAAAAGCCTCATCACTGGTGCGTTTCTTCGAGCCAGCAGTCTCATATACCTGGTGAACGAGCTTATCGAAGTCGGTGAATGGATCAAAGTCATCATCCATGCCGAACAGAGACGCTAGCTCATCCTCCTGAGAGTTGGGAGAGGACACGGCCAGCTGAAGCTGTGATCCGGGGGAGAGTGTAAGCCCCAGATCATGATGTTCATCGCAGCTAAAATCCAGGGAGCTCAACTCACGGGTATCCATGATATTATCCATCTTGGGGTGAGACCAAAAAGCTGGCACTACTGCCTCACGGCTTGGTAGCAGAACGGTTGAAGAGTCTGGTGCTTGGTGGACTTGATCTTCACAGCATCAAGAATAGGTTCAAGGTGGTTGTGTGGGTAAAAGTGTGAAAGCGAGCAGTATGGGGGTTGTTGTAGGGAGAAAGAAGCTCATCGAGTTGGGTGGGTCTCTAGTTGTATTTCACATGCGTAGGGATCTTTTTTTTTGTTTACGTGCCTGGGGATTCTGCCTGGACATTTCTGACCGCCCTGCGCTTTCGATCCTGTCTTCCTTCAACCATCTCACCGCCCTGTCTACCGCCTTCCAAACCAGGCTACATCCTCAAACCATCCCATCTCACCGCCTTGGGATCCCAAGGCTGGTCACCGCTTTCCAGATCACGTGATCACAATGTCAAACACGGCAAATTCAGGCAAAAAGACGCGGAACCTCCCCCAGGTCGAGGAGAACTACTTCCCGCCGGCCACTCCCCCTCCTCCTGCTGCTCCTGCTCCCCGACCTGTGTTTATCAAGTCCAGTCCGATTGACATCCCTGGAGCAAAGGCTCATCAAGCTGCTCAGAGGGCTCAAGAGGTCATCATCGAGAATACCCCCCAAGTCGTTCTGATTCCGATTACTACCTTTATCCTGGTCGTCTTCCCTCGCGGCCCTTGGACACTACTAAAATCATCTACTCCCTCGCCGCGCTCGCAGCCACTGCACCTGCCCCGATCTCTCGACCTGTGACTCCTGAAATTCCCGAAGATCCCATTAAAGATCTTTTTGCAAAAGAACTCCCACAGGGCCCACAACCGTTCTGTGGCGTCATGAGCGTCCTCCTTACTACGGGTAAGTGGAACCGCATCCAGCGGACTTGACATCCCCGCATTCCCTGCTGAATATTTGCTAAAAAGAAATGAATACACAGCGGGGTATGATCATACCATCCGGTGAGTTACTTTCCCCTCTGCGTACAAGCTGCGATCTTGTTTAATGACACGGTATCTGCTTGGACCGGGAGCTAATTCGAGTTCGGTCAAAATAGCTTCTGGGAGGCCCTGTCTGGCATTTGCTCCCGCACTATTCAGCACCCGGACTCGCAGGTCAATCGACTCTGCATCACCCCTGACAAGAAGTACCTCGCCGTTGCGGGTCACCACAATGTCAAGCTGTTTGACGCCAAGTCGAGCAACCCCAATCCCTTGATGACTTTCGAGGGTCACTCCGGTAATGTCACTGGAGTCGCATTCCACTGTGAGGGCAAGTGGATGGTCACTAGTTCCGAGGACTGTTCCATCAAGGTCTGGGATGTCCGCAGCGGCAGCCTTCAGCGTGACTACAGACACGATTTCCCCGTCAATGACGTTGTCATCCATCCTAACCAGGCCGAGCTTATCAGTGGTGATCGTGGTGGCAATGTTCGTGTTTGGGACTTGGGTGAGAGCAAGTGCATTCACCAGCTGGAACCCGAAGAAAACAGCTCTGTTACGAGTGTCAGTGTCGCGACCGATGGATCGCTGCTGTGTGCTGGAAGCAAGAAGGTATGTTTACTACACTTCTTAATTCCCCCCCTTCCTCCCCCAAGATTCGAGGACTAATCAGCCTTTGTCTCCAGGGAAACGTCTACATTTGGCGCATGGTTCAGACCGAAGAAAAGGCATTGATGGTCCCCATCGCCACCTTCAATGCTCACATGGACTACCTCACTCGCGTCCTCCTATCGCCCGATGTCAAGCACCTGGCCACCTGCTCAGCCGACCACACCGCCAAGGTGTGGAACCTTGACCCCGAGTACCCGCCGGCCAAGACCGCCCTCAAGGAGTGGAAGGAGAAGCAGGAGAGGCAGGCGCAGGCGGGCTCTGCGGAGAACCAGGACGAGGCCGCCCCGGCTGATGCCCAGAGCGGGGGTAACGACCTCCTGCGCATCTTCGACCCGAACCGTCACCTGCTGCGCTTGACGGATAACGCGCCACGAGAGGAGACCACGCAGCAGACATTCGCTGCGCAGCCCGATGGTCCGCCCATGGACCCGGTCAACAACACCCTCTTCCTCGAGACCACCCTGGCTGGCCACCAGCGGTGGGTCTGGGACTGCGCCTTCTCGGCCGACTCGGCGTACTTGGTGACGGTGTCGAGCGACCATTACGCCCGTCTGTGGGAGCTCAGTACTGGCACTATCATCCGCCAGTACAGCGGCCACCACCGGGGCGCGGTGTGCGTCGCGCTTAACGACTACTCGGAGCCTCGCTGAGGAAGTCGTTTGTGTGATTTGCAGATTGTCCCTTTCCTCTCCTTTCTTTTTTTGCTTTTCTATTCTTATCGTTTTTGTTTCGCTGGCGTTTGGGGGGACATAGCGCGGCGTAGGTGGGCGGGCTTTCTTTGCATTTTTATCATAGCGACTGTGCCCGAGTCGCTCTTTATGAATTATGGAGCGCATGAGAGATACCATTTCACTAGTGATTTAGCTGCTGTATCTCTTACACATCAATATCAACACTCTCATGAAGCGATTAGACTCATCTCAAGTTAACCTTGAACTTTTGTCGATCTTCGGGTTCGATGTCCTCGATCGAGAACTGGGAGTTCCTGGCTCTGTCGTAGATATTTCGAGTTTACGAGCCCCCGTAGCAATCAACTCTACGTCGTCAGTTCCGTTAGACCATACAGGCAACCACTGGATATTCAAAACCTAATAGACGCAGCTTGTCGCTCAACAAAATCACATGAAAACGGTAAATCCAGTCTCAAAATACATCACAAAGGCAACTTGAAACGGACCGAACGTAACCACCGAATCGAATCTATATCGGAAAAGCCCTCCCAGTAAGGAATACAACGACTCCGTCAGGCATAATATCCAGCCCTCCGATATAGCGTTACCAAGCAATCCATAAAGCTTTGACGGCAAATAAATTCAGAGAAAAAGAACAATCCACTTAGTTCACAGCAAACCACGTAACGCTAACAACGACATCGAGTCCCCGCTCCTCCGCTCCGGGGTACTTGAACGTCCACATGCCGTCGCGGTTAACGTCCCAGAAAGCACCAGAGGCGGAGTGCATGCCACGCTTGCCGGCGTTGCTCTGTGTGCCGTCCGCAGCGGCGGTCTTGTCGATGACACCCTGTTGCACGATGGTGCTGTTCACGGTAAAGCGGTAGGGGGCGGGCTTGTTGGCCTCGGAGGGAGCGGTGGCGGCGATGAGAGCCTTCAGGACGGTGTTCTGGATTGTGGAGAGGGGAGTGTTAGAATGACGTGCGGGGATGGGTCTATAGGGGGGTGTTGCTTACGATGATCTGGGAGTTCCAGTTGCCGACGAGACCGTGCTCGTACTCGGTGGCATCCTTCAGGGCGGCATCGCAGGCCTAGTGGACAGTTCATGAGCATAGGTCCTGGCTGGGTAGCGTAGGGCTAGGTCGGCCTAGGTTGGGGTTCGACTTCAGCGCCAACGGGTGGGGAGACGGAACGTACATCAGAGGTGATCTTGGTCAGCTCCGAGATGGGGACTGGCTGTAGTTCAATGGATATTAGTGACGATCATTCATCGGACTAGAAGTATCCAAATCTAGCAACACAGCCATGGTTTGCGACACAACATTGGTTGGACATACGGGAACGGGAGCAGCCTCGACAGCCATTGTACGGGATTTGTGGTGAGGGGATTATTGATAGTCTGTCAATATGCAACTAGTCAGCATTGAAAAGCTTGGAGATATGTCTCGGTCAAGTGCGATCCCCATTCGAGGCCGATATCGCGGCCAGGACTTGCATCGGTGAAGCGCGTTCCGGAGATATTGCGGGGGTTTTGGAGGGTGGAATGCGGGCTTTGGAAGCGCCCAGGTTCAAGCCATGGCTGATACGAGCAGCACCGCACTCACAGATGATGGATTCTTCAGCAAAGGTCCTTGGTGTTAGGCAGAATGGGTAAATAGAGCGATTGGTAGACCGACTGATTGTTTTGGGGGAGTGGCATCATCGCGTGGGAGTAGCTGGCTCTGGTTGGTCCGGGTCCATTAGCGCGGTGATTAGTAAGATTGACCCTGCAGCGCGGTTATCGCGATAAAGCTTGTTGCTATTTGAGCGAATGCATGATCTTGGTCCCAGCTCCTTGTTCTTGCTCTTGCTCTTGACGAAATCATACGCTCCAAATTAACTATGACAAAATGGCCTAATCTATCCAGACTGTTACAGAGTATGATAGCCTCTAGTATGGATAAATTGCCCCCAACGGCATGAACAATGTACTCTACTCCAATAGAGGCGTATCTCACCCAGCCTATAGGTGCGCCTACCAAATAGGTAGTCCAATCCAAATGCAGATGACAAGGATCATTAATCCGAGTCCTTACGTGTTTGCGAAATCCCAAAGAGCAAACAAACTGTACTTCATTCCCACTGGCTCGTAGATGCATAAAGCTTATTCGCCACTACTCGGCAGCCAAATCTATGTACAAGTGTACTAGGTATGGCCTTTTGTATATACGCATCAGATGCAGATAACTCGGCAATATGGTCGAAGTTGTACTTTCACCAGGTTTTTCGCTGTATAAAGTGTTCAGCATATCGTCCTTCCTTCTGCACTAGCGTTAGATGGTAGCCAATCAGCACATGTACCAGTTGGAGCCCCCGGGTCTTGGCGAATTATGATACCCTTTTTGGACAACAGCCACCGAGATCTTTGCATTCAGATGACGCTTCCCAACAAGATTAATTTATAATGTGATAACCAAGCTCAGGATATTCGGGGTGTCATTCTAATTAACATTTGTCAGTATTTGTCAGAGCGTAATACTGCCATCTACCGTTCATGGCAGCTAGTCTCCACTGCTGGGGATAAATACCCGAGTCTTTCTCGCTGTAGATGCTGCAGAACATTGTATCGCACTTTTTCCCAAGTCGTTGACACTTTGCTTCTCTCTAAAAGATATTAGTCAAACTTATCAATATGGCCCCAAGTCTCCAAGTCACCCACATCGGCACCGCCACTGCGATCCTAGACATCAATGGCGTCAACTTCCTCACCGATCCCTTCTTTTCCCCGGCGGGCTCCTCGTGGTCCAATGGCCCTATTACTCTCACAGTATCCGATGATCCTGCCTTGAAACTCGACCAGTTGCCCGTGATTGATGCGGTGTTACTGAGCCACGAAGACCATTTCGATAACCTGGACGACCTTGGCCGCCAACTACTCAATGGCCGCCGCGTTTTTACCACTGTCGATGGTGCCAAGAATCTGGCTCCTCGCCCTGCAGTTCACGGTATGCAGCCTTGGGAAACAATCAACGCGACTATTGCCGGAAAGAAATTTCAAGTCATAGCCACCCCAACCCAGCACGTTCCGGGAATGGAATGTACCGGATTCATCGTGACCGGAGAAGACTTCGGTCATGGTCGAGACGGCCTGCCCAACGCAATCTACTTCACTGGCGATACAGTGTACATTGAGGAGCTTAAAGACATTGTCAATCGGTATCACGTCAAGGCGGCTGTGATGAATCTGGGCAATGCGCATGTGCCAAACTTTGCCGATCTGAGTGCGCCCCCAATTCAGGCCACAATGGACGGCAAGTCTGCGGCTCGACTTTTCCGCGAAATCAAAGCTGATGTTTTGATCCCAATGCATTACGAGTCTTGGGGACATTTCACTCAATTCGGGGCAGAGCTGCGGGGGGCCTTTGAGGAGGAGGGTATCAGTGACAAGATTTGTTGGCTGAAGCCTGGAGAGAAGGTCATAGTTTTCTAGATTCGGGGTTTGTATCTAAAAAGAGGAAAAATTGGAATATGACAAAGTGGCTTGGATTTTAGTGCAAATCTTCCCCAAACACTAGAAGCGGCGCAGATTGTAAGCCTTTCTGGACTAATTGGGTGACCACCCCCTTGACGAAGTTAATGCCGCTTTGATAGCGAGCCTCATCTGTCTTGAACCAAACATATGCAATCTGTGCCGGAAATAGCGTCGATACTGGCCCGAAGAGTTTCATCTGATCTTGGAGTAGATAACTCATGCTTGAACATATCAACAAGACAAGGCGATCAGCTTCGGCTTGAATGTCATCGTCGTTCAAGTCCACAGCCAGCTGATCATGTATTCCAGGGAAATTCGGAAAACGTAGCAAGATGTTTTGTATCTCTAGCAGACAAACAATTCGGAATGCCCAACCATGAGTCAATCCATTTGCGACGGAAATGCTAGGAAAGCATGTCGCGTTCGAAGAGACATGTGACATGTTGAAATTACCGAGTGTGAGGTCATGAACTGAAGAAGGGGTACGGGTCGTTGCAAGGCCCGAAGAAATCTCCCAGGTTGAAAGACGTTTTAAGACCTCAAGAAGGGACCGGATCGATTCACGCAAATCAAGTTCATTTTCGAAGCTGAATATTTCTGGAAGCATATCGATTTGCTGCAGAATCGACGGTATAGCTGCGGCCTGGCTGAATAATTCTTGGGTACGGGACGGCGCTGTCACCGAGAATGGGACGTCCAGCCAGGTCTCGGTGGCTAAGAATGTTGGTTGCCTATCGCGCACCGCCTCGGCGATCTAAGAAAGAAACAGAGGATTAGCTTCCATATAGTCTGGTTGGTCGACTCAGGAACTCACAATAAATGGGCGAAAGCCCAAGAAAAGCTGATGAGCTATCCCAGACTGCAAAGCTTTCGGGCCGTAACTCTGAAACAATGTTCCAATGGCCTGGAGATGCACCTTGAGCGCAGGCACAGAACTCGGGAGCATAAGCTAAAAAGTTAGCAAGAAACTACTGAAGTATACAAGAATTACATACTTCGACCAAAGCAAGACACATAATCGCAGGCATCAACTCAAAGGAGAGACCCTTAGCAGCAATCTGCCCACGCAAAGTATGAAGAGCATCATGGTAACTTTGCGGGGAATCCAAATCGCATTTACGTAATGGGTTCTGTCTTTGTGACCCTATCAAAGTTGCTAGTGCTCGAGTAGCTTTCGATAGCACCGAAGCATCGTAGGCCAGGCAGGGGAGCATGGGAAGTACTTCAACCCATGCGCCACATATTTGGGGTTCTTCGTGGCGATGACGACCAAGTGTATTGATTATCTCGGGTAGGTAACCATTTTTGACAAATCTTGCAATGTCGCTTGTAGGTGGGCGCCCATGGGGTCGGAAAGTCGACAGTGAAGCGGAACGGTCGATGAACTCCGTTTCCACCCGTTGGCGGCTCTTGGACGGAGTTCTATTAGAAGAGTCGAGGACTCTTTTGACCGTCTGATTGGTGTGCTTCGATTTGTTTTGATTCAATGTTGAACGACGGGTATTTCGAGGAGCGCGCTGTGTGATAAAGGTCCAATCACTTTGGTACCCATCGCAGGTTCTACCAGTAAGCAGGCATTGACTACACCCCGGCTGCTTTCCATCACACTGAGTCACTCATTAGCTTGATAACTAGGGTGAAATAGAATTGATAAGTGACAAAAGGAGATCCTTACTCCCAATTTGCGGTCTCGACAGGTCTGACAGACGGACCTCCGCTTGACTTTCATGATACCAGAGAAGCGAACATGTAGCCGGAGAGGCTTGGCCAATGCAAATCTTCTGTCTATAGCATGTGCAGGTAGACATCAGTGCAACCCTTATCTTGAAATATTATCCTGTATGCAAGCAGGGAAGGCTGGACATTAAGTGAAGAGGGATGCGGCGAATAGCCATGCGTCAAGTCGGGAGCACCATGTAAGATCACAAAAGTCTTGGCGGATTTTGATTCCAAATACGGTTAGTGATGATCCACATTCCAAGGATTGAGCCAATACATAATTCCGGGTCGGTCCTTTAAGTTCATGACGGGTCTTCTTTATCAACCAATGTTCCAGGAGTCATCTCCTTATTATTAATAGGGATGAAAAATTGTGTTCGGTGCACATTTGCCAGCGCTGACTTTACAGAGATTACATGACTGTTGTTGAGAGAGAGATTTAACCTAGCGTGTACGTAGCCACACGGATGAATAATCCGAACTCCATGTTGGCCAACGGAATACTAAAGATGGACCTTGAGATCAAAAGACCGTTTTTTAAGTCGCAGAAAAGAAATATGTTAGAAACTGAAACTGATATCAAGCTGCCCATTTGCTGTGACTATCCATTGCATGCAGAGCTACGCTGATGAATGATGATTGTGGTATAGCTAGCATTTGCTAAATCTAGTACTAGGTAACCCTGACTAGACTCGATAAGGTTGAATCTGCGAACTGCTCCTTGCGTTATTCCCATCGGGGAAAGCCTGATAGTCACGACAACCGCCTCGAAGCCGTCTAGCAAAGAGGCTTAGAACTGGTGGGCCACACCTCGGCCTAAATGAATTATAAGCCAGCCAGGACACCTTTCAAGCCTTCCGAGATATGCCTCTAAGCCATTCTTGGTTGATTTCGCGAGCAATAACCTCGTGCCATTGGCCAATTATTTCAACCTGTAAAGGTGGAGCTTATCCTTTGCTGCTGTGGGTCCATCTATCGCTCGCGGAATCCGCCCAAAAGGGTAACTCCACTGGAGGCAGGCTTTGCGGAAGAGATTCACTTTTTTTGTGGTAAAGATATTTAAGAGACGGGATAGGACGGTAAGGCTATATAGAGACTCTTTTGAGCCATTTCTTCAACTGCAAGTGCTCTTCCTTTCTTACACTTTTTTTTTCGCATTTGATATTGCTGATGTACCAGGCTGTCCACGATGAGAGACTGGTAACGATGGAGTTCACACCTCGACAATATACGGCACCTCCACCACCCTATGAAGAATTGCCACAGACCTCTAGAGGATACGAGGCACAGCAGAGCCCGGCGCTCATTCAATATCAGCAGCCAAATTATACTGCCTTTGAACCCGATGGCCCGTCTCGTCCTTCGCAGATCCAACCGTCATATCCACAACAGCCCCAGCAATGGATTAATCCTTCACAATATATCCTACACAACTCTAATCAACAAAATCCTCAGCATCAGTGGCAGCATATAGCCCAAGATGGCTCCTTGAACAGCCATTCCTATCTGCCATCACCGCCATCAACTACCCAACTGCAATCTCCAAAACGACGGCCATGTGTCATTCCTCGTAAGAGAGCCTAGCCAGCATCCAGGTAAAGGTTTCATGACAAGATCTTAACGATTTTATAGAGGTTACGAAAGTCTTCGGCGGCTCATTCATGAGTCCCTTCGTTCGCACCCGTGCACCCGAACTCGAACAACAATACGGGCTTTCCTCCTCGAAGTTACTCGCATTTATCGACGGCCTCAATGAAGCTTTCATGGCGAATCCAGCCTTACAGGTCACAAACACCATCGGAACCATAGTGGGTTTCGTTCCGCTGCAATCTACTCAAATCGTTTGCGCCAGCCTCAACGCTGCCGCAGGCCTAGGAACTGCCGGTGTGTCCATCGTCCGGACAAAGCGGTACATGAAGAAGGCAAACGAGACTATCTTCAGACCAAAAGGTCTGCACGCTCAAATTTGCAAGACGGAGAAGATGCTTGTTCAGATCGGAATGGGGTGTGATGCTGCTGTTTTCGCGAAGAGCCAGTTTCAGGCTATGCTTAGCAGTGCACAGGCAAATGAGCCTAGTCAGAACGCGATTGCGAGAAGGATGGGGGCTCTTGGTGATCGGGTCATGCCGTTGTCCTTTGAGGACATCGAGGCTCCAGTGGCTCCAGATAACTGGGCAAAAAAGATCGGGTCGTTCGCCGCTCAGCGTGCTGAGAAGAAACAACTCGAGAAGCTTGAGAAGCAACAAGCCAAGGCGGTTGAGAAAGCGGAAAGGGCCGAGAGAAAAATTGCCAGGGCTGAGCGGAAGCATAACAGCGCCGACGAGGAGATGGATGAACTCATGAAAGAAATGGAAGACGTTCAGTACCAGATGCAATGTCTGGATCCCAATCATCGGCGTTATGGGAAGCACCTGAGAGAGCTTCAGGGAGATTACCGGGAACTTGAGCGAAATTTCAATAAATTTGACAAGAAGAGGAGGTCCCCGCAAGCCGAACAGATCGACAAACATGGTCGGCAGCGGGATAAAAAGACCACGAAGCGAGAACGGAAGGAGGCAAAGAAGATCAATAAGATCTATTGGATCCTTATCACCGCCGAAGACGATAGTCAGTTAGGTGATGACGACTGGGCCTCAGATGAGTTGTCTGAGAAGTAGTCAAGTATGAGAGAACCCATCAGGAGTTATGATATGCATATCTTGTAAGGTTGGAGTTGCGCTTATAGAAAGTGTGATTAGATACCATCGTCTTAGAAACCCCCATTTTTAATGTTCATGGCCTCTCGAGAAATGAGACTCACCTTTATGATTTGACGCGGCATATTTTCCCTTCTACCAAGTTCAAAGCCATGCAGGTCTGCAACAGCGGACATTACGGCCTCGAGCCACGGCTTGATATCACCACTATCATCATTCAAATGAAGATGAGCGACATTAAGTGGAAAGATGAGCATGAAAGCCCCGGAGCTTTGATGGAAGGCATGGAGGTGATAATCTGCCATTCTGCAAATCTCGACTGCTACATCATGTCTCGTCCCTTCCATAGGTAATAGAGGATCACTGACTGGGAGATCAGATGACGGTATGTCAATTTGTACACCAACCATCTCAAGGGTTCTGGTAGCTATCAATCGAATCGCATTGTAGTTCATCAGCTCTGCTGCGCGATGGGGACTGGTACACCAGATAATACTTTTGAATGGGCTAGGTGGCAGTGGCAGTGGCGTCACTGGATCAAGGTCACTAGGTGAGATCAGGTATGTGGAATTAGGAAAATTCAGCTCCCAATCCCAGCGCCAAGAATAGAGTGTTTCCAGTGTTGCAAAGACTCGTGAGCAAAAGGCTGTGGTAAACTCTTCCCTTCCCAGTTCATCAGGATTCCAAGTCATAATCTTGTCGATATCTTCGAGGAATCCCGGAAGATCGCAGAGTATGTCTTGGAGCTCATCTCCAGGTGACTTGGCGTTCAAGCCGCACTTTTCCCAGGGGATGGTTTTCCATTCTGGGGATTCAAGGAAGCAACGCTTTCGATCGACGAGGTATCCAACAGCCTACAAGATATCAGCTCGATATTTCGTAAAAGGTGAAGACCTAGGAGACGCCACTCACAATGCATGACCTCAAAGTCGGGAGTATCGCCAAGGCAACGCCTGATTGATGCCGATGTGGGCCTCTCATGGCTGTCTGATGCATGTTAGTAGAGCGAAAAAAGACCAGGTGAAGACGAGTAATTACGAGCCGTGCCAGTCCCTTATAGTGATGCAGCCAGCCAGTCGGTTGCGTAAAGGTGACCATCTCGTAGATGGCCATGCAGATAATCGCAACTATCAAATCATCTTCCAAGACCAGATTGGGGTCTTCTAGGTTTGACCGGACAGCCTGAAGTGCTCGCGAGTAGAATCCCGCACCCTTTCGCATTAGCTCGGTCTTGCGATTGACCTTAGCAAAGTATGTCGTAGCCAGCGCGCGGACAGACGTAAAAGACAGTGCCGCCTCTTCTTCTGTACGTTGAAACAATATTTCAATCCATGAGGATGTCTGCGGTGATGATGTATCATCGTGCCAAGTGAACAATCTGCTGATCAGGTGCGATGTGAACATACTTTGCTCGTCCCATGTTGCATTTCTTGATATCGGCATCAAGGGTAGCTCGATAACCGAGCTCGGGCTGGCAGTTCTGGGACTGACAGATGGACTAGACGCACTGCGCACAGGCTTTTGTTTCGGCGACTTGTTGGCTGTGAACTGAGTTGTCACATCGACAAACTCGGCATATTGCACATAACCCTCACATTGGTAGCCAGCTTTTCGACAGCGCTCGCAGCCTGGCTTGACTTCGTCTAAGATCAGGTCAGCGCTGTTCGACCAGGCAGCTGAGCTAGGGGTAACATTATCGCACCGCATTTCACTCTTCGACGGCGACAAGTCTTGCAGCCTTTACTGCGACCGCCGACGCCGACCATCTTCGAGCCAGAATGAAGGCTGAGGCTGTTGGCTCGGTACTTTGGAGAAGATCGAGGGATGTGACATTGTGCATTGGCGTGCAGTGTTGGTGGGTCCAAGTGGGGGCGAATGATCGGCCTTGGAGATCGGGTATATGGGGCAAAGCACCCACGAGCAATCCTGTGTATAGGGAAGGCTACGATTCAATTAGCGAGAAGCGAATGTAAAGAATTTGCATCAATGTCATTTGCGAGCATGTAATTGTGGACCGCACATACCTTGGGCAGTCCTCTTTGCCTTGATTGACCGTGACAAACGGAGACTGAGGCTCAGTGTGACCAACACTCTTGGGAGAGATAATTGATTGAAAGAATATTCTTGCGATCTTTGACTGGATTTTGTGGGACTCTCTGAAAAGGGACATCCCCCTCACGTGGCGGTGGTCAACGTCTCCATCTCTCACCTTCCTTCCTTCCTCATTCCCTCATTCCTTCTTTAGCACTGTCAACTTGCCCCGAATCTCTCTCTTCAGAGCATATCTTCAAGCTTATCACGCCATTCTTTACATTCTTTGTCTCTGGCTGACTCAGTGACTGCTGTGGCTAGCGAGAGATCATGGCCGAGCCAAGAACGACAGGTCTCCCAGGCCTGAATCTGCCACTTGACTACACCCCAGACACCGAGGTGGGTATATTAAATTGGGAACTGTTTCTGACGCTGAGTTTTCGCTGACTGTGGACTTTTCGCGAGATAACAGGGCGGTCAGATCATGTTCCCTAGTGGCCTGGACAGAAAAGTAGTGGAGCAAGGAGGCTGCGAGTACGTGCTCGAAATTGTTTCCACATAACCTTTGTTGACTTGGTGAATAGTCGATTTCATACTCTTCGTGAAATCACTATGATGAAGATGATCAACACAGTCACGGAGCAGGATGACTGGCATCTCAAGGTTAGGACCCCCGTTGGTACCACCAAGAGAGGTGTTAAGTGAGTCTGACCCTTTTAAAAACAGATCTCGGACGCAAAATGGGTTCATCGGTGCAAATTGGATCTTAAGAGACGAGTGAAAGATGTCACTTCGCCCATGCTCAAATGGGTACTCGATGAATGTCGCTGGAGGGCATTTCTCTTCCGACAATCAGGATCCACCTCCACCCTGGTTTTTGACGCATTTGTCAAATCAGACAACCAGATTTCTATTGAGCTAAGTGAGAGATTGAAAGAGCTAGTGAAAACGCTTGAGGAGAAGTTCGGTAGACAAGAGTCCTCTACGAGCCAGTTGATTGTCGACCCCTCCAGATACCCCCTAGCCTACGGTCGTACAAGAGTTCTTCTTGATAACATCATCAACATCGACAACTGTCTCATATCAATCGGAAAAGGGACCCCTATCTTCCTACATGAGGCCAATCGTACCGCAACCTCGTCAGAAGACCATCTGCAAACCGCGCCCACCTCGCCAGGACCACCACCGCCAGAGTATGACCGATGGGGCCACCGAATCGAGTCCAAGCCATACAGCTGGTGTGATGAAAATTTTCAACTTCTACCGTGTGATCTATCACTTCAGAATGGTCTGTGGTGCATCACATCCTACATCAATGATCTCCACCCTGTGCAGCATCGACAACTCTACACCACGCTAGAGGAGATTATCAACCAATGCGTGCAGCCTTGGAACGAGTGCCTTGCACAGTGGAGCGTGCGATGGAATCGCGTTCCACTCTCACGAGTTGTATTCACTCCTCGTTTGAGAAATCTCGTTGTGCCTGAAGGTTTGTATGATGACCGAGTGTTGGACTGGATCGATTGTAAAGTTGATCAGTGGAGGGAACGTCGGTCTATCAAGTTTCCAGAACCTGGCGAATTTGATAGCTCCAAGATTCCTAAACCAAAGCACAATCTGGTTGAGAAGTTTGGCCACTCTGGAATGCAAGTTCTTGTTCAGCTAGGAGCAGTTCTCCTCGAACCACCGAAAACGAGCGGTCCAGAACGGAGGGTCCTAAACCGGGGTCAGTGGCATTTGCAGGGACACTTAGTATGTTGACTGACGTATTTACTATCTTTGTGGGCCTGATCGGAGCTAATATTGATAGAATGAGCATATCTGTGCGACTGCTGTCTATTGTTATGGCCTAGATAATGTTGTTAGTCATTACTTCGAGTTTCGTCAACGTTCGGACGAGGGGAAAAAGGTCCTCGACAGCCACGGGTATGAGCATCACCAAATCTGGGCCGATGTTTGTCGGGAAGTATTTGGCTATCAAATGAACGGCGATGACTTGACCGTATTTCAACGCCTTGGTCATATTTCAGTTGGCGCCGGTCGGCTGGTGGCTTTCCCAAACACTTTGGAGATTCGAAGTGTGTACTTGCTCAGGGATGAATCAAAACCTGGTCACTGTCATATCCTGACCCTTTGTTTGGTCGACCCACACATGCGGATTATTTCTACTGCCAATGTCCCCCCTCAGCAACCAAAATGGTGGGCCCCGAGAAAGCAACTGATCCACGTGCTTCTTCGATCCAAACTCCCTCAAGAACTCGTGGATATGGTGTTGCAGAATCTCCGCGATCTGGCAGATGGTCCTATGTCCCCCGAGGAGCACAAATCTGTCATGGATGACTTCTTGAAAAGCAGAAGGAAGTTGGAGAGCAACCAAAAAAAAGAACTTCGGGCTTCCAAGACAACATAACGAATACCGCGGTTGGTACGCGCCAGACGGTGACGGAGATTGGGTGTTTTAGTTCCCAGGATCATGGAATCGGTCTATTTATGCGCTACGAACGACATTCTTATGCTAATTTGGTATTCCGATGAACTGTCACGGGCTGAAATCAACACCCAAATTCCACGGAGCATGGGCATGGGCGCCAGGAGAACTGTCCAGAGGATGAGAAAAATGAGTATCGTTATTTCCTCCTCAGAGTGACTCATAATGAACGTATTGTATTGCGTGGTAACAAATCATGTACCATGAGAGCCAGTGCAGTATTGCCAACGATGAATAGCCAAAAATGAGTACGTCAGTGCTTCCCAAGGTAGTATGGTCCGTTTTGGGGAAAAGGTAGAAAGAAACAAGGATGAAAGCGAGGGTATAGGCGGGTAAATAGTGCAGTAGTGCCATCAAACGCGAGCGACATCATTTACCATGGGTATTAGTTCTACGATTCTATCCAGATGTAAAAGAGATCAGTATATTGATTTATGAAAAGCGTCCTTCCATTTTAGCCCTGCTCAGTGACTAATGTCTTCTAACAGTGTTTATATACCTTCATTCGTAATCTACAAACGCGTCTGCCCGGGCTTCTCAGCGATCTCCATCAAGGACAGAAGCATCTTAATCAAGTTCCCATCCCCCTTGTACGAAATCCTCTCAATATTTCCTCCATTTAGGACCCGCAACAGCTCAGACTTTGTCAAATTCAAAGTCAGTTTCGCATCGCCGTAGAAGTCATCCTTGCTGGTGGCATTTCTGTAGGTCAAGGCCCCATTGCTAAGATTGACTCGCCACCATCGCTTCTCGTCTGTCAGATGGAAATCAATGGAAAAGTATGCTTCAGCAGCCTTAATGCCATCCAGGCGAATTGCCAACAAAGTGAGCCATTGCTCAACAGATTGTTCTGGTCTCAGCCCTACACTCAAGCTCTGTCGAGGATCAGGTCGGTTACCCGCGAGCAAGGCCAGAGCACCCGTGAGATAGAAGTTGCGCCAAGTGCCATTCTCCGAGCCATGGCCGAGCTTCGTGAATACAGATGCTAATGCTTTCTTCGCGCCAGTATGTGATGGGTCGAACGTGACGGCATGATCGAGCAAAGTCACCGCGAATCGTAAGTCACCCTCTTTAGCAAAGCCTTCTGCTTTCCGGACAACCTCGTCAATTCCGCCCATGCACTCGACATATCTTTTGGCACTTTGCTTTGGCGGATGTTCCCAGAGATGAGCTGGGTTTCCGTCGAACCAGCCCATATATCGCTGATAAATGCCTTTAACGTTATGGCTGACGGATCCGTAGAATCCCTGTGCAAACCAGGACTTCTGCAGGGAAGGCGGCAGACTCAAGTGCTCCGCAATTTCGATGCCTGTCATGCCGTGGTTCATGAGGCGAACCGTTTGATCGTGGATATAGGCATAGAGGTCTCGCTGGTCTCCAATGAACTTCTTAATCTCGATTTGGCCCCAAGTAGGCCAGGCATGACCGGCCAACATGACTTCTGACTTCTCTCCGAATAGAGCTAGAGATTCATCTAGATACTGAGACCAAGCCTTTGCGTCCCGGACTTGAGCCCCACGCAGGGTAATGATGTTGTGGAGAGAGTGCACCGCACACTCGGCGATATATAGAGCTCGGTGGTCGGGGAAGTAAAAGTTCATCTCTGAAGGAGCCTCCGACTCTGGAACAAGTTGGAATATAATTCGTACACCATCAACAACACGTTCTTCGCCAGTTTGATGGATGATCATGTTCGGCGGGACGAGCGAATTGACACCGCTTGGAACACACATTCCAAGTCCACAGCCAATTTGCCCTGCAGGGCCCTTAGGAATTCGATTGCCATACATGTATGCCGCACGTCGACGCATGGCATTGCCAAGGTACAGATTTTCACTAGTTGCCTCTTCCATGAAGCCCTCGGGAGCTATCAGCGGGATAGAGTGCGATTTCGCGACCGGGAGAATTCCCTGAGCACCGCCGAAGTGATCAATATGCGAGTGGGAATAGATGACCGCAGTCACCTTGCGATCGCCGCGATGCTTGCGGTACAACGCCAGTGCTGCTGCAGCCGTTTCCACCGAAGTGAGTGGATCGATCACAATGACACCTTCCTTCCCCTCAACGATCGTCATGTTGGAAAGGTCCAGTCCACGAACTTGGTAGACTCCTTCGGTCAACTTGAATAGCCCTTGAATACTGAGCAATTGACCCTGTCGCCAGAGTTTTGGGTTGGCGGTTGGGGGACATTCGCCAGCGAGGAAGTTGTATTCATCATTATTCCACACGATTCGACCGTCGGCAGTGCGAATAATGCATGGGTCGAGGGCATCAATGAACCCCCGCTTCGCATTTTCGAAGTCGGTTGTATCGGCAAATGAGGGTTGGAATTGCTGGTTGGCCATGAGGTCAGGATTGATTAAAATTTCGAATTGTGAAGATGGGATGTAGGAAGGACAAGGAGCAGATCATGTACTTCCTGACGGCATTTATATATCGTCAGACTTGCGAGCAGCCGAGCGTAAATTCGCAATCGCGAAGTCTACTCCAATTTGCCTAGTGCACCCGAGTTCCGATCAATTATCTATTCATTCTATCGTATCAGGATAACTCCTCTAGCTACGATGCGAGGTAAACTCCGACTGCTGATGAGCGTGGAAGTGCGCTAAACCTCGGCTGAGCCCAAGCGGCTGCGGGGGCGAATTAACCTCTTTAGGAAGTGGTTTCGTCGGTAACGACTGTCATGTAGGGACTACTGAGGAGTACGAAATGAAGCAAAATTATTCCTTTTGGGGCCTGCTTATCGTCGTTCAAAGCCTAGTCTTTCGCTTGACAAGGTGCGAAATTGCTTCTATCTAGCCTGAAGCTAAATTTAGTAGGTGTATCGGAATCCGGGAAGATTTGCAATGACAATCTCCCCACGCGTCACCTTCCTGTTCAAGTAGTAAAAGCGAATCGACAGCAGAATCACCAGAATTATTATCAGGCATGATAGCCCAACACAGGTCAGAATGCCAGGGTGATACGTTGGCGAGTCTTGCGATCGGTATACTAAAGATCCTGTCATGCCACCCGAAGCACCCAACCCCACGAAGATAGCGCTGCAAATGGCTCGTTTCCATTGACCTCGGATGTTGTTTGCCTAAAGGTCTCTAGGTCAGACAAGGAACTTCATGAAAATTTAGTTGCAATTTTACCTGGTATGCCATTGCCGCAGGAACGTTAGAGTTTGCTCCCATTGTGGTCAAAAACGCGCCCAACAACCGAGTCCCATTGCCTTTTGTGAATCCCTGGTGCACAATTAGCTCAGGTCTCGCGTCTTTCATTTAGCAGGGTACTTGCCATCAAAGGAAGACCGATTATAGTGAGTATTGCGTTGAAAATCAAAATTGGACCACGGATGTGGTATCGATCTCCAATCCAGGAAGTCGCGAACATGAGAATTCCAGCGGCGGCATAAGGGGGCGCAAACAAACACAGTGAAGCACCCATAGAGAATCCCATCCCCTGACGATAAATAATTGGCAAGAAATAGGATATGGCGTAAGCAGTGGTAGTCGTAGAATAATAGATAAAGCCAAACGCCCAGATATTAATATCGAGCCCAGCGCTAAGATATTTCTTCAGGTTGAAGGGCTCAATGGTCACGTCGGCTCGATCCTTGGTGATTCGCCTGATGATGAAGTCATATTCACCTTCGGACAAGAAATTTTGCTTGTTATCTTTCATGCGATCGGGGAAGTCAATTAAAACGAAGTAGCCAATGGTGGCCACGACACAAGTCAGAAGCCCTTGGATGATATAGATCCATCGCCATGCAGTGAGGCCTCCAAGACCATGCTGAGGTATGTTAGTTTACTCCACAACAGGAAATTAGCTAATCACGTACCATAAATGTAATCCCATAAGACAAAATACCAGTAAACGCTGAAGCCACGCATCCAAGAAGGTAAAAAATAGCATACCGCTTCTGGATATCATATCGGGTGTACCACGTGGATATCAAATACACGGCAGCAGGGAAAAAGCCAGCCTCGAGAGCACCAATGATCACGCGAATCCCGACCATCTCAGTCCATTTCTTCACAAAGCCAGCAGAAAGCTAGGAAAATTAGTCAAATGTCCCAGATTATCGAAGTGGAGCTTCTCCCGTCAGCCAAGCCTCACCATAACAGCCCCCCACAGAAAACAAACACCCGAGAGGTACCGAGTCGGACCAATCTTGCGAACTAGAATGGGGCCAAATATTTGCAGACAAATATAAGGAGGGAAGAAGGCCACCGCAATCGTGTTCTGTAACGTTGTCAGTCTCGTCTGTGAGTGGAGCCCCAGTTTGAAAGCCTACATATTGCGTTCCCTTGAGCCGCAACTCCTTTTCCATTCCAGCCACCGATGCCGTCCCCAGATTTCCCCGGTCGATAAGAGACACAGTGTGGAGAAATCCAAGCATCACAATCAAACGAGTATCGATGCGACGAATAATCTTGCGCTGCTCGCGATAAGAGTAGACTGGGTCATCGTCAATGCTGTTCAACATTGGCTTTTGAGACTCGACAGGCTCAACCTGAGCCTCCGAGGCTTTTGCATCTTCAATTGTGGTCATCATGAAATAAAGTATCAAATATCATAGAGAGTTTGAATTCATTCAGAAACGGGAGTTATGGTTTCCCACAGGTAGATATAGGGGCCTTGCTTGCCATATACAAGACCAAGATGGTGAAAGTCAATGCGGTTATGTTGCAATACATGCTCTTGACCAACACAATGGGCTCTAGCGAGACATTGAAGTGGATTTTGCGGGGAAGTCCCTGAAGCTATGGAGCTTCAAGCTTGGATTTAGTTCTAACTCATTACCATTGGCTGATGAAGAGTCTGTTTCCCCGCAAGGCAGCGAAGATGATATTTCGGCCCATCGGCGTTTAGCTGGCCCTCATACTAAATTTCTACTATCGCCGATTTCCCGCATTCCCTCGCTCGGGTATGACCTTGGACTGGAAAAATAAAGTTATTCCTTCTGAGGCCGGTCAAACACATGATTTAGAAATTCGTTGGTAGTGTGCTTGATTCGCCGTCGTCGATCCGGGAGAAATCCCATGCAAAGGCCACAAGCATAACTCAACGGTATTGCGAGGAAAAGGGATATTCCTTGATCGTTCAATTGGAGCACAAGTCTTCCGAGGTTGCGCAAAATGTCCACCATCGTTGCGTAACGCCGAAAGCCGAAAGAGCATGAAAATCGCGATCCACTACCTACGCCTTCACATTGTCAAAAAAAATATTAAAAAGTCTTGGAATTCGCAATGCAAGGCTCAATTTGCGACATCAAGTCTGGCTCAGAATTCAGCTATTTTAGTGTCACTTGCGACTAATATTCAAAGTTGATACTCCGAAACCAACCACATCTCATACTCATCATGCATCCCCCAGCACGTCAGCACTCAACCGGCTCGCTGGATCAGTTCGATCCAGTGATGGTGACTCCAGTCATTGGAAATGAGTTCACCAATGGGAGCTGTAACATTGTCGACGATATCCTGCGTGCTCCAGACGCCGACCAGCGCATTCGTGACTTGGCAATTATGAGTATGGACCACCCAAATCCCTCATATCAGAACATATAATAACGTATGGTTGTTCAAAGTTGCCGAACGAGGAGTTGTCTTCTTCCGTGCCCAGGATAACCTCACCAACGACCTTCAAAAGGAGTTGGTTCTTCGAATGGGTGAATTGACCGGCCGCCCATCGACTCACGGCCTACACATTCACCCAGTTACGAACGACGCTCGCGAGTTCGGCGATCCGGACCCAGCTATTAGCACCATCCACTCAGAGGGACGCAAGAAGCTGTACAAAGGATCCAACTATACCAAAATGGCAGCTGTCTGGCATAGTGATATCTCCTTTGAGCCAGCCCCAGCTGACTTCTCGTCGCTGCGCTTGACCCAGCTGCCAAAGACTGGCGGTGATACTCTTTGGGCGTCGGGATATGAGGTTTACGATCGAATCAGCAAGCCTTATCAGAAGTTCTTGGAGACCTTGACTGCGACCCACGACGGTGAGGGCTTCAGGCGTATGGCTCAGTCGGGTAAATTCCAGATTTATGATAAAGAGAGAGGATCGCCTAAAAATGTTGGGGGCGATCTTTATGCAATTCACCCTGTGAGTCCTTACAGATTTCCACACCTATGGTTCTTGCTAACTGAGATTGAGGTTGTGCGAACTAATCCAATTACTGGCTGGAAATCTATCTTTCCAATTGGTCAGTATCGATGTCTACATCCTCTCAGTGGTTCCGATATTGATTCAGTCCATTAGGTTCATTCCCCTCTTGCATTAACGGACTGAACCGACGAGAGAGTGCAAATATGCTACAGTGGTTCCATGACCTTATTACATATGGTCATGATCTCCAGGTGCGCTTCAAGTGGAACCACCCGAACGATATAGGTAAGACCGATCATCTGTCTATGTCTAGAATGTCAACTGACAAATGCTAGCGATTTGGGATAACCGCAGTGTCTTCCACACTGCAACAGGCGACCACGAGGGCTTTGGACCGCGCAGTGGAAACCGAGCCGTCGGTGTTGGTGAAGTGCCTTACTTTGATCCTGCAAGCAAGTCGCGTCGGGAGGACTTGGGTATTATGGAGGACCTTGCTCCTTGCCATCTGTAGAGAATTCATACCAGCTATTATAGTCAACGATACTTAGACAGGGAATCGATAGCTACCGCGGTGGTATGATTTATTTCAAGTGCATCATATCCTAGTCAGAATATTTGTACAAGTGGATTGGCTTCCTTTTTGGCTCTTTTACATCATTTCCTTCTTGTCTCCATAGTTCAGTAAGATCAAGATCGCCACCCGAAGCCATCGAAGGTAGGCAAATTGAAGGCATCAGCGGCCCAAAAGTCCTCCGTAAAGATTCCATGAAAAGGAAGAATGCCATCCATATCATTGCCGGACCTATCTCCTTGCAAATTCATAATGTCGTGGAGATCCGAGAACAGGTCAGAGTGAATTGAGTCAAACCGCTCGGTGGTTGTGTCATTGTAAACGTCCTCTGATGCTGGCTGCATCTGAGGGGCGAGCCCTGGTGTTGGTTCCACGGGGACGACTGTCCCTGCCAACGACCCGTGATCCGTTCCATGGGTAGACAACTCGTCTGGGCCTGCGTGTGGTGGTCTAGAAGCCTCCTGAACAAAATCCATTGCTTTATTGATGATTGTCTCGAGTCCATCGCGGTAAGTCTTGAGGCGCGGATTATGCTCCGCCATAAGGAACAGTGCCGACGAGCAGGCACGTAGATCGTTAGATACTGCGGGCGTCCACAGCCCCGGGGATCGGAATAGACAGTAGCTTTTACCAAATTAGCTTTCAGTCGTTGTTTGTCAAACCTCGTCAGCTCAACCTACCACATTGTGATGCCGGCCATAAACACCGAGTTCACGAGTAAGTACGAGGATCCCGAAGAAGACTCTCGCTGTCTAAGCTTCTTAAAGAACTGACACATCTGACCCGATGCAAAGAGGCACGTCTCTATAAGACTGTCTTGGGGGTGCAAGAAACCGAGGAAAGGTTGCAGCAATATTCGTATTGAATTGTTCCAGTGCATATGCAGGAAGTCGCCTTCTTCCACGTCAAGTGCTGCTAGTGTGGCTTTGAACTCCAGTAATGATGATAGTAAGGGTCCAATCTCTGAAGTAAGAGCAGACACTTGGGCGTCAACACGGTAAATGCGCGTGTGAATTCGAGACACGATCCGCTGCAGCTGGATCGAAGCGATGAACCTTCCAAGTGTACCTTTGTGTGCTCTGCCCCGCCCGACGGACCGGTTATGCAGCATCTTGTCAATAACACTGTCATTGGTGATGGAGTCATCAATATTGGAAGGGGGCGCAGCGTCAATTTCCTCTTCTGCAACACTGAATGGTCTTCCCATAGACCACGCGGTATATCTCTCGATGAGATAAACACTCCAGAAAAGACGTCGTCGTAATTCAGTTTCATGCGGTTGGAGTTTTCGATAGCTTGATTCCCTGTGAAGCCCGAAGTCCAGACACGTTCTCATAGCTAATCCGATCATATACCAGACACTGGAGTTGGAAGTCGATCGCAAATTGTATACAACAAGTAGCAACATTGCCTCAATGCTGGCAATCGAGATGGATTCTCTCAAGGTAGGATCAAACTCCAAAGCAATCACGAGGAATTCATTCGGTGATTTTGAGTTATCATTGTCTGTCGTATGACGAATTGCACTTCCGATCGCATAAACCATGAATAGTTTGAATTTTCCAAAGTGTGCATCAGGCGTATTGTCGGGCAGTTGGTGCCGTTTCGCATGCAGATGTAGAATCTCCGTACGATCTAGGAATGGGAGCCTCAGGTGCATATTGAGGAAATATGAATCGAGAATCTGGGACCCTATCGCGTCGTCCGGTGGGGTGGCCCTGGCTTGCACGGTTTCCTGCAGATTTTCCACCTGCTGGTTGTTTCCGCTGATAGGCAAAAGCCTGGCCCCGACCGAATTATGGACAATACGACTGACATTTTCTGCCATAGACAGCCCCGATGATGGCCCAAGATATGCTAGTTCGCCATTTCCATCGTGTCCCAGAGTAAGAAAGCGAACTACACCCCTGAGGTGTGCTTTTTCGCAGCGGAGGTTAGTGAGCTCTTTTGCGCGAGTGGTATGGGATCGGATCCACTTCCGTCTCCGGTATCAGGTACGTTTCCCTCCAACGCAGTGGCCAGCTGGGCTTCTAGAATCTCGATCCTGTGGACCAGCGCCCCTTTCGACATACCATGATGCCATGACGGCGCAGTCTCGGACCGCGAGCAAGGTTGATTGGCTGATTCACAGTTGGAGCACGTGGGGGACCCGACACATTTCTGTTTACGTCGGTGGCAGCGCCTGCACGACTTCGGGATGCGCCTGCGGATTCTGAATTCTGGATCCATCGAGTTGGAGCATGATGGACTAGGGGGAGTTGGCGCGAAAATAAAGCTTTTTCAGGTTCCCCGCATCTTGCTCGTTTAGGGCCGAGGCATGCTTGATCGTGGCTTCTTTGTGTAATTGGCTTTCCGAAGCACGTCATACTGCAACTAGTATTTATGAATAGCCTAGGAACAACCACAATGTGACGTTTCTATATGGCTTAAAGGCTTGTTCAACAATTTGAGGATCTTTGCTCAATCTAGGCCGTGGACGGATCTGGGTCACGCATCCAAAAACTAACCAACCCGTCCGCTGGTACCCGCTGATGCACCATTAGTAGAGGGGTAAATAAATGAATGCAAGTCAAACGCCGCCTATCACACGGTGGGGTTTTCTTCTAGCGTCTTCCCCATTGCCTTAATTGCCTTAGCTTGGGAAGGCCAAGAGAATGAGGGAGAAGAGAAAAGACCCAGAGGAGCCTTTTCGCCAATTGACGAGCTAGGTGAGAAGAGTTGGTTGGGTAGACTCTCGTGACATATCCGTTCCCATCACGGGCCAAAATGTTATCGAAAAATCAACAAACGGGCCATCGAGCCACCGAGACTCTTCCCGCAATTGCATATTTGGGCAGCGTCTGGACCGCAATGGGCCCCAACGTCCAAGTCGGCAGATCCTAACCGAGGCCTTGTGTATGTAGCATGGCTTGGACTGTTCGGCCAATGGAACGGAGTGGGTGGGGGCCCGCAAAGCAGGTTTGGGCCTTTGACAAGTCGACTCGCTTGTGGCACGTTCGCCGGGAATTTGTTTCCCCTTCTTTTTGTATATCCTTCAAACATTCTCGCTCCGCAGTCTCTTTCCACACGTCAAAATTATACACCACGCTCTTTTGTAGGAATGCATGGGACTTACAGTCATGGATCAGCCGGGCTCTCTCGCCTTTCATCCATCCCCATGTAGTACTGAGCGAGAGAGAATCCGGGAATTATCTCGGTGAGGAGTTCCATACATGTTGGTCATTGTGCTGATCTATTTACTGACTGTGGCCGGGTAGGTACTACTGTGCCTTAGATTGCCCGGTGACACTATCGACCCCGAAAACCGGCGATGATGGAGTTGGATCAGCTCAAAATGCTCCACGGGCAGATGAGCAGCCGTCAGCCGGCAATCTTTCGACCGATATTACCTTGACGGCTCTGGCGCAGCTGGGAGTACATCGTTTAGCGTGCAATCGGTCCTTTGTCTCCATTATCGATGGCGGTAATCAACACATCATAGCGGAGGCTACAGCATCGATTTCATTGCGAGATAAAGATAAGCACCTGCCGAACGATGGGATCTACCTTGGAGCGCGAAGTTTAGACCTGGTATGGGGAGTATGCCCACATACAATCAGCCTGTTCACCGGACGAGACATGTCCTGCGCGATCGACACCGATAACATCACCGCAAATCGCACTCGCTACATTATCCGAGATTTTCAGAAAGAGGACAATTTCAAAGATCGTCCGTACGTTCGAGCATGGCCATACATGCGATTCTATGCAGAAGTCCCGTTGTATAGTCCCGCCGGCTTCGTCCTCGGATCCTACTGTGTGGTTGATGACAAGCCCCGGACGATCTTTGGCGAAGATGATGTGAATACACTGAGAGAGGTTGCTGATGCTGTGGCACGGCACTTAGAGCATGTTCGCATAGTCCACTGTCACCGTCGGTCTGAGCGGCTGATCAAAGGATTAACGAATTTTGTTAAAGACCATGCAGACTTTGACCCGCGAGAAGTGTCCAATGACCACCGACTCGAAGCAATGGCTGTCGCATCTAACGTCAATGCGTCGGCCCCAGATAATAGCCCAGGACCTATGGAAGCTTCCTTAAACCAGCAGTTCGGTTTCGTGACTTCTTCCTCTACCAGCCTTTCGGAAGAGCCGTCTCCTCTGTTCTTTTCAGGGCCTGCCTCGGGGCCGACGGAGCCATCGTCTCTGAATTCTAACATTTCCGACCGTCGGTCGTCCCCAGGGGAAGAGAGGTCTATTGACGAAGCTCTCAAAGTTGATACTCAGCCATTGGAGGAGGTAGCAAACAACGCTTCTTCTGTCTCTCTAGCGGAGAGTGCGTCGTTAGGGGAACGTATTGAACGCATTTTTCACAGAGCCAGCATGCTGCTCAGGAACTCAATGGATCTTGATGGTGTAGTGTTTCTCGATGCGGCTCGTACTAATCCTTCATTGTGGGTAGTCCAATTCTCTATTTCATTCCTTGAAGATCATGCTGACTCTCAAGCAGCTTGCCCTCTGATGACCAAACTGGCTGGGAGCCGTTGCCCAAGACTGCCGCACCTGAGTTTCCCGTTGCGCCATATCCTAGTCCTCTGGGACGTTCTCCGACGTCCTCTAAGGCCTCGGAATTGTGCTGCGATGTTTTGAGCAAATCTTTGAAAGTGAGGAAAGGCGAGACCCTCGATACAAAAGCCGACATTATTTTCCGGGAGGATCTTTTGAACCTGCTGGTTACTTCATTTCCACAGGGTCAGATCTTCAACCTAGACGATTCTGTAGATAGTGACCATTACTTGTCGTATGAGTCTGGGCTGAATGATTCGGAGACCCAACACAAACTTATGCAGATGGCCACGAGACAGCTCGGCCAAATTTTACCTGCTGCCAATTCTGTTCTGTTTTTCCCACTGTGGGATCATAACAAATCTCGGTGGATGGCAGGAACCCTTGTCTGGACGCAAGACAATCATCGAGCTTTGGGCATTGAGGAACTTCACTACTTCAAAATATTCGGGGACTCTATTGTCTCTGAGGTCTCTCGTGCGCACTGGGCGACAACCGAGAAATCCAAGTTCGACTTTATCTCGTCAATCAGCCACGAGCTTCGGTCGCCGCTCCACGGAATCTTGGCTAGTGCCGAACTATTGCAGGCAACGTCTCTAGACCCAGCACAGGAGGAAATGGTCAAGATGATTGAGGCTTCAGGTTTGACTCTGTTGGATACCACCGATCATTTGTGGGTGATATCACAACGGATAATTTCCAATAGGGTGCTGATTTATTCACAGGCTCGAATTTTGCAAGATCAATAACCTGACTCAAGTCAAGAGATCGCGAAAGAAGAAGAGCAAAACTGAAGAGTCAAGCTTGGTGTCTGACTTTCATCTTGGACAGTTGGTTGAAGAAGTTGCCGACATTCTGTACACAGGACAAAATGCTTCCGAAATCGTGCTCCAGACTGTGCAGACAACTTCGCCTGACCGTACACAAGCTAGTTCATTCTCCAATGACAATTTGACGGACGACATGTCTGTGATCGTCCGGGTTGAGCAGTGCAACTCTTGGTTCATTCGATCCCTGCCCGGTGCATGGCGGAGAATCGTGATGAACATTCTTGGCAATGCGATGAAATGGACCAAGTCCGGGTTTGTCGAAGTATCTCTATCGAGAATGAGAAACCCGATCGAGCCCCGTACGCCCATCGCACATTTATCAGTCACAGACACTGGCAGCGGTATTGCGCCAGACTTCCTTCGACACAAGCTTTTCTCCCCCTTCTCTCAAGAAGACTCTCTCTCGGAAGGAGTTGGACTTGGTCTCAGCATCGTTCGTCAGCTTGTTGCTTCCTTCCAGGGCCATGTGAACGTTAGGAGTGAGGTTGGTATTGGAACGCAAGTTGACGTCTACATTCCAGTCGAACTTGTTAACAGCCCAGAAGGAAGCCCTGCCTCCTGTCCGTCTCCTTTGAGAGTGGAACCGTGCTCCGAGTCGCCACCACTGCGAGCGTGCTTGGTTTCTTTCAATGGATATCCAGATTTGCAAGAAACACCAACCGGGATGTTGAGTCTTGAGTCGAAGCGAAAACTGTCCATACAGAGCACACTTGCCGATGTGTTCATGTCCCACTTTGGTTGGACTGTTTCCTTGGCGGAGACCCTCAGTAAGGGACAGGGAGATATTGCAGTCATCGAGGAAGCAGTTCTGAGAAGGGAAGCAGAGGGCCTCGAATCACTGGATCAACTGGCGTCGATGCATAGATTTAGGTTCTTCATTGTGTTGGGAAGTAACGCTTCCTTCTTTGAAACCTTCCTCGCACCCAACTTTGTCTGGGTCTCGCAGCCGTATGTTACCATACACAGACCCTTCACTGAGTTTGGAGATAAACTGACAAAGTAAAACAGGTTCGGACCACAGAAAATCCAAAGTGCGATTCAAAAGATCCTGGATTTGGGAAAGCTTGAGCCTGCAGTGGCTGCTACCCCGTCAATCTCCCTCGCGCCATTACTTTCACGTCCTGAAGTTCAACCTTCCCCCACGAGCGACACTTTCCCTGTCACAATGCCTGCTTCTCCAGCGACACGTCGCAGCCTCTCACTCTCCCATGCTCTGCCAATTCGGCCATCTCACGAGCCGCAGGATATCCATGTCCTCGTCGTAGATGACAACGACATCAATCTCAAAATCCTGGCCACATTCATGCGCAAGATCGGCTGCAGCTACGACACAGCTTCGAACGGGCTGATAGCTTTGGAGAAATACAAGGTGTCGCAACGGCGATTCGACTTTGTGTTGATGGGTCAGTTCATCCTTACCCATGGGATTTTAAGATTATGAGCGCCAGCTGACAACCTCCCTTCAGACATCTCAATGCCCGTCATGGACGGCCTAGTGTCCACAAGCAAGATTCGCCAACATGAGAAAGAAAACGGTCTTGAACCTTCTTGCATCATCGCTGTCACTGGTGTCGCCTCGGACACTATGCAACAGCAAGCCCTCGCAGCGGGGATTAACGAGTATTTGATCAAGCCTCTTTCACTTCAAGAGTTGAAGAAGATTATGACCATTACGTGATACCATTTTTAGTGAGCGTTTAGCGAATTTCAAGATCTTGATGGAAGCATAGGTGTTTGGTGTCTTTGATTCTAAGTTTTCTAAATAGTCTTAATGTAATCCGGGAGATCATAATCATTCAAATCATACTGAAGAATTGTGAGGCTGATTCCAGTCCAACCATTTCATTCTGACATCCCTCTGCTCCCTTTACATTGATGATCCCATGCCCTTAATCCTGTCTGCTGGTTAGGTTCCATTGTCTTTGAGGTTTGCTATATGTGGGTTGTAGACTTGCTGTCAACAAGTACGTTGCGACATACGGTATTCTCTGGATGTAGATATCCTATCTGCTCCCCGATTATGCCCTTCCAGTTGCAGTACTGCCAAAATATATCTGTAAGATCCGAAGACCACCTCGGGCAGTCCTTGCCTGCAAACAGCAGACCTGCCTAATATTTCCATTCCCTATATACAATTCTATTTTTCAAGGCATTATTTTCTTTTTGACTTCTTTCATCTGTCTCTTTGTGACTCGATCTTCTGTTTCGATACAGACTCTTCTGCCTAGCGCCACTTGACGCATGCCGATCATTGCCACATTTGTCCTCATCCAAACAGGCATGGTCAACCCGCGGGACAGACTCCTTGTTTAGTCACATCTTTGTTTGTAGAGTTAAGCGTGGTTTTCAGACTCTTCAATACCCACGTCAACATCGACATTAACAAATTTCTTCTTTGGTGAAGATATTGCAAAACCCGGCACTAGTCTGGACTCACTTCCCCGCGCCCAGGAGTGTTATCGATCCTCTTCTTGCTATCGCTCCGCTATGGCGTCACAGGTAGCTACTGGTGTTTTCCAAACCATCGAGACGGTCGACAAAGACAAAATCATTATCAGAGATAAGCTTTATGGAGAGCATGCCATCACCGAGCCTGTGCTGATAGAACTCCTCCAAAGCCCCGAGCTGGCGCGGCTCAAAGGTGTCTGTCAACATGGGGTAACAGCGCTCCTCGGCTTTGGCCCGAAAGTCACCCGCTTCGAACACTCGGTCGGTGCATTTTTGCTTGTACGCAAAGTCGGTGCAAGCGTCGAGGAGCAGGTGGCAGCACTTCTTCATGATATCAGCCACACGAGTCTCAGTCACGTTGTCGATTACGCGCTGTCTCAACCCGGAGAAGACAGTTACCACGAGGTCCACAAGTCTCGATATCTGAAAGGTACTCAATTCCCTCAAATTCTTACCCGGCATGGCTTTGGAGATCTCAAAGCCCTCAATGAGGAACTGTTCCCGCTGGTGGAACAGCCATCACCTCATTTATGTGCTGACCGACTGGACTATTCGCTCCGTGACGCGCTGGCCTTTGAGAAATTCAGCCTTCAATACGTGCAGCAAGTGTTTGAGTCGTTGAAGGCGTTCCCTCACCCCGCATCTCCTAGTCGTTTACTTGTTCTGGAAGACCCCCAGCTTGCACTAGCTCTTGCTCGCGCATACTTAGCTACAGATCGGGACGTCTGGTCAAATCGATCACATGCCGATATCTACAAAAGGACAGGCCAAATTATTAAAGAGTTGGTTCAATCGAGACGTGTGAATGAAGAAGCACTTTGGATTTTATCCGATGCGGATTTTTGGGCGTTACTGCGTCGCGAGGCCTCCCCAGAGCTTCTGAGTGAATTGGACAAGCTCGAGACAGATGGTCTGCCTGACGAGAACAAGCTACGACTTCCACGAGAAACGAAGATTAGGACCCTTGATCCAGATATTTGCCAAGGCACTGAAGGTGATCCCTTGCCTTTGTCGGTGGTTCATCCTGAATGGGCTGTGGAGCGCCGGCAGTACATTCTGAGCCGTGAATCAACACGAGAATAGATCTCGCACACGCTTGGCCTGGATTCCGGTCAACTGTCATGGTTTAACTTGGTTTCGAATTGTACTTCAAAGAACCTGGCATGCAAAACAATAGAAGCTATCAGTAGCAAATCGCTATAGTTGAAAATTTCATATTATGTTTAGTAAATTATCTCAATCTCGGTCCGAGGACATTCGATTCAAAGTTAAAGGCAAGGAGAGTCTCTCGAGAGAGGGCCATGCTTTCCATTCAAGGCAGAAACCGTTGGAGGTTTCTTGATTTGGGTTACCACCACGAATGAACTTTTCTCTGAATTATCCCAGCCCTTCTCTTGAACTATTTTATGATAGGTACTGCCAGACACGTCCTCGACCTACTCATGACTCCCTCGATGACAACGAACTCCAGAGGATAGCCATCTTGCGGTTGAATCAATCACAGTGACCGTACAAAACCATAAACATGCCACCGATCAGGGCCCTAGCTACCGCAATCATGCTGCCGTCTGTCTCGTCGTTCCCGGTGAAAAATCTATTCAGCTCAGCACGGAGCTCGACTCACCAGACGACACCCTGGGTTTCTTGAAAGCCACATACTGTTTCTATACCATATCACAGGCCTCAATTATGGACTTTGATCCTGGAGTCCGCCCAGGGCTTATGTCTGTGACGTTGCCAACCTGATATTTGCCAACGGTCGTGACAGATACAGGTTTACTCCATCCGTAACGGGTTGTCGAGTAGATGGTAGCCCACCGGTCTCATCCTTACAAAAAGGAAATTCCGCCTTGGTGGGCGCTTATGCAGTTTTTCATACAGTCTGGTGTGCCTCTCAATGAAACCACTCTCGAACGCCAATCTGCAGGGTCCGCCCTCTTGGCAGAGTTGGCCTCGTTAAATATATATAACAAGGATTTTCCTGGTTTAACATCATGGAAGCAGGGATTGATAAAAGTGTGCACGGAATTCTTGGATCTAGGAGGTGTCTTGCACATTGTGAAGCCACTCTTTCTGGAGCTTAGTGGCCCTTGGCGTTCAGGTTCTTCGGGACACAGGAAATCTGGATACCGACTCGTTGATCCCTACATTAACGACCTGCAAGTATCCCAGCGCCAGGCAGATGGTTATTCAAGAATTGGCGGAGAGGCGAAAGCAATTGTGGGACATTGCAGTGAAAAGGTTGCCCAGTGGCACTCTTTCGCAGCTCGGAGTTAAGCCCGGCACTCTTTTGGGGTACAAGGCCGCCCAGGTTTATAAAACTCTGAAGACTAAAGGCATTTCCACTGGAGACATTGAATGCAGGCAAGGCTGGCTTGTTTACGAAGCTGCGTCTCTGGACACAGATCTTGCGGATCGCCTTTGGGATGTCGGCTTTCGAGATGTGGACGACGTGGATGATCAGGGCATGACTGCGCTGAAGAAGGTATACAAGTACCCAAGATACGGTCCATATTCGGCTCAGCGTTCCTTTAACATGTCTTGGCTTATTGGTAAAGGCGCCGATACTCGTCTCTCTCCGGTGATATGCGAGTACACTGCGTTGCATTTTCTGGGGGCTATCTTCGGCCGCCTCTCTCATCGGCCCCGCGATCCACCTGTGCAAGGCCCATCGAACTTCGAGATTGTGATGAACTTGATAATGTTAGATGATTCGCGCCACTCATGCCGCTGCTACTGCTCCCCCGGTGGATGTACACCCCTCGCGGTGTTTCTCAGTGAACTTATCAAAACACAGGGGGCCTTTTCCTACACTGAATCTATAGCCATTGATGGTGTAGTAGAGGTGTTGTCATCACTGAGCCCAAAGTCACCTGGAGCCTTCGAAAGAAGGATATTGCCGGAGGTGCTTCGACTGCTCACTTTCAAGACATTGGGGATCACCCACACATGCGCCCACCATAAAGTTCTGCGCTCGAGACTGTCGTTCCGGCCATTCGACCCAGAAGACGCACAGGAAATCCACGAAGAGGAGAAAGATATGATTCAAGAACTGGACTATCTTGTTCTGGTGTTTACATCCGACTACAAAAGACTGGGCCTACCTTTTGGAGAATTCCTCCGGGAGCACTGGTGCAACCGAATCGTCTCGAAGAGTGAATCGCTAAGCGAGGAACAAAAGCATCAAATTCAGGAAATCGGCGTTATTTTGGAGTGGACGGTGGAGAGTAGGCTGATGCAGGGTCCATGGATTATTTTGAATGACTTTTAGCTACGAAGCCGTTTTTATTTCCCCTATATACGACTGATCGTGGTCAATTCTACAGTATGCTCTTTTATCTGTATCCGAGAAGAACAAAACGACTTAGAAATCTTGCAAGTAGTCAAACGGGTATTAGCTAGAAGATAGTAATTAATAACTTACGATTACGAGGCTCAACTAATCATAGGGTGTAGTGTCGGATTAGTAGTTTGGGGTGTCGTTTTACATAGCAATTCCTCCCCAGAAAAGTACACATCAGATACAAAACCCCCGCTGTCCACGGGCATAAATTCAACAGTACGTGCACATCCCATCACGATGATACAGAGAAATAAACAGAGAGAAAGAAAAACACAACCCATCCCAGCTCAACTCAACCCTATGTACAGACATTGATTGCCAAAAAAAGCATCGAGAAAGCAAAACAGAGGGCGCAAGTCGAACTAAACAAATTAGAAAACTAGACATCAAACACACAGCGCCACCTATCACGCAAATAGCAATACGCATCGTAAACCTCACTACCGGGACTGTAAGTCTGGGGGGCGTAGGGTAGTGTGGGGAATGGAGTATGTAGGAGGCAACGATTGGAAGGATGGTGGTTATCCGTAGAGGTGGATGTGCGTAACGGGAGGAAGGGTCGGATATTTGGCATTGAGGAGGAAGAGATGAGTGATGGAGATAGAGATGTGAGAATGAGACGAGAGTGATAGTGACAGTGACAGAAGGTGGAGGGTGGTAGATATAGATAGGAGATAGGAGGACGAGAGCGACGAGAACATGTGTGGTGAGCCAGAGTTGAACTGGAAGGGTATGGGGGGTATAGAAAGGAAGACGAGAGTTACTAGAGCTAGAAGGGGGGATGCAAGATGTGAAATATGAGAAGAAGCCCGGGAAAAAAAGGGTACCTGCTTTTCATTGTACGGCGGCACAGAAGTATGGGTGCAGGGGGTATCTCTCTCCTTCTGTCATTCTCTATTCCTGTCCGAATCCGAGCGTCTCCTCTACCGCGATGGTCATCTTGTGCTCCAAGGTGTCGTGGGTCTTGTACGGAGGCAGATCCAGACGGTTGAAGCAGGTGTGAGACTTCGGCAGAGCCAAAGGGTCACCCGACTTCTCGATGGTGAACCGTCTGGGGCCATCCGAACCCTGCAGATCCTTGAAGCCGTTGACGGGGATACGCGAGGTACCCGTGGTGAACTGCAGCAGACGCGACTTCTGCTCGGCGTCCCAGCTGCGGACGATCTTCCAGAAGTTCTGGATGACCTCGTCCTGCTCCTGGTAGCCGCGGTAGTCGGTGTGCTTCTTCCAGTCGTCAACGTCGATGTCGGCGATACCACCAATGAGCAGCTCCAGCTCGCGCTCGTCGAAAACGTTGACAAGGTCAGCCGGGATCAACTCGTTGAATCCGGACATGAACGCGTTGAACTGCTCCTCAACCCGCTTCATGATCTTCCACTCCGTCACCAGCTCAATGTACTGCGCCTTGTTCTCGTTGGTGACGGGAATGTCCCGACCACCGGGTATCAAATCAATGGTGCGGCGCTCTCCAAACTTCTCATCATCCACGGAGAAAGTGAGCTCAACAATTCCCTCAATATCATTATCCCTACGCCAAAAGTAAGCATTATGTCAAACGTCAAAAGGTGGGACAGAAACTTACAAGGTCCACGCCAAGTTGCGATGCAGATCTTCATCGACACCCTCCATATCCTGTAGACTCACCTTCTTGCGCAACATCATCTTGTAGAAGGCACCGATGAAGAAGGAGTCCAGGAAACGGCGATGGAAAATTGCCAAACCAACGACTCGGCCGATGAACTTGAAGTAGTTCAGATGCTCGGGGTTGACGCCAGAGTGGGGATTAATTTGCAGGGTATAATTGTCGTGGGCGGAGTATTCGAAGAGACAGTAGAAGGGATTGAACATTTCGTGGGAAAGGAGGAAGAAGAATTCACTGTCAAAAGAGTTAGAATTCACAAGGGTTTCAAAATAAATGCAAAACAAATAACATACCGAGAAAGACCACCGTAGTCGAGACCATCTTCACCGTCAAACTTGATCATCAAGCGTTTCTTGAGGTCCGATGCGCTCTGACGCATAATCTCGGCGTACGAATCCTCAAAGATGTTATTACGGCGGACCTTGACATGGCACTGTCCAGACATAATCCGAAGAGCAGGCTGCGAGCGGAAGTAGATCAGCTTGCGACGGAAATCACGCTTGTACTGCGGAACACCCTGATCAAGCGACGAAGGCAAGCGGGGGTCATCCCAAGTAGTTGTCTTCGTGTTGTGATCCACAAAGTACACCCGAGCAGTATTGGTGAGACGCATTTCCCAGCCACTCGGCAGCGGTCCGAGCTGGGAGACGGGCTGTTGCTGGATGGTGGTGTTGTTTCCGCCCTGGTTCTGGTTCTGGCCGTACATGCGAATGTACTGCTGACGGCGGGGATCAACCCAGGTCGTGGTGCGCGTATTATGATCGACAAAGTATGATCGTCCTTCCGGAGTATGCCTTTGTTCCCATCCTGGTGGAAGCTCTCCGGTTCCTGCAGTGGTTGCTCCAGTGGCCATCATGGATACTGCATTGGCTTGAGAACCTGTACCGCCAGCGGCAGCTGCGGCGGGAGAGGCGGCGGCACCAGGTGGTGGAGTAGTAGGTTGTTGGCCGTCGGACAGGTTGGGGGAATTGGCACCGGTACGGTCCTCGGGGAGCATTCGGCTTTGGTGAGCGCGTCGCTCCAGTTGCATGTTCGCTTCACGCTGACTGCGCTGGGTATGTTCGTTGTAGTTGGCCGAGGGTCGAGACCAGGTCGTGGTGCGCGTGTTGTGGTCCACGTAATATGTCCGTCCCAGATTATCCTCTCGACGTTCCCAGCCCGCAGGTAGTCGACCCTGACTATCCTCGAATGAACTCAAGTTGGCGCGCGAGGGAGCATTGGCGCCAGGCGGAGCGGATCCGTTTGGAGCACCGGGCGGGGGGTGAGTTAGGGAAGCCCGGTTGCTGAGTGACCCGCTAGACGCAGCGGCAGGTGTATCAAGATTGATTGGACCAGCCTGGGGTGTGGACGAGGAAGACGCAACCTGTGGCACAAGGCCGCTTGAGGTTGAAGACTGTACCTGTTGACGTTGAAGGCCGTTGGCCTGGGTCTGGGTCGGGGCGGTCAGATTAGTGGACAGGTTGATGATTAGCTTTCCGTGAACGACGAGGTTGTCGTTTGATTTTTTGAGGTCCCGGGTGAGCATTTCTATAGCGAGAGACGCGGTTAACTTTCGTGTGGCCCAATCGAATCGGGGGCAATCATCCAACTTACCATCACCCCCCATCTGAAGATCGATGACATCGCCGATGCGCACATTGATCACACCGAGGAAACCCTGATCCTTCTTCTTGAACTTCTTCTGATCGAAGATCTGAATCGCAAGAATACTGTCTTCGTTGACTCGTCTACAACAAACCCCCGTTAGTAAAGGTGAATCGATTTGCAGACGGAAGTGGGGTAAACGGTCACATACAGATCGAACGGCTCATTCCAGTATGGGTTCAAGGTCTTCTTAATCACAGAGGTAGTATGAGTTTGCTCCCCGCCAACCGTGGCCACGGCGAAGGGATCGGGGAAACCTAAAGATGAGATGGGTCAGCAAAGCAACCCCGCCTGACGGCTTGACTCGGGGTCGATTTGAACAGGGAAAACCACATACGGAAGACATCGCGCTTGTAAAGACCGTCCGCCGCGATAACTATACAGACGAGAAGGGAGGATTAGTTTCATGTGTCAAGGATGGCGGACCACCAGCCCCGCAAACCATCCCGCCATGGGATGCAGGGCGACAAGAAACAAGGTAATCTTACTCGTGACTCGGAGGTTTGGCTGGCTACAATTCGAGAGATCAGCATTGAGGTCATATACCAAATTTCCCGATCGGAAAGACGAAGAATACTCGGTATACAAGTAAATAGGAGGGCGGGGGTAGGAAAAACGTACGCTGGCAGATTAGAAGCCATGGTGGAGGCCCTCGTTGCTTCACAAGCACACCGTTCGGTGCGAAAGGCCGATCAATCAAGCCCAGGCCTCGAGATGCGAAGCGCACATCCACGAGCGGTGAAGTCGTGGCGATAGATTCGCAGATCTTGGATATTACCCTGTAGAGAGAGGAAGGCTGTGATGTGGAGGGAGGAGCGAGGGAGGGGGGGGAGGAGAAGTGCGTGTGCAGTGCTGATGTTTGATGAAGATCGAAGGAGGAGAAGAAGAGGGAGGCTTGGTGTCCAGACGTGGTAAGCGCTGGTACGAGTCGTCGTATTGGCAGTCTTTTTCAGGTAGGCACTGCCCGTGTAAGCATGGTAAGGTACGGTTTTCAGTACTAGTCTCTGGCAGGTACTCCGCCTACGTAACGACTATGAAATGCACCCGTATGAGGTACTTGATTGGTACCTCCCAACTGAATTTTCAGATCGATCATGATGGGTAAGAATTATGCGATAGATTACCAAGTTACTCTCATTTGTTGCTCCTGGATCGCTAGCACGACTACTGGGGCTGAGCAATAGAGGATCCCTCTCACTATGGGCGGGACCAAGTCGGGCATCTGCCAACGACGACTAAGCCACAATCGAATGCTATATCAGCCACCGATGTAGCATTTGCATATCGCCTGGTTAGCCGTCCTAACATGTGGTGTCCATATAGGCAAGGGTGCTCTCGTGGTTAACACGGGTCAATGCATCGAAAAGAACCTTTTATTATAACTGCTTACGTCCTAGGAATTTCATTACCCGTTGAAGCTGGCTTGTTCATCTCCGCGATCAGATCAGGGTAGAAAGGTCACAGAAACTGAAACAGAACGAGACTAGTATCTTAGGGGTTAACAATGCGATATACTCTCCGTTGAAAATGAAAATGCAGAATGAAGTAACTAACTGGTTAGCCTGTATACAGAAAATTCAATCAGTCCTGGTGGGTGCGCGCGGGAGAGCCAGTGGCAAGGTCTGATAATAATAGAGCAAATGCCAGCCATCGTACCTTACAACGGGCCTGAGACTGTTTCTTGTCTGTGCCCTTTTCGGGCGCTAGTTGGAACTTGATATTGATCTAGGCAGCGAAATTAAATGCTGACTACGAAATACTTACCCCAACAAGTAAGATTTCAAGGACCCAGACCAAGCTAGATACTGATTCGGTACTTATCGTGAAGGAGTTCGATAATCGATAACTACTGCGCCTGATCTTCCTTGTCAGCAAGTACTGGGCTTTACTGTCCGTATCTCCACGTATACACTCCACAACTACAATCTTATCTCAGCTGATATATCTGATTGTCAATGATTCGATGCAAGAAAACAAAAGAAGAGACAAAAAAAAAAACAAAGTATCCCATGATTACACAATTTGCCCCAAGCCACCCCCTCAGCATAAGAGGGCCGCGCTTGATATGCCCCGGCGGTTATTGTACATCCCATTGACCCACAACTCCAAAGCCACACAGACACAACCCAGATGTACCCCAGTGGCAGAGAGAACCAACCAATTCATGTCCCTTTTGGAAACCCTTTTGGAAAAGGTAGGAGAAAGAGAGAAATTCGGAAGCCAAGGGCCGCGGGATATTCGGAAGAGGGTTGTGGGGTTTGATCCATATCCCTTCCTTTGCGCCCGCCCAATCCCTCCTGTCCCTGCGGATTCCATGGCATCGAGAAGTGGACTTGTTTGAGAAAGCTGTATTGCTGAGCCCCGGTGCTTTAGTAGGGAGCATAGCCACGACCCCGACCCCGATATCCACCCCGATAGCTTCCACGGGGGCCACCACGCCCACGGCCGCCACGGAATCCACCCCGTCCACGACCGCGGGTCATTCCAGGGACGTTGGTGCGCTTAGGAGTGACCTATACGGAGAGAAGAAAAAAAGTATATTAGTCTTATGAAGCCTGATGGCAGGGCGAGCATCGCGGGGCAGTGATGAACTCACCTTCAAGTTGCGGCCACGGAAGACACTCTCATTCAGAACCAACGCCTGGGCCACAAGACTGGGCTCGGCAAATTCGACGTAGGCATAACTGTACACTCAAATATCAGCTTCTGTGGTCATGCAAGGTGAATCATCTTCGATCGTGATACAAACGCACCCCTTCGGCTGGCCGGAAAACTTGTCCAGCAGGATAGTCACCCGGTTAATGGAACCGCAGCTCTGAAAGTGTGCCTGGATCTCCTCAGGTGAAGCACCGTAGTCCACGTTTCCGACGAATACACTCCGCGCATCAATGTCCTCTTTGTTTTCCTGGAGGCCCTCGGTTTGCTGGTCCAGTGTCTCTTGCATGTCGCGCAACTTGGCGGCCTCGGATTCCATCTCGGCAACTCGGCGCTTCATCGCGGCAATTTCCTCCTGTAGGGCCAAATTAAATGCTGTCAGCTCGGTTTATAGCAGCGGTTTCCTGCGGCGATAGAATGGAGCTTCACGGCGCCGAATCCGCAGGAGCGCAGCTTCCCTACGTACCTCATCGTCGACACCCTCCTCCTGAGGAGGGATCTGCTCCTCCTTCAGCTCGGTGCTCTCGGAAGCCATGGTGATGGCGGTTGTATATGGGGTGGATGGGGGTTAGCTCTGTCGTAGAAAGCTTCTCGGAGATGAGAGGAGCAGTCGGATCGGAGCTTTAAGACGGGCGTATCCAGCGAATGCGCAAGAGCGGAGGAGACAAATTGAAGTTGGACCAGGAAAATAGAAAAGACGCAACTCTAAAATTGATTGAACGAAGGATTGTTGAGCACAAAGAAGATCTACCAATGGAGATCTTTGCGGGGCGGTAGGAGATATGAGGCGCGCGGTGAAATTGGGACTTGGACGATTACCGTTTCGGGACTAGTGGGTCTCTGCCTGCTTCGCGACGAAGGCCTATGTCGACACCTCATGTCTACCGATGAAACAGAACATGATCGACTCAAGTTGTCTAGTAAGGGAGATCTGGACAATCGAAAAATGGAGCTTTATACTCGTGGAAGTAATGCATCCATTAGAATACCAAATAAAAATGGATCTAGGGTTTTCTCGGCCTACAACCACATCTTAGAACAAGGAGCCCACGAGAAGAGATCTATATACAAGCGAGAGTAAAGAGACGACCGTATGAATCGTATGGATCAACCTAATTTGAGGTATCAAAGATCAAATTGAAGCAAAGAATCCAAGCTGGCTAGAAAAGAAACACAGACATGAGGGGCGGGTAAGAAGAGGTCTATATACAAAGGAGAGAGGAATGGTGAAAAGATGGGTAAAGAAGAAGGCGGACGTGGGATCAAGATGCCGGCACCACTGCTGGAGCAGGGGCATGATTCTTGCGATATGAGACCTTCTCAACCGACACGTTCTCAACGCCATTAGCGTCCGTCTTGAGTTGATACACGTAGAGCACCAAAACATCCCCCTGGATCTATTTCCTTTGTAAGCTTACGCGCGCCAACAAAGCTTATATATTTATGACTTACATCCATCAAGCAGAAGCTCGGCGTTGGTTCTTCGCCCTCCGGCCAGAAGCCCGAGCTCATGGCGCCTGTGGCACTCCCCGGGTTGATGAAGAAGCGGCCCTCCATCTCGAATGCCTCGAACCGGTGAGTACCGCCCCAAAGCAAGATATCCACGTCCATCTGCCGGGCTGCGATCAACAGCGCATCGGCGTCACCGGGCGGGATGATGGTGTGTCCGTGAGTGAAACCGATGCGCAGGCTGCCGTGATTTACGACCTTGGAGAGCGGGAGGTTGGGGGAGTCAACATCGTAGTCACCCTTGACCATTTGCAGGTCTGGGGCGATCTGGCGGAGGAACTCATAGGTATCGCGATCGGTGAGGTTACCCAGGCAGAGGATTTGGCCGATCTTGCCGGGGGTCAGGAGTTTGCGGAACTAGAACGAATAGCTGGGTTAGTTGTGTTTGAGGCGATTATGACCCTGGGAGGTGTTGTTGTGTACCTTGGCGGGGAGGTCCTAAGGGAGATGGGTTAGCTGTCGTATTCTGGGAAGCTGTGATATCATGGGCGCCTAAGCTTATGGATCTGGAGACTCACGGGAGCTCGATCAGGGATGAATAGGTCACCAATGACTAGGACCAGACGGGCGGTCATGCTGGGCGGGTGGGGTTAAGGGGTGGAAGATCGGAGATTCAATGGGCCATGCCAATTTCGGGGAGTCCAGACAGATCCAAGCAAGATCCAAACAAGAGCACAGCAACAGCCGGACGCGGGCGATAGCCTGACGGGGACAGCTTCGCGGGGAAGCCACGAGCGCGAAGCCCTGAGCCCTAATTCATGCCCCAATTGGGGATAGTGTCCCCCAGCGGATGCGGTCCCGATGTTGTCTGAAGCATCCCGATCTTCGCAGCTGGGCATTGGTTCGTGAGGCCGAATCTCTCGCCCGACTGCTGTTCGGTTTGATCAGTCCAATCCACTAGCATCAAACGGATGAGTTTATTCCGTGCGGAGGTCGCCGTGCTGCAGGACGAGAATTAGCAGGGTTCATCTATGGAGTTGGAGATAGCTCTCAGCACAGGACAGTGTATACGGCGAATGTTATAGACTGTGGGAGTCAATGGCAGAGAAGATCATATCTTCATATACTATAGCGCACTTGGAACTTCACTATAGAAGCTGGTTAATTGACATCTCGTGGAATAAATTGTATTCTACACTATATACTCTCGCACTCGGTATACTCGGCCTGTTTACCTCGCGAGACTATACTTTGCCGTACGGAGCAGATTCCTACGCACAAAAAGTGGCTAGAATCATAATGTACTTTCAAATAATCGGACCATGTACTCTCCATTCCGATTACCCCAGATTCTCCTCCTCACCGAGAGCTCCTCTGAGAATAGACTCTACCGCGTAGGCTGTGGGATCCCAGTCCGCAGTCTCTCTCACGAGAATGCCCCGGCCGGTAGGGTCCGGCCGTCGAGTCTCCGCGACGGACAAAGGAGACCAGCAAAAGGGTTGGGAAATGGGCAGGAATAGCCAGCGTGTCTCCTCCTCATAAATACGTCCCCAGAACTCCTCTCCATCTTGCCTGGCCATCATCTCCTACACCTTGCAATCTCCATCTTCCTTACCTTCCTCTGCATACCTCCTCCACAGCCAATCGCTGCCCTCCCCGGCTCTCCTCCTCCCTCCTATCGGCATCGGCGGCGATCCCCGAACCTTCCCAGCCAGTTTTCCCTCGGGAATTCACAAGCAGGCCAATCCCCCTCCTTCCCAGCGACCAGTCCCATTGAAACCCCCGCGGCACCCCCCGCCGCAAATCGGAAAAGCTGGCGCCCACTTCGACACAGCAGCGCCTCAGCCTGATCTCCAGACACCTGGACCAGCGCCTGCCGTTGCCTGAACTGAACACTCCCTTCTCGACCGAGAGAAACTCCCTGGCTCCTGACGACGTCGAATATAAACCCATCGATCGGTCCATTCCTGCTTCCCCCATTACGTCCACGTCGCCCACCATGTCTACCCAACCCCCTCACAACACTCTGCTCATCCCGGGCCCCATTGAGTTTGACGATGCCGTGCTGCAGTCCATGTCCCACTATGCGTGAGTCATTCTACTCGATCATGGAATTAACTTCAACATCAATTGGAACTAATCATTGGGCTTTTCTATAACCACAGTGAGAGCCATGTCGCTCCCGGCTTCGTCAAGGTCTTTGGTGAGACCTTGACCCTCCTCCGTAAGCTCTTCCAGTCGACCAACCCCTCCGCCCAGCCCTTCCTCATTGCCGGCTCTGGCACCCTGGGCTGGGACCTGGTCGCTGCCAACCTGATCGAGCGCGGCGAGAACGCCCTCGTCCTGAACACCGGTTACTTCGGTGACTCCTTCGGCAACTGCCTGACCACCTACGGCGCCGAGGTGACACACCTCCGCGCTCCGATCGGCGACCGCCCCGCCTTCGAAGAGATCGAGGCCGCCCTCAAGCAGAAGCCCTACAAGCTGCTGACCGTGACACACGTCGACACCTCCACCGGTGTCCTGAACGACATCAAGCGCGTGGCCGAGGTTGTCCGCCGCGTGAGCCCCGACACCCTCGTCGTGGTCGACGGCGTGTGCAGTGTCGGTTCGGAGGAGATCGCCTTTGACGAATGGGACCTGGACGCGGTCGTGACCGCATCGCAAAAGGCCATCGGCTGCCCTCCCGGTCTGAGCATCGTCTACTGCTCCGGCCGCGCGATCCAGCGCGCCCAGTCCCGCAAGACCCCGCCTGCCTCCTACTACGCCTCCATCGCCAACTGGCTCCCCATCATGCAGAACTACGAGGCCTGCAAGCCCTCCTACTTTGCCACCCCGCCCACCCAGCTCGTTCACGCCCTGCACACCACCCTCAGCCAGATCACCTCCCGCCCCATGTCCGAGCGCTTCGCCATCCACACCGCCGCTTCGGACAAGGTCAAGGCCGCCATTGCCGAGATCGGCCTGGCCCAGGTTGCTCCCAAGCCCGAGTGCCAGGCCCACGGCATGACTGCCATGTACCTCCCCGACGGCCTGTCCCCGCCCGATGTGCTGCCCGGTCTGCTGAAGCGCGGTGTGATCTTCGCAGCTGGCCTGCACAAGGAGATTGCCACTAAGTATATCCGCTTCGGCCACATGGGTGTTAGCATTTCGGATCCCAGCCGTAATGATATTGATAAGGCTTTGTCGGCGCTGAAGGAGGCGTTGGCTGAGGCTAAGCAGGCTAAGGGTCTGTAAATGAGAGCGATGGGGAGCGATGTCTATACCCATGAAATTGGTGTGCCTTTTGTAATAGGTTACGTGTCCATAGATTGCAATGAATGACCTGACTATAGATCATGTTCTGTGTAAAGAGTATGAACCATGATAGTAGCTCGAAAGCTACGTATTGGGTGGCTCTTCAGAGCACCATGTCGACCTCCGTCTTTGAAACTTATAGAACAAACGATCGTGGGTTTACAAGATCCGGTGGATACAAGTCCTGACTGAAACTATAAGCACTCCATTTTCCCCGTCCGAGTCCGGAAGGGCCAACTCTCGAGATTTCCCCATTATTACTTGTACTCTGGAATGGCATTTATCCAACCTCACCGATATACTTCGAAGCGTCTATGTAGCATACGCCGCATAGGTTTTCTATAGCATACACAGACTCCAAGTCTACATCAATCAACAATGCAATCCAAATGCCAATTTATGATTACGCATATAGCAGACACACGAACCCCAAGTCTAAACCTACATCAATCAATCAAACCAAAACAAAATGCATATTGTGATTAAAATTACCAGGCAACATAAAGCCCAACATAATGCTATGCTAAAACCAACGCACCCACGCACCCACGCACTACCTATCCATCCCTACCAACTCCAGCATCTCAAACCATCCACCAGCTAACATCCACTAGGAAAACAATCTAAAACAAAACCCCCAACGCCAACCCCAAAAACGCCACCCACCCACCCGCAGCCCCAACAGCCCCGGCCGCCGCCCCCTTCGACGGACTCGAAGTCGCCGCCAACCCAGTCAACGACTTGGTCGGCTCGCCGCTGACGCTGTCCCCGTCACCACTCTTGCTGTTACTCTCCAGGCCGCTGGGGGTATCGGTGGGCTTGGAGGCTGAGGTGGAGGTGGAAGAGGAGAAGCTGACGGGAATGCTGGATGCGTAGTCAGACGCGGAGGTGTAGGCAGTGGTGGCTGTGGTTGTTGGGGCGTAGGCTTTGGCGTTGGCGCAGTTTTGCTGGCGGATTGTTTGGGCGCCGATGCGTTCTGGGAGATCGGGGCAGTTGTTGTAGCAGCTGTACGGGAGAGGAGGTGTTAGATTGATCGATTGATGATGTAGAGTTGGGATTGGGATTGGGATGGGGATGTGGGTGGGGGGTTAGGGTTAGACGTACTCGACGACATTTGTGCTACCGGTGCATTGGCAGTCCCAGTCATATGTAGCGCAGTTTTCGAGTTGGAACTTCATGTCTTGGACGCATTTGTCGACGACCCTGTGCGTCAGTGGTTAGTATGCGAGGTTCTATATAGAGATATTGAAAGTAGGGCGTTCAAGCATACTTTTGCGCAGCGCATTTGGTCGAAGTGCCAGTGCTGACGGAGCTAGCTCCTGTAGTAGTCGCCCCGCCGACGACGATAGTAGCCGATGCGGCGAGCAGAAGGGGGAGTTGGGTGGTAAGGACACGCATGTTGACGGATGATATCGAAGTACACGGAGTATAGATGACTTGGGTAGATGAGTGGACGAAGTTGGGAGGGAGTTGAGTAGTAGTGATGGAGGAAACAAAAGATGCAAATTTATGGACGGGAGGTCAGGAAAGTGTTCGAATATTATAGTATTCTGGTTTCTTGGTTCAAGGGCAGGTCGAGCTAGGTTTGGCATTCTTTTGCGTGGAAAAGAACGTTTGCTGTCTTCCAGGCGATCATACACTTTTTTCGGCGGGAGATTTGACAAGGGGCCAATCGTGAGAGAGGGATGTCTACATGGATATTTTCTCCAGGTTTCCGAATGCGGAAAATAGTTAGGACGGTGTTTATGCTGATTGAGTGTGCCTGGACATAGGACTAGAGCTCTGTGAGGGAAAGATGGCGATCAAGACGAGAACATCAATTGTTAATTGTGGCTGGGGGTGTGAATGTAGAACAAACCCCCCATGGGAACATCTCCATTCTACCAAGGAAGGAAGGGGAATTCCGCTGAGCATATCTGCAGGAGGCTGATAGCTGTTAAATGGTCCTTTCTAGGGGAGAGGCCACGGTAGAAATGAGTTGCTCGCGTGTTTCACACATTCCTGGATAAGTCTGGGGAGTTACATTCCAGAATGGTCCTTACCCCTGGCGGGCCGACCAATAGGAAGTCTTATGGGTAACTTCGAGAATGCGCAGCCGTCGACTGCAATGTCCGTTGACAGATTAGGGTGAGTTGGATAAGTAGCCGAGCCTGCATAATACCAGTGTAATAACGCTTTCGATGGTTCATGGTCAACGGAAGCGACAACATTCTGGGTGCATGCGAATTCTTGGATCACAGCGCAGTTTGACTTGCTCGACTCTACGAGGAGATAGGTACGTAGACGAATGCCAGTCATGTACACAGGTTGAAATCAGACAAGATGCTAGCATTGGTATCAAGAATTTTGATTTGTTTGGGAATAGCTGGCGGTATTCCCATCTTAGTTGGGTGTCATGATGGTAAAGAGTTCCAACGCTCTTGATTCCGAGAGAGCGGCCAGTGTGATTCGACAGGCAAAAAAATATTATCCCTTGCTGAAGTCATCCCAATTAAGATACCTCCTTGGCATTGTAGTACAAACGAAGGCACCAGACATGCCTTAAAGGAAAATAGGCAATAAATCTCTGTATATAGAATCCAAAGCAATAAAAATTATGATAGAGGACGCATCTACAATTATCAAAACAGCTTTCTACCATCCAATGACTTCCGGTGTACATCGTATTTTCTATCCAGGTAGTCCAGGGCTAGTTTCTGTAGGACCATTAACATAGATTTAGTACCCTCCTTGATACATTTGCATTCGCAGTACACATCTACATCGACTTATCCAATATTCCGTTCCTTCGTAGAATGATCATGATATAGAAAGGATAGAAGCCAGACGCAAGCGTCCTTTTTGACAACAGGACAGGCTCCTTTTAGTTACAGATCATCAAGAACAATTCAAAATCGGATGCCTTAGCCTTCTTCACGCGGCAGGGCGATGTTCCTGCTCGAAAGAGGTGGTCTGGCATCAGCGGGAGTGATGTAGGGGCGAGGACTTCTCTAGATGACAAGACACGATATTGACAGGGGAGGTTCTGGGAAACCTTGGACTATCCAAGACAAGATAGAAAATAGAGGTCGAATAGCTCGGGCATAGTGAAAAACGGTCATCGCCCACGTACAGCGCCAACCGAGAGATAAAGACGATGTACAACAATCAATATTGCTACCTAGGTAGTAGATATCCTAAACTATACAATACAACACTCATCCCAACCCATCCATACAATCACTTTTCAAACCTCAATCCCCAATATATAGATACGCCCCCCCTACTCAACCTTCCTCCTCTTAACAGTCCTGCCCCCATTAGCAATCTTCCTCTTCTTCTGTAAAGCCTTCTGCTCCTTCTGCTTAGCCCTCATCTCCTCCTTATCCTTCTTCTTCTGCTTCTTCATAGCAAGCTTCTTCTCCCTCGCCGCCGTCTCGCCCGATGCATCAGCCCGCGCCTTCTCCGCAGCCTCCACGCGTGCCTTCTGTCGTGCCGCCATCCGCAGGACATCCTCCGGATCTTGGTTCTCGAGGTAGCCTGATACGGCGATGTTGCGTAGCACGTAGGCTGTCTTTTCGATGTCGTTGTGCGAGATGGTGATGGCATTTGAATCGGAATCGGTTTCGGCTTCGGCTTCGACGGCACGGTTCAGACGCTCGCGGAGCTCCCAGCATGCGTCCCAGAGTTTGCGGTACTCGGCGATGTTGTACTTGACGTTTAGTTCGCCGTTGGGACGCTTGAATTTGGAGATTTTGCGCTTCAGTTTGAATTTTGGTGGGCGGGGAGGACTTTTGCCGTCCTCGGCGATAGCGTCTGGGTTGTGCTCTTCATCGGCGGCTTCCTCCTCTTCCTCATCGTCCTCTAGCTCGGGGAACTCCTTCAGACATAGCCAGAGGTAAACATCGTCGCTGTAGAATGGAACCTGCTGCTTGGAGTTGCCGGTAGCGGTGGCAATGGAAAGAATCAGCGAGGCAGTGGCCACACCCACGCCGCGGAGGGGGCCAAAGGCGTCGATGCTGGGCTTGGGGAAAGCCTCGTTTGGCGCAAGCATGGGGTCTTCGGTAGAAAGAGCAGCGATAGCGGTGGAAGAACACTTTAGCACGTTCTTGTTCTGGTTGGACTTGACCATGCCCATGAGAGTTGGACGGGGGATACCATGTTTCCTGTTCTATATCAGCTGCTGTCCGACTCGAAACAGTACTTCAAGCAAAAGCAAGCCCAACTCACGTCTTCCAATCCATAACAGTAATCAAATCATTCTTATTCAGCACCTCCCCGCCCTCTTTTTCCCGCCGCTCACCCATAACAGTAGGCATCTCCTCATACCGCCACTTATCCAGCACCAAAAACTTCGCCGTCTCCTCCTTGATATACTTCTCCTCCGAGGTATTGAAATCCGTCCTCTGGAGTAGCATCGCACCGCGCAGACTCGCCGATGCCGAGCCAGCTCTTTTCTCGACTCGTCTCTTCGAGCCCTTCTCCGGCTTGGGTTGCAGCTTTAGCATGGCTTTGCGTCGGTGCACTTGCTCGACTGTTGTCGGATAACAGGAGAGAAGGCGGCGGAATGTGGAAAGTGTTATGCGGTGCGGGTGGAAAGTATCTTCATCGGGGGTGATTTCTTCGTCGTCTGAGTCTGAATCGGAGTCTGATTCTGATGCGGAGTCGCTTGAGGAGACATCTGAGGCGGCATCGAGAGTGAAACCATCCGCATCGCCAAGGGAGATGAATTCCTCGGCGGGTTCGAGGGCCTTTTCGTTGGCGCCGGCCTGAGCGGCTGCTGCATCGTTTTCAATAGCCATTTTAGTGGTTCTCAGGAAATCAAAACGATCAGACGATGATCTCAAAGTTAAGAGGGCGCGACGGTGCAAGGCGCAGCAGAGGCTGAATTTGTCGCGGTCGCGATGGAAAGACGCCCAATTGCTAGCGTCGCGGGTTGTCGAAAAAGACCTCAAAGCTCAGTCAAGGCCAAGCTAGAGATGTGATTGATAACAGCTTCCAATTGACCGCTCACAGCTGTGGGTAATCCGCAGATCGAGGAGGAACCAAGTCGATACTCGGAAAAAACGCAGAGGTGGTCGTTATCGCGATAAGCTCCAACCGTGAACTGCAAACACCCCCCAAACTAATGCCTGAGGCATCAATATGGCTTGACCTAGAGGATCGCTCGCAGAAAGGCCTAGGTTCAAGTACAATAAGTGATGTACTGAACTAGCAGAAGAATGAGACGAAAAAAGTGACTGTAATTGATTTATGTATTTTTCTTCGTAACTGCCTACCGCATTTATTGATTGCTACAGATTCCCGGCTCTAGAACCCTAGAAAGCGCTCGATTGCTTACATTGAGAACATCGAGACTCTGTAGAGAGAGATTTGCATCATGCCATGAGCGAGAGCCATAGTCGACGAAAAGGATACTGGAGGTATACAGGTACTTCTTACTACCTTAAAAACTTACCCACCCTGATTATCCCAACGCTATTCAATCTATCATGTCCCACGAGCTTTGACTACAAGCAGAACGATCAATACGAAATTACAAATGCCGCGTTGACATCCATCCTACTGCACAAGCCAGATAAAGACCGAAAAAAGGCAAAATAGGTAACCAAAACGTCATAATTCTATATTCTCAGCTATCACATTTTTGAATCTTTCCTCTTTCCGTCCCCAGGCAAGCCGTCACCAGGAGAAAATAAGAGGACACCTATGTACAGAAACCCCCAACCAAACCCACAATCCAACAGAAAATTCAAACCAAAATCTGGCCGTAAAACAGGTCTTCATTAAGAAAGAAGAGTTGGGAAGAAAGAAGGGGGAACAAGACAGAAGTGTAGAAGAGGAAGAGGTGGTGGATAACACAATATCAAAATACAGAAACGTCATGAAGAGTTGAACCAGGGCAGTCAAGTCAAGTCAGGGGGGAGGTCATCATCCGTTGCGCGCGCATGCGTTCGTGTGCCTGGCCGGACCAGCCATCGTCAAGATGGGGGTTGGGGAGGTGACCAGGTGAGAACGAACAGGGAAAATTAAAATCAAGATTGGGTAATGGTGTAAATGGGGTTTTATGAATGGAAGGGCCGAGGTGACATGATACCAGAGTACCGTGCAACTGGCAGAGAGGGGAGTGGGTAAGTCATGGGGTTTGAAGGGGCAAACAAGCGAACAGACAAGCATCACTGGTTCGACTGCGGAGGCTTTTGCCCGTTCGCGCGCTTCAGCTTGGCTTCCTCGGTGTTGGGATGCACAAAGTTCACTTGCTCGTCGTCGCGTCTACGGTCACCGAATCCGGGTACCATGGACATCTTCTTGGAGCGGTTTTGCTTCAGCGGCTTAGAGAGCGTAGGGGCAGCCTGGGGACCAGGGTTCGTCAGCGACGGGCCAGGCTTGGGCTCGGTGGTAGTAGCAGAGGGAGCACCAGCCCGCTCGTCGTCCTCGACTTCAATGTGTCGGAATTCCTGCTCCTCCTCGTCAGCCTCGGAGGAACTCGGGCTGTCCGAGTCCGAGGCCGCTTCGTAGTCGTCCTCGTCATCGCTGACCAGGCTAGGCGCCTGGTTGGATTCCAGTGCATTCGGGCTGAGGTTGGCCGAGTGGTCGAGGAGGCTGTCACTTTCGCGAGACGCATCGGTCAGTGCCGGATGAGGCCCACTGGGAAGTGAGGAAAGGTCGAGGAAGGACTGCTGGTAAGGCGGACGGGAAGGAGTCATGTCTGGGAGGTCGTGAGGGCCTCTGTCGATGCCCTTGCGACTTTCCGCTCGCTGGGAAGCTTGCGCGGTCGGGATGCGCATGGGATGACGAACAACGGGGGTACCCTGTTGAGATGCTGCCTGGCTGGTTGCTGTGGACGGATGTTCCGATTCGTCGGCGTCCGAGTCATCGTCAGAGAGAGCACTGAGGTCTACAGGCGTCTTGGCCTCTGCCACGAGCTTGTCCAAGTTCAGCCCAAGGCCACGATCACGCATGAGCGCAGATAGATGCGGCGTTGCTGGAGAAGCGAGGAACGATGGGTTCTTGGTAGAATTGACAGGCTCAGACTGGCGACGGGACTCGGCCTTTGGCTGGACAGTAGCAGGCGGGGTGGCGACTGCGGCAGGCACATTGACTGACAGGGGCTTCTGAGGAGTAACAGACTCTTTCGAAGGAGTAGGCAGTTGAGCAGAGCGAATGAGCGGATGCACAAAGCCAGGTGCCTGAACACTGCTGGTCGGCTCGCTGCGAGGACCAGTGCCACCACCAACAATGGTGCCAGCATCATCAACTTCGACTGGCTCTCCTGAGGCCATCGCAGCAGCGTCATGACTGGCAAAGTTCCGGTTGTGCGCAATACGGCAGTGATTGATGAACCCCTGGGTGCTCGAGAAGTTATCCCGACGACAGTCTAGACAAACCAGCTTAACCAAAACCTGATCCGACTTGCGCCGGATGATCATCGGTCCAGGCTTCTCCTTGGGAACAGGATACCCGGACGATAGCGACTGGAATTTGGCTTGAGGAGTCCCACGCGACGGCCGAGTCTTACCCGCTAGTGAGCTAAAGTCCATTGGATTCCCACGGGTGGACCGGCCCTCCGGCACCATGAAGCCTTCGCGAACCGCCAGCGATCCCGTCTCGACCTCACCGCCATCGAACCGGGGGTCCGGAAGAAGCCATCGCGCGTAGTGTCGCGAGTATGGACCCTCCGTGACACCCCAAGGCGCGGGCGAGATCGGTGCTGGGCCATTTCCAGGCAGCAGCACCGAGGCACCCGTGCCAGCGCTCACATCGGCCGATACACCAGAGACTGCAGACCCCGGGTAGGGGATCTCAGCACAGCGTCGCAACTGTTCCAGCGCAACCTGACACTTGGCAATCTCCTGGTCGATCAGGCGCAGCTCGTTGTGCTTGAGGAGGACCTCGAGACTGAGCTGGGCAGTGATGGTCTCGCGCAGGCGATTCACATCTGGACGCGCACGCACGGCCGGCGCCAGCGCCGGCTCGCGCGCTATCGTGACCGATGGTGATGGGGCGATGGGCGCTGACACTGGTTCCGAAGCAGGCGTAGTCACGGTCGTCGTCGGTGTAGGCAATGTCGACGCCGCGACGGACGGTTCAGAGCGCGGCTTGGTCGAGGCGGGAGCGTCGGTCGCGGAGGAATCGGAGCGTTTGCGCTTGAGTAAGGGTGGTAGCGCCTGCGACAGGGCGTTGACGTTGACGTTCATATTCATGCCCGGAGCGCAGCCAGCCGGAGCCAGCATCTTGACTTCCTCTGCCATTACCTTGTTCCCTCCGATCGGAGAGGGCCAGGGCAACAGGCGAAACATGCCATGCGAAGTGGGCAGGCGAACCGAGTTGGGCTGGGATGGGCCGAACGAGGGAGGAGGATTAGTTGGATCGGCGATAGGCGACCGGGTCCATGCGCGAGGAGGTGGCCGGTCGGACAGTTTGACGAGGTAAGGGTGTTTGTTTTTGATTGGAAGTTTGTGCAGGTAATAAATCTTTTTGGTGTTTGGTGTCTTTTGAGATTCTTTTTGTCGAGACCAAATAGAATTACAGGGGTAGTGTGGGTTGAGGATGGTTGGAGAGCGAGTGGTGAATAATGGAGGGAAGGGGGGGGGAGGGCAAGTGGAAGGAATGGACGTCGACGACGAAGAGGAGTGTCGCGCGACCGTGTCAAGTTGGGCCAACTCGTGTGGAGTTGGGCCTGGGGAGATTACGGAAGAGGGTGGCGAAAAAATCTATTAAGAGGCGAGGAGGAGGAGGTGGTGGAGAAAGAGGAAGAAGAAAAGAGGAAGAGGAAGAGGAAGAGGTAGAAAGAGAAAACAAAAGGATGAAAGAGGATGAGAGTGAGAAGAAAGGGAGAGGAGGAGGGGAGACTGGAACAAGGGCCAGCCAAAAGTGATTGTGTTGGAAGGACACGAGAGTTGGGTTTGGGAAGGAGAAGAAAGGGGGGATCCCAAACACCCCCCTGGGACGGGAATAATCCTCACCTTCGCAGAACACGACGGATTATGATGGAGAGGAATACTTCACGCCGATAGGGTCCAAGACATTCACAGGCGACAGTGCTGACGCAGTCCACTCCCTGGTGGAGCCCATGATGTGATTTGGGACTGGGAACTCTGCCATCAACGATCCTATACTGACCGTAGTCCGGAGTACAGTGGCCACTATTAGTCTACTAGCCTGTCTAGTAGATGGAGTCTTCCGATCCTCGACGAAGATCCTTCGTAAGACATCCCTCTTTGACGTGGAGGGCTGTGGATATCTACAACACGTCATGCACTTTTTATACTTTGCAAAGGACAGAGTCTACGAGAGAACCCTCCTGTTCCGATGCCCGAGGAGACAGAGCAAAGACAAAGTACCACTTACAATCATCATAAATAGAGACAAGTAAACAGTAGCAGTGAGAACCACTGACCCAAGATAAACATCGCTTCCACTACCTATCTCGGTCAAAAATGATCCATCACAATGCCCATTCTCTCCTTCCTCCTCTACGCCGGATGCGTGCGGCTCCCACCCATGTCCGGGCGATGTATCGCAACCCACCCACAGAGGGAACTGACCCAGACAATCAGCCTTCCCACTCAACCAGTCAATGGATCTCCTCCAAGACGCTTGGCTCCTGGATCCACCAGTCGGTTCCTTCGCCCCAATACCTGCCAAGGATAAGGTGTGGTCTGGGCCACACTCAAGCCGATCCCGCTCGTTGATTGGGGGGGAACTCGGTTTGTATCCAATGAAAGGATAATGATGCTCCCCTTCACAAATGGGAAATAGCCCAAGCTGACCGGGGGTACTTTGAGGCCCTGTGGTAGCTTAATGTACAGCTGTGTCGTGGACTCGTGGTGGATTTTGGGCTCTGCCTTTCAATCAACCCAACAGCTTACAGCCGGACTGTCTGTTTTGCATCCACTCAGAACCCTGGACACGGTGCTCGGTTGGGAGCCTCGCCTGGAAGCTGTGCGAAACACATGGAATCCGGTCGAATCGGTCGGACCTGAGACGAGGGTCAGTGCTCAGGCGCTGGGTGTTTGGCTCATTGGTTGGATTCGTTGTCGGCTTCGGGTACTTGCCTCCAGGTCTAGCTCATGTTTCTTGTTTCTTGATTTCTCGGCCACTGCCCAACGCAGGTCGCGGGGGAATTTGCTGAGGTCCCTCTCGCGGAGCTTGGTCTGAGGTGGACTTATCAGTCAAGGCCGTCGCCGATAGTCGCCGATAGGGTCACGTGATATATCGATATGTCAGCAGCGTACGAAGTAACTAGTTATAACTAGTCCCGCAGCCAGGCTCACCAAGCACATACGACCATAGGGTGTGGAGAACAGGGCTTCCCGTCCGCTCAGCCGTACTTAAGCCACGTGTGGTATGCGGAAAGTTCTTAATGCGCCCTGGGCTCTAAAATAGCGTCGGATTTTATCTTGGGATGAGTGTGGGTGAGAAGTTTGGAGACTGGGGTGATAGAGGTAAGAACGGGTTGAGAGTGGGTGAGAATAGGGTATGGATTCTTACCTAGGTTACCTACCCTCCCTCGTAAGTCCGAGCTATAAATATAAGGCCTAGGGCATACGTCTGGTCTGCTATATCATTTTCCTTAACGCTTAGCAAGTCGAAAGATGATGCTTCTAAAGGACTTTTGAAACTCGATAAAAGAATTACACGTGCTGCGTTGCTTCATTGCCTAAGTAATAGACTTCGCATTCCCCTGGCATCAGCCCTAGAGAGTGGTGTCTGGCCAGACTTGTCGGAAGCCCGAATGTCAGCGCCCCAGCCAAGCAGTAGCTTGACAACTGGCCAGTGTCGATTCTCAACCGCCCAAGCTAATGGCGTGAGGCCAAACTTATCCTTAGATTCGATATCTCCACCCCTGTCGTACAAAAATTCTACAAGCGCCGCATGTCCATTTCTTGCAGCCCACCATAGTGGTGTCTCCCCGTAAAGAGTTCTCGTGTGGATATCAGTGCCTCCGTCAACCAGCAGCTTCGCGGAGTGCGCATTGCCCTGCTTTGCAGCCTCTAGGAGGGACCAGTTCGACTTCTCGACGTCATCTTTACTCTTTCCAAGGAGCAGCTCGAGTAGGGCCTTTTGCCCGTCCCCTGTGGACCACATCCAAGTTGCCTGTCTGGGAAGACCTTCTCGGTCCACGGTGGTGTTACGCTCCATATACCGCTGAGCCAGTAACTCGAAGCTTTTCCTTACAGCTGACAGTAACGGCGTCTTATCCTCAAAGTCTCCATTTCTGCCGAGGGATAAGTCCACTGTGTCAGTTCGCGTTCGTACAGGCCCCAAGGCAATAAAGTTGAGTAACTGGTTCTTTCCCTTGTGGTCTCCGATCCGGTCCAGCAGTAACTTGACTATTCCCTCGTGGCTATGCTCGACAGCCCAGAAAAGCGCTGTTCTCTCGTGTTTATCCTGAACAGAGATAGCCGCGCCTTCTTTGAGCAGTAATATAGTCAGTGCCTCGTGCCTATTTCTCGCTGCCCACAGTAGAGGCGTCTGGCCGTCAGCATCTCGGATCTCCCGATTTGCCCCGCAGTCAAGAAGAATCTTCGCGATCTCCAAGTGCTGATTCCGGACAGCCCACCATAACCCTGTTAGCCCTTTGTCATCGGTGGCGTTTAGATCCGTCTCGGGATTCGCAGCTAGCAAGCCTGTGATAGCAGCATGTCCAGTCTGCGCTGCCCATAACAGCAATTTTCCTTTGTTCGCAAATCTACAAGCAGAATTGGCGCCTCTCTCAAGTAACAGCTCGACCGTGTCCAGATGCTCATTCATGACGGCCCAGGATAACGGTGTCCGACCACCGGCGTCCTTTGCTTCCAGATTCGCTCCCCTGTACACAAGAAAGTCGACAACAGCTTGATGGCCGTTGCTAGCAGCCTGTGAAAGAGGCGTCCGTTGCGAAGAACTTTCTCTGGCTTCAAGGTTCGCTTGTCTCTCAGTCAGAGCCCGCACGAGGTCGCAGTGGCCATGGTTGGCAGCTAGCCAAAGTGGTGTAACTTGGGTCTTTGACGGGATATCTATTTTCGTGCTTCCTGAGTATAGAAGCATGGCTACAACACCTCCATGCCCCTTACTAGCTGCATGGTGTAAGGCAGTATATCCTTCTTCGTCTTGCAAGTTCAATTCGCACATAGGTAGAAGGAGATTGACGACGTCCGCAAGCCCCATTTTTGAGGCGACATGAAGTGCAGGAAGCCGCTCATCGACCAACGGGAGGTTACAGATCTCCCGTATGTCTCGATCGGAAGTGAGTGCCAACTCCAACAGCGGAATGTGCCCTTCCTTAACGGCCCATCCGAAGAGGCCATGTAGGCGTGAGGTTTGTGAGCGGCCGCCGACCACCCAAGGGTGGAAATTCCAGGTTTCGTTGAAACTCAACGAGAGTTGCTTGAATTTATCCCAAATTGAAGATAGGGAAGTTATTTTCTTGGTTTGCAAGGTCCATTGAGTGACTGCGTAGTCCAGGAATTTGTACCGTGAACGATCTGGGATAGTGGCTGATCGGATCCGTCGAAAATGTACTTGGGCGGGTTGTTTGGGGCTTGCCCTCGTCCCCAGAAAAGTCTAACCAAGGGAGATGCTAATGCATCGCCGGCGAATAGTTTGGGATCCGGCACTTTTACCACTTCTGTCTCGTTGGCTGGGTTCACCAGTTCGAGGTTGAAGTTAGAGAATGACAGATACGCAACACAGAATTCTCCGCACTGGAGCTCGCCCTGCTTATCGGATTTTGGGTACCCTGGAATTAACCTTGCTGAATTCTTCTGCAGATATGTCTTGACGGAAGGATGCGCAAAGCGAACACATTGATCAGAAGGATCGACGGCAACGAGGTTCGCACCGCACCCAATCACCACATCTGCTTGGGGGATCTTTCCGGCGTCCCATACTATGTCATCTGGATCAAAGGCGACGGCCTCTTTTAATTCGTCGATATGGAGTGGTCTTGCAGCAAAACTCACCCATTGGAGGACGCGCAATGTATAAGGATTGGCAAAGGTCATTCTTTGAAGACAGCGATGGTATGTCTCCTCCAGATCTGTCGGAAGATCTCGCAGCGCTGATCGAATACGATTGTCCGTGAAACAGTCTTGCCACAGAATCTCCAACTGCAGATAGACCCAAAGAAACCTGATTCAATACCTTTCAGCTGATGTAAAGGATGCAGAGGAAGGCTTTCTTCTTACATTCCAGATGATTCTTCCAGGAGGACCCGCTTGACTTCGTCCAACAAGGCTAAATCGTCCGTGAGCCTCCGGCTCATCAGTTTATCAGTGACACTCGTATCAATGTACGTGTGAAGATCCGGCATCACGTTGGACGTAGTCGAAATTTGACGAACGCCAGCCATGAACAGGGGAATGCCTGTGTAGCCAGGCAGTTGTTCTCGGCTGAAAACGAGCATCCGCGACTCCGGCGGGGATCCAGAACCGCAGAACAGGGACCTGAAGAGCCCAAACAGGTCTTTACTCTGTTCTGGGCTCAATGCGTCGAGTCCGTCAATGATATACACCGTGTCTGGGATGATGTGGAATAACTGGATGAAAATTTCCTTCAAATCATCAAAGTCGGGAACAACTCGCTTCTTCCCAAAGAAGTGGTTCAGTGCATCTACCACATCGTCGGGGCAGCGTTTGTATTTAGCACGGAGATACTCGCATAGTTGTTTGATCAGACTGGAAAGAATGTAGAGCCCATTGAGCTCGTCCGGTCGGTCGCTCTCACAATAGAAATAGGCCGTTGAAGCAGTGTGTTTTGACGATCGATATTTGGCTGCATCGATGGCCGCCGTCCTATGGCATAATTAGCCTATTCGCCATAGGGAGAAAGAGCCAAGGGGTGCTGACGCTATCGTAGTTTTACCCGAGCCAACTAATCAGGAGTAATGATTAGTGTTGTTCACCGTCAAGGAGCTCCAGGGGGCATGCTTACTTTTCCCGGAGCACCACAGTCTCGAGAATCTCTTCTCCACCAGCCATGCCTTGAAATCGGGATGATCCAAGAACCACTGCGCTGTCCCCATTACTCGTTTGTGAGCAAGTCGCTGGTGAACCTTTGCATGATCGTAGGTTGAAATCCGCCTGAATATCGTCTCGTCGAGATTATCTGCAATGACTGAGTGCCTGTGATATGCAGAAAGTATTGGATTGTGCTTGCTCACCATTCGGCCTTGTCAACCACGTTGATGAACGTCGCGGTTTGGCCAAAACCTTGCTGCTATGAACGACTGGGATTATTTTAGTCAGAACCGACAAGTTCACAGTCTGTTGTGCATAGCCTACATACTGTCGTTGACCAGCAGGGCCGGAGGTGTATCTGCAACTCGAACAGCATGGACCATGTAGAGAAGCTCTTTTGCGTATCCTGCCGCCGTCGCGGCTGCATACTCTTGCCATTGTTTATTCTTGTGAGAATCAGCATAGTCACAGATGCCTCTAATTACGAGGCATGGGAACGTGTCCACCAGGCCGGCCGCCTCCATCTCAAAGCACAGGATCCCCAGTTCCCCGGCTAGCTGATCTCTAGTCCGACCATCCTTCATGACCTGGTTGCCGGATGCAATCAGACCGTAGTGGATAATAGGGCCGTTTTTGTCCCTTGGTTCTCGGGTAAGTAACCGGTGTCTATCACAGCCATCGCAGGTTGTCGCGCGGTCAATATGATCGTACTGGGCCTCAAACAACAAATCTTCTCTGCGGCTGTCATACGTGAACTTCTCCCTCATTTGCGGATGGCGCTCGGCCAAATCCGCGATTAGATCAGGTATGCGACTTTTATTTGCAATGTGTGCTGACTGTAGCGCCGTCACGGCTGTCAGGAGCATCGTTGGGGGCTTGTTCAAGACACCCGTCCGTTCCAAGTGGCCGCCGCTCACGGCCTTGCCATAGTCGTATTGAATCACTCCCCCGAAATCCCGCGTTGGTTTGCCGACTACGACATCACCAAGCCGAATATCATGGTCTGCACTAGGGACTCCCCCTGCAATTCCCACCATCAGTCCAAACCGAATGCCCTTGAAGGTGAGCCGCATTTGAGACGCCACGTTGGCAGCAGAGGTCGTCCCATAAACCCCAGCTGGAAGGCACGCGATAATGACATTATGGAAGCCTACCCTCCCTGCAACGTAGGTATTGTCGTCGCCGGGGATGGTGGGCAAGGCAGGTTGTCTCTCATCCAGCATTGCCTCGGCGGCTGCCATTTCTTTGGGAAGGGCGCAGATCCATGCCACTGTATAATTATGGGGCTTGAATAACGATGTCGGTTCGGCGGCCATTTTGTGTCTGCACCATGCATAACTCATACAAGGTCCCAACGTTTTGGGTATGATGGATATATCCGAGGGTTGGCGAGACTGAACAGAGTGAGAGTCCTCAGCCTCACCCCGCTCCGTTCAGGGCTATCAATTATATCAATCATCAGGTCGACGCCACATGCAGCCACGCGTGGCGGGAAAGCCCAATCATTTTCACTTGACCTCATGCCCATTGTAAAGGGTAACACATGATGGTGACCATCGTAGCCTCGAAATGCAGACGGAGATTCAAAGTAGACCTATGCTCCTTATAATTGGGAATTTAGCCGATTGCACATCAGTAACTACCGCCACTAGCCTGTTCTCAATGAAGCCTGCTGGCTACAGGAGCTGATGGCACTTCGGAAACAGACTCGGAGGTCATCGGGCCTTCGTGGAATCTTTGTGTTAAGAAATTGGTAAATGGATTATATAGACTTAGAGGATTAATATCGTCCAGTAATAGTGTCAATAACCAGCTGCTTGTTAGTATTGATAAGGAGATGGTTCGATGCGTTGAATCATTGCATATGACAAACACACTATTTTGGCCCAAGGCGACATTAAAGTCAGCCTCGCCGTTTTTTTTGTGTTTTTTTTGTGTTTTTTTTGTGTTTTTTTCTCTTTAGTTGTCCATACACTATACAGCTCCCAAGAAGGAGAGACCGCAAGAGAATTAAGAAACAAAACATTATGCCCGTAAAAATCAGGCATCAAGGCTGGCCAGCCTCCCAGTTTGGGTAGCGTCTGAGATAGTGGATCTTCATAATGGAGATTGGGCATGTCGACCCTTAAGTCCGAATGTGATTACAAATGATTCCCATTATTTTGCGTTCCCTATACCGTATATACTACGATATCAGATCGGACGGCCAGTAAAGACCCTATTTGATCCCAATTTCCCGACAAACAGTACAAATTCCCATTGGCAAATAGCTACATTCTGTTTCGATCCTAACCAGAGGCTTACAACCCCATTCGGAGATGCAACACAATGTCCCATAACAAACTCCAAATCCTCACAATCACCCTGAGCCGCCATCACCGGCCACCCAATCAACGACGTAATCGCCAAGAATTGGTCCCAAGCTCCAACAGATCAAGCCATCCGCTTCAATAATGTCGGCTTCGACCTTGACGGAGATAATGTGCCTGGAGCATTGGCCCAATTGAAAGAGAAGCTGGCGGAACAACCCTGGGATGGTATTCTCGTTGGATGGTGTATTCGTGGGAAGCCTGAGCATACTGTCGTCTTTGAGGATATTATTGCTCTCTGCACCGGGTATACTCGTGTGCGTCCAGAGGCGAGGGTGTTTTTTTGTACTGGGCCGGATAATCTCGTCGGGGCTACTCTTCGGAACTTTCCTTGATTTGAGATGAATACTTGATGCAAGTGCAGGTCTTATTAATTAAAAAGACTTGGGCCATAAATGTATCGAGACCTCGTTCAAGGGCGTCTTAAATGGACAAACTATATCGGAGCAGGGAACTGCTATCGATACAAACATGCTCTATACGCGGTCGTTGAAGGTCTGAGAGATTGTGTATCGGATTATTGACATCTCCTATCCTTTTAATTGTTCAAGTCACCATGCTATATACAGTCTTCTGTGATATACACACCATCCCAGAATCCCATCTGCCCACCAAGGTCACAAAAACACTCACTGACCCTTGTAAATAGTCGTGGCATTAGCCAAAAACGTATCAAACGACCCATCCCCAGTAATAGGGGTGATTGAATTAGGAAGTTCCACCCCGTCGTCATTCCGATCATTAACAGTCTTAGCCTTGGTTTTATTCACCCAGACCTGCGCAGCGCTAAACTCGCTATCAGCCGTCTTCTTATCTCCATTATCCACAGCGTCGAGCATAGCAATCAAATGCTGACAGGCCTTTGCCCACTGCATCGCAACGGTCGACCAGGGTGCCACGTCATCTGCGAAACCCTTCATCGCCATGCGTGGAAGGACGTTGGGAAGGGTGGTAAGTAATGCGAGACGGTTGATCAACGCTGTTTCCCCGTCAGGATGGCCCTGTTTGGGCTTCGAGGAAGCTTTCCGGGCCGCCCAGAAAGCGGCAATGTCACTGCTTAGCTGAGGCGAATAGACCTGGGGCTCGCGGTAAGGCCAGTTCTGGTTGATGTCGACGAAGGCAAGGAGAGCGTCGTGAACGGTTTTGTCGCTGCCGGAGAGTTCCCATAAAATCGCAGCCATTGAGTCTTCGGCGTTGTATTTGGGTCCGTTCCATGTGTAGTCAGCGTAGTTGGCGAGCGCGGGCATGGAGGCGTACGCTTCTTCCATTGGGTTCGAGGTGAAGCCAAGAAGATACTTGTAAAGTTCGGGAGAACGGCCAGTAAGTGGGTTCAGGAACAGTCGGTTACGATTGCCATCGTTTACGGGGAAATTGTCCCACAAGAACATCTTGTCGGTGACGTAGGTCGAGTCCGCTTGCTGAACGCTTGTATCGTTGATCTGGTCGCTGAATACACCTTCACCTGTCCACTGGATGCTGATATTCTTGTTCAACATGGTGCCGAATTCTCCCTTGTAAGGGTCCGGTGCACTACCAGCATAGTTGGTGGGGACGGTCTCGAGATCTTTGAGGCCATTTGGAACCACGTATTCCTCCTGGATGCGGTTCAGATAGTACGCCTGGGCGTCGGCCAGCCAGTGCCAGTTGCCCGTGTCAACCCACTTTTGCTTGTCCGAATCACAGTGGAACTCGGTAGGGATGTCATCTAAAGCGATGTAAAAGCTCTGAACGCCGAGTTTGCGTGCTTGGTCGAACTTGGTGGTGGTAGCATTAAAGTCGGCATCGGACGAGTAGCACAAGTCCAGGCCAGGCGAAAGAGCAAACGTAAAGTCAACGTGATTTGTGTTGGCAGTTTCGATGAGTTCCTGGAGTTGGGTAAGGTTGTCGCCTGCGTAAAGCGTACGCCAATCCGCGCGGAGTAGCGGATCGTCCTTGGGGGTATAGACGTAGGTGTTCATTTTGTGCTTTCCATAGAAGACGAACTGGTCTAGACGGGCCTGATGTGACCATGGCTCACCGTAGAAGCCCTCGATAGATCCACGAATTGCCATGAGCGGCCAGTCGCGAATATTGACACCAGGAATATTGTGCCCACTACCAAGTTGACGAAGGGTCTGTGCCGCATAGAAAGTGCCACGCTCGTCTACACCGTTGAGCACAATACTCGGCTGACCTTGATAATCACCGGATGCGAGGACGTAGCCGTCGGCGACAAGTCCATCTGCAGAGTTGCCCGTGAGAGCCTTCGCAATAGTACCGGCAAGGCCATTCTCTGACTTGGTACCAATGACTATCTGCGTGCCATGACCACTGGGCTTGGATGAGACGACAGCGTGTCCACCAGCAGAAGACACGATTGTCTTGATAATATCAATCGTGGCCGAATCTGTGGCATCTCCTGTCACGATGGTAACAGCTCCCCCAGCAAGTGAGACGCTCTTGCCGTGCGAGGAGATCTGTTGAGGAGTGGGTGACACAACAAGTTGGCTGTTGTCAGGACTAGTAGGAGCAGCATTGACAGACCCAAGAGCGAGCAGAGCAGTAAGCAAGGCCCGAAGGCATGGGGTGCATCTGGGAGAGAACATGGTTGTTGTTGTCGAGTACCTGCAAGGTTGGTGCAGGGACCGAATATATACTATGTTTGTTGATCGCAGGTGGTGTTTTTTGTGCCCCCCTTGCAGGTTACCATAAACGGTTACATTATGCCAGGGATTTCTATCACGGTATGATAATCCTAGGGAGGTCCTAGCAAGAGACTACAGGTAGAGGTGACATTCAAAGACAGACTTCGTCTTCTAAGCGGCTATTGTCCCGCGTGCAACACTAGAGCCACTAAACCCTGACGCGATAGTGACAGGGGGTATCTCAGATAACCTGCTGCATACAGTAGAGATGATTGCTGACACACCTTTGACAAGTGATGGAACATCGTGCGCGATTAGAGGTGATCGTACAGAAAGTAAGAATGCATGTTTTACTCCCAAGATCAGACCTCTCTGAAAGCATAGGCAATCACAATCACCACCCTCGTACTACTCTGTGACCTCTTGAAGATAACCACCGACGATTCTTCCGAGGGTTTTCCCTGGGGAGGAAAAGATCAGCAGTTGCATTTTTGGTGAACATCAATTGCGGGCCCATTTTATGACTTGGTGCGGGGTTTGATGTCCAAGCCATCACTCCCCGCACCTATAGGTATACCAACAGGATTACTTCTTCATAAGCGGCACTTCGGTGCATTGCCGAAAATGTATGAATCAACCAGTGTAACTACGACTATATTTGTATTCTGAGATGCTCTAAGCAATGCAGCTGCATCTATGTAGTTCAATGAAAATGCCACAATGGATAGATCAAGGTTCTAGACTACAAGTCGTGTTATCAAAATTGCGTGACCAATCGCAAGCCTCTGCATTTTAAACATGCCCAACAAAATTACCCGAAGCTATGCTTTGCTTCAGTATTTTCCGAGGGGTTCTAATAATCTAGGTGGCTATGCAGAACCACGTGCTGGCGATGCTTCCACTGCCGTAGCTAAGCAACTCAAACGTCGGCAATATGTTTCAATACGACCAACGTCCACGGCAGTGTGAGGTAGCACCGGTCCCTGAGCTCGAGACCATAAGGGGAGGCTGGAGTTCACTAAATACTATTCGATGGCTTTTTCTGCAGTCGTGCAACTGCACATCAGCAAGGTAGGGGCCGTCGTCACGATGGGGGTGCTTTTGTTTGGCGCTCTCCTCTCCGAGTCGCATTTCGATGCGAATAGGTGGATAGGGTGTGATAAGCACAACAATCTATCAGAATTACCCCGGAAGGAACGGCGAGGAAGCTGCTCATTTCTCCCTGTCCCACAGGATAGCAATCTTCCAAAGAGTCCGCTCTAACTGTTAGCATACGCCATTAAAGCATACCAGAGCTGTGACGCCTCCAGTTGGTACTCGCTTTTACTACTTGAACAACTTTCAATACCACTTTATCAATCGACACCAAGTGTCCGCCTATAACTGAAGGATCTAGACTAAGGATTTTTATTCATCAAGAATATGACTCACCAAAATCGAGCTCAGGTTCAGCAAACATCGGTACAGCAAAAGAAACCTTGAATTGTGGCTGTCGCGGGGACAAATCACAGCTTGGGTGGACGACACAGGATGAGTAGAGTTCATCACAAGATATTGCCACGCACGGAATGACAGAATGAGACACAGAACGAACATCGCACGATGATATTCATTCTTCCTCGGTACTGCCCACAGGTAACTTGAGAGCGACTTTGCTCTCCATATGCAGCATAAGCATGAAGCCATGGCTGTCGGGGCATCTCCACGCACAGAAAGGATACGCTCAAACGCTGAAGACCAGTGCCACGCCGATGAAGGTCCTCAAGCGCTGGAACTGGAGCATGTCGAGCAGACCCCCTTCTACACTCCGGTTTATTCGCGAAAGTATGTATGGACCTGTGTTCTCTCCGCTTCGATCGGAGGTATCCTCTTCGGATACGACACCGGTGTTATCTCGAGTGCCTTGGTATTGTTCCATTCAGATCTGGGCCACCCTCTCGACAACGCCGAAAAGCAGCTTTTGACGAGTCTGACTGGAGGGGGTGCTTTTGTGGGTGCTTTGTTGGCGGCTTTCGTTACTGACGCAGTATTGTCCCGCCTCAGTCTGAGATAGACTGCACTACCGCTGCTAACAGTCTCATGATAGGTCGGCCGAAAGATGGTGATCGGAATTGGCTGCATCTGGTTTACTGTTGGCTCGGTAGTTGCCGCCTCAGCATATTCGGTTCTGCTAATGGGAATTGCCCGGTTTATCATTGGAGTTGGGATCGGTTTTGAGACGATGGTAATTACTCCCTCCTTTCTTGGGACTTGAGACTTTCAGGGACTAACCTCGCGCTTGACATGGGCTTGTATAGATCACACCTATCTATATTGCAGAGCTTTCTCCATCGTCACTACGCGGTCGGATGATTACAATTTACTCCATGGCCGTCACTGGTGGACAGGCTTTAGCTTACGCTGGCGGCACTATATTCTCTCACGTTGATCTAGGATGGCGATATTTGTTTGCACTCGGAGCACTCCCAGCGCTGGCACAAGTTGCACTGTTCCCCGTGTATCCTGAGACACCTCGACATCTTATCTATCGTGGCCGTATTGAGGACTCTGTGGTTGTTTTGCAACAACTCTATCCTCGAAGCCCACCATCAGATATTCAGAGACTCGGACAGATCATTCGCGAGGATGTCAACCATTCCGTATCCTTTGATCAAGGGGCTCGCCGGCTGATGTGGTCGTGTAAGCAGCTTTGGCTTGTCCCTTCTAACCTTCGATCTTTGATTTCAGCCTGCGGTTTGATGGCAGTGCAGCAGCTCTGTGGCTTTAATTCTTTAATGTATTATTCTGCAACGCTTTTTGCCGCCGGTAAGTTATCTGATCACCTATCGTGTTGATCAACATCATAAGAAGACTTAAGATTTTCGAAACTATCTCAGAGTTTCTGTTCAAGGGCTCAATTGTGGCATTTGCTGACTGGCTGTCGGTAGTTGGCCTCACCAATCCCACCGCTGCTAGCCTCATCGTCTCCGGGACAAACTTCTTCTTCACTATTGTAGCACTTTTCTTCGTCGACTGGGGTCGCCGTCGAATGCTCGTATGGACACTATGGGGGCTTCCACTCGCCCTAGCCATGGCTGCCGTGGCATTCTCGCATATCCCATTGAACTCGGCCTTGGAACTGCAAGGCGAGGCCCCATCATGGGCTAAAGCTCTAGCCCTTGCCTCTTTGTCTATCTTTGTATCCTTCTACGCGATTGCATTGGGAAATATTCCTTGGACAGCGAATGAGCTTCTTGCCCTAGAGGTTCGGGCGCTTGGCACTTCTTTGCTGACAATGGTTTGCTGTACGTTGTCAAGTGAATTGCCCTGCCTATCCATGAGATACTCGAAAAGAAGACACGGGCTGATTTTAATTTCTAATGTCCAGGGGGCTGCAACATCATAGTATCCGCCACCTTTCTCTCCCTAGTCGGCCGATTAACTGCTGCCGGGGCATTTGGATTATATGCTGGATTATGCTTTGCAGGTTGGCTTCTTGTGATATTCACCTATCCAGAGACTGCTGGCCTGGGGCTGGAAAGCATTCGAGAGATTTTCAAGGACGGATTTGGTATCCGTTTTGCGAACCAGAGGCAGCGTACCAGGCGGCACGGGTCCCATAGTCGAATGTGAGGTGTAGATTGTCTATGCTACCTAAGAATCAAAACGAGCCACATCAGATCGCAAGGGAACCACCCAACATTACAAACTCACCAATCTCATTCAGTTCGCTCACTTCACCCTACCTAGATGGCTGTCCCTTTTTGCACCCTCTGGACCGACACGAGTGGAGATTAGTTAATTCCACGTCCAAAGTTTATGAACCTTTAAAACCGCCCCGTTGGTTGCTTCCCCGCGAATTGTGATCCACCCAACTGAAGTTTATGGTTACCAGTCTCGTGACCGATGACTACTGAAGTTGGAAAGAATACGGCGATTGAACGACATCCACCGTCTCTTCGTCTTAGGACTCTTTTGTGCTTGTAGCGAAGCCATGCATGGAACTGGACTGGGTCGATCTTGAACGAAGCGATGGAAGGAGGGCGCGAATATGTAAGAACTGCGATTTTCATTGCTCGAATTTGAATCAATAACTAACGGTGTGTCCCTTATAGGCGCTACTATGGAGCCTCTACGCTGTTGCCCTACTCTTGATCCTCGGCCGCATTCAGTCGCGAATCACGATTCGAGAGAAGCTGAAGATCGATGACTATCTCTCCATTCTTTCATTTCTCCTTTTGACCATACAAACCGTTTTGCACACTCTCACCATTCAGCCCTATCTGGAGGCAGAGTCGGTATTTCATACGAACTCTAAAGCGACTGCAAACCCACTTTTGGATGACACTGTATCCACAGTACTGCGTTACTCATTCGTACGTAAATTCAGGGTCATGCTCCTCGGGATAGTACAATTTTTGATCTCTTACTGATATATTGATGCGACGAACCCAGGCATCACTGGTCATTTTTTGGCTTGCGGTATGGAGTGTCAAATTGTCCATGTTATTCTTCTTTCGCCGATTCCTGTTACCAATTCCCACTTACATGGAGGGGTATATCTCCCTTTCCTTCATCCAACTTAATGTGTCGCTGGAACCTCTGAAAATAAATCACTAATTATGTGGACAGTTGGTATATTGTGTTCGGCTTCACCACAATGAATCTAGTTGGTTGCCTCCTGATTCAGTTTTTGGGGTGTCTACCTTTTGGGGATAACTTCTCGGTGACTTCAGGTAATTGAGCGGGCTCTCGCGTCCTTCCCATACGCAACATCCGTTTATTGACACTTTATAGGGACTTGTGTCTTAGGCCAGTCAAGAGAGCTTGGGAAATTATGTGGAACCACTGCATTGGATATAGTGTCCGATGTCATGAGTTAGTAACCCCAGCAGACCAGCAGAATCCATGACCTTCTGATCGGAACATACAGTCATCGTCCTACCAATGCGAATTTTGTTCGAGTTACATGCTACCAAAAAGCAGAAGGCAGGACTCGTGGCAGTCTTTGCCTTGGGTTGGATAGTCGTACGCCTCTATCTACGTCGAAGTCACAACAGAGCTAATTGCTCATCTTAGATAGCATTCTCTCTCATCAGAGCAATCCATGCTTCTCTGGCTGGACGCAACCATCTCGGAGCGATCAATTCTGTCAGTCGAACTACCTCTCCTAATGCAGCCTTCGTTGTTCAGAGACTGATCTTTCTCTAGTCCTGGCTCTGGATATGGAGTCACGTAGAATGTGTAGCAGGTGAGTCTTTTTGAAGTAGAAATTTCAGTCCCGGGATCCTTATTGATGATGCCTAGCGGTCAGTGTGGCCTGTTTACCGCCAATATGGGCCGGTTATAAGAAGAAGAATCAAATGGTACTAGCCGGCCACACCGATGACTAGGTAGTGCCCAATGGCAATGCTACAGGCAGCCGTATCTGTGGAAATCAAGAAAATATTATGTACAACATTATTATGGACTAAAGGAGTAGAATGGAGGTCTGTAAAGCTCACTTGATCTAGAGCGATACATGTGCAAGGTGCTTTCGCTGAAGAGAGAGAGCCGAGCTACTAATAACAAAACTTCATTTCCGGTACTCAAGTCTAAGAGATACCAAGATGGCGTTATACTATGTCGTTAACTACGGACGAATTCCACGGTGGCCACTGGCCGGTTCGCTGACTGTCAAAACTGACAAAATGATGCCTCCGGTTGAAACACTCCTTGCAGCAGGACTATGTATATACTGCCAAAACTCCAAATCCACGAAAGCGACAGTCGTATCAGTGACAATCAATGGCAATATCATTCCACATGGAAAGTTTATAGACTCTGTAAAATTAAAGCCCACTCAACAATTACCTGCCTTACTCGTCCCCCTGATGAAAAGTTGATCTCGGATTTCCCGACCCGCTCGGCTATTATTCGGCAAGCCAAGAACTCAAATTCCCAGTGTCTTCATTCGCTCTGTCCCTCTGGAATGTCCGAGCAAATGTAAATCTCAACGGTTAACCGAATGATCTATTTCCCCCCATAGTGCGTCTCCACCGGAAATTCCTCTAAATGGTTAAGACCGCCGCTTCTGCGCGGCGCGCGCACTTCTTGTGGAAGCTGGGATATCCGGGGGCCCAGAGTCGACCCCACATTTTTACATGCTTGGCGATTGGAATATGGGGAAGATGCACCGAGGATGTCGTACGCCGTAGATGATTTGTGGACGTAATTTTTTTTCTCCTGGATGTCCCCGTGCGCTCTGGGGTATATAAGGGTAACAGGGACGGCAATGATCTACTCTCCAGAGGGACCTCTGTTCGAAGGGAAAGCGCAGTTCATATACTCCTTACACGTCTAGGATCAGGAACATATTGATCTTCTCCTATACCCTGTCCATCATGCGTTCCCTCATCTGGCTTGCCACTCTGGCATCTATCCACACCACTTTCGCCTCCCCACTCGCTTCAAACCCATCTTCCAACTCACCCAATGGGCATGACCCCAAGAGCACTGGCTACATCAACTGGCGCACCTTCACCGGCTACGGCGTCAACCTGGGCGGTTGGCTCGAACAAGAATCCACCATCGACACCCGCTGGTGGGCTACCTACGGCGTCAACGCCTCCGACGAATGGACCATCTGCGCAAACCTAGGGTCCGCGTGCTCGGCCGTTTTCGAGAAGCGCTACGAAACCTACATTACCCCCGCAGACATTGACACTCTCGCCGCCGCCGGTGTCTCCATCCTGCGGATCCCGACTACCTATGCAGCCTGGGTGCGCGTGCCGGGCTCACAGATGTACTCGGGTAACCAGCAGAAGCACCTGCGCCGAATTGCGGAGCACGCGACCCAGAAGCACGGCATGCGCGTCGTGATCGACCTCCACTCTCTGCCTGGCGGCACGAATGGACTCGATATCGGCGAGAAGGTCGGCAACTGGGGGTGGTGGCACAATGAGACTGCGCTGGCGTGGTCGCTGCGTGCGGTTGACGCCGTTGCTGCCTTCGTGCAGTCCTCCAGCAGCCCGCAGAGCTACACGATCGAGCCCATCAACGAGCCAGCGGACAACAGGGATCTGTCGCAGTTCGGAACCGCCGCCGCCCTGACCGAGGACGGAGCTACTTGGCTGCTGAAGTACTTCAATGCTGTCATTGCGCATGTGAAGAAGATCAATGCCAAGATCCCCGTTATGTTGCAGGGTAGCTTCAAGACGGAGCAGTACTGGTCTCCCCATTTCGACGCCTCCGAGAACATTGTATTCGATCTGCACCATTACTATTTCCAGTATCCCGAGGCGACGAGTGCGAACATTACTGAGTACATTTGCAAGGATGCCAAGCAGTCTGCTGGTGATGGCAAGTTCCCTACTTTTGTGGGTGAGTGGGCGCTGGAGACTGGTGGGGAGAATGTGCTGAGTCTGCGGAAGAACAATCTTCATGCTGGATTGTCGGCGTGGGCGCAGTACACTCGTGGCAGTTCGTATTGGAATGCCAAGTTTGAGAGCAATGCTACTATTGTGGGAGAGGGTGTGAAACAGGACTACTGGAGCTTTGAGGAGTATATTGCGAATGGGTTCTTGAAGGGTGATGTGTTGGTGAAGGATTACTGCAAATAGAGTGTTTAGGATTGAGAGCGTAAGATTGTGAATAATATCGTGCGAGTATCTTGACAGAGGCCAAAGAGGCCAAAGTTAGAGACGGGACAAGCGTACCATTGTAAGAACCTGAGTGGCAGGTACTGTATTTCAACCTTCAGTCCAAAATTGACAAGGGCACCAAGAACTTGGTATTACGTTAGCTAAGTGATAAACAAGAATACGATATACCGGTTAGGAAGGGCATGCGAGGCATAGACTGCTTCAATTGATATATAGAAACCGTCAAGTCACATGCGATAGATAGGTGACCTCCTGAGGTACACGGAACCCAAAGCGCCAGAACAACCCAGTATGGACGGATGAAAGTCATAGACACAAGTAACAGCAGATAACAGGACAAGGACATTGATGCAATGTGAACGGCAGGATGGTTCGAAAGATTCGCAGGGTGGAAAAAGAGATGAAAACGCTAGGCAGAGCGAGGTGACATATACGGGGTAGACCAAGAGTGATATCAAATTGGGTGAGGGATCATGGTAGAGAGAACAAGACCGGCGATCTTGTACGACAATGGCTTGAGCTCAGTCAAACTTGGGCTCAGTTACAGCTCATTGTCACGCATACGCAGGACAATGTTGACCACAACGGCAGCCAACAGGGCAATCGCGAGGACAGTTGGTCCGAAGCGGTCATCGAAACCGCTTTGCCCCCGCCGCCGGATACTCTGTGCACGCCAGTGGAACGTTACCACGGCGTAGATCATAGCCGCCATGGCGATAATCGTGAACAGTGCGGCGGAGATACGACCGATACGATCACCGAAGTTGAGGAGACCCACGGCCAGACCGCCGAGGATGACGGTGAAGTTCAGCCATGAGAGGAAGGTACGCTCGTTGGCGAAGAAGACTTTGGGTTCGACGCGGGTGGGGAGGGCGATGCGCTTGCCTGGGTGATGCGTCAGCAGGGCTGTTTAGGGGAAGCTTGGGTGACGATGTGAAGACTTGGGAGAGTTGGGATTGAACGATGCGATTGGAACTTCAGTGTAGGAGAGTGTCGCTTACCCGGGGCAGTCTGAAGGAGGGGTTGGCTGGACATGGTGAGGATGAGAGATGAGTTTGGTGACCGCAATTGGAATCGGGGCAGATATTCAATTGAGACGGGAATTGAGAACCACGACAACCGGCAGGGCGAGAGGTAGAGACTTAGGATTCGGGGCAAGTCGAGATTGAGGCTGATAGGTGCAGAAGATTCTTTCTCTCACACTCGTTCTTAGGGCCAGGATATCGAGACGAGGTCAGAAAGAGAAAAGAAGGGATCGAGGTGCAGTCAGGCGGAGCCAATAATCCCCCGATGACGAGGGAAGTCGAGAGCTTTGCGCTCAAAACAGGACGCTAGTCCCGTTTCGGCCTAGGGCGGTGTAGCTCTGCCGGTGGACGATGCACGTGCCTCGTCCGTTTGCTGCGAGGCAATTACAGTCACCTGACCTTGCACCAGACCCTCCGAAGTGTAATTTGGCGCCGCCGAACTCTGTTCTGGCGAGGTGGGTCCATCTCGCACATCGCGTTTATTCTTCATCTGATATGCCTTCAACGACTGAAAATGCTTCGAATTTCCTCCAGTTGTTCTCGTGTTGTTCATATCACAAACGCCGTTGCAGCATGTCACCCCTGCAACAGGATTGGTCGAATTTATCCCAAACTTGCGGCTAGCCGGTTAGACTTGAAACTAGCTCACACCAATGAGAGAGACATTATGGCTAGAACGACCAGTCCTCCACAGCGACGGAGGACACGCTACGATTAGGCACTGCGGCCGAGCCCCCAACTTCGTATCTCGCCAAACTTTGTTGCCCGATCACCAGCACATATTACTTCTATCTTCGACTTGCTATGCACTGACGCACCATAGGGCTGAACCACGTCCTATCGGATGCCTCCCATCACCAAGTCATTGTACCTTTCAAGATGGCCTTCTTGGAGGAGCGGTTCCCATTCCCTCCACCCCAAGAGGACTGCGGAGGGGCAGCAGTAGCACTCGTCAATATCCACCCAATCATTCTACTCTCAATGACAACCTCCGGCCAGCGGCGGGTTTTCCGAAACCCCCACTGCGTCCCGCGGAAATCGACGGCCCCATTGCCAGCGGGAGGAGTTTGTTGTCTGTTCGAGACTTCAAATGTTTAAAATGGAATGTATTCGTTAGCCCGCCGGTCCCTGCACCCGTGTGTGCTCGGATACCCAAAGTTGGACTCGGCATGCCGGGAACACAGCCGGTACGATATTTAGCAGTCGTGGACTTCTTCTCCGATGGAGTGTCCTCATCGCCGAGTAGCTGAGCATTATAGCGATCGGTGCTGTGCAGGAGGCTGTGCAGCGCAGAGACGGCTGTTTAAACTCGTCGAGGATCCGAGTCCACTCGTGTGGAGCCCCGAGCCTCAAGGAAGAACGCTCTGGACCAGTCACTATGCCCCCCGAGGCCTAAACTCGATCGGTGTTTGGATAACAGCCAAACGCTACTCCGTACAGGCAGACGAAAAACTCATGTCGGGGCGTGACAATCTGCATAGTGGCGATGATACGATATCGGATACGCGTGGGTACTCGGCTAAATTTGCAGACAGCAAGCCACTACCAGGAGGGCTGAAGAACGCAAATGTCGATACATTGCTTATTAAATATGAAATGCTAACTAACAGGCTCCAATGCAGCGAAATCGGCACACATCCTTCCGCTTCGCTTCCGGCCGCGATCTCCCCACTCCTCCCGATCCCCCCTGTACCCGTCACGAGCCTTCTTTCCCGATAAGGCAAGTAGATAACACAGATAATCGGCGAGGCGAACAAAAATTATTCACACGCGCGATGCTTCAAACCATCGTCATTTCAGTGGTGCAAAGTCCCAGTCGGCCCTGATCATGTCTGCCGCTTTCTCCGCGACCGCATATACACTGCTAACAATGTTTCCACTGACATTATTCGGGAAAATCGAGGCATCGGCGACCCGCAGGCCCTCCACGCCCTTGACGCGCAGTCGAGAGTCAAGCGCATCACCCATTGCGACGGACCCGCAGACATGGTACTCACCAGCCACGGCGTCGTGTACAGATTCTTTGGCCGCGGCTATGTCAGCCAGGTCTACGCTTGGTTCAGGGAATGTGCGACCCCCTAGGGATGACTTGAGATGTGCAGATTGGCGAACTTTATCGATCCATCGGAAGCCTGCGCCTAGGAGGGTGATGTCTGCATCGTGACCTCCATAGTTTGGCTGGATGACCGGGGGCTTGGTGGGGTCTGGGGGCAAGGTCAGTTTAAAAGGTGCTTTCTGAAGATCATTAAGTGTTATGCGGACCAGGGACATACCAGAACTATCGATGTGGACATAGCCCCGGGCTACGGGGTACTGCAAGCAAATTGCAAAGGTAAGACCGGCAGGCTTGTCAGGGGGTGCGGGCGGGAAAAGGTGTTTCTGGTGCTCGATTCCTTCGGTACTCGCAGTCGCTGGAATCAAGACCATCTGGATATTCGCAGACACGTCACTCTGGATATGACTGATAATTTGCTTGAGCTGGCGCTCGTGGAACTTGCTCGTCGGCTTGATATCCCGAATACTCTGGACCACAGCCTCAATCTCGGCTTCAGACATGACCAATTTAGCTGGGAAGAAACCCTGCATCGTGGATGTGCAACTCAACGGACCGCCACCCGTCTCCACGTACTGCTTCTGTGCATTCTGCATGGCTTCTGGATTCTGGTGGAGCGTATCCAACGTCACGGTGCCGGGCTGTGTCTCGTACACGGCCAAGGTAATGGTGTGGTCCTGGAGGTTGGCGCCAACGGCTGGATTGGCGACTTTGCACTCGACTCCTGCAGCTTTGAGTACTTCCGGGTCACCGATGCCCGAGAGCTCGAGGATCTGGGGGGATTTGAGGGCTCCGCCACAAACGATGACCTCGCGCTTGGCGGCAACTTCGTAGTCCTTGCCACCGTGTGAGATGCTCACTCCGGCGGCTTTATTACCATCCAGAACGACCTTGTTGACCAGCGTCGAGCAGAGAACTTTGAGGTTTGGTCTTGCCTTGTTCGCCTCATAGTATCCGGGAGCTGCATAGCTACGCTTACCCTTGTTAGGGCCTGTCCGAACGATGGAGCCCAGGGTGTGATAGAAACCGATGTGGTCGCCGCTCCAGGGATCCGTGGGTTTCTTTGTGAATCCGGTTACTTCGTCGCAAGCTTTGATGACATCGTTCTCGATTGGGAGGATCGAGTCGTTGAAGCTAGTTCGGACTGGCCCACTCGTCCCGTGGAATTCGCCAACAAAAGGCATAGTCGAGCGGTCAGTGATCGCTTCGTCATACGGCTCGAGGGTCTGGCCATTGATATCAGTTGAGGCTATAGAGCTAGATGATGGACGAGGGGGTGGCGGTTTACCTGATGTTTGCGCATATACTGTTGCATGGTATCGGCAGACCAACTCTCATCCTCGACTAGCTCAGCCCAATCATTGTAGTCTTGTCGAGATCCCCGGACATACATCATGTAGTTGATGCCACTAGAGCCACCGAGCAGTTTACCGCGAGGGATATGGTGAATGCGTCCTCGATTCTCTTTCTATGATCATAGGAAAGGTTGTCAGATCCAGAGACCGGCGTCTATCTCTAGGGAACCGGCTTACCTGCGGTGCACTGTACAGGCACCAGTCATACTCAGGATCCTCAAACATTTGTAAGAACGCCGCTGGCGTATCCACCAACGGATCTCCGATGCGATATTTCCCAGCTTCAACGACGCCAACTGTTACATCAGGATTCTCCGTGAGTCGCGCGGCAATAACACATCCCGCAGTTCCACCTCCACAAATAATATAGTCGAACGAGGTACTCGTGAACTCCTCGATGGAGCAAGTAGGCGACTCAGCGCCTGGCTTAGGGCCCTGTTCACCCATGGTAACAAGTATACTATTAAAATGGAAGCTAGAAAGGTGAAGCTCAAAGCTGCAGCCGTAGTGGCAAAGGAGAATTCCCCTCTTATTTGTTCTGCAGACGCACGCTCGTGCAACCAGATATTCTCGCCCGTGGATGAGCCGGTTCCCAAGAGTGCGGGGGTAAAGCCAAGTGGACAAATAGGGCGCCTGAACATAAAAACCTTGGCTAGCAGGTATCTTGGGACGTCTACTTGTAGCGACATCGTGCCATTGGCGCATTGGTGCAGCTTTCCATGGGGCTGAAACCTAGACCTGCTTTCCCCGCACCGCGGACCTCGGTGGCTCGCCAGAGCTGAAATGTTCAAGAGACGGCATTAATGAGCTATGAGAGGCGAAGAATCAGTTGGTCTGCATGCGGGTGGACTATGATAATACGTGAGTATGCTCGTCGAGTTGCTTTGCGAAGACAATATCCATGTGAAGAGCTAAATTAGGAACGCCCGTCACTATAGACTGCATGCATAATGCGCCGATACATGCGCTAATTGTATGATTTTTTGTTACCCGCCTACCTCGCTTTTGAGTATTGGCTCGCCTAAAAAGATTGTGACGCAGATCTGCGTGCCTGGCAAGCTGACGACGCACCGTCAGCTTTCGCAGGGTACTTCCGAATTGGTAGATTTACATTGCGTTCTAGTTTTTGGCCCCTTTGATCTATTTCATCTAGTTGGCTAAAATGAGTGGACTTGGGAAATTTATTACTGCAATGATCTCAGCTGAAATAACACCTAGTAGGTAGGTGGGCAGGAGTTCCCTTCCTGAAAGAATAGACCACACGTACCATACATAGCTCAAATATCCGCAGGTAAATGGCACACACCCTCGTAGCCGCAGCCTTGTAGCCCTCGTTGCAGGTTCAACTCGTGAATATTTACTCTGAGAATTCGGCATCCAGCATATGGATGCGCACCTCCTGAATCTCTACTATGTAGCGTTCGATAATATTCATTGACGTCATCGTATAGAGTACGAGACAGAATATGTCAAGGATGCAGTTGCGCTGTGGTCTGTTGGTTAGGTCATGAACTTTGTCCATAGTGTACTTCTTGTATCCTAATATCAGAAGGGTTTAGGCATTGAAGGAATAATAGAATTGCCGGAAATGCCCCCACGTCGGATCGATTTTCCTTTGGTGGAAGAGAGTAGTCTTGGATTAAATACAGATTCTCGGGAGGATAGTAAACCTCAACCACTCATGACCTGCCAATCACTAATGATGGGAGTCTTGCAAGCTGACTATAGAAGATTAAGGTTCTAGTTATCCCTTTGTTCCTTACTAATGGGTTGATGGTCGATTTCATCTTATCCCGACCGGGATTTAATCACTTGCCTGACGCGGTGGATGAAGCCTCATTATTCATGCCTGGCAAAAACTCTTGTATAACGGCCCTAGGTATGGTCACGTTATGTGTAATAATGTCCAGTTTTCTTCGACCATGGATGAGCATTTCTCTTTGAGGTCGTGTCTCGAGTATGATTTTTGAAGCTAATAATGAGTGCTAGGATTCTCTGTGGTGCAGTCCAACTCATTGATCATTTCAAGTCTCTTTAGGCCACGGGGGAGGGATTGACAAATATATTCATTATTGAATTCAAGTGTCTAGCTCAGTATACGGTGATTAATCCACCTTCGTAAAACCGCTACGATAATTAAGACGATCAATGAATCTTAGATCGAAATTCCAAGTGCCGAACTCGGCCCGATAAGCGAGACAGCGGGCTGAAAATCTGACTCAACCGGCCCGATTTTTGCGAGGCGGCAGACGAAATTTTAAGCTTGTTTCGCCACATGGTCGGCACATCGACAGCTAGATTCTTCAGGTAGACATATGTAGAAGCTACAAAAAGCTAAATGGTGTCAGGCTTAGTCTCCCTCCGTTCAATTTAGACTAGATCTCATTCCACGTTGGTTTCTGAGCGATAAACCACGCCCCACAAACGCGCCAGGACTTCAAGCAAGTGAAAACAATTTCCCCAGGGCCTTGAGAACTTGGCATCTCGTAAGAACCCCAACGCAGTCTCTTGAGCTTTGAGCACGCCATGGCCCCACTTCGCCTTACGGAAAATTTTCGTTTGAAATAGTGAAGTACTCACAGTTGACTTCCTTTTCATATCCCTTTTCTGAGTCTTGATCGCTTTTTACAAGGCGAAGTCTCAGCTACTAGGGTCTGCAGACTCCATCGCGATTATGGCTGCCAAAACTTCCCAACCGCATGTGGTTGACGAGCATGAAGCTCAGTCAGTGGTTGAGTCGACTCAACCCAATACCCGTCGATCGATCTTTCGATCGATTCCATTCCAGATCGCCATTGCCAGCGGTGTCTCATTTACCGCACCTGGTATGTGGGATGCCTTGAACAATCTGGGTGCGGGTGGTGCGGCACAACCCTATGCTGTATCCGCCGCGAATGCTCTGGTTTATGGTCTATTTGCGATCGTTTGTGTCCTGGCGGGTGCCATTAACAACCGCATCGGCCTACGTTATGGATTGACGCTTGGAGCAATTGGCTACCCCATCTACGGTGCTGGTCTTTACACCAATAACTATTCGGCAAACACATGGTTCATGCTTTTCGGCAGTGCCTTGTGTGGTATCTCTGCAGGATTCTTCTGGGCGGCTGAGGCTGCCATTATCATTGGATATCCTAGTCCGCACGAGCGTGCATTCTACCTTGGTACGTTTCTAATATTGTTGTTTTCTTCTCATGCCATACTAACTTTGTGAATAGCAATTTGGCAAACTGCCAAGGCCGCTGGCCCTATTGTGGGAGGTGCCATCAACTTGGGACTCAATGCACAAACCTCCACCCAGGGATCCGTTAGCTCGAGCACCTACATCGTGTTCATTGTGATCATGTGCCTTGGACTTCCTATCGCACTTCTTCTCAGCCCTGCTGAGAAGGTGCAGCGCAAAGATCGCACCTTGGTTCTCGTGCACAAGCAGGCCTCTTGGGCTGCCGAATTCAAGGCTGCAGTATCCTTGATTGCTACTCGCCGCGTTCTCCTCCTCCTTCCCTCTTTCTTCATCAGCTACTTCTATAACGGCTTCCTCAGCACGTGGCTCACAACCTACTTCACCGTACGAGCTCGCGCATTCTCCTCCTTTTTCACCAACTTCGCCGGCATCGCATCCTCGTTCATCATCGCTGGTCTTCTCGATCGCCAGGGTATCCACATCAAGACCCGCGCCAAGATTGCCTTCATCTCTATTGTGGTCATTCTCACTGGTACCTGGATCTGGGCTTCAATTCTCCAGAACCAATTCTATAATGCTCCCGAGTCCCCCGTCTTCGACTGGTTCACCGGTGGATTCGGAAAATCTTACGCTCTCGTCTTCTTCTGGACTTTCGGCGGCCAGGCATTTCAACAATTCCTGTACTGGCTTATCGGTCAATATAGCACCGATATTTCGTCACTGTCTTACCACTGTGGTATTCTCCGAGGATTTGAGGCCCTGGGTCAGACTGTTGCTTGGGCTATGCAGTCTGAAGGCGGTGCCAACCACTTTGTCAGCATCGGTCTCAACTTTGGAATCACTCTTATCGCTATTGTCCCCACTTGGATTGTCTTGTCCGAGCTTGAGCACAGTCATGAGGTTCAAGTGACGGCGGAGGATATCTCATCCAAGCTCCAGGATGATAATCCAGCCGAGACGACTGTTTAAAAGCAAATTTTTGCATGACTGAATTCTGGCGACGGGCATTGATATAATTTCAACATGACTAATGACATACATTCAACATAATACTACCATAATTTTCGTCTAACGACGAGCTAATTATTATCACTATATACTGTCAATTCTTTCCGATATTCAACGTCCTATCTAGTATTTAAAGTTGACGAGATATTTAACGATCTCAAACATCTTCTTGGGCGGAACCAAATTGCTACCATGCGATTTAGCCTGTGTCATTTCTGGACCCTGATGACTGACTATTCCTTGTGAACAAGAGGTTTTGATTAATGTCGTAGCACAACCCAGTCAAAAAGTAGAGTACACTCTTATTAGGCCAACTTCGTTGGTCGATCAAACGTGGGTTGGGTTAGTCTCGGTTCTAATCACTGAATAACATCAATAGGCCATTCCATCAATGAAATGAGCTTCGTATCCCCCAGACCGCCGATTAAGGTATTAATCTTGTAGATTTCAATGTCACATCTCTTGCCATAGTACCAGACCTCGTCTAGAATAGCAATTGCCAAGTACAGATGCGCTAAGATAACCACGCCCACACCCTGCATCCTGTCGAAATTCCCTTGCGGATCTAAGGAGAAAATGAACTCTTCAGGAAGAAGGTGAGGCCAGCTTGAAACCGCTGCATCTTCAATGTCGGTTTGGATTTCGAGATCGGAAGAAGCGTGACAATCAAGCGGTTTCATGTGCATGACATACAGGATTCTCATGTAGAGATCCTCAACCACGCCTATGGCTTTTTCGTATGGTTCAAGAGACACACTGCCTACGTTGCCACTTTGATCAGAGTGGGGAGTCGCAATCGATGGCGAGGTCTCTATCCCATCATCGAAGCCAGCGGATAAGCGGAGGCTGGCGTATAGGTCACGTAACTTCGATATGGAATGATTGGCGCCAGTCGCAAACTTGCGAAGTCTTCCAGAATGAATGTATCGACTCGGTACCACGCTCGAGCGCACTTGTTCTTCGCAGAGCTTCCAATCTTCATTGGCATGATTGGAAAATAGCAGCGCCCTCAGGCGACACTTCCTTAGAGTTGGCCAAAATTGTCTCAGAATGGACGTGACGCCACGAACAAGGTGAAGCCATTGTATGTGGAGCGTGCCAACATTCAGAAGTGGAGACGGCGAAGCGGAATCAGAGCTCAAGGTATCCTGAAATGTATGTGCCGATGGATCTAGATCCTTGATTCCAAACGATGCAAATGCAAAGCCCACCACCAGCATGGACCCGGCCAGCAAGACTTCCGCATCTGGTTCGCTGGTAGCGCAAAGCGCTTCCTGCAGCCCGGCCAGACCTTGCTGATGATGTCCCATGATTGACTGAAGCTGAGGTACACTTGCAGCGATGAAAGGCTTTGAAGACCCTTGATCATTTCGCACACAAATATCTCGACTAGTCAATATATCCAGGCCAGCCAGGGCCAAGACAAGGTGCATTAAAAATTCATTGGCTGCAGCCATTTCAGGAATAACACGCTCCCAAACCACTGTTTTGATCTTATGCAAAGTCATCTTTTTTGAGGTGTGCAAGATGTAGTGTTGAAGTAGATTGAGATCACTCATGTTGAGGCTGGATGTGGACTGACTGTCGACATTTTGAGGCTCGTCGGGAGAAGCCGCATTAAAATACAATGGGCGAAATGGTACATCGGTTGTTTTTTCGCGTGCTTGAAGCTGGACACTGTCAAAAGAGGATCTCGAGAGAGAAAGGTGTGGCTGTCTTCTTCTTTGGTCACGTGGACCTCCTGGATTGGGGAAGACGCAGTCTTCGCCCCGAACAGAGCATGCACCGCATGTTGGCCGTTCCTCGTCACACTGATCTTGTCAGTCGTATCGATCGATAATTCTGGATTAAGTATCTCCTTACCTTCACGCGACGCTGCTTGCAAGTGTAGCAGCCATTTCGGGACTTGGTGTGACTGATTCGCTGCTTTGGCCGAATACGCGACTTGGTTGCGCTGCGGCCCACGTTATGAACTTGCATCGCGTGTAGAGGTGTTGTTGTCCGTGAGATGCTCGGCCCTCGGGCAGGTCACGTCATCGCATGAGATTATAACTGGCGCGATAATAGGGTAGGCAATGCTGTGTGGATAGGGTTGGACGCGAAGTGCGAGAAGTGTAGGGAGAAATTAAGGTTGCACAAGGCGGCTGGAAATTCGAAGGCGCAGTACCATTAAACCGCTGGCTCTGAATAGAAGAACATCTGCAGACATTTTCGCTTCATCCACTCTATCTCTATAATTAGAATCAAATTCTCGTCCAATTTCTATTCCAAATCTAAATGAAAAAAAAAAAGTAATGTAGTGAATGCATTCTATGCGACATAGGAAAAGCTATACAAAATCATTGGACGCCATGAACCGCTACCAAACACATCTAAGCTTAATCCTTCTTTAAGGCCCATAGGCCTTTGATCTCTGCGGTCTGTAGTCCTCATCTGTAGACATCAGCTGGAGCTCACTGTCCCGCTTGCTCCCATCCCGGCCAAGAAATGAACCAGGGTAAATGATTGCCAGCACAATGCCAGTCAAAGCCATGAGACAAGCATCGAAAATGTACAAGAGATATTCTCTCTTCATAATAAAGCCGTCATTACCCTCGACAAATTCAGCCACACGGAAGATCGATCGCACCAGAATGAGGAAGCAAGCAGCGTAGAGAGCCCACATTATGGATTCCCACTTCTTGCTGTGCTCCGAAGAATGTGAAATGTTTAGAGAGTTCAACTTAACGCGCCAGTGGAACACAGCCGATACGACAACGAAGAATCCGAAAAAGAGAAGTTGAATGGCAAGACCACCAATGACGATATTTGCACCCATATTCATGGCGGAAATTGTTCCGGCGGCCATATACCCACCACCTAGTACAAAATTAGTGTCCATGGACGAAAATATCATTATGACCAGGGGTCTCTGTGCATACCTCCACACTGGAGGAGGAACGAGATCACGTCTCCAATCACAAATATTTTGGTAAGGAACCGAACAGGTACAATCGAGAACTGGTGGCAGTTGAGAGCGACAATGACTCTGCCTAGAGTCATATAGATCGAGGCGGCAAAAAGTGGCGGTGCGACCAGAATAAGCATGGTCTGAACGATGTATGGACCAAGAGCTTTTGTGTCAAAGTGTGAAAAGATGCGAGCAATATACCCAGCGCACTCAACTAATGGACGTGAATTTTGGATTAGTCTTCCTGCTCAAGTTGAGGCTCATTTGAGTCACGGGCAGGCAGGGTTCTCACAAAGTAGACCGATGATAAAGGGAACGAAGAAATAAGTGCGATGTCGCCATAGTCGAATGCCGTGCAGAATTGTGATTATCAGAAAGATAACTGCGAAAATAACGGCCGCCACGATTGAAGGGGTGTAGCGGTATAGAGCGAAGTCGATACCTCCATCGCTGCTGCTGGTGGTCATGGTAGGCAGGTTGACAAAGCGAGTACAAGTCAAGTTGATGGGTGACAGATGAAATTACGCTACAACAATAAGAAAGAAGTGTTCACTTTATATCAAATTTACAGTCAAGGCAACTTCAATATCATCCTGAAAATAGATTCTCCCAGCTAATCATCTCCATGAAATTTCTTCCCAAGTACCGAAACCTGGATCCAGGACGTTTGAGGGGATGCGACAACGCGGATACGAGAATGCGAGAATGCGAGCGAAGAAATACGAGCATACGAGCGGGGCCAACCAGAAACTTTAAAGAGTCTAGTTTGTAGAGTGGCGATGCTTCGGCATACCTCCGAAATTCGATAAATGGCACCCCGGTACCCATTAGTTATGTTCTACGGTTGAGAAAGCTGTTTGACTGAAAACATCGATGGCATATACTGTCTGCCATTTGTTATTCATCCCAGAGACAGATACTGAATATTTCCCTTCGTATCGGAATTGACTAAAGATTTCTAGTCTAATAGTACACAAGACGAATCAATAGCATGAGAGGAGGCTTCAAAAATCAATTGAAAAAAAGGAAGACGTTCCAAAGTCCAATGCGGATGACACGCCAAATCAACATGCGCCCGAGCCGTCCAGCAACTTATCAGATCAACGCAAGGCAACCACGCGTCTTTATATGCGTCTCTGACAAACGCTGAGGAAAGGCGAAAATCCTCCAGCCAAGAACAAGCGATGCGTTTGGGCATCATGCACTGCCACGGTGGTCGTCGGAAGAAACTTGGCATCTCTATCTTCGATAACTTTGACGGTCTCGTAGTTAAACCTTTCAGAGTCTCCATCTGTTCGGTCTCGATCCCTGACCATGAAGACGCTCGCCGCTGCGACACGGTTATATGGATCATCGGCAGCCTGCATAAAGCCCACTGAATGCGGAATAGCAGCAGCGATTATGTTTCCCTCCTTATCGACGGAGAGATTGTCAAGCGGAACATTCAGAGGAATACTGTCAACCTCAACAAGACCATTATCTGATTCTTCATGAACAGTGATCATGCCCGATGCCGAATGAGAGACATAGAAACGCCCATCACGGCCGCGTACGACGCCGTTGGGGAACGAGCAATTTTCAGTAGCAACTACATCACAACTGCCGGTATCCGACCGACAGTAGGTCAAACTTCCGCCTCCGAAGAATATGACGCGATCACGAAACATGCCAGCCTTTTCGTCGTGGTCATTCGTCACCAAAATTCCAACTCCATCATTGGCGACTGCAAGGTTGTTGGGGGAGATAATAGCCTCGCTAGCGATGGTCTTCACATGCACCAGTGTACTTGAGGATGCCTCAAGGTCAAATATCTCAATGGTGGAGTTAGCGCCCACTTTGCGGGGGTTGAGCGGTTCTCCGGTGGCTGGGTCCACAGGTGGGCGATGGTTGATGAGCCAGAAACGCTGTTGGTGCTGTTGGTCTCCAATGCGTTTAATATCAAAGCCATGCAGATCGAGATCTCCAGGATAGTCGAATTTGAGTTGATGAAGTCCATACAGGCCGTCTGGGCCTGGCTCGTCGATATTCAACACTGAAATATGATCGGTGCGCGACCTTGCGGAAACATTGAACAAGCTCCCTCCCGGGTTCCATCCTGTTCGCGACCTAAGGCTGGTGCAAGCACCGTAGAGCTTCCTGGAGCTATGGTCAAGCCAGACATCTTCACACCCTTCCAGAAGAGGGTGTTGAATGCGCTCACAGTCCCAAGGAAAGTCCTCAATTGGTTGAATCACTCGGCCAAAGCCAAATATCAAGGTGAACGTGGCATGGAGATAGATGCGGTATGCGATGGCAACGACAAGTACTACGGTTGCCCATGCCAGGAACATGCGATTGCCACGTTTTGGTGTTTGAATAACCTCCACCATGGTTTGGAGAGACATTCAAGGTTGGATCATTCCAGATTGAGGGGGTTACGGAAGCTGCACATATCTCAGCCTTGTCAGCGTAGTCGGGTTTTGTTATACCTCCGGGGCCGACTTGCCCCGATTCGAATCTCGATTCCTGCTCAGGTGAGCAATGAACAAATAAAAGAGCCAGAGCGTGTAGAGTGACTAAGATGAGTCATGAATGCTACATCATTCACCAAAAATAAAAATCGATAGAATTAGAATAAATTCAAAGTAGCTGAGCAATTGTCCTCTTTCTACAAGCACGTAGGAAGGTCCAGGTACCCGAAAAGTCGCACGTTCGCTCGGCTGGATTTGGCCCCCACAGCCACTACCATGCACATGTCCGGAAGGCGTGTGATAATAACGACTGCTCTCTGTTGATAGGAAGATACCACCAACATTAGTTAATAGTATTTTCCTCAGACAGGCGTCCCGTGGCAGATCTTCACGTGAAGATCCTTTGACACTGATCAAAGTTAGGGGAATCTCTCTTTCAATTTGGAGGGCAGCATAGAGTGAAACAATATCTGCCTACTTTTGACATCTGTGGCATCACATCCCGCCGACAGACAGGTATTGAGGGCAAGCACGAATGGATCGCTGGCACATGTGCAGTCAGTGTTGAGGTAAGTGCCACAGCCGACTTCCTCGGCAGCTTGCTGGTTGCATTTGAGCTATTCAATGGGTCGTGTATCAGAACTGATTTTCTCTCGATAATCTTATTAGTCTCTCGCCTCGGACACATACCAAACACGGCGTCATGTCTTCAGGATTGTCAGGAGTCCCAGCCATCGCGACTGAAAGGAAAATTGCAAGCGGGGCTAGAATCGAGGGTTTCATTTTGCAGACTTTTTTTAGACACTCTGATGGAAGTCTCAATGTTGAGGATGTAAATATGAGAGAAACGATGGAGATTTTGAGCCTCTAAATACTGAATCGAAGCCAAAGACTGATGGAGACTTGATCTACAAATGATACCTTAGAGCACACAGATAAGTTACTCGAAACCGTCTGACGTACCCTGCAGTATCCGCCCTAATACCAATACTGTTATCTACATGTCTGTCTAGAACCTAGATACTCTGAGGCATTACTTTCGCGATCATGCAAGCAGAGTCATCATTGATCAACATGCATTGGCTCTCTATGTACTCACAGCTCAAAGGCTATTGAGTAACCAGTAGAAACCTCATCCGAGAAGCCCGAGAGTACACAAGACACCTCTATGGTATGCAGTTAGTCTGTGTGTCTTTGATCTCCTCTGCTTTTGACTCTTGTGCGACCTCATATCATCTCGGTAGCATAGAGCAAAATTTCCAAGCTAAGCGTGTAAGAGGCTTTCTAAGCATTTACCTATCTGACACGCAATACGCTTTATTAAACAGCTGAAAGTATTTATGGATATTAACATTTAAGATCACAAGATCGAGTTTATCATTGCTTGAAGCCGGACTCAGCTATCGTAGCTTCCAATTGTTTAGTTCCTCCCGATGCACCACTGTCGGGCTGCACTTGAAGCTGCTGTCTGAATGACGATATCCATGCCGGATTATCCGCAATAGATTGGTTCCAGGAGTCCTCCGAATCATAAAGTAATTTCCTCGATTCTTGTTGGAACATCTCGTCGGTGGGAATAATGCCCAGACTCATTTGCTGGCGAGCATAGCGGCTGAGGTGTTGTGTCAATATACCCGTAAAGGTCTGCAGTGGTACCATTGTCTCGCCCTTTGGAGCTACTTGCAAGGAAGGTTCCGATAAGGCTGGTGATTCATTCTGCGCTTGGGCGCTTGCATTGGCAGCAATCCAGTCTGCTCGTGCAGAGATCTGGGCTAGGTGATCCTGGGCAGACTTGCTTGATGCTGAAAATGGGACCATCGTCTTAGACTCCCAGCTGAGAAGATATGGCGGTAGAGAATTCATAACCTTGTCTGCAATCGCTGGCGGGAAGTCATGATCCCCTTGCCAGTCACTCATTGTCATGCCTTGACGAAAGTGATTCGTCAAATGGTCTGCTCTCTCATCCCAGCTTTGGAGTCGTTGGTCACAGAAGCCACAGCGTGAGGTGATAGTCGGGCCAGCTATTTTCCAGTCGTCAATCATGGGTAAGGTTTCCAGACTATGCACAAGTCTGAGGTGTTGAACTAGGTGGTCCTTCCGGCGAAAGATGCGAGTTGAGTCAGAGCATTGGAAGTGATTATGCGCATCAAGATGCTCGGGGGATGGCTCTGGAAGACTGCAGTAGACACAGTGCATCCTGCCTGTCACGGTCGATACTACCGCGCCTCCATGCGGGGTGCATGCCCAGCCTCCCAGGTTGAGGTGAAGAGATTTTTCGTGGCGAGACCAATCGAACTTATTTTTGAATGTATCGCAGCAAAATGTGCAGCAGAATATTCGGTCATTCTCCAACCCAGTCGGTTTCCTGGGTTTCCTCTTACTCTTGCCGACTCGCGTGCCCGACTGGGAATTTTTAGGCGTTGACACTGCAGACTGTGTCGAAGCCGAAGACTGCCATGACGATGCACTCGTGCCACTCCTGGAGCTAGCCAAGGAGGCTGGTCGGCGATGATGTCGGAATGCACTGCTAGTTCTGTTCGAGAACGCCTCGCCGATAGGCACTCCTTCCATAGCCTGTTCTGACTTATTGACGGCCTGCATGATTGCTGACAGTGATGCCGGCTCATCCTCTGGTGGTGATTCTTGCCATCTCTGCATTGGATCAAGAGAGCTTGTAATATTTGGTGTAGATCTTGCACTCGTTGTCTGTCCTAGCCTGTAAAGAGAGTACCGGCTTCTTCTCCTAGGCAGGCTGGAAGGACGATTCAGGGTTTGTATTGGAATAGCTTGCGACTCTGACCCCATCACTGGCTCAAATAACGAGGACTCGCCACTGTCCAGGAAAGGCATATAGTCACCCGCGTCCTGTTCAACTATCGGAGTGTGGCAAACAGGAGAAGGTGAAAGTCCGGGTTGATACAATCCAGCCAGATCAAATTGCAGCTCGTGACAATCCAATGGAGGCATGGGAACCGCGTTTTGATCCTGGAAATCATACTCGGTCGACCCAAACGGACTCTGAAAATCACCAGGAATCCACGGGCCTGCCGGCCAGCCCGATATGGCCGGAAGTCCCTCGTTATTGTTCGACGGGACGAATTCAAAGTTAGTGTCATTATGCAGAAACTCCACTGCAGTGGTTGCATCCCCATCTTCCATATAATTGTAACGGGAAATTCCGTCTAGGGCGCCGCCAGCTGGCAGAATGTAAGCATTTCCATCAACCTACAAGTTTCGGCGGCAAACTCCGAAGCGGATGACTTGACTCACCGAGCGGCGAAGGTCTTTGGAGGTCTTCGAATTCAAGTGGCTGGGAAGTCGGCGTAGGAGCCTGAAACCCCCAAGAGTCTCTTGTATCAGGCATAGATCGGTTTCAATCTTGGAGGTCTGAAGCAACTTGGGATGAGATGAAGGTGGCGTCGCGTAGGTTCGTCCCCGAAGTCGGCCATCGGACCGATCGGGCTTACCGCAAAAAGGTCACGGTGCTTGTGGGGCACAACCGTTCAGTGGCGGAGATATGTTTATGTGTGGACATCCCTTCTTTGCATGACTAGGTAGAGTGTATCATCTGCGATTTGGAATATTGAATTTATACTACCTCCTACTTGCCACTAATTCAAGATCTATATGTCTTTAGATAAGGTCATCCTTCAACCTATTCCGAATGCCTGCCATCATGCGAAAGAACAACATCTTGATCTGCTGGTACCCGTCATCAGATGCAGACTCAAACTTGATTAATCCGTCATGGTCAGTGCCAATGAAGATACACGTCGCCCTCATATTGTTCGAGTCGTGCTATTCCATAACCAAGAAAGTTAAGGGCTGGATCACTTAGTTATAGCGCAAGGTTACTCACTACCATTTGTGCATCATTGTGACTCGTTGGACCTTGCCCCTCACTGGCAATCACAATATCGAACTGATCATTTATTGTCGTGAATTGATCCAATACGTTGAGCATCCACTTTGCTTCCTTGTAGCTGTCAGTTGCCTGCTGACCATCTCCTTCATTTGCCGCAAGATAGCTTCGAAGCCCTTCCATTCGTGGGTCTAATTCTGGTGTACTCATGAGAAAGAGACCATGTGTTGACTCTTTTATGCTGCGGAAGTGTTTCAGGGGACTTTCACATAATGATTCGGAGTAGTTAAGGGCCTATCAAGCATCAATCAATATGATAGTTCAGGGGAAAAGCGCGGATGCCAAGGCCGGGTACATATTTCACTACCGTTCCACCTAAGCTATGCGCAACAAAAATTATTGGTCGATTTTGGCTCTATAATCTCGTTAGCAAGCATAGATGCTGGCGCTGGTGACGGTGGGCTGCGCTCTATACATTCGTCGATTCTCTCGATTGCCACAGTTCTGAAATTAGACTCTCGGAGACTCTTTCTTGCCAGAACTTGCCACCATTTTCATTCTCAGTTGATACATTGTAACCCCAAGTATATATTCTCGAGCTGGGTAAATCAACTGGGAGCAAACTTCGAAGCCAATTGGTTCCATTTACGGCAGTCCACGACTTTTCGCGGTGCCCGTTCAGTCCATGAACAGCAATGACACTGCCAGCGATTGTTAGTAGACCTTAAATCCAACAGAGAAAATGCCAATTACCCACTCTACTTGTGGATCTACGCCTTCGTACAAAAGTTTCAGTCCCTGTTCACTGGATCCCTAAGGAAACATCATGGCCGATATGAGAAGAATGGCCAAGAAGTAGTTATATCTCTCAAGCTCACCGTCTGTGACTGCCCGGAGAAACTTCTCTTGAATGGCCAGCACTGAAAGCATGACATTTCTTTGCGGCGGGATGCTGGAAGTTGACTGGGGTGGTCTCTTAGGGGAATCAGTGGGCCTCTCGACCATGACACTCGGGCGGGGCTCTTGGAAGGTTGGGGGCCGTGATCTCGATTACGTAAACATATCACAATCCCAGGTCATCCAAAATTTCGTGGTGTTTGTTCTTGATCCAGTTCCATCTTTCAAGTCATTCCAAACATGTCTCCGAATACACAAACTCCCGATGAGGTCTTCCGGGATTCTTCCGTACCGGCCGACTCCAAGATTGATCATGCCGCTTCGATCAGGTACTGGAGCAGTCTTCCAAGCACTACTAGCAATATGTTGGGCATGCTTGGCACCTACCCATGGTATTCACGCATTGAATTGCAAGGGTCCAAAAATTTCTTGAATAAAGTTCGGCGTCTTTCACCTATGCTTCCAACCGAGGGCAAATTCAACCTCGGAGTCGATTGCGGTGCTGGTGTGGGACGTGTCACTGAGGGGTTTCTGCAGCATGTCTGCACGGTGGTAGACGCGGTAGAACCGGTGCAAAAGTTCACCCAAGTCATCCAAGAGGGACAACTCAAGAAAGACGGCGTTATTGGAGACATCTATACCCTCGGTCTGGAGAATTGGTATCCGGAGAAGAAATACGACTTGATCTGGACTCAATGGTGTGTGGGTCATCTCACAGATTCGCAACTGGTTCAATACGTGTCACGGTGCCGGGATTCGTTAACAGAAGGTGGAATCATGGTGATCAAAGAAAACTTATCCACACATCCTGGCGATCAAGACATGTACGACGATGAGGACAGCAGCGTGACAAGGACGGACGCGAAATTCAAGCAGATCTTTAACGAGGCTGGAATGGAAGTGATCAAGTCGGAGATTCAGACGGGATTTCCGAAACAATTCAAGCTCCTTCCTGTCAAGTCTTACGCGTTACGACCGAAAATCTGAGAATCCTCATGTCTTGGCGAGTCCACAAGGGGTTCTGGATTTCATACCGCTCCTGATTTATCGACCACTTTGCTTGCCATGGCGCTTAGTGTTGCAAATCATCTCTCAGAATCATTGCACTTCTGTCGTATTAGAAAAACCTTGCATCATTGGGTCAATTGATATCTGTGATCAATCGTGATCCACCGGCCTTGCAAACCTTTTCCGGGAGGTTTATTTCTCTGGATCTACGTTATTCTTGAAATGACGCGAGCGGGTGGCACAATAAGCAATGGCGCTATAAATTCGATACATCGGCAGGACAATTTCCAACAAGCACAAAGCTGGAGGAACTGCTTCCGCCCAAATCCCGCTTTCTGTCAATCAACATTGGAGTCCCCTAGGTAGACCTGTGGGTAGATCTGATCTATCTTCGGGGTTTGCGTCGAGGGACTTGATTAATCGGCGACTTTGTGCTAGGGAAGAAATGTAATTGAAACCCACTGTCAATTTTGAAAATCATTTCAAGGCTTCAAGGGGTCATCTTCTTCGCAGTCGTGTGGAGATGAACGCGTGGTGCCTTGCCACGTCCATTTTTCCAGGCTTGGCGACCTGGGATTTTCACCGTATCCAACCACATGGTAGACATATAGTGTCTGTCTGAAAGTGCGCAATAGTTAAATTTCTTGTAGCCAATGATTGTCAACTTTGTGAAACTTTTCTCATCAGAAAGTTAGTACCATGGGCGTGTGGTCAGCCATCTTCGTTTTTGGGACCCTGTAGATCAACCCACACTTTCCATAATTGAGTTGGAAAGCGCCCATTTTGTCCATTGTCTGATGAACAAGCTCTAAACCTTGAAAACACAACGCGCAATGAGGCATGAGACAAGGTCCACTTGTTAGATCAACTCATCACCCCTAGATTGTCAGTCCTCTGTTCCGGGCTCACTACTAAAATTGGACCGGCTCGCGAATAAGGTTAGCTAGAACCCGCTACCCACAACCCAAAATGCCTTGCGTCATAGGTCCTACCCCTGTCGATGATCGTCCTGCGGATCTAGCAGATCATCGAAATTGCGGCTTTTTGAAAAGATCGTGAAGGTCATGGTTAGCTATGTGCTTCCATGAAGACCTAGTATATAACCATTCGTGGTTTCGGGCGGCCCTTTGTCATTTCGTTAGTCCGCACGCAGTATTTACTACGTTGGTGCGATAATGGGCCGAGCGTGAGTCAGATTTCTCAAAAGACTTTCTTGAAGGCAACTAATTAGGCACCAGAATTGACGGTTCAGCGTTGAGCTGGGCTGAAGCTGAAGAGGCTGCGCCTACTATTCGCAAATGGGCTACTGAGGTAAGTGGTCCTCGCAACTGCCAATGATATGCGCTAAACTCCACAGCAACTACTTCGTCTTTGGCATCAACAAAAGAATCGAAACGACCCTGACCCATTATGGGGGGATGAAGTGAGTTCTGACACCCACTCCTTAAAACAGACAGATTCACTGACATAGGAACCCAGATCGAATACGCGTTAGTCGACTTGGATCGCAAAAATTCACGAGCCACCTTGCTGCTCGAGCAAGAGAAAGTAATCCGGCAATGGGAGGCTAGAAAGTTCTGCTTAAGTGATGCGTATGATCAGCGTCTCACGCAAAGATTGAAGCGTCGATGGCTGACAAGGGTCTTCCAGGGCCGCTTTACAATGGGAGTGGGCAACTTACGTTGTGGAAACCACTCCTGCAGCTCCATACAATGGCAGGATAACAGATCTATTGGAAGTCGAAGCAAATATGCGGCAAAGGTACTATAAGAGCCTTTTTGTTCATGATGCGAACTAACAACTCACTCAGGAGGCAGTTGATAAACCGATTCCTCTTGCCCCATCAGCAAGCCATGTCTCTTTGCGTCTTTCCTCGAGTGGGAGTCGAAGATAGATGGACCACTCCCAGCCCACCTAATCGTCTCGTCTGTCCACTTCCTCGATATCAACTGCTGGCAAAAAACGTCCAAAGCCGTCCTCAAGGTCGAATGAGGACTTATTTCCCAATCTCTCGCGATCACTTAACGTCGAGTCCGTTCCGTGATGACCCGCCAACGGGAAAAGGAATTCTTGAACATCTTTGCTTGGATGAGCTAGAGATTGGAACTGGGTGCTGCAGCATTCAAACCACCTTTCAAGCCGCCAACGAAAGCGAGGCTCGATGGTTATACGACCAACTCATTCCGCTGGGTCACGTCCTTCTCGCGATGACTGCTGCGACGCCGATGTGGAAAGGATACCTTGTTGATACAGACATTCGATGGCAACGTTTTGGAGACTTGGTGGATGATCGTCGACCCGGGGAAATGGATTTCGTGGTATGAGGGAACTACTCCATTGCGAATATACAAAACTGACGACACAAAGCCACCCCGTTGGACATGGAATCGGACATATCTCTCCCTCGAAAAACCACCGATGCTAGGAGGTAACACCCCTCTGCAGCCTATGGATAAGACTATTAAGAACCGTCTACTGGAAGGTGGCATGGATAATGCACTCGCGGAACATTTTGCATCAATCCTCACCCGCGACCCTCTCCTCCTGACTCGAGCAGACATGGAAAATCTGAATGAGTCAAACACAAGACTTTTTGAGCTTCTTCACGGATGTGTCTGGCATCACGTTCGTTTCAAGCCACCTCTCACTGACAATGGCCCTGGATGGTGCGTAGAATTTCGACCGATGGAGGTGCAGCTGACGGATTTCGAGAACGCTGCATTCGCAATCTTCATGTATCTGCTTTCACGAGCAATCACCACCTTCCATTTAAACTTCTACCTACCACTTGACATGGTCGGTGAGTCTTGGGAAATGGCCCAGAAGCGCAATGCTGTGGTAGAGGGACGTTTCTGGTTCCGGCGGTCTGGATGGTCTTCGAATTTCTACTCGAATGATCCATCCACTAAATCTACATGCAAAGATTCGGGGCATCGTCAACGTGCCGAGGAGGAGTACGGGCTCATGACTGTGCATGAGATTATCAATGGTGAAAGCATGTCCGGGGGTTTCCCCGGGTTGTTAGCCATGGTTTGGCAGTATCTTGATTATACCGATGTTTCCACTGCCGAAAAGGCCAAGCTCACACCGTATTTGGATCTCATTGAGCGACGCGCAAACGGCACCGATCCAACTCCGGCTTCTTGGATGCGAGAATTTGTCTGCCGGCATGAGGATTATAACCGCGACAGCTATGTTAGTGAAAGAGTTTGTTATGATATGATGGAAGAGGTACTTGATTCGAACAAGATATAGAGAAGGGAGTTCAATTTGGATTTAATCAAAAACTACAGGAAGAAGAAACTTCTAAAGAGTTCTTGTAATGCCTGACACTATCTCCGTCTCCATCTCCCCGAAATTCCTCTCAGGATTCACTTGGCAAAGCAGACCAGTGTGCAGATCATATTTCCACTTGTCACTCCCAACTCCACTGTAAGCCCACAGACTCTCGGTTGGATCATACTTGCGTTTGATTTCCAGTAGCCTGTCATATTTGGGGCCGTAGAAATCGTGTTTCCAAGTGCGACTGAAACCATTTGCGGCGTTCATGTATGCCCCAATGTCAGGAGCCCACTTTCTCCAAACAGGCTCCTTTTTCTTTTCAAACCACTCTGCTGCAGCTGCTAGAGACTCTCTAGGGTCATCGGTCGAGTTTATCTGCGCACCCCATGCCATCGTCAGAGTATACGCGGTTCTCCAGGACCAGTTTTCGCTGGCCCAGCGTTTCCTTGGGACTTGGGCTGGGCCAGGTCCAGCTTGGAGATCAAAGCGCAACAGATTTCTGTCCTCGGGATTCTCAGCGACGGAGATTTGACGAAGATATTTGTTCAGGTCTTCTTTAGAAATGTCAGACAGCTCCACTCGCCCTAGGAGTCGCCCGGTGTAGATACGGGATGACCCGGCGAAATTGCTAGAGAGGAACTCAGGCGCCGCAAACGACCGGAAGTCTTCAGAGAATGGCTCTGTTACAGTGACGGTCAGGTTCCCTTTGCTGGCGGCGTGAAGACGAGTGACCAACTTTCTCAGCATGTCGCGCATACTTCCAACGGTGGTATTAAAGGCGAAAAGTTTGGCCGATACGGCTGGACCAGCCACAGCTTGGGGCAAGTGGAGGTATTTCTGGGCCATTTTACCAGTAATTGAGTCAACAGTGCCGGTCACTCCCCCATCCATCAAGTCTGGGAATTGCGAGGCAAAGTCAGCGAAAGCCGCCCACGCAGCATCTTCCATGGGACGAGATGTATCACGAGCGTAAAAGGTCAAGGCGCTGCTCACAGCATTCTCTGGAATGGGATTAGTCTTAATGACGAATTTGGTCACGACTCCGAACTGGCCACCACCTGCTCCGCGAATAGCCCAGAATATGTCTTGATTTTGCTCGTCATTTGCGACGAGAATGCGTCCCTCGCTGGTGACGACTGTAGCTTGATAGATATGGTCCGACGAAAGGCCGTGATGGATAGATAAGACACCATGACCACCATTGGTTAACTGTCCACCTAGACCAACTCTTACATCCTCGGCGCCGACAACCGATCTGTTGGCTTCATTTACAGCAATGTACGCGGAACCCCAGGAGGGTACCACCGCCGCAGATCAGGACGTCTAGCGTGTCTTTACTTCCCGGAATGCGCCAATCTGTTTTGTGCTCCATGTTCCGGAAGTTGTGCGTCCAGATAGACAAAGTATATGCACCCGTTGACCTGGAGATATCACCCTTAGCGTCATTTCATCGTAGTCTTGATATTATCATGCTGTCTCAGTGATAGTACCGAAGCGCCAAGGAATACTTACCAGCCATTGAAGTCATGCCCCGTAGACTTGATGACAATACGGATATTTCGTTTAGAAGCCCATGCCATGGCCTTCGCAATTTGTTCCCCCTCCGTGGCATCGACGACATACTGCGGTAGCCCACCAATACTGCACCCCCTTTCCTCGGTGAACCCACTACTGCCAGGTGGAAGGCAAGAATTATTCGTGAAAATAGAGTAACTGACGCTTTCCGGCCATGAAGCGTGATATGCACTGAGTTTCCATCGTTCTTGGACTTCAGTACAATTGTAAGGCGAGTTGAGCGGATTTCTCATCGTTGGATAGCCATGTATCGCTCTGCGGAGATGACTTGCATAATGGTAAATATGTCGGACCGGTGACGAGCGAAAGGGGAAAGGAAAGAGCATGTAGAATTAACTGATACATATTGAGCAGAAATGTCAATCTCAATCAGCTTGACACGAGAGACCACTCTTGAATCCTGGATTTGGGCGGATTTTCTTCTGATGAAATCTTATGTAGAATGTCGCGTAGGCTATCAAGTAACCTGCTCGTCATTATGAAAAATGGCGCGGAAGAGATGCCCAGCAACCTATTCCGAATACAGAATCTACCAAAATACCACGGCAGATCTTGACCGCATTGCTGGAATTATATCGTTTTCTTTTTTCTCTCATTCTTTATGCCTGGTGATTTGACCGTGGTGCTGCTAGCAGGCAAATGAATTCTTTCGTTGTTGATTCAGATAGAAGATTTTTTGACACGAAACACGTCGATCGATTTATGTCTGTGTTGCACCACGGATCTCATGCAATTTTTGCAATTTCTTGGCAACCATATGCCCATCAGAAAGATCTACAAAGACCCATCTGGCCTTCCGAGCGAACTTGAGCACAGCCCAAAGCCCAAAGAAGACAAAGATCTACCACGCGGCGGCGCAAGTCAGTATTGATCAGGTAACAACTGAGCTGCTGGAAATATCACAACGACTTACAGTCAAGTACGGAGCAACGAAAGGGAGAAGATGGAATCCTTTCCATAGGGCAGCTCCACCAGCTATCACAAGGAGAAAAAGACAGCCTGAGAAGGCTAGGTAAGCCAACAGCGGCTGTCCGTGACTGCGATATGGATATTCGTTATAATCGTCCCGCTCGACTTGGAGTACGCCTTTGTCTCTGAGAATTTTCCGATGGGTCGTAATGCTATATGGTTCGAACTTAATATCTTTCCCAATCAACGTTCACAAACACTCACCAATGGTAATATCGAATAAAAGCCAAGCATTCACAAGCCCAGACAATGAGAACTGCCATAGAGGCCATCTCGCTCAGGATTTCGACAAACTAACTCAGTGTAAGTCACAATATCGGCTTAGTTTAATGCGCCTCAAGAGAGTATTTTACCTTATTAATAGAGTTGCGGGTCTCCGGTTTTCCGATCAATTGTAGAAATGGAACCCACGAAAACGCAAAAGCAGAGAACACAACAGAGCGGATCGGAACTTTGTGACGATTCGTCTTTCCAAACCATGCGACGACGCGTAAGTACCAGGGCTGTCCCTTGCCACCTTCCAATCCACTTGCGAGACCAAATAAAGTCCGCGAGGCAACATAGAGGTTGGTGCTGGTACATGTGAGGCAAGTGAAAATCAAGAAAACATTAAAAACATCTGCGAGATGTGGAATGCCTGAATTCAAGGCAACGGCAACGAATGCAGCTCTGCTGCCAGGCGCGGGACAGTGGTCTTTGGCATCTTCCGAAAGCCAACTCACACGGGGAAGCTCACAGTCTCCTCGGTATATGTCTAGAGTAACCAGAAATCCTGCAACAGTGTATGCAGCTGTGGCAAGGATTGATATGAAGATTGCAGAAAATTTCACAGTATTTCCAATCAATGTATCATTTGGGCGAGGTGTCACATCCGACGGTGCTCTTGACCCTGGGTTCTGGTTTGGCCATTTTGCCTCCAGCGCAGAGGCCGCAACGATCTCAATCCCAACATACGAGAAGGTTGAGATGGACATTCCCATTCTAGTCATCTCTTAGTCGGTCTGAAATTTCAAGATAGGCCAGACCACTTACAACAGGGCAGTAAACCAATTCGGAGCGGCATCAGAGTCATATGCAGTAGGCGAGCTCCAGTCTGCTCGATTTAGCAGGGAATCATAATGGCCATGGGTGCAATTTGACTTACATTTGACACCAAGTGGAGAACCATCTCGCGTTCCAACTTTTCAAATGATGTGTCAGTCATTTGGCTGAGGAAGCACCAAGAAGTTACATATAGCAGCAAGATTAGTAAATACTCACCCCCTCTATTGATGGCAATTAATGCGCATACTATGATCGCAAGACATAATAGCTTAATGCCTCCCGTAAGGACTTCCAGCATGCCATAAATCTTGCAGATTGTCAACATTGATTCTACTGAGGTATCAAATTTGCCCAGGGAATAATTCAGTCTTACCTCAATTTTGAATGCGTTCGCGCAAACTAGAATGAGGGGAATCAAAAGATACAGAACTCCTGCGTGAATACCAGTGCTGTCGTTAATGCCAGGCCAGAAGTTGAACTCGGCAGCTGAGGTTGCAAGGAGCGTAGAAAATGACATGGAATATGTGAACCTGTGAGAACTATAAGTAAATGGATTGTCATCGTCACACATCGCCTCAATTATTTCCAGGCTGGTTAAAGAAAATGTGCATACCAGTAGGCGACTCCAACAGCAATTCCCAGCTCAACATCGACAAACTCGCTGACATACACCGATAATGCGCCGGGTATGGGCCAGATGCAAAGCATCTCTGACACGCACTGCATAACGGACCAGGACAGGAGTCCTACCAGGAGGAAGGACAGAACAACAGCTAAAGGGCCACCAAGCTCGAGGACTTGGCCTCCTCGCCAGTACAGACCAGTTCCAAGGACCGCATTGATCGTGATCATCTGTTTTGGGAGGTTAGCTTGGCCCGAAAAACATTCAAAATCTTTGGACTTGCACAGCGGTCGCTCAGATATAGAGTCATGATAGAATTGAAGATTCGTGTACAGAAATTTGACATACAAAAATATGGATGCCTTTCAGGCTTCGCTTCACCATTCTGTCAGGACTCGGGGTGACAGTAATCAGCTTCGGGGGCGCTTTGGAGAACCCAGTGGTTTCTCTTGGATACGAAGGACCATCCTGACTCGAGATACTCTGGCAATCGGGCTCATCATCACTAGGTTGCAGTGGTGTGGGCTGCACTAATAAAATGGAATCAATTTCCTCGGTCTGCGTGAATGTGCTCCTAGTCTGCGGCTTATTCCCGAGGTTTTGCGCTTCACCAGGGGAGACATGAGTGGTATCGAATGTTCCATTGTTGATGCTTTGTTGTACACCTTTTGAAGACTCTGATATTCCGGTCGACGGGCTGGTCAGGGGGATCCAGATAACCTGCCGTAAGGACGGCATCCTGTCCAGGAGAGTGCTCACGTGGCTTTGATTGACAGTGTGAAAAGAAAAGCACCAGAAGTAATGCGTGGTCTGAATGAAGGCTTTCAACCGCATTAAACGAGAACATATCAGAGGGAGTACATTTGCAACCCGGAGGCTTCTCATACGCATCTCCTAGGCAATTTTTAGCAGCCCCAAATATCAGCATGTTGCTTGGGCTGTAGGCGGCTCTGGTGCGTCCTGTGCTCGACTTCTCAGATAACAAACACAATGCGCCCCACGGGCCGTGGCAAGGATACTGTACAAACGTGCATAAGCCTATCTGTGTTTGCGATATATGATAGGCGAGACCTGAAGTGGCCAAACTTTACTGCAATGCACGCGACCGAGGGCAACGTTGTAACCCCATTTTACCCCTGCACAGCGGTCCGTGCCAGGCTCGTGTTGACGTGTTCAACAGCAGGTCACTTTATCTTCAGCCGCGGGGCTGGGGCAGGGAAGCCTAAGCCCCGTTTCATATTTGGTGAGCAGAACCCGCAGTGAGAGGGACTTGGTGCTACGTGCTCATATTCCAATTTCACATTATGGCCGACAAAGCCCACCAAGGACAAACCGCCCAAAACACCACCTCGAAATATCTCACACAAGACAAGCTTCAACTCCTGCTGGAGATATTATTTCCAGGACAAAAGGAGTTCAATATCCGAGTATGGAGTAGTGTGCACTTTTCTTTTTCTTTGCTCGCCCTTAAGGCTAATTCTAAGCACAGATGAGAAACGATCAATGGTACTTCACCGCACCGAGAATTGTGGGCGATGTGAGTTTAGAACTATATCCTACCAGCCACCATAGAGCTTTTAGCTAATGCAAACTCGTTCTGAAGGCTGAGATCGAGTATGGAGAATCAACTTCCAGTATTCCACTGCTCTGTGGGTGGAGAAACATGCAGTTAGTTTGTAGCAAGGTGCTGACCTTCGAGACTTAGACCTGAACGAGACTATTAGTCGACCAATCGATTGAAGGTGCTTGCACGGAGGTGATATGGGCAATACGAGGCCGTTGCGGACGATCTTATAGGTCAGGCGGGTGAGGCTGTGGACATGAGGCGCAGGCCAAGGCAGAAAAGGGGCAATCCAGAGTCTTGACTCTTTGAGGTGGATTCACGGGCTGCCTCATCTTGTCTGAAGATTTGCGCTTGTTTATAACAGTTGACTACAAGACTAATTACCTTCAATTGGCAAAGAATAATCGATCAGGAACTCTTTCCCTAAAATGGTTTCCTTAGATCACTGCTTCGTTGATCAATTGACCGAGGCCGTACAGATTTTCGATGTCGGGTTAAGTCCATTGGCATCATCTTTGGAAGGGTCTTATCAACGGTCAGATGTATCAAACAAAGAGGAGCTTGTGGCACATTTGCAAAGTTCCCGTGAATACCCCCACGCGTGCCGTTTTATGTTAGTTTTCCCCAAGGCATTGACCCTCTACTATTGTAGCTGATGTCAACAGATCAATCTGCCAGAGGAACTCGTGGCGCCCGTTGCAAATCACTCGGCCCATGCTTGATGCTATTGTCGCCGAGCATGAAATTGACTCCTCGTTCTGGGAACTTCCGTCTTGTTTCTATCAACGTAGCGATGATATTGAGTTGGTCTTTTGTGTCCCATTCACCTTGGTTCGCACAGACTCAATAATAGGTAGCAGACCGGTTCCCAAGATCCATGTGGTTGGAGCATACTGATGATAGACTTTCTTCCTAACTAGAGGTCTCATACACACTAAGATACCCAGAGTATAAAGAGAATGAGAACACATGGACCATCAGACAAAGCGGAGTTTATCATCGGTTTGATACCGCAACGTCCAAAAGCATATTCATTTTGTTCAACCCCACACCCCTGTCCAGCACACACAAGGAGGTTGAAAATTTCCTGACCGGGTCTCCGTCATTGGTTATGGAGGAGCCCTTTTGGCTACATCGGCTCCTGTTTTCTATACATATCCCTGCTTGGAGGGGGTATATCGGGTCATTAGAACGACAATTCTTGCCTATCACCAACACAGCTTTTGCAACATTTATCGAGGAGCCATTGCGTCTGAGTTATGATCATCTCAGCACACTGAGTAACTTGGAGATTCGCTTTCTTCAAGTTCCAGCCATGATTACATCCGCGACAGAAGTTATCGAAGAACTATGTGCACTCTTTGACACCTTATCGCGCCCCCATATAGAAAGCCAGGTCCTTCAAAATCATCGTCGCAAATGCCTAGTCTATTCTCGAACAGCAACACATCTCAAGGACCGAATACAAACTATTGCCCGCTTGCTTGCAGATACGCTACTGCTTCGCGACCAAGTAGTCGCAAGAGAGCAGAACAAAAACATTTTCCAGCTCAACAAGTCGGCTGTTTTCATCACTACCCTCACATTGCTCTACCTTCCAGCCTCATTTCTCGGCGTAAGTGCGGTTCCTTCTGCAGTCGTGAAATCCGCGCTAGTCTCTTCGTACTGATGGCTTTCTTGTCTTAGACTTTCTTTGGCATGAACTTTTTTGCTATGGATCAGACTAACAACCGTATTGTCGGCACTCCCATGGTGTGGATTTACGTGGTCGCCTCAGGTGTGCTCACCGCGTTTACGTTCCTGTTCTACTACTGGCTATTACATCGAGATGGATTTGTGTTCCGCAAATTGGTGCCGAAAGTGCCTGAGTGGAACATTCAGACTTTGAGGCGCCAATTGACAAATCGCAGAAAGGGTGACGTGGAGCTACAACGCTTTCAACTTTGAGGCTTTCTGAGAATTCCGCCATTTTCAAAATCGCGAATATTCACTCCAGATATCTTCCGCTATATAGGCCTCAGCTGTATCCTTTTCAAAATGTCTTTCAGGATTACTTTTATTGAATACAAGGAAACTTTCATCCATAACTATAAGACTCATACATAGCCCCCAGAAAAGTCAACTAAATCTTCACTTTGTAAATCGCCCGCTGGTTGGCACTCATCAAGGCTGCAAGTAAAATGTATTTTCCCCATTTTATGTTCCCCAGCGCCTCGGTAAATTGATCACTATACGAAAGACCCGGAAATTGTGCCAGCTCAGTGATGGATACACCACTGACTCCCGATACAGGCAAATGTACCTGTAGCAAAATCATATTATGACTGGCCACATGTCTTCCAATTGCGAACATCTCGCCTTTATCCCATCCTGTAATCAATTTTAGTATACGATATTGCTTGATGTCAGCCTGGATGGCGGGGACATGGCTTTCTTCCTCCAAACTCTGTATGTAAAGGCGTTTCTCTTTTGTCACAACTGCACATCTGCTAGGCTGCCGATAGAGGGGCGCGAAAGTAGTAAAGAGGCCAACATTGGCACCGCTGTCAAAGCCCTTAACCACGAAATAATTAGAGCTGCAAACACTTTGTGGTGGCCATATAGAATAAATACTCACTTGTGATTTGATGATGACCGATTCTAGTCGCTTTGACTTCAAGCATATATGAATAAGCGTAGCTGTTTCCTCCAGACTGCGGATGTTGACTCTCGGGCGAACAACCAGGTAAATGTCGTCGCTCGTCGGGAATGACAACTCGACAATGTCTGTTGCTGGCCACTCGAGCTCCTCTGTCTGCGTGCATTGGTCAGGGGTCGCGACCCGTGCAATATACAGTAACGCTCGATGCTCCGTTCCAACTTTTCCGTGCAAGATACAGGCCATCACTTCGCTATCAGGCGAAATAGCGAGATCCGCTATCTCTGGTAGTGGTGAAAAGAACCGCTTCCGACGGGCGAAGCTGGCGTCCACCGACCGACCCCCTCTTAAATTGAAGACATAACACTTCAAACCGTACTACGTTAGCCAGTGAATCTTGCCAAAATGAACATTTTAGTGCTACTTACTTGAAAAGTACCTCCAGAAGTCGAAGCGATCAAATATCGGTCTGTCAATCGAATATTCTTCCAAATCCAGTTTGAGTTTTCACTTTCCAGAGACCACTGGCCTTGTGGCTTTGCCTCAACATCTTCGGTTGAGAGCGATACCGACGTAAAAAGCGTGAGTTCGGTGTCAGTCCAAAATAGAACAAGAGATCCATCACTGGATATTTCGCAGTTTTTGAAAGGATTCGCTGTTTTGAGCGTCCATCTGCCGATGTATCTTCCAGGTTCAGGTATCGCTCTGCGAGGCGGAAGACCACTAAGTAATATTTGCTTGATCATCGAACCCTGGTCGGGTAGTTCTCTCCTCGACTTCAATTTGTCAGGATCCCCCAACATTATATAAATTTCCTGTGTTTCTAGCAGCCTTTTTGCAACTCTGTCCACGCCACATCGTTTTGCTTGGTCTCGAAACACGTCATTCTCGAGAAAGTGCAACATAGCTTTTAACGCTTTCCCTTCTTCGGGCTCCCGCTGTTTACCGTCCAGGATTAGACGTTTGTGCCAATATTTGACGACTGGGTGCGCTTGAAAAGGCCCAAATCCTTTATCGCGAAGGAAAAACCGATCAACGCCATCTGCTTTGGCGTGATCCGACCGTGCTTCCGAGTATCTGGCCACGCCTTCTGCGCCCTTCTCCAGGTAAACAAATACAACGCTGATCACGCATCCAAGGGACCAGACATCACTGCCGGTCTTCATGGACGGGATTGACGCAAGAGATTCGGGTGCTAAGTAAGTACCCTCTCCATGTAAAGCCAAAGTAGGTGTCGGGGTCGGCTCAGACCCAGGCTTCGAACGCTTCACGAACCAGCTATTGAAATCTCTCTCCTTTTCAATTCTGTCGCCTGTCTTTCTCAATTTAACTCGGGCCATGCCAAAGTCACTGATTTTCCAAATTTTCCTGTCATCCTCGCCTTGAAATATCAGGATATTACTCGGCTTCAGGTCCATGTGATAGCAGACCAGGTTTTCGCCTTGGGGGGTCTTCATCCCTTGATGCAAGAACTCCAGTCCCCGAGCTAATCCCCAGGCAGAGAGAATGATCGCAGCCTTCTCCTGAGTAGTACTGGGCTTGATCGGATGGTAGTCCATCATGTACGCACTCAGGTCACAAATCGCGAGAGGCATGAAGAGGCTGTACTTGTCTGGGCCAATCGCGAGGCTGCCAAAATTGTCGACTATGTTCTCGCACGATCTATCAGAGGCAAGGATCTTCTCGAGGACGTCGTGCTCCTTGCTTGCGGCAGGGAATTGACTGCTGATGACATAGTCCTTCCTCGCAACCTCCAAAGGCCCAGGGTTTGATGTTCCGTTGCGATGATCATAAAAATGTCTCCTAGCAATCTTGACTTTGTAAACAGTTCCATAACCTCCTTGTGCCAGGCGCGTTTCCTCGAGATAAGGGAGACGCCGTCGTCCGAGGTCTACGACGCGCTGTTCTTTCCCCTGGTGAATGACCACGGGACAAAATATGGCTTGGTGTGCGAGAAACTTAGCACGGGTGACTTTTTCCTTGAAGACCAGTTTAAGAGTCCGATTTTCGGTAGGTAAGGAGAAGGTGTCGCTTGCAAATGTGTCTTTAACCAAAAGTTCTGTTGTGAATGTTCGCGCATCTTCGACGGTGCAACTGCTGAATATCAAGATGGCCAGGAAATCATGCAAGTCTCTTTCATTGACAGTTGCACTGAAATCCTCTTCACTGAGACCAGTATCCGTAGGATAGGACCAATCCAGACTCCTAAAAAGACAACGCAAAACATCAGGTCGTAGTACCTCTTTTGATGTTCCAATCGGTGCAAATCTGTGTCGATCGTCTTTGCGTCGCTCGAATTTCTGTAACAATTCCAGATATAGGTCGTTCCTCAACTCATCGAAAGAAGTGGGTGAGTCGGTTGTAGCCATGGTCCTAGCTGCGCTCGTGTCGTCGGGATAGCTGAAGATAGGAGCCACATAACTACCGGGCGCTCCTTATCAGTAATAATTCCGATGAGGCTCAGCTTGCAGTCCTTAAATCTCGTGACTTATTTCTCCGGGGATTTGATTTGCTTCTTCTCCTCCTTCGCTTCCATGGCTTCCAAGCGGCCATGCAATGGTTGGCTGGTTGGTGCTTCGCCCCTGCGTTTTTACCCCGGCGACGGGGACCGAGCGCCGACCGTCACTTGACGATCGTGGCGAAGTCATTTTGCTTTTTGTGAATTCTGGATGTGATGAGGGATTCTACGGGATTCTCAGTACTGAGTCTTGATCGTCATGTAATATGGCTGGTAAAATGCTCGCTGAGGTGATTTCAAGTTATATCGACTTCGCTTCACTTTCCAACAAGGAGGGGAAACTTTGATTTGGTCATTATGGGAATTAGGGTAATGAGAAAGTCGATTTATCGCCGTTCCAACCCTCGCCTCGGGCAATATGAAAAGTTCACAGCCCTGGATTGAACAATTCTTGTCTACTTTGTATGGTCTGCATAACTGCTCCGTGCTCGAAACTTCTCCCCGTATTTCCACAAGATGAATGGAATGGGGCACCCAACCATCAAGGCTATCAATGCCAAAACACTGTTTCCCCATCCGTATCCCAAAGCCGAGTACATCTCAGGACTGAATAGGGGGAACCCAAATCCAGTCAATCCGCGCAAAATATACACCGCGCCATTTGCGCTAGCGGCATACACAGGGAAAGTATCGAGGAGATACGCACTGACACATTGGAAAACAATGGTAGCACCCATGAGTGGTAAGGCAATACCAAGGTCAGGAACAATCCAGTGTGCCTTGTACTCCGCGCTCCATCCGAACCACAAAAGACCAAAGGGCACGAGCAAGGATGCCGGGACCATCATCGGTAGGCGGAATTCAGGCTTGCCAACACCTTGATTCTTTGTCACTTGAAATTTGTAGACCCGGTCGGTAAGAAAAGCGCAAACCGCTGCTCCAAATAGATAACCGATGCAGGGCGCTATATAGTTGAGCGTGCCTATGCTGAGTTTCATATGGTATTGGTCTTTCCACAGGTTGGAGAAGCTGGACAGAAGCAGATACACAATACCATACAGATATCCATAATAGCAAGCCAGCGCTTGTACAATGGGTTGTGTGCAGAGAAAGTAAAGGGACCGGAAGAGCGTTCGTCGGTAGCGCTGACCAATAGTCTCATTCTCTTTCTCATAGGGGGTCTTCCATACTGGATTATTTCCCTCTTTCTCTGTTGCGTGTTCCTTCATTTGTTTCTGCTTCTTCCGCTGAAGGAGAACGGGAGCGTAGCTCTCTCGTGCCATAGTGCCGCACAAGACCAGAAAAGCCCCGGATGCGATGGATGTTGAGTAGAATGCCCAGCGCCACGTCGAAAAGTCGGCAATGAAGCCACCAACTATGGGGCCTAAACATGATCCCAGAACGGGACCCATGCTAACGAGGGCTACGGGGAGCCCCCGTTCTTCCTTCCGGAAGACATCTCCAATCATACTCGCCCCAACCTAAATGAGAGTATTAGCCCTGACTTTTTCGTTTCGTTGAGAGAACACCTACGGCCAAAGAAGCACTAGCACCCGTTCCACTAAGCAGTCGAAACAGCAGAAGCTGTGGCATGCTTCTCGAGAAACCGGCTGCAAGGTTGAAGACGAAGTAGAACAGGTTTCCCGCCTGTAATACCAGCAGTCGTCCAAATAGCTCGCTCAAAGGACCAAGAAGAATGGGTCCAAGGCAGTACATCAGAAGAAATAAGGATAGTGCTAGCGGTCCGGTGACGGAGGAAGTGGCATTGAACTCTGCTGCGATAGCCTCTTCCGCGGGAGTGGTTATTGTGGAAGAGAGAGGCATCAGGAATAATGGAATAGCCACTGTAACCATGATCAGCCACTTCCGAGACTGTGGCCAATCTTGAGGGTGGTCCCCTTCAAAGTCAACCATGATTGTGCTTTTCTCGGGCGACATATTGACTGGCTTGACAATCAAAATCAGAGAATAATCGATGAATGGCAGCCCAATGTCCAGCTGTCAAATATACGGCATCAAATAAGGCGAGTAAGGCGTACGTGTACCTATGATGAATAAAAACAAAAGACAATCATTTTCATCCCTCCTTCTCCCTAGATCTTGGCCTGTGGGTATCGAATACGTAGGACACACATATTTTGAACCGATTGATCTTGTTTGATCGACACGGGTCTGCAATATCGCAAATTTGGGAGTTTCCTGAATAATAATGGGTCTCGAGAGAGAACATCGGACCTGAGATCCTTAATATTGAGAGACGATCGATGTCTGAGACTGATGTCATAGTATAGGCCCCTTCAAGTCCCTGTCTCCTTCTGATACTCCACCTTACGGCGACGGTCAATCCAATTTCGGGGCGTTTGGCGCGTCAAGAAGACAGGAACGTATGTAGTAGGTATCCCTTGAAATAACATGGCTCGTCAAGCAAGTAGTGCACACGCGTTTCCCATGGTTGGGTTTGACTCGGCAGGTTAAGATCGTCATTCTTTTGACGAGCTGAGAACGCCAGTCATCAAAGTTCATGAAGAATGAGATTGCGCACTTTGTGATGCCCAGGCTATGCTGATTGGTGAAATTTATGGTAACAATATCGGCAATGTTTCAATCAATCCAGTCGTGCAGTCGAAAGAGAGATGAGGGACAAGGCTTATCCAAGTTTGAGTTTCTGGATGAACGGAAAGTCTAATTAAGAAACCTGAGCCTTAGGTTTGAAAAATCATTCCACTTCTTCCAGGCATCCATGGAACTTCCCGACAGGAGAATTTCGTGCGAAGCGATAGGAGAAACGGACGTAGTCAAGGCCCGAACATACATGGGAAAAACCGAGCATCGTATCGAGATCGGTTCATCGAGATGCAGGTGTTTGCCCGGTCGCGGAGAGACACAGCCGATGAGTCACTTGCATCCTTATCCAGAAGTATAAAAGAACCACTTTTCTTTATGCTACAGTGATCTTATTGCAAGCACCTTGAGCTATTATTGATCTAATCGTTAATCGTGCTATCACCATGAGTAAAGGCCAAGTTATCATTGTCGGGTGAGTGAAACCCACCGTGCTTCCATTTCACGACTCGTACCAACATTGGCCATTTTTCCACAAGTGCCGGCGTCTTGGGCCTCAGCTGTGCGGTACAGCTATCTCGATCCGGTCACAATGTGACAGTGATTGCTCGAGATCTTCCTGGCGACTCACATATCGACTATGCTTCCCCATGGGCCGGTGCCCACTTCCGGCCCTCCCTCGCAAAATCGCCAGCTGAGCAACTCGAACAACAACTTATGCGGGATACATACAGCGAACTTGAAATGTTGGCCAAGGAGCATCCTGAGTCCGGGGTTAAGATTGTTCCGGCGATTGAATACTTTGACTCTGCTGATACGAACTCCTTCCTGGCCAAGGAGAATGGCTACATCGACTGGCCCGATTTTCGGATCCTAAAGTCGGATGAATACCCTGCCCATCATGAGGGCATACAATTGGGTGTTACCTACCGCAGCTGGGTCTTGAATTCTCCTGTCTACTTGCAGTGGTGCCGGAAGCAGGCTGAAGAGAAGGGTGTCGAGTTCGTCCGGGCGAATATCAGATCCTTAGACGAAGCAGTCGCTATTTTCCAACAGAAAGGTCAAGGAAATCGTGAAAGCGATATTCGGGCTGTCATCAATGCAACAGGTCGTGGATTTAATGATCCCGACTCCTTTCCATCTCGTGGCCAGTTCATCATTGTATCCAATCAGTGCGATAAGACGATCAGCCACCACTGGGCAGATGGCTCGTCGACTGTGATCATTCCCCGACCCCTGGGTGGCGGTACTGTTATTGGAGGGACAAAGGAGCCTAACAATTGGTCAGTTGCTATGGTCAAGCTAATATAACCTTAATGATATCTACACGACTAACGAGAGCAGGTCTGAGGACATATCTGATACTGCCACTGAAACAATTCTCAAAAGAGTTGCAGGCATCTGCCCTGAGCTAATTAAGAAGGAGAACCCTGTTGCTGGTAGTAATTATGGATTCGACATTCGTCAGGTCTATATTGCTCGTCGCCCTATGCGACGAGGCGGTTTGCGCCTGGAAAAGGAGATTTTGAGCCAGGGCATTCCGTTGGTCCACTGTTACGGTGCTGGCGCTAGTGGCTTCAAAATAAGTTGGGGCGTGGCCAAACAAGTCGAGCTCCTTGTTGCTAATACTCAGCTACTTTTGAATGATCCCCTGGAGGCGTCATGAGCTTGCTAGCGATAATAAGTCATCCTGAAAACGTACTTTCTTGGGGCAGTGTCAAGTTGGACCGTCTCTAATATTTGAGTATATCTGAATCTATTCTTTTGTGTCTAGAGTCTATGTCTAAGCTTCTAATATGCAACAAAGCTTTGATCAGAGCACATCACCGCTCTTTCAAGATGACGGATCGCAAGGTCTAGTTTTGCTTCTTGGATCCATTCTTGGGGAGCTTCCAGTGCAGCACACCATCCGAGTTGACATCGGAGACAACCTTGCAGGAGGCGAAGGTGTCGACCAATGACTTGAGGAAATGTCCCTCGTCGAGATGATACTGTTCTCCGAGATAGGGGACAATTGCATTGGTGGCCTCCTCAGCATGGTAGAAGGGGATCTTGGGGCACAGGTGGTGAATAACGTGGTAGTCGATGATCTCATGGAATAAGTGACGACCGATGAAGCCGAAGCGACGGTCGACGGTGGAGAGAGCACCCTTCATGAAGGTCCACGTATTCGCATCATAGTGCGGCACGGACGGGTGAGTGTGGTGCAGGTAGGTAATGGCAACTAATATAACATATTAGACGTGAAATTATATTATACCGTTTCAGGAAACACTTACCAAGCCAGTGGTGAACCCAGAAGTAGGGCACAACATAGAGCAGCGCAATCTTCCAAGCTCCAATCTGAGTGCCCAGGTAGTAGAGCGTACCACCGACAATCAGAAGGCCAATATCAGTGATGGCAATAAGGTGAGCCTGGGAGTCGGTGAACAGGGAACCGAGAGGGTCAAAGTGGCTGTTACGAAACGGCTTGGGGCTGGTTGCCTTCTCAGGCATACTCTTGTTTCCAGCGCTGATATTGAACATCAGATGAAATTGCCATCCAAAGATCTGTTGTGACAGAAGAGCAACCGCGTTGTAAAAGGGAGTCTCCTCGAACAGCTCCTTGGCCTTCTCCAGCATGGTAGGCTCCCCGATCTTGCTGTCCTCATCAGTGGGGGGAACGAAGGCGGTGTCTTTATCGATGTGGCAATGGTAACGGTGGTGTCTCGCGTGAGTGATCTTCCACGAGAAGTACGGCACCATAAGCAGGGAGTGAATAGCCCAGCCAACAACGTCATTCAGCATGGGGAACGCAGAGAAAGCACCATGACCGCACTCATGGCCGATAATCCACATTCCAACGCCGACGCAGCCCTGAAGGAAAGTATAGGCAGTCCAAGCACAGACCCGCTGTGTGGTAGTCGGCAAGAGATCGATATGAAGAGCTGCGTAGACGAGCACAGAAGAGTAGAGGATATCACGGGCAAGGTAGGCGAAGGACTTGATCGCAGAGCGCTCAAAGCAATGAGCAGGGATCTTGCTTCTCAAGAATCCATAGGTGATCTCCTCGGGCTTCACAAGGTCAGCGCAATTGCAATCGACATACCCATAGGTACTGAAACTTACCTTGGCTTCACCCTTCAAGCGATATGTCACCGGCTCGACCGTTTGAACTGTTGACGCTGCCATCTTTGCGTATAATGTTGCTTCAAACACAATTGATTCGAATCAACAAAATTGAATACTGTACAAAGGGGAACCTCGCCCCTTGTCAGATGAAAAAATAATCATCTACGATAAACGCATGGTCCAATGATTGGTTCCTGGAATACCCTAATAATGGAGCCCTATACGGAGCCATCTCTTGCCCCTTTCCAGAGTGTGGCGCAGTAATACCATGGATGGAGTCAAAGAACACGCTATTGTGATAGGTACCCTTTGATCACTTCCGAGACGCCGTTCCAAAGTCTCGCTTATTTGTCCAACAGAACCGTTGAAAATCTTTGAGTTTCACGGGATTTAGGTGGAGAAAATTTTGATTCTAATCTTGGCGTCAAATTTCTTTTCTTTTCTCGGACTCCGATTGGCTCCGGTGTGTCTCTTAAGTTTGAGCATAAACGCTAGCTTCATGGAGCCGCCTCAGTAGTGGTTGATTTTTTGCTTCCCCTTTTTCTAGATTTTCTAGGTGAAGTTAGTTTGTACTTTTACTGATCATGCTACACACTGTACTATTGTGTTTAACAGCGATGTGCTGTTGACTCTCCCACAAGAATCCGAAGCCGTCTACATTAAAGTACGTTTCAAACTACAGCCACAATGTGGCAATTTTGTATGAAAGGGGCGAAACCTCCTAGTAGCGCAAAAAAAATTTAAAGGACGGAGAAACTCGGACAGGGGGATCCGTTGAGAATCTCGTTCAAAGAGGAAAGACCACCGCGGAGAGCTTTCTGACATATGGAGAAACTAGTCCGAATGGAGGTGTGGATCTTACCCCCAAGCTCAACAATTGAAGGAACAGAAAAAAATTGGAGAACATGAAGATCAATGGCATGTGAAAGGGGTATTGACACAATCTGACAATCATATGTCTCCAGGCCAGGAACAAAAGGACTCAAGAAATCAAACCACCGACTACATTGTATGATATCTTCGACCCAGGCGTTGATTGTGCAAGTGAGGATCAAAGCAGGGACTACAATATCAACCAGTGAAGATTTCTGGCGTCTCATCTCCGTGAACCAAATCTACTACCCAGCGTGAGAATGGCATAATAATCCCTAGCAATGAGGATGCAAGGCTGCGATTTACCCGAGCAGCCTATAAGTCTCCCAATATGCATTGGCAATTGGGATATCAGAATCTTTAGTCGAGTTTCTCAATCTTCCCGCTTGGCTCCTTGGCAAGCATCCTCCATGTTCCATCTGTGTCTGATCCCGCCATTCTGATGCTATATTGGACAAATATTTAGATAAATATATAGATTAATGATATGGACTTAAACAGTTACTACTGCCCTTGCCGCTATGATTCTGCACAAAACGCGGCACTTAGATCTAGAGCAAAGGTCAGCTTACATTTTCTCGTAAGTCTTTCTCTTCAAGCTGAACTTTCTCCCGTCTTCGGATGTTTTAGATGGAAATAGGAGGTAGTGGTGAGATGAATTAGGTCTGCAGAGGTTTGGGTTCTGCATGTCTATGTAGAAGAATGCAAAGCAGGAAGGGGGTATAGAAAATAAGAAAATCTCCTAAACATAGTACTCAAGCACTCCGGGACGTTCGAAATTGGTATTGTCTATCTCTTCGAAATGGCCTAGAATCAGGCTTCTTTCGTTTAGCTGGTTCAACTCCTTGCTTACCTAAATCTATCTTTCCGTGTCCGCTCTTCATGTTGGTACCATCTTTCCCTACGCAATTCTTCATTACCAGACTGCCACTGCCATCCACGCCCCAGACTACTCGCTTGAAGGCCATACTGTATGATTCATACTCTAGATCCAATTAGCGAGCAGGACTCGGATCTTTGAGGTCTGTTGCCCCCAACTAGACGATGTGGGTCACATCTATACCTGACACAATGTGTGCCAGTGCCACCTAGTAGCCTCAATGGCGAAGAGAAAGCACAAAACTTTGGTTGTCAGATAGAATGCTCGCCACAATTGAGCACAGTGGCGCACGAGGCTGGCGAGCTAGTGATGGAGAACATTCAAGATCGAAGACTAAAAAAGGCAGGTCTGGCGGAATTATATCAAGGGCCACCTCCTATACAAAACCAGCCCAGAAAACCCTGTCCGCATGAATACAACCAATAAACCACTTGATTGCCTATACTGGAACTATCTACAGCAATATTGCACATACACATGTGCGAGGTCATGGCAGTTTCGTATTTACAAGTTCAAGGTCGAACACTCGACAGGACTAACTGGGGACGGGTCGCTCAATGTACTTGACAATACGAAAGGCGCACGTCAATCTTGTCAGGGCAATCACATGCTAATTAGCGAGAGGGAGGCAAAGAGCCTTGTTTGTCAGACATAGTGAGACTTTACCATTTTCGGATTTGACTGACCAGATTGCACGGATCCTAGGCCGAGGTGATGAGGGGCGGGGTGATGCCGATTCAAATACACGTGTCAATCGATATCAATGCTGAACCTGCGAAACGATCACAAAAAAGAGTGTAGTAAACTGACACTCGATGGAAGTGTAGGTTCGATGCAAAGTATGTAAAATGCATTCCATCTCCAATAAACAAGGCACCTCATGCCATTATGAATAAACTGCGCTTGAATGATATAGCTCCATTCCTCGTCCCTATGCCCCCCACTCCGGTACAATCAGTGTATTATTTCTTAGTCAATCGTCTTTCTTGTGAATAGAACGTGGCTTCGCTTAGAGAGGAACACTGGCAAGAAAAAATCATGAAACTCCCTTTACACCTACAATGTGCATCCATAATTACAAAGTGCGAAGAAAACACAGGCAGCAATTATGTCTCGGTCTCACCGCGGCGAAGTGCCAACAGTGCGCGGACATCGGTGACATACTGCAAAGCTTCCAGCATGGGGACAAGATGTAGGAGACCATTATCCGTAGGGTCATTGATCCAGCCTTCGATGGGGATCGCGTTATCTAGAAAGGAACGTTAGATGCTGAATAATGTAGAAAGAAGTTGGAGTATGCTACACACCCTCGTGGAACAGATAGCTCATCGGGCTGTTATCCAAGATCATAACCTTACTCAGGTCCGGTTCAACGGAGCTTAGATCCTTGATGTAGGCACCATTCCGAAGCGTGCAGTGCTGTCGGTAATACCGTGCCTGGAAGTACTTGCGTTCCTGCTCGAGCCAGTCGATCACAGGGTCGGCGTATTCTTGTACAGATGCGGTAAAGATCACAAGTTTATACCACTTGGAGATCTTTCGCAAGAAGTCATCACAGTGTGGCCGCTTGTGGACATAGTACAGAATCGGGTGCTGCGGACCCAACGTCGTCTGTGGGCCTCCGGGTGTCAGAGCTGTGGTCATGGGCATGGAGAGCTTCACCTCAACCATGTGCCCGCTGGACATGCGGCCACCCTTGGCGAGTGAGTGGATGAGCGTCTCATCAAGATCAAGAACCAAAGTTTTCTGCGGAAGCTTGGCATTGCGCGGTGCTGCAGTATATGAAGGGAGTCGCGGCGGGAGAAGAGGCCGTGGAGGAGCTGGAGAGTGGGGGTATCTGGTAATGCGATGAACAGATGGGGAGGTGGGAGACTTCAGGCTATCCAAATTGACAGCCCCCTGGACTCGAGTCACGCCCTCGGGCATCGGTTGCTCCAGATCCGTACTCTGGGTCCGTCGGTGTTGTCGCTGTTTCTTCAAAGATTCCTCGTTATGCAACTTAATTCGTATCGACCGGCGCGGCGTATTGTCATCCTGGTTGGGATCCGGGTCGTTGTCTTGGTTCTTATTTGATCGTATCTTGGCGCTGGTGAGACCTTTAATAGATCTGCGATCCGTCTCTGATTCTGACGTATGGGAATGAATGGATTCACGAGATGCTTGGGGTCTGGGCTTGCGAGTGGAGCCACTTCGTCGCCGTGTTTCTACCCGAGGGCCTCCCTCATCCGGCCGGTTCCTTGTATCGGCAGACGTTCTCCAGATCTTTCTCACTGGGGCAAGCAGCGAGTAATGCCCGTCGCTATTTTGAAAGCACTGCGCCACGAAAATGCCGGGGGCAGCTAGCGTAGATAGAATGAATTGGATCGTCTCGGCTATCGCATCGAAGATCCGTTTAGTGATGAGACGCCATGTGCTCTTCGTTACAAGAGCATCCTTCTGAACGCCGTGGAGCAAAGTCGTTTTCTCGTCAAATGAATGATGCGTGTCCTCGTAGCTTTCATCCTCCACGTACGGTGCTGGGTGGTCGTAGCTCAGCTCGGGGCTAGCGTTTGACCGGAAGTTGTCCTCACTGTAAGACCGGTGCTTGCTGAAGTCAAAGTCACCTGGCGCAGCTGCGCGCCGCTTCTCACTCTGAGATTGTGATCGTGGACGCGGAGAGCTAGAAGACTGCCCGATGACTCGCGAGGAGAGGATGTTGAGCGAGTTCATCTTCCAAGGAGGCTCACGGGAGACAGGGGCGCTGGGGATCTATAGTACAGGGTTTGGTCGTGAGCGAATCGTCAAAATTACTTGGGGCGGTCCATCGGGGAAGCGATTCGTAGGGACGTAGAGGTTCTCAAGGGAAAGAGAGGGGCATGGCGAAGAGGTGTAAGCTGGATTCACGACTCGTTCAACGGACCTCAATGCGCCAGTCTCACCCGTGCCTCGGAAGTATTTCCGCGCTCAACTCCAAACCGAATGTTGCCGCGAAATTAGGAAGCGGCTGCAAGAGACCAAAGAGAATGAGGGATATCGGATTGAAGGGACCAAGAGAGCAAGTCACGGGCGCGAAAAGGAGAAGGAAGCAGGGCCGTTGACGAGGAGCCAAAGTGTGGGGAAGCGGACAGACGGCGAACGGCAGAAAATCGATTGCTTTGTCGCACCACTTTACCTTCACTCGGAGTCTCGGTCGACCGTCTGCTGCGCTTCTTTCTTTTCCTCTTTTCTCTTCGAAAATTTTACAAGAGTGAGTCACTTGACATGAATCTTGAGAATAATCACTACCGCCGCCACGGAATCAAGCTTGCTAACCTCTTTACAGACTATCCCACGCTACCGTATCAGACATCCCACTTCCTCATGCCGGCAACGTCGCTGGCCCTGACGCCAGGGCTGGGGTCTTTCCTCAAATCTCTGAAGACTCACCCGGTCGAGACTTCTATCGAGAACCTCATTTCGTGCGCTGCCCTTAATGTTTCGTTTTAAGCTATCCGGCTGGCGACTCCGTTGCTAATCGAGGGACTTCAGATTGCTCAAACGACGACAAATCCGCCATTCGCGATCATGCGCTACAGCCACTGCCTACTTACTTCGTCATGTTGTCTCCGTGTGCAAGACATCCGACCCCCTCAAGCTCATCGAGAGGGTGCAGACCGTGGGCAGGCGGCTTGTGGCAGCCCAGCCGCGAGAGATGGTGGTGGGCAACGTTGTGCGACGAGTGCTTGGCCTCATTCGCGACGAGGCAGAGGATGACCACGAAGCTGAATTTGCTCTAAGCGAAGCTGGATCAGAGAGTCAGCCTCAAACCCCTCGGGCTTTTGACGGTCAGTCTTTTTTCGGCCTTCGTGACTCACACTCTGAGACTAGGTAACTAAACAAAAGTCTTGCATAGATCCGTCCCCGTCACTGCCCCTGGATAGAGATATGCTTTCTCTCCGTGCAGAAGGTGCAGAGCGCTCATCTTCTCGCCCTACTCTTCATTCCATGTTCAGCCTCCTCTCCCACCCCGAAGCAGATTTCTCGCCCATAAGCACACCTGGGACACAATCTCCAAATGGGCGGATGCCCGGCCACGGTCCTGGAGCCAAAGATGTCAAGGCCGAGGTGTTGGAAGGTATTGGCGAGATTATTGATGAATTGGGTCAGGTCGATGATCAGATTGCATCCTACGCCCTGGAGCATATTCATTCCAACGAGATCATCCTCACACATACTTCATCCACGACGGTGCAAAAGTTCCTCGTCAAGGCCGCCACTAAGCGCAAGTTCACAGTCATCCACGCCGAATCCTTCCCCAACAACCACGAGGCTACGCACGCCACGGTCAGCGGCAACCCCCTCGATGATGACGACAACCTTAGTGCCGAGGCGTTCCAGAAACCTCTGATTGCCCTCGGCATCACTGTCATTCTCATCCCAGACTCTGCCGTGTTTGCTCTGATGTCTCGTGTCAACAAGGTCATCTTGGGCACACACTCTGTCCTCGCGAACGGAGGCCTCGTTGCTGCGGCGGGTACTCGGGTCATTGCCCGCGCCGCCAAGGTCCACCAAACTCCCGTCGTCGTTGTGAGCGGTGTCTATAAACTGAGCCCAGTTTATCCTTTCGATTTCGACTCTCTCATCGAGTACGGTGACGCCAGCAAGGTGCTCCCTTACGAGGACGGTGACCTCGTCGACCAGATCGACGTCCAGAATCCGATCTATGACTACGTTCCGGCGGAGCTGGTCGATCTTTACATCACCAACTTGTGAGTTCCCTTTTACTTTGTCTTCATCTTATATCTATGTCTGTGGCTAACATTTACTTCTTCTTCTTTTACAGAGGTGGTCACGCCCCGTCATACCTCTACCGTATCGTGTCCGACCACTACCGGAAGGAGGATATCAGCTTCTAAAGGACAAGTTGATAGACGAAAAGTTCTTAGCGGACATGTTCCTCTGGCGCTGCCAGTGGCATGATGGGCCATGTTGAAAACGATACCCGAGGAACGATGTGCGATGGTTACGCGGGAGTCTTGCTAGGGTTTTCTAGGTGGGGTTAGAGATAGAATTCAAAAGATTCATGATTAAATGCGAGATGACTTTTCCCGTGCAGTTACAAAGATTTGAGAAGTACTTGAGTCTTGTCTGTCCCCCAATCAGCCTATACCTATCAAACAGATCGGGGATACCGTCAGCGACTGCAGGAGAGAGGAGGCCCACCTTTACTGGAAGGCTACGATACATCTCTAATGATGACTACCGCTGGGTACCGATTAAGAGAACTCACGGCTCCTTAACAGCACTATGAGCTAGGCAAACCCACTTACGGCTACTCGATAGCATAGCTGTTGTCATAATATCCGGCACCTGCCCAGATAGAGAGGAATAATGGAAGAGATGTTATCATTAATCTTACGCTGCGAACGCTACACATACGGACCAGCCTTTGGTGCTGGGTCCACCGAGGCAAGTCAAGCAGGGCCGTAGCTGGACCGCATATAGGCTAAGCCTTCCAGTCGAGCTACGTCAATTCCATATGCACTGGACTGGCACGACCATCTAATCTACACGGGCATGATACACGTCAACAGAAATACGCAGAGTAGGCCTTCTAGCCCCGCAGATATGAAAGATCATAGCGCCATTTTTTTGGAATTGTATCTCAAATCGTGTTTAATTCGCACACATAAATCCAGACGAAAGCCCGCCCGGGTAGTTATTCCCAAAAAAAGTTCTCATGAAATCCCGGCGCTGATGAAGACGGGCTTTCTGTCCGGCACCGACCCCTAACAAGACTCCATGTCCCCCCGGCCACCACATTTTGCTTTTGATGGAGCTCTCCGTTTAAGAGCGGGGCTTCTCCTTCTTCTCCTTCCACAGAGCGGCGAGACCGACACCAGAGACCTTGACGACCTTGAAACGGACACCGGGAATATCACCCTTGGCCTTGCCCTTGCGACCGAAACCGGCCAGGAGAACCTCGTCGTTCTCGTCGATGAAGTTCAAGCAACCGTCATTGGGGACTGTAGGAAATAATACTGGTTAGTGTCTTGTTCTCCATTGTAGCGATCGATCGATTGCCAGGTAGCCCATGTTTGACGCGCACGGGGTCGTTCAATATGGCTAGGCCTCGACAAGACATGGATTTGAAAGAGGGGATCACCCACCGAAAGCAGCGACCTTCTTGCCGTTCTTGATGAGCTGAACCTTGACACACTTGCGGATAGCGGAGTTGGGCTGCTTGGCCTCAACACCGACCTTCTCGAGGACGATACCCTTGGCGTGGGAAGCACCACCGAAGGGAGAGGACTTGAAGGCAGTGCCGAGCAGGCGCTTCTTGTAGTGGAGATCAGCCCAGCGCTGCTCCTTGCGGTGCGCCTCGAGCTTGCGGGCGGCGTTGAGACCACGGGGCTTTCCTTTACCCATCTTGAATTATTCTTGTCTGAGGCGATAAAAACGAATGTTAGTTTGGGATCTGTGAAGGATTGGTGTTTTGCAATAGCGAAAATATTCGTAGCGGGTTCGATGAATGGATATGGGTTGTGATGGCTGGGAGTCTGGAATTTTCGTTCGTGTTGTCGGGATGGTTGATTTTGAGTCGAAAGTTGTCGGTATCGAGTCGCCCACAACCACCAGACAACACGAAGAACAATTCCAGATGTTGTGTGCGTGAAGAAGATCACTGGGAGATTGCTCAGGGTCGAATACGTACCGACTGAGAATGGGTGTTGTCGAAAGGGTGAGGGTCGTGGGGTGTCGAAAAGTCGAAGGTTTCGGATTACCCTCGAACGCCGGCGCACTCGCTTGGATTGAGACTCTGCCTCACCTGACTTTGTGCGCGTGCCCTAAGCGAGTCACGGGATCGGACAAACCCCCACCTGTCTTATGTCATCGATTTGTCTCGAGGTCACGATAAGATAATGTCCTTATCGCTTATCGACTGATTGAGCTACAACAGCCACTTTAATCCTTGCTTGTTGTGCTCCGCCGTTAGGGTCTATCCACCAAGGCAGGCTTATCCCCGATGGATTCCTCCAGAAAGCCTCACAGCTCTCAGCGGCTTCCGCCACCCGCTTTGTTTCAAGGCCCACCATCCCATAATGCATCCAACATTTCCCTCTCCGTGCCTCCTGCTGGGCCGATCCTCCCCACCCCGTCTGGTAGCCAGCCACCACCCCTCCATCGCAACCGTTCCCATCGCGGCAACGATGGCGGCTCTGCAGATAACCGCAGCTTGCTCTCTCCACTCGTCTCGCGACGCCCATCCAAAAACGACGTAGACGGATCCGATGCCATCTGGCAGGAAATGCAAAGCGCCTTATCCGAGGTAGAACTAAGCGCCGTCACCAACGAACATGTCTTCGGTGAGAAGCACGCCGAGGCTCTGGAAGATCTTCGCATGAAGCAATTACGACTTGCCCAAGCTTGGGCTCGAAGTGAGGCAGACGATGAAGTCGTGGAATCTAGCCACAATACCGCCGATGGCGACAACTCTGCGGCAAGTGTGAAGCGTCGAGGGTCGGGAGAAGGCAACACGACAGATGCCACGAACAATACCCAGGCATCTGGCAGAGACCGTGTCTCTTATCGCACCCTAGATGAAGAAACAGAAAAGGACATTATTCTTGCGCGTAGGCGCCGGGAAGCCAATGACCGCTACTTTGACCGAGTCAATCAGGGTGTGCTGGATGTGGTCGCCAAGCTCGAGGAAGTCTCCCAGGCCATGCGCACGGTTGAACGAGAAAGCAAAGATATCTGGAGTGACACAGAGAGTGTTACCACAGCTGCACCCTCGTCCACCAACTCTGGGTGACAGGCATCAATGACTCGAAGGTTGTCTGTTGGTCTTGTTCCTCTGCAGACATGCTATCTCACGCCCTTATGAACATGTGCTGGACGCTTTCATGACCTACTTTGCATAATGCTACAGGTATTTAGAACCATAGCCATACTAATTCATGTATATTATCACAATCTTAAGAAAAGGAGGGTTTTGAGAAATGCAAAGCTCATTGAATGAAAATGCTAAAGGGTATCCTAACGCCGCTCACCATGCAAGGCTCAGCCATAATGATGCATCGTAAAAAGAGATCTGATCCATACAGCCCAAGGGTAACAGGACGGGCTACGGATGTTTTCAATCCTTTTTCACCCAGTGCAACATATCGTTCCATCCCTTACAAGCTGTCTCCTTCACACTCTCCCAGCGATTCCCTTGCGCATTGCGGGCAAATTTCCCGATCTCCTGGTTCCACCTGTGCTTCAAGACATCTTTGATTGTAATCTGCTCCTCTTTCAGGGATTTCCCTTCCTCAAGGCTTCGGGGCTTATGTTCTGGGAAGAAGCGCCGGTCGTATGCACCCGCAGAAGCGGCGAGCCAGTTTATTTGATCAACCTGTTCGCGGATTTGTCGGCGCTGTTCCAGCCGTGTTGCGCGGTGGACTGTGATGGTGATGTAGAGAACGGAAGTAGTAAGTGCAAAGCCACTGAACTGTTAATTGAGAAAAAAAAGGTTAGACTGTAAATTTCAAGGTGTTCGACGAGCCAAGCTAGACATACAAATCCAGAGACGAAGTTCATTGCGACTCCGGGCTGAGCGGCGTTTCCCGCGATTGAATCAGGTAGAGCGTGTCAGATGAGAGGTTGAATATGACACTGAGTGTTTGGTATCAAGGTCCTTTGCTATTTGCAGGAAAAAGAAGACAAGAGTGAATGAGTACGTTGCAAAGCGATTCTCGTTGTCGTTGCGACAGGAAAAAGGGAAGTCGGACAAGGCGGTGGAAGCTCTCCGATTGGCCGAGCGTCCCCCGTCGAATCTTTTGATCCGAACTTCCTCCCTCGCGACCTCCGACAGACTGGCACTTTGCAATTCCTGGGGACAATTGAACCAGCCTGTCCGCAATCCCAGGCTCCAATTGTACTTTTCGTTCAATTCTACCGCCCTTCTTCAATCCTCCCATCTCCCAGTCTATCCCATCATGGCTGGCGGCAAAGCAAAGTACCGTCACTTGGGCCGCAAGTCCTCGCACCGACAGGCCTTGCTCCGCAACCTGGTTACCTCGCTGTTTGAGAATGAATCGATCACGACAACATGGGCCAAGGCCAAGGAGGCACAGAGGTTGGCGGATAAGTTGATTACCCTGGGCAAGAAGAACTCCGAGGCTAGTCGGAGACGGGCACTGGAGATTTTCTATGTATGTGACTACATCTCCGGATCTTCGATTTTCTCAGCATGCAGGCCATAAATCGGCTGTGCGGAGCGAATTGGACAGTCGAAGAACATATTGTACCCAGAGCAGGCTAAGTTCTGACACTATTCTCCGCAGAAACCCCACGACATCCTTCCCAAGCTCTTCGGTCCCCTCCGCGAACGCTACGCCGATCGACCAGGTGGCTACACCCGTGTTCTCCGCGTCGAATCCAAGGAGAAATATGAATACTACTCCGTCCGCCGGGGTGACAAGAACGCTGTTCCCGAGCGCAAACCCGCCGACCAAGCGCCTAGCGCAATTCTCGAACTCGTCGACGGACCCAAGGACATGCGGTTCGCGATGACGGCGCGTGCAATTGCACGCCAACGCGAAGAGGGCCTGAAAGAGCACGAGCTCACGTCTTTGAATAAGAAGAAGGTCACGCAGTTCCGGAAGGACGGTGTTGAGGCGCTGGAAGATGCTGTTGCGAAGTTGCAGATTCGGGACTCGGAGCGTGAGGGATCTGCTCTTCCTGAGGGTGAGGAGTCGAAGTCTGCGCAGGAAGAGGCGCGGCGAGGTGCGGCTCAGGCTGGTCGGCTGGCTAAGGAGGTTGGTGAGATTAAGTCCACGCAGTGAGTGGGGGTTGTCCGCTAGTCAGGGCGGCTTCACTTACATTTCTTGAGTTGATGCAAACCTAGGGGGGTTATTCGTGGATTTGTTGGTCCTTTTTTTGTTGGATCCCCATTCATCTCCATTTTTCTTGTCTGTCTTTTTTAGGAGTTCTTGCTGCTTTTGGTATCTTTGTCTTCCATCCATGTGACATAGCCTGTGTACAGTATAAAATATTTCGATACCTCTATTCAAGACCTTTATCCACTGCGGTCTGTACTTTAGAGTAATTTAGACTTTCGATCATTCTGAATGACTGTATTAGCTTCTATTCTGTGGCTTTTTCTATCTTGAGGGCAAGCTATTGTATCGGTGCTAGTTCCACCAAACATCCCAAGGATATATGATATATTTCCAGGGCGGCTGGGGCACATGCCCCCTCCAGAATTCATTGAATTTACAACCCTGTTTGCCCAATCCTGAACTCCATAGGTCTCAGGAGGATACTACTGATACCAGAAGCTGGATTTCAATAAAATTGTATGTTCATCTCATTAACCAGATTAATGCCGAGTACGTACTTTTTGTCACCGTTTTAACGGCAATATAAGATTGGAAGCCTACGCATAATGTTTTGAGACTCAGATATGCAGATTCCTAGCTAACGATGAGCTATGTTTTAAGGGTTCAGATCGCAATGCATTGCTAAATGTACATGCCAGCCAGGCCGACATACATGCAGGTATGACATAACTAACATCAATCCCACCAATACAGACCAATACAGGACTCAAAGTTCGGAGCCTGGAACCAATGAAAACGGAGAAATTACTCGTTTGCTGGTTCGCCTCATCGTCCACTGACCTAGTTCATCCTCGACGCGGTCGTCCCTCCAGAAACGACCAGGGGTCCGTTCTTCGCGGGGTTGGGAATTCCGTTACTGGCAACTGCTGGAGCGGGAAGGCCAGCGGATGCAGCGTGATGTTTAAGCTCAAAGCCTGAGGAGACTTCAGATGGAGGCGGTTTGGGAGGTAAGTGGGATGGGGTGCCCCATTTAGCAATAGAGGTTTGTGGGGTTGTGCTTGGGTTGCGAGTTCCATTGGCATTCGGGGAGTGGTCGTGACTGTGATTGGGGATAGACTCTGGGAACCTAGGCCAATTGAGCTGCACAGCGTGAGCTCTATTTCCGTACGGCTGCGTTGGGTGCTGCGCACCGTTTCCCGGGTGCCGTTGCGTCCCAGCACTTCCCGGGACAAACGAGCGTGTCTGGGGATTGAAGTGGGACCTTGGGAAATTGCCTGCCATCGCTGGGTTCCCAGCATTGTGGAGGGCAGAGTCCATATGCTGCCCTGGATACTGGGCATAAGAATAGGTGGCCATGTTCGGGGTCATAGGCTGTGGTTGGTAGTTGGACCAAGGTGCCGGATGTTGGGTACGTTGATGCTGTGATTGCTGATAATTTCCAGGGAAAGGGCCTGGGTTCCAACCAGGAGTCTGCTGGAACTGCAGCGAATGAGGGGTGGGAAAGTTGTTCATAGCTGGCGAAGATTTGGTGGATGCCGGTTGCCCTATCATAGCTGGCTGGTTCATGGGAGAATACCCAGGAAATGGAGATTGCTGTGGTCCATTCGCAGCTTGCCATGGGGCAGTAGAGGCCATCTGCGGCGACATTGCCGCTGGGAACTGTGGGACATTGTTCATACCTCCCTGGCCCGAGTACATCGCATTGGTCGGACCAGCAGACATGTAGCCACCGCTAGGCGGCGAGACACCCGGCCCAACCATGTATGGAACTTGTTGGGCATATGAGCCATCGCTTGCAGATGGATTGTATGCCGAGGAACCGTTATTGCTGTACTGCATCCCGGGATAGTAAGGATTGAACTGGGAGCGAGCTTCAAAGCCGTCATCATGAGGAGTGCGCTGTTTCTGAGCTTTCTTGCGTCCAGTGGTCGAGCTTGAGCGGGACATGTTCGTAGTAGAGTCACCGCTAGCCTCTGACTTGGCACTTTCGGGGAAGTCGCGGAAGATACGTTCACGCACTTCTGCGTATTTGGCCTCCCTTTCTTCCCGTGTCATGGCCATACGGTCCTTAGCAGACATTGAGCCCGCTGAGCCGGTGCGGTCTCCATCCTGACCCGCATCATCGGTCTCTGACGCCGCCTTGGATGGAACAGATGAACTTGCTGCCACACTACCTTCGGCGGAAGGCCGTCCTCCATCTGTCCGACGCATGATTTTCGTCGGCATAGGGTGAGAGGGTTTTTCATTGGAAGCTGGAAACAGTTCGGAAAGGGGCGTGGGGCTAATCAAGTCAGTCATCTAGCCTGCCATAGAGAAAAGAAACAAATGACAAATGACTTACAGTCTGGAGAAAGGCGTTCGGTGGAGGCGCACGGAAGTCACGTTGTTGTCCACAAAATGCGTTAAGTGGTAATAATCTCCTAGTCTATGCGCGAGAAGTCGGCCATAGGAATTGTTTGGGGGTAGTTCCAAGGATTGTTCACTATGTCGAATAAGGTTAGTTGTGGGAGAGCGGTGGACAAGGACGAGGGCGATGGTCTTACCTGGAATATTCAATGAATGCGCGGACCTTTTCTTCTATTGTGAGGACCATCAGACGATCCTTGGGGTTTTCCATAGCTGTTATGAGTTTCTCGTCTGGATGGAGAGGGAATGAATGAAGGCCCTGGCCATTTGGCGTATTATCAGGGTTGATCGGAACCACAAAATTGTTCGATACCGAGTCTGAGGGGATGACGACAGGACCTTGCGAGTTGCTGTCGCTGAAGCCAGGGACAGGGTTGGGAAGAATCCCGCGCGGGGGTAGAGCAATGTTGTCGCGGAAGTGGTCACGGAATACACGTCCACTGGTTTCCGAGCCCGTTACCGAGTCTGGAGCAAGAGAAGCAGCTCCGGACAGAGACTCTTCTTCGTCAATAGCTTGCACACTGGCACTGTCGTCAGGCCGAACAGAATCTTTCTCGTCCATAGCAAAGGTTGTCACCGACGCTAAGCTCTTAGAGTCGAAGTTGGTCATTTTTGTGGATGAAGTAGAGAGATGAGTTCGGTCATCCTCGAAGGAATTTTCATGCTTTAAAAGACCGTTCTCCTGACCATCGCTTGAGGATCCAGATCCCTGACGGTCCTTTTGCGGGCTAAGATCAATTCCTTCCATAGCTCTAGCCAGAACGTTACCACCGGGACTGGAGAGAGAAATCTGGTCATTGACAGCGTTTAGAGTGTGTGGGCCAGGTCCCAAAGCATTAGAATCCAATGTCTCGGCGTACACGGCAACATTGGCGGGTTGACCCGTATTGGTCTCGTTGGATGCCACCGGCGAGTGGGGAGAGGGAGGTGCAGGCATGGCAGCAATCTTGAATGCAGTGTTAGGTCATGAAGTCATAAGAAAACTCGGCTGGAGCGGCTTACCTTCGCAAAGGAGAAATGATCCCCGTTTGAGGTGTTCTGAGATACCATATCAACTGTACCCGGCGGTCGTTGTCGGGGAGGGTGTTGCAACGAGGGTGGGAAGTGTGCACGCAAGTTTGAGAAATCGAAGCCACACCACAGAAGCACTCAGTAAGTCTCCAGAGTCGGACAGATCGAGAAAGACGATTGAATCACAAGGCAGTCACTGGAAAATCCCGGTTCACACACGCCAAAAAAGAAAGACATATCTCTGCTGCAGGGCTTTCGCCATCGGGAAAAGCTATCAGAAGCAAACGTATTAGAAACGAGTCATCAAACAGCTCTGATAAACTAGTCTTGTGATCTTCACACCAGGGACGCTTCATTGGCGGGGAAAGTCATTGGGGAAGCGGGTCTCACAGGATGTCAAAGCTGGTTCATGGTCAACGCAAGATAGACCTCAATTCGAGATAGGTGGTTGGTCCCGGAGAGTGCGACAGAGGACCAAATATATGTTATAGCCTTATGAGGCGATCCCAAGAATACCCGGTACCGAAACCGAAGGGAGCAAAATCTCGATCCTGCTGGAGAGAAGGAGCGTTGGGTGTCGGAGCTCTGATTATTCTTCTAACGCCTGAAGGTTCGTGGGTGCCATTATGCCGTGACTGACCGCTTTTGCCGCGCGCCTACAATTTCCTTTTCATCAGAAGAGTCGCAGAGGAGCGAAGCACCTTGCTAGTCGCTTAGACCAACTTGTGAATATTGGAACCTGTATCTCTTCTTTCCTGTCAAGTCTATGTCACCTTGATTTGGCCGGTCCAAAACCCCCACCTCGCCATGAACCGCTATCGAAATGCTCCAGGACTCCGAGCCGGGCCTAGCAAAGCTTCTCCAACGACTTTATGCCAAAAATGCCTGAAACGAGATATGTAGCCCGGAAAGATTTGCTGACCAGTGTCCTTGCTGACTTCTATGCACGGCATTATAGCTATGAATGCAAAGCAACGGCCCAGGAGCGTCCATATACGGCCCGGCCATCAAGAACCCAACAATTGCTGAACCCTCGGTTGATGCCCAAGCTCTCAGAGGACGTGCCTACCGAGCTGGAGCGAACGTATGTTTCTGATCATCGGGGTTTCAATCACTATAATACCGGTACCAATGAAGACTAACAAACGAATCTAGGACTGGTGTTGCAGACGAGATACTCGCAAAACGCGAGGCGGAGCGTGGCCGGAAAAGAGACCATGACAAAGATGACTCTGAAGACCGCTACGGGCAGTCTCCAAAGCGAGCAAGATCTCTGTCAACAGATTCTGCAGATTCGATCTCGACAATCTCCACAAATCGGTCTGCGTCTGCGTCTCCCCAGCGCCGCAGTAGACATGGCTCACGTGCCACTGGCCGTCGCAGTTCAGTATCACCACCTGCAGGTGAAACTCGAAAGAGGAGGTACAGCGATGCTTCAGATGGTTCTTCCGCAAAGTCATACTCCTCGGGCGATGGGCAACGATCCCGGTCCCGATCCAAGGAATGGACTGAGGACAGGAACATTCGACGTCGACGCCGGGAGAGCAGCCCTGAGGAACGCGGAAGGAATCGTGATTCAAAAAAGCATGACTCTAGGAAAAACGACCGCCGCAGCCATAGTGTGGACAAAAGTCGAATCGCGAAAGAGCGCCGTTCTATGACACCGGAGGCTACCTATGACCATTCAGAAAAACGCACATATCGAGACCGAGAACCACTGCAAGGCGTGGCCCAGGCCGGACGATCTAGGCAGGACCCTAGAGCTCGTGGAGGACCACCCCGAGAACGAAGTATGAGTCCTTACAGCAAACGTCTTGCTTTGACTCAATCTATGAATCTGGGACGGTAGAACTGGCATTGCAAGCAACGGGTCCGTCTCGTTCTTTTCCTTGTGGAATCTTATGAGGATCGTTTTTGAGCATTAGTGCCAGCAAGTATGGTCCGTGGCGAATATTGCCAACTTTCTAGTTTCATTGATCCCTTTGGAACACATTGTATTAATAGCATATCCATACATCCCAATGTGCAAACCCCTTTTCAACGCCTTTTTTTCTGCAATAGTAACCTCGGCCCCAAAACAGACGCCCTTGACCATGATGAAAAAGTGAAGACACGGTGAAAAAAAGGAGACATTCAAAAAAGAAAATCGAAGGTAATCCAGAAATTTACAGGAGCACAAGAGCCAAAAAAGTGCCGGTAGCTCGGCAATATAGGGTATCACTTCAAATCGTTTCTTCATCGTTGACTTCCTGCTCCCGCATATGAATCCCCTCCACCAGCGCATCCCCCTCGATGCCGACTTCCTCTCCTCCTTCACCGTTGGAAGTTGCACCCCGCTCCTTCGCTGTGCGCTGTGAAGTCTCTATCCGTTGTCGAACCAGGCGGGCAATAGCGTTCTCCGTCCGCACGTTGAGAATCTTGAGCTTCTCGTCCAGATCCCGCCGGAGGTCCCAATTAGGCTTCTTCGGCTGCAGCTTGAATAGATCGATAGGTTGGTCACCATCTTCATCCTTTTGAGCTTGCTCTTTCACGCCTTCTGCGATCTCGGCAGCTTGTGCTTCCACCGTCACTTTGCCTTCATGCGGAGCTTGCTCGAAGCCCAATCTGGGCCCGCGGGTTTCGGCATCGTAATTGCGGCCAGACAGGAACTTTGCGGTCACATCGGTGGCGGAATTGTCTGCCTCTTCACTATCGGGACCGACCGCAGACGGCTCTTCGGGCTCTGGTTGTTTGCGCTTAAGTGCGGCGAGCTTGGCCAGGCGGGCTTTGCGCTCGTTGGAGGCCGCATCCAGCGTGGCGTGGTTGGAGGACATGGTGTGCGGCTGAAAGAGGACGGAGTGAATGAGAGGATTGAGACCAGCGTATTAGGAGGAAGAGTTGGAAAAGTAACGCAAAAGAATGACCCCAAAGTCCTCCGCTCCTTTGAAAAATGTGGAGGAGGGCGATGATGTTGAAGCGATAACGACGGGTTGCGCCACACTTCAGCCACAGCAAAATCGGGCGGTCTCCGCCTTCAAACTTTCGAGGTTCCCGCGCCGTCCACGCAACTTTGGTCTCAACAAGCTGCGCTTCGGTCTTTGCACTTTCCAGTTCTCGATGCAGGCGACTGCGGGATCCTGAATGTTGTTTTGTCCACAACAGCTCGTCCGGGTCCGCCTCCAGGCGCTACTGTCGGCGCCATGTAGAAGCCCCGGCTACTGGCATCGGAGCTCGTGGACTCTGAATACTCGACATGCACTTCAACATGCGTTGAATCATACCTCAACGATCCAACAGCAAGGTGGATATGAACGGACAGCTGGAGACATCACCACCGAATCCTCGGAAAGCGAGCCCAAGCAAGATGCAACCACAGGCAATTCAGATCAGGTCGCCAGCAGTTCTCGCCGAACTTACAAAAGTGTTGGTCCGCGGGGAGTGCCGAAAATGACCGTCAAGAAGATCCTATTTCGCGAAGGCCTCAGAACATCATACGGAGCGACTGTACACCAACGACTCAACCACGAGATACAGCGCGAGGGGAGAAAACTGAGTGATAAATCGATCGCCATAGCCACAAGCACGCGAGGGAAATCGATATACAGCGCTCAACAGAGCAGCCTTAAAACGTGGCAGCGGGCCTATGAAGAAGTTTACAAAGCCAAGCATTACAAGCGCAAAATCAACGACCCAAGCATAATACCAGTGCTGAACAAAACTGGGGAAGTTCTACTGGCAAAGATTCAAGAAGATTGCAGCGGAGCCTTTGCAAAATTCTGGCATACTAGTGAGCGGGATGTCAAAGCTCGACACTGGCAAGCTTTGGCTTTCTGGTTGCTACAAAACGACGTCAAATTGTTCCTGAATTTTTTGATCGTCACAATGAAGGGCACGGAGAGACCGGACTTTACCATGGTCACGGATTGTCTTTTATACGTGGACAACTTCTACTATGAGGAATTGAAAGATTGGACAACAGGCCGTAACTCACATGGGTACCCGTGGGTGATCGAATACTGCCTACGCCCGTCCACTTGGCCGGTAGTCTCGCCACCTCAAAAGGGTATTCGGCTTTACATTCGACGGGCTAGGCCCTATGGTGTCCGCTTGGCCTTCCGCACGATGAAAGCCAGGGGGATACAGTCGAAACCGGAAACGCAGCTCTGTTTTGTGAATCGGTTCACTCAGCTTGGAGATGCTAATAGGGCATTAAGTGCTTTGAAGCTCCTTCCGCGGCTCAAGGACCCTGCCTTTACCATGGACGCCCAAGGTGTTCTCCGACACTGCTGCAAGCTCTTGACCTTGGATACTGTCGAAGACGGCGAATCCGGGCGCAACTTCCGAATCCTGCCAAAGCTTCTGGAGATGGGTGTGCGGCCGGACCGAGACATGATGAACGTGGTGCTCGCCAACGCCTACAAAACCGGTGACCACGAACTTGGTGCCGATATGCTTCAGTTCATGACGAGTCAGGACTATACTTTTGACTCGTATACCTACGTTACTCTTCTCACTAATGCCGTTTTACGGGGCGACCAAGCTCGCACCCACGAGCTGATCCGCGAGGTGGATACGAAAGAAGAAATTCGCAAGAACCCATACGTCGCCAATAAGATCTTCCACGCCCATTACGTTTTCACCGCCAAGCATATGGACGCCGACGTTGATCCCTCTGGTGTCTTCTATTCGATGCTTGACATGTACAACAAGCTTCACGACATCACGCCCCTAAAAGAGCTCCTCATCATTCCCCCTCACTACAAGGCGCGGGAAGAAGGCGCAAACACGCCTCCCACACCTATGGCACTGTACATTATGATCGCAACCTACTTCCGCTGCGGCTCTCGTATCTCGACTGTCCAACGCATTTACTCGCGATTTGCGGAGCTTGTCAAACAGGGGCATCCCACCATCGCCCCATTGGCAGCGACCGATCACACTTACAATGAATTTCTCATTGCTCTGCGCAAAAGCTCGCGAGCTATGCATTCTTGCGTTCGGATCGTGGAAGATATGCTCCAGCCCCGGGCCGACCTGGCTATTGAGCATGCTAAGCCGAGCTACCGCACCTGGGCCATTCTACTGAGTGTTTTCCTCTGGCACCGGCGACCCGCTGCCGCCGAGAAGATTAGGGAGATGATGGCAAAACACGAGGTCCCTTATAATGACGTGACCTGGAATTTGATCATCAACGGTTACGCCAATGCCCAGAAAGTGCAGGAGACCGCTGCTGCCATGAAGGCCATGGAAGCTCAAGGATTTACTCTCGACTCCTACACTATGAAGTCCCTGCGTTATCTCCGTGACCCGGAACGTCTCTGGGTTGCCGTGGACGAACTTGATCATGCTGCTCAGGAAGCGGACTTTGCTGCCCGATCCTCTACTGAACAGAGCCCTGCCGCTATCGAGGACGCCCTCCGCGATGATTTGATTGAGAAAGGTCTGCAGAAACTTGGGGACAAGAATAAGGCCCAGGATTGAGATTGGATACCCTTTTGATTTGGTTCAGATTCATGTATTATAAAGCACTTTGCATACATGGTCCTTCGGGGCCTAGGGTTGGGAACAAGCGTTGGAGTTGCCATTTGTGTAAATTTTGGCGTTCATGTACTATACATAGAATCATTATGAAATTTGAAAATTGCCAATCGCTGAAAGAATAGGTCATCGATATAACTCGCTTGAGGACGTTAGTCCTTGAACACCCAGTCGCATCACCCTCGGTAGGACTCATCCGCCTCTCTTGCTCATATTTCATCCCTTCACTTCCTACCAAGCGAAGTGAGAGCGAGACGAGACTCTCAGCCACCGAAGAAGATCGAACACTGCACAAGACATTCAACAGTCAGAACCTAATTGCAACTGCGAACGGGGCTGTGGAGAACTTACAGCCATCAGGAAGCAGCATATGCTGACATATGGACTAAGACGTTCGCCTACTCGAGCGCATTTCCAGAATATCCCAAATAGCCTATCACAAAGGGTCAGCCATCTGAATCCTCCGTCTTCCTATCTCCGGTGATCTCGCAAGCGGAGCCCTACCCATTCTGGTTCCGGTCCATGATACCGGGCATAATCGAGTGGGCATAAGTGCTCGTGCAGATGATGAGCAGGATCACCAAGAGCAGTGATTGGAAGTTGAACAGAGCGGACTAAGGTGCGTCTTGCGGTTAGCTATGATCTCGTGTATGCGAAAGTACACAGTATGCTGATCTGAGCTAGAGGGGAGCCCGAAGCAGCTTTCAGCGGTATCTTCCTGGCAATCACGACGACTGGAACTTACCATCTTGAATCAATATTCCCGCCTGCCTCGTATCGAATTTCGAAGAAGGACAGGAGCTAGGGCAAGACAAGGTTGTCCAAAGACACCAGCTGTTGTCCGCAATTCAAGTCCGCATTCTGCCTGCCATGTCCGCCAGACGCACGGCCCGCCTGGTTCTGCGGCTTCCTCAGGACAGCAACCAGCGCTCGTCACCAACTCCTCGACACAATTCAACCCCACCGCCTGTCCCTCCTCGACAAGTATCCACAGCACCTTCAAGACCCTCGCCCTTATCCAACTCGATCCATCTCCCTCCCGAGCTCAGCCCGCCGTGGCCGTGGAATCCTGCGGAGACACAGCTTATCCGCGCGGGCTATCAACCCGCCTACAAACCTCCGAAACCAGCAACACCTCCCCCCAAACCAGAGGCTTCCTCCTCAAGCAAACGCGCCCGTAAACCCAAGCCTGCCATGGCGGAACCCCGTGCCCGTGCCGCCCGGCACAAGGGCCAGATGAATTTCTCATCAGAGCGTAAGCAGTGCCTACCGTCCAAGCCAATTTCAAGGCGACTCCCAGCTAACATCTCCTTCCAGTCCGTCTCCTGCTCCTCGCCTACGGTGACCCAAGTCCCCACCCCTCATTCCCCTCCGAACCCCTCCCCGAAACAGTCCGCGTCCTCGACGAAATCGTCACAGACTTCATCCTGGAACTCTGCCACGGCGCTGCACAAGTCGCGCACCACGCGCGCCGACAAAAGATCAAGGTTGATGATTTCCGGTTCGCGCTGCGCCGGGATCCGAACAAACTCGGTCGTGTGCAGGAGCTGCTGCGCATGGAGCGCGAGTTGAAAGAAGCGCGCAAGGCGTTCGATCAGAATGATGACCAGGTTGCTAAGGATGCGGGGAAGAAGGGAGTTGTTGTGCCCCCGGATGAACTTGATGGGGCGGAGAGTGTGGCTGGTACGACTACTACGGGGAAGAAGAGTAAGGGGAAGGGGAAGAGAGCTGCCGCGCCGAGGAGGGAGAGTGATGCGACTGAGGAGTCGGTTTCAAAGAAGAGGAAGACTATTGGATGAATGGGCATTGCTGGCGTGTGCATTGGGTGGTTCATACTTCACTTCATCATTGGCGTTGCGGGTTTGGTTGCTTTCTTTTTATTTTCGATCTGGTGTTATGGTGGCCGTGTATCTGGACAAACAGGAAATACCCATGGAATAGTTCAATGAATCATATGCATTTTGCGGGGAAGTGCTTTACAAGGACTGCAAGATGGAGTAGCTGTGCAAAGAATCATCAAACCAGTATCATACGATATATTATGAGTATGACAAGTCCACTCTCGACTAGAAACTGAAAAACAAAGTCGTATCCTGGCATTGCGCATGTGTCCATACAGGACATTCCGGGGTATGCCTCCCACTTGGTGCCTGAATATGTACCCCGCTGCCTCTCGGCAAGGAGACCCATTGGACCAATCTGAACTCCGTCAGCGGGGGACTTCATATCTGTATTCCATCTGACAGTCTCGGATTACCCCATTCCCTCAATCTAGGGTTAGAACTTGATGTTGAACTTATTTATGTTTAAAGAGAGGATTCCCTCCCCCTGCGTACCAATTATCCTGTCTTGAATGAAATTACCTGGACCCTGGCCCATTCCACGATGAAGCGCAAACTACCCATGTCGTCCTTGATAAGAAAGCTTCATCTTCAACCATCCAAAGCGGGAAACAATGTGCATCACACCAAGGTCCTGCCTGAGAACTATGCGATATTCGAGGAGGACACACCAGTACGCGAAGTGTCCATCTTTTCAGCGGCGTGTGCCGGCGACGAAACAGCAATAAGCTTGCTCCTCGACGCAGGTGCCGATATCAACCAGAGAGATGAATCGGGGAAAACACCACTCGCACTTGCTGTCGAGCGAGGCCACCAAGCGACTGTATTACTACTACTTCACAGCGGCGCCACTCTTGAATCGAAAGACTACCTCAGTCGCACGCCACTCTTTCACGCCACAAACCCAAGTATTGCCAAACTTCTCCTCGATGAAGGCGCGAATGTGGATCCGCAAGATCTCAACGCCCGAACACCCCTGTCCATAGCGGCAGAACTAGGAAACGAAGACGTAGCCAGAATTCTGCTTTGCTATGGCGCCAATCTTAACAGCAAGGACAGACTGTATTGGACTCCATTATCATGGGCTTTCGATCACAACCAAGAAACCATGGTCAAGCTACTGCTTCAAAGCGGGGCCGATCTCGAACAACAAGATCCGTTCGGACGAACACTATTAATAGTCGCAGTCGAGACAAAACGCGAATCAATGGCAGACCTCCTCATCAGCCAAGGCGCTTATCTCGAAGTCCGAGACCATGAAAATCAAACACCACTCCTATGGGCCGCTCACAATGAACATGAACAAATGGCCAAGCTTTTGATTAACAACGGTGCATGCTTAGAAGCTTGCGATGAGTCTGGGCGTACAGCGTTACTGCTAGCTGCTGAAGCACGGCATATCGCCATGGCGAGGCTCCTTGTCAAAGCAGATGCATTTCTCGACATACAAGATGAATTTGGAAGGACGCCGTTGTTATGGAGTGTTCAGTATGGTGAAGTCGAGCTGATAAAATTGTTACTTGAGAGGGGGGCTTGTTTGGAAGTTGAGGATACCAAGTATGAGCGGACGGCGCTGGCGTGGGCTGCGAGGAGGAATGATACCTCTGTGACGAGGCTGTTACTTGATTACGGTGCTGATCTCGAGGCGGAGGATCGTTATGGGCAGACTCCGTTGTCGGTTGCTGCGAGGGCTGGGAATGGAGATGTTGTTGCACTTTTGATGGAGAGAGGTGCTTATGTCGTGGCGGAGGATTATCATGGTCGGACACCAGCGCAGTGGGCTCGGATGGGTGGGTATATAGTTGTGGCGAGACTTCTTGATGGATCGGCTCTTGCTAAGGCTAGGAGTGATCGGGTGGAGATTGGTGGAATAGCTAGTATGGTGGTAGCAGTTGATAATTCTCGTGAAATATAACTTTTAATGGCTAATCAAGCATTCTATAGCCAACAATGTGAAAATTCGTAATCTCGTTCAATCGCTCCCCAGAAACATCAGAACCTAAGCAGTGCATCCAGTTCGCCAAAGAAAATCCCCGCGCCAGCATTTCTTGGAGCTATTGATTTGATTTCGTCCTGCGGTGTGGTAGGCTTGATCGAAGACAGGGTATCGTAGGATGATATCGCCGACTCGATTGTCGTAATAATTGATTCACGTTTAACCTTGCTAGCTCGTGCATCAGGATCGGACGAGTTATTGCTAACAGAACAACTCTTCTTCCGATCGGGACTCTGCTCTCTCTCCATCGAGACAGCTCGTTTCCTCGTGTCATTCATTTGAAACCCCTCTGGAGGGATCAGTCGCAGCGCTTCCGTGAACATCGAGTACATCGCGCTCCATCGGGGTACTTCATGGTCGATACCCTGTGGCAAGGGCAGATTATATTTGGGGCGGGCTTGTTCAGATGGACTCTCAGGCGTGTATTTTCGCACGGCTCTGTAGGTTGACGAAAGAGTTTAAAGATTAGCAGTCTATCGAATTGATGTAGTTGTAAATTCGAAAGCAAGTTACATACCTGACTGGTCGCTCCCTTGGCAAACAGCGCTGTCCTTCTCTGAAGCAGTATGTGCATTGATGATGACTCGGACTCGTGACGCATCGCTTCTTTCTAGCATAACACGCTTGACAAGCCTGGAACGCAGCATTTCTCGATGGAGAACTGCAATTGGTGCTTGACTTGTGTACGCCGTGGGGCATTTTCAGTTTCCGAAGTTCTTTGTGAGTCGTCTCCATACTGTAGCTGTTGGTTGCTCTGGTCGTAAAAGTGTCAAGTAGTGGAGATGGAGGAGGGAGCTAGGAAAGATCCAAGAAGCCAATTCTTATTATTATTTCTGGGGATTAACTGGGGGGCTGTTTTTTCCCATAAAATTAAGGTTCCATATCTGATGGGCGTAGGGCGTCTTATCGAAGAATTGCCTGGTTTTAATTTACTTTCCAGCCTCAGCGAGTCAGCAACGCTTCCGCGGGTACTTCGGGGCCCGCGGCCTAGGGGCTCATAGTTGCCGCAATTTTCCGACCTTGGAAACTCGCCGAGGCACCCCCGGACTCGGGAGGATTATTAACTTTTATGCCTACGGAGTACGGAGTTCGGACCTTACGGAGTGGTTAGGAATTTAGGATGGAGTTTACTTTTAGTGTGTACTCCGTATCTTAGGCAGGTAGACGCCACAATTTATGTGGAACCTATCCAGCATCCACGACGGGGATCCGCTAAGTCGAGTTGAGCAACAATCCCGCCGGTACACTGAAGATGGTACATACGGACTACGGAGTACGGGATTCGCTCGACCAGATCACTTTAAGATTGGTGGCAAGAGATATTTAGATTCTCGTGATTTCCATTAGGACCGAGGATAGTTTCTTAGTGCATCAAGTGTTAATTCTTTTCAACAAATTGTCGTCTCAACCTTACCACTTCCAGCTCTACCTTCGTCTTGATAGGCGCAGCCTAAAACTAATCTGCCTCTTAACTTTCAAAGACAAAGACCTAGAGGTACCAGCTGTTCCGTCTATGACCCAAGCCTGAACGCCAACGAATTTATCTATATCATCAAGCTACTACTCCAGAAATGGTTATCACATCTCGCTTCTCCCTCAAGCGGCCCGAATGAGCATCCTTGCTTATTATTGCTCGGTCCGCCGGTCGGTCCGAAGGATAAGGCTATGATCTTAGATTCCCCGGAACAATCTACTATCCATGGAAGTATGGCACAGCCTTGAAGCTTGTATGGCGTAGGCAGTAGACTTAAATCCACACAATAAATGGAAACCTCGAATTAAATTATGACTTCCAGACTCAGCAACCAGGGTTGTATGTTCAAAACCATATGATCCATACAGCAGGAGATGTCCGATGTCGAACTTAGAGTAGTAGTACTTGGTACTGGCAGTATCCGCGTAGGATTGCGGGGTTAGTAGCTAGTGTAATGATATTTCTGCTTCTAAGAGCCGGGGTGCCTCGTATTTAATGTGAGATCGGGTCTCATAGGGAACATCACGAAGGTTAAAAAGAAGGTTTGTGATGCAAAGGTGGTCTTGTGCAGCTCCCCGCGAAACGGGCATATAGTAGAACGTGGTGTCACACTAAAGCTGAGCGTGGTCTGAAATCCATCCCACTATTGCTAGCAACAATAAGCCTTCGAGGCCGAACGTGGTTAGATATCTCTTGATGATCTAAGAAAAGTCTTGGCGATTGAATCTGTTAAATTCAAGTAAAGAAGTGTAAAAGAAGTCGAAAGATGTATTAGAAAATTAGTAATAATTTACATAAGATACTAGTACAAGAAGCATCTTTAAAATCAGTAGGCTAATTGTATGAAGATATTATAAAATGAATAATTGAGTGCAGTCACAAACAGTGTGGTAAAAGGGCTTCTAACCACGCTCAACTTTAGTGTGACCACGTTCTACCGCAACCCGTAGCGAAACCTTCATATTTGACTAGCGGGGGAAGCCGGGGACTCTAGCGTGCTTCTTGAGTACCCTGTAGTGGTGTCAATGCAGTGATATGGCTCCACAGGATCTTTGACGAATAGTGAGCCTGATCTCCATCAGAAGGAGGAGACATACGGTCAAGCAGGTGCATGATACGGGAGTGGATTAAGGGCGAAGCTAGCCAAATCGAGAGGATTTGTATTTGGATTATCGAGCTTTGATAACAGTCATACTCTTAGACAAAGACTGAGGTTAAAGACAAGTTATACTTCACCAGCGAACGAAGAAAGGGTGACATAGGTGCATTGCTCATCCAAATCAATATCCCAAGTGGCCAACGACTACTATTCCAACCGCTTTACATCATGTCCTAACATGGAGTGTCAAAGCTCAGGCTCTAGCATTTTATGTCCATTTCATCATAACTAAACGCCGCGCCCAGGTAAGATGCGACTTCGTGAAACCGGGTCTAAGCAGCCCGGAAAATCCTGCCTCTCGTCATGTCTTCTGCAGCAGGCCAAATCTGCTTTTCGTGCAGTACTCCACCATCTCCACCTCCCAACGACTGATTCTATCTGAGCTAAAGCCAGATCGACTCCGATACGCCACAGTGCATTTTGATTTTCTGATCAGGACCGTCCGAGGTGTCAAATAGCCTGCGAAAAGATAGAAATGCAGGGAGGAGAGAGAGGGTAGATAGAGTGTGCTCGAACTTTTTCTGTCCTGTCTCGCAAGGGGGAAGAAAATAGGGAGGAGGAATAGCAAAGGAGATAAGAAGGGGGGAGAGAGAAAATGGTAGATCGAGACAAACAAGAAAACGAACCCAAAAGTGTCGAAATAAAGAAGAAAACGAGACATAAGAAACATCAACAGATAAGGTTCTGGCTCCACGGGAAAATTGGTCACTTCATGCATCATTTCTCCGTCGTAATAACCCATTATGCGCGGGTCTCCTCGGTGGCCGTGCGCTCCTGGCGCTGCTGGCGGCCGCCCTTGCCGCCGCGCTGGTTGCGCTGGTTGCCCTCGCCAGAGGTACCAGTGGCATCGCCGCCGCCCAGAGTGAGCTGGGCGGTTGCTAGCCGGTTGGACAGCTCCATCTGTGTGCGGATGGTGTTGGCCAGATAGGAGACGACCAGAACGTCCTGGATGTGGTTGTTGCTGCAAGAGGTCAGTCAAAGGAAATCCAAGTATCATCACAGGTATATGGGACGAGACGTACAAATCCCGCTCAATGTCCGCGGGCTCGACCTTGGGGGCAAGAGCCAGGGTGTTCAGCAGGAACTGACCCATGGCGGTAGAGGCCGGGGCCTCCTCGTCAATGACCGACTCCACGTATCGCGACACACGGTCGATCATAGCCAGAACCTCCTCAATCGCGCGCTCGAGCGCCTCAACATCGGACATCACGCTGGTACTGCGCTCCTCAGAATCCTTGGCATTCGCAATGGTCTCGAGGCCGCTCTTATCAGCCTCGCCATATCGGAGCTCGTAAGGGACGGGAATGAACGCAGCGCTGTCGGCAGCCCGCTCAGCGGTGACACCGACGGGGGCGGAAATGTAGGCCCGGGTCTCGAGGTCCTTGCCGGCCTCGGTCGAAACGGTCAAGTGGACGGCGGGGTGAGGCCATGTACCGTCACCCTGGCCGCTGTAGAAGTTCTGGATCAAGGCGGAGAAGGTGTTGAGCTCAGAAGCGGTGGCGTACCAACCGACGAGAACCTCGCGCGGGTTGGCCTTCAAGTGCAGGGCGAGCATTTGCTTGTGGTATTCCATGTCGACTTCGACCTGGTCCTCGGCCTCAGAGTGGCCCACGGCGAACGCGGAGCGCACCTCGACTTCACCTCCATCTTCTGATCGTGTTCCCAGCAGGGTACCGATGACACGTTCCTGGTCAGCGTTGCGGCGCAGCGAGTGGTCGAGAATGGAGAAGATAGCCTATATCAAAGAAAGAAGGAACGTTAGAGACTGGCTTTGTATCGAATTAATATGATCGCCTTTGATCGTACCTGCGGCTGGATGACCACGTTAAGAGGGGCAGTGGTCGGAGCAGTCCCCACAGAGACGGGGCCCAAAGGACGGGCGAGGTGCAGGAAAGAGTCTTCGGCCATGATGGAATTGGGGGAGGGGGGGAAGGAGGGGAGGGAGAGGAGGTTTAGAGATTGGAGGTGATGAGAGGCTAAGACTCTCCAAAGCAGACTCGACTTCTTCGGAGGGACAATTTTTCCAGCGAAGAAAGTGGAGAGCCCGCGCTGAGGCCGATTCTCTCTTTGTGTGTGGGAATTTTCGCGCTAAGATAAGATAAGCCCGCCCGGTCACCTTTTTGCCTGGAGCCCGTAAAAAAAAAGAGACAAGAAGCTCCGCAAGGTCAACTCAAGCGATTCTTCACTGCACAATGGCTCCTCCACGAGGCCGAGGACGTGGTCGTGGTGGAACGAGAGGTAGAAGAGGTCGTACGACAGGCAGAAGAAATGATTTTGCTACTTCGCGACTGCGTGAAGTGGAGTTAGTACACCCGTGGAGAGCTGCGCAACGGTGAAGAACTGAGGCTAACCACAATACAGTTCCGATGAATCCTCTGGTGAAGGTGGGCCCGGCGATCAGGAGGTGGAGGATATGAATAGGAGCGATGATGCCATGATGGATGATGCTTCATCCAGCAGCGACGAAGAGGAGGAGAGTACGGGTCGTCCGTACAACGAATTGCTCGAACTACTGCACGCCAATTCCGACCCGAAGGGACCCGCTCGGAAGAAGAGAAAGCTTGCCAGTGATTCCAATGTGGAGGAAGCTCCAAGGGCTATCGTGGACGAAGAAGAGGAACAGGCTGATGATGCGCTACAAGATCAAGCTCCATCCGACGATGAGGAGGACGCGCAGGATGACGACGATGATGATGTTGTTGGACCGTTTGAGAGGCACTTTAATGTCGCCGAAGGGGATGACCTTTCCAATAAGATTCAATCTATCGAGTCTAATAAGTGGACATCGGTGAAGAAGGAGGTGGACGGGTTGCGCGTCGTCCAATCCATTCCTGAAGCAGGCGATTCTAAAGCATTACTACTCCCGGTGATGAAGAGCACGGCGAACCTGAAGGTGAGCTCCAATGAGGAAGTATTGGAGACGATACAGCAGCTAATGAGACCAAAAATTCTAGATCAAGAATAAGTTGAAGCCCCGAGCTGCGGAGCTCCTCCCTACCATCAACGGCCCTGCCCAACAAGTGGCTCCATATGTATTTGACTATCAAGACGTTCTCTACGGTGCGCGTACCGCATCTATCGCGGAAGAGATGCGCGATATCATGGCTCTTCACACCGTCAACCACATCATCAAGACCCGAGACCAAGTGCTCAAGAATAATGCGCGCCTAGCAAAGGATCCAGACACCGACATCGAGTGCCGTGACCAAGGTTTCACTCGTCCTAAGGTCCTGTACATTCTTCCAACTCGCCAAGCATGTGTGCGTGCTGTCAACGCCATTACCCGATTCTACCAGGTCGAGCAGCAGGAGAACAAAAAGCGATTCACAGATACCTTCTCCGGATCCGAGGATGCGGGATGGGAGAACAAGCCCGAGGACTTTCGCGAGCTGTTTGGTGGTAATGATGATGATATGTTCCGACTGGGATTGAAGTTTACTCGCAAGACCGTCAAGTACTTTGCGCAGTTTTACAACTCGGACATCATCCTATGTAGTCCACTTGGTCTGCGGACCATCATGGACCAATCTGAGTAAGTGTACTCTTCCCGTACCCCCGATCAAACACATCTAACTAGTCTTTTCACAGCGAGAAAAAGCGAGACCACGACTTCCTCTCCTCCATTGAAGTCGTCCTTGTCGACCATGCCGACGCTCTCCTCATGCAAGTCTGGGACAATATCCCCTACATCTTCAAGCACCTCAATCTACAGCCCAAGGAAGCGCACGGGTGCGACTTCAGTCGCGTGCGCAATTGGTACCTCGACAACCACGCGCGTTACTTGCGACAAACTATCGTGTTGACCTCTCATATCACCCCCGAGATGAACTCGCTCTTCTCAACGCAGATGCAAAACGTATCTGGCCGCATCAAATTCACACCTACCTACGCCGGCGCGATCACCGAGCTGCCGCTCCCAGTCTCAGTCAAGCAAACCTTCTCACGCATCGACAGCCTTTCACCCGCGAAAGACCCCGATGCCCGGTTCAAGCATTTCACAACGACGGTCCTATCCACGCTCGTCAAGAACATTGCCAATGACCGTGGCAAGGGAAGCGCCGGCACAATCATCTTTGTCCCATCATATCTCGACTTTGTTCGCGTGCGCAACCACTTTGCTCAATCTGCGCAGACAACGAATGTCTCCTTCGGCGCGATCTCCGAGTACACCGAAGCGCGGGAAGTTAGCCGGGCTCGTAGTTACTTTATGAATGGCCGCTACTCGGTGCTGTTGTATACCGAGCGCGCGCATCATTTCCGCCGATACCAGATCCGGGGTGTTCGCCGGGTGATCATGTACGGTCTACCCGAGAACCCGACATTTTATGGCGAGATTGTAGGATTCTTGGGGCTTGATCCTGCGGCTGTGGTTGAAGCTGCTGAAGGTGGTGTTCGGGCGCTGTTCTCGAAGTGGGATGCGCTTAAGCTGGAGCGTATTGTTGGAACTTCAAGGGTTGGGAATATGCTGCGGGAGAAGGGAGGTGATACCTTTACTTTTGTATAAAACAGCTATCAGAGCAGATTGTCATGTATATACTCAATTGTGTCAGAAAACCCGTCGCTGGGAGCTCACAAAGTTGACTGAGCGCTCCTGATTCAAGGCTCGTTACCTTCGGTCGTGACCAACAGACCCTCCTGTTAAGCCAAGACGGGTGGGTCGATCGCTGGCACTGGTACAACCTTGGTTTTAAGGTTGGTCTTGTATTTTGTAGACTATGTCAAGTCCAGGTCTAGTCGACCTTGTCTTGGCAATGTCATTCGTTGATATAGCCTCTGGTGAAACGACCTGATCACGCCTGAAATACTGTGGGGCCATCATCGCCGAGGTTTTCAGTGAACGAGGCTGGCGGCAAACCTTTGGAGGCACAGCTCCCCCTCTCTTCTTAACCTAAGAGCCCCTTAATCTCTTCCTAGACCATGCATTTTCAGGCCACCTCTTTCTTTATTCTTGAGCAATAGTGTTCTAGCATATGGCTTCTACTCTCTGAGGTATATCCAAGCACTAATATGTCCGAACTGAATGTGCACATATGGTACCTCGTTTTCCTCGCTGTAAGACTCCTGAAACTCATACTCCCACATTATTGCAACCCGCTTTTCGCTAAAAGTAGCTATTTATAGTTGGATACTATTGAGGACTTGAAGACCGTGTGTTTGGTTTCAAAATCATTCAATGCCTTAGCCACGCCAATTCTGTACAGATCGATTGTTCTGCGTAATCCAACACCATCAAAGGAATGGAGGAGAGGAAAGGGAGAATTTACCTTGCGCCACCAGTGCACGCTCCTTGCAGCTGACGAGACTCTTTTCCCATTCAGGGTTGTTAGACGTCTTCTTGACGATTCAAACGTGCAGCTTCGCAGATATGTCCGTGACGTGGTAGTGGAAAATTCGAGCCACTCAAGCATGTTCGGGTCATTCAGAAGATATGGAGACCCCCATCATGTCGTGGCGAGATTGGTGGAAGTCTTGCCAAATCTTGAGAATCTTTTGTTAGTATCTCCTACCTGTATCTCTATTCCTACGTAGCACTGACTAGCTATCATTCTTAGTCTGCACGAGGCTTTTGGATTCTTGGATCTGCTGCAAGATGTTTTCAGCCGGCACAAGAACAAACCATCTCTTCATTTACTTAATGAAAATGGCATGACTCCACTTACACGGACGATGCCTTGTGTACGAAGCCTGGGAACCAGCTTTCGAGTATATGCTACTTCCCGAATGCCTGGGCCCTTACCCTCACTAGATCTTCCTAGATGCTTCAAGGCCTTCCCGAATTTGACGAGCCTATCAATCCAGACCAATGGCGAACGAATTGGGCCTGTGCAAGGTGGCCACTGGCACCTTTCAGCCAGAATCGAGCCGCTCCAACTAGCCGAAAATGAGACCTTCCCTCCGCTTGAGAAGCTATCCTTGAGTGGCTATCTTCCAACAGAGGCAGAATGGAGGCACTGGAAGGAGAAAATGACATGGTCTAAACTGAAGTCGTTGTCACTGGGGCCAATACAGACTGATGACTTTCTCGGCCCAATTGTTGGCCTTGTGCAAAGCTTGTCTTCCTTTTCAATATCGGTCCACAGCGGGTTACAAACGGATACTCATCCCGATTTAGACCGGTTTCTGATGTCTTTTGATACACTGGAATACCTGAGTGTCAAGGGATACTCCCTGCCCATAGATGTCGTGGCTCATCATACAAACCTACAGAGCCTTACTCTACACACGCTTGAGAATAGAGAGAGGGAACGACCGATCCTAAATCCGGAAAACTTAGAATATCTCGATCAACAATGCCGCAAACTTCGATACTTGGAGATCGACATTTGTCTACACGATGAATGGGTGAGCTTCCTGATTCCAACCTCCAAGTATGAAACCTAATTCAACCTCCTTTTTGCAGCCTGATAAAGTCATGGACGCTCTAGCTACAGGCTTTAACAATCTTCGTCAGCTCCGCCTCCATGTCGGACTAGACATTCATCGAAGAACCAAAGCAAAGTCCCGGGCCAAACTGGAGCCAAAATTGAATTATTTTTCCGCTCACGAATTTGGCCACGCTTTCTTCCGTCAACGAACACCTTCCAAGAAGCTAGAATTTGTCACTCTAAGAGCGGGTGAGACTTTACGCCATTATCCAGGTATGGCTGAGCCATACATATTTGAAGAAAAACGTGCTTCTGGGATGTTTCGCATTTGGGCTCCTCAAATGCCGTGCGATGGGATTGAAGTGAGGGAGCTGGATATTGAAGTTGATGGGCCTTGAGTTTTTCAGGCTCTGAACGGGCGTCGAAAATGTTTATTAGGCACAGTGTCCACTTTTCAGATAAATGAAGAGAGGAATAACAAAGAGTCTTGATCTTTCCTTCTTCTGGATCCTTCAACAGGCTGATCAAGCTCAGCTCAGCCTATTGGACGATTTGATCTGCAATGTTCTAGAAGGACTCAGTGGGTGTATTCTTTACAAACAAAGATAGTCTTTCAAACTTCTTTCAAGGGTTGCTTGAAGCGGACGCGACACTTCGAATGAGAATGCTGTCACCAAAGTTGGACCTGTCTTGTGGGCACAAAGTTGAGAGAGTCACACCTTTTATGTCTGCCCAACGCCCATATATGCTTTATTAATACAATCCCAAAAAGACTCAACTACGATTCCTACCAGAATCAGACTTATTGCACACGTATCCTAATCGGGACATCACATTTGCTTCAAATTCCATAGGACTTGGTCCCTTCCAGAAGTAACATCCCTGCTCCCTGCTGCTTATGTGCTGATTGAAACTACAGTATCCGTGATTCCACTTATGTGCGCCACGCAGGGATAAGTAAATATAGAATTATACGAAAAAGACATAAACAGAACGCGGTGAAGGGCATATTCCTGATACTTTGATGATTTGGTATAGATCGGTTCTGCTGGGTATGGATCCTTTGCTTATCGAATATCTTGTCCGTGGCGAGCAAGTTGGTCTTCATGGTGCACAGGTCAACGAGGCCGAGTTCTTCTACAAGTCGGAACCGAACTTCTCCTTCGTCCTCGTGCTACACTTGATCTAATGACAGCATGCAGCTGTGCTCGAAATCAAGGTCACCGGCTCTGGCAGCGGCTCGGGGAGCACCACCGACAAGATCCTGGGTCTTTATAACGATAACATGACATTGTTCAACGGCCTCAATCTTGGGAAGGATACCGCCAAGGAGATTAAATCAGATATTGCGCAAACCCTTATCGGCGACGAAGTTTGGACTGGCGGCAGCTCCTCCGCTTCTGGCTCCTCAGTCGTTACTCCATCCGCATCGACTCCCCCAGCTTATGCTGGGCTGACGTTCAGCTGCGGCTCTTACACTGGCAATTCGGCCAAGTTCCGTTCTCACTGAGAAGGGTCATAATCTCATTCTCTTATCTGCATTTAAAGTCGCTTGTCTTTTGGAAGCCTCTGGCGTCTTTGACTTGCAATAGTGATTTCGTGGGAGCAGTCGGATGACCGAGGCGATGCCTAAAATAGCTGTGGGCCTGTATCTCTTCGTTGGACTCCTCAGCATCACGTCGCTTGCCACGTAGTTACGAGATGGTTTGAGAAATTATCTATCATAGCTTTTAGATATTACTCCATGGTGACCCGCTAGTTGGGCACCACTCTCCCTGATGTAGCTCGAATACCTCGGATCATAGTCATAGTAATCATCAGGCTTGGTATAGGGAGATCACCCGTGCACAGACAGCCGGAGACAGCCACTCAGCCTTAGCCCGTCATGGCCATGCTGCACCTAACCGACTAGACCAGTGCTGGAATCCTATCTGATCTAATAAAAGCCACCTTCCGATCTATCATTCCAAATTTAAAAAAAAATCACACTATCAAGCACTGCTATCCCTTCTCAGAACATGATGTAGTGTAAACGCCTTCCCCAGACACGGTTTAGCGGACAGGCTCCACCCGTCCACTCTCCACTTTCCCCGTCTTGCGCGATCCGACTCTGATCATTTTTTCTTCTAACGAACGCCTCTTCCACGGACTCTCTCACGCCTCCCCCCGTTCTCCTTCTTCCTACGTGGACCTCATTTCCTATCTTCATCATCCATGTCTCGTATATAAAGAACCCTCCCGTCCCAAATATACCCGACGACACCGAGTACAAAACTCACCATGTCGCCACAACCACAACCGCAATCCCTGCCCGGATCTCCACCCCTCCTCCCCGAAATCACCAATAACCAACCCCAGATCCAGTCTCACCCTCTCCCTAGACCTCTCCCCCCGTTGATCCCGACCACCCCGATGCCCCCCTGCCGATCGACCAGCCCTACCGTGATGATCCAGACCAAAGGCCCGATTATCTTGTCCGGTACGAGCCTCGACCCATCGATGACGAGGACGAGGATGGCGAGGGCGTCGCGGCGGAAATGGCGCGGCCGAGAAAGGCGTGGCGGGCAAGACTAAGGGTATTCTGGTTGAGGAATATGGGCATGTTTTTGGTCTTGCTGGCGCAGATGTTTGGGGCTAGTATGAATGTGATGACGCAGATTTTGGAGATTCATAGTTCGATGCATCCGTTTCAGGTATGTGTCTCTGTCTGCCCGGCCAGGTTGGAGATTTGTCCTAGACTTATATACTTCTCTTTTGACCTCGGTGCACCTCGGTGATCTCTACTTAATGCTAACGCCGTCTCCTTATAGGTCCTCTTCGCCCGCATGTCCATCACAGCTGTCGCCAGCTACTTCTACATGTGGTACGCCAAAGTCCCCGCCCCCTTTGGCACCCGTCCCGTCCGCAAACTCCTGCTCCTCCGCGCTACCTTCGGGTTCCTCGGCGTCTATGGGCTCTACTATTCCGTACAATACCTCCCCCTCTCCGAGGCAACGGTGATCACCTTCCTCGCGCCCATCCTCACCTGCTACGCCTGTTCGCTGCTCATCCCCGGCGAGACTTTCTCGCGGCGGCAGCAACTAGCCGCGATCGTCTCGCTGGCTGGTGTAGTTCTCATCGCGCAACCATTTTCGAAGCGTGATGGCGCGGGAACACGCACGGGTGATAATGCGGGTACCGCGGCTGAGGACGAGAGTCCCGGTGACGCGGACGCGTTCCACCACGTTCTGGCGACGGTGGTCGCGTCCGTGGGCGTGCTGGGTGCGTCTGGCGCGTATACTACGATCCGGATGATCGGACGACGGGCGCACCCGCTCGTCTCGGTGACTTATTTCTCCAGCGTGACGACGGTGATCTCGTTAGTGGCCATGGTCGCGGTGCCATGGGTGCCATTCCGCCTGCCGTCCACCGTGACCGAGTGGACGCTCTTGACCGGGTTAGGAGTGTGCGGGTTCCTGCTGCAGTTCTTGCTCACGGCGGGACTGAGTTATGTGCCCCCGGCCAGTGTGCGAGTCGCGGGGGCCAAGGCGAGCCAGGGGTCCAAGGCGACGAATATGGTGTATATGCAGATGCTGTTTGCCTTGTTCTATGACAAGGTTGTGTGGGGGGAGTACGTTGTCGCCGGTGAGCTGGGCGGGGTCTGTGCTGATCCTGGCATGTGCGGTTTATGTGGCCGTTGCGCAGGAGCCGCGTCGGGGGGAGACGAAGCCCAAAGTGGAGGGTGAAGGAGGGGAAGGTGAAGAGGATCGGCGATTCAAGGACCGGGATGACGAGGAGGCGGAGGGTGTGGCTGCACGGGCTGCACGGGAAGGAGACTAAACTGCGAACTAAAATGGGGCTACATAGAGACAAGACTGAATGTACTGGGATTTGCAGGATCGCCATGAGGAGAGAAGAAGTGCAGGAAACCGTGCATTGAGTTTTGGGCGTTTCGGGCATTGCTAGAGCATTACTCTTACAGACTTACAGGAAGGATATTGTCATGGCTCGAGGATTGACATGTCATTTGTACATGCTGGGTTGGGCTGGGCTGTCGACGGAGGAGATATTTTATATGTGCAGTGTATATTATGACTATGAGCATATGATAATAAACATGACCATGACGAGATTAGTTCCTCTCTATAAGGTACATCTCCGTCGACTATGAGTATTCTCACCGCAATGGTAAACTATCGTCGACCCAGGTACAACTCTCCGTACCTTTTACCTCTCATCCACAGACCCTCCCACCGCGAACTACAGTCCAGTATCGGAGCACACTGCTCCATGCTCCCTCCCAATAATAATCACCGCATGCAATTGAATTCTCCATCTGCACGACCGCGACCCCTTCAACGTCATAACGTTGCACCCTCCCGCCGCGCCTCCGGGATCGCCCGAGGCTTGTCATTGGCGAAGCCATTCACGATCGTCGCGGTGGATCTGGGATCCAAAGCGGAAATGAGAGCGTGGTTAAGGGCTGTGGTAAGCACTGAGAAGGTACGGTAATAATAATAGCATACAGCAGTATGGATCCTGTACCTGGAACGAGGAGGGTTGCGTGGTTTGATAATGTAATCGCTTCTGCTGCGAATCTGCGACGAGGTGGATCTGGTTGACACTGGAGACTCCATAAAGAGTCCACTCGCCCCGGGTTTGAGGGTGGATTCTGTCCCCGGATTTCTCTTTGTTCTTGTCTTTTTTTTTTTTTTTTCAATTGGGTTGTGATCTTGATCTTGAGGGTGAGTGGTCTTGAGATTGAGGCTATATACATCCTACGATACCGAGTACTTGTACTTGGCTCGACAGTACTACACTGAGTATAGCCAGTCAGTCCTTTTTTCCGGAACGCCACCCCGAACTATACAACACCTTTTTATACACTCAATCTCGACATCCTTGTCCTTGTCGCTGATCATGCGCCACTTTGATGCCTGGGTCATTCGTGACCCCTACTCGATCTGGCACTATTATACCACCGGCCAACGATGGAAAGACACCGTCCGCGAACTCATCCACGACCGCAAGATCTGTGCTCCATCGCTCAACTCGATCGACCCGTACCCATCATCATCATCATCATCACCTTCTTCTACTGCTACTATTTCTTCTTCTTCCTCTTCTTCCACTCCCTCCACAACCGTCCAACAAACAAGCCCCCTCTTCACCCGCCTCCCCCCAGAAATCCGAGCCATAATCTGGTCCTACGTCTTCGACGCCGAAACCATCCACCTCGTCACCATCAAAAACAAAGTCCGCCACGTCCGCTGTTCTTCTCCAGCAACATCAACCACCTCCCTCACCAACCACCGCCACTGCTGTCCAACAACCCTCGCCCGCTGGCGTACCCCGTCTACCACTACCACCAATATCAACTCCTCCCCCAACACTAACCTCCTCTACCCACACACAAACCCCACCCTCCCTTCAACCCTAACAACCTCCACCCCCCCTCCTCCTCCGCACCTGCCACGCCATCTACACCGAAACATCCACCCTCCTCTACAAAAACACCACCTTCGACATCGACGACCTCTACACCTTCATCGCATTCACCCAGTCCCTACCCCACCACGCGCTGCACTCCATCCACAGCCTCACAATCCAATGGACACCCATCTGGACCCCTCTCTCCGGCCAAGACCATAAAGGGTCTATATACGCACACACGCACAGCGACGCACTGTGGCTACAATTCTGGGCGCGTGTCGCATCCCTCCCTTCTCTGAGGGAGATCCGGCTTAGTATCGACCTGGGCTCGTTCACGGGGACTATTACCGGGAGCGGTGCGGTGGTGCTTGGCGGGTCTGGTGTGCGGGTTCCGTTGAGGGTGGGTGAGTTGTGGACTGTGCCGTTGATGGGGGTTAGGGGGTTAAGGAAGTTTGAGATGGCTGTTACGGCCAGGTGTGATGTTGTGGCGAGGGGGGGTTTTGGAGGGGGAGTTGGTGAGGGATGCGGGGGGGTTGAGGGATTGGTTGAGGAGGGTTATGTGTGCTGGGAAGGGGGTGGGGTTGGAGAGTGTTTTTGGAGATGGTGGAGAGGTGGGAATTGGTTTGGATAAAGGCAGGCTGAGGGAGTTGGAGGAGTGGATGAGGATGAGGACTGGGAGGGAGGAGGAGGAGGTTCTTGGGAGGAGGGCGGGGAGGAGGCTGGCTATTATGGCGGCTTGATGTGCTGGACTGGATTGGATTGAGTGGTTATGCTCGTTTTGATATTGATACCCTTGTCAATTTTTTTTGGGTTTTGCTTTTAGATTGTTGTTATGGGGTATGTTGCATGTTCATGACTTGATTGCTAGAGATAGAGCAAGTTTATAGAATGACTTCAAGAATGATATACAAGCCTTCCAATATTTACAATAGATTTCATACTAAGAATATACAAGCCTTGACTTCCTAGCTTGTTTCAAATATCGACAGAGGTTTACGTGGTCGCAGGAGAAGCAAAAGTCGTAGGGACTAAGGGCGTTGCAGCTTCACAGGGCCGTAGGCCAGTGTTGGGTCTAACCAAGGATCGCTGAGAACGGATCGAGACTTGGTTGGTCTAGATCTCCACCCGTCTTGCTAACCATGCCGACAAGAAAAATGTGCATTTTCGTTAACGATGTGGTGGTATCAGAATGAAAGGCGTACCAAAACTTGCGATTCTGAGACTCCTAGTCATCTATGGTTGCCCATCCTGGCTTACTAAGGCGAAAGTCAATCCCCGCGTTATAGCAGATTCCCGTGAATGGAGCAAATGCCTGCGGCACAGATACTGGTAATTTAAGCGTCCACCTGCGTGGGGACCTAGGGGTTGTTTATAAAGTAATCCAATAAAGATTAGGGTGGTTTCGGGTACGGGCCGAGAAACAAAGCGTGTGTATCCATGGGGGAATCTGTTTTCGAAATCGACTGTAGGACCATCCGTACTCTGCTTCAGATCTATTAAATCCAAAGATACCCCTCCCTATACCTGAATTCACGAGCAACCTGTACCTTACAAAAAAAGATTCTCACTAAAAAGATCTCTGGCAAAAATCCAATTCCGAAATTCCGAGCTCAACAAGCCAAAACAGAGCAATCTACGGAGTATGCATCTAAATAGTAAACACTTAACACCCACGAGACCAAAAACAATCACGGATATTCGTTTTCATAATCCTAACCCGCAAATGCCTATCTATTATCCAGTCCAGTCCGTATTTTCCAATTATCCCATTAACGTCAACAGCAATTTTTAGCATTCACAGGGTATTCGAATCGAATCTGTGGTAGGTGACTCGACACCCGGAACACCGCATTTGTCCCGGTATATCAGATCCAGGAACCGCCACTCTCGACACTCGACAATAAACCATTTGATAAATAAGAACAAGAATGAAGCGAAAGGGGGAAAGCCAAGCACCTGCCACATCCATCAGAATCAAGGGCCCACACAACAAAGCAAGAGCAAACCAGACAAGACAAGACAAGACAAGGCAGGATTGGCCAGAAAACACCAAAGAAAGAATCAAGATTCAATTTGCAGAGTATTAGGGGCATCAAGCTTTTTGCGCGGATCCCAACCATATCTATTTTCATCAGACGCGGTCCCGTTCCAATCAGGGATGTCCGGTTCATGGGAGAAGGGGATGGAAGAATCCCATTGACAGCGATACAAACGAGTAAACAAAGAAAAAGAAAGAGGAAAGAGGAAAGGAAGCAAAAGAGAAACACCGAGCGCCGGACAAAAGAAAGTCGCCTGTAATTTGGGCGGATGGATGGAGGAGGGGGAAGAGGAGCGATGAGATAAAAGAAGAGGATAAAACAAGGCAAGAAGTATACACGAATTGAATGCAAGGTGTTGGGTAGAAGCTAACATGAGGTTGCAGGGGCAGGGGCAGGTGTAATGCAATTTGTTCATTCAAAAATGAACCAAGAACCGAAATCCAAGCTAATCTTCCAATATCGTTTTCTTTTTTTCCCGTCTCGCGCCGGTCAATCCAATCAGCCAGATCAGGCAAATCAAGACATGGACATCAACACGACGCAAAGACAAGGTCAACTGAGAAGAGTGTCTAAGGCGCAACGACATCCTTGCGGCCACGGGTCTCGTTCTCTTCGTACCCGTTTTGCTCGGACTCGTCCTCGTCTGTGGGCGAGTGCGGGTGACTGGATGGTTCTGTGAGAGAGAGGCGGCTGCGAGCCATCTAGATAGACACCGAAAATAAAAGATTAGCCACAATGCACTTCCTCTAGTTCAAAGGGCCACTTCACTCACCCATGCACGAACACCACCAATCAACCCCAAACTATACCCAGTCGCAAAATCCTCATTACGGCCCACGCCAGGACTATCGGGCCGATTGAGCGCCTCCACGCGCGAAAGGTGACTCTTGCTACCACCAGTCGGGCTGGCCAGCGGCCCACGGGCACTGCCGTAGTCGACGCTGTTGCGGGCACTGGGCGCGGGACTACCAGGTCGACTATTCTGCCAGATCTGGCGCAGCTCGCGGCCGAGTTCCTGGCCGGTTATGGTCCAGTTGATGCGGATGTTGTCGCGGATTTCGGCGACGTGGCGTTTGATTTCGAGTTCGTTCTTTTTCAGCCAGGAGACGTTGAGTTCTTGGCGCGAGGCTCCGCGCTTGAATTGTCGGGAGATGTACTGGTCGTAGTCGCGGACGATGCTGAATGGGAAAAGCCCAATGTGAGTCTTTGAAGTTTCACTAGAAGACAATGCGTCATGGCTGGTGCTGTGGCTGTTCTCTACTTACCGAGTAATGATGCCAGTTGTGCTAACACCCTCCGTCCGCTGAGTGACCAAGAACTTGCCCTGCGCCTTAATAGGCTCGTAGATATCATCACCCTCGGCGGCTTGGTACGGCAGATCGTCGTGCGCGACGTAGTCAATCTTGTGCTCGGCCAAGAACTCCGGAGTAACGATCCACGGGCAATTGGGAATAACCTCGTCAACCCACTTGCAATGGCGAATAGTCTCCGCACGCTCAGCACCGCTGAGCACAGTCAAACCCTTCCGTGTATGCGTTTCTTCGTCGCCAGTGACACCGACAATGAGGTACACTTCGGGGAAAGCCTTTTTAGCCTGCTCGAGCTGTCTCATGTGGCTATATGAGATGCTGGGTTAGCGATATTTGATCATAAGGTCGTATCATCCTACGTCTCCGATATCCTCAATCTTGAACCTCCAAGTACCACTTTTAAATCCCCTCCCCAATTGCAAGAACCAATTAATGTACGTACCCAAGATGGAACAAATCAAACACACCATCCGCATAAACCCGCACCGCCCGCCCTTCCGGAGGCGGATTCGTCTTATATCCAACCGGATCCTGTAACCCGCCACGCTGCGGCGGCAACATGGCCGCACGACGCTCCTCCTCCGCATCATGCAAATTAATATGCAAGTCTGGCCGACTGCGCGACCGGCCCTCGATCTCACTACTTCCAACAGTCGTCTCGGACGGCTCGCCGGGATCCTCTTTGTTGATGGTAGTACCGTTGGAAGTACCAGTGCCAGTGCCGGTCGCGCTGGCGTGAGCGTCGGAGCTCTTGCGGGCGCGCTTGGACGGCGGCACAGCCTCGCCGGTACTAATGCTGGATTGCTTCTTGTGTCGGGCGATGGCGGCACTGGCGGGACCGGTTGATTCCTCGCCTTCTTCGCCGGACGCGTCGCGCGAGGATGGTTGGAGCTCCGCAGTCGGGATGGATTGTGGTGTCGATACTGGCAGATGCGAGGCGCTGCGCTTGCGCTTGCTGGAGGGGGAGGAGGGAGATGTCATTGTGGATTTTGTTGGAGGGAGACGAGGATGTGTCAGAGACCAAGGAGAAAAGGGAGGGCGTTTTTGTTGGAAATTGGGCTGATCCCCTGGATGATGGGAGATGGATTGAGCTGAAACGGAGTCTGTCCTGCTCCGCGGTGGCCCGGTTTAGGGGCCCGCGTAATTTTCTGGCTGTGGAGACCGGAGCTCTCTTTGGCGTTGGGTCTTGGGCCCCTGCACTGACGTATCAGGGTCTCGGCAAGGCTGGGCAGTAGGGTTTTCCCTGATTCAGATGGGGATTATCATATTATGCGAAGGATGATGATCTCGTACTCGTACATCAATGGGTTTGCTCTGGTTATCATGGGTCTCTCCCACTTGACTATGGCTGGAGTCATACACATGGGTGGGGCCTTCCATCAGCTCAACTCAGCAATCAAAACAGTACCCGCTCTATAGCAAACCACCAAATAAAATCCAGCTTCATTGCGGACTAGAGGACGTCTCATCACTGGAGTGATCATCATTGGAGATAAACAAAGCCAAAGAAGAGCCCCTGTCTTCCTAAAACTCCACTGCTGAGATCAGCCGAACAACTATCTACCAGAGTACAAAGTACCTTCTGTCTGAAAAAAAGGGAATGCCAACTATCGCAGACACCGATGATACGCCATGAAGGTCTAGCAGCGCCCTGCTCGGTCTTAAGTCCCGTGAGATTCTATCGCGCTCCGGTTGGCTTTGGCTTTGGCTTCGGCTTCGGTCTGTATGGTGCGTAGTTTGTGGTCTGTAGTTCTACCGGGTCGACTGTGTCCAGAGGGAAGGTCCAGCAGAATAGTGTCCACGGTCATGTCCATGACCATGGGGGAAGAACCCTGGTAGAACGTAGTAGTAAAGGGAGAAACGTGCAAGT